GGGGTTGGGTTTGGGGAGGAGAGGGGGTTGGGGTTTGGTGAGGATAAGACTAGGTGGATTGTAGCGCTGGTATGAGTCAAGAGCATCACGAAAGGGCGGTTTGCGCGAAGTGCAGGTGGGCGAAGCGACTGAACGGTACAATAGGCGCCGCAGGCCAACACGGGAAAGCGAGCCATGAGCGAATGACTATCGCCCGAGCAACGACTTGAAGCGCAAGACTCTCGAATAATATCACGGGGGTGTCTTAAGGCTTCTCAAACTCCAACCTCGTCTTTACCGAACCACATTCTCGAATACCGAATCTTCTCGTCAGTTCGCTGCTTTGACACCGACTTATACCGCTTCTACCTCATCCGATACCGTACTCTTTGCAACCATCCAGCCTCCCACCACAACTCATCATGTCTCAAGCTCTCTCTGCACCGCGCTGGGTAAGTGCCTCTTACAATCTCATGCATGATGAGATAGCTGATAAGTTATCGCTAGAACAAGCCCGCACCGAACCTCGCCAGCATGCCCCTCGAGATCCTGGAGAAAATCATCGGCTACGCGATCCCTGACAGTATCCGGATCATGATCTGGAATCTACCCTGCCGCGTCATATGGTATTGGGATCCCCCGCAGTGGCCTTGGGGAGCCACTGAACCGGCTGGACTACTCCTCGTCTCCAAGCAGGTTGGCCGTGTCGCTCGGAAAATTCTCGCTCAGCGCTTCGAGCTACGATATCGTGGGGGTGGCGTAGCTCGACTCGGCATCGGAACAAGGCCGCGAAGTATCTCGAGAAGTTGTTTGCGAGCAGGGATTAGGTCGAAGACCTCGTCAATGTGTCTGGCGGATACATCCGCTTCAAAGGCAATCTGAGTCTACCTCATGTTCTGCTTAGAATGATCAGCTATGTGCAGTTCACTGACAGACAGTATGGACAGCCGGGTCGAGTGGCGATCGGAACATGGGAGTCGACGGGCGGCAAAGCTACGTCGAGCGTAAGCTACTGATAGCAATCACATAGCAAAGATGTTTAGGCAGATAGATGGCTGACTGGCTTGATCTAAGTCCTTCATTGCTTTTGATCTCTATCGTGAAATGTTGTTACACAGACTTCCTAGGACTTCGTCGACTTCACGATCACCTTCGACCTATCAATTTTGGTCGGAGCAGCAAACAACCACACCCCAACAAACAACACCCACCCGCCAATAATCCCCCACAGCCCCGTGACCCACGGCAGCGCCCCCGAGATAACAAAACTCCGCGGCCACTCGTCATGCGCGAAGTGCCGTACCGTGACTTGTCGCTTCTCCTCAATGGGCGTCAGAAAGGGCCGCTTGTAGTTTACGCGGAAGGAGAAGATGCCGTGTTGGTCGGGCGTGGTGAATTTTGTGGTGTAGGTTGTTGAGTTGGGGGAGGAGGATGAGGGGGAGAGGTTGAGGCGGTGGAATGGTGAGAGCATGCTGAATTCGAGTTGGAGAGCGTCGGTGGTGGGTGGGTGGTAGGGCTGCCAGTGTGTGCGGAGGTATTGGGAGAGGGTTATTGAGTAGGACTACAGATCAATGAGATTAGCTCATGGTCTCAAGGCGAGGTCTGCAGCATGGTAAAGAAAAACATACCACGTCGTTCTTGATCCGGTAGATCTCCGGATTAGCAAAGCCAACCTGTGTCGTGTTGGAGGAAAGCGGCTTGCTGGCATCACCATCCTGGACAAGGTGATGCTCAACGTTGTCCACTCGGAGGACGCCAACCTCTTTGAACGCCCACTCCGTCAATTGCTGAGCAAATTCGCGGTTCGCGGTGCTTGTGCTCTGACCGTTCTTGGTCTTGACTTTGGCATCGAACCACTTGTCCTGCAGCATCTCGATACTTCCCAGCACAGTGAAGCGAGCTGAGTTTCGTGCCTGCATGGCTGATATAAGTGCCAACTGTGAGCCGGTCGCGAAACCATCGTCGGCAGCCTCTGGGTCGTCTTCTGCTGGGTTGTATGTGATGGCTGTTTTAGGTGCTCGTAGTATGGGCGCAATGAGTGCGCTGGTGGTGCCTAGACTCTGTCCGACGGTATTTGGAAGGGCAAGTAGGCCACCTCCGCCAAAGAAGTTGACGACGTCTGGTCTCAGAGGACCAGGTCGGGGAAGGAGTAGGACATCGTGCTTTTCTGAGGCGGATGAGGTATCGTAGTTGAAGTGGTCGATGACGACGGAGGCGCGATCGGCAGGCAGAGAGATGTCGAATTCGAGGAGGAGGGAGGAGATGGCGGAGGGAGTGCCTGTTGAGGAGGATAGGCCGAGAAGGACGTTTCCGCCGGTGTTGATGTATTGGAGGATGGTTTTGGGAGAGAGGGAGGGTCCGTAGCCTGCAACATCAATGCGTCAGTACCGTAACTCGCATGCACTAACGCGTAACCATCGTGTAGCGCACCTTTCGACTTGGGCGGCGCAAGCAGGACATGCTCATACGCCAACTCGCCGTGTCTGAATAGATTGAGATCTTCCTTTTTGGGCGACTCGAAGGTCAACTGAAAACCTCGTGCTGTACATGACCACCATCAGCACTGAACATCCTTGTTCGATACGACAGCCGGTACTCACACCCAAGATCATTCCATAATTGTGTATATTCAACCCGCTGTCCCTCATCTTCCATCACCACCAGTAATCGATCTCCAACCGCGCTCTTTCCCAACACTGTCATGGAACTCCATATACAGCTGCCCAGGAGGAGGCATATTGATGAGGAGAAGAGCCGCATCGTTGTGAGTGACACCTGCGGACTCTATGGTGATGGTAAAAGAACGGAAGGAGCGTTGGCTGAGTCTCTGTTCTCCTGCATACGATGCGCTTGCGGGCAACTCATCCCCGACAGCGCCAAGAGATATACCCACTTCCGACACGTGATTGGCTAGCGGAGCTTGAACATCGACCTCGCTGCTTTCACCTTCCCTCTCGACTCGCACTTCCAGTACAAACGAGACCGACTGCCTCCTCTCCGCCACCTTCAGAGCTCCTGCGACGGCGGTTCGCTCACGCACTCTGCCGATCGAGGCTCTGCACCACTCTGTCGACTCAGCTCCGCGCGCCTCGAACAGACCATCAATCAAGCAGTCCACATCCTAGGCCCCGCCGTACTCCCTCCTATACTCACCTGCGGCGCAATTTCGCTGCCGCTCATCTTCAATACTCGCCTACGGTGCTAGCTGAAAACCTTGCTGCGCTCGCCTGCACTGCGCACAACTAGCTGCCACACCCTCCCTCCACCCACCCTCAGCCACTCCCATATCCACAACAATGAGCGGCATCCCCCAAACGTTCTTCTCCTCCCCCCTCCGCTACATCCGATGGGCGTTCCACGAGAAGCCCGCGATCGCATGGTCGATGGTTCTGGGCGGGATGGGGCCTCCGTTGCTGTATGCGCTGCCGAAGGTGCGGAGGAGATTTGGGGATGAGGATCCGCCTGAGGTTCCGCATAGCTATCCTGGTGAGTACACACTTCTCTTTAGGGCTGTGGGAGGAGGCTGGATGTGCACGATGAACGGGGTTTGATAGGTGGGATGGGTCAAGGACACGAATCGTTGGATGCCAGGAACCCGTTGTGATGAAGCTCCTTGAGAGAGAGCGGCAGCATAGAGGCCGACGAATCTGGACGGCACCAAACTACAGGCGACGAAGGAAGGCGATCGAGGCGGGCGGGGAGCATGCATCCTCCGGCCTTGTAGTTGCTATGCTTTTCACTCTTACAAGAACTTATGCTAACAAATTTCTTCAACGAACAGTACCACGAGGACCGAGGAAGAAGCTTGATGGCTACGAGGACTGAGCTGCGAGCATGGAGGGTCAGAGGCAAGGAAACAGCAATGACGATGGCAGTCGAGACAGGCTGGAGGAAAGCTTTTTATGGTGTATGTATAGCAGCGCGGCAAGAGGTATTGCTCGAGACAAGGAGAGTGAGCTGCGACATCGCATCGGGGCTAGGGCACGACTACAGCACCACAGAAGGGCGGTTCATGATACAGTGTCAAAATAACCAGTTCAAAAGTATCATTTCAGCAAAGCCCGCCCAAGCTACCGTTTCCAATGAGTGACGAATCTCGATCAGTGTCTAACGAAACAGCTCCGATCAGCGCCGGACGTAATCCCTTCGACCCTGCTCACGAGGAGGACTCCATGCCTGAGCTACTTGCATTGCCGCCTGTCTCCGAATCTCAGATCAAGCTCAACATAACATGAGAAGTCTTTGACCAGCTCGTGCTCAATTAGTTGCTTTCGCCTGCTCAGAGCCCGCCCTGGATCTATTCCCTCAAGAACACCTCCATTTCGAGCACCCGTGTTACTCCAGCCCCATCTGCAACTCCAGCGCCTTTCTGGCAACATCTGCAGCCGCTTTCTCGGCATCTTTTTCAGCAACTGGGCCACCCAAAAAAGACCTCGCATGCATTGAAGGACTCCCCGGCGGAGTCGTTGTGGCCACAGCTGCATTCACATTTCCACTGCCAACACTTCCGCTTCCACCATCAGCGCCCCCAGGTCCGGTCGTTTTCTCCTTGGAGTTGGGCCTCTGAATCGTCCCCAGCGGCGCAGCAGTCTTCGCACGCTTGGTTCGTGGTGCTTCCGTCTGAGCTCGCTTTCTTTCAGCACTTGCGGCAGCACCATCAGTGTCCTCCTTGGCTGCCTTTTTGGTTGTCTTACGCTTTTTCTTCGGCGGCTCGGTCGTTTGTGCAGTTGAAGGCCCAGAGCCCGCCTCGGTGATGTCGATTGTGACCTTTGGTTTTCTGGTGTACTTGCGCTTCGGCTTGACTGGCAGAGTTGCAGCTTCGATTGCAGGCAGATCGGGCTGACCTGTGGAGGACTCTGCGGCTGTGGACTCATTGGCGTTGTTGGGAGCCTTGGTCTTGGGTTTGCGCTTGCGTCTAGGCTTACCTTCAATCTTGACCTCTGGTGATGAAGGCCTCCCTGCAACTCCGGCAACTCCAGGAGCGGATCCTTTTGGTTTGCTGCTGCCTGGTACCACTACCGATTCGATATCAGATTCTGGCGTCCGCTCAATATACTCCGCAGGAGGTGTCTGCATTGCCTCGTCCTTAATTTCCCATGGAAAGTCTCCTTTTTCGAGCTGCGTACAGGTGATGTAGCTGAGCTCCTTCGCCGGAATGTGCGTACGATTCACGACCAAGTCCTTCACGAAACCCCTCACTTCGTCCTTGATGTCCATCATCGCATTCTCCAGAATCGTGCACGCTTTCCGGCTCATCGGAAAGTACTCGTGATAAGTCATGAAGTCCTCATGCCTGAGATATGCGTCGCCTGATTTCCAAAGGTTGTGATAGAACTGATAGCCTCCATCAGGCCCGTGTCTGCTGTGACCTTCGAAGTACTGCTGCATCAACCAATGCCGGAAGAAGGACGAGGCCATCCACGGGTAGATCTCCTTAGCATACTCTTCTCTGCCTGGGTTGTTCTCAGGCTTGCGCCATGTGCATCGTGGATAGTGGCCGGCAATTCTGAGCTCGACCACTCGTTTGAACTGCTCACTGTAGTCGTGCTTTTTCTCAACGATGGCGCGAACATCAGGATCGAGGTTGTCTTTTGCGTACACGTCGATGTGTTTCCAGTTGCCAACGAGGTGAACGACGGCTTCACGGAATATGGACGGAGATTGTATGCGGGCGCCCAGACCAGCCCATGCGGCTGGGTTGGCATAGATAGAGCGCCAGAGGACTTTGTCTTGACGCATTAGAGAGAGGTCGACGATGTCGCGGATTCGCTCGACCGAGCCGATGGACTCAGCAACGTCGAGTAGACCGGAGCAGTCTTGTAGAAGGACGGCCATATTCTCATCATTAAATTTGATCTGAATGGCGTAGAAGGCACGGAAGAGGAGATCCCATTGACGAACGCTGTCTTCGTCTGCTAGTAGTCCATCGAGGTCTGTACGCTCAAAATTGCTGTGCTTCGGTTTGCCGTTCTCGGATAGCTCGCGCTGCTCAAGCCGGCCGAAGCTGTCACCTGTGAATGTCATGGTCAGCTCGAAGTGATACGAAGCTGCGCCCTCCCGACGTGCTTTTGCAGAGATGAAGGCGGGGTCTCTATCCAATTGCTCGGCAAAGAAGGTTGAGAACCGGGACAGCACTTGCGAGTGCAATTTGTAGGTCTTCATCGGGCTTAGGAGGACTGCGACGTCGCCGTCAGCGCAGGTAGGGAAGTCTGTCGCCATGGTCACGAAGAGACGAAGGTCAGTAAGGAGGGCTTCGTGGTCATGAGAGTGGGAGGAGTTGAAAAAATGCAATCAATCCGAGGTCGTGAAGGAAAATACTTTTGTAGGCCCAGGAGTGCTTCATTGAATTTTGTGGACATGAGGAACCGTTAGAAAGCGAGGCAGGTCAGAGAAGGAATTGAGATGAGCAGCAAGACAACGAAGGAGCGAGTGAAAAGACAATGTGAAGAGGACCAGTGAAGAAGGCAGGAGTGTATCAAACATTTGGTCGCAGGAGCGATCGAACCAGTGGTGCGCAAGCGGGTCCGGTACAGGTCCAGGAGTCCTTTGACGTGTTCCTGATTGAAGCCATTGAAAACACGATGATGCAGTTCCGAGGCAGGCGTTGATGTGGGTCGACCTTGAACACATTGTTTGGCGGTCAATAAATTAGCACGTCGCCTCTGCCGATGTGCTAGCTACGAGCCATTCCGGAGGAACCTGGAAGATGCTGCTACCCAGGAAGCGCTCCGAGAAATGGTGATGCTGGTTCTACGACTCGGTCTTCATCACTGCCAGGCTTTGTGGGATCAATCCGTAGTCGTCAGTTTCAAGCAAGGAAAGCGTAGTCGAATCGCATTTTGCCTAGTAGCTCCGTCCACGGTATGAGATCCTGAAGTGCCGTCCAGCAAAGACATGAAGCCTATTAGAAATCAAGCACGCACGACTTAACAGAGAACAGCATTGTGTAAAGTGATCACGACTTTCGAGTCCTGACGCACGGAGACGTGTACAACAAAAGTGGCCTGCCATCCTTATACTTGTCCTTATAAAACGATTCTGTTGCTTGAACACCGAGCTATGCAATTGTTGTCCTGAGCGGAAATGTACTCCTGCAAATGAGTCGTTGCATGCACCACAACACACCAAATCTTGAGATCCGACGATGGTTATGGCCATCCAGTAGGCGGGGTCAAATATTCGTAGGTCATCTCCGTCCAGTTGTGAGCAGCGAAGACGATCTGCTGAATCCACGGAATTTCATGAATTTCATCCAAGTCAGGTGACTAGACAGCAAGACCTTGCCGTCATGGTTCACTCCGTTGGACGTATACTGTAACGATTCAAGGGTAGTCGTCCGATTGCGCCCGTCTCTACCGGTGTCTTCTTCCCTGGTCGCCGTAGCCTCCTGCATCATATCCTCCCCGTACGATCTGCCCTGTTCTCGGATCTTGGTATGCGGTTAAAGGAGGTCCTGACGTGGCGGCGCTCCGTCCAGAGTAAGCTGGCTGGCTGTATCCTGACACGGGAACACGTCCTTGTGGTGGTGTATTGTTACCTCCATATCCTCTTGGCACCGTATCTTGGTATGCTCCGGAGGTCTGGCCAGAACCTAGAGCGTAGGCAGGATATGCCTCTTGCCCGTATCCGCTGGTGACAGGTGCCATATCATGCCTGGAAGATCCCATCCGTGGGTCGCCTCTGACATCTGCGAATCGCGAGTCTCTGAGGTCTCTGGGGTCTGCTCTCGGGTCACGAAGGTCCCGGACATCGCGAGGATCACGAGTGCTTGTTCGCGGATCCATTCTAGGATCCATGCCAGTGTCCATTCGTGTATCCATTCGTGTGTCCATTCTCGGATCCATCCGGGAATCCAGTCTTGTGTCCATCCTGGGGTCCATTCGATTATCCAATCTCGAATCCATGCGGGGATCTATTCGAGGATCGCGACGGGATTCTTGTACACGCGGGTCATCCATTCGAGCATCCATACGCGAGTCCATTGCGTAGCGAGAGTCCATACGTGGGTCCATGCGCGGATCCATGCGTGGATCACGGCGTGAATCTAAACGAGGGTCCATGCGAGGGTCAGCATGACGGTCTCGAGAAGGTTGATCGTAGTCGTCGACATCCATGGACATATCAGTATCAGCATCTGGCCGTCCTCGAAGGTTGGATGATCCGGTCGTGTGTTCCGCAGCATAGTTCGCATAGGATCCTGCACCCAAATGAGAATGGTTAGAGCTGGGGTTGAATTCAGGCGTACCCGTGCTCCGCCCTGACCTCTGTTTTCGTTCTTGATCTTTACGGAATTTGGCAGTATCTGTTTTCAGATCTTCTATCATTGCCTGTGATAGTCAGTATATCAAAGGAGGCGGAAGTACTCAAGCCTTCTTGCACATACGCTTGTGAGAGCCCGGTAAGCTCGAACAAGGAAGCCAGTACGGCCATCCTTGTTCTGATATGGACTGCGGAAGCGTCAGTAGATGAGCGACGTGTGGGCACGTGGGATCCGCGAGCTAGTGGACAGCATACCGCACAGTAGCATCGTTGCCGAGATAACGACAGATCTCGTGCTGGATGACCTCACGGTCGCTATATGAGAGATCAGCAAAACCCTGGTCCATCGATGGCGACGACCTACATTCCAGTCCCAGGTACGAAGTAGTCATTGTACTTTGCCGGCTTTGGGTCTTCTGCGTATCGATCGCGGGAATCGCCTGTGTCACGAGCATAGTCTGTTCTCCTGGAGGGCTGCCTATCCATATCATGATCCATTGAGTCATCCATGGTTGTGGCACGTCCTGATCCTCTGGAGTAATTGGTATCCTCTTCCTGGCGCACCTCAACGAGTTTTCCGGTACGTGGATCAGTAACGTATCTGGGTTGTCCTGCTGTACGGGAATCCGAGGAAGCACTGGTATGACGGTCTGACCGAGGCTCTAGCCTAGCAGCGGCGTTGGCACCTCTGGGATCACCGAGCCTCTAGGGGCAGCCATTCTTGGGTCGACGATGTCCATATCGTCAGCACGTGCAGAAACGCGAGAGTCGTCAGTAACTCTTGTTCTTTCTCTTGCGTCGCCTCTATCACGGGTACTGTGGCGGTCTTCCCTGGGATCTCTTCGGCCGGACACTTCTCGCCGGGCGTAGTCGTCCTCGTAGGTAGTGCGCCGCGACATGGCTGCACCGAGTTATAAGGGACAATTCACGTCGTGGTTAGCGCGGTTGGGCAGCGACTCGACTGGCGCACAAATGGCGGGACCAGTGAGTGGCCGGGTCCGTTATGGAAAGCAGAAAGAGTGGCCTGTGTACCTGAATGGGTTCCAGTAGATGCTGTGCTGGGAGATCCTTTGCAGAATCTGCTTGCGTGGCCAAACGTGACTTGTCCTTGTGGGTATTACAATCCAGGGATAAGCTTGACAGCAGGCGGGCAGATGATGGCTAGGGGCAAGCGATGAAGAGCAGGAAGTGGTGAGTGGTGAAGGAGGGAAAGCGGGCGCAGGTGATGAGCGGTAATGCGACGCAAGTGTCCAGTCGGGTTGGGCCTGTCTGGTTGGGCTGAAAGACGTTGCAAAGTGGGAGGCCAAGGTGGGAGTTGAGCTAAGCGAGCGAATTGATGAGAGCTTTGCCTGTCCAATGACGTCCAGGCGCAGCCACACCTTGCTATAACTCTCGCTTGATAAGGACGATGACCTATGTCGAACTCTAGGTACGTACAGATGCACGGTAGAACTTGAGTAAGAGAAGAACATGTGCGGAAAGGGAACAGCAGCGAGCCCAGAAGAAGACCTGGTGGGGGTTGGAAAATTGGAAGGGGTGGGGACCCAACGCTGCAAGCCCGACTCACGTTCTTGCTGTCCGTGTCACCAATGCTGTACATGCTTCAAGCTCTCTGACTGACAGGTCACTAAAGTGTCTTGGGCAATACTGCGGATGATAGCGCGTGCAATCTCAATTCATCTTACGCAGTGCAAGAGCCGAATGAGTCAAACGAGACGCGTTTCGCGACTCCAGCACGGAGGCCGCTTTGATGAAGCATCGCTAGTAGGTGAAGCTGACCTGACCTGGAGAGGGTTGATCAGCGGCGCCGCCGTGACGACCACGCGAATAGATCTCCCTAGAGTTCACGAGCCAGATCTGACACAGTACAGATCAGTTGCCGCCGCCTCGCCGCTAAGCGGCATCTTGCATGCAAGCCGAGAGAGGATTGACTTGTGACAGGTTGGAGACAGCGGCCCGTTGGGCAGCAAACAACCTCAGCAGCGAATCCGGTACCAGCAATCAGACTGACCGCAAAACTTTGCCAGCTAATTTAGCTGGAAGTATTCCATACGTGTCAGATTACATCTCAAGCAAATACAACTGCGAAGGATCATGCTTGCAGCGCTCGCTTGCGCGGGGCTTCAGTGCTTCAAGAGCTGATGTGTACATTACACAACGTCGGAGCCACACCGTCCCACCAACTCCTGTTCCACTTTGAGCTGGTTGGAGAGATGTACCTCTTTACAGTGCTTCATGGACTCTGGCAGCGCTGATCGACCACTGGGACTACAGCGCTGATGTACAGCTTCGCCGTGCTGCATCGACTCTCGAAGCGCAAATCGGCCATTAAAATCACAGGTTCGATGCGCTGCCGACTGCAGCGATACGAAAATTGATGCGAGGAAAATGTAGGCGAACCTCTTTGCCGGAAACATCGACGGCGATGACGACCTCATCTTCGTTGAGACCAACCAGTGCTCCACGGTCACGATGGCCAAACCCGGAATCCGTCGGCCAGATCTCTACCTCCTGTCCTTTCTGCAGTTTCAGAGGATCTGATTCATCCACGCCAATGTCCTGATCTGCAAAGCTAGCGTCCAGCACACGCTTAGCAGCTGCATCACCCTTCAACGATGCTGGCTTTGCGTTCTTCGCCTTGGCTGCCTTGACCGCTTTGTCGAAGCGTTCGATCCATGCGAAGACCTTCGGGAACTGCTTAGCAGAGATCATCTCACCCGGAAGTGCCCCTTTTAGATCTCGCATCCAATGGAACACCCAGACCCCTTCGATGTCGGCCAGGCTAGGCTCTTTCGTCCCCAGGATGTAGTCACGACCATCTTCCAGAATCGTAGACTCCATGAACCTGAAGTAATTCCTCATCGCCGCCACCGCCTCAGGCCGATTCCTATCAACAGCCTCCTTGGACCAAGGCCGACCAGAGAACTCCTCCCGATCCTTCTGAAACTTCTTATCCTTCGACAGAGGCCCATCCGACGGGATCAATGCTGCACCTCTCCCAAACACCCCGGCCTCGATCTGCCAGATCTCCAGCAGCTTCTCAATCCCACGGGAATGCGGCACTGACGATCCCAACTTACCCTGCGGGAACATCTGCTCCAGCTTCTGGATTATGATGCGGGAGTCGCAATACACGTCACGACCAATGGCGCAGACCGGGATGCGCCTGTAGTTCACACCAATTGCTTTCAGGTCGGGCCGCGGCATGACAGGCGGCTGTCGACATTCTGCATAGTCGATTCCTCGCAAGGCAAGATACCAGACTACTCGTCGCGCAAAGGGTGAGTAGCTATAGTGGTATAGTATGATTCCGTTATTGGGAGGGTTCGCCATGACTTGAGGAGCTTTCTGAGCTCGGGGACCTCGCGATGCTGTCGTTTCGGCTTCTCTGCGACTGACGTGGCGGCTGGCGTTGATCGCTCACAGTGGTCAATCAACAGGGAAGTATATGAAAGAAGAGGTATCAAATGTCGAGCTTGATGAACCTGGTGCCGAGAGCGTATACGTCAAAGGACCGAGGTAGGTTTGGTCGACCAATCACAGTCGACCCCTTGCAATAATCTACTCGTGCAGGTCACTCGAGTCATTTACCACGCCGGTGCCTTCAAGTTCGCAGACCGTCACTCGTCCTCTGCTTTTTGGAACTCCTCCGGGACTGCAAACATTATAACAATCACTCAGATGCCTATGTAAAGATCATCCCATCGTTTAGCGGACATTATCGTCCGTTGGTTGCTCCTGAACGCCATCTATATGTCGCTGGAATGACTGACTAGCTACTCCAAGTAGGGAGCATGACCGACGCCCTCCGTCAGAGCCTTCAATCGTAGCGCCAGCAGCTTCGAATGGTACCGCGTCATAGGCAAGTACCCGATCATGAACCACAGATTAGGAACTCCAGACTGTCGATATGCGGTTCGCAGCTCTCCCTCCTCATCAACGCCCCAGATCGGCCCGCACCCAGCTGCGATCTCTTCACCCAGGGTGGCGCGCACAGAGTCGATGACGTTCGAAAAGCCAGTCGCGAAGACAACGAGGTCGAAATCTCGTTCTCTCCCACCAGACAGAATAACCTTGTCCTCTGTGAACCGCTCAATAGAACCCTGCTCGACCTTGATATTACCCTTGATGACCTGCTCACATGCGCCAGCTTCGAAGTAAAATCCACCATTGCGCGTCGAGCCAAGTGTGGCATTTCCAGTACCACGCTGACCGCGAAAGGTCTTCAACCCTCGAGCATTGAGACCATCAAGCAAAGGACGGTCTAGATCCTCCAGGGTCTTGGCAGTGCGCCGCGCAAGCTCCTCGCCTGGACCGGTAGGCATGGCGAACATGAGACGATCCAGCTCCTCGTGACTGCGTCGCTTTCCGTGGTTGTCGGGTGCATAGTTTCCGATCATTCTGGGGACCGAATGCTCGAGGGACATGATGTAGGTCGGTGAGCGCTGGAGAAGGGTCACATCGATGCCTAACCTGGCGCATTCGTAGGCGGTGTCGAATCCAGAGGAAGACGTGCCAACCACACAGACCTTCTTGAAGCCACGCGAGGAGTCGTGTGCGGTTGAGTGCCGAATAGTGCCTTTGAAATCAGCCATGCCTGGGACCACAGGAGTTGTCGGAACTCCACAGAGAGAGGTGGCCATGACCAGGTGCTTCGGATGGAGAGTTCGCTGCTCCTTTCCATCTTTGTTGATGACCACAGTCCATTGTCCGTTGGTCTGTTCCGCTTTTACCACTGTGGACTTACACCACACGTTGAGCTCGAGAGCTGAGGCGTACCACTCCATGTATTTTCCCTGCTTCTGGGCAGGAGTGTATGTCGGCCAGTGTTTGGGGTAGGTGAAGTAGGGCAGGTCATCTGCCCAGTGGGGAAAGTGTAGTGAGAGGTACTCGTAGCGCTTCTTCCAGACGTCCCCTATCTCTTCATTTCGCTCGATAATGAGACTGTCCAAGCCAAGAGCCTGGCAACGAGCTGCAAGAGCAAGGCCACTGCCAGATTGAGTCAGTCTGGTTCTGGCTCGGGTAGTTGATAGTCAAGCTGGGCATGGACTTACTTCTGCCCACCACCTATGATGAGAACTTCGGGGCTAGCAGCATCGATCGTCTGCGCCCGTTCCTTCTCCCAGCTCTGGAGGCCGATCATATGGCCATCTCTGGGCGCCTTCTCTGGGAATTGCTTGAGCTCTTCCGCAACGGAATGCATCGTGTAGATCCTCCAGCCATCTTTAGTCATTACGGCATTGATGACCGCAGACGCGACGGCCAGCTCCGTCTCGAAGGACACGACAAATTGGAGCTGGCAATAGTCCTCGTAAGGGCGCGAAATCTGCGGTGCAGGGGCGAGGAACTCAAAGTTGCTCGCAGTCGTCCGTGCGAAAAGATCAGTCGCGGCTTTCAAAATTGCTGGTTGGAAGTTGAAAGTGCGATAGTCCCAGGTGAAGGAAAGCTTGTCGCGCCAGACACCTGTCCCGGTCAGAATCGTACTGAAGATATTGTCGTGAAAGCCGCTTACCAAATTCCCAGAATAAGTTCGCAAAGCCAGCGGCATCCCGCCTTCCCATCACCTCAGAGAGACTCGAGACAATGCTTTCAGCTGCTTCCCGAGCGTCACAGTCGGACGGAACACTCACTCCAAGTACGTCCGAGGTCGGCAGACCATGGTTGTACTTGAAGTCATACATAAAATCATCTTTGACGACGACGGGTGTTGGCTCGATCTCGACTGTTTTGGCGACGACTTTCGTTTTCAGATCGGTGTAATCGACCTCGCCGTAGACGGCAGGGGCTGAGATAGCGATGGGAGACATCTTGGAGGTGTGGTGATGGTCAAGGAACGCTATACACTGAGCAGGACCACGGGCTGGCGGGATCCTGCGTGGTCACATAATATAGACAGCCAGACATCTTTTGATATTGCTCAAAGGGCATTGTAACCGCTGCCATGCGAACAACGATCGTCTGCGAGCTCAAAATGTTTCAATGTCGAATTGCTAGATTGGGACCGGAACTGTAAGAGGGAACATTCACCGAAGATGCTGGAGCTGGTCGTTGGGGAACCCGAGTCATCCGGTCGGCCAAGAGTACATGGTCGGTGGGCAGGTCTTTCCGTGATTATCTTCCGTATTCGATGGTCATGTGCTTCTAGAAGCCTGCAGTGCTGGTTCCCAATTTTAACTTGGAAGCTTGCATTACGACATGCAAGACTTCAGGCCTATTGGTGTGTGGCCTGTGGCGAGGGACTTCGACTCGACTTCGCAGGCGATGTGGAGATTCCCAACCTCGACCGTGCATCCGTGATCCAGGCTTTGCGTTTGCGGACGCAGCTGACAGGCCACCGCAGCACCCATCTGTGTGGCGTGCAGCCTCCTACTTCGTTCGCCAGGACCAGCCGAATCGATGAAGTTTTTCTCCAGACTCGGCGAACTCCCCCGATGAAGCTAAACTCTACTGCCCAGAATGAGGGGTGGTCAAGAGAAGTTCCGGGCTGGGGCAAGACCACGCTGGTGAGCTCGGAATAACTTGCTGTCCTCATACATCGCCCGAGTTCACGGTAGCAGTGATCTATTGCGACCGATCTGATGCTATGCGCACCAAGACCGGCTGGTCAGTCGAAACACTCCCCTCTAGAATACCGCGCTGACATGAGCGTGCCAATAGCCAGCCGTGTCGAGAGCGCCATGTGAAATGTAAGGCTTGATCGTCCTGGTCCGACAATGCTCATGAGATGCAGGTGTCAAAGTCGCCGGCTCCGAGAGCTGCCAACGATGTGCTCAGACTAAACGCCTCTGTGATTCTGACCCGCCCTTGGAATTTCGGCCCCTAAAGTCCTTTCATTTCAAAACACCTGGTGGACGAAAGGTTCGGCAGGATCTGAAGAACGCTCCGAAGCAAGTATGGGTTGATGTTCCTGCCGACAGTAGGTCCCCTGCGAACCTCAGCATCCGCTGGATACTGATCATGCTGCCTCAGTCCGCTTCCTCGCCGACGACTTCAGCTGTGACATAGATTCCAATCAGCGCAAACAGACTGATCAAGGTCAGCAATCCGATGAAGAACCGGACCATGGCGATTCTGCTGATGACGGGCTGGATGAGATTCTGGGTCAGGGTCAGGAAGCAGGACTGGAGGAACTAGATGAACATGATAATGAGCACGACCAAGAACCACAACATGTTGCGATGAGTGACGATCGGGACGCCATCACGCGAAGAATCACTAATTCGACTATCACAAGTGCGAGTCTCGCTCATCAGTCGAACAGCCAGACGACATCTCATCCCCTGCAAGACCAGACCAACCTGACCTACGATTCATGGTCATCGGTACAGGAATCTCCTTTTGCAGCTCCGAATGCTTCAAAAGCACTACCGAATCATACTGCTCTGTCTCAATATTCAGGCTCGACGCCTTTGCCTGTCCAGTACTCGCCTGTTGACTCTGCAGGAAGAGCATTCAATCTTCAGGGGTCTCCCGCTTCCTTCAGAGCACACTCAAGCATATTATCCCCTTCGTCGGCACCAGTGTTGTGGCCATTTCGCAACCGCCGTGAGGCACATTTGATGCACCACTACATCGTCAACCTTGCTGCTCAGGTATTCATGGAGGTCTATCGTTGTCATTCATGCCACTGATTCTCTCTAGTTCGACGCGTGCGACAATCTCAAGCACTTCTCTAAAGATGTGCCCCAGCGGGCTGCACGCAATCCCATCATCATGAACGCCATCTTCGCCCTCTCTGCCCGACGCATGAGTATTCTCTCTGGCAAGGAGGATCGTGAGTCACATCAATACGTTGATGAGTGCCTGCGGGATCTCATCCCAGCACTCGAAGACCCTCTCAGCCATCTCGACGAGAACCTTCTGGCTGCGGTGATATTGCTGAGAACACACGAAGAAATGTCTGGTGGGTTCAGCATCCCTGCCACGGCCATGCATGCTAGAGATGCTGACAGCTCTAGACAACGATGAACTGTGTCATCTGCGTGGAGTGACTCGAATCCTGAACTCTATCGCTTCGTTCGCTGCGGATGGCGGTCTTCGCGAATCGGCAAGCTGGATCTCGCTGCGACAGCATATCTATGTTGCACTGACATCACGACACCCACTCACCATCAATCTAACGAACTATCGTCACTCGAGTGTATTCCAAAGATCAGACGACGAGGCTTGGGCCAACCGAATAATCTTCGTGTTCGCGAGCACTTTGACGCATGTCTTCAAACCCGAAGGAGAACATCTCTCGCTCGGCGAATGGGACGAGTTAGAAGCTCAAATCACAAGCTGGAATTCTGCGAAGCCGTGGCACTTCTCGCCTTTCTTTGTGGACTCCTTGAGCCAACCTGTGACTTCACCAGAGCCGAAGTCGAGTTCCTGGCCTGAGGCTTTGGTCTCAAATGCAGCACAAGGTCAGCAAAACATTCAACCCTGATCCACTGTGAATCACGTACTAACCATCCGATATGTAGTCGTTGGACTTCAGCACTACTACCTAGCCAGGATCGTTCTAGCAATTTACGATCCACGACTTTCGAGGCTGGGATTCGAGTCTTATAGACTTAGGAGGTCTCTAGAGGTATGACTAGTCGATGCAGGCTACATCCAACCCTGTTCAATGCTGACGCCACCTCTCTGTAGGATGCCGTCCGAACTAACCTGCGCATGGTCGTCGGGTTGGCGACCAGCAACAATCACGTCCTAACGGGCATGTTTCATGCTTCGCACGCTCTATCGGCATGTAAGTCTTGTTGAGCTCGGCCATCAGATACGTGTGAAACATTCGGACTGACGAGATTGAACAGGTGGGATGTACTTGACAGACCCACAGGAACAAGAAGCAGCTGTAGAATTCCTTCTATCGATGGAGACAAGGGAAGGCTGGCGGACGCAGCATATCATCAGCAATCTGAAAGCTCAGTGGTTGCTCTGAAAAGTACTTCTCGTTGATGGCATGGTCTGATGTAATTGGCTTGAGGGTCACAAATGCAGAAACCATGTCTCATGTCCGCAAGACCCTCAGTTGCCGCCTTCACGAGTGCCTTCCTTTTGAACTTCGTCAGACTCGAGGTCGAAGACGGACGTGATTTTATCCGCCAATGCCACGTGATCGAGGTAGTGCTTGGCAAAACTCTAGAATCTGCAGGTGGAGTGCTCCGCCATTCATTTCCACTCTCAAACCTGTAACCACACTTCGCACACGGACGTGATAAGCACTTTACGACTACAGAGCTGGAATGAACTGCATCACCAATCTTCTATCGCTGTGGGGTAAGGTGACGTGCGTGCCTGAGAAGTGTATCGAGAAGACGCGTGCGAAAACCTCCGATGTATGCCTTTTTGACCCATATGATACTCCAGCCGGTAGACTGGAAGCTACCTACTGTGTACGTAGCTCTAAGCTCTTGAGCTAGACCTGATGCTGGTGTCGAAACCTAGCCAGTCCGCGTGGGTTTCTGTCATCCGGGACAGGGAACACTGTCGCCTTAGCAATCATTTCCGGCGCATAGTTAATCTCCAAGGTTGGTTCTGCTGAGTGAAACAGGAATCATACTCCGCGACTCCCCGCCACGGTGCAAACCGGGCGGCCGGGCCCCAGATGGGCCCCCGCACGGAGAACTCTTGCACGATAGCTGTCACTACATCGAGATCACGCGTGCACAGCTTCAGTTCGAAAAGTATAAGACCATCGACGCATCTCGCCATGGAATGCCGACAGATTCACCATCTGCAAGAGGATTCCAACATCACTGATCTTGACGTGCTCTGCAGTAACGCTCCCGCACATTGATCTTGTGTCAGCAATCGTGGTTCAGAGGCTTACTGCTGGGCACATACGAAATATTTCTTCAACAACCACAGGACAAGCCCATTATGACGGCCGAAAAACAAATGCCGTACGACAACGTCGTCCACGCTGAGGCGACGCCTTCGGATGATGGCGTCATCACCAAGCGCACAGGCTCCCTCGATAATGCCAACCTCATGAATGAGGCTTACGTTGGGGAGAACCGCGAACATGAGCAGACCGTGTGGCAAGCCATCAAAGCACAGCCGTTGGCGTGCCTCTTCGCCATCGGAATGTGCTTCACTATTGTAAGAGACAAGCACTATTAGGTCATGAAAACCAGCTTACAGATCAAGGTCATGGAATGCTACGACATGGTCTTGAACGGAAACTTCGTTGCGCTCAGGCCTTTTCAGGAAAGGTACGGCGTTCCGGTCGGATTAAAGGATGGGGTCATGCAGTACGCAATCGAAACGAAGTGGCAAAGTGCACTTTTCCAGAGTGGACAGTGCGGCGCTCTTATCGGTGTTCTGATTGCCGGTCCCATCACCAACCGAATTGGGTATCGATGGTCTACCATCGCTGGCTTGATCATGATGAACGCAACAATCTTCATCTGTTTCTTCGCAGAATCGCTGGCTGTGTTGACGGTCGGACAGCTCTTTGAAGGTATACCATGGGTAAGTCATCGGTTTCGATTCAATGATGGTCACTTATGGTGCTAGGGTATTTTTATCGCAAACTCTCCTGCCTATGCGAGTGAGATCGCGCCGCTCGCTCTGAGAGGAGCAATCACCGCTACACTACAGTTGGCTTGGTCTGTGGGCGGCGTAATTGTGGCTGGTACGACTTATGCCAGCAACCAGATTACCGATGAAAAGTCTTGGAAGATTCGTAAGCTGGTGGTCCATAAGTCATTGTCGAATGTGGTGCTAACTTCAAGTAGCCCTCGCAATCCAATGGGTCTTCCCTACCCCGCTATTGATTCTGATGCTCTTTGCACCTGAATCGCCATGGTGAGTCTCATTCACACCTCCGAATACAATCATGTTAACATATAACAGGTGGCTCGCGCGAAAGGGTCGCAAGGCCGAAGCTATGAAAGCGCTCGAACGCCTCGGCGACGGCAATGCTCTACACACACAACAAGCTCTCGCTGTCATCGAGCGTACCATTGAAATCGAGGAATCACACGGAACCAAAGCAAGATTCCTCGATCTCTTCAAGGGAACAGATCTTCGACGAACCCTCATCTGCTGCGGAGCCTATGCTTCCCAGAATTTCGCGGGTAATCTCATTGCCAATCAGGCGGTCTTCTTCTTCGAACGTAAGTACGCTCCATATCACCAACTCACCACCACTAACCCAGAGCAGAGGCGGGTATCAGCCACGACAAGGCTTTTGAGCTCAATCTGATCAACTCTTGTCTTGCAATCATCGCCAACTTGGCAGCACTGTTCTTGACCAATTGGTTCGGTCGACGTACCATCTACCTCTGGGGCACCGCAACCAACATTGTGTTCCTGATGATTCTAGGCGTCGCTGCAAGCATTCCCCAGTCCCAGGCAACCAACTATACACAAGCCATCCTCGGAATATTGATCTCATTTGTGTATGCTGGAGCGATGGGACCAACCACCTACACTATCATTGCCGAGACATCATCACTCAAGCTACGAGCCCTGAGTACCGGAATCGGTCGAGCGGCATACTACATCTGCGAGATTCCAATGATCTATCTCGCCAGTCAGCTTCTCAACACCACAGGTTGGAACGTCGCTGGAAAATGCGGCTATGTCTGGGGTAGCACTGCCCTTGTCTGCTGGGTAATTGGATATTTCTTCCTGCCAGAGATGAAGGATCGTTCGTACAGAGAACTCGACATTCTGTTCAACAGGAAAGTACCTGCAAGAGCTTTCAAAAAGACGGTCATCGATGTCAAGGACAACGAGTAAGAGGGAGAGACTACGCAAGACATAAGGATCATGAAAAGACAAGGCCGCGTACAAGATTGTTGGACGACGAATGAGACTTATTTTGTGCTTCATAGCTCAGTACATGATTCTATCTTTTTCTGTCTCAGAAACGATGTGTAGAGTGTATGAGTGCAATTCATAACCGCAACCTTTTGCTCGTCATACAATTCGACCATTTCTGCAATTGGCAATCTTAAGAAATGGCTCATTCCAGTGGGCTAGCCATTCAGCTTGATTGAATGCACGAGGTTTGCGCGGAGAAGCTCAAGGAGGTCTTAAGTAGGACATGATAGTGCATGCCGACATACCCAGGTAAGTTGAGTTAGCAGACTAAGCGATCAGATGTCGTTCTTTTTACTCCCCTCAACACTGCGAACTTGCGTTGCTAGTTTCTCGGACGAGAATAAATACCAAGGCAAGTTCTGAATTCCAAGATTGTTTGTTCGAACTTGATAACAAGGCAAAGGTCGCCTCCTGATGTATTTCGTCAAGTGACCGCTGATTGCTTTAAAAAATGTCTAAGGCTCCCCTGTATACGGGTTGAGAAACATCGCAGATCTATGATAAACGCCGTCCACTCTCATCAAACTCGATCTTCTTCCCTGACCGCAGACTGTCCTGGAGAGCCTTAGCAATGCTCAAACTCGTGACACATGACCGCATCGGTACCGGCAGCGGTCTCTCCTGGAGAATCGCGTCGGCGAACTGGACCACCTCTTCCACGAAGCTCTCCTTGTACTTATCGGCCCATCCGGGCATGGCTTCGATATGGATTCCATTGCCATCGGAAACTTCCACCCGATTGCGCTTCGACACCAGATTAACAGAAATCTTGCCTTTCGTGCCAAAGACCTCAGTCTGGTTATCGTACCCAGCAGCAGCAGTCCGCGAATTATAGTGAAACGAGATCTGCCCGCCCCAGAACTGAATGATCCCGACGGCGTTGTCGGCATCGCCAAGCTTCTCGAGCTCCTTGAAATGGACTGAGCTGCCAAGTGCACATACGGATCGCGGGATAGGCGTCTGGCCGTCGGCCTCAAGGAATGCCAGGGAAAGGTCGATGTCGTGGATGAAGGAGTCGAGAAAGAAGCCGGATACCTTGCCGGCACCAAGCAGGTATGTGCGGTTGAAGTCGGAAAGGTCGAGTTTCTCGCATCCTTGGGATCTGATCACCACTGGAGAGCCGATGGCGTCTTCGCGGACTTTTCGGAGTGCTTCGAGGTAGTCGTCGTCGAATCTTCGCGTGAAGCCGCACATGATTTTGGTGTTGGAGGCTTCGGCGACTGTGATCAGGTCCTCGATTTCTTCGGCGGACTGAGATATGGGCTTTTCGCATAGAACGTGAATGCCACGCTGTAGGCAGGGTTTTGAGTGCTCGTAGTGCAGGTTGTTGCTGGATGATATGATTACTGCGTCTAGGCCGGGGGTGTTGATCATTTCCTCGAATGAGGCGTACACGGCAACGCCATGGGGCACTAGATTGGTCTCTGCCCAGATGAGATCTTGTGGTGCCGGTGAGCATGCACAGATGAGTTTGGCTCGGGGGACTCGGTTGAGGATGTTGAGGGCGTGTTGCTGGCCCATCCTGCCGATGCCTACGACACCGATGTTGAGGACCTGTTTGCTGTTGCCTTTGCTGTGACCATTGATGTAGCCATTGCTACGACTGTCCGTCTCGCCAGCCGTCAGTGGTGGTGTGACGATTCCCGTGTTCTCCTGAATATATGGTGCCATGGTCTCGTTAGAGTATTCCGACGAAGGTGGTGAAGTGGTGAGCTTGAATTCGTGATATTGCTGTTCTACAGTCTTCAGCACCGTGTGACAGGTTGTGCACAGATCGTACTTAAGTCGAAATGGTGATTTTCCGTCCTGTACTGAGTGAGTACTATGAAATTCCCTATTTCGGAAGCCGGAGAATGATACTTTTGCTCAAGTCTTACGGGATCCACCCACCCCGGTCGTCCCCGTAGCACATCTCCTTGCCAGAGACTTACTCCGACTGTGGAGCTGGAACTCTCGCCTGAATTCGGGACGATGTGTGCTTCTAGAAGGTTGAAGTCAGCTATAGCCTCAGACTTGGGGTCACATTTCACCGCTGGGCAACACGCGTTGTATAGACAGGGGCTAAGCGTGGTCCTTTCCAGACCGGCGAATGGTAATCTCCGAAATTCGCACCCACAGCCACGAATGAAGGAACATCTCAGATACTCGGTTTCGCGGTATGTAATAGCCAATTTTTATGACTTATCCTGATCCCACCGCAGCGCTCTGAGCCGGACGTATATCATTATTCCTCAGAACAAAGCAAGAGCGTTTGGTGGAGAGCCAACACAGCCTGCCACGTTCAACGGAGCGCTTGTTAACAAGAAAGAGTAGCGACCAAGCTTCTTGCACGTTTGTCCAAGAGCCCTCAGGTCCCACAGTTCTCCGATATTGAGGCCGAAAAGAGCAAGAAAGTAAGGATGCAGCACTGCAATGCGTCAGTCGGATTCTCAGCCAAGTGCAGAGGTTGAGGACTCGTGGACGAGGCAACGTACCCATTTCATCAATACCAGCTATGCTTCCATCTGCTCTCCGAGGTGGCAGAGCCTCAAAGGCCATCGCATCTCCGGCAACAGCAGCAAAATGCCTGTTCCAGAACCACTTTGCAGCCTCTACTGTGTTGTCCACGCCCACAGCCTTCCCTTGCTTGAAGATCTCAGGATGCCGCTCGGCACCAGCCTCGTCGAGGGCTTCCGTGTAACCCGTCTTCAGCAAAAGAATATCGCCGTGCTTGAACTCGGTACCTTGATGTGCGGCAATCGCTTCCAACTCTTCAATGCTGATTCGATGGTCTGAGAAGCAGTCGTACTTGATGCCCTTTGCTGCAGCATACTCTTGGTAGTCAAGCAGGACACCACGGCCGACTAGACCTCCCCGTTTATGCCAGTGTTGTAGTGTGGGCAAATCGCCACTTTTGTCCTCCTGACCGGCTGATTGCTCGAGCGATGTGACTGTTGGTTGGCAGCCATTGTAGCCCGTCGCAGTAGGCTGATGATGGTAATGCACAAGGCTGTCCCATTGCGAGGAGCATTGAGTGTTGTACTCTACCTCGTCGTCGAAGACATGAATATTGTCCGGCCGAGTCTTTTCGGATATCACCTTGTGAACAAGCGCTTTCTAAAATCGGTCAGAAGGCTGTCGTAAACGAGAATGCTTGGTGACACAAAAGGAGATCCAGTATATGAACCGCCACCATAGACGCAGACTCGCAGAATATAGAATTCTATTGACTGGGTTGAAGGCATGATAGCTGATGTCTACCTTGAGGCTAGACTTACACGACCGAATGCCGGCTGGGGTATGGCGTTCATCTCCCAGTTCAGTGACACCGAGACACCCTCCCTCGCCTCTTCCATAGCTCTCGCAACGACAGCCGGAGTAAGCAGATTCAGACAGCCAAGATGATCCTTCTTGCCATTTTTGTCGAAGATGCCCCATGCGCACCCTTGAGGCATGCCCTCAACCGGCGGCAAGGAGTCAAAGTCGGGAAGATCTGTATAGTCATTCATGGTGTTGAGCTCACAAATCTGGTTGGAAACTGCACAGGATCTGGCTGCGCATAGACTTGAGAACGAGTTCAAGATTGTACGGAGGATGACGCTGCAGTTGCTGCAACGCTTGCTTCCCTGAACTCATCATGATCCTCAGAGGAAGATGCAGTAGCCACGTTTTCGTGACGCCGCATTGCGTACCGCAAATCTAGCCAGATCGGCGACCGACGCCGTGTCTGCGCAAGCTCGACGTGTCGAAGATTGAGAGTCTGGGTGTTGTGACGTGTTCGGAATTCAACACTTCTTTGAGATCGTAGCGCGTCGAAATAAGGTTCGATCGTCCCCACAGCGTTCCCAGTTTCTGGGAAGAGCTCTCAATCAGGAGTCTTTCCCCGGGTCACAAACTTCCAGGTACGCACATTCCGAACTTGCAAGTGGGTAAAACGGCCCCAGAATATGGGGATTCTGCGGAGAGTCACGGCGACATTCGGCGGCAGCGGCTCATGAAGTGAGATACATCGTACTGTGAACGCGGGTAAGTACTTCCTATCTGTGTATACCTAATAGTCCACTTTCAGCCTCAATCACGGATTGCATAAGCCACAAGATCTCGCAATTTGAAAACCTCCTTCTCCGTACCCGGCAGAGCTCGTTCCGTGATAGTGGGAGTCCACGTTGGATTAGCATACAGAAATGAACTCTTGTCCGCAAACAGCATGCCCAGAATCGTCTCCGCCACGATCCTGCCACCCACGTGACCCAGTTTCGGGCTTCTGACATTGACGATCCCCTTGTCTGAAGTAGCGACGGGATTCTCTTTGGTATATAGGGCGGCTTCGGCGAGGATGTACGTCCAGAGCGGCGTGTTGTCCTTGAAAATAGCGAGTTCCGGTATTTCGCTGATGGACTTCAATTTGTTTTTGGGATTGGGTTCGGCTTCGGTGGGGATGGCATCGTCCTCGCTTTGCCAATAAGAATCTGGTCGGAGGTGAGTGGATCTATACCCATTGCACGCGCGACGGCCTGGCCGCTGGGGAGACCGAGGAGGTAGCCGCGCAGGAGGTTGCGGTGCGGGAGGGATTGGGGCTGTCTTCAGCGACGACTTTCGGGAGGGTAGACAACGGCTTCACGACGGAAACGTCAATGCGATAGGCCAGTTGCAGGCGTTTCTTGCGCTCGGCTTCATTCGCTTCTGCTTTCCCGGCTGGGCGCAGCTCGATGTCGATGAAGCGCGCCCAATCAATGGCGCGATCGGCTTCAATCTTGCGGAATCCTGTCAGGCCAAAATTCGAGTCCGGTGAAGTGTCACTAAGGTCCGGGAAGATGGAGAAGGGCAAGGCGTCGTCGTCGTTCATGCGATAGCCAGGGCGGACCATCGAATGGCCCAAGCGGTACGCTGCGGCGGAGTACTCTACCGGCATGAAGGCCTGGTGCTTGGGCTTGTAGAACTTGAGCTTGCTCTTGTCGTAGAAGTCGCCTGTCTTGAGTCCTTCCAGGACCTTTGGTTGAATGATACGCTCGAGAAAGTCGTGGACCACGACCCATTGGTAGTGCCAGCGAACAATGCGCTGAAGCTCGGGGAAGCCGGCACTGTTGTCCAGGTGCGGGTTCTTGTCGACGACTTTGTTATGGAACCTCAGCATAACGGCGTGAAACTGGGAGATAATGCTGTTCTCGTCATTGCGTGGGTCGCCAATCAATGCACGCCCTTGAGCATTGCGCTGAAGGTCGCGCTGCTTTTTGTCGAATTTGTTCTTGATGTGCTCGCCCAGCAGAAACTTGGTACCCTTGCTGCCTTCGAAGTCGTACAGATACGGCTGATCGCTGGGTCCTCGACCATAGAGATTGTCAAGATCAAGAGCAGGCGTGCGGAAGTCAGTGAGGCCGTCTGGATCGAAGTGACATTGGAAAGTTGTGACGGGATCAAACGTGATGTCATGGTCAACGAACTGGCCCAGGTAGGTGTAAAGAGCAGGTATTGCACTCTCCTCAGAATCTGCTCCATCTTTTGGCGGATCGCCCTCCGGTGGGACCATCTTGATGGCGAGCACCTCCAGTGCCTGACGGCTGGCAGTATCGGTAGTGCCGAAGGATGCGGGTGACAGGCAGTGGGGAAACATACGACCAAAGCGCCCCTCGAAAGTGACCGATTTGGGTGTCGACATCAGGCCTCGAAGGGGTCTGCTGTGGCAGCCATACTGCACCCGAGTAGCATCGTATTTGATAGACATACGGTGCTGCGCTTTGGCGTCTCCATTAGCCTCCACAGAGGAGTGTTCGTGGTTTGAAGCCATCGAGAACTAGTCTGTGTCGTTGGAAGGATGCTTCCGTTGACTTCGTCCTCAGCAGAGGTATGCAACGAGGCACGATGTCCGTATTCTAGCAGGAGCGCGGATTCATTGTTTTGTATGGCAGCTTCGGTTGCAATCTGCCTTGGCTGACCTTCATCGTCGTGTTCGTCTAGGGCTGGAATCTTTGCCCGGGCAGGCGACTGAGAAGAATGTCTTTTGATTCGCAATGGGTCAGGTATCTTCCCTAGCCAGGTCTGTTTGTGTTGGCGCACATCGTGTTGTCAACGTCTTGCGGTGAGTTGAAAGTCCATCGGCTTACCTATACCATTGATACCTCGCCGCACGAGCCCGTAAAGGCACGCCACTCACTGCACAAGACCGTGGAGAGCACTTACCATTCTGGTGTTCCAGAACTCCCACTCGAGGTATGCACAGGTCGCATAGATACCGAGAACTCGTACACGTATCATCTAGCTAAGGCCTCCCAGCGCAGGCGACAAGAAAGGTTTTACGAGGTGGTCAAAATTGTCTTGTTGCAGATGAGCTGAAGCCAGACAGCACAGATCTCCAGTCAGCGACGTCAACAGCATCTCCGTCATTCGAAGCACACCGCACCAGCATCGCGAGTGTGGACCGAGACAGTCCTCTGGACACGAGAAATGGAAGATGCTGAAGCTACGCACTGGACACACCAAATTTGCCCTGGTAGGCGCCTGATCAACACATTGCGATGCTGCAGTGGGTACGTTGTCGGCGTGTCGAATTTACCAAGGGTTCCCGCGGAGATCTCAATGTCGTTCAATACGATGTGAAAGGCTGACTGAAGAGGGCTGAGACGGACGCTTTGGCATTGGTTCGCTTCTGGTCAAGTCGTCGCTGAAGCCTTCAGCTCTGGGGATCAAGCGACTGCCAAGCCGCAGCGGAAGCTCCGCCATCTGTTCAGTCTCCATCTCGTCACTTTAGTCGCATCTCTCCTTGCTTACCTCTCTGCTCTTTTGATCATACCAATCGCTTGCACACTGCCTGTGACAAGGTTGCAGCTAGCTTCGGCAAAGCACGTGTTCCGCGAAGCGAAACAATCTGCAGCCGAACCACTCGTGATGGTAGGACAGCCCTCGTTTTTTGGTCAAGCTGCAATACGGACTGCGATACGAATTGTCCAATGGAGTGCAACTAGTTACCAAGTTGTTACGGAGCACCCTGTGTATTTGGCGACACTCAGATCACGAATCAAAGGCTCTACTGATAGGATTGGACTGGCGGAACGAAGTGGACCATTACGATCAGCTTGTCATTCTGAATGCTCGTATCATGTATTACAGGATGTGAAGACAACCTGTGGCCAATACTGGACAGGCTCCGTATGTCGGCATGTACAGCGGATGAGATTTGCTGACCGACTCGGGCAGCAGTCGTTGAGACTTGTGGACGTCATATCGCGTCTGGCACAGCCAGTACCAAAGGCCAGGACCCCTTCACATTACGATATCTGTCTTCAGACCCGGAATCAAGAAGTGCAGCCTTGTCGGCGCAATGTTGCTAAGCCCGAATGCCTGCTCAATGCCCTTCCTGCCCTCTTTGAAGTGACTCCAGCCTTCGAAGTGCATCGGTACGACGACCTGCGGCTTGATCTCTCGCACTAGCTGCAACGCCTGCTCCGCATCCATCGTTACTTGCAAGGTACCACCATCAGACTTCGTCACCGTCGCCTGTCCCATGTTGATTAACGCAACAAGAATATCGAACCTCTTTGCAATCTTCCGGCCAAGTTCTGGTAAGTACACTGTGTCGCCTGAGTAATATATCGCCTTGAATAAACGTTCAGGTGAGTGACCAAAGCGTTTTGCAGTGATCACGAATCCGATACATTCACCACCGGGGAAATGTGCGCAGGGAGTGGCTATGATTTTCCACTGCAAGCCGTCTCTCCCTTGGACAGTCGTGCTTTCCCACGGTCCTAGACCAACGATGCCTTCTCTCTTGCCCAACTTCTGTGCCCCGTCTACCGTCGTGATGACCCTCCTTCCATTGAGAAGTGTTCTTCCCAGATCATCGAGATTGTCTTTGTGGTCCTCGTGGCTGAGAAGGACCAAGTCGATTGGCGGAAGATCTTTCAGCTCAAGAGCGGGTTGATAAGTGCTGGTCAGAGTGGTTCCGGAGGCGCCTGTCCAAGACGTGCCGGGAGGAGAGAAGTATGGATCAGTAAGTATTGTCAGATGGTCGAGATAGATAATGGCTGTCGCCGTGCCGATGTAAGTAATTGAGATGTTTGATGCCATGATGGGGGACTGCAATGGATGAGTCACGATTGTTACTTAGTATGCAGTGTAAGTACGTGTAGTTGCACAGCTCGAGTTATAACATGCCTGGGCAACTTCCGTGTCTGTCTTTATACCTGACTTGCATCGCACTTGCCTGCATCACAACGCGACTTCTCCAGAACAGATCGTGACTGCCCAAAACCGACACACGTACGACCAGGACACCGTAACGAGCAGTTGCGTCCAATCTTCTACTCGACGCGTCAGTCGCGCTCCGTCCATAAGTTTCGTATCATGGTGCTGCAGGAGCCAATGTCGGCAGAAGCTGATAGAGCAGCATCACTCGGTGACGAGTGTGGTAGTGTCACGGTAACGAGTGCATCATTCGTTCCACACAACACAGGTGCACGAAGGCCGAAGCGAGAGTGAGATCCCTTCATCGTGCAGCACGAACGGCAACGATATATCAATTGAATAGTGATCTTTCGACACAATGCACGAATGCAGATCCACTTGCACGGCGAGTCATCCTCATCGTCAAGTCCTCCGAAACGGCCAGTGGCTTGCTGCTCGGTTCACAATGTATGACATCATCCTCTAGATACCATTCCGCTTGATCTTTTTCTCTCACGGATTCTGCTTTCAGAAATCTATCCGCTTCTCGCTTGGACAAGTTAACAACGGTCGAAGATCCTTCAGCGACAAGGTTCTGATGACGGCTTCAAGGCCTGAGTGAGAAGCACTATACAGTCTTTGATCTGCTAAGCAGGCTTGAAGCTATACGCGTTGCGCTACCATGACTTCGTGAAGACAGCAAAGGTGAGTGTTGTATCACTCCACGGCGGGCTATATAGGTACGTGAACGTCGTGGCAATCTGTGATGTGTGCTACCGAACAACGAAAAGAAGAGTGTCCAAGACCGAATAGCCATCTCTGTAATTCCGGCACTTTTAGGACGAACGAGAACCTGAGAGCGCTCCTCAGCCAAGTATCTAATCATGTCAACCAACAGCTCCGTTCCGTCCACCTCCAATATCCAGCGCCAAATCCTTCAGCAAATCCCAATCCCCGCCCTCCCAGGCTACGAGTCCCGCCTCGTCCTCCTAACCTACCCTCCTGGCGTCAACGCCCCAGTACACACCCACCCCGTCGCAGCAACCGGTTACGTCCTCGAAGGCTCCGTCCTTTCCCAATGGGACGGTCCCGACTCTCTCGAGGAGTTCTACACCGCTGGAGACAGCTTCGTCGACCATGGCACCAGAGTTCACGTCAGGAGCGAGAACGTAAGTCAGGGTGGTACGGGCGTGCTGAGGATGTTGATCAGCTATGTCATTAAGGTTGGTGAGGCGAATGTGAATGCGCTGGAGTAGGGGAGTGGCTCGACGTTACCGGCGTCTTCGCCCTGCGAGTGGATGCATGGTCAGATGCTTTTGATTCGAGCTACCTCCATTTCAAGCCAACTTCTCAGAGTGCCCAGCCATCGGAATGCTGTTCGCCAGAACCTGCAGCCATAGACCAGACTGTGGAAGAGTTGCGACTACCAGAGTTGATCAACCTCCGCTAATACAGATATACTGTCATCAACATATATGATCATCACCTCCGTGGGACCAAGCCCGCCTGATCCACTTCAGTCCACCTTCGCCCAAGATCGCTCGCTCGCCCAATCCCACTTGCGAATTCCAACACACGCAAAGAGCAATGCGTCCCTCACGGAGCAGATGAAGTAACGTTGCTCATATCGAAAGAAGTAGCGTTGCTCAGAGCAGTTGAAGTAGCGTTGCTCAGAGCATTTGAAGTAGCGTTGCTTAGAGCTGTTGATGTAGCGTGGCTCATAGCAGAGGAAGTTGCGTTGCTAATAGCAGAGGCAGTTGCGTTTCCTGTTTGGCATTGATTGCATGCGTTGGGACAATGTTCCATGGCGATCTTGACGATGAAGCCGAATGCGAAGCACACACAGAACGTCCCAATCGAGAAGACTATCGGAGCCCAGATCTTGCGATCGGGGATGGCCCTATCGAGAACGTAATCCAATACAAGTCCTGCAGCGAGGGAATAGAGCGCTTGCATGATCGGGCCAAAGATCCAGTGCTCGCAGTGGAATTGTCGGAATAAGACCGTTGATACAAGTATAAGGAAGCCGAGGGATATGAAGACACAAAGGAATTGTGAGTCTTGTTTGCGTGCCTAGTGCTTGAAATCGACCCAACGACGTTTCTGGCGGGTGTCTCTTGCTGTCTTGCCCTTGAGAGCTTCGTCGCTGGTAACAGCCTTTTCCTCATCTTTCAGATTGAACTCTGAAACATTGTCGAGTACACCTTTTGCACTGGACATGGGCGTCTGAAGCGGCGGAATCGTCTCATATGATACTGCCGGAATGCCTTGTAGAACGGTGGGCGGCTGTGGCTGGTGGACGACCTCACAAGATGTTCGAGGACTCATGGCTGCGGAGCTGATGTTTTGGCGAGGTGGTGGTGACATGATTGTCGGACAGAAGAATGGAAACTCTCGTGAACACCTGATGAAGCTATCAGTACTATGCCAGAAACAAGAATGTCCGAGGCGGGCTTCTCAAATCTTGCACGAGCACGGCGATCGTATCGGAGCACCATGAAGTGAAAGGAAAGACGCCTGGGGGTGGAGAGAGGTCGGCTGATGGGTTGAAACTCACGCTGGATGGATAAAATAAAGCAGAAACCAGCTGCTCGAACGACTAATGCAATGGTGCAGAACCAGCTGCGGGTGTGGAAATGCCACTATCAGTACAAGACAAAGAGAGTGACAATGTCGTTCGGACAAGATGGTAACGATAGTGGTTCGGGAGATGATGTGAGAACAAAGCGACGGAGAAATCTATCAGCAGCACAGGAGCGCTTGCCGACATCGATGTCTTTTCAATTTGAAAGGCAGGAGCTGTCACTCCTGCATTTGGCAGTCGCGACTGCAACATAGCGACAGAACGCTCAGACAGCCTGCGTCGGTAAGTGCGCGCGATTGCCTCTGTTGCCTTGGGGCAGGAGCATCGACCACTCCTGCGTCTCCAGTGTAGCAGGAAGGCCAGGCCAACGTAGGTAGGGACCAATGCACCTGAGTCGCGAATACAGCGAATAAGTCCATTCAGCCATGATGCAACGAGAGCTTTTTCAGAGAGCGACTTGGTCGAGACCTGCACGGAGCAACAATAGTATTGCCTACTTTCAATACAAGATCCAAGCGGAGCCACAGGCCTGCCAACTGCTGCCCGAACCAGATGCATCTGGAACCACTTGACGCCGAAAGAATGCGGGAAAGGTGTTTGTGTAAGTCATGAAGCCGTCATGCCCGCCCAAGCCAACCCGACGGCAACAAATTTACCTAATTCTTCCGTTCCGGCGTCCGTGGTGGCAGCGGTGGACTGCCTCTGTACGCTGGTGCTTGATACGCTGGCGGCTGATATCCAGCTGCTTGTTGCGGTCCACCATACTGATAACCTTGCCCGCCTTGCATGCCATTTGCTAAGTTGTAGCCGCAATTCGGACAGCAGCCAGTATACTGCATGGGCTGTTGCTGCATGTACGGTCCTTGGGGAGGAGGACCATATGAAGGTCCGGCGGAGCGGTACTGCCCCTGCATGCCGCCATTCTGGTACTGCGCTTGCTGCTGCTCGAGTGCGTATTGTTGCTCAAAGCGTTGTCGCTGATGCTTGGTGTGCTCGTGCTCGACAAAGGCGAGTCCGGCACCGCCGATTAGCAGATCGTCGAAGAGGCCCATTGTGTGTCCCAGGTGCAAGTCTGTGCAGGCAGAGTATAATTGGCGACGTCGATGGATTTTTAGTGTTTGGAGTGTTGCCTAATGGTTTGTTATAATGGTATTAACCAGCAAGAAACTAGGTGTAATCGCTTGTGGTAATGATGGACTAATCGATGGTGTCGGTCAGGGGTCGAGTCACTCATATACTTAGCCAGAGCATGCTTTGCTCACTATGAGTGAGCTACTTCATCACGCGAGAATAGGTCTTCCATGCTACGCAATGGCTCGTAGTACCTGGCAGACGTCGACGCGTAAGAACAATTCAGCTCTGCAGAAAATCTAAGCGTTCTTTGCCGGTCGGCCTCAGCTCTCCGTATCGCGCTTTCGCTGGTCCGAAGCGTTGTACGCGGCGGGACGGATGAGCTGAGGTATACCACTCACTGTAGAGGAAACTCAGGGACGGAGAGATGCGCGAATGAGGGATAAACATCGGATGGTCGCGTGTCTGAACATTTCGAGAATATTTCGCGAGCCGACCGCGGACAACAGCTGAAGCAAAGCCTCCCACGTCCAGTGGAGGTGACAGAGCTGCGCGACTGCTACTGAGGGTATCTGCGGCTCTCATTCGATGATTCAGTGCATGGCACGGATGAGCAGTCCCAAGAGCGAGCACTGAAGGGACGTCGTTGAACCCTTCCCCAGAAATGCCTCATCTCACCTCATGCTCTCCACTCCATCAACACAGCCAATCAGCACCGCTTATGCTCGATGACGTTGGTCGCTGAGCAAGCCTGTGGACCTACCACTGCGGTGTAGTCAATATCTCTCATGGTACCGATTTTGCTCAACGAGCACTCCTGATCAGGCCAACGTTGATTATGCAGAAGTCACGAGTCATCTTGGTAAGTACGAAAGCAGGTAGAAACTGGCGCATCATGCCACGCAAGGTTCGCATATATATTGCCTCTAAGTTCGATGCCTGGTGAGCAATTGATATCTTAACCAATAACTATAGCAATCGTATGTTTGAAGTGATCGTCCAGTCCTCACAGCACAAGCAACACCAGTCCAACAAGCCATCCAAACACACCACACAACAACTTCCTACACAAAATGGCACAAGTACCTCCAGGACCATGGCTGGTGAACGGCACCCTCACGGAGCCAAGCCAGAAGTCGTCTCTGAACGTGAACACCGCAAGCATAGCATCAAAGAGCACCTGCCCGAATTCCTTCAACTTCACGACCCGGCAAAGCCTGCGCCAGCGGAGGCTACTCCGGCAAAGGAGCCCGAAGCAGTCGAGGGTCAAGCAAGACGGAGGTCAAGCGTCCAAGCAATAGTCCACGCGCCTGAGGATGCGGTGCATAAATTCGAGGAATCGAAGCCGGTGCAGGCGTGGGAGAAGGCCTTTGACAAGGTCTATAATGGAGCAGTTCGGACAGGCATGATGATCTAAGGCGACGTCGGAATTTGTCTGCGCTTAAATGACATGGTTGAGGCCTTGCAGCCTTGGTTTCTTTCCAGCAATCTTGCGAATGATCATGTATAATATGATGTGACGAAGATCCTCCGGCCTTGTGTTCTTTACCATTCCCAAGCAGCTTTCTCAGGAAAAATTCCCTGCAACAGCTCCGTGATAGCCTCGCGCGTGTCTTCGAGCTCGTCAAGATCTGTCGTAGAAACGTCGTCATTCAGACACAGCTGGCCTGGCAACTCCTTGCCCTGACGAATATATTTTTCGACCAGCGTGCTGTCGACTTGATCTGCATCCGTGACCATAACGAACAACGAATTTGTCGGGTCCATGATGGTGTACTTGTACTTCATAAGTGCCTTAACAACAGTATCGCGACTCTTGCTCCCAGCAACCGGTAGCAAAGGTGCGAGCCCTTGTCTGGTCTGGTGCAGGACAATCTTGAGCAGACAGTCGCCACAGTGAGGATTCTGTCGTGCCACGCGGTCAAAGATAACCGCTGAGCTGAACAATGGGTTGCTCACTGAAGACGACCTGTTGAGGCCAAACCCCGGTGCCAAGCAGTCATCCACATCGAAGTCCTCGCAATTTGCATCACGAATGGCAACCGGCCCGTCGAGAGACGTCCACAGTAAGTTCGTATTGACTTGTGGTGGCGCAAGTCCTGCTCTTTCGAGCATTGCCGGTACATGGTAGAAGGTCCGACGTCTGTAGGAGGCCTTTGCCAAGTTCTCGGTGCCACGAGCAAGGTCATCAAGCATTGCCTGTCGCTCCGGCCAAGATAGCACCCCATCTCCGTCCAGGTCACTGCGAAGGACCAGGTAACTCCACAACAAGACCTCTCGATGGCGCTCGATCAGATAGTGAAAGGTGACGTACCAGGAGTATATCTGAAAGCCTTCACCTCTGAAACGCTTGCATGCGCTGCGGAATTCAGGACGAGGGAAGGATGTGAGAGCCTCACGCATCACCTTCCGCGAGATCGAGTGACCGAAATGACTCTGTCCCTTTCTCTTGCGGATGCCAAAACGTCTATTGAGCAGCCATGAAGTATAGATCAAGTATGGCTTCTCACCAAAGCGCTGTGCATCTTGTTGCGTTGGCGGAGAAGTGGTGCTATAGCCGTTGTTCTTGAATCCCATGACAGGCCCGAAGAGCGGTGAATAGATGTCCGAAGGAGCATGTCTGGCTCCTAACAACATATCATCCGACAATGCGAATAGTTGATCAGCGTCTGAGGGTACATTGAACAGCTGATTCTCGATAGTGAGCGAGTTGAAGGTTGGGAGACAGGCGGCGGTCTTCTTGTCGAAGAAGTCTTCCTGCGCCAGAACTTGAATGTTGTGGTCTTCAGGTGTCTTCAGCCACTTTGGAGACTGACGATGCAACACCGAGCCTTCGCCAAGTTGCTGATTCAGTGAATTGACGAGCACTTGGATGTTGTTTCGAAAATGACCCGCGTTTCTGTGCACACTGCGAAGGCTGTAACGGAGTTCGTTCCAATCCCTATACCGATTCGTACTGTGTGAAGCGATCCATTTTCCATCCGCATCGTTGAGCACAGATCTTTGCTCCCACGGAAGCTTCACTTCACGGAACGCGTCCTCCGATCCGTTGACCCAGAGGTACAGGAAGTCGATACTTGGCTCGGAGAGCGTCCCGTAAGATTCAAGGTCGTAGAAGCCCTCACTTAGCCACCGATCTTCCCATCCATCGAGATGCTCGTCTTCCACGGCTCCCTCGAATGGCATGTAGACAAAATCTGGAAGAAGCTCAGCCTCGGCTTCCAGAGACAGATGTTGATCCGATTCTTGGCTGTTTCCATGTTCCAGTAGAGGAGAATCCTCTTTTCCAATGACAAGGCCGCCCTCCACGGCCCGAACGTGATTGTTGGAGTTCTTGTGCTTGACTGCAGGGACTTGCTCATCGTCTTCCTCCTCGGCAATCTGAGATTGTGCGGACTTTCCATCCTTGAGTACAGGCTGGTCTTCCCTTCTCTGCTCTTTGTTCTCATCTGTGGGCTCAGAAGCATGTTGACGGGCTTCAAATGAAAAGTACTCGTCTATCAGATCCCTCATATCGTCCATATGGGACCTTGCGGTCTTGTGGCTACGCACAACATCGGGCTGTGCGAGACTGCTGTGGCTCTTGAGCAAGTGCCAGCCGGCGAAGCACAGTAGGGTGAGGAACACCGCATGTCTCCTGATTTTGAGGCACCAAAGTGAACCCATCCCGTCGTAACAACCTGGTGTCCTGTCCTTGCATTCTCACCGACTTCATCATGGAGATATGCTGTCACCAGGAGTTCAACTCTGGCTTATCGTCATGAAACGCGTGACACTGTTGGATCGCTAACAATGAACTGCCTTCAGCAAATGGCGTGGAATACGATGCCACCTTCTGACCTCTCAGGTGCCACAGAATTTCCACCTTCCGAAACCTGATGGCCCGTTGGCGACGTTGAATCCACACAAGAACTCCATCTTCTTCATCCTTTGTGGTTGACATCGCGAGCGTCCAGACGTCGCCTGAGGCTAGCTGACCCGTACCAGAGGACAAAGATGCCCATCATCTCCTCAGGGTCGATTGAGGTTGGCATCATGTTTGTCGGCGGCTTACTGTGATCTGACGGAAAGTCTGTTGCCCGAATGCACCAAACACAACAAAGGCAGAGTGCAGTTTCTCAAGTTCATTCCCAAGAATGCTACGTAGGTAGCTCTAGATCCAAAGAAACAAAGTTCGAAGGCGTAGGCAATTGTGACGACGTCGCTGCCGTCAAAATTCGCGAAATTCGGGCTTCAAATGACACAAAAAGACCCGAACTCAAAGTTTCATGCGGACCTTGATCTTTGTACTGAAGCTTCAGCCCGACCTGATACGAGAGCACGCGACAGGCGAAGCTGACCAGACTGGGTCTGCCGAATTAATGGCGCAGTCTGCATGCTCAGTGCGTTTGCCAACTTGGACAGCAAGTCCGACGGAGCTCCTCATCCTGACCCCGTAGCAGATGATCGAGGTATCCTCACTTGCAGTCCACTCTTCTTCATTCAATTGATCACAGTGATGGCGATCATGGAGGTTGCCCTAGAATTATCTTCTTGCGTGTGAGCACGAGGCATGGCTAGGCAATATGTGCCAGAGATCCGTGACAAAGGCTTGTTGGGCTATAACATCTGCACGGTACTTCGCAGCTTCATGGCATGAGTAACGATGTCACGGTCTCGCGCGATGTTCATCTCCCTACTAGGGCTCTTGCTACTGACACAACTCAGCGATGCGGAAAACGCTATCTACAAGCATAGCTTGCAGGAAGGGCCCGAGAGGCAACGTTTCCACGTCTCTGTCAGCATCGCAGGACACCGCTACCAGGTTGGAAAGCACTACTGGGCGTTCGCTGGTGACGATGTAGTTGTCACCGAAGACTCGGAGCACGCAGCGTGGTTCTATTTCGCGGACAACTACCTCAGATCTGACGACAAGTATGTCACCTCGGACGGTGGTTCAGGATACTCTGGTGTCAGGCTCACTGAGAATACTCCCGCAGATACTGACCGCATCGGGGTGAACGAAGATGGCAGTCTCGGTCTCCAAGGCGACAGTCACATCAAGGGAATAAACGAAGGGGTCTTTTGCGCCAGTGATGACTGGAATGTGTTTGTGGTCTCGTCAAAGAAACCGGCGTTCAATTGCCGCGCCCTAGTCTGCCGGCTCAATGGTCAGTAAGCGCTGAAGAGAATGCAAAAGCCGACCCTGACCGAGGTACAGGTGGCTCAGCTACTGAACCGACACGACCATATCGTCCAACACGACCAGGATAGCCTACGTCCAAAACTTCTTCTCACCCGCGGTCGACAGTGCGGGCCTCAATCGCGGGAGACTCGCTAACAGCAGACGACTCTAGCAAAGACATGGATCCTCCAGCTCCAGATCCATCATCCGACGCTGATGTCAAAGACGTGGTCGATCAAGCTCTTGGACCGGCATCTGGACTGATGTAGGATTCGTTGGAAGACTAGAGCGACGGTTTAGACGTCGGCCCTCTGTGCCACTTGAGAAATATCTATTTTCCGGCATACATACTCGCTGTTAGCAAAACCACTACGGCCTTTGTGGTCCTGGTCTAGAGCATATAGTAGTCTTGCAATTGATTTCCTCTGTCACATGCATTTAAAGGTCAACAGGGTGTTCCCGCAGAGCCGCTTTATCTCTATGTTCGGAACTTTATTTCATTCCCGCGGCGGCGTAGTATAATTGTAATTCGACCGCTCGCGCAGCACCTGCACACGCTCCCACTCCCAGACCGCGTCCTTCTCCCAGAACTTCTTGACCTCGTCCACCAACCCAGTCTCATTGAGCGGCACCTCCCACTTCGTCAGTCGTTTCTCCGCGACATCAAGCCATGGCAGCATCCTCGGAGCTCTTGTCTCTCCATTGCCAGCGAAATGCACGGCCAGATCTCCTTCCCTCACAGCATATGCATGCCACCTTGTCTGTGGCAGGTATGGATCTGGAAGGCCTGACGCTGTGCCACGCTTGCCAGGATACGCATTGAACCATCGCTGCGGTACATGCATGGTGTTGTTACGGAACAAGTTGGATTGCAACCAGAACTCCATGGCGGATTGATCATTATACTTGAGCTCGACGTTGGGCTGAGACTCCCTTGTTGATAATGTGGAGGCGAGGAACTTCACGGCCCATATGTCCACTTTGAGAGCAAGCACACCGGTGTTGAGGCCGTTGCTATCTTGACAGACGAGGGCTTGGATGTGATCCCACCGATTGTCAGGGGTTGGCGGTGGCAGGAACACTTCCAGTGGCACGTTCGGATTGAGTAAGACGATGTCGCTGTCGAACCAGAAGAGCCAATTTAGGCGGAACTCGGCTGGCTTCTCGAGCTCAGTCAGGACGTGCTGTAGCATGTAGGCAGGCTTCGACCATAATGGTCCCGCTGTTGTCTGGCGGAGGACGGACATCGAATAGCTGTGTTGTTGATTGTGCGGTACATGTGTTGCGAGCGCTCGCTCGTACATTGGATTGACTGGCCCATACTGCATCATGAGCTTGCCTACCGTCGCTGATTTCGACTCCCGGGGCGTAGATGCCGTTGCGTCGACGTAGTCGATAACATCGTTCGTGGTGTCCAACCGTGTCTGTCGATGGAATAATGATTCTAGTATCAGGAACCCAAGTACGATCAACAAGATGAAATTGATGGTCTGCAGCCGCTTGCCGTTGCTCATCGTCGCTATGTCGACTTACTTGGACTTGATCGCATTCCCACCACAAGAACTTTCTCTGTCGCAGTCCGGGGTTTCGTACTTCCCATCCTCCTCAATTCAGCTTTGCGGGTACGGCTCTGGCGCACTTGCAACGATCCATCACGATTTGAGCCTCACATCACGACAACAACCCCTTCCCACTGTACAAAGCGGCTCGAACCTTGTCGGGGGGTTGCTTTGTTGCTTTAGGCTTTTTGGCTCGTGTGACAGAGCATGGACAGCTCCGGGAGGTACTCGGTCGTCGATCCCGAAAGAGCAACTATCCTTGTGCACATCTGCATGACCTGACCCTTCGAGCCATGTGACGGAAGAAAAATATCAATGATATTGGAGCTCGTTGATTGATGCAGTGTAAATCCAAAGCCCACGTGATTCGCAGGATGCCAAGACAATCGGGCGATCGCTCTGCTTTCGGCAACTTCAACGTCGTTTCTTCCCTCTCATGCTAGCCGGTATACGCTTTCACATACGGCGACTGGCTGGTCAGCGGCGTGCTTAACTATCACCGTCAACATCCGTTCTCTGTTGATATCATCATGAGACGCCGGACGACATTCATCAGCGATCCGTCGATAGAGTTCGACCCCTCGTCCGTCGAGATCACATCCTCGCGCTTCTTCATCCCATCAATAAAGGCTGCTCGAGAAGAGCAACTGAAGTACAGCCTTGACGAGCTTCCAACAGAGCTCCAGTCGTTCCTCGCTGACGCTCGAGAACTACATGCTCGATGGACAACCCAACAGAACTACAACCTCTCGGCACCATACACTACCCGGGCAGCTCCTGGTCTACAAGTCTTTTATACACCAGGCTCTGCAACCAGAGACGCTGACAGTGAGGGCTTGTTGTGTCGAGCGCTGCACGAGCTGTTCGCGCCCTCTGCAAAATGCCACGCTCCCGACACAAGCTTCACAAAGGCCGATGTCCTTGAATCGGAATTCAAGACGACTCCTGCCTTGCAGTATCACGCCACGTTACCAAACCTGGATCACTTCGTGGTCTACCTTCAGCGAACTTTCTGCCCGGGCTCTTCGCTATTATGTATACACTCGACATCTCTACTCTCAACCGCAGACTACCTCGACATTTCATGGAGCGCAATCACCCAATCCCTAACAGTCTCAGCCTTCTGGTCTCGCCCGCCCAGTAGTCTGATCGATCCGGCATCACAGCACAAGACCACTGATGCATGGTCTCTCTCACTCGACATTCCCTCAGCGACCTCCCAAACGCGAGTTGAAGTCGGCATCCTCTCGCCAGAAGCCATCACGGCCGACCCCCAAGACCTGACCCTTTCTGGCTTTCTCACCGTCCTCGGTACAGATACCAAGCCCAAACCAACAAGGTTCTCCTTCCCTAGCCGTCACCATATCTTTCCGGCAGCGGCCTCATCAAATTACCACGCCAGCATTCAGCAACCACAAGGATTGCATCCGACCCTGAAGATCACTCTCCCGCACCTCAGAGCCCTCCAGCAGCAACAAATCACTATCCCATCTGCCGCGCAATGCACGCCTCAAGTCCATCTGACATTGCCCTCGCACACCTTCGTCGACCCCTACAGTCTCAAGATCTCTGATCCAAACTTCCGCTCGACCTACCACATTCAAGCCGTGCACTCCCTGACAGGGCACCTTGACCTCGAAGCACCAGATTACATCCCCTCATCACCATGGGGCTCAAGTCTGCTCTTCACGCCCACCCTCCCGGAACTGGACGCCGATCTAACTTCGCCATGGGAAGTCACCGTGCCATTGCACCTGCGGTACCTTCCGCATAGCAACGCGACCTCGCACGAACAAGTCACGCTGCCGTACCCAGTCGTGTACTTCGCCTGTCCTGCCGAAGCAGACTCCGCGGCGAAGTTTCCCGTGAACCCGTTCGATCGTGTTCACCTGGGGTATGACGGGCTGTATGGGCCGCTGACGACTTTCTTCCATTTGAATCCACAACCTGAGCCCACGGCGATGGGTAGTGATAAGCTCACTCTTACACTGAGCGTTCCGGTCCTTCAGACAGGTGTTACGCTAACGCCGTATGCGATCGAGCTCGTCACTCTCCTCGCGATAAGCGTGGGATTTCTATGGATCACGGCGAAACTGTGGCTAGGATTGAAGAGGGAGTTAGGAAGCTATATTCCTGAGACAGTAGAGACAACGAAGCCGATCACCAAGGAGTGGGAGCAACCTGTCAGTGGTCCAGGCTTCGACGCTGGTAGTCTGAGGAGACGTGGCTGAGTGAAGACTAGATCCACTTGTACACGTATATATTTACGCGACCATCCATACAGACCTCCATCTTTGCATTCGTGTGCAGGTCAGTATGACCGAACACTGATGCATTCCATGGTCAGCGACCTCATCGGGCCAGGACCTCTGACTTCTAACTGCCAATTTACTGTGCGCTGGATGACTGATAAGTATCTACGCAGAACGCCGCAATCGATCTGGCCAGATGCTGTCCACAAGAACAGCAGAGCAGGGCCACGCCCCCAGCCAAGCCCGGATCTGCTATCAGAATTCCACCACGCCACACCTAATCCCCCCACAAATTTCACCCCACTTGACATCATGCTGCAGCTTTGAGCTTCCGCAAAGTATTCCCAACGGTAGATCTCGAGACGAGCTTTCTCCTGCATTGAGCCAATGCAGTGCATCAGCGATTATTAGCCGTATGCTGTGTTACTCAGGTACGTCAGGGGTCCAGATATTGATTCAATAAAAAAACAACACGTTCGTGAAGGACTCGACTTAACAATTTACTGCCATACTCGCATTCCTTTCGACTTGAGCACCCTATACTCGCAGTTCCTCGTTTCTGCTCACGTTCCGCGTACCTGAAGTGTACAGATATAACACCCAGCTTACCGCTCCCATCCCACCACTGCTTTGGCGGGAACGTATATAGAAACCAACCGCACCGATGGCGCTCCCACGCACGACAAGCAATATGCTCCGCCTTGCGGCCCGCCCGACCACCACGCCCTCACTCCTCCCACGAACATCTCCTTCTTTCACAACCACCACTCGCCGCACACTCTCCACAGCCCCCCGTCTTTACGACGATAGCAAAAACGACCCCTACCACAAACAATCTACCGCCGCAACAGGCACATCTGCAGGCCCGCACGAGGGCAGCAGCTCGCGAACAGACAACCAGATCAGCTTCGAATACCCGGATGATGGCAATCTTGGGGTTAGGGAAGCGCAGGTTCAGGGCCGCGGCGGTAAGTCAAGCCCATTGTCACAGATGCTGAGGTGCATCACACTACGCACTGCTGGCTGCGGGAGGGAGTCTTAAGCGCCGAAGCAGGAGAAGCTGGAATGCATGAACTACGTGCTGACTGTGATTGAACAACAGGCGTCCACCTGAAACGCACCCTCGCAACATTCTCCCTCGAAGGCCGCACAGCCGTGATCACGGGCGGCGCGCGCGGTCTGGGGCTGGTGATGGGCCAGGCGCTGGTGAACAGTGGTGCTGATCTGGCGATTGTGGATATGAACAGTACGTACTATTCAACTATCTACCGGTACTACAGGGAAACCAGCCAGTGCTGCTCGCAGGCCGAGGCATGAGACAGTGTGAGATACCTGACGGCTGACCATCTACGCCTACAGAGGAGGAAGCCGAGCACCAAACCCAAGCCATGATCGAGCAATTCAAAAAAGAAAACCCCAAATCCGAAGAATACGACCGCGCAAAATTCGACCTAGGCAAGAAAGAAGGCGTCTTCCGCATCCCCAAAATCACCGCCCACTACTCCGACGTCTCCGACCCCGACTCCGTCAATTCATGCTTCCAAGAGATCCTGTCCTCCCACGGCAAAGTCGACCACCTCGTCACCTCCGCCGGCTTCACCGAGAACTTCTCCGCTGAGACTTATCCATATGATAGGATTAAGAAGCTGTGGGGCGTCAACGTCGACGGCACCTACTTGTTCTGTACAGCACTTGCGAATCATTTGCTATCGACCAAAAGACCGGGTTCGATGGTCATGATCGGCAGCATGTCCGGCTCCATCGTCAACGTCCCGCAACCGCAAGCGCCCTACAATGCCGCCAAAGCCGCCATCCGCCATCTCGCAGCGTCATTGGCCGTGGAGTGGGCGCACGCGGGCATCCGCGTGAATTGTATCTCTCCGGGGTATATGCTGACGGCGTTGACGCGGAAGATACTGGATGAGAATCCGGATCTGGCGAAGAAGTGGACGAGTTTGATCCCGCAGGGGAAGATGGGACGGCCGGAGGATCTGATGGGGGCGGTGACGTATTTGTTGAGTGACGCGAGTGGGTATGTTACTGGGGCGGATCTGAGGGTTGATGGTGGTGAGTACTTCTGTGTTTTCTAGAGAAAGGTTTTGCTAATGTGTGGGATAGGGTATACTTGCACCTAAAGTCGAGCGTATTTGGGAAGCGAGCAGAGCTTGTCAGCGTTCATTCTGAGGCAGGAACGAGTTGTAGGCAGGGGAACCGCCGAACTTGGCTGCGTTACTGGTCGGCTGACCATATTTGGGGATACTATAGACTGGCGTTCAGGCGGCGCGGAGCCGGGAAAGCAGGTCCACAGCCCCTATCAAATCCATGACATATAAAAGCCAGATAGGCCATATGAGCTTCGCCCTCTCGAAACGATCAAGACGTCCTCAAGTTTCTTGATGTCGACTAGGGAACACGTCATTGCCTTTGGCAACGGACAGGTTTAGCGACGCAGGCACTCACTGACGAAGCAACTGATGTTGCCCGCATGCATATGACTGACAATGTCGCGAACCTGTGCTGATGGACGAGGACCAGCTAGTACTTACAGCATCGAGTGAAGGTGAGCAGACATACAGCAGCTGTAAGTCGTGTCTTGGCGTTCGAAGAATAATTTAGGAAAGCAAAACCCGATACGCTGAAGAAAGTTCGATTGTTTTCATGGAAGTACTATCTTAGCAACAGACCGGTGGAAGCTGCTGCTTTCCTAGGTAGGTAGGTCTCTTTCCTGACTGAATAGGTACGTAGGTACGATCACTGTGACATCGAGACCTGAACTTGAGTTTGCTGCTGTCGCCGGAGCTTGGCATTGGACGAATACAAGTGTCTTGAGACACAGATGCGGAAGGTGAGCTTTCTAGTGTAGATTCTGGCGTAAGACTCGACTTGGGAGGAGCAGAACGGTCGGGAATGATGGGTTGCGTTAAGGAGTTGTGACAGAAACAAGCAGGCAGGTCAGCTAGGTGGAGCGCCAGTTGAGTGTGTGACATGCGGTGCATTGAACACTGCCTCAATATGCCATTCAGATCGACGCGGTTGATCAGTGGCCAGTGCTGCAACATAGGAAGACTGGTGAAGCTTATGATTCCTGAGTGAAGAACACCTGATGCCATATGATCATACCGCGGACCGTGAATGCCTGCTGTTCGAATCAGTGAAGTGACTGGTCTCGGATTGCCTCGGTCCTTGATTTTGTCGAACAAGTATATATAGGTGCCATAGCTTTGACATTTCTTCGACTCTCCCTTCCAAGCAGTCTCTGGGGAGTCCTAGATTGTCATGCCTTGTCAGCGCCTATTGCTACCAGGTGGGGCGGGCTTCATCGATGAGCTGTATCGTGAACATAAGGGGAGGCACCGGAAAGCCATCACTGCCGTCATGTTCGTCATGTCGGCTGCGGACGTTTCGCTGATGTCTGGGGCGAGAGTTATTCATCGATCATTTGGTTCGAAGTGTATGTAAATGGGAAGCTGCTGGCTTAAGCAGACTGTGATCAGCGAGCACACGTGTGCAGTGATGCTCTTGAGGCCGACAACGACAAACTTGCCATGACGGTCAAGGGTTGGCTTGTTGACCTCGAGAGACGAGCAGAGATGACCGATTTGCTGTTGCGTCCAGCTCGTATGCGGTTGCATCCATAGTGTTCTAGCCGGCTTCTAGAAATCGATAGATTGAGATTGAGTTTAGGCTGTGTTCTCGGCGGTCCTGACACCAGGAGGACTCCGAGGCATTGAAAGCCCGGTATGGCCTCAAAGCCAGTCCGAGTCTGCCACCGGTCTGATCCAGAGGCTGATGTGAGTCTCTATGGCCTTCGAGGGCTGCTCGAATAGACAGAGCGCGCCCGAATGTCGGCACATAGAGGAATGTGCAGCGAATAACGCTGTGTTATGCCGGTAGAAAGGCAACCACTTCCGCTGCCTCGGAACGGGTGGAGGTGAGATTTAAGGTCGACAAGGACCAGGGTGCAAGTGTCAGTGCTCGCTGATCTCTCGGGAGCTTGTCAAGCGCATCCGTCAAAAGGGATGCATCATGCAATTCGAGATAGAGTGGCTGTGAGAACGGCCAGCGCAGACGAATGGAGGCCTCCTTGACCAGTATCCGAGACTTCTTACTCATGTCAGGTGAGCACCTGATGGGGCAGAATTGTTGTTCACGTGGCCGTCGTTGACCGTAGCTGAGCGCGCAGATCATTGCCGCTGTAGGTCACAGGGCAGGGAGTTGGCGACTTCGTATCAACAGCCGCCCTTGTGTTGACTCGAGATGCTTTACTCATCTCGTCAACGTCGTCTGCCATGTTGCTGGAGCTCAAAGAATATCGAGGACAACCGGAGGGAAGCTATTCAAAAGGCTAATAATAATGAGCGTGGGGCATATCGGAACTGCATACGCGCCTCGGAGTTGCAGTGGGTGGACGTAAGATCCCACATCTTCATTCTCTTGCCTGGTCATAGTCTTTCTTTCTTTCAGCAAGTCCTACTGTCTGTTTTACGTCGGTTGGTCCTTCCCTCGGACCGTTTCATTGTCAGTCGTAATTTCTGTCAAATCATTGGCAAAGGCGCCTGCCCCGTGTTGGTTCCTGCATACCGAAGTGGAGCAAGAGCAAGGGAGCTTCTCGTCTTGTGACTTCAAGATTGCCATGTTCAAGTTCTTAATCATCTCCCACGCTTTCGAGATCGCTATACCTTCCATCAGTCAACTGGTCCACTTGTATACTTAGTCGCTCGCTGGAGGCCTCCTTGGTCTAATCGCTACTGCTTCGTTGTCTATTGACCGCCTTTCGCCTCGATCACCACCTCCGCGGCTGTGCTGGCAAACATCCCGCGAATACTACAAAGCTAAACCGGGTCCACCTTGCTTCTCGACTCACCGACCTTTCGCACACGCGACATTTGGCAGCTCACAAGTCGTCACCAGCGCTCTGACAGACTGCAGTCCTTTCTGTTGATCGACGGCCTGGAGTTCAACAACCTATCCACTATTCATTCGCTACTGAAAACGGAGTTATGCTCTCCAGAATATCAGCACCGGACCGCCTCGCATTCTATTCCGCCTGGCAAACATGAATCCAGCTCCGGCCATTCCGGCCAACCTCATCAATCCGTCGTTTGAGGCGCTCGAGGAGCGGACGACTACTGCGCAGATCAACTTCGCTGATGACACCAAGTTTATGTTCAAACACTGGCAGAGTAAGGATTGATGGTGTCTCGTGGGAAGAGCTCGACTGACTTTGCCAAGCGTTTCATCTTCAGTCGAATTTCGCGAGCGATATTTCAGTGCCACGAACAAGAAACTTGTTCTGGCGAATCTGGAGTAATCCGAACCAAAGAATATCTAATGCCGACTTCTCGTCTTTATGGCAACAATGCCGCGGACCCCAGGACCTGACACCTTATCAACCTGATCCACGGCATTGGATATGGCGACACCCACCGAATCGAGAGCCTACGCCGGTGGCTAAGAAGCAGCCACCGTGCGATGAGCCATCCGACATCGAACCTTTGCCAACTCCAGAAAGTCCCGTTTCGGAGAGAGTCAAGTGGGACGAAGGAGGCTTGACTGGGAGCAGCAGAACAAGACGTGAGCGCACATCGTCTGGAGCGGGCGGAACGACGTCCTCACGACCTGGAATGAGGAGATCGGCTAGTGGCCGGACGGTGGGTACAACTGGTACAAGAGCCGGTAGGGCTAGGCCTGGACTTATGAGGTCAAGATCAAGCCAGAGCCGGCAGCCTGGATCGCGCACATCGGACAGTCCCGTGCCAACCACGACCATCAACACGGAAAGGCCGAACCTGCCGCGAAGACAGAGCGTCAACTTCGAAGTGCCCGATGATGACGATGAGTGGGAGGACGGCGAAGACGACAATAACGATCAGGCGGGTGATGCCCACGTCAAGCCGCCGGCCAGCGATGGCAGTAGCGATACTGGCACACTGGTCGAGAGTGATTTTCGATCGCAGTTTGAGTTGGCTCGGCAGATGTCAAGTGGTACTAGCTTTACGCCTTCGACATTCTTGCCCAGGATCAGGAGCTCAGTCCGGTTTGCTGACGATACAAAACACGAAGCCGCCTCCCCTCGTCGCAAGCAACGGTTGTCGTTTAGAGAGCGGTCACACAGTCAGGTCCTAGCAGATAGCGACGACTCGGATGAGACCGTACTGGCCAACATGCCACGCAATGCCAGTAATCTGAGCCAGCTTATCAAGGACAAACGGCAACAGAGCGGCACACTAGACCTTGGACCAGCTCCACCGGATAACGTCGAGCTGCTTGAAGCTAAGAAGAAGGAAGAGGAACTGCTGCGCAAAGGTCGCGAAGCCGCCAAACCGAACATTCCACGGTCACGGCATCCCAGCAAGGAGAGACCGAGCGGTGAGTACATCGGTCCAGACGACATGTCTACATTTTAAGGAAGAATCCTCAAGAGGAGGATATGATTTGTATCATCACTAATTGCAACTTGATGATTTTACGACGAGACGGCCTGCAGATGTTGTACCAATATTGTCGAGGGCTGTACAACTGATGGTCTTGGTTTAGGCACAGCCTCTTGGTTTTAGGCATTTCGGGAAAGCTCTCATGGTTGAGCAATCGGTCTTCGAGCGACGAAGTCATCAACTATAGATCTAGACAAAAGCGAGTGTGTTGGCTGGACTGTAGACTTCTGAAACTGATATACTTTTTCGAGGCGTTGAATAGCCGGCGAGGCTTTGGTGGACGCCCGGGCGGTTCTGGCCCGTTGCTCTTTCCTTGCCTTTTGTGGTGCTTGCCACGCTCTATCGTGCCTTCCAACCTGATGTTGTGCTGCCATCGTCAGGAGCACTTCAGCGACTTCCTCAAGACGCGTTCAACTTCTGTCCAGCGTTGCCCACACCGTTCTCTTGAGGAAATATGACCATTCTCGGATATTTGCGCTCTGGTCGACTTGGGGAGATCTTCAAGTTCTTCTCCAACTTACAATCGATGGTTTGAAGCCCCGCTTTCTGGCGCTATGATAGACATGATTGGCTGAATGGCGTAATTACTGCAGGGTCAGAGAGGTGTGAGTCGGTCGGAGGCAGTGAACTGTGAGTGAATTCGAAAAGGCGATTTGACTGCGCTCACTTCTTTACCACCACCAGGGCATTCACCTCAATTTGTACTCGAAGTACTACAATCTACAGCAACATTTAACCCTGTGCCATCATCTCGATCATAGGCCACTGCTTGTCGACCGTTCAGCCCATTTTTACCGACACGAACACGGCTGTCCCCTCTTCTCCTCCTCCTACCTCGTGCACCACTCACACACAGCCCAACACACGTGTCGATTACCTTCAAAATTACACATCTCGATCTCCTCACCATCACTGATCTGCAACACATTTTGTGCAGCCACAACACCACACCTCGAGCCTGCGTCGACACCACGGCCAGACTTGTGCTGGTCGTAGGCTATGTCACCTCGCCGCTCATCGAGAGCTAGGAGCTCAGCTAACCCACCTCCAACGTCCCACACCGCATCATCCACGTCCTCAACGACGCTGAAGAACAACAACACCCTCCAGCGCTCTGTTTCCGCCGAAGACATCGACGATCAAGACGACGAAAAATCGACTGAGCCCATCATGCCTCGACGCAGCCGACGGACTGGCGCCGACGAGTCTCGTGATGCCTCACAGTCCTCCAAGCCCAACGATGCCTTCGATCGCCAAAGACTGGTCGAAGAAGAAGGCGAAGAAGTCACTCGCTGCATTTGTGGTGAGACCGATTACCCTGGTCCCAGCAATAACCTGCTGAACGCACGAGGCCTTCTTGGTAAGTCATGAAAATGCGACCGAATGCCCGAGAAATATCTACTAACAGTTCTGGCAGCCGCCGACATACCCCCATATAGAATAAAAGACGTGGGCGACTTCTTCGTCCAGTGCGACAAATGCCTTGTCTGGCAACACGGTGGCTGCGTTGGCTTCGAACGCGAGGAAGAGCTACCCGACGAATACTTCTGCGAGAATTGCAAGCCTAGACTACATAAGATCTACAAGGAGCACAATGGGCGACGCTCGCACTTCTTCACAGTCGGCTCGCTAAACAAGGTCGCCAGAGTCGACTCTGGCCGGACCACAGACAAGGTCGTGCCAAACGATGAGTCCAGATCCTCTTCCACTTCCTCGGGAGAGGTTCGAAAGAAAGACAGCAAGAAGCAAAATCCTGCAAGCACCACTAGGCGAGCCACCATGAATAGTCGTGGAGCCTACGACGAGGATGAGATGCTACGACGGGCTATAGAAGAAAGTAAAGGCGAGCTGGTACTCTCGGCAAGCGAACGAGAGATCTTGATGACGAGTAAGTCCTGCGAATTCTCTAGGGGACCTAGGACTGACTCGAGACAGTTCTAAGCAAGTCCTAAAGCGCCAACGTACTGGCTCTATGTCCTCCGGCTCGAAACGAAGCGACTCCCCGTCTGCAATAGACGGCAAGAATACTGGCAAGAGCAGACAGACACTTCGTGGTGCAGCAGCAAAAACGCACAAAGAAAGAGAGGCACGTGAGCAAGCCAGAGAAGAGCAGGCTGCGGCAAGAGCGGAAGCAGCAAGCAAGCGCCACGCTAGATCCGAGCGCCGGCGAGTAGATGGTAAGTCCTTCTGATACGAAATTCCTCAGAGCCCGTGCCCAGTTCCAGATCCGCAGGAGGGTTAGATGAGCCAAAGAATAGGCACTAATACTGCATTCACAGACTCTCCGCCTCCCTCACCTTCCGTCTCGCCTGCGAAAGGCCCATCCAACACAACGAACAAAAGCAGAGACAACGGCAGCAGACCGGATGTCTCTGGGACCAGCAACAGCAAGTCGAAAGCAAAATCAAAACCGCCGTCTAGAATGGGTCCCAACGGCCGCCGAATCGGCGCAAACCAGTACACACGTGGCCGCGACGCAGCCACAGAGGACACGCCTGGCCCGAATGGCGAGTCACACATCAACGGCAACAGCGGCGGCGGCTCCCCAGCCGCTAATGGCGTGCACCACAACGGTATCATCAACGGAGAGTCCGGCCGCAGCAGCAAGGCCAAGACTCATCCTGCTAGGACCAGCCTGAACGAAATGAAGCGGCGAGTTGCGGCGATACTGGAGTTTGTGAACCAGATGCAGGCTCAGACGGAGTCGAAACAGCCGTCGACAGCTTCCAAGGACGCCAAGAGTAGGAAAGGCACCGGTGGCGAGTCATCCGGTTCAGAGAAAGGAGGAGCGTCCACACCGTTGGCCGGAGGTGCAGTGCAAGACCCGGCTGCTGCAGCCGCCGCAGCTGCCACGGCGGGAGCGGTAGCTGATATGGTGAAGGCTGTCAGGGACGCCACCGAGGATCTCACGAAGACCGACAGTGCTGACTCCGGCAACAACAGTGCCGAGGGAGAGAATGCCAACAACGACAACGCTTCTGCTACGTCAGCAGGAAGCACATTGCAGAAGGCTAAGTTCAGAGATGACGCCGATTTCGCCAGCATGAGCGCCTCGGACATGATGGAGGCGCTCAAGCAGGAGTTGATCAGTTGGCAGGCGTGCTATGGTGTTTGGGCGCGGTAGAGCCTGCGGCCCGTGAAGAGCAGGATGTGATTGTAGGATACTTCTGTTGAGACTGACGGGGCAAGAATGGCGTCGTCCTTTTTGTGGGCGTGTATGGTATGTTGTCGTTCGCTTGTTGATGGCGAAGGGGCAGTGCCTTTTGAGAAGATACCCAGCATTAATGGTAGAACGACATGGGAATGAATGGAGAAGCTTCTTCCTCTTTCGGCTGATCACTCTGTGCTCGGGATCCCCATCGTGACTCATCTTCATTGGGCCTTGCTGGGAACATATCGACTGGCGTATCGAAAGGACGTCAAGTGGCACGGCGCAAATACGTGCGTGCCTGGTAGCTTCGGCCCGGGTCAGTCGTCACCCAGTCAAGCGGTTCCCCTTGAGGTCCAGCCCAATGCCGGCAGTTGCGGGCACGATTTGTTCTTTTGGTTCCTTCTCGTGGCACTGATGATCAACGGATGTCGGATCAACTTGAGCCTCAGTTGAATTATCATCGGAGTCATAGGACGTCCTCGTCTTCTCAAAGTGGCGCTTCTGTTAGCATCTTGTTGAACTCTGGTCCCTTATATGGTTTGCGTTATAGCCCACGCTGATTGGTTTCAGGTTGTTCCCGTGGGGCTAATGCTGGAAGCCGTACTATCGGAACGCTCCCAAAGATCCCGCCTCCGGCAGCGTAGCCTCTGTGCCAGCCAGCATGCCTACCACGCAGAAGCCCAGTTCTTCCCGGCCTACGTCGAAGACTTCCCACCAGTTGCACTCGCCGACGGGTATCTTCACCTGCAGCTCTCGCGCCGCGAGGTAGATGGCTGCTACTGCTAGGGCCGTAGGCTGATGGGTTAGGTACAAGTATTGTCCGTTGGGGGATAGCAGGGCTGTGTTAAGGTGTGACAGCACTCGAGTCGTGAGTTCGGTGTGTTGCTGGTTGGGAAAGAGGAGGGTCAGGTATGTCAAGGCCAGCGGGTGTGGGAGGGAGACGTTGGTGTTGAAGGCGAGGGAGATGAGGAGGCGGGATTCGAGTTGGAAAAGTAGGAGGCGGTGGCGTTCGAGCGCGCCTTCGGAGACGTAGTGCGATGAAGGATCAGGAGGAGATGTGGTCGTTGCTGATGTCCTTGCGGAAGGGCTGATGAAGGGTAAGGGCGAGCTGGTCTGGGAGGTGAGGAAGGCGTAGACGTTGATGAGATTGCGTGGGGAGGTTGGGATGGAGGAGAGTTTGGCGGAGAGGTAGAGGGCGGCTGCGGAGAGGTGGGCGAGTTCGGGATTGGGTTTTGTTGATTCTATGCCGTTGGTGGTGGAGGTAGCGATGGGTGATGAGGCAGAGCTGATGAGGTAGCGCTGTAGTAGGACGATGGCGGTAGCTATCGTTTCTTGTGGTAGTCGTAGGAAGATGCCTGCTGCTTGGGTGAGGAGGAAGGTTGCGAAGTGGGAGGAGGGTGTGGATACTATGGAGGACGATTTGAAGTGTAGGAGTTGCGTTGATGTTACGAGTGGGTTTGTGATGGCTGAGATGTCTGGCTTCATGGCCATCTTTTCTTCGTGTCTCTCAGCCGCTAACGAGTGGTTTCGTTTATGCGACGTGTGAAAAGCACACCGGCAGAGGATGGCAGCAAGATGGAAACCGGCATAGGAAATCTGCCTTATTTCTGCAAGGCAAAATAAAAGTGAGGCAACCTCGGTAGAAGGCACGTCATTACCGTGATCTGAACTTTGGAGCTACGGTTTACATGAAGTCTGATCTACCATACCACAACCTGCCTACCTGCCATTCCTGAGCTCGACATCGATTGCTAGGTCGTCGGTGGATGACAGCCGCTGTATTTGCTCTTTCTGCTGTACTCCTTTGCAGTCTCTACCTTACCGTTTGCACCTGCTGCTCAGACGTGCGCATTTCCGTGTTCCTCTAAACAGCCTCTCTTCTTCCGCCTACAATGCCACCACCAACCCAGTTCCAACAGCAAATCTCCGCCCCCTCCGACACCATGTCCGTCGCAGCCCGAGGCTTCGCCATCGGCGGCTCGCGCTTCCTCTGCATATCCCTCATCGCACACATGCTCCTCACACGCATCCACCCTGTCTATCGACGTCTCACCCCGCAGTTCAAAGTATTCATACAACTTTCTTCGGGTATGCTGGGAGGGTGTATATTCGCGGAGAGGGCGGTGACGGACTATAACGATAGCATACGGAGGAGAAATCGAGCGTTGGAGAGAAGTCGGAAGGCATGGAGTGAGGAGATGGAGATCCGAGAGAGGATTGAGAGGGAGATTGAGTTGGAGGAGCAGGCTGAGGCGAGGGCGGCTGCTAAAGGGTGAGGAGGGCGATGCTGGTAAGCCATGCGGCTTGCAATTCGACGTGTCGGGATGCCATCAGGCCGTTGACCTGGACGTTTCATGGCTCAACGATCTTAGCAAGGGCGACGCAGCCTCAGCTCTGGTTCATATCGTAGCTATAGGGCCACTTGAGAAGGAAAGCATACTGAAGACTAGCGCACTGGACCACACACTTCTGCGAACAGCTAGACCGAAGGTTCGACTCGGCAGAGAGACAAAATATATGGTAGCGCAAGTACTCAGTGAGTATGTGGTCATCCGGAGATAACGATCTCGACATCCTGGATACTACACTACCTGGGTTTGCACCGCACTCTAGCGCACAAAAGGACCTTTTGGCAGCCGTCCTCAAAAATGCAAAAACTCAACTCGGGCTCGAGTTTCACGACGTAGCTGAGAAAATCCACGACCAAGTGCTTGAACCAGACCCAAGCGGAGTCTGGAGTCGAGCTACCATTATAGGGAGCGCAAGTTCGTCGCGCACTGGCTGGATTTTTTTTGATATGCTTGTGGCAACAGCGCTATTCGATTACATTCTGTACAACCTTAGGCAGATCTATGGATCACAGCTTCAGGACGAGTAGGCACCTCCGCCAAATGAAACCTGTTCAGACAGATCTATGGATCACAGTCTTTAGGATTCTGGGTCGGATTGTTGGAGGAAATATTCGATATTCGAATATATGACTACTTTGATATGAGGCAGAGGTCAGGGGGTTTGGCGAGGCTCCAGTTGAGGCAGCAACGAGTCTTGTTGGTTCACGTTTTGGTCGGTTCACGCCTCTTGGTTTCCGACGACAGCACTCAGACCTCAGCGAATTCTCGACAACCGACTTCATGCTCTACTGGCTACGATTCGAATGTCAAGGTCTTATGTTGAGCAGCGATTGATACAATTTCACAGAGATATCAGGGACGGATCTGAGACTCTCTTCCTTGGTGATAGCGCGCTCAATCATATCCTCGCAGTGACAAACGTACGCTTCTCAGGCACACGTCGACACCCTAATTGCCGCTATCGGGTAGCCTCGCCACTATGACTCGAACTCTTTCTGCGCCATCCTGGGTGCGTTCTCACTACACCGTCGTAACGTGGTCCAGGAGCTGACAATATCTCGATAGGACAAGCCTGAGCCAAATCTCGTGAGCATGCCAACCGAGATCCTCAAAGAAATCATTCAGTACACTATTCCGCACGTCTTCACAATCAACGCAACATATTGCAACAACACGTGGGAGCAATATGGCCCATTCAAATGGAGTCCATCGTTCCTCCCCGGCCTCCTCCTCGTCTCTAAGCGGATTGGTCGTGTTGCACGGAAGATCCTTTTTGAACGGGTCAAGTTCTGTATCTGGGTTCATTTGACATGGTTTAACTGCCTCTTGGATGCTTCACATGCGAAAGTACCGGCTGATGTTGGGATCAAGGTCCGAGAGCATTTCGAGACGGTGTTCGCGAGGAATGGATAGACGATGACGGCTGCCTAGAGTCGTACTGAGGGGATGGAAAGCAACACCCTATGCCCAAGGCTCCCCACGGTATCTAAGCTGCCCTGCGGCGAAACCATACTATTCGCAAGCTGATAGTGGTCATCACACGATCCATTGAAGGCGAGGAACATACATTATAGCAGGTACCTGTTCAGATTTTCTGGCCACAACGAAGCATTGTCCAAGCACGATGAGAAGGGATGGCTTGGTGTTGGACTTCCGTCGAACACGGAGTATCTCGGGCATCTCCACCGCAGAACCTGAGCGATGCTTACTGCATTGTACCTGCCGTTGAGGCAAATGGGCTATGGAGTATCTACGTGGCAACAGGCGACGATGATGTCCCCAGGCAACACAATCTTGGGAACTGAAGTTTGCTACCAATGACACAGTCTACACACCGTCTGTGAGTTGGGTACTTCCAATACTTGTGCAGCGACTGGATGCTGCCGAGACCTGCTGTCGACGCAGTTGTTGGCAGGCGCAACAGGCCCGATAGACTGACGGCCGCGAACTCATCGGTGCGTAGTTCATTAGATACAGTAGTAGGTTATTAGCAGGCCTCGCTCAATGACATTGACCGTTCAAGACCACCGGTGAGACGTTTCTTACAACGGCGGGTGCCACTGCAATCCCTAAGATCGTCGCAAGGAGTCGTGCCAGAGAAATCAAGGACGATGGCAGCAGTGGAGACCCCCTGACATTGTGACCTCGAGAAATGCCAAGGCATTTTCTGGCCCCGCTCGGCAGTGGCTGCAAAAGCTGTTTCCTTCCGACTGCGCAGTGAACACATCATGACTTGACTCTACCATCACCCACTCAATTATTCGCCGCCCGATATTCCAGCATCGATTTGGTCTCATTCCCCATCAGCAACACTACAGCATTGATTCCAGCTGCCCTTCTATCGCAGCATACAGCCGCCCGCACCGCAGGTCGACTGCTGATTAATGTATGTGTCCTCGAACCGGCACCAGCAATATCAAGATAGACTCGCCAGTATTGCTTTGGAGGATGCTACAGCCGAGAATCTGCTCCACACGAACATTGGATCGGTCCAAATGCTAACGGGAATGGTTTATCAGACTACAGCTCACCGCGCCACCCCCCATTTTGATGGCAGTGTTCGATTCCTCAATTGTTCGATAGTGACGGAGGTTGGCCCAGCATGTCTTACGGTATGTCTCACTATGCCGCGGCCTATGAGTTGGAACTTGGAACAGACTCCATGGTGATTCGAGACGGAAGGATTGACCAATGTTCTACAGACGGAACCTACCTCTCGTCAGCGAGGGAGAGGGATCGGCCCTCAGCAGTCTTTCCCGATCGGTTGATTGCGCCCTTACCCAAGAAGTCACTCAAGTCGAGATTGTCCCAAGAAGCCGCAGAATCCATCGAGTATCCTCCGACCCTACCATCTTCGAGCCTCCCTACCTACTCGCACTACGATAGCAGCGTCGAGTATGTGAATGATCATCGAGTGGCGGGCGCTGACGGGGATCTCTACGACGATCACGATCATGAGCACTACCTTGATCATGATCATGACCATGACCACGACCATGACCATGATCACGACCACGACCACGATCACGATCACGACGAGGATCACTGCCCACACCATCATCATCACCATCACTGCCCTCACGAGGACGAGGATGAAGATGTCGACTCCGCTGATGATACAAGTCCGGTAGCATTACGGCATGCGGGCTCTTATCGCTCGCCGCCAAGGTCGCCACGGTCTGCTCGCCATGCTCGATACGGCAGTCACAGTGGGAGAGGAGGTACATCTGGGGATGGCTACGAGGCTTTCGAAAATACAAATAACAAGAAGAAGCGCAAGATACCTACTTCGGGCAACCATGCCCATCTCACAAACGAGATGGCTCAGCTGGGCATCAACAGTCACGATGAGCGCAACGATGATGTGCACGGCCTGGTAGGATCGACTGGACTTGGTGTGCAAGGAGCCGGCCGCGGTCACTATGCACGCAAGCAGAGCACACGCAGGCCTCTGGGCATCTCTACTAATGGTACCAATATGCGGAGTGCGACTGCCAAGTATGACCAGAACATGGCGGCCACTGCCAAGGCTGAGGATCAGAAGGACCAAGGTATTATCTCGGCAGCTATCGCCAACGCTACGGCTCTGCTTCGGAAGCCACTTAGCAAGGGGCAAGAGAATATGGGTGTCCTGGATCAGCAAGCCAAATCAAGTCCGCCTAGTTCGCAATTCACTTTCACGTGCGAGAGCGACGCCAAGGATGTTCAATTTCCTGAGCAGAGCTTGCATCATGGGTACGCGCAAACGCGAGCACATCCCCCAACTCCGACCCATGCCGGCCAGCGACCAGTCAACAATGCCACGCAGTCAGTCGCGCCGCCGAACCTGAATCAAGCCCCACCTCCTCTTGCGAATGCCGACCCTCCGCCAAGAAAGCCTCGTCGAAGAAGAGGTGATGTTTACCAGCTAGCGGCTCGCCAACGACGGCTACAGCAGGAATATACGAATATCCAGCATCCTCCCTCCCGAGCAGACATCTGGATCTGTGAGTTTTGCGAGTACGAGAGCATCTTTGGGTACCCGCCAAGCGCTTGATTCGACAGTACGAAATCAAGGACAGAAAAGAGCGACGAAGACTAGCGGAGAAGCAGCGTCTTCTCGAAAAGGCAAAGGCGAAGGGCCGCAAGGGCAAGAAGCAGACCAAGGCAGCCAAAGCCGCCAACCATGCATCTCAGCAAGCCGCGAACAGGAGCAACTACGATCAAGAGCCATTGGATCAGTTAGCGGACGACGACTTGGACTATGGCTACGACGACGACCCGGAACCGATGCCAGCGCCGCCACCAGCACCAATCAAGCAGCCCATGCCTGGGACTTATGATACCGCGGGCAAGGGCGGAGGGACGAGCGGCGGCGGGGACGTGCGATAATTCGACTTCTGCTGCCACTGCTACCCTCGGCTACTGCTGCGTATCTGTCTGTCGCTTTCGCATGGGTTCTGGTTGGCGTTCTGTCTGTATTGGTGTTTGGATTAGATACTTTGCCCTCTCTCGTACCCTCTTTGAATCGCACCCTCACCTGTGTCGCTTTGTACACAGCACTCGTAGCACCTAGCACCTAGCTCTCTGCACATAACTCCGCTCAAATGAAAGTCAAACCTATACATTACTGTTGCGAACTTTCAGATCGAAGTTTCGAAAACGTGGTGAGCGGCTAGATCCGCAGGGGGCGTGGCGCTGCAATTATTGCGCCCGGGTCCTCGTCGTCGATCCCTGCCGTATCGTTTAGCGAGGAATGACGCAGCCACTTTCCCAATTCCAATGCTTCGCTTCCCAGCTTTCGCGATATGACCATGGCAGGGACAGCTTTCAGCATTCCAGTTCTCTTTCCTCACCATGACTCCCAGCGACAATCAGTGAGATATACAACCACTACTGCCCTGACTGCAGGCGATGTAGGAGTCATGTCCATGACTTTTGCCTACAGTCAAAATAGCCGAAACGGGAAACAGAAACACAAACGGTGATTTTGGGACGGGGACTATAACCTTGCGAACACCCTCTCCAGGACACTGCCAGCGCTTGCACGCCGACCGCTACTGCTTCGCACAACTCTGACGACGACAGCCTCTGGCTCCTAGAACGGGGATCACGACCTGGGACCTTTTGACCATCCCAAGACCAGCCCTCCGGTGAACGACCCACCCTTTTCATAGTACGCACAAGAAGCGAAGCTGCAACCGTAACGCAACGAAACCATGCCCTTCTCCCTCCCCTCCTACCGCAAGCGCTCCCTGCTGAACATCTTCGGCCGGCTCTGCCAGCTCATCGGCGCAATCGCAGTATGCGTCTACTATGGCCGCGTGCTGCACGAGGCAATGCGAAGGGATGTTTACGGTGATGCTAGATGGGTACGTTCCTGCTTCCCGTTCCCGTTTGCTTTTGCTCTTGCATTCGCCATGATTAAGCACTTATCTCCAAAGACCTATGCTGACGTGCGCGTCAACAGATCTTCGCGACGATTACTGGATCGCTGGCTGGTATTTCAGCACTCGCCTACCTCGTCTGGACAGCCCTGTTGAATGAATTCCGCGCCAACGCTATCCTCTTCGCCTGGGATCTATTGATCGCGATCCTCTGGATCGTTACATCAGGAATATTTGGGTCCATGTACCTCACCGAGAATCCCGAAATGGATCAGGGTATCCAAGACATGAAAGTCGCGGCCGGCTTCGACTTGGCGAATATTGTTCTGTGGCTGATCAGCGCTGGCTATTGTGGATGGGTGGTGTTTGTGGCGGATCGGAGGGTGCTTAATGAGGGGCGGGTGAAGAAGGATGTGGGAGAGAGAGCGGAGTGGGTGGCGGACAGGAGATGAGGACGAAGTCCCGTCGTTGAGAGTGGGGAGAGAATGCAGCACGAAGCTGCGTGGCTGTTTGATTGTATGAAGCAAGTCTGTGGGCGTTGATGAGCTTTATACCGAAATACCGATGTCACCAGACCGATCTAGACCAACGCGGGAGACGAGATGGCAACGCTCGTTCGTCCCCTCAGCACCTGCAGGTCACGGGAGGTGTGTGAGACGCGCGGGCGATTACCTGGCGGTTACTTGCGCGAGCGTGTATACCCTTTTGTGAGCGACATGAATATAAATGCAGCATGTATCTGTGAACCATGAATTGACGCTTCAGGCGTTTCGTTTTTCGAGGCATCTGGACCAACCCCCTCGGCCATCAAAAGAGCCGATCGTGCAAGCACGTATTGAAGTATAGCCCGTAGCATCCGTCAGTAGGGTTCAAAAAGTGAGGTCAAGAGAAGCTCCATGGAGCTGAAGTAGTACAGCCAACTGTCGAACGCAGAATGAGACCGGATGACAGTTACACCGGATGACAATTACGCCGGTTGACGCCGTTTTTGGTCCGCCAGTTGACACGAATGCTTTTCGCCAAAGCACTGCATTTCATCCATCACATTCGTTGACTCGATCCGATCACAGTGTAGGCTTTGTAGAGCTCTCGCAGTCTATCTGACATATGTATGCAATGTAATTTAGTATGTATAGACAATGCGTGGTGTGTCCATGCCATCATCGGGCAGCACATGTCCACTACAGATCTGATATATACACTGATATCATTTGTTCTTCTTCCTGCAGCTACACAAATGTCTTGCTCTCGAGCTACAACCGAATGAGTAGATGAGAACCAGAATGGAATCGCTTGAACGCTTTGCACAAAAAAACCAGATGCACTTTCCATCCACAGAAATGCCGACGTTGAGAAGGTTCCTTCAAACCGTCCTAAGCATCATGCTGCTCAACCCGATCATACATCTCGTACGGGCCCTTGCCCATAATGTCTCGAAGTACAGGCGTTCGCCTCCACCACGGCACTTTCCTCTCATGGTATTGAGGTTGCGACGAGGACCCAGTGGGAGGTTGCGTCGCCCACGCAACGGAGATGTTCTCGCTCCCATCACTGACCTCGTCATCCAGTTCAGACGAAGTCATATTTCGGCTGCGACTGGGTGCAGTAGTCCTCCGCTTCAATGTAGGCATAGGGCTGCCGCTCTTGCCGCCGCGGCGGTTAAGCATAACCCAAATCATGACGGCGATGAATATTCCAATAGCAAAGCCAATAGCTGTGACTAAGATCCAATTCTTGCCCAGCCAGAAAATGAATTTGGCGTCACCCTCGTGCCAGCTATCGCCCTTGAAAGTGTTGAACCATGCCCGCTCTGCTTTTTCGGTTGAGTATTCATTCGGCATCAACACCCTGACTCGACCCTCCCATTCGCCGCCATCGGGGGCAAGACCGGCGTGTTCATTTAGCCATTTCTTCCAGATTACTGACAAGAATAACGGGCCCGTGCTGGCCATGATCGTGATGTAGGGGAGGATCCAGCTGCGGTCGGCGCCCTGGAGGGATTCTGTGACGCGGACGAAAAAGGGGTGGTTGGGGACGGAGCCCATCACGTCGTTGCTGATGCCTGTGGGGATCGTGCGCCGGACGAAGGCTTGGTATTGGAGCAGGGGGTCGAGGCGGCGTGCGCAGCCGTCGTCGAGATCGATGTAGATGCCGCCGTACTTGCGGAGGACGAAGTAGCGGATGGCATCGGCACGCTGGATTGGGTGGGAGTAGCCAGAGAAGGTAGGGAGGAACCAGGCGTAATGTTCGGCGATGAAGGAGAGGGACTCGGCGTCGCTCCATAAGTGGTATTCGTAGTCCGGCTGGTGGAGGGCGATGCAGGATTGTTGGGCTTCGAGCCATCGATCGGGGATCGTAGCATTTTTGTAGGTTTGGTGTATTATCTTGGGGATTTGTTCGGGCCAGCCTGTGAGTGGTGTGGTGGGATCGGTTGTGTTGTCCCAGGCTGGGAGTTCTGATAAGGGGATGGCATCGAGGGCGGCGTCTTCGAAGAGGAGGGTTATGAGGGTCCAGACTTCGTGAGTGAGGAAGATGAGGACGCAGGCGAAGACGACGAGGAAGATTATCGCGGAGCGTCGCATGGTGAAGGTGTTGTAGATTGCGCACGGGTCGTCGAGGTCGTATTCGGCGCACGGTGGCTCGCCGTCAGCGGCGCATTCATGTGTCTCGCCTGCGTCGTATGTAATGTCGTGAAAGTTGTACGTATTGGACTGCGGCCATGGACAGTTTGTCCTTTCGTCACTTTAGCTTCGTCACCTTATGGGCGCAGGCGGTGACGTTCGAGGACAGAGTTAGGTTTCGAGGTCCGAAGTTCGTTGTTCCAGCTGAGAGTTCGAGTGTGACCCGATTCGGCGCGGAGTTGCGTGAAGTCCTATAATCCTGATCGTCGTTGAGTGTGTGGGTAATCTGAGTGAATGAGTGATGAGAAGGAATCAACAGCGCATCGACGTCAACGAATTGTACAAAGAAACTCGAAGCAGCAGCAGTGGCAGTAGCGCAGGACGGTAGGCGTCTGCCAAAAAGTCTAGCAGGGGCGATGCCGTGCAATTGTCGGCCCCGGAATCATTTTTCCAAGCACGATGTCGTATCGCCTCGCGTTTTAGCGTGGCTGTGCAAGATTACCGCAGTGTTTTATCCCGCTTGCGGACTGTGGTTTCCGGCCGCAGGTTGATCTTTCAGGCATGCTGTGCGGCGTGCAGCCCGTGCGAAAGTGCAGTGGTTCGTTTTAGGGGGCAGCTGTCAGCGCCCAGGCTCGCAATATGCTGCCCTTCTGATGTCCTATGGGTCTCAGTCGATGGGCGAAAATGTTCACAAACGCCTGAAACTCGAGTGGTCTCCCCACTTTGAGACTCAGATACCTTCTATCTTGCCAGAAGCGCTTCGAGTAGTGTACTTGCCTAGAGGGTGTATAACATAATCTTGTTGCTCGCAACAGCCTCGGTACCCCGACAACTTGCAACTTACTGCCCAACAAAGTGCCATCTGCGAGGGGCGTGCCTGAAACCTCGTCCAATTGATGGCTGGCTGTAGTTCGTCGAGCCACGAGATATATGCAGGTCATGCACAGTCAGCACGGCACAGCATGCCAAGGTATGGCGATCGAGGCCCGAGATCGAAATGTGATCAGGGGGAAAAGTGATCGAATAATCCGAAATTGCCGATATCAAGCAGGAGATTATGAGAAATGAGATCCGGAGGTTTGGGAGTCTGAAGGAGCGCGAACGAGCTGTTTGTTGTGTACACGAAAAAGTATCTAGAATGTGACTGATATCAAGAGGAACACATCTGAGGCCCAAAAACAAAGACGCCGGCGCTATGCTTCACATCTCTCACTCCAGCTCAAACATCGCCTTTCCACCTCCACCAGCAGTAGTACCACTGCCTTTCCGGCTCCTTCCACCTCCTTTCTCATCCAAGATGGCCTCAAGACTGCCCCTGCGACTTCCGCCCAGCTTGACCCTCTCCAGCATCTCACGCAGACTCGACCCCGAGCCTCTTTCCAGCCTTCTCTTGCTCTCTTCCGTGCTTGGCCTATCCTTCGACTCTAGCTGTTGCGGTTCCTCTACCAGCTCTGCAGACACAGGCGGAGCTTCCTCCTGCTGCCACCCAAACCCCTCCGCCAGACAGTAATTCCGGTACAAGTACCCCTGCATCCTACTAACCTGCGCGTCCCATTTCTGATCCAACGCGTTCACGGCGGAAATGATATCGTGCTCGCTGAAACTCCCCACCGAGGATCCCGAGGCCATCCGCTTATGTGGAGTCTCTCGACCGCTATGACGGCTCGTGAAGCTTCCTCCCATGCTAGAGAGGTTTGTCATGCGTTTCTTGAGTGATGAGGTGTGATGGCCGGCGTTGTAGATGGTGTGCTTGGTGGTGGGCGAGGAGCTACCGACGTGATGGTCAAGCATGGCGATCTCCTGGCGGACCTTCTCCATCGCTTTCGTGCGGTCAGCATCCATAGCGGGGAGGTACTGGAGGGTGCGGTTCTTCTCGAGGGCGTTGACGAGCACCGTGAAGCTTTGGAGGTTCAGGTCGTTGTGTTCGCAATGAATCTCGAGGAGGGAGTCGTTGGTTTCGATGACTTCAGCCAGCGTGCTCGCGCCTTGTAGACCAAGGCTTTGGTGTTCAATGCGTAGGATCTTGAGGGTGTGGTTGTGCGAGAGGCCGCGGAGGGCGATGTTGAGTCCGATGCCGAAGCGCGTGGCGTCGAGATGGGCATGCTCGCCGCTGATGTCGAGCGTTTCGAGTGTCTCGTTCTTGGCGAGCATGTCCTTGAGCGCTTCGCAGGTTTCGGTACCGGCGTCATACGGTAGGGACGCTTTCGCCATGTCGAGTGAGCGTAGAGTGGTATTGTGCGTGAGCGCTTCGATGAGTTCGCGGAAGTAATGCTCCTTTTCAAAGTCCATCATCCGCATGGTGAGCGAAGATGGGCCGCAGTTGTCGGCAATGGCCTTGAACAGGTTCGACATGCCCTGCTTCAGCCGATTCTCGTTGGCGCTGATATGCATTTCTCGGGCGACGCCAGGTACTCGGACCATGGAACGGAAGAAGACTGCGAGGTCTCGACCAGTCAGACCGCACTGATCCAGATACAACTCCCGAAGGATCTCAGATCGATGGCTGGCCAGATATGCTGCGATTGCATCGACGGTCTGCACATCGAGGGTGGTCTGCGAGATGTGCAATGCCTCCAATCGCCAAGTCATGAGTGTTTCGGGCGGGATTAGAGGCTCAGGACCAGCATTCTTGTGGACACGAGACAAGTTCAGCCGACGAATGTATCGGAAAGCACTTATGTGCCGTTGAAACATCAACGCGCTGAACTTGCCCTGGACGCCAGAAATATTGATGACTTCCAGAGTGTTAGCCTGAACCGCCAATGTTGATAGCAGCACGTCCGCGTCATGGACGGACAAGTCGCAGCCACCAACTTCAAGTGCTCGAAGGTGGCATATCCGCTCCGACGCAGCATCGACAAGAAAGTTGACGTCCGAATCAGCCAAGCGCACACCATTGAATACAACCCAATCCACGTTTGTCCACCCCTTCTTGCACAACGGGAACAGAGCTTCCGGTATGCAGCAACTATCGGCTTCTTCTTCACCCTCCGACAACGCTGGGAACGCAGACGAAAAGTCAAGCCGCCTCAATTTGCGATTCTTCAACGCCAGCGCTCGAACCTCCTGTGACAACACAGGCAGGTCGTAATGACCGAGCAGATTCAGCCCCTGCCCGGCCCGATTGCAGACACTGTCGATGTCGGTCGCATACACGTCGTACAGATAGCGCAACGTGCAGAGATTCACATCTGCGAAGGAGATGGAAACAAATGACTCGTTGTATCGCAACGCCCGGAACACAGCTAAGAGCTCGAGCGTGGTATACTTGCCATTCCCAGTAGCAGGCAAAAGCTGAAACCGTGGTGCATCCTCGCAGTTGTGATCTACAGTATAGCAGATGCGAGAAGTGTCCGCGTCGTATGCCGCACAGTATGCCATCAGAGTCCTGTCGAAGCACTTGTAGTCCTCGGCCGCCGAATGAGCACCTCGCATGTAGTCATCAAGGGCGTACGGAACGTCGAATAAGAATGGTTGCCGAAGCCATTCTGGACGAATCCACTCAGTTGCCGTTCGTATGCAAATCGCAATAGCATAAGCGTCAGAAGACGCAAGACTGGCTGTATATGGTGGACGGAGAGGCGATTTGAAGGTCAGCTGAAACGCGTCATCCTGCTCAGAGTGGACTTTTACGCTAGTCAGTAGCGCCAGCCCGAATGATTGAGGTGACTCGAAGTCGACCAGCGATGTCGACGATGCACGATCGTTGGCACGGATATGCGGAACAAGGTGGATCTTGTGCAGTCCGACCGCCAGATAGCAGACAGTAGAAGTGAGCTTGGTGAGGTCTTCGGCCGACGTTCTGCCAACGCTTTTGTTCGGACCAGCCCTTTGCGCCGCTCTGTAGACATGGAAGTGTTCCGGGTCATAGTCCCCATCGCGCTCTACCGCTCGGGCAACATAGTCGATAATGGTCGGACTCAAGTCGGCCTTCTGTCGCGCTCGTGCTGCCGTTGCACCATTCCGGATCGATGAGATCCATTGTTCTGCTTCGTTGGGCTCACTGATATGCAACTGTATAGTAGCAGACTTCTTGCCTTGTTCGTCCAGAGCGGCAACCTCGATCGTGAAGAAAGGACGACCGTCGTCTAGCTTGTACACTGCAACAACCTGGTGGAGAGGAATGCATGCTGCTATATCGTGGTACGCTGCTACTGGCACATCGGTGTACGACCCGACAGACATACGTGACGTAGTCCTCGTCATGGCGGTCGATATGCCGGCGAACATCTCTGCAGCTCTGGCCTGGGTCCTGAAGCGGATGAGATGTGTATCGGTAAGAACCGCATAGTGACTCTTCTTTCGGAAGACATTCGTCGCCGCAGCCTGGACCTCGGAGTGGTGCAAGACACTGTTCCCGAACAGCCCTCGCTTGGGCATGTCTTGGTCTTCATGGGTGGACGAGTTCTTGGAGTCTGACCTCTTCAATAACTCTTTCTCGTCAGCATCGAGTGACTGCAGTGAGCGTAAAGAGCCAAATGTTGAGACTCGACTCTGCTTCTGTAGCGTACGAGGCCTACTTCGTGGACTCGAGGGATCGACGACGTCAATAGCCGAATGTGGTACTGCATTCTCGGGTGTGAGAGGGGAAGGGTTGAAGGATGTTGTCAATTGTGGTACAGCCTCGTGTTTCTGGCGGAAGATGCTCAGGCTTTTCCTGCGTCTCTTGTCTGCCATGTTCACTGAAGTCGAGCTCACTTGACGGTCAGGATTGTGAGGGAAGGAGCGGGCTTCACAAGCCAGTCATGGCTACCCTTGCTGCGACATGTTGCTCACGTCCTGGCAGTCGCGGCGACACGTTCTGCGGTACTTCTCTCTTGCACTTGTGCTTCTAGGGTGCACAATGAGCTGTTCCACTAGATCCGTCTTCGTTGTCCAACCACGTGGAGGCCGGCTGCTGTGCTTCAATATACTATCCAGATCTAATCTTGATGTCACTGGGATTCGAGTCCACAGTGGGGATATAGGTGCGACCAATATCCGAAGCTCGTCCACAACGAGTGAGCTCTGGTGTATTCAAGAAGCACAGAGTGCTCGAGCTTGCATGTGCAGTCCTTGGTTCTGATCCTTATCACAGCCCGCCCGCACTAGGAGGTTGGTCGGTCGATACGGCTCGCAGATTACCTTGGAAATGCTTGGAACTAGTTCGAGGATAAGGTCAGGTACGCTTGGGCCTGCGCAGACAGAAACTCCGAGCATTAATGCTGGTGTGAATGTGCTGAAGGACTGGACTGCCAAAGAGACTGCTTGGGCCCCCAGGAGGACATTTTCCAACGGAAATCTTGAGGGCAGGACGCCATGCTGATCATCGGCAGGGAAGTGACGTTGGATGATCCGATTTTAAAGAGGAGATTGCGCAAGCTTTGGAGTAGATATCACAATATCGCTCCGAGCACATCCGAACTTCCGATGCGATGAAGGAACTTACAACTTAAGTACTGAGATATCATGCGTACGGTGTACACATGCAGGTACTTTCTGTACCTGTTCCTTCCTGTCAAGTACCTGTGTAGAACCCTAGTACTGTTGTACACAAAGCAGGTACCTACCTAGTCCGGACCCAGCATCTGCCATATTATGTTCCAAGTAGCAATTACAGAACCACACTGCCCAGCGCAACAGGCAGTCCAAGACTGGCCAACGTTTTATAGTGAATACCTACAGCGGCCCATGGCATCGCAGCCTTCACCTCTTACGAGCATAGGGACGGCTCTGCCCAGGCGCTAGCTGAAAAGTAATCGTACACTCACTGCAACTGCAATGCCTCCTCATCCAACACCCCAAAAAGCTCCTCGATATACTTCAACGTACCCTGAATCTCCTTCGCCAACTGCCCCGTGACCAGCGCATAAGCATACACAACGCTATAATCCTTGTCTGTCGTCTCAACTCCCCCTCCCTCCACAATCCCCTTCCGGTACGCAAAAATCCGCGCCAATAGTCGATCGCGCGTTCGATCAATATTAGGCAAGATCTCCGTATCCAGCGGAAATTCCAGCTTCATCGAGCTGGCCAGCACGCTGAACATATGGCTGATGCGACTGCAGAGCTGCTCACGTTCTGCCTTTGTTGCGCGGAGGAGGGACTTGAGGCCTGGCGAGGCGTGGGAGTCTTTGGGGATGACGACGTTCATTTCGTGGAAGGTGTCCATCATTCGTACGGTGCCGTTGACGATTTTCGTGTACGTTGCGTGTGGGAAGGGGCCGCGGAGCTCGAATTCGGATTTTGCTGAGTCGACTAGGGCTTGGAGTTTTCGGACGAAGCGTTGGAGTTTGAACTCTTCTGCTAGGTCCATGTATGGGTGGATGTTGGTGTGTCCTTCGAGGAGGATTGTTAGTGGGTCGCGTTTCCAGATTAGGCCCATGCGCAGCCAGATCAGAGAGAGTCCTTCTTTGACGTTCTGTCTTGCTGAGATTGGCCATACGACTCGAGTGATGATGAGGCCCCAGATGCAGCCGACGATGACTGATGTGACACGATGTCCGGCGATCTCCCATATGAGTGGATTGTTGAAGTCGTCTTCTTCATCGCCATCATCGACCTCGTCCTGGACGGATAAACTATATGCGTACAGCGCGCTGAGATTGTATGTCAGCATGATGAATCGTGCCATTGGACCCTTTCCCATGACAAGGTTGATGTAGCCGGTCCAGTATGCCATGGCGAATCCGATCACCGCGAGGATGTATGGGTTGCCGCTGGAGACAGGCCAAGCGATAATAGCCAAGACTGCTCCGAGACAGGTACCCAGGATGCGAGAATAGCCTGTGGTGTTCGATGCCCCGATAGTCATGCTGCAGACCAGCATGTACGACAGAAGACCCCATTCACCTCTCCAGTGGCTGTAGAACGGCCGCGACGCTTCAATGAAGCTAGGCAGTGCGTATATGATGGCTCCGATCCCGACCTTGATGGCGAATTTGATGTCAGCTCGTCGGAAAAACGAGAGTCTATCGTACAGCATGCGAAAGTGTTTCCTCTTCGTTGCCTTCCAAGAGCTGTCGGTTGGCACCTGGGCAGTCTTGCCATCATCTTTCTTCAACTGGAGGTCGACTTCGCTGGGTCTGCCAGGCCCGAGCGCGTTTAGGTCCTTGTCTGATGGACCACGGGGATCCTTCTGCCAGAATTTGAGCCATGTCCAAGACCGTCGAGTCTGGTAATAGCAATCCTCTTGCATCTCGTCGAGGATATGCAGATAGTCCTGTACGTCTTCCACAACATCGATCAATGAATTCGAGAAATGACCACAGCAAGCGGCAGCTTCCTCCCAGTCCGCTTGCACCTCCATTGGGCGGTTGCGATCTCCGCTTTGGGCGTATATAGCACTGAGAGCAGATTCACGAGCTGCCTTGTACAAGTCCATGGCACGTTGTAAACTGATTTTATACTTTGGATGCGCTGTGATCTCGAAGTCGTGCTCGGGGTCAAACGGCAGCTCATCAAGGATCTCCTTGAGTGTATAAGCCAAGGATCGTATCGAAGGTCCTAAATGATCCATGAACACGTCAAAAATCTCTGCTGGCGTTCGAAATGGCTGTTCAGTATCTTTGGGCTGGCCGTTCTGTCGTGAAGTGTCTAGAACATCGTCTATCTGAGACATTCGGGCCATATTCCTGCCAGTAGCGGATGGAGAGGACGGCATACTCGCGATAGACCCGATCCTCTGATGCATGCCAGTGTAGGAGGGGAAGGACTGCTGGACCAGAACAAACTGGATGGCTGCGGTACTACGCAAGCCACCGATACTTTGACTGAGACGTTGGATGCAGTTCGCAAGACGGTATTCAAATTTCAGTCGCTGCTCTCCACCTGCAACATAGTGTTCCAGTTTTGCTTCTGCGAGGTTCTGTGCAAGCGAGTTCAGGCTTTTGCGGTGTCGCTCTGTCACCTTGACCAACACCTCGGAATTGAGCTCTGACTCGTCGCCAGAGATGAAGCTCGAAGTGATCATTGCCAACATGTCGGAGAGACAGTCCGTTGTCTCCACCATGTTCTGGATGACTTTCTGCCTCGCGGATGACGGGAATACGGCGAAGCACACCAACGATGAGGCAACCACGCCACCGATGACCATTTTGAGAATCTGCCAGATCTTATCTGCACTGAAATCTCCTGCTTGGACAGAGCCCTCCTTGGTCAGAATCGTAATCAAGGTCAAGGATGCCAAAGAGCAAGCCACGTTGATGAGCGGATCACTCAATTTGAGTTTCGTCCATGCAATGAGACCGAGACCACCTCCGACGAAGAGAATGAGGATGAGGACATGACCCAGAATCAGGAGATGTAACTTATCATCGAATAGGACCGCAACTCCCATGCTTATAACGGATACGACTGCAGTGTAGGCGAACGCAGTGAAAGCGTAGATCAGTGCTTCCAACATGCTCCCTCTTGTTCTGGAAGGATGGAAGTATACGGCCACAGTGGCTACGAGATGCTTGGTGTCACTCCGGCCGAAGAGCGCTCTGAGCCAGGGCACAAACGTGCCCATACTGGCCAGCAGATATGCCAAAGCATATTTGAAGATCGAGATGCCTATTGGCGATACAACGAAGGCGTATGCATCGTATAAGACGTTTTGTACACGTCCCAAGGTCCCCCAGGCACGACTCGTGTGTCTTGAGGACTGGGAGGTGTTTGCTGCAGGTAGCAGAGGAGAGCTCTCCGAGGCATCCTCTGCATCTGGCAGGTCGGGCGGCTGAAGGCCATCGTGCAGTGTGAATGTTCGTTTCAATCGCTCTCCGCTGGAAGGGTCGATGAATGTTGCGGCTCGAAGCTGTTCGTCTTTAGCTTTGCCCGGACACGCTGGAGACTTTTGCTGCGTACACTTGCACGACTATTCCTGGAGCTGGGCAGATGACTTGAGCCGCCGTTTGCTGCCATGGCCCTTTACACGAAGGTTGAGCCTCATTAGGAGCGAAATGGCATATGAGACAAATGCCTCATTCCGCGCAGACGCAGCGACTGTCAGAGGGGTCCATCCGCATCGCGCTGCGAACAAGACTCAGACGTCGAGGGAGTCTGCCGTCCGTACAGTGAGATGGATGGCGGAAGCATTACACGGTCGTCGGCTTTGTCTACGGGTGTAGTGGTCGCAGACGGGAGTCGGAAACCATCTCCGGATCCCGAAGTTTATCTCGGGGTACATCTTGCTTTCCCAAATTTTTGGATCGATGAAGTCTATATTTCATCATCCATTGCACCTGTCCTGACATAGCCGGCCAGAGACTGTCAGGACGTGGGAAGGTGCCTGGTCTCTTCGCACGCCTCATCCGTCCTACAACGCCCTCCGAACACCGAAAGCTCGGTCATGCCCACGCGCCATGTCTGCCGCTCGTGCATTCGCCGCGCCAGGTTCGCCCTGTTTCAGCGTCAACAATCATTACACCATGCCCGACGCAGCTTTGTGTCGGTAGCCCCGCGGCGAATCCCTGCGCATCTCGAAACCATTTCCGAGGCCTTTGGGGATCTGCCGCCACCAGATCTTCCAAGTGGAGAGGATGCTGTCCATCAGTCTGGTGTCACGGCAGAGGAACGACCGCCTACCTTGAGTCCAATGAACAGAAGGAGGTTCTGGATTCAATACAAAACATCTGCATCATTCCGCGAGGTAGTAGACCACATGCACAGTCGTCTGAAGGCAAAAGGCACTACTACCGATGGCACCCTCCGAGTAGTCGCAAATACTCTCATGGTTGACCAAAAGTCGAGATCCTGGATGCTCATCAGACCCGACATGGTGGCGAAACATCCCGCATGGTTCAACGATGTGCTGCAGAGACTATCTACCCCAATTTCTGTCCCTGTACAGGAATTTATGGAGATGCTGGAATCTATGCAGTCGTCATACCAGTCCAAGCAGCGAAGCCTCGAGCTCGAGAGCAGCTTCTGGGACCATGTACGTGGAGAAGCCTCAAAGATATTGAGTTTTGCAAGTCACTTCCGTGGCCGGATAACAACTGGGGATGCTGAGGTCCACAACATAAGAGAACAGTTGAAAGCCATTAACCGTCGTATCGATGCAATGCATCAAGGCAGACTCAAAGAGGCGGCGAGAATAAGGGAGTCCAAGGTGTTGGGGACGAAAAAGCCGACGCCGAAACCCACAGCACAGTCCGAGGACGCTGGCGCACAGTTTTTCACCCTGATCGAGGCCTTGACGAAACGGACTTCGCCGTCGTCGGCACAACAGCCTGAGGCAGCAGCAGAGCGGAATCCTGTCAGCGACGGTCCCTCGGCAGGACAGGCTTCGTCTTCACCGTCACAGGAGCCCGAGGCAGCGGTAGGGCGTTTCGTTTCCGGCAAAGTAGCGAAGGAGAAGGAGAAGGAGAAGGAGAAGCTCCCGGCGAGCACACAGAAGCACGGCAGCATCATCATCCCCAAACTCGACCCAGCTCAGACTATGACGCTGACACATCAACATGCATTTCTCGAACCATTACAGCCTAGCAGTCCTCCAGACGTTGGCGGGCTGAGCTTTGATCTGCAACGCGTCTTATTTAATCCAGGCGTCTACCAGCTTCAAGACCCTCGATCACGCGTTTACAACTTCGATCCCTACCTAGAAAAGATCATGCCGGTCACCGAGTTCAATTTCGATGCTCTCAACGAATACCTCACATCATCAAAAGATCCGGCCTTGCGCGACCTGGCAGTCGAAACAGGCAAGAGATATATCGGATCGTCCTCCAGTATGACCGGCGTACTATCGCACTTCCACTTGCTGCTCTCCAGCTTCCGAAACCTGAGCTACGTCAATCTCAGTAGGTCATTCGAGGTCGACAGCAACAAGTTCACCACAATGACCACGTGCCCGGCCGGGATATTTCTTCGGTACCATGATGGCGTGTATGCCATAGATGCAGACCACGAGCATGATGAAGGCAATATCCTTTTGAGCTTCGGCAAGTCAGTTGAGAAGCTTTTGACCCTCGAAAAGGAAGACTTTGAGAAGTACAGCAGGTCGCAAACCAACTTCGACGCTGACGCTCAGAAGCCAGAGCAGTATCATTACGGTACAATCGGCAAAGTTCTGATGAGATCGCAGCTTGATGCGCATGATTCTCGCCTACCGGGCACCGGCATGTTCGACTTGAAGACGCGAGCTGTCTCCGCAATTCGCATGCAAGTGACTCAGCACGAGATCGGCCAAGGCTACGAGATCAAGGACCGGTACGGCAATTGGGAATCTTACGAACGCGAGTATTACGATATGCTGCGTTCGGCATTTCTCAAGTACTCACTGCAGGTCCGCATGGGTAGGATGGACGGCATATTCGTCGCCTTCCACAACATAGAACGCATGTTCGGCTTCCAGTACATTTCTTTACCGGAGATGGACCAAGGTCTTCATGGCCAGTCCGATACCTCCTTGGGAGACCGAGAGTTTGGATACTCAGTCCGCATGCTTGAAGATATACTCGACAGAGCCACAGCGCGGTACCCTGAGCAGAGTCTCCGTGTCTTCGTTGAAGCTCGTGAGCCGACAGCGAAGTTCAACCCAGTCGCGTATATGAATGTTTTTGTGGAGCCCATGTCAGAAGAAACCATCAACAAGATACAAGATGCAGCTCTTGCCAGAAGAGACGAGTACGATCGCCGACTCTACAATGGCGATGGTGATCTTGAGGAGGCTGACGGATCCGAGGAAGATGTCAACGTTAGCGACCTCGAGGACGAGGAAGAGATGGATGCTATCATAACCAGCAAGCCGCAAGCCGCAGAGTCGATCGACGAAGCGCAAGCAGATCCGACCGCTCCTCATCCCAGCCAACTCACATACATGAACGCAGGAGCGAATGACGATGCTGATAGTCATGCGGACTCGGCCGCCAACACTGCCTTCCTGGACAGCCTAACAGACATCGACTTCTCTCCTGCCTCACTGCAGCCCTCCGCTGAATCCGCTACTCAAACCCCTGCACCCATCCTCGGCTTCAAGATCATAGTCCGCCACCAAGTTAACGGCAAACGCGTGGGCCGACCGGAAAACCTGACCGAAAAGGACATATGGAAGCTCGAATACACGGTGGAGGAGATGGATCCGAAACGGGTGGTGGTAAAGTATGCCATGTGCAAGAAACGCAGGGAGAATCTTCACGCTTCGTTGAGGAGAGACGAGAATAAGGTCAGTCCGTATGTGCGGAGGCTGGTTGAGATGAGTAACGATGGAAGGGCGTGGCGGAGGAAGCAGGATGAGCTGGACGCGACGAGGGAACGGGTTGTGCTCTACGACGCCGGTCGAGCCAAAGACTAACGGCGTGGGCTGCGTGGGTGCACAAGGTCTGGATTTGGTCGCATATTTGGATTCTGAGCAAGACTTGTAGCATCAGCGTTGCATAAATTGAAAGAGGTGTACATTAGGGAAGCATTATCAGTCTCGGACTATGGGGTTACGAGCGAACCTTTTAGCCATAATGGACCTGCAGAGTATAAAAGTTGTTGGTTGCCATTGTTGGAGCACTTGAAGCTTGCCAAGGCGAACACACGCATTCTGGCACATTTATCGAGCTGCCTAGCCGTGATGGCCATCCCTTGTCTTCAAGTGCCCAGATCGTGGGGAGTCTGTACGCCTCTGACCATTCCTAGCGGATGTTGCACCGCCCGGATGTGGCATGAAGCAGAAGTGTCTGCCTTGAGTATGCTCGGCCTCCCTTTCCCTTCCCGGAAGCTTAGCAAGTATCAGTCTGGGACAGGGGAAATCGTCCAAAGCGAATCCAACGTCCAAGCTGTCAGATGTCTCCCCAAGCCTGCATACGCTGAGGAAGCGAGCATGTGTCTATGCTGTCAAAGTTGATGCGAACCTTTCGAGCAAGGTTTAGGCGGCTCGCGTGGCTCATGCACATGCTTCCCCACATATGACACGCGTTTCGAGGGCTAAATCTGTCCAATTCACTGCCTGCTCAGCCTCGCAGTATTGTTGTGCAACCTTCGCCAGATGATATGTATTGGCTGTGAGATGTGAAAGTCTCTCTTGGTCACGCTGATCAGCACCTGGGCCTTTACAAGAGACCTCCATACCGAAGGACAGCATCCTGCGTACAGCAGGCGCGAGCCATGCTTGATGAATCTCTGCCAAGTGAGCATCCTCGAGTCTTGTCCGCCGCAGACTTTACTGACGACGCTGCAGCGTTCCGACTGAAATCCAACCGGGTAGAGAAACATAACGAGACGTACCTGTACTCTCAACATGGCGCCGAGTTCGAGCCAAAGTACACACTGAAACATCTAGATCCGCAACAACATGCCTCCAAGAATCGATACGCTGCAGCATTGTCCGACTCCTACAACTCCGACGTCCTGTACGCCGAAGTCCTCCTCATCCCAGAATGGACGCAGCCCACCTTGAGTGCCGAGCAGATCAGATTGAATGGAGGAGTTCCGCCGCCACCCGAGCCCATACTGCCTACACAGTTTGCCATACAATTATATAACCCAGATCAGCAGGTGATCGTAAGACACAAACCCTCGAAATGGAACCAGTCCGAGTCATGGGACTTTGAATTGCCATCGCAGACATTTCGGGCGCCGTCTTTATCTGCGCTCGATCGCAGTCAGGATGATCCTTCGATCTCAGAGAACACACGTCGGGTTGGGCTGCGGTGGAAGAAGGACAGCAAACTCTCAAAAGATCTCGTCTGCTTCCAGTCTGGCAAGGCATTGAACCCGGATGGCACCAAGAATAAGAATAAGGAGCCTGATATCACGCTGGCTATCTTTCATGCCCAGAAGGAGGTCACACTTTACGAGCCGAATCTGGTAAGAGTGGACATTGAGGATGTGAAAGGCCTCGAAGTCATCATATTGCTAGGGGCCGTGGTCATCCGAGACGTCTACTTTGGCAGCATGAAAGAAGTCTTTAACCTCACAGACGCTCGCAAATCGGGCTCATCACACACTTCGCCTGTCAATGGTGCTCCAAGACCGATCCTGAGCCAGATCGCAACCTCACCCACCGCGACAAACGCTGTACCAGCTCGACCACCTCGCGTGCCTCCCACGGATCCACGCAGCCAGTGGGAGATCGATGCAGAGACTGCTCGTCTGCAGCAGCAAGTCCAAGAGGAAGAGCGACAGCGCAAACGCAGGGACGACGCAGAAGAACGAAGGATACGGCAGATGTTGGAAGCAGAAGAGAAGGAAGCCAGACGAAGACAAGCAGAAGTCGACGCAGAAACCGCACGACTGCAGAGGATCTACGGACAGCAGAGTCGGCCACAAAGCCAGCCTGAACGTCGACATTCAGCTTTCCCGCAGCAGACCATGCAGCCTCCCATGGGCCCACCTCAGCCTATTGCATATCATACACCAACAGCGTGGGGCTCGTATAATGCTGGGCCGTATATGTCGGGAGCGAATGCTCAGAGCGGATTCTTGAGTCCGAATTCGCAATCTCAGGGTCGTCTGAAGAACAAATCTAGCATATGGTCCTTCGGACGGCGGAAGAGCGACGATGATGGTGGGCGATTGACGAAGAAGAGAAGCGCAATATTCTGAAAGTGCAATGTTCTATACACGACTCAGATATTGCGAGACGAATCATAAGCACCTTCCTGTCTGGATCTGGAAGAACTGCCAGATGATCGGCATTCGACCGCCTGGTACAAGGTTCCGGTGGGCATTACATCACCACCTCTTTACCGAGACGTACTCCAACTCTGACGATGGAAGCTTAAAAGAACCACCTGTCCCCCAATCCCGTACTGTCGGGCAATGCAAGCAATCCGCCGACTCACAAATATGGCTTCGTCAACCGGCAAACGCATCGTCTTCACCGGCGGCTCAGGCAAAGCAGGAAGATGGTGCATTCCCTATCTCCTCGAAAAGGGCCACCAAGTCCTCAATCTCGATCTCATTGATTTCCCCAAAGACCACCTGCCCGAAGGCAAATCAGTGTACACCATGAAAACAGATCTCACCGATGCCGGACAGACCTTCAATGCGCTCTCGTCCTTGTTCAGCATGGAAGAATACGGCCTCGCGAAACACCCCGGCCCGCCAGACGCCGTCATCCACTTCGCGGCCTACGCCCGCAACATGATCGTGCCGGACAGCGAGACCTACCGCGGGAATGTGATGAGCACGTACAACGTCATCGAAGCCGCCAGCAAGCTGGGCGTCAAGAAAATCGTCATCGCCTCCTCGGAAACGACCTACGGTGTGTGCTTCACGCAGGGAGACTCGGACTACGATTCCTTCCCGCTCGATGAGGACACGTACGACCGCAACCCGATGGATACCTACGCGTGCAGCAAGCTCACCGGGGAGCGCATCGGACGCTCCTTCGCCCGCCGGTTTGGCACGGATATCTATGCGTTGATCATTGGGAATGTGATTGAGCCGCATGAGTATGAGCGGGATTTCCCGCAGCATGTAGGGAAGCCGGAGACGAGGAAGAGGAATGCGTGGAGCTATATTGATGCAAGGGACTTGGGGCAGATTTGTGACTTGTGTGTCAAGAAGGATGGGTTGGGGTTTCAGGTGTTTAATGCTACTAATGATACGGCGAGTTTGAGCGTGCCGACGAAAGAGTATTTGCAAAAGGAGTATCCTGATATCAAGATCACCAGGGAATTGGGTGAATGGGAGGCGCCGCTGAGTAATAAGAAGATTAGGGATGTGTTGGGGTACAAGGACGTGCATGATTGGAGAAAGTATTATAAGCATGAGGGTGACAAGCGGAAGTGAGGAGAGCTTGGTGCTGCAGGTGGGTGCTGCTGTTGGCTCATGGGAGTCCGCGGGGGGATTTGGTCCGAATGGGGTCGTTGAATGGAGGATTGGCCGAAGTTGGGCCTAGATGAAGGGCAATGACATGTCTGGGACATTCGTTTGAGCGAAATAGACTGCCAGGAAATGAAGACAAGACATTGACTCACGGCGGGCAGCTTTCTCACTGCTCTTGGTTCCTGGTACTCCTGGCCGAAAAAGACGAGCCGAAGACGAGTACTGAGCGATTGGGGCCCGACGATGGGGGGGTTGTGGTAGATTGGGCAAGGTGCATCGGCGTCTGGTGGGAGGTAACTCAGATTGCAAACGAATGCAGAGCCTACGTAAGCCGATCGTGGCACGCCACTTAGCTGAGCTCGGTAAGTATACGGCCGAGTTTGTTAGCTCCATGCGTGTGCAGTAGGGCTGTATTTGGTCGTTGCGGAGGAGCAGGTCATACGGCATTGGTATTCGTGGAAGAGGAGGAGGACGAGGGTGGAGTTTGGAGAAGATGGAGGTGAGAGGAGAGGAGAGGAAGTTTCCGAGGAGTTGCGAGCTTGTTGATGTGGTAAGAGCGACGTGAGGCATCTGACACGGTGCTGTCTTTATTGCACCTATTCACCTGCAAGAAACCGAAGGTCTGGCCTCAGAAGCAGTTAGGCAGGCAGCAGTCGCGGGAAGACGCGTCGACGCGTAGCTTCCCTGTTCTGGTCTCTTCGCTCATGGCTGAGTTTACAATCCTCCTCTCCGTTCCACCTTCATTCATTTCACGATTACCGTCACTTTCGATCCCAAAGGCTTATCATCGTCCTGCACATCATCATGGAAGAAGCGTCTGGCTTGCAGTCGCTCAACGATGACTGCATCACCATCATCATCGAAAAACTCGCCGGAGTAACACATACAGAGTGGTCATATGGAGACAAAGCATGCAATAGCAAAGACCCATTGCGGGAATTCTCAATGACGGATTCACACATTCGCCAATTGTGTATCCCGAAGCTCTTCGATTTGGGCGACATGATCGTCAGACTATATCGGAGACAGGCGGGCCTGGTGAGCGGGCTGGAGTGTTTCTCGGCGTCCTCCTTCATTGCAGACTCCATCAGGTACACGAGCCAGTGGCACGACGAGTTTCCTGTGCTAACTACCGTCATCCAGAAGCCTCAAGGTTTGCAGAGATATTTTCCTGCCCGACGATGCGACCTACGAGTGGTTCGCAAACCCGAAGAAGGAGGAAAACAACATCGACATATTCGCAAAGCTCATACCACTTCTGGAAAAGTCCCCCAACCTGGCCCATCTCCGCCTATCTCACCTCAAGTGCATGTCTGTCGATAGTAGGACTGCACTTCAAGCAAGTCAATTTACCAGTATCAGAGCGTTGCACTTCGTGGACGTTCCGGAAGCTGCACGATTGATTGGAGCTTGCCCGAATCTGCAATTGTTCTGCACGTCCTACCCCTGCCCGAAACCGAAGATTACTCTCAAAGCCGTTGCGAAGCATACCGGGATCAAGTACGTGGAGCTCGACTGCAATTTGTGGAGTCCAAAGCATCTGTCCGGTTTGTCAAGTCCGCAGCCTCCTCCTACCGTCGCTGATCCAGTGGGCAGACGTGTGCGCATTCCTGAAGAACGTGGAGATCCTATACCTATCCGGGGAGATCAAAGCTAAGATTACGGTCAGCCCTCATCCACGAAAGTCGAACTCCACTAACAATCGTAGGGAATGGTTGACGAGATCAAGATCGCCTCCAGTGTCCAAACTCTCTACATCACGACTGACGTGTGGATCGATACCTCATACTTGAACAAGATCTACTTCGATCAATCCTCTAGCGGATACATGGATGCGGTAGACGACATGAAGGAAGAGTCGAGGCTGCACGAGAAGCCTGATGCTGTCGCTACTGCATTGTTCCAAGCATGCATCGCTCTGACCAAGGTCGGATTGATTCCCCGCTTTGATTCGGCAAGGACATACACGGCAGAACGAGATGATAACGGTGCTCTACTGAAGATGTCAGAAGCTGAAATTGCGCCGCGTGGTGAGACGTACTGCATCTATTCGCCTTTAGAACGGCAGCTCGAGTGGTGGGACCGACGCTGGGGCCGCTGGTATCGCAACGAGTAGGGGACCCACAGAGCTGCTCGGCCGGAGCATATTCATCAGGAGAGGACCGCGAAAGCGCAGTCCGAGAATGAAGCGCTTTGCAGGACGACTTAAGGTACCTGCAACGCATCACACACCTTAGTCATACATAGCCACTGCAAGGCCACGGCCTCGGACCTGTCACGAAGCAATCGACATAGATAGGCAGTATCGATACAGAGACTACAGAGCCCGGTGTGACAGCAGACTTCGTCGCAATTCGATTGATATGCCCAACTCACCACGCTTCCGGTCAACATCTGTCCCGCCGGAGCCATCGCATCGGATCGACGGGGCCGCAACAGCGTTCGCACACTGTAAGTTTGGGTCGGAACCAGACAGCGCGTCCGTCGATTGGTGTTCACCAGCAGCCTTACATGTTCCCTGGGACAAGTGTTCCATCAGGATGGGCAGGTGTGTAAGGACGACATTGCGCGACACATGCTGTTCGAAAATGAGACGTTGGCCGGTCGCGGCAGGCGCCCCTAAGCCCTTGCTGACGCTCCAACTCGACCTCCAGTCTTATACCGATGTCTTGAATTCTACTGACTATGTAGATTCACTCCAGAGGCCGCTTCTTGGCATGTGAAGAGCGAGGATAGCAGCGAGTGCCACATACGAGGTGAGTGATCCGTCCCCTCTTCACTCTAATTCGAAGTCAATTTACTGGCTTTCAGTTGCTGCGGCGTGACTCATGGACCTTTCGAGTACTTATACCCCATCTTTCAAGGATCCCAACTTCTAAATCAGTCAATCTTCTCCACGGAGGCCACCCTGGTGGACGTTTGTGGTTGCTATCATGGATGCTCCCAGGACTTTTGGAGACCTTGATAACGACTGTATCATGGTCATCATTGAGCACTTCCGCGACGATGATCACGACAGTAACTTTCCTTGGCGCGAAACCTCGGCACTCTCAAGCACAAAAGCCCTGTCGGGCGTCAATCGGAGGTACCGCCAACTCATTCTACCGATCTTGTTTCGATTGGGCGACCTCGTGATCGGCGGCGATGGGGACATAACGAAGCAATCCTCGTTCTACGATGCACTGAAAAACTCCTCATTTGCTGCAGACTGCGTTCGGTATGTCAGACCTGTTTCCTAGGTCCCTTGCTTAATTCAAATCTAGGGCCCTCTCCATCGATTTCCACAAGTATCCGTGCCTGCGACGAGGAGGAAACGAACCGGCGGATAACGCCTTCGACTTCCATTCGACACTGAGCGCCTTCCTGTCCAGCGCAGATAGCCTCCGTGAGTTACGGATCGCAAGTCATCTTCCTAAGACGCTTCAGGGTCTCGAACTCAAACACAACGTCGTATTCGACAGCCTTCGGACTCTGCAAGTGAGGAACGTCCCTGATGCCGGTGCGCTGGTCAAGGCGTGTCCCAACTTGCAGGTCTTCTGTTCAACATACCCTCTCGCTAAGCCCAAGACAGCGTTCAAGGCAATTGCGGCTCATCCCAACCTCGAGAAGGTCCAGCTGGACAAGAATGGTTGGACAGAGAAGCAATTGAAGGGTAACTTACCCATCCAATCCCTCCTACAACAACTAACGACTGTCGATAGAGCTGTGTGGCCTCGTGAAGGGCGTGTCACACCTATTTCTCTCACACGTCTGGGACCGCTTCCTGCACAAACCGAACGTCACAAAAGCCCGCGAGGTATTCCCCGTCCTGGGAATCCTTCAGGGGGTCGAGAAGCTGGAGTTAGACTGTCGATTCTTGTACGAACCGGAGACCGAAGTGTCGACTGCGGCACGCCATCTGCTCATGAGCCATTCAAGCCTCTCTCAGATCACCTTGCATGGTTTCAGATACACCTCTGGATGGCCTTCGCTTCAATACTGTAAAGTTCCGACCGAGAACGATCCATACGCATCGGAGGTCATCAAGATCGAAGGCGAAGACCGTGATTACGTCACGAACCCTTTCTCAACCTACTTCTCCCCACGCAGCGGCAGTCGATTGCGCGCACCCCGTAAAGTCGCCTCACTCAATCTGGGGTTGGGCGAAATGGACGACGACTGAGTCGATGCGTTGGGACCCGCCCGAGCATCATATCGACGACGAAATCACAACTATGGAAACACGGCGGAAGGGCTTTTGATGGGGAGGACGCTGTAAACACGGGTCGGAGTCGAAAAGGTCGTCTACCGCCAAACCCAATGCGCGACACACGATACTGGAAAGTGCCAACGAGACCGGCCGCCGCAGGTGGCTTCGGAGGCAAGAAGGCAAGCATTCGTTCGTAAGCGGGTAGGTACTTACCGAGAAAATGCAGCTGCTCGTTCCTGTGCTTCCATTCCAGCGTACACATCGTGAACGGCCAATACACGAGAGCCCTCGCTGGCGGCCCAAGTCTCATCTCCAGATACTTACTTACGTCGATGATCTTCAGCTCTTCCCTAATGCCGGCCTCTGGCACGTGCAGAGTGGGAAGGATAGTAGTGAATGCGGTGGACAAAGTGAGTTTCGGGGTCGTGTTCTCCAGTCACCTCTGTGTCGATGGTCTTCACTGAGCGTCAGTTACTGCGGCGTGACTCATGGATTGCAGAAGATGAGTATATAAACCCCGAGGCAACCTCGCTCATCTTCTTCGCTCTCTCCTTCATCGGACCTCTTGTTTTCAGTCATTTCTTTCCACAGAGGCCGCCCTGGAGGCCATCCCTGATCATGGAACGCAAGACATGCTTCGACGATCTCAATGACGACTGTGTCTTACTTATCATCAAGCACATCAACCAGCTGAAGCCCGAGCCCGAGTGGTACTGCAAGCATGCAGTGCGAACTCTGAAAGCTTTGTCGAGCGTCAGCCGCAAGTATCGCCAACTATGCCTCCCGGCGCTATTCAACCTCAATGATCTAGTCGTCAAAATCACAGAAGATTCAAGTATCTACCAAATCAGGGCAGGTAGATTCGAAAGCCCTGCTCAGGCGGGCTTTAACACATTGTGTGCTTCAGAATTTGCTGCCGACAGCATTCGGTACGTCAGGCTTCTCCGTGCACGCTCTTTTCTTACACCATATCACTAGAGCTCTATCTATCGAGATCCCGGAGATCGACAAGTCAGCGGGGAACGGTCCTGTGGTTGAGTTCTACACGAAGTTGGGTCTATTCCTGTCCACGGCCGGCAATCTGTGCGAACTGCGCCTCGACAACCTGAAGTCGCAAGCAAAACAGACAATCACACTTCCACACGGCATGGTTTTCAACAGTCTGAAGGTTCTAGAAGTCATCAATGTCGCCGACGCCAGCGTGTTGATCAATGCCTCTCCCAATTTGCACAAACTCTGTTCGGTCTATCCCTTCGACAAGCTCAAGACGACCTTCAAGGCGATCTCTGAGCATCCGAGTCTGAAGAATGTGCAGCTGCGGGCGAAAAATTGGACAGAGAAGCAATTGAAAGGTTGGTGGCTTAACGAAGTGATCCGTGCAGTTACTGATGATCGACAGAGGTCTGTGTTCAGCTGAAGGGCAAGACGAAGCTGTCTCTCTGGGTCGACCGCAGTTCGGGAATCGCTACTCCAGACAAGGTCGATACACATGTCAAAATCCTGGGTGGCCTGCAGGATGTGACTTGCCTAGAGTTGTACATCGGGTACTTCTGGAAACCTGATGAGGTTGAGATGGCAACACGTTTGCTCACGAATCATCCAACTCTCTTGAACGTCATTTTTCGATCACATGACTGGAGAGAAATCATTGGCCAACATTCGAAGGTCGCGAAAGAGAACGATGTATCTTCCTCGGAGGTCATCAGCGATCAAGAAAAACGCGATGGTAATTCCATGCCATTCGGGACCCGTTTCTCTGTCGAGCATGGCTTGCATTACTGGCACAAACGTCTACGCTAGAGTCCGCCCTGGACGTCATCTGGGAATGGACGACGACTGGGTCAATGTAATGGGTTTCCAGCATCACCCTGACCACAGTGTCGCAATCACGGACGCACGGCAGACTGGCAGCCATCTCGCAGCGGTGTTGCTGGCGTATTGAGCGGTGTGTCGTCTTTGGACCTGGGAAAGGCACGGCGTGAGCTGCGGAGGGATGGAATTACGCTATTACATATTGTCCTCATGGGTCGGATGACCGAACGTCACATTGGGAAGCAACCCACGACTGCCCGACATCACTATGCAAAAGTCAGCAACCAGGATCGTTGCGGATTATGCTTGTGAACGATCAAGTAGCACAAAATCGATCATCGCACAAGTCCTCACGAAACGGAGTGAAGTTCAAGGAGAAATACATAATCCGTGCTGCATGAAATTCCAACCTCTTACCAAGACGCACCTTTCTCACTGACGGCCGTTACAGATGCACTCCCTCGAAAGCTATGCTGAGCACGCCGACTCATCTACAGCTCTGAACATACATGCTATGTTGATTGTGAGTGTCCAGCCATGATCTGAGCGCATAAGGACGTGTTTCATCGTGTATATAATATCTTCTCCTTCTTTCTAATCACTCAGTCTTCTTACCTTCTTACCACTCTTCTCAGTCCCGGTCGTGGCTCTACGACCTTTGGCTCGAGATTCAGCACTTATCGGGAACGTTGTGTCGTTCCCAGCTTTGCTCAGAAGCAGACCGTCGGCTGTGAGTACTCGCATATATGAACTCTGTAGCTCATTGCTGACCATTAAGTGTCCTTACCTTCTTCCCACTCCAACAGCAAACAGCCACATCATGGACGTCGATGTCACAATCCCAATAACGGCCGTCACAGGCAGTCCCCTCATGATACATCGTGCAAAGGGCGCTGACAAACTCGATGAACTCAGTACCGAGATCGTCCTGATGATCATTGGACACATCCGCCGCTCCGACAAGAAGACTGGGCAGGAGAAGCAGTCCGTGAAGAACTTCTCGCTCGTCAGTTCTCGCTACCGCCAGCTCTGTATCCGAGCATCTTCGATACCAAGGACCTCGCGCTCAGCATCCCCGATACCGACGACCTTGCACTCCATTGCTTCCACCATGTAGGGTCGCATGCTCAGACGTTGATTGACTTGCGGAAGTCAAAGCTTGCTGAAAGGTACGCCGGGTAAGTCGAATGTTCCCGCTGTGGCCGGTCGGGTCTGACATCATTAGTGCCCTCTCCTTTGAGCTGTGGATATGCTCAGAGCACGACATCAGAAGAGGATTCTCTCTGCCTGGTAACAAGGATTTGTATCCATTCCAGACGCTGAGCACCACTTTGTCCAAGCTTGGCCAAGTCCGTGAGCTACGTCTCGACTACACACAGATCTTGAAAGAACAGACAAATCCAGCCGAGCTCTGGCCATCGATCAGATTCGACACACTTCGAGTTCTGCATGTGGATGGCATTTTCGGACTCGACATCCTGCTCGGAGCGTGTCGCAACTTGGAGACCCTATAAACCACTTATCCCTTTCCGAGATCGAGAAGAACGCATATTTGGCAGGAGATAGGCCGCCGTGGTCTCACCAATCTATAAATCCACCATTCGAAGTACTGGGTGCAGACGCAGCTGGAAGGTCCGTGATCATATTTTTACCCGAGTCGTTTGGCACAGCTACTGATCATCAGTAGATGTCCGCAACAGAGAACTCAAGGCCTCCAACCTCTGTCTCTCCAGCAAAATTCTGCCCTCCATGCCGGTACCTAGACACCCTTCATCTTTTCATCAGACACAGCTAATTTCTGGGTAGGCTGATACGTACACAAACAGTCTGGTCGGCTTGGGTCCGCCTGCCAGTGGTCTAAGGTCGCTCGAAGTGCCTCGCCACAAGCGGTCTGACACGGACATGGTGAAGGCCGCAAAGCGTGTCCTCGGAGAACTCCTGAAGGTTAGCTTTCACGTGACGGCAGATAATGAGACGACTCATTGGAATCACTGCTTCGAAGTTGAGGAAGGCGCAACTCCTATGGAGATCGTCTAGACTGAGACAGAAGCACAGCCTGGCACGTACAAGCCCTTATCGACCCGGGTTGCCCTGAAAGAACCACTCTTACAGACCAAGAACGGCGCGATTCGAGCCGTTCACTAGAAGACATACGGCGCCAACACCTCCATGGTCGGGTAGCGTGAAGCTCATCTCGGTATGCGAGGGGCCGGGAGACTGGTACGCTTGGAAGGCAGGATATCATGGAAAGCAGAGACTGTTGCTCAGTCGAAGGAGTTTTCATGCTTTAACAATCGCAGGGATTTCGCGTCGTTCAGGCGTACTTCGTTTATGGTCATAGCCGTAGTCATTGACCATTGGGCAGAAGCTCTGGCAAAGCTACAACTCCAGACAACCCAGGAGCACAGTGCCGCCACAAGGCAGACAAAATTCTGAAACGTTCGACACGGAGTCCGCAAGTACCTTTCGTTCATTGACCTTCGACGAGCAATGTTGTCGAACTGGCTGACCGTAGAGGCTAGAAGGTCAACGCTAAAGTCTTGAAAAGTGAAGTCGTGAACTGGTGAAGGAAATGGTAGCATAGGAGTATCCAGGCCATCTCGTCACCTGTGGCCTTGGCCTCAATTGCCTGCTGTTGCCCTCTGCACCGTGGCTGATGAAGTTCCTCTGAGCAGATCTTTCGATCAACTCGCCGCAAACTTCTTCTTTATTCGAATTTTCGATTCCAGACTATTTTCACCATAGAGAGCGCCCTGGTGGTCAGTTGTGGTCGCCGTCATGGAGCCCAAGAAGCGCTTCGACGATCTCAATGACGACTGTATCATGGTCATCATCGAGCATCTCCGCCGCAACAACATGGATGGCGTCAAGGCCTTCTCTCGGACTAGTCGTCGCTATCACCAGCTAGCATTCCCGCAAATCTTCGATCTGAAAGACCTTGCACTCCGCGTATACGAACACGTGGGTGCGCATTCCGAGACTTTGGCCGCCCTTCGCACTACGACTTTTGTCGCAGAGCACGCCCGGTAGGCTGATCCACCACGACCTTGTTCCTGAATCTGACACAGTGCAACCAGTGCCCTCTCCGTCGAACTTTGGCTGTGCTCAGAGTACGACATCAAGCGAAAGTTCGACCTACCCGACAACGACGCTCTGTATCCCTTCAATACGTTACGAAATTTCCTGAACGGGGCACCTACTATTCGCGAACTGCGGCTCGATTGCAGTAGTATTCCAACGGACCGAACAGACGTGGCCCTCCGATTCGGCAAGGCTGACCTCCCAAAGAGGATACGCAAATGGCATCCACCCTATCAATTCTCCAACATCAGAGTCCTCCACGTCGCCAATGTCCACAATATTGCCGAATTGATCGCAGGCTGCCCGAAGTTGCATACGCTCTGCGCCACGTACCCATTCACCAAGCCTAAGACAACATGCAGCGCTATCGTGGTCCATCGTCGCCTCGAGAACGTACACTTGCAGCAACCGAGGCAATGGACATCGACGCAATTGTATGGTGAGTCGTTGCAGCGGATCCTCCATGTTACTCATGCTGACGCTTGACAGACGTTTGCAAACAATTGGACACAGGTGTACGCAGGTTGTGTCTCTCCGGCGACATGTCGCACTCCATTGATGTACTTGAAGCCCACCCCAATGCTGCTTCAGTAAAGCTAATCATCTTGTAGACCGCTGATTACTTCGCCGCACTGCGCCACCTTCGTGGAGTAGAGATACTGGAGGTGTCAGCTGATCGGATTGCTGTCTGGGAGATGTCGACTGGAGCGAGAAACCTGTTCAGAGCGGCATCGACTGCCTTTTCAAAGATCAGCTTCCATAAAAACTCATATGAGACCACCGCAACTCATTGCTTCACCCTTGCGGATGGCGATACGACAGAAATCGTCCACACCGATGCCGAAAAGCCGCGTGGAGTCTATAAGCCGTTGTCGACTCGCTTAGCTCTCAAGGACTCGTCCTAGTTGCAGCGTGGAGCTGTCGATCCGGTGTTCAGAGCCAGGGAGGGCTCTGAAGGTCTGCCATCAGTCCGCTGATTGAGCAGCTGACTCGGGATGAGCCTCACTCCAGAGTCATTCGGATAGGAAACTTCGTTGCAGACTTTCTGGTCAGGGAGGGCGCTGTCGGGGGAGGCTGCCTTTTAAGACGATGAGTTTAGGAAACACTCACGACCTCTTGTCGCAGCTTGCCGATTCCCGGTAACCCTTGAGGAACGTCCGTCGTCAGGAGCTTCGGGCGAAAGCCCGGGTCCAGGGGTTTGAGACTGAGAGTCGCTTTCCAGCAGGCTGATGAGCCCTAGATCACTATCATGGTCTTTTTAGATCCAGCGGGACCAAATATAAGACCATAGCAGTGACCTACGGCCAGCCGGGAAAGCACATGGCGGTATCACGAGTCCAGAGCAATTAAGGATAGCATAGCTGGATCGCATGTGAAGCTGAATTCAACGTCAAGTACTCTTGAACTGTCGCGACCTCAACGGTTGCGCAGTAAATGACCAGGCCGCACTCCTGAAATCGCAGTCGTGCTGCCAGCTGTCGATTACCTCCCCATTCACTCACATGCGTCGTCAGTCACTGCACGGAGAGTGACTCGTGGAGAGTTGGAATAGTGTGTATATATACCTTCAATGGTGCACCCTCATCTTCTCTAACGGCGTCATCTCTTCTTGCCATCCTATCGCGACTGTCCTACTATAATCCCTTCCAGTACCTCTCGTCGAGTGTCTCGCATGATTCAGCCTCTCAGCCATCATAATGGAGTGCAAGAAACAATTCAGTGATCTTGACGATGACTGCATCCGGCAGATTGTCAAATTACTTCCTCAGAGAGACCTCAAGCATTTCTCTATGGTCAATAAGCAGTGCCGCGCCTTGAGTCTCGATGTCATCTTCAAGTCGGTCGAGGCGTTCAGCAATCGTGAGGATGAATCGTTGGTCGCTGCTACCCTGAGGTCGGTGTATCGGTCTCAGGACGTCGCACCATACATTCGGTAAGTCAGCTACACGCTGAAGATTGCGATTCTCACAGAGAGATAGCGTCCTCTCCATTTGTCTCCTTCCCATATGGAGTAATCTCAACAACACTCTCCACAGCAATATCGATCTCATCCAGATGTTGACCTGCTTTCTGTCCAAATATGGGATGGTCCGCCAGTTGAGCCTTGTCGGAATCACTCTCTCGCCACAAGCAAAGCGTGTTTTTGGCAAACCCGTGTTCAATGAGATCAGAGTCCTGCAGATCGAAGACTTCTCACAGCCAAGTATGCTGATTGCAGCTTGCCCCAATCTGGAGGTCTTCTCCTCGACTTACCCGATCGCGAAGCCAAAGACCACCTTCAAGGCTATTGCAGAACACCCACAGCTCACGAGTGTACGGCTGCAGCCTTATGGCCGGAAAGACATGCATATCCGCGGACCTCGTGGTTGGACACGGGGGCAATTGAAAGGTTTGCTGCCCTGGAGAAGATGTATACAACAGCTTCTGATCGTTGGCAGATATCTGCAGTCTTCTGAAAGGCGTCAAGAAGCTGTTCCTGGCCGGTCATCTTGGCTACAACACCGAAGTAAGTGACTTGCGGCTGCGATCTCGATGGGCACAACGCTGACGTTGAAACAACAGACCCTACTCGTCAACGCCCTATGCGTGCCTGACGGTGTGGAATGGCTGAATCTTTCCGTGGAGATCAATCGCCATGTGAACAATGGGGGATTGTATGATGAATACCGCGAAATGGTCGTTTCCAGGAGGATGACACCCAGAAGCGCGAATCGCATCTCCGAAGGTCTGCTCCGCCGCTGCCCGAGCCTCCTGCAAGTCGACTTGCGGTTTTACAACGTGACACACAGCTACTCAGCCCAGGCTCGAGTTGCCGGCACAGAGCCAAAGATCACCCGAGTCAAGCTTGCCTGTCTAGATGCTGTTAGGCCCTTTCCGGGCATGATTTGATGGGAATTGGGATGTGGCAATCCATCGAGCCATGCTGACGCCAGGTCAGCAACATCGCAAATTGCAGGAGCTGATGTTGGGGAAGTCTTCCTGATGCAGTTTTCAGGGACGTTGTGCGCCGCAATGGCTCTCTCTGCAATACGCCATGCAGTCCAGTCGGCGACGACTCGTCTGACACCACACTACAAGTGCTTTTGGTGCCCAAACACCATAGCGAGTCCATAGATCGCAGCTCTTAGCTTAATGAGAGCATGATGAATTGATTGCGAGGTCCGAAGGCGCTCTGACGTCCGCGCATACGTCTTCATATTGTGAAGACGCGTGCTATGAGCAACATCGTGTCGCTCGAGGCTGGGTGGCGCAGTACCCCTCTTCTCACCCCGGTAGAACCAGGAATCGATAATACAGATTGTCGCGCCTGGCTCCCACGACAGATCAAGTTGAATCTATGATGGTGTGAATGAGGAGCCGTCGCCAGCCAGGTAGAATGTACTTTTGACCTCAAAATTCCTTAGCGGGCATCTGTAGCCGAACGTGACGACGTCTTTGTAAGCAGGCTTCGTTAAGAGACCCTGCCGCGCTTACGCAACTGGGATGTCTGGGAGGCTCACTTCTCCGTCATTCCTCCATACCTCAACAGCACGACGCGCAAATCCTGTGAGAGTGGCAAGACTACAAAGCTACGTCGTCGCAAAACGAAGATACTGGAATCGTGGCCAGTCGCGCCCAAAGCCCGCCTGGGGAAATACAACAGCAATTCTGTACTTATTCAGCCCTGTCTTTCCCAAAAACAGATCGGCGCCATGATAGAAACACAAACCCGCACCAAAGACGCCACGACTGCGATCAAGACCGAGAATGGCTCTGCACCGCCAGCAAAGGTCAAGAAGCCGTATGTCCGCATTATGACCGATAAGCGAAGGGCACAGAATCGTACAGCCCAACAAGCATTTCGGGACCGGCAGAAGAAGCGGCTTGAGGATCTTGATGAACGCATCAATGCAACCAAGTCGAGCTTCAGTAAGGTCACCGCTGTTATCACGCCGCCTGACGATGATATGAGATCTGGGGAAGGTGCGACTGGACTGAGTGATTCCCCCTATGGCGCGCCAGGCAGTGACAGACGGAATGGCACGCCAAGGAATGCCGACTGTGATCAAGTCTTCCAACCGAGTGGCGACCTTCCAATCCCGTATGGTCTTGAGGGAATCGTGCCCTCTGTTGCGGCGCTTGCTGCCGCTGAGTCCTCAATTGCCACCGACCCATTCAACACACCCGATTCCATGTATGCACCCCCGAAACGAAAACCAATCGACCGCGAAGAAGAGCGTGATGAGCCTTACTCGTGGCCTATGCCCTTCCGACCAGCCTCTGACCCCTACAATCCACCACCTCCCGAGACTGACACCATTCTGGCACTCCCCAAAGCCTATGAGCCCTACCTTTCCGGTGCCCTCTCCACCACAACCCGCGAACACGCCTATAAGTATCAACGCCGGGCTATCGCCTCCACCTCGTCTCCGGCGTCCAGACTCCAGCAAGCCGCATACATCACATCAACCTGGCCCCTAAACAACATCCTCCCCAGCACCTCCCCATCCCCGCAATCTGCGATCCAAGCCTCCCTCGCCATCGCAGCCATGCTCAAAATCTCCCGCACCGCCTACCTGACCGACGCTCCCAGCAGTCTACCTACCTGCTTTCTGAACTTCATGGGTCCCGTGCCCCTGGATCCTTTGTTTTCCGTTACCACCTCGTTCAACGACATCCCCACCGCAGCCCAAAGCACGACTCGGCCTGTGGCTACCTCCTACGCGCCACCAAACAGGTTCTACAGTCCCGCGCTGAACTCCACGCCAGCGAAAGCAGCAAGCGCAGAACGAGCAATGCTAGCACACTACAAAGCCGACCCGCTGATCAGCGCGAAATTCGACGCGCACGCGACGACCGTCCCCGTAGCGCTGCGACCACGACCAGTGCAGTACCTCCGCGCACACCCGAGCTATCTCGACTGCATCATCTGGCCTGCCTTCCGCGAACGAGCCGTCGAAGCGAGTGTCAAGGGAACGCTCGACCACGTGGAGTTCTTCCTCGATCTGATGCACGGCGGCGTGGTGTGCTGGGGTGGGCAGGCAGGAGGACAGGGGTGGAGGGAGGAAGTGCCGTGGAATACAAGGAGTTGGGAGGCGAAGGGGTGGTTTTTGAGGAAGTGGCGTGGTTGGCCGGGAGTGAGGAGGAGGAGGCATGTAGTGCTTGGCTCGAAGGTGGCGAGGAGGGTGTATGGAGGAGTTCAAGGTATTGGTGGGGAAGGAGGCTCGGTGATTTTCAGGATGACGGGCTGGTGGGCGTTGGTATGGGAGGTGATGGTGGGCAAGAGCAAACGGAAGAGTATAGTGCGGAAGCGAGACAATGGGCCGAGTCGCAAGTGCAGGGTACTGAAGGATCATGGGGACATGATGATCTGGAGAGGCAGAGTAAAGAGTGGCTGCCGATGATGGGCTGGTATGAAACCGATCCGACGAGTGACCTGTTTGGGAGATAGGCCATAGCCGAACCCGCCCAGCGTGTCACAAGCTTCAATGAAATGATTGGGGCTGCGAGAAGGTCAGGGAGGCCTCTGGACTCAAAGTGCCGATTAGGTTCTGTCAGTGGTCAGCCGGTCGTGGGCATGGCATGGGATGTCAGTAGCCCGGGAGTCCAGTCAACCGGTTCGAATCGGCTGCCAAGCCTGCAGCTCCTACTTAGTCAATCTGGCGTCAAGCGACATCCAGTCTACCCTTCCACAAGGGCTGCTTTGGTTTCTGCTGAGGCTCACGCTGCTTGCCGTGCAGGCGCTGTCATGCAGCCATCAGTACCTCTTGTGTTGTGGTGTTGTGAACTACTGTCACGGGTTAATGATCTCGAGCTGCATAGCTCCAACTGCATGACGATGACACGTCGAGGCTCTGTGCCACGCTCTTCTCGAGGACCGGCTAAAATGCTACATCGATTCAACGCAACAACTTCAAGGGCATCACGTCCGTCTCAGACATAAGGCCCATGGTCTGCTGCCAATAAGACTTTGTCTTCACCCCTGACTTGCCGAGTTTCTCACAGGCTCACAGGGAAGCAGTTGTCGGGTCGAGCAAGAGAGTACAGCATCCAGAGACAATCTGACGCAGTCGCCTGTTGCCAACATGTCCCAGGCGACTGTCGCTAATGTTCGTTCACTGCGTCATTAAGCAAGCAGCGCCTTGAGTTTCGATATTGACGTTGATGGCGCAATTCACGCCAAGAATCACATTTTCTGACAATTCTCTAGAACATCCGCATCGAAGCGGAACAATCCAATCCCACCCAGATTTTCTTTACAAATTTTAATCATATTTTGCTGATGCCGCCATCAACTTACCATTCGACGCCAGAGCTGCATGGAGAATTTTGCCTTGCTTCCGTGCCCGCACCGGCCTCCTTGCTCCACTATGAGCCTCGTGGCGGACCATCGTTACTGCTTTGGGCATGCTCAAGCTGTAATTCATGGACCTCATCAGATCTTACAGGCCTTACGGTGCAACGTACTTGCGCGACATATTGAAGAGGCGTATATAAGAGGGCTGTGATCCTGTCCAGGTCGATGACGTCCGACTGTCCAGCAGTATCAGCAATCCTACCACCAGAGATGGCCAGCCTTTCATCAGACAGATCAGAGAAGTACCAGCCCGCTGCGGCGGGCTTCGGGGTCGCCAATGGGCCACGTCGCCAGGATGTCATCCTCGATGAGGCTGGAGACGTGTATGAGACCAGCGAGGAGCGCAAGACTATTGGCCTAACCAGCGCTACGTTCCTAATATTCAATCGAATGATCGGAACCGGCATATTTGCGACACCTTCAGCCATCTTCGCGTTGTCTGGCAGTGTGGGACTCACACTGTTCATCTGGGTTGCGGGAATGATCATTGCTGCCGCAGGAATGGCCGTCTATATGGAATTCGGCACCGGCATCCCCCGCAACGGTGGCGAGAAGAATTACCTCGAGTTCGTTTACCGTCATCCACGCTTCCTGATCACAGGCTTCTACACCGGCTACGTGATCCTCCTCGGCTGGGCGGGCTCCAACTCAGTGGTCTTCGGCGAGTACATTCTCCACGCCGCGCAGGTCGAAGTCAACCGCTGGAACCAACGAGGCGTCGGCATCGCCTGCCTGACCGCCGCTTTCCTCATCCACGGCACTGCACTGAAATGGGGTCTCCGCCTGCAGAACCTCCTCGGCTGCATCAAGCTCGCGATCCTTCTCATCATAATCATCGCTGGCTTCGTCGCACTAGGCGGTCACGTCCCCTATGCGGCAACCAAGCCCAACAACTTCAGCGGCAACACCTTCGCCGGCACAACAGGCTCAGCCTACGGCGTCGTCACCGCCCTCTACAACGTCATTTGGAGCTACATTGGGTACTCGAACGCCAACTACGCCCTCTCGGAGACCAAGAACCCCGTCCGAACGCTCAAGATCGCCGCCCCCATGGCCCTCACCATCGTCGCAGTCCTCTACATGCTCGCCAACATCGCCTACTTCGCCGCCGTCCCGCGCGACGAGATCCTCTCCAGCGGCCGCATCCTCGCCGCTTCATTCTTCCGCAACATGATGGGCGAGTCCGCCGAGCGCGCCCTTTCCGTCTTCGTCGCTCTCTCCGCTTTCGGCAACGTCCTCTCCGTCATCTTCAGCCAGGGCCGTCTAGTCCAAGAACTCGGCCGGGAAGGCATTCTCCCCTTTTCCCGCTTCTGGGCGTCCAACAAACCCTTCAACGCACCCCTAGCGGGTCTCTTCGAGCACTGGCTCGTCAGCATGATCATCATGCTCGCCCCACCACCTGGGGATGCATACAACTTCATCCTCAACGTTATCAGCTATCCCCTCAGCGTCGTCAATGTCTTTGTCTCCGCGGGACTGATCTGGCTGTACTTCCACAAGGACCACTACCAATGGAGCCCACCTTTCAAAGCCAGCTTGCCGGTCGCGGTGTTCTTTTTGTTGAGCAATGTGTATCTCGTGGTGGCGCCATTCGTGCCGCCGACGGATGGGCAGAGTGTGTATAATGACCTGTGGTATGCTCTGCATTGTGTCGTGGGGATTGGGATTATTGCGGCGGGCGGGGTTTACTGGGTTGTGTGGGCGGTGGTGTTGCCGAAGTTGGGCGGGTATAGGTTGGAGAGGCAGGTGGTGACTAGTCAGGATGGGTGGACGAGGAATGTTTTTGTGCATGTGGCGAGGGAGGTGGGTGGGAAGGAATAGGACTTGGGGAGGACTGTGTATCAGTATCTATACAATTGAACAAGAATGATACCCAGGGTGCCCTCCCCGGAGACAAGCTAAAAAGAGTCATGACCGCGCATCCTCTGCAGTCGACGGATGAACTCAGCCGACGGGGCGGAACGGGGGCCTTCGTACACCGTCTTTGGGTATTTCGGCGCAGAGGCCGCCAGGACCACCGCTTCCTATGCCTTCGGCCCCTTGTATTCCTTCGGCGCCAACATCAGCTCCGGCCGCACGTACTTATCAAAATCTGCTTCCGACAACGCTTCCAGTTCCATAGCTGATTCCTTCAGCGTCAATCCCTTCTTATGCGCGTTTTTCGCCACTTTCGAAGCCATATCGTACCCTATCACGGGGTTCAAGCACGTGACCAGCATTAGCGACTCTGTAAGAAGCGAAATGATGCGTTTTTCGTCCGCCTGGAGGCCTTCAAGGAGATGGTCGACGAAGCTATTCATCGAATCGGTCAATAGACGCACCGAATGGAGCAGATTCTTGATCATGACCGGCTTGAACACGTTCAGCTCGAACTGGCCGGACATGCCGCCTACCGTAGCAGCAACGTGGTTGCCCATGACCTGAGCAGCAACCATCGTCATCGCTTCGCACTGCGTAGGGTTGACTTTGCCGGGCATGATGCTAGATCCGGGCTCGTTTTCGGGCAACACGAGCTCTCCGAGGCCGCAGCGGGGGCCGGAACCGAGGTAGCGAATGTCCTGCGCGATCTTGAAGAGGCTGCAGGCGAGCGTGTTGAGGGAGCCGGAAGCCTCGACTATGGAGTCGTGTGCCGCGAGGACTTCGAATTTGTTGGGAGCGGTGATGAATTTTGTGCCGGTCATTTTGGAGACTTCCTCTGCGATTCCTTCCGCGAATCCGACGAATGTGTTCAATCCTGTACCAACAGCAGTGCCTCCCTGTGCTAGTTGTCGTAGATGAGGTAGTGTGGCTTCTATCCTCTCGATATTGCGGTCTAGCTGGGCCGTGTAGCCACCGAATTCCTGGCCGAGGGTGAGTGGTGTGGCGTCTTGTAGATGTGTGCGACCAATCTTGATGATCTTCTCAAAAGCTTCGGATTTCTTCTTCAGGGCGTCCCTCATTCGGGTGAGAGCGGGCAGGAGTTTCTGTTCGATTTCCAGCACAGCAGCGATATGCATAACAGTCGGAAACGAGTCATTTGAGGACGCAGACATGTTGACGTGGTCGTTCGGGTGTACTGGCTTCTTGCTACCCATCTCTCCACCTAGGATTTCAATCGCACGGTTCGAGATGACCTCGTTGGCGTTCATATTCGATTGTGTGCCGGAACCTGTCTGGAATACGGAGAGGGGGAAATGGTCGATGAGTTTGAGATCTGCCACCTCCGCAGCGGCCTCCTGGATGGCCTTTCCTAGCTTCGGGTCTGGGACAGAGCTGTTAGCACGGCGCTGTGGGCTTTTGGAGGCACTTACCGAGACCGTATCGCATATTCACCGTGGCAGCAGCTCCCTTGAGGACGCCAAAGGCCTTCACAACGCCCTCTGGCATCCTCTCATTTGGTAGATTTATGTTGAAATTTCCGAGAGACCTTTGAGTCTGGGCTCCCCAGTACTTGTCGGACTCGACCTTAACGGGCCCAAAGGCATCGGTTTCTGTGCGTGTACTGACCATTCTGGAGGACGCTGTCGTTCGAAGGATCGTGGACGACTGCCGCAGAAGTAAGGAGCGGGCAGGTAACATGCTGGCGACTTTGTAGGAAAGTGCTCGGGCGGCCTCCAGCATGTGCAACGGGGAGCTGTCGAGTCGGAGAAGTGAAGTCACGCTGCAGCCAGTACCATCACTTTTACGCGAGCGGGCGCATCCGGAAGATCTCAATTTCGGACCCTGCACCTGCCGAATTCTGCCGTAGCGTGGAAGAACCTCTCAACATGAAGTTGTCCAAATTCTACAGCGTCCTCCCTGGCTAGGATTTCTCGATATGTCTCTCCGGTTAATCAACGCTCGAGTGAGGCTCATCCCAAGCTATCGACGTGATCAGCGAGGCAATCCTGACCCTTCAGCGCCCTACCGCACCCCGACAGATCTGTAATAAGCAGCTCCTAATCCTAAGTGTGAAAAACGCCCAGTACTCCTGTCCTCAGTCTGCTGCCCAGGGGCCGCCTCAATATCTCAGACCAACCTATATGTCGAGGATTCGATTCCCACCTTAGCTACAATTCTCAATGCACTTTACCCTCACCATTGCAATGTCAGCGTTGCTTTAGTCCCCAGCAAGATCTCCGGCGTTGATGGCCTCCATTGCGAGTTAGTAAGACCTGCATGGAACAAATCCAAGCACACAGGCTGTGGCAACAAGTCTTGAGCTTTCCCAAGGCTTCCAACTATCACAACATATCTGTGTCGTTAATTCTGGCTCCTGAATCATTACTCCCGTCGATAGATCCCCTCGCCGGGATGGCAGCAACTGCCTGGTACTGTTTCGCGAGTTGACAGAGGAGATGCGAATGAGCTTCACTTGAGCGTCACTTCGTAGAAGCGGACTTTCTGGCCAGGGAGGGCGCTGTCAGGATTCGGAACTCTCTTCGTCACAGTTTAGCGGGTAGGTAGTCTTGAAGTATCACGTGTTGGGGGTTGTTGAAAAGATGAAATCGTCTACGCTCATTCCTACATCAAGTGTCGTCGAAGGGAGTCATTGTGAAAGGTTTGGGGTTCCTGCCAGGCGGTCTTTGTCTCCCTCTTGCCTGATGCTTCTTGCCTTCATCCAAGTACAAATACCTGCTGCCAGTCCCAGTGTATCTCATTTCTTTCCACACCACTACTTGAGTGATTCTTGTCTCTCTCACATACACAGATTAGACGACCTTCCACACTCAGATCAGACCATTCCCACAATCAGATCAGACGACTCCCATACACGGAGCAGACGACTCACACGCACATTCGAGACAGTTTTCACACACAGTCCAGGCGACTCCGAGATTTCAAAATCACCCAACGTTCCACACGCTCCTCCTTCTGCCACCATGGAGCCAATGTCATCAGAAGATAAGACGCGTCATGAGAACGGCACGATCAAGATGCTTAAGGGTGGCGAAGACTACCTAGGTGCTGGGCTCCGCCAGATCCTCAAAGACCCTCAGATTTCTACCGTCACGAAATGTCTGTCCGCATATCTCGACTTGATAGAAGAGGAATCAGAATTCAAGTGGAAGGAGATCGAGAACACGAGCGACGTGTTCAAGCTTCTTCTTCCAGTTCTTCGACAAGCTCCGCAACTAGTCGAGCTCCGTATCTGCGACTTCAAGCGCATCGACCCCGTCACGAAGCTAGACCTACGCAAGAGCAAGTTCGACAATATCAAAGCTTTGAAGCTACAGGATGTTGCAGAGGCCGCCCTGGTCATATCTGCGTGCCCGAAATTGGAGACGTTGTCATGCACCTACCCTACCGTGAACGTCAAGGCGACCATGGATACTATTCTCGCCCACCCAACCATAGTCAATCTTGAGCTGCACTGCAAGGCTTGGACCGTTGAGCAGTTTTCGAAGGCCACCGAATACGTGTCATCAACCATCGAGCACCTCAGCTTCGCTGGCGAAATCAAAACTACGATCACCGGTGGTCTGGTGCCGGCGCTGAAGACACTCGAAACAAGTAATCTCAAGAAGCTCGAAGTCACCACCAATCCCTGGGTCAACTACAAGTACTACGAGAAGCGCTGGGTTGATGATCGATACCTGGACGCTATCGACCTCGCCAAGGAACGATCAAAGTTCAATGAGAACGGCATGAAGGTGACGACGGCACTCTTTGCTGCGTGCGAGAGCTTGCAGACCATCAACCTGGCTCATCACCATGAATTCAAGACAACCAAATACACTGTCCGTCGTGATGATGGCAAGATCAAAGTGACTTCCGAAGATGATGTCCAGATGCCAGAGGAATACAAGGTCTTCCAGACCTATCTCGGTGATAGGTGGCGACCTGTCGTCTGGCTACCGCACGAGTAGGTACGTCGAAGGCCTCCCTGGACGGTAAATTACCACTAACTGATAATTTCAGTCCCTTCAGATGCTGAAATCGCACTCAGTGGTGCAGACACGAATCGGTCGACCACACGGTACATGCCAAATGCAGAGACGTTCCGCGGTGATGCGAAACTCCAGAAATTACGCGATGAGGATCAGAGGCGACTTCGAGCTAGTTATGACGCTCAGGCAACAGGAGTTGGAGGCGCCTTAGAGATAGTTGCGACCCTCGAGTGACGGGCATCCAAGGCTCCTTGAAGCTGGCTGTGACGCTCGAGTGGCGGAGATTAGAGAGCACCTAGAGCTAGTTGTGACGCTCAATTCAAGCTGTTGACTCCACCGTCCCCACCCGGGCATGCGAATGCGAATGGGTCTGGAGGTCCGGAGAGGAGCACTGGATTCGCTGCAAGGTAGTTGATCTATCACGAGCTACGATAGCAGTCAGGCACTCAGTCTTGCTGAAGGCAGTGGCGATGGAGAACGTCACATGAATACAGAGGCAACGACTCGGAGCATCAAAGAAGGTGCGAACACAGACAAATGTAACGCAATATCATTAATCCGATACTTCCCATCGCTTTCTCGCCAATCTTGCATCACTCTGACATCCATACCATTGACTCAACATGTCCATCATAGCCTATACTCATCACCGACTTGACAGTGATCCTAGTAGTCCATCCATCCTTCCACCACCTTCGATTCGACAACGATCCATCACGTCCATCGCACCGATCTTAGCAAAGAGACTCTCAGTTTCGGTCATGTCGTCTTCCTCCTCATCGCGAAGAGATCACCGACAACAGCTACTCACAACCCACACCACGCGAAGGCGGTCTCTCATCGTGGGTCACCCTACACACAACGTTAGCAGAGCCGCTGGTCAGCCAGAAAAGCACCAACAGCAAGCACAAGCCATCACAAAAGTGATCCAAGTGCAATGAACACACAAGCCACTAGAGTCCACGAATGAACCCCGTCCAAGTGCAATGAGAACAAAACAAGAGCACAAACCAAGTGAATGTCCCACCACAACCTCATCCTTTTTTTTGACTCCCGACCTTTCAGCCGAGTAATTTTGCTGTTCTTTCCTTCATTTTTTCTCTTTTTCTTGCTACTCCCTCCGACTGTCGCCCCAGCCATTGGTTTTGCTTTTCTCACTCCCTCATCCCCCAGTCTCGAACTCAGAAGAAATCTAACTCATCGAAATCCTCCACCACATGTCCCCGCAGTAGCTCGAAAACCGCTGTGAATCCATCTGGGAATTCTTCCGACTCGTCATCATTCCCCTTATCCTCGCCGAAGAAGTCTGTCTTGTCGAAGTCTCGCACCAATTCGGATATCACTCCTCCTGGTGGATCATCCAACTCCTCATCCTTCTCCTCTATCTCGGTAGTGTAAGCGGGATCGTCAGAATCACAGGCATCCGAAGATGCACCGATCCTCCTCAGATACGACCGCCGTGTGTGAACTGAGGCCAACTTGAAGTAATCATAATCATTCCCGAGCTCGAATTGCTTCTCGCACCAGGAATGAAACGATTGCCCGTTGACAGGATCAAGCCCAAACCGCTTAGCAACTAAACAAGTGTTGTACCTAGAGGTCAAACACTCCCAATGTTCACATGCGTGTATCGATGACCGATCCCAGAAAGGAAAGATCCCAACCCCAGTGACAACAGGATCCACGAAGCGAACACGAAGGTTGCGCCTCAGGATTGTTTTGTGCTTTCGGGCTCCCACCAAACCAGATCCATGGACAAAAGTCGGGATCCTGCTGACCACTCGCTGCTGGCCAGTGGCATGCTCCGTGCAGTGCTTTGCCTCGATCTCTCTGTCCTGGTTACCCACGACCTTGACGGTACGCTTCGACGTCTTCAGACAGCTTTTGAGAGGGAGGGAGGGAGATGCAGAGGGAGGATCCAGGGGGGCCGAAGGGATTCTCGTTTCACGAACTGGGTGCTAACCAGCCGATCCACTCGTCACCACATCGGACAAAGCGAGCTCGGGAATCGAAGGAACGTCGGGGGCGACCGTCGTCCTAGGGACCGAGGATTCTTTCAGCACCGACCGAACAGAGCCCGTCAGCCAAGGTCGAGACCGAGACGTACGAGCCTGTCGGCGGGCTTCAAGTGAAGAAGACATCTGGGAAGACAGAAGTTAGCCAAGTGCTCTGAATGAAGATGGGCGACGGTGATGGGGGCGACAGCGAGGTGGTCGGGTGCGGAAGCAGAGAAGACACCGGCGAGGTCACTGGACACCAGTGAATGCGTTGCCGTAAACAAGGACTGATCAATGAACCTGGATGTCGAGATATTGACTATCGGAATCCTTGCGGAACAGATTGAAATCCGAATTAGGAAGGCGAGTGTCCAAATCGAGCCAGCAACCAGAAAAGCGTTGACAGCAAGGCACCAGCGACGCAAAGATGACGAGACGAAGAGACTGGCCGAAGCGGAACCAAAGAGGACCTCGAGGAAGTCACCAGAGACCAGAAAGAATGAGATGAAGGATGGTTGAGAGCCTGAACTGATTGTTTTGCTCTGTTGAGGCTCCCGAACACGCCTGAACAGCAGGTACCGAGAAGAATACAGTCGACCATGGGCACAAGCACACAGAATTTACTATCGTCGGTCCTGATAGCGTGTGACTGACAGGGCGCGGAAGTACCTATCGTCGTCCAGATAGGTAAGCTGCTGTTGCAGCCACTGAAAAAATCTCGGAAACCAGAAAAGTGGGCGACAGCGAGGTGCGACGACGACGCGAGAGGGCTACGACACAGAGGATATGAGGAGAGGAATGTGTACTTACACTGCTGCTGCTGTATGAATGCATGAGTCTGTGACCTACGAAATATGTAAGTCTGTTCATGAAAAGGGGGGTGAAACTCGCCTGGTCATGATATACAAGGAAGGAAAGAAGAAACTCGAAGAGTTGAGGGGAAGGAGCGGTATATATAGGTCTCAAGTGTCAGGCGCAAGTTCAGAGAATGACAGGGAATGACCGTTGTGTTGAATTGAGCAGCGGTTGCCACTGCAACAGAAAGCAAGATGGGTGTATACTCTGGTACGCATGAAGCCGTGGTCCAACAGGACAATTTCATTGAGTGGTAAGGGTGGAGATTGGCAGGCACGACCGGCAATGTGTCCAATGCAGTCACTGATCCTGCTGGCAAGGGTGGAGAAGGAGCAGGTTTGCAGTGCAAAAGGTGGAACGGTTGGAGTGCACTGAGGCGTGGTTGCTAGGCCGACCAAGGCATATCGGAGACGGTTGACTTTGGGCAGGTGCGTGTGAGGAAGTCGCGCAGTCGTGCGCATGCGCATGTGTCTGCCAGAGTCGACGTAGTCCCGTGCTCACCCTGTTTGAAGCTGGCGCTGGGATAGCGAGAGCGTAAAGATGCATCATCGCATCATCGCAGAGGCTCCGAAGCGCAGCTGGGATGGTAGCGAATATGAAAAAAGAGAATTGAAATATCCGTACAGACCTCTTGCGCACTCTCCGGTGGCGGGCGGCACAACGCACGCCTGGAGGAACGTCCTGCGAGCACCCCTCACGTTTGACACCAGAGTGTATCCCAAGCCCGACGCATGCTCTGCGCTTTCCCAGACGCCCTCCGCGAGCGATGCTGACTTTCCACACAGACACGTTGCCCCAAGCCAGTGCAGGACCGATGCACCACGGCATAATCACAGCTTGATTCCAGCGAGGAAAACACGCACAGCCGTCGAGCCCGCCGTCTCATCATGGACGCTTCCACTTCAAGATCCACCCTTAGAAACGCAGCTGCGCATTTCCACACAAGAACACACAATTGCTAGGGGTCAGACTTACCGTCGAAACCAGGTACCGCGCCGCCCGGGCTGGGGTCTAGGCTGGCGAGATAGGCACCTGAGATACCCTGCAATCTCAACCTTGCAGCGCATCATCTCAAACAAGAATGTGAGCACTTCCAATGCACAGGGTAGCCTAAAAGAATTGCATGCCAAAAACACAAGAGGACAAAAGAGAGACACGTCGTTAAAATAGCGCGACGGCAGATCAGCCGCTTCTAGGCGTCACGACACGCTGTTTTAAGGATCTCAGCTCAGATTTCCAGGCTACAGGCTAAAGCGGCCGAGGATCGATGTGCGACTATGTACGACGAAGTACGAGCGATGCAAGGCAAACCAGTTCTTCAGCTCAGCTTGAACTGCGATGGGTTTGAACCATGTTAGATGGTTCTGCTGTATCTTCAGCAAGCTACGTCTTACCGGCCCTCTCGATTGGGTGACTACGCGCAGATTTGCAGCATCCTGCGCGAGAGTCCTACACCAGAAGCTTCCTTCTCACAGGCTCTATATTGGTCTTATGAACTCTGCGGACCTGGTGCACTTCTCGAGCGCCGACCGGCCGTTAACTAACTACCTAGTTATCAATATAGCACATTTCTCCTCTTCAGCCCGTAAAGTTCCAGCAGCGGCGGACCAATATTTCGTGGTTCGGGAATGTCTTCTGCTTTCGCGATCTCCGAACTGAGACGAGACCAGGCCGACGCAAAGCCCTCACCGTAGTTCAAGGACATCGTGATGTTGCATATTCCTATTAAGCAATACGCCTGTTCCTCTTCCAATTTCGTCTGGCGCCAAAGATCCAGTAGAGCCTGTCATCGATCAAGGATTCGAACACGGAGTCCGCATTTCTGAGCACCCGCCGCGGGATGTCGGTGATCTCGGTGATGACATCCTGCCAGTCTAATTTGTCTCCCAAATACGTCCACTCCCTGGAGAAGAATTGAACAATACGTGGAGCGATCAGCTCCTGGAGGGTCCAGCCACGTGTGAACCATCTGCACCTGCGCATCTGCGCCTCTATCAGCGACTTGTCGCCATCGGGGGGCCAAGACACATCTTCGAGATACACGTAGCATCGTTGAGCGCTTCGGTAGATATGGAACATCGACGTAATCGAATTTTGAAGCTCCATCGCATCGCGCTTGTCGATGCAACATGTGTCGACCCAGAAGTACGCGAGCTTGTCTTTAGAAGCTTGCTGGCCGCAGAGGTCGATCTTTGAGAATCCCTTTATGTCTCGTATCCTATGATTGGAAGAAACGCCTTCGTCGGGGAATTGCTCAAATGAGACCTCATCTTTGGCAGAGCCCAAGTGTGCGAGAGTATCGCAAACTCGTGCCTGGTGCAGGTCTCTAGTTGCGGGCCCTTATTCAAGACAATACATCCTTTGCTATCGTACGATAGGAGCCTCATGATCCGTGGCGCTTTACTGCGAAGTTCGAAGGCAAGGCACTGCGATGAGATCGAGTGCGAGAGTATTGCATACTCGTGTCTGGTGTAGGTCTCTAGTTGCGGGCCCTTATCCAAGACAGTCCATCCTTTGCTATCGTACGATAGGAGCCTCATGATCCGTGGCGCTTTGCTGCGAAGTTCGGAGGGAAGACACCGCGATGAATTCGATAAAGCTCCGCCTGTTGAGTATAAGGCTGTCTGAGAAGGACGCCTGTGCCGTTTCTTTGCACAAGGCACCGTTCTATGTGCTGATAATCTGTGTCGTCGCTAGCGCGAAGCGAGAGCCGAGAGTCCTCTTGTTCCGCACAGCAATGATGCCCAATCGAGGAATCGTTGTCTTCATGGCAAGCGCAAGAAGACAATTTCTCTTAACGACTTTGGTATAATGGTGATCTGGCTACTCCCAATGACAGGGGCGCCCGATGTTGACGAAAATCCTCGTATTCAGGCAACGTGCCCCACTGGGACCTTTCGTCAACCTGAGAAAGCCACCTTGCAGAACTCATGATCTCAAAATCTTGCAGCGCTCACTCGCCTGGACGGCACTGGCAAGATACAAAGCTGAATGAGAGCAGAGCAATTGGATGGAATATGTTCCAACGGTCTTACCTGAGGACGGGCCAGGGAGAAAAGGCAATTGGACTCCTGGCCTAGATAATCTTGGCGAGGTGCGCGTGTCATCCGAATCGCTCTGGGTCCACGGGAATGTCATGCCAGAACTTGGCTGATCTGGAGCATGTCGAACACAGCGCCGCCTTCCCTGTCAGCGAGACGGCTGTGGTGGCCATGTCCTGCGTGCAACACTGGTATTGACTTTATTACAAAACGTGTGAATACTTAAGTATCGCGTTACTACAGAGGAGGCTCAACTGGCAGGCTAGAATGTACTGCTCGTAGATTGCTATGAGCATTCTATTACCACCCCTCTATCACCCCAGTACCCGAATTGATATGCTCGCTCCAGCACCAGCACAACCCAAACAGCAAGGTGTATCTCAAACAATCAACCCCAGCATGAACCGCAAAGGAAATCACGTCTCCTCCCGCTCAACACCTATGCAGTACCCTCCAGATACTTCGGAAACTGACCAATCATGAAATCCTTCGCCTTCGCCATCCTGACCATGAAGCTCGGGATCTTCCAGCCAAAGGCAATCCCAACGCCCTGTGTAGACCCAATGGGCACGAACTGCATATCGGACTGGACCTTCTTGTAGACGTTGTTCGTACGCGAGGCGGGCTCTGTTCACGGCCAAGTCAGCAAGAGTCCCGAATGCCGTCAGTCGAGAGGGAAATTTTGGGACTTACCTTTCCCAGCCAGATCGTTCTTCAATGTCTCAATGAACGCCTTCTTCGCCATAAACACATCCATAATGCTCCCGTTCGAGTAGCTCGCCGCCGAACCATACGCATACACGCCCGGCGCACCCTCAACCCTCATCGTCTTGCCATCCGCCTTCACAAACTTCTTCTCGTTCAGCCACTCCGTGGGCACGAAGTCGGTGCTGGGCTTGTCGCCTACAGCTCCGATGTAGATGTCCACCGTCTTCGTCTCGCCATTGCTCAACTCAATCACATCCTTCCCACCTTCCGATCGCTGCGAGGTGATCTGAATACCGTGCACGACTTTGATCCCCTGCTTGACGAGTCGACTTTCGGCATCCGTGCCCATGTTCTTGTTCCCTAACGCATTAAGCAACTGCTTCGCGCCGGAATACAACGTGATATCCTTCTTCGAGCCGTACAGATCCCCCAGCTCGCCCGCGGTCTCGATCCCAGCGGGACCACCGCCACCTATGACGATCGTCTTCGCCTCCGGCAGCTTCTTGTGTAGCTCCGCGAGCTCCGCCCTCAACGGCTCTGAGCCGCGTGCCGTGGACCATAGGTTATTGTTGAAGATCGTGCCAGAGGCGATAATAAGTGAGTCGTACTTCACCTCCTCGCCAGTACTCAGCTTCAAGGTCTTGCTCGCAGGCTCAATGCTCTTAACAAACGCCTTGATGAACTGGTATTTCTCGGCGCCATATTTCTCAAAGTGCGGGAGCACGCTGACCAACGACTTCTCGAGAGGGAGGGATTGGGGGTTGATGAGTGTTCGAGGGGCGCCGATCTTGAAGTAGAACTCGTCGGTGGGTGCGATTTGGATGACTTTGAAGGTCTTGCCGCTGGTGGCTGGGATAATGTCCTTCAGCAGGTTGGCGGTGATGAGGTTGCCAGCGAAGGAGGAGCCGATTACGACTATTTGGTGGGCGGACATTTTGGTTGGAGTTGGAGATTTATTTCTGGGAGATGGATTGGGCAATGAGGTGCAAGGACCAGGCGAGAAGTGAGATGTTCTTTGAGAGACGTGTAGAGGTGGGAATTCTGACAGATGGACAGGAAGGAACAGATATATCAGTAGCACATGCGCCGGTCTATGACGGGGTCAAATAGTTTTGATACCGACGGCAGGCGTGTTTGAGATTGGAATTTCAGAGCGGACTGGATTTGGCTTCGGATCATCGACTCCCTGACAACCATGTATATAGTTCTACTCTATCTCGATATTGCATTTGCAATACACTCACGTACCGCTGCTTCGTTCGTCCGACGCTGACCAACACACCCTCGCAATTGCACTTAGCGCGTGCACGGCATCACTGAATACCGCTGGAGGGACATTCGTCACGACAGAGGAGCATTCATCTTTTGACGCGTCTCCGCCGCACGGCGTCCGGTGGCGCATCTCATCATTCTAGCGAGTGCGCTCTGGTTGGCTGTCTTGGAGCGGGCGTAGTCGGCGCCGATCCACCCCTGGTGGCCCCTGGGCGATAATGCCCTGAATGGCAGCATGCTTACCTAAACGATCTCGTATAGTGGCAGTCTTCCGCATGCGGACACGTGACTCTGTCGGCCGTGAGACATCGATGGCTTGAGATCGAGCAGATTTACTTTGCCATTGGTAGGACGAGGGGCGGTAGCGAAGGTATGGAATATTTTGCTACTTGGGTTCATTTAGCAAGGAAGCCAGGTCAGCTTCCGTTCGGTCTACTCGTATGGGTACTCGTAGCCGGGTGATGAATGTACTGTAATGCTTGCAGCGGCGCGAATTGCCTGAAGGCGTGTCGTTGCGGCATGATTATGATGCTGATGTCCTTGGCAGGAACGAAGGCTGCATACAACTTGCGAGTCTCTGCACTGCAAGACCAGACGTGCAGATACCACTCATCCAGTGATCGACATAGCAATGATTAAAACAGAATCTTGGGCTACCACAGCTTTGTGTTGTACATTAACAAGCAGTCTCGCCTGAGATGTCGTGACCAAACGACTATACTACTATCTCATGTACTAACTTAGTATACACCCAGAGGCTTCTCCACCTGCCAGCCGGAATCTATATCGTGTCATCGAGTACCATATGCGATGCATCTGATCATATCAGTATCCAAAGATCGTCGGTCATCAGGCCGCCATCATCCATGGCGCTGCTTCTGGCTTCCCCATATCCCTTGCGCATTATCTTCGGATACTCCAGTTCATTCCCCCTCCTGTATTGTTCATACTGCTTAGCAGTGTGTCTGCTCGTTGGAATACATCTCCTCTGAAAACATGGTCACCTCCGTAGCCATTTGCGTTGCTCCGTTCGGTCCCACCTAGTGGTACAAGGCTTGCTGTGGCCGGTGTTGGTGGCATTTCATCCCCGTTGATATCCCTGTGTTGAGGTTTGATCGTCCATCCTGGACCTTGGGCTGCTAATGCGGCAGCCATGGGATTGCCGGTAGTGGATATGGCTGTCGGGAATCCTGATGTTGGCACTGTTGCTGCCGCAGCCGGCCCGAGCGCCGCTGATAACGGCGTCGCTGGTAATGGTGATGTCAACGGTGACGGGCCTGCCAGGCGGTCGAAGCCCGGATATGCTGACGCAGATGGCACCGACGACGCCGAGTCAGGCTGCTGCACAGCAGGCGCCGTCGAAATAATTGACGGCGATGTATGCATGTGGTGCAACTGTGGCCGTTGTACATGAGAAGTCATTGATTCTTTAGCTGGGAAGCGAGACACGTTGCCGTAGCCATTCAGATTGGTATAGCTGTCGCTTCTCGCAGGCGCTCCTTGGATGTTGTTGGCATAGCTGTCAGATCGAAGTGGTGGTGGTGCACCGTTCACCGAGCTATACGGTGTTGGCGCGGGCATGGTCGAAACGCCATCAGTGAGGTTGCTCCAAGGACTTTGCTGAATCAAGCGACCTGCTTCCCGACTGGTCTTTTGCACGGGTCGCAAAATGACAATCAATTCCGGTGGTAGTAGACGCAGACTCCTGACTTCCCGCATCTCTGTCACAAGGTCAACGAAACTCTGCAGGAAGGTCTTGCAAAGAAGCCAAAAGGATGGATCGTTGCGTCCTACTTCGTCTTTGATCCGCATGCTGGTTAGTCGCAATTGCAACGCTTCGCTGACTTCGTAGCACTGCTTGCATCGATAGACCAGAGTTGCCCAGAGGTCATGGATTGCTCTGGACTGCTGTCCATCCTTTGATGTCTCAACACACCGACTGAAGTGTTCCTTAGCAAGAGGGACTGCGGCTAAGGCCGCTTCGTAAGACCTGGTCAGAGACATGAAGATCTGTCCGAATGTGTACTCCTCCTGGCTTTCGGTCATGCCTGTCGACGGGTTTACACGAGCAAAGTACGAGGTTGACCGTGGAAGATGAAAGCCATCGCCCGATCTCGGCGTGCTAGCGACTGACGATGCTAGAGAGACTGGCCCACTGTTCATTGTTCGTGAATTGGACCTCGACCTCGATCCGTATGCACTGCCCTGCGTCGTAGTCCCATTCATGGTCGACGAGGAAGAGCTGCTGTGGATGGTGCCGTTCACGGTCGTCCCTGTGAGATTGATTGCACCAAGCGAGGGATTCGCTTGTGGATGGGTCGGTTCCGAGACGCCATGCTGGATCGTTGTCTCGCTTCTGAGACGCATTCCAGGTCGCTGGTGGACGATGCCGTCCTGGGTCGGCGTAGCTGAACGTCGAATCTCAACCTGATCTGCGCTCTCTTCAGGTATGGTCTGAATAGAGTGCTTGTGTCCACTCGACTTCTGCCGCTGATGACCGCGACTGACAATCTTGATATCGATGCCCAGACTGCTCACGGCGTTTCTGACCTCTGCGATACTACCGTACAGAAGCAGCATGAGAGTACGCACATAGCGAAGGTCACTGCCCGCCACAATCCGGCGGAGACTGTCCTGTAGGCGTGCAGCGACCTGGACGTATGCCGTGATGCAGTGACTGCAGTCCTCTTGTACCATTTCTTCTGCTTTCTCAACAGCTTCGACGTCTTCGGGATCGATCGAATCTGCGAATTCTAACGACTCGTTGAGGCGGTCGACCATGGCAGCTGCAGAGTAAAAGATAGCTTCCAGGCTCGATGAGCGCTTGCTCTCGTGCGCGGGGTTGGCCTGAATGAGTCCAGAAATATGTGGATGAACCTGATAGAGAGCGTACAGGATGCCTCGAGCGCCTTGCACGACAGGATTGTGCCACTCTTGCTCCAACTTATACTCCGGTAGACTTGATAGTCGCTTGATCACTCTGTTTCGGCCACGAGTATCCCGAGGACTATTCGGACTGTACGAAGCATTGCTGAAGCCAGGCGATGCGAGGACGCCGCCTCTCCTTAGCGCAGAATTGTGACTTATGCCTCTGAGATGGCTGTTTCGATTCGCTCTGCTTTCGTCTATCGAGTCTAGTCCAGGCTTCGCTTTGGCCAGGGGGGCCATGCCCATTCGCTTCGTACGTGGATTCTGTACTGTCGTTTCAGAATTGCTGCGCAGTCGGTCGCTCGATATCAATGGCGCAATACCAGGTCTCTTGAGTGCCATGCTTTGCCCAGACGCCATTCGCTGGTGTGATCGGGTTGGTATAGGCGGTGGGTTGTTCCATGTGCCTGTTGGAGGCGAGGACCCATCACTAGTATTATTTGATGGAATGACGGGGAAGCGACTGCTCAGTATTCGCTTTGCTGGCTTGGGAGTTTCCATCGGACTTTCCTCGTACTGCTGCGCAACCTCAACGTCAATTGGCGGCACAATAGGATGTGCCGCGCGAAGGTAGCGTTTGATCTCGACGGTGATGGACTTTTCCCGTTCTTGCTCCGTCAACTCTGAGAACAGCACCTCGGCCTCCTTTGCTTCGATGATCTTCTTCAGCTTGAATCGTAGCGGATTGTCAGCAATCTTGATCATTTCCAGCATATTCATGTCACACATGTCCGTGGGCAAGTCGTCGATCCGGTTGTGTATGATTGATAACACACGAAGTGAGGTCAAATTGCGGATATCTCTCGAAATCTTCCTGATCTTATTTCGGCTGATATCGAGAATCTCGAGCGATGTGAGCTTGAAGATGCCGCGGGGAATATCGCGAAAGACGTTGGATCTGACGTTGAGATATCGCAGGTGTATGCACTCCGAGAAACGCCCTGACATGTGCCATATCTGGTTGTTCGACAGCGACAAGCGGTCCACGTGGTCTTTGATCACGTCCACCACCGCCTCTGGGAGTCGAGCCAAGTTCGAATGGCCAATATCGAGCGTCAATTTTGGCTTGACGACGTCTGTGACGCCTTCACTTTCCAGGACCTGGTCATTGTGTTGCTGAGCAGCTTCCAATCGTTTCTTGAACAGCGCTATAGTATCTTCTATGCCTAGGGGTGTCGGCAAGGTGGTCGGTGTCGTCTTTTCGTCCCGCTGCCGCCTCGGAGGCGAATCTTGAGTCAGGGCATATAAGTCTGGGGTTTCGGCTTTCGGCCTGTTGTTCTCGCTTGACGCTCGAGGTGAATGGACGTTGAAGCGAGCAGAGCGAGGGATTCGTTGCTCGTCCGGTGGGACTATGCTAGACACCATTGGCGCCTCTATAGCCATCATTTCGTGATGTTGGGGCTCCGACAAGGGAGGAGGGCACAGTGTAGGCCTCGGCAGGCCGGCCGCATTATTGAGCCGCTTAGCCACAGAACAAAGACATGATCGGAACGAATTGCGCCACTCTGGATCGATTCAGAAGGTTGTCTTCCTGTTGTAGTTTGCCAAAACGACAGTGGCTACTTCTCAGATCAACTGCCCAGTCGAGCGCTTGAGGTGAAAATCGCTGACGCTCGACCTCGCGTGGAGTCACGCAAGGGGTGAGTCGGGGTGATCGAGGAGGACGGTAGGTGGTACAAGCGCGGCGGACCTCGATGCTCTGGCTTGGCTGTCAGATGGATCTCCCGTCGTGATGATACAGTGCCGGTCAGAATATGTGCAAGTTTGTCGTGTGTATGTGTCCTTTGCTTTTGCTGATACCCAACCTCGTTGGCACCCTTGCACGTTCTGAAACGTGTCACGTGATGATGCCCGAGAAAATCGGGTGGCGCTTGCACCGCTCTGCATTAGCTCCAGGGACAGACGTCAGGTACCGTTTCTGGAGAAAATATATATCCTTCTATCTCCGGCGGCAATAGTTAACGACGAATATTGTTCAGCACTCTGCATCAACGATTGCATCAATTCATCTGCTAGGGGGGACTTTGTCGGTGCGTTGATCGTGCTTGCTACATCGGTCGTTTGTCGTTAGCGTGTCCGCGCAGTCAGGCATCATCGTCACATATTGTCGACAACACAACATGGTCGGCTCGGCGGCAGGCGCTGGCCGAGGGGGCCAGCAAGGCAACCTGATCTCAGAGTTCATGCCAAATGTCCGGACGAAAACCAAGAAGGCCCATGGCTCATCGAATGCTCACGCAACGACCACCGCCTCGTCGTCATCAATAGCCGACCTGAGCTCAGCCATATCTCAACTCGAAATGACCACGAATCCATCCATACCCAGTAAGCCTCGTGTTTGCACATGTAATGCTTCCATACATCCACTCTTCGACATGGCGCCGAACTGTCTCTCATGTGGCAAGATCATTTGTGCTTTCGAAGGACTCCAACCATGCTCGTTCTGTGGAACCAAGCTTGTATCCGATAGCGAAACGCAACAGATCCTCACATCATTACGACAGGAACGAGGGACGGAACGCCAGACAGCACACAATAGCAGTATAGCCGCTTCACGCTCAGGCACTCCATCACTATCCAACACGCCATCCAGAGGTCCCACGCCAGTCTCTTCAAGCGATTCTCTCCGCCAAAATGCGGCTTTAGAGGAAGCAAAGGCTCGCCGGGACCGACTACTCACATTTCAGTCGGAGAATGCTCAACGTACAAAAGTTCACGATGAAGCAGCCGATTTCAGCACTATCACACCTGGTCAAGCGCAGTGGATGACACCTGTACAGCGGGCTGCAGCCTTGAAACAGCAGCAGAAGTACCTACGGGACCTCGAGGAGGCCTCTAAGCCGGAGTATGAGAAGACGCGGTCAGTCATGAGTTTGGGCTTCAACAAGCAGGGAAAGCTGGTCAAGACGTTTGAGAAGCAGCGGATTGCGCGGCCAGATCCAGAAGAAGCGGAAGCAGAAATCGACGCAGAGCCCGCCTCATCGGGTCAGAACACCCCGAGTGCGAATCCGTTCGCGCGTGAAGGACTAATTCGGCCCATATGGAAGCCCAGCGCTGAAGCGGGCTCTGGTAGTACTACAGCCGCGAGAAAGAACACTTGGAGGCGGGTGCAGGACGATGAGGCTTAGGTAGCTGAAGTCGCCGAGAATGTGGTGCGGGAGTCCCCCCTGCTGGCATATGAGAAGGCTGTGGCGGCACATGATTTCGCCACGCGAGGGGCTAGGGCGATTGCGCCGTGGTCGGACAAGCGCTTGAACGACGACATTTATGCCAGCTGGCTCAAATTGCCGCGGCGCAATCGCCCTAGTGGTCCCGGGACTGGCTCCTGCCCCCGTCTCGCCGGTCCGCGCATCTCCTTCCGTGCCCAGCTATATGCGGGCAACGGCGGCTTCACGCCATAGACAGTATAGATAGCGTTTTGCCAACTTTGGTGCAGCGCCCTCCCTGACCACTAAATTCATGAAGCATTGTACTACAAACTGCCACTATAGCGAAGCTCAAATCAAATCCACCGTCCCAACCAGTGAAGCAATGTCAGACCTTCAGCGCCCTCCTTAGCCTGAAATCTCTGATGAGCAGCACTTCTAACGCACGGCAGGCCTACTGTCGAGAGCTCTTACAAAGCTTCGAACCCGTACCAGAACTTGAGTACTGGATGCGGCTCGTTGAAGTGTGGGGAAATCCGGGGCATACGATCGGCACACGAGCATCCCCCGCAATCTCGCAAACCATGCATCCACGATGTGTTGTCTGTTAGGCGAGAGATCTGTGCTGCGTGAAACCGAGATCAAGAAATCGTCAGCTAGCAGCTCACCCGGCTGGTAGTATCGAGTGGTAGTCGGCTATTCTAGCTGCAGGATGACAGCTGTATGCAATCTGCCAAGGTGGTAGTGCTTGATTCTGGCCTGGACCCTCCCAGCTGGCACGCAGCGACAGTGCTTTACAGCCTCAGAGGTACCTTAACGACGCGTCTGAATGCAAGACGATTCATCTAAAGCTATCACCCCGAGGATTGCGACCTGGATGTGGTGGGCAGAAGGTAGCAGCCATGTAGATGATCGTGCTATGAACATCTGCAAATATATTCTCTAAGGCGGACAACCACGGACGACCTGCGAATTGTCAGATCTCGCCAGATACTATACCCCTGATTATGGCCTGATACAGACCATCTGACCCTCAACGCATTCCAAGAAAATTGTGCTCGCAAGGACATACTGCAACAGTAATCACTGAAGAAGTCGCATGCCAGTGATCCACTCGAATATGCACGAAGAAAGTGAAAATGACATCAGACACGGTTGCATCGCTCTTGATGCGAATCTTTTACGAATCTGATTGCTCCCACCCCTCCACAGCACCAGGTGGTGCCCCTCACTGTGCGCCTGCCTCACATGCATCGCTCGGATTCAGTTTTACTATTCCGTATATCAGCAGTCGTAGCTGTTGTTCTTTTAGCCAGCTGTATACAATACCTTTCAACGCTACGGCGCCCTACACTGAGCCAGCCAATCGTCGAACCGCCTGCAGTCAGCCGCCGACTTCTCAGTCCTTTTGGCGACAGTGTATACAGGCAGGAGGCTTACTACGACCAGCTCGAGCCCGGCACCCAGTGCAAGCCCAAGAACATCTTCTCGGACGCGCCAGTATCCGTCGCACCGACGAATATGGCGCTCACGGAGGAAGTCAACCGGGTGGCCGCCCTGTTCGAATATGGCCCAGAAGACCTGAACAAAGGCGTCAAGGAATACATCAGGCAAATGAACGAAGGCCTCGAGAAGCAGGGTACAATGTTGAGCCAAATTCCAACATACGTGACTAATGTACCAAACGGAACGGAGAAAGGCACATACCTCGCCGTCGATCTGGGCGGGACAAACTTTCGTGTCTGCTCAATAGTTCTACATGGCAACCACACATTCTCCTTACAGCAATCGAAAGTCGCGGTACCACGGACACTGATGGAGGCGAAGAAGGCGACTGATCTGTTTAGCTTCCTGGCAAAGCAGATCGAGGCATTCCTAAAAGAGCATCATTCCGAGCATTTCGAAGCACACCAACAGAAAGGTCTCGGTTCGAAAGAGTTCTTCGACTTGGGCTTTACGTTTAGCTTTCCCGTCAACCAGATCGGCATCAATAAAGGCAAGCTTATGCGATGGACTAAAGGCTTCGACATCGATGAGGCTATTGGCCAAGATGTCTGTGGTCTATTACAGGTGGAGATCGACGCTCTCAACCTTCCTGTGCGAGTCGCGGCGCTGGTCAATGACACCGTTGGCACGCTCATGGCGCGTTCCTATACCTCTCCAGGCACGACGAAGACGCTCATCGGCGCCATCTTCGGCACCGGGACCAATGGCGCATATGTCGAGAAGCTCGATAAAGTAACGAAGATGAAGGACATAGCGGCGGCTGAAGGAGAGGCAAGCTACGACCGATCGACAGGTCTCATGGTGATCAACTCGGAATGGGGCAGCTTTGATAACGCACTGAACGTCCTTCCAAACACCCCGTATGATGTGGACCTCGACAAGGAGTCAGTCAATCCTGGGATCCAGATGTTTGAGAAGCGAGTATCAGGCATGTTCTTGGGAGAAATCCTTCGACGTGCTCTTCTAGCACTCTACCAGAACGACGAGGAGGTCGCCCTATTCAAAGACACAAGCTCCGCAGATAACGACACGAGCAGCACTACGACTGTGGCCAACGACAGCGCGTTGTACAAGCAATGGGGCATTGATACCTCGTTCCTATCAATTGTTGAAGAGGACCATTCAGATCATCTACGCATAACGAAGCAAACGCTGGAGCTACAGCTGGGCGTATCAGCACCCTCCACAGAGGACTGCGTCGCCGTAAAGACTCTAGTGCACGCGATTGGTAAACGGGCTGCGCGTCTTAGTGCTGTCGCCTTAGCCGGCGTTGTCATAGGCACGGACAAGCTAAAGGAGAGCGACGAGCCTGTAGATATCGGCGTGGATGGTAGTCTTGTGGAGTACTACCCGGGATTCGAAGACTATATCAGGGAGGCCTTCAGGGAAATAGAGGGCATAGGCGCAGACGAGAAGCGCATCCGAATAGGCCTTGCTAAAGACGGTAGTGGATTAGGGGCTGCATTGATAGCCCTGGTTGCCGCGAACAAGGCGGCATGATGTGTATGACATAGATTTAGCCCGCCAGCGCCCGCCCTGGCGGGAAAATCCACAATGATCAATTTTACGGCGTGAATTGTTGGTGACGCTCAAGTGAGGCTCATCCCAAACCTACCGGTTTGATCATTCAAGAGTCGGTCCTACAGCGCCCTCGCTGGCCAGATTCCACGACGAGTTGTTTTCATCGAAGTGCCGCTCAAGCTCCCAACCCCACCGATTTGATCAACCAAAGAGTCGGTCCCACAGCGTCCTCCCTGGCCAGATTCCACGACGAGTTGTCTTCATCGAAGTGACGCTCAAGCTCCCAACCCCACCGATTTGATCAACCAAAGAGTCGGTCCCACAGTGTCCTCCCTGGCGAGATACCACGAGGACTTGATCTCAACAAAGAGACGCTCAAGTGAGGCTCCTCCAAAACCTGCTGATTTGATAGGGCTGCAGCTTCGGGACCTCAGAGCCCTCCCTGGCCAGATTCCACGACGAAATGTTTCCAAACAAAGTGACGCTTGAGTGAGGCTCCTCCCAAGCCCTGCCCATTGATAGAGCTACAATGTCAGACCCTCAGAGCCCTCCCTGACCATATTTCACGACGGAATGTTTTCAACGAAGCAACGCTCAAGTGAGGCCTCTTCCAGGCTTGCAATTTGAAGAGCTGCAATGTCAGACCTTCAGAGCCGTCCCTGGCTGGTAGTCCTGTGATGAATCATCTCCATCACATGATATGCCAGTGACGCTCAAGCGAAGCTCACTGGCATCTCAGGCCTGTCTACTTGGTCGACGAGGTAACAATGATGACTCGCATGATCGCAACATCGTCCTTGAAGCCCCCCTGGGACGAAGGTAAATGATGAATATTGCTACGGCACGTTGTAGCATGTCAAACTGTCTGTCACTGTCCACTTTTCTGATTTCCGCCCGAGACCAGTCCGTCTGCTGTGAAAATGTGCGCTCGCGATTCGTCAACATGACTGCAGAGAGGTTGAAGACGCGGATGACTGCCGACTAGCGGCCGGATCCGCGAGGCAGCCTCGGCAGCTCATCCCGCGCGATATCATATCAGGCCAAATTGATATGTAATTGTACTGGACTAGACTTGCACTCCAACCTCTTGCAAGACATTCTGGCCTTTTGGGTCTCGATTGATTCAACAGATCAACGACATTATCATCGTCACCGACACTGAGTCTTACAAGAGGAGTGCCACGCATATCCCACAACCCAAACGATGACGGCGCTGAAGGCGGGGGATAAATTCCCGGAGGATGTCACTTTCTCGTAAGCCATCCGCACTGTCCTTTGAGGACCGGCGTCCGCCGTCGGGTAAGACAAGTTATGGATGGAGCGTGTTACTGACGGTATTCACTTCACAGGTACGTGCCATGGACAGAAGAGAAGGCTGGTATCACGAGCTGGTAAGTTCTCCATCACGATGAAAGCCTGCGGCAGGGCCGCTGGATACAATCTACGGACTTCAGCTGCTGTCCAGACCAGAGAATCGGAATCTCGAGAGCAAAAGCGATGCCACTCCTCCCCATCTCCCAATTAGCCCACGCCCGACAATCATGACCACAAGACTAACATGACCCCTCCCCCGTAGCGGCATCCCAACGAACTACAACGCCTCCAAACTCTGGGCCGACAAGAAAGTCGTCCTCTTCGCCGTCCCCGGCGCCTTCACCCCTGGCTGCAGTGTTCGCCACCTGCCCGGCTTCATCGAGAACTTGGAAGCTATCAAGGGCAAGGCGGTCGATGTCGTTGCTGTGATTGCTTTCAACGAGTAAGTCGCTCTCGTGTGGCCACACCTGTGTCCGGAAACGGAGTTTGCTGACAAGATCGGCAGCGCGTTTGTGATGTCGGCGTGGGGCAAAGCGAATGACATCAAGAATGAAGACATCCTGTTCCTGAGTGATCCGGACAGCAAGTTCAGTCGGGGGATCGGCTGGAACATGGGCGAGAGGGCGGCTAGGTACGCCATGATCGTGGATAAGGGCGTCGTCACGTATGCAGAGAAGGAGCCTGCTAGGGATGTTACTGTGAGTGCTTTACCTGCGGTTTCTGCTTGGGGTGGACGATGCCACGTGCTCGTGGTGACAATGGAGCTTCGCTAACGCTATGTGTGAACAGGTCTCTGGCGCCGAAGCCATCCTCGCGAAGCTGTAGAGGGCCGACACAGTGGCGGACCATTAACGCTTTACGGTTCTGATGGTTCAACATTCGATGGTCCGACAGCTGGTGGATCCTAAGGAAGATGCAGTGTTACCGCATGTTGTTCAGTGCCGATGGCGGCGGGGGCTCAGACGTCTGCTGCTGATGTGTCCGTGACAGCCCACTGTCGTGCGCAATAGATCAAGTAGAATAGAAAGCATTTGTTGCAAGTCGTGTCATACGCTCGCTTACCCAATACGTACTCAAAGTCGCGTGAGAGGTTCCGTCCTTAGTAGAGCTGTACTACACTGGCTGCAGTCGGACAACGACAATGGTCAAAGTAGTTGAGAGCACACCGAGCGCGCGCGATTTGAACAAGGAGACGAGCCAAGCTAGGGGGACATGGGAAGGTGAAAGTCATTGAGATCCCAGGCAGTTCTAGGCAGTGGCAGCCTTGCGCCTGGTTCGCCTTCAGCCACAGGCTGAGTCGACGTCAACTCTCTGAACCTCTCTTGCCTTTTCCACTTGATAGACTACAGTGCATTGCCACCACAACTTGCGACTTCTCAACGCTCCGAAACAATCCGTTATCGCAAACGACGATACAGCGTACCATCTCGTTGCAGCCCGCAAGCTATCTTGAGGACCGACCGCATCTCGAATCCAGTACGGCGCTTCCCGCCACAGACGGCCACAAGCACAGCGCACTGGTCGCACCGTATTGCGCGCAATTCTCAACATGGCGCTTCCGAAGAGAATCATCAAGGAGACGGAGAGGTTGATGGCAGAGCCGTAAGTCGCGTAGAATGCCGGAGGAGAGAAAACTAAGATGAGCAGAGTACCTGGTATCAGCGCAGTACCGCACGAAGACAACCTCAGATACTTCGATGTCAGCATACACGGTCCCTCTCAGTCTCCATATGAAGGTGCGTCGGCCGGACGACGGGGACAGCGTACGGAAACTAACGATGGCAGGCGGCATATTCAAGCTTGAGCTCTTCCTCCCAGACGACTACCCAATGACACCACCAAAGATTCGCTTTCTCACCAAGATCTACCATCCAAATATCGATAAGCTGGGTCGCATCTGCTTAGACGTTCTGAAGAGTATAGTCGACTTCCAGAAAAGTGGAACTCTGCTAACAATGACCAGGCAATTGGTCGCCGGCACTTCAAATCAGGACTATTCTACTTTCAATACAAGCTCTACTTGGTGCACCAAATCCAGATGATCCATTGGCCAACGATGTGGCGGAGAGGTGGAAGGCAGATGAACCGGCGGCCATTGCGACAGCTCGGGAATGGACGAAGACTCATGCCATGACTTGATCGACGGATTTTTACGAGGACTGCTCTGAATGAACGACGTGGGAAGGACGTATCCGCATGCCATCTTCCAGGGCGGACTTTGACTGGATCTCTGGGCCTACAGACATGACATAGAGTGCAATGAAGCATGAAGCGATGAAGCAATGATTAGACTTCTCTGGTAGTAAGTGATTGGTATTCTCTTGAGGTGAGACACCGCATTCACTGAAGACGTTTCTGGTTCCTGGACAATGACTCGATTCACAACAGCTCATGCACTTCCTGACTGCAAGTCTTGGGGCTGGTGTGTTCCTTGCTCCTGTTTCCGCCCAGCTAGCCCCCGTTTCTCTGGTTTGATGCAGCCACGCGGCTGTGCCTGTCTACTCACAACGTGTGGCTATCACTGTAGTGATAGTTGAACGTTGGATACAGCTAGACTGCCCAGAAAATGAGAACACAAAACTCGTTCTCGAATTTCTGCAGGATGCCATCCCACCACCACAACCATGGCTTCCTCTGGCGACGAGAGCGCCATCATCGCCGCCGACGGCGACGACTGGATGGTTCTGCCGCTTGCCCGCGTCGGCGCCGCCGATAACGACGACGAGAGTGTTGCTGCTGCTCCTGCTGCAAGTGCGGGCGGCGAGAACGAGGAGGAGGAAGCGTAAGTAGAAGCTGCGCGTCAATCTTCATGCATTTCTAACAATAATAGGCTCTTCGAGCGGACGCTCGCTGAGCGTCGAGAGCAGATCGAGAAGACGCTGGCGAAGCTGGAAGGCCGTCGGTAAGTGAAATGCCCTCATGTCAAGTGAACTGTACGATTTGCGAGGGGCTCTCCTCATGTGTTGACGCGCCTGCCATTTCGCGTTTGTCCAAAGACCTCCCTACCAACTCAAATTCCCGCCCAAAAACACGAAAGCGAGCTCAATTCATTGCATTTCCGTTTGTCACTGCGTGGGAGTCACTGAACTGAGTGAATACACGATGGCGTCTCCACTTGCCCACAAGACGAGACGAAAAGAAGTTCTCAATCTTCGCGACAGCACTTTCGCACCCACGAATCTCCTCGCAATTCCACGCATGAACACACGCGTCGAGTTGGCAGAAATGTCTGCTAACCTTCCATCTCCTCACAGCGCGACCAAGCCCATTGTCAAAGACTTCGGCTACTTCAAGACCGGTACTCCATCCTATGGCCACGCTCACTGGGACAAAGACCAACTTGCACGAAAAGGATCCATGAAGAAGTCCGACAGCAAGGTCGACATCACTACTGATAGCCTCCAGTCCGACGCCGATAGTGTCCACGCCGAGATTGAGAATGGCAGCACCACCAGTCTTGCAAGACTTTCTCTCTCACCCTCTACTACAGCCGGCTCCGAGATCACCATCCGTCGCACTCGTCCCAACAATGATCACATCATGAGAATCCTTCGCGACAATGGCGAGCAGTCCGATGAGAGTTCAGGAAACTCTGGTACCCCTGGTCGCACTCGTCCAAACAATGATCACATCATGAGAATCCTTCGCGACAGCACCAACCAATCCGATGACCAGGTCATCAGCATTCTCGAGGCAGCATTCGAAGGTCCGACTGAAGAAGCACCAGCTACGCCCGCCGAAATCGTCCAAACACCTTCCCGCAAATCATTGGGATCTTGGGGCAAGAAATCTCGCACCTCTACAGTCGGCACCAATGGCTCTGTCTGCTCATCCACTCCCACCGCCACGAACTCCGGCAAGCGCGTCCCATCAAATGGTTTGCGTGAGGCATTCAGCACCATCTTCCGCCGCGATAGCGTCGCTGGCTCCAATGCCAGCAAGACACCGGTCCAAGACAAAGATAAAGCCGAGAAAGAATCTCCTGGTTTCTCTAGCAAGAAGTTCGCCGAAGATCGTGTACGTTCACCCCTTCCCACCCAGCACAAACACTAACGCACCACCTCCAGGAACTGTACCTCCGCACCATCACCGCCTCCCTCCCACACGGCAACACCAACATGTACCCCAAACATCCCTTCACCAACAAGCCCTGGATGCACCGCAACCTCCGCTGCACAACCTGCACCGACGAATGCTGCAACCGCTGCGGAAGAGCCTGCTGCGCCCATCGTGCTGCCGTCCTTGGTCTCAAGAATCATCCTACCGGCGAGAACCACTTCAGAGCTAGAGGCCGCCTCACTGAACTCGAGAAGATGTATCCGTACGGGAGGGAATTGCCGACGTTCATCAAGTGCTTGGAGTGCGAGAAGTTGATGTGTCCGGAGTGTTGTGGGGAGTGTGCTGAGCCGATTTGCAAAAGTGTTGTTTGTCGGGGGTGCAAGAGCGATCCGTGGGTAAACTGTGATTGGCATTAGGTATGCTGGAACTTTGGGGTTAGCATGGCGTTCTGGTGTCATGGAGGCCTCCTGACAGGTGGAATTTGGCAACGAGTCCAAAATGGATGAAATAGTTGTTCTATTGCCTCAGAGGACTCCCGAACAGTCAAATTGAACGACTCTAGCACAGGTCGAGAATAGCTAGCAAGACACATGATGCGAAGAGTCAAACGAGAATTCATCTTCAAAGCTACCTACAGAGTCCTCCCTGAACACCTAGCCGCAATAGAACTCCATTTAAATGCCTGTCAGATTCAGTCAAACGATACCTCCCTCATCAAGCGGCACTAGGCCAGGCCTCGAGTTGGGTCAAAGATCATCACCACTCTCTTGCGCTTCAGAGACAAGTCCCGTCCACGCGCGTCGAGAGTACAAAAAATTCACTCTAGGGTATCGTCAACTTCGAATCATCAGCCAGGTTGAGGTCTGTGGCTCGTGAGAGAGAACACAGAAGAGGACGTTTACTATAGAAATGATTCTATGAAGTACTGCAGAGTCTGTTAGCATCGAGGCAGAGCGTAGGGGTATTTGGGAATACTGACAAGTCGCATGAAGATCGTGAGAAGAGTTGCGAGGCGTTCGAGAAATTTGTAGTCGAGAATTGCTACGGTGGGCAAGATGCACGGGAATGGCAGTGCCAAGGCTAGATGCGCACGACGAAAGTGCGGGCCAAGCGACTACCTCCGATCGACGACATTTGATCGCGACGACATCCTTCATTCCCACCAGGCACTGTTGACAATTCAATACCGTCAACATGCGTACCTACGACGATACCTTCAGCGCCACCAAGATCTACCCGGGCAAGGTCAGTCATTCCCCGAGCCGCATTCGCACGAACGCAACGACGACTTCTCTCTATCGAAGAAAGATGAACATGGCGACATTATCGCAAGAAAATACTGGCTGACAAGATGGTGATACAGGGCAAGCTCTACGTCCGCGGTGACAGCAAGGTCTTCCGCTTCCAGAATGGCAAGACCGAATCCCTCTTCTTGCAGCGCAAGAACCCCCGCAGAATAGCCTGGACTACCCTCTACCGACGTATGCACAAGAAGGGTATCTCTGAGGTTCGTGGCCCTACTTCTTATAACACCTACGAGTCCGAGACAGCCATTCCATAAAGGCCGAAACCTGGGCCTGACCCCAAACGAGACACCATAAAAGGTAGAACCAGCACACTAACAACCCCGTAGGAAGTCGCCAAAAAGCGCACCCGCCGCACAGTCAAGCACCAGCGCGCCATCGTCGGCGCCTCTCTCGACGTCATTAAAGAGCGCCGCAACATGCGTCCCGAGGCCCGCACCGCTGCCCGTCAACAATCCATCAAGGAGTCAAAGGAGAAGAAGGCCGCAGCGGAGAGCAAGAAGAAGGCAGAGAAGGCGAAGACCGCGGCGAATGCGGCTAAGGGTGGTGTGCGGGGCGGGATTGCAAGTAAGCAGGGTGCGAAGGGGAGTGCGCCGAAGGTTAAGGCTACGACTCGATAAGCGGGTGGTTTCCGATGAGTGGTGTGGCTTTGAGCTGGATTGAGGGCGGCCAAGCAGACGACTTGGTCTGAAGCGATGCATTCGGGCGACACGCAACGGCTCTCACCGTCGTTCTCCTCGTTCAGCAGATCTCGGGCGAAGAGCAACTTCTTCGTAGCATCTCGATCGGAATTGAATTCAGATTGCGAGATTTGCTACAGAATTATCTCACTGCGCAACGATTCGCAGCGAGGCAAAGCCATTCCACCAGGGCAGAGGGTTACCTCTGAATGAAGTTCGATCTGCTAAAGCTCGTATCACGAGCTATCTCACGACCTCGGGAGCCAATGCTCCGCAGACGGTCTAGCATGCCATTGATCCCTTGTGTTCCCGAAACTCATTCCGACTGCTTGCCCAGATATCTGACAAAGCGCTGAAAACATTCAACTCCGACTTTGGCAACAACGGGGAGTCTTGCAACCGCTACTAAACCTATGTCAATGACCCCTTCTCAGTCCGGCCCGCGTCATCAAACTGGAATTGACCAAACCAGATTTCCTAAACGTCAAACTACACGAAGACGTTTGGCGGGTTCTGGTTTGATAGATGTCAATTGGGTGACATGGTCCGGACTGAGAAGGGGTCGATGACATAGTGACTGTTCGTGGATGATCATATCCTAAGCCACCTCCACCTCCTTAGCTTCGTCTTTCACACTTTCCTCGTCGTCCTCTGCTTTGATCACCATCATGATCCCCTCTGCCGGCACTTTTAGCGGCACGAGCTTGTATACCGCCCACTTATCCTGCGTGACTTGGAAAACGGTTGATCCACCAGCCAACCACTTATGCCCTGTCGGGACGATGTCGAACCAGTATTTATACGAATAGCCCTTACGCTGGCGGTAGCGGCCGAGAGCCGGGAGGAAGACCTGTTGTGTAAGGATGATGAGGGTGAAGAAAATAGCGATGCACACGGGGATGATCCACACGACCGGGGAGATACCAGCTCCATTGGAGGAGTCGGAGGAAGAAGCAGAAGAGAACATGTTGTAAATCTCAAGCTGCAGTGGTTTGACAAGTCGGTGTGTCGGGTTGATATTGTGGACGCTTCGTCGGGCTGTGGGGTAGGTAGACCAAGATGTGGACATGGGCAAAGTGCTGTTGATATATGCTCTAGCAAATCTGCCTTGTAGCGGTCAAGTATGCCGCAGGTGCTGCATGGTAGTCTGTGCGCCACGCATGCCATGTACTTCGTATGTGGTTGGCCATGACATTTCCGTCGTAGCTGTCAATGCTGCTGCTCGTCGTATACTGTTTCATACCCCTTACTTCGCAGCGCCTCAAGGCCCGTCACCATCTAGCGACCTTGGCGCGTCCTTCTGCCGGTGCTGTTGACCGTGATCAGCATGTTGCCCCCGCTGATGACCCGTTCAACCTCGATTGCAGTGTCCAGCTCAGATCTTTCAACTCCAATGACAGCTACTCTTCTGGTCTGTGTACACAAGTGTACGAGAGGCCAGGCGACGGGAAGAGGAACGCGTCTGACTTTGCCCTTTTGAAGAACCTTCATCGCGCGTGTGTGCGCCAAGGACAAAGGCATTCAGCCTGCAACAGCACTTGGACAGCGAATAGCGCACGTCCCTCTCCATGCTTCCGGGACGGTGACCGGCCAATGATGACACCAGACCTATGTCGTACTGCTGCTGCGCTGTTGCTTTAGAGAGCGAAAACAGAGCGGTGTCGCGGTAGCTCATGCCCCTGACTAACGGAAGGGCTCGGAGCGAGACACTCGCAACGCTGTGCGCCTTCGTTGCTTTTTCATGTCCCGTACTCGATCAAATTCAGATGCCTTGGTCTCTGTACTCCTTGTTGAACGCCCTCCCAATCACAATCCTCCTCACCTCACTCGTGCCTGCACCAATCTCATATAACTTCGCGTCCCGCAGCAGTCTTCCCGCGGGGATCTCGTTCACGTAGCCATTCCCACCCATCAGCTGAATGGCGTCCAACGCACACTCGGTAGCTCGCTCAGCCGCGTAGAGGATGGCACCCGCACAGTCTTGCGTACGGATCTGACCTTCCTCGTCGACCTTCTTAGCCGTGGCCATTGTGTATGCCCGTGAGACTTGCAATTTGGTGTACATGTCAGCCAGCTTGCCCTGGATAAGCTGGTTGTGGGCAATGGGTGTGTTGAACTGCTTCCGTTGGTGGGTGTAGGGCAGAACAAGGTCCAAAGAGGCTTGCATTAGACCTAGAGATCCCGCGGATAGGACAAGGCGTTCAAGGTCCAGGCCCTCCATGAGGACAGTGACGCCCTTGTTGACCGGTCCAAGAATATTTTCACGGGGCACGAAGACGTCCTCAAAGACCAGCTCGCCGGTATTGCTGCCCCGCATGCCGAGCTTGTCGAGTTTGCGGGTCACGCTGAAGCCTGGGGTGGAGGAGTCGACGATAAAGGCTGTCATGCCTTTGCTGCCGGCCGAAGGGTCGGTTTTGGCGTAGACGACGATGTAGTCTGCGTCTGGGCCGTTGGTGATCCACATTTTGGTGCCGTTGAGCTTGTAGCCGCCGTCAACTTCCGTGGCGGTGGTCTTCATAGAGACGACGTCCGAGCCGGCGCTGTGCTCTGACATGGCCAGCGCGCCGATCTTGTCGCCGGAGATGAGGCCGGGAAGAATGCGGGCTTTTTGCTCATCATTGCCGTTTAGGCAGAGCTGGTTGACGCACAGTTGGGAGTGGGCCGCGTATGAGAGGCCGATCGAGCCGGAGGCCCGCGAGATCTCTTCGAGGATGATGCAGTGCGCTTGGTAGCCCATGGCGAGGCCGCCATAGTCTTCGGAGGCGGTCACGCCTAGAAAGCCCGCTTCGCCGAATTTCTTCCACATGGCGTTGGGAAAAGCATTGCTTGTGTCGGTCTCGTGTGCGAGCTCGGGAGGGATCTCGCCCGGCGGGTGAACTCTTGGACTCGCTCGCGGAGCTCGTAGAGGTCTTCGGTGGTGGGTGGTGTGAAGCTGGGGGCGTGTTTGGTTGAGGCATAACGAATGCTGGTCCGGACGAGTGGAGGGGTGGACAGAGGTTGAAGTGCTCGAGGTAGGGTGCGAGCGAGGCGGTAGATTGACGGTGGTGGCATGGCGGCGGCGGCGAGGTGTTCGAGGCCGAGTGTGTTGCTGTTAGCAGTGGTACATTTTGTAGATGTCGAGACAAAAAAGTCGTGTCGTAGGGAGCAGGAGCAGAAGCATTTGCCTCGGCCGGTTATTCACGGCTCGATGTCCTGAAAGCTGGGGTTACGGAAGACCTCCGCGACAGCAGCACCACGGGCAAGGAGTGAGCATTGTATTCTCTTGCGTCCCTCTAGAATTCTTTGTGATGCTTTTTTACTCTCGAGGTAGCTAATCTGGCCGTGCTGGAGAAAAAGGAACATGGCGGCAAGACGCGTTGTGCCATCATCAGCCCTCCTCCGCAGCCTGCGAGGGGCGTGTAACCAGCAGCAATGCGTTGCTCACACATCTCGGCGGACGGCAGCGACCTTCACTCACGCACGACATGCCGACGCGATATCAGTGCTTCCGACTCTCGTGGATAGGTCGAGTCCGGATTTCCAAGAGAATGCCTCGCAAATGGCTGCCCTGCTGGAGAAGTACTCGGACCTACACAAGAAGATTGCACGGGGCGGACCACAGAAGTCGAGAGACAAGCATGTGCAACGGGGAAAGATGTTGGCACGAGATCGAGTAGCTGCGCTGGTGGACCCTGGAGCGTCGTTCATGGAGCTTTCGCCTCTGGCCGCGCACGACGTCTACGGTGAAGATGTACCCGCAGCAAGCATTATCACTGGTGTGGGGACCGTTGAGGGCGTAACATGTATGATTGTGGCCAACGATGCTACGGTCAAGGGTGGCACGTACTACCCGCTGACAGGCAAGAAGCATTTGCGGGCACAGGAGATCGCCGAGCAGAACAAATTACCGTGTATATACATGGTCGACTCAGGTGGCGTGAATCTGCCATATCAGGCCAACATCTTTCCGGACCGAGACAACTTCGGTCGTATATTCTTCAATCAGGCACGAATGAGCGGGATGGGAATTCCCCAGATTGCTGTCGTAATGGGATCCTGCACGGCTGGTGGCGCATATGTGCCTGCTATGTGCGACGAGTCGATTATTGTCGAGGGCCAGGGCACAATATTCTTGGCTGGGCCTCCGCTGGTCAAGGCCGCTACTGGCGAGGTCGTCTCTGCCGAAGATCTGGGTGGCGGGAAGCTACACAGCTCAATATCTGGAGTCACAGACTACTTGGCTGTTGACGACGCGCATGCCATTGTATTGGCTCGACGGTCGATCGCCAACCTGAACTATCCGAAAGAGCAGCCAGCTCCTTTCGAGGTGAAGGAGCCAATATACGACCCTGCGGAGCTGACCGGCATTGTGGGAACGAACCTTCGAAAGCAGATCCCAATGCGTGAAGTCATCGCCAGAATTGTGGATGGTAGCGAGTTCTCCGAGTTCAAGAAGGACTATGGTACCACACTGCTGACCGGATTTGCCAAGATCAAAGGCTATCCCGTAGGCATATTGGCCAACGACGGCATTCTGTTCTCGGAGTCCTCGCTGAAAGGCGCCCATTTTATCGAGCTTTGTTGCCAGCGAAATATTCCCCTGGTCTTCTTGCAGAATATCAGCGGCTTCATGGTCGGCGCTGATGCTGAGAAGGGAGGTATTGCAAAGAATGGTGCCAAGCTGGTCACCGCTGTGGCCTGTGCGAACGTCCCCAAGTTCACTGTTGTCGTTGGATCCAGCGCTGGTGCTGGAAACTATGGCATGTGCGGCAGAGCCTACTCACCACGCTTCCTCTGGATGTGGCCAAACTCGAAGATTGGCGTCATGGGATCTGAGCAGCTTACAGCCGTCATGGAGACAGTCGGAAAAGCAGCCGATCCAGAATTGCGGGAACGCATCGATCGTGAGAGCGAACCTACCTTCTCATCAGCTAGGATATGGGACGATGGAGTCATTCCGCCATCAGAAACCCGGAATATGCTCGGCCTTGGACTCAAGGCTGCTTTGGGCGGCGCCAACAAGCCCAAGAAGACACAGTTCGGTGTGTTCAGGATGTAGAAGGCTGTGACAATCCCTTTCATCAATTATGGCTCGCGCCTGTAATTCTATCTCTGATCTTTTTGGGGCCAGCCAACTCCAGAGATGCTAAGAAACAGTCGATCACAATATAGTGCATCGATCTCGACGCCGATGCCGCTTCCGATGCTCCTTCCCAGGTCTCGAGCTCCCAAGACCGGCGGGGGAATTTGGATAGTCTCCGAATCCACCGCGACCGGTGCTCTCCTTCTGAATGATTTGGCGGCTCAGGTTGGTGAAGACTTCATCAACATTAACACGCCGCCGGGCAGAAGTTTCGTAGTAGGGCTTCGAGCCCCATTGCTGGGCGATCTTGAAAGCATTGGCTCGAGGGACAACGCGATCCTCCTCCATGTCGCATTTGTTCCCGACTACCACCAGAGGCACGTCGTCGTCGTCCTTGATTCGGATGATTTGCTCGCGGAGCTCAGACAGCTCGTGGAAAGAGTTCATGTTGCAGATAGAAAAGACCAATAAAAAGCCTTGACCTTGCTTCATGTACAACTCTCGCATTGCTGTAAATTGCTCTGTGCCTGCTGTGTCGAGACTTCCGTTATTAGTATTCAGTTGCTAAGGAAAGAGCGGGTTTGACCTACATCTCGAGCATCACCGACCGGCCTAAGAGAAATCAGCAAATGCATCCACGCATCAGTCCCACTTCACTCACCATCCACATTGAGGACCTTTCTATACGAGTCCTCGATTGTTGGGTCATAGCTTTCGATCCAGACATTCTGCACGAACTGAGCCGTCAGGCAACTTTTGCCCACACCACCTGTCGCTCACCGTCAGCTTTTCTCGTCCATCGTGCTGCGAGCGACCACGAACCTGCGCCCAGAACGACAATGTTCAGCTCTCTCCTGATGCAGCGTCAGCCTACTGATCAATTAAGCTGGAGTCAATGCACCCACCTCGGCTGCAAGCTCATACTACAAAATCACTTTCAGACCAAGAGTTCACACCGCCACTGTGCGCTACGCATGGCCTTCTTGTACTGCCAAAATGCACACAAAGCCCGCTCGATATATGTTATGTCCCAATTCCACTTCAACGGCTGTTCTGGCCTTCAGAAGACCAGGTCAGATCGGCGACGCTGGCGACCACTCGATTGCCGGGAGTCTGCAGGAAACACGGGACGACGCGGTCTAGTCTGCAAAAACTTCGATACTGGCGACTAAAGTTCTGGGATATCAGAAAGTCTGACGAAGCGGTATGTTCTGTGCAACAAAAATATGCAAGGAACGAGAAATCTGCAACTGTTGCGACCAGTCTACGACAATATCTACAGCATGCTGACTCGCCCGACCGCGCACTGACCTTGCCTGCTCAGGATTGCGAAAGGGCCCCCAAGGCGAGGCAACTTTCTAGTTGAGTTGAAGATACCGCAGCCCCGGGAAACCCCCGTCACCAAAAGATGGACTGATCGGCCAGTGGCCCCACCAACCCGTCTGCCTGGATCTCGAAGCTTGAAGCTACCGACAGCAGATGGATGGTCTAAAGTGGAGATTTTGCATGTGCTCACTGTCCTGACTCGACAATGTGAAGCTCGATGACCCTGTGAAGTCACGAAATGGTTAAAAGCATCGCTTCGAGTATCCTCGAGCTGTCATGTTGCAAGCTAAGCGGGTGATAGGAGCCGGTTGTCGACATCTGCCCAAACGACGTGCATTGGGTTAGGTGTACGCCAGGAGATGGTGCGATCTTGGTGCAAAAGTCACAGTTACACAAGCCGTGTGATCGTCACCTGTCAAATGTGCCATTCAGGCAGTTTTCTTCAGTTCTCAACTACCACCAGTCGACCTCTTTACCGCCCTTCTCCAAAGCCACAGGGTCTTCTTATGCCCAATTGACCGGTGCTCTCCAGCGTTTCGAGATTCGATGCTACATTATTGCTGCGCGAGATGCAAATCCACGTGGGCACAGATCTTGCAGCGGTGCGCCGTAAACACCTAGCTACGAGCAGAGCCAACCAAGATGCACAAAGACCTGGTGCTGCGAAGCACAAAAATATTTGGGGCTTGTTGCTACCCTGATGACGGCAGTGGCTTCTTAGGCGCCGCGGTGCTTGTTCCGTCCGCGATCTGCAAGGTACGCACTGCCCCAAGATGTCCCGGCATTGGACATCCAGCTTCCGCAACTAAACTCAACTGTGACGTTTGAAACCGAAGAATGGCAGAAGTCCTTCGCCTATTTGCTGATGACGCCTCAGATTCACGGTATGAAGCATCGGTAACGACAGAAAATCCGAGGTCGTGTTTGCGACTCGAGGGCCCCCCCAGGTACTGCCCAGAAATCGAGTCGTCAGGGTTTGAGACCTTTTGCCGCAGGACGACCATGAAGACCTTCTCGAATAGTTCCGATTCGGGCAGCCCGAAGCATGCCATCCCACCACTACATCTGACAAGATACAACCATAATGTTTTGATGTTTCGATCAAGACCCTTGCTTTGCCTGTGGACAGAACCTGGCACTTTTTTCTCGATCATGTCATCTGCACTTCGGGCCTTCATCTCCCGTTGCTCGGCTGTGCTGTCTTCAACATGGCTGCTCGGAGCGTTTCTCAAGAACTTCTGAAGTTCTGACGTGACTCAATCAACGTCACCTGGAGCCCGGAGTCGGCGATCTACGACTTGCGCATCTACCGAGAAGGTCGAAGTCCAGAGGACCTGGATATGACGCTCCCCGTGGCTGAAGCGAGATCTAGGCCGTGTATGGTGAGATCGAGAAACTTGAATTCACGGTACCGTCCAACAGTCCTGCCCAGTGGTGCGTGCAGGTTCAACAGAGCCGCGAACATGCTCGCCAATATCGCTGCATTGTTTGCTTGCTGCTAATTGTGCTCCTACACACGCATCGATTTCGCACGGTGCAATGGCTTCGCGACCCTGGCTGCGCGTGAGTCAGAGCAAAGCTCCGACATGCGGATCCTGAGACTGTGTCGATTGCTTGAAACCTCAGCATCGACGCTGCTACCTGATGAGTGCCATGGCTCGTGGTCATGACGCGATAACCATCTGGCCTGCTCGCCCCGGGTCACAGTCGAGCATGTAACGACGGCTACCTGCGTGATCACGTGAGAACGCGCTCAGTACTTCTGCCGGATTGGGCTGGCGATCTGCACCTCCCAGGATACGCGTGCGGCGTGCATGACGCTCGTGTTACTTGTGTCCAATTTCATGGACTGCCTCGGTCATGTTCTATCGGCTTCGAATGCATCTCCCATAACATACCACTCGCAGCGTCCTACCAGGCGAGCCTCGCCGTTGGATTTGTATTTACGTCTTCCACGATACCTCAGCCGTTATTCTCTTGGAACGCTCACCGCTGACGATGTCCGCACAACGACTCTCGTTCGAACGCGTTGGTGATGACACTGTTGACGATACTGCCATGGTCAAACGTGTCTGCGCCTCGTCGTCCACCGATACACCCATAGCAGAGGACGTAGCAACTACGTCGTTAGACGTTTGTTCATCGACATTGATAGACACGCCCGCAGCGAAACGCACAGCACCTAGTTTGTTGGATATTCTAAACCGGGATCGCTTCCCATTTTGGGATTACCTTTGCCCCTACCTTCCCACTACGTCAATACAAGCACTCTCGCAGACATGTCGTCCACTTCGGCAACAGGTCCTCGATGTGAACCGAAATCTCGAGAGATTTGTTACAAATGCCCGTCGACTGAGGGCGCTGCTCGGGGAGCACGATGCTCTCATCTCTGGCAGCTTCGCTCTGCAGTTCTTCCTTGCGGAGCGCTGGCCTGGCTCTGATTTGGACATTTTTGTTCGGAAGGGCGATGGTGCGAATGCTCTCGGGGCGTACCTTGAGACCGAGGAGAACTACGTGCTGGAGTCGGGAAGCAAAGACTCCAACTATGATTGGGGAGAAATGAGGGAGGTGAGACTGCATCTGCAACGCTTCGATTGTTTGTGCTCACGACTAACACTGCTCAGGTCAAGTCCTATCGACGCCTCGACTCTGCACGAAGCAAGGTCCAAATCATCGCGACCCAATACCAACCAATCAATGCCATCTTGACAGGGTTTTACATGACTGCTGTTCTTAACATCATCAGCTGGAACAAGGCATACTGCATCTTTCCCTACGAAACAATGGTCCAGAGAAAGACGTTCATGTTGAAGGAATGTAACGAGTACTTCGAGGGTCTGCTCTTCAAGTACTCCAGGAGAGGATTTGTAAACGAAGACATAGTTCCTCCAGGGGACCATCTCCCTGCAAGCTCTTTGCAAGGCATTCGAAGAATAGGAGACTCGCGCACACTCACAGTCGAGTTACCGAAGGATGGCGTGCACCCGAAGTCAGTTGCCTCGGACGTGGCACTGGAGTATTCAGGGTTCGATTTTGAGCCAGTGAGAGTTTTGACGGACGACCCGATCGACGAGCCCACGTGTCACTACAGAATCATGACCCGACGATTCGTACACATTTCACTGCGACAAGAGTACAGCTTCCCCACAGCCTGTGAGCTGCAGGAGCTGTTGGGAGGTCGCCTCCATAAATCTGCCAAAATGAGCCTGCTCAGCATGCCGCCGGCAGATCGTCCAAAATGGTTTGGCGGAGCATATGGTCGTACAAGTATTGACCATTACTGGAGAGGCCATTCGGCGAAGAAGCCACCCCATGGCTTCAAGAGGCCACATGAGTGGCGCTATCGGGACGCCGATGTTCCGCACTGGTATCAGTTATGGTTTGAGGAACTGGAAGCCGACGAAAAGGCCTTGAGAACGACTACCCGATATTGATCGGCCCTGGAATAAGTGCCATCGAATGAGGAGGTCTTGGGCCTGAAAGCCACATACCGATCGGAGCGGGACGATGAGGTCCTTCGGGTTTGGTGGTAACGATGGCGTTTGGAAGCGGTTCGGAGCTCGAGGTGGTATTGGTCATTGGACATGCTGCGGCTTTGGCTCGAGATGGTGTACTGGGATCAGGTTCATGTACCACCAACATTTTCGGGTTCCCTTTCTCTTTCCTTCTGGTCCATATATGCAAGCCGTGTAGACCAGATTCCGGCCCTGTGCAGCGTAACTCAATCAGTATCATAAACAAACAACCCACCATTCTCCTCCGCCCGCCCATAGCTCGCCCCATCTATCAACGGAAGCAGATCACAACTCTGCACATCACCACCGGTGATACTATACTTGATGTTCTGCTGCGTCAAGATATTCACCCCACCCACGGGGTCCCTGACCAAGAACATACGGTCATAAATCCCGCTCTCAGCCGTGTACTTACACGCAACCGGGTAGAAAGTATTACCCAGCCTATCGACAGGATAGTACACAGGCACAGTAACCTGACTTCCCGGTGCAGTCGCCGCCAGAACCCAAACAATCTCCTCTGACCCCCTGGGAATGCTATCGCGGTCGAGCGTGCGGATACGGGAGACGCCCACGGCGCTCATCTCGTCTGGGTAGTAGACAAAAACATCCTCAGCGCCGTCTGTTACCAGGAGGTAGTCGCCGAGATTCGGGTCTGTGGGATCGGGATAGATGATGAAGTCGGTGATGCAGTCAGACGCCAGGGTGTCCTCGTCGGTCTTGAAGACGTAGCTGTTGCCGTCGGAGCAGGAGTATACCTGGACGGAGCCTTGGCTGTCGACGAGGGTGGAGACGTAGTAGCCGTCGGTGCGGTTATACGAGAGGTCGTTGCTATCGGGGACGACGAAAGTGGTGGTATTGAGGGTCGCGTTGGCGAGTGTTTGGGCTGTTGTGTCGATGATGGGCCCTGTGCTGTTGTTGTTGGTCTGGCGTCGAGACACCCATTGCAAGTCGTCAGCTCGCTTTTCAGCAGGCGGTGCAGGCGGCAGTCCGATGCAAGTGCTGACAAGGGAGATCTCGGGGACCTCATTGAGGTCGAACCTCCTGTTGACGAACGACCCAGCGTTGGCGAGAGCGTACAAGTTGTTCTTGAAGGTCAGGCCGGCACTAATACCAGTGCACCCATCGACACTGACGAACCCAGCTCCGTTGAGGTTAGCTGTTGCACTTGCCTGAGCCTTGGCGACGATTGCTGGCCGCTCGACTACAGAAACGCCAGCAGAAAAGCTTAGCGAAGAGACACCAACAGATACGCCGAGCGCGAGTTCTATAGGGAGACCGAGCTCGGCGCTGGCTGCGATTGAGCCTTGAGCCTCGAATACAGGGTTGAAGGATGGATTCCATCCAGATGACGTCCCGCTGAGGCTGATAGCATCAATCGATGCTTTGGCATCTGTGATGCTGAATGTTCCGCCTCCTAGCACTGTTCCCTGAGCCTTGAGATCCAGAATCACATCGGCACCGACTCGCAGGATAGGTCCGACTCTGGCGATCCCGATGTCCAGGCCCGGCAAGCCGACCTCGAATAGTTTCTGGTTGATTGTCTGAGTATACGTTGCCTCGGCCTCCAGACCGATCTTGATGCCAACTGCAAGGTTCACACCAAGCTCGGCTTTGACTGACGTGATGCCTTTTGGCACGTTGACGACTATGCTGCCGGCAATATCGGCTGTGCCAGAGGCACCGCAGTCCACGCAGAACAAGTTAATCTTTCCGGATGCGGCGCCTCCTTGGTATTGTTGTGAATAGGACGCGATGAGGACCTGTGGTCCCCAGGGGCTGGGCACCGTGTTCTTCTGCTGAGGTACGTTCAGGCTGATTTGCTTATTTATGACCGGGACGTTGTAGTCCTTCGAAGGCAGCCCGAAGAAATCCCAGGCTGCTGCAAACAGTCGGCGTTGGTGGTCGGTCATGCGTCGAGTCAAGCCCAAAGCTGCACTGTCAGCGGCCGCCTCGTCGTCGTCAAGCGAGGCGGGAATTTCTGTAAATAAGCCAGGAAATTGAGTCGCGAAAGTAGCGAAGGGAGAGGCTTCCAGGCCAATCAAGCCGTATGTTTCGTCCAGGTCGTCATCGAAGTATTGGCCAAGGCAAGCAGTCGGTAAGTTGTAGACATTATCTTTGGGAGCAGTGCAATTGACATCATCCGGATTGAAGCCAAAATCTTGAGCAAAATCAGTGGGAGTGGCAGACGGCGTGGAATTACTTGAGGAGGTCGTCGAAGCTGTGTACGTCGTGGAAGACGGCGGCAGGGACGTCGTTGTCAACTGGTACTTTGGTCCATGTCCAGGCTTGTAGTTGCCCCATTGGAATTCGAAATTCTCACATACTTCGTCGAAGTTTGCCGATTTCGTTGTTACAGAGCATTTCTGACTCGACTCGTCGAATGCAAAGTCCTGAGCGATTATGTAGCAGTTCAGTGCCGGGCCACAGCTGCCGTCGTAGAAAGTAAAGATCATGCCGGAATGCCACATGGTATGAGCGATTTGGAAAGCACTGGGGTTTTTGAAAGTGATGGCAAGGTTTTCACTGGCCGCGTCGTGATTCCAAGTGAACAGGTTGGAGTGGTCCAGCATAACGGCGTTATCGACATAGTCAGCTTTTACCCAGCCGAATTGATGAGCGTCACCAGGCCCGGCGCCATCAGGCATATAGTACTGGTCCCGGCTGTTGCTTGGCCGCACGTGGTCCAGATCTGACTGATCCTGGGTCCAATGCAACTTCGGGAGTAGAGTCGCCATAGGCGCATCAGAAGCCGAAGACCCGGGTCCATACTGCCACCCTCCGCCTGGCCCAGGCCCAGAATGACCTTCATCGCCTCCAGAGGAATGACCCGAGCCTGTGGCACCCTCTGATGGGCCAGGCAAGGGTTGCTGAGCCTGACCTTTAGCACGACAAGCCTTTGGTCGGGGCTTTGGGATAGTTTCGGAGGCCAACAACTCGTTCCCACGAGGTGTGGATGCCGCTTCGAGGACTATCGTCGAGACAGGCGCCGAAGGCCATGAGTCTGCTTCTGCATCGGCGGCCAGCACCGCCACTAAAGTCGCAAACAGCAGAGTGGATAAGAACTTGAAATGCATTTCGGCAACGGTTGCCTTACCAAGCGTGCATGTACGAGGCCACTTCAGGCTTCTGTAAAAGGAACGGACGGGCAAGACTGCCCAGAAAGGAGTGACTCACTAGGGTTCTCGAAGTGACAGAGGCCACCAGCACTCATCTTTTGTATGTCAGTAGGTCAGCTCCATGGTTCTCCTCACAGGCAGGCTGATTGCAAAGGCACCGATCAATGAAATTGCTGTGGACTGTCGGAATTTGAACCACTAGCGTGATATCGACCTGTGGGGCTCTCCGACAATGACTGTAGAGAACTGACTTCAACCATGAATGTGACTGCTAAGCACAATGTATACAATGCTAGGGTTAGCTGAAAGCCAGTCACGCTCGAACGTTGCCAGACCAGAGGCTGGCACTTTTAAAGCTGTAGGCGATGTTGTATAGTTTTCTGTGTAAGTCGCCGACTTCTGCACGAACTGAGGTGGCCATCATGAGAGTGCAAGCGTCAATCTCGTGAAGTAGGCGTCGACAGGGTCCAGGCTGTACTGCTAGAAGCTCGTGTTATGTGAGAATGGTACGCGATTGACCTGGTAATCAGGCAGCGTCCTCGACCGCCTTGGTGTCAAAGGAGCATGCCAAAACACTCGGAGACTTCGAGAATGTGGGTCGCCACGCCCTTCCTGGTAAGGCTGAGGACGCTGGAGGACTCTCCTATGATCACGATGTAGTATGTACTCCGTAGGAAGACAGTGGTCCCAAATACTGATAGCGAAAGAGGACAATTGCATGTATTAGTGACAGAGAACCCGGAGTCGGTATCGTGAAGGAGTAAAGCGCGTGTTTGCTGGTTGTGATTGCTGGGGTTGGAACTACTAGGTACCTTCTCCGATGATTCATACACCTTTACTTTCAAGTTGCGGAAAGAACAACCCGTCGTTCGGTAACTTCAAGCCCATGACTTTGTGCCGTCAGGATAGACCCAGATGTAGAGGTCAGGTAGAGATAATTGCGACATGAGGTCTCGCCAAGCTAAATCTGAAACTGACACCACCATTTTGCGCCAAGAAATGGGACTCGAGCCGGACAAGTCGCCAGAGCACAATGCGCGCTTGCTCTAGCCCACTCGACCATCGGCAACCTACTGTAACATTTTACCAAGTCTTGCGGTTTCGTGACAAGCCCAAGTCGGTAGTCACGCTTAGACCAACTGTGCAGCCGTATAGCATAATGTGGTCCACACGAGACCCCGGATCCCCGAGAAGTCTGTTTGAAGAGCATGAAAATGGAGTAGCGGCATGCTGAGAAAATGGAGTTCAACTAATCACAACCAGTGTCACGTAGCTCTGCACATCAGCGTCCTACCAACCTGTCTTGGTATGTTAACCTTCCGAGGACTACCCACGCGAATAAGATCGACTCGACATGGTTGGTGTAAGTGTAAGTTTGTTACCGCGAAGGCCCAGGCACTCCTTGGTCGTCGGAGTTTCCAAACACTCCCCGGAGAAGTCGCTTACCCACGACGCCTTCTATAACCTTTGCATACTTGGCCGCTAGCGAGTCATTCACTGCCAGTATTGGCTGTTGCTTGGCCAGGGAGTTATACGTGCATACTATGCTAGAGGGTTGACAGAGGATCGATTCTTTTGGGCTGTGTTCAGTCTGCGATCCCCTCTACCCTTTGTACGTTCTGAATAATGTTGCCGGTCAACGTCGCGAGACACTTGCAAGCAGAGACCCGTCCCTGGCTGATCGAACAGAGCCACGTCGGATCTGTCGTTGTCTTACCACCATAGCAGGGCTCAGCCATGGCTGCCTTGCAACTTGAGCTGGCCAACGGCCATGCAGAGACAAGAAAACCGCTTGTACCTGACGATGTCCGAGGCTTTATGGCAGGCGCATTCTCTGGGTTTGCGAAGTGCACGGTCGGGCATCCTTTTGACACCATCAAAGTCCGCATGCAGACTTGTGCTTCAGGTCAATTCCACGGCCCGCTGGACTGCCTCATGCGCACTGTACGGAACGAAGGAGTTAGTGCTATCTACAAAGGCGTCACACCCCCACTGGTTGGATGGCTGGCCATGGATTCTGTGATGCTAGGGAGCTTGACGTTCTACCGAAAGGTGCTGAGAGACAATATACCGTGCAACAGCTTTCTGCACCGAGAAGAGGCTCACGGGGTTACCCTACACTCAGTCGGACACGGGCTTGCTGGGATGATGGCTGGAGGCACCGTCTGTGTCATTGCAACGCCTGTAGAGCACATCAAAGCTCGCCTACAGATTCAGTACGCGGCCAGTAAAGCGGATCGATTCTACCATGGTCCTATCAATTGTCTTAGGAAGATATACAAATCGCACGGGCTCCGAGGGATATATCACGGCTTTCCAGCCACTTTGGTCTTCCGATCGTTCTTCTTCTTCTGGTGGGGCAGCTACGACCTCTTCTCGCGACTCATGCATCAGAAGACCTCTCTTTCGACGCCTGCAGTCAACTTCTGGGCTGGTGGAATGTCGGCGCAGGTTTTCTGGATTGTGGCATATCCGTCTGATGTGGTGAAACAACGTATCATGACGGATCCTTTGGGAGGTTGCTTGAATGACGGCGTTCGGAGGTTTCCGAAATGGAAGGACGCAGCGAGGGCTGTGTATCAAGACTTCGGCATACGAGGTTACTGGCGAGGATTTATTCCATGTTTCTTGCGCGCCTTTCCAGCAAATGCATGTGCACTTCTGGCGTTCGAGAGTGTCATGAGAGGTCTATCATGATCATCGGAGCCCTAGCCTGTGCGATCTTTGCATCTCGCGCACCGACTGAACTCATGACGCTTGACAATTGCGCAGCCACCCATTGTCCCGATTTCTCCAGGACGAAGTTCGGCGAGTGAGCCATCTGGAGGAATCGGTGCAGGAGCAGAAGCTGACGGAAGAGTACACTACACCTTAGCAACGGGGTATCACCTGGTGCAGGAAACGCGTGCTCGTTTCAAACGAGAAATAGTTGACGGTGACAAGCCCAAACTTCACCGATTTATCCATGATAGCACAGGGTCGCAGCATATGTTGGGGACGTCCGATTGCAGCCTCCTCGACTCGATTCCGCCGCCGACTCGGTATGATGAGAAGCTTTACAGTCGCTGTCGTCAGTAGACAGTAAGGGACAGAATATACGTACGGAGAGATTATGGTGCAATGAAGTGGTCACAGCTGCTGTCTTCAGTGAACAGCAAGAGAAAGAATATACACACGGAGAGATTGCCGCCCGCTGCGGTACCTGCCAGCGAGACGTCGAGCATGAAACCTTGCTGGGGTCATCATGCTGCTTGGATCTGACACTAGGTCTTAGATACATGTCAGCAAGGCGCGGGGCCGGCGGTAACTGCGTACACCACTGCTCGCACTGGTCCAGGCGTTCACGAGCACGATGCAGATATGGATGATCGATGTTGGCAAGTCAATGAACACTCATGGAGCATGGCCGAGATCATGACAGCAACCCGGAAAGAGGGGGCACGCCGTGTCTTGAGTCCCTTCATTGCCCTCTGATAGGTCGTCTCTGAACCGAAAGCAAGACGTGCTTGCTCGGGAGTAGTGACCCAGGCAATAACCAGTTGACGCATTTGCCAGTAATTTATGACGGATAGGAGGTACACCTGACACGATTCAGTGCCATGGGTGTATTGTATGACTCTTGCCCTGTTTTCCACTCTTTCGTAGATTTCGAGGTCCACACGCTCATCCACGTAAGAAGCAGTCCGTCCTCCCCGATCCTTGTCAGCTTCCGCTACTGTCTGTACGGCCCAGCATCCTAGTCCCACTGTGATGAGCGCAATGCAGGTCTCTGAGCGGGTTCAGGAGATGGGGTTGTTCAGTGTCCGCTCGAAGTATGTGCTTCGCTCCAAGGTTGATTCTAGCGAATCGAACGCAGGGAAACCGACGAAAACTCCGTCTGGATCCTTAATCCGCTGCAAGAAGCGAGACAATTGCCACTGCATACCGCTGTTCGGTTTGTCTATATGCAGGGTCTGTAGAATCAGAAATTTTCATCACCGCCGACTGGCCAGGCCCATCATTGGTGTCTTAAAGCAACGCGGCGCCCACAGAGAACTGGAAATCATGCCACACCGTATAGAGAGACATTCGGAAGCCTTCAGAGCAATTTCCTTCGCTTCACGGGCGAGAAATCGGCAACTTGTGGCCGCTCCAATGGTATCTCAAGACGCCCAGCCGGGACCTGGCCAGTGGATCTCAGGATCGATATTATGTTGGAATTGGGGAGCTCGCCCTTGGCCAGACGGACCTGATGGCTGCTGTACAATCATTCATTCGAGACTGCTTAGCCGTCACGTACATGTAGCTTTGAGACTTTGAGGCCCACAAAGTGAAGAGTCTGAACCTCCCCTATCCAAGCTGGGATGCCCGACCGACTGATCTGTCCACGCGAGCACATCGGTGTAAGCAATGGCTCTCCGCAGGTGCTTCGGCGCCAGCTACCAATACCTATACACATAGTTCTGCTTGAGAGCTTGACAGGACGCCCCACAGGGTCGAGAAGCAGCCGTGGCCGTTGATAATCCTCCCAAAGGACGAGGCATGATACTACCTTACTCTCCACCATCATAGTACATGCTGAGGTATCTAAGGTTAAGAATGCGCAACGCGCTAGTCAATCGCGAGCGAATCTCGATGCATTGGCATACTGTATACAGATATTGCGAGCCTTCTGCGTTCCGTGGCGATGGTATGGTCAAGATTGATCCAACAACGAATGAGCAGGAGTCAGAGAAGTGTACCTACCCACCCAGTGGGTTTCATTAAAGGGAGGCCCCTTCCGGGGTCGTTGATTTTGTGGAGATCCGGAGTGTCGCATGACTCCCCGAAAATGTGCTGCACATACACTTTCTATCACGATAGACTTTGCTGCGTCTAGACAGCGAGCAAGTACCTAGTCATGGTGGACGTGTCGCCGATATGCCCCCAGCTTTGCCTCCCCCATGAAATCTTCCCCGCATGTTCCGTTGCAAAACTCAGCAGTATATAATAAGGTCCTCATACCCTCGGCCAAACTTGTCCTTTTATCACAAGCTCCGATCATTGGCAACTCCACAACTAGAATTGCTGAGTTCGTCACGGCAAAGAGCATGAAGTCCCCACTGGGTGACGAGACCGTTGCGGTCGTCGCCGCCACGTTCTGTGCGCTCCTCGCGTTTCTCCAAGGAATCGATGCAACAACCATCGCTGGATTCACTGCCATGCCAGGCTTCCTCATGGACTTCGGATATTACGACAAAGCGCTGGGCATGTACAACATCGATGCCAATACGCAGCTAATGATCACTTGCATGGTCAGTGTCGGTGCTGCGATTGGCTCAGTCATAGCCGGACCGCTGGGGGTGCGATACGGACAGAAGAAAGGATGCATTTCTGTCGCCATTGTTTCGATGATCGGTTCCTCGGTTCAAGCTGGCACGAGACACCTGGGTGGACTGATCCCTGGTCGTATACTGGTCGGAATTGGCATCGGCATGGCGACCAACTTTGTTCTAGTCTATCAGTCCGAGGTATCTCCTCGACGGTGGCGTGGCATGCTCTTGGGGTCGTACTTGGTCATCTACGCTGTCGGAGGATTTGTCGGTACTTGCATCAACCAGGCGACCCACACTATGTTGAACCCATGGAGCTACCGGATCCCTCTCCTAACACAGCTTGCCTGCCCAGCTCTTTTCTTGTGTGGAGCATACTTTGTACCAGACAGTCCGCGTTATCTTGTCAGTCGTGGTCGGATTGCGGAGGCCTACCAATCATACGAGCGCCTGCATGGTCACTCTGCGGAAGCTGAGATTCTGCGAGAGCAAGAAATGAGAGAGATCATTGCTTTTGTGGAATTCGAGAAGCAACATCAGCGAAGCACAACTTATGTGGATTGTTTTCGTGGCACTGACCGACGTCGCACCCTGATTGCAATGGGCTTGATGACCTGTCAAAACTTTGGAGGAAGGGACTTCCTCTTCAGCTATGGAAGTACGTATGCCCACAGTTCTTGACCGTGCGTTACATTAAACTCCTGATCCTTCTTCGTCCAGAGACACGTTCATTCTAACTGGTGTTATAGCCTACTTCTTTCTTGTTGCTGGAGTCAGCGATCCGTTCCTCATTAGTGTCATTCTTAACATGTCGACTATTGTGGCCACGGTCATTGCGATTCCATTGGTCAAGTACGTTCCTCGACGGAAAATCTTGCTTCCTAGCATCGCGGCTTTCGTCACCTGTCTCCTCATCTTTTCCTCCGTTGGAACCGCAATCCCAGGCAGCTTGATCGCGTCGAAGATTCTGATCACATTCATGATTCTCTACAACTTCTTCTTTACCATCGCGTTGGTATCTCTGGCCTCGATAATGATATCCGAGACTGCGTCGACTAGGCTTCGATCACCAGCACAGTCTATTGCAGTCTTCACCGCCTGGGGAGAAGCCGTTTTCTGGACGGCAATCTTGCCTTATTTGATCAATCCAACCAAAGCAAACCTTGGTGCGAAAATAGGGTTCATGTACGGCGGCTTCGGTATCTGCATTTTCCTCTTCGTGTTCTTCTGTGTACCCGAGTACCTCGGCAGAAGCCTCGAAGAGCTCGACGAGCTTTTTATCAAACGCGTCCCAACAAGAAAGTTCAGCTCCTTTGTATGTACCGGAACTGTCGATGGGCAAACCGTGGACGAGAAAAGTGCTCAGGTCTTGGACGGGAAGGCAGGGCTCAATTCAGAGCATATCGAAGTTCCTGAACCTAGAGTCGATGCCTAATGCCCTATGCAGGTATGTATGATCGAGCCAAGATGAACATGGTAGGGCAAGCTTGTTAGGAAAGGGCGGAAAGTTGGCTCTGTGAATTCTCGTGCTGATCGCGAACCCCTGCGCAGGCTGTTCTTACAGAACGAGTACTATTGAAAAGATTTGAATGTCAGACTAAAGTGCTATAGCCCGCATCTGTATGATTCTGTCGTGTTTCCTGGGGCTATGCTCCCTGGGACATCTTACCTTTTACGCCTCCCACTCTGCTCTGTCACAGGACCATGCCTCTATTTGTTTCGACTTTTGTCCTTCGATTGATCTCCCATGGGCATAACACTCTCGGCTTCATACTCGAGCCCATCCAGAGCTGCGACAGTAAGGCGACAGTCGATCTACTTAGCCCAAGACTATGTTCGATCGTGCACCGAAAATCCAACAGTGAATGCTAGCTAGGTTCCTGTGCTACACGTCAAGCCTCCGTCAATGACGAGCGTATGCCCAGTGATGTACCTCGCCGAGGCACTCGACAAGAACACAACCCCATTAGCCACATCAACCGCATCACCCATGTGTCCCATTGGTACATTGTTTTCAACAATCTTTCTGTAGGCCGCCTGCTGCCCAGGGTCTTCACTTCGCGCCAAAGTCTCGACCAAAGGAACATGCATAAGTCCTGGGGCCACAGCATTCATCCTGATCCCTATCGGAGCATATATACAGGCTGTGGCTTTGGTGAATTGTATGACTGCGGCTTTTGCTGCGTTGTATGCCACCTGAGGTTTTCCAAGGTAGCGGATGCCTGCAATGCTGGCATTGTTGATGATAGAGCCGAATCCTTGCTTCTGCATTATTGGTAGGACCACATGGCATGCGAGATACACGCTTTTTAGGTTGATATCAATCTGCTTGTCCCACACTGCCTCTTCCAGTGTCGCGGGGTCCCCAGATATTGTCATGCCAACATTGTTGACCAGAATGTCGATGCGGTCGTATTTCTCCATGACTGAGTCGATGACAGTCTGGACATCCGCCAGCTTCGTCACATCGGCGGCCATGACATCGCACGCTCCGCCTCTTTCTCTCAGTCTTCTTGCCGTGAACTCGGCCGCCGCGATACTGATATCACAGCCAAATACTGTGGCCTTGTTGTGAGTGAATCCAAGAGCAATTGCCGCGCCGTTTCCCCATGTCTCGACATCAGTTGGGCCTGACTGACCGATGCCCATGACGACCACCACCTTGCCCTCAAGGTCTGGATACGTGGCAAAAGCCTCCATCCTCGGTCTCACTGCCATTCCCTCCATCGCAAACGGAGTGACAGGCCAGAGATCGACTGCATATAGGTATTGGCTATTCACTGTTCGTTCTCTCCAAGTTACATGCTCTGTCAGTAGCAAGTCGGGTATCCTCGCCGAAGACTGGCTTTGGAATGTTCAAGCGAAGTACTAGGCGGTAGGGTGATGCTCGAGCCCGCTCGAAATAACGAGCCCCGGAACCGTGTTCAGGTCTGCGGGCCTGCGTCCGCTCTGCCCAGAGCACCGAGCTGGGATTAGGAGCGCCATGCCGATGGCTTGTAACGCATTCTGGAGCGCACCCGATCTTCAACCAATGACCAACCTACCATGGATCAAAAACTTTCAGGTAGTTCAGACTCTGTGGTTGCATGAAGTGGATTTAAGGTTGCGCCCTGGGGTCACATGTTCGTTTGTTTCTCCGGAGTTGTGCTGACCTTCCCCGCGACGGCCCCAAGATCTCCAGGTACCACAGTAGATCGATCGAGCTGACGACACATGCGACCCTCGTAGACACCGGCCGATTCCGTCGAGACTACCATTGCATTAAGCATGACCGTGTTCGGGACTGACAATTGCAGAGGCTTCACTTGACTTGCTTGAGACCCTGGTGCCTCGGATCGCGTCCTCGACCATAATTGTGCCCTGAGGCGCTTCTCAAATTCGCCAACGTCTCGAGCCTCCTTGACTACGTAAAGCCTTAACTTTTCCGAGGCTGTGATGAATTCTCCCACACTGAGCGCACAATGTTTCGTGAAGACGTTGGACGGAGTCGAGCTGAATTGTATCCGTGCAGGCCCCTCGAACGGGCGGAACGTTCTGTTCATTGCAGGCTGGCGACAACCAGTAGCGTCCTGGAAGAAGCAAGTCGCTGCTTTCTCGCAAAAGGGGTTCAGAGTCACGGCCTTCGACTATCGCGGCCACGGCGATTCTGCGAAGCCATCGTTCGGGTACACCATTGCTCGATTTGGAGCCGACCTGAGAGACGTACTTGTCCAGCTTGACCTCAAGAGCGTCAGTGTTGTCGCACACTCGATGGGATCCTCCGTTGTGTGGTCGTTCTGGTCCAATTTCCCCGAGGAGCGTCATCGGCTTGAGCGCTTTGCAATCGTAGATCAATCAACGGTTCTGGTACGGAACCCTACCTGGAATCAGTCAGAGAGAGAAACATTCGCTGCGGCGCTGTTCAGTCCTGCCGGCGTGTACGAGTTCTGTGCTGTGCTTCCAACAAAACTCGAAGAGTTCATAAGATCGATGTTCAGCGCCGACGTGTCTGAAGACGACTTCACCTGGTTTCTGACGGAGAACAAGAAAATGAGCAATGAGAACGCTGCCACTCTCTTGATCAATCATGCTTTTGCAGACTGGAGGAACACGATCCCGCTCGTCGACATCCCGACCTTGGTGATTGCGGGAGAGGCAAGTCTGAATAAGGCATCTAGTATTGTTTGGGCTGCGACACAAATGCCGAATGCAAGGCAACGAACTTTCTCAAAAGAAGAGAGGGGCAGTCATTTCATGTTCTGGGAAAATCCTGGTCTATTCAATTCTGTGCTCGAAGAGTTCATCGATGCACCTGTTGATTATGCCCGAAGTCAAAGTGTGAGACGTTAGCGAAGCATGAAAGCAGGGTTCGGAGCAACGAGGATGCTAGACTTGCAAGCATACGCGACTCGAACACAATCAAGTCCACGCGATCAATGCTGGCTCTGGACAACCTGCATGGCGGCAACGGAAGAGTTCCAGGGAAGACTGAGTCTTTAGGTAAGTATGAAGACATGGAAAATATCATTGAGCGTGATGTAAAACAGGCAAAGGTCAACAGTCGAGCTGGAGGCCTGTTCTTGCTTCCGTTCATTCGATTGAGCGCCTGGTTGCGCCTCAAAAGCTATCGGCTCCCTCACACGCGTGAGCGCTCGGCTATTATGTTCAATGAGCCCTGGCACCCTATAGCCCGGATCGTAGAAAAGTCAGGATACCGTAATTTCAGCTTAGGGGCTGCCAGATTTCGAAGACTTGACGACTTGCCGAGAGACCTCGGATACTGTGAAAGTCTCCAGGCCTGCGCCTGAGGTCCGAGACTTGTACATTTCTTCCTCAATCATGCCTAGGCTCTTATGAAACACCGCTTGACTCGGGACGAAGGAAGCCCTATGACCGGATTGAGAGTTTTCGCACTTGCCAGCATTCAATTTCTCGGGGACCGGGGCCGCTAGACGATCTCCGACACTCGTCGCTTGCTTTGCTTTGGTTGGAAGAAGTGTCCATCGGCTTAGCACACCACCTAAGTAGTGTATACAACTTGGACAACAGTTTTCCCGGCACAATGATCTGCGGGACTAAATACCATTTGCTGCGACCAAATACTCCTCCCGGCCTGATCAGCGTAGGTACTACAGCGCACCAACTGCCGTTGCAGGGCCTTGCGTTCCAGCCACTACGACTTGCATTACAACTTGCACTACGACTTGCACTGCAAGTCAAGTATACCCGCGAATCATTATTATAACATCGCCTTACTTCGAGTATCCCATCTCCTGTCATATCAACACAGAGATGAGTAATCTAGCACAGACCCTATCCAGCCGCCTGCAGGGCCTCACCGCCATCGTCACCGGCGGCGCCAACGGCATCGGCGCAGCAACAGTCCGTCTACTACGAAGTTGCGGCGCGAACGTCGTGATCGCGGATCTCGCATCTTCAAGACAATCTGCAGCAACATTGATAGAGACCATGGGACCCGGAGATCGTGACCACTTGCGATTCATCGCCACAGATATAACGAAATGGGACCAAGTGAGACACTTGTTCGCTGAGACTCGCAAGAGCTACGGTGATCCCCATCTGGTAGTGGCCAACGCTGGGATCATGGAGAGTAGGGATGTGCTGGATGTGGATGATTGCACCCAGGGAGAAGATGGTGGCGGGCTCCGAGAGCCCTTGGAGGCATACCGGGTGTTTGATGTCAATCTGAAGGGGACTTTTAACAGTGAGTTGCACCCAACTACTCGGGGAGAATTTGGAAGTTAACGGACTCTGCCCTCAAACACGCACTCTACTCGATGAAGAGCAATGACGGAACCCTCCCAACTTCGCCACACAAGGGGTCCATAGTGCTGGTAGCCTCGACATCGGGCTATTTCGGTGGCTCCGGCGTAGCAGGCTACGTCAGCTCCAAGCACGGAGTCGTGGGTCTGCTTCGTTCCTCCCAAGCGGCGGCCAACAGAAACGGTGTTCGCATCAACGGCATCGCGCCCTTCTTCACGCCGTCCCACATCACGGCATCATATGCTGCTGAATGGGCAGCCGCGGGTTTGAGCTCGAACACAGCCGAAGGCGTTGCCCGCCGTGTTGTTGAAACCCTGGCCGACTCGACACAGCAGGGGAGTTGCTTCTTGGTTGCCGGAGGAAAGTCCACTGAGCTTGAAACGCGACGAACTGAGTTGCTGGATGAGTGGATAGGGTCCGACAATCGGAAGCTGATGGCCGATGCGAACGTGCTCTTTGCTAAGCTGGGGGGATATCCACTGCCTAAAGCCAGGAGTTTACTGTAAGTGAGTACATGCTGATGCTACTCACGCGCGGCGCAATGCACTACTCACTGCTGCTCACCCTCCCTCACTCGTGTGGCGTGGCTCAAGGCACCGGTGCTACTTCCGGCCTCATAGGCCTCCAGCCGAACGCTCGCTGCACTCCTACCGCCTTCCAACCGAAAACCCCGCCCACCAGCCCCAACAGTACAGCTTCACAACGGAAAGGTCCTGAAAGAGTATTGAGGTCGATGATCGGGCAAGCCGACTTTTGAATATACCTGTGGATTCTGACTACCAACACATCCCCATTTCCCAGGAGCAGAGTCAGCTCATCTACCATTTTCAGCTTTCCTACGCCTTCCCGTCCTCCTCACCCACATCCTCAAACTCAACCAATTCAACACCCCCAGCTACACTCTCCCCTTCCGCAACCCTCACCCTCTTGACCACCAACCCCTCCCCCGGACTCCTGACCACAGTCTCCATCTTCATGCTCTCGATCACCAGCAGTATCTCGTCCTTTCCCACCGTCTGTCCTGGCTTGACAGCCACCCGAAGGATCTTGGCCGGCATAGGCGAGAGCAAGCTATTTGGATTCTCGGTCTTGCCGAGCGCCTTCGTGAGCCAGGCCGGCGGAGCAGGCTGTAGGCGATGAGAGCCTAAGGGTGTGAAGAGATGGATTGGTGAATTGGGAGAGCGGGCGGGAAAGGAGACCCGGGTTGTGTGTCGTGTGTGCGGGAAGTAGGTCGTCAGGGTTTTGGTGGCAGGGTCATAGGTCGAGGTTACCGTCCAGGATTGCGAAGCGGTGTCGATGGCGAAGGTGGTGGGGGAGAGTCGTTGGACGGAGACAGAGAACGTTTCGGGCGGTGGTTGGCCTGGGAGAGACTCGGCGTCAGGATGCTGGAAGGTGAATGTTCGTGGTTGGAAGTCGGAGTCAGACCGGAGCCACGACGGAGCGGTGGTGGTGAAAGACGCAGTGGTGGTGTTGCGAGAGGTGAATTTGTGGAAGTAGCTTGCGAGCGCGGCTTCAGCGAGCGCTTCGTCTGGGATATTCAGTTCGGGAAAGAGTTCGTTTCGGTGTTTCTCGATGTAGCCCGTCTCAACCTCTCCTGCTATGAAGTCAGGAGACTTGACGACGCGCTTGACAAAGTCGATATTGGTCACCGGCCCGGCGATCTCGTACTCCTCCAGCGCTAGAGCCATTTTTCGGAGTGCATCCTTCCTCGTTTCGCCTCGAACGATCAATTTTGCGATCATGGGGTCGTAGTTGGTTGAGACCTCGTCGCCTTCGGTGAATCCTGTGTCGATGCGCACATCGCTTGACTGCTCTGGAAGGCGGACATGTTCAAGCCAGCCTGAGTCAGGCACAAAGCCCTTGTCCGGGTTCTCGGCATAGATGCGCGCTTCGATCGCATGGCCTAGACTGGGCATACGCTGTACGATCTCCTCTTGTGTGAGAGGTAGCTTCTCACCACGAGCGACGCGGACTTGCCATTCGACTAGATCGACGCCAGTTACCATCTCCGTGACAGGGTGCTCGACCTGTAGGCGAGTGTTCATCTCCATGAAGTAGACTGCGCCGGTGTCGGCATCGAAGATGAACTCTACCGTGCCGGCGCCCTCGTAGCCGACAGCGGCAGCGGCACGGCATGCCATATCCCAGAGCTCTCGTCTTTTCGATTCTTCGAGACCTGGTGCGGGTGATTCTTCGAGGATCTTCTGATGTCGTCGCTGAATACTGCAGTCGCGCTCACCAAGGGCTACAACGTTGCCGTGGGCGTCAGCGAAGACCTGAACTTCTACATGCCGCGGCGTGACGATGTACTTTTCGATCAGGACCTCATCATTGCCGAAACTGTTCCGGGCTTCACTTCTCGCACTGTCCAATTTGTCTCTGAACTCTGATGGCTGCATGACAACGCGCATTCCCTTGCCGCCTCCGCCACGCACAGCTTTGATCAACACCGGGTAGGTCATCTTGTCGGCTTCCTTCTCAAGTGTCTCAGCACTCTGATCTGCGCCGCGGTAGCCCGGCACACATGCTACGCCGGCTTGCTCCATGATGTCCTTGCTCCGGGCCTTGTCGCCCATACTCTCGATTGCGGAGGCCGGCGGGCCAATGAACTTGACCCCTTGTTCGGCGCATCGTCGCGCAAATTCCGCATTCTCGCTGAGGAAGCCGTAGCCTGGGTGAATGGCCTGGCAGCCCTGCTCGGAAGCGACGCGCAGGATCTTGTCCTGGTCGAGGTAGGCTGATGTGGGGCCGAGATTGAAGCTGTAGGGACTGGCTTTGGCGTGTTGAGCGTGTCGATCTGGGTCAGTATATAGAGTTGTGGTCTTGATGCCGTGGGCGGCGGCGGTCCTGGCGACGCGGAGGGCGATCTCGCCTCTGTTGGCGATGAGAATCGAGTCTATCGGGCGTAGCGTGGGGAGAGATGAGGTGTCCGGAGCTGGAGCTGAGGCAGATGTATTCCATCGGCGCTGACTGGGTATGGGGGCGGCACCTGGCGCGACGAGGGATCCTATGGTCACGCAGTGAGGAGTGCGAGGGAGCACGGTGCCACATAGGCGGAGGTGAGCTGACCGATGCATGGTTGGTGTAGGGAAGAAGGAGCGAAGGTGGTATGTACGGTCTACAGCAGCACCGGCATCAGCGCCAGCTTCAGCACCTGCACCAACGAGAATTGGCCAACAACACAGCACGAGCAGCAAGCAGTCTGTCACGCCGAGGATGATGTTGCTTCTCGCTTTTCGCTTTTCGACGGCTATTGCAGGGAGGCCCTCAACAGCCCCCGGAAAGCTCCCCGCGTTTTGCAACCTGAGAAGGCGATGTACTTCAGGTCAGCCTATCGATAGGATTTAGGCGGCTCGAGCCTTACGCGTAGCCGACAGAGCCTCGATGTCTCTCGATTTCCCGATTCGCGGTCGCGTCTGATTTTCGAGTCCTTCTGGCAGACATCACACAACTGTTCGCAATGAGCATTGTTGAGTTTCACAAATGAGCAGATGACTCTCTTTCATCTTCGCTGCTCTGTTTGTGCTCATTGTTCAGCCAGAGCGTTCCAAATGCTGCCATAACAGCATATTATAGCGGCACACCTCACCACCGTCTCCTCACTCCTCCCCTCCCCAAAACGAGCATCACGATGTCCGACTACGCCTACTCCGACCCAGGAACACCCGACGCGTTCGATGACCTCGAGGATCTCCTCGACGATGCCGATCCCACTCCAGATCTGGCCGACGAACTCGCCGCTCACGCTCTTGCTGACACAGTCTATCCGCTTGACTATGACCCCGGGTATGAAATGCAGGAGTACTACTCCGACTGGGAATACTATTCCGATGACTACTACGATGATGATCCGGCCATTTTGCGACTGAATCCGATGGATGGAGAGCCACCGAAGAAGAAGGTCAAAGCATCAACATTCAATACAAGTAAAGCGAAAGGCAGGAAACGAAAGGCCGCTGAACTTGCGGAACCAGAAGAGGATGGGCATGATCAACGCAAACTGTACATCATGACAGGCAGCATGCAAGGCACCGTCTGGGCAACGCCTGTTCCGGTCAGAAACAACATCTACCGCCCAGGTTCGGGGAAGAAGGTCGCCCTGCTGAAGGACTGGCGTGAGCGCTACAACTTGACTAGTCCACGGGAGATTGCACAGTCAGGAGGTGTAAAGGTGCCGGATCTGGCGAAAGACGAGAGTTGGGCCAATGACTTGGGTCTGGCGGACATGGGCCTGCTGACAGAGAGGGGAACGGCGACAGGAGGAGGCGAAGGTGGAGTTGCCGGCGAAGAAGGCGACGAAGATGGATGGGAAGACGAAGCGGAGGAGGGAGAAGGAGACGCATCACGCCCGGCCGACAGCATCGACGGAGACGGCGACTTGGACCTGACCGATGACGGTCTCGAGTTCGATGAAGATGCCCTCAAAATCCTGGATGCAGCCATGAACAGCACTTCTGCTGATGGGTCACTCGACATCAGCAAGCTGAACCTACCACCTGAGCAGCTCGCGGCCCTGCAAGCAGCATTCGCACAAGCAGAAGCAGCCGAACAACAACAACAAATGCCAACGCCTGCTCCCACACAGTCGCTTCAGCCATCAGAGCCCGAGCCGACTTCGAAACGGCGCAAGAAGAACAAGCCGACGCACAATCCTGCTGGCGCAAAGCTTGAGGTTCCTGCAGCGATGCCACCTGCTGCCACTCTAACACTCACTGAAGAAGAACCAGTGATCGAAGAGCTGCACCCAAAGCTCAACAAGGTGGGCAGAAAGAGGAAGGCTTCGACGTCGCCAGGGCCCGACGGAGACGAAACTCCTGAGAGCCCCGATCTCGATGGTGGTAGAGACCTGAAAAAGGAGCTGTCACCATACGTGCCACGAGCAACAAGAAAGCAAGCCAACGGCCGCGCGACGAAACGCCATGCAAGTGCTGCAAAGCGTTGATGTTGAAGGCCGCCCTGACATGCGATTGAAGGAGAGGTGGGGGCCAGCGATAATAACGCAGGAGGCAGGCAGAGCGTGGCGTAAAGGCCAGCAACGTCCTAGCTCCTTGTTTAGCATTTGAGACTACATACAAAACCTACGTCCACTTTCGGGACCGGAAGAGCTGCATTGTAGGGCAGTCAAGTGTGCTTTGATTGAGATATCACTCATCATCCACCGTCCCATGCTCGACTTCTATTGCGTGCCTCTCTCCTTTGTTCTACATCCTGATACGCGCCCGGTCGGCAACTAAGTCGCGGCGCAGAGGCGTACTAAGTCAAGGCATATGTTTCGTTGTTTCACAATCATATGACTCGTTCCGCTATGCCGGCGTGCCATTGACATGCCTCGCACGTCCTTCGACCTGGCCATTTGCGTGACCATCGACCTCGCCGTTGGCCTTATCGGCCCCGAACCATCGCCGCTCCTCCCCGACCGTCTCAGCCGCCCTCGCATTCACCTTCTCCATCTCAAACCCAGCTATCTTCTTGTACACCGACCCAACGGCCTCCAATTCATCCTTCGGAACCACACTGTAGATATCGTCGAACCCTTCCGGAGCCCGCTCGTGCGCTAGCTGCAGAACTTGATCAGGCCCGTTCCCGCGGTTCGCCATCACGATCGCCGCGGTAGGCGGCAGGCGCCGAGTTTGATACGTCGTTAGCGCCGCTTCAACATCCACATCACCCGCACCACTGGTGTGCTCAACAAGACAAGCAGCCAAACACTCCGCATCTAGAATCGCCTGACTCGCCCCATTGCTCCCAATAGGATACATCGCATGCGCCGCATCCCCCAACAGCGTCATCCTACCGAACGACCACCGCTCAACCGGATCCCGATCGCACATAGGGAACTCATACACCTTCCCCGTCGGCTCGATCAGATCCTCCATCATCCTCAACCCACCACACCGCCACTTGCGAAATGGCTCCTGAAAGGTCTCCTTGGGCACACTCCTCGTCCAGTCCGCCGGCGGAGGTGGCGTCAGATCCGGATCGGACTCATCGCGAACGCGCAGCTCAGCGATCCAGTTCACGAGGGATTTTCCCTCGGAAGCGGACCGCGCCGAGATGGGATACGCGATGAACTTTTGATTTGCGTGGCCGTCCCAGATCATTGAGGCGCCGGTCAAGTAGGGGTTGGGGAGCTCGATACAGCCGCGCCAGAGGATGCGGCCGCTAAAGCGTGGGGGCCCTTCGGTTGGGTAGTGCAGCTTGCGGGCGTGGGAGTTGATCCCGTCGGCTGCGATGAGGATGTCGCCTGTGATTGATGGGTGGTCTGTGGCTAGCTCGCCAGTGCTACGTTGGGTGAAGTGTGCTGTGACGGAATTGGCGTCTTGGGTGTAGGAAGTGAAGGCGTGGTTCAGGTGGATTGTGTCCTTGCCGAGGCGGTCCTCGACGGCGGAGCGAAGGAGTTGTTGCAATTCGCCGCGATGAATAGAGAACTGCGGAATCGTATAGCCAGCGGACAGGCCGCGAGGCTCGGAAAGGATTGGGTTGCCATGGCGGTCGTAGAAATTGAGCTCTTTGGTTTGTATGCCGGTTGAGAGGAGGGTGGGGAGGAGGCCGAGGTTGCGGAGAATGAGTACGGCGGATGGTTGGACGTTGATGCCAACGCCGAGGGTTGTTAGTCGCGAAGAGGCTTCGAAGATGTGGATGTCTGTGAAGCCCTGAGTCGGTGTCAGAGCACGTCTACTGGATCGGAAACCGATCGTGATCGCGGTGGTGGATATTGGCGGATATCGTGTACGGACTGATAAGGCAGACTTACCACAGAATGCAAACTAAGGGCAGTGCATAACCCGCCTATTCCTGCTCCTGAGATCAGGATCTTTGGCTGAGGCTTGTGTCCGTTCATCATACTCAGCTGTTCCAGGGGCTTTGGATTTCGTGCCTTTTGTCACTACAGGACTCGAGGTCTGACCTGGTAAGTCTTACATCCTTGTAGGCCGATTTCGGAGGATCGAAGCTTGAATCGTATTTAGCAAACCATTTAGGCTGATGGCTGTGCCCCGAGTTCTCAGGGGATGTCTTTAGGTAGAATGAAGACTTCAGCGTATATAGATGGTAGTTTACGGATCTCAAAACCAATTCTCATTAGTCATGTACTTGGAGTGCCAGTGCACGGCAATGACATCCAGATATTTCACGCGCGGAGACCATCGTGCTTTCCGATACTGGCATGTCCGCAGGCCATGATCTCTGGCTGCAAACTCTGGTCGAAGTGTGACTGACAGTAAATGTCTCCTCAAGCAGTCACATGTGAGGGCTGCTCCAGGCGTACGCGATCTTCAGCGAATCCCTTTTCTCGGCCGCAGAAACACGCCCTGCGCAAATAGTCAGCCAAATCCGTAGCTTGCTTGTGCAGCAGCCAACCATGACCATCTGTGTCATTCCTGGGAGGTCTGCTGAAGATCTGAAATCGAGGAAGCATGACATCTTCAGGTACGCCGATCGGTGGCCAGCGGCGGATGACTTTGCGGCGACGTCTGTTTTGCTGCTGCTGCAGCGTCATGTTCGACATGGAGTCTGCTAATGAATCTATGGATGGCACACGTGTTGGGTCATGGTCGTCATTGTAGGGCCCGTATGCTATGGTATCGTGCGGCTCCGGTTCTGCTTCCTGCGACGAGGTGACCAGGCCTAGGGCCTCGGCATGCGTTCGTGGTGTGTCCCGCCCAGGAGCGCGAAGGAAGAGCATTGGAGAGGCGAAAGGATCGAAGAAGCTCGATGGCGTTGGGAAGAGTCTGGTTCGTGCCGCGATGAGCGCTCTTGCGGCGGTTTGTATGGCCTCTGGGTCGACGGAAGGTGGTGCCTTTTTCCTCTGGCCCCTCAGGTAATTGCCTGGAGGGGCTTCTTCAACGATTCCCGCATGCTCATCGAGCATGCACCAGTCGACGAGGGCATCTGTGATCGTAACACTATTCAGTGCATTTGGCTCGGTCAATGCGAGGGTCGTGGCTAGTGCCCCTCCTATGCTTGAGCCCGCCACGTCGATCCTTGGCTCTTCTAGAGCATATGGAAAAAGTCCGGGCAGAATCGTGGACGTGAGGTACGCAAAGGAAGTGTGCACATCGTGCACAGGCATCGGAAACCGATGGTCCAGCGCAGCGGTCGCAGTGAGGGGTAATGGAGAAGACAGGCGGTAGTGAATCGTTATAATGGCGCTATGAAGGTTACGCAAGCGCGCATTGTCGGGTGGTGCTTCTTGAGGGTCCGCAGGGGCCTCAAGCCTGGATCCGGCAGGCAGCTGCAGCAAGACCGAAGGGCGTGACTCGGTGTCGGATATTCGAGCCTGTATCCTGCCCACAGTCAGTACTTGCTGCGTACGCATGGAATATTAGCATACTCTAGGTCGACGTGTCCGCTGCCGCCAATCGATACCTTCACCGTCTCGCGATGGAAGGGTATACGCGTCGAATACGCGCTTCTAGCGACGCGAGTGAGGAGTTTGTTTGCGACGCCGCAGCGTCCGAGGCGCAAGAGCATTACATGGCGCATGTGTAGTGTTCGGGCAAGAGAGCAACGTTACAGATATTTGTCTGAAGTGAGGTTGACGAGGCTCAGATTCAGCCTTGCTATCAGTTTCACAAGGAAGTGGCAGATCAACGGTCTTGGAAGTTGGAAGTCTCGTAAGATGGTGCTTCGAGGCAGGAGCATAGATGGTAACCACGGCATCGACTGCCACTGTGTAACAGGTATGCAATCAATATGATCACTTCTTGCTGCCCTTTCCCCAGATGTCCAGGGATGGCATCACAAACTCGCCGCTTTTCCTCGACTTGCTGGGCTCCAGACTGAGCGACAAGCCCTTCTCTATTGCTGCCTTGTCCTTCTTGGTTTTGCCTTTGAACATGTCCGTCACTTTAGATTGCTTCAGTGTCTGCTTCTTGCCTGCGCCCTCCTGTAGAATCTTGGCAAAGTCCACACTGCGATCAGCCTTCGCCAGACTCGCTCCAGCTGCCAACAGCAGCTCCTCCTTCTCACCCTTCTCTAACGCGGCCAGCTCGTCTGCTGACGGTAGTTGAAAGTCAAGCTCGATTGTGGCTTTCTTGGCTGGCGAGACGGGCAATACAGCGACTGGTGGCGGCGACTTCTTCTCTTTCTTGACTGGAAATTGCTCTGGTGGTGTTCGACACATGCTCGGAAAGTCGCATTTGTCACATCGCTTCAAGACTTTCGCCTGGCCCATGATCGCCAGCGCTTCTCGTTTCCACTCCCCGTACTCATCCCAGCCTTCATAGTCGAATTCGCTTGAGCATGCCTGACCCTTCTTTTTCTTCTTGAGATTCTTGACATTCGTCTCACCCGAGCAGTAGTAGTGTCCATCATACAGGCATCGTCGAGTAACGCCCAAAGGATAGCGATTGCGACACAGATGACATTGCCAGATCCACGGCAGCGGCGCTTCGGGCGGCGGAGGGATAGTCGCCTTCCTCATCGATGGTGGCAACGGTGTCCGCGGAAAATACTTATCGAAGTCGAACGGTGTCACAGCGACCGATGGAGCCCATGTTGGAGTTCGAGGTGATCGCATGCCCTCATCTCGCGGAAAGCTCGTGTACGAGTCGTAATGAAGAACTGTTTCCGTAATGTCTGACATCTCAACGTCCTCCGAAGCCATACTGGTGTAGCGACGGCATGCCCGCAGTCTCGCTATATGAGTCGCAGGCCGCGATCATATTTGGCAACGTGACAAAGACTATTGACCTATTTGCGCTTCCGCAAGTCTGTGTGAATCCATTGTCTTGGTTTGCACAAAGAGCTGTTTTCGGAATTGTTAGACCGTGCACAAGCGGCCCTTCTGGCCAAGTAGTAATCGCTGCACTTGATTTGACCTCACTCATGACTCGTTACAGACCCAAACTGGTCCAGTCAGAGCGACGATGGAAGTGCAAAATCTTTCACGATACGATGAAACGAAGTAGCTATTACCATTGCGCAAATGCAGGAGCCTACCTGACGGGTTGATGTCGGAATAAATGGCCATGGAATTATCCGCTTGCAATAGAGACTTAGAGATGCTATCCGACCAAGAGTTGATGCACTCTCATGCCTACCCAGCGAGTGCGTCTACCCAGCGAGTGCGTACCTGGGTAGGCAACAGTGGGAAGGTTCGGCAGGCCATCTGAACCGCGCAGGTGGATTGATTCGGGACTGATTTGGACTCGAGGGCTTTGCAGCTAAACCACGTGCGTTGACGTTTCGTGCGGCGGACACAACGCAGCACTCAACAATGGACATGCTCTCGCAAAATGCTGTCAGTGATCGTCAACCATGATTGACCTGATGCGATTCGCGATTTCGCAGAGATGACGCGATGGTGTAAAGTTGAGATGAAAGAAATTAGCGGAGAAGCGAGCGGCTGCTCCCAGCCGCCAAGATTTGCGGCACGATCCGCGCCAGTACGAAAGCGGTCTAGCGTTTCCACAAGTCGAGGCTGGGCGATTATCGGCGAGGCTGGGACTTTTGGCCGGGTCCAATCGACCTCTCACAACTGTTCGCTTCGTCGATCCTCCATATCCAGCCTTCGAACAACGGCGAAGATGTCTCAAGCTTGTCCGACACGAGGCTGGTCGTGCCACGCTCATGCCATGTATAACATATGCTCGTCTCGTGAAATGCTTCTGTGCTTCCATTCCTCACATCAGCCATACGCCTAACATTCCAGCAATACGGCTTCACTTAACGAGACTATACAGTATACATCCGCCAACATTCCACCCACGACCTTATTGCCTTGTAAGGCGTCGTCGTCTCCGCCTCCATCACCAAGGCCAGTCCAGGAGCGCCACTACACGTCCTGTCCAATCGCGATTCGACAGCTACCAAGTTCAAGCTCTCTTCACATCGGACCAGCACTCAGCCCACCAGCACCTCGTCGCTTTCGGACTCACGCCCACCACTTCAGCCTGAGCCAGCCCAGCAGCAACCTTAACCGCGATACTGTTCCTGCCCACCGACGGACCAAGAGCACGCCCCTACCGTCACTACCAGCCCCAGTAGCGCAGAAGCCAAGACCAACATCAACGCTCTCGTTCCCGCTCCCACGCAACCTCATCCTAAGCCCATCAGACTCAGACAGCGACTCAGCAACTAACACACCACCCCTCTCACCAAGCCTGAGCATCTCCAGCTCCGGCTCCTCCGCCCTATCAGACTCCGAAGAAGTCGACTTCTCCGACCTCGACCTTCAAAATGGTGCAGCGCAACTACGTGATCGCCATCATCGTGCTAGTCCTATTCTTCGTACTGGGAGTCGTCGGGTACGCGATCTATGCGGTGCAGAACAAGGTCAGCTTGTTCGCGAGGAGAGGGGAGAAGGATCTGGAGGAGGACGAGGAATGATCACGGCTGCTCGTCACGGAGCGAGCTCGAAGATTGAAGGAGGTCATGTCGAGGAGCCAGATGGCGGTTCGGTGACGAGGCGAAGAAGCGCGAAGCAAAAGTCCCACGTGAGGTCGAGGCTGAAGGTCCGCTTCGCGCTCCCGGAGCCAGCTGTGATGATCGCAGACCAGAGCATGGAGCCTCGCGAATGCGACCAACAACGGCAGCATTCGGCTGAGGTCGATCAAGTACACGACGCTGCGCTGAAAGCGTTCAAGCACAAGATCTCCCTCCTCTCGTCGCCTGCGCCGCCAGCAGCGCCGCCTCCACCGAAGGCCTCGAATATTATGCTCTCCGATGCCACCAGCAAGGACGGATGGCACAGACGTAAGGACCGCGTCGTCAGTGGCGATCCATCAGCGCCCGCAAACCAAGGAGGCGCATTTCCAATGAGGTACTCCTACCTCACTGAATCCTGGCAGACGCATGCGAATATCGCCGCCGCCGCTACTCCCGCCACGACGGGAAGGAGGGTGAGTGATCGCGTTCGAGGTGACGATGGGGGTTGGAGCTGGTTCTGACGAACCACTTGTCCATCTCGATCTCTCCGTTGCTTCGCAGCGTTCGTGAGGGGTAGTCTACTTCAATGATGGTGGTAGGCAAGCGCACCCTACAGCAAGGCGATTTGGCGATTAGTTGAATGTTCTCATAGCTGGTTGACGGCACATCGACACCGTCGGTTTACGACATTTCTTGTATCTAGTTAGGCACGGATTGGCCTCGTGGACCAACCCTCCGCGCACGTGCGATTGTTAATGACGAATCGTAATGATTATCAAGTCTTCATAATTCGTGGCTGCCCAGAAGCCATCTGGTGATTACGATGTGTTCCAAATCCATCTCTAAGTAGTCTACACACGCCGACTTGGTAGTAGGTTGAGCATGCATGCTGCAAACACCAATTTGAGAAGGAGGTCCAGCAGCATGCTGGCTCAACGTCGCGAATCACGTTGCGTCAGAGAGTATCGTCACAGCACTCTCAGGCAGGGTCACTTACGTGCGCATGCACCCGTCCGGTTGTGGTTCCACTACGGGCGTATCTGGCCCCAATCTCCTGCTATCTCCCTCCTACAGCTACCCATTACGCTCTCGCTTGATCACTATTCCACAATTCCTGGGCGTCATTGGATTAGCAAAGTTTAAAATTACGGGCGGCACATGCCAACCTTCGGATCTATAGCAACTTATCCGTCCACCATGCCGTCGTCATGGCCAGTGGCGGCCAATCTCCTCGCCGTAGGAGAGAAAAGGTCGCAACGGCTACATCCAAGGGCACGGTGGATGAATTCAGTCAAAGCAATACATATAGACAGCTCGATTCCACCTTGAAATCCGCCTTCCAGTCCACAACACAACAAACACGAAGTACCAAGAACAACCTCATTCGAAGCTTCATCCGAGAATTCAGAGTAGCATACGAGCTCTCCTATCTAGTCACAACCTACATCTTTCACCCACTACAGTTCGTCGAGATCTGGTTACCTTTTCTCACGATGGGCATCTTCAGCACCCCCAACCCTTTTAAACCCTCCACCAGCATCCCATCCCTCGCCAACACAAGTGATCCTCGTCACTGGCGGCAACGGCGGGCTAGGCAAAGAGGCCATCCTTCAACTCGCTCAACATGGCGGCCCAGCAAGATCTACATGGGCGCCCGCTCCGCCGACAAAGCCACGGCCGCCATCAATTCCATCCGCAGCAACCTCACCAATCCTACCACAGAGATCGTTCACCTCCCGCTAGACCTCAACTCTCTTGCCTCAGTTCGCGAAGCAGCCTCCATTGTCAAATCCAAGGAAACCCGTCTAGACATCCTCATGCTCAACGCCGGCATCATGGCAACACCCCTAGCCAAAACCGAACAGGGCTTCGAGCAACAAGTCGGCGTCAACCACATCGGCCACTTCTACCTGACCCAACAACTCCTCCCGCTCCTCACCTCCACCGCCAAGCTGCCCAATGCCGACGTCCGTGTCGTCTCCCTCACCTCCGAAGCATACAACCTTGGCCCCTCCAGCATCGCCCAGATCGCCTCCAACGAGAAACTCCTCAAACAGTCTCCCTGGTCCCGCTACGGCGCCTCCAAAGCCGCCAACATCCTCTTCGCGGCCGAGCTTGCTCGTCGGTATCCACAGTTCACCACAGCAAGCGTGCATCCGGGAATCATCATGACCGATCTGCACACCGCTGGGCAGGAGAGCTACAGTTTTGTAGGGTGGTTCATGAAGTTGGCGGCGCCGATCATCGCGACGGATGTGCCCAGGGGCACGTATAATCAGTTGTGGGCTGCGACAGCGAAGAAAGAGGAAATCCAGAATGGCAACTACTACACACCGGTCGGGAAGCGGCAGGGAAACGTCAAGTGGGCGAACGACAAGGAGGCCGGGAGCAGGTTGTGGCAGTGGAGTGAGGAGGAGATCAAGCGCGTGGGATTCTGAGATCGTCCTTCTTTTCGGGCTGTCGACTGTAGAAAGTGTACAACATCATAGGCGTTTCTTTGAGACAGAGGGAGATACCAGTGCTGAACAAGCCAGGGATGGTCTCGCTATGCTATAGACGGGGTTTTATTAGTATTTATCGCAGAATATTCGGCTGCAAATTCGCTCTCGGATCCATCCTTTTGATGTACATCCTTAGTACGGACTCGCGGTCTCGATCCAGAGATTCCCTGTATCGAAGCACGCTCATATCCTTGATCTTTGGCTTACTGACCCTCACCCGCCGTCAGATTTCTCGGCAGCCTCGGCCCTTCAGCGGTACACCGCTCAAGTACCGTCTGTGGCAAGTTGGCGTACGCCAGATCGGTCACCCATTTCCCGCCAGGTCTGAATTTCTGCTTCTGTGCATTCTTACCACCTTCATTCGCGTTCCCTCCTCCCGCGAGAGCAGTAGCTAAGAAAGTCCATGCCACAGCATTGCCGACCGTGTGTACCTCATCGCTGACAAGCACTCATGGTCGCATACTTTTCTTTGCTGTCCTCTTGGATGAGAAGCTCTGCCAATCGATCCGCAACGGCGTCGGTGTCACCACGGTTGACCAGATAGCCAGATTTGCCATGCTCAATCTGCAACGGTATGCCGCCGGTACGGCTTGCGATGACAGGCTTGCCCTTGTGGAGGGCCTCGGAGATCTTGACTTCGAATCCTGGTGAGCAGTTGTCAGCGTTGTTTCGAACGTGGGCACAGCAGGTCTTACCTTCTCGTGTGCTTAGTTGCAGCACGACAGAAGCAGAGGAAAGAATGGCGTCGAGCAGTTGGTCGCTTGGGCCGATGCGGACGAGTACAATATCATCGCGCAGGTGGTCATAGTTCTCCTTGATGAGATCTGTGGACGCGTGATAGATCCTGGAGGCATCGGGATCGTCGACTGAGCCGTGGCCGCAGACAATAAGTTGTGGTATGTTCTCCGTCGGAACATTGGTCTCTGAGCACATCCCTCTGAATCTGGAGTACGACTTTAGCACGTCCGGGATGCCTTTTGAAGGATCGAAACGAGCGACTTGAGCAATGTAGGGTCGTTGCGGCCAGACGAGCTCGGAAGCACCCTGCTGCCGACATGTCTGCCGTAGGAGATGGAAGTAGAACTGCGTATCCCACTTGACGAGATCCTTGTTGAGACCGTCCAGCCAGTCCGTTGTCGCGGGAAGCCAACCGACTGTGGCCATATCAACTTGCGGCGGGACGAAGGAGCGGACTGGGTGACTTATGAACACGTCTGCCTCCCTTATGCGCTCCCACAGATTGTCCCAGACTTTCTTTGCGGATGATCCTTGTTGCTCCACGAGGTCATCTCGGACCTCAATGTGGGATCGGAAGATCACAGGTCGCTTGGGACTTTGTTGCTTCGCTATTTTCACCAGCTCAGGTAGTTGCGGGTCGTCAACGACGATAACGTCGGCACCGCCTTGGTCAGGAGGTAGGAGTGGTCCGTTCTTCTTGAGCCAGAAGCGAGTGGCGTTGCTTGATACCCAATCGTGGATGTCTTGTAGCTTTTCCTCACTGACATTTGTTGTGGTGTCTACGCCTTGCAAGATGTTATGATTATTCTTGGTAATCCTGAAGATGTCTGGTCTAGGTCGGGGCACGAACCATTCCGCCTGCACACCCATGAGCTTCAGAAAACGGATGATTGCATGGCGCATCAGAGCGACGCCGCCGCCCTGTGGAGTAGCACTGAAAAACACCATCCGGATCTTTTTCTCCTTCATGAGACCGGTGTAGTGTTTCACAGCTTGCCACGTTCTGGGTCTGACCGACTTCTCATAATCATCCAGCGTTGCGATTTTGCACATGCCAGCGTGATCCACCTCGACTTCGTTACGGAACGATAATCGTAGGCGTGGCTGCTTGGTAGGACCAAAGATCTGTAGCGATTCCCTAGCGACGTACTCGGCCACCTCGTCAATCATTTCGACATCGCATCGGTCGGCGCCTTCCGGCAGTGCAGCTTGATGTAGAGTAGGTACAATGTCCAGCACGTGCCACAGCTGCGAGCAGAGATCAGGAGCGGCGCGATCGAGCTCTAGTTCGACGCCGGTTCCGATTATCTTAACGAGATGCTCCTTTCGATAATCGTCGACGCTCTGGATGATGTGCTCGGTGATATGTGCGGCCTTGTCCTCTGAAGATGACTCCCATTTCAGGCGGTCGACCTTGAAGTCGATACAATATGTCCCATCGTGGAGGGCGAAGCCAATCGCGTAGTCGCTTTCATCGCATATGCTTAGCGCAAGGCCCATCCAGACTTCTTCCAGATTTGTGCCATCGCCATCGCGGTTGTTGCCGGACTCTGCGACGTTCGAAGTCTTCCGGAAAGCCGGGCTTTGCAGCCCTGAGGCATGTTGTGCTTCCGATGAGGCCATTCTGTCTGCGTTGGTATCATCTTTGTAGTAAGTACGTATGTTCGGCTCTATATAAGGGGATTTCAAGCAGTCGAGGCGCCTGGCACCGAACGATGACGGTGACCGTGTTCCGTGATAGCCATGTTGACATCACATAATGGGAATAGCTTTTGGTCAATCTCGATGTCGCACTAGATGCAGCTATGGTCTATTTCTTTCATGACTGTAGGAAGTCGTGTCCGTGGCAGTTTCCGTAATGCAAAGTGGTCATGATCGTCCTCTGTCGCAGAAAACGTGCTGCCTCGGAAAACGGAACCGCTACCCGACGATGCAGATCATGTCGTGGCCGAACAGTGTGCTTTGTCTTTCCGTCATGGTTGCTTCTGCATGTGGCCTCATAGGCAACGGCACTTGACCAGCCTTGATGACTACCAATGGAGTCAAAAACCCGCAGATCGATCTTCCAGCACAAGATGGTTCGGGAAACTTTAGAAGTCCCAACCCTCACTCCCTACTACGCGGACCACGGACGCTGATCTGCCAAGCACCCGCGTACCTAGGCATTATTAGTAGCCAGCCTTGTTAGGGGCCGCTCGAGCCTATCGCTTAGGCGGACCTACCTTATGGTGCACCTGAACATCCCTGACCGACCACGTCGCGACTCATAAGCAACCTTAACCTGAGTCAAACCGGTAGCAGTCTCAAGCTTGTGCCGTCCTATAGCTGTCACACAACTTATTGGCGACAACTCTCTCAACCCTTATGCAATTTCGAGACTTCATCGAGATCGTGTGTAGCAGGCACCTACGGAGTTTACGGATGTTCGGGTACCCGAGAGCACCATGAATTCGAGGTAGGTAAGGACTCCAATAAGAGGCAGAGGCAGGTACATGTCCCGCGTATGGAACGACTGGATAATCTCCCATACCAAGGTGCCAACCGCGCCACAAAGATCCAATCTCTTCACGCATGAATCATGCTCGCCTTGATATCGTTCCTCTTGAAACTCGACAGTGAAGGGGTTCCAGGAGTCGGTTTGCCAGAGAACTTCGTCTGCACGAACGTCTTCATGATACCCATCTCCTTCCGATCAAATGCCGCATACAGCTCTGCGAACTCCTCCAGCTCGAATCGATGACTCAATATGATGGTAGGATCGAAGGAGCCGTCCTCGATCTTTTTCAATAGTTCATGCCAGTACATCTGCACCGGTGCCTGGCCCGTGCCTCGCAAGGTGATGCCCTTCTCCATCAACGCACCGATAAGGAACCCATTGGTAGGTCCAGCGTAATCTGCCACGAGCGCGATGTGGCCAAACTTACGGACGGCCTGCAACATCTCGTTGACAATCTCGGACGAATCCGTCTCCAGACCGACGGCTCGCTCGAAAGTGTTCAAGGCGCCCTTTGTGTATCGGAAAGCGGCAGCGTCAATGCAGCAATTGATTCCCTCGGGTTCCTTCTCGTACAAGGCCTTTACAACGTCCTTTGTTTGACTGAAGTCGATCACCTCGCAGCCAATGTTGTCCCTGGCCATTGCGAGTCTTTCTGGAACATTGTCAATTGCAATGACGCGTTTCGCTCCAGCGAGCTTGGACCATTTGGCGGCAAACAGCCCAACCGGACCCATGCCCCATATCGCGACACTTTTACCTTCCTTGACCTCTGCGCAGACGGTGCTGTGGTATGACGTAGGGACGATATCGGACAGATACAGAACTTTCTCGTCCGGGACCGAGTCTGGGACCTTCAACAAATTGACATCGCCAAAGGGAGCCCGCACATACTCCGCCTGGCCGCCGGCAAAGCCACCCGCGAAGCGTGTGTAGCCAAAGAGACCCCCGAAGCCCTTGCCGTACAGCTTTTCCTGGACGGAGGAGGTGTTGGTGTTGTCGCACATGGAGGATAAGCCCTCTTTGCAGAAAGAGCACTGTCCGCACCTATTCACAGACCATGTCAGCGACTTCATCGCCAGTGTAGGGCATGTTATATTTACGCAATCTGGAAGCTGGCAACCACGCGATCGCCTTTCTTCAACTTCTTGACCTCGGGTCCAACTTCATCAACCAAGCCCATCCACTCGTGTCCCAGTATGTCGCCTTTTTGCAACTGCATGATCTCTTTGTGGTAGAGATGGAGGTCAGAGCCACAGACCGTCGTTCCTGTTACCCGACAAATGACATCGCCAGGATCCGTGATGGCTGGAACCGGTACCTCTTCAACCCGGACGTCTTTCTTGCCGTGCCAGACCAATGCTTTCATCGTCTGGCCAGCACGCTTCTTCTCGGTGTCGACATTGTGCACGAGAACCTTGCGGTCACCCAGGTATTCCTGCGCCTTGTTCGCGACCACTGTGTTCATGTTTATTGGAAATGTTTCTGACCACGACCTGAAGTAGTGAGTGATGGTTCAGCATTACAGTCTCAAGATGAGTAGGCATCATCATAACTCATTGCTTTTCTATTCCCTAGCACAGTTGATCGGAGCATGGGTCCGTTATGACAATTGCAGTGATATCATGCTCGCATGCTGACATACCTGAATTATGTTGACTTTTGCGCTGGGACTCAGACTCGTCCATATGGACGGCTCGAGTCTCATATCTCGATGCAGTCAGTGACTAGCTTGGGTTTGCACGTGTTCCCTGGACTATTCAGTCCAGGTAGTAATAGGAAATAGTACGTTCCAGCCCATGCACTCGATAGCTATACTACAGCGCGCACGCTTCCAGTGAGTACGGATATTTTAACCGCCAGGTCTGTTTCGGCGCAGTCAGACCGTCTCTCCCGCTCAGACTACTGTCAGCTTTCCAGCGGCTGGTTCGCAAGGACAGTGCCCGTATCAGATACAGCGCCCCCTTGGAGCTTCTCCGAGAACACCAGCCTGATGTTGAACGCGTTGGATCATCGTGTCGGGTCTCAGCGCGCCAGCCAGCCTTCTTCTCCCGACGCCTTACTGGCCGGCGACCCTCGTTCCATCAGCTCGTATGGGTTTTCCGGAGCGTCATTGTTACGCTTCGGCGGGACAGGCGGAAATCGAATTTCGGAAAATACATCCGCGTAGGGGAACACCCCGTCTAAGGTATTAGTAGGTACGTAACTATGACACCACTGGAACTCATGATCTTCCTTGTCACTGGCATTTCTGCGCCGACCACGAAAGCGGCATCCAAGGAGGTCTATACTTCGCAGCACGCGATCAGCTATGTCTGCCATCCATGTCAAAATCCGCTGATGCTTGCTCGCCACCCAAGGGCACCTGGGCACCGTCGACGAAAAGGTGACCTCACATTTTCATTCGCACGGCGTAGCGGTCCCTCTCGGCCTCTTTTCTAGAGGGTATTTAATCGTCGATTTTGAAGTAGCAGGCGTCCACCGAGGAGATAAGAACGAGATGCGCACGGTCATAGTATGTGGTCTCTCCCTGTTCCCAGCTACTGTATCTTTGAGGTCAATCAACCACAGCCTGTTGGCTTGAGTCTTGACAGACTGCGAACTAATATATAAATGCACTCGGGGTTCCTCCCACACATAAGTTCTGGTTGTCGTAGCATATTGTCATCTTGTCCAAGCGAATCTCCTGATTCTCTGCAACAATGAGTCCTCCACAATCCCACACAAGTTTCTCGATGACCCGTCGCATCACCAGTCTCGATACGGTCTCAAACACAGCAAGTCGCCCTCCCTCAGACTCTATTTCTGTATGCTGACAGACGCCACCGACCCGCGACAACATCGTCGGAGTGTGCGGGGAATTCGTCGGCACGGTCTTGTTCCTGCTGTTCGCATTCGCGGGAACCCAGACCGCCTACCTCAATAGCCAACCCGTCGAGAACAGAGTTGGCGCTCCCGCAGATGCAGCGACCTTGTCATACATAGCGCTGAGCTTCGGGTTCTCGCTTGCGGTCATGGCGGGCGTGTTTTTCCGGATCAGTGGAGGGCTCTTCAATCCAGCTGTGAGTACTACAACTTTATATCGTCAAGCAGCGCAGACATCTTCCAGTAAGCAGAACTGATGGGCGAAATACCAAGGTCGCCCATCGCGCTCGTGCTTATTGGGACGATCCCACCCATCCGTGGCGCACTTTTCGTCGTCGCGCAGCTCCTGGGCGGCATCGTCGCCGCCGCAATTGCCAGCGCCCTCTTCCCGGGGCCCCTGACGGTGGGCACCGCCCTAGGCGGCGGCACCTCGATCGCGCAGGGCGTCTTTATCGAGATGTTTCTGACCATCTTCCTCGTCCTCACCGTGTTATTCTTGGCTATTGAGAAGCAGCGAGCCACCTTCATCGCGCCTGTCTTGTTCGGCTTGGCGCTGTTCGTGGCCATGCTGGCGGGTACGTACTTCACGGGCGCCGGTCTGAACCCAGCGAGGAGCTTTGGGCCGTGCGTCGTGTTGGCAAGCTTCCACGGCTACCACTGGATCTACTGGGTCGGACCGGGCCTGGGGTCGATTGTTTCCGCAGGGTTGTATGGGTTGATGAAGCTGCTGAGGTATGAGGAGTCGAGCTCGGGTCAGCACGGCCCGGAGATTGAGATGGAGAACGGGAGGCTGTAATTCGTAGACAAGAGCGAGGGGCTTGAGAGTACACCCTGGCGGTCGTCTATAGCACGTTGCGATCGGCGCATCGGGATCGGACCACGGCGCGCTCAGCGCATCAGCTAGTTAGATTTGCATCTTCAACAATGATACCAATGCTGAACAAGCCATACTAACCAGGGAGATAGGCTATGCCACCTTCGAAAACAACTTCCATCCCATTAGGGGTCAGCTTATCCTTTCTTCTTCTAGGATCATCATATGGCCACTCCCTGGCCACCCTTGGGCCGTGGCGCACAGCGGGCTTTGCTCACCTACAACGTTGAGTGGCGACTGTAGCTCCATGCTCACATCCCTCGCCTCCACCCTCTTACCCACCACACAAGAACGCGTACCACTTGAGCTTCCCAGCCTGATTGTCCACACAGGCAGAACCACCATCTATAAGTAGTCGTAATGCCCACGACTGTTTCGTGTCGTGTCTGCCAGAGCTAAGATGTATCTCTTGAGTGACTTCCCATGCTGAGATGGTATCTGCTGCTACTTGATGGGGCGGGCTTCCTTGGTATACACTTGTGGGTGCTCGAGGATGTCTGGCGCTTCGTGCCATCGTAGAGCTCTGCTGTCCGTCATGCCCTCGGTGTGCGGCAACATCATTATCCACGACTTTGTGAGTTGCTCAACTTATGTGTCTCTGAGGAGAAGAGGAAGAGACGAGGCCTTGCTTTGATGTGTCCTAGTCCGAGTGCTTGAGCTGGAACGAAAAGAGGATGGAATGCAGAGCCAGCGCCAATGCCGGGCAGGCCAAAAAGTGGATGACCCGACGACATGGCTATGCATGATGCAACGACCTCGATTTTAGAAGCGTGCAAGAATTGGGCAGAAGACATTTTGATAGGAACGGGATAGCGATGCCTCGTCTCGTCTGGCCCAATACGAGGCGGCATTGGCGACTGGCCCCTTGGACCTACATGAAATATTGCATGGGTTCATCATCTGTCAGCTGTCGAACGAATAATGCCATTACTGAATGGGAGATTACCCAGTCCCCAAAGTATTTCTGCCACAACATGTATTGTGCAAAAATCTGTTGTCGTGTTTTCCAAGAGTGCTGCTTTTGCCCGCAAGCTGAAAGACGCCGTCTGTTCGGGTTGAGGGGCAGGCGCGGACGGGTGTCTCCGAGAACGGGCAGTCGCGAGGTGATGCAAAGCTCATAGGCGAATTATAGGTGAAACACTGGCCTTCTCGAATGCCAATAGACGCCTCCACGGACGTCGATGAGGTAGACCAAGATCTGTATGGCTGTCAAAGGTTAACATAAACCGGGGGTCGAACATATAAAGTTCCTTGATTGGGTGAGCCACAAGTACAGTGCCCACTCCGTCACCGCACCCCTATCGAGTGGTGTTTCAAGAGTCTGCTGCTATTCAGTTCTCAAATGAATATTCTCCTTTTGGCCTACACAATCTGACCCATCTTGTGCTGTGATTTCTCTCGACTGAGCACCGTCGTTATAGCAAACCACAGCCATCTGGCGAAAAATCCTTCCAGTCGCTCTCACACCGCCTGCGCCCAACCTCGACCACCCCCACCTTGGCTACCACCACGAGTACGATCGCTTCAGCGTCCGGACTCACCAGACAACAGGTATATCAAACGGAGGACAAGGTACAAACAAGGCACAATATATGCAGACAGTGCTGGAGTGGGTGCCAGAGCACAGTAGACTGCCTACCAAGTTCTTTGTCGGTCTTTGCCGGTGATAGCCACACCACTTGTGTTACCGCGCAACCACTGGCACCTTTACACGCCCATCATGGCGTCAGATGGGCCTAATGGGTATGTTGACATCTTCTTCTCACTCATTTCACTGTTCTGCGACTGTCTGTGCCCTCCATATTGCTGTCCCCGCGGGCACCTTGCATTGCGGCCGAGGCAGCCCGGCTCATCCTCATATGAAGCAGTCTCAACCTCAACACTGAGCAAAAACTAACCATGTCCAGCTACTATTCAGCCAATCAGTTCATGAATCCCGGGCCTGCGCCGCGTCCGCCCGTCGATCGACCGCGACTTGATCTTCAGCGCTCGCAGTCCGCCGTGCCCGTCAATACCTTCGACACCATGTCGCTTGGACCACCCTCACCAGCCGTCGCTACACCGAACGGAGGCTATTTCCCGAACGCTAGTACGCTGTCGCTGAACACGCAGAAAAGTAATGGACCAGTCACAATAATCAAAGAGGGATGGGTGCGGTGTAAAGAAGACAAATTTCTCGCTGGCTGGAACGATCGCTACCTGATTCTGCGGGAGTTTCGCTCGATTTTCTGAAGAATGAGAATGGCAAGGTCATCAGCAATATTTCTCTCAAAGACGTGACGGGTGTCTCGCGGTCCGAAACCACACGCATGGCCTTTGAGATCACTCGGCTAGCAAACCCCACTCAATCGAAAGCACCAATTCTGAACCGCGATCTGCCTACAAAGACTGTCACCTGCGAAGTCCGCAACGACGATGAGATTTACGAATGGATAGATAAAATCTACGAGCGATGTCCGGGTATGGGAGGCGTCAGTAATCCGACTAACTTCAGCCATCGCATACACGTCGGCTTCGATCCTCAGACCGGCGGTTTCGTTGGCCTTCCTCAAGAGTGGGAGAAGCTGCTCACGGCCTCGGCCATCACCAAGGAAGACTACAAGAAGAATCCGCAAGCTGTCATAGAAGTATTGGAGTTTGTCACGAAACAGCAGCCGGATGCTTACCAGAGTCCTTTCCCTCAGGCATCGGCTATGCAGCCTGGTAAGTCTCTGCATGGCTATTCCGCCAGCGGAGGCAACGGTGTTGCGCCGCCTCGACCAGCGCCTCCCTCAGACTCTCAGCGATACAATACGAACCAGTTTGTGAACAAATACCAAGACAACATTACGCGAACCGGTACACCACCAGCAAAGCCAGGTTTGACTCGATCGGCTACTGATAAGAGCGGCTACGACATGGAAGCGGATGCTGCGCGGATCAAGGAAATCGCGAACCAGGAGCAACAACGCATCAAACGAGAACGAGAAATGCAACGGCAGCAAGAAGACGACAGACAGCGGAGAGAACAAGATCGAGCTCGTGAGGCAGATAGACTTCGACGAGAGCAGGACGACTATAATGCATCCATCCCAAAATCACGGCCACCGATGGCGCAGCAGGAAGTCGGCGGAGGTGGCTACGTTCAACGAGATAAGTCAGCTCAAGACCCTCGATATGATCCTGGCCGAGCGGCTCCTCGCGCACCACCAATCGCCAACGGCAACCAACAGCAGGGACGGCAACCGCCAACGGCTCAGAGACAAGCGCCATCGGCACCCAACAAGGCCCCATCACAAATACCAAAAGCCACGAACTCTCCCAGCCAAGGGTCCCTACGAACAGACAGCAGACAGCAATCACCCGGCTCGAGATATCAGCAGGACCCAAATCGACCACGCCAAGATTCTGCTTCTCGACCGAACCAGAACGGTGCCGTTAATGGCAAATCACCCCCACCTGTCCAGCAAGTCAAACCACTAAATGTAGCCAAGCAGCCACCACAGCAAGGCAGCAAACCCATCGCCGACCCACGCAAAGAAGCCGAAGCCGCACTCACCGCCAAAAAGCCCGACAATGAGCGCGCAAAAGAGGTCCGCATGTCCTCGATGACCGAATCCGAAGTTATGGCCAAACTCAAGCAAGTAGTGTCTCGTGATAATCCCATGGACAACTACAGCAAGCAGAAGAAAATCGGCCAAGGCGCCTCAGGCTCGGTCTACGTCGCACGTGTCAAGGAAAGCGCTACCTCACAAGTCGCTCGCGAGATCTACCGCACGCACGGACCTAAGGGTCAGGTTGCGATCAAGCAGATGGATTTGCGCAACCAGCCGCGGAAGGAGCTGATTGTGAATGAGATTATCGTGATGAAGGATAGTAAGCATCCGAATATCGTCAACTTTCTGGACTCGTTTCTGCAGGAGGCGAGCAATGAACTGTGGGTGGTGATGGAGTTCATGGAGGGAGGAGCCTTGACCGACGTGATTGACAATAATCCGGTGATCACGGAAGAGCAGATCGCGACAATTTGCAACGAGACGTGCAAGGGTCTGGCGCATCTGCATAGTCAGGACATCATTCATCGGGATATCAAGAGCGACAATGTTCTGCTCGACCGCATGGGTAATGTCAAGATCAGTAAGTTGCTTGATGACAGTCCTACGAAGGGAATAGTACTGACCAATCCTCCCAACAGCTGACTTCGGCTTCTGCGCCAAACTCACCGAATCCAAATCCAAGCGCGCCACCATGGTCGGCACCCCTTATTGGATGGCGCCCGAAGTCGTCAAGCAAAAAGAGTACGGCCCCAAAGTCGACATCTGGAGTTTGGGCATCATGGCTATCGAAATGATTGAGTCGGAACCGCCATACCTCAACGAAGAGCCCCTGAAAGCGCTGTTTCTGATTGCGACCAATGGCACTCCACGGTTGAAGAATCCCAACAAGTTGAGCAGAGAGTTGAAAGCGTTCTTGAGCGTGTGTCTGTGTGTGGATGTGAGGAGTAGGGCGAGTGCGGATGAATTATTGAGGAACGAGTTCATGAAGATGGGCTGTAGTCTAGCGAGTCTGAGTGAGTTGTTGAAGTGGAGGGAGAAGGGGAGGCAATGAGCTGATTGATGGTCAATGCCCTTGTTGTCGATGTCGCGTGATGTTGATGACGAGCATGACGATCTTTGCCGTCTGTTGATGTTGATGATGATGAAGGATGGCATCTTGTTGACGAAAGCTTTCGGGTTGGATGAGATCAAAACTTTGATGAGAGCATGGCGACGACTGGCGTAGCGAGCGAATGCTGCGTACTCCAACTGAGGAGGACTTCACCTGTGGGCAGCAATTTGATCGGAAGGCCGATGATTTGAGATGTCTGAAAATGAAAAGATGTCTCTCTCTTGTGCACACCCACTCTTCACATTATCGACACGTCTGTTGTAGACCGAATGCCTATCCACCTGAGACCGTGATAAGGTACGAACATCATGCTGAAGTCCGCGGGTGCAGCACAAAGCCCAAGACTGCTGTGTCCAGCATACGTTCAGCTCGCCTCGGCAGGCCGGCTTTGAGCGTGCCCCAAGCTTGTAGTCGTGCCAGTTCACCCGCCAACGATGGACCGGCCCACGACAGACATCTGTAAAATCTACGGCCTCCCTATTTGGCCTACAGCAATCAAAGTCTGACGCTTGACTTTCGACACTGCAGCCCCGATATACCTCTCCGTACCCAGCATTCCTGTGCTTCCCTCCATTCATCAGCGCAGCCCACCCAGCCAACTCCCCCTCCCCCTAACGACCCACCGCACCCCATTCCTCCCAGTCCATGTCGCAAGCGCTCCAACAACTACATTCTCGTCCTGTGAGGGAACCCTGATCCAGCAGTCGGTGTCTTCGCTGCTGTCCGCGTTCGAGTCGCCATCATTATTGGCGGCAGCAGGGGAAGGAGGCCAGGCCTTGGTAGCAGGTGGACCGGTCCTGAGGACATCGACATTGACAGCGGCGCCGTGCAGGCCGAGATGGGCGGTGAGGGCGGCGTGGATGTGTTGGCGGGCTGTGAGGGCGTCTAGTGGTTGTGGTGCATTGGATTCAGGTTGGAGGAGGGTGAGGTGGAGGTAGGTGTAGGGTGGGTGGCGGAATGTGCGTGTTGTTGTGGATGAGTCAGTCAATGGGTGAGGTCTGGACTGGGTGGTGGTCGTGACGTCCGTGACGGTGTTCGAGTGATTCTCTGTTGCAGGCATCTTGCGGAGGAATGGCTGGGATGACACAAAAGAAGTCGTTGGCAACAGGCTCTGTGTGAGGTTCGACGATTATATTCTGCTCTTAGGAGTAGAATTGACTGATCTGACTCAACGCCCCAGTTGTGCTCCAGACTGTCCCTGCTGTGAAGGTAAGTATGCTGTACTACTGCTGTAGTTACCCATCATGTCTGCGTCTAGTAGTGCTCGAACTCGCTTGCAGTGAAGCAACCCGTGGGTGACAGTCAATTGGCTCTGTGAAAGGTTCTGCCGTCTTGTCGTCCGGCGCGAGATAAGTCGTTGCGAGTTTTTGTCAATCGGTCTGAGCTACAATTCTAGTCACCCGGTCTTGGATAGAGCGACACGTCATCCGGCGGCTGCATTCCATATTCGTCCAGTCCGACTGCACGGCAGAAGTCAACAGCAGTCTCTGGTCTACATCAATCGGCCCTTGGTGTTCTCAAGCCGTCGACGGGGCTCTTTGATCTATACAACTTCGAACCCTCCTCTGCAACACTCTGCATGATGGTAGCCGTAGATTGAAGCCGCCAAGCTCCAGACATGGCGCGTAACCAAGCTTTCGCGCCGAGTCGCGAACCCTTCCAGCAGGAAACGACGGCTGACTTACAACTACAACATTCAAAGATACAAGGCCCATTTTCCTTCCTCAACCCGACACGCGCGTTATACAGGTTGTCTGGCGCGCAGCAATCAGCTGCTAGCAATGGTAAAGCTGAAGTCGGGAAGCAGGGCGGCTCCGAGCATCATGGCGTCCACTTCCTCTGGCGCTCCCGAGACAATAGGAAAGGGCGACATCCACTGGTCCTTACTCAATCCGCCAGCAGTACGGGACTGACTTTGCCGCGACGGACCAATCATCCCTCTGAAGTCCTGAAAGTTGTTAAGCGAATGTTCACGTACTACCCCGTCTGGGACATCTCCTGGCTTGTCGCCTACATCTTCACTTGGGGCTCGATAGTCTGGTGCATCAACGGCTTCTTCTCTTTCCTGCCGCTCATCCGTCCCTCGTCTGAATTCGGCGGCGAAGTACTCTATGGCGGTGGGATCACGGCATTCATCGGCGCAGTCCTGTTCTTCGAGATTGGCAGTATCCTTCTTATGTTCGAAGCTGTCAATGAGAACAGCGCTGGGTGTTTTGGGTGGGCCGTGGAGGATCTAGCCGGTGATCACGCGGCTGACACCAAAGGAAGTGCTTCCCAACTAGTCCCATCCACGAAGCATTGCACGCATCACCATCCGAATCGCGCCAACCTGGTCGGGCAAAGCTCTAAGCACGCCGATATGAGAGAAGGCAAGACATGGCAATGGTGGCCAACCGGAAGCGCCCTCAAGACTCACTACTTCCACGAGCTGGGCTTCCTCGCGAGCTTCTCCCAGTTCTGCGGCGCCACGATCTTCAGCATTGCCGGCGTTACAGCTTTACCAGGCATTATCGACCATATGTCGCAGGGCTTGACGGATGGTATATACTGGGCGCCGCAGGTTGTTGGCGGGTCGGGCTTTATTGTTTCTGGGACGCTGTATATGTTGGAGACGCAGAAGAATTGGTATACTCCGAGTTTTGGGGTGTTGGGCTGGCATATTGCGTTTTGGAACTTGATTGGTGGGGTTGGGTTTACGTTGTGTGGTGCGCTGGGGTTCGCGGCGGGAAGTACGGGGGCACAGTACCAGGCTAGTTGCTCGACTTTCTGGGGCAGTTTCGTAAGTCATTGAGTGCTCTTGCGTAGGATGAAGCTGACCATTCACTAGGCTTTCCTGATTGGGAGCGTTTTGCAGCTGTATGAGAGCTTGCAAAAGAACCCTGTCGAGGTGTCGAAAGACGGCCCATAGACAAGATGTGATCCATACTTGGCCTTTGTTGTCCCGCGTTAAGCTGAACCTATCTAGTACGGTCAAAGGTCATCCTCATTCCGGCCCTGCAGTCAGATTGCAAGTGACGTACAAGAGGCGCGAAAGTCAGACATCACTGATACGTTGAAGCGTACACAAGGCCGCAGCTGAGTCACAGTGATCTAGAGACCAGTGCATACCTGTTGGCCGAGTCAGTGAAGTGACTGTCCCGGTCAGCCTCGGACCCGTGCTATTCTTCGAATGGTATAAGTAGTGCTCGTCCTCACGACTTCGTCCTCTTCTCTTCCGTCACATTGAGACTTGCCATCCAGAAGAACTCGTGGTTGTCATACCTCGGTACCAGTACCTACTGCTGCCTGGTGGGACGAGCGTCCCCGTGACATGGGCCTCGTTTTTGTGCGGTACGCTTCAGAAAGGACAGGCAGCTTTGCTCTCATATTCATATCGTCATCTCATTACCTACATTATTGACCACTCAGATCGACCTAGTAACTACTATCCTCCATCGTCGTAAACGGCCCGACCGTACTCAAGCTCGGAATCCTGCCCAACAGATACTCCACGTGCCTATACGCAGCACTCGGCGCATACTGCGGAACCATATGTCCACTCAAGTCGATCGTCACCAGCGTCAGACCTCTTTCAGTATGTGTCTGACCCATCACACCTGCTCCAGCGAGCGTGCCCGCGGCTGTCGGGTCATCATAATTGTTCTCATGGTACGGCACGTAGAAATCGTCCCACTCGCTTGGCGCGGTAGAGAAGCCTTGGGCGCCGTTCCATGTCATGTTCTGGACTGCCACAAGAGTTCCGTTCCAGATGAGGATCATGTCGAGTAAGCCGTGGCCGATTACGACACGGTCTGCGGCTTCGATGACACCGGGGAGGACGCTCAGGGCCGAAGGTGGTGAGTTGTCTGTGCCGTTGACGAAGACGTCGATCGAGGTGCATTCCATCCATTCTTGGACTGGGGCGTTAATCGCCTCCTGAACTGCGGTGATGTTGAAGTAGATGTCTGTGCCTTCGGGCAGGTATTCGAAACTGCCTGGGAACCCGAGCACATCCCATAGAACTGGGCAGGTCGTGGCCACCTGGTAGATGTCGAAACAAGGATTGACGAGGAGGACAGCGTTGAATACAGCGTCGAAGAGATCGCACGTGTCGTTGTCATTCGCTACGTTGGGTGGAGATGGCAAAATGCCTTTTGGTGGGTAGACCAAAGCCTCTTCTAGGAACTGAGTGTACCCACACTCGTCGGCCGTTGTGTGAAGGTATTCCACGAATGACGCGTTTAGGTTGAACAAGGGACCCCAGAAGTCGACCAACGGTACGGTCGGGATTGACTGCTGTACCACGTCATATGACAGACTCGGGTCATAGATGAGCAAGCTGCTGAAGTTGTAGTAGGTGGTGTCGTTGCTCTCGATCATAGCATTGGCGATATAGGGAACACTGTAAGTGGTCAGTAAGCTGTATGTAACGGGACAGTCCAGAACTCTTACTAGTAACCGGCATACGACTCGCCCGCGATGTAGACGGTGTAGTTCTGCATGGCGAAGGTATCGACGAAGTTCTTGAAGAAGCCGAGGAATTGGTCGGCGACATCGGTCTCGGATGTCGCTGTTGGTTCGCCTTGCGAGAAGCCGGTACCGACGGGCTGTTCAACCTGGAAGTGGGTTAGAAACAGGTAAGTTGAAAGTGCTAATGGTAGATCATACCCAGACCATGTTCGTCAGATTGACCCATGTCCACGGATTTGGGACTGGCTTGTAGGTCCCGTACTTAGGAATGCGGTCAGTAGCTGTGGGCTGTAGGAGTGCAGGAAGGTCTTACCTGCCACAGGAAAGGGCCGTTCTCTTGCAGGAAGCCTTCCAGTGACGAGCAGCCAGGACCGCCGTTCAGCCAGATGAGGATCTCTTTCTCAGCGGCCGGATTTTCTGATGGGAAGAACCAGAAATATAGCTCCGAAGCATTCTTCTCGTCCGAGATTGGCATCAAACCAGCATAGGACTCGCCAATGTCAAAGTCGACGCTTGGGATCGCGCCTGCCGTGCCATTGACGACGTATTCTGACTGTGTCAGCTCGAGCCATCACCACTGCATTGGCAGGCACTCACTCTCGGTCTCCGCCGTAGCATACTTGGACGTCGCTCTCTTCTCTATCTTTGGACCTGCTGGAAGAGGTTGACGAGGCACAGACCGCGGTTTCTGTGCGAGCTTTTTGCCTGCTGAGCCAACATGTTGTGGGCTTCGGCCTGCTGCCACGAGTCCGATGGCCGCCAGAAGCGATAGGGTCCAAGAGAGCTTCATGTCGTTCGTTGTCGCAATAAGAATAAGCGGGATTGCAGTTCGCACAGACGCGTTGCGAGCAGCCGAACTTTTTATCAGAGCTCTTTGTCGGCCATGACCGCACCTACCTCATAGCTCGCTCGCGTACCTACCTTCCATTCGAAGTCTATGCAAGAGCTACCAAGCGCTCGTGGCAAGTGCAACCCACAAATGCAGGCACGGAGCCAGTTGAGTGTTGCGATCTGGCTCGATGACCATGTTGGTGGATCCAACCTTGACGCGGAAAGCCATGACTTCAGCGATATGGTTAGGGATTCATTGAAAAGTGAGAGTCTAAGGTGACATCGAGAGGCCTTAGGCTACCTTTTCAGCACACTTGCTGAAGCTTGACGGCTCGATGCTAGCCCATGAGAGAAATACCTTAACGAAAGAAGCATGAATGATGGAAAGGTTGGCGAGCTTGCGTGGGGTTCAAGCGTTTTCGAGAAGCAGGACGTACCTTCGTATTGGTGACGTCCGATTGGGTGGTATTCCTTATCGGTGATTCGCCTCCATACTACGTAAGTATAGCGATCACTGACCAGGTATCGACTAACGTAGTGAGTCGACAGCTTCTGAGATTCATGGTCGAGCGCGCGCTGCAACAAGAGTACTTCCGCACGTCATGGCTGAAGACGCGACAAACATTCCCGATAGATTATGGTAAACGGAGGGCAAAGGCAAGGAAAGATCGCGAGCAGAACGCCACATCGCCACCCCTGCAACCCTACCGTTGTGGGGAAGCTTGATTGGCGCCCCAGACCAGAAGAGGCAGGTAGACGGCAAGCTCGCGTGCTCGTACAGATGCTCGCAATGATGCCTGTACGATAGACGGGAAGAGAGCTTGGTTTTCATAAGCTCATATCGTGACAATCGCCGCCAGCGGGAGCACGTAGGAAGGGTTCCGTCGGGTCTCTTGTACTGCGGCATGGAACTAGTACCGAGGTAGCTTCGCATTGTCCTTCCTATTGATGCTGTGGCGCTACTTGCTCTGCCCACCACTAATGTCAAACAGCCAAATCACTCTCAGCAATCGAACTGTCCAAGTAGGTAGGTGTCCTTCCAAATTCGCGGCGGAAGCCTCTGCGACCCCAACCTTCCCACACCTTCCGCCCGAGTTACCTATCCTCGCGCACGTCTCACCATTCCTCACTCTCCACCGCCCCCTCCACCTCTCTCATCCACGCCTCTCTCCGCTTACAAAAGCCCTCATACCTTGGCCGCAACCTCTCGTCACTCTCACTTCCATCTATACTGCCCACCCCAATGATCACACTCCCCCTCATCTCCTCTATGCTATCCGGTACCGTCATGAACAGCGAACTCCCGCATTTTGTGCAGAACTGGCGGGTTCCATGACCCGGTTCGCCGAATGCGGTGATTGACGAGCCGATGGAGAGGCCAGCGATGGCAGGGAAGAGTTTGGGAGACGATTGGAGAGTTGTGATAGTGACTGACGAGGCGGGAAAGACGGCCATGTGGTGAAAGGAGGAGCCGGAGAATTGTCGGCAGTCTGTGCAGTGGCAAATGTAGCTCCTGGTAGGAAGGGCGGTGACGGCGAATGTGGTGAGGGCGCAAAAGCAGCGGCCAGTAAACAGCGGAGATGGTGCTTTTGGTGGGTAAGTTGGTGCAAGAGTCTCGGCGGACCGCCGCGAAGACGTGGATGGGGACGGCATCGCGCTTTGTGTTGGGTTAGTGGTCTCTTCGCTGGCTTCTTCCTGGTCAGATATATAATGAGTGCAAGGTAATTGAGCAGTGGATGTCTGGGAAGCTAATAGCTCGAGAAGCTCATATCTGAGTGCACTGGGATCAGGGAATCGCAGCAATCCGAGAGCGAGGCACGCCAACGAGCGACTGCAACAGCCCAACCACTCCGAAGCCGCCAGCTGCATGTTGCCTAGCTGTTGCCTGAATGTCGCATATTGAAAGTGGCCGATAGACGACGCTGCAACCTTCGCTGTTGAGAAGCCATCGCTCAAGGCGGGTATTCGACCTTGTGCTTAATCTCCGGCTGTCCAAGGGAAGACAAGAATCGATGCTGAGTCGTGGATGCCATTTAACGCGTCTCGGATTTAGGTGGATTTAGCCCGACGAGGCCTACCGTTAAGCGCGACGCGCCTCGTAACTTACAAAAAACGTCAGCTGTATCATCTTTGTTGCTTCGTCGAGACTCCGATATCTACCAAGGTACGGCCAATCGTCTCACATCGTGGTAGGCTTGTCTGGGCCATATCGCGACGCATCCGGAAGCTGGATCTGACTGCCATGCCGGAAAATCATGGATAACTGCATGGAGTCGTGGCCCGAACCACGGTGCCCACAGCAGGCAGCCCTTGCCTCGAGGCTACATTCCAGGTTGGCTATCAATGCCTTGAAAGGGGCTTGCACAGAATGCCTCACTCGTCTGTTGCGGAATCACAGCAATTGTTCACCTAATCTCGGGCGCAGGGCTTCTTGATCTTTCATAAATCGTTCGCGACATGTTCCCAATATTGTTGTCAGCACTTCCATTCGATGCTCGCGCCTTATCATAGAGCGTGTTACGGCAGCCGGTAAGCGCGACAGGACTATATGTATCCCAAACCAATGCTGTGCATGTTCGACTAGGTACCACCGTAAGTCGACTACTCGTCCTTCAATTCTTCTGCTTCTGTCTGTGACATAAAGTCGGGCGTCGCGATTCATCGTCGGAAAATCTCCCGCAATTGTACTGATGTTGGAAGCTCCGCGTGCTCATGCTGTGCCTCACCAGAGTGCGCCCCGTCATTCGGACGACATGACAGGCAAGCCATTCGCCGGCCGCGGAAAGATCGCCGTCCTTGGAATTTCTCTGTGTTCGGTCCTACTCCTTTGGTTCTGGACGTCTGGCGATCCCAGAATACTTTTGCACTCGGAGCGCCTGCCGAACGATAGTCTTTTCAGTGGCTCATTTCGACGATGGAGCTATCCAGCGGATGCAAATAATCTCCAGTTGACGTCCAGCCAGTGCGACCGTGCTTTTCCCGGCCTCTTCGTCGAGGTCGATCGAGCTGTTCTCGTGTGGAAGAACTCTCAAATTGACGAAGCAAAGCTTGACAAAATGGCAGCCAAGAACGGCTTTGTGCGCGCCATGATATATGACCAGAATCTCTAGTAAGTTTCCTGAAAGGACGACCTTGTCAAGAATACAGTCATCTGATCCCGTCCGATGCAAGTCTACGCACAACAGCAAAACTCGGTCAGAGTTTCGGCTAACCAGATCGTGCACAGTATTATTTCCAAGACTGGTGGTATCTATTCGCGAGAGTACGCCATACTACACGCCATCTACCGAAGCATCATCTCAGCACCCGAACGTCTTCCGAACATCGAATTTGCGTTTAACGTTGATGATGTTGTGGGTGATCCAGCACCCATCTGGGCTCTTGCTCGGCGCGCTGAGGATAAACACCTGTGGCTCATGCCAGACTTCGGATTCTTCTCCTGGCCTGAGACAAAGGTGGGTAGTTGGAATGAGGTGCAAAGCAAGATCATCTCCGACGAAGAGACTGCATTGTACGACTGGACCAGCAAGGTTCAGAAATTGTTCTGGCGCGGTGCAACCCTAGGACTGAGCATTCGTGAACGGCTGGTTGCTGTTACAGAGCAACAGACGACATGGGCTGACGTGAAAACTTTGACCTGGCGCGATCCAGACTCGATGGCGAACGATCTAAAGACGATGCCAGAGCATTGTCAGTACAAGTATCTCATGCATACGGAAGGTGTCTCCTACTCAGGTCGTCTCAAATACTTGCAAAGTTGTCGATCAGTCATCATCGCACATTCCCTGGAATGGATTCAACACCACCACCATCTGATGCATCATTCTGGTCCGCAACAGAACTATGTTCTTGTGCAGCGAGATCTTGAGGACCTCCACGTCAAAGTACTACAGCTTCAAGAGAACGATGAGGAGGCTCGAAGGATAGCGGACAGCAATGTCAAGACCTTCCGAGAACGTTACCTGACCCAATCAGCAGAGACGTGTTATTGGAGGAAGCTGATACATGGTTGGGCTAGTGTCAGTCATGAGCCACGGTTTCATGACGAGAAGAACGGAACAAAGGTCTGGCGTGGCCTCCCAATCGAGTCGTTCTTTCTGGAACGAAAGATGGAATGGGATCCCTACTAACGGCTTGGCTTGGCATATTCTCGGCTCGCGCTGCCGTGGTCGGCTCGACCTGACACTCAGTATAGACACCAGTAGACGTCAACCCCGGCGAGTCGGTCATTCTGAGCGTTGGCTCACGCAAGAGCTCCTGTAACCTTACATCGACTATCGTTCCTTGATTCCGTGTGGTACAGGTTGCTGAGTAGAGGCCGTTGTGCTGGGCATTGCCCGCCGGTAAGGCGCCGGCGGTTGGTGGTCGACTAGCGCCTTTCTCCGTCAGAGATCATCTGATAGTAGATAAAGACGCATTCCCTCGCTGGTGCTGCTCTTGCAGATGTTCGCGGTGTGAGGTGCGACGATGTGGGCACTGTTCACTTATGCATTTGTGTTCGTCTCCCTTCAGTACATCGTCCATGCGGTAGCCCCGCCACGAAGACGTCTGCATCAACTCTCAGAGCACTCCAAGTCCGACTATGACTGGAGCAGCATCACCGCATCGAAGGATCTTCGATGGCACAAATGCTATGAGGAATATCAATGTGCTCGACTGACGGTCCCACTGGACTGGACAAACAGCAGCAACGAGAATGAGGTGCATCTTGCTCTCGTGAAGCTATCCGCCAAAGTGGGCAATTCAGAACCCTCATTCGGCGGCTCAATCATCCTCAATCCTGGAGGTCCGTCCGGTTCCGGCACCGATGACATCCGATGGAATGGGCATGCCATCCAAAACATCGCCGATGGAGACAAGCACTTCGAGATCGTGAGCTTCGATCCGAGAGCCGTCCACCGGACCACGCCAACTCCGGCGTGCTTTGATAATGACGAAGCTCGTGATCGCTACAATGAGCTGAATGAACTCGCCGGCAGCCCTGGTGTTAGGTCATCACTGGACATCAAGTGGGCGCTTGCGCAAGGCTTCGGATTGTTGTGTGAAAACGCTACGCATGGCGTCTATCCAAATGGCGATAACATAAAGCAATTCTCTAGCACGGCTCTCGTGGCTCGAGACATGGTCCGGATCATTGATGCGATGGCCGAAGAGCGCAATCAGGCCGCGTCTGTAGGAACGGAATCTATCCAGAAGAATCTTGGAAGCTCGTCGCCGCCTCTCCTGAACTACTGGGGCTTTTCGTATGGCACTTATCTTGGCAACACCTTTGCAAGCATGTTCCCAGAACGAATCGGCCGCATGATACTCGATGGCAATGTCGACCCGGTGGACTACGCTGCAACCGGATGGAGCACGAATTTGAACGACAACAACCTTGTCTGGCGAACATTCTTCGAGTGGTGCTTCGATGCTGGCACAGCATGTGCTTTACATAGCCAGCAGTTCCAATCCGCTCTGAACATGCATGCAAAGGTGATCGATCTGTACGAAAGCATCCGACAAGACCCAGTCCCATATATCGACCAAGAGGGCAGAATCCACGTCCTCACCTACTTCAACCTTGAATTTACCATGCACCCCTATGCCTACAACCCATGGCACAGTTGGCCACGTCTAGCAACCAACATCGCCTCTCTGCTCTCCGGCGATCCGTTGCCTTTCCTCAACCTCACCCCTCCAGACCCATCCGACCCGCCTCCAGATACCGACAACGTCCATCACAAGGAAGACTCCAGCCCAGACCCGCGCTTCCTCAACCGCACAGACCCCTACCCACCATCCTACCCGCACGAGCTCGAAGCCGCTGTCTCCATCCTCTGCGGCGACGGAGACCCTCTAACCTCCGAAACCAAATCCGACTTCTCATCCTACCTCGACCACCTCGTCAATCAATCCGCCCTCATCGGCCCGACATGGGCTCAAATCACGCTTCCCTGCCGGCACTGGCCCTCGTCCCTTCGGCCTGCCGAGCGGAATCGCTTCACTGGCCCTTTCGGCAGCAAGCTTGCTGACTATGACAACGGTGCTCGTGCGAATGGATGGGCAAGGCCGCTGCTGTTCATCGGGAATACGGCTGATCCGGTGACGCCGCTAAAGAATGCGAGGAGCAACAGTGTGACGCATGAGGGGAGCAGGGTCTTGACGCTGAACTCGCCAGGGCATTGTAGTGGGCCGAATCAGCCCAGTCGATGTGTGTGGGAGGCGGAGAGGAGGTTCTACAATGATGGGGAGCTGCCGGATCAGGGGAAGGTTTGCGAGGTTGATTGGAAGCCTTGGGATCGGAAGATTGGAGGGTGACATTGTTACTGCGTGAAGCGTCCGTCTGATCAAGCCTTCAAAGAGATTGACGACCGTGTTTAGGGAAAGGCGGGTCAATTATACGTTAGGAGTTTCGGATAGGTTTTCAGTCTGTATTTCTTAGCGCCCGCATCACGCATCTGCGGCCCGTCGCTGTCCTGTAGTCATCTATACATGAGGCGAGCGGCTGTTAATTGGTAGATCTATCCTCAAGTTGTCCTCGCATGCGTTGTATAGCCAAGCCCGCATCATGCATGCCCTTAGTTTTCATGTACAGAGGACACTCGAAGCAGACGCGTGGCCTCCCTAACGGCAGGGGACTCCAGCACCTCCCCGTCAGCCACGGCGACACTCGTGGAACGCGCCTCAAGCCAACGATGCACATTCAAGTTCATGAATCCTTCAGTCGCTCCCATCCCGGAACTCTGACTGCGAACTTCAAGCTCGCTGTTGAACTCCCGATCGGCTGCAAGAACGTCATCTCCAAGCTCGGCGTCGTCCTCATCTCGGTTTCCACGCTGGCCACCACCGGCCTCGCCCGTGTCACCGTTCCCGCCCTCGGCCTCCTCCTCCACATCCAGCACCTCCCGCTCCGCCCTAGCAATCAACGCATCAGCATTGACACCCTCCGCCATACACTCCTCGTACAGCGCCACCTGTCGGCGATCCTCCCTCGCAATCGCCACATCCAACTCCCTCAACTCCGTCTCCATCGCCGCTTTCTCAGCCGCAATCTCCTGCTCGCGAGTCCTCAGCGCATCTCTCTGCTGCTGGAGCCCTTCGAAAAACCCTCGGAAGTCTTGCACACGTGCTTCGAGATTCTCCACGACGTTTGTGGGGAGAGGTGGGCTCGGTGGGCGGGGCTCGAAGGGGGTCGTTGCATCGACGAAGTGGTTGCTGAGTGGGGAGGAGCCTACCGAAGAGTAACTGTGACGATCGGGTGTGATGTTGCGTGCACGGTCTCGAGTCGTATCATGAAAGGCGACGTTGAAGGACGGTGGATTCCAATAGCCTGGAGGATTTGGACGTCGCCATGGAAGGGGTGGGGGCTGAATATTGGCGAGGCCGTTTGGAAAGGTAGAGTGGGCAACGTCCTGAGGAGTGCTGGAGGGCCGGTGGACTGCGCGGCGAAACGGATGAGGTCGGATCCGAGATGCTTGCTCGATTGGCACCTGAACTCCTGTATCATGACCAAGATGTACTGGACCTGGATGCGAGTCCGGCCGCTGAGCTCGAGTGTCATTGAAGAATGCATTGTTGGCAGTAGCGTTGGAGTCGCCACGGGTATGATGACCACGTGCAGTACCAAGTCCTCCACGACGGTTCACGTGTAGCACACGGCCTCGCGTTGAGGTTGACTCTGTTCCTAAGGTGGAAGGAAGCGGAACCTCTTGACGGTTACGGCCAGCCGGAGTGGGTGACTCTTGGTGTTGAGGAAGACCTCGCTTAGGGAAGCCAGGACTGAGGACCGAGATATTGCTGGACATGTCGGCCCATCTTCGTTCTTGAACTGGAATCTTCGTGCGAGTAGATTGTGGCGCTGCGGTCTGCTCAGATCCGGGCAATTCTGCTGGCTGTGCTGGTGCTGAAGCTTGAGATGCTGTCGAAGCAGGGACCTGAGCCAGTGCTTGAGGTTGCTGTAAGCCATGGTTTGCCCAGATCGGATGGAGTTCTGAGACAGTCGTTGATAGAGAGTCCCAGTTACGATGTCTATTCACGTTCAACGCTTGTGGTTGTGCCGCGTCTGCACCAGTTGGAGTAATTAGTGCATTGCCGGAAACAAGGACAGCATCAGTTGGAGTCTGTTCAGATTCCATGCCGCGTCTTCTCGGCATCACCAGCGGTGGTGGACGCTCATCGAAGGCTTCCGTCGATGTCTCTCTCCCCATGGCCGGTACGAGACTCTGGCTGAGCAGTGCGTTTGCAGTTGCAGCACGAATGTTGACGACTGCCTCCTCAAACGAAATCGCGCCTATCGTGAATAGCCTCTGCAGTTCTGGAGAACGAGGCGTTCGTGCAGGCACAACTGTAGATAGGTCGCTGGAAGGTGAAGAGGTATCGATCGACGAGCCTGGAATATCAGCAGCCACTGTCCCACGCGGTGGAAGCCGTGCGTCGACCCTCCGCAGACGCGGCCTCAGAATCGGCGAGTCCTGCAATGACTTAGGATGTCCACTCTTCAGGGACGAAGTGTCGGTGACGTCTGCGCGAGGCGACGAGGTTGAAGAAGAAGTTGCGGACGGAGGTCGTTCTGGTTGCCAAGGTGCATCATTACCATGATATAGGCCCTTGCTTCATCACTTGTCACCGCGGCAGCTTCACTCTTGGCGGGTGTTTCACGCCCTGGTGATGTGCTGCTGTTTGTGAAAGTCTCCCAGCTCGATGAACTGGAGTGCACAGTCATTCGGTCTGAATGCTCTGCAGGTATGTGACCAGGTTCTCGCCAATCTGGGGCTGGATCAGCACGATCATCCGCGGAGACAGTGATCGGTGATAGTGCATTGCCTGAGTGCTCGGTCGACTGTTGAAATGCAAGCCAAAGCATGCCTTCATTTGATGTTAGCAGAGAGCTGGCAGGCGAGAGGCGCTTAAGTGACGGCTCTGCAGCAGCCTCAATGAGATCACTCTGGGGCTGCTTTGTTGGACTGCAATTCGAAGACTCGCAACCCTCCACGACCGACTCGGCAACGACTTGTTCCGGAATCTGGACGTGCGCTTGATCTTGCACTTCGATCTCGACTTCGGCTTCGGGGTCTTCGTTCCTAGCTCTTCTCGTCAGCTTCGTTAACTTGTTCAGGACTCTGCGTGGGAGCGAAGCGGGCTTCAGCACATCGAGGAGAGACGCGTACGGACTGCTGTTCTGAGGCCGAGGACTTCTACTGTCGCGACCCAGGCGAGCCTTCGCCCTCATGCCTAGCTTGGTGAGCATTCTGTGTTCAGCCTGGTGATTCGTCTTTGTTTGCTTTGTTGGAATCAGGTTATGGAGATGCTGCAGGCATGAAACACAGCTTGGACTCGACGAAGTGGGGGATAGAGGACCAGGTCAAACTGCGACGATCCTACATAGACCTTGAAGCATCGAGTGTAGCCACGGTCATTGTGTGAGAATGTTTCGAGGTCGATTGTTCGTTACACGAGTCCATTGAGCGAGACCGGCTGATAGATGGAATCGCGAGCCACAGCCAACGAGAGGACAATGCACCCGACAAACAAAGCACTCAATAAAGAAAAGCCGGACAATAGGATGATGTATTGCTTCTACCTGTGGTGGGTAGACAGCGCGAGCAGTCTCGTCCTCCAGCCATGTAGCGTGTGCTGACCGATGTGTGACAGCAGACATGAAGCTGCTTTGTTGGACTGCACATGCTCGTTAGAAAGGCTCGGCAATGTTTCTCCGTATTGGGGGGGTATCATGGACTCACATGTGATCAACTGGAATGGCCTCTTGCCATTCTCCTCCCTATACCGGGACAATTGCGGAGCTTTGGTCGATCTCAAGCAGTGCAGTGTCCATGGCTTGACTCCCAGCCTGTAGCTGGGAATATCTGACTCGGGCTAGGTCCAATCTCTCTCTCAAGTGTTCAAGGTGTATCTCCTCACTGGAAATGGCTTGCTGAAGAACGTCGATCTCGAGTTGCATTGCGCGAACTTCCTGATGTGCTTGATAGACTCCTGCGGCCAGAGAAGTGTCTGCTGACATGAGAGTAGGCTGGAAGAAGAGGCGGTCTCGGAGATGATCAGTGTCGAGAGTGTGAGTGTAGAAGTTGCCAGCTCGTCTAAATCTCCAGGCATATGTTCGCCAATCTGGTCGCTTCGTAGCATCATGCGGAGGACTCAGTGACAGAGTGTGAGGAACGATAGTGGTTTGGCTATCATTCGAGACGATACGTCCGGCTTTGAGGTAGTGTAGGCTCTTAGACCGAGGGATGAGACGGGATCGTGGAAGAATCAAGGTTGTACCATAATCGCGGCCGAATATCTTTTCGTCTTGGGTGAATTGGGTGTCTGCCAAGCTGTAACTCGATGCTTGATATCTGGCCTGGAGAGTCTGAAATGATGACGGCTGCCGGACTGGTCTGTGAGCAACGTTGGACTCTTTGGCTGGGGCGTAGCGGGTGTCTTCTTGAGGTCTGCCTTCATCGCTTCTCTGCTCGTGCGACACGAAAAGACTGTTGAGCTTGGATATGGCTGTTCTCACACGCTTAAGCGGCATGATGACAAAGGGCCGAGGCAACCGCTGAGTGTCCGCCGTTGGACTTCGATAAAAGCCGTCGAAGCTGTAGAGTCAGTAGCAGCACGTCTCGACGTTAGCTTGTGGCGAAAGCTAGGGCTGGGTTGGCGGTGGGCACAAGCCTTCTTGCTCAGTCATCCGAGTAGCAGTAGAATTCAAGCAAACATTCGAAGACTGAATCAACAACATCGTTTCCCTGGTAATGTGGAATTGCCGTTTGCCATATGACATTGGCACTTGATAGCTAGTCACCTGCTCTTCTGTCGTCTTCATGGGTCAAGCCTCCAATGTAGTGAGTGTATCCGTTCGATAGCTACACGATCGAGCCATCATTTCGACCCGATCTGATTGCTTCATCGCATTAACTATAGCAAAGTCCTCCTCGTGGACAATGAGTATCAGCAAGTATTCGATGAGGTGATCGGTAGGTGACTGACGAGTAGGTCGTGCTAGAATTGACAAAGAAGCCTCGAATCCCATGGGCTTGGCAGGTGTGGAGTCAAGAAATGGCCCAAATTCGAGGCGTGTTGAAGCCACGGTTACCGCTCCGCTCGACCACAGTGAATGGGCACTGGAATTGACGACTAGCAGAATCAAAACGGCGGGACGACGAGACGGCATAATTTAGTAATGCTCACAAGACTTGCATTTCGGCGCTTCCAGTATCGTTCCGCATATTTATCACATGAGGCTTAACGACTGCACTCACTCACCACCTTCATTCATCCCACTCGTGATCGTCAACACTCGCTGTCTGGCTGTCTAGAAGTTGGATAGCTCCCAGGAAAACCATCGCACACCATTCAGATGGCTTCAGGTAAACGCTGCGTCATTCAGGTTGCCGAATCGTGTCCTGACTTGAGCAGGAGAATTCCTCAAGTCAGTGCCCCTGACCTGTCACGGTCATTCGCGACCAATCACCCATCTGCATTTCTCCTCCAGTGTCGAGGACGAGCAGTATTATCTTATCTCAGCAGCAAAGGGTAAGCAGCTTCCGCATTTCACGTTCGGCACTAACAAAAGCACAGACAACAATCCTCAACTACGAGATGGTGTGACCGGCGACTGGTGAGTTGGACAACTGCAAGCACTCACTCGACTAACCAGCCAGGATCGGGACATTCATCGGTCATAAGGGCGCATGTTGGTCCGCCAAACTGTCACCAGATGCTTCGTTAGCCGCTACTGGATCAGCAGATTTCACCTCGTGAGTGGTGCTTTAGGACTTCTCAAATCGTTGTTAACGTAAGGCAGTCGAGTGTGGGATACGCAGACAGGCGAATGTCTCAATATACTCACTCACCAGCACATCGTAAAAGCCGTTGCTTTTCCCATTCAACGCAGCCCTCAGGCTGTTGCCACTGGTGGGCAGGAGAAAAAGCTTCGAATTTGGGATCTTGCTCGTTCCAGCCCACGGACCACTAGCAGTGACGGCATCGTCGTACCGGAGACACTATCGGATGCCATCGAAATTGGTGCTGGAGATCACACTGCCAGTATCAAATCAATAGTCTGGAACGTCGACTATAATATTGTCACCACAGCTGCTGACGACAAGACCATCAGATGGTACGACTTGCGCGTATCGAATGCCATCAAAACATTCAAGACAGACAAGGACATCTTATCCTGCGAATTGAGTACGAACAGAGCTGATGATCCCGAGCCCGGCATACTGAGTGTAGCTGCTGGGCAGTCCGCATACTTTTTCGATGCGAACGACCCTGGACGCCTGCTCAAGAAGGCTGACTTCGATCATGACATTGCGAGCGTTGGCATACACCCGCTCAGCGGCCGTTTCGTCACTGGTGGCAAGAACGATACGTGGGTCCGGGTGTGGGACCTTGAACCTCAGACACTACTGGGTGAGTTCCCTCATACCGCCAAGCGAGCATCACTAATTGTCTAGACACTCTTAAGGGGCACCACGGTCCGATCTGGACGACGTCGTTCTCCCCGGACGGCAACATCTTCGCCACTGGCAGCGAAGATGGGACCATCAAACTGTGGAAAGCATGCAGCTCTCAGTACGGACTTTGGCACTGATAGCATACCATCTGAGACCATTTGCGCCCGTACAGATTGCCAGAGTCGCCCACAAATGCGCATTGCTAGACCTTCAGCACTACGCTGTCTACAAGGCCCTGGTCTTAGCACGAATCCTCGAGTTGATGTGTCCGGCGAACAACATCGAGGGACTTCGATGGTGCCACTGCTAAGACGGCGGCCGTGAGCCACCTTCTAAGGCTTGCGCACATTCTCAACAGGTCTTGAGGAACGGACGAAAATGTCGCGCCACGTGACAGCTCGCCAGCCTCAACGGCGGAATGACCGCAGAGGCAAGTACGAATTGTCGTCAGCGAGCAGAGCAACTCATAGCCACTCGCCTCAAAAAGCGCGGCAATGCTGCGCAGTATCAGAACGCTGCGTTGTGGTGAAAATTGATTATGTCCAGGTGGCTAGGTGGCTTTCAGGACGCTCTAGACGTGTCTCAGGCCTAGGACTTTTGGAAGATGTGATCATGTGGGCCGACCCAGAGAGAGCTGGAGCCGGGGCGGTCATGCCCGCATATCCTGGACACAAACAGGTGCTCTTGCAGTAGCTTGACGCCCGTCTCAGGAGAGGACCAGTCATGTTGGGCGCAAATCGATGGGGGCTCGACCCTGCATGCTCGCTTGGCATCTGCGACACTTGACCGCAACTTGTGAACTTTGTAGAGGACATCAAAAAATCGCACCATCTACCACCCCGCTCGCTTTTTGTTTGCCAGCACTGCTTCAATAGAACTGCATCGTGTACCTGCTTGCGGACCGTGTTGCGATCTTCAACCTGGATAGATGTCTGCATTGCTTGCCTAGTTCTTGCAGAGGGCTCCCCATGCCCGCCTCTATCTGCAATCACCTCCTCACTCGCTAGTCCATCCACTACCACAGCAGAATCCCACTCTACATTGTTACGAGTTTCATTTGGCGCAGGTCGCAGTCAGTCAACGATTTTCAGCAGTCGTAAATCATAGAGTCATTACAGCGTCATCTCACAACTTGTCGACTTCGGGCTGCGCCTCTATCCCTTCAGTCCACTCCAGCCATGCCTTCCCCAGCGATACCAGACCACGAGAAACAACAGCTGCTCAACGGTTCGAAAGAACACAGACCCCATGACGGACCGCCGCAGAAGATTGCGTTCCCTCGATGGCGAACGCGAGGGAAGCAAAAGAGCACTATCGCTGCAATCTGCTCATGGATAGTAGACCACCAGATCAGTGAGTCCATCCAAAACATCCCACCGTCCTACACCACCCACAACGATCATACTGACACCTCATCCACAGGCATCTCTCTGACGCTCCTCTCCCTCCTCTTCACCACCCACTTCACCTTCCCCTCCGCCCAACACCACACACGCAAATTCTTCCGCATCAGCTACTACAACCCCACCACGTCCCTCTACGCCCTCGGCTGGGACGACATCTGGTTCGTCTTCTACTGGATCATCGTCTGCACCGGCGCCCGCGTCATCACCATGGACTACCTCCTCACGCCCCTCGCCCGCCACATGGGCATCCACAAGAAGAAAGCCCAGATCCGCTTCGCCGAACAAGCATGGATGGCGCTCTGCTACGGCACGCTGTGGTGCTTCGGCATGCGCTTGCTGGTCCGCTCCGACTACTGGCTCGACCTGCGGGCGCTATGGCGGGACTGGCCCATTCGAGAAATGGACGGACTACACAAATGGTACTATTTAGTCGAATTCGCATTCTGGCTACAGCAGATCGTGGTCGTCAACATCGAAGAGCGGAGGAAAGACCACTGGCAGATGTTCACGCACCACCTGGTGACCTGCACGCTCATCTTCGCGAGCTACGGGTACCACCAATCACGCGTGGGCCATTTGTTTCTGGTTATCATGGACCCTAGCGACGTCCTCCTCTCCGGCGCAAAAGTTCTCAAATACCTCGGCTTCCAACTCCTCTGCGACGTGGCTTTTGGCCTCTTCATCGCCGTGTGGTTCGTCACGAGGCACATCGTCTACCTCATGGTCTGCTGGAGTATCTACGCGCATATCCCGCAGGAGATCCGATACGGGTGCTATAGAGGCGACATCACGAACTTACAAGGCCCGATGCCCGTGCCGAACGATTGGGAGCACCTGGTGCAGCCATTCAAAGACCCCGCGGGCCTGGTATGTTGGAACGATAACTTGAAGTGGACGTTCTTGGGCCTGTTGTTGATGTTGCATGTATTGATTGAGTTGTGGTTTATGCAGATTGTGAGGGTCGCTTACAAAGTACTCTCCGGACAAGGGGCGGAGGACACACGCTCAGATGACGAAGACGACACTGAAGAAGAGGAGGAAGGCGATATCACGACCGCGCAACTCGAGGCGCTGCCTACGGAGAAGCAGGGCTTGCCTACTACAACCGATGGGTCGTTTATCGAGAAGGACGTTCTTAGCACGGATCAGCATTTTACGGGCTCTGGGCGGACGTCGTCTACTCGGAGGAAGAAAGACGGTGGCGGCGGCCACTCAAGCAGTGTGAACTTGCTAGCGGGCTCGGACAGGAAGGAGCTGTTGGGGCGCATTGGTTGCGACAAGCCATCGGAATGATGCTTTTGTCTGCTGGAGCGAAAGCTGCAGCTTTTGTTGAATTGGAGTACACAACGAAGCGAACGAACAGCGAGCCTTACCCACACCTATTCCTCTCGAGGCCACAATTGGCAAGAACAAAAGTACACCGCACGTCGGAACGAATGATACCCATATCTTTACTCTCACATGCCTTCGGATCTCATGGGCGACCAGATGACATGAATGAGACCAAAGTATATTCTTGTCATCCAGCTCGATCTAAGCTTCGTTCCCACTAACGCGGCCCTTCCTACGGCTGTATAACTTCTATGAAAAGACATCTTCGAATGTCAAATAGAACTGAGCTGCAGGACTCCTCGTTGTCACCATTCGCGATCGCCGCTGCCGGTCGTCCCAATGCCCTGCAAGATTACAAATACAAGCCCTCCGGCTCACCCTCATTCTTCGTCTTCATGACGTTCTCCTTCGCACTCCTGAAATCGGCCATGTTGACCCTCATTCTCCGCTCGCGCAGCGCTCTCAGGCCCGCCTCAGAACAGATCGCCTTGATGTCGGCACCAGACAAGTCATCCTTTTGCGCGATGAACTCGTCCAGATCAACATCCTCGTTCAAGCTCATCTTGGATGTGTGTAGCGTGAAAATCTTCTTCTTGGTGTTCTGATCTGGATTCTCGAACAAGATCTTGCGGTCGATACGTCCCGGCCGGATGAGTGCAGGATCTAGTGTTTCGATCTTGTTCGTTGCCATAATGACTTTCACGTCGCCACGATCATCGAAGCCGTCAAGTTGGTTGAGGAGCTCCAGCATCGTGCGCTGGATTTCGCGTTCACCGCCGGAGGTGGATTCGTATCGTTTCGTGCCGATGGCATCGATTTCGTCGATGAAGACAATAGCTGGAGCATTTTCTGCAGCAACTTGGAAAAGCTGGCGTACGAGGCGAGGACCGTCGCCAAGGTATTTCTGAATGAGTTCGGAGCCGACTATGCGGAGGAAAGTGGCGGAGGTCTGGTTGGCAACGGCTTTGGCGAGGAGAGTTTTGCCCGTACCAGGAGCGCCGTAAAGGATGACACCTTTCGGTGGTTTGATACCCATCTCTTCGTACAATTCGGGATGTAGTAGGGGCAGTTCGACGGCTTCTCGGACTTCTTGTATCTGCTGTTCCAGACCTCCAATGTCGGCGTAGGACTCGGTGGGCGCCTTGTCGAGCTTCATGACGGAGACAAGAGGATCGGCATCATCGGTCAAGACTCCAACGACAGCCACAGACTTGTGATGCAGAAGTATAGATGCGCCGGGCTCGAGCAGGTCCTTGTCGACGAATGACATGATCGAAACGTAGTATTCGGGGCCTGTTGCGGATGAGACGATGGCGTGATCGTCATCGATCAGCTCCTCCAGATTGCCAACACCCATAGGACTTCCGCGCATGTCGTCTATGCGTCCGCGCTCGTCGGCATTGCGGTCGACCTGCTCGGCTTCATTGACACTCTGAGGTGCTTGTGTCTGTGCAGCTTTTGCCTTCCGCATCCGCTCCTGGTTTTCGACATACTCCTCTTCTAACAGCAGGTGATCATGTACTCTCTGCATCCGAAGATATCGCAGCTTGCATCGGGCGGTAGGATATATGGGTGGAAGCTTCGCGGCCGCATTTGGGCCTGCTTGCTTTCTCTTCTTGCGACCGATTCGGGTTGTTGGCTGTGGTGGCGGTTCATACTTGGGCTTGTCTTTCTGTTCCAGAGGTCAGAGATGCCGTTTATGAAGCGATCTGCTCGTCCATACCTTCTTGTCTTTCTCATTGTTGCCACCTTGTCCCGGCGGACCTCCGCCGAGATTAGATTGCTGGTTTCCCTGGGCTGTGTCAACAACATCCCGCGGAGGAGCCTACATGCGTATGCTTACCATTTACCTGACTGGACGATGAAGCGAACTAGTCTCTGACAGTAGCGAGAGTGATAGATGCACGGGCAGAAGGCTGATATGGGAAAGGGAGGAGTTGGATGGATAGATTGTGATAGATTGATTATTCAAGGCGAACGGAAGGTGACGATACACGACTCGCGCCTGACGAGGCTGTCGATCAGCCTTGTTGACGAACGGGCTTGAGTGCTCTCGTGCTCTTCTACGCGTGTGGCTTCATTCGTGAATTGAAGCAATTGCAACCTCGAACGCTCGAGCACCTTCCTTCGTTGTGGACCACACCTGGCGGTTCGCAGGCATATCATGTTCAAGTCGCAGGTAGGGCAGTATCGTGTTCTGAAATGCTACTGGTTCCTGCCGCTTCGGGGCGGCACTGCAGGCAGTTCCAGGCGCGAAACCCCACCTGCCAGCGGAATCTGGAAATGAGGCAAGAAGATACCTCATGCCTCTTACTTACTTGTTCCTCTACGTTGCGAATGTTCTCTAATCAGTAGCACCTCACTCATACTCTCTCATACTTGTCCGAAATATTCTGTATACTATCACTCGTTACAGACGTATTTGCGGTAACGATACGCCCACTCTGGTCGTGTACTCACTCTGCCGACTGTCTCACTGGCCCTGGTCTGCGAAGACTTCACCTGCGTATGGCACAGCCTTAGCGCTGCCTGGCTAGTACCTCGAACAACAGACGAGACACCATCGAGTGCGCCTGCAACGGGAGGCGCCCACTCCAACTCCAATCCGTACATCATGGCGTTCATCTTGGGGAGGAGAGTCACCAAGGAATTGAAAGACCTCGCCGATGACCCGGAAAGTGAGATTGAGTTAGAGTCACGCGGCGACAAGGTCTCCACGTTGACAGGAAGATTCAAGGGCCCTCCAGGCTCACCATACGAGGGCGGAAAATTCGAGGTCGATATCACACTGCCCAATGATTATCCCTTCAAGCCACCTGTAATGAGGATGGTGACACGAATATGGCATCCCAACATCTCAAGTCAGACGGTAAGTGTCTACAAATACTGACTGATGTCCATGTTCTGATTCGAGACAGGGCGCTATCTGCCTCGATACGCTGAAGTCCAGATGGTCACCAGTTCTAACGATGAAGACTGCACTCATCTCGATTCAGTCGCTGCTCGCCTCACCAGAACCAAAAGATCCTCAAGACGCTCAGGTTGCCAGACAGATGATGACAGACCCCAAGGCGTTTGATTTGGAGGCCAGGCGATGGGCGGTTAAATACGCCGGATCACCCGCATCGCTGCTCGGCAATCAGAATGGCGGATCTTCTGCAAATGCTCAAGGCGATTCAGGCAGCCTGTCAGTGGAGGCTGACCCAAATGAGGGCTATGGCGGATACAGCAGAGCCCTTGTAGATCGATTTGTGCAAATGGGCTTCGACCGCGATCGAGTCGTGGAAGCCTTCGACCATTTTGGCCTTGACCGGAATGAAGGGAACGACTACGAGCTTGAGGAAGAGCGTTCGGAGGACATCACATCTCGATTGCTTGGAGACTCATAGCATATCGTCACAGCATGGGATGCTGCCGAAGTCACACGCATGATGAATGACCTCCAAATCAGAGGTCCCTTGTGACAGTGCCTAGTAGGTAGCCAGTGTGTAGGTATAAAACCCAAATCGGCCTGCAGAAGTGGCCTATTGCACGCGGGAATGCTTCACTTTTGGCTTCCTTCACAGATGTTACCAACCTCTTTAGATAGTAATTTCGACTTCTAAATGACATTCGTAGCAGAACACTTCCTGGTGGATCGACATGCAACTTGAAAGTCATGTGCCGCGCCTTGATGTACTAAACCCCACGACCTGAATCCACAGGATCAATTCACATGCCAGTGCTACATCCGCACTTAGCCCAATTATCACCCTCTCACCACAATGATCGAAGACGAGCTCTACCGCTCCTCAACCCAATACCGGAAATGGTCCTTCACGCCCGCCCAACTCGCAGAGCAGCGCAAGGAGACCAACGAGTATGCTGCCGCGAAGGTGCGCGCGGCGTTTCAGCGGGCGAGGGCATCGACCACAAGTGCCAAGGAGAACGGCGATGAGGCGACTGCAGATGCGGATATGGAGACGCTGACGGTGGAGGAGGAGCTGACGATTGTGAATTGGGGATGTGGGAAGATCGAGGAGATGGGGACGGCGTTGAGGCTGCCGAAGGGGTTGATTGTGAGTATCATTCACCGTCGTTATTTGGCTGCGGTTCTTCCGCACGCCGGTCTGTTCAGTCACTTCTGCTACGAGTACTATTACCGGATACACTCTACAATCGCACGCAGATGGACCTCACAGCATCCATACACCCTACATAAACAAAAGTCTTCCATTGCTAACCACCTCCCTCACCAACCTAGGCCACAGCAATGCAGTACCTCCGCCGCTTCTACCTCACCAACAGCCCCATGACCTACCACCCCAAATCCATTACGGCATGCACGCTCTTCATCGCCACAAAGTCCTCCCACTTTTTCATAAAACCCATCAATTTCATCGAGAACCTTAACGGCATCACGGTCGACGACCTCAAAGCCCCGGAGTTCTTGGTGTTACAGGGTTTGCAGTTCACGCTGGATGTGCGGCATCCATTCATGGGGCTAGATGGCGGATGGGTTGAGATTAGGGAAATGATTGAGGAGGGGAGGTTGTCAGGGGGTCGGGGCGAGGAGGTGGATGAGAAGAGGGCCCTGGAGGCGGTAAGGCATGCGAAAGGGTTGTTGAGGAGGGAGGCGCAGATGACGGACGTGTACTTTTTGTATACGCCGAGCCAGATCTGGTTGGGGGCGTTGTGGGCTGTGGATCAGGAGTTGGCGGAGATGTACTTGGAGGCTAAGTTAGGGGATGTGTTCTCGAGCTCAGCTGGTAACAATGGTAGCGTAGAGGGCGCGGACGCTATGGAGTCGAAGTCTGCTACCACACCCAACAGCCTCACGCCACAACAAGCCGACGCGATGAAGCAAAAGATTCTGCACACGATCCAGCAATGTGCGGAAATGCTCAAGTCGTGGAAGTCGCCGGAAGATGACAAGAAGGAGCGTAAGGAGCTCGGGCGCATCGGCAAGAAGCTGATGAAGTGTCAAGATCCAGAGAAGGCGGATATTGTGGCAGTGGCGAGAACCAAGATGGCGGAGAAGCGAGAAGGGAGTGAGAGTGAGCGGGAGGAGAAGGCGAAGAAGCGTAAGCTGGAGCAGGAGATGGTGAAGAGGGATGCGGATGTCTTTGGTGGGGATTTGAGGGAGGTGGGCGGGAAGGGGGCGAATGGGGCATGATGGGTTGCTCTGGATGGCAGTGAGAACACTACGAGACGACCGTAGAAGTCACAACGAAGTAATAGTCACGATGGAAGTATGGAAGTGGTCATATTGATTGGAGTATGCTCGCCTGATGGCTCTGCGATGAGAGGACTATGGTCACAACGACCAATAACGCCACCTGTTTCCTTCACCGATGCAGTCCACCAACGCCTACGCTAAAAGCAATCGAATTCCACCAAGGAGACTCCTAAAGTTGGTTCCGAGAGCGCCTCTAGTCTAGCGCAAACCGATGCGCCGACTTTTCACCAGCATAGGTGTTGGGATAAGCACCCTTCTTGGGCTCCACAAAGTTCAACTGCAGGGGCTTCTCATGAGGAGAACGCTGTTGCTGATGGTACTCGAGTTGAGGATATGAGTTGTAGTAAGAGTCTGCTGAGCCGGGCGATCGGCTCTGAGTCTGAGACTGGTAATAAGGGAATTTCTCCTGGTGTTGTTGTGGCACCTGGACAGGTGGAGGACTGGAACTCTGATTCTGCTGCTTCTGATGTTTGCGCTCGTTCAGCTTCTTGCCTGCGAAGACACCGGCGCCAACGAGGAGACCAGCCTTAATGAGACCCATGGTTTTTGTGGTGGTAGACGAGGTTATGGAGGGGTTGTGTAGGTTGGTTGTGTAGGTTGGTTGCTTGGTAGTTTGGGTTGGTGTGCTGGACCTATCTTGCTCGGAGGTCTCCACGACTCACCTTATATACCACGTTCAAGTCAACCATCAATTGTGGTGCCTGTACATTACGTTGATGCGGTCGACGAGGCACTGTGGATGTACGAGGCCGAGCCTCACACGCCAGACGCGGAGATTCCATGGATTGGGGGCCTCAAGTTCGCGAAGTGGAGACCCGAGCAGATCTCGGGGGATGGTGCCTACCCAAGCCACCCTTCAATTGGCAGTCGCAGAACCCGTTGAGCGGTCCGTCCAGCACACGTGTATGGTGGCTAGGAGCTTGATCACTTCCTGTGCACATGCTGTCGGGATGTCTGATATGATTCGTAATGCAGGTACAACACGTCAAGCGATTCGGCTGACGGTCAGCATCAACGGATATTCGTGACCCAGGGAGAGCCTACCCTGGAGGACATGTTCCATTCTCTCGACCTCACCGGGAAGGACAACTCGCACTTACCAGCCAAGCGACCAGCTTGAGGCTCGAAGGCTTGTCGACAATGCAAAAGACGACGACGCGGGGCAGCGTACGCTCTTGCATGCACAGCTTGCAGATCACGGTGAAAATAGAAAAGAAGCCAGAGAGGGCACAGCCTGGGGCAGAGCAGAATTGGAGCCCATAGGCGCCGGAGATAACCAGAGTTTTAGGCAACTCGATTTACCAAAGTTCCTCCTCCACGTTGAGTGCGATTGACGTCAATCATGAACGCGTCTTATTCTGTACGCGTATAATGGATTTTCTACCCGAATGCGAAGTTTCGAAGGACCATATTGGATGGACTCGAGGTCAGTCTCAATGATGCAATATGGATAGGTGGGCTCGAGTCATCGGTGCCGACCTCGACGCGCTGCGATGTCTTCGCCGCAACCATTCGTGCTGTCCTCGCCCACAGGCGGCCGAAGACGGAAGTCCAAGTTCACCTACAAGCAGCTCAACCTACTGGCACAGTCGTCGGTGAATTGTCCTCTGCGTGTGATTGCACTCATCGACTACGATGCCTTCTACGCGCAATGCGAATCGGTGCGACTGGGCTTGCCGGATGATCAGCCACTAGGAGTCCAGCAATGGCAGGGACTGATCGCTATCAATTATCCAGCGCGAGCCTTCGGCCTCAATCGCCATGTGACACCCAAGGAAGCACGCGAGAAGTGTCCCAACATTACCTTCCAGCATGTCGCAACCTGGAGAGAAGGCGACGATAAATGGGCATATCGAGAAGGAGCCGACAAGCACATCTCGACTGACAAAGTCAGCTTAGATCCCTACAGGCTCGAATCGCGGAAGAGTCTTGCGTTGATTAAGGAAATTTTGCCCGCGGCCCCGATCCAGAAAGTTGAGAAGGCATCAATAGATGAAGTCTTCCTTGATCTTTCGGCGCAAATCTACTCGATTTTGGTCACCAGATATCCCGAACTCAAGGTTGCGCCGTACGATGACCCAACCGAGAAGCTGCCCTTTCCTCCATCCACTGCGCTGGACTGGGAAGCCGATGCTCTGATTGACCTTGACATCAATCAGACTGAGGATGATGACCCGGATTGGGATGATGTCTGCATCAACATCGGCGCAAGCATTGTGCGTGACGTGCGAAAGACGATTCTCGAAAGGCTTCACTACACAACTTCTGCAGGTATAGCTCGGAACAAGATGATGGCGAAGTTGGGCGCAGGCTATCGAAAACCCAACCAGCAGACTATCGTGCGGAATCGTGCCATCCAGCAATTCCTTTCAGACTTCAAGTTCACGAAGATCAGGAATCTGGGAGGCAAACTAGGGGACCAGGTAGTAGAAACGTTCAACACAGATTCGGTGGTCGAACTGCTCGAGATACCGCTCGAGACCTTCAAATCCAAGCTAGGAGATGACACTGGAACCTGGCTACACGAGATCATCCGCGGCGAAGATACCTCAGAGGTCAACTCACGAACACAAATCAAGAGCATGCTGTCAGCAAAGTCATTCCGACCCTCTATCAACAGCTTCGAGCAAGCTGTGAAGTGGCTGCGAATCTTCGTGTCCGACATCTACGCCCGTTTGGTCGAGGAGGGCGTCACAGAGAACAAGCGGCGGCCAAAGACGATGAATTTGCACCACCGCCAGGGTGGCACAACGCGAAGCCGCCAGATTCCGATACCAATGGGCAAGAAGATAGATGACACTATGCTCTTCGACCTCTCGAAAACCTTGCTCGGTCAGGTAATCGTCGATGGCAGGGCCTGGCCGTGCGCGAACCTGAGTCTTAGTGTTGGTGGCTTCGAGGAGGGCGTTCAAGGCAATCGTGGCATTGGAAGCTTCTTGGTGAAGGGCGAGGAAGCCAAAGCACTGGAAGCTGAGAGATCAAACAGTGCTACACCGGTTCCGGCAGATGATGGTGACAGACCAGCAAAGAAGAGAAGGACAGGCGAGACAGACCTTGGGAGGTTCTTTGCGAAGAGCGAAAGCCGTGATGATGAGGAAGTAGTCGACAACGATGCACACCTCAATGCTGAAGAGCCCCAGATATCTGGTGACGAAGCCGCGGCCCAACACGTCCCACTGTCGACACCACCATTGCACCAAGCAGATATCGCGACCTACTTCTGTAAGGAATGCAACAAGCGCATCGAGGTGAGTGGGCGGGAGGAACATCAGGACTGGCACTTCGCGAAGTCATTGGCAGCACAAGATGCACCAGGCCCGTCAATACCGCGACCACAAGCCAATAGCAGGCCTCCAGGTGCTCCGAGTAATGCACACAAAACGAGCCGTGGAGGAGCGTCGGTGGCCAGCAGAGGTCGAGGCGCGTTGAAGACGGCAAAGGCTGAGAAAGGTCAGAAACCTGAGAAAGGTCAGAAACGGCTGGCTTTTGGATGACAGTGACTTCAGTTTGGATACACTCGCAACTCATGCAGCCCTGATCGCTCGATCTGGCAGGTAATAGTCCATCTCTCGCCACATCCACACTAAACCGATAGGACAATACACGAAGGGCACAATAGCATGCCTCAGCGCAATTGTGCGATACACAAAGACTTCAGTACCGAAGAGCCATAGGACACCCACAAAAGTCTAGTGCATCTGTCAGAGGGAACATGTACGAGGAGACTGCTCCCTCGCCCGACTTCCTTAGCAATACGTACCCACATGGTCAAGAAGTACGTCGCTTGGTTATGGTTCTGGAGCTCGTATGCGGCATACAGTCTGATCATCACCGTGTAAAAGTTCTTGACACCATACACGTGTGCCCAAGCCTGCGCCCTAGGCGGTGCTTTGGGGCCGGTGAAAGTGATCAAGGCCTTTATCGGTATCAGATAGCAGCTGATGGAATGCATGCCGCCAGCGATGATGGCCTGTACTTATATTAAATCCCATACTATTAATTTTCGTTGGATGTGCGGCAGTTGGCTTACATAGAGCAGGAACCACTTGAGGTACCCCTCGCCTTGAGGCAGGTACTTTGACACTGGCATCCGGATCGCTCCTGCTGTTGTCGTTCTTCTCTCAAATGTTTTACGAATTATTTTTGTAACGAGATGAATAACAACATTTGATGCTGTTGAGCTGTTCACAGTCCAGGACAACCTCTACTTGGTTTCGTGTGCACAGCATTTCAGGCGTCCACCGCTTTCTCGCGACGGGCAAGTCTTCTGCGACCCCCGTCGCACGCGCCCTGTCGGCGACTCTGCTTCCGCGATGCGACGAGGCAGATGGTGGATGCATACAGTGCCCTCACAGTTTACAAAGAGTCTGTCCAGACTTCATCAGTCCCTTACGTCGGAACGCCTACAAGCACTTGCGGTGTCAGAAACGCCAGAGCGCCACTGCGAATGGCCAAGTACACGTTTGAAAGCGTGGCGCCTTGTTCGACGTCAACGAAACGAATTCATCTACATGAGCCTCCGATTCGGAGGGCTCAAGCATGCTCCAGATCTCGCCCATCCACTCTGCCCACGGGGGACATGCTAAGCCCTTGACATCTGCACAGAATGCACTAATTTGAAGTCCTAATGGGCTCCCAGAGAGAAGGTAGCGAGTCAGTGCAGGTCCTGCTCAGGACACTAAGCCTATTCGTTCGCCCGGGCGCATCGGAGTGGCCGCTCATGGAAATGTCCTTCCAGGCGTCGAAATGAAGGAAAACCGTCCAAGATCTCCATTCCCGAGGGACACCCCGGCTATAACCGAGACACCGCCGGAAGTTGGGGAAACCCACTGCCAAGTTATGTGCCAAGTTGTTCCTCCAGATTCTGCTCTTCATGTACTCCGCCTTGGGGTCAACCGCCAACAAATAGTGCAGCGGCGATTGGCAGGAGCATGCCCAGCAGTTTGAAGTTGATCTCGAGCCGAGTCTTGCTCTGGTCCATCTTTTTCACTCTCCTATCCTGAATCAGTGCCTCTGTACGGTCCCCTATGCCATTCAACAGCGGCACAGGCACGATCGATCTCGATTCCGGGGCCTCTTCCGATCTTAATCAGCATGCAGCCACAGCGAGTTCCTATCTCGATGGACGGGCAAGCGAACCAATCTTGGGGACACCCCGTCCCCGCCACCAAGCATTGGCAAGCTCCAGCTTGCCCAGACTCTTTGGGGTAGTAACCTACTCCAGACAATGGCCGATCGGCAATAACTCTTGCTGGACCGAGTCAGTGCATGGCATACACTATGTCATTTGGATATAAAGAGGAAAGAACAGCAGGGTCTGCTATTTGTTTTCCTCGCTTCGGAGGACTCTTGTTGCCTTCTCTTCTAGTCTCTTCCTTGGTCACTCGGAAAGGCACGTCTTACCACTCCTTGCAAGATGGCTTCAGAGAGAGTCACTGCTCAGCCGGTGCCAGCAGCAGTCAACACGATGCCTGTGCATGATGCCAAAGATGAAATCACGACTACCCTGGCCAAGTCCGACTCTGATTACGACCATCTCGAGGAGGGCAAGTCCGGCAAGTACGAAGAGTACTACAGCGCCGGTCTGAACGAAGAGGAATCCCGCTTCATGGCCGGCTTCACCCCAGCACAGGAGAAGAAGATCTTCCGCAAAATCGACTTTCGTGTCGTTCCGATGTTAGCTATGCTTTACCTAATCTCTCATTTGGACCGTGCGAATCTGGGCAACGCAAAGATCGAGGGTCTAGAGAGGGACCTAGGCATGACCGGCACAGACTACAACATTGCCGTCTCGGTCTTCTTCATCCCGTACATCTTACTGGAGATTCCGTCGAACGTCCTCTTGGCTAGGTTCGCAAAGCCCAGTCTTTACATGGGCATCCTGGTCACCTGCTGGGGCCTGGTTGTCACTTTTTCTGGCTTTACCGCCAGCTTCGCCGGTCTATGTGTCTCAAGGTTCCTCGTCGGTGTCTTCGAGGCTGGTTTCTTCCCAGGAGCAGTCTGGCTGATCTCCAATTGGTATCCACCATACAAAACCCAGTCCCGGACCGCCATCTTCTACTTGTCCAGTGCTGCCTCTGGCGCCTTCTCAGGTCTTCTCGCAGCAGGCATTGCCCAGATGGATGGACTGGGTGGAAAGCAGGGCTGGAGATGGATCTTCATCATCGAAGGCATCCTGTCAGTCATGTTCGGCATTGCTACGTTCCTGTTCCTCCCAGACACGCCCGCTCTGTCAGGGCGCTGGCTGTCGGAACCCGAGCAACGGTATCTTGTCCTCCTACATCGGGCAACCCGTGGCAGCAATGCTGCGCGGAACACAAATTCGGAAGGAGAGCAGGAGAAGAAGAAGAAGCACGTCGACTGGAAGGCGATGAAGGCTATTTTCTGCGACCGCCATATCTACTTGCAGGCTATCATCTTTGCATCCAATGCCATTCCAAGTAAGTTTCTCCCTAGCACGACACGTTAATTGAGGCTGACACATCCCTGCAGACAACGGCATGAAGTATACGATGCCTCAAATTGTTCGAAATATGGGCTACAAATCCACGACGGCACAGCTTCTCTCTGCGCCTCCCTACATCGCTGGGGCCATCGCCACAGTTCTCAGCTCCCTCTGGGCCGACAAGCACTCGAAGAGAATGGTGCCCATTCTTTTCTTCCAGGCTTGCGTTCTGGTCTCCATGGCTGTCCTGTTTCGCTACTCACCCGAAATTGCCGATAACATTCCATTGTGCTATACCATGGTGGTGATCGTATGCATTGGTGTCTATCCTATCATTCCAGCGAACAATACCTGGTGCTTGAATAATCTAGCCGGCGCAGAGAAACGTGTTGCAGGTGTAGCATTCTTGGTCACCATGGGCAACACTGGTGGCTTCATTGGCAGCTGGGTCTTCTTGAACACCGAAAGTCCGAGCTACCCAACTGGCTTCGGAACTTGTCTGTCTATTGCAGCTGCAGGCATGATCAGTGCTGTTACACTTGAATGGCTGTACAGCAGACACAACAAGCGGTGGGAGGGCTACACGAGAGAGCAGATCGAGGAGATGTATACGGCGGAGCAATTGGAGGAGATGGGAGATCGTAGCCCTTTGTTCAAATACGGCTTGTAATGGAAGGGCAACTTTAGGCTGAGATCAGCAGCGAGCCAAAAGGACTGATGACTTTCAAGGATGGCCACGATGCCTGACGCTATTGAAACAAATCCTTTGGTTCATTCCTAGGCTTCGACCTCATTCAGATTTCGAGCTCAAGAGCGTCCAATGTGGATGCAGCAAGCTCAATTAAACGCTGTGTACACTGATTACTACTCCAACATCGTCATCAGCATGCTTCATTCGACTCATCAAGCCTTGATGGGCTTCCCGTGCCATCTTCCTTTCACAATCGGACCTAGTCGAGGCCGCTTTTCCATCTCCGGGCCGCTACCAATCTTCGTGACGCTTCGAAACAACCGCTTCAGCCATCCTTCCCGAACGGTTCCAGCTTCGAGGTTTGCCTTTCGGAGCACCAAGCCTTCTCCTCGTTGGTCCGCCAGCATTTTCTTGGTGTGCTGAGAGTGATGGCTTCGTGAGCTGGCACCGGTACCGACAGCGCTTCGGAAAGACACACTTCGGCTGCGTGGCTCCTGTTCGAGTTCCTGTGTGAGTTGTTGTTCTCGCTCCTCTTCCTCTTTGAGCTGCTGTTCCGGCCTCTGTTTCCACCAAGCTTCCCACACCTTGGTGGACATTAGTCTTGCACTGCACCGAGCCTGTTGCCTTTCCAATGGGTAGCCGAACGAGTCTTCGAAGCTCTCGTTGCAGATCTCTCTGCAGCCTCTGTCGCACACGTCCTCTGATGAGATGTTGTCGTTCAAGCTCTCGCAGCCTTCTCTTTCCAAAAGCACAGCTTTGGATGGCGTGTTGGACCTGCAAAGCCGATCCCAATCCGGCATCTCCAGCCCAGTCAGAACGAGTCTGGAATCAAAGACTTCACCGACGATATGCCTGACCAGTGTCAGTATACTGCCCAAACACGGCGAAACAAGAGCAGGCAGAAGCATAAGGAGCATCACTTACCATTCCTCGCCCAGGGCCAGTGATGATTCCACGTACTTCTTCGTGGCATCTAGCAGACCACGGTACATTTCCTCGGGGTATCGGACATTGTGAATCGTGTTGTCGGGATCGACGGGCTCTACGCGGAGCAGCGTATATTCTGGCTCACCTGAGCCATTCTCTGACCGCAGATAGATGATCCGATACTCGTTGTCGGTATCAGCGGGCACGATGATGTCGGACCAGGAGTTGGAAAAGGGGCCAGAGGAGTTGTTGGTGTAAGTGGAAGAGGAGGACATGTTGTTGGAGGTGGGAGACGAGGACATAATGGTGGAAGTGGAAGACGGTGATACGCTGTTGATGTTTTGGAGTTGTCGCTTCTGTTCTTGTTCCCGTTTGGGTTGCGGGAAGCGGATGGGTAAGGTCTTGGGTACTGGGTGTAAATGTGAGTGTGGTCAATGAACGAGAAATGAAACATCATTGCGAGCAGAGTGGCGATCACTTTTGTAGGAAATGTATAAGGTACTCATCCTCAAAGGTACTCGGAGGTACTCAACCAACTCTGGTACCACCTGAATTAAGCTCCTGAAGGACCACGTCGACGCCAAACATGACTCTGTGAGCAGCGGTGCCTCGATGGACTGCCGGCGCGCCTCATCGTCGTCTCCTCCGCTTGGCAAGCTATACCCATTCGCTGTGTTCTTGGGCCTCTATTCTACCACGAGGCCAGGCATCTAGCTCAGTAGCTTGCTCTCAGTCTCTGAGAGGTGTCCAGGAGAATAAGTAAGTTTTAGGCGACGAGGCAACCAGGCAAAGTGTGATGGAGTCAGCCTCTAGGCCGTCCGCATTCTTCGCAGTCTTGTTTAGGACGCCTGAGTCCATGCTACTGGCACGGGATAGAGGTGCGCAAAGATTCTCACATCAGGTACATGGCAGCAACACCTACAGGTTATCAGTGGTCAAGCTTGAAAGACCCGAAAGCGACCCACCAACTGTAAATTGCCCACAACAGAAGGAGCTGTTCATGCTTGATTGCGTTCCTACTCTCGGCCACTCATGCGAATTTGGCGGTAGGCTGGCCTGAGTCCACGTCAAAATCTGCATAGGGCGGTCTGGCTGGATCTTAAATGCGACCATTTGATTACCTATCGGTGGTCACTATAATGCGATCGTATCTGCCCCATGACTCGGAGCGACTGCGTGTACAACCCTTGACTTTGTTGGATCGCTCTCGGGTTGCGCAACGCTTACCCGATCGTGAAACTCAGTGCCTGAACGATGGCCAAGCATCAACTGCCTGACGACACGACCGTCGAGCACCCACGACCTCGTGCTCTAATAGTCGCTAGGTAAGTCCTTACTTCATAAAGAGGATGTGCCCCATCATGTTCTTCTACAACTGCTCGGAAGCTGTTCGAGGTGATCGATGGTCATGACAGAGCCAAGGACTATCCTGCTGGCTGTACTGGTTGCGTCACTCGCTTTGTTCTTCGGACGAATACTGCCAGATTTTGTGCCCAGCAGCGTCCTAGCAGCACTGGGAAGTATCCCGCAATTCCGTTCGTTTCTCTTGCCGAAAAGCATAAGAACAGACTTGAGCCCTTTCCTGTCAATCAATGCCACCATATACACACCGGACGCACCAGCTTCTTTCCGCCAATCAACGCTTCGCTGGCAGGAACACGATCCGCCCACGTTCGCTGCTTCTGTGCATGTTCAGACTGAGGAGGATGTGCAGGCTGTAGTAAGGGCCTTCTTTCATGTTCCAACGTAATAGATCAGATTTTGCTAAATAGAGGCAATACCAGATCCGATATGCCAATGCTTACAACGCACCATTCCTTGCGACGTCGGGGAAGCATGGCGACAACTCACATCTTTCCAAGCTCAGGAGCGGCATCCAGATCGACATGGGCGCGATGAACAGCATCGAGGTCTTCACCGCCGAGGAGCAATCGTATGCAATCGTCGGCGGCGGCGCTCGAATTGGCGATCTGAACCCAGCCCTCGCGGCAGCAGGATACAGAACCAGTAAGCCTGGGACCGCTGAAACCCTTCCTTGTCATCAACCAGACCACTAATCCTCTCCAGCAACAGGCGTCTGCGAATGCGTTGGCCTCGCCGGCCTAGCCCTTGGCGGTGGCCACGGCCGCCTCCAAGGCCAGTACGGGCTCGTGGCCGACCAAACCCTCTCCACGCGTCTCGTCCTCGCTAATGGCAGCATCGTCACCGCATCCGCTACCTCACATCCCGACCTCTTCTGGGCGCTTCGCGGCGCCGGTCATTACTTCGGTATCGTCACTGAATTCAAGCTGAAGATTTACCCTGCCGCCGGCCACGAAAGTTGGGCGATCTCGATCAACACCTTCCCCGGCTCCCGCCTTGAGGAAGTGTGTTCCACCGTCAACACCATCGTCGAGCACCAGCCTGCCGAAGCGGTACACATGTCCATGATAAGCCTGAACCCAGCCATTTCCACCACGGACCCCATAATAACATACATCGCCTTCTACGACAGCCCCGCCTCCGCCCTCGCCGCACACATCGAACCCCTCATCGCCCTGCAACCGCTCAGCACGACATCCGAAGTCGTCCCCTACACCGCCCTCTCCAAATTCCTCCTCTCCTCCGCCGACGCCGTAGCTTGCTGGCCGAACGCTGCAAGCCTCCTGCGCTTCCCGGTCGATTTCCACACGCCGTACAACATCAGCGCCATGCGCCAGGTCTATGATCTCATGGCGCGGACGTTCCGAGAGACGCCGGCGCTGAACCAGACGTGGCTCGCGATCGAAGGATACTCAGATCAGGCTGTGCGGAGCGTGCCTGATGAGGAGACAAGTTTCCCCTGGCGGGGGGATAATTTGTTGATCTCGCCGTTTGTGATTTACGGGGCTGGGGAGAGGGGCCTGGATGGGAAGGCGAGGGAGTTCGTGGAGGGCATCCGTAAGATTCTGAACGCGGGAGCCGGAAGGAAACCGGAGGAACTGCATGCGTATGTGAATTATGGGAATGGGCGGGAGAAGGGCGGGATGGGGAGTTGGTACGGGTTTGACGAACAGAGACTGCAGAAGTTGAGGCAGTTGAAACAGGATTGGGATCCGGAAAAGAGGTTTTCGTGGTATTTGCCTATTGAATTAGTAAACGGTGGCTGGCGACGCAACGATATAGAAAGGTCTACTCTGGATACCAGAACACCTTCCGCTCCATCAGCTGGCGAAGCTGTTGAGTGATGACTTTCTTGTCCTCTTCCTCCTTCGACGGAGACTTGCTTGTTGATGTTGACGGACCAGGTTTGCTCTGTGCCGGTGCCGTATCATGTCTGTCCTTCAATCGTCCAATCTCAGCCTCCGTCGCCAAGTCCTCCTCCATAGCCTTCCCCTTGCGGTTTCTCAGCCCCTCGTTAGGCGCTGGCAACGAAGTCTGGCGATCAACCACGCCGACCGTCCGTTCGAACCGCTTGAACAGCCCTTCTGCCCGAATCAGTGTCTCCTTGAGCTCAATCGTCCCACTGAGCTCGTTGATATACTTCAGCACCTCGTCGAAATGCTGCAGATGCTCCATGATCACAGTCCGATGTTTCTCGAGGATCGCCATTGCGATGAAGAGATGGAATTGCGACGACATGTAGTCTGTCCAGAGAGCCTCCCAGAGTCGGAGCACATCTGGCCAGTCGAATTCGCGTTTGTACCATACTAGAAGCATTCTAAAGAAGAAGAAGAAATTTGTTGAGTCGGCTGATTGAAGGTGCAGATACAGCTTGGGGTCCAGAAGCTGCACGAGTTGGTCGAGTGTGGAGAGTTGGGCGCGCATGCCCTGTTGAGAGCGAACGAAGTTTCTTGACATGCGCTGCATGAATTGTACAAATGCCCAGAAGGCGACTGCGTCGTCTTGGAAGACGGCGTATAGAGGTGAAAGGAGGTCGGACATGCCTTGCACGTATCCGAGGTTCTGTGGATGTGGATTTGATGACTTGTAGATGTTGGGATTATCGGATGGCGGCGTGTCGTATTCGAGGTAGGTTAGGAGCATGTCCTTGAGTTGCTCCATGTGCACATTCGTGCCTGGGCCGTCGGGATTGTGGAATGGCGAGGATGGATCTGGATGTGGAATGTCTTCGCCGGCAAACAGTGGGATATGGCGATCAGTTCGATGTACGTCTTTCTCTATAGCGGAAGTCGCACGGTCAGCAAGATGGTTAGGATTGAAACGAGATACATCGTTGAAGTGGAAGGAAAGCACTTACCGATGCGGTTCTTCTGCTCCTTCCACCACTCTTCTTGCTCAGGCGTTGGATGGCCTTCGATCATGCGATCCCACCATGCGCCCTTGAGCTGAATGTATTCATCGCGCTTCGAGTTCATGAAGGCATGTCGCTCATCTTTCGTGCTGTTCCAGTCGTACACGCCCAGGAGATACAGCCAGGCTTCCTTACGAACGCCGTCTTCGGGATCTAGTCCTCCGTGGAATATGCGTTCCTTGACTTCGTCAGGCGTGACGTGCAGGCGGCCCACGGAATCGAAGAATGAGTTCCATTCCTTCATATCAACTGGCTTCCGCTTGCCCTCTGATAGCGACATCTTGCCCACTTCCATGTCGAGGATCTCGAAATCTCCAACACTACTTTCCTCGAGCTCCAGGACGTCTTTTGCTGTCCATATTCTTTGGTTCTTTTCTTTCTCGCTCTGCTCGGCTATGCCCATCGCCCATCGAGCCAGATACAGGCGAGCACTGTCGAACTCGTCTTGAATAGTCTGGACTTCTGGGTTCTGGATCAAACGCCGGACTTGTGGCGGCACATTTTTGTTGTTGGCAAGGTCCTCCGCTGTTCTTCGCGTAAAGGTTGTGACCTTGGATAGTTGCTCCAATATCTTCCATCTAGTTTCTTTCAGTGTCTTGGTAATCGGATCCATCTGCATGCCCTGCTGTTTCTGCTTCGACTTATCAGCGTCCTTTTTGGGCTGGTCTGTTGCCTCGAATGACTTCCGCCCCTGACCAAACCCGAGTCTGTCTTCCTCTGTTGGATCGATCAAGTAGACTGATGGCTCGGCCGTGCTACGCTCAACCTCGACATAGCGCTTCAGCCATCTGACAACCTCATCGCCACCCCAGAACAGGTCTCCGCCCTCGCCAAAGGGGTCGAAAGACTCTCTCGCTCGCTTTCTCTTCTGTAGTATTGTGCTCTCGCACTCCGAGTCGTGGAAGAATAGGGCAGGAAGGCTCGAGCCAGATTTTGTGTTGATGACAATGCTTCCAAACCACCACCCCAAACTCGGTGGTCTTACAAGAACAGAATAGACGCTGGACAATGGTATGGAGAACGCGTATGGGCCAACAGAGGCGCTATCGAAGGTGGCGAGGGGTATCGGCGGGACGAGTGAGGCTCTTCTGGGCGGCGAGTCGGTCTCCTTCAAGTCAACCTTGACATATGTGTTGAGATCATCTTGGGCCAACGTCGACTCGGGCACCCAGGCTAGGAAGTAGCTGGCTGCATTCTTTGCCTTCTTGTCGCTCGAGCCGGTGCTCGGGCGGCCCTCGGTCGGTGCAGGCTTCTGCTGTACCAGAGCAATGAATCCAGGGATGTTGTCTTTCGAAGAGAGGTAGGATGCACGTAGACCTTGCTCTTGGAGAAGAGCAATTTGACGCCCTTGCCTGAGGTCGCTTCGGCGATCGTGTTATAGTCGGCCTCCTCGTCGTCGGAAAGGTCGTAGAGACTACCGGCGGGAGAAGGAGCCATAATCACTGATACTTCAAGAGCAAGACCGTGGCATGCTTAGGGATATGTAGGTCCACCGTCGAACATCAAGTAGTCGGGAGGACTGAGTGATGCCTAGATCAACGTGAAGGTGGCTGCGCGTGACGTAGCGCGGGGTGGCGTTGAAGGCAGCGAATATATGTCCCCGCACAGCCCCCACGAGATCTTGGTCTTAAACGTTTGGATCCTGCGAGCACTGTCGCTATGCCCAGGACGCCTTCGGCACCCTATCGTTGGGACAGCTAGCATAAAAACGATAGGCTGAGTTGTTTTCGCAGTGTCTCCACGGCCTTCCTCTGCAGGTCGACGCGCGAGCACACATCTAGCAAGCCGTATCAAGTTTTGTCAGCCGGTCTCGCTGAAGCCTTCGTCAACCGGTTCTATGGCCACCCTGTCATCCGGCTTGACCAGTAGTCATCAGCAAGAACGACTCTGCGATGTTTAATAGGTTCACATTGGAATGAGTCTGATATGAAATAGCGACTAGGTGCCTGTCTTTGCGGGACGTATCATTCGACTGACTGACGCTCATCTGCAATGTCGCCCTGATATCCGCGCTGGCTAGCTGGCCCCGAAAATACCCAGTCTTTCTTTGATCAGCGCCAGTTTCCGTTCCTCAAGCAGTCTGCCCATACCAGCTGCGTCCGGCAGATGAAGCTCACCATCGTATTTGCGTGGAACATGGTAGTGGCAACCAGCCACCACTGGCATTAGTGGGCATAGAATCTCAGACAGACCAAAAGCGATCTTCGTGTGGGCATGATCAGACAGCTGCCCTGCCGCGCTGTCGTTCCCTCGAAGCATATCGTCCTTGGTGACCCATCTCTCTGTGTCAGCCCAGACCACGTACAAGTCACCATCCGTCCTAGCCTCCTGCGCCGTCCTTGAAACGATCGATCTCAGTAGCTGGCGTGCCTGACGGGAACGCGTGAAAGGGACAAGCAAGAGTATGGGTGTAGCCATACTGTCCGAGTTATAGGCGTAGCTGGTCTCGATTACATTCATGGCTATGCCGTGGCCTGACGCGTACTCGTGAGCCGTAGCTCGGATGGAGTGAATGAACGCGCGATATTGTTTGACAAGGGCGTCCACAGCTTGACCGACCTGATCTTCTGTGACCCCAGGGCGGAGTATATGAAGGGCATCAGACTCACCCAGCTCTAGGATGTGTGCCGAGGGTGCCTCGACATCGAAGCGGTGAGAGAAGAATCCAAGAGGTGTGCATGTGTTCCTACTCCCGAAGTGATGGCTCCTGAGATCGCTGCAACCACCTTCGCTGTGGGCTGACAAGCATTTGTTTCTTGTATCTATGCCAACGTGTGACATGTTGAGTCTTGATGCCAATAACGATGGATATGAGCTCGGAATGCTCAAATTTGTAGCGGAGGCCACCTCGATATACGGCTGTCCAGCGGCCAGCGCGCGGACCAGATATCCTTCACGGTTCAGCCATAGGCCATCGAATTTCAGCCGCACTCCTTTCGAAGGATCAGAAGGAAGCAGAGCCCGGATGCGAATGTGATGTGCTTGGTCTTGAGCGAGACCGCAGGCTAGCTTGACTGTCTTGCCGTGGGTAACGTGGTACTCCCGTTCTGTCCGATCCTGAATCTTGACTCTTAGTCTCGCGCCGGATTGCAAAACATCTGAATCACAGCCATGATCTCGCATCGAAGAGACGTGCCGGGCGTTCGGCGCTGGTGGTGATGATGGGCCGTTCCTGCGACAGTACAAGCTCACTTCGAGATAGACACAGGATGTGTTTGCGACTGTCACCTCAACATAGGTATCTGAGCAAGTCAGCACTTTGATCGAGAAAGGAGTCACGGGAGATTACCCGAAGCGCTCGTTGATCTTCGTCCGTCCAACGCATGCTGCCAGTGGCTGCCAAACTGTCATCTGTCAGTGTTGACAGGTTTTGTCGAGTCGTAAGAGGTCAGACCTTGTAGGCAGGATTGCTCGCGGGAATATGGCTGAACCCTTGCCTCATCAGAAACATGGTAGGGTACACATCTCGCAGTGGTTGACGAAGATCTGCCACGACCACCACGTTGCTCGCCAGCCAGAGAAGTAGGGCAAAGAGTGCAAGACCAGTCCAGAGCAATTTCGACAGGCTCAGGGCTTTCATCGTTGCCTGACTATGTGGGTAGGCGATTGTGAGTGCGCGGCAGACTTACAGAGGCCTCTACAGGTCCATTGGTTGCAACGCAGGTGAATTATCTGTTGCTCGGTGACCGTACGCGCCTCATGTGAACAGCTTCGTGTCGAGGACAGTCCCGTAAGTGCATACCTCCACCCTCAGTCAAGATTTCCAGACACTACTACGACCATATGTAGGGGCACCTAATGCTACGGCCCACCTGCGTCGCTGTCGTATTCTCGAGACATTCTTTGCAGTGCCCTACGTTCTCGATGTCCTTCCTTCGCCCTAGACTAATCAGTCGCGCCATGTCGCGGCAGCAGTCCAGACTGAATCGCCAACCACTTCCCTCGACAAGACTGGATATCCTGGTACGGCGCTGAACGGCATGCCGAGGAAGTCTGCGACGAGGTCATTGCGGCAAGGAAGTTTCTCGAGAGTACGCCCCAGCAGCTCGAAGATCGAGGCGGTCATGGTGGCGCGGACGGTGGGATGGGGTGCTGTTACGTTGGCTGCGATGCGGACGTCACGATGTCAGCTTGGTCAACACCTCTAAGGCGACGGTGACCACCTCTTACGGTCATTTCAGCACGGACTGGGAGTGTACCTCACTTCGCAACTTCACCACTACCAGAAACTCCCGTTTCGAAGCAATCATCTTGTTGTCTGTTTTCAATTTCATCTTCGCCCGTAAGTATAGGTGAGACTTCTCGACCAATCAGCGATTTCGACAACTCTGCCACATATGGAAAGGCCACTCGAGCTTGCTCGGGCTAGTAATAGACTGTTCTTCAGCCCGGCCCCGGCTCTCCGCTTGCGTCTTCAGCTGTCTCTGAGGTCAGCATAGAGCAGTAATGGATTTCATACTGCTCTGGGGCGAACACTGTAGAGTGTCGCCACTCGATTGTCTCAACGAGTGTATAAATACAAAGCCAACGCACAATGCGAGCACGACTTCGAGGTCCCACCCTTTTGGCAAGGCATCGACATCCTGCCAAACGCGAATAATTTGGCACCTGCCCAGCTTCAGCCATAGCAACGATGAATGCCCTTACCTCATCACAGCTGCTAGCTCTCGCGCTCCTCCTAGCACCGCCGAGCTTAGCAGCAATCGAAATGAAGGCGTTCTCTGACAATCTCTGCGGTGTCAGTGGCGGCAACATCGTGGAGGCTATCATGGCGGGCCAAATTGCCCCTGTCACCATCTGCGGCAATTCCAATGCCTTCCTATCAGTCCTTGTCCCTCCTGGGTCTTCCAGCGACGGCTTCGTTTGCGAAGTCTACTCCGACATCGCCTGCAAGGATTCTGTGAAAGTGATCAGCGTCGAGGGCTGTCAGCCCATCCCGGGACAGTCGATCCTGTGCTTCGATCCGAAGTCTCCTGACCGTCCGGACACCGCGTTGTCCGCGGCAGTCAACGTCGGAACGCAGAAGACAAGCATTATTGGCAGCACCACCGTAGACAGCTCGCTCAATAAGGCAAAGAGCCAAGTCTGCAACGATATTGGCTGTGAGAATTCGGATGTATTCACCACCTCCTTTGAGACCTTTGGCGAGGGTGATAGCCGGTGTCGACAGAAAGTGCGGTTCACCGAGGGGAATTACGACAGCGCCGAGCAGCGAGACTACATGGTGTCGCTGCTCGCTGCGGCGCTCAACACCATGGTCGATGCTGACCCTCAGAAAGTTGGTGGACCGAATGGAGGGGGAGAGCTTCGAGGAGTCCCTAATTTTGCGCAAGTGATCATCAATGATAAGCAGGGGAACAATCGTGCCGAGATGAAGGTTGAGATCGAGACCAAATGTGACTCAGGTGAGAGTGACGATGGAACTGGTGCTTGTGATAACGATCTGGCGGGTATAGCGGAGGCTGCGTTGGGCGTTATTGCCACGTTTGGTGGGTTTGCCGTGCTGGGGTTCAAGGTAGTGTGTGCGATTGCTTAAGCCTGATGGTGCAGCGATCATAGCGCAATCTTGAATAGCCTGTTGCTGGGCATAGAGGAGCGGTACAGGAGACGGGATGATTCAATTTGGGGTCTCTTCGCGACGCGCTGTATGTTTTCGAGGGTTGTACTCACTTGCTACCATCTCGGACGCGCTGTGCCATTCTGATCCGACAGCGAGGCGGCCTTTGAATGATTCCTCGTGCAGATTCCCAGACAAGCGTCATCGGGATTTCTGCATCTGATCAGTGACACTGAAGTCCTTATGACGGTGTACAGTTCATCCAATCATCATGTCGAGACGGTAGTGGCAGCACGCGGCTGTTGCAGCAGTTTAAGTAAGCATCCTCACACAGCGTCATGATCCGAAGACCATTTCATGACCGATATGTCCAACACTGATTGCCTCGACAGACGGAGGCTGAGCTCGTAGCCATGATTGAACTAACTCGCAAGTCTTCCGGCCTGCCATTGCAATTTGTGTGCGCGTCTACAAAGGAAAGAGGCTCAGGTTGGGAAGTTGGTTTTGTCAAAGGAAGGGCCAGTCATCTCTGGCTCTGGGACCGGGTTTCTTCTCCGGCAGCTGCGCTTGCCAGGAACGCGCATATGCACTGAATCTACAAGTCCCTGCAATCCGATCACTACTTAAGTATTCGTGAGTCTGCTACCATTGCTACCTCTATCTTTACCTCCGAGACCTAGGTCATATTGTTATAGGGCATCAGGCGTTATTCTTGCTGAACGTGCAGTACTGCTCATCACCCGATATCGAAGAAAAACAACCACCTCGTCGAAGGACTTGAGGACACAGAGCACTCCGCCATGCCCTCGCAACTTACAACGCAGACGTTGCAAGCAGCCGCCCTCTCAGCGGTATCTAATCTACTGGCGCAAGGAATCAAAGCATACCAAAGTGGTGTAGGTCTGGTCGTCCTTCTGCGAGATCACGACTAAGAGAACGGAAATAGACTGGTCTAAACCTCGTCAGTCTGGCGCAATTCGTTGTATTCACACTCATTTCCTGCCCTCCGAACTGCTTGTGGCAGCAGTACCTGGAAGAGACGTTCCCTGGGTATGGCGTCGCAGCAGACGGTAGCCGACAGCTGAACAAACGCAACACGGCTATCAAGTTTGGCCTTGATCAGACGCTGGGATCGGTCGTCAATGTGGCGACTTTCATCGCATTCTTTGCATTTGTCAATGGGAAGGATGCTGCGGGCGTACAGCGTGCAGTGTCGAGGGTATGTGGCGACTGGTGGTACTCACTACATGTACTGATGGTACCAGGAAACTTTTCCATTGATGAAGGCTGGCTGGAAACTCTGGCCATTGGTGAGTATTCTCAACTTCACGATCGTTCCAGTGCACCGAAGAATTCTAGTCGGGAGCGTGGTTGGTCTGTTCTGGGGAATATGTGAGTCAAACTTCCCTTTTTTTGATAGCTGCTCGTCTTGTGAACAGAACAAAGTGTGCCGCCATCATTGCGTCCAGGTTGTAGCATGTGCCCAACACCTGAGCGTCCATCGGCCATACTCTTCCGCGAGGAGGACTTCATGCGAGTCGAGTCTATCATGATCCATACTAATCATTTTCGGCAGATCTCTCTTTGATTGCGGCGAAATAAGAGGTTCGTACAACTCCTCTGCGATGACAATCTGCTCAGGGCCAACACGTCTATACGAACATCATGTCAGGCTCAGAGGTTTCTTCATAATTGGGCCATCCAGCTACCGCGAGACCAAGACGAGCCTAACAGTGTCTTCGGTCACTCCAACACGCAAAGTGCCTCAGACTTCTCGATTGAACGCGGCGTGCGAGCCTGCTCCAAGCCGGATCCCTGCAGCAGCTCATATTCTGCCTGTGAACCGACCGCGTCTGCTCCTCGGCTCTTCTAAGTGCTCTGGCTTCCTGGGCCTCGGGCTCACAGGGACTCGAGGTTTGTAGACGTCTTAACCGAGCACTTCACGTGGGACTTGTCCTCCGAACAACCCTTCGCTTACCCATCAGAAGCGACGGTCTCGCGTGCGCAACGTGCAGATGTGCGATTTCAAATATCCTACCACTAGCGGTGTCCAATCGTGTCAAGTCCCTCATGCGTGGTCAGATGCATCTGTATACAATCTGTTCTCTCAGGTGCCCTCTGCACCCAGCATCAACCGTGATGACCCGTACCCGAGCATGGGGCGCAACAGTGCCGAGATGACGAAGACATCGACGTCATGCTAAGGATACACTCGAGGTCAAGTATTGTTCATGGTTGTAAATGGTGTCAATCCGATACTTTCGAAACCAAGTGACAGCGGAAATGGAAGATCGTAATTTCGATGTTGTTTCATGAGAAGCGCAACGCTTGGCAGCGATGCACCACAGAGCCAATTGATAACTTCCAACGTTCGGCTTGCCGCACCAGCAAGTCGCGCGGCTGTTCGATCGCCGTTGTGCACTTATCAATGTCTGAGTTGCCACCGAATCATGTTCACTCACCGCTCGGGTAACTCATCAGGTCAGACGGCAAATCGAGGATCTGCCAGAAACCTGGCCAGGAACAAGAATGCATGTTCGCCGATCTGTGCTCCACCAGTACTCGATCTTGGGCGATATGGAACTGGAGTTTGCTTCGATGATTATGCCAGAGGCCTCCGTGATCGGGTGCAGCGTCTCTGCACCATTGCCGCAGACTGATCTGGTTTGCGATCTACCAAGGATCATGTAGCTTTGAGCATCCCGAAAAGCCCATTGTTCCTTGAAAGTACAAGAAAAGCATCGTCCGACTGACGGGCCTGACCCTGCTGGCCAGAACGAGATTAGACCAATCGCCGCCTCCAGTGCGACCGGGATGTTCTGTGAGTCTGTCTCAAAACGCAGCGCTCAGCGCGCTCAGCCCCCAAAGAGGTCAGGCACACTGCCCTCCAGGCGGGAACCGGAATAAGTTTAGAAGCAAAGCCCCAATCCTGGCAAGCACGATGCGGGCGGACTCCACCAGCGCCTTCCCAATATCTTGATCCAACCACAATCTCCAGCAACTTTCTACAAGCACCGCCGCTTCAATTCACGTTTCGTATAATCGTCGACCCAACTCCCAACCTCGTTGTCGCTCTTGCCGGCAATCATTAACTCTAGCACTAAGATTTCAACACACAACGATTGCGACGGTATTTTCTTCGGACACCAGAATCTGAGCACGATCGGAACTTGGCGCTTTTGCGATCACAAGATCCCCAAGGTCTCGAGTCTCTGTACACGCTCAGGGCCCGTGCGATACTTGCTGTGCGCGAGCGTGATCTTTCTACTCAACACAATCATGGCCCAATTGGGCAAGCTTGCTGGACCATTTCGCAAAGTATAGGCTCCTGCTCTACCTTACCCTCGCTGGGTTCTTCCGAGATGCGGGACTTGAGGGACTTTCGAAGGACAGATGTGGTCCTACCCAAGGCAGAACCTCACAGTCCACAACTACCTCAAATCTCACGATTGGACACCAACTCCTTTGTTGACTTGTTCAACCGATACTCCGGCTCAGAACATGCGGAATCGCTTGCTGCCAGTGCGGCAGCAAAGGATTTTGCATGGCCGGCGGTGAGGGCTGCGCCATCTTTGCCCGCCAAACACGACAGACCCGCGTCGGCCGTCATGGTGTCAACTCGACAAGTCAAGCCTGTGCGCAATGACTCTACTGGATCATCTTCTATAGCATCCTCGAATCACACTTCGTCAACGCCAACAATTACAAGGCACTCTTCCTGCTCGAGCGTGGAAGACAAATGTCCTACACCTCCACCCAAGGACGACAGCCACAGTCAGGTTACGGCTCTACCCAAGTTTCATTCTGAGTTGACAGAGAGCCCTCCGCGACCGAGGACAGGTACTCTGGAATCGAAGAAATCCAGCAACCCATCGACGCCAAACATTGATAAGCCGCTGCCTATTCCTTCATCGAAGACGGAGGAGAATAGAGCAGTCAACTTTTCACGGCCCAAGGTCTCCGCTGATTGGCAGTCATGTTTGCCAATAAAGTCAGCTTCGGTGCCCAATCCAGCCGCGCACAGGAGATCAGCCAGCATCAACGTGATTGCTTCTGCGCTGGGGCCACCTTCATCGTTCATGGCTGCGGAAAGACCTAGGCTTCGCATTAGATCCCACTCTGCAGTGACAGTCGCCGAACTACCGGCATCACTTCCCGCCGATGCCCCAGAACCTCTTGCGCCCAGGAAGCCCAAGTCTCACGCATCTGTCGGGGCGTTTCAAATCACTGCCCGTACGGCAGAAGACGTGATTTACCGGATCATGGCAAGTCTCGAGCGGCCGGAGGACCTCAGGTCTGTTGCGCTAGTCAGCAAAGGGTTCCTCAATACCTTCCAGAGAAACGAATCGAAGTTGGTGAACAGGTTGATGTTCAAGCACTCAAAGGCCGCCTGGGAGACTAGAAGGAGTATGATAGTACTTCGTGCGGCCAGAGACTTTACATTATGCGACTACCAGCGCGATGTCAGGACGATCCGCGCACTCAAGACAATCATTCTCGCCAATTGCTTACCACTGTGTCGACCTCGCACTCTAGCAGGCCTTTCTGGAAACGATCAACAGGCGGAGGTCGAGGTGAACAATGCGCTGTGGCGGATATGGACGTTTTGCGCCCTCTTCGGACACAGCTCGGCACAAGGCAAAGTCCTCCCCGGAATGATTGACTGGATGAACGGTTGCATCGGCCTCGACAAGGACAATGGGGCGGGCTTTGCAATCGGAAATGGAGACGGCCTAACTTCTCAGCAACTGGAGGACATGGCCGACTTATGGTCTTGTTTGAAGGCTCTGCTGGCGCGTTTCCATGGCAGGCGTGGCGAAGCCTTGAAAGCTGGCGTACTTGACAGCTGGAATGGGTCAAATCTCATGACTGAGGAGGACTTCATCTCTGAGTGGACCTCATATCTCATGACGCTCGGACCGCAGGTCATCCTTGCTCTGTCAAGTGCATCCTACGACAGGGCAAAGTATTTAGGGCTGACAACCTGGGCTCCTCCATCGCCCGGGCAAACTCGGTCAACATTCTTGACTGGAGCCGTTTCCGAATTGTATCAGGCGAGACTTTTGACAGAAGCCGTGCGACAAGCTGAACGAATTCCCCTGCCGCGACAATCAAGTCACAGACACAGTCGCTCGGTGGACGAGAGCAGACCAGGGACTGCGATGCAGCGGCACGCATTGCGACTCGACACTCATGCCGCAATCCGGCAACGTCCCGCGTCGACTTGCCCCTCAAGTCAGTCCGCGTTCACCACCAGGCCTATCCGTGGCGAGAGTCGCACCCTTGCCGGTCACCAAAGACAAGTCAGCAACCCCATATTTCCGGCTTCGCCAACAGTGGACCCAACGTTCTTCCACTCTTTAGCAATGAACCGCGCAGTCTCAACGCGACTAGGCGCTACACTGTTTCCGGTCGACTATCCTACCGCCAGACCGAGCGTTCCGTTCCTGGCAGATCAAAATGAGCGGCAGCCGTCCACCTCATCAGTGGTCGTCGACCCGATCGACAAAGCCCTCGATTTGCTCGTTGAAGAAATGGGCTTCCCCGAAGCCAACGCTAAGCGCGCCCTCGCCATGACAGACACTGGCAGCGGTATCAATGTCGAACGTGCGATCGAGCTTCTCAGTATTCAGAACAAGCCGCGTACACTCAACACCGTTCCAATCGAGCTGCCTACGCCTGTTGATATCGTTGCCCCTCTGCGATCAGCCAACCCTGCAGGTGCGGACGATCACTGTGATGGTTCCTGCCGCAGGAACACTCATCACTGTCACACGAGTCCTATGGGTCGTCGAGCCAGCACTATTCGGCGTAGCCACACGCGTAACAAATCTGTTGGACATGCAACTGAGACGATCGCGGAGCTCGAGAACAGTAGCGAACCAGCAACACCGGTTAGCCCAGTCACTGACATATATGGCGGACATTCCGCGTGTAACTCAGTCTCTAGCGCCGACTGGAACCGTGCCGAGGACGCAGACATCGTCCCAGGTCTAGACAGCACCTCGGTTATGCACAAAACAGGCAGATCTGGCACCAAATCTGGACGACCTCAGTCCAAAGCTTGGCGGGTGCTGGGCGTGGCGCAACAACAGAGCCCAGCATCTTCGCCACACTCACCTTCGCAGTCGCCGAGCACTTCTGCGCAGAAAGCGCTTCCACTCCCGGCAGGTTTAGCGCGCACACGCAGTAAGCTCGCTGCTGTCGGCAAACCTAAGTCCAGCGTAGTGGGCATGAACGAGTATCTCGAACGGATAGAGCGGCGCCAATCGCAGCGAGTAGCTCAGAAGGGCTGGCAGGCACAGAGCGCGAGTAATGGTGGCGATGTTTTGGGGCTGACTAGTTCACCACAAGCCCAGACACCCGCCTCTCCGGCCGCACCAAGTCCTTCAGCCTCGACGTTGCAAACAATCCCGACAGGCAACAGTGGCGGCCTCGGCGGCTTCCGTCCCGTAGTCGCCATCGACTCCGTCGCGGCAAACAAGGGAAAATACCGCTTGAAGCAATCGCAGCCCGAAGAGGTCGCCAGCGACACAGACTCAATGGTGGCGGTTCCGAGCCCAAGCATGGAATTGGGCGCGGCGAAGAGATGGAGGAACGTCATGGGGACCGTGAAACTGGGCGGGACTCATGGGCATGGATACAAGGTTAGTAAGCGGGAGAAACAGGTTGCGAAGGAAATGCTGTTTCGTGTTGGAGAGAGGGCATTCGTTGGATGATGCACACACTTGGCGTTTTCATACACAGGGCGGCCTCTGGGAGGAAGGGAGGCAGATTCACGACATGACACGCAAACGACTTTTTCGAATTTTGATACACACGATTCTCGGAGGTAAGCCAAAGGTTTGGTGGTAGCATGGTGATGACGGTACACAAGCGGAGTTGTTGATTCGTTGGCAGACATCAAGTTCTCAACTGAAGATCAGAAGATCTGGGAACTCGGAAGTGTACATTATCACGTACTGCTTGAACGAAAGCGCATTCATATACGTAGAGTGCTCCTAAGGCCTACAAAGATAAGAATAACGCCTTGGTATATATGACTGCTTCCCCAAGTTACAGCCTCACTTCAGCTTTACTGACACTATCGGTCGACAGCTAACGATTACTCCTCTGGAGGACACACTGCCTGCGCAAGTCTGTCTACCTTGAGCCATTCCAGAAGGTCCAAACTTGGTAGGCGAGGAGGCTCTTCGCCCTCGTTCTCCTTGTTCTCCTCGTCGCCTGTGAAGCCTTTACGGCCAGCATACTGTCCCACCGGGTCGTCGTCGAAGCCGGGGCGGCCAGCAGACGCATCCTACTCGTTGCCAGCGGTACCGGGACGACCAGCGTAGCCTTGTGAAGGAGGCCTCTGACCGGCTAGGTACATCTGCTGACTTCCCGGAAATCCTCCTTGAGTATACGGATTGTACATGTCCTGGCCTGCAAACATCTGTGCGGGTTGACCGTACTGGTTGGGGTCGTGCTGGCCATCAGAGCCCATCTGCGCACCAGCATACATGTTCTGCCGGGCGTACTGCTGATCGGGAGGCGCCATACCACCGTGCTGCATACCGTAATCCTGAGCGCTCATCTGCGGCTGTTGCTGCTGCTGCTGCGTCGGTTGCTGTGTCGCTTGAGGCTGACTTTGCTGAGTCCCGCCGCCGCTGGTCGTCGGCCGCTTGGCACCACCCGCTGGTTCCTCACGAGGGACGATGTCAATAAGAAAGTCAAACATGTCGGATTTGGCGAGCGCGGCGGCGATGTCGGAGCGCTGCAGGGTCCGCCGCTTGTTGTCCTCGGCGTGGATCCAGGCGCGCATGGTGAGTTCGGTGATGAAGATGTCGCAGCCTTTGGCGAAGAGGATCGGGGCTTCGGCGGAGATCATCTTGACCTCTGGGTCGGCTTTCATGACCTTCTTGATGCGGGCGAGGGGGAGTTGGTGGATTTTGAAGTCGTGGGTGTCAGTTTCGAGGTGGTTGATGGTTTGTTGCCAGTAGGTTGCGAGGATGTCCCGGGCGGCGCCAGTGAGGCCTTGGTTGATCTTGGGTTGGTTAGGGTAGATCTGAGGCTTGGACTTGACTGGACTTACATTTGACCATAATCCTGAGTATAGTTCTGTATGGGGAATGTAACCTTGTGCCGAGAGCTGTGAAGACCGCGTTAGTAATTCGCTCTCTGGTAAAAGAGATTCGCAAAGACAAATTGGATCCATAGCGTAGAAGTGACCGCCGACGTTTCTGATATTGGATTCGTGCGAAATGGAAGCGATCGGTTGTGCCCGACAATGCTGGCGTTGGTGTCAGGTGGATGATTGCTGATTGCCTTCGGCAAGCCTTGCACGTCGATGGAATCGCTTTTCGCATCAACGATCTGAGCGCCAAAGACATCTGGCGTCCCTGTTGATCTTTGACTGCATGCGCGACATCTCAGGTGCCTGATTTCTGTGCGCGACGATTTTGGGAGATGGCTGGTCCAGCCGGAGGAAGCACAACCAAATAACGTACCGCGGCGCTGGCGCCATAATGGCCACCATTACTTATATCGTATAGCGGTTGCTGTCGAGCGCCCTGCTGACCACTCTGCTGCTGGTCCATAGTGGCAGATGGATGGCGCGAAAGGTGTATGATAAAAGAAAGAGCAAGGCAGGCGACGACAGAGGTTTAGATGATGGACTCGGTCAATAAGGCTGACTGTCAGGCAAGGTGCGAATTATTCAAATGTCGGGTCACAAGCTGGGGCCAGGTGCGAGGGCGCAAACCCTTAAAGGGAGGTGCGACCGCTTAATACCTGGAAGGCACGCTAAAAGCTACTGTCATTTGCGAAAGATCTCACGCGTCAGTCTTCGCCAGGCCCAGCTCTTCGCCCACGCGGGGTTTGCTTTCTTCTCGCGGGTCCAGCCTGGCTTTTGGCTGAATCGCCTGTGGCTGTCTACGCGTGAAATTCTTTCTTCAGCTCGATTACGAAATGGCAGCAATTGAAAACCAGGCATCGGAGCTTCATATTCTGGTGCTGTTGGAAGCATTCTCGTTACCATGTCGCGGAAGTAAACAAGGCGTTGACGAACCGCCAATGATACTCGGGTTCGTAGACCCATCGACTTGGTCGCGCACGGAAAACTCATCTGAGTGGCTCCTTCCTGCCTCACTCACTGATTGGGTTCCATTGCGCCAATAGTGGCCTCGAAGAGACATCCTCAGGTACCCCGAGCCTCCAGTTCGTGAGCGGGAAGTCGCGTTATGAAATGATCCTTGCGGCAGTCGCGAAGCCCAACCTGCCTGTCATTCACAGCCACTGTCCTCCATACAATGCTTACTGTTCCTGCTAAGCTATGCTGAGCATACGATACGTCGAAGAGAAGCTGTCTTGCGGTCAAGGCATCTGACCGTGGACTTTTCGACATGCTCATGCTAATAAGAGCTTCCCGTCCGTTGACGACTTTTACCTGTCGGTCAACACACCGCCTCCATGCCCAGCGCTGCCACCTGTATAGACTTCAGCTACTCTTAGAAATCGCCTCGTTCTCAAAGAAGACCCAACAGCTTGATATTATGACGTCGAGACGCATCAGTACTGCATGAACATGAACCGGCCGCAGAAAACCCAGCTTCATTGTTTGGGCAGCTGTCCAGGTCTAGTATGGCTCACTGATGTGTTGGCAACTTGCATCAGCCTGCATCGAAGATGGCTGGAAACGAGCTCGGCAGGTACGCTGCGTGTAGGGCGGGGCAGACGCGGCTTATGGCAACTCACGTGATATCGAAAACTCCCAAAAAAAGTTGCGGCCGCGAAATGCCACACTTCTGCGAATGCATCTGCCAAACACCTTACTCGTTCCATCCACTAATCTGCGGTTGAAAACGATGCAGCACGATGTCTGTCAGCGTTATGCAGACAGAGACGCTCACGGATGATCAGATCGAGTCTCTGCTTCAAGAAGCAGAGACTAGGCTCAAAGCAGCTTCCAGCACGGCAAATGCAGTTGTGCCCGCTGACGATGACGAACACTTGTCACTGAGCGAAAGGAAGCCCGAATTCGCCAAGCGGAAACCGATACCTCGCTTGCAACATAATCTGAACGACCGGACTGCGATACAAGAGCGCGATGGCGTTGCGCGTCTTACCCCGGAACTGCTGTCCACCAAACAGCAAGCGCTGAGACTCAAGTCGGTTGAGGTCAAGGAGCAGAAGTCCAAGGATGTGAGTATAAACCAGTGCTGGTTGTCTCTTTACATGAGGAAATTTATCCCAATCTTTCTCGACGCAGACCAGTATCTCGTTTTGAGATTACCCTGCCTCCATGAGAGTCTTTCATATTTGAAAATCATAGTTACTCTGACTACCGTTACAATATTCCCGAAGCAAATCAGCTCCATCTGTGGCATCCACTAATGGCGTATCAATAGGATGGACCTGTCGATGCTGGCAAAGACTGGTTCAACATGCCGCTCACGAACATCACGCCTGGTCTGAAGCGAGACTTGCAACTCCTCCAGATGCGTTCTGTCCTCGATCCTCACCGGCACTACAAGAAGACCAGCTCCAAGAAATCTAAGATTCCGCAGTTCTCACAGGTTGGCACCATCATCGAAGGTCCTACCGAGTTCTACTCTTCACGCATCAACAAGAAGGATAGGGCGAAGAACTTTGTTGAGGAGGCTATGGTGGGTGAGAAGAGTAATGGGCGCTTCAAGCGAAAGTACAATGAGATCCAGGATGCGAAGACCAGTGGGAAGAAGGCGCACTACAAGAAGCTTATGGCGAAGAGGAAGAAGAGATGAAGGCCACTTTCCGTCGTTTCAGGCATCCTGACCTCGAGTTTGGTTTATGCCAACTCGACAGCGGAGCTGCCAGTCTGGATTCTAATTTACGTCTGTCAACTATACCTTGGCTCGACTATATGCGACCTTCTTCAACGCGATCTCGGAGAAGGGATCAATGAAACCACGATCTTGCTCGTCCCACAAGGCAGCAGTAGAAGCTACCTAGGCATGACAATCACGCCAGACAACCTCGTTGTCGTGATAGAAAAAAGCGTATCAAGTGGAGGGCAAGACGACTACTTATAGCCCTTCGAAAAAGCGGAGGGCCGGGACAAACCGAAATGGTAGCTTCACTGACCTGGCCGGGAAGCATTCACTGTTCTCTGCATGACTCAGATTCAGATCGCTGCCTGATGTAAGGTATTTGATTCGACCTCGCTCTAGTCTCACTGGCAAATCACAAACACACTCGAAGCAGACCGTGGACTGATCGGTATCAGAAGAAGCAGCACGCTGTTGGCCATTAACGACACCGAGGCGCCTCTCATCAAGCTCACCTCAGCCACTGCTTCTCGGGTATCTCCTTCCTAGCACTCTCAACCAAACTCAACGGCGCCAGTACACTGTACTTGCCTACCTCATCTCCTCCCAGCGCATGGTCCCACAGCCACCTCCCGCCTTCTAGCTCCACCTTCGATACCTCATCCCTCAGCACCTCCGCCATAAACCGCAGCACTGCCTGTATTTCGACCTCAGCGTCGTCGCCCACGGTCACATGCGCCGCAGCAAGTATCACACGCCGTCCATTTCCAGCTTTACCAAAATCGTCGTATGAATCAAGCTCCCGATTCTTCACCCTCACCCATTCCAACACCCTCCGCAACTCCTCCCACCAGATCTTCAGATCACTGTACCCGTCGAACATGATAGGCATAGGCGGCTCAGCCCCCCACGGCGCGCGTTGCGTAGCTCTGCTGGTCTTGGCGTAGAAGGTGTCCCCCACACAGAGCATGCGCGAGTCCGCGTCGTACCAGGTGAGGGAGTCGGGAGTGTGGCCTGGCGTGGTCAGGATGGTGATGTTCGTTGCGATCTTCGGGTGTTTGGGGTTGGTGGGCGTGTATATCACTTGGTGTTGGTCTTCGGCCCAGGTGGAGATGAAGGGGAGGTAGTTGGGTGCTGTGGTTCCCCTCTCGGGGCTTAGGCTGTGCTTTTGGAGGTTGCGGTAGGGTTGGATGAAGGTTTTGGCGTTGGTGGAGGCGAGGACTTGGACGTCTGGGAAGAAGGGTGATGAGGTTGAAGGTGTTGAGGTTTTGGGGAGGAGGTGGCTGAGGCCGAGGATGTGGTCGTAGTGGCAGTGTGTTGTCATGACCAGGTATGGGAGGGTTTCGTGCGGGTTTATGGTGTAGGCGAGGAATGTACGTAGATTCCAGCGTGTAGTCCGGACATCGTCGCTGCTCGTGTTACCTTCATTGGCATTTGGTCGCTGGTGCTTGCGCGCGGCTTCTGTCCCACAGCCCGTGTCGCTTAGGACAACAACACCTCTGATTACGGGATCTGCACCTGCCTCGTCAACGCTGGCAGAAATGACCTTGGCGTAGATGTGTGGAAACTCGCCGAACTTGTCGTTCTCACGAATCAGCCAGAGCGACGCTCGACCAGCGTTGTTGTCGTTGCTCTTATACAAGCGTGTGATGGAGAACGGACAATCTGGTGGCAGTGAGAAGCTGGCTTGTGGAGGCACGGCATGGCGTTGATGGAGGTGGTAGGTTAGCACCATTGCTCTGGGCTCTGTCTGTCTTCTAAGAAGAGGCTTAAGGATAGTATCGACAAAGTACCCAAGCAGGTTACCAAGCTTGGCACTGTTGATCTTCCCAGAGAAGTACGTAGCATTCGAGGTGACATTGATTGGCAATTGTAATACTCTCGGCTTCGGGGAGGTATGCAATGCATGGGTGACGTCACGAGCAGTGCTGGAGGGAGGGAGCAAGAAAGTAGAGGCCGGAGGCACGGCAGGAGGACGGACAGTAGGAGAGGAGGTAAAGAGAAGATAGTGGACAGCGAGGAAGGAGAAGGGAGAGGGACAGTGACCGTGAATGGATGAGTCGAATTGCAGAGGCAAACCATCTGCGGTATTGCGCTACGTGACCGATCACTACTGAATCATGTGTGTGCAATCAAGTCTACCGCAGACTATTTTCAGACTTGTCTATCTCGTACCTCTTGACTTTGCCGCGATGTCAAGAGGCTGAGTTCCGTGCTCTCCACCACAGTTTCCTTGACGGGGACCCGTGGTACAGGGTTTGGTGCAGCGCGCTGGACAAACTTCCCAATCGTGTACGTAACGACCGGCTCACCAACAACGGGCGGTCTCACTGGTAACCCGCTGAAAGAGCACTGTACATGACCGTCGGCCTTGTCTTTGCTCACGACACCCCATCGCACCTTCCCAAGCTGAGCGTCTTTCGTGTCTGTGGGCGGGCGGCAAGCGATGGCGATCTGCCAGGAGTTCCCACTCGTGTCGGGAAAGCGCCAGGCAATCCTCCAGCTTCCGAGGACGATGATAAAGAGCACCAAAGCCGAGAGCAGGAGGGATAACACAAATGCTGATAGTGGTGAGAAGCCGATCATTGAGACCAGATACTTCCCAATATCGTTCGGGTCGGTGAACGAGTTCGGATATAGCGAATAGACGCGATGCAGAAACAAGGTCTGAGACATCACGGTATGGAGAATGACGAAGATGGCGATATTGAGCAGACTCCATCGCAGTGGTACCGAAAGGAAGTGGGAATTTCGTTGAGCTGATCCCTTTATGGGTGCTGATACCCGGAGCCCTCGTCGCCGGAGCGTATAGCCCCGGAGCTCCAATGCGGCACAGAGACGAGTGATGAAGTTGTTGTGAGTGAGGTATAGTGCGCTCAGTGCGAGCTGTGGCAGGTTGGCTAGGACAGCGCCGTTGATGTAGGATGTGTGAGGATTGTTCGAGTCGCTGTACGACATGATGCGGCCCATCAAGTCTCTGGTCCAGAGGATAGGTAGTTGTCCAAGGCCTAGTGCAAACATCTCTGAGAAACCGAAGGTACTGTAAGCGGTTTTGTAGGCGATGTGTGTTTGTTTGTACGTGTAGGCAAAGAGGCCAAACGAAAGGCCTACTCCTATGAGTCCCCTGCTGAGGTTTAGCAATGCCTGGGAAGGAGCCGAGGAGAGCAGAACTTACATCGCAAGCGGAGCAGCGAACGCATTCTTCATCTCTTTCATGACCGGATGTCGGCGTCCTTGTTGGACTTTGATGGACCGGCGAACGACTATGGCCTGTGGCTGGCCGTTTACGGTTGAGGGGCCTTTGTACCTGAGCTCTTCTGCCTCCGGAAGGTCGCTCGGCTGCTGTAAGAACGACGCAATGGCGTCTCCGATGGTGATCAAGGGTTGATCTCTGCTGAGCACGATTGCTAGAAGCATAGCGACCAGCTTTCCGGTAATGCAGATCAGAACAACAATCATGACAGCCATCGACGCGTTCAATTCGCACTGCTCAGGCAGTTCTCTCGCGAAGCACTCGCTAACGACTTGGTTGTCGATGATCCACTGTGCGCTCTCGCTGATTTGAGCTGGATCGCATGCCGTCGTCGAAGCCGACTGGCCACACAGGAAACTCCAGGGAAGTTCGTTGGACCTTTTTTGGCCGACATTGGTTAGCGTGTAACAAGTTGACGGGGGAGAGAGTCGAAAGGGAATCAGCATTGCGGTCAGACAGCCGCCAAGTGGCCGTGAAGAGGGCGAGGAAAGGCTTCTATAACAATGAACACCTTGCCTAGTAAAACAGGAAACCAAGCGAGCGAGCATCCATGATTCCTGCCATCCGACACATGGATCTGTCTTTCCCTCTCGAGAGATGGCTCACGGTGACGAAGAGGGGCAAACTTACTGCGGAAAGTCGCGAGGATAGGGGCTTTTGTTTGTCACGATTGTCCCAGAGTCACCTTCTGTCACAAGGAGCAAGTCACTCCATTGCGTACTCAGGCCCGTCGCGTACTTCTCGATGCATTGCTGACGAGCCAGTGGGACAAGTGGTGGCTGCTGGTGTACAATCATCTGAAGTAACAGCTCTCGCTGGTCATAATTCGGATAATCGTACTGGACTCCATCGAGGTTGAAGCCGGCGTAATATCTGACAAGGTCGCGATGTATGACAGAGTCATTGGCTCTAGCGTTCTGCAGGTTGCTGTTCGTAATTCGAACAACATATGAACTCCATTCTGAATTGGTCGACGTGTAGACCACTACCGAATTGAACATCAAATGCAGAGGCATGGAGCTGCACCAGAGAAGTGCGAACGTCGCCAGCTTCTTCTTGCTCAATACACTAAAGTTTGATATCGCTAACGATCCGATCTTGAGGCTAGAAGCCTCCCGGTGTGCATTGTCGATATCGATACGCGTTGGAGCTGCCAATCTCTGCATGACATAAGAAGAGACGGCATAGATAGCCGAAGCGACAGCGTTGATGAGGAGATGAATCCAGAAATTTGATCTGCTGACGGCGGAACAGCTGCCAGTCCGCAACGTGACAACAAAGCCGGCACCAACTGGATGAGTTGCGCCTGCCCATATGGCGAATATCAGGCAGAGCAGCCAGACAGCGGCTACCAGACTCAGACAGAGCTTGTAGCCCTGCTGCAAAGAAGGGTGAAGTCGAGTCCAAAGCCCCGAATTCCACAAAATGGTCTCATCTTCCACTCGCCGCCGACGTGAATCGCGGAGGGTTCTGTACTGGTTAGGCGCAAAGAAGACGACATGCTGTGTGAGCTCTTTGAAAGACCGCATGGTTCTCGAGCATGTTGGTACCTAGTGTCAGTGAATCGAAGTTGACTCCCGTGCATTATTCAAGAGCCTCGAAGACACGCAACCCACAATGGCACAGATCCAGATTGATTCTGATCTGGATCTGCATGATTATTATTAGGACGACAGTGCTCGTCCAGCTATGTGAGGCAGATCCAGATACCTTGTCCATGAGATACAACATCTGTCGCAGGTCTGGCCTTCATTGATGAAAGGTGCATTAGCGCTGCAGGCTAAATAGATACGCCTAAATCTTTGTGTCAGGCGCTGGGGGCCAGAGGATGACTGACCATTTCATTGCGCGTCATTTGAGATCTGACCGCCTCCAGGGCTGCCTGGAGGTGAATGGTCCGACCGCTATGTACTGCCCGAACTCGCACAGCCTCAGAAGGAAGAAGTAGCGAACTTGAAGGGCTACTGTATTGTTAGAGGCTATGGGCTAAGCGCCCAAGCTAGGGGGCTGTGTCAAACCGGCATGCACGTTGCAAAAGACTTTCTGACATTACACAAGATTTTGACAACTGTCGAAGTCGCCCCCTGGTTGAGGCGCAGCGGCGAAAGGACGGCTCGAAGCAGGGTTCAAGCATGGTCTGCTGTTGTTGCGGCACTGCTATCCGTGACAGACTGACAGTGCAACAGCTGTCTCCTTGAAGCTACGTCCATCATGCATGCCATACATGGTCGTCAACCCCTCATGGCGGCAACCGAAATGCTGTCGCACTGGCTTTCCCTGCTATGGCGTACTCTATTGCGACACGATGCTGCATCGTGGCATTCGCTATCGCATGGCACTGCGCGGCATTAGAAACCACAGAAATCGGCATCAGTAGCTCGGCAGCCCAATTGGATAGTGTTGGTATCGATGGCCCGTGGCCAGTCATTGAGGTCCTGTACAGTGATGGCCAGGACGCGTTGCAGCTATATCCAACATTTCTGAATGCGTCGGTCTTGATCCGGCCACAGCAGTGCGGCGATGCTGTCACAAATGACACTTACCAGTGTTCCGAGGTGACATATCCTCGCTTCTATGAAGCGAACGCCTCTGGACCTACGGAGACACTCTACAATACTCCTGTCAACTATAGTCGACCGTGGACGAATACTACTGAGTTCTACAATAATAGTAGAAGCCTTGATGTTGGGAAAGTCATGGCGTTGGAGGGCGGGCAATACTCACTGGAGGATGTCAATATAACGATACCAGGCGAACTCCATGTTCTCATGCCCAGCTATGTTATCGATCATCCCATAGCACTCATGTCTAACAACTCAATGGAAAGTCCACTTCTCACCGGACTCTTCTCGCTTCCCTACACCGCCGCAAGACTGGTCGAAACTGGGCAGACCGAGTCCGAGTTCTTCAGCATTCACGGTGGGTCAGTTGAGCCAAACGTGCCCGGCTCCTTGGTCATGGGAGGCTACGACAACAATCGAATACTCGGAAACCTTGTGAACGCAGGTCAAACAGGATTTGCTGGGGAATCTTGGTTCTCTTACAGCGGTCTCGCAATCACGAATGTCAATATCGGCGTGAAGGCCGGCTTCTTACCCCTGGACAGCTTGATGTTCAAGAACAATAGCTACCCGCAGGGACCATACAAGCAGGATCCACGTTTGCGCTACACAGTAGACTCCGCTTCGACCATCGATAACATTATCCTTGACCCAGGCGCGCCCTACTTCCACCTCAACAGTCGTATTTGCGACCCTCTCGCCGAGATGCTCGGCCTCGAATTTGACGAAACGCGTAACCTCTATCTGTGGACAAACGAGGCCGACGATCCGATCTTTCGGAGCCCGACGTTTCTCGAGTTTGAGATGGTGGGCTACAGTCCCGACGACACCTTCGACTATGGCACCTCATATCGGAACGGTGCTGCGCCAACAATATCAATCAAGATACCTCTGGCTCAGCTTCAGCATAACTATCATTCCTCGATGCGGGCTGCGAACGGAACTCTTCTGCCTCCAGCTCGCTACTTCCCATGCTCCACTTCGGAGTGGGACAAGCGCCGGTCTGGCTACTATCGACTTGGACGTCCCTTCTTCCAGGCAGCCTTCGTCGCAGCCAACCACCATTTCACCGACGAGCCCGGAATACTGGCCGAACATTGGCTGGCGCAAGCACCTGGCCCGGATTATATAGCTGAACATGGCAAGGATGTGAAAGTTGCCTCCAATGGAACCATTGCAAATCGAACGACCGAGGTGCTCGAAGCGAATGCTTGGACCAAGAGCTGGTCCAGCGTGTTGCCTATCTGGACCTTGGATGTGGACGGACGTGCACTGGACGAGGTCAATGCCCTGAAGCCAGCACAAGGCATGAGCAGAGCACGAAAGCTCGGCTTGGAGATTGCATTGCCCATCGTTGGATCGGTCGTGCTCGGCGTTGCACTGTACTTCCTCATCAAGGGATGTAAAAGATCGAGAGCTAAATGGCGCAATATACAACAGCAGATTGCGGAGGAGGATGCAACTGCTTTAGAGATCGAGAACTTGCTGAGCCAGGACCAGGAGAAAGAAAGGCTCGCACTGCAAGAAGAGCAGACCACCCGTGATAGCCTAGCACCAAATCGTAAAGCACCTGGCGCGAGAAGTCGGGTGAGCTCCATCTCGGCAAGAGAGACGTCGCATGGTTTCCTCCCGACCGCTGCTCGAAGTAGGCAGAGCAGCATCAGCAGCGTTAGTGACGTGTCTTCTCGGTACAGAGACGACGCAGGTGGCGACGAGGCAGAGCCAGTCCCCGATCAGGGTGCTTCGCAGGGCGCCCGTCTCACAACTTCGCAGAGTTACGCGGATCTCGGTGGTCGTGAAGAAGCAATCAGGATATGGCAGCGAATCAGCAGGCTCGCCGACGAGGACCCGAATCAGCATAGAGTCCGATGAGTACGAGCAAGACTCGAGGGCAGTTCGATTCGGAGCATTATTCAAGACCTTCAACAGCTTCTGATGAATTGTCTTTCATTGGTATTCGAGCCTGGCAAGGGACTCTGAGAACCGAGGGACCAAGTTCCAATGAACTGTGACGATGCAAAACCGTTGTGAAGTGACAGACTTCACCTGAGTCTGGTCATGGATGCCACTAACGCCCTTTGGAAAAAGATTTACTCAAAGAGGGCATTTCAGGTTCAACGCACCTCATTTTGCTCATTCTGCCCAAGTAAGCTTTCTTCCTTGCTTTGCGTCACTTCAGTAAGCTGGCTGACTGCTGCTCCGATCTCAGAGCTCTTGCACACCCAATCCTTCCACCATACCCGCCCCTTTCCTGCCTGATGTTGCGACTTCGCACCATACTCCTCCTTCCTCAACCCCATCTCATGTTCGACCCTCGCCAATGAGCCCAGACCCTCCCACCGCGCTGAACTCCGCGACTAACCAATATGGCTGCTCGATAGGGCCAGTGCGCTGCAATTGCAGTCACGATTGGGATGTTAGTGCTGATGGCGGTGGCACGACGTGCACACTGAGTGACAGCAACGATGAATCGGCCACTGGGAAACCGTTCGGCAATGCACTTCTCGATCTCGGCCTTCCAGTGCTTGCTAACTGTGAGGAGGTCGCGAAGAGGGTGAGTGACCTGAAGAGGGTAGGGCTGGTCGCCGGTGTAGATGCGCTGTTTGGCAGGAAATTCTAGGGACTCGACGACGTGGTAGAGGATCTTGTTGATGATTTCTTGCGGCAGGCGAGGCTCGATCTTTTGCTTCTTCTTATTCTTCTTCTTCTCCTTCCTCTTCTTGTTCTCCTTGTTCTTTTTCTTCTTCTTGTCGGCTGGAGTGGTGTTGTTTGTGGTGGTTGTAGTGGTTGTAGTGGTGGTGGTGCCGTCAGGATTGCTTGCGGTGTTGATCACCGTTGCTGTGGTTATCGTCACTACCTCACCGGGCTTCGCGATCGTGGTAGAGGAGATTGTGTTGGCGGGAGAGGAAGAGGAAGTCTGGCCGGACGATGGTCCGGAAGAGGAGGCGGAGGTAGACATTTTTGATGTCTCTGGACTGCTCGCTGTTAGTACACGTCCAACAGTATGTCACCATGCTTACTTAGTTCGGTCTGGATTTGCTCGCGATAAGCAGCCTGCTTGTAGTGTAGACCTGTGAGCTTTAGTAAGATAGTCAGGCGAATCGACGGCTGATCGTGTTCTATGGCGGGCGGTCTGTGTCTGTCAAAATCCAGACCTGAGAGGAGACATGGGCGTGCTTATATAGTCGAGAGAAGAAGACTGCTGCCACAGGTCAAGAAACTCAGCAGTGTATTGAAGAGCGAACTAGAGCCATTCATTGACCGAGAAGGGCGCTCAAGACGCGATGAATGCCCGAGATACAGCTACAACGGAAGTGGACCTGTAGTCACTGATACAGATAGACTCTCGAGGCCTCTGGATTGGCTCTTCTGATCGGAAGTGGGTAAGCTAGGAACGTCAGTGCTGGTTTTGCCCAGAGTTGTGGAGTGTCCCTAGTGCTTCACTTGCTTCTAGAGCAGTTACCATCGTGATTCAGTGCCGGAACGGAGGAGCAGGGTTCTGAGAGTCTTGGAAACAGGTTCTGGCGACTACTGGGAGGCTGGAGGGCGGATCATAGATTCTAGCAGCGGGTAGGGAAGGCATGCAGAGGAATTGGGAAGACGGGGGTCGGCTTCGTGTAAAACGGGCTCGAACGTCATAAAGTCTGGCGACTACATCCTTCGGCTCTGTTGAAGTATTTCGGGTGTGGCAGACGGCATTCATATCTGAATAGACATATCAACTTACAACATAGGGGGGCGACGTCGCAAATTGATATGCTTTGCCTAATGCCAAGACGTGCAAGGCTACCACTGTTTTAAGCTGAGCCCAAGCCTAGCACAGTTTCTTTGGGCAGAGAACCTCATGGCAGGGAGTCACAGACCGCCCCAGATACCAGAAAGAGGTGCAGATGTTTGTGCTGTGTGCAGAGGGTCTTCATGCCAGTAAGCAATACCTAGGACAAATTCCCTTGTTCTACAGGGATAAGGTTCCGCTGCAGCAATCCTAACTCAATCCTATGGTCCCATTGCCTCTCTGTACTTTCAGCAGTCTAACGATACTGACTTCTCGATAGCCCACTTGAGCATGAACGCCGGAACGATCCCTACCGCCCGCTCTGCATGAACCTCTGCTGAAAAGCTGCCATACGACCGCCGCCCGATAACCCGCCCGACTCCCTGCTCAGAGGACTGACCTCGCTCATCGGCACCAATTTCTCCAAAAGCTGCGGACCCTTCAGCGGGTCGACCGAGCCATACTTCTTGTTGCGAAGACTGTTATCATAAAATTCTTCCGGCTGGTCCGTGGACATAAGCGCAATCGTTTGGCTAAGCTCGTCGAGCGATTCGAGCAGGATGAGGTTGTTGGGAAGAGTGCGAACATAGTCGGCGAAGTGCTGGACATCTATGGACATTTGCTTGACAGCATGCGGACTGATTTTGGTTACGTCTGGTGACAGTGGCTGCGCTAGAATCTGCGATGCGGTATGAGAGATTGCGTTGAACAGCATAAGATCTTTTAGCTCTGTCGGCAAGGATATGAGCACTGTTGTGAGGATATTGGACAGATAGTTCGTGAGCGTCAGGATGTATGAACTTGGCTCTGATGGTGCTTGCCGCATCATATAGTCGTAGTCTGCGGTATCAATGAGGTCCGTGACCTTCAAATTGACCAGCTCAAATATACGATTTTCTGCTGTTTTCTGGTGCGTTTGAAATTGTGCTGTGGCACTGAGGACGAGGCTCGTGTTGGCAGTGGTGGGCTGAGTGGGAATGGTGCATAGCAGTGTTTCGAGCTCTGAACAAGCTGTTGAGAAGTGCGTCAAATTGATGAGGATCTGTACGACCTGCCCGAGATACTGCGATGATAGCTTGCTGACCAAAGACGCGCAAACCTTCGTAGTGAGAAGATCGTCCAGCGAAGTCCGAAGGCGGCTGTCAATGACAGACGAAAGAGGATTTGGCGTGGGGGCCTCGTTGTCGGAGAAGAAGTAGAATTGGTTGAGGAAGTTGCGAATGTCGATACAACACAATGGATACATTTGTGAGAAGGGAAAGACCGTTGGAAATGCCATCTGGTCGACAGGTCGATCCGGAGTGTACCAACTGACGTTGACGACCTTCTCGTACTCCTCGGCGTTTTGAATGGGCATGGGCATGTAGTCATCCGTTGATACTATCTCGACGAAGTCTTCAGAGAACCGCTGCTTAAGCAGTTCAGCGTAACGATCGAATAGTACGAGTAGAAAGTTCGACATTGCTGCTGTTCCATATCCAAAGCTGTTCATCGTCTGGATGAACAATGACACAAGGTTCTTGATGTTTAACAGATGCTCGGCGTTGTCGACCTGGGGGAGTGTCTTGCTTATCGCGGTGATCGATCGCTGACACAACGAGTCCCAAAGCTCGTCCACTTCTATGGACGTTCTCAAATCCGGTACTTTTTTCATGGTCGCTCTCTCCATGATGGCGAAGCCGCAACGTTCTCGAGCATGTTATGCAATGAGGACAGATCTTCTTCCATAAGCGTGACGGACTCTGCAAGGATGAGATCCCGCTGTCCCTTGCGGTTTGTAGCGTAATCGGCCTTGAACGTGTCCATCATATCGAGGGAGCGGTGGATATGAAGAGCCTCCAGCAGAGGCGTGAAGTCGATCTCAAGATCGTCATTCTTGAGTAGGTCATACTCCTCGCTTTCGTCTGCCACTAACTCGATTGCCGAATTGAGCTTGAATTGGTTGAGGTAGGGCGTCTTCTCAGCCCGTTCCTTCTGACGTTGCTTGCGCAGATCTGTGTGATAGAATGACAGCTCCCCAAGGTATTGGCAGATCTCTCTGATCCTGAACAACCAGGTGTTGAGATCTTTCATGACCTCATTGGCGATCTTTTTCTGAGTCTCGGGAACAGACTGCTGAATAATCTCGCTGAGCTTGTAGTGGCTCACATTGCGCAGATGTACGCTTTGCAATTCATCCAACGCCCGCAAAGCAGCATAGTACTGCTTCTTATCTAGCAACTCCTGGACTTGATTCGCCAGGCGGAGCACCTCCAGACAGTCCTGCAGAGCCTGGTTCGCTTCGTTGATGTTCTGTCGAACGCCGCGAGATTCCACGAGGGCTTTCTTTTGGTCAACGAGCTTCTCCGTGCTGCTTTGAATCGACTGATTGAGATCAAGGATCTCATTTGTGAGATTGACGGTCCCCTCTCGGATACGCAAGAGCTGGTTCACGGAGTTCACGAATTCTTGATGATTAGTGTTGCACTGTCGCTCGATCTCAGCCTCCCTGCCTGCCGCGAATTCGGAGAGGACGCCGAGAAGACGCGAAGTCTTGTTGCTGTAGCTGGCCTCCCGTAGTGACGGAATCAGTTGATCTACATAGTCGGTGTCTGACGACGAGGTCACGATCTGGACACGAGTCAGTCTTTGGAGCTTGGTGTCGGTGTGCGATGAGGCGGACCTGTTTCAACACATCTGAGGGGTCGTTTCGTGGCTTTGCCATAGACGGCATCGCGAAGCCCGATGGCCGCTGTGGGCCGGCGTCAACTTGAGTGAGCCGTCATGCGAAAGTTGCAATCAGCCCAAAACCAATCGCCTCGCGAGCTCAACGACGACCGCGACGGTCAGATCATCGATGTGGAAGACTGGTCGCTGGTCGCGAGTGTATTTCGCTGACTTGTTGATTGTAGAATCCGAAGGGCGAAACTTGTGGCATGTATGTTGAATGAAGCCTACTCAGGGATGCCGATTCCTCTCATTTCACCTCCACTCACGTGACCAACACCATTGACTGAAGTTGAAGCTTGGACCACCTGGCAACGGAGATGATATCCACACGCTTGACCACAATGCGTTTAGCCTGTACTGAAGACAAGAGACAAAAGCAACCTCAATTGTAGTTCTTCTAACCCTGATAGCAACTGAACGTAGACAATCCTCCTCTTGCTTGAATCACCCCTGCTCACCAATGCCCAACATGAAGACTAACCAGTGTTCAAAGGCTCCCCTTAGCACTGAATATGGTGTGAGTTCTCCCCAAGATGACTTATGACCAAAGCAAGCCTGCCCTCTCTTGATCGGTGCACCACACGCCTCGAAGAGGTCGAGGGCATTGCCGAGGACACTCAGACGGACGCGACGGACACGAGATAGACTGTCTCGTTCTCGGACTCGGTAGTGGACCGCTCAGCTCAGCTTTTTGAAGCTTGCGGTTTTCGCACTGCTGCGAATTGAACCGCTTGCTTCTGCGAGGACGCGTATTGCCTTGGAGCGGAACGACTGGACGGTTCGTGTACCTGGTTTGTCAAGCTGGACAACAGCAACTCCATCTTTATGACGACGGCGGCTGGTGATTGAATCCATGCCAATAGCTGGATTGGGCGACGCAGCTGTGGTCCGGTGTCTCGGCAAGGTAACAGGCAGATTCGAAGAGAATGCAAGTGTGCTTTACCGGCTTCGTATGACTCTACTGGTCAACTCAATGGGACGCCTCGGGAAGTGGGCTGAGAGATCCTACCGAGTGAGGCCTCGCTCTGGCAGAGTACCTAGTGCGCTGGCAGTGGCTTCTTCAACCGAGTCTGCGCTGGAGCGCGGGCATACTGAGGCCTTCGTCCGGCTGGGTTTCTGGACTTGTCTCACGTCGCAGCAAGTGGCACTTTGTCGATTGTCCTGGAAACCATTGGGCTGCTACTCGAAAGGATACTTTGCCATGTTGCATACACTGGCTTCTCCGTGAGTTGTCATGATGACAACTGCCTGATGCTGCAACCTTTACTTCCAATTCTGTCGGGCTGGTCTCTGGCTGCACCATCGTTGCATAGCAACGTCGTCGGTCTACTTGGATAGGAGTCTTCATTCACGGACGAGTCTAGCTGAGGGTTACATCTACTTATGCTAACATCTAAGCCATCCTTGGACTATTTCAGCGCGTTCAGGGCCTCTTGTGCTCCCATCTGGCGTGCTCAATGTCGATTTCGTGAGGTTCCGGACTTACTAGTCGCCGCCTCCGTCCCACGTGGCCGGGCCAGCCCCGCCCTAAGAGTCAGAAGGCTCTAATTTACTGGCAAAAACCGCCTTCCTGTGGTCCCTAGGCCCTCTATGGCTTAGTTCAACGGTTCTCTTCGTGTCATGCAGGCCATCCTGGTTCTCCTATTGGCCTAGGAAGCATTGTGGGTCGTCATTGCCTCGATTTGCCCTCGTGATTGCCTTGCATGAGTCTACTTCTTCGCACATTTCAGTCTGCGAATTCTCTCTCTTTCTTCTCTCCTCTTCTTCAACCTTTCATCCTCATTCTCTCTCTTTACTTTCTTTTTACCATCAGACACTCGTTCGACTGCACGGCAGTCATTCCTTCGCTTCTCCTGGTAAGCATACATTCATTGCATAGTCGTCACAGTTGTCTTTCATCGCCTGCAATTCCTAATGTCATGGTAAATGAGGACCATTGAATCAAAAACTTCATGGCCCAGGTCTCACTGCCAGCTTTCATGTCCCAGCTTCAAGGCCTCAGCTTGCATCGAGACCATCACTGCACACAATTCGTCTCTCAGATTCAAATTCAACTTTCATTACTTTGTCTTCATCCCAGGTCTTCATATCCCAGCTTTGACCCTCGACATTCATCCCAAACACTGCATCTATTTAGCTTCCTTCTACACATTCTCTCTTGCGATTCAACAGCTAACGGTCCTCAAGCATCGGCAAAGATGCGGTCCAACCACTTTCCTTCCAGCCCGCCCTCCAACGAGGGTACGGCTCCCACCCCATCCACCAAGAACACCGTCGATACGACGGTGACCGAAGATGATCTTGTTGCTGCCGTTGGCGGCCTGAGCCTCTCCCAGGAGAAGACGTAAGTTCTTCAAGCGTTCTAACCCCCTACTTCGAAGCTAACGCTCAAGCAGCAGCCGCACCAACGATCCTTTCCTCGAGGTCCCTGCCGGCTACAGTCGTCGTCCTCTCGTTGGCTTGTCTCCTACTGCCGCTGAGTTCACTCCTGGACATCAGCTTTTCAACAATGCTCAACTCTCCAGCCACCAAGCTGTGGTTGCTCAAGACGAGGCCTTCTCCAGCGATGCTGGACAGCCAAAGCGTGCTATCTTGGTTCAGAAGCACTCTCAAGACCTCGACAGCGGCATGAAGGCTCGCATTGTCAAGCTCCTCAACACTGCTCGTCTCATGATTCTCGCCATCGAATCCACCGGTTTCGTTGAACCCGGCGAAAAGTGTTTGGTCCGCTTCGACGACATCCGTGATGCGCAGAAGGCCTTTGACATCATCGTTGATAACATCGACGACGCTGATGTGTCTTACCTTGAACCCAAAGCCGTAGCTCGCATTCGAGGCTTTCCAGACACCAAGACCAGCAACTTCGACGGCCAGGTCACATTCGACATGATGTGGAATGAGTATGCTCGCCCTATCCAAACCCCTTCCATCATCAGCATCTTCAAGCAGACTCTCCAAGCCGTCTGCCGTGTCAAGATCAAGGCTTGCCAACTCCTCGACCACCAGCAGCTTCGCTGCCGTAAGCTCCGCGTGGAGTTCTACGACATTCATACTGCCACAGAGATCGTCCGCATGCACGAGTTCGAACACAAGGTACGTGATGTTCTCCCACAGCACAACGTTGATGCTGATACCAGAGTATAGGGCATTCGCTTGGAAGCCGAGCGCTACCAAGCAGTTCTCCATGGTCCCTACACTCCATCAACTTCTCCGACTCATGGTGGATACGGTCACTCCATCGATGAGTATGATGACTCCAGCTTTGGCCCAAGCGTCACTGGTCGCTCCATGGTCTCCTCTTACGGCCCTCCTCAACGCGGTCATGCTGAATTCTATGGTTCTCCTGCCATCAACGATCATGATTTCATGTTTCCTTCTGGCTACGGCAATCAATACCGTGGCTCGTCTCGCGACGAAGAAAACTCGATCGATGTCTACGCCATTCAAGCTGGTACTGATGTTCGCACCACTGTCATGTTGCGCAACGTTCCAAACCGCGTCAACTGTCACCAGCTAAAAGCTATGCTCGACATCACTAGCCACGGACGATACGACTTCATGTACCTTCGTATCGATTTTGCCAACCAGTGCAACGTTGGCTATGCATTCATCAACTTTGCTACTCCCGAGGATATCATTCCATTCGCTCAGGCCCGTCAACGTCGTCGCTGGACTATGTTCAACTCCTCGAAACAAGCTCAGATCTCTTATGCCAGTCAGTGCTATCCTCTCCCTGAACTTCTGTCGCTGACATCTTCCAGCTATCCAAGGTCGTGAGAACCTCGTCCAGAAGTTCCGCAACTCCTCTGTCATGTTTGAGCATCCTGACTTCATCCCGAAGGTGAGTGACCTCACTATCGTCATTTCGACTTAATCACTGACTGACGTTCTACAGCTCTTCGAAGTCGGCACTGGTCTTCCTGAGGCTTTCCCACCTTGCGACAATTCGTGGAAGTTGCGTCGTTCTATGGAGAACGCTGATTCCATTGGTTTGTTCATCCGTCCTGGTCGTCGTCAGCGCGGCTTCTACATGCCCGGTCCCCGCACCCAAGGCACTCATCACTACGGCTACACCGCCCCTCACCGTTTCCCACCCACTCCACCCTACAACCCTCCAAGTCAGCACGTGTATGGCATCCCTACTTCCATGGTTGGCCGTCCATCCTATCCTGTCTGGAATCCTCAAACCGGATATCATGGTCAGCCCGCTCGTGGCCATGTAGCCTTCCCTTCCCCATTGAATCACGACAACCGTGGCAATGGAACCCAAGCTCCTCCTCGTCGCAACAACGAGTCCAGTCCAACTGAAACTCGTCGTCGCACAGACTTTGGTCCCATTGGATCTCGTCGAGGCAGTCGTCAAGACTCCAGTGATGAGTCCAGCACTGAGACCTGGGACAACCCCAACCCCAAGCCCAAGCCCCGACGTTGATCACCACCCTTGTGAGCCCACCCATCTCATCCGTCCATTCATTTGCCTCAACGAATACTAACAGTATTCTCCACAGGCCTCTTTGCACCTCGTCAAGGTCAAGCATATCGCGAGGAGCAACGTCGTCGTCGATCTCAGTACGATCGTGGAACTCCTGGCGCTGAGATGGAGTTGCAACAGTCTGTGCCAATGCATCCTTCTATGCATGGACTTCAACCCGGCACTCACCACTATCGACCTCTGAATCTTCGACCACCGTTCTTGGGTCAGCATCTCTATCACCCTTTTTGAGACTTGTCATCGACGCAGGATTGACCATTGATCGCTCTGGTCCCACCTGTTGCACAGTCTGGAGAGCCCCAGGGTACGACTTGATTCAGCTCATTGGGCATCGAATCTTGCTACAGGGTGCTTCTCACTTTCACTTCTCGATCAGCACATTTTGCTTTTATCCATTCGACATCAGCCTCGGAGTCAACGGCGTTTCCACCAAATCTCGACTATCGGGTCCGACTACCGCGAAGGCGATGGAAAGGAGTTTGCTTTTTCAAATGTCATCTTTGACATCGATGTTCCTCACCACGAAGAAGGTAGATCACCACACATGTCTCTGACAGTTTCTCGATGTGTTCTACCAGAAGTTCGATGGACATTTCGGCGTGTAAATCACTCGATGATACCCCGAAGAAAATAGAATATGGACATGCTTGTACTCTAGATAGAAGTTCAAGATTTGACCACACTCATGTTCCTCGTGCTTCTCGTGCATCTTTCCTCAAAGCACCCATGAGTCACGATGTGAATTCAAGTATCGATGTCAAATTAGAGTGGTGTTGGTCCAAGCGCTGACACATGGGTGGCGCCACAGGGTCGTCTCGGCCCGCAAACATCGTATGATGAGCCATGAAAGCTACCACCTCAGCGCTGGGCGTTTGGCGATGTGCCACTGAACAATGAAGCTCAAAGATCGGTAGCTCAGGTGCTCGTGTTTCTTCAGCCCTTAAAATCTGAGGCTTCTCCAACTCTGGGCCGCCGCGGCCATGGTCGTTACCTACGAAGTTCTTGAGAGTATTTTGTCAAGACATATGCACCCAGTCGGATATATGCGAAATGTCTAAACGTAAGCGCGAGGAGCAACCAGGTGGAATGAGACGAAGACAGGCCGTCGGCAAGTCCGCCGCTAGCAATAAAGAATCTACTACTACGTCCAGCAAACCGGCACCAACACCACAACGGACCATGCATCGAAGGGACGGACATATAACGAAGCGTACGAATGAACCCAGGACGGGCATGGCAGAGCCAGGTAACACTGTTTCGACTCGCGCGCATGTCAGCGCTGCGGCCAGCAAGCCGACCACCTCCACCGGCACCAAACGCGTCGCACTCCGCCCACATCCACCGCGCAGGTCTCAACCCTTACCTCCACTCCCCGCCTCAGTTGCCACGGCCACCAATAACGTCATCACCGCCCAAGCGTCCGTCTCGCGGAAATCAGCCAGCTCGTCCTTCACGCCCATCAACAGCACCGAGATCTCAGCAAAGCGTCTTCAGCATCTCCACGCCACGGCGACGCTTCTGCAGACGTTGTTCGTACGGAACCGCAACCAGCATCGCGGGCAGAGCTGGTGGCGATGGTTGGCGATGTTGAGAAGGAGGGTTGGGGAGTTGGTGGGGGTTGAGGCGAAGCTTTGGCAGTCGAGGATGGGCGAGGAGGGTACCGCGGCAGGGATGGCAGGGACAGCGGTGGTGAGGCAAGCACAGCAAGCACGGCTACGCCTCGAGGAGGAGACGAAGCTTCTGCACGAGAAGGATGTTCTCGAGAAGTGGTTGCGGGAGGTTCTGGTGCCGAAGGCATGGGCTGCGTTCACGACGCTGGTTGTCGATCAGCAGTTCGCGGGATTGGGTTTGGTTTTGGTGGGCGTCGTTGCGGATGTGGCTGGCTTCGTTGGGGCGTGTGTGGAAGGAGAGGTGGGTCTGGAGGAAAAGGATGAGGGCGAGGTGGCAGGTCGGCATGTGCGGGAAGGCGAAAGCGGGAGTATCGAGCGATGCCGCGAACGACGAAGATGGGCTCGGACAGTATGCTCGTTGATTCTGCCGGAGAGGATCTGGGTCAGGTCGTGCAACGAGCGACTACTACAGCAACGCCGATGGCGATGGCGGCTGGGCATGATACACAGCCTGAACTAGGTGACGAATTTGATGAGGAGGCAACAACACCAGTATCGGAAGACGAGGTGCTGGACGAATCTTTCGACGGCTTCTCGTCGCCGCCACGTTCAATCACAGAACACGCCGTGCGAGTGCCGCCACTAGCGCCTCCAGGTCCAGACCGGCCAGACGCTGAAGCCCAGGACGTCGCAAGCACAGACGACGAGCAGCAAGAAGACACTGATTCGGAGCCAACGGCTGCGGGTGAAGCGGATGCAGTGAGGATGGGAAGGAGCGCTGTGTTGGCGAGTCAATCAAAGAAAGGGATCTCGCAGCAATCGACTACGACACGGCGAGCACAGTGGGACGCTGGGAGCTCAGGAAAGCAGACCATCAAGAAGAAGCAGAAGAAGAAAGGGAAGAAGCGCAACGCGATAGATGACTTATTCGCTGGCTTGGCTTGAGAGCTATCAATGAGGTCAAGATGAGACGGTTTTGACGAGGCGAGGGAGCAAGCACTGATAGCGCTTGCGGCGTTGGCTGCCAATATTCGACCAGCTCAATAACCGTGATCTGCCACCACGGATCGCCACCACAAGGACGTCTATCTCTGCAGCCGTACACATCGTCGAGCAGTTCCCCCAAAGCCCAGTTTCACTCGACAGAGACCACTCCACAGCGGTAGCGACCACACCTACGTGAGCCTCAACATGACTTCTGATGCAGACGAGCGATCTCACAAGCACCCTACACCGCACCTTGTACTAATCTCGCGCCCAAAACCGCGCTTCCTCACGAGCCAGCAAACCAACTCAGGCGGCTCCCCGCAGCTACAGATGGCCTTATCATCATTCATATCGAAGGACTGGTGATTTACAATTGCGAAAGTCATCGGGGAGATGGGCACAAAGCACGAAAGATCTGGACATGATGGATTGGAACGAGCACAAAGCAGCGACCAAGGAGGAAGGACACCAGCCAACCCGCAGCAGAAAGCAAGCACACAGAGTCTAGGAGTCAGCTCACTGGCGGGACCTCTGCTTGACTCAACCACAACCCTCATAATGTCCTCCAAACAGGTACTTAGAGCCAGAGTAACAAAGCCTATGTCAAGAAGAAGAGATTGGGATAGAAGCTCTGAATCAGTGCGACGTCGCTAGCTGGGCCCAAGTGCTTGCAGAAGTGAGTTGAGTTGACCCTTCAACCACCAGCCTTTCACGCTAAGCGATAAGAGGTGATTGAAAAGCCATAAGAGGCAGTTGAACATGAAAGTGAGGTGCGGAACCAGATTCTACGAGGCTGGGTTGGGTTGGTGGGGGCCTTTGTCCCCAGCAGGCAAGAGAAGCGACGGCCGGACCACAATACCTGGACATGGCCTGCTGCTGAGTCATTGGGAGGGCTGCTCATGCTGCCACGAGTGGGAATGGAGAACACAATAGCAGGCACCAAGTCAGGGCAGCGACTGTCAAGGGAGGCCTTCGTGCCGATCTCAAGCGTGCCGATCTCAAGCTGAGCGCATTGAATTCCTCCTGAAATCTCCGACACCACGCACCTAGCCTAGCCGTGCTATACCCACCTATCGACCCGGTACAAACTCCAGCAAAGCTACGCTCAACGTGACCGACTCCTCTCCTCTCTCGTCAGCTACAGTCAGGGACCTCACCAACTTGAAGCCGTGCTTGAGATACACCTTCTCGCCCCTCCTGCCCGAGACCACACCCTGACTTTTCCCACGAGCACTGGCCAATTCCGTTCCCCAGGCCACCAGTGCGCTCCCTCTGCCTAGTCTCTGGTACGCTGGGTGCATAGCCAGGAAGCGCAATTCCTGCTTGCCCTGCAGGTACTCCGCTACTGGAGCTGCGCATTGCTCTTGCCAGAGCTTCGTTCGATATTGATCTTTGTCTCGACTCAACACCACTGTAGTGGAGGGCGCCTCCTCACGCTCTCCCTTCTGATGCTCGCCTTCCTCCTTCTTCCTTCCCCACGCCGAAACCTGGCCCGATGCCCAGCTCGCGACGCCCGGACCCTCCACCAGCCAACCCGCCACGCCAACAACCACCTGCTCTCCTGGATCCTTCTCCCTGATCATGCCTGTAGGATCAAGGATCGCGTCGTCAACGCAAGCTCGCTCTTCAATCGGTCCGAGATACAGGTCCTCTGCCACCAAAACCACACATCCCGCATCGGCAATATAACGTCGCATTGCATCAGCATAGTCCGCATATGTATTCTCGGGATACTCTGCGTAGTAGGGTCGGCTCCAGCCAAAGAATTCGGTGTGGGAGCTGCTGCCGTTGTCAGGGTGTGGAGGCGTGTAGAAGCCTGCCACGCAGATTTTGGCCATGCGAGGGATGTCGTCGATGTGTGCGACACGAAGACCTGGGGACAATGGTGGGAGGTCGATCGGAACGGGCTGCATCGTTGTAGCTCGTCCTGAGGCAGATTGTTAGCTTAGTAAGTGAGGACTATTGTCACATGGGTCTCGGAAGGGTCTTCGACGTAGTCGTAATGGCGTCCATGGTGTGTACATGCTCAATATGACTTACTTTCAAGTAACGGTGTCGCTGGGTCAATATCGGCCGAGTGTGACGAAGGCGGTCAAACGAGGTAGCGGTCGTCCATACCTGAAAGCGTATTCGGATGCGAAGTGCTCGCAAGAGGGAAGAAAACCTGGCCTGACAATCCTGCTCAGGTCTCACGACGAATGCGTACTTCGTTGCGGGCGCCTGGCCTGTTGAGGATTATCAGTCCATGAAGTGTAATGGCGCACAAGCACGAAAGACGGGGTCAAGACTCTTGCTTGGTTGCTCCTTCCAACTATCTACTGTACCTGGATACACTCGCACCTTCCACACCTGCATAAGCACCAAATCTGTTAGCTCAGCATATGGTCTCAACACATCGACAGAAACAATGTCAGGCACGACCAGAAGTGCCTGCTCGCCCGATCTGAACTCCTATGGCTATGCCAAAATAGGTCTTTCCCACAACTTGTATCGCTTCGCAGCGTTGCTCGAATGTACACATTGGCGAACGGCCCAGATTTACTTTTCATACAGCTTCGCCATCACTTATGGCGCCGTCATTCATGCCGCCTTCTTGCTGTGCGATGGCTTGCGCCGACACAATCTCAGCGAGTCGTTTCAAGCGTGGTGTTTGTAGCCCTGGATCGTTATTAGCATCATTTCTCACTTGGAATGGTGTATTTAACTTACATGATGGCGTATATGTCTCAAGAGAGCCGTGATGACTCTCGGCTCAGCAATTTCGTAGGGGCCGCTGTCTTCCATATCAACAGGAGCGAGGAGTAGCACATCGCTCTTTTCGGTCACACGAGATGCCACAGCTTTCATGATCTCGCCGTTTATGGGTTGCTCGTAGTCGGCAACAAGGTATTGGTTCAGGAGCTTCTGGATTTGGTTGGGTGAAAGCATCCAGCAGATATCTTGGATGATCTCAATGTCGTTCAGCGTCGCCTTTTTGAGCTGTAACAGTTTCGTGGCTTGCATCAGATGTTCAAGCTGCAGTGTGCCTTCGGGCATATCGTGACTCTTGCACCATTCTTCTATCCTGGTGATGTTGTAATTTATCTGAAGGCCTCGCTTCCACGAGAGGAAGTTGCGTCGCATCAGGAGATCGTTGAAAGCGGTCACGCCAACCAACCTCAGAAGTTCCGTGACAGTTTGCGTGATGATTGAGTCTTCCAGATAATATGCTTTCATGGCCTTGAAAACATTGTTGAGCAAGCTGAGGAGCTGGTCCATGCTGAAAGCTGGTGTGTTGTTCGAAGGGAGCAGCTTCCCTAGGAAGCGGTTGCTCTCATTGGTGACGAAGCCTGGAAGGGACTGCGACTCGATGATGGCAGGTACTATCATCTTGTGAAGCTTCTTCTTGAGCACCTTCATCCACGTGTGGTAGATGTTGAACTCGAGACTTTCCAGGTCGTGCTTCACAATTTCTAGCAGTCGATCGTACTCGTAATTGTCAGTCTTCTGGGCCTCATACCAATCTTCGGCAAGGAAGACGAATGACAGCATCTCATGTACGTTGGACAGCCAGAAGGCACCCGGATTGACAGCTTCGTCGCCTTCGTGCTGCATGACTTCTTGTTGAATCGACTGCATCACGTTGGCCAGGAATCGTTCGGACTCCTTTACGAAGCCATTGTTCCACATTTCTGAAGTGACAAGGTTGATCAGGTATGAAGGGAACAGCACCTCTTTGTCGGTGGGTGCGGGAGTGGCGCCGGGTTGTGGGATCTTGATACCTCTAATAAGGCCCATAGTCACCTCATCATTAAGCTCATCCTCCTGAGCAAGTAAATTCTCTAGCTCCATCTCAGGGCTGTCCATCGGATTGAAAGTAGAACCCGAGAGGGTCTTGGTGTGAGCATCAAGCGCCATCGACATCGGCCTGGCATTGTAGGCACCACTATAGCGGTCGCCCTCAATGCGCTCGGCCGCACCTGCACTGCGTCTCTTCAGAGGCTTCTTCGACGACACGAGGTTGATCAGTCCATTAGCTGTAGGCTGAGCACCGTTGCCATTGACGAGCTCTCCATTGACCGGCGGTGGAGGTGCACGCTTGGCCATTTCGAGCTGATCCTGAAGGTCGTTGATTTGTTGACGAAGTGTGGTCTTGTCACTTTCGTGAAGAGTGTTGGCTTTTCGGACTTTTTCAAGCTCGGAGTTGGCACTATTGAGTGAATCAAGGAGTCTCTTCTGTTCTTCCTGGAGTCGCTTGGCATTCCCGAGCTGCTCATCGTTGCTAGACTGCAGTTTAGCATGCTCTTCTTCCAGGGCTGCTAATTTGGCAGCCACGATACCAGCTTGATTGGCTTCGCTTTGCAGCTCCCGAGATCTGGCCTCTAGAGCATTCGACCTGGTACGCATCGACTTTAGCTGGCTGTCGTAATTCTCGAGTTGTGAAACCAGATTCTTGTTTTCCCGCTTGACCACGCCCAGTGACTGCGTAAGTTCCACAACCTTGTTCTCCAGTTTGTAGGAGATTTGTTTAAGATCTCGGGCCTCTGTTCGCAAGGTCTTGTACTCGCGACGAGCCACTCTTCCACGCTGAAGACTTTGGATGATGACAACCTTCCTCCGATGCTGTCGGAAAGCTTTGAGTGAGCGGTGTGACCGCCAAGCTCTCTGGATTGTTGTTGCCGCATTTCTGTAGCGTGTTTCCATGATGTTCTTCCGCAGCAAGTAACCTTTCGCCACAGACCCAAATAGAATGAAGTTGTTGCGGACTGCATTATAGTTCTTGCGTTCCTTCGAGCCCCGCCACACGCGCTGAATGGTCGTGGCAGCTTTGATCTGCCTTATGCTTTCAGCTTGCTTGCGGGCGATGAAGGCACGAGTAGCGGCCTGAGCCAAGATGATTGATTCTCGGATCTCGAGAAACTTTCGTCGATAGTATTTGGCTCGGAGATTCTTCTGGATCATGATGGCACATTCTTTAAGGCGAGCGGATCGCAGATTCTCGAGAAATGCCAGCATACCAGCGCGGAAGAAGATTTTCGTCAGACCAAGCTGATACTTGTCGGACTTCTCTTTGGTCACATCGCCCAAGGCCTTCTTCAGGATATTCTGACCCATCTGTTGGATATTGTGTGTCCATTGCGAGGAATGACAGAGCATGTAATATCTCATCGCAAACTCCTCGTACGTCCATCGTGTTGGGTAGCCGGCAGTACTAATGCGGACGGTCTCGAGCACACCACAAGCACGCAACTGGCTAAGCACCATAGGACCTTCGAACTTCCATGACGCTTTTGCCTCGTTCGGCTTGATGCAGCGAATGTAATGGGCGTCAGTGGAGTTGATGGTTTGCATCAGCTCTATAAGTGAGCTCTTGAAAATACCGCCGAGGGTTGGCTTTCGGTTGACAGCAACACCAACCCGTCGACCTGGTGCGCTGGCAATGGTCTTTGTCACAGAAGCTGCTGTTTCCTTGTCACGAACAGCCGTGGCGGTGTCTATGACCGTGACCAGGAAGGGATTCGACGACTTCTTGAGGACTTCCATCTGTTCGTCGGGCACCGTGTCGCGGTTCTTTTCGATAAAGCCATCAGATTCATATGCCACGTCTAAAGCGTAATGACACACGGTGAATGCAGATTTCCCGAAGCGGGGCTTCTTGTAGAATTTCGACTTGTCGCCAGCGAAGTTGTGGTGCAGCTTCGTGACGAATTGATCGTCCGAGCCCATGGGTAGCCTGGACTCTTCGTCAAGGAGTGACAAGATGCCAAGTTTGCCTTCTATCAGATCGATGCAGGCTGATTGTCAGAGAAATCGATGAATGTCCAGTCGATCTCTTCTCGGATGTACTCTTCTTGCTCGAGCTTGAAGACGTGCTGGTTAAATTCCTGCTGCAGTTTCTCATTGGCGTAGTTGATACAGAACTGCTCGAACGAGTTCTTAGCAAAGTGCTCGAAGCCGTAGATATCGAGCACACCAATAAAGGTATGCAATTGTTGCAACACCGCGTCGGTCGCGAGTCCACGGTTGATGATCTCAACGAGCCAGTCGAAAAGGCTGGAATAGATGAATTTGGCAACGGAGTCTCGCACCACAGTGGCCTGCTGTTGGGTGAGATTCGACATGATCTTTTCTCCTCTTGTCACGAGCTGCTTTTTGATGATCCATTTCGCAAAATCTGCAGCGTTCAGGCCCAAGATGGCACAGGCCTTTTCCAGAGACGGCTCAGTCGCCGATAGTGACGAGTCTGTCCGAGTAGCTGTAATCTTGACATTGCCTAGGTGCAGTAATGCAGCCAAAAGCTTGAAAATCTCCCGTTGCGTACTTTCCGACACATTGATTGTTGTGAATGCCTTCTTCGTAATGTTGAACTCGGCAGCATCGTCAACGCCGTCTATTCGTGGATCGCCACCTTGATTGAGATACTCGAACTGATCTACTGGCAACAGGGACAGTTCCTGCCGCTCCCGTTCCGTCGCGCCTGCCACTAGCTGGTAGAAGATATGGTAATTTCGCTCCTTCAATGGTTGGAACACCAATCTTGACCGCTCGAGAAGGTACGTGCGTATTCGGGCGCCAATGATGTCTGTCTGCTTATCGAACATGATCTCGATATACTTTCCAAATCGAGACGAGTTGTCGTTTCTCGTGGTTTTGGCGTTGCCAAAGGCTTCCATCACCGGGTTGGTCGCGAGAATCTGTTCTTCGGTCTCACTGATGGCGTCTGCTCTTGATTTTGACCCTTTCAAAGACTGACCAGGCGTGCCTCGGGTAGCGAAGTATCGCATGATGTACTTGGCGCTCACAGTCTTTCCAGCACCTGACTCGCCTGACACAACCACTGTCTGATTTCTTGTGTCCCTCAACATGTCGGTATACGCCTCTTCCGCAATGGCAAACAAATGAGGTGCCTGCGAATTTCTTTGCTTTCCAGTGTAAACTTGGACCATCTGGGGAACGTAGAGGGAGTCGACCCGCGCAAAGGGGTTGGTGGCTATCAGCACGATGCCGGAGTATGTGTAGATCTCTTTCTGTGCATATCGAAGCTTGATAGCTTGTAGGATGGCTGGCTCGTTGAGATGGGACAGATTCGTCAAGTCCTCCGCCGCCTCGAACATGGGTGGGTTCATCAGCGGCGGAAGATTGGGATTGTGAGTATCTCGGAGGGCCTCCTCGGTGGTCTCCACGGTCGATGTCGAGTCATCAGCAGCTGGAAGTTGAGACCGATCTTGCCATCACCTAGCTTCTTCCGCTCAACGAGCTCTCCTGGTATGAAGCCATCTGCTGGATTCGGGAACCACGCACGGGTCCCGACGTCCCAGGAGGCCATGCTTGGTGTAGAGGGGATCGTGGGCTATCGATACTGGTCCAGAAAAGCAGCCATGTATATCCCAGACAGGCTCAATGGAAGACGATTAGCTCTGTATGGGATACAGATAGGAAGTCGTGGTGAAGATTAGGCGAAGGCGCCGCAATTACTGTAAGAAAGTTGTATTAAGACAGGAGTTGAAAGTAGCAGACCAGCACGCAAGTAGCCAGACAGTGACCAGCAGATAGGCACGAAGTGACGACGCTCCGGCGGTCAGTCAGGAATCAATGAGTGATGGTGGTTGCATGCTGGTGCTGAACAGATCAGACCAGAATTAATTGCTGTATCTGAATCTTGGAGGCTGCTCCCGCTTCAAGGAGAACGCGCCGTTGCCATTGCTGGCACGAGCCTCAACGCGGTTTAGCGTGTAGCGGAGTCTACTTAACCCAAGCCTAACAGAACCCCTGAAACTGCAGACTCCAGGCCCCTGCCTTGAACTCTCAACGCGTTTAACAAGAATTTCCCATGTGAACCGCCGAGGTCCCAATCTTGGGAACTACGCAAGTACGGTGCGGACAAGGAGGCCAGAGCACTTCAGAAGTATTCCTGACTATTATTACTGGCTTTCTCGGCGTACGAAGCGCCACTGGCAGGTCCCTCGTATTGCAAAGACAATACAGCCAATCACTTGTGTAGTGCGTTCAGGGCGTGTCGTTGCTGCTGCACGAGCATTGGGGTGCATGGTCTTTGACGGATGCGCTTCAACTATGCTGTGCATACAAACGGGCAATTAGAGACTGTGCCACTCATGAGACGCCTATGAACCGGAACTGCCACCTGATGACACCGCATATAGCAAGATTGATATGCAACCGGCGATCAACGCGACTGCACCGCGCCCTGATCCTTGAGATACCTGTTCAGGTGCCCACGGAAACTCGTTGGTCGAGGATTTGTTTCCCGCGATGACTCGAGAGCTGGCCCTGATGATACCACACTCAAGTCAATGAAGCACGGAGCCTTCACTGGTTTTTGCACTCTGACGAGTTCTGTTGGCTTTTTGGCTGTCCGCCTGCCTCGTCATCGTCGTCTTCATCAGAGTCATCAGCCTCCTCATCCTCGTCGTCCTCATCATCCTCTTCTATATCATCGATTAGTAGTGGCTGGGACATCGGCAGAACCTCACTTACCATCAAACTCGGCATCATCGCCCTCCTCGTACTCTTCAAATTGCAAAGCCTCTCCCGTAAACCAGTCAATGGCACGAGGAATCAATTTCTCCTTAATGTCTTCGCCAAGCTGATAGTCGAGCTCCAGACGCTCCTCAATGTCTGTGGAGGCATCGACTTCGTCATCGTCATCATCGGGAGCAGCCGGAGGACTGAAGAAGTTGAAGAAGGACTCGGTTGGAACCGTTTTCTTCACCACACGAGTTTGCTTGGTGTCTACTATCGTCAGTGATGTCGAGTCACGATAGCGTCAAACTTACTCTTGTTTCGCTGCTTCTTGCTCTCGACCCGGACTGTAAGGTCCTTGCCAGCCTTCCACTCAATCTTGTCACCCTCGGCATGGTCGTAAATAAAGTCTCCGCCGTAGCCGTTCTCCTCTCTATAGAAGTACGTCTTTGTGATGGTAGTGTTGGAGAAGAAGTCGTTGGAGGAGAATTCGAAGATCAGCCGGAAGCCAGGGCGGTCCAGGTATTCCATGCGGATATCGGTGAGGCTGCGGAGTGCCTCTTCGTCGCGGTCGGTGATAAGCTCTGCCAAAGAAATCTGGTTCTTCATAGCGGACAACCAGAACTCGGGGATACCAGACGCAACCTCGGTGGTGGTCTCCTCCTTCACGTCTTCATCCTTGACATCGTCGTCATCGTCTTCACTCTTTCCTGCCTCCACCTCGGCCTCGGTGGGCTCGGTCTGGCCGTTGACGATCTTTGCGCGCTTCTCGTAGAGAGGTGTGAATTTGGCGAAGTATTTCTTCTCGAGTTGGAGCACTTCTTCCTGAAACTCGGCCTCTAGTTTCGAGTGGTCTTTCTGGATCCCTTTCAGACCCGTGACACGTTTGCGGACCGGTGCAGGCAGAGATTCGACGTAGCCTGACGATTTGCCAACCAGAGAGCTGAGCTTCGACTGCATCATGGACACCAAGGCGGGGTTCTGAGCGAAGATGCTGGCTGCGGCCGCGCGGTCAAGATCCTCTGTTGGAATTATCAGTGGCTGCGACGGCGACGACTGGGAGGCTCGTACCTTCCGCAATGCTGCCTACGCCAGGAGCCTGTGCATGTGAGGAGATTGGCGCGTTGTTGGCGGGTGCTGGAGACTTGTGAGTACGAGGTATTGCGCAGAGTCATGGCACATACTATTCTGTGGAGTTCTAGTATCCGAAATCATGTTAGCGACACGCTTCGACTAGGTATGGCAGACTGGGATGTTCATGTGTAGTGAGAGAACGTACGGCGCGGTCATATTGGCACGACCCTTGGGTATCTCGGAGCCCATGGTGGACTGTTGAGGATCAGGTCGATCAGTTTGGTGGGAAGACTGTGTCAAAGAGACGAGTGGCTGTTGGGATTTTTGCTGAGCAAAATACTCCAAGATTTCTGATATCTGAGTGGCGATGTGAAGGTGCTCGCTACTATGCTGAAGCCTGCGGCCTGTCGTGCAGGGAGTCGAACAAGGGGACAAATTTTTGGATAAGCTGCAAGGTATTGAGTTTTACTTGGGGTTTGATAGTTGAGTCGCGCAATGGTGAAGAAAATAGACTGAAGGCGGAACACCTCCTCATCTGCCCGTCTGGTGCTGCCCCTCCAGACGTAGCCCTAACCCTACGATCCGAAAGTACGTGATCGTCGACGAGAGTTTTTGGAGGTACTTGTACTGTAACTCTTGTAACTCAAAGCATGCGAGCTGCATTGCTTGACGAGCCACCATTCGTAGACGTGATGCGATAACATTCAGCCCTCGTCGCCTAGAACAGGCGACCCACAGCCAGCCATGGATATCCCAAACCGCCCATCGTCCGCGACGCAGCATCGTGGCAGCTCGTCGCGGGGGCTGCATCGGCGAGACTCGAACATGAGCAAGTCAGTACCTCTACTGCATGCAGGTGCGATGTGATGGTAACACAAAGCAGTGCAAGTTTCGTGTCCGAAGTGGAAATGGCCACAGATGAGGTAGGGCATTCTTTCTTGGCTTTCCGCATGTACTGATCTACCTCAGCAATTTTCTGGGCCAATTGGTGAAAGTGTGCCCACGAGCGTGAGCGGCTTTGCCTACCAACGTCCGCGCCAACGAGCCGGGTCCATTGCCAGCTTCACCTACTTTCAAGAAGACGAAACACCCGAATTCTCCGGCGACGAAGAGGCTGTTGTGGATCCGAGCGACGACGGGGAAGAATATACCACCAGCAATGGGCACGGCGTTGATCTTGAAGCTCAGGACGGACAAGCCTCCCGCCGAAAGTCGTCTGGTCGCAATCGTACCTCTTCGGACGTGCCACTGCTACGCCGACGTGGTTCTGCCCGAAGCGACACACAGGAGCACGATGATGGTGGCAGTTTCAGCCAAAAGATGTACATCGAGGCTGAAGATCTGACCATGGTCATCGCAGGCTTCACCACCAGCTCCTTTGGCTATTTGTTGTACTTAGCAATTTGTGTATTTACTGCTGGTCTTGGGTACTTGGTGTTCAGGTGGGCACCACGCCTTGAGATCAGGTTAATTGGTGTACCTTCGCCATTACGCAGATGTTCTTGGGTTGTGGTAGAGGTGAGCCATGGCAACACAGTATACTCAAGACGAAAAGCTAAGAGTTGGCAGAATCAGTGGGGCGAGTTCACGGTGCAAGCGGTATCGAGCGAGGAGTATGGTTATCCTACGTCCACAGTCTTCAACGCTCCTGCCCAGGAAAAGCTCAACGGTAATGGATACTATGATGATCCCGAGATCAAGATTCTACGGTTCCTCGATCATCGATACATGCGGTTCATTTATCACCCACAAGAGGACAAATTCGTTCTGAACAACAACTGGTGGGATCCCCAATGGACAGACGTGAAGGCCATGCGAGCAGGTCTCGACTCCGAAGAACGCGAGCCAAGGGACCTGGTTTTTGGAAAGAACATGATCGAGATCAAGGAGAAGACCATTCCACAACTCTTGATGGACGAGGTGAGTTCTTCCGCAACTTTTGGTGCAAAGCTGAGTATCGTGTCAGGCGTTTCATCCTTTCTACATATTCCAAGTCGCGAGCCTCATCCTGTGGTCGATGGACGAGTACTACTATTACGCCGCAGCTATCTTCTTCATCTCACTCTTCAGCATTACAACCACAATCATAGAGACCAGATCAACAATGAGGCGCTTGCGAGAAATCTCACGCTTCGAATGCGATGTCAGGATTTTGCGGAATGGCTTTTGGCGGGCTTCTACATCGGCTGATCTTGTTCCGGGCGACGTCTATGAGGTCTCGGATCCTTCACTCACCCAACTCCCATGCGATAGTCTCTTGCTGGCAGGCGACTGCATCATCAACGAAAGCATGCTTACCGGCGAGTCGATACCGGTCTCGAAGGTCCCTCTTGTCGACGAAATGCTCGCTTATATTGATTTGGGGGCAACCTCAATCCATCCAAGCATAGCACGTTTCTTCTTATTTTGTGGAACAAAGATCATACGGGCTCGTCGACCTCAGGACACCGACGACGACGAGGCTGTCGCGCTAGCTATGGTCGTCAGGACCGGTTTCAACACAACCAAGGGTGCTTTGGTCCGATCAATGCTGTTTCCCAAGCCATCCGGTTTCAAGTTCTACCGAGATTCGTTCAGATATATTGGTGTGATGGGCGCAATAGCTGCAGTTGGATTTATTGCATCTTTCGTCAACTTCGTCAAGCTTGGACTTGCCTGGCATCTCATCATCGTCAGGGCCTTGGATCTCATTACGATTGTTGTGCCACCAGCGCTTCCTGCGACCTTGACAATTGGCACGAACTTCGCCCTAGCTCGACTCCGCAAGAAGGAAATCTTCTGCATCAGTCCCCAGCGAGTCAATGTTGCGGGCAAGCTTGATGTTGTATGTTTCGACAAGACTGGTACTTTGACCGAGGATGGCTTGGACGTGCTCGGAGTGCGCCTAGTTCAGCATCCCTCGATACGTTTCGGAGAAATTTTGGAAGAAGCACAGGCGGTCTTGCCATTCTCAAAGTACGACCGTGATCCCATGATCGACTACCAGGTCAACAAGTATATGCTATACACCATGGCCACTTGTCACTCGCTCCGCCTTGTCGATGATGAGCTCATCGGCGACCCGCTGGATGTGAAAATGTTCGACTTCACAGGATGGACCTTCGAGGAAGGTTCTGTCCGGACCGCCCACTATATTGAGCCTGGGTCCCATCAAATACCGCCATCTGTAGCACGGCCGCCGCCTGGCATGGAGTACGATCTCGACGATGCTGAGGAGAACGACAATCCACCACCAGTGGAGCTTGCAGTGCTGCGCTCTTTTGAGTTCGTGTCCCATCTTCGCCGAGCAAGTGCTATTGTTCGGCAAAATGGCGATGACACTGGTGCAATGATCTTCTGCAAAGGCGCGCCTGAGGTCATGAGAGATATCTGCACACCATCTAGCATGCCTGCCGATTTCGATGACTTCCTCAGCTACTACACCCACAAAGGCTTCCGTGTCATTGCATGTGCAAACAAATACATCTCCCGCCTGACATCTTCGGAGATGGATCGTATGGACCGTTCCGAAGCAGAATCACGACTACAGCTGACGGGCTTCATTGTCTTTGAGAATAAGCTCAAGGACATCACCACCGAAGTCATCGATGAGCTGAACGAGGCGAAGATCCGCAACATAATGTGTACGGGAGACAACATCTTGACCGCCATTTCAGTCGCTCGCGAATGTAACCTCATGGAAGCAGACGCGCACTGTTTCGTGCCTCATTTCCTACAAGGCGACAAGAGCGATCCAAAGGCTGTCCTCAACTGGGAGAGCGTTGATAACCCCATGTATCAACTAGAGGCCGAGACATTACTGCCCGCAAACATACCAGCAGAAAACGACACCGTAGCGCCGTACGACACGCTTGGTCTCAACAACTACAGCCTAGCAATCACTGGCGATGCCTTCCGCTGGATTATCGACTACGGCTCCTCGGACGTGCTCAAGCGTATGCTTGTGAAGGGCCAAGTCTTCGCGCGAATGTCGCCCGATGAAAAGCACGAGCTCGTGGAGAAACTTCAAAGCATAGACTACACCTGCGGCTTCTGTGGCGATGGCGCCAACGACTGTGGTGCTTTGAAGGCAGCTGATGTCGGTGTCTCACTTTCAGAAGCCGAAGCGTCTGTTGCTGCGCCATTCACGAGTCACATCTTCGACATCTCATGTGTGCCTATCTTGATCAAGGAGGGACGCGCAGCTCTTGTCACTAGCTTCTGCTGTTTCAAATACATGAGCTTGTATTCAGCCATCCAATTCACCTCGGTCAGCTTCCTGTACGCATCCGCCTCGAATTTGGGCGACTTCCAGTTCCTCTTCATCGATCTCGCCCTCATCTTACCCATAGCCATCTTCATGGGCTGGACTGGATCGTATCCCGAGCTCGCCAAGAAGCGACCAACAGCCAGCTTAGTGTCCAAGAAAGTCCTAGTCCCGCTGCTAGGCCAGATTGTGCTCTGCATACTGATCCAGGCAATAGCGTTCGAAACAGTGCAACAGCAATCCTGGTACATCCCACCACAGCTCAACAAAGAAAAGTCCAGCGTCGACAACTCCCAGAACACTGCTCTATTCCTGGTGTCCTGCTACCAGTACGCCCTTTCCGGAGTGGTCCTCTCAATTGGCCCTCCCTTCCGCCAATCGATGAACACAAACGGTCCCTTCTGCGTGACATTGGTCATCGCGCTCTCCATCTCACTGTATATGCTCTTCGACCCAGCCGAGTGGCTTCAGTCATTTATGGACTTGACTGAAATGGCGTTGGATTATGAAATGTTCCTGCTAACGTTGGCACTGGGAGGATTTGTGCTGGCGTATCTCGCCGAGCAGTATGTGTTTCCCAAGATGGCGAAGTCGATCGGGCGGCTCAACAAAACATTTAGACCTGGGCATGTCAAGAAGAGGAAACAGTATAAGGAGATTAGGGAGGACATTGAGCTGTCTCATTAGAAGCGAGAGAAGGTGTACACTAGCATGTATATAGCGTGATTCGTACATGATGTCAAAATCTCAGAGGCTTCCTCGACCGATGGGTGTACGACCATTCCCAGACCTCCTCAGTATGTGAACGAAGCATCAGACGTCTGTGACTGTTGGACGTATACATGCTACGTGGCAATCACCACGAATTACAATGTATTCATTGTTGCCTACTCCGTCGTCTGCCGGCCAGAGCACATGCTGTGTCTCAGGTCGTATGGGCGACGTCATGACTTCCTAAGAAGCGACGGGAAAGAGCATTGCTTGCAGCTGCGACACGGCCTTGCCTCTTTTACCATACTTATCGCAAGCAGTTGGAGACCTTTGAGTCCGTGTGTAGAACGTCTGCTACCACCAATCCTGATTTGTGTTCAACGGAAAAGTAACGCGTTCGAATATACTTCCATATCTGCCAAGGCCTTTGAAGAGCCTTTCTCACTCTCACAAAGGCACCGCCCATATAACAACAGTAAGCCGTGCCCGCTATGGCTTCGTCATCAACGGCCACAGAGTCACCACCACCAGCATCCGCCCCCTCATGGACCGACAGTCTCCTCGACTCCGGCTACCTCCCCCACTTCCTGCTCCGCCGCGGAATCCGCCAACAACTCTCCCAACGCATCGCCGCCATAGCCAGCACATCCCTCTCAGGCGCCTACACCCGCAAACAGACCTACATTGACGCTCTACGTACCCGGCCCATCGCTATCCACACCGCCTCAGCCAACGAGCAGCACTATGAAGTCGGCACCTCCGTCCTCCGCGGGATGCTCGGCCCTCGGATGAAGTACTCCTGCTGCCTCTACCCAACCGGCAAAGAAAGCCTCGCGCAAGCCGAGATTGCCATGCTAGACAGCTACGTAGCCAAAGCAGACCTGCACGACGGCATGACCATCCTCGACCTAGGATGCGGATGGGGCAGTCTAACCCTCTACCTCGCCGAGCGCTTCCCCAATAGCAAGGTAACCGGCTTCAGCAACTCCCGTACGCAACGCGAATGGATCGTGAGCGAAGCGGCCCGGAAAGGTCTGAAGAACGTCGAAGTCATCACGGGCGATGTAGTCGACCACGAGTTTTCCCCCCAGAAATACGACCGTGTACTCAGCATCGAACTCTTCGAGCACATGAAGAACTACGAACTCCTCCTAGCCAAAGTCGCGCGCGCGTTGAAACCAAAGGGCAAGCTGTTCGTGCACATCTTCGCCCACCACTCCACGCCCTACGACTTTGAGGATGGGTGGATGACGACGCATTTCTTCACGGGTGGGACTATGCCCTCAGCAGATTTGTTGCTGTACTTCCAGAAGGATTTGAATATCAAGCAGGTGTGGTGGGTGAATGGGAAGCACTATGCGAAGACGTGCGAGGATTGGTTGGTGACGATGTTGGGGAATGAGAAGGCGGTGAGGGAGGGGTTGACGGAGACATATGGGGAGGAGTTGGGGAAGGTGTGGTGGTATAGGTGGCAGGTGTTTTATTTGGCTTGTGCGGAGTTGTTCGCGTGGGAAGGGGGAGATGTCTGGGGGGTTGGGCATTACTTGTTCGAGAAGCCATAGGCAGACGAGTTGAGCCATGCGAGCCCATGTACGTATGCTGGCGCCATAGAGACTGCTGAGAATGAACATGAGAACTGTTCGCCAGGTAATCGCCTTCATCTGCCACAGCTAAGCATGGTTCGGAGAAAATGGTTTGCACAACAGAGAGGCATTCCTCTGCTCAAATATGGTACCGAGTCTGCTTGTTGATATATGTAGCGCTGTCCTGACCGCAACCACTGCTACCCGTTGTCCACGACGAGGTCTGCGCAGACTGCCACTAACAACAGCTACCTTCCGGGCCGGGGTGTCAGAGGTGGATCTGACGATGATTCACCTGCAAATGATCTGTAGTCTGATTTCTTTTTGACTAGGAGCACGCCGGCTCATGTGGTGCTTCAAATTCCTTCCTTCTGAGTATTCAGCTCAGTGATCCCAAGGATGTTTCCAGCCCAATAACGCAGGTCCGTCCTTCTTCATTCGGTAGAACAGCTATAGCACCGAGTCAGCACGTCGCCTCGAACCCTCCGCAGCTCCTAGACATACAAAGAACCACATCGCCGCGCCCAGCCCCGTAGCCGCAAATCTGTAGAATGGCCTGGCAGCCGCAATGTGCGTGACGGGGTGCTTCCCAGTTGTATCCCTCCAAATCGGCTTCCCGTGGGCCGCTCCTGCCATATTCAAAGCTCGGAACTTGTCTCGTCGGGCGGTAGGAGGTGAGGTTGAGTGATGTTCAGGCACGGGTCGACATCCGAGAGCAGCTGCACGTCACTGATTGAAGCTTCGGTATGCAGTGCAGGGTCGTGATCGGATTGTTCAACAATTGCATCGGCGTCGAAGTGAGGTAAGGTCGATCAGGGCAGTAGTGGGGTCGAATATAGATCTCCGATTCGTCACCGATCGTGAGTATCCTTGGCGGTTGGGTCATGCCCGCTCCCATCGTCCCCAGGCGCATTCATCGCAAAAGTCCAGAACTTCACTGAACGGCCTCCATCGCGCTCATATGCGCCTCATCTGAATACAAAAATCAGCCTCCATACCTGCCATAATTCAATGTGACGTCCATCGCGACTACGTAACCGCACACGACTGACTACACAGACCATACTGCCTCTAACAGCAGTCACTTGTCATACAAAGCACTTCCCGGCTTGCGCAACGAGAACAGTACTGGAGCGCTTCGCTAAGACATTGATCTAGGCGACAGTTCCGCTCACCCTTCATGGATCACTACACCGTGCGCGTCTGCCGGTGCTTGTCAACAGATCAGAGCGACCGATCACCACGCATTCTCTGAGGTCTCATATCCGGTCACGAACGCTGAGCGCATATCTCATCCGAGACTATCCCAAACATGGCGACCTCAACAGGCCGGCCGCTCGAAACCTTCGAAGACGGCCGGCCGCGCTTTAACGGCTGTTCACGTATCCAACAGTACGACTACATAGGCAAATTGGGCGAGGGCACCTTCGGCGAGGTCTCGAAAGCCAAGTCGAAGAAGACCGGTCAGATCGTGGCGCTGAAGAAGATATTAATGCATAATGAAAAAGATGGCTTTCCGATCACGGCTTTGCGCGAGATCAAACTGCTAAAGCAGCTCAAGCACATCAATATTCTGACGTTGGTCGAGATGGCCGTTGAGCGGCCCAAGAACCCCGCGAAGAAAACAAGCATGTTCATGGTCACGCCGTACATGGACCACGATCTGTCTGGCCTGCTGGAGAATCCGAATGTGCACTTCACCGAGCCACAGATCAAGTGCTACATGAAGCAGCTCTTAGAAGGATGCGCATATCTGCACGAAAATCGGATCTTACATCGAGATATGAAGGCGGCTAATCTACTCATCAACAACAAGGGCATCTTGCAGATTGCCGATTTCGGTCTAGCAAGACCTTACGACGATGAGCCGCCCAAGGCTGGACAAGGCGGCGGCGAGGCGACACGAGAGTATACATGTTTGGTGGTGACGAGGTGGTACAGGCCACCAGAATTGCTGCTTCAGCTACGAAAGTACACTACCGCCATCGATATGTGGGGTGTCGGGTGTGTCTTTGGCGAAATGTTCAAAGGCAAACCAATCCTCGCTGGCAGCAGCGATCTGAACCAAGCGCATCTCATATTTGGCCTCGTTGGTGGTCCGACCGACGAATCCATGCCCGGCTGGCGCGAGTTACCTGGTGTGGACGGTAATCTCGACTTCAAGCCAAGGCAGGCAACGCTGCGACACGAGTTCCGTGAATGCCGACCTCAAGCAATATCACTCCTAGAAGAACTCTTACGACTCGACTGGAGAAAGCGGATTAACGCAATCGACGCCCTCGAACATCCTTACTTCCACACAGATCCCCTACCAGCCAAGCCCGGCGACCTTCCAACCTTCGAAGATTCACACGAGCTCGACCGCAGGAAATTTCGAGATCAGAAGAACAAGCCTCCACCCGCTCCAGCAGGTGGATCAGTCGGCGTTGGCCCTCACGGCGAATGGGGCATCAATGGCAGACCGCTTCCTCCGGATCAAAGAGGTGGAAGACCGAACCATGGCAATGGCTACGGTCCTCGACGAGACAACAGAGGTCCGGATCGTCGAGATCGTGGCCCATACCCCCCAGCCGACTACCGCCATGGTCCGCGAGATCCTCGAGACGGGCCGCCTCGTGATCCTCCCAGACCGTATCAGCAAGACTATAGCCGGCGACCACCACCGCCGCCAGCAGACGGCCTCCCGCCACGCCCGACCCCAGGTCGCCGTCGAGCCATACCGAGAGCCGTACCGTCAAGGCCCACCGCCCTACAGAGATGACGATCGTGCGGCCCACGTCCTCGAGGACCTCCGCCGGACCGCCGTGGTCCTCCAGCAGTCGATACTTTCGTCCCAGATTACTCTAATGCCGATCCCAAACGACGGCCATATGACCGAGACCCAAACCCATACCCACCTGCGCGGAGAGGGTCTCGAGACTACGACGACCCAGTCCGGTACGATGATGGCCCACCTCGGTACAACGGACCTCCTCCGCGGCATCCACCACGCGACTACGACGACCCACCGCTGCGCTACGACGACCGAGAGCCACCTCCTCGAAGAAGAGGGTCAGGCGATCTCAGATACGATGACAGAGGTCCCCCAATACACCGCGACGACTTGCCGCCATCGAGGGGACGAGATGGTCCTCCATCAGACGGGCTGCCCTACGATGCACGGGACAGAGACCGCGACGCAGCCGCAGTCCGCCGCCGCCTATGCGGCGGGATTGGGATCGGGGCCCGCCTAGGGACAGGGATAGAGATTACGATTATGATCGCAGGCAGGACTATCGACGTTAGCAGATCAAATAAGAGCGCCGGGAAGGGCCTTGTTGCGGTTTCGTGGGCACGTTGCATTTTTAGCATTTTAAATATCTCGAAATGAGAGACCTCCACCAGGAAGGCTCCTGTTGCTTAACAAATTCTGACTCATGATTTCGCTCAGCCATGCTCAAGGCAAGAGCCGCTTTTTGGAGGCTACACCAGGCCACTGTTTTCATAAAGCTGTTGCATAGTGTCAGGAGAGGAAAGGGCATTCACCAAGTGCAATACTCCGTAGGGCAACAAGGGCCAAATTGCCCTGTCTGCCTTGTCTTGTTGCCACGTTGCCTTGGATGATTGCCTTTCATGTTGCACTCCTTGTTTTTGTAAAGCATTGCATTGTTGCATTGAGCGGGTGGTACCATTCTATTTCATTCGAAATCCTTTGAGCCACTTTTCCGCGAGTCGTCATCGTTCGATACACCGCCAGGCAGCACAGTGCTAGACATACAAAAACCAGATTCTGCTGGCAACCAACATTAACATCGACACTATTAGACTGCAGGGCTGGAGGATTCTGAGCAGGACCAACACGGCCAGGCTTTTCTCATTACTTTTAGTTTCCAGAACCACTAAGGAGTCGTCACCAACATTCCCGGGATCTAGAAATCCTCTAGCTGGTACAGCTACACAACTCCTCTCTCAAGAAGAGACAGTGCGTACAACCTAGAAAACGCTTTTCGGCATTCAAGAGTCATGGCGACCAGAACCGGGAACGCCTCGATCGCTCTCGCCACCGACGTATTGATCAATGACACTCTGAGCGCCAATTTCACTCCGTCAACATGGTCACTCGACAGCATCCAGATCAACAATGTCACATCCTGGGCGACTCAGCTAACTTTGATGCTCATCACAGCCCTCTTCCCGATTTACATCGCCTCACATGCTGCTCTCACACGCCCGACATCAGCCGCACGAAGAAAGCGACCTGACAAGGGTACTTCGAAAGACGATCAGGACGAAGAGGATGACGACGAACAAGACGTCAACCCCGATGATCTCCGTTCGGCATCAGACGCGATCGTTCTGCCAATAGTCGCAGCTATCGTGCTGGGATCATTGTACTATGCACTGAAATACATGGAGAACGGCATAAAGAAGACGTTAAAGGGCTACTTCGCGCTGACATCCATCATGGCGACCGCTGCACTGCTTGGCGACATGTTCCGGAATGTTGCTTCATTCATATTCCCGTCAACCTACTCCATCGGCTCAGACACAGCCACATTCGACTCTACTTTAAAGCAGTACATCCTCTCGACCCCACAAAGCCCCGACCGTCAGAAACACATCACCTCACCCCTCCCCGGCCGCATTCGCCACATTCCCCTACCAGCACCCCTCCGCTCCACCATAAACCGCCTCCGAAGCGCAGCTCTCACAAAAGCAACAATCACCCTCCACGCCCGATGGCTCGGCACAGCTCAGTTCAAAGCCACACTCCTGGACACCATCGCCCTGGCAACATCCCTAGCCATCGCCCTGTACCAAGCCTTCCTCCCATCCCCATGGCAGCTAACAAACCTCGTCGCATTCGGCTTCGCCTACTTCCTCATCATCACCGTCCAGCAAACCGCCCCCGCCACAGCAAAGGACACCTCACTCCTGCTCCTCGCCTTCTTGGTCTACGATCTCATCATGGTCTTCTACACTCCCCTCATGATCGGGGTAGCGAAGCATCTGAAGGATTCTCCGAATATGTTGGCGATACCGAAAGGTGATGGGAGCATGGCGCAGTTGGGGCTGGGGGATGTGGGGTTGCCGGGGATGTTGATGGCTTTTGCGCTGCAGTTTGATTTGTATGTGCATTATTACAAGCAACAAAAGCCGGCGGAGAAAGAGGGGGAGAAAGCGACCAAGGCAGAGTACAAGCCCGTCACTGGTGGGTGGGGCGAGCGATTCTGGACGACCAAAGCCGCGAGGCCGGAGGGGTTGAAAGCGAAATCGTTTCCGAAGCCGTATTTCTACGCTACGATCGTGGGGTATTCGATTGGGTTGACGGTCTGTATGATCATCCTGGAGGTGTTCAAGCATGGTCAGCCAGCACTTATCTACCTTGTACCAGGCGTGTTGGGCGGACTATGGGGCACGGCTTGGGTGAAGGGGGAGATGAGATTGTTGTGGGATTATTCGGTTAGTGATAATAAGTCTACCCAGACTGGATCGTGCCCTGCCAAAGGACCTGGCAAAAAAGTCAAGCCTGACCTGAATCTTATCCCCAATCCGCTGGTGGACAATGACGCTGATACCTATCTGCCGCAGCCCGTCGAACAAGACGAGAAGAAGGCCGACGATGAGAAGACCCCAGATACGACCGACAAAAAGGCAGAGATCCAGGCGCCCGAGACCACCGACGCAGTGTCAGAGGACAACGAGAAGAAGACCGACGACAAGTCTACTCCAGCCGAACAGGTCAACGACGAGAAGAAGGACAAAGAGAAGTCAACGGGAGGGAAGAAGGAGAAGGCCTCATCCGAAGTCGCACTTACACCAGAATTACAAGCCATCGCGGATCAGCACCTCGTGTATGTGGCTGTAAAGTTACCTGTGTCGATGAAGGAGCAAGCTACTACTGGCCCTTGAAGCAGACGTGTCTTGGACGAGCGTGAGATACTGCTGGTCTCCACATTTAGCATAGATATTCGAGGAGAATAAAATCACGAAGAGCATCTGCACAGTCACCATGTCCTTTTCCATTTCCATTTCCATTATCTATTATCCATTACCCATAACCGAACGCCGACATCTATGTACAGCAGAGTGGGAGCCTTGGGTTCTGTAATACTTCTCCTTTCCCGTGACGAAAACGCCGGAAGCACGCGTCCATCGTTGTTCAAGTGTAGGAGAACCAACGACACTCCAACCCTAGTGCCCAGCACCGTTCTAATCTCGCTCTCTTGCTTAGTCAATCTGCAGACGCCAGTCCTCGTTGGCCACGTCCTCCTCTTCTTCTTCATCCTCATCCTCATCTGATTCGAATCGCAACGCTTCGAAAAGAGGACGAACATTCGGATTTGGCAAGCGTGGTCGCCGCTCTTCCTGCATCCGAGCCCGTTCGCGCATGAGCTCTTCTGGACTCATCATATTAACGAGCTCGCGCCTACGCCCTTCCTGAATCGCCACAATGTCGACTTCTTCTTGCAGGTCGGCAAGCATCGCTGGTCTAGCTGCGCGTGGCACTCTCCTTGGACGATGTTGTCGGCCTTGGACTCCATTGGCTGAGGGATATGAGCGCGCCTGGCCCCGTTCTGAGCTCAGGACTTGCTCTGCTGAATTAGCTGCCCTTCCAGGTTGTATTTCGACAGCGATGTAACTCCAGTTGCCTGCGTCGGTATTTAGTTGCGTCTGTGGGGTGTTTGTAGCACGTACGATGACAGTTGGAGCGTAACCGTTGACTGGACGTCCAGCCTGAATCTCATTCCGAGGCGCGGGAGTGTGGCCGGTGCCAGTAGCCTGATTCAACTGAGGTAAAATCTCAGTTTCCGGAGCAGACGGCTCAGTCACACGGAGTCTAAGTGCGTTGTCTGGTCGATCCAGAGAATTTCGAGCGTGAGTTCCTGGAAACGGCCACCTCAAGCGCTCATCGAAATTGCGTGCATAATCGTAGAGCTGGGGATCCGAGGTATGACAAGCCTTTCTGAACTCTGACACTGAAACTGCACCAGAATAGATCGGCTCACCATGGATGGTCACAAAAGTGCTGGACAGTACGGCTTCCTGTCGCTCGTTCTTATGCTGCAGCAGTTCAAATCTCCTCCAACGCGGCACGGCGATGAGCGTATCGTCGAAAGGGTGATTGGTGATCCATAGCGCCCAGAAAAATTCGAATCCTAGCCCGGTGTCGCCTCTGGTAGAGTCAGTGGTGCTTGAACGAATGGCATCCATCGCTCTCTGCATTCCTGACCCAGTATCATTTGCTTGATCGCGCAGGATGAGAGTCATTTCTTCTGTGGTAAAGACCCTCCGCAACCACTTTCCAGGGGGATGATCGATTGCATAGTCCGCAATAAGGTCTTCGCGCGCCCTCGCAGTTTGCCGGCGGAGCGTATGAAGACTGTCGACCACCTTGATTTTAGGCAGATTTGGGACCAAAAACCGTGTATGAGGAGAGAATTCTGGGAAGATATACTCAGTCACAGTCTGGATCGCTCTTGTGCGCCAATTATCCCGGACCGTGAGGGCTCTTTCGAGAGTGCGTATGTGGATGCCTTCGTCTTTCGAGGAAGATTCAGGGTGGTCGTCAAGGGCTAGAAGGGCCATTTCGAAGTCCGGCAGATATCGCTCGTTCAGATCGCCAATCATGGCTGCGTGGGCATTGAAGCGGGTGATGTTGAGATCTTCAAGGGGGAGTCGATCGTCGACAACACGATGCCCGAGCAGCGCTGTGTCGAACGATCGGCCGACCACCCGTCTCACTTCGTCCAGTCCTCCATTGGCAAAATAGAGTCTCTCGTGTTTAGGATCAAACTTGTGAGGCCGCAAGACGCCAAGTTCGCCCCTGCAGAAAGGACAGGATGGCTTCTGATAGCTTCCAGACCACTCAAGCAGATCCTCTAAGCAACACGCATTACCACAATTAATATGTAGAATGATGTGCTCCGCGTCTTGGAGAGCTTCTCGGCAGATTGGACAGTGATCGTTCTTGACTCCTGTTGGTAAGAAAGGCGGTGAAGCTCCCTTCGTGATCAACCGACAGCCCCTCGGAATGAGGCGATTGGGCAACCTAGATTGGGTATCCATGATTGCCGGAAGTTGTTAGACGAGAGTTGGCGGTTTCCACGAAGGGAAGGGAGCTTGTGCGAGAATGGAAGTCTTCGCCATATAGGCAGTCGAGCCAACAAAGGCAGCCATAGCCCTTTGTGAATCGACCTCAGGCCGTGACGGCAGAAGCCTTGCTGGTGACAATCGATCGGACAATGGGCTTGTGCGATACATCGTAAGGCACTTGACAGCAACAGAGTACCTTACGGTCACAGCCAGATATAGTGACAAGGGAAATCATCTCGGGTGGTGACATCGGCAAACCCCTCGTCGACGTGAAGTCGGTACCGCCGACCACAATGTTGACTTCGGACATTCCATGGCGGAAAACTCTCATGAATTGAGATACTTCCAGGACTGCAGCAACATGTACTGGGTTTTTACCAAGCAAAAGTGGCAGAGCGTCGTAGTTATCCTTCACTCTGGATATGATATGCGTTATTGCACGGCGTGGACCCGTGAGAAAATGGGAGAGCCAGAAAGCGCTGCGTTGAGACCGATCCGGAACTGCATGGGCTTGCAGAAGTACATAGAACCATCATGAGCTTACCCAAAGCATTTGAGTGTTTACCTAATCGGGTGAAGCGTCATCGTGGTCATCCTCGACTCTCTGCTGACTGTCCGCTTGGTATGCTTGGCAAGCGATGCATGAAGCATTGATGCTCGGATCCAAAGCGTGCGAGTGCCCTTATAAATGCTTGCTGCACTCAGGCGCTGTTGGAGCTCTTGAATCTATTTTTGCCCGGTGATTTCGTCTGCGGCTTCGAGGCAAGTTGACGACTCGAGCGATTTGCAAGAACCGCAGCAACGTATTGTAAGCACCATCATACGCATTATGGCCGAACGAAGATCTATGCACGCTGCTGCCACTGGCAGAGCCGGCGCTGCAGAGCTTCCACGAAGAGGGTCAAGCCGCGTACTTGGTCGAACAGTCGGATTCGTGAACTGGCTTCGCGATGAGGGCAACACAACAACGCCCTTCGCGGGTCGGCTGGGCGGTAGCGGTGCCTTCGTTCTCGACCCTTCCGATCCCGACAACTCTTCGTTGTTGGATAGAGTGCCAGATGCTTCGCCAAACATGACCTTCCAACAAGCGTTCGATATGCGAGGATTTGCAGAACCTATTCTTTGGAAAGCTGGTGTGATCGAATTCTGGGGTGAGACCTTTCCTGCCGGTCATCGGCATACACATATGAGATATACTTACAGTGCCCTTCAGGAACACTTCTTTCCACTTTCGCTTCCGTCTGGTTTGCGATGTCACCAAACTTACCTCCTCCACCTCCAGATCCGGTCGGTGGAATCATCGACACTGCTACCTTCAAAGCAGCATTAGCTGGGTCCGTGCAAGCGGCGTTCCTGATTGCTCTCCTGGTCTATGGTTTCGGCAGCGTTTCCGGTGCACATTTCAATCCTCTGATCACATTCGGAGCTTTCTTTGCAAGACTCACAACGTTCCCACGCATGGTGATCTACGTAGGCATGCAGACGGCTGGAGCTGCCTTGGCCGGTTTGCTAATACGAGCCGGCCGAGATAGCAGGAATTTCAAGGTTGGCGGGTGCTTCATGTTCGAGGGGCCGGCCACAGTTGGAGGTGCTCTGACCGTCGAGATCATGGCGTGCTTGCTTGCACTATTTCTTGCATTTGGCGTCGGCTTCGACCCTCGGCAAAGAAATGTGTACGGGCCTGCTCTGGCACCTGCATTGGTGGGAGGAGTGGTGGGTGTCTGTGCTCTGACCTTCTCATTTGCCTTGGAAGGATACGGCGGAGCGTCGTTGAATCCGGCCCGATGCTTTGGAGCATATGTCGGAAGTCGCTTTCCTGGCTGGCATTGGGTTCACTGGGTAGGGCCCATCACTGCGAGTGCATTTCATGGTCTGATCTACTTCCTGGTACCGCCAGAGACTTTTGCCGAGGGTAGAGCTGTTCAAGAGCCGTATATGCCGCACGGTAACGAAAAGCCGGGAGTTGTGTGAAGGCGACATGCAAGAATTGGGAGACGATGGCAACTCAAGGTCATCCGCGCTTGCCCTTCGAGAAATATATTCACATGTTTGCGATTGCCACATCGGTTTGATCAAGTAAGCACCTAGAGTCAGCATTGACCCCCTTACGTAGGTCGCAACTGCCACGGTTGATCATGATAGACTTCAGAAGGCAGCATGGTCTGGATGGGACATGAGGTAGGTGAGGTAGGTAGGTTGACACGAACTGAGTCGACCCTGAAATCGAAGTGCACGTGTGTTGCACCTGGTGTTCCGTACGGCATAAATCAAGCCGGATGACCAGACTCTACGGCGGAGCCCTGGAATAGCGCATTCCGAAATTCATTCTCCAATATGCCGATGACTTTGCTCGATCCGTGTGAGCAAGGCTACATTTGCGAGCTTTTGTGAGGCCACTGATCACCAGCATCATGTCGGTGCCGTACGCCATTCGGCTGGCCATCGAGGCATGCAGGCCTGTGGGGATAAGAGCAACAGCAAGCTCGCGATTACGACCACGGCCACCCGTACATCTACGACCATTCAGTCACGACAGATGCTTGCGCAAGGACGACGACAGACTATCACACATCACCGAAGAGTTCCCCCTACCCAAGGCTGAGCCATTCGAAGGTGAACAAGCTCCAGAAGATCTCTCTGATGCGCCAGCCGCTGCTATACCTGGCGGCGATGCAGAGGCTGCGGCAGTAGAGTCCGCAATGCCCGGCTGGACGCCGACTCGAAGGACACCGAAGCCATGGCAGCTGGCACACAGCCCGTTGAGGCAGCAGCGCCACCGCCTCCAAGAGACCCGACGCCTCACACAACCACAGCGCCTGTGACATCGGCTTCTCCGTCGACAGAGCCATCGCTTTCCAAGAACAAGAAGAAGAAGATGAAGAGGGAGAAGAGGGAGAAGACATCGACTTCGACACCTTCAGAGCAATCAGCACCTTCAGAGCAATTATCGCCTTCGGAGCGTTCATCACCTCCGGAGCAATCATCTCCGTCAGAGCAATCATCTCCCGAAGAGAAGAAACCGAAACACCTCTTCCCGCCCAACGTCCTCGCCACGCACCTGGCCCCAATGCGCCACCAGCCGACGTACGGCATCCCGGTCGGCTCCCTCCAACTCCGCAGCTACTCCGTCCGCAACCTCGAGTTCTTCGCCGACTTCTGTATGCGCGCCGCCTTCTACCTCAAAATGCCTGCCCGTGGCCCCGTTCCCCTCCCCCGTCGCACCGAGCGCTGGACCATGATCCGCAGCAACTTCATTCACAAAAAGTCTCAAGAAAACTTTGAACGAATCACATACAAACGCCTCATCACCGTCCTCGACGCAGACAAGTCCGCCGTCGAGACCTGGCTTGCGTTTGTGCGCAAATGGCAGTTCTACGGCGTGGGCATGAAAGCCAACGTCTGGTCGTTCGAGTCCGTTGACGTCGCGAAGGAGATGGACGCCACATACGAGAAGTCCATCGCTGAACCACTCAACAAACAACTAGAGCAGTTTGGCTGGAATGAGGAGATGAGCAAGTTGAGTTCAGTGGAAACATTGCTGAAGTACGGGGACAAGATGAAGAACACGATTGGTACGCCGATGATGGATGTGGGCGATCGGTACCAGAGTGGCAATTATAGGGAGAAGTTCTTGGGAGTGGTGGATGTGGATGAGAAGAGTCCGTTGAGGGTGGGCTATAAGGAGAGGATGGCGCAGGCTGGACGGTGATGAATGTGAACATTAGTGTACATTAACGACAAGTTGTGGACGCAATCATTGTTGATCTTGTGCCGTGGGATGCACGGTCGATCGAAGGCTCTCGCACTGACATTGTTCCCATTGCATGGCAAGTGGTACTCCTGACTGGATGAACCCTCTCTTCTTCAATGCGGTCTCACAGGCAGGATCGATCGCACTACAGAGTTGTTCGTCCCGCCAGGCAGCAGAAAATACTACCAAGGCATGACAACGTGCAGTGGCTTCGACTTGGCCTGTGGTCGAGAAGGACATACAGTCGAGGCCAAGACAACGATTTATATCTCTTCAACAATGACAGAATCCGCCGCAAACCGAGATGGACACTTCACTGACTCCATTAGGAGCCTCCAAAGGCAGTCGCTGTACGTTGCATGAGTCGGAGTCAGTAATCATCTGTTCCGCTCAGAAGAATGTGCCTCTGGAACCTCATGTTGCATGACGCTCAGCTACAACCGTCATTGCTTATCGACTTGTTGTCTCATGCCAAACTCGCTGATGGCCAAGACTTAGAATAGGATTGCTTGCAGTAGACGCGAACTCGCCCGCGTGGTCGGAGAACGATCTTCATCCATCGTCTCCGTCCCCCTCTCCCCCATCCCCCTCCTCATCGCCCCAAACCTGCCTTCCAAAAAACCTAACAACCTGCCTCCCGACCGTCTTCCCAACCAACGGCTCCAACTGCCGCTCCGTCATATTTGCCACCTCCATCACATTCTTCGTCTCCAACGTTAGTCTCGTCGCATTCTTATTGTTAATTCCCGGCACCGTCTTCAACAAGTCCTGCGGCGCCATATTAAACGTGCGTTCTTCTTCGTCTAGTCCTTCCAAGCCCTCCTCACTCAATCCGATCTGCACCGCCCGCAACGGATCCGGCTCCGGCTGCCCCTTCTTCAGCTCCGCAAAGATCTCCGCCGTCTGAAACGGACTCGAGGACCATATGATCTTAAGCCGCGGAAACGAGATAGTCAACAGGACGAGTTTCGACTGCAAATCCCTCGAGTCCGCGTCGGGTGTCTTGAGTGTTTGGAGCGAGGTCAGATCGGCAAAGGGGTCAAGGGTGAACGACTTGTTATGTTCAAACTCAATCAGCAGAAACGGATGTTGATAATGTTGCAGCATCGCCTCCGCCTGATTCAACAACCTCCCGTTCTTGAAAGACTGGATCAAATCGGTCACGGACTTGCGTTCCACGCAGATGGTGGGGCTCAAGACATAGTCCGCCACGGTGAGCTGGCAAGGCAAGACGATGTTGCTGGCGCCGTGCAACAAGGACGGGAGGGAGGAGCGGAACTCGCGCATGTCGACGACAATGCAGGGCGGGGCGGCGGTAGCGGCGAGCTTGCCGCCGCCCGCGATCCGCGTGTTGATTGTGCGGAGGAATGCGTCGCCGTCGGTTGCTCCTGAGGTGGAGTGGGAGTCTTGGATAGTGAGGGCCAAGGAGGCGCGTTCCGTGATCAAACGCGTAAATGCTTCCTTTTCGCGACGAATGCGGGTGAGGTAGGTCTGTTCTTCGACGGATTTCTCGTAGTAGAAGAAGTAAGTGCGGAGGCTGGTCCGGGATGAGTGTGAGGATTTGTAGATCTCGACGCGCCGAATAAAGTCTGCGGCGGGCGAGTACATAATGATGTGAGTCGGGCGGACTTCTTCAAGGAGGAAGTCGTCGCCGTCGCCGGAGTAGGGATGTACGACGATCTGGTCGGAGGGCTCGTAGAGGGTGAATTGGGCTTCGGTGGCGGTCGTCAGATCGTCGATTAGGGGATCGTCGGTGGTAGAGCGCTTCTCGGCTTCGTCGGGACGGAGAGAATCGAGGAGGAGCGCGACTTGTGCTTCTCGGTCGGTTCCTGGTCGACTGCCATTGGTACCCATTACGCCGCCCCCACGTGTTCTCCTTCGTTTGTTGCTTGGCGCGCCTTTGGCATTCAGTCGGGACGCGGCGCTGGCGTTCTTGATGTCTGCGAGGGATTTCTGGTTCTCGTCAAATAGTGCGGATTGGACTTTGTTGAAGTTCTTCCGCCAGTGCAGGTAGTCTCGGAGCTTGCGACGCATCATCCATTCGGCGGAGCCTCTGCTTTGGTCTTGTTCTACCTCGTGGGGCGCTCGGCCGTTCGTGGCATCGTCAGCCTCGGGCTTGATATGCATAGTCTGGAGGTGTTCTTTGATCTGGCGGCAAGTACGCTGGTCGTTGCACATAACGAGCACAGTCTGCACCGGATTGTTTCCGCTGGGATTGAAATATGCTTCTGTCTCAATCTCGCTAAGAATTTCGGCCAGAAGCGCCCATTTGGGCTGCTCTTCGAGGACTGGCCTCAATGACGTCGAGATCTCGTCTGCTGTTGCCTCTGATCGATCACCACTGTAGACTCGATTCTTTGCCACGGTGAAGATGGTCTCTGCTGTCTCGGTCAGAAGCCAAGGCGAGTAGTTCTGCTTGGTAGACCCAGGAGGGGGAGAAAGCGTTGCTCGGACGGTGTCCAGATGCTTCAATAACGATATACAATCGTAGCTTAGTAAGTAATTCAAGATTTCTCGTAATGTCGTCAGGTCTCGGGCAATTTGCCGAGTGCGGAAGCTGACCCTGTGCCACACAGGATCAAGCTGTCGCCGAATCTTGGAGTCGAAGTTCTGGTGTAAGGCAGACTCGACACTCCAGTCGTCCAGGTCCACTCCAGAGTTCGCCTTTCGAAGTTCCGATATACACAACTCGACGCATTCGAGTACAGCCTGCTGTATTCTGAACATTGCGTCTGTCATCGGAATCTCGAGCTCTACCACGTCCGCCTTTTTCTTGCCCTCGAGACTCTGAGCCACTCTAGCATGGAAACGGGGATAGAGGGCGGGTTTCCTGAGGAAAAGATTCCGGAGAGTTGTGCCTAGTGGCGAATAGCCCGACTGCAATGGTTCTGGTGCGTCCGAAACTGCTTTGACGAAGCCGATCTTGTTGTGCTGTCGGAAAATTCGGGCGACAAATGCTTCCATGGAGGTCGTCGATACTTTTTCCGCATGTAGGAAGACCATACCCGTCACCGTTTCTGGATCGAGCAGTTTCGAAAGAAGATCGACTATCAGGATCCGAGTCGTGACAGATATAATACCGCCTTCCGAGTACAGTTTTTCTCGAGTTGAGACGCTTGCTTTGTCGGTATTGATCACCTTCAAGCCTCTGGCATGAGATGACTGGCTCATGACAGTGGCTTCAGCCAGCGCTTCTCCGATAGAGTGGTTCTCCTGGTCCTCCGCCCCGACCACGATGACGAGCGAGTTGCCAGCAGCATCGTAGGAGTGTAGAAGATTTGTCACGATCTTGAGAAGACCGAGGCCCCGGGCCAGGACGACCAGGGCGTCCTCACCACGCAAGAGGGTGTATATGTCTTGCTGGAAGGGCTAGAGATGGGTCAGTACCGTTTGCCTGCCGATCTCAGAGCGCTTACGAGAGGAAGAGCCAACTTGATGGGCGGCTGCCCGTTGGTTGCCGCCATCTTTGCATCTTCGACGAGGTTGTAGCCCCTGCAAGACGCGTAAGATCATGGACTGGATGAGTCTGCCTTGTTCAATTGAAGATCGTAGGCGTTTGCCTGATTAGCGGAGCCTCTTCTCTACCCAATGAGGTCATTACTGGGATGCGTCTAATTTTCTTGCGACTCGGCGATCAACTTGAATGTTAGTCTCCCATCTCGTCACTGCAGCGACATCTCGATATTGTTGAGCAGCACGCCTTTCGGCAAGATATGCGGCCATCCTTTGTGCCCTCGAAGGACGTGTTGCGATACTTGCGCTGCCAATCCGATAGAGCCTTCTCTCCTATAGCGACTGCTCCTTGTCACTCCATATCTCATTGCCCACGATCACGACGACAGTACACCTCAACTACGTCGCAGAGGAGCAGGAACACGACCAACACTATTGACGAGCTATGGCACCGACACCGCGACGCATGCAAAGCCCTGCCACCGCCGAAGACTCCTCCACAGCCCTCGAATTCTCGCAACATCTCCAGTTCGGCACAGAACTCAGGATGGCTACGACGTCTATTCCGTGCCCGTCAGCACGCCATCAAATCCAAGTCCTCGACAGATCAAAACGGACTGCCTTTCGATAACCAGTCCTACGAGGATACCTCTGCGCAGCTCTTCAATCTCTCGCGCGCCCTCTCCCGAAATCCTTCTGGCGCCGACCTCAAATTGCGCTGCACCGAATTTGACGCCAATGGCAGCGTCACCCTCGTCGCCGGCGAGTTCAAGAAGACAGACCTAATAGCGAAATATGGCCTACAGTCGCGCGATCTACGGAAGATTGACTCTTCAGTCCTCCCGCACATCCTCGTCCGTCAATCTTCCATCCTGATCAATCTCCTGCACCTCCGAGTCCTGATTCAATCCGACCGCGTTCTCGTCTTCGACGCCTACGGCAGCACCGACTCCTACACACAATCTCTCTTCATGTACGATCTTGAAGGCAAGCTACGGCAAAAAGCGACCCGCGCTCGCCAAATTCCTCCTATCTGCCCTACGAATTCCGCGCATTAGAAGCAGTCCTCATCTCTGTCACCTCCGGCCTCGAAGCCGAATTTGCGCTTGTCCGCGACCCAGTGACGCACATCCTACGCGAGCTCGAAGAAGATATCGACCGAGAAAAGTTGCGGCACCTGCTCATCCACTCGAAAAAGCTGGGCACATTCGAGCAGAAGGCCCGCCTTGTGAGGGACGCGATTGAAGATCTGCTAAACGCCGACGACGACCTCGCGGCCATGTACCTCACCAAAAAACGGGAGCTCGCGCAGCAGACCTCCGTGAACACCACAACGGCCGCTTCTGCCTCGACTTCAACAGCTACCTCGACTTCGTCCTCCACAAACGCGGCCACACACGAACCCGAAGAAGACCACCAAGAAGTCGAAATGCTCCTCGAATCCTACCACAAGATCTGCGACGAAATCGTCGAGATCTCCGGTAACCTGATCTCCAACATCCGCAACACAGAAGAAGTCGTCAAAGCCATCCTCGACGCCAACCGCAACCAGCTTATGCTCCTCGAGATCAAATTTTCCGTCGGCACATTAGGCCTCGCCGGCGGCACCCTCGTCGCAGGTCTATACGGGATGAACCTCAACAACTTCATCGAGGAAACAGACTGGGGCTTCGGCGCCGTCAGCGCCGTCTGCTTCGGCCTGAGCGCCATCGTCTGCGTCGAAGGTATGAGACGCCTGCGGAAAGTACAAAAAGTGAGAATGTGGGGTGAAGGCCCTTGGTCCCACAACGCCAATGGAGGTCGTCATGGTGGCTTTATCGCCGATCGCGCTGGCCACCAGCCCCAGCACAACCGAGGGAACTGGCGCAGCGAGGCGATGGAGGCGGCTGCGATGGCGCGACATGGTCGACATCAGCAGGAGAGGGTGCTTTGGCCTGGCATGGATGGGTTGGGGATGCATCGGCTGCCGGAAGCGGGTATGGAGAATGGTGGTGATGTGAGCACTGCTTCTGGAGTCGCTCCATCCATCAAGAGCGAGCGCCATCAGGCTACTGGCGCTCATGCAGCGAAGGTGGCTGCGCGGACGGCTGGACGGAGGAAGTAATGCGTTGTGACGATCTCAACTCTTGACCTCGTACGAGTACGGATTGCAGCATTTGTTGCATGGGAGTGGATTTGGTGTTCGTTCGAGCGTTCTTAGCGATTTGCATTTTTCTTCTTTGTGTACACTAGGGACGTATAGCGCGGAGTAAGTTAGATACATGGCAGGCATGGCTCAAGCACTTGTCCTCTCGATGTTGATATTGTATAACCAACATCTTCCTTAAAGAAAGCTAGCTAGCCCCTTCATCGCTTTCCGCGGAGATCATGGGGCAGCATCGCCATCGACCTGCCTGATTCCGAGTATCGTATACGAGCAAGCACGCAGAGATCGGATTGTGTGCGCTGACCCTGATTCAATCTCCCGCGACAGAGCGACTTCGTGGGCAGGGCAGTCATTGGGGATCTAGGACAGGCTTTCGATGTCTGCGAAACACTCTGTATGGTCGAAAGCGGTCAGCAGCTGCTGTGCATTAGAGCTTCCCTCTCTATCATTCCCAAGCTTCACACTATCAGAGCTTCAACGCATATGGCGTACCAGGTCAAATCCTGGCCAGCGCCATACTTTCAACACAGCTACATCCCGCAGCGCTTCCCTTACCAATCATCGTCATCGTCCTTCTCATCATCTGTACACAGTTCGTTAGCACAAGACTCCACAAGTATTCTACGTAGATTGGGCAAAACTCACCACTACCGCTGACCTTCTTCTTCCGCTGGCTCAACGCCGCCGCCAACGCACCCGCTAGTCCTCCTCCCCCATCACCTCCCGCACCACCCGGACTCGCCGCATCCACCCCCGTCGACGGATTCGCCGGCTCCGCACCCGGAACCGCTGCCGCAGAACGATCTTTTTTCTCACTGTCCTTGACTTTCCGCAGGCCGCCACCTTTTGCGCCACCACCGCCGCGAATTGCGGCGAGGAGGTCGTCGCGACCGCCACCCCCTCCAGAAGGTAAGGGTGGGGGAGCTGCGCCGCCTGGAGGTGGAGGTGGTGGAGGAGGCCCGGACGAAGATGGCATCGGCGGAGGAGGAGGAGGTGGGCCGCCCATGTCTGGCATTGGTGGTGGTGGAGGAGGAGCAGCATATCCAGACGATGAGATTGGCGGAGGCGGGGGTGGAGGTGGAGGGATATACGCATTATTGGGCGTTGGAGGAGGGGGAACGTGTCGCGTGTTGCTTGGCGGTAGAGGAGGTGGCGCCTGCGAATTCCGTGATGGAGGTGGTGGAGGTACTGGGGCAGAGACATCGCGTTCTGGGACTTTTGGTGGAAGCTTGGGAGGTTGCTGGCTGATGGGTTGACGACTGGGTGGTGGAGGTGGAGGGACGCCACCTCGCCGTGGTGGAAGCGGAGCTGCAGTTCTTTCACCTGTGAAAGGTGGTGGTACGCTGAAGCCAGGTGATCGCTCTTCTGCTGACGCGGCTGCCGCTCGAGGAGGTGGCGGTGGACCCGGATTTGCGTTGGAAGTTGCTCGCGATCGACCTCCCTCTCTGGCTGCGGGCTGGGCAGGAGCAACAGCAAATTTGCCGGCATCTGCAAGCGGTGGGGGTGCCCTGAACTTCGGCTTCGGCGGTCCGGCAGGTGAGGGAGTGCGCGGAGGTGTGTCTTCCTGCTCGGGCGAAGGACCGCGGTCCGCAAGCGGTCGTCTGGAGGCCGGTGGAGCAGGAGCCGGACCTCTCTTACTGCTCGAGTCTGTATCGGTCCTAGACATGGGCGGACCAGGTGGCGGCGGAGGTGGGGCTCTCCCAGAACTTTGATGTGGCATGGCCGACGCAATACCACTAGCCATCTCCTCAGCCTGCTTTTGCATTATATAGGACTTGATAAAGTCGGCGTTATTCTCAATCTGGTCCTCAGTGATACCCATCTGTACCAGCTCGTTCAAGATTGGCCGCCAGGTCGGATCGGCCAAATTGATGCCGCTGCTACTCAGTGGTCGCTGTACTTGGTTCATCTGCGGAGCGGGAACAGCTTGCGGCGGCGCAGGATTCGACGAGTGTCGGTTCCCGCGCAAGAAGTTACCAACGCGACTGCGAGTACCGTGGCTGCCTCCGTTCTGCATTCCCATAGCTCCGCCGCCAGCGTTCATGCTGAAGGGCTGTTTCTGGGTGTTCTTGGTAGCATTCTTCTCGCGATCGTTCATCTTCTTCATGAAGGTCTTTGCTTCCTTCTCGTCGACAAAGGAGAGTCCGGCCAGACATGGTGGGCTCTCGAGCTCGAAGGAGTGGAAGAAGGTGCGGTCTTGATTGTAGGTGAAGCTGTCGTAGATCTCCTGGTCCCATATTACTCCGCGGTTCGCTGGCGAGACGTCAACGAGCTTGATCCAGAAGGTATTGCCAACAAGGTCGTTTGAGAGGACGGCCGCGCCCTGAAGGCCTGAGTACGTCCATCGGTTGCGGTCGGGGTAAGCAACGTAGAGGCGGGCGACAGCTACTGCCTGAATCTTGTTGGTCGACTTTGGGATGGTTCTCTTGACCGTCTCCTTGTCATGGTCGGAGAGAATGGAGGGCATGTTTGTGATCCGACGAGATCATGCGACAACAGATCAACAGGCGATATAGCCTGTCCAGTGCCCAGACGAAGGCAGGCTTTCCAGTACTTGATCGCACGACTGTCGTGGAAGGCAAATGTGAGGCTGAAAGGTCGCAAGGGACGACTCTTCCACGGTGCCGTCTCCTCGATCTGATGAGGCTATCATAAAACGTAGGCGATATCGATGTTCGCTGCACTGCCCTGCCAATTTCGAGGACTTTCGGTCATGGTCGGCCTGTTCCTTGTAGCACTCGCGTGGCATTGATGGAGTCCCCCCGGGTATGCCTGTGAATGGCTGTAGGGTTCCCCACCATCCCACCCACAGCGAACGTCATCGAACGACCGTCACTGCCTAGCAATTGACGTCTTCACGTGTGCACATTCCAGCTAGGTCTACAGTCAACCAATATAAGAAGGAACAAGGCAGCAGTCATTGATTCTGCCGTACTACCTATCAGACCAAAAATTCCTTCGAGCGTCACCCACAGTAACGACCGAAGCAGTTGACGAATCCAAACTCAACCCACCCAACAGATACCCGCCATGCCTGTTCACCCCACAGAAGAGACTGCTCCCAGTGGTTTGACCGACAAGGTCGCCGCCGAGTCAAAAGACAGCACTGCCTCGGACCATCCGCTGCACGACGAGAACAAGGGTCCCACTAGCAAGGCTCATGCTTCGGACCACAAGAGCAAAGGCCCAGCTATCCCAGAGAGTATGTAGTTGCGGCGCACCATGACCGGGAGTCCAGCTAAGCTAACACAATGCTGCAGGCATCCCAGACGCCGAGGGTACCAAGGATGAACTGAAGGCAAAGGCAAAGGAGCTGAACAAGTGAGCAACGGCAGAACTTCGAGACATGAAGAAGTGAGCGGAAACCAACATGACCAGACTCTGAACCAAAAATATGTCGGGAGCACCCTTTATGCCAGAATGGTAACTCGACCAGGATGATGGCAGCAATGCCGAGCAAAATTCAAATTTGTGTTTGCCATCCAACACTGTGCTGCCATTCCACGTCCTTCGCATAGTCCTCAAACTTGTCGTTCATTCGCCTCCTTTGCATCGCTATCCTTCAACGATTTAACGATCGATTTGAACACGACCTTGGCCAGGATGGGTGGTACGGCATTACCGACCTGACGCTTCTTCTCCGTAATGCCCTTTGCACCCGCAAAGGAGTGGTACAACGGGAAGGTCTGGAGTCGAGCCAGTTCTCGAATCGTGTAGGGACGTTTACCAGAGGGATGATAGTTGTATTGACCAGCATTCGTTGTGACACATCTGGCGTGCGTATTGCCATCGAACGGAGCTTTAGGCTCGTTCGTAGCGAACTTCACGTCCACGTCGTGGTCTTCAGCGTTAGCTGGGATGTTGCCAATGGTGCTGTTGATGGTCGCCAGCGGCTTGAGACGTGTACCTTCGACACCGTGTGTAGGCTCTGGGAACGGAGGCAGAGTTTCTCCCGGACCAGCTGCTATAATGAGGAGACGCTTTCGGTTCTGGGGCACACCATAGTGCTGGCAATGTAGGAGCTTCCAGCGTACGCTATAACCATGACAGGCAAAGGTATTGATAATTAGATGAAGCCACTCTTTGTGTCTGGAGTACAGGCCCTCGGTCTCCTCGATAGTGACAACCCTCGGCTTCAATAGCTCGACCAGATGCCAAATAGATGGCAAGGCAGCTTGATTTGCTTCGTCACGCTCAAAGGATGGAATCGTATGCGCAGGTGAGAATGGCTGGCAGGGAGGACTGATATGTAGGATGTCAACCTGCACGCCATCGAACTCAACAAGTCTGAGGAGATGATTAGAAATGAACTCTTGAACAGACTCGCCACGACAGTCGACACCGTGATGGCCAAAATTGCGGCGGTAGGATTGCATCGCTGACGGGCAGAGATCGAAGCCCCACAGAGGCTTTAGTCCGGCATCAACGGCACCTCTTGATGTGCCACCAGCACCGCAGAATGCATCTCCAAACGTGTATGTCTGAACACGAGACGACTGTGCCGAGCCATCGAAATTTGTCGAGTGTTGAACTTCATAATGGCTGCCACCCATACTTGTGTCGCAATTCCGCCATGCGGCGCGGATTTCACTGTGACGAACGCGTGTTGGTTTTGCAGTGGCACTGTTGGAGGTTGGCCGGACAGTGTTGTCCGCGTTATCATGGTTAAGTCGTTCAAGGATATACTCAACAGATTGTCTGCGCTCGTTGACATATGTTGTGTAAGCCCAACGACAGAAGAGCGGGCCAAGCTCGATGTCCTCTTGCGCCGTAGCGAATGCTTTAGCGTCCTCGCGTATGCTGATACTCGGAAACGATTGATTGGTGAGGATGATCTTGCGATTTCGTCGAACTTCGCCGATCGTGACTTCATCCACGAACTTCCATGGGTCTAACTCTCCTGTTGTCAGGGGAATCTTTCGTATGAGCACGAGCTCATTGCGATTTTTGCGCATCCATGAGCCCACCGAGCTCTGTCTAACGAACTTCTGTCCTGTGAGAAACACCTTTCCGTGGCCGTCTCTCAGTACCTCCATGATACGAAGGAACGACCCGTCTGCGAGTTCAACGCTCTGGCCGGACGCACAGCGGAATGGTGGATTGTGACTCTGGTACAGAGCCATGGATGTACGTTCTTTCAGCTTCAATGCATCCTTCTTCGTTTGTTCGAGGCTCAATTTGCGAAGATGACTGCGTAGTTGCGCATCGGTCATGAAATCTTCTGTTTCGAAATCCATTATCTCGATAGCTCCTTCGCCTGGAGCCGAGCCAGGAACGCCTGCAGTTTGCGTGCTGTGTGGCGCAAGTGGAGGGATGCCTGCTTCCTCTTCAACCTCGATGGGCTCTTTGACGGTGCGTCCTTCCTCGACGTTCTTCTGACGCTTGATTGTTGTTGGTACTGCTCTGAAGTCAACTGCGTCGTCTCGAAGCCGCTTCCCAGCAAGTGGTTTCTCCGCCAGTGGACGTCGCACGACTTTGTTGAAGTAATGCCCTACGTTCGCCACTCGTTTCATTGGTGTCGGACGGTGAAGTATAGCATTCTCGTCATCATTGAAGCTGTCTTTCTTGGTGTTTGGCCCCATGTTTGCTGCCTCACAATGGTAACAGCCACAAAGGGGTCTCGTCGAGTGACTGATGCCGGATGCGAGTCGTGTTGTCGACTATCCGATGATGTAGTAGAAAAGGTATGGTTCGAGACGTTCTCTCAGCGACCAGGTACGATGCGAAAGGACAGGTTTTCGACTGTGGGGCAAGAATTGCAATGTGTGAATTGAAGTCCAATAGTGAATGACTTCCATCTTATACAGAAACCAACGGAAGCTCCTAGCCATTTGACTGTTACATGACCCTATGATTCGGGCACTGCTCTGTGAGGGCGAAGCTCTGGGTAACAAAAGAGATTGCTCAGAAGTGTGAGGTGACTTACCTTGTTGTGAGGACGCTGCCCACCATTGACGTTTGTGTGAGACACATAGAGCTCTTTGATTCATTGCTCCTCTATACCATTGACTTCAGGAGGCTTTGAGATGCTCGCATGACTGAAACTGTCGTGACAGCAGTGACGGTGGAACCCATTATTACCAGACCCACCGTCACTTTTTCCAGCTATCGTTGTCGTCGCTTCGAAAGCCACGAGTCGAGCCCGACTCAGAGTGAGGAGACTGTGCCCGATTCCTGCATACCATTCACTCGCACTTGCAGTGTATGTTTACCTACCTTGAAGTTCGTGCTGCAGTTGCCTCCAAGTTCTCTGAAGTCAATGATTGCATTTCCGAGCAGGTGACTGTCTTTTCATAACGGCAGCTGGACTTCAGCCGCTCCGACTGTAAGCACTCGTGCAATCGAAGGTTTGTGCTGCTTTCCGGCTCTTGTGAAAGTCATCAATCAAGTTTCTGTACTTCGTATGGCGCGCCTGTTCGTGCCCCGGAACCTTGGCGTGACCCTTGCCCGCCGAGGCTTGCCCGTCGCGGTCGCGTACTCGAAGGTGGGGCGCAGAATCTTTTTTCTTCGCGCCAACTGGACTTGAAGAAGTTGTTGAAGACGAAGTACTTGACAGTCTTTGCACAAGATGGCTCGAAAGAGGCAACAAGTACTCACAGTACATCAGCGCTTCGCCGCCTCACCGGTCGCTCACTGTTTCTTCACACATCACTCCTGAGGTCGAATTCTGCGCCGGGCTGGCGAACCGATATCTTCCGCTCACGGACCGCCCCGCAAACATTCATTGCTGTTGATCTGATCGCATGGTTCAAGAGCCGATCGCTGGTGAGTACCATATTGCACCCTACCTTGCAGAACTGTCGGGATGAGCCTAGTATATTTTAAGATGTTAGACTTCATAACTACATTGCTGAGCAAACACGGCCTGAACTGAATCGCATACAAAAGTGGATGATCGGAAACTTGCAGCGGCACAAGTACTGATAAGATCACAGGATAGTTACACGACATCATGTGCGGCATCCTCGCGCTCATATTGGCGAATGCCAACTCGAACAACGCTGCCGTCGACCTTCACGATGCGCTCTACCTCCTTCAACATCGCGGGCAAGATGCATGCGGTATATCGACCTGTGCTCCTGGAGGACGGATCTACCAGTGCAAGGGCAATGGTCTTGCGGCCAAGGTCTTTCGAGATGGCTCAAGAATAATGGACCTGCCTGGATTCATGGGTGTGGGCCACCTGCGATATCCCACAGCTGGCAGCAGCGCCAACGCAGAAGCGCAACCATTCTACGTCAACAGCCCGTATGGCATCGTGTTCGCCCACAATGGCAACCTCATCAACGCGCCTGAACTCAAGCGATTTCTCGATTACGAAGCACATCGTCACATCAACACCGACAGCGATAGCGAACTGATGCTTAATGTCTTCGCCAATGAGCTGAACGAGACCGGAAAGGCCAGAGTCAACGAGAACGACATCGCAATGGCGCTCTCCCGCATGTATGCACGCTGTAAGGGCGGCTGGGCATGTACAGCTATGCTTGCTGGCTACGGCCTGATCGGTTTTCGAGATGCTTATGGCATTCGACCCCTTGTGCTGGGTGAGCGAGACTCCTCCGAAGGCTCTGGCAAGGACTACATGATGGCCTCCGAATCTGTGGCGTTGGAACAGCTTGGCTTCAGCGTCATCCGAGACATACTTCCTGGCGAGGCCGTCATCATTGCAAAAGGCCTTGAGCCTCACTTCCGACAAGTCCAGGAACGCAAAGACTACGCGCCAGATATCTTCGAATATGTCTACTTCGCCAGGCCCGACTCTGTCATGGATGGGATCAGTGTCCACCGCAGTCGGCAACATATGGGCGTTCGCCTAGCCGAGAAGATCAAGGCTACACTCTCCGAGGCCGAGCTTCGCGAGATCGACGTCGTTATCCCAATCCCAGAAACATCCGTCACATCGGCCTCTGTGGTCGCAAAAATGCTGGACAAAGAATACTGTCAAGGCTTCGTCAAGAACCGATACGTCTTCCGCACCTTCATCATGCCCCAACAGAAAGAACGACAGAAGGGCGTCCGACGAAAACTCAACGCCATGGCCATGGAATTCAAAGGCAGAAACGTCCTCCTCGTTGACGATAGCATTGTCCGAGGAACCACCTCCCGCGAAATCGTAACAATGGCCCGCCAATCCGGGGCCCTCAAAGTCCACTTCGCCAGCTGCGCCCCACCCATAACCCATACACACATCTATGGTATCGACCTGGCCTCCCCGTCCGAACTCGTTGCGCACAACTATATCGGCGAGTCCGCCATTGCCGAACACATTGGCGCCGACAGCGTCGTCTACCAGACCCTGGATGACTTGAAGGCTTCCTGCACTGACGCCGCAAAAGAAGCGAACGCTACCACCGCGCCAACGAATTTCGAGGTTGGCGTGTTTTGCGGGAAGTATATCACCCCCGTCGATGAGGGATATTTCCAGCATCTGGAAAAGCTCCGCGGCGAAAACAGGAAACTCAAAGTAGCGCATGTTGCGAGACAAGCAGTCGCACAAGGCACCGCAGACGAAACACAGGTGCTGATTGCGACGAATGGAGTGGACGTTGCGGCTGATGGGAAAGTTGTGCCTGCTTCCACAAACGGCACGCATGCTCATGCTGGAGCGCGGATCCAGACGAACGGCATCAAAGCTGGTGACGACGACAACGTGGACAAATCGAGTCCAACTGTGCGGATGAGTCAGGATATTTCGATACACAACTACAACGACTTCCCGCCGGATGGCTAGGCTGGTCAGGGAGGAACTGTTGGCGATTTAGAGCGCTTGCAGAAGTGCCTGCGTACCTCGTTAGGACGCCATTTCGAATATCGAGCATGAGGTCTATTCCGAAGCGGCCATCGTCCTTCTGTCGCTGTACATATCACACATAGAACTATCCGGCCTCACGGCAACGGCATTGAAATGACGAACAAAGAGTTGAACAGGGGGAGTCCGTCACTGACAGACCAACCTTCATATATTGACATAACCTGAAATCTACATGCAATATCGGCATTGTGTTGCAGATTTCATCTCAAAGCAGCGTTTAGGATAGCACCTGCGAATTGCCATTCATTTCATCATCGAAACCACAGTAAATTCGCTGCGACTATTAGATTCTACAGTCCTTCATAGAGTGCTCATGAGCACATGCCAATCCTTCCACCGCTGCTGGCAGACATCCACGACTCGCGTGAGCTGCTCAACACCCACATGACTGCCGCCACTCTTCTCTATCCGGACAAGCTCAGTGTCTCCGCTACCCTTACCATAGTCGACGACGACACAGCCCGTCTCGGGGCAGCACTCTTCCTCTATGCCCTCGAGGTCTACCAGCAGCACTGCGTCTTCGAGCTTGTGCCCTTTCGGCCCATTTGCGCTTCCTTCAGTCTGCTCGTTGGGATCTCGCCGCCGTAATACGTCCAGGACCCTCCGATCGAGCACGCATACGCCGAAGCTCAGGGGGACAGGCATGCCCCTCAAGGTGAGTCGTCTCATTTGAGATGTGTCACTGCTGCAAACCACTCTCCCCTGGTCCCTGTCCCACCTCGCATCTGGCAGTTTAGTGGTCTTCAACGCCGCAAGTACAGCAAGCCACGCTGTGTCGAAGACCGCTCCACTGCTGCTTCCGTGGGATAGACAGACCATGTCGATGTAGAGCGTGTAGTATGCTTGATGGTCCTGGTTGTGTTCTGACCGACGTCGTCCTGGGCGTCATCCACGACCATCGAGTCCTCGCCTTCGTCCACCGCAGCTTCGTTGTCTTCGGCGCCCTCGTCGTAGATCTCGAGATCCCGTACATCCACAAATTTGCTGCCCAGCAGTAGACTCAACACCCGCTGCGTCACGTTCATCTGCTCCTGACTCGGCGGGGCGTTCGCTGGATGCAGCGGCGAGCAGCCCGTGTCTAGACTCAGATTTGGTACTAGTAGATTATAGTCCCCGAGCACCCTATCCCTGTCCTCCTCTTCTTCGGCTCCCCCATCATCAACCGTCCGTCCAGACTCCGCAGCCTCCCACTCTCCCACCGTCCTCCCCACAGCATCCCGCACGCTCCAGCTGGGTATGTCCGCAACGTTGAGGATCTCGGCGCGCACGCCGCAGACGATAGTGGTGGAGCCGATGCGCACGACGGAGGAGCCGTGGGTGTGTGTGAGGGCGGAGGTATTGAGGTGGATTTTGTTGGGTTCGAGGGGGGCACGGCCGGATGGGCGCCGTGGTTGTGAATCTTGGTCGGAGGACTGTGTGAGGTAGGTGGAGAGGAGACTTAATGGCGAGATGAGAGGCATCGCGTGTGGTGGGACGCCGTTGGTGGAGGCGGTCTGTTGTTCTAGTGGGCTTGCAAGGGAGCCCATGGCCGCTGGAGCGGCAAAAAGGCTTCCCGGTTGCAAATGAGCTATCTGTCTCAATTCTAGCTACCCATGATGGTCTGGCCTGGCGTCAACAGCCTGTGGATCGTGGACGGTATCGCTATGGCGGGGAATGACAAGCCTGGCTGCAGTTGGGATGGTCTGTAGTCTGACGGTGGTGTCGCAGGAGCAGGAAAGGGTCAGGCCGAAGGTAGTTGGCGGTCGATCGAGTCGATCGGAGGATCAGTCTCAGTAGTTCTGGCGGCAAAGTCAAACGAGCGTGGCGGCAGTGGCTGTCAGATATCAGGTACCTCGTTCTGTCCAGAATAACCATATTTATTCAATCATCCAATGTTCGCAAATTTGGAGAAGTCCAAACCGCGGGCGCGGGGCACGCCGGTTGACACGGCTAAGCGGGACCTGATATCGCCGGATGACAATCAGGCTTGATGAGATCGCCGACAGGGAGCAACCCCACGGTTCGGCTCCCAGCCACTGCTTATTGGCTACCAAACATACCCTGGTGGCTGTCTCGTGAACGCTTCGCTGGCGCCAGTTCGTAACACGACCGATCTTCTTTCGACTGGGCGTCAAGGTGGTGGCTGGGCGGGGCTGGCTGATTGCGATATTGTCTCTGAAATCACCGAGTAGCCTTCGCATCCTCGTAGCCCTACCCAGCAAACACTTGCTCGCCTTCGACACAGCACACAGCATGCGAAGCTGACACTCGTTACCCACCCTGTCACCGAGCCTTGTGCAAATGGAAGTCGCAGCTGAGGACGACGACGGTCACTGCGGTCACGACGACTTCCCTCGCTTTCCCTGAGCTCACTCGCCCCAACGAGCTACGACAACACCATGTCCCGCCCACCCAACAGCCGCGCCTCACAAGCCGGCCTGGCACCAAACCAACCTCAAATGCGCGGCTCCTCCATCTTTGCGCCAACACCGCCCTCCGCCCTCGCACCTCCCGGCGCACTCAGTCGACCAGTCTCGCGACAGTCGCGCGCCGAACCGCCTCCTCTCAGCGCCACAATGGGCCCCATGCCCGGCACACTCCAGAACCCAATCGAGCCCCGCCGGAAACGAATCATAGTCACCTGCGACGGCACCTGGCTTGACTCCGACAACGGTCTGATAAATGGCAAGAAGCGGCAGCCCTCTAACGTTTCCCGCATCGGCTGGGCCATACGTGACACCTCAAGAGATGGCTTCTCCCAAGTAGTCCACTATCAAGCAGGAGTGGGTACTAGAGGCACCCGCTTCTCGCGCTTCCTAGGCGGCGCCCTAGGAGTCGGGCTGAAAGAAAACCTGCGCGAAGCATACACCTACATCGCCGTGAACTGGCATCCCGGCGACGAGATCTTCCTCCTCGGCTTCAGCCGCGGCGCATTCACAGCACGAAGCGTGGCAGGCATGATCGGCGACATGGGCCTCCTCACCCGCACAGGCCTCCCCTACTTCGGTGAGATCTTCGAAGACTACGAACACCGCCACAAAGAAACCTACTTCTCTGACTTCCCGGATGTCCCCTTCCGCAACAAGCCCGCCTTTGGTCCAGAATACGTCGCCGAACTCGCCCGCCTGGGCTACACACGCCTCAAGATTCCCATCCGCGCCGTCTGCTGCTGGGACACCGTTGGTAGCTTGGGCATACCGCAAATCCCCCTCCTCCAGGCCTTCCGCATTCAGCAAAAAGAGTTAGGAGAGCACCAATTCTACGACACGAAACTCAACCCTTACATCGAGAACGCCTTCCAAGCGCTCGCGCTGGATGAGAAGCGAGGACCATTTAGCCCTGCACTGTGGGAGAAACGCGACAACGACACCGTCAACCTGAAACAAGTCTGGTTCCCCGGCGTCCACTCCAACGTTGGCGGCGGCTACGACGACGAAGACATCGCCAACATCACCCTGGCATGGATGATGAGTCGCCTCGAGCCCTACTTGGACTTCCGCCCCGACTTCCTCATGCGTCAGTACGAAGAGAACCGCAACTACTACAAATCCATTGGCGAGCGACCCCGATGGTGGAGTTTTGGCCAGATCTACAACAGCTTGAAAGGCATCTATGTCCTTGCGGGCAGTAAGCCGAGGACGCCAGGCGGGTACTACCGCGTTGATCCCTTCACGGGGCAGACGACGCACAAGCGGCTGAAGAACACGAACGAGTACTTCCACGCATCCATCCGTTCACGTCTTGGCATGGGTGGGCCCGGCACTCTAGACAATGGCCCCTACGAGCCACAAGCGTTGAGGGACTGGACGTTTGCGCCGGAGCAGGCTCGTGGCGGCCAGGGCGGGAATAGTGCGGATGGCATGACGGTCGTGTGGACGAATCATGCTGCTGAGGAGACTGGTAGCCAGCATAAGATTCCGGAGGCGATATTGTTGGAGAGTGAGTTGACACTGTTGAGGAATAGTCAGAAGGTTGAACAATACATCCGCAACTTGCAAGTACCGCACAGAGAAAAGCGGAAGCGGCCGAGGACGATGAATGGAGAGATACCACCACTGGGGGCAATGGGCGATGATCCGAGGAGGAGGGAGAGGAGTCGGCCGCGGAGTATGGTTGAGCCAGGGGTGATGGATGAGAAGAGGGAGGGCCGGAGGCGGAAGAGGAGGAGTCAGGTTTATGATGATTAGTAGTCCGGCATGGGCGGAGTTGGTGGGAAGAGAGCAAGGCATGATACCCCTTAGCAGCGTTCAGCAGCATTATTATTATACGGCATATTTCACGATGAGTGATCTTCCGACCTAGTGTTCAGCAAGATTCTCTTGGATGAGTCTCTGAGTCAGTGATGCTCGGTCACTCACCTCCGGAGAGAGAATGCCAGTGCAGTGTAACACCCATCTCACGCTTTACCCACATAATATTTGACTGTTCCCAATTTCTGGACCATCAACGCATATCAAGGCAAAGACACTTTCATCAGTATGGTGGCAAATGCCGCAACACGCCGCATCAGTCTTACTAGTCTGATACTATTCGCGAGAATGTAGGAGATCCCAGTTCGAGTCTGAGTGCTGTGACTGTCTCTCGGGAACATGTATCCTTTTTGCATCTTTTGTTGCGTCGTGAGAGCAAGTGGTGTCGAATACAGCATCAAAAGTGAGAACCGAGAGAGGAAATAGCGAGGGCTGACAGCAAACCGGATGACACTGATATAATTCTCCGCGCCGGAAGCTGTGCACTAGCAGAACCAGTAACAAAGCAACTGGGCTGTATTGCCACTGGGACAAATGCTTCCGTTACGGAAAATAGCTTGACATGGTGTGCGAAAATCCATAATCGCTTTTCGCTTCTATATACTATTTCGAAATGGTACGATGCTGGCTCAGGAGTACTCAAACAGCTTTCCTGTCATCAAATTGTCCTCTCCACTAACTACTAACATGGATGTCGTGACACAACCTCGGTTTGCGTTTACAGCTCAAGATCATTGACATCAACATCAGCCTCACCAACAAGCGGAGCCATACGCTGCAAGAACTCATCGAGCTCCATGTCCTCCGCAACAGTGGCCTCGCCACCGGGTGTCTTGGGTGGGATGAGCACGTTGGGCACGACGTGAATGACGCCATCATACGCGACGCCATCGGAGACAGCAACTCGGTTGAAGCCGTTGATCTTGATCTCGATCAGCCGGCCGTAGCGGGCGATGTCGATCGACAGCGACTTGTCGTCGAGCGCCGTGGGAAGGTCAACATGGAAGAAGCCCTTGGGTGGGCCGTGGTGGGGAGCATCAAGAGCCATATGGCTGCTGTCGCTGCTGCTGACCTTGTAGATGGCGTCGGAGTACAAGACAACGTCCGGGACGATGTGGTAGAGGATCAGGGCTTTGAGGTACTTGAGCCCGTAGCTGGAGAAGAGGAAGGCGTTGATGCGAGGCCCAAGCTTCTGGAAGGCAAAGTTGCTGGGGGCGAAGAGAGTGCCGGCACCGTGCTTCTCGGTGTCGTTGAAGCGCTCGTAGATGCCGGTCTTGACGAGGGCGAGCTCGAGGGTGGAGAATTCACCGGGAAGCGCGTCGATGATTCTGGCTACCTTTGGTGGTGGCAAGAGGATGCTGTCGAGTCCGTGGATGACGCCGTTGGTGCCGAAGATGTTGATCGCGATGATGCGGCTGTAGAAGTTTACTGTCAGGCCGCGGAGACCGATCTCAGTGGCGAGGCGCTGAGGATTCTTCTTGCCGAACTTGGGGTTCTCAAGAGCGGTGGGGATTGTTCGTGTGACGAGGACGCGGCCGGCCGGGTAGAAATCTGGGGAGACGTGGTAGGTGAGGAGCTTCTTGAGGAATTCCTTGGGCGGCTTAGGAGCGTGCTTTGGGATCTTCTCGAATGCACGATCTGTTGGTGCGAAGACCGTGAAGTTGGCTGAGGTGCCGTTGAGGAGCTTGACCAGGTCTGGGAACTCGTCGATAGCTTTTGCGAGCTTAGTGGTGTACTTGCTCTTTGCGATCAGTTCGTACACTGTCTGGTTGGGCGGGCCGTGGTGAGGAGGGTGGTGCGGACGCTTGTGTCCAGGAGGTCCATGGTGGGGAGGCTTGCCATGGTGAGGTGGACGCTCGGATGTGTCCTCCTCCGTGGTAGCAGAGTCGAGCCACGATTGACCAGCAAAGGCGGTCTCGAACTTCTCCCCGTACTCGACGGTTGTGTCGTAAGTGAAGTCGACAGCGTCGTCGAAGAGCTGCTTTGCAGACTCGGCGGCTTCGTCGAACTGCTTCTCGAGATCTTCCCAGATGCGGGAGGCATCTTGTTTCACGTTATCCCAGAATGGATGTGCTTCCTCCTGTTGTGGCTCGATAGCGAGCGAACTCAGGGTCTCCTGATCTGGAATCACGAATGCCGTGGCTCCGGCAGCCAGGCCGAGCAGTATAGAGGTCTTCATAGCTTTCTGTAGCTTTCAAATAGCTACTACTGTACACAGGTCAGCCGTGGTGAAGGAGAAAGAAGAGGACTCGAGATTTAGGTAAGACAGGTCATGAAAGCACGTTGGAATCGCTGGAGCCTGCCGTGACGATGACACGCGCATTCAGTGCAATGTGCTGTGTAAATCGCATCATCTCACGGTAGGCCTCGCCCCTCCACGCGGTGGTGACGTTGACCAAGTGGGCGCCCAGTGGATTGGTTTCGGCGCCGAGGTGCCGACTCGAAATCATTGGACGGGAGCGGGAACAGGAGCCAAGACTGCAAGTGTTCAGCAACACTGCCAACCGCCAGCACTTGTGCACGCTCTGTAGGTAGTTATCATGCATATGCTGAACGAGAGGCTGTGCTGTGAAAGGCGTAATAGTACACACGAGGATGTAGCGCTGTGCTCACTGGATGCTGCATCCTGCAGCAAGAGCTGGGAGGGACACCGTCCACCGATTGCTAGCTCTCCCTTTGCTACCCCTTGCTCAAGCAAGCATCTTCTTCAGCTTCAAGACAGCTTTTATTCTTCAACTTTCTTCTACAGCATCCATTTCAGCCTGCCCTGCACCTGAGGACAGAAAGTTCCCTTGACCATTCCGTCGTCAAAGATGTTGCCACACGCAGAAGGTCGTAGGCTGGGCTGGTTTTGCACTAGCTTTGAGCAACTTCCCTGCCCGACCGGTCACCAGATACTGGATGAGCTTTCGAGCAGGCGTTACCACTGTATCGGTCAGAGCAGCGAGATAGGTGCGAGACACAGGATGAAGCGAGACGAGCACCTGCCGTCGCTGCTGATAACAACGAAAAGCAGGAGCAAACTGGTAAGTGACAAGTACCTCGACGGTCCCTTCGAATCGCTGTGTCTTGAGATGTTCAACTCACCCAGTCACTCCTTTGAGAAAGCTCTTCGCAAGTCGAGAACTTTTGGTCTTTTTGGTGTTCTTTTTGGTTGTGTGTTCAATCTCAATTACCCAGCATTCCTCAACTTTGGGCCCAATAGTATTGTCTGGATCGAACTCAGGAATTCTCATCAATCTAATCTTAGCACTGGCCACAACAAACCTCGTCACTGAAGCAAGCCTTGGCAACTGTCAGAGTGTCTGATGCAGTGCTCACCTCTCACTCTACTGCAGGACCTGATGCGGATGTGACTTGGTCGTCTCTTGACCGTCTACCCTCAGTGATCACAGCGTTGCACAGCAACAAGGTTGGAGAGTAGCACTTCACCTCCAACGCGCCTCTGGACTTTGGGCTTCTTCTCGACCATGGTCTTTGTTGACAGCCTTCTGAGAGCACTGTAACGATTGCAGCCAGCAAAGACGATCTGATCCAGGAAGCACTCAAGCATTCCTCACAGGCCTAGCTGCCTGACTTCCGTCACTAAGTTCGGGAGAAAAACGGCCGTCTTGGGTAACTCAATCTTTCTTTCGTGGCGCTTCGAACTTGGAAATACTTATCTTCCGCATTGATATGCTCTACGATATCGACCGCGAACGGTGCTTTTCACGACGGTGAACGCTCGAGTCGTCGTCCTCCCTCGCATCCATTCATACATCAGTCCCGACAGTGGCCATGGAGCAACCATCGCGGCCTTCCTCGAGGCGACCGCCATTGGCCGAGCGTCAGCCGCGAGCGACACCGCAGCCCACGCCGACCAAGCCTCATAACAGCATCAAGACACCTTCACCTCGTATGCCACACCATGAGTCATTGCACCCTGATGGCAACTTGTCAGTAAGAGGCAAGAAGTCATCTCAGAAATCCGCAGTAGTACAGCCAGATCCGCCCGAAGAGCCTCCGGTCGAGACGGAACGCAAGACTGTCTACACGAACAAAGGCAAGAGGAAGACTCATGTTGGCCCGTGGCATCTCGGAAGAACTCTTGGCAAAGGAGCTACAGGTCGGGTCAGACTTGCGCGACACAGTGGGACGGGAGACATCGTCGCTGTCAAGATCGTATCGAAGAAGTCGGCGGCAATGGTGCAAAGTGCTAGCATGGCCAAGATCGACAACGATGCACAGAACCCCATGAACAAGAATGGCACGAGAAGAATGCCTTTTGGCATAGAAAGAGAAGTCGTCATCATGAAGCTGATTGAGCACCCGAATGTAATCAACCTCTACGACATATGGGAGAATCGCGGCGAACTGTATCTCATCCTGGAATTTGTTGCAGGTGGCGAGCTCTTTGACTATGTCTCCAGTAATGGCGCATTACCGGAAGATGAAGCTGTCAGACTCTTCCGTCAGATCATTTCCGGTCTGTCATACTGCCACCGCTTCAACATCTGCCACCGCGACCTGAAGCCCGAAAACATCTTGCTTGACAAAGATCGCAATGTTAAGCTTGCAGACTTCGGCATGGCTGCTCTGCAACCCAAAGACAAGTGGCTCAATACATCATGCGGCAGCCCACACTATGCTGCACCTGAGATCATCCAAGGGCTTGAGTATCGTGGCGACAAGGCCGACATTTGGAGCTGTGGTATCATCTTATTTGCGATGCTGAATGGCTTTCTGCCATTCGATGGCGGTGATCTGACGACTACCTTGCGCCTCGTAAGAAAAGGAGACTACTTTTTACCTCCGAACCTGAGTGTTGAAGCTTCCGACCTGATCCAGCGCATACTGCAGAAGCGACCGGAGCGTCGTATTACAATGGAAGACATCTGGCTCATCCGCTCCTCCGCAAGTATGAGCGCTACCATGCTTCTCTTATTCCCAAAGGTCAAAAGCTACCAGGACCGCCGCCTTCGGTCATGGAAGCATGCAATATGTCCCGGATCGAAGACGCAGCTGACATTGACGATAACATCCTTCGGAGTCTGCAGACCCTGTGGCATGGGGAAAAGGTTGAAGCTCTCATTGAGCGCTTGCTTAGTGAAGAGCCCAACCACGAGAAGCTCTTCTACCATGCTCTGGTCAAGTTTCAAGAAGAGCAACTCGAAAACTACGAAGGCGATCCCTTGCAATACTCTGCCAGCGACTACCAACACTTGACTCGACCTCACGTCAAAAGCTCGAAGCGCAGAGCATCTGCCGCAGGACTCTCCCATGCCAGACGGCCCTCCCAGTTTTCCATCGTCAGCGACGGTGGCACAAAACGGGATACCTATTACAAGGTTCCTGCCACATCAGCCAGCAAAGCTACGAATAGCACATATGACCCGTATCGATCGTCCAAGAACCCAATCATTGATGTTCACAAGGACGCTTCAACGACTGTGGTCCGACGAGATGTGCGTTCTGCAAGTAATGCGCATGGCATTCGTCATCCAGCTGTGAGCAGACTACAGAACGAAGTGACGGCAACAGCCCTGCCCGAAGTTGCTGAGCATCGCCGCCGTGCCTCCTATTCGACTATCGGCTCTCGAAGCTCCCTGGCCAGCTCGAAGAAAGGCCAACCCGTACAGAAATCCGCAGGCTACAAGCGTCGTGTCAGCTTCCCCCAAGGCCGCCGCGCATCAGCCACACCATCGCTCTCGCGCGAGCCATCTGAGGACAAGTCGAGGACAACCGGCCACTCAGGCGAGCGTCCGAACACAAATGATACTGATGCACCCATGTCGAGCACTATGAGCGACCCGGCTCTATCCAGTCCACCTGCAACAGTGAAGCCACGGAGACCAGCATCAGACCTGCAGCTCCAAAAAGCACCAAATTTGACGCAAGCCTGGCGAGATGATACTCGCAAGGTCAGTCAGGAGCTTGGAAAGATCTGTGAAGAGGCCTTCAACAGATCATCAGTATCGTCCACGAGCGGCGTCAGTCACTACACAACTGCCGATACTCCGCCGACTTCTGTTAGCACACAGGACGGTAGAGCTGGCAGTCATCTTCGTGATCGACCGCTGCCAGAAACCCCTGTATTGCGAGAGCTCAGTGAGAAGCGCCAGAAGATGATCGATATGTTCAGCTCCACCAAAGGAGTCGATCTCGAGCAGATGTTGGCACCTCTGGATGCACGTATAGCGGAAGAGATCCGAAGACAAAAGGGCAGTCGCATCAGCATCGACCCAAGTGTTGTGCCAGGACGACGTGCATCAAGCTTGCCAGTGCAGGGTAACACCATGGACGACCTGAAGCATCTGCGTGAGGAGATGAATCGAGCAGCGTCGGATCCAGTCAAGACGTCTAGCCAAGGTACGGAGGCGACTGTGCGGCTTGTCCCTGCCTCGTCGCCAGCCAACCGCTTGGGCCCGGTCAACACACGCAAGAACAAGGCTATGCCGGTGAACTCGCTTCGTGATGGTCGCGTTAATCCCACGATCACACAGCTTGAACGCGATGGCTACGATACACGTCTGTACACTAAGAAAGTCATTCTGGACACCATTGAAGAAGATCCGTCTCTCACCCCGAAGAAGAAGCGTCTACGAACTCTCTATCGCGGAAGTGGTCATGGCTGAACAACAAGCGTGGTGCCTCGGTCACTGAGATATCTCCTCTTGAACAGATCGAGGAATCGCGTCACCAAAACATGAGCTCTTCTGGAGTCTCCGATACATCTCGAGGAGAAGCAGTCGAAGTTCGGACCGCCGAACAACAAGATCAAGTCACGCTGAAGAAGAAGTGGTTCCAGAAAATGTTCAGCAAATCTTCCAAACCGAAGGGCAATGACTCATCAATCCACACCGATCATGAGATCGCGGAAGACATTTCTGAAGATGGGGATGTGAACAGCATAGATGAAGACTACGGCAAGAAGCTTACCAAGCGTGGCAGTTATCGCGCCCACACTAGCGTCGATGCCGCAGCAGCAGCTGCTGTTCATGCTCCCATCGAGATCAGCCAGAACTGGCTCGCGCGATTCTTCCGAATCAAGCCTGCCACCCGTGTTATGTGTCTTCAGGTCAGCAAGGCACGTGCCCGGAAAGATGTCATCCGTGTGCTACGAGATTGGCGAAAGTACGGTCTGCGAGATGTGGTCTGCGAGCGACGTGCAGGTGGCGATATCATCCGTGCCCGCGTTGACGCTTGCAATTGTAAGTCTGCCAACCAAGTTTCTGGGGATGCTTGCTAACCTATTATAGATCTCCACATCAAGCCGGTCAGTTTCCATGCTTTCGTATATTGCGTCCTCGAGCATGGACGAAAGGCGAATCTGAGCGTCATGAAATTCACCCAGGAGAAGGGAGCGGCCAGCAGTTTCGATCGAGTCGTCGAAACGCTCGAATCTGTGCTGAAAGAGAAAGGTCTGATCGTGCTGGACCCGGCCCGCAAGAAAGGCATCGAGGTCAGTCTCAAGGAGGCGGGACTATGATCGGTGATCACTTGCCTACGTTACACGACTGCCGCGAGATGCTCGCGAAGACGAAAATGGCCGATGAGTAAGGTTATCGATGGCAGGCACTTTCACGGTCTCGGTGGCTTCCCTGGCCGTCAGTGAGGCACCCGACGAAGCTGGAGTGGGCAGGGATAGAAGAAGCCCTTAATTGATGGAGAGTCTGGCGTGAGAAGTCGCTAATCATAATCACAAGTGCTGGACTGGGTGATGTCCAGCGACAACGATCGTTTCAAAAACACGCGACGGAGAGCTAGGAATATCGGAGGTTGGCATACTGTACAAACACTTTCGTTCGGCACTGCGCCTATGGCCGTCACACTGGCAGAGATGATCAGGAGTCTCACTGCTCAGTCGATGTTGCGAACAGATGATGAGCATTGTACCACATACGCATAGAGCTAATCGCCCATGAGGCTTTCACATAGACTAATCACCTTGAACGACCGAGCTGGGCTGGCCTCCGCATTTGCGCTTCCTATGAATTAGCCCTCCAACGCGGCATGTGCCGCAGACGTATAGTGCTCCTGGGACGAACATTGCTGGTAGGAAGATCGCACGTGTTAGAGCTTAAGCCCACGTCAGTGGATGATCGAAACGGTGTAATGAAACGGCTGACAGAGGCTCCTCACGGTTATGCTAAATTCCCGACGACTTTTCTAGGTCACGTAACTCAGTGAGCTTGAGATCATATGCCACTGGGCGTTGCAAAGGCTTTTTGGATCCAAGATGTGCCGGCACCGCGAGGTTTTTTTCGACAGGATCTGACAGGCACGGAGGGACCAAGGGGTGGCATGGTGACTTCACAACAGTACATGTAAGTACTCATCAAGGAAATCGCTCTTCGGCAACCACTCTCTAGGTAAAGAGCATCCAACACGAGTGAAGTTGAGGCAGGTGCGGTTGGATCACGTTGAGGGAAGGCACGGCTACGGGAGGAGCGGTCGACGTACGAGTTGTCAAGGCAGGCACAGTTGTGGAAGGAGTGGTTGAGGAAGGAGTGGTTCGAGGAAGGAGTGGTCGAGGAAGGAGCGGTCGAGGCAGGAGTGGTCGAGGAAGGAGTAGTCAAGGAAGGAGTGGCAAAGAGAGACGCGTCTACGAGACAAACAGTCGAGACAGTGGTGATCAAGAGAAGCACATTCACTGAAGGACATAGATATCGCATAGAGATCAGGGTGGAGAGCATCATAGAGCATTCCTGACTACAGGGCTTCGCTGTAGCTAGCGAACATATGGAATGCTCGATGTCGCCAAACGAGTGACTGATGTGCGAGAAAGCATCGAAACATGCTCCTTGTCGTTCGCATCGAGTATATTTCCCGGTGGCTCCTTTCCGATCAGTATGCGACATGACCAACTCTGTACCCAGGCGCGTCTTTACTATGTCATCCTCAATCGCAGCCATTGACGTGACTTTCCTTCTTCATCCCTGCATCATTCATAATCATAAACAATAATACCAGGCGAAGGCTTATGTAGAAACCACACCACAGCCCGTTACTCCTTCCCAGAATAATGACTGATCCCAAGTTCATCAACCAATGGCGAAACAAAATATCCATAGTCATCATCTTGTGTCCGAATTTGTGCAAGTCTCTCCTGGACACGCCAGATGCTCGCCTGTCCGAGCTTCTAACGCGGGAGGGTAGAAGAGGACGTTGAGCCGGATCGCACCAGGCCGAAGCCTGCATCAGGCTCAAATGTCACTTCTTGCTCAGCTGCTTCCTGCTCCTGCAAATTGAAGAAGTAGTCGAAGTCGTTCTCATCCCCACTCCCAACTTCCGCCCCAAGCATCTGTATCTTCTTAAGCGGACTGCCCTTAGCACGATTTGCGCCAGCTGACAGCGGACGGTTGATATTGGGCATCTTGCTAGGCGTTTCGTGAAGAGCTGCATTGAAGAGCCTCGATGCCGGTTTGCCCTGGATCTCATGAAGGGCGTTAGTCGAGGTAATTGTGCGGCCGAATTGGGGACGCGTGGTGGACTGCCTGACGGAAGTCAGCGGAGACATGCCCATGCTGCTATTGTCCACAGGCGTCAACTGCTGGCTAGGTGTGTCGTTGTATATACGGAACATAGGACTTCCATAATCCGTGTTCCGAACGTTGGGTGTCTCCGGCCAATCGGCCGGTGTAGTATGGTACGGCTGCGAGACATTTGCACGGAAGTTCTGAAGCTGCGTCTCCGGCGACGGGGAGGCAGGGACCGGAATCTGAGGCCTCGACAGACGCTGCTGGGCAGGCGTGAAGGGCGCATGAACCGGCGAGCTCAACCGGACGGGAGATGAGATGGGTGGCGGCATCATACCGGAGTACGCAGGCAGATTTGGATGTCTTCCGAGAGATGGACTTCGGTCCAGAGGCGACTGGCGAAGACGCGCGATCGCGGCCTCGGCGCGACCAGTCCTTGCCATGCGTTTGCCTGACTTTGCGACATACCCAGTGGTGACGTTGGGATGGGAGCCTGTCGGTCGCTGGATGGAGGATGTCAGTTGAAGATCAGAGACATATCCGCTGTCGTGGTTGACCATCTGAACAGCTGGCTTTTTGAGAACAGAAGACTGAGCCATCATCCGGATTGAGCTTGGCGATGATTCAGAACGTCGATGTTTTGGCGCAACGACAGGAGCGATGAATCAAGGCCATCTGATAGTGAGATCGTGGGCGATGGATCGTGCGTGACCTCTGCTGGAACCTGCGTCTCTTCTTCCTCCTCGTCCTCTTCAATGACGACCGGATCAGACTCTTCAATTGTTGCATCCGAGGACAAGCCCAGCTCCGGGAGCGGAGGAGCCGTATGGGGCCTTTCGAGAGTATGGGGAGCTCCGATTATGGGGCTCGGTCCTAAGGTTGCAACGCGAGGATTGGGATGTGGTATCGACATGATCGGTTCAGCTTGCATAATAGACGTCTGCATACCATGCATCATCATGTTTGGTTGGCTGTTTGCCGGACGATTTTTGGCTTTGAGGAACTGTTGCTCTTTTCCTTGTGGAATCACCCAGAAGCAGCCTTTACCAGGTTCGTCTTTCTGGCGTGGGACCTTGACGAACGCAGGGTTGAGGGAAAGATTGTGCCTGATCGAATTGCGCCAGCTCTTCTTGTCCTTGTGGGGCGCGGCTGCGCTTTTCTCTCTGTAGAACAAGAAGGTTTGTTCGATCCATCCATAGATCGCATTGAGCGTCAGTCGACGACGTGGTGCCCGGAGGATCGCCATAGCAATCATTTGAGCATAGCTGTGGGGCGGCTTTTCGCCCGGGGCGTGATCTACTACGGGATCAAAGTCCTCTGGATTGGGGCAAGGGAGATCAATGTCGTCCACCCGAGCGCGTTTGTTGGGTCGGTCGGGCATGAAGGAGGCATCCGAGTACGACCGCTTGAGAGCATGTCGGCGGTCGTAAGCAGGCGATGGGAAGTCGGCATTGTCGTTGGCCGCCGCTGAGGGACCGTGTTCAACCTCATCGAAAGTATGCAAATTTGGGTTGAAAGCGGTGCCAGTCAATGGATGGTTCATTGGCTGAAAGCTGAAGTTTGCCGGAGCTGGAGGGGTTGTAACTACAGGTTCGACCATATAAGTAGGCGCTGGCTGTGACATAGAGTACGTCATTGGCGGCATGATGGGCGGTGGCCTTTTCGAGGGGGACATGCCGTACCCATTAGCATGCTCCGGCATGGAGAATTGTGGCAGGTCTGGTGGCTGAGGGTTGAAAGGCATCATTGGTTGACGATGGATCTGTGATGGGTAGGGCTTTTGAGATGACATCGCAAGCTGCTGTGCTTGATGGTACTGCACCGGGCCCATAATCATGCCATGGGATGGTCCCTGGGATACGGGAAGATGTGGGGAGAATAAGGATGGCTCAAGGTGTGGTCCTGAGCTCTGCTGCGAAAGATGTTGTGCCGGCTGTACGGTCTGGTCGCGAAGGTTTGGGAAGTTCGACAGCTCTTGTGACTGTGAGCTCTGTTGCGAGTGAGGCAGAGGCATCTCTGCGGTGTGGTCTTCGAAAATGGGGAATGGTGAAGGCGCAAGTTGTGCTCGCGATCGTGGACGCGTATTTTGCTGCTGTAATTGTGCGGATCCGTGTTCGAAGATATTGCGTAGCATCATATGCTTCTGGACATCGTGATCCGTCGGGTTGGGCCCGAAGGGATCCATGCTGAGCCCGTCCGAGTCGACCAGCCAAAGGAGAAATCGTTATTATATAGCACGTTTTCCCTCGTGGTTTCAGAAGTCCATGTACAGTCGTCGAAGCCGCGCGAATAGGACGAAAAAGTCCTACAGGTCAATGGTACAAGGATCTGCGCGTGTTCACTGCAAAATTGAACGTATCGAATGCGCTGCGAGCCAAGGCAGCCCCTATGGTGGTCGCCCGTCGAGGAATGTCACAGGAGTCTGCGGCGCTTGGGCCTGGAATGTCTGATGAAATTGAGCCTGAGCAGGTGGGTGGAACGGAGCAATCGATGGGGTCCTGCGGCGCACAAAAGGGATTCGATAAACGCGTAGCAGCTGGTCCTCTGAGATTGAGTGCTTCGATGTGCTGAGAATGCTGCTAGTCGCTTGAGAGCTGGCTGAGTCGAAATTCGAGATGGTGATAGTGGGCGGATTGCATATAGCGATGACGAGATGAGCTCATAGATAGAGTGTGATAGGTATTGAGATGGTTCGAGGACTACCTAGGTATGGTGGAAGGCCACGTTGAGCGAGCTGAAGAGAAATCGAGTGCCTGAGCCTGAGGTTCTTGTGGGTCGTGGAGGGGAAGGTCAGCCAACATGTGGGAGGGGCCTGGGCAAAGTCGCGGTCGCGTCAGAGTCAGATCTCCGATTTCTGCAGCTCAGCCTCAGCACTCACTAGCGTACCATGAACGTGCCGCCTGTCTCGCTGATTGGATCTTCATTCTCCATCGTCAATCGAGACCTGCTTATCAAATGCCGCCGTTGGACCAGAGGTTGCGCCACATGAGGCGGCAAGCAACGCGACCAGTTCACGACCGGTTTCTACAAGCCTTGCGAGCAACTCTGTCGCAGTTGTCAGCCGGTACATCCCTGTGATTGTGCCCGGTCTGCCAGCTTCCTGTTGCAGCTGCTCTGCCGTCACAGCCGTATTACTGACCGTCGTGCAGGAATAACTTTGAGGGCAAATTTGGGTGCGGCAGAGTCTGCCCAGAAACTGAACGCACAACCCTGTAATGACATATTGGCATATTCAATGCCCATCACAAGTTCGTCACTATAGCCATATTGTGGAGTGTCTGAACATCTGACGGCTCTCATTACCTCAATACATCTACAACTTTAAGATAATTCGGTTCTCTTGTGCAGGTCGTCTAGGGGCCCTTTAAATTGCACATTGCCTCCGGAAGGCACCACCGGAGATCTTGCCAATGTTTCTCATTGTCCTCGGCTGCGTCTCCAGTCCGAGGGCAGCTGCAGCAGGGCGCATCTAGTGTGTCAACCAAATCCACTATTGGCAAATCCAACTCGCTCAAGGATCCAGGAAGGTGAACAAATTGGTATGCAGAGTATTGAGTGCTCTGTCCGCATCCCTCTCTTCAATAACGCAAGAGATATTGATTTCGCTGGCACCTAGAGACTGTCAGCAAAACCATATAATGATATGAAGTATAGAGAACATACCTTGCGAGATCATCTCAATATTGATGTTGTGCTCACCCAGCGTGGAGAACATCTTGCCCGCAATGCCCATCATGTTCTTCATCTGCTTGCCTACCAAGCTCACGATGGCCATATCGGGAACAATGTCGACAGCTCCAAATTGACGCAATTCCTCGATTGCGCCACGCAGATCGTGGTCCACAATTTCGTATTCGTTGTCACCGCCTCCCGTATACAGCGGTGCTTCTGAATGCAAAGCCAAGGAGATATTGACCTCACTTGTCGAGATGACATCCACTGACAGACGCCATTTGTCAAGTGTGGAGAATATGCCAGCGAAGAAGCCATGTGAAAGAGAGCGTTTATTCGAGTGGATGTTCATGACCAGGATCTTGTGCTTCAGCGTAACGGCTGTTGGTCGCTTCGGTCCGACTTTGTGCGATTGGACGCTTGAGCTGCGGGAGCGGAAGAGCCTGGGCGAGTATTTGGGAGAATCGTAGCCACGGACCACTGGGGCATCTGGGTAAATGATTGTGCCTCCACCTCGAGGATTGACGACGTTCTTGATGCGAATGGGAATTCGCGCTCGTATCACCTGGTCCATGGTCGAGGGATGGATCACCTCAGACCCGTAGAAGGTTAGCTCGGCGGCCTCGGCAGGTGTGATCTGAGGAATCAATTGAGCTGTTGGCACTTTCCGCGGGTCAGCAGTGAAGATGCCGTCTACCTCCTTCCAGATCTGTAACTCTTTCGCCCGTATGCCGACTGCCACGAGGGCAGCGCAGAGGTCAGTGTAGCCACGGCCGACTGTGGAGAGAAGCCCTCGTGGGATCGAGCCAAAGTAGCCTGTGATGACAGGCACTTTGCCGTGCATGTTCCCCAGCCGCTTCGCGAGAGCCACAGCAACATTGTCGTAGAACTCCTGGTCCAAGCTGTGAGGAACTTTGAAGTCGACCACCTCGGCCACATCGATGTACTCAGCATCTACACCGGCATCCTGAAGCAGAGCAGTCATGTAACGACAGCTCAGCTTTTCGCCCACACTCATGACCTTATCACGAGAACGTGGACTAGTCTCGCCCAGAGTCTGCGCAGCCTCGAGAATGCGGAGCACAAGTGTACATTCTTCTTCAATCTCCTGCTTCAACCTCGAGCAAATCTCGGCGTCTTTGACGTGGTCCTGCGCAGCCTGCAGGTGATCGGTCCTGACGGCATCAATGAGATGGGCGTACGGACGATGATGCTCTGCATCTGTGGCGGCGCGAAGCAGGCGATTCGTAGTCCCAGCGGCTTTGGTGCTGCTCGACCTGGCAGAGCAGACGATGGCAACGTCGCTTTCCTGCTGACTTTGCTTGACGACATTGACTATAGCGTGCGGAAACTTGCCCACACTGGTTCCTACTTCGTGTCAGCGACGTTTGCGTAGAAATGTTCACGCAGCGCACCTCCAAACTTGAGGATATTTGTATTTGTGCCCGATGTCGGGACAGATCTCGGTGGTGTTTGACAGCCATTCTCAGCTGGCGTAGAAGTCATCGTCAGGATAGAGCGAGCGGAGAGGACACGAAGTCAAGGTCTTCGAATAGTGTGTGAGTCTTTCTCAGCAGCATTCCTACCGCTCGTTCGAGTTCGCTGACCAGCTGGAAGCAAACAAGACGTAGAACACGATGGACAGTTTCGAGTCCAGCGTTTGCTGCAGTAAATACTTAGAGTTATGACTGTGTGGGCTTCGCCCTGAAAATGTGCCCATTGCCCCGCTAACAAGAATTTCAATGTGGGACTGCTGCCCTGGCTGCTGAGATGATGCCGATTGGCCGCCCCGTAGTCCAGGCACTGCTCCTGTGTCTAAGAGGAAGGTCTTCTCGAGTATGCGGGCGCTGCAGTGAGCACTGCAGTCGTCGCTTCTGGATCAGTAGTGAAAGAGACACAGCGATGCCGTCGCTCGCGTCGTTTACCCCATGGCAGACCTACGCCACAGCGGCCGGGGAACCTACAATATCAGACACCATGTCCAGGGAGGGCGCTGGAGAATAACGCCTGGATCTGGCAACAACCGTATGAGCTGAGACGGCAGGTCGTGGGTAAAATGCAGCATTGGTAGACGTGTAAAAACTGCCATTTGTGACTCGGATCCCATCGTCGCACGTATTGAGATTTAATCAAGCGATTGTACGAAGACATCTGCTGCGGACAATGGCTAGTATTACCACACGAGAATACTACCAATTATCAGTCACTTGCCGACCTGGGTAAGTACGTAGAGCCCATCCACTCCCGTTATCTTTTCATGGCAAATTCGCCGCCTTCTTCATCACACTGATCCTCCGTAATCGACACCTCGCCCACTCAGCATCGATTGTCGCAATGGCAGAGGACCAACCAGGTGCTCGACCAAGCCATCTAAACTTCATAACTGGCAATGCAAATAAGCTAGCTGAGGTCAAGGCAATATTGTCCTCGATACCTGGGCTGGAACTGGAGAGTCGGGACGTGCCCGGCGATGAGATACAGGGGAGCATTGAGGAAATTGCGAGAGACAAATGCAGACGGGCTGCTGCGGTGGTGAGTTTCTGGCCCCTGTGTGGATTTTGGAGGACTTGCAAATGGATTTTGAGAAAGGACAGCGACAGCGAGAGCGTGATGTCCATTGATGATATTAACTATTTCAGGTCGGTGGACCAGTCTTGACAGAAGATACAGCACTCGAATTCACGAGTCTGAAGGGTCTTCCAGGCCCGTACATGTGAGTCCCACCGCATCCGCTGTTGGAAACACCTTCAAACGGCCGCCATCATCAGCACAAACGCCGTTGCTGAAGCTGTCTCACAGAAAACACTTTCTCTCTGCCCTCGGCCATGACGGCCTCAATAATCTGCTCGCTGCCTATCCGGACAAGACTGCAACGACTGTCTGCACCTTCGGTTATTGCGCCGGTCCAGGTCAGGAGCCAATCCTCTTCCAAGGCAAGACCCAAGGAAAGATCGTGCCCGCTCGCGGTCCCAGAGTCTTTGGTTGGGACGCTTGTTTCGAGTACGAGGGCGAGACGTATGCTGAGATGGACAAAAACCACAAGGTGAGTCCATCCCCTGCACTCCTGGACTTCAAGCCGCTGGTGAACGTTCTTTCCATGGTCGACGCTCTGCTGCTACCGACTCGCTGAGATCCACCGCAGCTGGAGATTCTGCAAAGCCTCGGCCTGGCAGACGCTGCTGGGCGTGGGAGTGATATCACCTACGTTGCGGTAAGTAGACATCTGAGCTGATTCGTACATCTTTTCATATGCAGAACGCAATCTCACACCGTGGTAAGGCACTTGCCAAGCTGAAGAGCTGGCTAGCCGGAGGCGATGTGGAGACTCTGTAGAGGCCATAGCTGCTCCACGAGCTTGAAGCGGTGCTCTTTCGTGTGGCTGCAGTGGGAGTGTTCTCCGTCTGCCCTCAGAGCCCTCTATCTCTGGTGCAGGGTGTCAGCTGCCTCAGGAGATGTCGGAATCATGATCTGTGGGCTCTTTTACAGCCATGCTCAGACCTCAGCCAGACTCCTTAGACTCATGTTGCTGATTCAAGACCCACGTCTTGATCCAGGACAATATCCGCTCAGCGTTAGTCTCAACGTCCTCAGCATTAACACTGCTCAACTCAATGACCTGTTCCTCCTCCCACCCCTCCTTCGCCTCCTCCAACACGACCCCAAAGATCTCCGCATCCATATTCTCCTGTATCTTCTCTTCCTTGTATCCTCGCTTGCTCAAGCGGTCGTACAACACATCAGTCGCCGCGCACCGGACGACCAGCACCAGATCAACCCATCGCACAGCAAAGCCCGCGGTAGAGTGCCAGTCAATGATGAACCCGCCTTCGCCCTCGCCGTCCGAGATTTCTTTCTCGACTTCGTCCATCAGCTTGTCATCGTCGAGATGTAGGTCTGCAGGTCTTCATCGTAGCCCTCGTGACAGTCTCGTGACTTGACGATGTCGTTGATGGAGAGGTGCTTGAGTGGTATGGGCGGTTCGGCGGATTGTGCTAGGTTGAGTAGTTCGGTGATGGTCGTGGTCTTGCCGACGCCGGGCGTGCCGGTGATGATGATATTTGGCAGAGACCGCATGTTGGCTGTAGCTTCAACAGCAACGAAGTGGTCGGCGAATTGTTCAGAAATATTTTGGTCCCCGCATTCGAAAAGATCTGCAGGACTTAGGAGGAATTAAGACTTTCAACGCGTGCTCGAGAGCCTTCAACGCGTCCATCCCTCTGTTGTTCACTGCTCGTCACGAATGTGTGCAACGACCCTATGTTGAGGCGTTTGCGACCTCATCTGGTCAGATCAATCACTCAGTTGCGATCTGCGAGCAAGCATGCCGCTGGACCCGTCAAGAATGAGTGGCTGCTCAGCAAGAAGAACGATGAACTACGCCAGACTGCCGTTGAATGTGGGACAAGCTGCTCTGGGACGAAGCAGTCGCTTGTCGATGGGCTGAAGGACGCTCTGGTGGGCCTCGAAGGCGGAAATGATACTCACGGTCAGAACTTGAGCATCATCAGTATAGATATGGGCGTACGAAATCTTGCCTATTGCAACCTTCAAGCTAAGCTGGACACTACTGGAGCCTTGGAAGGGCGGCATCGAATGAAGGTCAAGGTAGACGCATGGCGAAGGATAGATATGACTGGTCGTGAGAACGCCCCCTCCCCAGACTATGGGAAGGTGGCTCGTTCGGGTCAGGCAATGGAAGCACTCAAGCCGGTACTTGCTAAAGAAGACTTCAGCCCGACAATCTATGCTGAGCGAGCTCATGGCTTCATCTCTGAAATTCTGCAGCAACATAATCCCACGCACGTGTTGATAGAACGACAACGGTTCCGTTCAGGAGGTGGCCCAGCTGTGCAGGAGTGGACGCTCCGTGTTGGGATGTTTGAGTTCATGCTATATGCGACTCTTCACACTCTAGCCAAGCAGGAGAAGCACAATGCTATCGTAATTCCGGTCCAGCCAGCCATGGTAAACAGGTACTGGCTGTCTCAAAACCAAGACACGTCCACCACAGCGGCAAGACCCAGCAGTGCTGCAATGAAGAAGTACAAGATCGATCTGGTCGGACGCATCCTGGGTGATGCTACGACTGCCGGATACAATTTGACTTACGCTCATCAGGCAAGAGCATTGAAAGAAGACTTCCTCGACAAAATCGGGCGCGTAAAGGGAAGGAACAAGCTAAGCAGCTCGCCAAAGCTTGACGACCTGTCTGACTCTTTGCTGCAAGGGCTCGCCTGGATCGGTTGGCAAGTAAATAGGAAGAAGCTTCACTTTGCGATGCGCCCGACAGCAAGGTGACTCCTGCGCGCCGTATCACTGAAAATTTGGAAGATCGAGGACGACGATAGCCTGACATAAGATCAACGTCAAAATATCTGCCTAGCACACCTGTAGGTGTTGCGGAGGTTACAGTGACGGGAAGGGCAAACTCACGCGCGATGAGTCTTGCGGGACGAGGAGTTATGAAATCGGGCAGGTGCAGGTGTGCCCTGAATGGCAGCGTGGAGAATGGCAGCACAGATTGGCAGCCGCGAGGGCAGTCTAAAACCTCACTTTGTGTCCATGCTCTCCTGCTGCGCACCTTAGACGATCACTCTCGTCAGCCATCACCCGATGTATTCAACACGACCTCAGCTCGCCATTATGTCATTTCTGACGCTCTTTGTCTTGTGTCTGGTCTCCGTAGTCACGGCTGCCCCTGACGCAAACGTCCGGGATCTGGAGACCACTCTGACCACAACATGGACCATTACCTCTCAGATCATGTCGCCGACCGTCACGACTGTGACTGCGACGAGGACTATTACGAGTCTGACCGCCACGGTGCCTGTTCCGACTCCGACTGAGCCAAATAGCTGTACCATAGCGTCAACAGAGCCGCCATCTAATGACACGGTGAGTAATTGAGCAAAGCTCGCACAATCAGCGAGGGCAAGCGTGAACATGAACGCAGAAGACCCCACCGACATCACCACGTACACCTTCTGCAAAATCCACTCTGACTCTCGAATCGTACTCCTCCTGGACGCAGTGCTAAGCAGTAGCAGTTGGGCTACCTCGTCCGAGCATATAATCCAGGTACCCCTATCGATGGGCTCAGTATGGAGGCGGCAAGCACTAAGTTCTGGCTCGGGGGAGCACCAGCAACCTAGTAAGTCCCAAGACAAAGCCATGCGGAACTCGGACTGAGCGACAACAGCTGCCCCTACACTGATGTTGGTACCTGTGGCACGATGAATACGACAGCAGTCCGGCCATGCGATCTGGTACGTCGTCCACTTGTGCTAGATTGCAACGGCTGACTCGAGCAGGCCGTTATGGTCCCGGGCGGTCAAGGTATGCACGCCAACGAGCGTGGGCAGATCTATTTCACCCACGCACACAGCAATGGATCACCCAACCCCAGCGAACGTTGTCCTTTCGAGTACGAATACGCAGGCGGGCTGTACGGGGAGCTGCGGCCAGCATCTTGGGCATTTGGTGCATACGCTTTGATGGCCTGTCCCCGCGCCGAGAGAGCCTGGCTGGTCATGTTGGCAATGGAAAATATTACCAATCCTATGGTGCCCTCTGATAGCGTGGCCGATTGCATCGAGTTCATTGCGTTGACAACCAATGTCACACACGTTGGAGCATGGCAGTATATCTGAGTCGAGAGAGATTCCGGTACCCAGCCAAACTTAGGATCCTCTAAGTACCTTAGGCAAGGCATGCATTGATGCAGACCCGGTAGAATAAAAGTGATATTCAACAACTTCGACATTGACCTGTGGGCAAGCCGCTGTTCCAACTCCTGCCTACCCAAGTCTTTGGCTCACGAATCTTCCAATGTGAGGAGGTCATTCCGACGCCTTGCGGAGAATATGGCCCGCATTATGGTGTCCTGGGATCTGATGGGGGACGTGCACACCGCCTTCAATGCACAGACCTTGCCACTGATAGAATATCATCTCAGTGCCACAAAGTTGAGAACACTTCCGAGTGGTATGCCGTCTCGGACTCTACTCCTACCTGTTCTGCGACTGAGCCGCAAGCAATGCGATGAGCACGCCAGCTTCGCCCGTGACCCCAACTTCATTGGTGACAACTCCCATTCCAGGCGACTGGAGGCAGGAGAGTGATGAGACAAAGCTTTCCTGGCTGAACAAGCAGCCGATGGTGGACGACAACACCATTTCCATTGGCAGTTGTGTGACAAGCTCAACAAAAATATCCGACCTTTGCGGCCGATTCATTGATACCATCAACGCCTTCGTCGCCGAACTCGGAACTCGTCACGTCGGTCAGCTTCTTGAAGCGGCCGAAAAGTTCGTCGACGTTACGAACAAAACTCTGTGGAGATTCAATGAGCAGATTGTGTCCGACCTCAATGCTGTTTTTGACAGCGGGGTTTTTGGTCTCGAATCGGTGGTCATTAAACCGATCCATCTGAATGAGCTGGAACTTCTTCCGACATCCAACCAGCCCAAGTCTAACATCGCTGAGGTCAGTCTCTTGAGCTCATTCTCGATGTTCTCTAACCCCGTGCAGGAAGTCTTTCATATCTTGGCAGATGTCTTCAAGATTGCCTGCGACAATAATGCCTCAATGAACAAGTACCGCCCTGCGATCGCTTCGTCGTGGGCCAAATTACTTGCCGACTTCGTTGCAGCAGGCGACGAGTTTTTCCCTTTGCTGAATGGCAATGCTGGTACACGGTGAAACCTAGCTGGCGATGATCATGTGATCCGCATGTCCAGACTCGACCGAGCCAGCCGAGCACCAAGGACGGGAGAGTCTGTGGATTGACTTGCGGAACGGAAGAGCTGTGCTTGCAACGATAGTAAATCATGACCTATACCTCTCTCCGTGAACATGACCCGGCAATTTACGTGCCTCGTATTCGCGAATTGTGCTCCAAACCGGTCTAGCTTCCTCGTCTAGTCCAGCGTGAATTCCTACAACAAGGCAACGACAAGGCTGGATTCGGGACCACCAGGTTGCCGAAGTTGGAGCTGCGTACTCGCTTGGGTACGTTCATAAGCCAGCATGTCTGCTTTTTCGAGAATCTTCACATCTTCGGCACAACGTCCTCGCGGAATGCCTCCATTTTCATGTTCTCCTCAGTACGTGTACCTTGCGCTTAGCAGCATTCAGCATTGAGTCAACAACATGGTCGGCGTCGCCGGCCGTTCGAAGGCATGCGGAACATGTAAGGCACGAAGGATCAAATGCAGCCTCGAGCGCCCACAATGCGCTAATTGCATCAAATCGAATCGCTTCTGCAGTGGCTACCAGCGCGAACGAGTCTTCTTCGTCAATCAAATCCGCCATCCGGGGACCTTTCATCAACAGAAGCAGCCTGATTCGAGCAAAGCGTCCCCTTCAGATGGATCCTATGATGACAACGAGCCAGCAAGCTTGCCCGTAGAGCCGGCACCTCTAGCAAAGTGCAACAGCCCCTTCTGGAAGCGCAAACAGAAGCCCACTCAACACAGGAAAGTCCACTTCTCTCCCAGAAGCCTGACCGTCTCCTCCCCAACATCTATCTCCGCACTTCCGTCCCATCGCCAACAACTCCTCGCCCTGTACCTCGACACCACCTTTCCTTGCCCCGCAAACTACGGCCCAGCTCCACTCCCATGGATCAACCACCTCGCCCTTCTCTCATACTACCCTCCTTGCCTCGCCTCGGCAATCGACGCGCTCACCCTCTCGCACCTCTCACGCCTTGCTCAGGACCGCGCTGGCACTCTCGAGCATGTCTCAGGCACGACCCTCGCACACGCCCACGATGGAATGGTCTTCCGCCAACAATCCCTCTCAGCATACACCACCGGCCTCTGGCATCTCCAGCGCGCCCTGTGGTCGCCAGCAGAGATGTACGAGGACACCACACTCGCCGCATGTCTAGTCCTCGCGCTGTACGAGCTGCTCGAGTGCCCTGCCGGAAGCCGCGTAGGCTATCTAGCGCATCAGAACGGTGCAGCGCGGTTGGTGCAGCTACGGGGTCCTGCAGCGCATCGCGAAGCTTTCGCACATTCTTTATTCGTGGCGTTTCGGAATGGCGGGATCCTGAGAGCGCTGGAACAGCATGAAGCGGGTTGCTTTTTAGCGGAGAAAGAGTGGTGCACGATACCGTGGGAGGGGAGCGAGGGATATCGCAAAGGAAAGGGAGAGGAGATTTGGGATTTCATTGCACTGACGCCGGATGTTTTGGCGCAGACGGACGTGATGCAACGGGCAAAGCCGGTCAGGAGTCTGTGTATTGCGTTGAGCGTGCTGGAGTACTGCTGGAAGACGGAGGCGGAGTTGGAGATGTGGTTGGAGGGCTTGAAGGAGGCTCATGGTGGTGTTTTATTCTGGCCGGTGCTTGTGGATGAAGAGCATCGGGATAAGGAGTACGCAGATTTGTTTCCGGTCAAGTTCGAATTTTTGAACTTGAGCGTGGCGATCACGCTTATGAGCTACTGGAGCTTGTTGGTGGTGGTGTACAACGGCATGTTCTTGCTCTATCAGGTTCTGCAGACACTTCCGGTGGATCGCAAAGCGGTCAAGAGCTTGGGCAATCGAGCGCCACCAGCACTCCTGAAAGGCATCGCGGTGGACTGCCCACCAAACTGCCCATGTGGCGGCGAGCCGGGGGTGGAGTGCCTTGTCCGGTTCGACATCTCGACACTGCCACCCTTGGAGCACAGAGCTGATTTCATGACTCCGGTGCGCAATATTTGCCAGTCTGTGCAATACTGTTCCCGTCCTGAAATGAAGAGCCTGGGGTGGTCTTGTGTCATTACTCCACTGGGCATAGCGGTTGATGTCATAAAGAACTTTCCCTGGTGGCAGCGAGAGATGAAGTGGATGTTAGGTGTTCTCAAAGGTAAAGCAATAGCCTTGCCATACCTCAAGAACTTGTGGTGGACTCAGGATCATCAGGGGTCGACGGAATCGAGTGGCGAATTTGATGATCTTGGGTGGTCCTCCATCATTGCTACGGCGGCTCGAGCGTGACGAACTCGAGTCGAGGTTTGGCTCTTGAACATCAGATAGATGCCATCCTGTTGAAGTGTCTGGTGGAGTCTTGCACCATCGAGTCGAGCATCGGGAGTCCGTGATGCGCCAAGCTTGAAATTCATGGCCAAGCGTATATGGGTCCCCAATTCCACACAGTCTTCTGGACACTGTCGGGAGCAAGGCCAGCCTCACGTCGATGGCTGAGATGCTTGGTCAAGTCTTGTAATAACCGCCGCTCAATTCAAGCAACCAGCTCTTCTCGATTTTGCTGATGTTTTTGATGAAAACCTTGTCACCGCTTTCCAGAAGCTCGTTGAAGATAACGTAGTCAGCTTTGCGGTTGAACATTAAGCTCGTAGGGTGCGCGTGAAGCGTGACGCCTCCAGAAAAGGTCTTGAATGTCCCATCTGGCTGCATTCTTGCTGCTTGGCTAAAGAAGCCAGTCGTCAAGCACTTGAGGATTGCTCTGGTTTTGTCAGCACCGGAGGTGCGCGATGTCGATGTCGATGTCGATGCATCGTCAACGGGAAGCCCGAGTCGCTCAAGATACCTCCTAAGTTGTGCTCTGATGCTGACAGCGCGTGTCATCGACTTATGATTGAGATGATTGTTGCGAGACCACTGTGCTTCCTTTTTGCCCTTGGTGACGAAAGCCTGGTACACGTTGAGCAGGGTGAGGTGGTCGCCCTCCTCTGCTGCAAACTTCCGTCTCGACATCTCCATTGCCTTCTTCTGGCCCTCGTGATGGAACCAGACATCGCCTTGAATTGAGGTCATGGCAGCAATGGCAAGAAGCTCGGACTGACAGTCGAAATGCTTCGGATCGGATGCAGCAAGCAAGCACTTTGCCATCATCGGCGGTACCGCAAGCTCTGCCATACGCGTGCCCATGGGATGTGTCAGCTTGGCGTAGTCGTCTACTGCGCCGAGGGAGAACAACAGCTCCATGGCTCGAATCATCAACTGAGCTGGCGGAGGAGATAGAAACGGGAACCGGGCGACGTTGTCGATACCAAGAGCTTTGAGCTGCAGTACCAAGGGTGCCAGGTTGGAGCGCTGAATCTCAGGTGAGGTCGTAGCTGCGAGAGAAGAGTAAGCAGCTCGCGTGTATAGTCTGAAACACTTGCCTGGCTGCGTTCTTCCAGCTCGGCCTGCACGCTGCGTCGCGCTTGCCTGAGACACCGGTGCAACAGTCAGTGCATCTATTCCAGTGACGGGTGAGTATGTCCTGAGTTTGACAAACCCACAGTCGATTACGTAGACGATGCCAGGAACTGTGACCGATGCTTCGGCGATGTTGGTCGCAATGACACACTTGCGTGTCCTCTCTGCTGCGGGACTGAAAGCATACATCTGTTCGGCTGTGGTGAGTCCGGCATAAAGTGGGATTGGTTGCAGAGCAAGTCCATTGGGTGGTAGCGTAGCAGCACGCTCTGACAGCTTCTGAATAGCGCTGTCGATCTCTGCTCGACCAGCGAGAAAGACCAGAATGTCACCTAAGCCTCTCTCGCTGGTGTGGATATCAAAAGCGGTATTGACGGCTGCTTCGACATAATCTTCGACCGGCTTCGTACTGTACATCACATCAACAGGATAACTACGACCATCGATCTTGACAATTTGGCATTGCTTCGAAGTCTTGGACTCGACTGGAGCCTCTTCGTCCTCGAAGAATGCTGCTACCTGATGAGCGTCCAACGTTGCCGAGCTTATGATGATGCGTAGCTCTGGTCGCTTCTTCTTAATCTTCTTCAGCAGACCAAGGAGCACGTCAGAGCTCAGTGATCTCTCATGAGCCTCATCCACCATTACGACTGAATAGCGTGAGAGAAGTGGATCAACAAGGGCTTCTCTCAGCAGCATTCCGTCAGTCAAAAACTTGATTCTTGTTGTGGCAGATGTGAGGTCTTCGAAGCGAATAGAGTACCCAACTCGATCACCCAGACTTGTTCTCATCTCGCTCGCCACCCTAGCAGCGACAGAGGTCGCAGCAAGACGCCGAGGCTGGGTGATGGCGATGACCTTCCCATCGTTGCACCAACCTGCCTGTTCCAGGAATTGAGGGATCTGCGTGGTCTTGCCACTCCCTGTCTCACCGACGATAATCGTGACATGCGTTGTCTCAATGGTGTACAAGATGCTGTCCCTGTGCTGGGTGATTGGCAGCAACGCCGCGGGCTTCTGCAGGAAGTCGAGTATCTCTCCAGTGTCCATGTTGAGCTGGCGCCTTCCGGCGGCCGAGAAGAGCTCCGGAATCAAATTTGCCAGGTGTCAGGTAGCTCCATTACGCACCATATGCATTGAAATGCTTCACTTGCTCCACCTGCTCTGCCAACGACGACGACAGGAGTATTCAAGTTGGTTTCGTACAAGCCGTTGCAAGAAGAAACAGTACTGCGCCACATGAGCCACAGCTATCCTTCGATAGTGGCTGAAACGGTTTCAGTCGTCATATGCCCAGACTTTGGCGAGGCAGTTGAAGGCCTCCGCAGCGTTGTATCTATAGTACCAGTGTTCACGTTATACTGATACAGACGAAGTCACTTGCCAAAGGACAGCATTCTCACCATGGACAGCAAAAAAGAGCCAGTCAGTATCCCCACAATCACCTCTGGTCCTTTCACTAATTTGTCTAGGCATCCCCGGTCTCTCCTCTGAAACCATCTGATGGTCCCCCCGAATCTCCTACCACAGCACGCCCTTTAGACTTCGACAGCGATCAAGAAGGTGGTCTGTCCACTCCTACAGGCATGAAGTCCGAAGGCGCACCGCATCCACCGCCAAAAGATGAGGTTCCTCCAGCGAAACCACCTCGCCCAGTCAGCGCTCGAGAGCAAGCCGAGACCACGTTGCGAGAGGCGTTCCCTGGCATCGATGCCAGTGTTATCAAGGCTGTCCTAACTGCCAGTGGCGGCCAAGTCGAACCTGCTTTCAACGCTCTGCTGGGCATGTCAGATCCCGATGCTGCTCGAGAACCAGACCCCCCGGCTCAGCCTCCACGTCCACCACGTCCGGCTCAAGCACCGCAAAACCAAATGGACGCCGACGAACAATATGCGAGACAATTACAAGAACACTACAGCAACGCCGCGCCTAGGCAGTCTAGTGGCAGAGGCTACAATGAACACCTTCAAGGCTCGAGAGTTGGCCGGCCAGGTTCGAATCCTAACCCAGACGACGCTCCGTGGAGAAGTTTTATAGATGGTGAGTGAATTGCCACGACCTGGCGCTTGTATCTGACGATCGCATCACAGATGACCTGCCGGAGATCAGGGACAACATTCGCCAAGGCTTCTTCGAGACACAAAAGACCGTCAACAGCTGGATCACTTCATTCAAGAAAAAGCTGGACGGCGAGGACGAAGACCAAGATTACAACCAGCCTCCTCCACGTCAGAGCCAGCCATATAGTCGGACAGGAAGTCAGCCGCAAGGTCGTCAGTCTGCAGAGATGAGAAGAAGCGCAGACATGTCGAGATATGACGCCGACCCACAGGTCATTGGAGATGATTTCTCGAAACTCGGACTGCGAGACGGCGAGGCACCTCCACGCACATCCAGCAGACCTCTGGCCAATCCGAATCTGTTCAGGTCGGACGGTCTCCCAAGAAAGTCTCCTACAGGAAGTGGACGCAAAGTGTCCTTCCAGGATGGACCACCTGAAGAGATTGGTGATATGTACACCGGCGACAAGACCGCAGCATCCACTACGCAGGCACCGACCTCTGCAGCGAAGCAGAGCAAGTGGCAGCCACTTTCGCAAGTCGAGCCCTCTCCTGTTGACAATGACCCCTTCAGCCTCGGAGACAGTGATGAAGAGAAAGATGCCAAGCCGATCACTCTCCAGGATGACGATGCTTCCCCGGAGGCCAAAGTCGATGAGGCTGCTACGAAGAAGGATGGTGCCAAATGATCTCCTTGGTGATTACGTCTCTTGAGTGAGATTGATCGTAGCCCGCCTCAGAGACGTTGGACATGCGAACAAAGCATCTCATGAAGGGCTTCGTGTCGTGGACACAAGGCGATCCCTCATCGGGCGTATTGGACTCGTGCAGCTCGCGCTGTGCGTCGAATGCACCGTGCTTCAGCTACGAGTGAGACCCACTGGCATTTTTGTGAGGTCTGTCTGCAACTGGAGCTCAGGGGAATATTAAGGAGCACAGAGTGCTTGAATCTGCCAGATATCCGGTGCCATAGTCGATTCACTGGTTTGATCGTATGCTCAATACGAAACGTAGGTTGCAAGCCTTGGAGCCGAGGAAATCGGGACTGGCACGGTCAATGTCAAAATTATCTTGGCAGAGCCAGGACACCAAGACAGTTAGGTCGACTGTCGACCACGCGCTCGAACGCCCTATGTGATATATGTCTCAGCGTGCTCCAATATCAACTACCCGTTGCAACTATAGCAAGAGCTTTTGCCGGAGAACGCTCCGTGCCCCCAATGTCTTGGCTCGGCAACAGATGCGAGAAGGCTATTTCGACAGCCTGTCGCCCACACGACCCCCATGATGCCCATAAACTTTCGTAAATCCCCCCGTTCTCCAAACCGACGGCACGGCATGAGGACGGAACAAACCCCGTCACCAGGATGGTGATGCTTTCAAGGTTCGTATATAGTAAACTTGTGCTTTAGCCGTGAACCGTCTGGCACCGACTCTTGCTGACTGAAAGTCTCTGCTCTTAATACGTCCCCGCCAATACCAGTACCAACACCAACACTAACATAACACACCAAAATGAAAATCCTCATCACTGGCGCCGGCGGCTTCATCGGGCAATTCCTCGCCCGCAAGCTCTTGGAAGATCCCTCACATACTCTCGTGCTCACCGACGTGATCGAATGCCCCATACCTAAAGGCTCTGCAAACCCCAAAAATGCAACAGTCGTCAAAGCCGACCTCCTCGCCGACCAATCTGTCATCACATCCGACCTCAATGCCATCTACATGTTCCACGGCATCATGTCCGCGGGCAGCGAAGCCAACTTCGACCTGGGCTTGAAGGTCAATCTTGAAGCCACCAAGATCCTGCTCGAGACCATTCGCCAAAGGTGTCCCGGCATTAGAGTGATCTTCTCTTCCTCGCAGGCAGTGTACGGCCGCCCCTTCCCGGACACGATCACCGAGGACGTCTTCCCCACGCCAGAGGGAAGCTACGGCGCGCAGAAACTCATGTGTGAGATCCTAATCAACGACATGACGCGGAAGGGGTATATCGATGGACTTTCGCTGCGCTTCCCAACCATCTCCGTACGACCAGGCAAGCCAACCGCTGCAGCAAGCAGCTTCATCAGCGGCATCATCCGCGAGCCTCTCGAGGGCAAAGAATGTGTGGTCCCAGTCAAAGACCGCTCCTTCCCAAGCTGGGTGTGCTCGCCCAAAACACTTATCAACAACCTCGTGCACGCGCTCACACTTCCTCGGGATTGCCTGCCGAGTCACAAGCGGACGGTGAACGCGCCGGGCCTGTTGGCGACCGTGCAGGATATGATGGACGCGTTGGCCAAGGTGGGTGGAGAGGATAAGTTGAAGTATATCAAGGAGGTAGACGATGAGGATCTGGGCAAGATTTTGTATTCGTGGGCGTGGAAATTTGATAATAAGTTGGCGCTGGGGCTGGGGTATAAGCCTGATACGAGTTTCGAGCAGGCGGTGAGGGATTATGTGGAGTTTATGGATGAGCAGAAGGCGCTGGCGCAAGTATAGTGCGTGGCCGGGGCTTGGAAGTGGCACAAATATTCATTGCAATACATGTACACGTGAAAACTGTTTACATCGTCCTGTCGATCCGAAACATCCCAATTCTGCTTGCGTCGTCCATACATCTCCATAGTCCTCGTGAATCATCTGGTAGGCAACATCATATGCGGAAGGATAAGGCTGTCCTGATCATCGTCATGGCTTCTCCGACCAGAATTGTAGCGGTCTTCGTCACCGTTCCCCCCAAGCTGAGGTGCTTGCAGAGACACGGCATTGAGTCCTCGCCTAGCATATCTCATCGTCCGCTTGGCCTCCTCCTCTCTTCGGGCAATCTGCTCTCGTTCATTCGAATTCTCATCGTCCATCGTTATCCAGCTTATTTGGCGATCTTGCCGAGTGTTGTGGCTTCTCCCCGGGGCTATTTTCCGCCTACCTTCGTCGTTGCCGCTTCGGTGGTTGCAGTCTAGAGAGTATTCGTCACACATAGTGCAATCAGCGATGTTGTTAACAGATGCTCCAGTGCTATGCTCGCCGGCTTTCGTAGCGTGGCTGCCGTACTCATCGCGTAGTTGAGCATTAGAGGGAACCGGAGGCGGTGCATGCCACCTTGGGTTGCTCCTTAAGGGATGCGGCGTTGCATTCAGCTGGGTGCTATCAAGATTTCGCAATTGGGTACTAATGTGCTGCGAGACCTTGCGTTGATGACGCTCAGGATTCGTAGACGACTTTGCTGGGTTCTGATAATGCTGGTCGAGATTGACGATGCTTGATCTGCCGCCCGACCGAGTGCTGTCGGATCGATCGAGATGAGCCCTGTCATCATGCTTCGCCGGTTGTGGGTTGACAGTAGGAAGAGGTTTTTGGTGCCCGTTGATCATGGGAGTATCATCAAAACGCATCAACGTACGCTGCCAATTCTGCGCTGCTGGATTGTTCTCGCCACGTTCCAGATGATGACCCGGAGACCATTCCGGAGACTCTGCTATCGTGCTCATTGGTACCGGCTTGAGTAGTTCTTCGATGTTCGCGGTTGTCGCCATCTTAGCTTCTTCTGATGGACTGATACAGTTCCAGCTGCGACGTCGAATTGGGGGCATTCCCGTCCCGCCAATGGTCGGTTTCTTGACCGAATCCTCCCCACTACCATTCGTTCCGATAACGTGGGACAGGGGTCCTATGAGGAATCGCTTGAAGAATGGCTTCAAGGCAGGCGCTGAGGCCGCGCACAGCCCGACCCAGAATTCCAGCAACGTCCAGATCCACATCTCCCACAGCTCCCACGTGAAGTCGTACGTCTTCAGAGTGACTCGATTTAGCAGGACTACGCGACCAATTCCGAGGCCGACTACGATGTAGCAGACTGCAAACAACCCTGCAACAGCATATTTCTGTCTTCGCGGCATCTGAAGTCGCGATACCAGGATTGTTGGAAGCAGTGCCGCATAGAGATCTCCGACCACAGAGAAACAAGCAGAGAGAGTCAGGCCTAGGTTTCGTCAGTGCTTCAAGGACCAAGAATGGGGAGGAGTGCACTCACCATAGCCTTCGTTGACACACTTGTACTTTCCCTTATTAGCCAAAGCCCATTTGACGTCGAAGGCCAGCCAGTAGGCTTGCACTGGAACGCAGACGAAGAGCAGCGAGAAACCGAAGGCGGTAAGTTGAATGATGTTGTATCCGATACCAACCCACGTCGCCCATCGAAAGCCTTTGCTGAATGAAACACTTAGTCGCTTCGTTCTATGTTAGCTTGATCGTGACGTGAATCCGAAGTGAAGGACTGGGTCGAAGGGAAAGACGGAACGGGAGTGCGAGACAAAGGCATCAGAGAGAAGTCCAAGACCTTCATTTCCCACTCCGCTCCCGTTACAAGTTTGGGAAGCAACTCACGCGATAGAACAAAAGGACCGAGATCTTGATGGCTCCTGTGCCCGTGAGATACATCCACTGAGCCAGCCAGACGTTGAGTCGATGGCCCTTCGCGAGTTTGAGTTCCACATCCCACACATGCACTCCGCTATGGTAGAGCGTGTTCCCTACTATGACCAGCGCGTTCAGGACGATTCCGGCAATGAGTCCGTAGATGATCAGCGCATCATCGATGCCTGGGGCCTTCGTTATGAAGAGCCTGGAGTATAGCCGTGCAGACACGACCAATATACCGAATACTCCGAGGATGATTCCCATGTAGATCAAGCCATCTCCTCTGGTCACGGGATCCACATAATTAGGTCGTGGCCACTATCGCACCTATTAGAATGGACATGTATCGGGGAGGACCAGAGCAGAGAGACGCATGTCTTGCCCGATCCAGGTCTCTAGGAATCCTTACTGTGGCAACAACTTCTGGCGGCGCTTTGAGGTGTCGTGTCAGCAGTTCATGATGCATTTCTCTGGCCACGAGAAGAACTTACGCACTAAGCTGACCATGTTGTCCTGTTATGGTCTGTTGTCTTTTCCAAGGCTCCCGCCCAGAGTCGGTCAGGTGCTGTGTTCCCTAGTCATCGACCATCAAATGCTGTGGTACGTGCTCAGATGCACAGAGAATGATAGATGCAAACGTCTAATTATCGTGTAGGCACGCGCTGACGTGCGTCTGATCTGCAGAAACCCTCTGGAGGGACTGGCAGGCGGAATGTGGCATACAGTGTGACAAGGACAAGGCCACTCAGCAGTCGAAGTCTTGCCGTTGTTGGCTGGCAAAAGTGTACAGGTTCACCTGCCAGGCCGCATTGGTACTCGGGGGATATATCACTTGATATGGGATCCTGGACAATGCATGGTGGAGATTCGCGCCACTCTCGAACAGCTTGGAAGGCCTCAAGAGGCAGTGTTGAGAGCAGGGGTCTGTGACACGAAGTCGATCTTGCCACGATTAGCGCGATTGCCGCGCCAGGGCTGCTACTCATTGTCGTCTCGTAGGAGACGCTGTGGTATCTCCATCGGTGTGGCTTGCGTCCGGTAAATGGGAAACATTTGGTGCGACCAGACCAGCTCAGGCCATGGAGGGCAGATCGTATCGTTCCGTCGACACTCTCCGAGCATGACAGGTACCCATGCGCGGGGTTGGCCACTCGGATGCAAGTTCCTGAAGCTAGTGAGAGTGCTAGGGCCAGCACAGATGTAGTCATACGCAAGCTCGGTTGGCGACTGGTGTCCGTCATGTACTTAAGTAGATTTTGTCGGACTCGGCGACAAGTCGAATGCCACGATGCCTGGGCCTTCCTTGATTAGCAATGGTAAGTTGGCATGCGCACCTGCAAAAGGACGTACGCGAAGTCAAGACTCGGACGGCCAACTGATGCTCGCACTTGCCTTCTGAGTACAGTCAAGCTAAGGCAAGCGCCACCTGCATGGGTTGAAACTGCGTGGAGACAATGGGGTGGCACACTGGCAAGTTCTGAGATCGTTCCCTAAACCACAAATGAATGAATGTCTCGATCCTTCATACCGTCCGAGTGGCGAAGCGAAGCAGAAACAGCTTGGTCTTCTGGGCATTGACTAGCTCTTGTCCAGGTGACAAATGTAGGAGAGCAAATGGGGAGGTCTACACACATGCCGGCATCTGTTCGCGATCCGGCTAAATGCAGCATGGGCACCTGCTGCGCTTCAGTTGACCGATCAGAAGCTGTGCGCACAGCTTTCTCTGGCCCCAACATGCACAAGTGCGCTCAATCTGGCTGAGATCCGAGCTATGCGAGCTCTGCCAGCTTCTAGCTGGATGAAGGACTTCAAAAGAGGGCTGATGTTGGTGACGATAGAGTTGACTACTGCTAGGCGATAGCCGATACGGCTTAGCCCGTGTCGGGGAAGGTTCCAGGAGGCACCGCTAAGGGTGGCAGCAGCAGGGTTTCTACGATCCCTGCTGATTACTCGGAAATATCAGCACGAGCATCTTGGGCCTCGACCTCACGCCGGAGAAGGTTTGTGACGCGCCGCAGGGCCTCAAGCAGCCTGGAGAAATTCGGCGTCAAGAGCGGTTCGAGTATTTGCAGGACTTGCTGTTTGAGCAGCCGGGTAATAGTAGCGACATGAAATGCCGTGTGAAATGTATCGAAAGAGTTCTTCGCTAATACTCGAAGCGATGTCTGCCTTATGGAGTATTGCGTCAGGTACGAGAGCAGGGGCGGCCCCAGCCAGCAAGGATAATTGTTGGAATCATGATCTGTTCCGGGCTTCCTTGACTCAAGCATCCTCCAGATTCCTCAATAAGCGTGGTCATGTGTGCCGCTGACGCAGGTCGGCCGTTGCGCGTCAATACTTCTTCTATCTCGAGATGAGATACATCATCAATAAGTGCCATCTTCCCGTACCAGGCGAATGATCACAAGCCTCCCTACCCATTGCTGCGTTTCTCGGATGTGAGAAGTTGCCCGAACGAGGATGATCAAGAGCAACCGAGTGGTGAATCTTTGACTTCATTTCTTTCGTGTCATGTCATTTTCGTGCGCACCACGTGGGATATCGCTGGTGCTACGACTAATCTGAAACGCTACACAGACAATTTGCGGGCAGATCTGAGGTATGATCAAATTCCCATCAGCCGGAACCAACATATGCCGGCAGTTGGCAGCTCTCATGGAGTGACAGGTCAGATTTGACCTTCATGGACCTACAGTAGCCGACACGCTGGGATTGCAGGCAAAGCGAACTCGGATCATAAGATCAACGGATTCGGTCAAGTTCGACTTCATAACAGTGGCTATGACGTGTCCGCTCCCTGCTTCTGAAATGCAGGACATCAACGGAGAAGTACAATTACACAGCGCGCCATTCCTTTTCGCATCATCAAAACGGAGCAGTCCATCTCTCACAACTTCGCTGCAGGCCCAACCGACGTGATCTCGTTGTACAGCAAACTGCATTCGTCAGCAATCAATTTCGGATATGTCGTGAGGGGAGATATGGCACTTACCTGGTCAAGAAATCGGCATAGTCCTCACCGGTCACCTGGCCTTCGAAGTACCTTGCAGCAAGCTGGTACTTGTTACCTTTGCCAGCCTTTCCAGAGAGCTCCTCCGCCTGCTCGTGCAGCAGCTTCAGAGCATATCCTTTGTCCACGGTCTTGCCCTCCGACGTCTTGACGCCGTGCTTGCACCATTGCCAGAGTTGCGAACGTGACACTTCAGCAGTCGCAGCGTCCTCCATCAGGTAGTTGATTGGCACGCATCCTACACCGCGCAGCCAGCCTTCCATGTAGCCCAACCCGATGTTGAGGTTCTTGCGGATGCCTTCTTCGGTAATGCCGCCCGGCACGTTCATGTTGAGTAGATCGTTCTTCGTCACGTTGACCTCCTCTCGTCGCTTGAACAGCTGATTTGGCGTAGGCATGTGCTTGTTGAAGACCTCTGCTGCAATAGCAGCCAGAGCTGGATGTGCGACCCACGTACCGTCGTGGCCTGCCTTGACTTCTCGCAACTTGTCAGCACGGACACTTTCCATTGCCTTCTCATTAGCCTCTGGATCGTCTTTAATGGGGATCTGGGCAGCCATGCCACCCATAGCGTGTACACCACGACGATGGCAGGTCTTGATCAATAGTCGGACATATGCATCCATGAAGGGGACCGTCATTGTTACTGCAGAGCGGTCTGGCAGAACAAATGCAGGATTCTGTCGGAACTTCTTGATGACGCTGAAGATGTAATCCCATCGTCCGCAGTTGAGACCGGAGGAATGCTCACGCAGCTCGTAGATGATTTCATCCATCTCGAAGGCCGCAGTGATAGTTTCGATCAGAACTGTGCCGCGGATTGTTCCTCTCGGCATTCCAATGTAGTCCTGCCCAAGCTTGAACACATCGTTCCAGAGCCGGGCCTCAAGGTGAGACTCCATTTTTGGCAGATAGAAGTATGGACCAGTTCCACGCTTGACAAGCTCGAATGCGTTGTGGAAGAAGTACAGGCCGAAATCGAACAGCGACCCTGAAATCGGCTCGCCGTCCACGGTGAAGTGCTTCTCCTCCAGATGCCAACCGCGGGCGCGAGCGATTAGTGTTGGAAGCACTCTGTCGGTTCGCAGTTTGTACTCTTTCTCGCCCTGCTTGAAGTCCACTTGCTTGCGAATAGCGTCGTAAAGATTGACCTGTCCATTAATCATGTTGTCCCAGGTTGGGGCCGAGGAGTCTTCGAAATCAGCCATGTATGTCCAAACATTGCTGTTGAGCGCATTAACGACCATCTTGCGGTCTGTGGGACCAGTGATCTCGATCCTGCGGTCGATCATACCGGGTGCTGGAGGAGCACCCTGCCATGTCGCGTTTTCTCTGATGTGTGCAGTCTCGGGCAGGAAATCAGGAATGACACCACGATCGAGCTCTTGCTGCCTGATCACTCTGCGCTGCAGCAATTCTTTCCGACGCTCGTTGAAAGTCTTGTGCAAAAGTGCCAGAAAAGCAGTGGCTTCGGGCGTGAGGATCTTCTTTTGGGTATCGTTTATGGCACCGTGGATGCCAATGCCGGCGTTCAACTCATCTAAGGTGGCCATTGTGCTATTACGATATGATTGAGAGTGGTAGATTTGTTCAGTGTGCAGTGTTAAGAGAATTACCGAGGACAAGTTCGAGGAGCTGCGACATTCACTGTGGTGATATATCTACGTCAGAGCGACGCCATAAAGCACATGTGCTAAGCCGCGGTCGATATCCCGACGCACTTCATTGCGTTCGGGAGAGGTAGCAATCGGCCAATCTCATCCTCCAGATCTGCTTATCCACCACTTTCCGCTGGCCCACCTCCAATCACTGGAAATGCCGGTCATCAGGGTTCAAGTTCGTCAGTTTTCTCTGGGGTCGTGAGATCAGCTTGAATGTGGGGTAGAAGTCCATCAGTCCTCTGGAAATCAAGAGGTATGTGGCTCTTGATTTACTGCTGCTACGTAATGATTCACGTCTCGAGGCTTCGTAGCAGACCACGACTGTTTGCCATGCTGCTCACACATTCGCATCAACAGACAGAGTGCACCCTGGAGAATTTCCCATGACATGTGTGCGCAGAGCAGAATGCACGCCGCGTCGCGAATCTGCCGAGGCACCGGGAATTGGCGTTGTCATCGGGGCCCTCCGATTTTGGCCGATTCTGTTTGCACGTATGGCATTCTCGACTTATCGGCTTCACAGGTGTTTTCGTATCGGTTTGAGAACTCCTTGCCGGCCAGTGCCCCGGTCGTGGACTAATGTCTGCAATTGTAATAATTCAACGGTCTGTAGGTAAACATTGATTTGCAAGAGCATGACATGGCACCAACGCTGATGCGAGTTGGTGAAAGCCATCAAGCCGGCCACGTCGCTCTCTTTAGACGCAAAGAGCCACCCACGTATAGTTTCTGCATGATCGAGCGGCTGAGGGGCGTGCTTCGGGTGTGAGTCTGTGCCTGCCAGACGACGTCTGGATGAATGATTTGGACCCCTTCCCAAAGAAGCCAAATTAAAGAGCAAGAACTACGGTGATCTTCTTAGACCCTGCCCGCCAACACGCTCTGACGCGTAACTTCCCTTCTGAGCCAATCCATTTGCAACAACTGATCATCTCGCCTTCTCAGGCTATGCCTAGTCAGTTTCGGCAGTGCAGCCATGCCTCGCTCTGACCATGGCTCGCTCGCCGAAGAAGAGACGTTCGGATGTGGATGTCCACTTCACCCTCAAGAGAGTCTTCAGAAAAGCTGGCTTTCGGCCGCTGCAGCTTGAGGTCATTCAAGCAGCCATAGCGGGTCATGATATCTTCCTCTGTGCTGCCACCTCCTTCGGCAAATCACTATGCTACCAGCTGCCGGCAGTCGTCGCTACGGGCGTGACGATGGTAGTGTCGCCGCTTCTTGCTCTGATGAACAACCAGGTCCTCGCTGCGAAAGGTCTCGGCATTGCTTGCGAGATGATCACCGGCAGCACGACTCTACAAGAGCGCCGCAAGATCGAGACAGATCTGCTCTGCGGTCATCCAGAAACGCGACTTCTCTATGTGACGCCTGAGCTCTGCCAGACTGATCGATTCAGAAAGATATTGCAGCAGATTCATCGACAAGGCCAACTTACGCGCGTTGCCATAGATGAAGCTCATTGCATCAGCGAATGGGGTCATGACTTTCGGAAAGCGTATAAGGATCTAGTATGGATGAAGCAAAACCTCATCTTGCCCAGCGTGCCCATAATGGCAGTGACAGCAACGGCCACTAAGCAGGTTCGCGACGATATTTACACTTTCCTCGGACTCAAGACTGCCATGAGCTTCAGCACATCGTCCGCGCGACCCAACATCCACTATGAAGTTCAGTACTTCTCCGAGTCAAACCCACACAGCACAGAAGGTGATCTGTACCCCATCCTCCTGAACTGGCTCACTCGCCTGCACCACCGCCGTTACCTGGGCTCCTTGCACGCTCCAGACCCGACTCCCTTCCTGAACCCAATCCACGGCATCATATACTGCTCGACTCGCAACTCCGCCGACGATCTCGCCGCTCGACTCACAGCGCACAGCATCCGCGCCTCATCCTACCATGCCGGACTCGACACCTTAACACGCGGACAAGCACAAGCCTCGTTCCTTGCCTCACCGCCAATTCCGGCGGAGGAGACAGCGTCAATAGCCCACTCCTTCAATCTAGTCTGCGCCACGACCGCTTTTGGCATGGGCATCGACATGCCCAACATTCGCTTCGTCGTACACTACGGCCTGCCACGAGGTATGGAGTCCTTCACCCAAGAATCAGGTCGTGCAGGACGTGACAACAAGGCGGCCAGTAGTGTCATCCTGTATACGCGGGAGGACAAGGATCGAGCTTTGTGGCGGCTGAATCAGGATGCAATGCGTGAAAGGAAGAGTCATGCCGGAAATGGCCAAGGCAATGCTGATGGAGAGGTCAGTAGGTCTATGGCAGCGAAGCAGCTCAGCTTGCAGAAGATGATCGAGTATTGCGAGAATGCGGGGCGTTGTCGTCATGAGCTGGTAGGAGAATATTTCGGGAACGATTTCGGAAATTCTGTTTGCGTGGACGCAGAGAGTCATCAGACACCGAAAGCTCTTGGTCTAAGCTGTGACTACGCCTGCGATGTGTGCAAAGAGGGTCAGGCTGTGCTGCAGAAACGCAAGGATAAAGGTCTGGCCACTGCAGAGGAGTCCATGGAGTACACTCAACGACAGCGGATGATGGGCACTTACGATGATTACGTGGAATACGGTAATGGCAAGGAGTAAAGCACGGAATCACTTGGGTCACAGGCCTTCCCAGTGGGCAATACTACATACGTACCGGAGTCGAGGCTGCGCTTTCGAGATCATCATCATAAGGAACACTGGTTGAACGTGGTGTATTGTGTAGAATAGAGTCCGTGCCTGTGATGAAATAGGCTGACGGAGAATATTGTAAACATGACGAATGGCCACCAACTCCACGCTACCACAACAGTATATACTACCAGTTCCACATCTCAACATACGCCTCTTGGCGTCCTGCATGGAGTACCATTTGACTCCAGAAGTGACACTCAAAGCTCCATGGACGATTATCCCACGAAATGACATGCCAGAAACGCAGTAAGCGTGCCTGCTGAAGAGGCCTGTGAAACACCCAACGCCTGAAATGCAAATTTTCGCTAAAAGCAAGTAAACCGCCGTGAGGCAAAGTCTGTCTAATCTTGGTTTCAACACAAGAAAATGTCAAGAAACAGGTGGTAGTGGTGTATCCAGAGACGATGATGCGCCAGGCAGCTCAATTTGGCCCGGTATCGCATCAAAAGCCGGAGGCATATCGGTAGTCCCGCGGTCAGGATCGACGACGTCCTCAACATCGATGTTGTATTCCTTGCAGACGTGCGAGTCAAGGTAGACCAGTCCTTTCCACACTCTCCAGTGCAGCACTGTCATGTGGGCGAGCCGTCTCGCAGCGTCCTGGATGTCGAAAGCTACGAGTCCGGGCTCTGGATCAGCAGGATTCGCGTCTTGTGCAGTCGAAGCCCAGGACAGTGATAGTGGGCTGGCTTTTTGTTGCTGATACCGTCGCTGCTCATCTGATATTTCCAAAGGTGACATGCTGTGGAAGACGGCACACCAGTGGAGGACCGCTCGCTCTAGTCGGCAGGCTATTTCCTTAGCCCAGAGATGGTGTTGCCGCTCGAGACTGAACCTCTGCAGCAGGTTCTTTTCCGCTGCTGCAAACATGTAGTCGGGTATCGGGAGATTGGCTGCGCGATACGCCTGGCGAGTGATTTCTAAAGCGAGCTGAGATGCGTTGTCCGCCCAGAGAGACGAAAGTTGATCTGGTCGTATCGAGTAATAGCTATTCCCGCGACTGCCCTCTGGCTCGAGCAGGTCGAGCAGACACTCGGTGTTCAAGGGTGGCGCTGCTGAAGGCTTAACTGAGAGGTGCTGTAAAAGCTTTCTGTAAACATCGGAACGTGCTTGGAGGTGAATCTCGGTCTGCACCTCGCGCTGAATATTACGTAGCCTGCTGCTGTCATGCTTGAAGGTAATTGGGAACCCGACATCGGTGGAGAAGCAGAGTTGAACTAGTCCGTGAACCAAGACATCTCGTCCATGAGCTGGAGTACTCCAAGGCATACTGGCATGTCGGGCTTGCGAATGAGAGGAACGCTGATTGCACAGCTCACGGAACCATTGCCTCGCGCCATCAATATTCAGCCGACCCTGCTGGATGCGTGACTCAAAGTACTCGATCTGAAAATGAATGCCTTCGTTGATGAGAAGCGGTCGATAAGTGCCTGTGCCCAGTGTCAGTCAAGTGAGAATAGCTGCGTTCGTCTCGCGCACTCACGAATCTGATGATTTGCAACGTCTAGCCTCATGCACTCAAGAAAGAGCAGGAGTCTCTCGATGCCGATGACCAGACGCTGCATATCACCTTCAAGTGCGGCTTTGGTCATGATGTCGGCCATTTCGACCGCTCGTTCGTCTCGAATGGGCGCACAGTGCTCGTCAGTAGCGACTTCAACCACATCGACAGACTGCCCACATTCAACAGCATGCCATGTTCGACTTGTTGCACGCATACGTCCACGTCCAGATTGGCATCAATGACGTCGTGATCGTCCTCCGGTACGAGCAAGAATAACAGACTTTTCACGTCGTAGAACAGAAAGCCCAGCCTCGACCTAAAGGCTACACGCCCACTGCTGCCGATGTCCGTACATCCATCGCACCCTCCCATTGCTTTGTGTTTATGTATCTCCAGCTCGTACTCGAGGCAGCGAAGGTACTTCTCTTTCTCGATGCGCTTGTCTTCCGCCCTGCTGCCTGCAATTGGTGTGAAGTGGAGGTCGTGGTTGTAATTTATGTCAACTCTTAGCGCCAGGTTGTGTTTGATAAAGACAAGGTCGAGCTCTTGAAGCGTTTCTGTCGTCAAGAATGGTTCGACGGGCCCGTTGCGTAGTAGCTCGACATCGACCTGGTTCTTCTGCACCATACATCTTGGGATCTCTACCGGGTGCTCGCGACCAGCACTAATAGCAGCTCGACCAGGGCTAGCTGTGTGTTGGAAATCATGCGCGCTTTTGCGTCGTGAAGTGTGTAGAGGATCCGTATCTTGCCGGCTATCCACACTCCCATATCCGCTATCGCTGCACTGTGTTATGCCGTGTGTGATTGCCATGTCGTGCCCATGGTCTTGTTGTTGATGAGCAACCGGACGCTCTTCTATACTCCCGCTGCTCTGTCCGGAGCATGATCGCTTGTGTTGTGACACCGACTCTTTCTCGCCGTATTGGTCGCCTCCCCCTATCATTTCTTCCTTCCGGAGACTTAAGGGCTGTCATGAGGCCGTCTGGGCAACGTGAAGCGATTAGTCGAAGCACCAAAGCTTCGTCGGCAGCACAGCTCCTCGGAATGGACTCTTCTTAGCACTCTCGACCACTAGGACATATGGATCCAGAGTCAAGGCAATCTCGCGCTAGGGAAGCTGCAGAAAGGACGCGAGGGAGTTTCGCTGACCGCGATGCTGGATCCCTGTGGCGCATCGGAAATTACCTTGATTGAGGCTGAGCGGGTTCTGTCACAGTCTCCGAGGCCGATATGCAGGAACACAGCCAGCGGATGTGTCAACTTGCCTTGTGTTCTGCGAAACATCTTCACGTTGCAGGAATTGGAAAAACATCGAAGTGGGACTGCGCATTCACAAACGTCACCTAGCCAACGCAACGGCCTCTGGCACGCCTCATCTGTCTGACGAGGGAGCGTGCTCTGTAGTCCAAAGTTTGTTAAGCACTCGTCGAGGTCGAACAATCCTGAACAAGAACTGTCGCTTTGTCGTTGCTGGTAATATGGGCGATGATCTCCGCCTCACGATGGAACAAGGTGTACAAGTCTTTTTATACGACGTCTGTAGAGGAAATGCAATCGTGTCGAAGATCCTAGGCATGGTACTTTCGGCGCGGCTACGGCGGACTAGTACCTCCGAGTGCCAAGACGACTGCCCCAACACCCCGCAGACTCAATCTCATTCACACCCACCACTGCTGACTGTGTACCTGACGAGTCATGTTTCCTGAATCACAAAGGGTAAGAAGTCCTTCAACGACTTAGTCATCCAGTTTTGAGGCATCATCCAGCAGCAGGTCCACAACGAGGCTGTCATCGACAATCTCGCAACATGCTATCTGAGCACGCCCGCGGACTATGGCAACGGAGGCGGTGATCAAGGCGGGCAACCTATCCAAAATTGCCTGCCACAATTGTCGGAAACGCAAGGTCAAATGCGATCGCGAATTGCCGGCATGCTCGATATGCTCGTACAACAATCAGGTATGCAGCTATCCAGATCGTGTGTTGAAGCCTGGCCCGAAGCTGGGATCCAAAAATGCCCGCAGCAAGCGGAGAAGATCTTCCGTCGACGATGACACTCTCCAAGGCGACCGACATCCTCATCAGCCTGGATCTGGCACCGGCCCGGAATGCTCGCCAATGCCAGGTTCTCCAGCTACGTTGAACGACAATCGGGAAATGCAGAGTCTGTCGTTCATCATTCATCCATCGCACGAATTGACGAGCCCGGGCGGTCCGAAGCACGACTCGCCGTCGCACACATTCGCAAATGGTGGCGCATTTATTCTGGCAGCATGCTCGGCGATGCATATCACTTCGGACGTCTTCGTCGTCCTGGTGGAGAACTACTTCAAGACGTTCATGTCGTTCCGACTGTTTCCGAAGACACGATTCTGGTCTCATCTGCGTGAGATCGAGGACGAAGAGTCAGCAACGGCGTTATTAGCAGCAATCGTAGCATTTGCTGTCAAGCTTTGGGAGCCAAATGAGTCTGAGGTCACTCTCAACACTTTGGTCGCGAATCTGTCGACTTCGAGTCTAATAAATTTGGCCATCAAGTCCGCAGATAAGGCTCTCACAAACTGTGGTGATGACCCTCCCCCACTCCACTTGCTTCAAGCGCTAGTACTGATCAGCCATTGGCTCCTCATACAAGGCGTTAGGGGACGTGCATGGAGGTATCTAGGTGTTTGCATCCGAGTCGCCTACGAAATCAATTTGCACCTGGTGGACTCTGGTCGACCACAGGACTGGATAGATGAGGACCCTGTGAGGTGGGCACAAGACGAGACGAAAAGGCGAGCTTGGTGGGCAATATGGAGATGGATGTCTTTGCCAGCGTCATCCGTCGATGCCCTACAGCAATCAGCTGGCTCCAGAATGAGACTGTTCTGCCCGCAGAAGATGAGATGTGGGAACAACAGAGACCCCAACAAAGCTGTGTATTAGAAGTCACTACCTTGAGCCGCTGTAAAGCATTACAGCTGACTGGAAATCAGTCACCGTGGGCGTGGTTCATTATCATCAATTCGATCATGAAAGACGCACAGACAATATCGTCGCCTATGGGTGTGGACAAAGCGGCCAGCATGGATTCGCTAGACGCAAGATCTGCAGCTCAGTATTTCGCTGAGATGCGCACGGAACGGATCGAGGAGACCAGGAAGCGCTTGACGACATACTATAATGCTGCTCGCTACTTCTCGATGGCATTGCCACAGAGTCTGAAGTACCGCGGACAGTATCTGAGCTTCGAGCGCGGCGTGCCAGCCAACGGTCAAGGTGGTGTCAAGATGCTGAGAGACCTGCATACTGGCATCTACAGCATTCATTTGATGACACAACTTGCATTCCTCATGACCCTCAAGTATCATCTGTTCAGACGGGCCCCGCCGACAGCGACGGTTGGCAATGGGATCTTTCCTCAAGATCCCGACTCTGCGAATCAGAATGACCCCGAGGCCAGCAGGAGTCAGTGCAGGTCCCAGAAGGACGTTGATGAGTACTTCGAAGCAGCCAGCTCCATACTCAACATAACCAATAGATCCAACGACCAGTTGCATCGATATATCAATCCCTTCCTCGTCAACACAATCTGGCTAGCAGCGGCCGTACAACTGCTGAAGCGGGAATTATTTTGCACAAAACAAGCGGAGAAGGACCTTGTCACGTCGAATTTCGAGGTACTTCGCATGAGCTACGATATGTTTATCGAATTTTGGAGAAGCAACGACACAGCGAAGAAGAATCTTGCAGCACTTCAGAATCAATTGAAAGCATTCCAGGCTAAGACGAGGAGTGATCACAATGCTAGTGCTACGCATGCAGCCACGAAACCTAATAACCCGACGTCACAGATGGCTCAGCCTCAGCTAGATGGCTTCGGCAGCAACGGTGCTGGTGCACAAGTGTCGAGTACTCCCGGACAGCAACTCCACACGCCCAACAGTATAGGCAACGGCAGCACTGACATAGCAGGGCAGTCTCAGCAAAATTGGCCGGCCCCTGACTTCAGTGCTGCAGACCCGATGCAGCAGTTTGATATGCAGAACTTCGACTTCGACTTCCTCGATCCGTTCAGCCTGCCGAATGACTTCGACTTCAATGCGGGCATGGACACATACAACAATTTCGGCGATGTCTTCTCAGGATCAGTGTTCTAAACATGGTCTCATTATTGGTTTCGAAACATTCATGAACCCCACGCCAGGGCGTGCAGCAGACTGGCCACCAGACCGCCCGTCAATAGATACGCAGATGAGAAGGGAACGCTGCTCGATGCACTGCTCTCCGCACTGCTTTCACTCGACCCGCTACCAGACAGCATAGCTTCTTTGCTGTTCGTCGCCGAGACACAATTCAGGGAGGCGTCAAGCTGTCCCAGCCTCGATGCTGAGCCATCTGCTGCCCAGAACAGCGATATCATCGGAGTGCTCGTCCGTACCCACCCAGCTGCATCCTCCAGCGTTCCGTCCTCTGGCACTTTGAAGGATGGAAGTGGGAAGAGAGCGAATGTCTGACCCTGATCGTACAAGTCGGTCACTTGTGCTTCATCTCCACAGTCCGCTGCCTCCCCTGGCACATAGGTCGTGTTGATGACATCTGTTTCTGGCCCGGTGAGAACTGCGGCACGGCATCAGTATGCGGTACTTTGAAGACTTCGAGGAAGAATTACTCACCCATATCTGAGATACTAGCCCAGACATTGACATCACAACCCTCAGGCCTAGACGAGGCAAATAATCGATCGCGCACCTCGCCACACACTTGTTGAGCAGCGTCATCGGTTGCATTTCCGAGAACATCATCAAGCTCCTGCCTCGCCCTCTCGAGCACAGCAGCCGCACATTCCTGGCCCAGTATTATATCACAGCCGGGATCGCCTTCCCCATCAACTTCTGGCAGCATTGCTTTTCGATCGGTCTTCATCACACCAGACAAGGCGAGCCCACATCCATTAAAGTCACTCGTGTTGGAGCCTATCCGCAAACCCCGATCTTCTGTGAAGAGGTGGAATTGGCGTGTCATTATGCGGTCATTGTCGTGCTTGACCGTTGCGACCCAGAACACTGGTTTGTCGGCTACGACTGTGTCGAAGGAGACATTGCCGATGCTGGTATCGCTGCCGACGTCGACGAAGCAGACGTCATCTGTGGGTCGTGACTGTGCTACTGTGGTCGAGGCGAATCTGGAGAGGATCAGAAGTGCGATGCTGGAGGCCGATGACCTCGTAGATCTCATTGCAAGTTTTCTACGGTTGGTTCGGTGTCGATGAGAGCAAGTCAGTTTACGAAATTGAGGAATGAATGGAGATTGTCCACCCGGGCAACCTGGAGTGCAGTTCGATGGGTATATGGACAGTCACGATCACTCCTCACCTCCAAGGCCACCGGATAAGACTCAACGTTTACCGTTTCATGAGCATGTGGCACGTATGTACCGGGTGAACTCCATTGTAGATCCACGTTAGAGGGAGCACTCGATCGACAAACAAGCAGGCGAACCACGGCTGTTGAGCTTTCCGAAGGGAGTTTAGTAAACCTGCAACGGCATCCGTGCCAGCGGGTAGGGTTTCGGATGCGCCAAGCCGTGTTAGATCCCTCCCCTGCGTCGGCTTAGCCATCGGATTGGCCACTGGGATTTGTAGGCACTCGTGGGCACGTTAGATAGTCTGGGCGTGAAGAACGTGTAGAGCATGGTCAAGCTTCTTGTTGATGGAGATGAGATCTGCCCTTACCGTTAAGAGGAGTGAGCGATCAGAAGTTGGGCATGAGCCTGAAACGCAGGGGTCCCAGTGGAGATTCCGCATGGCCTTGCCAAGCTTTCCGCCCAGCACTTCAGTGACAAGACCTTACCTAGATGCTTCAAAGAGGCGGTGTAGGCTCACAGCGTCTCCCGCTACGTGGAACGAATACAAGAGCATCGACCCACCAGCAGCCTCTCCAATACTTCTACGAGATCATGGATGCAGGCAAACATTCGCTTTGATTTTATTCCTGCTGTGGTACAACTGTCACTCTAAACCACGGTCTACCTTGCGGCGACACCCGCAGAAACAGCTCTGGGCTGAGCAGGCGTCCCCGACCGCGATGAAGCCACACGTTGTGAAGCATTTGCTGGCGGCCTCGGTGGCTCCTTCGCCTTCGAGAATCTGAGATTTCCTGGCTCTCCAACAAGCTCCATCTGATCTGCATATTCGTTCTCGTAGTTCAATGTCATCCGCAGAGCTCGCTCTAGCGTGTTGTAGCTTTCCTCCTCCTCATCGTCTTCCTCATCCTTCGTAGCTGTATTGGCTTCGATCGGTCTCTCCAGTGCCATAGTCGCTTCTTCGAGCCCCGGAACAGGCGTGACATTCCTGCTCATGCTCAGATCCCGCCCCATCGCAGCCTTTGCCTTCTTATCATCAGCTTGTGGTGCGACCTTGTCGAGCACACTCATCTTCTCCAGCACCTTCGTCAGCCCCGCACCCATAGCTAACAACCGTGCATTGAGCACATTACTGACGCTCGGCGCCTGGAAAATCTTATTCTGCATCACCCAGTAGACACTGATCGGCACCGTAGTCCTCAAATCCCCCAGCCGCTGCTGCTTCCTGATGACAAACAGATTCGAACGCACAAGTTGTCCCTCCGGAACGCCCTGCTCAGGTGAGGGCCGAATCATCGTACCCTCCTTCTCGGGATCATGAGCAAGCACGTACTCCAGGCCTGGACGAAGCGCCATCTCGCGGTGAAAGCTGTCTACCGTACTGATGGCTTGTTGCCAGTGCGCTTGATCTTGGGCTGCATTGAAGACTTCGGAGTTGCGTGATGCTGGGTCGAAGAAGGGGGACTCCATGAAGTAGAAGAGGACATTGTTGCGATGTAGGAAGCCCTGGCCTTGGATCCACGCGGGGTTGTAGTGGATGAGCGTGCTCTGGTCTGGGTAGGTTGAGGTCGACATCGTGCCTGCAGTCTATCTCGAGGTGTGTTCTTTACGTCTTGACATGTTCATGGTTGTCCTAAAGCCGCCGATTTCTCACTCACGGCAGAGGGCAGTCTCTGATTGTGTTGTCCAATCCTCGGGACAGACAAGTGATGGTAGTCGTCTTGCCTTGAAGAAGCGCCTTGAATATGGACCAACAAACATGCTACAGGAGACTGGAGTGAAAGCGATACAACGATCAGGCATTTGATGCCAGGTCAGGAGATAACGGTTTTAAGTCACCCCAAGCGCGTCACAGGCTGCCGCCTCCGCTGGGGCAAGTGTAGACTGAAATAGATGAATACCTTTAGTTGCCCTTTCTTTAATATCGATATTTCTGAACGCAATTGATATTCTTCCGCATCCATTCGCTGCGACCAGACCCATCTGTCTCTCATCGTTCGACCCACGTCCTGTGTATCCTCCTCGACGCAACTTCTTGGTGCACCAACGTTACTTTCTTAGTGGGGCAAGATGAAGCTCAACTTCAAGGTATGGTTCTCGCGAACGACCACGGTGGACACATGGACTGACCGTACTACAGGATCTGAAGCAGCAAAAGTTCACGATCGATGCTGAACCTTCGGAGACAGTAAGGCCCCGGCCAGCGACAAGTCAAGACGATTCGCTAACCATTAAAACCAGATCGCCCAGGTGAAGGAGAAGATCGCCGCTGAGAAAGGATGGGAGTCTAGCACCCAGCGCCTGATCTACTCAGGTATACACTAGTCGGCATTCGACTGGAGCAAGGCTAATATGCGACTATAGGCAAGATCCTAGCAGACGCTAATACCATCGAGTCCTACAATATCGAGGAAAAGGGCTTCATAGTATGCATGGTCTCAAAGGTTCGTCCCACAGCCTCTCAGCGGTCTAGGTGAGTTTGACTGACGAGTTCTAGCCAAAGGCTGCGCCTGCACCCAAGGCCGCTGCTCCTCCTGCCACACCAGCGCAGTCTGCATCAACACCAGCACAACCGTCAGCACCCCAACATCAGCCTGCACCCGCAGCAGCTAATGCGCCATCCACACCTACTCCCGCTCAACCTGCTCAGCCGGCCGCTCCGGCTCCTCCATCAGATCCCAGCAGTACAATGCTCATTGGCAACCAGTCCGAGTCCACAATAAGAGAGATGGAATCCATGGGCTTCGGCCGACCAGAGATCGAACGTGCCCTCCGTGCCGCCTACGGCAATCCCGATCGAGCCATCGAGTATCTTCTCACCGGTATCCCCGCACACATCCAAGCCGAGCAGCGACAGGGAACACAGGGTGGCGGTGGTGGACAAGCGGCCGCGCCAGCTGCTGCAGCTCAAGGCAATACTCCTGCTGCGGCTCCAGCACCTGCTTCAACAGGAGAAGAAGAGGTCGATCTGTTCCAAGCTGCTGCTGCCGCCCAGGGCGGAAACCGCGGTGGCGCAGCTCAACGCGGTGCAGCTGGTACAGGCGGTGGTGCGGCGGGTCTCGCTGGAGCGACTGGCGCCGGCGGAGAGGTCGACATGAACTTTCTGCGAAACAGTCCTCAGTTCCAGCAAATCCGTCAGATCGTTCAGCAACAACCGGCTATGCTCGAGCCTATCCTCCAGCAGGTCGCCGAAGGCAATCCGCAGCTTGCTCAGATGATCGGCCAGAATCAGGAGCAGTTCTTGCAATTACTTGCTGAGCAGGACGATGGTGAAGGCCCTCTTCCGCCAGGAACTCACCAGATCACAGTCACACCCGAGGAGCGCGATGCTATCGAGCGGCTAGTCCAGCTTGGCTTTTCTAGGGACCGAGTCATTCAGGCTTATTTCGTTTGCGAGAAGAATGAGGAGCTGGCGGCCAATTACTTGTTCGAACAGCCCGAGGACGATGATGATCCGCCCACCACTTCCGGCCCATAAGTTTCGGAATTCCACAGCGCTGAAGCACCTCCGGCAAAGGGCAACTTGACCAGACAAAGGTTTCCTACATGAAAGCCGATGCATGCGGCCAGGGTTGGAGGGCGGACTGACAATGTCGCGAAGTCGTGACTTTACTGCATCACGGCCGAAGGCACAGCATCTACGGACGGTAAAATGATGTGGGAGGCGGCCTCGGGTATCTACCTTCCCACATGCCGATCAGCTACCCTGTGTACAGATCTCATCAAAGTTCTCTCCATGGAGTAATGATACAGGAGAATCTCAATGAAGAACTACTCCATCCCAAGAGCTCACAATGAGTCTTCGCTGCCAGCTGACGCTCGAATTAAGGCTCACTTTGGTCATCAATTCAGTCAGCGAAGTGATCCGACACGCTGCACGCCCTTTCTAATCCAAGATCTTGCGTGCATCAGCATTGTCACAAAGTCGACCGTTGCACTTCTCGTCACCCGGTCTGAGATGAACCCTCCAGTTTTTTGTTCCGGTTCCGAGGTGAGCCCAATCTTGACTCTCCGTAAACCGGTCTCACCTGGCGCTCTTGCCAGTCGCATGAGCCCGATCGTCACTTCCCACTGCAACAACGAATTCCAAGTTAAGCTTAGCAAGAGCCATCGCCGTCATGCGGTCTGGGATAAATCCTACACTCTTGTCAACCGGACTCAGATAAGCCATGCTCGAATCCCTTGTGAGGGATGTTGCATTACGGGAAATATATTCGTCGTTTGGACAGTACGCCCGATTGTGTCGAGCATGCATGCACACCACCGTCCACAGCACTCCCTTTCATAAAGTACGAGTCAGCTTGAGGAAATGAGACGCGCGGTACGAAAGATCCGTGTGCTGCTGCTGCCATCAGCGTCGTCGTAGGCCAATAACCCATCTATACACAGCGTTCGTCCAGAATTCTCTTTGCGGTAGCATCTGCGTGCCTGTACCGTCTATCTCACATCACAAACCCGCTCGACCCTCCAGACTCCCAACCCCCGCCTCCCAACCACCCTTCGTAAAGTAGGCAGCACGCCATCATCCCCAAAATCCATATCGTCCAGATTCACGTGCTGGCGCCATGTCTGCACATTCCGCAATCCCAGCGTCGCCTTCGGCGCGTCGAAGTCGACCCGAAAGCCAAACTCTGCCGGATCTGGGTATTCGTCGTTCGGCAAACGCCATGCAGCAAGCGGCGCCGCCACGAATACTTCCGTAGACTGTGTGTGGGACGTGATGCGCTCAATTAGACTCGGGTCACAGGTAGGGACGTGCTGCATGAGCATGAAAAGGAGCTCGGACTGTGGGATGCCCATCAGCGGCACAGTCGAGATGTTCAGCGGCGATTTGCTGGCCGCGTGGAGAGGTGGTGGATGGCCGATGAGGTAAGTTGGTGGAGGGTATGTTTTCCACCAGAAGACTTCGATGTTGGTGGCGTCGGAGCCGGTGCTGTTGAGCTCGCGGCTGATCAGGCCGGGCAGCGCGATTTGAGCTGGGATGATGCCTCCTTGATGGTATGTGCCCATGAGGACTGCGAGGCTGGCATTGAAGGCGAGCCAGGAGATCCAGAATGTGGCCTTTAGAATTGAAGATGATGGCAGCTTGAGACAAGTGAGTAGCAAGGGAACGATCGGCAGGAGGAAGCGCGACTCCTGGTGTGGGACGATGCTGAGGATCAGAATCGACGTTGTTGCTGACGAAAGTCGGGGGTTTACCAGAACAGACTTGATAGTAGCTCGGCTGAATGGGTAACACTGTGAAATGAGCACAACGAGTGCTGGGCCTAGCAGCTGGGGCAGATTGGCAAGCAGATGTTGGTAATGCGGATGCAGGCCGTGCTCCGCGAGGTTCTCGGTGCGAGTATTGTAAAGAACATTGTTGAGAGGTGTGACCACGGGCGATGTGGCAATAGACTTGAACAGAGCCCTATATGAGGCATCGGCTCCAGGACGGTAGTACGCTGTGTCTGTAGCGATGGCGATGAAGGTCCAGAAGGCGCCGGAGAAAAGTAGTGCGAAGAAGCAGAAAGGTCTGATCATGGTCAGCGGGAATGCCTACAGAGCTAGACCAATAGCTTACCTATTCCAGAATTGTGGCAACAAAATAATGCCGGGTATCAAGACGAAGGCGGGAAAAGTAATTCTATTGAAAGTTCCAAAGACAAGCAAGAAAGCCAAGACGAAGCTTGAAGCGAGGGAAGCATTCTGTAAGCGAGTCAGTCGTTGCTATATTGAACAAGAATATCGGGTTCTCTTACATCTGCTTTCGCAATGCGTTCGATAAGCACCAGACTCCAAAGCACTATTAGAGTCTCGATAGAATTCGAGAAGGTATGTGTTTGATATGTCCAAGTCACGTAGGAGGAGGCGACCAGCACCACTGCTTGCCTCCGGTATCTGGGCGAGTGTACAAGCTCATGAATGGCCCAGTCTTCCAGGACAAAGCTCAGAATGAACATGACGAAGCGAAGTGTGTAGTAAACGACGGCAGTATCGACGGTTTCGTATTCTTCGTGAGGCCAGAGCCACTTCAGGAGGACCATAGGTATGCCGTACGCGGGCCATAGTGGGAAGACACTGCGAATGGGCTGATCCGATGTCCACTCCCATGTCTTGCGGCTCGGGAAACCTAGGACCGATCCTCACCCTGGTGTCAGTCTTGTGAACATACATGGCATGTAGGCGACGAACCGGCAATGACTTCTGGGCCCTGAAAGATCTCGTCTGGATGTAGATAACTCGGACAAAACGCAAAGTAGATACGAACGCAGAGCAGGAGCAGATATGTTCGTCGCCACATGATGTTGGTGACTGGTAGTCGATCTCAGGTGGCCTCTACGAGAGGTCTACAGGCTGTAGTTGCATCCTCCAGGTCCGAAGGTCAGAACTGGCGATCAGGACGGTATGAAATCAAGCGCTGGTTCGTGCGATTGACATCAGAAGCAGGCGCTGAGCGTTATGGCGAGGACATTGCAAGAACGATGGCTGCAGCGAAACGAATGTGTCTAAGGCGATGGCCGTTGAGGTGATGGTGATATGTTGCGCATGATTGCTGATGAGATGCAACCACAGCAGGTGATTGCGGCACGAGGTCAAGCCAAGGGAACGCGCCGGGCGGCGCGCTCCTGCCAGATCAGAAATGGAGAGCCAGGTTCGGCCGGAATGTCGCCCAAAAGTGCCTATTGCTGCCTATCCAATTTTCGCGTTCTTCGCAGTGGAACACTGGTCGTTCACAGCACATCATTCATCTCTGACATAAGTTTGTGCGTCCGTCGCCTTTCCAACGTCGAACGCCTGTCAGATTACATTTCTGGCAGTAGTGTACACAAATGCAACTGCGGCGCGCTATGAGTCGTGGGAAGCAGAGAGCGAAACACGTTGCTCACCTTGCCAGACCGGGTGCAGAGAAGGGAGGAATGCCCGACGCTGTCTTCAAGGTTCAAGTTCTTCATGAGAGACACATGATGGTGACTTCGCTCGAAGAGTGCTTTGCACTGGCAGGTGCATCTACCGCATAGGTAAATGATGAACTACCACCCGCTGAAAGCCTCCTCACTGCTCAGGCGTGCTCCCGGTAAGTTTTAGGGCTGCATGACAAGCTTCTCTACCAACTTGGCTGCCAGAGGGTCTTTTGTCAAGACTCTCTTCGTAAACGGTGGTGCCGACTTGCCGTCCATGAAAGAATGGACCAGTCCAGGCTCAGCATGCTTTTGTACTTCAGCTTAAGCCACTACACCTACAGCAGCCGGATTCATTTCCAGAAGAATGCCACTGATGAGGGTTTGGAATCTTGTCCAGCTAGCCAGTGTTGGAGACCAGGACGCAAGGTAATCATCTCCTTCCGCGTACGATGCTCTCTGTTCCGCATACCTGGCGCTTGTTACGCACAACAATGGGCGCCACTGCCTCTCATCGCCCTCATCTGGAAAACTTTCAGGTTCGACCTGCCATGTCTAGAGCACTCCCTGCATCCACACGTGTTGCACCTTCATCCCACAGTTCTGCAAGAAACAGGACAGAGTGCATGAAAGACAAAGCCAGTGTATGGCTAGCCCTTCAAGTCATGTTGTTTCCCACGGAATGTAGACCTGCCCGGCTCTTGTATGATTCTGCATCGTGAAGACCACTATTCAGACCCAACGCATTGACCAAGATCATCAGCAATGTCTCGGCCCGCCGTCTCGGAGAAGGAGACTGTCAGCGCTCGCCAGAGAACAAACTCCTCTCTGCCAGAAACCTCGGGGTCGCTTTCAAAGCTCGAGGCACCCACAGTCCTGGTCTCGGAATTATCACCAGCAGCTGCAACAACTGAAGCAGCATCAAGCCCTGAAAACCCTGAGGAGCCACAGACAGACAGTAGCTGGGCCGCTTGGCGTGTGCTTTGCGGTACGATTCTGGTCCAGGGCGTTCTTTTCGCCTTCCCACTCACCTTTGGAGTCTTCCAAGACTATTTCGGACGACATGCCGGATTCGAGCACACTAAGATGTCGGTCTGGATCGGCGTGCTGTCAACGGGTGTGCCATTCATGGGCGCGCCGTTTCTAACGATACTTTGCGAGACCTATCCAAGGTTCAAATGCAGATACTATGTCATTCTCGGCTGGTCTCTGTGCGTCTGTAGTCTGGTCAGCGCCGCCTTCACCAAGTCCCTGGTCGCTCTAGCCTGGACTCAAGGAGCGTTCTATGGTGCTGGCTTGTTGATCCTGGATGTTCCTGCGCTTCTCATACTCAACACCTGGTTCGTCAGACGTCGTGGCCTGGCATATGGACTGCTTTTCGGCGCCACTGACTTGATTGGCTTTGGGGCAACTATTCTGGCCGAATGGCTTCTAGCCAAGCACACTCTCCGTGGCGCTCTGCTCACGTTTGCGACTAGTATCTTTGTCATCTGTGGGCCAGCCATCTGGCTGCTCAAGTCACGATTACCGATGGACGCTCCTGCCTCCAATGCAGCAGTCAACCACGAGAACGAAAAGGGCAAACCTCTCTCTGCGCAGGACAGCGCTGTGGATGCGCTGTCCCACCAAATCGAAGAACAGCTTTCAACCTCCTCGTCGCCCGTTCGATACTACCGCCGACCGATATTCTACATCTTCACCCTGGCCAACCTTCTCCACTCATTGGCCTACTACCTCCCATTCATCTATCTCCCGGCATACACGACAAGTCTGGGGTATGCTCCAACTCGTGGCGCATTTCTTCTTGCCGCCGCAAACTTTGCCCAAATTTTCGGCGAAGTGGGCTTCGGCAAGCTTTCCGACTATGTCAACGTTCATTGCCTCATTCTGGTTTGCTCTCTTGGCTCCTCTGTTGCGGTACTAGGACTGTGGGGCTTCGCTCAGTCCCTCGTCCGCTTATCCTGGTTTGCCTTGATCTACGGCACCTTCGGCAGCGGCCTGATCTCCCTATGGGCTCGTATGGGCACGTTCTTCGGTCAGGATGACGCACAGATGATATTCAGCGTTCTGTCTTTCGGTCGCGGGCTCGGAGTTGTCCTCTCTGGAGCCATCAGTCCCGCTCTGCTTACCGCTGCCGCTTCCCGTACGCGTGCACAGGGCGCTTACGTGACGTACGGCAATGGTCAGTATCTTGGGATTGTTGTCTTTGTAGGCACTACAATGGCTGTCAGCGCTCTCATAGGCGCTGTGGGTTTAATTTGGGGATGGCGACGAGGAGAGCTTGGTTCTCCACGAGAGAAGAAGGACAAGAAGGAGGAGTCACAAAGCGCAGTGCTTTGAGGTTGCGAGCGAAGGCGGCAGTATCGTCAATCCCAGAGTACCTCGTACAATCGACCGTCCTGAGAGGATTCTGGTAGCGGGCGCGACAAGAAGACGCATTGCGCCCAGGAAAATGTGTGAGAACAAGCACGAGTGCATAGATTTGTCCGTCAGAACAACCTAGGTGGTCTTCCTGCAATGCGCACGGGTCGATACCGAAACTCTGAAGTCAACTCTGAAGTCGACTCTCGGTTGAATTTTCCAAAGTACTCAATCAGTGTTGTTCCTGCCAATATCTCCCATTCGTAGCGATAGCATATGTCTTTCAGCCCTGAGGATGACTCCTACTGTGATCACCCTTTGGTAGATGGTAGGATAGTGTAATCCGACGAGTAATACTGAAGTCGCACTCGAGACCATGCTGATTGAAATGGTGACACTTTGCACAATGGTCTCCTTAGCGTGGGCTGAGATCTCTGAAGGCACTCAAAGTGCAGTTGAACGAGTGAAGGCAACACCAAGGCAAACAGGGACTTTGGGTGGCAGGAGTGCCTACTGTAGGCGCCCCACTTTTGTCCCGGCTGCCTGATTGCCTCAGTCACTGCACTAAAAGGTGGCCTTTGTCAGTACCTTATTACCTTCATCATCTCTCTTCGCACAACAATTTATTTTTCTCTCCTCTTCATCATTCGCACTCACCCCAAAGTCAACCACTACCATCCACAAGTACCAATAAGACATTGACAATGACTTCCGAAGCCCAATCGAAGATGCTTACTCTCGAGAGCAGCGATGGCGAGACCATCCCAGTCGGTAAGATCATCTCCTCCAATAAATCGTGACACCGCTTACACAGACCAGAGCGCGCCGTCGCCGAGCGATCAATCCTCATCAAGAACATGGTCGGCGACTTGGGCGAAGACGGCATCACCGAGTCCATCCCCATTCCCAACGTCAACTCCGCCGTTCTCAAGAAGGTCATCGAATGGTGCGGCCACCACAAGGACGATGTCGACAAGACCAACGAAGACGAAGGTGACTCGCGCAAGAAGTCCACCGAGATCGAGGAATGGGATCAGAAGTTCATGCAGGTCGATCAGGAGATGTTGTTCGAGATTATTCTGGTGAGTCTGACTGATACTTTTGAGTCATAGATGATGCTAACTTGTGATTGAAGGCTGCCAACTACCTCGACATCAAGGCTCTGTTGGATGTTGGCTGCAAGACTGTCGCGAACATGATCAAGGGCAAGTCTCCCGAGGAGATCCGCAAGACTTTCAACATTCAGAATGACTTCACTCCGGAGGAGGAAGACCAGATTCGCCGAGAGAACGAGTGGGCTGAGGATCGTTGAGGATCGGCATGGCACTCTCACTAGGCGTTTGCGCTGATGTGGCGGCTGCAAGCACAAGCAGCGCCGAAGACCTCTGGCCCGGCCTTTGCATAAATCATTGTCACAGTGGCTGGAGGTCACTGCACGTTCAAAGCGGCAGCAACGGAGTTATGATTACGGGTTACGCATCATCATAGAACGAACGCTTCTACCTTACCATGGCCTTTCTTTCCCTAACGACCCGTTTCTGCAATACAATCCCGTGCAGTCTCTGCCACTACTATAGCGTCTAAAGTGTCACCCAAACTACAAGTATAGATCCTGCTACGACCATATGTTTTACTGGTACAGAGTATGTGGTGAAACTCGCCAAAGTCTCCCCTTCAAGAAACTTCTAGGGACTACGCATCGTGGGTATGTGCACCAGGTAGAAGACTCATGGCGGGTTTTGATAAGCTTTTCATTTGCGACAAAATCTTCCGTGACATCGCATTTTATGTTACGCGCTCACAACATCACGTCCCGCAGGTTTCCTTGTCGCAAGAGTCCATTGACAGTGGTCATCGTTTCCCATGGCTGCTAGCACCTCTGCTGCAAAGACCGCAGATAAACCCATCCTTCCACAACGTCTTTGAATGTCATCTCCTTGAGGCGCCTGAGTGGTTGACGGCGTCCAGTCGCATGGGAGGTAAAGGTAGCGAGTTGTTCAAATGCCGATTCTAGTCTTCCTCCAGTGTCTTCTCTTCGCGTTGTATCTGTTCGGAAAGTCTTGTCAGCAAGTGGAACTTGAGACATTCTCGCAAAGACCTCTGTGGCAGTGAGGTGTCTGTGGCAACTCTTGCTCATCTTCCCCAACAACTTTGGGCTCTTCGCCACCACGGTGTCGCCGTTGACTGTATCTTGAGTATTTTCTGCCGCCCGAAGAGTCCAGACCCCTTCACGCCGCGAATTGTCTCTCCTAACAAGACCGCATCAATGAACGTACCTGATAGTGTTACCAGTTCGCAGACGGATCCATTGCGGGATAGGGCGGTTCTGCTTCTGCGCTTTGGCGAGCTTTTGCTTCGTGCGGAAGGACTTGTGGCTCTGTAGGGTCATGTTCGTCAGTCTTATTTCCTCTTCGTCTAACGGCTTTATTGTGGGCTTCAACCGGCATGGACGGCGCGCCAAAAGGGCCCAAGACCGAAAGAACAGATACGTACCGGCATCTTGACGGTACGTCGTGGATGTCGAGGGAGATGAGGAAGAGGGGAAGTCGATGAGATGTCGTTGCGGAACTGCGCTCGAAGTTCTCTGCCGCTAAAAAGTGGAGTCGTCCGGTGTGCGAGAGATCTTGGCCTTGGCAATCGATACTCTCACGTGATCGGAATAGAACGACTCGCCGTCATCGCGTTCCCGCCGAGGTCATGGAGAAAATGCGGTGGAAATCGGAGTTGGGGAACCATAGTTGGAGCTTGGACTGACCTACATGACTCTAGGAATATCTTACAACTTCAGCATCTAGTACAAGAGTCACCGAGACCTGCGTTTGTGGGTTGTATCAAGGTTATAGGGGTGGTGTGAGAGAACGAAACACAGCATTCGTCCGTCATGTCAACGAAGCTCAGAATATTGGTGCCCGTGAAGCGGGTCATCGACTATGCTGTAAGTATTTCAATATCCTGGTGGCATGCTCTGTTCCTGGTCAAGTGGATGCTATAGCCCAGGTCGTCTGTCCTGGAAGAGGTGCTGATCTGGCCAGGTCAAACCACGTGTAAAAGCAGACAAGACCGGCGTCGAGACCTCCGGCGTGAAGCATTCACTAAACCCTTTCGACGAACTTTCAATCGAAGAAGCTGTACGGTTACGAGAGCGCAAGCTGCCAGTCGAGGAGATCGTCGCAGTGAGTGCTGGCCCCGCGAAATGTGCAGATACATTACGAACGGCGATGGCCATGGGTGCCGACCGATCTATCCACATTGATGTACCTGAGGACAAGCCATTAGAGCCACTCGGCGTCGCCAAAGTTCTCAAGGCAATTGCAGAACAAGAGAAGAGCAACCTGATCTTCTTGGGAAAGCAAGCCATCGATGACGACAGCGGACAGACAGGTCAGATGCTGGCAGGATTACTGGACTGGCCACAAGCTACACAGGCAAGCGAAGTTACCCTGTCTGGAGACGACATCACGGTCGAGAGGGAAGTGGACGGTGGCACGGAGACGCTGAAGGCGAAGCTACCGATGATCATCACCACCGATCTGCGGCTCAATGAGCTAGATATGCGAGTTTGCCGAATATTATGAAGGCTAAGAAGAAGAAGCTCGAAAAGAAGACGCTGAAGGACTATGGAATTGACGACACACCACGGCTGAAGACCATCAAGGTTGAGGAACCTCCGCAGAGAAAGGGTGGTGGCAAGGTCGAGGATGTCGATGGTATGATTAGCAAGTTGAAAGAGCTGGGTGCTTTGTGAAAAGCGAGCGCTGCGGATAGAAGACTTGGATTGGAGCATGTCTTTCCGAATCCATGCTGGGTATGTAAAGATTCATCATGTGCTTTCGGATAGGGTCTGTCTGCAAAGAATTCACCTGACAGTTGCTCACTACCAAGTTGAGTCTCATTGTCCGTTTCATATGTGTCACCTCGCAACAACCTGACTCTAACCTCTAGCATTTTTCAGTTGACAATGACTGTTTACAATAGGTCCCGTTTCCACTCCAACGAGATGGGGTTGGAAAGTATTGGAAAGTGCCAGTGTGAAGGCTGCGTTTGCACACTTGCAACTTACAAAATCTACAGCACACACGTACTTTTGACAGCACCTTTTCCTACTCAACTCCCCCTACTATATCTACCTATCGTTAGAATGGCTCCTTCGAAGAGCGCGAAACGCAAGCGCGACTCAGAGGACGAGATCGAAGACTACGACATACCCGTACCATCCATTGAAGCACAGCCGCCAACGCCAAAAACAGCACAACACAAGCCTTCAGGACAGCTCAACAAGAAATCCAGAAGAGCACCAGGCGTGGCCTCACCACCCACCACCACCTCAGAAGCAGAGGCAGCATCAAGCACACCACATACTCCTCCACGCCAGATAAACAAGAAGCCCCGAACAGCATTCGACACAGCTTCACCCAACACAATCTCCCTCACAGAAGCAGCACCAGACACACCATCGGCCATTGCACGTACCTCTTCTGCCGGCACCAACTTCCACACAACGTTTCCCAGACTCCCACCACCCTCGACCGTCATCCCTCCCCCTATTCCCCAACGCATCGCCGCCAAGATCACGCAGGTTGACCCAAACAAACCAATCATCGTTCTCGAGAACTACAACCGCAGACTGCAATACATGCAAGAGCGGAGAATTCGACATGGGCTGTGGGAGTACGTCCGAAATCGAGCGGCGGCGGAGGGAACCATGAAGCAGGAATGGGAGAAGTCTGTGCTGGTAAGTGAGGGTTGGCCCTCGGGCTACATCTTGGGCAGGGGTGGGAAGAGAGCGATTTGGGGGCAGAATGGGCCGGTTCCAGATGTGCTTCGGGAGGCCAGGAGGCGCGATGCAGGGCCGAGCGAGTTGGTCGATTTGACGGGTAGCGATGGTGAGGGAGTGGTGGGCGACGGTGGCGGAGAAGCCGAAGATGGTGGCGATGATGGCGCCGTCGATGATGACGATGATAATCATATCGCCGATGACGACAGTGTCCATCAAATCGAGGACGAGAGCGTTGAGGATGACATAGAGTAGCTTGAGGGTATCTAACCACAATGAAGGCTCTCGTAAGTTTTCAGACCACATTCGGGCACTTTCATCCATCTACCCCTACCTTGACATGTGTATGCATATCACGTGTAGAGACGATTGTTGTGCCGAACGAGTCGTGTTTGCTGGTGAAATACATGTTGTAACAGTCAAGGTACGAGCTCCAGGCGCCTTGTTGCCTTGCCCTGTGTCGAACTTTGGGAATGATTGCCTTTTGATGTTACCAATCAGACTTGCGGGCGCGTCCCAGTCGTATGGTTGCTCAAGGCAGGTACCGTTCAGCCAAAGCATATAGCAGAGTACCTTAGAGCTCGCTGCCTTGTTGATCCGTGTCCTTTGCCTCGAGCTCCCGCCTCCTTCCCCATCACTCCTTCCCCATCACTCCTCCCCCAAACCGGCCCCAACAAAACCAGAACCAGAACATAGTCACCGCAGCTGAAATCATAATGGCAGGGTTCAAAGACAAACTGCATCAAGACTGGGCCGACACCAAGGACTGGTGGAAGTCACACGCCAGTCCAAAACGCCAAAAATCATCGCAGCAGAAGCCTGACAAGAACAATGACAAGAACAACGACGAGGACGCTGAAGAACTGCAACCATGGCGCGCATTCGACAAACTCCTGCTCCGCTTTCCACACTACTCAGGACCACCATCATTTACCTCGAGCAGCGGCAGTTCGACCGCGTCAGCCAGCAACACGTGCGAAAAGCAAGACGTGCATCCGTACGAGATGGCACTCGACCTGAACAATCCTTACATCCGAAAAGATATCGAAATCAAGCGAAAGCAACGCCTGCACCGGATGGACGAGGCACGGATTATGTGGGAGAACTGCCGTATTGAGTGTAGCCGGCGAGGCTCCAATAACATGACCATGGGCCAGTGGGAAGGCGGCGACCCGGACAGCTGGGCTTTGTGGGAGTTGAGAGAAGCTGCCGAAGCGAAGCGCAGGAGCAGCAACGGCAGCGCCGTGGAGGATGAGGAGGAGTTGGAGATCGACGAGGCAGAGCTCGCGGCTTTGCGTCAGAAGATGGTGGCGAGGAACAAGAGGAGCTGTTTCCAGACCATAAGCCATTCTTGGCAGTTTGACGCGAGGCGGGAAATAGGCGAGGCCAGAGAGGTCAAAGTCGAACATGAGCAGATGATGGCAAGCGCGCCTGCGATGATCGAGGAAGGCACGAGGAAGGTTTCATCAGGTGCTCGATGTTCAAGGGCCGTTGAATCTGCGTCTGCAAGCATGCCTTGATTTTGAAGCGGCGTTGGAGGCAATCGAATGGGGAGCGACTGGTGTGCTGAGCAACATTTAGCAAGTACTTGAGTGTCTGGATAGGAAGCATAATTGAAAACCAGCGAACACCCATGCTGACATTGCCGTAGAGGCTTCCCCAGAAGTTTTGGAAAGATATTAGCATTTACCACGGCGGAGTAAAAGTCGATCATGCAACCATGCAGTCCTTTAAGATTGCCCCGTTCAACGCCGGATCTAGTGATGCGAAGTAGCTGCCACAACAGGCCTCTAGACCGTTCCTGCAATGGTCAATTCACGAATCTCGCTCAGAACCTGCTCTACCCGATTATCCAGATCTCCCCGCGCATATTGTTCCCTCGTATCTGCATCAAGATATTGCTGTACTTGCGCCATTCGTGAGTATGCTTCCGCGCAGAAACGTAACTGAATCTTGACCAACGCCTCGAACGATGGATCCAGGTATGGTACTCGCAAGTCGATAAGTTGCGGCAATTCTGTGAATAGCTGCTCGTTCAGCTGCTCGTATGCCTGTTTCGCAACTTCTGCTTCTCGCTCTGCGCGAGGTAGTTTGGTCACATCTTTGTCGGGCTTCTCAACCAGTTTCTTGACTTTCGAGCGGACCGCATCATAGTCAAGTAGCTTGTTGTTTCGCTTCTTTATGCACTCGTTTATGTCTGGAAAGTAGGCGCAAAAGCGAGATATTGGTTCCAGAACTGTTGTCCTGCGAGCTGTGAGACATAAATCGAGCGCACAACGTTCGCCCTACCTGAATGGTCCGTCGAGTGCTTTGATCGTCTCCGCGTCCAGATCTTCGACCGCTTGCTTGTAAGATCGAGACACACCGTCTCTTGTGCCGGCATCGCCATAGAAGGCATCTATCGTTTCCGCTATCCTCATCTGTGACGCCGTCATGGCTGCAAAGACATATGGTCAGGCCTGCTCATGGAAGTCAAAGGCGCTACTCACCTCGAAGACTGTCGAGATATCCCTTGGCCTCTTTCTGTAACCGGTTCGCCGCCGCCTCCATTGTTCTGTATCGCCTGTGCACTGTCAGAGGAGTCCGTAGACGACATCGTGCACAAATACCGTTCTTCCACTTCGTAGTCCCGGTCTGATGTCCTCTCGACGTGACCGGTCTTCATCATGACCTGGGTCTCGCCCGGTTGACGTTCTTCTTGAAACCCGCCCAACTCATCTCGACGGCTTGCTGGTACCGGAGTGTATTGTGGATAACTCCGTGTAAAGGCTCGTAGGTATTCAGTCCTCTTCACCTTCGGTCAAACAGCGACTACGATGTACTTGAGGCCGCCGGCTGCGCCATGCAGCGTTGCTCCACTAGTCACGTGTCTATCGTTCGGATGACGTAAGGCTTTCGAGCCGCGTCGTCCGCCAAGCTTGAGGTACTTTCACCATGTATCTCTCGTGCTAACGATCATGGCATTTCACATCGCCATGCGATACAGGAGAAAGCGAGCTGACTGAGCCTTTGCGGGCCACTTTGTGGTTGCACGGGCAAAGTACTGCCTTTTGGGGTCTGTATTCGACGATCCATGCATGACTATGCAAGGGCAGAGCATGAGCTCGCATCATCGAGCTACAACTAGTATGCAATCTCAGAAGTCGCCTTGATCATAGGCAACGCATTGACGGGTGAGCTCATGCTCTGCTGAGCAGAACACGAGTCAGATCAGGAGATGCTCGTGATATATCCCCAGTCAGCGAACACAACGACGCTTTGCGTCCTGCAAGAGGCATGAGAAGCAGCAGACGTCACTGAGAAAACTACTAGTACGTCTCCTTGAGCATACTGACGACAGCCTCTTGCAAGATGTTGGACTTGCCTGCGGCTTGCTTCCATACACTTGCGAAGCTGGGGTATGATTGCGTGCTGCGACCGCTTAAACGTAAGGGCGGCATCTTTCGTGCTGTCAGTGTTACTCGATGCAGGGACGAGAGGGCCCGAACCGTGCTCGGAAGAGGCACTGGATGTATATGGCTAGCTTTTTCGAAGTCCAGGCCGCGGTCTATGCCTGTGTGCACTGCACTGAGCGTCGCTTCTGGCCGGTCAAATTTTCTCGTGGACAATGTTAGTCTAATGCGCAATAATAGACAGCATCGTTCTTGCTTCTGTGCAGTCTTGTCTTCGCAATTGCCTCGTTGAACGCTTGCAATTCACCTTGAAGCTAGAAGTTACTACCACCTGCCGTCGGGCCTTCGTCACAAGCATCAGTCAAGCATTTGGCAGTCGCAACTTGGCAATTGGCACTCAGGATAGATTGGTCAGCACACGGAATCTGTGGTTGCGCGACATTCTTCCTTCGTGTCTAAATTTCCTTGCCCGGCAAGACGGTATCACCAGTCTCTTGGGACTTTGTGTTGAAGCACTCCAACTTCCGGCAGTCATCAGTGGGTTTTGTGGCCATCGGCCCACAGCCACACGCCCCTGTGCTGGCCGTACCAGGCCCTACCAAATTCCGACTCTCACACTTTGGAATCAATTTGGGGTGGCTGTCCGTCATCACTGAAGGATAAAGATCGGCCACGGTCGCTCACTTACCCTCGGACCCCACCAAAACCACTTCACTTCATCATTTCGAATACTCATACCGCCACATCTACCATTACTCTGATTGAAGTCGTCAGTCCACCATAGATCATCTTTACTGCCGCTGACTGCGATCTTGCGAACGAAGTCATCGCCTTCTAGGCGCGCGTTACGGGCAGTCCCGGGCATTCCACGCCCACTATCATCACCTATAGCCCTCCTCAAGGACTTCCGCGAATGAATCGACCCACGCCTCCCGCCTCAAAAATCCCTCTACATCCACAGTCGCTACACTGCCTTCTGGGCAATCCGAAGATGACAAGATAACAAATCTGGCAGGTGATACTGCTCACCTGTCAGTCAATGGCAACGATCATGCCAATGGATCCGCCGCCGAAAAGCCTCAGAAGCCGAAGATGACTTCGCGACTGAGTCGCATGTTTTCAAGAACGGATCATAAACATCTCGAGATTGCCAAGGGCAATGTCGAGGCTGAAATGGCCAACGGAGGCCACATCAATGGCACCCAAAGTCCAAGACCCAGTGTCGCACGCATGCCTTCGGTGACCGAAAAGAAGCCCACGCCAGAGAAGCCACGGGACGGCTCCGTAGACCATGGTAACGCGACACCTTCGAAACGCTTCGAACTACTGGACGATGGCACACACACGCACTTTCTGAAGTCCAGCCGCCGGCAAGAGAAACTCAGTGACTTGCTACGCGACATGCTTGGAGCAGGCAAGAAGAAGGAGCACGAGCACGAAGAGAGACAGCTTTCGCTGGTCTCAAACTGGGTAGATCAGCTCAGATCCGAAAAAGATTCGCTCGCTTCAACTGAGAAGAAAGGCGGCCCAAACGCAACAGCGAATCTGGTGGAGAAGTACGGCAAATGCCAGGAAATCGTCGGTCGCGGGGCTTTTGGCATTGTCAGGATCTCACACAAGCAAGACGCTCAAGGCCACGAATTGCTCTATGCTGTCAAGGAGTTCCGACGACGACCTCAGGAGACATCTAAGAAATACCAGAAGCGATTGACGTCGGAATTCTGCATCTCTAGCTCCTTGCGCCATCCGAATGTTATCCACACATTAGACCTGCTACAGGACGCCAAAGGCGACTATTGTGAAGTAATGGAGTACTGCGCTGGAGGCGATCTCTACACGCTTGTGCTTGCCAGTGGCACACTCCAAGTGCTGGAAGCGGACTGCTATTTCAAGCAGCTGATGCGCGGCGTTGAATACATGCACGAGATGGGCGTCGCCCATCGAGATCTCAAGCCAGAAAACCTTCTCCTCACCACTCACGGAGCGCTCAAGATTACTGATTTTGGCAACGGTGAATGTTTTCGCATGGCGTGGGAGAAGGAGGCTCACATGACGGCCGGACTTTGCGGCTCAGCGCCGTACATTGCGCCTGAAGAATACGCTGGCGGCGAGTTCGACCCGCGAGCTGTCGATGTCTGGGCCTGCGGTGTTATTTACATGGCAATGCGGACGGGTAGGCACCTCTGGAGACTGGCTCGGAAGGACGAGGACGAATTCTATGAGCGGTATCTCGAAGGTCGCAGGGATGAGGATGGCTATGCGCCCATTGAAAGCTTGCACAGGGTAAGTCCCAGGAAGATCAGGTTTGGTACAGAGGGAAGACTAACATCGCCTCTTCCTCAGGCTCGCTGTCGCAACGTCATCTACTCCATCCTCGACCCCAATCCAGGTCGCCGCATCACTGCCAGCCAAGTGCTTAAGTCCGAGTGGGGCCGCGAGATCAAGGTCTGCAAAGCTGGCGAGGAGGGCTACTGAGCACGAGCATCGTCTGCGCCGTCTTTTGTGGTTCCCCAGGGCTTGTTAGACGAGTCGGTTCGAGCCGCACATCTCTGCGAGCATTTCCATTGCAACCGCGAGCTACAGGGTGTTTACGTATCACGATGAAGAGCATCATGACCACCATTGCTCGAGTCGAGATTTATTACTACAGATTTTCATGACCGTACCAAGAGTATTCTCTAGAGAACATGCTCTTGCAAATTACGGGCATTTTTGAAACCACGTAGAGCCCTCCCTGGGGTGAACATTTTCGAAATTCTGGTTCATTGATTTTCCTATCGACAACCTGCTCAGAGTCCTCCCCGGCAGGATTTTCCGAAAATCTGGTTGATTATCATCAAATCAACAAAACTCCATCGAAGGCCTCCTTGGGGGTAAAAACGCCATTTCCGTGGTTTACAGCACCAGCACCTATGCAATTCAATTCCACGCATTCACTCGAGACACGTGAATTATGAGGCTACTGCTTCGCCTCCTTCTTCTCCTTCTTACGCTTCTTTCGCTCTGCACGCTCCTCGGGCGTCTCACCCTCATGCTTGCTCTTGCGCTTCTTCGAGTCGGCCTCGCCACTAGCGTCACCATTGATGAGGGTCTTGTCGTCTGCCATATCGACATCGCCCGTAGTGGGGTCGACAGTGGGAGCGTTGAGGACGTCGGCTTTGGATGTTGTTTGGGCGGTGGGCGCGGCTGATGTGCCTGGTGCTCCAGATGCGTTGTAGTCGATGTAGCCGGAGTTCCAGGCGGCAGGGGTCTGCTCGTTCGGACGGCCGTATTTCTAGAAGACTGTCAGGGAGGGCTCTGTGGTGGGCAGGATGGGGAGGATTGGGGAAGGACTTACATCAAGCTTGCCATCAGACTTCATCTTCTTCTTCTCGAGCGCAACGGGACCCATGCCCCAGCGACGGGGATAGAGATCGCGCTCCATGATGACCCGCTTGATCTTTGCCACAACACCGTGATCGCAGGTGGAGAGCTCGACAGTGGACATCTGAGCGTATCCAAGAGCAATAGCCTCGCCCTTGGTGGTCATGAGCACGACTTCCTCGTTGACCTCGATGCCGGACTCGAAGCGCAGCAGCCCGGGAATCATCAGCTTGGCGCCGTATGTGATGGCGTTGACAGCGCTGTCTTTGACGACTACGCGTTTGTATGTCGTGAGGAGGGATTCGAGTGGCGAGATGACCTTGCGGAGGTAGCTTTCATCGCGGTGGTTGTCGTACATCCATTGTGCGTCGAGAACGTCGTGTAGCGTAACCATGCCGGATTCTTCGCTCTTGGCGCCTGAGCGGACACGTCGCAGCTCTTGCATGTGTGCACCGACGCCGAGAAGGAGGCCAAGGTGAACACAGAGGGTTCGGATGTATGTGCCGGCTTCGCAGCTTACCCAGAATACACCAAGGTGGCGGTCGTTGTCGAATTCGACGAGCTTGCTTTCGTAAATAGTTCGAATGCGGAGTTGGCGCTTGACGGCTGAGATGAGGGGAGGGCGTTGGAAGAGAGCTCCGCTGAGAGTTTCGAGGGCACGAGCAAATTGAGCCTCGCCGCCGGGTAACTTGTCGTGGAAGCGGATGACGCAGACATATTCTTTGCCAGCACCTTGTTGTGATTTGACGAGTCGTGTAGCGCGGTCAATGCAGACAATGAGGCAGCCGGTGACTTTGGGATCGAGTGTGCCGCTGTGTCCGGTCTTGTCTACTCGGAGCATGCGTTTGAGCCAGGCGACGACTTCGTGTGATGAGGGGTTGGACGGCTTGTCGAGGTTGATGACGCCGGAGGAAATGTATGACTTGAGATCGCGGTTGTATGGCGTGCAGCCGACGGGGATGGGTGTGAAGTGTGCGGTACGAACGAGGAGGCGGTCGTAGCCTTTTAGCAACAGAGGCCAGTCTTCTGTCGAGATAGCTGGTGTGGCATTTTCTGGCTTGATGCTGTAGTCAGCGCCTTTGAGCGCGACTTCGCCCATCTTAGCCGAACACCCAGTACTCCGAAGACCCGCGCTTGGGCTTCTCGTGTGCTTCCTCGATAGCCTCAGGAACCTCTAGCTTCTCGGTTTTGGCGGGCTGGGATTTGCTGGCGTCTGGGAGAGCTGGGTGGTCGGTGCCGTAGCTGAATTCTTTTGGGCTGCCCTTGCCAGAGTCCTCCCCAGAGTAATCGCCTCGACGGAGTTTGACGACTGCGTATGCAGGTAAGATATACAAAGCTGAAAGATATGCACCCGCAATTTTGAGGATTCGGGAGTCCTTCATGATCTTTTTCTGAACTTATTGGAGATCTGCTATCCAAAAGCCGCTAACGCAATAGGGAGTAGTGTGCTTGATCACGTGAACAAATGTGCAGTTTGAGAAGGTGCAAACATTGAGTTGGGGAAGCCTCTGTGGGTAGTCTTGGCATCCGAAATCATGAAGGGTTAGGGCTACAAGCCATTCACTTCAGACTCATTTCTGTGTTGCCTATTCTCCCTTTATTGCTAGATTTCCTGCTACAGCGCCCTCCCTGGCGTGAGTCTGGGTTTTACCTCTGCAAAGTCATGGACACATAGAACTTGAAGCCAGGAGTCCTCCATTGCAGTTTGCTACTTTCTCTGCATATCGGCGCCATGGATCGATTTTGGGCAGCACCGCCTGTCAGCAGGTTTGTCGAATCATATCCAAGTGTCTTGCATCTTGACTGACATTATACAGGACGATTGTCGCTGCTATGGCCATTCAATCGCTCTTGGTTTACGGCGGCGTACTAAGTGCTGACTGGATCTGGTTCGATCCGAGAAGAATGTTCTTCAAACTACCACCACAAGTCTGGCGTCTGGCGACTTCGTTCCTTCTCACAGGACCTCTCTCGATTTCATTTTCGACCTCTATTTCACCTGGACCTACGGCACCGGCCTAGAGCTGAACTCTCCGCGTTTCAGCCAGCCTGGTAGCTTCTTCGTCTACGTTGTCTTTGTGTGCACCATCATTGCGGTGAGTAGAGCATGATCCTCTCTATCATTTCCTTCGCAAAACCTCGCATATCTGCCCGCTCAGCGTCCTATGGCTGAAGCGGTTCCTGGAGTTGAGGAAGATTACCCCGGCAGCGCATGCTTTCCATCATTCGCAATCAATCAAACGGACTGTGTGTGGTGTCGGCATGGTGGTGGCAAATTCGAGAATAATGGCTTCCGTGACGCATCAATTTGCTGAGGCTGGTTCTAGCTCCTACATTTCTTGACTTCAAGACACTGTATATGGATCGTCTGATCATGCACTGATGTTTCCATACAGGCACTGGCCAGCACCTTTGTCGGCGCCGGGTTCTTCACAGCAGGATTGATGATGGCCTTCATCTACACCTTCGCCCAAGACAATCGTGGCAAAAAAGCACACATCGTCATCGTACAAATACCAGTCGAATACCTCCCATGGGCATCTCTGGCTGTAACGTTGGTCGTTGACGGTCCCTACCGCATGATGATCCAGGTCACGGGCATCCTCGCGGCCCACCTTTACGACTTTCTGACGAGGCTGTACCCGACTTTCCAGGGTGGGCGGAACTACATACAGACTCCAGTGTTTGTCAAGCGATGGTTTGGGGCGGAGAGCAGCGCATTCTCGCATAAGAAGTATGGGACTGCGTTCAGGCCGGGACAAAATTTGCAGACGCCGGCTGCTAGTGGAGCTAGTCGAGGGTGGACGAGCGGGTTTTCTGGTTCGAGCTGGACGGGACGTGGTCAGGGGAGGCGGTTGGGGAGTGATTGAGCGTAACAAAAAACACCCCATTCATCGCCTTCGAACACGACTACTTGACAAAAGAATGATTTTGGTCCCCATGCATTTCTGTTTCATTGCTATACACTGCTCTATATGCTCTTCGCGAGAACCGTCTTGGTCATGTCTTGAGAGTCGTGGTTCCTTTCCTGGTGGCTGGTATTACATTGTTTCTCGTTTCTCGTGCTTCATCTCGCTCGTGTCTATCCAGTTCATCCGAAAAAGAAGCAAAGGCCGCAAAACGATGCCAAAAGATTTCCAGAAGAATCGAAAGCTGCTCAAGCGAACCAGCGACGGTGCTTCTCGCCCATCATGGCGCCAATGCCAACAGCAGCGGTCCCTTCGACAGCGAGAGTAGCTTCGGCTGAGGCCGTAGCGGTAGCGCTAGCAGTCACGTCGGCAACAGCAACGGCAGTGTCGGTAACAGTAGCGGTGTCAACAGCGGCGGTGGTATCGGTGGCTGTGTCGGTGGGATTCGCCACAGTTTGAATTGTAAGAAGGTCAGCTGCAGTCGTATCTGTTGCGGTGGCGGTTGCAGTAGCGTTCAATGCGGCTGTGTCTGTGACAACCGCTGTATCGGTCACCGTGGCAGTGTCAACGAGGGTAGCAGTGTTGACTAGAGTAGCAGTGTCCGTCACCAATGCAGCAGCGTCAGTCACAGTCTCGGTGACGGTGACGGTCACAGCTGCTGCACCGGGCGGGCATTCGGTTGCTACTGCTGCTGCTGCTGGGGGACAGACCAGGGGATCAACACCAGCCATTTGTCCAACCATCTGCATGATTGCTACCAGCGTCTCGTTCTTGCCCATTGCTGCGACATCCGCAGGAGGCAGGACAGCGGCTGCAACCGGTGGGCATTCCAATGCTGCGGGAGGCGCTGCAGCAGCCTCAACGCCCTTGACAGCTTTGGGAGGCTTCGCGGCTTTGTCAGCTGGTGGTGGAGGCGGCGCCGCAGAGGCATCAGCCGGAGGTGGTGGAGGAGCTGCTGCAGTTTCATTGGCTGCTGGCGGCGGAGGCGGAGGCGCCGCACTTGCATCAGCCGGTGGCGGAGGTGGCGCCGCAGTCGCATTGGCTAGCGGTGGAGGAGGCATGCCGCCGGCTGGGGGCCGTGGAGGAGCGGCAGCGTCTGCCTTTCCTGGTCCCTTGCCGCCAGCTTCCGCAGGAGGACCACCGGCCTCACCCTTAGCGCCAGGACCGCCTGGGCCGCCAGCTTCTGCCTTACCACCAGCTGGGGGCGGTGGAGGAGCTGCGACCGCTACATCTGCTGGGAGGATCTCAGCATTCGTGGGAAGACCGTAGACGTTGGAGGCTTGGTAGAGTGCCGCAGAAACGAGTGATAGCCCAGTGCTACTGCCAAAGGGGACAGATCCCACTGCAAGAGCGGGCGCCAGAAGGGCGAGAGCCGAGAAAGACTGTGTTGGCTTCATGTTGAAAGTGTGATTTTGTTGGAAATGGGCAAGACCGGCCTGCGTGAAAGAAACGAATGGGAGCTGTTGTTAACCTGAACTGAAGCTTAACGATTGAAAGGCTGCTATTTGTCGAGGATGAATTGAGAGAATGGCAGGAGGGGACTGTTATATACTGTGTAACCCGCTCGATGCATCAGAGCCATGCTGCTATGGTCTACGAACCTGGTATGTGATATCAAATTCCTGTTACCACTAGTCCACCGGTCGTGGAGCACACTCCCAGTGAGGGATGACTGAGATCCCAGCGACCACATCTGCCGAGGTGATGCATCAAGCACACTTCGACGATGGCCATGATAGACCGAGCATGACTTGCCTCGAGAACGTGGAGGATGTGCCGTCGAGGCGAGCTGCTATTCGTCAACCCTCCTTCGGAAGCGATAGAAGCGAGTCACAGGCTGAGCAAGATCGCTACGCGGCGAAGATTGTGAACAGGGCTCATCGTTGGAGCGTTAGCGGAGCTATGGGCAGTTGAACCAGCGTTGAAACGTGGAAGGAACGAAGAAGATGAAGGATGTTCTTGTCCGAACTCTTGACGTCTCAAGACAGGCGCTTCACGTGACGAGGCGATGCCCGATTCAAGTGCATGCCTGAAATTCTCCGCCTGACTCGCTCAAAGTGGCGTCCTCCGCGTTCTTTTGCCTTGTTCGCCTATTCTTTTTCATACACATCGTGCACCAACTACCTGGCCTCGGCTTCTTGGCCTGACAGAACTGGTCCACAGGCTACTGCGCGTCCTTTCCGATTTGCACGAGGCCTCCACAATGACCGACTCAAAATTTGTCAATCCGCATCGCAGGCCCCTGTACGTTTTCGATCTCCCGCCAGAATTATTGCAAAGCTTGGCCGTGAAGATTGTTGGTGGTAGCGAGCGAGAGGCACTTGACAAGGAACCTGGTCAAATTGATCGACCTGACGTTTCAACCGCTTCTGTCGGACAAGATGGTGTAGCTCAGTCCACATCCTGTTCTCTATGCCAGCTGTCATTTCCAAACGTCCAAGACCAACGACAACATGTCAAGTCCGACCACCATCGGTACAATTTGAAATTGAACCTCAAGGATCTGCCTACCGTCGATGAAGGCACCTTCCTCAAGACTGTCGGAGATCTAGATGAGTCAATATCAGGATCGGATTCCGAAAGCAGCGATGATGAAGGTGGCGTCAATGTCAACGAGCCGACGCTGAGCTCGCTCCTCAAAAAGCAGGCTGAAATATCGTCCGATGGTCAGATCTCAGGTATGAACGTTGGCGGCAAAGCTGTTTCTGGCAATGCACCTATGTACTGGTTTACAAGTCCCAAAATCGAAGGCGACAGTCTCCTCGGTGTCTACAAAGCACTCTTTTCCAACGAGGAGCAAGATGCTGCACCGAAGTCCCTACTCGACGCCTTGAGCAGAAGGCAAGTTCAGCCTATTCACGGTAAGCACAGTGGAAACACTAGCGCCAGTGGCGCTCTCGTAACGAACAAGGTCGATCCCCACTATTTCCTGTGTATGATTGGAGGAGGCCACTTCGCTGCTATGATCGTGTCATTGATCCCTGAAGTGCGCAAAGGACCAGGCGGTGTGGAGGAGCGTCACCCTATCGTTCACGCACACAAGACGTTCCATCGGTATACCACTCGACGGAAACAGGGTGGGTCGCAGTCGGCCAACGACAATGCAAAGGGCAACGCACATTCCGTGGGCTCGTCGATACGTCGGGCAAACGAAGCTGCGCTAGAGGTTGACATCCGCCAAGTCCTGTCAGAATGGCGAGAGCAGATTGACTCTGCTGAGCTGATATTCGTCCGCGCAACGGGCAGTCAAAATCGGCGGATATTGTTTGGGCCATACGACGGACAAGTCCTGACTAGTCGCGACAAGAGGCTTCGAGGGTTTCCTTTCAGCACTCGTCGCGCGACACAGGCCGAACTCCTGAGATCGTTCCAAGAGTTGACCCGTCTCAAGGTGAGCACGGTGGTGGAGGTGATCCCTGAGCCTGCTAAGGTCAAAGCTCCTCCTCCTAAGGCTGTCAAGCCAGTGGTTGAGCGGCCGAAGATCAGCAAGGAAGATGAAGCCGCTCAGCTTCATACAAGCCAGCTAGAAAACTTAGTTCGGCGGTCGAAAGCACCAGCCGTACTGCTCTATCTCAGTAAAAACGAGGTCTCACCCAACTTCAGGTTCTACCCGCCTGCTCAACATCATCATGCGCCCACACCACTGCATCTGGCCGCCTCGACAGGCTCAGCAGCTGTCGTCACAGCCCTCCTGCTCAAAGCCAAGGCTGATCCTGCCATGCAGAACGACGACGGCAAACCACCATACGACCTAGCCGGGGACCATCGAACACGAGATGCTTTCCGAGTCGCCCGCCATGATCTCGGCGAAGATGCCCATGATTGGACCGCCGCTCATGTTCCAGCAGGCATGACTCAGGCCGAAGCAGCTGAACGAGCCGAGGCCGAGAAAACCAGTGGCGCCTCTGCAGAGGCCGAGCGCCGCAAAGCAGATCTAGAGCGCATCAAGCAAGAGGAAGAGCAGCGTGCTGCGTCCAAGATGGAGCGAAAGGGCGGTGCCGGCAAAAGTCTCGGTTCTGCCGCTGAAAAGTCCGGGTCAGAGAAGCGAGAGGAAGAGACGAGGGGTCTGACGCCGGAGATGCGGATGCGGATTGAGCGAGAGCGGAGGGCGCGTGCTGCTGAGGAAAGGATGCGGAAGATGCAGTCCGGGAATTGAGCACGACCTCTTCAAATTTGAACTGCTCGCGACGCATCTTGGAAAATGCTATCTCGACAGACCACTTCGACTTGGTTCACGACTACCGAACCATACCTACTCCGGGAACAGAGGATACTTCCTGACAACATCCAATGCCGTACCCTCGTACTCGTTTTTCAGAGTCTCCTCATGCTTCGCACTCCTAATTTTGATATCACACTCAAAATGCCTCGGCCTCACATTGAAGCCACCCACATAATCCCAAACATCATACTTCACCCCTTCTTTCGGCTGGATGTCAAACCCCCATAACAATCTCGCCAGCGCAATAAACTCATTTCCCATCGCCAGCTCTGCACCGGGACAAATGCGCCTTCCCCACCCAAAACTGCTGTGGCCCCATTTCCCGGGGTGCTGTTTCTCCGGCTTCGCGACGGATGGGAGGTGGCTGCTGATGTAGCTCTTGTCGAGGTAAGGGAGCTTCTTGCTCACGTCGTCAGAGTCGAGAGCGCAGCAGTCGAGGAATCGCAAAGGATTGAACTGTTGAGAGTTTGGATAATACCTCTCGTCGTGGTTGATGGCCCATGTGTTTCCCAGGATGTTGGTCCCCTTCGGGACGTTCCAACCGTTGTATGTGTCCTGTTCTGAGGTTGCGTGAGGTGTTCCGCCCAGCACAGCAACGGGCCGCCAGCGTAGGACTTCCTTGCACAGAGCCCGAAGGTATGGGAGATCCGCCTCGTCAGGAAACGTAGGCATACGTCCATCTCCCACAACCGCGTCCATTTCCGCTTGTGCGGCGCGCAGAGTCTCCGGGTGCGTGACCAACGCAAGGAACGCGGAACACAGCGTCGAGGCGGTCGTATCCGCGCCAGCGCCAAACAGCGAAGCGGGTATGAAGCTCAAGTCGCGGTCGGAGAGCAGCTGGAACTCCTCAGGCTTGCTTTGTCTTCGCTCCAGCAGACTCTTACACAGGCTCGGGGCCAATTTCTCTGCCTTCTCCTCATCAGCCAACCCATTCTCGATCAGCTTCATGAGCCGCATATTCGTGCCCGACTCAATGGCCGCATTGCGCTTGACGTCTTTTTTCCACGGTGCAAGCCACAGCGGCATGTGCCTGAGCACCGGAAACGACTCGGCAAGATACTTTCCCGGCACATTCAGACTCGAAGCGTAGTGCATAATGGCCAACCTCTCCCGGACCACAGGACTGTTGATGCTGTCAACTCGATGGCCATACGCGATACTGAACACGATCGACGCCGTCATCCAGTCCAAAAGCCCCTCCCAGTCATTTGGCCGACTCAGCAATTGGTAACACATGCGGCACGCCTCCGCCTCCTGAATCGTCTGGTACTGCGTCAACGCCCGCGGCGTAAGCGCCGAATGCAGCAGCTTGCGACGGGTCGACCATTCTTTGCCATAAGGTTGGACCAGAATGGAGGCATTTTCCCAGTACACTTCACCCATGACGACGAAGCGTGGTCGCGATGAATACTTCTGGGAGCGCTTCTCCATAAGTTCGACCGCGATGTGCGGGTCGGAGATGATGATGGTTGGCCGCCGGCCCAACCATATCGTAAAAACACCGCCATAGACCTTCGACCATTCTTGGAATTTGATCCAGGGGTACTGAGCGGGGATTTGGTGGCGATTGCCGGTGAGGAAGTTGGGTGGGGGGCCGGGTGGGAGACGTTTGCGGAGGAGGTAGTCATGGATGGCGATGGCGAGGACGGGAAGAGTGATAATAGGAGCGAGCCACCATAGTAGGGTTAAAACTGTTGGGAAAGCCATGATGGAACGAATGGTTAGGACAATGTTGGTGTTGGTAGATGTCTTGCGTCAGGCCGGTTGACACATCGAGAAGTTCCTGGCTTGTGCGAATATATTCGTCGTTGCTGCGTCTTCTTTTCCTTCAGAAATTGAGACGGATGTCGCCTGGTTGGCTGCACGTCGACTGCTATTGATATACAAGAACGTGAACAATCAGGCATGGTGACGAGTATATTTGCTGTATAGTCGGGTCCATGAACGATTTGCCCTGTGCCGAACACCCTGTTGCGGGGATGGTGGGTGAATTCCCCTCCACAGTCCTCTAGCAATGGCGTCTTCTAGGTTTGACAGAAGATTGATGTGGGATCAATCCCCATGAAACTGATGACTTTCATTCGCTGTAGCTATGCCACCGGCATGGACTGCGGAGAGGTGCCGGACTGAAAGATCCAGGCTTGGTGACCTGGACCGCGTCGCTTGCATCTTTCCGAGATCTCTTAGCCCGTCGTCTGTTCAAGGTTGCATATGGCTCGGCGCTCCAGAGCGCCGAACGACTTAAGACACAACATGACCTCTTGAGAGTACTCGCTCTCAGCGTTTTACAGACTCGGACTTGCACCGGAACGGCCTGGAGATATATCAGTCAGCCAAGAATCAGCGAAATAATCAAGCATGGGAGACGCCAGTCAAGCAATCGAGATGCCCCAACGCCAATACGCTCGCCTCTCTCCCTCGGGAATCAGCGTGATCATAGTCGCGCCGGCTTCGGTGGCCTCTGCGCCGCCATCGAATGTGATCGAAAAGGCCATCATGTCATCCTATTGGAGAAGACTTCCCAATTGAAACCCCTCGGCGACATCATTAGCTTTGCCTCCAACTCAGGCCGGATCTTCGAGAGGTGGGAAGGTGTGGTGGAAGACTTGGATCCCATCATTCACAAATCCGAGGGTCTCAACTTCCACACATGGGATGGCGAGTTTCTTACCAGGCAGGTATGGGATTCTGAGAAGACTTATGGGCGGAAAATCAATGGTCATCGGGCGGAGATCCACGAGAAGGTGTATCTTCATGCCAAAGCGAGGGGAATTGATATCCGCTTTGGGCAGACCGTTACTGATTACTTTGAGACGGATGACGAGGCGGGAGTGGTATGTAACGGGGAGAGGTTGACAGCAGACTGCGTTGTGTCCGCAGAGGGCGTCAAGAGCAAAGGCAGGAAGATCGTCTTGGGCTTCGAGGACCGACCAAAGCCATCAGGCTATGCTGTCTATCGAGCATGGATGAAGACGGATGAGCTCGCAAAGAAGTCATCGACGAAGTGGTTCTGCCACGGCGATACCCACAATGGGTGGATGGGCGAGGACAAGCATTTCCTCGTGGCGTCGATTAAGGGCGGGTCCGAACTGTCTTGGGTGTTGACGCACAAGGATGATGGCGACATCGACGAGGACTGGACGTTTCCTGGAAAGAAGGAGGATGTGATCAAGAACATCGCATCCTGGGATCCAGCTCTGCACGACCTCGTTAATGCTACACCGCCAGACAAATTGCACGATTACAAGCTCGTCTTCCGGGATCCTCTGCCGACATTCATATCGCCTAAAGCACGGATAGCGCTGATCGGAGATGCAGGTAAGTTGCTTCCCTTGTATCCTGTGAAAGATGAACTGCTGTCAGCCCTGGCAAGGGAGAGAGTCTTTCGCCACGCACACGGCCATATCAGAAGAATTCTAACGTATTTGCAGCTCACCCTTTCCTACCAACATCAATCCAAGGCGCCAGCCAAAGCATGGAAGACGGAGTAGCATTAGCCATCACTCTAGAGCGAAGCGGCAAAGGAAAAGTCCAGCAGGCGATCCGAGCATATGAAACCATTCGATACGAGAGAGTACATCGCGCACAAATGACAGGCGTGTCGACGCGGGAACAGTGGCACAAGGCGGACTGGGAGAAGATACGAAGCAGTAAGTCTCTCCTAGCACAGCTCCCAGCTCCCAGCTCATGGAATGCCGATGCTAAGCTGACACCAACAATGCAGATCCGAAGTCGTTGCATCTGAAGCGGGAGTCTTGGCTGCTAGACTTTGACCAGGAGGCCCATACGTATGCAGTTTTCGATGAGACGGTTGCTAAGCTCAATGCTGAAGAAGCGGCGAGGCAAGCGGATAGTAGCGCGCCTGCGCCTGCCGTTGAGGCACCTGCGATATCTGCAGCTCCCGCGATCGCACAAACAGAGCTGGTTGGCATGGGCCAGGCCTGAAGTCGGCAGTCGCGGTACAGCGGACACGCCACATGTCGGAAGCAACTCAGTCGTCGCTGCATCTTGCCGTCCATCTTGTGACTTCCAAGATTTATGCCTTCGACAAGTCAGTGCAGGCACATCTGCGACGACTTTTGGTTCTTCGCAAGTAGATAACATTCTCCATCCACGTTTTCTCATTTCTTGACGTAGGTACATACGCTATTCTGCGCCGACTTGTAAACGCTGAGAATACCGAAAGCAGTTTGAAACTCCTATTTTCATGATATTCACATAGTTTCACCCTCCTATGACCGGAACGTCGTCAATCAAGTTGTCGATCATCAGGCAAAAGCGTCCAGCATCTTGTCCCACGCATCAGTCCGATTGAAGGCATGATTGACACTAAGTCTCTTGTCCCCATTCTCATGTTCGTGTTCAGCAGTCGCACTCTTCGGCAAAAGCGAAAATATCCCGCTCGTTTCGATCACATTTTCAGTCGCTCTTCTACCGGCTTCGGCGGCATCCACATTTTCTTTGTTGTCATCGTTGTCAGCATCATCCACACCAGCCAGCAAGTTGGTCTGCGAGAGCCCTGCGATACGCAGATAGCCCTTCGTCCTCAAGACGACACCATCATTCTGCTTGACGCCCAAGAGCAAGTCTGGCGTGCTCCCACCCATCGACGCAGCCGACAAAAACCCATCTTCTTCCTCACTCAGGACCTCGCGCTTTATGGTTCGCGGGACAGGAGGTGGACGGTGAAGCTGAACCATTGGCGAGGCCGACACGTCCTTGCTCTTCCGCCCAGATCGGAAGCTCCGCATCGACAATGTCCCCCTTGACTTGGGCCGAGCTGCATCCGCAAATGTGGGCGCAGCTGCAGAAGCAGATATCGTTTTGGTGTGGTGACTCTTTTTGCTTGCCGTTCTCAAGGGCGTGACTGGCTCAGGCTCAAGGTCATACTCTCTTGGATCTGTCATGCTGCCCTCCTTGCTCCTCGAGCCATGTTCGTCAGTGGCAGCCTGTCTTTTGCTACCATCTCCGGCGGCGAGCTTCGCACTTGATGCGGTACTCATGCCACTGAGCTGAGTCGTGGCACTCAAGCTACTGACGCCGCTGACAGGGCGTTGATCTTTGATCGAGGGACCGTGACCACGCTCTCGTACGATGGCGTCCAAAGCTGCAGAAGCGGCATCCAAGTTCGCCTTTGACGACGATGTGGAATGCGTATGAGTGTGCACGTACGGCCCACGACCATCGCGAGGGGCTCCAGCAGCACGACTCGGACTACCGAGAGCACTGGCTGTTGTCGTCAAGCCTAAGCCACGAGCAGTGAGACTGGTACCAGCGGAGCCACCGGCTCCCGACGCCTCAGGACCTGACAAACCATCATCTGCAGCAACTCTCAGGCCCCTTACCCTTTCCATCGGTGCCATGATCCTCTTCATCTTTCTCACCTCCTCCTTCAGCCTCGCCAGTTCCCTCTCCTGCGCGAACAGCATGTCATATTTCTCCTCCAGATCGTCAGACAGCAGCTGGAAGGTGTGGATGTCATTGCTATTCCACCTTCTGCGCAACTTCTTCTTTGACGGCGGCGGCGCAACAGGCCCAGAGCTGCTGTTTGAGAGGGTGTGGGAGTGAGAATGCGAGAGCAAGGGTGCTTGTGCTTCGTCCTCAGACGAGGATTGGGCAGGGGATGAGTTGAGTGAGGCGTATGTATCGACAGACGTGCGTCGATGCATGCCAGGACGATTCGTTCTCAGGTAGTGTCGATAACTCTGACGCGAGGCAGCACCCGATCGCCTCGAGGCGCGAGAGTGTGTTGAGCGGATGCTTGTCTTCTTCGAGGCGGGGCTGACTGCCCTGTCTTTGCCGTTCCTGCTGATCACAACTTCATCGCGAGTGCGATTAGGCGAGTCGGCTGATGCGTCGAAGCCGTCGTCATACATATCACCATGCTCGTCGATCCGGGATGGCAAAGGCACATACCCAGCGGTCCGCGTACGACTACCATGCATACCTAAGGACCCAACCGCACACCGCAACGACGACTTCGCGGGACTACCTTCTCGACTGGAGACCACGCTCACCGGCTCCGGGCTGATCGCCCCAGCACGGAAGTTGCCAGTCACAGGATTCGTATCCACCATGACGAGAATCTGGCTGGTGGACAGCAACTGCTTCGGCGGTCCATGCAACAATGCCGATGAGCTTGAAGCACCAGTCGGAAGTCTCGGCATAGCAGGCCGATAGCTGTACCGCGAGCTTGCCTTTGAACTCTGCCTGGCATGCGACGGATGTCTTGGGCGGCTCTGTGTTCGCTTCGAGGTCGCACTGACGCTGTGGTGGGATTCCGAGGCGCGACTTCCAGGACGTGAGGCAGGGACTTGCGGAAATTGATCGAGCTGGTCGATTGATGGCTGCTCGCGCAGGTGTGGCAACAGTGGCGGGAGAGGTGGCAGCGGCGCGTCTGGGCCGTCGTCGTAAGCTTTGGTGGTTGAAGCAGCCTTTGCAGGTGACGTCCTCATCAGAGCAGTAGCGCTAGCATCAGCCACCGGATGCAGCGGAGGCGTGCTGAAAGCGACATCGTGTTCGTCGCCACCGGTATCGTCCTCCGTCTCTTCGCTAATTCGTCTGGGCTCGTGAAGGTGGTGGCGGGAGGAGGTCTCGGCTTTGTAGCGCCGTTTGAGCTGCTTGATGCGTTCGTCCCGGAAGGATGTTTTGTCGTGGCGTACGTATCGTGGCTTGGAAAGGGTCGAGAGGTCTGAGAGATGTGAGGCTTGGCTGTATAGAGAGGAGGCTGCTGGGCTCAGCTGCGGCTTTTCGATGAGGGTGGATGCGACTGTGGTCATTGCTGCTGAAGAGGCTTTGATCGATAGCGGCTTGATATTGCTCATGGGGACTTCCGTTGTCGGAGTGTTTTCGGCGGGCTCTGACGTGGAATGGCGCGTCTGGTCAGACACCTTGCTGTTCCTCTGCCCATCCCCCAATCTAGAGCTGATGTCGCTTGCGTCCTCCGAGGGCAGGTCCGGCAGCGGCCGCTCAGGTGGCAGACCTGGATCGCGGAGCTTCTTGTTCAATCCGATGCCAGTCCTTTGCTTTAGCCGGGATACTAGTGATGGTGAGACCTTTCGCTCTTCTTGGAGCGGCTGTTGACGAGGCTGCTGCTCCTGCTGCTCCTCCTGATGATGATGCGGCAAGTTCGTCTCAATCTCAATCAGCGTGAGCGTGTCCCTGCTGATTGCACCACCTGGTCCGCGGTTTCGGCGGGTGCCGTCGTCGATGGTAGATGCATTCGAGGCAAGGCGTTGGGGGACGCGTGTCATTGTGTGTTGAGGGACAGCAAGTTGTTGATTGGAAGATCCGACCTGGTCACTGTCGACATGATCGGTGGTTACAGCAGCAGCACTGTCGCGGAGGCTATTGAGGATCGGAGTGACAGCACCGGGTTTGGTCATTGAAACAACAGTCGCCAGACGTGCAGCACCCTTACTGGAGACGCGCTCTGGTGGCGGGAGAGGCGGGCCGAATGTGTCGGAGCGTTTGGTGTTTAGTTGTTGTTGTTGTTGTTGCTTCTGCATTCGCTGCTGCGTTCTGCTTAGGGTCTGAGACTCATCGTTCGCCCATCTGCGAGGCTTGGGGGTTGGTCGTGACACCATCAGCACCGCCTGCCGCGGCGGCGGTACCCTGCTTCGACGCATCCGTTGGCGACCTCGATACGGGCACCGAAGGGCTAATGAAATCCTTTTCAAAGTTCGAGTTGCTCAGCATCTCCTCACACTCTTCTGAGAAGCGCTTGGCTTTCTCGGGGTCGTGGAGGGATGGGACTGGCGAGGCGGGTCGCGCTGAAGGTCGTTGTGACTCCTCGACAGCAGGAATGTCTGTCGGGGCGGAAGCGGCAACACTATTGTGCACAGCTGGTGTGCGAAGCCGCTTGAAGGGCGAAGGCGTGCGACGGCGATGGGGCTGAGGAGGAGAGCGCGGTCTTCGCGCTACTGCCGTACTTCCGCCCACTCCAGCGGCGCGCTTACGTAGATCACTCATTGCTCGCTTTCGTGGTAGCTGTGAGGAGCGGGATGTTGATGCCCTGATGCCAACAGTAGCAGGCCCGCCTACTGTGATGCCGCCATTGTCAATAGTGGCTCGAGGGTCGCCAGAAGATTTCCGCTTATGCTGACGATGGTGTTTCGTCGTGCCCGTAGAGCGATGCAGCGTGAGCTTCCGGAATACATTACCAGTAGACGACGACGAGGAGCGGCCCGCGCGGGAAGCGCGAACGAGCTGCCATGTGCTAGGCAAGGAGAGGGGCCGGCAGAGACCTTGGCTTTGGGCCGCTGCGCTGGTGGCAATTGAGGCGGTGTCGTCGTGTGGTTTCCGTGGTGAGTCGGAAGGTTGCTGACCTTGCTCGCCTGGTGACTGTTGAGGCTGTATCTGTTGTTGGGGCTGGGCGGTAGAGACTGCCTCGCGCAGAGTGACGATCTCCCGAGACTGAGAGAAGGCTGCTGCGCCGGCTTCTGCCGGCGTGAGGACGGGCACAGGTGGTTGCGTGTCAGACGGCATCGCAGCGGCGTGCTTCCAGATCGCGCGCTGCTGCTCGAAGGAGGCCTCGCGGAGAGTCATGGGCCGATCCTCTTCGGAGATGACTCGTTCGTGACCCGGCTGGCCTTGTGATCTTGGCCGGGATGTGGATGAAGGCGAAGGATCGCCGCACATGTATGTGCGTGCCCAGCGCTTAGATTGCCTGAATGGTGGGAGTTTAGGAACGGTCGACTGGGGAACAGGTGGTGGACTGGGTTCTCGTTGCTGAGCATCTGCTACTCCAGCTGCGGTCGATGGACGCGAACGCATAGGCTGGTGCTGCTGAAGCTCAACTGGCCGAGAAAGGTCAATAGCACTCATCTTCGGGATACTTGGCAGCAAAGATCCAACGCTATTCACCGATCGGATCCCACGTTGATGACCATTCGAAGTCGCTGGGCCAGCAAAGTAATGATTGACGCTGCCACCATATGTACTCAGCGGCTCCATGCTGGCTGACTTGGTTGGCGTCAATCCCGCTGTCGTCGAGACGGACTCAACGTCGAGCGTTCGAGTGATGGTGATGCTTTTCCGGCCGTGAGGCGCATTTGCTGCGTCTGCTTCTCCCTCAGACGACAAAGAGGATACTTCTGTGTCGATGTTGTTATTGTAGTTGCTGGCGGATTGGTAGACTGAAGATGGCGATGGTGGAGTGAGGTCTGATGAAGAAGGCGGCGGCATTAAACCTCCTGCTGCTAGATGTGATGTTGCGTCAGGTTGCTGCTGTTGTGCTGCTGATGCTGATGACTGGTCAGGCACCATCCTGATACTCGAGATCGCCGTCGCTGGTGCGACGGTGGCGGAACTGCCGCTGTCGTTCATTGTGATCGCCGTCGCCGTTGTCGTTGCTGTCATCCCTTGTAGCTTACGACAGCGCACGGGTCCAAAGCAAGCTTTGTAGTCAGGAATGTTGGGGCAGCTGCGTCAATAGACGGTCAGTGCGAAGCCTGCGACGCGGCGGGGATTTTCTGGTACATTCCTGAGGTAGGAAGCATAAGTATTGGAGGGCGAGAAGGGCAACCTGGGGAAAAGGGAAGCGAAGGGATGGTCGAGAGCTTCGAAAGCTCTCTCCCTTCCTTTCGGCCACCCCTTTAGAGCGTTATCGGGGTTGATCTTCTATTGTGAGCTTTGATGGGCTGTCAGTGTCAGGTCCACATTGAGACGATCAAACGTGTAGATAGAGCTCGCAGAAAGGCAGGTGGAAAGTAAGGGACGGCGGTCACGGCGCTGAGTCGAAGTATAAGGACTTCTGACTTGCATTTGACATATGCAGTTGCACACAAAACGGTTTCGCATTTGGTGGTGGCGAAAGGAAGGACTCGAGTCTGATACGAGCACACATTCATAAGCGTGGACGTGCCGCAGGCTTCTGTCAAAGAGCAGAGCCATGACTTCCACAACAGAATTGGTCTGGTCGAGTCAGTAACAGTAGGCTCTTGCCTCGCTACCGTCACTTGCTGCTCCTACCTTTACAGATCACACGCTCACACCATGATTATCGGATACATGATGAGAAATCGCCGCCTCTGCCAGCCACGATTTTCACGCCCGCGATATTCCCCCTTGCGTCAGGCAAGGCTTTCGCAGCTGTCGAGCAAGGGAGATGTCGATCCGGCCAATGAAGAACCGAAAGCGAGGATGGACGACGGGCGGGGAAGCGAAGCTAATGTAAGTCATTGAGATATATACAAGGTACTTGTAGTGTCAAGAGATGATATTTCGGATGAGACGTTTCTGGCAGCTGTCAACCTCGAGTTCTGCTATTGGGGGCGTGAATTTGCTGCAGCGTGGCTTGGGCGATACAGAGATGTGATCTTGTGATACATCAGATTTGTACCCTTTGATCAGGTCTGCTTGATGCATGTGAGAAGCCTCTCTCGAGCAGCGATAACATAGCATTGCTGGTGATGGGATTCAGAGCTCGAATCTCGGATCTTTTGGAGCGTTATGAAGATGGGGAGAAGGTTCAACGGGTCATGTTCATGCTGTAAGCTTTTTCGGCTCGTCTCTTCGCTTGCGCGCCGAGCTGGAAGGCACGGACCAGCACGGAAATGATTCTGTCAGACTTTTCTGACAGTCGCGTCTGCTGCCGAAATGGCGCAAGAAACGCTAAATCTTTCTCGTCAGACGCAGAAAGCAAACCCCTGCTTCTACTGCATTGTACCTATGCGCCTATACAGCTCCATGCAGCGACCCTGGCAGCCTCTTCCATACTCCCGCATCCGGAGATCGTAGACTTTAAAAACATTACCGACGATCGCCAAGAATCGTCTACGACAGTGCTGATCAGCAACCTGCAGAATGGCTACGGTGGGAATAATCGGGGACTTCAAGAAACCAAGTCGAGTGGCCTTAGTTGGCGGCTTGCGTGCTGGCAACTTTCCAATCTCGCGGATGCAGGCTGCCAACCTCGTACATGTCGGCATACAACGGAGCAAGAACACCCGTCTCGTGAGCAGTATGAATTCAGGTACCTAGACAGTTCCCTGGGTCCTATGTGCTCCATATCAAATGCCATAACCATAACTCCAGCAACGCCCGTTCCCAGTTGACCACAAATTCCTAAGCAGAGCCAGCAGCATACTGCACCTGAGCCTGCTGAGCATTCGCAGCATTCAGTGCCATCATGTTGAGTATTCCCTCCGGCTTGTCCACGCCGACGCGCTCCTTAGACAGAAGATCTACCAGAAGCGGCGACGGAATACTGTCCCGATTCGGCTGAGACGAGGCTTGCGTCTGCTTGTACTTCTGGATATTGTCGAGGTACATGTCAAACAAGTACGACGAATCAAGCGGGCCGCCCTTCGCTTCGGGGTGGAATTGTGTGGAGAAGATGGGGCGGGTTTTGTGGATTAGGCCTATTTGACGTTGATTAGTTTTCCATCCTATGCAGTATGGATTGGAGACGACTTACCTTCATTGGAGTTGTCATTGAGATTAATGAAGAACGGAGCCCAGTCAGAAGGCAACGTCGCAGCATCAACGGCATATCCATGGTTCTGAGAGGTGATGTGACAGCGGCCGGTAGTGAGATCCAGAGCCGGGATGTTGTGCGCGCGATTGCCGTACTTCAACTTGATAGTCCGTGCACCAGCAGCAAGTGCAAGCAACTGATGTCCCAAGCAGATGCCGAAGATGGGTAGATTCGAGCTCTCCATCAGCTTGCGAAGGTGGTACACTGTGTCTTGGCAGTGAGTGGGATCGCCTGGACCGTTGGAGATGAAGACGCCGTCGAAGTGATGGGCGACTTTGTGGATGGGATAGTCGAAGGGAAAGACTGTTGCGCTTGCTCCGCGACTGACTAGGCTGCGCAGAATGTTCTCCTTGACTCCGCAGTCGATGACGGCAACGTGGGCGATGGGTGAGGGTGCGCTGACGTGGAAGGGGGCTTTCGTGCTGACTTTTCGCACAAGATTGATCTGCTCGGGATCGATGTAGGCCTCATCCTCGTCTTGGTCGTACTCCTCGCCCACCGTCAGACGGGCAAGAGTGGAACCCTGGTCGCGAAGGTAGGTGACGATTGCGCGAGTATCAACACCGCTGATGGCAGGCACACCCTCTCGTGCGCACCATTCGCCTAGACTTTCCACGGCAGTCCAGTGCGAGTACTGCTCTGCGACGTCTGCAACCACGACGCCGCAAGCCTGGATGTTGGGGCTCTCGAAATACTTGAAGAGACCAAACTCGTCCCTCATACCTGCTGGCACACCATAGTTGCCGATAAGGGGCTGCGTGAAGACCAGGATCTGTCCGCGGTATGACGGGTCGGTCAAGGATTCTGGGTAGCCGACTAGCGAGGTGGTGAAGACTGCTTCCCCAGAGATGTTGCTGCGGGCACCAAAAGATGTGCCATGGAAGATGGGTCCATTTCGCAGAGTGAATGTGGCACGTTCTTTGATGGGCCGGGTAGCTCCCAGCTGTTTGACCAGAGGGGCAATAACAGGCTTGTTCTCTGCAACAGTAGCCAACGATCGAGTCTGCAAGCCGCGTCCGAGCCTACTGCTCCTCATCGTCTGTCGGAATAGTTGCGGAAGCATGATGGGTAGTTTTATGTGGATGTTCTCGTTATCTTTCCTAGGTCTTCAGGCTCCTTGGGCCTTCCACAGATGATCTAGCACATGGTCAGATGTTGTTCTAGAGTCTCGAAGAGGGCGTATTCACCACTAATGTAATCCTACACATTGTCAGTGTTTGTCTTGCAGCTGTGGTACCTCATCCGGCCCTGCTTGCACAGGGGTGGCGGGGTGAACGCGTTATCTTACCTGGCTTGTGAAAGTTGACGGATAGCACATGAACGCGACTTGAATGTAGGAGGGACTTCAAGAGGTGGACAGCATTGAGACTATTTTGGTCTGCTCTGCAAAAGAATTCGACTGGAGGCGCAAGGAAAACTTCTTCTTCTGCATGCGAGGTCGAAGTTTTTCTCGATTTTTGGCGGTGAGGTCCTGCCGATTGCAATTTGTGACGCAAATCAGATCTCGCGAGATTTGGCCGAATCATAGGTGCGCCCGGCGGGGCCCAGCGATAAGAAATACCCCCTCTTTGATAGGCCTTTGGGGCAGGTATTTCAATATGCAAAGAGGTGTGTGCTTTAAAGCGTTTGCAATGAAGTGCACAGAGCTCACTTTTTAGCACATGAATTGTGCTTTAAACTGCAAACAACGTGCTTAGTGTCTAACGCAGTGAAGACACCAGGTAACCATTTTCCTCCGCCTAACTCCGTCGCTGGACTGGTCCATTTATCCTTCAGTTTCCAGGTAGTCTATCATGGCTCATTCATTACTCGTTATGCTCCATACGATGCGAGCATCCTCTGCGTCGTCGAACGCGCCCATGGCTCTCGAGAGCACTTCTAGGAGCTGCCCGTGACATGAGCTGCTGCTAGATTGCGCTCCAGCTCCTTGACCTTCTCCCTCAGAGCCTCGTTCTCCTTCTTCACAGCCTCCAGCTCAGCACGCTGCAGCTGAGCCTCCTCGTAGCGGACCGCCGCCAGCGCAGAGTTGTAGCTCGGACTTCGTTGGTAGGCAGCGTCTCCGTGGCTTACAGCAGTATTGGACGACACGGATGCACGATGGAGGGTGGACTGAGTAACATGAGGAGACGCATTGATCGAGCTGCTGCGATATGCACCTGTGCTCGTAGAGTTCTGTCTGCTCATCTCGGGACGAGACACATCCATACTCGGCCGGCTGCTGGCGTGGGTGCTCTGATCTCGTGGTGCGGCCACACCAGAGACACTCGTGGCCTGTGTGTTTGTGAGAGCCTCGCGCAGGGATCGAGATGATCGCTGCGACAAGTTTGAGGATGACCGATGGCGGCGAGCGGACGTAGGGATGATCGACGCTCCTGCACCGTACTGGTCATTGTGAATGATCTCGCTTGTGGATGAAGTGGTTGATGCGACTGATGCAGTCTGGGCTCGTAGTACAAGTAGTTCTCTTGTTAAGCGGTTGACCATGTTCTCTTGCTCTTTCTCAAGTTCAAGGTGTAGATCCGCTGCGCTCAGAGGTCGAGGGTGCCGTATTGGGCCTATTGACGATGTTAGCAATAATTTGACAACGAGGGTGAGCAGAGCTCTGACCTGGGCCCATGCCGACGCCGGTATTGTCCATGAGTGGTGAGCCTGGCTGACTTTCGATCCTGGGTACGGGCGGTGGTGGCATCTGAGTAGACGTTCTGCGATGTGAAGGAGAATCAGGAACGCTGGAAGTGTTGGCTGTTGTAGCGGAGGCAGGCACGGGTATCGACATGTTGTTTGCTCGGAAGGTGCGCGGAAGGCTGTTGAGATCCGGAGCCATTTTGGAGGACTTCAAAGCGCCTTCCCAAAGCCCTCCTTGCTGTACTAGCAGATGTTTGGCTCAGACTGAATTGCACCGGTTCAGATGGTCATTGCGAGGCCGTACAGCACGGTATGCTCTGATGCCGATTGCTGGACCGGCTGAGTCGAAGAAGACGATTTGTACGACGTAGATTGAATCAGCAATGACGGGGTGTTGCAAGTGAGGGACGAGTTTGGCAGTGGATGTGAGGTTTCTCAAACACGGGGGTCGCGTTTGCGGTCGTGCCTGAGCCAATCAAGAAGTCACGCATCAAGCAAACGGATGACGCATGATCTAGGCATAGCCATCACAATTCATGAGTCAAGGCCTCGAATTCGCCTCTACAGAATCTATTCGTGTCTTCATAACTCCGTCAACATGACAATGGAAGCCGTCGTTCCATGATTGCGCCGTTGCCCAGTGTGACCTTGAAATGCCAAGCAGCAACTCTGTAGGCCTTCCATGCTTCATTGCATTGCATTGCTTTCCCCATGGTACATGCTCGAATGATGCCATCAGATCAGGGTGTAGACGCCTCACCATTGATCCTGGTGTCCTCCTGGTCTCCCAGCAAAACCTTTTCCCGAGCCGTCAAATCTGGTAGCACGCCGGCCGCGCTTGGAATAGTCTTCAGTCCTGGGGAGTGACCTGCCTTAGTACCACCTGTACCATCAAGACTGGCATTCTCAATATGCGAAGATTCATCGGCCTTGTCCTCTTCCCCAATCATAGCCGCTAAGCTCTGAAAATTGAACATTGGCTCGGTTCCTGGAGGCGTGGATCCTGTAGGCACAGATGTCGATGGGCCGGTTTCCACAATTGACGATGTGGTCGATGAAGCGTTAGACATCTGCCGCAAATGAGATCTCTTAAATGGCTCGGCGGGCGTGGGTATAGGCAGACTGGGCGCAAGCGATTCCTGACTTGTGCCAGACAGGGAGACATCCAGAAAGGGCATCCGCGAAGACTGCCCGTCCAATCCCATATCGTCTGCTGGCGAAGTCCTCCTGTCGATACCTTTTCCCTTCCCCACTGTCTGATCTTCTTCGTCAGCCAGAGAGAAAGAATTGCTTCGGGAGCGCTCCATCATGCTGCTTCCGCTATCGTTGGAGTAAGGGGCGAACAGAGTGTTGCGGCGGGCTGCTTTCTCTTCCTTTTTCTGCTCCTTGGCTTTCTTTTTCGCCTCTTTCTTGGCATCCTTTTCTTCCTTCTTCCGCCGTTCTTCCTCGGAGGCTAAGCTTAGGCGGATCGCTTCCATTAGCATCATGTCTTCGAGGTCGTCCATCCTGTTGCGTCGCGTGCTGCTTTGGCGAGGCGGAGGCAAGAATGGACTGGCGCGCCCTTGAGCTTCTTGCTCCTGCCGAGCGGCTTGTCGTTCGGCCAGAAGAGCCAGTGCACTCATTGGGCCAGACGGGCTGTCCATGCCGTCACCTGCAGGTCTTCGCAGTACACCACGTCGACCGAATGGTCCGAAAGCCCGTGGGTCAGCCTGGCTGCTGTTCATCATATACGCTGCAGTATGCAAGGCTGTGGCAGCAGCTGATCTGCGAGCAGCGTGAGCACGGGCAGTAGCTAGCTTCGTGGCCCAGTCAGGACGGACTTTGTCCGTAGTTATGACCTCGGGCGCATTTGCGGAGAGAGAAGTGCCTCTCCGCCGCCCGGTTGACATGCCAGCAGAAGACACTGACGTTTGTGAAGACATTGCAGACATGGCTTGATATGGATGGGAGCCTGAGCCATATGTTAGGCCTCGTCGAAATGGCGGAGGCGTATAGGTGATGCCAAATTCCGGCTGTTTGCAGTACGGACAGGTGGCGATCTCTGAGACCAGAAGACCTTCTTCCTGAGCCTGTCGTTCCTCCTCCGGTACGGGCGGCGCGTTTGGGTCCGGCTGCTCATGCTCCGGAGGGTGCGGATCAGGTCTCTTGATCTGGACAAAGCACTCAGAGCAGATTGGCTGCTCGCAGCACCTTGTTGTGTTCAGATACGGTGGATAGTACAGAAAGCAAATCGGGCACTCTGATGCATCCTTATACAAGTAGACTTCAATTGGCTGGCCATTGACGAAAGGGTCGACCGGCAGTTGGAACGCTCGAGGGGTCATGTCGGCTTGACTGGTGTTCCTTGATGATGTGGTCAGCGATGCGAGCGTTTTAGCTCTCGCTCTGAACAAGGGAGAGGTTGGTGACGAGGACGGATGAGGCGAAAGAGGCGATGGCAGTGGTAGCGATTGATTTGGTAGGGACAGGGCAACGTTGTCAGACTGAGATGACTGCGATCGTCCAGTGATCGGCAGAGTCAGATTCTTGAGCGACTTATCCTTGGGATCGGTCGCTTTTCTGGCCAGCCTGTACTCGAGTTCTGGAGGGACTTGGTCGGCGGGTGGGATTGGCATCCCTCGAGCTGCGGCCATGATTTGGTGTTCGGCCCATGACTCGGACACATCATTCAGTCCTCTCCAGAAAGGTGCCACTCTGCGCTCGATCTGTTTCACGGATTAGCCATACATAACCTACAGCAGTTGCAGGCAGGCCTACCATCAATTGCCGAACGATCCCTTTGTTGAAGTCCTCAGTACCAACGTAAACACCTTGGGTGACCAGGAAGCCACCATCAACGTGCTCCTCTTTCATGCTCCTTTCTCTTTCCTTGATCCTAGCCTGCCGCTCCTTTTCGGCCTTTCGTGCTTCTCGCTCAACCTTGTTCTCTCGACGCTGCTCCAACGAAACAGTATCCTGTTGGTTGTTCCCACCAATGCCGAGGAAAGAGAAATCAGGACGGCTGCCGGATCGATGTCGCGAGGAGAGTCCATTGCTGCGTGGAGAGGGTTCTGGGGCGGGGACAGCGGCATCTTGTCTCCTTGTCGGACTACTGCTGCCACTTGCTCGATGGTCTTGCTGACCACGTGCGTCTTTGGACGACGAGTTACCCATGGTCGCTCAGCTTCTCGTGTACCACAACTGACGATATCCGATACTATAGTCTGATCAAGACGAACCATAGAACGCCGTCATGGCGCCATGCATTGATGCATCACCTGATGCTAGCGATAATGGTCGATCTGAAGAGGCTACACTGGGCCACACGCACGTGGTGGAAGTGCGCGGGATCGTGGGGAAACGAGCGTGAAGGTCGGATCACCAACTCGGACGATAGTGAAGGGACAGGTTCAATTGAGACTGCGAGCAGCAATGAAGCATACGCAGTTATGCATAGGAAATCTCGAGAATATTGCGAGTGGGACCGACGAGATGGAAATATCTATGCAGACCTTATGGAAGGCAGGGGAGGGGAGGATATGAGATGACTGCAGCTTTCCCTTTTCTAACGGTGCTGATGAAAGACGCCGGGCGGGCATCCACCCCGGTCTCGAGGTCAGTGCTTGTGATTCTTGTTCTTACTGATCAGTGAGTTGCTTTTGTGCTACCTTAGACCTACCTAGCAATCACTCCTGTTGGTTATCATCAAGGAGGCCTCGATCTCTGCTAGCCCAACTCTCACTTCCACCCATAAATGCCAGCATTGATGAGCATTATTACCACGGTCTTGTTACAATTCATCAAGATCGCGTAATTCTCGGGCAATTTTCTTAGTAGTGGAGGGTCGCCTGAACCACTCGATCTCTACACCTAAAATTCAAGCTTCAACGTTGGCGTCGAGCGAGAGCCTCAATTGCGCCGGACTATGCAAGGTACCGTCCACCAAGATCTTTGAGTTCACACGACACATCTACCACCAGCCACGACCAGCGATGATTGCGATTTCCTCGCGGAGAGGCAGCGAGTCACACGAGAGGTCATGACAGCTGAGACTGTTCGTCTGCATATCTCGCCGTTGACGCCGGCGCTTCTACCTGCAGTGCTCGGACCTGCGCTGATAGCAGCGGCGGAAAACGTCTCCTACCACGACATACAGACATTTCCGGAGAACAGCTACGGATTCGTTGACTTGCCAAAGGCTGATGCAGAACGTCTGAAGCGCAAATTGAGTGGTGCGATCTTGAAAGGCTCCAAGATGAAGGTGGACGAGGCGAAACCAAAGAAGCGCAGACGGACTGAGGCTGCCGACGAGGCTACAGATGAGCAACAGTCTATCGAGACTGCCAACGGCGATCGCAAGAAGAAGCGCAAGTCGACTAAGGAGAACATCGTCGCTGGCCACGAACTATCGCCAGAGCGCAAAGTGAAGCGCGCATGGACGGAGCCGCGGAAAAAGAAACGAAGCAAAAGTAAGGGTGCTGATACAGAACAAGAGGCATCAAAATATACTGATAAGGAGGAACTCCTATTCCGCACCAATGTCCCAGCCAACAAGACCGATCTGGTCGTTAAGAAGGACAAGAAATCGAAGAAATCGAAGAGCGGAAGAGAAACTACTACGATACATGAATTCGAAAAGACCACGACTCAGCCCACGTTTTTGAAAGAACAGAATCTAGAGTCAAAGCAAAACTTGACCTACGAAGATGGGAAGGGCTGGGTTAATGCACAAGGGGATGTGGTAGAGCCCGAGCCAAAGCGGGCAGCACAAGAGCGGGCTCGAGTCGCACGTCGTAAGAGGAAAGTACAAGCAACACAGCCTGTACCGTCTTCAAAAAGCGCCCCGGATCAGGGAGTCGAGACTAGCGAGACTTCGAACGAAAGCGAGAGCGATAACAAGGCGACCTCAGCCGCCACAAAACCAGAGCAGGACAAATCCACCGGCGAAGACGCGGCTGTTGCCTCTGTTGAAGCAGCAGTGGCATCTCCCTCCTCAGCTTCACAATCCTCGGAGGTAGCCAACAAGCAGGATGCAGTTCCAGTCGAAGCTCATCCACTCGAATCCCTCTTTAAACGCCCTCAGAAGCCCACATCCCAAGACGTCGCCAAACCCTCCCTCGAGATCTCGACCGCCTTCTCCTTCTTCGACCACGACACTGACGAAGACCCCGACGAACCACCCATGCCATTAACACCTTTCACCTCCCAAGACCTGCGAAGCCGAGGACTACGCAGTGCCGCACCAACTCCAGATACAGCCTTCCCCAGCCGCTTCAACAGCCACAGCAGCCCTGATATAGACAGAGAAAACGATGGTGATGCTCACGAAACTTACGACAATCCAGCGAATCATGCAGAGCAATTTTCCGACCCAAAAGCAAGTCCTTCAAGGACACCAACAGCAAGTACGGTGAGCGATTTTGAAAAGCACTTCTGGGAGAAGCGCGGGGAAAACAATCGAGCGTGGAAGGCGAGACGGCGGGCTGTGTTGAAGGAGAAGCGGCACCGAGAGAACAAGGCGAGGAGACCAAAGAATTGGTAATGCGGTAGACACCATAGATGCATGCCGTCGGACACGGTGCAATTAGACGAATTACGACCCAAATTAGGAGCACTTCCTGAATGGCAACAGACGCATTCCAGTCCCTCAGCGCGATCTTCATGAGCGTGTTGATATACGGCGATTCTCGCACACCAATAGTGACAGTCCCCTACGGCCAGAGTAGTTCGCCCGGGTCCGAACACGCGCTCGCTCGCTTCTTCAAGTACTGTACCCTGCTAGGCGTCCACATTCAAGCTTGTATATGTGATCATTCTAGCCTGAGGCCACGTTTCACGAACTCGAATGCCTCGGTTCACCAATTGTTGAGACGAAGTAATTCGAATACGTTGAATTTTTGCGTCATCCCAAGCTTTGACCGGTGCATACCGTGCAGACCGCCAGTCGTATTGAAAGCCGCTCACGCGATGTGTGAGACGGCTTCCAGTATCGCCAGAACCGAAGCGCACCCTGATACATGACCGTGGAACGCCCAATGCCCCCGAAACACCAGCGACGGAGCCATACGAAAAGCAAGAATGGCTGCAGTCAGTGCAAAGTTCGGCGAATCAAGGTAAGGCGATCATCCATCTGGAAGCCTTGTTGCCTTACGAAGGCTGGACGCTGATAATACGAGCAGTGCAATGAACTGCATCCCAAGTGCTACAATTGCGAAAGACGGCAGATAGTATGCGATTTTGAGAAGGACCCCTCAGACAGGACGTCGCCGGAACGAACGAGCAGCACTGATGTGAAGGCCATCAATGGCGACGCGCAGCCACGGATCAAGTCGCCCGGATCGCAGTCGACGCTGGTACAGAGCAACCCTTTCGATGTGCCAGATCTCGTCAGCACCAGAGCTCCAGAATCAACTGATCTGGACGTGGTTGATCTGAAGCTTCTGCACCACTTTGCTATCACCGTCGCGCCCAATTTCTCGAATCCGACCATCCCAGCAACCTTGCTACTATGGCAAGACCACCTAATTCGACTTGGCTTCAAGCATGACTTCCTCCTTCGTGGAATTCTTGCTGTTGCCGCCTACCACAAAGTCTATCTCGCAGCCTCTGACGACGATTGCGAGTCATACGCTCTCCTCGCTTCGCGGCACCAAGAGGTTGCCCTTTCCAGCTTTCAGCATGCGCTTGCTCACGTCGACGAATCCAACTGTCACGCGCTCTTCGGATTCTCCTGCTTGTTGATTGTTATGACCTTCGCCAGCAGCAGCAAAGGTCAGCCAACAGACTTCAACACTGATGTGCTCCAATGGTTCCACTTCCTTCGCGGCGCGAAGATTGTGCTGGACATGTTCTCCGATGCGATCAAGAACAGTTTTCTCAAGCCTTTATTAGATGAAATGGCGTACTCCGAGAACGCCGCGGCCTACTCCATCCCTGGCGCAGATCATATCACGGATCTGTTCCGGGTCTGCGGGATCTCGAACCATGAGCGTGAAACGAGCCAGGCATACACGCTAGCAATCCACTCGCTTCTGAGCACTTTCACACAGGCCAGCATCTGCCGCGAGCGCGGCGATAGCATGATACTTGCCTCTTTCGTCTGGCCAGTCAATCTTCCGCCAAAGTTTGCGGAACTGTTGAGCGAAAAGCAACCGGAAGCTCTTGTGATTCTCGCACACTACTGTGTCCTCATCCAGTGGAGTGAGACACAAGACAATTGGTTCATTGACGGATGGGGCCGGTACATATTGAAGACCATTCAAGACAGCGTCCCAGACAATTGGTCTGAGCACTTGAAGTGGCCGGAGGAGATGATCATGAATCCACAGGCACAGCCTGTACCTCCGCAGTTCGCTCGGCGCGACACTGGGAGTCTCTGGCATCCAGCAGCCAGTGCGTGAGGGAATCGCGAGACTTAGCGTTCCAGCGGGACTGACTCTAATAGTAATATGAAGTACTAATACCCATGTATAACATCGGCGTCAACGTGAACGCTTGACGTGCCTAAATGCTGCCCACTGCTGTTTCCATTTCCTGTTAATCCACACCGCTTGAATTTGCTGGTCTGTCCATCTGCATCTTGCTGCACCTGCCCCGATCTTCATGTCTATCTTTATATCGGCGGCTGCAATGCTTCAAGCGCCATTCACGTGATCGATGTCGTGCAGGAGATGAGAGTGGAACCACCTATGGTCGCTTGATTGGGTCCCCCGCCGACCGTGTTCGCGATGCGGCTCTGCCCAATTTCCGCTGCTGCACATCATCGACGACGCCGACAACTCTCTTCTTACCTCTTCACTCATCGTCAGCATCATCATACGAGTCTCCCTCGTTGCATCTCATTCATGAACAAAGTGGTCTGATCAAAATGCCGTACACCACACGTCTCAGACACGGAGTGCGAGTACCTCCGACTGGAGCTTGGCCTTCTCCTGAAACCCGCGAAACTTCAAAACTTAAGCGCCCCTTGTAACAGACTCGCGCCAGCCAGTCGTTCACCACCACCCACTCACTCATTCTGTTCCTGCGTTGCGCTGCTGCTCTGCTTCTTCTGTTCTGCTTCAGCATTCCTTGACCCTTCTCTCTCATCACCGGGCGTCACCCATTTCTTTCTTTTGCATTTTCCTTAGGTGCTTGTGGCTGTGGTGACCGCATTCGTTAACACCACTCACGAGTCCCTCTGTCCGCGGCCACGTGTAGCATACCGTCGAAGAAGACAGTCGGTCAGACTCGTCCAGGCGGTACGTGAAGTGTAAGGTGTGAGCTGTGCTCCCCTCCAACGCTGCGTACGACGAATTTCCTACACTCCAAAAAAGCGAGGCAGGACCTAGCACACCAAAAGCATATATCGGTCACTGTAGATCCATACACCATAGAAAGCACGGGAGGATAGAAGAAGCCATGGAAGGCGGCAACAAACTCCTCTGGACCTTCATCGGCTTCGAGATCCTGTACCTAGCTGCGCGGTCCTCCATCTCATCGTACCGCTCACCACACATGCCTCCCTCGGACGAGCACCGACGCTCGACAATGTCGCCGGAGACCTCTTGCTCGACCACTGCCCTTTGACTGGTAAGTCCAAGTCCCCTCCATCCCAAAAACCCTCAACAGCTGACCAAAACCCTCCAGCCTCCCTCATAAACTCCATCCTAATGTTCGTCGTCTTCCTCCTCGCCCTCCCGGCCCTCTTCCTCCGCACAAACCGCACCTGGCTCCACCTGCACGCCATCGGCGTCACCCTCACCGCCTTCGTCACCCTCGGCATCGGCCTGCGCATCTGGTTCGACACCCTCGAGACCCACAAGAACCTCGCCCCCATCTGGTCCAAACAGTCCCCTGCCATCCAGTCCCTCCTCCAGGCCCGCTTCAACTGCTGCGCCTACAACAACCCCAGCTTGTTCATCAGGGACCAGACGTGTCCCACAGCGGCGGTGGCGGCGCAGTTGGGGCCGTGTATGGTCCCCTTTGGGAGTTTCGCGAACCAGTTCTTGGATGTGGTGTTTACGGCCTTCTTTGGGTTTTGCGCGGTGGATTTGTTGCTGTTGTTGGGGACGTTGTGTTTGATCAAGGAGCGGAAGGAGAGGGAGAGGTTTAGGCGGATTGATTTGAAGTTGAGTGGGATGGTTGTTTTGTGAGGAGGCTGAGGACGTGGTGTGACTCGGGCCAAGGCGATGTTGCGGCGAAAACGAGAAGTGCAGGCAAGGTGCTGGGAATGAGGGTGTGAGCGAAGTTGGTCATCTTAGCATGCTCCTGCCTACCTACCTATCTTCACATTTGAATAGTTCTCATAGACATCAACTGCATTCGCCAAATAGTCTCACAAGTCATTTTTCGTGACAAACGGGTTCCACGGGCAGAGTATTCTCCCTGCCGCCCTGCAGGTTATTCAGGGGTTACTACCTCTGTATGACAGACGACTGCCACGACTGCCGTGAAGGAGATTTCGCAAGACAGCGCCGGAGAAGATGCATTCGCGTGTGACAGACTATCAATGCGTACGTATTCCTTGTTTCCTCCCCTTAGATCCCTCTTAACTTCCGATAGCTAGGCGGCTTCACCGCCCTTCCAATCAACTTTCCGCCCCACACTGGCACCAAACTGATGGCTGCGATGGCTGCGACGCGCCACGCCCAGCTCCAGCTCGCGACATACTTCAAATCGAAGTATTCGCCCAGGAACGGCACACTAGCAGCGTATATAGCTCCGGTGCCCACAATCGATGCGATCATGATCGGATGCCACGTCGTGACGCTGACCGCCACCATTATCAACTCATTGAGGATGAGTACTGTGAACGAAACGCTGAGCATCTTCGGCCCATCGGTTGCGCCGACGAGAAGTTGGCTCAGGCCTTGAATGATGATGCCCTGGTAGACCGACACCAAGACCCATGTGAGGAAGGAGCGGTAGCTCAGACTCTTCCCCGATTTGAGCTCTTTGTAGAGTTCTGGGTAGAGGTTTGCCAGATGCTCGTCGACGTCGCGGTCGAGGACGAGGGAGAAGACTGGGGCTGTGGTGTAAACCGTTGCGTAGCCGACGAGCAGCCAGTCTTTGAAGAGGCCCTTGGGGTCGAACCGGCCCGCAATGTTGTACATAGTCTGGCACACCGCGATGATCAGGCCGCGGTGGATGATGAACTGACCTAGCTTCGCGCTGCGTTTGTAGGAGTTCCGACCGTGCCAGACTAGGAGTTTTGTGAGATGGCAGAATTGCGTGACGGAGAAGTCGGCCGCGAGGGAGGCCTGTCGGCCTTCTTTTCCGACTATGCCGATCCCGACGTCGGCGGCTTGGATCATGCTGACATCGTTGCCGCCGTCGCCGATGCAGCAGACACGTTTCTTGGTGTGTGTGCGGATCAGGGTTGCGACTTCGGCTTTCTGGGTTGGAGAGCAGCGGCAGGCGATCACGGCGGGGAGTTTGACTGCGATGGTGATGAATTGTGTGCGGAAGTGGCGGAGGACGAGGGCGAGGGACTCGCCATCGATTAGGAGGGCTGCTTCGGGGCGGTTGCGGAGCTGTTCGAGGGAGTCGGAGGCGAGGGCTTTGGTGGTGATTCGCGCCATGGTGTGAATTGTTTGGCCGCGGCCGACGAGACGGGCGGAGATGGCGACGCAGCGGGCGGTTTCGACTTTGTCGCCGGTTAGCATCCAGATCTTCACGCCGGCGTTGCGGAGGAGCTCAAGGGAGGGTTTGACGTCGCGTTGGAGACGGTCTTCTACGCCGGTTACGCCGAGGAGTTCGAGGTCGTGTTCGAGATGTTGCTTGATGATGGCGGCCATTCCGGCTTCGCGGTCTTGGAGGGACAGGGAAGCCTCTTTGTAGGCGCTTGAGAAGGATTGGTATTGCAGATCGGATAGATTTCGCCGGCCTACCACCAACGTGCGGAGGCCTTCACGAGCCATATTGGCGGTTTCCTCGTCGAGCCAGTCGTTGGATTCGACGATTTTGGTCATTACCGTGTCTGCGCCTTTCTGGTAGAACACAGTTCCGTAGTCTCGCCATCTGTAGATATTGTCGTCAAGTCAACAATGATGCCCATGCGCTTGCTGTCGGATGTGAAGGGGAAGATGTCTCTGATGACTGCTTTGAGGACGATGTTTCCGGTCTGTACTGACTGCACCGATATGCTTTGCCGGTCTCTGTGAAACAAGCGAAGGCCTACGCTCTCGGTGAATTCGACAATGGCAATTTCGTCAGGCGAAGAGGCCTGGTATGATATGGTCTCATTGCCGTCCACCTCGTCTTTCGTCGGCGTGACATTGTGGCACAAAGCAAGGGCGATGACGAGGTCTCGCACTCTCACACCTATGTTTCTTCGCCGATTTTTGTCCGTATTGCCATTCATCTCCCCGTGCGAGTCTGGACCACCGAAGGCTTCGTTGATGTAGCCTTGTACTTCGTCCATAGCCTCACCGCCGTAAGCCCCGGTGCCAATGTGGATCTTCTTCAGCAACATCTCGTTCTGCGTCAAGGTCCCTGTCTTGTCTGACAACAGGTACTCGATGCGGCCCAGGTCCTCTGGGATCGTGCTCGTTCGGACTACAGTGTCTGGTATGTCCCGGTCTCGCTCGATGTAGTATGAATACACTGTCTTGCCCATATCTAGATTGACTCGCAGGCTGATTGGAATGATAGTCGAGAAAAGGATCAGGTAGATTGTGATAGCAATATACCATGGTTTCTTATTGGATGGCTCGAAACCCTCCAGAGCGACCAATACTATAGACAGCGTGAGGGTCATGATGCAGAGAATCTTTGTGAGGTTATTGATCTCGAGCTCCAACAGTCCGGTCTTCGATCTGGAGGGTGATGTAGACAGGGCAGAACGCGTCTGTTTACCCGTGTAGATGACCGCGGCATACACTGTAGTGTTGGAGGCGATGACTGTATTGCACCAAGCAGTGTTGTCGATTGTCAGTGGTGCAGATGGAGGCGCCTTGGAAGTAACGTCGTCTGGATGTGATACGTCACTGGCGTCGCTGAGGGACAGATGCGGATCGTATTGCTGGGATGTTGGATCGACAAAGTCGACTTTGCCAGCGAAGGAGTTGACGTCCCGGTCAGGGGCTCCTGCTGATATCCGGAGCTTCGTGAAGTCGTCGACCTTCAGACCCTGTGTCAGAGGACAAGGTAACCTCAGCTTCCAGTCGGTCTCGCCGTCAAGCTGATCGGTGCGTATGAAGGCCTCGCTGGCTGCTGATGCTGATGGGTCGTTGATCATGCTCCCGTCACCGGTGATGCTCTGTAGAATTACCACGTCCGCCGGTACACGTTGGTTCTTTTCCAGCTTCAGGATGTCACCTACTCGAATATCTCTTGATCTCTTTTGAATCTCCGGGGCTCCTGCAGCAGATCTCCGACCCGCTTGAGAGCCCAGTAACAAGACAGTGAATGGCTCGGCATTGGCCTCAGCGTCTCTTCGTCTTCGACCGACGTCGTCGAATGCCTCTTTTCCGATGGATATGGCCAGAACGCAAGCCAGGGGCACAATATATGTTGACATATAGCCAATGCGCAAGAAGGGTAGTATTTGAGATAGTGCCACTAGTAAGAAATAGACGTTAAGAAAGAAGCGAAATTCGTTATACAGGGTGACTGGAAGGAAGGACCAGGCGGTGTATTTGGCGTTTGATACGACATTTGCTGGAAACTTCTTCTTCTGCGGCCGCGCCACGGCGATCTCTCGAGGCTGGTCGTTAGTTGCCTGTGCTATATCGCCTTCATCGGCCAATGCTTGCCGGGCTATCTCGGGCAATGAGATGCTTTGCCGAAAGCTGTGGGCTCGACTGTGTGTCTGATGGGAATTGTTGGCTGATTCTCCCGTGCCTTGGACATCTTTCCGGCGCTGTCGCCTCACGTTCCATCCACGGTCCTCGGTCTGCCCTTCGCTGCGTAGGTTCCAGCCGCCAAGGAGATTCTCCTCGTCCTCGCCGTCTCTGAAATGGCGCCTGGACCGCTTTGTCTTCCAGAATCGGCCTGAGTCGGCTAGATCTTGCAGAGGTACAGCACGTCCATCGCCCGAGTATTGACTGCGGCTCCCCGGGACAGTGGCGCCTCCATTGACGGGATCGAGCTCGTCTAAGTTGAGATCGTCATCGGAGGCCGCATCTGGGTCGAAGGGCTGATGATAGTTGTGAGAATCTGCCATGATGGGGCGGCCACATCGTCTACGAGGCAATGACGGCGCGAACCGACCCGGCGGTGACAGCCATCGGCTTCAATCGATCTGGTGAGGAGTCGTGGCTTCAAAGGGAGTGCCTGGAGAAGCGGAGCGGGAGGAGGAAGCGGAGGAGGAGCGGACCAGATATTGGCCTGCGTGGCCTCTTGCTCGTCGGATCTAGGGATCACACTTTGTCTGGGAGGTTACTTGGATCGAGATTTCATCTAATAGTATCGTCGCAAGTGCTTAGCGGTGACAGTAGTGTGCTTGTACTGTCTTGATATATGTTCTGAAACTAAGACGTCGCCTGCCTGCGCTGCCGAATATGGCAGGGATTGACTCCACTTTTCAGGCCCGGGGAAAGTTCCTTCAAGTGTACGGCATCGCAAGACATGGCATTCACTCCTACTCTCAAACATCGATTTGCATTCACCGTTGTGTCGCGTCATTCAAGTCTTCAGCGCTGTTTATAGTGCTCTAATACGTTCCTACTTGCGCTATGTACTAATACGCCAACCCGCCAACTCCTGCAGACACCATATCTGTACGTCAAATCACTGCCCCTTTCGTCATGCTTGTCGTTTGCTCATACGTAACAGCATCACGACTCGACTGCGTTGGGCCGCTGTTGTGAGGTGAAGGAGCCAACAAGTGACCTTGTGGCGTTATGACTACCCAGCATGCCACGAATATCGGTAGCTGGCACCCGGCATTCAAGCCCCATGAGGACAACTCGCTCCCTCCGACAAACACAGATGTAGACATCCGGAGTGAAGGAGAAGACATATCTGCCGCTGAGGCTCCCGCTGCCACGCATGATCTCGCAGACGAGCCACCAGAGCAGGGACATACGGCGATCGACGATACGAGCTTAGACATGGCGCCCAAGCCAGATCCGGAGCCTCTGCTGCACTGAAGTCGATGCCTACCGGTCGAGTCGAAACGCCTGCCGCAATGCCTATGTCTGCTCCTCCACACCGACAAACATTCACCATGCAAGACGACGACGAGATAGAAGATGACGACGATAATGAGCGACTCGATCCTGCATGGGGAATCAAGCGCATGAGCACCTCCCAGATCCTCAACTCGGTCAAACGGACATCATCCTTCCCAGACATGTCGTCCACCATCGATCGGACAGACGCCGATGCTCAACTAGTGCCCGAGGCGGGCTCTGTACAAACGACAGAAGAGCCTGCGCAGCAACCATCGCGAGCCCTCATGTGGGACACTGCTGAGGATGCTGAGGCAGACGCAGTATTTGGGCAGTCGGAACCTCTCTCCGCAGCGGCCCCAGAGCCCACCCCGGATGAGTCGCGTTACGAGGAAGGCTTGCCTCTCATGCAAAATCAGGAACCCGCTCAAGAGTTGCCTGCCGCCGTGTCATGGCTGAGGATCCTGCCATGCAGACCGCGGATGACGGGATAGAAGACACGTCTTTCTTCGATAAAAGTCATGCAGGCCCGGAGGAGGACACGGTCCCCGAGCTCACGCGCAAGGACACATCCACTGTGCTAAGCGGTCTGCACATGGAGCAACGCCCGCCTCCCGAGTCCATCGCCGAAGAGCAGGATTTCCTCCGTCAGCCGACCACTGAGGAGCAGGACTTCTTCAATCAGCCGACTGCCGAAGAGCAGGATCTATCCAGTCAGCCGACCGCCGAGAAGCCCACTGCAGAGAACACTGCGCCAAACACCATTGATCCCTTCAGTGAAGCCATGTCGGAAGAACCCTTCGATGCTCTGATACAGCCAAAAGCCGAGGAGAATGATCCATGGCAAGCCATGCTGGCCGAGGACGATGAGTTCCTGGTCGATGATCCTGATGATCTGCTTCCTGACTCTGACACTGAGTCTCCGACTGCATCCCAGCCAGCTTCACAACCGGCCTCTGGGATCTCGCAGAAGTCTTCCTCTGACGCCCCATCCCAGCGGCCTTTCCCACCCAGGAAGTCGTCAAGCATGTATGCGCCTCATCAGCCGACCACGTCTGAGCTAGCCGCAGAGTCTCTGAATTTTCAAGGTGTCGGACTGAACCAGAACACCCTGCCTCAAAGGCCGTCGTTTGGATCACAGTTTGCGCAACAGAGACCGCAACCACCACAGCAGACCTCCAGTTTCGCCGATCAAGCCAAAGGCGGCTACAAGTCACCATACGACCTGCCGATGGAGCTAAGTAAACCAAAGAGACGACCAGCGGTCCTTCAACAGCCGTCAACAACTAAGGCTGTACCACCACCCCCAAGAAGCGCCAGCATTTCGGAGAAGCCGCCCCAGTCGCCCTTCTCCACAACCGCGCAGATGCCTCAACCAACTGCGACCGCCTCTGTGGCTAAGTCTACGTCGACCTCACGGCAGTCTAGTTTCTTCGAAGAGCTTCCAATCACTACGAAACCGAGAGCTGGCTCAGGCGGTGGGCGGTATACACCTCAGCAGGGCCAGCGATCTGTACCTCCGCCTCCCATGGCTAGTCCTCCGATGGTTCCACCTCAGCCATACGGTCAGTCGTATTCTCAGCAACAGCCTTTGCAGCCGCAGCACATACAACCTCCTGTCCAGCACCAGCAAACACTCCCTTCCGTGCTGCCTGCACAGATGCAGCTTCCTTTCCAGCCATACTCTCAACCGCAATTGGGCCAACAGGCCCAGCAAATGCAACCCCCAGTTGAATCCCAGCAACCATCGAGTCAGTCCTCTGATCCGTATGCACAATTCCAGCTCCGAGCTCCGGACCGACTCGATCCGTTCTCAAATCAGCCGCTTTCCTCAGACCTGTCAACTGGATCAGTTCCTGCTGCTATGACTACTCGCTATTCACCTGCGCCACCTGCTAGTCTTACGGCGCCTCGGACGGGGCCCTCCCCGCGATACTCTCCAGCGCCTCCCAGCCAGGGCTCACGACCACCGGCCGCAAATCGATATGCTTCGCAGGGCGCAGCTCCAGCACCTTCCCAACCGCCTCAACTGAATCGTTACGCATCGCAACCCCCACAGATGCCCTCACCACCAACTGGCGGTACCCTTCCTTTCCAGCCGCGAACATCCAGTCCTCTCGTGCATCAAAAGTCTATCGATCAGACAAACGCTCCCGACATGCAATCCATCGCTCAAGTGCAAGCCATACAGCCTCCACAGTATGCGCCTCAGAACATCTATAGCTCACCACCGCCAGCGAATCAGTCCATCAATCCGCCCAGACGCTCGCAAACCCAATCACCAAGCAAGCAACGGCCACAGGCCACACCGCCTGCGCAACAGAGGCACCCAGGCTTCCGTCCCGCTTCTGCACACGGTCATGTTGCGCCAATGAGATCGATCTCGGAAGTCACGCCGGTAGCAAGGCCGAATCTGTACAATAGCGGAGTCACAGAGCAGTATGATTTCATCCGTCCGACTGATGAACAACAAGCGGATCCACTAGAAAGATGGAAGGGAGCGCCAGTGTTCAGATTCGGCTTCGGAGGCAAGGTTATTAGCACCTTCCCGAAGCACGTCCCAAGATTCAGTGCGGGCGCGACTCGGCCTCTTATCAAGCCTACCGTAGGCGATGTACTGCTTCGAGAGGCGAAGACGGTGGTGCCGACTCCAGCAGAGCTGACAAGCTTTCCAGGACCTTTGCGAACGAAGTCAAAGAAGAAGGAGCTCTTGTCATGGTTGCAGAAGTATATCAGCCACTTGGAATCGGAGACGACCGTACTCCCGACAGAAGGACTGCCCGATGCAAGAAAACGACAGCTCGAAAGAATCATGCTGTGGAAGATCCTCAAATCGATGGTCGAGCACGACGGCGCACTCGATAGTGGTGAAGCCTTGAAAGCAGTCAATGCGATCTTGTCGCCTGAGATACATGCCGTGGAAGAGTCTACCGCATCGCAGTACCGAGAAGATATATCGCCATCAATATATCGTCCATCTGGTGTCACCGTCAGACCAGACTCCGTGGATCCAATGACGCTCGATGCCGTTCGCAAGCATCTGCTGCGTGGAAATCGCAAGGAGGCGGTCTGGCATGCTGTTGACAACCGCCTATGGTCGAATGCTCTGCTCATTGCGTCTACAATGCCAAGAGACACTTGGAAACAGGTTGTGCATGAATTCGTGAAGCAAGAGGTCAAGACAGCCGGTGAGAACACTGAGTCATTGTCGACTCTCTACGAGATTTTCGGTGGGAACGCCGAGGACTGTGTCGATCAGCTCGTCCCACCGTCAGCCCGTGCTGGTCTACAGATGGTCAGCAGGATCGATGCAGCAGGACCTACCAAGAACGCACTAGATGCCCTAGACAAGTGGCGAGAAACACTCAGTCTCGTCGTCAACAACCGCAGTCATGGTGATCACCAGGCTTTGTCCAGTCTAGGAAGACTCCTTGCGCAATACGGAAGGATCGAAGCTGCTCATATCTGCTTCATCTTTTCTCGAAGTGCGGCAAATCCCACCATTGTCGGAGGTCTGGACGACCCGCATGCTAGTATTGTACTTCTGGGCGCAGATCATCACAAGCAACCTTCCGACTTCGCTCGAGACCGCGAAGCTGTGCTTCTCACCGAGATCTACGAATTTGCAACACTAATCCTCACAGGTTCGGCTGTCACGCTGATGCCGTTCCTGTCCACGTACAAGCTACAGCTCGCGCAGACTTTGGCGGACGAGGGCTTCAAAGCGGAAGCCCAAGCATACTGCGATGCGCTGACTTCCACGCTGAAGAGTGCCAAGGTCTCAGCATATTACCCACCTGCTTTCCTAGGAGAACTGGAAGACTTCTCAAATCGCCTTAAGCAGATCCCCGTGCAATCGTCGAGCTCCTGGATGGGCAAGCCGAATGTTGAGAAAGTGACTGGGTCACTGCTGTCCAAACTGAGCAACTTTGTTGCAGGTGAGGATAGCGATGCTGATTCGAGAGCCTCGAACCGCGAAGCCAGCGAAAGTGGTCCATTCGCGAATGTCACAGGTACTCCGTCTCTCAGTCGCACTGCATCTCAGTCAGAGATGAACGGATTCCCGATGTCCACACCTCAAGCTATACCATCAACCTTTGCGGGATCAAGATATGCGCCAAACGGCCTGGCGTCAGCGAGATCTTCGTCTGAGCTGACGCGCGGCCGACCATCTCTTGACTCGCAAAGATCACCTCCGTCCACATCTTACGCCAATGGACGCCCGTCGCCCTATGAACCAGTCAACATGATGCAGCAGAGCGTGGGCTCACCTCCACCGAACCCATATCAGTCATTCGCAACGCCAGCAACGAATCGCTACCAGTCAACACCACCACAGTCTTCCTACATGCCTAACGCAACATCTGCGTATTCACCAGAGAAGCAAAGAGATGTCCACGACTCGTATATTCCCACGCCCCCGCCCGAGCAGTCATCGCAAACGCCCTATGAGCCCGCTGCAATACCGCCGACATCGTATGCGCCCTCGCAGCCGATGCGCCAGACCTCCTACGAACCATCAGTGTCACAGTACGCGCAGCCTATTGCACAAGGGCCTGACGTCGGTGGCCCTGTCGAAGAGCCCGTGTCCTCATACGAACGGCCCGGGCTAAGTCAGCAGCCTTCATTTGGCGGCTACGCGCCCCCAGAGCAGTCAGTGTCATTCATGTCTACAACAGCAGATAAATCTGCACCTGAGCCGGTTGATGCTCCTTCAACATACTCATATGGTGGCTATGACCCACCTGCAGACACAGGCTACCAGCCCTACGTCCCTGAGCCTGATTCTCCAGAAGAGCCAAAGCCCAAGCGACCTCAATTCGGCGACGATGACAACTTCTCCTCTGTTGCTGCACCAGCGGAAGTATCCCGGAATAACAACGCCGACGACGAGGCGGCACGAAGAAAAGCCAACGACGCCGCCGCAGAAGCCGCCTTCCGCGCCGCCGCCGAAGCCGACGCAGCAGCGGACCCGAAGCACAAAACCGTCAAGTCAAAATCCTCAGGCTGGTTCGGCGGCTGGCTAGGCGGCAAGAAGGAAGACGGCGCACTCGACGCCGCACCCGCTGCCAAAGGCGGCAAAGAGCCGGCTGTATACAGAGCGAAACTCGGCGAGAGCAAGATGAAGCTGTACTACGACAAGGATTTGAAGAAGTGGGTCAATCCAGATAATCCTGATGCGGCAAAGGCGGGGACGGCGACGCCGCCGCCTCCGCGCGCTGCTAGTGGCACGCCTTCGATGGGCGGTGTTGGTGGAGGCATGCGGGCGCCTCCACCAATGGGACCACCACGCAGCGTTTCTGCTATGCCGTCGATGCCCAGCATGGCGAGTCTAGGGTCGATGGGTCCACCGAGCGGGCCGCCCAGTAGGACCGGCACACCTGCGAGTGCGACCAGCAGCGCTGCAGGAGGTGGAATGCCTGCTTTCGCACCGACACTGCCTCCGAACGTGACAGCAGCGCTTGCCGAGAATAAACCCCTAGGAGGTCCTGGAGGTCTGGCACCACCGAGTAGGCCAGGGACGGCGACGAGCAATGCTAGCAGCATCGATGATCTGCTCGGCGCTGGGACGCCGTTGGGTGGTGGGAAGAGGGGCGCGAAGAAGGCGCCGAAGAAGGGCCGGTATGTTGATGTTATGGCGAAGTAGATCACTCGGTCTGTGAGATGCGAGAGGGACGGCTGGAGGGGGAGCTTGTGAAGTTCTGTTGTATACCCTTTTGATTGTACAAAAAAGCACTTGACTTGGAAGAGGGAGGGAAGGGTAGACTCGATATATTATTGACCCTGACACTAATAATGGAATACGCTTTCTGATCGAATCAGCGCTTCTTGATGTGACGCGAAGAAGCAGGGACAGGTACTGAAGATACAAGATTTGTTTCGCTGGTTGTGCAGAGTTCCTAGCCACGGTGGACGCTGAACATCCAAAACTATTCCGCTGACCAAGTGGGCAGGGTAGAGAAGCCTCACCACAGAACCCTCCGTGAGACCAGATAACAAGCAGTGCGATCATAGCAGGCACTACAGAAAACAGCTCCAACTCCAAGCTGAGCTCTGTCTGTCCAAACAACAGAAAAAGCCTACGGAGCCAACCATCGCGAGCCTTCATATGGGACGACATCCATAATCTTGTTACAAGTCTTGATCCTGAGACTCAGGTAATACCCATCTGTCCTAGTAACAAGCTGAATCACTAACGAGACTGTGTAGAGAACTCCCAAGACATTAAAGAATTAGTGGTTCTGGTTTTGGTGTGGTGTTGATGGATGCGCTGACTGATGGGTGGGCGTTATTATATTTGCTGGTGTGGGTTTATTGGTTCTCGTGTTCATTGTCTATATTGTTAGTAATGCAGAGGGAGTGACTGTGATGTGCTCCTTCCATGCCCATCTACTTGGCAAATGTTGAGCAAGGCGCGCACGTACAGTAATCTACCTAGTCTTGTCATCTGGTCTTGCTCGTTATGGACGAATGTCAACCGGTTTCCGCAGAAGCCCAACTCAGACCGGATGACACGATGGTGTCACTTGAAAAGGAGACAAATCTGTCTCGACCTTCTGGGCCAGGGAGGGCGGTAAAGATCTAGAATTAACTCGCAAATGAAAGGGTGGCTTGAGATGAGCGTCACTTGATTGTCACTTCGCAATAACAATTTTATGATAGACACCACCAGCCAGGGAGGGTGTTGAAGGTCCTGCATGATTTCGCAAAATGATGGGCAAACTTGAGATGAGCATCATTCGAGCGTCACCTCGTAACACAGATTCGTCGTGACATTCGGGCCAGGGAGGCCGCTGTCTGGATTTGTGGAGGAACTCCAGGACGTATCGACACAGCATGAGCCACTAGCCCTTCAAGCCGGTCTTCTCCAGCTTGTCACCCAGTCGCTCCAGCACCGACTTCTCATTGGACTTGGCCTTACCACCACCAGAGGCCGCCTTGGGCAGCTCTTTCGTGAACGGAATGATCTCAGGCGTGTCGGCCGGCAAGTACTTTCTCAGCACTTCCGGCACCCTGAAGCCCGCCCCATCTTCAGTTTGGTAGTTCTCCAGAATGCAGCACAGCGTTCTCGAAGTAGCGCACAAGGTGCCGTTGAGCGCGTGTGCGTACGTCTTACGGCTGTCGATAACGCCCTTCTTCTGGCCGTACCGCACCTCTAGCTCTCTCGTCTGGTAATCCGTGCAATTTGAGCATGACACGAGCTCCTTGTACTCTCCCTGATGGGGAAACCATGCCTCGAGGTCGTACTTCTTGGCAGCTGCGTTGTTGAGTGCGCCGGAGACGATGGTGACGACTCGGTAGGGAAGCAGGAGAGACTGGTAGAAAGCTTCGGCGGTCTCGAGCATGGACTCTAGTGCGGCCCAGGAGTCCGAGGGCTTAGTGAAGAGGAATTGTTCAATCTTCTCGAACTGGTGAACTCGGTAAATACCCCAGGCGTCGCGACCGTGGGCGCCAGCTTCTTTGCGGAAGCAGGTTGAGTAGCCGGCGAATTTGAGAGGCTTCTCAAGTTCCTTCTCCGTCATCCATTCGTCGGCGAACATGGCAGAGAGGGGCTGTTCTGAGGTGGCGATCAGGTATTTGTCCTCGGCGTCTGGGCCCTCGACGACCTTGTAGAGTTCTTCGTCGAATTGTTCGAGTTGAGCGGTCTTGCCCATGTAGCTGGCTTTCATGAAGAAGGGAGGCTGAATCGGCTCGTACTCGCGTTCCGTGAGGAAGTGTAGGCCGTAGTTGATTAGTGCTTGGTTGAGGAGGACGCCCCATTTTCGTAGAAAGTAGCCTCGATGGCCGACGATCTTGGTGCCACGGTCAGGGTCGTAGACGTCGGCGCGGAGCATGACTTCGTGGTGGGAGAGGCATTGCTTCTTCTCGACGGTGACGCCTTCAGGAGCCCATTTCTTGGTTACCTCGTTGAAGTCTTCGTTGTCGTTTATTGGGACTGAATCGTGGACGTAGTTGCCAATAGTCTTGCACCGTCGGTCGCGTGTCAACTCTTTTGCAACGGCTGACTCCTCGGCCGCTTTCTTTTCCTTCTCCAGTTCCACTTTCTTCTGCAGGAGTTCTGTGGCATCTTGTTTGTTCTGGCGGGCGGTCAGACGAGATCCGAGAAAGACAGCCACAACCTACCTTCTTGAGTTGACCGATCTCTTTCTGCAGTTTGTTTATCGAGGCGCCAATTTCAGTGGCTTTGTATCTAGCTATGGCACGTCAGTCCTGTACGCGAATGTCTCATCTGGGCTCGACGAACTTTTGTATGCATCTTCCCACAGATCCGCAACTTCTTGCACGATGTTCTGGTCGGCATATCTTCGTCTCTGAGATCTGCGCAGTCTTGTCAGCCCCGAGGCCTACAGATTGATGAAGCGCTCTGACATACTCGAGAATCTTCTTGGGGTCACCGCCTCTGTCCTCTAATTAGCACATGCCGACCAAGTAGCGGGCGGCAGAAAGAACAAACCTGTCGGCGATGAAATCTAAGACGTCTAACATGATGAGGGCCGCCCAGATGCAGACAATGTAAAAAACAAAGATTGCAATTCTCTCAGAGCCCGCCCGAGCGACGTCGTGTACTTGGGCAGGATTGTGAGTCGTGTGCAGTCACAAATAATTAATTTGTCGCGCCTGCAAGGGCCAATAATTTCCCCACCCCGCCCTTCTGGAAGCTTTGTGAAACGAGGCAGCCAGGCGAGGGGTACCTGCAGTTTCGTTATCGATACGGGTAGCGCTCTAGGCGGAGCTCCAGATTTTTGGAGAGCCTGCGGTCTGGTGCTCAAATACGATCGGCTTGCAAGAACGTCGAGGCGAAGAAGTCAATGGACTCATTATTGGTTGTTTGAACCTCAAATATCGCTCTCTGAGTCCGTCTGGTAGCCTTCATAGGCATGGCCTTCGTAGGCATGTGTAACTAATCCATCAACGAAGACGACCTCAAAAGCCCCCGATCCCTTGAAGAAGCGTCCATACGTTAGACTGCACCAGAACGCCCGCTCCGCAAAAAAGCCATCTATGCCAACGCGCTTTCTTGACGCCCATGAGTAGACATGTCTCTACATGACAGCACACTTGCCGCCACCCGCAGGCTTGTCCGGCTCTGTCGACTTCTCGATCTCCGCAATCATCATCTCGAATGCTTTCGCAACATTGGTATTGTTCCGAGCGCTGGTTTCAGTCCAACCCGCGTGGAGTTCCTTTGCGAGCTTCTGACCTTGTTCGGCGGTGATCTTACGCTTGCCTTCGGGGACATCGCTCTTGTTGCCAACAATCACGATTGGGACGGTTTCGGCGCCCTGTGTATGTGCGTCAGTAGGTTTGACGAGAAGCAGGACAGGGTGCGCCGTACGAGGTGGTTCAAGATCTTGTCTCGGATGATGGTGATCATGTCGAAGGACTGAGGTGAGCTGACGCTGTAGACGAGGAGGTAGCCATGCAGGCCAATAAACTAGAGACATTGTATATTAGCACGAACATGACAGTACTGCAATGGGGATCTTGGTGGAGGAGGTCACTCACGTGCTTGGAGTTGAGTAGAGTGTATTCATCCTAGAAGACTGTCAGTCAGTCATGCCTTCCTGTCAATGAAGCGCTCCTATATGTACCTGACCAGCAGTGTCGATGATCTCGGTAGCGAATGTCTGGCCCTTGTGAACGATCTCGTGACTAAACGTGTTCTCTATGGTCGGATAGTACGACTCGACAAAGTGGCCTTCGCAGTATTGAACCGTGAGTGAGGATTTGCCTGCAATGTACGACAGCTGTTAGCAGAATGCCATACAACCAATGCAGTTGTAGACCACTGTAGGGCATAGTTGCAAGGACGTGACTAAATCGGTCGACGTGCAGGGATGTTCCGTGAATAGTTACGCACCCACTGAACGACTGCCGAGGATGGCGATCTTGCGCTGCTTCACAGTAGGCGCCATCGTCGGCTCCCACGTGCGATCGCTTGATTGATTTCTGCTGTTTCGCTTGAAGATATGGAGGCAATCCACTGTGAACGAATGAATAAGTCAAAAGATTCAGTAAGGCAAAAGTAGTAAGATGTGTCCCGGGTTGTGTACTGGCGGGTCGGAACAAAATTTACCTTAAAGAAGACGTTTGAAGGTGACAAACGCGGCTCAGAAATGAGGAAGGTGCCCCTCGCAACCACTCAGTGACAGATGCGCATTCACTGCAATCAGGGTCTAGAGGTACAGCTGCATGCAGCAGCTCAATCCGATTCTGTTAGCAATAGTTACTGGAAGTGACGTTGTTTCAGTGAAGTGTAGCAAATGGCAAATGCTTTTCTGGCTACAACGAATGGTCTTTACGTCAATATAAGCCCTCGAAACTTGACGACTTACTATTCTTGGTATGCCTGTCAACTCTACAGCTTTCACATGTTCGCCAGGTTTTATATGCCATTTGCGACCGGCTCGAATGCAATATCAGCCGTCAACCAGCCTTGAGTGTTGGCCTGCTGCGAATCGCTGTCCATTGTTGACTTCGGTTGTCGATATTAGCCTCTGTAGATATGCTCACCGCAACTTGGGGATGCCAAACTCCAGGAAGTTCTCAATTATGGCCCATGGGTCAAGGACGCCCCTGATGCAGGGTTTGGTAAATCATAGGCTCTGGCGTGTGCCCAACCCGGACCCGCTACGCAAGAGTGATCCGGACCACGCTCCCGAGATCCGGGCTCAAGGCAAGGTAGGTGAGTAATTGAAGTATCATTTTTTGCGATGAAAAACATCCTTTTGAAGCTGATAGCTCGAGACATCCAGAGGCGGGATTGAAACGTCGCAAATGTATGCCAGCCTGTCCCGCCTGGGATACTGATTCAACAAGACGCTGCAAGATTTCGGTTGCGCCTGGTCGGGTGCAAATGCTCTGTATCTATGCTAAACATGTGTAGAACGCTGTCCAGGGGTATCATCGTGCTATGCAAAGCTCATGGTCTCGTTGAAAATGCAACAAAGGAAACAGTCAATCGACGCCAATCGCGCTCTCAGCCATACGCAGAGACTTCATCCTTCAATACACTGAGATTTGTTCCAAACCTTCTTACAAAGTCCTCCGCAGAGTTGTCTCCCACGCTGACACTACTCAGAAGCGTGAGGAACGTTATTGCTCGTCCTACGACCTCAGAGAGACTTGGCTTGAGAGCTGTAGAGAACTGGTTTCGGATCGGTGGCGATAGGCTCAAGGTACAGATCAGGAGACATAGGTAGCCGAATGGAATCAAGATCGGAGCTTTGGACTCGTCTGTGGCCTGTGTTCGGGTTAGCAAAAGTCCTCGTAGCTATGAGAATACAAGATCTTACCTCGTCCGCTTCTTTGACAAACAAGTCGAAGTAGTTGACAAGCTTCAGAACAGGAGCGGAAGGCTCGTCAAGAGCGCCTGTAAAACCCATCATCTCTAGGCGTGTACTATCGCCGCTGTCTGCGAAGTCCACTAAGCAACCTAGACCTAGCATGACAGACGTTGACACTGCCGACGTTGTGGCGTCGTCCGACGAGGCGCTGCGCGTATGGTCGAGCAGTGTGGGATATTTGTGCTCCAACACGCTAAATATGCTCTCGAGCACTGCTGTTGACGCGAACTCTGCCGATATCGACTTCTTTCCACTGCTCATGCTCATAATCAGCTTCAGAGCCAGCTGTTCGATGTCGCTACTCGCATGACTCGCCCATGTCAGCAGTTCTGCAAGCATTGATCCGAGCTCGGACAGTAGTTGCGGAGATGTCTTCATGCCAACGCCGCTGGAAGACGACTCGGCGAGCTCGAGCCATGCCATGACCAAACGCATGCTCTCAACATCGCCGGGATCGGCCAGAGCTTTGCCGGTCGACACTGTCAGGTGTCGCTGGATCGAGATCATCGCTGCCTGAATCCACGACTGATCTATGGTGGGAAGCGTCTCGCCGCCCGCCACAAGCCTGCGCTGCAAGGTTTCCAGTGCACGAATCGCGATGCGAGATGTAATGATATGACTCGCTTGTGCCGCACCTGAAGATTGTTCGAGCACATGGGCTTCGAACTCGAGCAGATCTTGTCTCAGAAGCTTGGTCAGGTTCTCCCGCTTGTCCTTCGCTATGGCCGAGAGTGGCCTTTCCTCAGTCAAAACATGTGCAGGCAATCTGAGAATCCCCTGGTAAATCTGCAGCAGAATATGACTTGTGGCAGACTCAGAATGAGCCAAAGTCCAAAAAGCCAGCACCATGATACTCGAGCTGATGATGTCGTGTTCGGCGCGAATGCTTTTGACCAGCGCTGTGACCTTGTTACGATCCAGGAAGTGTCGCTTGAAAGCTTGCTCCTTCAGTTTTCGCACAAATTGCATCAATGCAGATATACGGACTGCTTTAATGCTGGCAGTAATGTCATCCAGTAAGCTGTCCAGATCTCGATCGTAGCGATCGACTACGCCGGCATGTCTGAGCTCATGAATGCTTTTTAACTGGCTGGCGTTGTCCTCGTCGTCGTCATCCTCGTCATCAAATTCAAATTGCGATGATTGTGGACCAATCCCAGTCATGGCGCTGAGCTGAGACTCGAGGGAGGCAAGCAGTGGCTGGCTGCCAGAGTGGGAGTCGTTCTCATCATCAGACACCATGTCTCGCAAGTGGGACCGTTGTTTCCCATATTTCCTTGGTCGAATGGTGTCATGTGCGCTATCCTCGTCCGGCAGACTGCTGCTTCTCCGCAAGCTTGTGGCCGAATTCGTCGTGCGCTCGTTGCCAGCCCTAGACGCCAAGTGAAATCTCGTTGTTGAATCCGTAAGCTGGGCAGGAAGAGGAGCATCGGCCATTGCTATGTCTTCGTGGCGGTCCGTTCTTGCAGCATCGAGGCGGTCGATCAAGCGACGGCGGACTCTTGATAGAGCAGGGGCTGACGCATCAGGATCACTGCGTTCCCCTGAACTCGACCGCGACAGGATCTTCTGTGGTGTAAGACGCAAAGCAGACATCTCCAGCTGACTCGGGCTGGAAACATCGCTAAGCGCGTCGTTGGCATCGCGCTTCCTTTTTGTGGCACTACGAGTGGTGATCCTTGAAGCATTCGAGGTGTCAGATGCTGGAGATCTGATGCCTGGAGGCGTGAGTGGTTCAGGAGTAAATTGCAGAGGTGGCGAGAGGGGCGCAGGTATATGCGTAGGTCGTGGCTTCAGCGAACGAGTTCTCGAGTGCTGCGCCGTCTTTCTGGCCCTCTTCTCTGCTTCCGCCGACCTCGCTTTGCTGGCAGCACTTCTTTGTGGGCTTCGCAAGTTGGGGCTCCCAGAGGCTGCAGCTGCAACACTTCCCTTGCGTCCCCGGAGGGCCTGTTCATCAACGTCTGAACTGGTTGGTGTGATCTTCCGTCTCTTCACGGTGGTCCTGGCCGTTTGCTTCCGACCAGAGTCCTCGTCGGACGTGTCGATGTCAAACACAGTCGATGCCTGAGTATTGACACCCGGTTTTAGTGCCTTCGCTGGAGATCTGAGCCGAGAGTGTTTCGTGTTGGCATCGAGCTCGGTAAGCAGCTCTGACTTGCGTTGTTCGGACGCGCTCTTTGAATCCGAGACATCGCTGTACGGCGTTGTCCCGCGAGAGACCACTTGGCTCGAGGGGCCAGAGGACTGCGCAGAGTGCAGAACAGACTTGTGACTGGCAGCGAAGAGGTCGTGGACAACCAGTCGCTTCGAAGCCTTGCCATATGTATTGATGCGTCTCCTAGGCGCATCCATCGTGATTGAGGCGACCACTATCCAGGCACATGAATAGGGTCGTCAGTTGTGAAAGAAGTACACATTGGGGCGTGATGTGTTCCGGTTCGCTTAGACGGGGTCCCACGGATTGTCCGAGGGACAAGGCTACGAGTCGAAGACTCGGTGGTAGGCAAGTGAGTCAACAGAGGTATGTCAATGTTATGAAGAACATTAAGTCAGGGTATACTGAAGTTGATAATTGGAGACGCCTAAAGTCGCCTATGACGCAGTTGCTCTTCTCGGCAATTCGACAACAAACACCCCTGAGACTGAACTCTTCTGATGCGCCATGTCCGCTCACCATGCACGACACATGCGGGTTGTCAAGCGACTTCTATGGACCTTTCAAGTTGTCTGAAAGTGCACGATCCGAAAGAGTGTTTGAACGATCTTTCACGACTTGTTGTTGTGAATAATTCCCCCTCAGCGTACTGTACTCTGCATCAATTCGTTCCCGAGACTGAGACTAGGACTCGTGAGCCTGCGCCAGGTAGTGGACACGACGGCCTGCCCAGTCTCCATTCCATACGACAACAGCGCGCGCGTTCGCACCGCCATCTTTCCTGGGCTCTGCGTAGTGGCTGCTGTTGTCGTCTTGGGCAATTGAAACCATGGTGCCGTCATCATACCACTTTTCAATTCGGGACGGTGAAGCTGTCGCAGCCGCGTCCAGACAGTGAGCTGAAGCCAATGCGCCAACGCGTTGAGCTTGAGATGCGTCCCCAACTTCCATAACAACCAGTCTAGCTCCAACAGCGCGGGCAATGCGCAATATATGTGGGTAGAATTCGTCCGCCTGGGTCACTGCACTGCCTGCAACGTGAGGAGGCACTAGAGCCATGCGCGGCTCGTACTTGCGAACGCTGTCCTCTGTAGGACCACCTAGACCGTAGTCACGTGGCGAGACATATGGTGGGTTGGAGATAAGAATGTCCCAACTGTTACGGCCATCCTGACCGGACGACAGCTGGTTCTGGAGTCGTGATGCCGTTGCATTGCCTGCTGGCGCCAAGTCGAGGATATCTGCTTGATGAAATCGCACTTCATTTCTGGCTGATGGCGCCAATTGCCCTAGGGATATGTTATGCTCGACATTTTCCTTCGCCAGGGATAAAGCATGCTCCGAGAGGTCGAGACCAAGAACTTGCAGTCTCGTCGACGCCCGGAGCAGATTGTGCAGCAGCAACGAGATGCAACCAGTGCCACTGCACAAATCTAGAATTCGCAAAGCTTCTGAAGCAGCTTCACGGCCCGCGTCGAGCACCCCAAGATCTTTCAGGCATTGAGCAATGCCAATCGTGTACGTTTCCGTCTCAGTGCGTGGTATGAGGACTCGGGGTCTGCACAGTATTTCGAGTTCGCCGAACGGTTGGTCTCCGAGAATATACTGCAATGGTTCGCCTCGTGCTCTCCTCCTTACGAGACATTCGAGTCTCTTACTAGCTCGGGTCGCACTTGGGTCTTGGTCTGCGGATTCCCTCAACCATCTCAGCTCGTTGCGGGCGCCTCCCAACGACCTGCATTGTCGCAGCAGCGCCGCTAGGTGCGGACTATGTTGACTGGCAAGGCGAAAGAGATGAGGTGACAAACGTGGCATCCGTCCGCCATTACAAGACCTCCGACAACGGTGCCGGACAAACGTTGGACCAACGGACAAGGTATAGACGACGCTGTGTTAGCTGCGTTGAGGACGAGTTTGGGTAAAGGAATTTATCCCCTGCAAGGCACATGTCAGTGGACGGCGGCGGTCGCCTCTCAGAAGTCAGAACCTTAGCGACGGAAATCAAAGCCGGCAATGATAAGGTGATTTCTCGCATCAAACTCCCTCTTTCTGCTCCCTACCCCAGCACCCCCAGAAGCTGGAAAAATCAGGTCCAAGCGCACAAGCGCTGACGGCGCTCCACGCTAGACAGAACCTCATCGTCGGTCCAAATTGCCATCGCGCAGCTTTGATGAGCGCTGGCACGCGACACACTGGGAGAACTCCGAGGGTGAACCCTGAATTTATGATAAGGGCACTGATATACTTTTTGAGGCTCGTGTTCGAGTGCGTCGAGTCCCTTGATAGATTCTACTTTTGTGCGCCCAGATCGTTGAGCATCGAATGGAGGGCGCCGCGTGCCGTGCTCCAGCTTGTCCCGAGCTTATAGCTGCAAAGCCTTCGTTCAAGCCTGGGATAAGCTTCTCTCGGCAAGCTTCAACCGATTCCAGTCGCCTCGTCAGTTCACACATCAGAGTTGCTTTTGATCCCGCCTAAGCGTTCAGCAGCCAATGACAGACCATGACAATTCCTATCGAGCAACGCCCATCTGTTATCTTGCATATGTTATCAGTCTCCGAATTCGCCCAGTCAACGCGGCTCGCCGTGATAGATCTATAACTACCGGGTTCTTTTCCCCTCGATGCAAGGGTCAGGCTTGAGCGCAAAACAGGACCTTTGATATATCTTATCCTCAATCGCGGCGAGTCCTTCGTCTGGCTAGCATTCCTTCACAATGGCGACATCCAAGCCTGAGTATGTGGACGTGAAGGACACTTCTTCCGGCGAGGAAAAGTACCCCACCTCGGACGCTCGCGACTACGGCGCTACCGATCACGGCGTGGGCCAGTCTCGCTTCAGAAAGCGGGTGCCCAAGTTCAGTCTTGAAGTCCGCCGAGAGGAAAGCAGTTTCGCCAAATCCAAGAACGCTTCCAACGCCGACTTTGACCCAATTCCTCCATCCAAGCGTACCTGGAAATGGCATTCCTATGTTGCATACTGGATGGCCGATGCCTGGGCGGTCAGCAACTGGGAAGTCGCCTCATCCATTATCGCTGTTGGTCTGGACTGGAAGTACGCCATTGGTGCTTGCGTTCTGGGCAATTTTCTCATGGGTCTCGTCATCACTGTGAACGGTAGAATCGGTGCTATTGTGAGTGTCATCGCCGCTTCGGTGAATACTCAGACTGATGAACTTACAGCTACACACACCTTTTCCGGTGCTCTCTCGCATGCCTTTCGGATACTACTTCTCTTACTTCGTGGTCCTGTCTCGCTGCGTCCTCGCCATCGTCTGGCTCGGTGTGCAGACCACTACTGGTGGCCAATGCATGGAGGTTCTGCTAACGGCAATCTGGCCATCCTTCCCCAACATACACAGTAAGTCGCTCTCCCATGGTCAAACTCGTATCCGGAAACGAGAGTTACTTTGAAGACTGCCCGAGCATCTGGCTCGGGATGACAAAGAAGTTGATCTCGTTCCCTTGCAACCCTACCTTCTAGCATGCGCTCTTTCCCCGAGACAAGGCTGATCAGATTTACAGACACCTTCCCTGAGGACGAGGGTATCACATCAGCTGGAATGGTAGCTTTCCTACTCTACTTCCTGCTCCAGCTTCCATTCCTCTGCATCCCATACACTAAGGTCCAATACTTCTTCGCCTTCAAGTCAGTCATTGCCCCGATTGTCTTCTTGGCTATCTTCGGCGACACTCTGCGCAGAGCTGGCGGCACGATCGCCCACAGTGAGGTGGTCACCCGACCAACCTTGCTCCACGGTTCTGCCCTGGTCTGGGCTTTCTTCTCAAATCTCAATGGTGTCTTGGGCAACTACTCGACACTCGGCCTCAATATTGCCGACTTTTCCAGGTATGCCAACAAGCCCAGCGCGCAGAACGTACAAGCCATCGTCATCCCCATTATCTTCACGATCGTCGGTCTGCTGGGTATCTTCACTGCTGCCTCAAGCGAGACGCCTACGGCGAAGTCCTCTGGAACCCCATTGACATCATCAAACTCTGGATGGCAAGCGGCTCTCATGGTGGACGCGCTGCTGCCGCGTTCGCAGCCATTGGCCTGATCATCGTTACCCTTGGTATCAACATCTCAGCCAATTCCATCTCTGCAGCGAACGATCTCATGGCTTTCTGCCCTCGGTACATTAACATTCGACGAGGTCAGCTCCTCGCCGCTTTCATCGGCAGCTGGGGCTTCGTCCCCTGGAAGATTCTTGCTTCCGCCGCGAAGTTCCTTGCCTTCCTGGGCGGCTACACCATCTTCTTGGGACCCATGACCTCCATCCTGATGACCGACTACTACATAGTCCGACGAGGCAGAGTCTCGGTTCCAGACATGTACGACTTCCACGGCATCTACCGCTACCAGCCCAAGATTGCAAGCAACTGGCGAGCCGTAGCCGCTTTCTTCATCGGCTGCACTCCTCCCCTCCCGGGCTTCGTCAACAACATCGTCGTTGCTGGCGGCAGCACGACGAATATTTCCATTGGCGGCCAGCACTTATTCGCCATTGGTTACATCTACTCATTCTTCGCGGCCGGCGTCTTCTACTGGGGCTTCAACCGCTTCTTCCCGCATCACGAGTCCATCTTGGATCATGCCGTGACAGGGGAAGAGATCATTGCGGCGAATGACCAGAAGAATGTCCAAGAACGCCGTGCTAGTTACTCGGAGCATAAGCCGAGTATCGTGAATAGGTTCTTCACCGTCTAGACGATCTGGAAGGCAGTCATTTCTTCCGGTTGACACTTACGGCCAGGGCCCTGAGCCTTGGGCAGCTGTAAGGATCAGCTCGAAATCTCACTTGCTCAACTTGATAGCCTCTTTCTACGACAGACATAGTGAAAATTGCGAGTCTCATCTGAAGACCTCAAGGTCATCTCCGATAGATATAATCAAAAGAGTTTAAACTTACAAGATGTCTCTGTTGCTCGGGTCACACTTACTTCTACTAGACCTGAGCGCTCTTGCCGCGTTGGCCTCAAGCTCCAAACTTTACATTCGCTTGTGTTCAAGTACATTTACTGCTATGTTCTGTACAGCTTAGACACGCTTGAAGACCTTTATCTCCCTCCCCATCCTCGCCACCAACACAAATACCGAGCTCAATGTTGCGATCCCACCCGCATAGAATATCGCAGGTCTGTAAGCTTCCACTCCACCATCCTCACCACCAGCAGCCTCCAGCAAGTACCCTGCGATCGGAGTGCCCATGAGGTATCCACCCGTCCAGCCCGTGATGCTCAGGCTCATTCCCATCGCATGGCGGCTCGGATCGACCATGGATACAACGACGGTCGGTAGTGTGGTGAAGAAGGCCCCGTTTGAGATGCCGTTCAGAATCGCAAAGACGACGAGCGATGGGAGAGCAGAGGAGACTGGCCAGATGGCTAGCGTGGTGATCGCGTTGAGGGCGACTGCGACGACGAAGGTGTTTAGGGGCCCAAACTTGTCGCAAGCTGGGCCGGCGATGAATCGTCCGATGGCAGTGCAGGCGTTGAAGGAGGCCACGAGCGCTGCGCCGGTGCCGCTGTTGAGTCCGATTGATTTCGCGAAGAGTGGGAGGAAGAATGGTGGGACGAAAAGTGTGAATGTGACCGTTGCGCCCGCTAGGAAGATTGCCGCGAATGGAATATCTTTGAGGAGCGAGAAGTCGAAGATAGGCACATTGGGTAAAGAAGTGCGCTCCTTGATGGCAAGCGCAGCTGGTATGCCGGTGCACAAGACGCCCGCGCCGAGGATGCGGAATGTCCACTCGATGCCAACTTTCTCGATGAGGGAGTTGAGTGCGATGGACAAAAGCGTGGCTCCTATGCCTCCGCTGGCTTTGACTAGGCCGTTGGCGAGTCCGAGGCGTCTGCTGAAGTATTGAGCAGGCATGACGTTTGCTACTGTGAAGCACAGGCAGTCGCCGACTCCAAGGATGACGCCGAAAGTCTGGAAGAGGCCGGCGACATTGCTCGTAGTGAAGCCGGACAGCAAGGCTCCCAGGCCTAGCAGTGCGATGCCGAGCACTGCAGTATATCGAGCGCTGATGAGTCTCATGACATGGACGCCCACAAGTCCGAAGGCAACACAGATCGTGATACCCAGGCTACCAATGAAGGCGGTCGTTGACGGAGGGGTGTCTTTGAGCGACGAGGATAGCAATGCTGCTTGTATGATGCCCCAAGCACCAGTCATGCCGGAGAACCAGAATGTTATGACCGAGGAGGACGCTACGACAATCCAACCGTAGCCGCCGTCTGGAATCACAGTGGTTGCATTCTCGGGCGCTGTGTCGTCTAAAGCAAGTACAGAGGTAGTGTCGTTGTTGCTGTGCCTCGACGAACTATCCCCAATCGATTCGAGAGCTATGCTTGTGTCGTCGCTTCGAGCGCGTTGAGTTTCCAGAATCGTGGCGGTTGTGGTCATGGTGGCAGGCTGTTCGGGCATGAATTGGGCGTTTTCAGCGAGACGGTTGAACCTCAAGATTTCTGGCCAGGGCGGGCGCTGAGGGCTGGAACTGTCTCGGAAATCGAGCCAGGAAGTCTGGGAGGAGCCTCACTTAAGCTTCAAGTCGCAGAATCAATCTATCATCAATTTGCCTACCAGGGAGGTCGCTGTACGAAATTTGATGTGAGGTATGTTAAGGGTAGAGAAAACGCTCATGTCTTGTCCGAACAGCTGGGGTGGCTGCTGTGCTGAAGGTACTGTCGTCGTCGACTTACCGGTGTTCAGAGAGTCTATTTCGTTGAAGCAGCCTGTTGACGCTTTGCTACAGGCGGTGACTCACTCTTTTCGCTGCCGTGGTCATTGAATGCCGTAGTCGTAGGGCGAAATTCGCGCAACGCAGAAGTCCGCCTGCGATGCTGCGATGGAGCTCATTGCTGAGAGCAATGACTGACTTACCGGACTTGCTCCATACTCTTGGAGGCTAGCATTGTACGCTGGAGGTTAGTATGTATAAGACATCGTCGATGCGAGGTTACTAGGGGGCAGGTACGTAGTCGAGCATAGTATGGGTCGCACCTGATTGAGTCGACGCTTGTGGCCCCCGGGCCGGTCCCAACTTGGAAGCTCCTGCATCGGGCTTCGGGACATCACTGGCAGGCACCCCTTCTGCCATCCCTTCCGTGCACCATGCTCACAGGTTGTAAAATGGTTCAAAGCAACTCCTGATAGAAGGATCAATCCATGTTGGCCAGACTGTTCCCGCCCCAGTTCGATCCAGCTTCGGTCACAATTTGATCAGATCCTGTGCTGCACACCCATTCGTGGACATTTGATCCCACATTCTCGAACGAGTTTATCAATTCATTGTCTATGTTGCATTACGAGCGTTGAAGACAGATATAGCGCCCCAAGACCATCGATCCAGGTGAGAAGAAGGCAGATGCTTGTCGTCGCGCTGGGCTACGTGATATCATCAGCAGTGAGCACATCGTGACAGCTTCATGATGGCCACCTGATCTCCTAGTCAACCAACTCACAATTTCATACGTTATATATCACAACTACCGAATTCTCCTCCAACAATCGCAACCAAATAATGGTATCGGATATGTTGTTCACGAGCTGAAAAAACTCTTACGATACAGCATGCGGAAACAATTTTCGCTCGAAGTGGTGTGTGCTGTTAGGAGTTTCTGACCTTGGCATGTACCCTCTCGAATGTACCCTCTCGAGTTCATCTCGAGACCTGGTGTTTGAGACCTGGTGTGTTGGTTAGTTTTTGCTTTTTGGAGGCCTGCGGTCAGTTCAAGAAAGGTGAGTACGCACTGGGCAGTCAAATTATCGAAACAAATTCCTCCCGGTAACCATCGGCATTGCCTGAAGTTCAAGGCAAATAGCTAAGAGCATCAGTCACTGACTGGATGCCAAGCCATACATTCACTTGACACAGTCGCCTCAATCGAAATCCACTCAATCTCACGACAACCTCTTCTACATTTACAAGACACAGAAATTTTAGATGGACCACCACACCAAGAACCATGGATACGACAATGAGCATGGGAGACCGGAAGGCACACTTGGCCGCGCTTAGAGTCGCAAGGATCGCAAAGCGCCGCGAACGGCGCGAGGAGAGACAATTGCTTCACAAGATCTCTTCAATGTCCATCGACCCAGCTCAGCGGATTGACAAGAAGCCTGATGTTCTGCGTCCAAAGAAGAATAAGGCAATGAAGGTCAAAGGCCCCAGCAAGAAGGCGCGGCGCAACGCACGAAAGCGAGAGGCCAAACGTCTCGAACAAGCGGCCGAAGTCACACCCACAATGCCGAAAGCCATGCGAATCGACACCAACGTCAATGAGTCTGCAGGCCAAGGCGCACTCTCACATACTCCAAGTTCTATTCAGCTTCGTCCATTGAGACCTGAAACCCGGGCTGCCTTGCAAGAGTTCCAGGCCTTGAAAAGTGCTCGTAACAAAGCAGCAAGGGCGGCAAAAGCGCTGCGACGCGCTGAGCAGGAGGCCAACTCTGGTCACGGCAATACAGAAGGTGCCACGACTGCTACTGTACCGAGTGAACCGCTCGCAATGAACGCCTTCGACGAAGAAAATCTGTACGAGGCAGCACAGGAGGAGAAGATGTTCGATGAGGCCACGCAGAGTCTGGGCGAGATGAAACTAGGTCGAGTACGTCGCTCGAAGGCAGAAGCGATGTCTCTGCCGGAGGTCAACGAGGACACACAGGCTGTGAGGACGCTGAGATCGGGTCGACTACGACCTTCGTACGAAGAAGTGGCTTCTCAAGCAGAAGGCCATAGGCACAACGGACAGGGACATGGAGGCTGCAAGCCAATGTAGCTGTTTCAACACGGATGACACCACTGTTCAACATTGGATGGCCAGGGTACAGGCAATGTGAAGCTAGGATACAGACACTGGGAAGCTATCAAGCTATTGCCATAAGAAATTACCACTTTGTCATTTCGTCTCTTTCATACTTCAAAGTCATTTTCTACAGCGTCTGGCAGAGATATGGCTGCATAATTGCGATGCGATAATGCTGAAGGCCGGCTCATGATCTGGCATTATTTCCAAATGAAAATCTCCTGGATTGACAGAGCGGGACTTATCGATGTTAAAGAGTTCAAATGTCGAGAAAAGCGACAGTTCTTATGGCAACAGCCTGGCTATGTTTCTGATGCTTGCTACTTCAGGATACAGAAGCCTTCTCAACGGTCTCGATTAGTCGCATCAAGAGCCAAGCAAAGCGCTTGCAAGAATACTATTACCTCCATCATCGCACCCACGAGGCCACTCTTCTTCTGCACCCTTGCTCCTCGAACCCCCTCTTCTCATGTTCCTATAGAACATAACCACCACCCGGATTCACACAATCCCACCCCCTGACCGGCCTCGTATCCTCCAACTTCACGACCCACCACAAAATCTCCTTTGCCTTCTCCACTTCCCCGCCATCCTCATGCGCCCTCGCAAGCGCGAACCACGCCTCACTGTCGTCCCATCCTTCGCCTGACTTTGTGATACTGCTCAGCAGGCCGTACGCGCGGTCTCGTGCGGCGAGCCGGTTCAGGTTCTCCGGCGTTTTCTTGAGGTCTTCGTCTGCGAGCGTGCTGGTTGGGGCGGATGTGGGGCTTGTAGGGGATCTAGTGGCGGGTAGACCGTCTAGTGGTGGTGACGTGCCGTTGATGGCGGCCGTGAGGGACGTTTCGGCGCGGCGGAGGTCGTGACGAGATGAAGGAGCAGCAGTTGGGGGTGTTGTCGGTCTGGTCGTTGTGTCTAGATGTTGAAGGGTGACGCCGAGTTTGCGAAGGGTTGTTTCGTCGTCATCACTGTGCCGGGTGAGGTCGATCTTACGTTCGTAGTAGTCGAGCAGAAGATTGGAGAGGGCAACACCTCCGCGTAAGTGTGTCTCTTTGTACATGAGGCATTGTTCCAACATGTCTACTGCTTCGATGACGGCGGAATTGTGCTCGGCGGTTGAGGGAGCCGGTGCATGATGTGAATTGGCATCTTGCCGTGCGTTCGCGATCGCTAAGAGAAGTTCGCCGCGCTCGCAGTAGACATCGGCCCAGCATTCGTCGCTGCTCTTGCCGCCACTGCCCCAGCCAGGATCGGCGAAGGCAAGTGCGCTGCTCTCGATGGTAGAAGCCACGAGCGTTTCAGTACTGAGGGCGGCCTTGGAGGCTTCGTCGGTCGCTTCTCGGCTGTCTTCGAACATGTTGCACGGCGATAGAGCTGTGCGATCGCCAGCCATATTTTTACAAGCACTATCAATGAGTACTTCTGTGATGCTGCATGTGGAAATCGAGGTATAGGAGCAGTTGCAGATGAGGTTCGGGAGACTGTTGGCAGCCGGGTATCCTGCTCTGGTGGCTGATCGTCGTGATGAACTGGAGGTGGTGCTTCGTCGTGGTTGGCAAGATTATGCTCAATTGGCGGCAAAGGCTGTTTAGGAGTCGTCACGGAGTCTGTAGGCGGCTCTTGTTTTGGCAGAGCATCTGCCGAGTATATCGTCTCGAGGTTCGGACGAGCTGTATCGGTGGTGCCAGTCGAAGAAGGTGGACCTTCATTTCCGGTCCGAAACGATTGCTCAGAACTGGCAACAGTCGACGGTGGAGGGACGGCCTTCCGATCTTTCGAAGATGGTCGTAGCTTGCACGACAAAGAACCGTGGGATTCTGAGGACGCCCGAGCCTGTCGCGAATTCTCACGCGAGTGTCGGAAGAGACGATGCTTGTGAGGAGAAGAGGTCTCGTCTTCGTTAGTCACTTGTATTGTCGGTGCTTGTGTCGTCTGTGTCGCTGGTCGGGAGCTTGACAGCGTAGATGGTGGATGACTGGCGGCTTTCTCGTTGCTAACCTCGGTGGAAATGTTGCGACTTCGTCGGAATATGCTGCCTTTAGATGACTTCATGGTTCCGGTAGCGCTGCCAGGAGCGAGGAGTCCTTTGTCGGCAGACTTGTGCTCAACCACAAATTCGGGCTTACCGAACATGCGGGCATACAGCAGCAATAGGTCATTGCTCCCGTTCACAGCTTCCTCGGGTCCGTTCATAAGGTCTGTCAATGCCGTCTCCGTTAGTCGCACTTCCAATATACGCTGCATCTCGGCACCTTCCATTTCATCGACCAAACCCGGACCTTCTTTCTCGTCTTCTTGACCAGATCTTTGTGCGCCAAGTAGTGCTTGGAATGACGGGAACTGCTCAAAAGCTGCCGAGCAGGCTTGCTGAGCAGTCTCAAAATCTTCTCGTGAAGACAACAATAGCGAGAGCAGGTGCCATAAAGGGAGAAGCTTGCGTTGCGTAGTAAATCCCTGCGCTGAGACCGAGTCTGATGCCAGTGCCTCCTTTATACACTCCGTCGCCCCATCGGTATCCCTCGTTTGTGCCAGCAACAGCGCCAGTGCAAAGCACGACTCTAGTTTCTGCGATGTCGGAAGCGGTTGTTTCGCTGCTAATTTGAGATGCACAATGGCTTTCGCTTGCAAAGCTGACCGGTTCTCGTTAAAAGGCGTCCAACGAGCCCAATGAGCTTTGCCGATGCCCAAAGCCCTGTGTACGAGTTCAACGATCTCTGACTTGAGCTTTTGAGAGTCCGTCTCGTTCTCATGAACTCCATTGATCTCGATATGTGGTCCTTCGGGTGCTACAGCAGAAGGATCTACCTCAGCAAGAAGAGACTCGAGCTTTATACAGAGCGTCTCCGCGCGCTCTGCTTCGCCATAGCGACCGAAGGAGCAAAGACCAAGGACGCCTTGAGACATGATGCATAGGACGACATCGTCCTGGTCCTGATCCTGAACCTCGCCAGACTTCTTAGCACGAGCTCGACCTCTCTCAATCAACTCTAGATAACTGTCAAGAGCGCGATACGCCAGATCGAATTCTGCTAGGGCTTTGTGAGCTTCAAACAATTTCCGCAAAATCAAAGTCGAGTGAAAAGTCTTCGTTGCAGCGCGATAAAGGATGTCAAGAACGTTCCGAGTGACGAGGTTCCTGCCACCGTCGCCAAGATCAGTCTCCGTCCATTCGGCGCCGCAGATGATGTCCCAGTTGTCTGTGACCTGCGTGACCCACCGCTCTACGACTGCGTTTGACTGGGCTGCTGTGGGAAATTGAGTGGCCCGCATCAGCTCGTTCTCATATGCAGCCTCGACCCGGCGGAGTTCCGTAACCAGATCTCGCCGACTCGTAGTGTTGCTGGTTGTAACAGAATCTCGTACGAGATGCGAGATCTGGTCGTAGTAGCTTTGCCAGACGGACATTCTTGATCTGGAAGCTACAGGGTTGCCATATGCCTGAGCGGAACGAGCGGCACTCTTGGTCGAGAGAAGCGCCCAGCTGCGGTAGTCAAGCATTCCAGTTGCGTTAGCATTTGTGCTGCCTCGCTCTACTGCGAGCTCCACCAGAACCTGTTCACTCCAGTACGCCAGTTGTGGACACGCAGCGATGACCGTACCATTCGCCCCCAGCCATGGAAGTATGGATCGAAATGCCTTCTCTGCTTGCTCTGAAAGCTTTTGCTGCCGGAGACTGATGCCTGTGAAGTAAGATGCCTTGACCCGGCAGATATCGGTCCATCTAGAATCGCTAGAAGCGACAGCGACGCTTTCCGTGGTGGTCAGCGATGCGGAATGTACGTCGCTCTTCTCTGACATAGCCAACATCGCCCACAAACAGGCTGCGGCGGCCTGCACAGCCTCTGCTGAGCCATCCTTGCTGTTCTGCGCGACTTGCTGGAGTTGTTTGACCTGTTCTGATAGAGACGAAGTCTTCGAGGCGCGCGCAGATTGATCCCTGGTAGTAAGTAACGTCACGACCGCATGCTCGAGCGCAGCAGTTTCGAGGAGGCGTTTTCGCTGTGGTGCGTGTTTCGTCACCTTACGGATGAGCTCTGGGAGCTCTGACCACTTGGCATTGGTGCGAGCATCGTCCAGGAGCGCGATGTACCGCTGCGCCTTACTCTCATTGCCCTGACCCAATCAGTCTCGGTGGTCAGGAACGAAGCTTTGAACCTACGCTCATGCTTGGGCAACGCAGTTAGCCGGAACGAAGCAATGTCTGCAGGTTCTCACGGATGGCATGGCGCGAAGTCCATGATAGGTATCCACGGCGTGTAGGACTCGCCTCGCCGTCGTCGTATGACCGTCTGATTCACTGATCAGTCCATGAGGTTACCACCCATCAGTGATCGCGAAGCGGGCAGCATGTTCCGCCGCGCAAACCGAAACAAGCTTCCAGGGCACTCCCGCTCCCGCAGGCCCTAACCGGGGCCACTCCGGCACATCAAAAAAAAAAAGTTGATGGCACAGCAGACATCTTCTATTCCAACATCCGGCGTGCAATCTGGCATGGAGCAGCTGAGCTTGCTGCGGTCAGTGGCTCAGCGACTCGTTGTCACACCGATCGAAGAGCTGCCTCGACAGGCTGGCTTTTTGGCCACATCGCTTTCGAGCTGCTCACTACTTGGCGAGGAAGAGCGGAACGGAATTGATTTCTCCGGACCTTTGCACAGAATCCGGACACGTCTTTCAAGTTTATTGCAAGGAAGGAGCTATGCCGAGAGACTCACTGCTGCCGTGGTCATCAAAAGCTACATCGAGACAGTCAGGCCCGTCGAAAGCAATCTGTGGGAGTCCTGGGTTCGGGGGATCATCGCGTGGTTGAACAAGCCCGATCCATGGGAGGGCAAAATTGTTTACTTGACGACAGCGACCAGGATTTTCATCAAATGTCACGGAGTCACCGCTCTTCAGCGCGAAGTTGTGTCACCGTTGCTTCCCGCATTCCTCAATGCCAGTCTTGCGGCGGTCAAGCCAACACACATCCAAACAGAAAGTAAGAGCACGACGGTGACAAGTCGATTACTTGGCGAAGCGCTGAGATCATGGAGCGAGATCGTCCAGCTATTCAGCACAACTTTGCGACCTTTTGTGTCCAGACTCAGGCAAGTATGCCTGTTACTGCTCGGCGAGCATTCGGGCCAAGGGCCTATGTGTGATGCAGCCGTACGCCTGCTCAGTCTGCTACACCTGTGTGCACCAAAGGCAACAGGCGCCACGGAATGGGAACAGAATGTTGCCAATGTCGTACTTGCCATACACCAGAGCCTCGATGTCCTTTTCAGGGGTATTGTGGAGGACTGGACCTCGAGCAGCACGGCACTATCGCAGCGCACTGTCGACGCCAGTCTTTCCGGTACTCTGAAACTTTCAGAAGTCGACGCTGCAGGCCTAAGCCCGTGGTCAGGGTCGTTTGATGGGACTCGACGAGTTCTGGTCCTGCTTAAGTGGCTCACTGGCTCTTTCTCTGCTGCGTGCCCGCCCGTGGGCATGCCATTTGGTGCCATCATCGATCTCACGAGTCGTCTCACATATGTTACCATCCCAACCTCCACTAATCACATCAAGACGAAATCTGAAATCACGAAGGACGAGCGAGACGAACTTTGGACGAGCCTCCCGCATTTACATGCACAATGCTTTGAATTGCTTGAAGCCATGTCCAGCACTTTTGGCGAGGCTCTGCGGCCAATGGATGCCACTATCTGCAGCCAGATCCTTGACGTTTTCGAAGCCGAATACTGGAACAAAGTCGTGTGCGAAAAGTCGTATGCTACCATGGCGCAACTCATAAAATTCAACAAACGTATCATACAGCCAGCTCATGCCTCCACGTTCACTCTCATGCTCAAGACAGCTTGCCGCGATGTGGGTAAGGGGCAGGCCGCGTCGTCCTTGTCCTCGGCAACTTCCATCACTGGACAAGGGCATGGCACCCCTGTGTCAAAGCAATCCCCGGACACACCGCCGACTATCATCGGCGAACTTACTCGAAGCACTCTCGTCGAAGCTGCTTGCGAACTATTACTGGCAGCGTACGAGCTGCCATCAGGGTGTGTGCCCCATGCCGTGAGAACCGAAATGGACCGTACAGCCATTTGGGGCAATCACGAAAGTTTGCTTCTAGCTTCTACCATGTATCCGCCAAATCGGATAGGTGCTACGAGCACATTGCCCAGTCTGCTACCATTCCTTGTACGAAGCCGCGGAGGACACCTCAAGCATGCTACGGAAGCACTGCTGAGACCTCGCATTCCAAGTCTGCAGACTACTAGCCGTGTTGAGCTTCGTGAAGCAGATTACAACGGAAATGATGTAAGTATGGAGGAAGCGGAGTTGGAGACTACCACAACGAACGGATTGGGCCACATCACATCAAGAGATGATCAGTACACACACTACGGCACCGACCCAGCACCATTCAACGAGTCTACAGTGGCCGGCTCCAGCAAGATTTTGGACAGTGAGATCGGCAGCACTGCATCATTGGCGACGAAACGGAAATTCTCACAAACTGAAGTATTAGAGCCAGAACCGTTGGCTGCGCCTGAAGAGGCTGTCAAACGCCTCCGACAGCCTGCGGATGGGGTGCAGATGAAGGCACAGCAGACGAACAGTCCCACAAATGGCCACATAACTAAAGATGTCGAAGTCGAGCCTGCTAAGGTGCCTTTGTATACGGCCTCGGATGCTGTCACGATTCACAGTGCGCCCTTGTCTACTGAAGACGAGACACGGGTCATACCAAACAGTGACGATGAGTCAGACATACCAGAGATCGATGTCGCGGCAGATACGGACGATGAGGATGAGATGGAATAGAGCCTGAGTTCCACATCGGTGAAGAGACTTGGGACTAATGCTAGTCGCTTGTGCACGCATTGCCTGATTGTGGGTCAGGCAAAGCGAGAACACGGGCCACCAAGACCTACGTTTTATGTCCATCATGTTTCTGCTTCCTACCTAGGTACATAACCCTTCTGTCGGCAAGCTTACGACTTGATACTATTGTGTACTGCTCACGTGCCCACGCGATTCTCGCTATTCCGCATTCGCGCAGGTGGAGACTTTATTGTATCGGTGCCAAGGCCGGAGTCCTCCCAACCTTTGGAAACCTCGAACCTCGACCTCGACTTGAGGCGCGACTCACTTGTTCAAATTGATAATCCATCTGCAAGTCATCAGGACTGCTTCGAAATGCCGACAGGCGTCGGACGGCAGCCCAAGCGCAAGCTCAGCGATGTGATCGATCTCACTGCCTTCAGCAGCGATGAAGAATTTCCATCATCATCCTCCAAGAAAGCCAAAACCAACAACAACTCCACCGTGACCACAGGCCCTGGAGGCCACCAATATCTAACACCACCGTCTTCAAGTGCTGTCCGATCTAGTCAGCACGGCTACAATGGTCGTTCAAGTTCATTCAACGTCTATAGCTCTCAGCCATCATACAGCAATCAGCACAGTCAACGCGAGCGCGACTCATGGTTAGGGTCTACGCAGGAGCAGGAGGACGACGTCAGTCGCGAAATTGACCTCACAGCAGACGACGATGATGACGTCTATGAAAACTACCAGCTGTATGGAATTCTCAACACCAAGATAGTCGGTTGCCGCTACTACGACGGACGGGCAACAGTAGGCGAGTACGTCAAGGTTCGTCGAGAGCCTGGGAATACTTATGACCGCAATGCCTTTAGGATCGACAATTGTGTGGGTGACCAAATTGGGCATATCGGCCGCCAGGTCGCCGCAAAGCTTGCAGCTTTGTTCGACAGTAAGGAATTACTCATAGAAGGAGCCCTTACCGGACCAAAGACGGTCTTCGAATGTCCAATCGGTCTCAAGTTGTTCGGTACTAGCGATCCCGTCGCACAGGCAGATCTTAAGCAGAAGATGCAAGACCTCAAACTGCCCGTCAACGAACTCGCGCGCACCGAAAGGGAACGAAAGCAGCAAGAGAAAGATCGGATTGCCCGCGAAAAGGCAGCGAAATCTATGATGAAGGGCGGAGGCCAGGTCGTCGATCATGAAGGTCCGAACAAATACGCCAATATCAGCACGCTGCCGTCAGGATCCCAGCCCGCGCTCACCATGGAAAGTGTCCTGAGCAACACAGCTATGTTCAACCCACGCGACGTTCAGGACGCGGTCAACAAGTTTGTTGCGGGAGAGGCGACCCTCGAGAAGATGACACCTGCCAAGCAACCCTCTGAGATGGCAACTCGGCTTCTGCCTTACCAGCTGCAAGGGCTCCAGTGGATGTTGCAGAAGGAGTCACCCAAACTACCCGAGAAGGATGCTGATGAGCCAGTCCAACTCTGGAAGAGATCTCATGGGCTCTACACGAACATCGCAACCAACTTCTCCCTCACGAAAGCCCCGGCTCTGGCACGCGGCGGCATCCTCGCGGATGACATGGGTTTGGGAAAGACTATCCAGATCATCTCGCTCATCATGGCCGACCCGCACAAAGAAGGACGCCCGACCCTGATTGTTGCGCCATTGTCGGTCATGTCGAACTGGCGCCAACAAGCAGAGCTGCACGTCACCGCAGATCAGCGACCAAGACTTCTGACCTATCATGGTCAGGACAATCGCTGGCTTAGCCCGGCTCAGTTTGCAGAGTATGATATTGTGGTCACTACCTACGCAACCATGAGCCAAGAACTCTTTCCATCTGGAAAAGACAAGGCAGTCAAGACTCCATCGCAGAAAGGCCTGTTCTCGTTGAAGTGGCGTAGGATTGTCCTTGATGAAGGTCACAACATACGCAACCCCAAGACGAAGATGAGCATTGCTGCGTGTACTCTCGATGCCACCTCGAGGTGGACCTTGACAGGAACGCCCATAATTAACACGCTTAAAGACTTGTATGCACAAGTCAAGTTCTTGCACATATCTGGCGGGCTCGATGAGCTTGAAGTATTCAACACTCTCCTCGTTCGTCCTCTAAAGCGCAATGATCCCAATGCTCGAATTCTACTGCAAGCTCTCATGGCGACACTCTGCCTGCGTCGGATGAAGGACTTCAAATTCATCGACCTGAAGCTCCCAGGCATCAATTTCCACCAATACCCGGTCAAGCTGCTGACGCACGAGCAAGAGCGCTACGACGCATTCAAGCACGAAGCCAAGGGTCTTCTGGAAGCGGCAAAGGCCAAGAAGGGCGACAGCAACACTATGACCAACTTGCTGGAGGTATTGCTTCGCTTACGCCAGACTTGCAATCACTGGAAGATGTGCGGCGAAGCCCGGCTCAAGCAAGTCATGGAGCTGGTAGAGGAGAACAAGGCGGTCGATGTCACCAATATTGCCAATCGTAAGGCACTGCAGGATTTGCTTCAAGTCCGCATCGACTCGCAGGAAGAGTGTCCGGTCTGCTATGACACGATGCGCTCTCCGGTGATCACAGCTTGCTCTCATGCGTACTGTCAGCAGTGCATTGAGAGGGTCATAGAAGTACAGCACAAATGTCCTATGTGCCGGGCAGACCTGCCAACGATCGAAAGCCTCGTCGCGCCTGCCGCCAATTTTGGCGAAGCAGACGAAGAGATCGAGATCGACGCTGACAGCACCAGCAGCAAGATCGAAGCCCTCATCAAGGTCCTGAAAGCCGCCCAGAATGAGAATGGGGCCAAGTGTGTAGTATTCAGCCAGTGGACATCGTTCCTGGACCTGGTGCAGACGCAGCTGATCAAACACGATCTGCGCTTCTGTCGACTGGATGGCAAGCTGAGCACCACGCAGCGGATACTGCACTCGAGATGCTCAACACAGACAACTCCTGTCGCATCATGCTGGCATCCCTGTCCGTTTGCTCTGTTGGCCTGAATCTCGTTGCGGCCAACACCGTCGTATTGTGCGATTCCTGGTGGGCTCCTGTAAGTGAATCCTTACTCCTGGTCCAAAGCGCCTCCACTCGAAGAGATGCTAACAGATCTTCCCCAGGCCATTGAGGATCAAGCCGTCGACCGCGTCCATCGCCTCGGTCAGCAGCGTCCTTGCAAATGCATTCGTCTGGTCGCCGAAGACACTATCGAGCAGGAAGTCATCGAGATCCAGACGAAGAAGAGAAAGCTCGCATCTATGGCGTTCGGAGAAAAGGATGGACAGAGGAGTCGAAAGGAGCAGAGAGCGAATACGCTGAATGATATCGCGAGGCTGTTGGCTTAGATGAAATGAGAAAGAGTGTACAAACATGTATATTACTGAGACGGGATGCACCAAGAAAGAGTGGAGGCAAGATACCCATGGGATTGTAATTCGAAAGCGAGTGTGGCAGGCTTTGTGCCAATGTCCAACATATTTGTTGCCGAATTTCTCCTTGCTCGTTGGAAGAGAACGGCTCGCTCGACTGCGACTGTATTGCTGTGCCTTGCCAGGACTGTCGAGCACCCCGTGGCAGACATATCAAGTATATTTAGGGTCTTTGAGTTCTCCGGTTGACATGAAGACTGACACTAAACGGTGAATGGTTTCAGACACACTGATCTTGTGCAACGTTCGTACGCCAGCATTGCCCAGCGTTTCACGAACGCAGTTGTTGGCAGATTGTCAGGACCTTCAGCAGCGAAGTCAACTTTGACAACTTCACACAGCATATTGCCCGTAAGTATCGATAACAGTGGTCAGTGCTCAAGCACGGCTGCGATCCCTAGTACGGGCGCTTCCGTGGGTGATGCTCGGTTAAAGAAGCTGCTTGATACGAGCACGACTCCGCCTGGGATGGGGCACCTACGCCACCCATCGAGCTCATTCTAACGATTAAATTTCACGTGGGATGGATAAACAATGCGTTTATGCTGCAGGAGCTCATTTCCTCTACACGAAATTTTGACGGGAGCTGTCATCGCGTTCTTCACTGCAACACTGCAGCAGTGACGACCCGGTCGCGCTCCTTCACTCTTTTAGACTGATCTACTCGAGCAGCAGCTCACCGACTAGGGCTCAGACCGCCCGCATGATCGTCGTGATACAGCGTCACATGCTTTGGTGGGGATAGCCCTCAAGCTCCAATTGGCATCTCGCACTGCAGCTCGGCCACCTGCATACGCCATCGTGCAGCTCCAGACGAACCTCGAAACAGCAACGACCGCCTTGGTCGTGCGGGGAGGCCTCGAAAGGTATCGAGCGCAGCACAAGACCGCCGCAGATACTGCTATCGATACAACACACGAGCAGATTGCCAGTGTCGGGACGTCGTTGAGTAGACCGGCAGCCGGTCTTCAGGTGGCCAGCATGGCACCCATCGGAGATGCTGTGTTTGCAACGGTGAGGACCGGATATGCACGATCAACATGATATCGCTTGCTAATGATGGGTGGCAGCTCTTGATGAACGATGCATACCTCCCAGGTATACCCTCCAAACAGACGATGTATGCGAAGAACAAGACTGAATAATCCTAGGGGCCATGGTGCTGGGACACTCGCTGCGAGACAGAGGAGCGAGAGCAAAGCTCGCGGTACTGGTGACAACGGACAGAGTCTCGTCTGAGACGATATCGGAGTTGAAGGTAAGATATGGCGTGTACAGGTGTCGTTGATACTGACATCACGTAGACCTCTACGACGATATCATTCCAGTGAAGGCGATCGCCAACAAGCAGCCTGCGAACCTGTACGTAATGGGCCGACCAGAACTAATTTCGACATTTACAAAAATCGAGCTGTGGCGGCAGACCCAGTATCGAAGGATAGTCTACCTCGATGCGGATATGGTGATGCTGCGAGCGCCTCAGGAGCTACTTCATGTGCAGACGCCATTTGCGGCGGCACCCGACATTGGCTGGCCCGATTGCTTCAACAGCGGTGTCATGGTCCTGAATCCAAACATGGGAGACTACTATGCCTTACTTGCTCTGGCCCAACGAGGGATCAGCTTCGATGGAGCCGATCAGGGCCTGCTGAACATGCACTTCAGAGATTGGGAGCGCATCAGCTTTGCGTACAATTGCACACCGAGTGGGAACTATCAGTATGTACCAGCATATCGACATTTTCAGAGCAGCATATCAGGCGTTCATTTCATTGGCAAGGACAAACCATGGACGTTAGGTCGAGAGAATCATCACAACCACGGCGTATATGGCGAGCTGCTGGGCCGCTGGTGGGCAGTATACGATGCTCACTATCGGAATCAAAATTCTGCTTATTTTTCGGGCCAGTCAACCAAGCCCTCAAGAAAGGTCCAGGACTATGTCCATGGCGAGGAGACTCGTTATGAGCCAGGCTATTCCAGTGTACAATCACAATCGGCGACAGGTCAGCAGTCAACACCGTCTATTGTCCTTCATCGCCCTTCAGATGGTGAGCCGCCTGCCATGGAGACTCCAATGGGCGATGCTCCAAGTCCAGCCGAAAGAACCGCCGATGCAGATTTCACACCAACGCCAACCGTGCAACAACGAAAGTTTTCCGCTCCCGAAGTTGACTGGCACCCTGCGAGGTCTGTACTTCATACCTTCATTCCATCCGTCACTAACGAGACTCAGAGAGCCACCGCCGACGCAATCGAAGCCAGAGGCCTCCAACTTTCCTTCTCAGATCTATGACTTCAATAGTGACACAAAGCTATGGCAACCGCCCACCTCCTATCCGGAGGCACCCAAGGACATGTGGTACCAGTTGCCCCCAAAACCAAAACCGGCCGAAGTGACCAAACCCAAACCAATCTTTCCATGGGAAGGCAAGGCGCCAAAGCCAACTCGAGTATTTGCAGAAGCAAAAGCGCCAAGTCCTCCGCCCGAGCCTGAGATTGAGGAGGAGTCGCCAATCGAAACCGAAACGGCACAATCGACGGCAACCTCAGAGACCCTCGAGCCAGAGCATGCGGAGACGCCGTCGATGACTTCGCCTGATCCATGGGCTGGCTTCCAGTCCCGTTCGAATGCTTGGGATGACATCCCCGAGATCGAGGCATATATGCAAGCCCTGCATGGACCACGGAAAGCGAAGATTCAGGTCTTGCACAACTCCTCCGGATCACGCTCGCCCGGCCGTAGAGCGAACCTGAAACTGACAGACTTTCCCACAGCAATTGAAAGGCCAAGCTTACCAGTGACCCCCGCACCTGTGCGCAGGTCTTCCTTCTTCGGCGAGGAACGGGACGAGGACAGCAATCTTCCACAGGCTGAAGGGGTCCCCAAGCAAGATGAATGGGTACGTCGCTTCTCTTCCTATCCTGTCCCTGACTTTTCCACTGTCGGCACTGCCCATGATACCTCATTGCTCTCGCGCAACAAGGAAAATATTCTGGTGTTGAGATGCCAATATTGCGGAAAACAGAACCCCATTGCCAAACTCGAGGAACTCCAGCGCAAGCAGTCAGAAGTTCTGGCGGAGCATCTCAGCTGATCAGTGAGGCCGCGGCGCACGTCCCACTGAGACAAAACCCGGAGAGCCATTCCGCTGACGATGTTGTGCGAAAAGAGGAAATGGCAAGCAGCCCAACAGTGAAGATGCCGAAACCTATATTGAAGGAACCAAAGTTTGGAATGCCGGTGAGATCAGTTGACGACACAGAGCCGCTGCTGTCGCCAACTGCGACGAGGAAACTGAACCAGAGCGAGGGAATCTTGGGAAAGACGTCCGTGCAAGAGATCGAGTCAGCAGGCGAGCAGGAAGCATCAAAGACTGCACCTGTAGCGGCCGCTACAGTATAACACGATGAATCAGGGAACCCCCTTTAACCATTGGACGATACGATAACGAGGAAGTACGACGATTTCTACCAGAAGGACGCCCAAGGTGACTTCGGACTCTTATGTTTCACTTGAGATGCATATTGGCAGCTAGCGCAGGGCACAGAGTTCGCCATGCGACTGATGTGGCACCTGATCTTGATTGAGCGTCCTTATCGCATTGAGCGAATGGCATTGCTTGCGACATTGTGTGCATAGTTAGCGATTTGGTCTCAAATACTAGGTGCCTTAATCAACTTAACAGTAACATCAGGCTTGGACTGCTCTCGGGCGACAGAGTGACTATTCTCGGGCGACAAGAAAGGCCGACGTCTTCGCCTGCATACGGCCAACGACGAGTCAATGGGCCACAAGCCTCGTTTTGCTTTGAAATACAGATAACGAGAATGTAGACTGCACCTAGTAACTGGGATAACAATGATTCGTTGAACAGCTGACTAATCGGCCGCCTTGAAGGACAGAGCATTTGTAGTTGTCATCGTCTTGATGAGCACCTGCAGACAGATCTAGCAACAAGGTGTTGGGGGAGCTCTGTGGTGATGACCATGGATGCATGAACGCAATTTTGCCCTCAAGCTCGCTTCCCTGGGTCATCCTTCACGATGCTCGGGTACGAGTACATCTTCCCAACGCCGGCAGAGTATGAAGTCGTTCGCCAACAGCTCGAAACGGCAGGCTTCACTGCTTGGCTTATGCCGATTCTACTCCTCATAAACGTATATGTGTACCGTTCTCTGAAGGCAACCTTTGCCTCTATAAGCATTTCCATCTCACCCAAGAAAGGACCATCATCTTCACGCCTCCAAATCCTCGCCCGCCGCATACACTGGAATCTAACGCAACCTCTCAATCAAACTCTCGGACCACCGTCACGCCTCCTGGCAGCTTTTGCCTATCTGTTCTACCTCGTCTACATCGCCCAGGCAGACACAGGGAAAAGCTACCTTCACCTCACCAAATCGCTGGGCCATGTTGCCGTGTCCCAGCTGCCATGGCACTATCTGCTCGCAATCAAGTCACCTAATTCGCCGATCACCATCGCCACTGGTTTGACGCATGAGCGACTCAATGCGTGGCATCGCATACTGGGAAGAATCATTGCGGTCCTGGCTTTCGGGCATGCGGCGTTGTATCTGAAGTTCTTCGTTGACATGGGCGTGTTGAAGAAGCGATTGGGGGATTGGGAGCCTAGGTTGGGGCTGGCGGCTGTGGTGACGATGGCGGGGCTTGTGGTGGGAAGTTTAGCGGTTGTGAGGCGAAAGAGCTACTACAGGGGTTTCTATGTTGGGCATGTGCTGATGAGTGCGGCTCTGGTGGTGGAATTGTGGTTGCATATGAGATGGACGAGGAGGTATGTAGCGCAGATGGGAGCTTGGTGGGTCGTCAATGCGGTTCTAAGGGCTAGACAAGTAAAGGCCGTGGAGGCAAGTGTGATTGAGGAGGCCTCAGATGCGGACGGACTGATCGTGCTGAAGTTGGGCTCAAAAGATGCCGTGATTGATACATGGATACCAGGACAGCACGTCTACATCCGTCTCGCCGACGGCGTCATCGGCTCTACCGTCGGCCGCAAGAACCCCTTCACAATCGCCGACGTCTCCAAAGATGCCACACAGCTGACGCTGGTCGCCCGGAAACTGGCCGGCACAACGGCCATGCTCAAGAACTGCCACAACAAGGCTATCTTGCTGGAAGGCCCATACGGAGAAGCAGCAGAGTACATGCCCTCACTCATCAAAGCAGGCAAATCAGCCGGGCTGATCACCCTCTACGCCGCCGGCGTCGGAGCTACGTACATCCTGCCCATCTACCTCGCCCTTCTCAAAGCCCGCGGCGACACGGTCGATCTGAGAATGAAGTGGTTCGTAAAGACACCGGCCGATGCAGTCTGGGGCGTCGATCTACTGCGACGAGCTGAGAAGAGGGTGTTTGTGAGTCTGTTTCTCACGCGTGCGCAATCAGGCTGGCGCGGAAAGTACAAATTTGATGTGCCCGGTTTGGTGGTGCACGATGAGAGGGAGGAGAGGGGAAGCGTGCGGAGAATATCGAGCATGCAGCGGAGTGATAAGGAGGTCACGGTGATGGTCTGTGGGCCGCCTGGGTTTTCGGCGCAGCTGAGGGCGGAGATTGGGAGGTACGTCAAGTTTGGTACGCGAGTGGTGTGGTATGAGGAAGAGTTTGGTTTTGGTGGATGACTCGAGCCGCCCTAGGACGACGCATATGGTGCCACTGAGTGAAGAATGCCGATACTGGCGACAGACGTGGGGATCGAGAGTCGTGGCATGGCTGTGACGTTCCATCCGGCCAGAACACATCGGCGCTTCACGGTCAACAGACGCCGATTGACCACCAACGGAATCATACGGGTGTTATATAAATGCCACCTTGAGTCGCGCGCCAGACAGCACCTGCCTCAAGACCAAAGCCTCCTACACTGACTTGTCACTACGCAACCCATCTATCGTGTAATGTCGGCTTCAGAGACGACCACGAATTGTCCTCTACCCATATCAACTATGTCGCCATCCGTCACAGTCACTGCAGAGGTGCTCGGGCCTGGCCTCAAGAAACACTCAAACTCTGGTCGCTACCCTACGGACACGAACCGAACAAGTATCCGTCCATGCCTGACAGCTCCAGCCGGATCTGGAAACGCCGAAGCGACGCCCCATGGACCGCCGACCGGAGAGCCTGGGCCTACCATCACCGGTACGACGGCGCTGCATGGCGAACCTGAAGCAACGCCTCATGGACCGCCAACTTGTCCTACATACCCGACAAGCATCCGCCCACGTCTAACAGTCTCTGCTAGGTCTGGAATTCACCAAGCAACGCCTCATGGACCGCCGACTGGTAAGCCGGGACCGACTACCTATGTTACGACAGTATCTCCTGAGGCCACCGTGAACTCTCTTTACGAGCGTCGCGATCTCCGGCTAGTGAGCTCACGCGGACCGCCCCAAGGAGATCCCACCACGCCCGAGCCACCGCAGGAGACTGCCCAGGACACGATCCCACCGATTCCGAGAACCGATGTGACTGGTACGACAGGCGTCGATCCCACCCAAACCAATCTCCCAACAAACAAACGCTCTTCTCTGCCAAGTGAGAGAGTGAAATCGCCGTTCGAGGTTCAAGTTACTCCCATCACGGATCGACCGCCTTACACAGATGATGGCACGACCATCTATCGCTCGACCTCATCCTACACTCACGTCGAGAACCGAGTTGATGGAACGCTGGTGGTGCCAGAGCTCCCAACTTCCACCACTCCTACTCGAAGACCGAGGCCCACTGTTGTAGCAATTGGCGATGCGGACAACGCGACGTGCGCCATCAATGCCATTGCGACTCCATTATCGTTCTTCCTTGAGGGCATCACGCCCGAGGAGCTCGCCCGCGGGCCTATCACGACCTGTGATACAAGCCTCTAGTCTTGGCCGCTGTCTCCACTGCTACTTCTGCCACAAGCGGTGTGGTCTCCGCGACGCCAGCCGTGCTCTCGCATCTAGTCAATCACGTCCATCGCAGCACAGTCGGACCACCTGCTGCGCCAAAAGGTCGAGTCACGCCGGAGGACTTACAAGCCCATTCTTCCAGTCTTGTTTCGGGCACCACAGCCGCAACACTTATGGCCCTGGCTCTGGTTGTTCCTGTAGGCGCCCGCGTCAGCTCCTTCAAGCATTTCATGCTCGCAGTGCTTTCCACTGTCACTGCTGTGGCTCTTCCAGCCGTGGCAGCCCAGCATGCAGATGCAGCGACCGGATCTCCCGTCTCGCACATGACTTGCGTCGTGCCCGAAGACAAGAATGCCCCGGGTTGTTCCGCCGCGGTCGCCTCCAGTACCATAGCTGCAACACTCATGGCAGTGGTTCTGCTATGCCATACTGCCATCCGCATCACTTCCTTCGAGCATTTCATGCTTGGGATGAGCTTCGTTATCATTGCTATTGTTCTTCGACCCGTGGCTGCTCAAGCCACGAATGCAACCAATGGCACAGACTGGGATGGCTGGGAGAGCTGGAAGCTCGACCATTCTCATTGGTGGGGCATCCCGGTAATTCTCCTTGGATCATTCGCTATCTTTGGGCTCTTCGCCTGGTGCCTTACCTGGTCGGGAAGTACCTCGCAAGGAGAGACGACGAGGAACGTGCGAGAAAGATGGAGGGCAAGCGGAACGAGATGAATGCTGAATCGGGCACTTCGAGCTCTTCGAGCACTCGGACTGCTGAGCAGGATGTTACCTTGGCGAAGGAGCTGCTGTGAACGAGTTCACAGAATGAAACCGAGCAAAGAACTGATGATCCGCTGTAGCTGGTCTGAACGAGCTCCTGCCTTGCCATACGTTGAGTTTATGCATGCTACTTCTTGAAACAGAGCATACCGGTGCAGCCACGATGGCTGAAGAGCGCAGAGCAAGTCCAATCTCTCTTTCTTGCTTTCATAACTTGCACAGTCCGGGTCGACCTCATCTACCCTAAATTCAGCCTCCAGACGCTCAATCACCACTACACAGATTAGGCCGTCAGCCAGGGTATGCACGACCTACTCTGAGTTAGAGCCCTTCGTACTCTTGTACGCTCCGGATGCCTAAATTATCGTATTTTCCCGTGATGCTGATCCCATCGACATATGGCAAAGAGCGAGCCTGACGGAACGAGGTCCAGGATGATGTTGCGTTATACGGCATGCAACATGCAAGGTCCCGTTCAGACTGACAGTAAGTACCCACTCGAGTGTCGTGCTGACAAGGGTCGCCGGTAGCATTTACGCGTATATCTGCCATGTTCGTTGAACATACGACTCTCAAAAATGTCCGAGTCACGGTCTATAGCGTGCTTCTAGCAAGACACGCGGGATTGACGCTTCCAGGCCATCTCTTCAGGCATACCTTCTGAAGGCCGTCCCATTGTAGGCACCGTCCCAGTCCCGTCCTTCGTGTCAGTTGTCCCGGTCTGTCTTCTCTATTAGCTTGTCGGCGATATGGGCAGCATTTCTGCCGAAAGCCTCAACGAGGCCTCAACAGCCCCTACACCACATGATGGAGTCGCCAAACCAGCCAGTTTCGACGACCGAATCCTCGTCGTCGGCGCAGGCATCGGTGGTCTCAGCGCTGCAATAGCTCTGAGCCGTGCAGGCTTTAAGTCAGTGACAGTCCTCGAAGCAAGGGACGATCTCAACGAATTCGGCGCAAGCATCGGAATCTGGCCATTCGCAGCCAAAGTGCTCCAATCGTACGGACTCGAGGCGCTTATGAGCGAGTACGTCACGACAAGCGATATGACAGAGATTCGAAATGGCTACAACAACGAGAGTCTCGGGTATCTGGCTCAGAATGTTGCTGATGTGAATCGCATTCGATATGGTGCGCCATCATGGTAGAGGGGGCCCTAAGCATACGTGTTCAGTGCTGACGAACGGTAGGGGAATCCATCGCGTCGACTATCAACGAGTGCTAGCCGAAGGTGCACGTCGACAAGGCTGCGATATCATCTTCAATCAAAAGGTTACGAGGGTGAATGACGATCCACTTACAGTCTGGTGCAGGCATGGTGGCGAGAAGAACGCGCCCGACACACCCTACCGCGCGGACCTAGTCGTTGCTGCAGATGGTTTGAATTCAGCGGTGCGGAGCAGCGTTGTCTCTGATGCCAAGTTCAATCCTAGTCCTGAGATCTCGTTCAGGTGCAGCGTCCCCAAAGACCGAATGAGGGATCACCCACTTCTCAGCCCATTACTAGAGAACGACAATCCCAAGTTCTGGGTGATGGAAGGAAAGTACGTACTCACTTGGCCGTTGCCGCCGCAGCGCGACTTTGACGTCGTCGTCAACATATCAGATCCGAGTGCTGCAATGCCTCCCGAAGACGGCTCATGGGGTACCAGAGTTGACAAGGAGACAATGATCAGCCAGTTGGGTGAAATGAGTCCGCTTATACGTGCACTACTCGACTCGGTCAGCCAGGTGGTCCAGTGGCGCACCGTTGAGGTCCTTCCGATAAAAACCTGCCGCTCGCCTTCTGGTCGGATCGTTCTGCTGGGCGACGCTTTCCACGGCATGTTTCCGCACAACGCCTGTGGTGGGTCCTCAGCAATAGAAGATGGCGCCGTCCTAGCTGAGTGTGCGGCTTGGGCTGCTCGGAGCAACAGATCGCATCTGGATGCAACGCAGGCCTACGAAGATCTGAGGACACCGCGCGTCAGGCGAATGCAAGAACGCTCACGCGCTGGAGTAGGATTTCTGAGTGCTGCGGGAGATGCCTGGGAGCGGAGGAATGGTGCATTGGCCGCGCAGAGGATTGCGAATGACATCGATATAAGGAGAACTGTAGAGGAGAGGCGAGCAGACAGGCCCAAGCCGGATATGGATGCGCCATGGCCTAGCACTGAATATTTGCAGTGGTTGAATGGTTATGATGCCGTGCTGGAGACAAGACGTTACCTCGCGGGAGTGGCGTGATCCCTCGTCCAGGAAGTCATGGCGCTTCTGCGTCCATAGGCATCCGAGGATTCCAAGATCAGAGTGGCGGAAAATATCACGTCGTTGTTAGTGGACGCCACTGGCGGCTGTTCGTTGCCCTTGATCCGTCGACGCTGAGGCGGGAGTATTGCGATTGTGTTTTAAACACTGTCGTGGCCTTCAGGGCACGAGATGAGACCAGCGTAAGGCGCGGTTAGAACATTAGGTGCTGATCAGAAAGCCATCGATCGAGACCACGTGAAGTTCTTACTCTTCACTCAAGGCTTAAGCCCCTAGTGTGCAAAGCTGGCACTTGCCCTCGCCAAAAATGATGTGCCAAGCCAGAGCTTTCTTCACTCATGCGCTTCCTGTTCCGTTTCCCGTAAGCGTTTTTGACCGCCACGAAGCTTCTGATGACCTTGAACAAGCCAAAAAGCAAAAGAGAATACTGTCCAGAGCGAGATTCGAACTCGCGGCCTTCGGATTGCTTTCAAGTGAACTTGGAAGTCATATATTCCACGATTTGTGGGAAGGATATGAGACTTTTTGTTGTTAGAATGGATTGTAGATCAGGATCGAAGATAGGCTTACCCGACGTGATAACCGCTATATCGTAAGTTAGAGGGATGTTGCGGACACAAGTTAGGGGCTACTGACACTACACCATCCAGACGGGATCAGATCTAAGATCTGAGCTCTTGTGACAGATTTTTGAGCCATTTTTGATAATTATTAGTATATATACGTCACGATTTTAGTGGCCCGGAAAGCGAGACGTATACGGCAGGCGGGGCCCTCACCAGCCCCACGGAAGCACATATTATTATTCGGAAGGAGTGAATTCGCAAAGCTGCTTTTCATTCTCTTCCATCCGTCCACGTCTCAAGATCGGATACTCGACACCTGTCGCTCGCGCTCGCGGAGATCAAGTCGAGCAAGAAGTGCAAGCCAGACGTTCGTACACAATTTCGCGCACAACGAGGGCACGATCAACGCTCTCGATGCCGGCAGCGCCAGGAGTGTACCTATGTAGTGCAGGTAAGCAATCTACGGCGTCTGCTTGTCAGAGAGACACTACTGCAGTGCATCCTCGACAAACTGTCGTGCGGATATCAGGATGCTTATGATCTATGGACCATCAGCTCACAGCGTTGCTCAACCGGACCCTTTCGCTGCACAATGTATGCTCAGAGCGTCCGAGCAGATGGAGCTCAATGCAGGTTAATCCTGTGGTCGGTCAGCTGTTGAGCCATGAAACCAGCATAGGTACCGATCCTGGTCAGAGAGCCACTTCCCTACCCAAACGCATCGAAACGATCTCGTTTGTTGCTCTGACGTACATCGACTGACACAGCGCGAAACGCCGATACCAGACGAGCTCAACAAAGGAGCCTGCTGACACGTCTTGCTGGTTGGGCGATTGACGATGTCCCTGCTCAGGTTAAAGGCAGGGATGTAGACCTTTTTGTGACCATGGCACCATACTCCGTGCTCCGACTACGACCACATGACCGTCTGAAATAAATCTGAACACATTCTTCGTGTACAGAACGAGAACGAAGACCACAGCCTTCAAGCTTCCCATTCTGAAGTACACAGGCGAGTTGTCCCGCCACACCCTCGCCCACGCTCTCACCTCTATCAGCTGCCCGAAGGTATGGGTTCTCGGCTACTCGAAGGTATGGGTCCTCGACAGGCTCCTCTAGCTGCCTTGGCCTCGCCTCTGTCGGAAAGACCGAGCACTCTCAATCCCTTCTCGTTCGCCCTGTTCGACGAACATGCCCCGGAAGCCACAACTCGTCCAACCCAGCAGGCCCATCTGAACCTCCACCAGCCTCGCGACCTGGACCCCTCAATATTCATAAGCCCGACGGCAATCATAGTCTACGTCGCGACCATCATCTTTACGAGCATTCTGGCAGCGGCACTCTTCTGCTGCTTGAAGCGATGCAGACGAAAGCGTTCGAGCCGCAAACAACAGGGAGCAATCCTCACAGGCGATGGAGCACCCGGAAGGTTTCCTCAGGAGTGGGCACCGCCGCCGACTCATGGGGTATGGACTGGGAAGAAGGGAAAGAAGGGAGCTGGGCCGGTTGATTGGGGTACTTTGGACCACTGGCATGCACGGTGTTGATACGCTTTGAAGGTGGGATAGCCTGTCCTAATGGTGGCCATTGATGGTATGAACTGTCCGGGCAGGTTTCTTGTGTGTCAGGATGAATTTGTCAACACGAACAGGTTAAGCGGTACCTAGGTCAAGTGCGAAAGGGTCGAGTCTCTGTCATCTTTAATCAATATCCGTGCCTGTGATAGTCGGCTTCATTGCTCCAACTTAGCCAGCGCGCCTCACATTTCGCCGTAATTGCCTCGTATGGAACATTGTATGGGGGAATGGAAAGCTCATGCAACGCGTTCGAACCTGAGCTGGCACCAGTCCCAGACCGACAGCTGAGGGTTTGTTGTTGTTAGTGACCTATTCATTTCCGTCTGGCTGCCTTCAATGGCAGGGGGTATCAGTGTATATTGGTAACTTTGCGTGGCAGTCCTTCCCAGCCTTGATGTCGAAGATAGCCCACAAATCGTAGACTACCATGAGTCGTTATTCATTCCAGGCTACCGTACGGCATGTCTCAAATTGCCAGCGACTGCCCGTAAGCTTCTCCGGCTCCCTTCTACACCACGCTGAACTCTCGAAGCTTGATCTCGGTGGCTCATTTCTTCACCATCTGGGTCGCGCCTTCATATACGTGTGCAGCATGCTGAGTCATAGGCTTACCAGTCAACATGTTGTTTTTCTCAATAGCATACATCCCCACGACCTTGGCGATTGCAGCTCTCGACTGTGGCTCCAGGGGCGTCCAGTGACCACTTCTGGGCAACAGTATGACTTCTGAGTCCTTTGGCAGCAAGCCATCGAGGCCATCAAGACAAAGCTGCCTACCTAATGCAACGTCCTTCTCGCCCCAAATCACTGTAGTTGGCGCGTGGAGCATACCTCTGACCTGTGGTGTAAAGAGAGCTGACGACGTGGAAGAAGACGATCGACGTCTGGCGGGCGAGCTTGACTCTGAGGCAGCGGAATCGATAGCATGAAGATCGGCAATAAGTTCCAGTGACTTATGCCACGGTTTCGAGGCTGGTCCGTCACGGTAATAGCTTGTCATGCTCAAGAAATGAGTTCCAGGTGACTTTGCCCGCTGCACCACGGTTGGGCCATAGACTTTAGCATTGGCTCCATTAACGCCATTCGACGATGTGGCCTCGCATTCTGCGACACTCGGACCGAGTATGGTGGCCAGGCCCTCGGGCTTGAACAGACTCGGCTTCTTCTCACGCAGCTGAATCGCGTTGACGCCACGAATGAATGCCTATTTCGAGGGTATTGTCAGCCTGGACTACGGGATCGTGGGAGCAAGAGAAGTCAGGGGAAGAAGAGTTGAGATGTAAGGGCAGGCCATCATCAGGAGCCGTCGATAGGAAGTCGGATTGACTGTGGCGATCAAGGAGAGGCGTACCATGTTACCGCCAGTGCCGAGGTATTTCACCATGAATGCCGGCAGATTGAAGGCGAAGATGTAACCCGACATCAGCAACTGTCGCAGCACTGGCGACACAGTCTTGATGGACTTTGTCAGACATCCAAAATTGGTCCAGGGAGCTTGTCGGAACTGCTTGAAGATTTTCCTGGAGCTTTCAAAGATTTGGGTACCATTCGCTCGCATGAGATCCGAGGAGGGGCCATTCACAATGATGAAGCGATCCGCCAATACTGCAGCATCTGCAGCAAGTCTATTGGCAAGCACGCCGCCCCAATCATGTGCAACAACGTATGTGTTCTGTGTGCGGTCATCTTTCAAGAACATCTCTCTCATGGCGACGATGAATTCAGCCAGAGCCTCGAGGACCATAGTATCAGACTTCGGCAGGCTATCGCTTCCACCGTAGCCTGGCAGGTCGACTGCCACGTATGTTGCTTCTTCTATCGGTATGGAGGGCTCTTGCAGCAGGTGGTTCCACATGGCGTATGACTGTGGTGCGCATTAGTACTGCATTATCTTGGGACCAGGACAGCCTTGAAAGTTGGGCAGTGTAGGTAGCAAGGACTATTCTGTCGGCGCCAGAGATATGTGTGTACGGCAGGGCGATTGGCTCTCCACAAGCTTCTTACTCACATCAGGGAATCCATGAATCAGGATGACAAGGTTGCCCGACTGAGTACGAGGTTCTTGGTTGGCGACATAATGAAGTTGGAGGTCGAGATCTTTGAGAGGACCGTTATGAAGGCGGTAGAAGTGGTGGAAGAAGCCTGGCAACGGAGACTTGGTTAAGTTCCAGAGTCGATCTCTTGCTACATCTCAATCAGTCGCAGCGTCCTAGGGAAATGGTTGTACAGCACGTACCGATAGCAAGCTCATTGGTTTCCTTTTCTGACGGCTTCCTGAAGAATGATCCACTTCGTATGGACAAGACGAACAACAAGACGTATGTCCACAGTGCGAGAGCAGAGGCGCCCAAGCCCAATAGGACTCTCATAGCTTGGCTGGGAGCCATTGCAGCAGGAGGGTGTGATACGCGGCGGTTTGGAAGAAATAAGAATCTGGCAAAGCAATCACGTATGACCTCAGATGACACGCTGAACAGCAGAGAAGGATGGAGGTAATGTCTTCGTGGGCAGACAGCGCTTTCACACTGACTCGCAACTTGATGTGCTTGTCGTTTTTCAGTACGGGCGAGCAGTGCGGTGGGCGCCTGCCTCGGCTTCCGCTAATACATTGAGAACGGGCCTGCAAGGAGACTGAGCAGCAGAAGTAATCATCCAGCAGTCACGAGGCCGCGTGGAAGGTTTCACAGATCATCTACCAACGTTGGCCGCATGAGGGATGATTGACATCAGAAAATGAGAAGATCAGCCGCAGGCAGTCGCGGTGTTGATGCAAGAGGTCAAAGCGCAACGGGCAGCTGCGGGGAGCGGAAAGTGCCATCGCTGGTTGATGGATGCCAAGGGTTTCATCATAACTCAACCTTGACCTCCTGGAGGCCTCTCACGATATTAATTAGTAAGGGATGATCAGAATCACGAAAATGATGTGAGGATGACTGTTGAACATGCAGTGATTATTGAACATATATTCCGCCTACCTGCGATTATGCGTAGCCTTGCATCTGACGGCGCTTTCTCCAGCGCAGGAAAAGCAAGATGCATACTAGGACAATCAGGACGATAATAGCAATCAAGCTGTACTTGAAGACAGGCGATGCCCAGAGGTAGGCAAAGCTGTTCTTGTCGTCGGTGGTGCGACGGATGAGCTCTGCGACCGCAACGCCAGCGCTGCGAGGGCCGTTCCTACCGGGCGCTGTGCCGTTCAACTTGCGGTGAGTGTGGGTGGCGTTGACGCCGCCGAAGCGGTGGTGTGCAGTTGCGATAGGCATTGTGTTTGTGTGTCTGTTGACCTGGTTGAATCTGTGTTGTCGAAGTGAGGTTAATAAAGCTTGTGACAATCTATCAAAAGGAGCCTCTCGCAAGACCTGACACAACAGTTATACGATTCTTACTACTGGTCTATGCAGGCATGCCAGACAAAGAGAGTCGTTATACCTTTCATGTCTTCCTGTTGGCTAATTTCGATGTCTCTTGATCGGTTATTCTCGTACGAAGGCTTACTGTTCATTGGCGGACCGTGCGCCACGGAAGGCTTTGTCGAGCCCTTTCGAGACAATGCTGCTATTCGTGTTGGCCCGAGCGTTCGCCTTGTTGCCTTGTGGACAGGTCAACATTGACACTGAGAGAGCAGCGAGCATACTCTGCTGTCGGACGCTGAATAACGTTCAGGGCTCAGGCGGACTTCGGGTGGTCCGCAAATGTTGTCTCTCCCCTAGTAATGGTCGAACGACCTGGGTCATCTTCAGTCACGGGGCTTAAACCAGTCGCTGAAGACTGCGAGAATGGGGTTTCGTTCCTGGACCGCTTCAGACATCTCGATGCTGACCGATCAAGACGCCGAATCGGAAACAAGTTGTATGAGACGCCGAAAGCCGTGCATACGGAGCGTTGGAGTTACCAGAGAGTGGTATCACGAGCCATAGCGCACATTCTGCAGCCATGCAATACAACACCAGCCCTCCGCTGCTTTTTATCCCTGTACAGAGCCTACCTGCCTGGCGGTCTCTATCAGTACTTAGGTACTGATTTTGGTGCACGCTGGCAGTGTCAGTGCTCAGTATGTAGATTCTTGTAGCATCACGCAACGCTATCATAACGACACAGCTCGACAAGGTGTCATCTCTGAGCGGGGCCGACTTCTCGCTGGCTTGTAACAACCTACCACGATGTTAAGGAAGGTGTACAGCAACAGTTCTCGTCCCCAGCAAATCGACCGAAGGGGCAGGCAGATGTGGCTCGGACCCCAAATTTCGGCACCTAATTCGAGCCAAGCTTCCAAGTTCCTGCCCTCTACTAAGTACTCAAACATCCTCATCAATTCTCCGGCCCATCGACCATTTTTCACGGCCTATTGCGCGTGCCGATGAGTGCTCCAGAGCCTGGCCTACGCCACGCGATCAACACGACTGTCGAAACTGCAACATCACTGGTAGAAGGTAGCGTTATCGGAATCGACCTAGACTACACAGCTTAGGCTCAGCGCTAGAGCAGTCATGCAGATTCGAAGATTGCCTATCACCCGCGAATGGTCGATCACAACTTTCACAACCCATGGCGGCAGCTTGACTCTCTTGCCGGCCAACATGCATTGTTCGCGACCCCGTCCTTGCATTTGAGAGGCTCTACCCCATGAGCTTGGCCACGCTTGACCTTCCTAGCGGTGAGCCGTGTCACGTCGTTAACGCAACATGGTAGCAAGTACCTGCATCTCGACTCTCGAAATCTTATGACCCTTGTATCTGGCCTGTTGCACTGGACTCCTTGTCCCCGGCATATGGTCTTGGTAAGAAGGAAGACGTGGGGTGTTTGAAGCTGTCGTACCATATCTTCACGGCTTCTGTGCAACTCTTGCGTCTCTGACCATCCTGTCTGCTCTTTGCTGATGATCCTTATCTGTCTTACCCATCGTCAACAATCTGTGAAGTCACTGACCCAGAATGGACGAGACAAAGACGGAGAAGGCAGGCTTTGAGCCGCCAACAGTCTCACGCGATGCCGAAGATGTCTTCAGAACACCCGGAAGCGGTCACGACAAGGAGAATGATATCAGCGACATGAAGCGGCTAGGAAAGGCTCAGGAATGGAATCGCAACTTTTCATACATCTCAACACTTGGCTTCATCTCGGTCTACATGGCGACCTGGGAGATCCTGATACTTGTGTTGAGCTCTGGTCTGTACGCTGGAGGCTTCGCAGGTCTCTTGTGGAGCTTCTTCGGCACGTGTATCCTATATGCACCTGTGGTATTGTCGTTGGCGGAAATGGAAAGTATGGCACCTACTAGTGGTGGGCAATACCATTGGGTAAGCGAGTTCGCTCCTGCAAACTGCCAGAAGATCTTAAGCTACGCTTCCGGTAAGCTTTCCTCTTCAGCAAAGTGAGCAACGACTAATGTCATTGAGGCTGGATGTCAACCTTGGCATGGCTCGCCAGTCAAACATCCGGACCATTCTTGACCATGACCATAATCCAGGTCATAATAAATGTCGAACGGCCAGACTACACTTTTACGGACTGGCAGTATACACTTGCTTGCATAGCCTTTATCGCTTCCACGATATTCTTCAACACATGGGCAGCTCGCGCGCTACCACTGCTTGAGGCTGGAGCATTCTGGGTCCATATTCTCGGCTTCGTTGTTGTCATTATCCCTCTGTGGGTGCTAGCACCAAAGAACTCCGCCAAAGATGTGTTCACTCAGTTCGTTAATGAGAGTGGCTACTCAAGCGTTGGCACAGCGGTAAGTCGTCCTCGTTGTGTGCTTACAAGGAGCATTCCGCTCATTCATCCAGGTCCTGCTCAATCAAGTCAACTCGCTTTACTGTATTCTTGGATCCGACACAGCGGTTCACATCTCGGAAGAGGTTGAAGATGCTGGGCTGGTCGTGCCGCGCTGCATGTGGTGGAGTTATGTCGTCAACTTCATCATTGCTCTTGTCACCTGCATTACCATGCTGTTCTGCTTTGGTCCTCTAGACGACGCCATCAATGCCGACGTTCCATACCTCCAGCTCTTCCTCAACATGAACAACGCGGGTGTGGCCATCTTCCTGCTGGTGATCCTGTTGATCCTGATCTACATCGGAAACATCACACTGCTCGCCACTGTCAGTCGAGAGACATGGGCGTTCGCTCGCGATAAAGGATTCCCGTTCAGCAATTGGATCAGCAAGATGGATCGCAAGCATTCTATCCCCTTCAACAGCGTTTACCTCACATCAGCACTTTCGGCACTGCTTTGCCTCATCAATCTTGGATCGTCGTTGGCTTTCACCATCATTGTTTCGCTGTCCTTGCTGGCCCTGTTGTCGACTTACACGATTTCAATCGGTTGCATCCTGCTCAAGCGGATACGCGGTCAACCTCTAGCCCCGGCGCGCTGGAGTCTTGGGAGATGGGGCCTATTCGTCAATGCTTGGAGCTTCATCTATTGCTGCTGGGCAATGGTGTGGTGTGCAATGCCAACCGGTCTGCCTGTGACGCCAGCGGACGCAAACTGGGGCCCGGCGCTGTGGGCTGGCGTATGCCTTCTTGCTACTGTCATATACGTTTTCCATGGGAGGAAGCATTACACGCCACCAGTCATATTCGTGGAGGGCAGGAGATTAGATGACACAATGGTTCAGAGTACGGCCAAGTAGGAAGCACGGACTCAGCGGGCTGGGCGAGGAGTACTGTTAGATGAATAAGTAGGTTTAAGTAATGGTCACAAACGCACTCGCGAGCAGATGGCTTGATCAGGTGGAGTTCACTTGAGGTTCAGTTGCCTGGACTTCCTTCCACGTTTAATCGACCAGCCAACGACGCCTGTGCTACTTACCAGGTGATGGTGAAGCTTCACGACAGATGCTTTCCGCTGCGACAGACATTGTATCTACCAAAACATGTGAGCATCTTCGAACTGACCGCCAGCGCACCCTTCGCTGCGAAGCAGTGCGTCACGCCAGAACAAAGGCACGAATACTCTTCGCTAAAGCGCTTGTCAGCTCCAAGCGTCAAACTCAGCAAACGCACAAACACGAGACGACCATTCGATCGGTAAACGTCTCGTCCACAGCAGAACTGGCATCACTCACACTGCCCTACCCAACCTATCGAACTCGGTGCCACGGTCGAACGACTCATAGCAAAGGCCACGACGGACTCGCCGCCAGTATCCGACACAGCCTCGCAGTTCTTCATACCAACTACATTCAACTTCAGCGACGACGGCAACAGCACTACCACCAGCAAATCACATCTCAACGAACAGATCTTCATGGTTGTAGCCGGTTACCTTCTCGGCAGTCTGACTGGCCTTGTCGTCTGGCGACTCGTTACAAAGCCCTTGCTTGCTTCGCTTGGATGGCGCAGGGTTCAGCCGTGGCGGACATGGGATGGATAATCGTGGGAACTGTCTGGAAGAATCATAAGAGCATGGGCGATCAGCTTGATAGGTGGAAGGTATCGGGCACAAGTTGCTGATGGGCAATTCGATGCGGTGTTGTGATCCTCGAGCATAACTTGAAACTGCGTGCCAGCTTTATGGCTTGGTCTAGAAGGAGTCCTGCCAGTTTGGAAGCCACACTCCAGCAGAAGTCTCCGCGCACATCATGCTACGATCCCAGTAGGCAAAAATGCTCTGTACCTTCTCTGGGAGCTCACATAATGAAAGATGACCACAAGAAAAATGTCACCAAAGCTCGCGAGCCTCGCAGAATGCACGATGGCGCCATCGCCTGAACGCGTATATGCAGGTCAACTTTATGCACCAATCTGCGAAACCTTCCGCGTGGCTTCGGCAAATGACTAAGCACTCATCGCGGTCTGTAAGTCTGTACACAGAACGCTAGCCTACGCTGCTAGCACTCTGTTGGAAAATGCCGGCTTCAGCGCGACAAGTGACAAGTGATTCGAGATGTATACGCGCTTGAGATGTAGTAAAGCCAAGCCGCCATAACTTGTTACCATGTTGCTACTTTTTCAAGTACCTGGGATACCGTTCAGACCATCTTCAACTTGATACGCCTCATGATTTAGACACATAGTGCCCAGCGATTCAGCCCGCCCTATCCCAGGCCGACGACGCTCATCTGCATCCTTCCCAGCAGATTCAGGATCCAACCCAGACAGCAACAATGGCCACGCCCAAACTCCGCGCCGTCCTCTTCGATTTTATGGGAACGTGTCTTGACTGGCATACTGGGGCCCTTAGCATCCTTCCCAGCACGATACCTGACAAGGAGCGCTCGACGTTGGCTCTTGAATGGCGCCAAACATACTTCGACATCAACACCGCCCGCCTCGCCGCCAATCTCCCAGTCCAGGACATCGACATCACACTCGCCGACGCCCTCCGCAAGACCCTCGACGAGCAATTTCCCCAGTACAAACCGGCATTCCAGCACAATGACGCGGTGGAGCGGTGCGTCCAACAATGGCACTCCATGCCCGCCTGGCCCGATGTCGCACCCGCAATCTCCGCCCTCAAGGACGAAGGTTACGAAATCTTCGTCTTCGCGAACGGCACGACCCGCCTGCAGCTGCACCTATGCAAATCAAGTGGCCTGCGTTTCGATATGCTGTTCAGCAGCCAGCTGCTGGGCTCGTTGAAGCCTGGAAGAGAGGCGTATGAGCGGGTTCTGGAATTGACTGGGTTGCGGGCGGAAGAGTGCGTGCAGGTAGCGGCGCATATCGAAGACTTGAGGGGGGCGAAGAAGGTTGGGATGAAGACTGTGTATATTGAGAGGTGGACGGATGACGTGAGGGTTGATAAGAGGTGCGTGAAAGCGAGTGGGGAGGTAGATGTGTGGCTTGATGGGGGTATGGGTGGTTTGGTGGAGGCTGTGAAGAGTTTGGACACTGATGTAGTGTGATGTGAGAGGCCGTGTACTGTAACAAACCCCTGAGTGAGTCGCCTCGTCGTTCCTGTGTTACTTGTCCTCATAGATCTGCAACTGCTCTTTTGTTTGTGGCAGCTCATTCTCAGCTCCTGGCTGAGGTAACAACTCCCCGGGCTCTGGCGCACCCGTGCCAGCATGCTTCTTCTGCTTCTTCGAAGCATGCTCAGCGAACTGATTCTCGACTTCGATAGATATGGACTCTTCCCATCCCGACGGTCTCTCTCCTCTTCTGTCAGCTCTGTCAGAGCCTCTCGCTTGCGCTTGAGACTTCGTTCGTGAACTTTGGCTAGGTTCTGGAAACGCAGCTTCCTCCGCCGCTCGACTTCCTTATCTTGCTTGGCGATCAATGCCATTCGCCTCGCAGCCTCAGTCCGCTGCTTCACCTTGATCTGGATCTCTTCGCGTGTGAGCTTTGCGGACTTTGAGGGTGCGGAGGGTGCAGTGACTGGCTTGACGCTACCAGAATTTGGATTCGGGGTTGAAAGGACCTGGTTCTCGACAGGCACGTCCTTCTCACTTGCATAAGCGGAGTCTGCTTTCGACGCTGCGAAATCTCTCACCCTGACAACTGGCAGAGGATCTTTACTGGAAGAATCAGCTGAGTCGGATGTCGGGTCTTTGTACATGGCATGCTGAAAGTTTGCTTTTACCGCAGCAAAAGCAAGGTCTGCTGCCTCCACGTCTCGCATGAGATCATCTAGAGAATCGGCAGAGTCGGACATGGAGTCCTCATAAATGGCATCCTGAAACCATTTTTCCTTCTCTGCTGGCGTGTTGCCTGCGTGAGAGACAACGCCATCTGTTCCGGGTTCAGGCACAGATGGAACTGGCACTGGGAGTGGTTTGTCGGCAAATCTACCGGTAGAGGAGTAGCGCTTGAATGCTTGCGCCAGCTGAATCTGACGACGCGGACTGACTGCTCGGTGACGTTGTCCATCGGCATTCCCTTCGATGTGCGTTATTGTGTCGGAGATGAACCGATGCATGACCTTTGCATCCATCGAGGAGGCATGGTGGTGAATGAGCTCGGACAGCAACTGTTCTTCCGCTGTCTTGGGCACGGGAATTCCTTTCGTAGTGGTGTCTGACACTGACAGGTTGAGCGCATGATCCAGTGGCGGCCTCGGTGGTTGCTTGCCAGACTTGATAGCCTCCAGTGCATCCTTGAGGCGCAGCACTTCTTGCATGTGAGCATCTGACGTTGCAATACGGTCCTGAACCTGAGTTGCGATGCCATGTGTCAGGTTGTCGAGCATAGTACCGACCACCCTGATTTTTCTCGGGGGACTGGCATTCCCGACTTTGCCAGAGCTCTGCAGTGTGCCATTCAGCTGCTCCTGCTGCAGATTACGAATCATCTTGTGGGTGGCATCCAGGAATTTTTGCGGGTAGTCAGATCCCCGGGCCTTCCCATTGCTACCCTGCAGCTCGAAAATGTACTTGTGGGCGAGATTAAGACATTCCTGGGTGTGCTCGTTTGACTCTGCGGTCTTCTCAAGGTTGCGGCGTATACTTTCCAGCTCGTTGGATGTGTCGAGCTTGGTTTGCATATCTGCGGCAAGCTTGTGCTGGAGTGATCTGTATTGCTCCTCAAGCGAAGCATGACGCTCGTTCGCCGTAGCGAGGTCGGTCCTCAGCATCGCTACGTCGGCGGTGAGTAGGTTATTCTGCTCGCGTAAGGTACCGACTTCGTCGTGTGCGCCTGCTCTGGCCTTTGACGCAGTGCGCGAATCTTTCTGACCGTCCACATTCTCATGGAACGTATCCGCATTGTCTAGCTGTATGCGACTTGTGAGCTGTGCTTTCAATTCACTGGTCTCATCGAGCAGCTGCTTGATGGTCTGGCCCTGTCGTTCGTTCTGCTCGACCAGCTTCCAAACCTCAGCGTGGCGTAGTTTAGCATTTTCTTTCTTCAACGCCGCGATCTCGGCATCCTTTTCCGCGCTCTTGCTCTTCATTATCACGACCTTCGAGGCGATGGCGTCGTCTGATGACTGCTCTGTATTGGTCGGCACCGGAGAAGGTCAAAGTTGATGGTCCACGCGACGATGGTTGACACGATGATGATCAACGCGAATGAGGGTGGACGCGATGTTGTTGGGGAATGACCTGTATACCTAGGTAGATATAGCAGATGAGCTCAATTTTCAAGTTATGAGCAGAAAAGGCCTGGGCATAGCCTGCCTTTGTCACTTGTCTCACCGCATCACGCAGCCCAGCCCCTTTGTTTCACTCAGTCACGCATAAGTGAATAGTTGAGGGGACAGGCCTAGGCCTCCATGTAAGTTGCGGAGAGATATCTCAGAGAACTGATGTTTTAACGGAGTCGCATGGGTCTGGTGCCTAGGAGAGCCCAACACAGTATAGCAATCCAAGTGGCTTGTTTGTCAATCATCATCTATCTTTCCAAAATCGCCGAGCAGAACATCGTCTGGCGCCGGACCACGGGTCGTTCTGACCCACTCTGTTTCGACCCGGAAGAAAATCCACATCCAGCGTCGCCACACCTCAAGGAACTCCATGAGGAATATGCCGCCCTCCAGATCATTGAAGTGGTCCAGATGAGGCGATAGCTTGAAACTCCAAGTACAACGCAAACAGAAATCTATGCCGATGGCCCAATAATACATCTTGTTTGAAAGGAAGTAGCGGTGTCGTCGAAGTCCATAAGGGTATTCCGGATCATTACGTTCGCGTGAGGACGAGAACAAGCTCAGGTCCCAATCCTTAGCGACGTCCCAGTAGAACGAATAGAACGAGTTGATGAAGACAGCAGCCAGCCTGGCAGAGTCAGCAGTATGCCATGGCGTTTAGCGCAGTCCGCTTACCATAATCTGAAAAGGCTTGCCTCGGTCATGTAAAAGGTCTTAGGGTCGTATCCACGTTGCAAAGCGCTCAGGAAGATCACAGGGAACGCCGTTGAGTACTTGAGAGCATTGGCAAGATGCTGCCCGCCCCATCCGGATCCCGCTGAAGGGTTGCGACGAACTCGTGAATACTCGATCAGACACTGACGCAGTCGAATTATGCTCGGTATACTGATTATGATGGGCACGATATAGGCGCCTCCGCAGCCTCGATTGGGCTTCGCCGTGCTGACGGTCTTCCAGGACAGCATCATACATGTCGAGACGAACCAATCCCCGAGGACTTTTGCGTAACTCGTGAGCGCATCTGCGAGCAGAATATCGCCGAATTTCCCATCTTGTGCCTCAGCGATTCTGCCGATGCTTATGCGCTTCAGAGTCTCCACGAATCGTGATCGACCTGATCGAGAGAGGCGATGCAAAGGAATGGCAATGCTCCCTACGAGGAAGATTAGGTAAAGCTGCGGTATCCACTGACAGCCCAAGACTTTGGCTCGACTGCCGTGGGTAATGATCCAGAAGAGCAGAAGAGACGCAGCTAATGGGACGGTGACGAAGGTCGCCAAACGATACGTCGAGTGGTGGTGCGACGTGTGGTGCTGAGTAGGACGTTGCGGGTAACGAATGAGCGCCGGAACATCCTAAGCAAGTCAGTTGATCAGATCCAACGCAGCCATCTGACCACATACAATCCTGAGTAGGTAGAGATAGTGCAGATTCAGACCCCAGGCCCATACTCCTGTTGCTCGTCAGCGATCCTTGTGCCTCGTGAAAGACAGGCATCCTACCCAGCACCAGAATGATGGCAACCCGGAAAGGGAGAGGCAGCACGAGACTGAATGAGTCGACCTCCGACTCAACGCCAGGGTCACCGTCCATCGTCGGAGTAGTATGAGCTCAGCATGCTCTAGAGCGAGTGCGTCGACCCAGCGGAGAAGCAGGTTTCTAAAATCGTCGTCGTCTGGTAGGACTGAGGTCGTTGGGACAGGCCACATCATTCTAAGACCCATCGGCGGTCGCCAACCTTGAGACTACGGTGGCTCGCACAACCTCCGGCTTCACTGACCAATGCGCCTCGGCTCGCCGTTGTTCCAGCATTGCACTTTCGTAATTGCCAATCACCTCTCAACAACGACACGCTCTTATATCTTCAGGATCATCCGACATTGAGATAAGTAAGCGCGCTTACCGAGATGGACAAACCATGAGCGAGCCTGGACCAGAGCCGCGATCAGCGGCGCCCGCTGTCGCAGCGAGAGCGAGCATGAATTACCCATTTGCTACCTCTCCAGACATTCTGCGCGTTCACCAGAAGGATGCATATATCTCTGCGCAGCTGTCATCAGAAGCATCGAACATCCTCAGACTTCTCCTCGGTGCCCGCTTCGCGCACAAGTATGCCGGTGCAACATCCTCGTTATCGGAGTTGATGTACCTTTGCCTGACGACGCTGCTCGGAAATCGTACTCTCGGGGAGGAATACTGCGACGTGATACAGGTCTCGTCAGCAACGACCTCGCTGAGCCTTCCGAACCTGCTACAGCGCCTCTCATATATAATGTCCGTCACATTGACTCCCTGGGCATTAGCACATACGCTGCCTGCTCTCCGAAGACGGCTTCGGGCGAAACTAGAACACAGCACAGCAAGACAAAGAGCGCGATTAAAGCCAACAGAGCCGGCTTCTCGCGGACTTCGACTACAAGAATACGTCCTGAAACATCTGGACACATTGACCTCGCTTTCGCCCATCTACGCTGTCTCACTCATTGCATTCTACTTCACCGGTAGCTATTATCACATCTCGAAACGCCTGACATCGCTTCGGTACATCTTTACCAAGAGACTGGGTCCGCATGAGCAGCGCGAGGGATATGAGGTGCTCGGCGTTCTGCTCGTGCTACAGATCCTGGTGCAGTCCGTGCTGCATGTGCGGGAAACGATCTTCGCATTTCGTGCTGTCGAGCCCGGAGCCACTGCGCCAACTGCGGCCATCGTCGGACCAGGCATCGAGCTGCCAGTCTCAGTGACAGGGTCTGACCCAACTGCAGTGCCTGCGCCGAAGGTCCTTCCACCGGGTCTATCTTCGAACACCAACACTCCAATTCTCACCGAGCCAAGGTACGAGCTGACGAATTCTTCAACCCTGGCTTTCATTGGCGCTTCTGCGGACTCGCCGTCCGAGAAGGAACAGCAGAGAAAGTGTACATTATGCCTGGAAGCATACAAGGACCCTAGCGTGACGACTTGTGGGCATGTGTTCTGCTGGGAATGTGTAATGGATTGGGTCAGGGAAAAACCGGAGTGCCCGCTATGCCGACAGAGCATCTTGCCGCAGAAGGTGCTGCCGCTACGAGGCTAGTGGGAGATGCTGTATAAATCAGTCTATACACCCAAGCCTCCCGTCGTGATGCCAACCTTATGCTATATACAAACTGATCTGGAAAAGACCCTCTTGCCCCGTCGATGACATACGTTATCATGTCCAGATGGTAGATCTGAATGCTCATGCAGTGATCGAGACATCATGATGTACTAGCTGGGCCACGAAGACTCAGACAGAACCCAAAAGATTTAGTGCACTGTACAGGCTTCTACTCCGTACCGGGCTGCCCACGTGTGCGGAGAACTTGCAGCTACATGAGTGAAGGCAGGTGCGAACGGGTCTCAATTCGCCGAGGTCTACGCCTAGACATCGCCCGTTCATTCCCCGCATGATTGTGTTTTATAGATATTGTTGTTTCTCAAACTTGCGTTCAAAATCGACCACAGATTTGCAAGTTGTCTACGCATTCATGGTCTAATGGTTAGGATGTAAGCCTCGAAATGCTCTCTGCCATCGAATATAACTAACAGGAAGCAGTGTTGCCTTCCAAGCAATAGGTTCGGGTTCGATTCCCGATGAATGCATCATCGTTTTTGCTTTTTGAACATGCGAAGCACATTCTAATAGCTCCGCGGGGTCTGTCTAATCTGGAAACTAAATGTTGGACAACGGCTACGAAGACGAAGCAATAATGCGACAGTCAAGGCTCAGCCACGAAAGAGGCTTGAACGCTGCCCAGATCAGTACCAAAGTGCCGAGCTGAGCTGCGTGGTTGCCATTTTCTTAACCACTCAAAAGCATAAAGTATCCGACCTGAGCCACGGCTATGCGTGTAGACTTATCACTCAAACACCTTTTTCCTGGCTGATGAATCCCGAAGTACTAATTGAGAGATCGCCATTACTACCTGCTATTCTGAGCTGACCAAAACAGTAATTCTTTAGGTAGGTGTGCCTAGTTAGCTCATCATCAACCTTCTGGTCAGACTTCAAGCTGAGATGAGAAAAATACGGGCACATCGAGCGCCTTCTCGCATTTGGCTCTGGTTGGACAGTCGCTGAGTTTCAAGGGATCTTTTCATAGGATGCCTTGCAGAGATCCACGTGGAAACTGGCCGTTTCTGGTGTTTACGCTTCTACACGAGAGTCTGACTGGGCATTCACCGAAAGCAGGGTAACACTATCAGAACTCTCGTCACTGGACTAGGCCTAACGAACAAATGCATGTGTAGGTAAGCTTGCTTCTGCGATTAAGGAGCACTTCTATAAGATGCTTGATTGCGTGCAACATCGCTTCAGTTCTGTCTCACTCGACAGGATCGACCGTTGTACGAACACCACCAACATCACATCACTGCCGTAATACAAGAACAATCTGCCAGGCTATCCAATCCCTGCCTTCGCCCAAGCTCACACCCACCAGTGCTACCCTTCCACAAGACACAAGACCACAACCATGGGCTTCTTCTCACGATCGCGGTCATCACGCACCGATGTCGACCGTCAAACCGTCGCCAACACAGCAGCCAACACACCCGAGCCTCCCGCATACAGTCCACCAGCATCAATGCTCAAGACGAAGTCTCGCGTTTCAACGACCTCCAGCACATCCTCATCCCGGCCGTCTATGAAGTCTCGCAGATCAAGCAAGATGTCCGACGGAACAACGTCAGATATTACCAGCCTCATTGACAGCCGCAATCCGCACAAACGTGAGAAGCCCAACAGGCACAACTCTCACGATCAACATCTGATTGACTGCTGGAAGCAGGCGAATGGCCACCATTACTCCACTGGGCAAGACAGCACCAGCCCTCCAGTATTCTGGAGTTGGAGCTGACTAGAGGAACGGGAGACGAGGGCGTGGCATGCATATGTGATGGGATGAGATCGGCATCCCGTAGTTGCGATCTTCGGATTTGTGAAGACGGAACGGGTTGCTGGCGGCTTGTGTGGCTCACGGCGGATGGTCGCCGCGTGTGCCCGAAATGCCGTATTGATGCTGTTTTCTAGGCAGCGTGAGTCACCAGCGTGATCGGGTCATGCTTTCGCACATTAGAGGTTCTGGTCCAAAATGCAATTTACTAGAGCTTACGAAAGAACGATTCAAACTAGACGAAATCAATGGCGATTGGCGATTCTATTACCCCTACCTCCAGTACTCCAAAGCTGCCACTCTTGTTCGCTTCAACAGTACACGACCTCGAGGCGATTTTGACCACGGATAGCCGCGCTCAAATCCATAAGATGCGAATCTAGACGCCTGGAGCCCAGTGTATCTAGACTTTGCCTCCACCATACGAAGGATCTGACTCATCCAAGATCCAGGATGTTCTCTTGCCCTTGCGAATGGCTTGACATCCAAAAGAGTGCTGACATGATCTGCGAAGTCTGATGCTTAGCCTGGGACGCCTTGGCGTCCCTGACGGCAGCGCTGCTGCACTGGGCACGGCGAGAGAATACGCCTCTGGTTGTGACATGTGAGGCATGCATCACTGCACTACTCAGAGGGTGAGCAGTTGCTCGAGAAGTCCGACTTCGATTCCCTTTTCACGTTGACTACAAGACGGGATACTTACTGTTCTATCGAGCCTCACATGCCGGGACTCAATCCGAACCACTATGTGTGATCGCTTGTGCTCGCTTTCAGTGAGTCAGTATCGATCAGCTCGCTGTTTTGGGCGATGTCCTTTCGTTTGGGAATCGATCCGACGCCACCGCACAAATACTCCGTAACCATATCCCTCGAGCCACCGCGGGAAGAGGACTGCGCAACTGTTGTGGCTGGCCATCCCCGATGCGGCAGGCGAATAATGGATGAGAAGGGCAGGACTCGGTAGGGAGAGTGAGCTGCCTGCTAGATGTTCCTCGGAACATTGAGGTCAGCTGGTAGCGAAGCCGATCCGCCAGCTGTCGAACTTTTTTCGAGCAACAAGGTCAATCGACATGCGCCGATCCGCTCCGCTGTCTCTTGGCCGTCTCGATCCCTCGGTGCAGGCTCCGCCGAGCTGGGGCGAACCTACTCGAAGCTGAGGTACTTGTCGCAAACCTGCTCATGGCCGGGGACTTGGCGATATTGTGTTTACCTGTATTAAATGGCCAGTCTGTCGCCACCAGCTTCCAGGTAGCACAAACACATCTGTTCAAAACCGACCAAGGACGCCTCTCTCGCGCACGCATCGCACGGATCTGGGATCGGGACAAGATGGGCCACCTACTGGTTGCCATGACTGCATTACTTCTCACAGTGGCAGACGCGCGCGACATTCCGGTCCAGACAGTGAACAGTGCCAGCCCTAGTATCGCACAAGCTACTCCAGCGACTACCGCAGGCCCTGATCACGGCCTAGCCCTGCTTGACGAGACGACGAGTACGAGAGAAACACTTGTGGCTTTATTTCCGGGAATGCAAGTGCGTACCATTTTCCGCCCGCAGCAGCAAGGAACTGACCAGCCTTGCAGGCGACCCATTGACGTGTGGCCCCGAGAGGAAATTCTGCGGTGTGGAACCATCAAAGGGAGCTTTTGGCTGCTGCAAACACTCACACAGGCACATATTGACTGGGTGCATGAGGCACACCAAATGCATGAATTCCTTCGATTTTGTGTATTCTTGCGACGAAAAGTGCCGGGCTGATGAGAAGATGGGGTATTGGTAAGTTGCAATGTCTCAGACTCTGATAGTTTGGCCGCAGCTAATGTTCGGGTCAGCACTTCTGATGGCATCCATTACTGTAAGAAGTTCACGCATAAGTCATACTCAGCGTGGGCCTGCGACTCGATCACGGGAGTGACTGTGACTGTTCTCCCGGACCCAACGTTAGCGATTTCAGACCCATCGTCAGCGATACTAGTAACAAACGCTTGATCTCGTGGGCGCCGTTGACGACTTCTGCCCCAGGAGAATGATGTCGCCGCAGAAACTCGCGCAGACACGTTTGAAGTCAACAGTCATGCATGGAGCCCGTCCGCCAGCCGAGGGTCTCCGTGTCGGTCGATATCGAAAGCCATTCGTTACCACTCTGTCGTTGGCTGCCAGTGAACATCTCAGCGAGGTAGACTGGTGGCGTACTGTTCCGATACACTTCGCGGAATTTAGAGGACTGGATCAGCGTCGGTCTCAGCGGCTCCGGTGTCCACGCAGGTATCTGCTGGGAGGTATCGCGATGGAGTTGATGCAGAGATCAAGCTTGGGCTGATTTGTGTCTCGGTTGACTTTTGCAAGGGCTTCCGGCGAAGATATTCGGTATCTGTCATCGTCCAACAAAAAGTTGATATTTCCACGATACCAGTGGATCGATGGGAGGCCATATACAACAATCTCATATGATGACCTTGGAGTGCCCAGGTGGTCTTCATCTGCAGGCTTGGCACCGTACTGTTGCGTCATCCGGCTTACCGTGTATAGCTCCTTTGCAGCTCGACTTCATGTTATCGACAATTTCCTCTGGGTCCCAACCTGCTCTCATCGATGTTGTAGACCATCACCTACGCGACAGGATGTGCTATGAAGCCTTCTGGTGTACCATGTGCGACAAACAAGACTCGCGGCCACCGAAGGGTCGCTCCCCGAAACCGTCATTCTTCCAGACTGCTGGTGCTGTCGAGGCCTTCGCTGGTCATTCAGAAACATCGAACATTATGCTTCATTTGAGACGACACGTCTGTCGGAACCACATCGACGAGGTCGCTTTGATCACGTCTTCGCGCAAAAGTGACGCCTTACTTGGCCTCGTCCTTTGATGCGAGTGGGCATATTATCTCCGCTGGAGATGGGGCGGATCTTTTTCCAAGGTGAGGCCTTTTGGCCCCGTCGGAAATTGTATGATCGGATCTTAACGCCTGTCTGCGCGCCATTTTGAGCCTCAAGGCCACTGATGTTCATCACGGACCATGCGGTGCAGGACTTCCGTCGTCTATGTGAAGATGCACACTATATACGTGAGCTCGCTTCTTGGCAGATCGGAACGCTAACTCCATCGGGCTCCCAAACGTTCACTTTGAGCAGAGCTTCATTCGAATCTAGCAGCATCTCGATATAGATCTAAAACGGAGTGAGCAGTGACTACACTCAGGACCATGAGAAAGATTGGTGCCTGGCTGAGCTCCATCGGCGCCGGCGATCTGCCTCGATGCCGACCATGTATATATGAGCGGTGACTTGCCCTCTAGAGAATATTGACACATTGCCCACAACTATAGAATCACTATATCTACCGGAAGGTATCCGACCATCGCCAAAACACCTTGTAACAACAACTACAATAGAACGTTTCGACTGCACCACAAAGCATACCTGACCGGACGAACTGACGGCCATGCCACCGTCTATTCCATATCTCGGCCAGACACTGGTTCGTCAGGTCTTTCCAAGTCATGCGGACTTCAGAGAAGAGCACCTCCCAAGCCAGCATGGGCGGGTCGTGATTGTGACTGGATCGAGCTCGGGTATGGGTATGGAGCTAGCGCGAATCCTCTACCTGAAGGGAGCAACCGTCTACCTTGCTGCACGTTCCAAGGACAAGCTTGATCGTGCCTACAAAGACATCGTTGGATCGGCACCACCGAACTCGCCCGTTGGTCGCCTTGAGATTCTACTACTCGATCTCGCCGACCTCACGAGTATCAAGAAATCTGCCGAGGACTTCATGAGCCGTGAACCGCATCTCCACGTCCTGGTTCACAACGCTGGAGTGATGAACCCACCAGCAAACTCACGCACAAAGCAAGGCTACGATCTCGAGATGGGCACGAACTGCCTCGGCCCCTTCCTCTTCACGCAGTTCCTCCTCCCCACACTCATCAGCACAACCCGCGCCCTCCGCGACGCCGGCCTCCCCGCGAATCTAGCCGCCAGCCGCATCGTCTGGACCTCATCCATCTCAATCTTCGCAGCCGCTCCCCACGGCATGGTGTTCGACTCCCAGCCTACTTCCCACGGGACCATGGGCGGTCCCACGATCATGACCGACATCCAACTCAACTATGCACAGTCCAAGGTCGGAAACGTATTTCACAGCGCCGAGATCGTGAGACGATATGCGGATGAGGGCATAATCAGCATCGCGCTGGATCCCGGGCTGCTGAAGACGGAACTACAGAGGAACCATACCCCAGCCCAGAAGGCGATGGGCAAGTTCTTCTTCAAGGACGCGAAGTATGGTGCTTATACGGAGTTGTTCGCGGGGTTCAGTCCGGAGGTCACGGTGGAAAAGGCCAAAGAGGGGGCGTTCGTGATTCCGTGGGGAAAATGGGGGTGTTTGCCGCAAGGTACGAAGAAGGGGATCGAGGAGGGGCAGGCGAAGAGATTTTGGGAGTGGTGTGAGGCGGAGGTGAAGCAGTATAGGTAGAGAGTCGCTCCTGCGTTCGGTGGGAGATCAGACTGCGAGTCGGCTAGAGGGGCGGAGCGGAGCTTGGCAGGCACTTACGGGCCTTTGTTTTTGCTGCTGCTTTGCCATCTCTGGGTTCCAAGGTTTGAACTTTGTTGACATAGCTGAGCTCCTGAGCAGGTTTTGACTCCAGGCAACTACTACTTTACACCTTCCGCTCCAGCTCTTAGCCATCCGGTGACTCACACGCGTTCCTTGGCGAAGTTTGCGCTGCCAGATTCAGGGTATATATTCCTGCCTCTCCCTGTCTCCCTCGTAGATCTTTTTTCCTTCCTTTGTACAACATCTGTCGAATAATGTTGCAATATTTCAAATTTGCCATACTTGAGCAATGGGATATGTCGGTATTTGAAGTCATATGTGTGTGCACCATCGTCTGACTTTGCTTTTGCAAAGCTTTCGGGGGTGTGTTCTCTTAAAAATGGAAGAGAGCCGAGGATGGCTTCGCTGTCGCTGATGCATATGTCCGATGTGGACTGAAACGCACTTCAGCTTATGTGTGGGCATGTATATTCAATCTTGATTATAATTCACATGACTACAACGTAGGGAACTTATCCGCTGAACGGCTTCCCTACGCTGGGGCCAGCGACAGCAGACTGTTGACCGCACGCAAAATGACGATTGAGTCGCTGATAGGTAGGCATAAGCGGTAATCTGAGTCCTTTCTGTAGTGGGTCATCCGGTCTGAGATGAGTCTACCACATTGGTCATCCGGCGTTGGAACGATGCCAAAAAGTCAAATCAAGGGTCTGCCTCTCACAGCCGCCACTGTGCACAGTAGTTGCCCTATCGCTGTGTGACTGCTTTTCGAGCAAAACTAATCCTAGTGCAGCTCATCGTGAGATCACCGACCTGGCTGAGACGTTGGACCCCAAAAGTCACAATCAGCCCGCAGACAGCACCACCACGAGATACGCCATTTCCTACTGAAGGAAGTGCAACAAGGCTGCTGCCGAGACTCGGCACATTTAAGTGTGAAGATGATCACTGACAGCGACCAAGATCTATGTTTGGTGTCATTTCCCAGGCACTGAGCTGCTGATACGTCTTCAACTTACCCATTGAAGCTGTTATCTGGGCGCTACCACGATGAAGATCGCCACTCTTCAGTACGATCCTCGGATCGGCCAGGTTGCGGCCAACTTCAGCAAAGCGGAAAGCCTATTGATGAGGGAAGAGCGAGCAGGTGCTTTGCAAGGAATCGACCTACTCGTGCTGCCTGAGATGGCATTTACAGGTCAGTGGGTGGAACGCTACAACATGTTCACGTCCTAGGCTGCTGTCGACGGTGTTCATGGATCAGCTGACTTAGGCGACCAGGCTATAATCATCCTTCATTGGCAGCCATCGCACCATACCTGGAACCAACAGCAGCAGGACCATCGACAAGATGGGCGACGCGGACAGCTGTCCGACTAAAATGCACAGTGTGTGTCGGATACCCAGAAGCCGCAGAGGAAGGCAACTACAACACTGCATTCGACGAGAAGATCACAGCACACGAAGATGCCATCGCCTACAACTCTTTAGTGATAGTTGATGCAACGGGGGAAGTAGTGGGGCACTATCGAAAGTCCTTCCTCTATTACACCGACGAGACCTGGGCCAAGGAAGGACAGGGGTTCTTTGCTGGAGTCATTCCGATGGGTTCACATGGAGCTCGAGTGAAAGCCGTTGCAGGAATCTGCATGGATATCAACCCGTACAAGTTTGAAGCACCCTGGACTGCGTTCGAATTCGCGAATCACGCGCGAGAGTCACGGGCCAAACTTGTCATAGTCAGCATGGTATGCTCTTCGTTGCCACTCTGAGTGCCATTCCTTGTTCGGCCATCGTTTGCTAACAACAACAGAACTGGTTGACGCACATGACTAATGCAGAACTGACAGAGCAGGCGAAGATGCCTGATACGAATACCTTGGGATACTGGGTTGAACGTTTTCGTCCACTGATGGATGCTGCAACGGAAGGCGAAGAAGATGTTATCATTGTCTGCAGTAACAGGACAGGAATGGAGGGAACCTGTCCACGAATAGGAGAGGTCAAGTATGCAGGCAGCAGCTGCGTGTTTTCGATGAGACAAGGCCAAGCAGTCAAAATCTGGGACATTCTGGGGCGATCGCAAGAGGGTGTGCTAGTCATTGACACCAAGGACCCTGCAAGATTCGAACTGACTTTTCGAGAGAAGGCTTCGCAGTCCACTGCGCCTCAGGATCAAGTAGTGCCAGGGTGACCAGTCTCGAACACTCGCGGCGAGCGCTGAAGTCTGGAGGATCTCTCTCGAGATTTCTGATGCATTGATACATTGGTTCGAGCCTACACGGATAGCTGCATCGCCATGTGCCAATGATAGCTCATGGCAGCCTCAGTGGACAAGCGAACGTCGCCTTCGAATCTGAGTGACTGGGGTCAATGGCAAGCTAACGCCCACGGACAAAGCCATGGCGCTGCGGAGCGCATGGAGGGGGAAGACCCCTAAAGCCTAAAGACAAAGCAGACGTCCTGTATACTCAGAAGCTAGACTTGCCTTTCGAGCCTCCGACTTCAGAGTGGTATATCAAGTTCGAGACTTTGAACATCATGGACTCTGGCCAATCCAGTCTTGGAACAGATTTCGTTACACGATCTGAACGTCCTGATTCATCCGTCGTCCATGCACAAACACACAAGGCTCACACTGATGGTGGGCCGAGAAAATGATAGGATATAGTCGAGTGGCCAATAGGAAATGCATCATGGTCCAGAGCCTGGAAGGCTCAGCTGATCTCAACCACCTCCTCTACCTGAGACAAAGGTGGGGAAGCATTTGACGGCGGTAATGTGCCTTCAGGCATTCGCCATGAGGCGTGGGTAGTTCCCGTTCCGGCGTGTCAGCGGGCGATCTAGATGTCTAGAGCATTCGTACATGGTACGTATCTTCTCGTCATGTCGCGTCAGGACGAGGACCATGGCAATGAAGTAGGATTGCAGGTTTGCAACGCCTTCAGCCAGAATCTCAAAGACATGTGCGTTGCAGTGTTGTGCAGGCAAAGTGTGGGGGAGGGGCACCAACTACACAAACGGAGAAACGATGCGCCGACCTCCATTCAAAGACGCTATACTGTTATAGAACTAGTGCTAGACCAGCAGTATCCACGTGACTGCTCCGGATGGCTCTCACTCACTATCTTCCTAACGACTTTCGGGGCAACGCGACGACCTCGAAATTCACGACGCAACGATTCGGCAGCCATTCTGTAAGCCAAAGGAGCTGCAGAACGGAGTGCCACTTCAGCATATTTACAGAAAGCTGCCGACAAATCGAACATCGCGGTCAGGTCACCTGATCATCGCATCACGTGTTTGAAGTAAGTGTCCTGATCAGTTCGTTTCTCGTCTCGCGTTCTCGTCGACTTCGACGGTCCATCAAAGCCGCAGCCCCAGTCATCGGCATTGAATCCGTCTGTCATGTCTCATGTCATCTGCGTCGCGAGCGTGCATGCAGTGACAAAGCGCAGTCGTTACTCATGCGTGTCAGCTGCTGTGCGGTCGACCTTCCTTATCAATGTCGACCATCAACACAAAGAAACATGGGGTACATTCTGCAGCCATTTGCCTCATGTGATTATATCGACCACACCCTCTCGTGAACTGATCGACTTTGCCTTGCGTTAGATCCCGCCTCTACCGGCTTGCTAACATGGGTCATCTAGGCTTGCACGAATCGCGCTTCCAGACGCGTTGTCAACACTGCCCGAGTGACCAGTCCAAGATCAACTCGAGTTGCAGTCATCGCTTTCACCAAGGATAAAGAACCTCGCCTGCATTAGATCCGGCTCTTATCTGCAAGATTGTCGCATCCGCAACGCTTCTCGTGCAGTTGTCGAATCGCTCATCGAGTCTTCTCATATACCTGCGTCGTTGCCCAATCGAGGCTGTTGGCGCCACAGCACCTAAACTGAGCCGCCTTGCTACGTCCTTCTATGGCCGCTGCTGCAGTCAGAGTCTCGCCTGCGAATAACATCATGGCTCAGCCTTCCAACAAGCGCAAAAGGGCGAACGACGACATCGGTCGACAGCTCGAGGAGGCACAAGCCACTGGCGCTGGTCCAGATGAGGACTTCTCTACCTCATTGCTACAGCATGTCGAAGCCGACAACCAGCGCACAACGGCGGAAGCTGCTCTCCAAGCACAGCACATGCCTCCATACCCCGATCCCGCATATGTTGGTGACGGTTCTGCAGCCGGTGGCATACCGGCGTTCCCTGATCCTGAACCCAACCAAGAGAATGAACCTGTGGCTCAGCAGACATATGACAATAACAACCGGGCTGGTGCAAGGTCCAAGCCTGCTATGGGCACTGATGAATGGCACGCCATCCGCAAAGCCAGCCATAAAGAAGGTACGAGTCACCTACATCTGCTTGTAAGCCACTAATCCAGTCTATAGTCGAGCGCCGCCGCCGCGAAGTCATCAATGAAGGCATCGAGAATATCTCCAAGATCATACCAGGTGCAGACAGCGGTAGCAACGCCGCCGACGGCAAGAACAAGGGTGCCATCCTCAATCGTGCTTACAACCACATCGTCCGACTGAACGAGGCCGAGACCAAGTTCGAAGCCGAACGCCAGCTACTCAACGTAACCATCCAGGAGCTCACCAAGCGATGCGAGGCCCTGAAAAACTCGAACCAACAGGCATGGAACGAGTCAAACAAGTGGCAACAACGCTGTCGGGATCTGAACGGTAACTTCGATGACTATGACAGCCATGCTCCTGGCTTTCAAGACCCGACAGCAGATCTCGATTCACTCCAACCTTAGGAAGATCAGCCACCACATGGCGCTGAAGATAACTTGTCAGGAGTCGAGCACCCACGGAGGCCGCCCGAGCGGTACTAGTAGTCTCGTTGTTGGGCTCATAGGCAATTTGATGTCATTCTTTGCGAGTCGAGGGCATAATGGCGTACAGACCATGGGCCAGTGCAGAGTTTGGGAGTCGTGGGCATTGCATGGGTATACGGGCGTCATCGTCGGAACTAATCAGATACATCCTCCAGTTGGCTTCTGCTAGCAAAATAGCTGCACAAATCTGTCACCATCGTATTCAGACCCAACACATCATGACAACTCCTTCAGATAGATCCTCCCAGGCATCCCGTACGCCGGCTTAGCCGATCCTCGAATGCACTGGTAGATACCATACCCCTCCACTGTCCTGCCGCGCAACTTTTTCATCCGCGCCAGATCGCTGGGCTTGATGTAGTCCTTCGCTTGCGTCGTACCCAACCCAGCACCTTCAATAATCGCCATGCCCTCAGCCCCAATGTTCTTTCGCTCCTCCAACTTCTCCGCCCACTCCACCGTATCGACCGTCGTCGGCACCGGCGCAGCCTAAGCCCACCACCAACACTCTTCTGCTGCCTCAATTTCTCCCCATCAACGCCCCCAACAGCACACTCCGCAATCCTCCCACCCTCCAGCTCAGCCACGAAATCAAACCCACCACCCACCACCAACGCCAGGATAATCTTACTCTCCAGCATACTCAGTTGCTCACCAATGCAGTTCCTCGGTCCCTTACTGAACGGCGCGAACGCTTCCTTCCCGGACTCCGAGAACAGCTGCGCCTCAGGGTAGGGTGTACGCTCCTTGAACCACCGCTCCGGCACGAATGATTCTGCGTCCGGGAAGTAGAGTGGGTTGCGGTGGATCATAAGCGCCATAGGCCAGAAGGAGAACGAGCGGTCGTAGAGTGGGTACTGCTGGCGATAGCCGTTGCGTGGGTAGTCTGGGTTGGGGAGGAAATGTTCCTCTTTGGGGTTGCGCCAGGGAGGATGGACGGGGAGGAGCGGAGGGTGGATGCTGGCGGGAAGATGCGGAGGGTTTCCTTGAGGATGGCGTTGGTGTAGGCTAGGGAGTTGACGGTGTGGGGATCTGCCTTGATGGTGGCGGCGATGTGGGTTGCACCGAGGGAGCCGAATGTGGAGCGGAGTTCGTCGAGGAGGCGGGCGTGGACTGTGGGGTGGTGGTGGAGGAGGTATAGGGCGTATGCAATCGTGGAGGAGGTGGTGTCATGCCCAGCGAAGAGGAAGGTCTTGACACTCGTGATCGCCTCTCCACGGAACGCAGCGTCCATCGCGGCGCTCGGCTTCACGCTTCCGGCCGAATTGAACATTTTGTCCGAATAATAAGCATCCAGAGCCAGATCCACGATGCTGCGCTTGCGATCCTTGAAAGCGACCTTCTCGCCGATAGGCGCGCCACTCTGGTTCCGTTTCGCGATTGCCCGGTCGATCTCCTGGCCCACAAGACCGTCGAGCTTCTTGCCGTTCTGATTGAGTTTCCAGATCCTGATGAATTCAAAGTTCTTGAGAGCCTGGATCGGATTTGTGGCGTCGAACATCAATGGCGTGCGCTCGCGGAAGGTAGTGACCAGTGGGTGGTCGTGCCTTTGGGAGTCGAAGTCGGCGTTGAGGACGACTTTGCCTATGATGTCGATTGTGAGACGCGTGGCATACTCCTCCAATTGGAAGAGCTCGTTGCTCTGAGCTTTCTGGCTCAAGATATCTAAGAACGTCATGCTAGAGTCCACCATATAAGGCACCAGGGTCATGAGGTGGGCGGCGCTAAAGCCCGGGTTGAATATGCCTCGCAATGACTTCCAGTGGGCGCCCTCAGCCGTGACGAGGTTGTCAGGGCCCAGAAATTCATCGAGGTAATCAGACGCACTGCGAGCCTTCGGCAGGGACGTTCCGGTCGTAGCATACTTAGCACTGAAGACAGGATCGTCGCAGAAGATCATGCTGGAGCCAGAGATTGGCCAGAGATCCATGTAAAACACGGTGGGCATGTTGTACTTCTGCTTGATATAGTTGAAGAAGATCTGCGGGTGGCTGTCGTCGGGAAAGAGCATAGACGCTTTGATGATCACATCGATGTTGCCCAGCCACCAGTACTTCCTGGGCGGTGTGGGAAGGCCATCGAATCTCGCCCGCTTCTGGCAGAGAAGTCGATAGAAGTGGACGAGGCTGCCGAGCAGTAGGCCTGTGAAGGCCAGGAGAACTATCATGCTGTACAGATGGGTTCGAAGGTCGCGGCAGCAGTGGGACGTGTATGTGAAGTCAGGAGGCAGACATCTGATGTCTAATAAGCGTGCTGACAGCGAGGTACCCGAGGCGGCTCGGAAGTCTGATTTGTATCCAGAGGGTAGGGCTGTTCCCACGAATCTATGCCAATATTGCAGGGGAGTTCTTCGGGACGATATGGTCGCGGATGCTGCCACTAGGGCTCTTGGCTTGCTGACAGTAGGAGCAGCTGTCCACAGTTTCAAGCACCGTTGCAGAACAGGCAGACAGCGTTGTGATGTTTGTCTTCACGCGGGCTCTGCACACGACAGAGAGATTGTAGATGTGCTCGTCGCCTCATGAGAATCAGCATTGGACGGGGGCACGGCCATGCTCCGATCAAAAGCCGTCGCCTTGCCAACTCTGGATTCGTACCGATATCATCTCGTGGAAAAGACATGATGCTGGACCCTTGATGAAGCTGGTGCTTGACGGCTAGCGGCCGCTCCAGGAACGGCTGGGACGCCTGATGGCTTTTTGTACGAGGTCGTAAGTGCCGCCCGGCACAGCAGACTTTGGGACCCAGAAGCGTACCATATCGCGAATCCTTACAGGCCGCGGCGCCCCACCGCGAACTTTATGCACACCGCATAGGAAAGAGGGTCAAAGCAGGCAGAGCAGAGTCGTCATGCTCAATCCGAACCGACTCTTTGATGACGGAAGGCACAGCAACAATCTTTGCATGTCAATTCGTAGGAAGACATGAGCTTCGTGCTCACAGGTGGCGAGGATGGGTTTGAGGTGCTATAAAATCTTTGGGCCCGGACAACTACTGAGGCCTGCTGGGCTCGATATTGACGTTCGGCGGTTTAAAGGAATTTCGTTGTCGACTCTACTTTGAGCCTGTACAATTGTCGTACAGCGCGACGGAGAACTTGCTTGTCGATAGAAGTACACACCCCTACATTTACGAGTCTTGAAGTCGAATTAGAGCTCGGCGTCGTGAAGTAGTGGTTACCTATACAGGAAGTTGCGCTCGGCATCTTTGATTTGGGGAAGGAGCTTCGCTTCACAATGATGGATGTGCCGGAACTGGCTACGTTTCAACAAGCATACAAGCAACCACTCGCTGTGATCAACAAGTCGCTATAGAGGGAACTTTCGCTCGTCCGTCAAAGCCATAGCCCCAATAGACTCGGCACAAATCGTCAAGCCTGTCCAAGAGAATGTCAAGAGTCCCACATGACCTCTCCCAACTGTAAAAGTACAGCGCCCATGCGTTTCCTCGCCTTCACACTTTCTTCCCGATCATCACCTCTGAGCGCCTCGCTGAAGCACAGTTCGACGAGCGTCCTGAGCTCGTCATACGTATATCCAACTTCCTGACCACCGCTCTTGGCGTTGCTCACATATTTCAATATTTCATCTGGCCCATCCAGGAACAGGGAGTAGTATGTGTGCGTCGCTGCGAGGACACCATCGTCCGCATCCGCGGCCGAGCCGTTTGTGGTGGCTTCGGAGATGCCCAAGCCGTTTCCATCGGTGTTCGGTATGGCAGAGGGTTTAGCAGCGACATTGGTAGCGCTGTTAGCAACCATGCTGCGAAGGTTCTGCTGGATGACCATGGCGTCCACGCGCATCCGCTCCGCACCATTGGCGTTCATCACGAGGATGTTATCTGCGCCAGCGACCATGAAGCGGTCGACCAGCTTGCTCAGATCCGCGGCAATGAACGAGCGCTCCTTATTGCCCAGGTATGAAGTGATGTTAGCATCAAAGGCAATGAGATCGCCGTTTAGGCGCAGAATCAATGAAGACGCAGAACTCGGCGGAGCGCTCAGAACGAACGGATACGCTCCGGATGACAGTGGTGGTAATGAGGCTGAGTCAATGCGGAGAGGCTGGGCCGGATCCGCGTTCGATGTTGCAGGCGATTTGGATATCTCTGGCCCGCACAAAATGCGAGAGAGCTGGAAGATGATCCCACATCTTATGTCAAGATGGAGTGTGAGTATGGCTGTTTGTGCTAGGTTGCGGAACGAGGTGAGGGTTGTATCGAAAGGTATGACTGTCTCCGATGTCAATGGGAGGTACGCGGGCTTTTCGGCAGACGATGTGCTCAAGGGTCGCAAGCTCTTAATCAGTGTCCACCGTCGAACACTTGAGCCTGCCTTTTGCTTACTGGCCGATGTTGTTTCGACGTTCCGCAACTGAGCAAGTGCTGCGGACATCCACTGCATGCTGTTGTACAGCAATGAGAGCTGATGAACCGACTTTGGATCCGAGATGATGTCGTACGCGGATACAGGGGATGTTTTGACTGCTTTCAGTAGAGCTTGCACCTCTTGCTCAACCAAATTTGCCTTCTTTTGCCCGGCGCGGCCAACTTCCCAGAGCTGCAAGGCGAAGTCACGAATATCGCCCGACTCTGCGTATGACGCAGCAGCCTTGAGTGTCAGGGTGTTGGCTCCTGTACTGGTGGTGTGGTTGGTAACGCGACTGACGAGAGACTTGTAGTAGCCAAAGCACTTGTCGTAATATGTGACAAGCTGGTTGATGATAAGCTGTGTGAACATGGAGTCATGTGGAATCGATGCCAACATGGTCGAGAAAGACCGTATCAATGCCATGAACTCAGATGTGCCTTTGAATATGGGGAAGGGCGAGTGCGATCGCCACGACGGATCTTCCTCAAACGCAGTGACATCAACGAGACATCGCGTACACAGCTCCGTGACTGCTTCCTCAAGCTGTGGATGAAACACATTGATCAAGAAGTCATCAAGGAACGAAGTCAATGTGCTCATCGGAATGTGCGAAGTTTGCGGCACGATTTCTTTCAGTCGTTGCAGAAAAGTGAGGGATGGTGTCAACAAGATGGTCATGTTGAACACGCCAGGCTCAATCAAGAGCTTGTGACCGGCTGAAGTGTTGTCGTAGCCAGTCCGGTCGGACACATCGTTGACGCCTTTGTCGCTAGTCTTGTTCACGAGACCAGGAACCGAGGATTTGAGGATCTGGTCGAGTTCTGCTTTTTCCTCTTTGATGCCGAGTGCTTTCTCGTCCATCTCGGCCAGCTTGAACATGCGCTTCTTGCGGTCCCTTTGCTGCTTCGCAAACACATCCGCGTTATTTGCTGACGCAAGTCTGTTTCTTTCGCCTCTCTCACCATCGGTCGCCAGATAGTCATGGAGAGTAGACCTCATCTCCATCTGATACAATTTCCACAACTCCTTAAAGCTGCCTGTGAGTTTCTCTGGCTTCGAGATGCCTTCACGGGTTGCAAGCCCAGACACAACTTCGTGCAGAACGCGATAGCCTTCAGCTACAGCCTCGAACTTTGTGAACAACGTCCACAGGAAGTCAGACAATACCTGACCTCGGCCGTCGTCGATGCGCATCGTCATAGCAGTTCGTTTCTCTTTCTTGAGCTGTCCACGGACGTGACTGGGATATCTTGCGTCGATTTCTGAGCTCGTCTTCTCTACTACTCTGAACAGCTCCACAGGCATTCTCTGCTCTATCCTCTGCACAGCTTCCTCGAGATATCCAAGTTTGCTAAGGGCCTCCAAAATCATGTACATGTAATAGAATGTATCTGCCTCCGGATTTTTGGAAGCATCTTCCTCCATGGCGAGGGAGGTGTCCAAATTGGACAGGAAGTGGTATACTGGCCGGTCCCATGCATGCCCGGTCTCACTCATCGAGGCCACCAAATCTGATTGTTCCCCGTCCGCTTGTCGCTTCTTCTTCCACCGGTCCGCGCAGTACGGACTCTTCAGATAGAGATGGTCATGAAGTTCTTCTACAAGAATGTCGACCAAGCTGCTTTCTTGGTTGGCGAAATATGATCGCATATCACTTAGTGCGCCAATCTGTTCGAGCTCCGATTTCCGCAGTCCTCTAAGACTTTCCAGAAGGAGGTCGACGGCCGAAAGAAATCGTTTCTCACTGATCCTTTCTTCCAATCGTGCTGGAACATTCTTGAGATCCTCTATGATTGCCAGTAGACCAAACATGTCGTCGAGATCCCGCTGTTCTCAGCGAGTGAGCGCAGCTCTGGCTTTGTCGTCAGCATACCGCCCTTGACATTCATCAAGCCGCTCTTCAGCATTCTGACGCGGTTCTGCGATTCCTTGATCGCGTTCTGAATCTTGTGGTAGGTACCGACAGCAGAGTTGAAGTCGGCGTAATGCTCGTTGACCACGCTTTTCAAGGACTTCTGGAGGTCCACATGGGTGGCAGCGAAGTCGGGCTCCTTCTCGGCCAGGCCGAGCGAGCTTGGATCCATGAGCTGCAGCGCGACCTTAACAGGCACACAGTCATCGCCTTCCATCGGCTTCCAGCTACTCTGAATGTGTCGCATGATCTCATCCATAGACTTCGTAGGCCGCCCACCGTAGTTGTCTCTGTACCGCGATGTTGCTGAACTCCCAGTCGTATATCCATTCGCAGCAGCCCTGGTCGACGCTGGCACAGGAGGTGGTTGTTCAAAGCGCTGTCCTGTAGGACGCAATGCCGGTTGCCGCTGAGAAAAGCTTCCGGTATCAGTGTAGTTGTTCTGCCCGTCTCTTGTCTGCGGTCTTCGATCTGATTGATGTGGTGGTACTGGTGGAGTGTCATATCTGGCGTAGCCTGAATCTGGCTCTCGTGGCTGCGACGGCCGCCTCGGGCTGTACTGCTGATCGACGTCGTCTCTCAGTCTGGAAGGTGGTCGCCTCTCAGCGAACGATTGTTGGGCTGGCTCGGACGGCTCCTGGCTCGCCCTCCATCGAAACTGCCATACTGTTGCCGGTCCTGTGTTTGCTGCGGCGGTTGCGGAGGGCGCGGCGCGGCTCCCAGGCCTCCATACGCTCCTGCCCTGCGATTCTCCCTAGGCGCAGGGCTTTGCTCCGTGCCATACGGATTCACTGGGGCAGGCGACCGCCTTCGGTCTCGTTGCGAATCCCGCGTGTCTCTTGTGTCCCTCGAGCCATAGCTGTTGACACTGGCACTCGACTGATTGTTCTGAGCAAGGTACGGATCTGCGTATGCACCTCCGGCGCTGCCCGCGCCGGCGTAGGGGTTTGAGACGTTTGACCGCGAGCCTGAGTAGCCGTTGACCGCATAGGGGTTCCCACCGCTCATAGTGAGGTGTCACGCATACAGGGATCGAGTCGGTCGATCGTGGTTCGCGTCATCGCATAGCTCCGTGCATGTGTTGCTACAAGCTGAGGGTCTCGTTGCTCCGGAAAGGGTGTGGTCCTCACAAGGCGTGGGTGATGTTGCTCGAATGTCCGCGCCGGATGGTCTAGCAGCGATTCAAGATGATGTTTCAAATGACAGGAATTGACTCGGAAGACCGGTTGACTGCCGGGCGGGAATGAGCCCGGATGACTGATTTCATCTTGGAAGGTCAAATGCAGAGCTTTCAAGCATCAATGCTGTGAATTGGAAATGCTACATTGGTCACAGCCTCGGTCTACGCGGGCTGCCGCCGCTCAACAGCCACCGTACTCGTCTATGAATGCTTGCGAATGCTCATGTTGCTGGAGTGCCATCATCGACCGTGATCTCATTGGGTCTTGAACCCTGGGCCTAGACAATATAACTGTACTCACTCCCACGGCAAGTCACCCAGAAGTTTCTCACGACATCATTTGTTTTGCGTGACCCACGCATCACATCAACCTGCGCCAAAAATCTCGTCCGCTGGTCCAACGTCGTCGCGTGTAAGGCCTTCTCTGACAGAACCGCGCTTTCCTCCTTCATCGCTTCCTTACTAATGTCCTTGAAGGCCATCGGCTGAGCAATCACGTAGCGTCGGATCTGATCGGAAAGAATGTCGGTTTCAGATCTCGCGCAGTCGCCGGCGACGAGGCGAAGTACGGAAGCAATGATCCGTGGATTGTATTCCTGAGCCACAGCTTCCACATTCTCTTTGGCGACACCTTCCGCTACCTTTCCAGGCTTGCTCAGCTCCGTGAAGACGCCAATGAATTGTGCACCTGAACGGCGAGGCAACGTGTCAGGCTCATTGAGCACAACAAGGGCTAGCTCGAGGCAGACTTGAAGTGCCTGCTGTGCTTCCGGCAGCTCCAGTAGAGTATGAACATGAGTTCTCGGAAGAAGTCGTGACATAAAGTCCAAGGTAGCTGCGGGATACGAGCTATCGCGTATCTTGGCGATCCGATCATCTGATGCCAGGAGCTGCTGCATGCCAGCTAGCGTCGGATGGAGCAACGTCTGAAAGTAAGGTTGAAAGTCTGCCCTTGTCGAAGCCGCAAGCAAGCCAGAAGCTATTGACATGACAGCATCGATATTCGGCGTGTCGAGCGTTATATTGCTAACAACGAGCTCAGTGCTTGTAGAATTGTCGAACTTGAATGGAGATGGATGGATCTCTGGAAAGCCTGAAGAGATGAAGTCGCATGCTGCTTCCACCACATCGTAGCTCGCGCGATGACCAATTCGTTGCATGACTGAACGGTATATGGTCAAGACCTGCTGTTGTATGCGAAGTCCCTGGCCACGTACCCAGAACAGCACTGTAGGCGATAGATTCGGGTTCTCGCTCGCAGGACTTCTATCTGCTGGATCCCGCAGTCCCCGCCCAATCGCGGCCAGAGTCTGCAGCAACTCCGTGTCGAGTTGTAGAAAGGAGTCATCCTCAACATGCACAGACTGCGATTTGTCAAAGTCGCGCTGTAGCAGATTCAGAATCTCATGCAGTGGCTGCATTTTCTGCTCTTCGCTTGGCAGAGCTTGAACGATCGCAGCCACTGCCCCGTAGATTCTATTACGATTCATACCGCGTAAATGGTCGATGGTGTCCAGCGAGGCCATGAAACCCGGAAGTGCCTCAGTCAGAGAGGCTCGTTGCGAGTCGCAGAGCGAGTGTATGGCTCGTGAAGCGGCTGTCGCTGATGAGGACTGCTGAAGGGATGAGAACAGAAAGTTGAGAGCCTGGGGCAAACTCGGATGACTCTTCAGGTAGGAGGTCATACTCGCAAGGAAAGTGATACACGTCTTTCTTGCTGCATCCGGTACATCTGCAGACTGCAGCATCTGCTGAAAATAATGAGCACCGAGAATTGAAGTCACTATGTCAGAGTAGGTCTCGACGCTCGAGTTGATCGTTTCGCTGAAGGCGAGCAGACACTCCAGACTTGCTTCAAAGTCAGCCCAGGATGACTCGGAAGGGCCCTTCAGGACGCTTGCTGAAACGGCATCGATCAACGGCTTGCCCAGGAGAGTGAATGCGGCCTGTAGAAAATCTCCCACATCGAGTCGAAATTCGCGAAAGGCAGCGAGGTCATCCTTGTCCCAAGTGCGCGTTGACATAGTGAGCTCCTCTGATGGGTATCTAACCTTGTGCAGACAGGCCTCGCAAGCTCGTTGCGCAAATTGCCTGAGGTACTGCTCGGCCGCAGGGTCATGGTCCCAATCATTGAAACCCTCGAGGACACTGTTGCAGATTTCGAGCATCGTTACACAAGCCTGGTCTTCTACTGCTGCTGCACCTTCACAGCGAAGAAGCAGCAGAACCAACTCCAGCATGCCATTGTAATGTCCCGATGTTATGTATTCTGGCGTTGTTACGTCAACGTGCACAAAAATCGCTTCCATGAGCTCGATAAGGAGCAGTGATTCGGAGCTGAAGTCGCCTTGCACGAGCCCAGTCGCCCATTTTTGGACAAAGGGAAAACTCGCAAACATCGGCTCAAAGTTAGGCTGTGCCTTCGTTACGAGACGCGGCGTCAGAGCTTGAATCGCGACCAGAGCCTGCAGAGGGTGCTCGCTAAGTGCACCACTGTCGAGCATTCCCAGGCAGGCCTGCAGAGAGGAGATCGCTGAAGCGTTGGCAGCGGCAGTCTCGTCGCTTGAAGCGACATACTCTTGTAGCTTGAGCAAACTTGTCCAGAGAGGCAGTATGTCGAGTGCAAGCAATGATAAGTGCTCAGACTCTTTCTTCGGGAGCTCTGTGGGTGGGACGTTGGTGGGCATGTCGGCATTGATATACCTGCGGCAGTGGCCGACCAGCACATATTCAATGAGTTCTAGCGCATCGCCGCTGCTCAGGGACAACTCTTTCTGAATCGAGCTCCCCTGAAGTTTGGCGCTGACGTCCTCTGGCAGAGTCTTGGCCAACATGAAAACGCTCGCAATCTGTTTTTCGGGTCGTTGTGATAACCTTGCGACTAGTGAGTTCATGGGTGGCAAACTTGACACTGGAAGGTAGCCGCCATTCAGGACAGAGGCCAAAATATGCCGGACTGGACGCTGCCATTCTGAACCTACTTTCTGGTAGAGGAGGGCAAGTGTCGACGCCAACTTCTGTAGTACGAAGGCCTCATCTTCCGCTAGCGTCAATCGGACGTAGATCTCGACAAGGGCTTGTAAGAGCGAATTTCGCCGCTGTGAGTCCTTCGACAATGCATCGTTTTGCCAGTCGGCGTTGATCTTGATGGTCAAAGTCAGCGCACCATAGAAGCGCATGTTTGGCTCTGCGTGATTGAGTAAGTCCAACGCTCCCTGCCATGCCGTCGGCTGCCTCTGTAGCAACTGCAATTGTCGCTGGATCTCTTCGATTCGTTCAGATGAGCCTTGATTGCTCGGATCGTTCAAGGCACGAATGAGCTCCTCCATGATGGCGAATCTCCAGGGTCCACTCTAGAAGAGGCAGTCCAGGCTACCAGTCAATGAAGAGAAGTCACCGCATTGCAGAGCAAAGTATGGCAGACAAAGATCCAGACAGCCTGACGGTCTCGGCTGACTGGCTCATCCTTTCACTCAGACGTGAACTTTGGCACCGTTTGCTTCCACTAAGGACTGCAAAACAACTTTATCAACTCTCCCGTCAAGTGAGATATTGATTCAGAACCTCAGTCGCCACAAGAAGGATGGGGTGTTTGGTCAAGAGGGAGCATTAAATCAATGTACGAGTTGAGGATGTTGTGGTGGTGGATCAAATCGGCGCGTTAGCCAATCGGAGACCGCGCCCTAACTTCAGACCTCGCCGGCGGCATGCAGCAGTGACGAAGGGCTTCTTCCTGCGACTTCCTCAGGACAGTCTCAAATCACCTGTATCTGTCCATGCGCTGGTCGCGAGTGTTGTCCAGGGTCTTCTCGTTCAATCGAGCGCCCAAGGTACGAGGCATCGTTGCGCGCACTCCTCTATCATCACTTTCCTCGGTCCGCTCGTTCTCGTTTAGCAGTTCGCTTCGAAGCATCAACATGGAGACTGTCGATACGAGCCACAGGCTCTCGCAGCTGCGGGACCTGATGAAGCAGCACAAAGTCGATGTGTACATTGTCCCTTCAGAAGATAGCCATCAGTCGGAATACATAGCACCCTGCGACGCTCGGCGTGAGCATATCTCTGGCTTCTCAGGCTCAGCAGGCACCGCAGTCATCACACTTGATAAGGCAGCATTAGCAACAGACGGGAGGTACTTCAACCAAGCATCGAAGCAGCTTGACTCGAATTGGCTGCTTCTGAAGCAGGGGCTCGAGGACGTCCCCACATGGCAAGAATGGACTACAGAACAAGCAGAAGGAGGGAAAGTAGTAGGTGTTGACCCGACGGTCATTACAGCGTCAGAAGCTCGCAAGCTGGGCGAAACACTGAAGAAGAAAGCACACGCAAGCCTTGTCGGCGTAGACCAGAACTTAGTCGACCAGATATGGACCAAGCGACCAGCGCGGCCAGCAGAGAAAGTCATTGTTCTCTCGGAGGACTATGCCGGCAAGAGCTTCAAGGACAAGATATCAGAGCTACGAAAGGAGGTGGCGAAGAAGAAGGCTGCAGGATGGTGGTCTCGATGCTGGACGAGATTGCGTGGCTCTTCAACTTGCGCGGCAATGACATTCCCTACAACCCAGTCTTCTTCTCGTATGCAGCCATAACCCCCAAGAACGCAACGCTATATGTCGACGAATCGAAACTCAGCGAGGAGGTGACAGACTATCTGGGTCAAGCAGTGGACATAAAACCTTACGATGCCCTGTTCTCTGATCTCGCCGCGATTAGTGAGAATGCGATTGCTGAGGCTCAAGCCAACGGGGATTCCGAATCGACGTCCAAATCCAAGCCTAAGAAGCTGTTACTATCCAACAAGTCCTCATGGGCACTAAGTCTGGGCTTGGGTGGAGAAGACAAGGTCGAGGAGTCACGGAGTCCTATCTCAGATGCTAAAGCTATCAAGAACGACACTGAGTTAGAAGGCATGCGACAATGTCACATCCGTGATGGCGCTGCACTGATCGAATACTTCGCGTGGCTTGAAGATGAACTTGTCCACAAGGGCACAAAGCTCGACGAGGTACAAGCTGCTGACAAGCTCGAGAAGATTCGGTCCAAGGGCGAGCATTTTGTTGGTCTCTCCTTTCCCACCATCTCCTCAACCGGACCCAACGCTGCTATCATACACTACGGTCCCGAGCCCGGCAATTGCTCGGTGGTAGATCCCAAGGCCATCTACCTCTGCGACTCCGGCGCGCAATACCTGGACGGCACTACAGACACCACCCGCACACTCCACTTCGGTACACCAACAGATATGGAAATCAAATCATACACACTTGTTCTCAAAGGCGTCATCGCACTCGACCGGTGCGTCTTCCCGAAAGGCACAACTGGTTTCGCGATCGACGCTTTTGCACGCCAGCACCTATGGCGCGAGGGTCTTGACTATCGTCATGGCACAGGCCATGGAGTCGGCTCCTTCCTCAATGTCCACGAAGGTCCCATCGGCATCGGCACTAGATCTGCATATTCCGAGGTGTCACTAAGCATTGGCAATGTTGTGTCTGACGAGCCAGGATATTACGAAGATGGCAACTTCGGTATCAGGATTGAGAACATGATCATGGCGAGAGAGGCGAAGACGAATCATAAGTTCGGCGACAAGCCGTGGATCGGATTCGAACATGTGACAATGGTTCCGATGTGTCGTAAATTGATCGATCCGTTAGTGTTGGACCCGGAGGAAAGGCAATGGCTCAACGACTACCACAAGGAGGTATGGGAGAAGACGAGCTCGTTCTTCGAGAAGGATCAGCGCACGACGGCGTGGCTGCAAAGAGAGACGGCGGTGATTTGATTATCTAGTGTGGACATATCGGATTCGGTAATCCGGAAGAAGCGGCGTGGTCTGAGATGACAGATGAGGGACGCCCTTTACTGCTCTGAGCATTTTCTTCGGGGCGGATTTGCGACAGAGTCGAGGCATGTAGATACCCTGGTCAGAGCAACGGAACGATCGAACAGCAAAGACTAAAGCTATCATTAGAAGCACAGGACCAGACGGACTTCGCTCTGGTACCGCGCCAATGGCAAGAGACGAGTTCGAGTGCATAGACCATCTGCTGACTCAGGTGATGAGAATGAAGACATGTTGACAAGTTTGGTACAGGTCTCATGACAGACGAGCAGAGTCACACAAAGCGTTCTTTGTGCCGAAGCCTAAGGTAGGTCACAACAACAAAACTTGGACAGGACACATCTGAGCAACTCTACTCTGTCTTCTTCCCCAAAGCCCTGGTACTTCGACGCAGGAGACAATGATGAAAAAGGAAAAGAGCATACCACTAGGTGGCAGCCAACACACCTAACACCAACAGTCAGCAGTACCAACCACCACACCAGCCAGTAAAACCCCACACACCGAACCAACAGCAAACCAACAACGCCCAACCTCTTGAACCGCCACAGAAGACAGCGACACGAATCCACGTCTCACGTGTACAAAGAGTCGTAACACCTCATCAACTCCAAAATTCCCCGCGGGGAAAGCGACAGCACAACAACCAATGTCCTGTTAGCAGGCCACTCCCGGAGACAGACCGAAGTCTGAGGTGAAGTACGAACATCCCGAGAATAAATTCTCAAGGGAGGACGAGAAGGTGAGGTCGGGTCTAGGTATGTCAACAAACACAGCGCGATGGCAGTATGAATGTAAGTTGTGTGTGTATGGAGAGTGTGGTGCCCCAGAATCGCCGAAGCGTTAGACCAGTCCCGAGTTCAATGTTTGTGCGGACTGCAGCCTGGTTGTGTGTTGTTTTGGTGGAGGACCGGGCAAGCGAGGCTGCGTGTGGCTTGAAAGACGTGCGCGTGACTTGTGTGTGGGGTTTTGGGAGGGAGGAGGATGTTGGGAGTGGATGGTTGGGGAGGGGTGGGTGTGAGCTGGTGTGGTGGTAGTGAAGATGAGGAAGGAAGGAAGGGAAGGGAATGGGTGGGCTTGAAGGAAAGAAAAGAATTTCTGAAAGGAAGTGCGAGGGTGAAGGCGAGATTTATGGAAAATCGTGGGCGAGGTTGATCTTGGCAACGAGGCAACTTGATTGCGATTGAGGTCGTGATTTAATCAAGCGGGGCAGTTATTTTCGTGATCTGGTGAAAGAGAAGGGAAGTTCTGATTATTGCCCATGACAACGGAGTTCAGGTGAGAGTCATGTGCCGATGATTCGCGGCGTCGTTGTCTGGGAGTCATAGGCGCCAGTTGACGTGCTACGGGAGGAGACAGACGGACGAATGCATTCAAGGTCTATGTATTGGACAATTGGGTTCAGTTCAGTGTCGACGAGCTCTTCGAAGCTGGACCTCAGCAGTAAGGCAACAAGGCAAATGAGGTAGCCCTGCGTGATCACCGAAGGGTTTAGGCGCCTGCCCTCATCAGCTTGCACGCCAAGGGCCTACTTCCTGCCTTCTGCAGGTAGCGTAGCCGCTTGCAATCTCGTCGCTGTTGCAACACCAGAATATCCGCACCGAACAACTTGCTTGAGTCGCCGATACAGCCGACAGCGCTGTCCAAGAGAATGCCTACCTCACATTTCATCAAAGCGGAAATCATCGTCAATGGCTGTGCCCTCGACGAGTATTCTGACGTTGAAGCAACAGATCATCCAACCAGCTACATTCAGGCAGAGCCCGGACAAGAATACGCCATCAGAGTCACACTGTTGGAAGGCTTCAGAAAGATGAAGGCGATCAATCTCATTGTTGAACTAACCATTGACGGCACTCCTAATAATGGCAAATTCGAGTACAGAGAGATCAACGATATGCCCTGGAAGATTGGCATCTTACAGCACGAGAAGATCGCTAAGTTCATCCAATATACCGACGGATTCGACAAACAGAGAGGTCAATGGCGTCGCTATGCGTTCAAATTCGGTCACCTAGCTATGAGTAGGTCCTGTATCCTCATCGGTACGCGACATGCCACTAAGATTCGTCAGGCGAGGACGAGAAGCTCCCGCAAGGGCTTCGCAGCGACACGATGCGCCAGCTTGGTTCCATCAAGGTAGTTGTCTATCGCGCTGGTAGACTCACTCCTGTTCGGCATTCGGAGCACGACCCAGAGGATTATTGGGAAATACCTGACAATCTGAGTTCTGTCCCGGAGAAAGTCCTGAAGGGAGCAGACATCAATGCAACTACAAAGTACTTTTTGTCATCGCAGAATGGGGAGACACGACGCTAACATTGTCAGCTACCACCCTAAAGCGCAAACGCAGAGGAACGACTTCTTCGTAAAAGGTGGATATCTGAGCGGTGATGCAGGTCGCGAACAACACTTTACCTTCCTCTACAGAAGCAAAGCGTATGGTCATCTTCGAGCTGAGTTTTGCAGACTGAACAGAATATCATAGTGCCCTTCAACGTCTCGACTATCTTCCCCGCGATCGCACACCCACGCCTGACCCAGCTCCTGCGATTCCAGAAGCTCGTTCCATGACACAGGCAGAAGTTGACGAACTCAAAGCACAGATTGGCCGCTTGCAGGTTCGTTTGCAGAACTCGAAAGTTGCGATCATCACGTGTGCTGACAGGGTCGCGCAGGCACGTCTCCCCACGGTACTTGTCAAGACCGAGTCCGAAGAGCGGCTTTCCCCAGATGTCAAGGCCGAGCCCGAGGATCGTAAGCGCACTCGCCAGGAGTACGATGCCGAGGATGACGGCTCTGATATTGAGGAAGTTGCACCACCTGCTAAGAAGCGTGGCCCTATTATTGAGATCAGCGACGACGAGGACTAGGCGACCGGACAGTCTGCGGCCCTGCAACGATCGAACGTAGCACTCGATTGGATAGCATGGCCTTCCCGGATCGAACAATCTCAATAGACGGATGCCATCGATGAATGCCAGGGGAGTTGTTCAAGCACTGAATGAGCTGATGTAGTACTGGAGCAGGAAGTCAGCAACGAATTCTTGCACGCATAACGCGAACATACCGTAAGAACAGATTCTTCTGCAGGATTCTCATCATTCGGTAAATAGACATACAGCACCAGTCCATGCTCGGGAATGAAAGTCGCAATCACACGAGAATTCAGTCGTCCCACACTGAGCACACGATTGAAGTCCTTCCCATCAATCCTCACGGTCGTCCATCCAGCCGGATTTTGGCCATCAGCACCGCCCAACTCCTTCTTCTTGGTGCTAGGATCGTCTCTAACGCCCTGTGATCCATTCTCAAACATGCTCGGCTCCAGCTCCGGATGCGTCAATCCGGTCCATTTGCTGGAAATCGATAGGGCATCGGTTGTGATAGCTATCTTGAACGTGCCGTGCATATTAGCACTCAGCTCCAGTCGTGGAGCTGCGGTACTGGTAGATGACTTCGTGGTCGCGAGTGCCAGCTTGGTGAATCTTTCGGAAACACTCTTGACTTGGGCCAGACTTGGAAGAAAGATGTTGACGTCGGACGGTGGGGTGATGGGCTCATGTAGATGCGCCACAGTCTGCTGGGCGAGCACCTTCACCGGGACGTCTTGGGTGATCAGTGTCTCCCGCTCTCGGCCAGTAATCACTGATCCATCTCCAAATCCTTCAATGTCCTCAGCGAGATCAAAGTCGCCATACTCATCACTAATCCGTGCAGACGACCCAGGTGCAACCACGCCGTTGCCACTGGTGATGCTGTTGGTCACGATCGTAAGGGATAGCATCGGCACGTTGTCCTTCTTGGTAAGCCGGATCTGCACAGACGTGGCATTGAGTGCTGACTTGAGTGCCCGCTGGAGCGCTTGGATAGGCACTTCGAGATTGATCGTGTTCTTCTCGGCGGCGCTTTGGATGATGTAGTTCTCGAAGACAGTGTCGAGCTTGAGACTGCTCCACATCTGACTGCCCTTGTCGGGGATGACTGTGAATTGGACATCTTCGTCGGTGAGACGGCAGAGTGCTAGAGCGTCGAGGGATGCTAGTGAGGCACAGAACTTCGAAAAGACGCTCACGTTTCGTATCTGCGTCTTGAAGCGCATGTTGTCGGTGTTCGATGCATTTGCTCGGCTATCTAAGTCCTCGCCTGACAGCTTCAGGGGAGGCACTCCATGCGATTGGTGGCAGTCCTGTACATGCCACGGACTTGTAGTGGTCGCCTTGCTTTTCGACAAGGCAAACAACCTTGGAACTAGGCAAAAGGCGCGTCCTGAAGTCTAACGACGCGTCCTTAGACTGGCAGGTGTGCCGAAACTTGGCCGCGGTTCATGCAAGTTACTGTACCTGCCGCTGACGACGAGGTGCATGACACGAGCTGCTTTGCATCCTACAACTTTTTCTGGCCTTGGTCTGTACAGTCTTTACTCATCTGAATTCTTCACTCGTTCAGTATTGCATAGACCTCCAGCATTCCCCTCTCGATCGATCCGTACGGTCAGACTTCCGCATACGCTCAAATTATTGGTGCCTGTGGCTGTAACGGTGGGCAGGACCGCGTCACAGTCACGATGCATAGTATGCTCCTGTGGGGATGAATGCGAACCCCTGATAGCTTCAACGATCGTCATGGCATTACCTGACCCGACTACTCTGAGTGCTGCCACACGTTTCCGGCCAGCTCACTTCCGCAGCCACTCTCGCTCGCCCTCCAGATCGCCTGTGCGCAAAGCGAAATTCACCTCCCAACATCTCGATCCGCTGCTGAGCAATCTTTCGCCCGAATCTACACTCAAGGCACTGCACGCAACTGAGACTATACCCAGCGGATCTTCAGAAGGTGTACTTAGCAGGAGCATTTCAGATGCGTCGACGGAAGAGCGAGAGATTGGCATAAGAGCTGCATTTGCTGCTCAGCAGCTCAAAGGATGGCGGCGAGAGATCTCTTCATGGCAGTGGCCGGCGCGCCGTGAGCGTGAGCTTGGTGCAGGCTTTATGCCACCCGAATCTGCACTGGAATATGAAGACGGCATTGCGGATGAGTTCATTGGCTGCCTACCAGTACGACTTCTCAACGAATACGACGAAAGGCTCGAAGACATCAAGGATGGCCTCGAGAGTCTGGAAATGGACGACCTGAAAGATCATGTCCTCACGGCTCATGCAAGCTCCCGGCCTCCACCTGCAGCTCGACAGGCGAGTGATGGTGTCAGAGGCAGCTATGGCCGAATGAGGGATTTCACTGCGCTAGTAACGGCTACCGTTATACAAGCCTTACCAGATCTCGCCATGGTAAATGCATTGATCGATGTTTGGGACGTCAGAATTGCTGTCTTGAGAGAGCTCCCGCTGCTGCTAGATCTGTTTGGCTCGACCAGGGAGATTTTGGGCAGAGCTGTCAATTCGTGTCGAGACCAGGGTCAAAGAGATGAGATCACAAGAGCCGATGTTGACCGTATTTCTGCTGCACTCGGCCCACAGATCCAGACGCTTGGCCGACATGTCGATAAACTACTAGACCTCTTGGAAGGGCACGAAGATTCTCTGCCTCAAGCGTGGATTGATTGGCTCGAGAACATGGAGCTCGAATACGCTAGATGGAAGGCAGAGGCTAGCGAGGCTGCGAATCACAACGAAGCACGTCTATCTACGACTGATGACGCTGGCAATGAGACTACGGGCATCGTGGATCAGCCCGTGCAACCTTCAAAGCTCAATCTGAAGGTTCCGGCTCACTCGAGGCACAAGAGAGAAATCTCTGAGGTCTCAATCGCAGACTCGGTCCTGTCTGATATGTCAATAGGTGAAGTTGTTGATGCACGGAAGTCGCAGATCATGCTCCCATCCACCATACAAGTTGTGGACAGCAAGCCAAGCAGCCCTATCCGGCCGACGGCCATTCAACGAGCCTCGACTGCATCCATCGAAGTCATCTCCAACAGTCAGCTCAAGCGTCTGGACGTCAGGCGCAGCATGAGTGCAGACTTGCTGGCAAAGATGGCAATGGGTAACGGCACACCGCCAAGGCAGGTGGCCAGCAGTACTGATTCTGCGATAGACGACCAAGAAACTCCCCGGGCCGAGCTTGAGTCACCAGACTACTTTTCAATGGCCGATCGAAGAAAGTCAACATCTGCATTGTCGTCGCCGTCTGCTGTGCCGTCGCCATCTCTGATGGTGGCCCCACTGAAAGTGCAGACACAGTTTCCTCCACACAACGGTCGAGCTGCGCCTTTACTCCCTCGCAGGTCGAGCAAGCGTGCATCTTTTGGTACTTCAACGGCCCTCTCCCCAATCATATCCGCAAGTACAAACGATATCGTCAGTCCCGTGTCGCCCAGCGACTCTCCTCTACGAGCTCCTGTGTCTCCTGTGTCTCCAAGTAAAGCCAATGGCCAAGGCGCAAGCCTTGACGACAAAATTCAGAATATCTTGGAAAATCTCCCTAGCAAGATTCGACTGGGTGATAGCAGGGATCCAGATCAGTCTCAGGCATCTTCAACAGGCTCAACACGATCATCTACACCAACACCGGCTTTGATACCGGAGATGACCAAGCCAACACGTCGAGGTGCCGCAGAACCAGATATTCGTATTTACCATCTGCACCAGAATGGTCCTGGACGTGATCTGAAGCCCATCAAGCTCTTTGTGAGAGCTGTTGGGGAGAACGGCGAGCGCGTCATGGTGCGAGTCGGTGGTGGTTGGGCTGACTTGGCAGAGTATTTGCGGGAGTATAGTGCCCATCATGGCAGCCGCAGTGCATCAGATAATCTCCTTGAGGTCGCCCAGTATCCCGTCAAGACCGAGAGGACGCGCAAAGCTTCATCCCAAATTCTTGCGCCAACCCAGCCAAAGCTGCCATCACCAGCGACACTGAAGGCACGACGGCGAAGTCTATCGACCTCATCTTCTGGCAGTCGATCGAGGTCGCCTAGTCCACCTCCTGCAGAGAAGACCACAGCGCCCCCGGTCCCGCCGATTCCTGCTAGCTACACAATGTACACCCCGATCATGACCGTATCTACGAATCGGAATGGCGAGACGGAGACCACATTTGAGGATGGCGATCCCACCGCGAAGCTTGAAGCCAAGGGACGCAAGTCAATCGAGCCTGAAGCTGGACCATACTCCCGATCGGCCTCGATCCAAGTGCCTGGTGTGAGCACTAACACTACAGTAGCATCGCCAGCGGCCATCGATCCTACCAAGTACACTCCCCTCGGTGGCGCGGGACCCAAGGGTGCGAAGAATCGATCTGCGACGTACGGCGCCGTAGAGAAGAACAACGATGCTTGGGTCGAAGGGATGGTCGGTAAAGCCCGAGCTGTCAGCAACACCATACATGGTCCGACGACCACGACTACGACGACCGTCACGACGTCAGTGCCCGCGAGCCGGCGCGTCTCTCATGTGGTCAACCCAGGCCCACAACAGAAGACGGCCCCAACACCGACGCAGAAGGTGGCTGCTCCGCCGAGTCCGGGCGATGGACAGGGGCTGGTGCGGCGAAAGAGCCGGCTAGGCCTGGGCGATGTAAGTGGTATCAAACGTGTGTTTCTACGAAGGAAGAGTACAAAATGATGATATGTAAAATGATGGTGCGCAAAAGAGGGGCAATGTCTTCGACATTTGTGTTGTAATCAGCTTCGAGCATAGCAGGATGGACAGCACTGTACGGCAACGAGCATATTCACTCTGCTTCCTTGTGGCATTCCAACACAAACTCGTTCGCGCGTTCATGGCCCAGGTATGGTACCTGCGCTACAATGCCAGTTAGCATCCTCCTCCAACTCCCCCGCACCATACCCCTCACTCCACACCAGGGGGGCTACTAAATGGGTAGGCATACTTGGAGCTGCATGATGACCTCGGTGGCAGATGCGGCTCCGTGCCCTCTCGCCGAGTCGCCGCGAGTCTGTTCAGGAGGACCTTGAGTTCATAGCCATCGCTAACAGTAGACTGGATTTCGAGCAACACCTATTGACGGCAGTCGCGACCATCTTCTACTTACCATCGATCCAGGATCTCCATCATGGCACTTCCCGAGCCACCCATCTACCCAGACCTGAAGGGCAAGGTCGTCCTTGGTAAGTCTTGCCAGTTGAACACTCACGACTATACTGAGCACACGTCACAGTGACAGGCGTAGGCCAACAAGGCGACCCCGAGATGTGGGGAAACGGGGCCGCCACAGCCCGTGTATTCGCCCAACAAGGCTGCAAAGTGTTCGGCTGCGACATCAATCTGCCGTCCGCAGAGAATACGAAGAAGAGGATTGAAGCGGAAGGAGGAGAAATGACGGTCGTGCAGGCTAACGTTACCAAAACTGACGAGGTCAAGGCCTTGGTCGATGCTGTGATGGCGAAGTACGGACGGATCGACGTTCTTGTGAAGTGGGTCTTCCTGCAGAAGTCCCTCACGTTTCCGATGCTGACGGGAACAGTAACGTCGGCATGTCCCAACCCGGCGGTCCAGCAGATATGTCTGAAGAGGTATGGGACGCACAAATGGACGTCAACCTGAAATCAGTCTATCTCTGCTGCCATCACATCCTCCCGATCATGGAGGCCCAGAAGTCTGGCGCAGTCGTCAACCTCGCCAGCATTGCAGCCGTTCGATACATCGGCAAGGCCCAGATCGGCTACTCCGCTACCAAGGCAGCAGTGATTCAATTCACGAAGGCTACAGCGTTGATCTACGCCAAGAAAGGCGTTCGACTTAACGTTATATTGCCTGGCCTGATCCATACGCCTCTGATTGGGAGTTTGGCGGAGAAGTACAACAATGGTGATGTTGAGGGTTTGGTGAAGAAGAGGGACAGTAGTGTGCCGATGGGGAAGATGGGTGAGAGCCATGATGTGGCTTACGGGGCATGCTTTCTGGCAAGTCAGGCGGCGAGGCATATCACGGGGCAGAAGTTGATCATTGATGGGGGTGTGGTCGGGAATGCTTCGCCTGGGTAGACTATACAGGGAGATGTCTGGGTATGATGCAATGTCTTGCATGTGTAGGAGGTGTTCTCCAAGGATGTTGGAGATGGTAGACGAATAGAAACGTGGACGACTCGATGCTCCTACGGGTGCCAAGATCGTACTGTATCACTTGCCTCCTGTTGGACATCAGAGTGCCTTCCACTTGCTGTTGTGCTACTGGCAGGCGCGTAGCGACAGGTCGTTATAGGCAGTCAAGACCAGTGGCAAGAGCAGTTCACGCCAGTCGACTGACCAACCTAACGGATACTTATATCTCGTTGCCACAGAGGCGTCCACGCCCATGACGACCCTCCCACCCTCAGCAAGCGACCAAGTCTTCGTCGAGGTATCAGCCCTCAATGGCGGCTTCGTCACACTTCCAGAGAAGCTGTTCGTTACGGACGCAGACCCTAATCTCAAGAAGACTGTCCCATCAATGTGCTTCCTCATACGACACCGCTCGAAATCTGGCAAGACCGACCGTATCGTCTTCGACCTTGGCATCAAGCGTGAGTTGACACAGTAAGTCTTTGTGTTCCACTCACTTTCGTAACATGGCTTGCGTTATGTCTTCGGAGTCCTGCCGGAGAGTAGAACGCTGGGCACAAAGATGCAACCGCCTCATCTTTGCTCCAAGTCGGAACCACATACCCTGGTCTTGATCCTAGACTAACTCACATCAGGTATGCCCAAGGCATGCGAGACCATCTCTCCAAACGACAACCCATCACCACCTCGCCCGACACAGCGGAGAGCCTTCGCAAGGGCAACCTCGATCCGGCGACCGATATCACCCACGTGATCCTAAGCCACACTCATTGGGATCACATTGGCATGCCGAGCGACTACCCCAACGCTCAATTCATCGTCGGCTCTGGCACGCTGCACACCATCGTGCATGGCGCAAATCACTATCCAGCATCGATGTTCGAGAAAGACCCCTTACCTTTCGACCGCACGAAAGAACTTCCGCCAACAGCAAACTCCCCGTGCGCAGACATCGCCGCGCCCACAACACACCAGACAACCCACACCTGGCGACCCATCAGCACCCTCCCCAACGCAACCGACCTCTTCGGCGACGGCAGCATCTATCTCATCGACGCCCCCGGCCACCTCCAAGGCCACCTTAACTCCTCGCGCGCCTAGGTCCCGATCGGTGGCTCTACCTGGGCGGCGACTGCTGCCACGACACACGCATCATCACGGGCGAGAAGGAAATCGCAGAATACGACGACGGGCATGGAGGGTTGAGGAGCGTGCATTCGAACTTGCCGTTGGCGAGGGAGACCATTGCGACGATTCGGGAGTTTGTGGAGGCGAACAAGGGGAAGGTGGAGTGGGTTATTGCGCATGATTTGGGGTGGTGGGAGCGGAATCAGGGGAAGTTCTGGCCTGGGAAGATTTGAAAGGTTTAAGGGCGTGGCATTTGGACGCGGTGCGTATATACTATCTTGTAACAGCGACTGTTGTGACGCGTCCTTCTGTTGCGGCAGAAAGGATTCACATGGTTGGTGACAGACAAGAAAGTACAACTACTTGATCATCAGAAATATCTCTGTCATCCGGCTTCGATGGAGCCCCATCCTCCCCACAGATCTCCACGGACACGAGTTCCCCAGATATCATCCTTCTCCAATCTCCCCATCCCACTGGCACGTGCCCCTCGTCATACAGCCGCTACGTAGTATGCAATGGCTGATCAGGGAAGGGGTCAGTACGGGGATTGGTGTGGTTTCATCGGACGAGGGAAACAGCGATACAACTGACCAAGTGCCCAGAGACCAGGATAGAGCACGATGAGCTTGCTGGCATTCAAGATACATTCCATTGTAGCCGACTGAAAGCATCTGCGACGCAGTAGTCGACCAGCTATCAACCAGTTGGGTCAAGACTAGCATAACCGCGTCGCTACAGCCGATTGATCCACTGTCTGGTCTTCCACAATCGAGTTTCCTAACAAACAATCACCATGGCGCATACAACACCATCACACCCAACCCCATCGCCACCACCACCCACGACTTATGGCTGGATAGGCATAGGCAATATGGGCTACGGCATGGCAATGAACATCGCCAGAAAGATTCCGGCCACCGCACATCTCCTCATCAACGACCTCAGACAGGACCAAGTCGCAAAGTTCCTTGCCGAAGCAGTCGACGAGCACGGCCTCGATCCTGCCAAAGTTAGCGCCGTCGACGCCCCAGCAGAGATTGTTCAACGAGCGGAGATCATACTGACTTCGCTGCCGCATGATGAGGCCGTGAAGGAAGTATTTGAGAATGCTGAGACTGGGATTATTGCTGGCCTTTCGCGACCCACACATCCTGAAGAGCACACGCAGGGACACAACTCCACCGTGAAACTAGTTCTCGAAACCAGCACCATCGCCCCAACCACGACACTCCCTTTGCACGAAGCGATCACCGCCATGGGCACACATACCTTGACGCGCCAGTCTCGGGTGGCATTCCTCCAGCCGCAGCCGGAACACTCACCGTGATGGTGGGCGGTGCTTCCAGTGTGCAAGATCCAGCCTTACAGCGCGCCCTCCCAGTCCTGAGCATGTTCTGCACACCAGCTAAGATCTTCGCCTGTGGGCCTCCGGGCGCTGGGCTGGCGACGAAGCTAATCAACAACTACGTTGCCATGACGTCCTTCATCGGGCTGTGCGAGGGCATGAACACTGGAATTCGCTATGGTCTTGACCCCAAAATTCTGGGACAAATCATCAATGTCTCTAGTGGGATGAGCTGGAATAGTCTGCATATGAATCCCGTTGCTGGGGTCGTGGAGGGCGCGAGCTCGAACAGGGCATTCGAGGGCGGGTTCCCGACCGAACTGGCGCAGGGCGTTATGAGGCAGGCGAGAGACTTGATGAGGCAGGTTGGAGGGAATAGTGTGTTTGGGGATCGAGTGGAGGGGGTGTTTGAGAGGGGTGTGGAGGATGAGAGGTGTGCTGGGAAGGAGTGTAGGAGTGTTTGGAGGTTGTGGGAGGGGGAAGGGGAGGCACTGGAGGGCTTGACGGGTTGAGCAAACAAGTTACTTAGCAACAGCTGCTTGATGATGCTCTTGGGCTGTTGGAACTTGACAGAAGCCGAGGTCAAGAGCTGCTCGAATTTTCGAGGCTCGGGTGCTCCTTGATCGTCGAAAGCTTTCGCGGCTCCAGCTTCTTCGACAGTGGCCTCGGGGACAAAGACACAGACGAGATTCCAGAGAGCAGGAGCTTGTTTGCTTCGTCCAGCTTCAGATCACAGAGTAAACCGGATGGTTTACTGATGCTCATTTTGATATTGTTCATCTGCGGCAGTCGGTCGCTACTATTCTGTTGGATCGTCTGTTTGCGGCATTGCAGCCGTTGATTGTGGCGGCGTTGGCGCCATTGGTAGCTGACGTAGATTACAATACATAGGACGAACACGATGGCGGCTACGATGCCAGCGTACTTCCAGCTTTCAGGGGTGGGGTTGTGCTTACTTGGTTCAAGCATGCCTACCGGAGGACTTGCTGGCTCGCTACGTTTAGCGGCCAGTACGGGGTTATGAATGTTGTTTGTTTTCGTCGGTGCCATATTTGCGTTGCTCAACAGGTTTCAATGTTCTTCAAACAGAAAATACCATCAAATTCATGCTGAATATGCGCCGTCTGTTGTCGTTGCTCGAGTATCGTCGAAAATAGGTGCTGGTCTCTTTGTCTGCTTGTCGCTTCTTGGTCGACCTGATTTGTTGTCGAGACAATGCTGTTGGCGGAGCTCGAACAAAGAAACGCAGGCATCGTGGACTTGACCGTTCGAGCTGAGCGGGCTGCTTTCGATGGGGATGCACACTTGTTGGGAGAGTGACTGTAATTAGGAGTGAAGTCGTTCGCAGCTGGGCGGCTGCCACCTGTTTAGCACGTCCGTTCGTAGGCCATACTCCAAGCAGACGAAATGTACTAATACGCGACATGGGAGAAGGATCGCATAGGACAATCATAGTTGCACAAATTGATCGCGTACACCGTGGTCTTGACTCTTGTGCTGGCTTCACACACTCGCATCGCCATCATCATAGGATTTGCCGCCACCGCCTTCGCGACCTCCCATTGTCAGTCTGAACCTAGCCCGCCCAGCCATACAGCAGTCCAAACATGCCATGCTGCATAGTATGTGTCGACAAAACCCCTCGTAGCACGCGATTGCGCTGCTACCCTCGTCGTCCGGACAGGCACAACAACGCTCACAGCTCTTGGCCGGTTCAACGAGTCAGTGCGAATCCGGTCATCAAGCAAACGTTCGTGCTGCCGGAGTCTGCGAGCAGGAATGATAAAGATCGTGCTAAGAGGGATAAGAAGGACGAGAAGAAGAAGAACTCGGAAAAGGACGACGACTCGAGTAGCAGCAGCGACGGCTCGGAATATGTGCCTATATATTTTAGCACAAAAACGCTGAAGGAGATGGCAGCCAGAGTGAAGCGCGCGCGGTAGCCGAGCACTTCTCCAGGTCTGAACTCAACGATTCTAGCATGTCGAATGATTGGGAACAGGAAGTTACCCCGGGCTTCACAATGTAGAGACATGATGAAACTTGAAGGCGACGAGCCTGGAATGACGTCAAACGTCCTCAAATGGAATTCACTGCCTGCTTCCCGTTCGCCTTCCTCACATCCATTCTGCTCCTTTCCGAACAAGAAGGGTACCCAAGGAATCTACTTTCACAACTAGCCAGATCACCATGAACGTCCCCAAGTTCAACGAGCGCGAAAAGGCTCTCGAGAACGACTATATCCGCAAGAAAGAGTCAGATCGCTAGCCGCTTCAATGGTCGGGCGAGTTATACTAACGGTGGAAAACAGGGCGGAGAAGTTCAAGAGCAGCGTCCCAAAGCCAGGTACAACCTCCACGGGGCCGCAGGGAAGTGCTGGGGGACAACAGGTGCGACACTCTCCCCTTCTGTGGAATGGTCCGATCTGACCTAAACGTGCTACAGACAAATTCGGGCAACCAGAAATGAGGAATGACTATGTCTGCTTGAGCATCACAAGGAGTATTGTTTGATCGGAAGCATTACTACCTATGTAGTGTTAGGGTGACAACACTGTGACTGGCGGCCCCTCAGGCTCACGCTTCGAACCCTCCGCTCCACCTCTTTTCTCAGTACAACGTCTACGGACGTTTATCATCTGTTATGACTGGGCATTTTGCGCTTGTTGTCATCCGTAAACACGCTCAGACCAGTCAGCGGAGAGCCTGATAGGCTTGAGCACCGTCAGCTGAGATCAAGTCCCTGAACTCTCCTCTCCGCCCCACCCCTGATGGACGAGAGAGGTGGAGCGGAAACGGTTTCTGAGCACATTTTACATTTCAGCTGGCTTGATTATGACTGGAACTTAACGACTTTCTGACATGTGATGTCCAACCGCAGTTCTATATAGTCTGCACCTCCCCTCGCTCTCCTCAGAGATTTTCTTTCCTTCCTTTGTACAACATCTGTCGAATAATATTGCCATATTTCAAATTTGCCATACTTGAGCATTGGAATATGTTGGTATTTGAAGTCATATGTGTGTGCACCATTGTCTGGCTTTGCTTGCAGAGCCTTCGGGGGTGAATTGTGTATGTAAAGTAGCATAGTATGTGATGGAAGACGAAGCAGTGTCGTTGTCGCTGTCGCTGGTGGTGAACCTGCGATCTGGTAGTCCTTTGTTGCTCCTGCGTCGTAGATTTATTACTCTTGCCTCCCGTGTAGCTTCATTGGCTCTGCCTCGTAGCTCTCGCGCTCTTGCCTCTTGAGGCCTTTGCTCTTGCCCCGTAGTCTGATCTACTCTCTAGCTTCCATTCGGGTAGAGCAAGAGCCGCCAGGAACGCTGAAACCGGAAGCAGCATTTGCTTGTGTCAGCGACGCCGAAGAGTGACCTCTCCGTTCCGCTCCTCCCTTCTATATGTTTTAGAACGGCAGAACGGCAGTCTCTTCGGCCACTCCGAGCCGCCTCTCATGCACACGACCACGGTCACCAGTGCAGTACCTGAAGCCGACCCGGGCAGCGTACTATACAACAACCGGTTCTGTCTCTACAAAGCCTCCTCAGCCAATCCGAAGCTGACACGCCCCCTCCCCGACCCGTCCCGCCTTCCCCTTGATATAGCTCCTGCAATGCTTTCCTCTATTTACACCATCTGAACCTCCTGCTCCAGGGATATCCTACTACGCCGCATTCCTCCAGCCACGGCCACGACCCCCGAGCCGCCCGAGATCACATCTCCTGAATCCTCAGGGCCATCGAATGCTTGTAGGGCACAGTCAAGCCTCAGTGCCTAAATCGGAGGAGCTGTCGGTCGGTCACTATTGGTAAGAGTCGTAAAAGGGGTGAATTCCGCAGTTGGCATGTTTTCCGTGGGCCACTCATAGACAGGGGCGCCCTTATAGTTCGGTTCTGTCTGTGGCAAGCATGACCACCCAGGCCTGGTAATGACTCTCGAAGGCCAGTCTTCGAGATACTCAGGCCGCAGGGATGCATCGTTTGGTGGCGGATAGCAAAAGGTCAGCATCGTTGTCGTCGTTACCGAGGTCACGCCATGAGCTGTCTTCAACATAAACGCCAGGAAGGCTGACCAGATCAAGCGAGACGGATGCATAGTGTAGACCATGGAGAGTAATATGCGATGAGAATGGAAAGTCTGGCCAGGGACGACCTTAGACTATTAAATACCTAAGAATCTCAGCTTCGTCGTGGAGACAGGTGGCCAGAGTACCTTATGTTGCCCCTCTTAGTGCACAGCATCCTCCTTTCGGTGCGCATTCTCTCCCGAGAACCTCTTCGCAAACACCGCCCCAACATCCCCCTCAATCCGCCTCTCCTTCCCCTCCAACACCCTTACAAGATACTCCTCCAACCCCATCGGCTTGAAATCCGGGTAGAGCTCCTTCGCATCCAAATACCCCAGATACTTTGCATTTTCCAACGTATTGTCCCCCCTCACAAACTTTGCATAGTTATACTCCGCACTGATCACCCCAAGCCGCTTCGCCCAACTCTGCGGGTCGCCGGTTTTGAGGGCCTCGGCGTACGCGACGCGTGCTTCGTCGCGACGTTTGAGTGTTTCATTGTCGTCGATGTAGACCCGAGGGATGGTCTCGCCGGAGAGGCGTTCCATAAGGGACCAGATGTCGTTCTGGGAGATCTCGTCGGACCAGGTGACGACACGCTTGTTGAGGGTGCGTGGGTCGCGGATGATGCGGGCAACGTAGCGACCGATGTCGCGCTTTTCAGTGAGGAGGGTGGGCTTGTTGCCGTCCCCGTTGATCTCGGTTTTCGGGATCCACATGGCATAGTCGCCTCGCCCACTGGGGAGGGAGGGGAAGGAGATGGAGTGCCAGTAGCCGACATCAATGATGGTGAAGGGGACGCGCAGGCGGAAAATGTGGTCGTGAACGAGCTCCTTTTCGTCGCGGCCCATCATGATGCCGCCGCGGGGCGAGATGCTGATGAAGCCGCAGGGGATGAAGCGTTTGATGTTGGCGGCTTTGGCGGCGTCGGCCCAGCGGTACTGTTCGTTCTGGGCATTGGCGCCGAGAGCGCTGATGAGAATGTCGATGTTTTGGAGGTGGGTTGTTAATTCGGGGACGGGTGCGCGGATGTCGCCGACGACGATGTTGATGCCGCGGTCTCGGAGAGACTGAACGGCGGTACCGGAAGCGGATGTTGGGCGTGTGAAGACGGAGACTTCCTGGTGATGATCAGTTGAAGTGTTTCGTCGGCTGAAATCGTACTGACATATCCGCCGTCTTCGATCAAGCCATTGACAACGTCTTCGCCCGTCTCGCCTGTGCCACCAAGAATTAGCACTCTGAGTTTCGCCGCCATGATAGTCGAGACCAAATGTAGATTGACTGGTACTCGATGCCGTGCTTCAGGAGGCGCTCTACGAAGCTATATGAAGACCAGAGGGTGTGAGCTCGAATGTAGCCGACCATGGCCTGATCCGTCAGCCACTCGGACGAATTTCCATGGTCAGCAGGACTCAACGAGTACTTTTGGTAGAGATCGGTACTGATCTCCCCCGGATTCCATAACGGACGGGCGAAAACAATTAGCCGTTCGGTCGAATTTGGAACTGAAGGTTGCAAAATCCGTGTGCATAAACGACACAAACAAAATTGTGCTCTGAGTTGTCCACACGGGAAGTCGAGATAGGTAGTACTCTGTTGACATCAGTAGAACGTCGTTTGATACTGGTACTTGCGGTCATGTTAGATTGACCGCTTTGTAATGGTGGTGAAGCGACTTAACATCGTCTTCGTTGTGGGAGCGCGATTGGATCACCTCGTGCGCATGTCTTCACGGAGTTCCATGATCGCGATCAAGACAGGTAAAGCTGGCGATGGAACATGCGCCAGATAGCTCCGAGTAAAGTCAGATCGGTGTTGAACAAGGCCGACCGGGTGTCGTGGAATCCATTGCGGCCCTTCATCGGTCAAGACCTACCTGAACAAAAGGCCCTTGTGTTAGATACCTGTGACTCAAGGTGTTTGAATGCATTCACAGTCAGCAGCTCCTCAGACTCTTGACATGTACAGCTCCCATCGCAGAGAGCCTCTGTGCTTCTCGGATGCCCCTGAAAGTGAAGGAACTGACTGACACCATTTGATCGAGTTGCTGGAGACAAAGCAAAGTGAAGGATCAAAGTGCCTAGAGTTGTTGCCAGAGCCACTACTAATCACTCTGGGCCAGTCACGTGGCCAAGTTGCCCCTCACAAACCTTGAAAGAATACCTTACAGCGGCAAACGCAGCCTCCACCTTTGTTGGCTAAATACACCACACCGGTATCCTCACAATCAAGTCACACTCCGCACGACGATTCTCATCCAGACACAGACACCCACCAGAGAGTCGACTTAACCATTCACCATGCCTAAGAACAAAGGAAGTAAGTCTCAAAACCGATCACACCCCTCCCACATCGCAAACAACCACTGACGCCTAAATCACAGAGGGAGGCAAAAACCGCCGCCGCGGCAAGAACGAGAACGACAACGAGAAGCGCGAACTCACCTTCAAAGAAGAAGGCCAAGAGTACGCCCAAGTGATCAAGATGCTAGGCAACGGCCGCCTCGAAGCCCTGTGCTTCGACGGCGAAAAGCGGCTTGCGCACATCCGGGGCAAACTCCGCAAGAAGGTCTGGATCAATCAAGGCGACATCATCTTGCTGTCGTTGAGAGACTATCAGGACGAGAAAGGCGATGTGATCTTGAAGTATTCAGCGGACGAGGCGAGAAGTCTGAAGGCGTATGGCGAGTTGCCGGAGAATGCGAAGATTAACGAGACGGATACGTATGGGCATGAGGAAGGGAATGACAATGTGGAGTTTGACGAGGATCGGGATAGTGATAGTGATGATAAGGATATTGATGTTGACAATATCTGAGCGGGGGTTCCGGGAGGGAATGCATTAGGGAGGTTACGACTTGCAACAATCACATATGTCTGTCGCTTCGCGACATGGCACGATGGCACAAACGACTCATCGAATCGACATATGGACGCGACACGGACAAAGAACTTCGACGTCCCGACACCCGCGAAGTTGTGGTAGTGACTACGCTCTCGGACATCGCAAACACATAGTCTGGAGCCTTGACTCCAAAGGTCGTCTCGCAGTCAGAAGACAGCCGCAACGAGCTAAGGCCCCAGTCACCACACCTGAAATCAATGCAGAGAGGCTTATGCTGTGGCTTCTCTGACAAGCTGGCCACTTCAATGAGCAAAATTATCTCGCTTGAGTCACGGCAACTCATGTGGTCTTCCTATAGCTCACGGCGAACGAACGCCGTTCAGCTTTTCCATTTCTCACCATCATCCTCGCATTCGGATTGCTCCCATATTTTACAATAGTCTGTCCTTTTTCATCCACAACCCGCCAAAACCCAGGGTCTCCTATGTGGGAATAATTCATCGTTCCGGTGACAGTACCCACCCCCATCATAGTCTTTTGCGCGATGAGCTTTGCCCTGTTCCGACCGATGGTGAATGTGCCCCGGACCCTATTGATACCTTCCTCAGATCCCGCCAGCGAGTTGAATTCGTGTGCGATGGGTGCCAGTTCCTTCACAACGGCGTCCGCGACCATCGCCTTCAAGCCGGACTTGGTCATATTAGCAAGCTCAGCCGCCACCTCCTCTGCTGTCCTTCGGTCCCGAGTCGTGTGCCGGAAGATGTCAATCAGGTTGGCCACGCCTGGGCGGCGGATGTGGTCATAAGTAATGCCGTCCTCGGAGTCAGTGACTGCGCCCTTGATCTTCGCTCGAATGTCCTCTTCACTGTCGTTGATCATTATCCTCGATGCTGGGTCTTGATCGGATTTGCTCATTTTCTGGGTAGGATTCTTCAGGCTCATGATCCTCTTAGCAGGACTGATCTGCGGCGTAGGAGGGGTGAACAATGGCTGATCAGCCGGGCAATATGCGTGGTTGAATCTCCTGGCTAGATCACGAGCAAATTCAACGTGTTGTGCCTGGTCCTCGCCAACGGGTACGATTTCTGGCCTGTACAGCAGAATGTCGGCTGCCTGTAGCACGGGATAGGAGAAGAGCCCCAGCTTGAGCTTCTCAATCGCGGCACTGTCCGTGACTGAAGCATCATCCGGCAAAGACAACTTGGACTTCCACTGAGTCATGCGCGAGAGGTAGCCTGTTGAAGCAACCGTTGAAAGGATCCACATTAGTGAGGCGTGATGTCCGATATGGCTCTGCACGAATAATGTGCTATGGTCGGAGTTCAAGCCAAGGGCGAGTAGGCTGGTGCAAGAATCGAGGAGATTCTTGGCAAAGAGCTCTGCATTATGATTGCCACCCGTCAAGGCGTGCATATCGACGATACAGAATATGAGCGACTTCGGGTTATGGCCAGGGATTGCTGCGGCGGCATCTTGAATATCCTTCCAGGGACGTAGCGCCCCAAGGTAGTTTCCCAGATGTGGTATGCCCGTTGGTTGTATACCAGAAAAGACCTTGCATTGGGGCAAATTGGCTGGATAACCTAGGCCTGGTTCCTCAACAGTTGGGTCACCAAGTACTGGATGATCAGGGAGTTGATGATCAGGTACTTTGGTGTTGATGAATATGTCTGTTGGTTGTGAGCCGGAAGAGGCCTTGCGCAAGGGTTTCTTAGTGGTCCTCGAAGTCGATGCGTGCCGATACAAGAGATGGTCTCTCTGTTGCAGTCCGAAGGCTTCAAAGATCTGTGTGGAGCGCCGAGCTATACGCCAGCTCATCGTCATCCAAGTAAGGAGCGAATGTGTAGCCGTGAGCTCGATGTATTGATTGGAAAGAAAGGATCGCCGCTTCCTAGTCCGTGGTCGCTGGAAGTGGTAAGGAAATATCTCTCAGCCAATCAGCGTCGAGGTTCTCATCACAGCGACCTATCTTACTACTTCCCCGGGTTTGCTCTTGCTCCCGTTGCAGGTTACGATCACGATGCCTGCGCGGATAGCTCTTCGAGCTCGGTGGCACTCTGCCACGAGCCGGCCATTCTCGTCTACGAGCAGTCGGCCGGCTGCCATCGAGCTGGCGCACACCATTCACGAGGCACCGGATGGGCAACATTCTCAGAAATCGCCCATCCTACTGATGCATGGACTGTTCGGTTCCCAACGCAACAATCGCACGATGAGTAAGTACGGCAGCCCAAACCTTGCAGCCGCGAACAGAGCACGATGTCTGACCATCAGCCCCGCGCAGAGTCCTAGCCAAAGACCTCTCTCGCAACGTCTACACCCTCGACCTGCGAAACCACGGCGACAGCCCTCATGACCCTGTGCACACCTACACCGCCATGGCCGAGGATGTGGAAGCCTTCATCAAGACCCAGAAGATCAGCGCACCGATCCTGATTGGCCACAGTATGGGCGCCAAAGTCGCCATGACCCTGGCGCTCCGTCAGCCCAAGTCATACACGGCCCTCATCCCCGTGGACAACGCACCCCTCGACGCGGCCCTGAAATCCGACTTCGGCGCCTACGTCAACGCTATGAAGAAGATCGAAGACCACCGACCACCTGTCAAGAAACAGTCCGAGGCAGCCGCTATCCTCGCGAAGACGGAACCGAGTGTCGCAATACAGCAATTCCTGCTTACGAACCTCGTCAAGGCTCCCGTCTCCACCACGCAAGCAGACGGCACCACGACGGCAGAGACAGCTCTGCGCTTCCGCATCCCACTCGGGACATTAGCGAAAGCGCTACCAGATCTAGCGGATTTCCCGTTCAAGGATCCGGATGTGGCGCGATACGAGGGGCCGACGTTAGTGGTGAGAGGGACGCAGAGTCACTATGTGAGTGATGAGAGTTTGCCGTTGATAGGAAGGTTCTTCCCACGGTTCGAGCTGCTGGACTGCGATTGTGGGCATTGGGTGATGAGTGAGAAGTTTGAGGACTTTAGGCAGGGTGTCGGCGCGTGGATTAGGAGGGTCGTTGATCAGGACTTGCAGGAGTAGTTCGTCGGGTTGACGGCACGGAGTGATTGAGAAGACCGCGTTACCGATGCGGTATGAACACTACGGAAGGCACGGGTCTTCTTTCATGGGAGCTGTTCGAGAGGCCAAGATACCCAATCAAGCAATTGACGACATCGTGGCGATGTAGGAGCAAATGCCGCCCGTGCGCAGACCTGCGGAAGGAGTCCTTGCAAGGGGAGCGAGTGATGTGAATGATACAACACCGTCCTCAGAATGATTCTGAATGTTTGAATTTTGATGCATATGGCTATTCGAGCACCACCTTGTCTAGCACACGTCCTTCTGTCCTAGGCTGCTGCGAGTAACGTGGCCGAAGCGCCCATTGCTTGGGCTACTCTTCGCACTCACTCATAGCTGATGGCCACCCGAAGTGTCTGCAGCGTCTCATCGCCGTGGCGATCAGCTGTCAGACAAGCAGCCGTTCAGCCTTTGCAGGACATGCTCATATGTGTAACATTGATCGACGCCTCCCCTGATCACTTCTTACACGCTCTCCAACGGGGCCGGCTCCTTGAAGTCACCGCCCCGATCGACCTTGTTACCAGCATCATCCTGACCACTCTCACCGTGCAGACCCAACAGAGCACCAAGATCGAACTTGGGTGCCTTCAACAGCTTCACTTTCCGGATGTGCACGTTCTGTAGAGGGTAAATGCCCTGTGTAGCCTTCTCAATTTCACGACCAATAGCCTCTGGGATCAGCTTGCCGGTCAGGCCAGCGAGCGTCTGACTTGTAGCCTCACGCTGGATAATTTCGGTCATCTTCTTCCGGATGGCACGGATCTGTGAGCTGGCGGCATATGTGGTCTTCTTGATCTGGTTGGGCCGACGTTTGGTGAAGGCAATGGCGAAGAGGCGGAGGAGGTAGTCATCGGTGGTCTTGACGGTGACGTTGGCCTCGATGAGGGTCTGCCACTTGCGGACGAGGGAGCGGAGCTTGTCGGAGGTGAAGTCGAGGCCGTGGAAGTTGGTGAGGCAGTTCTTGCCCTGGACTTCGTCCACTCGGAGCTTGACCTTACGGAAGGCGTGGTCTTCGTCGTTCTGGAGATCGGCAAGCGAAACTTCGAAGATGCGGCCTTTGAGGGCGTCGTTGGCATTCTTGAGACCGGTCGTTCGGTTTACGAGGGTCTTGCCGACACTGTAGGCGAATGTCAGTGGTTGATAAAGCCTCCTGTTATTGCTCTTGCACGTACTCTCTTGTGTTGAATGTTGATGGCGCCTTGACTGAGTACCAATCTTTGCGTGTGAACGGATCTTGGGTTCTCTTCTTGAGACCCTTCTTGCCTTTCGACAATCTCTTATTCCTGTTCGAAGTGTAAGTTTGCTGTTGTCGAAGAAGGGTGAATGTGTGGAGGCCCAACGTACTTGCCAACAGCCATGATTGCGACCTATGCTATCTGGAGACGATAGGAAGTCGAAATCAGAGGATGCTCTTTGAAAGGGAAGAGAGCGACGAGGTTGCGGTGGTGGGATGCGGTCTGTAATGCGCTGCGAAGTCTGCTCAGATCGCATTTGTGTGATCTCTTGGCGCTCTAGCCGAAAAGTCTCGCCAAGATTTCATGTCGATGGCCCTAACCCTACGGGCCCGAGATTTCGTCTTCGTTTGAAGCCATGCTCGTCAAGTTCCAGCTTCCTCTCCATCATCGCCTTGGCATAGGTCCAAAAGCGTGGCATCGAATGTTTGCCGCCCATTCGCCATGACTGGATAGGATCATCATAGCGATCTCTAGCGACTACGCGCCCAGCTACGTCGCCTTGAGAATGATTTACTTCAACGGTCAACAGCATTAGCCCTTGTGTCTACCAGGGGCCCAGACATCATGTCATCGCGCCGTCTGATGACCGTTCCGGTGAAAGCGCTGGGCGCCGGCATTACAGTCCGGTACTCGCCGGACATCGTTCATTACGGCCAGGACCAGCGGCTCCTGGCTGAACAGCCCCTGCTGCCCTCACGTCCCTACATGGAATCATGGCTGACAGACGCTCCTCCCGACACACTGAGGTGGCAAGTCTCCACTCGTCCCAGTGTCAGCAAGCTCAAGAAGAGCACGCAGCGTAGTGCCTTGCAGAGCTACTGGTACAAGTCACTTTGCCAGGCATTGTGGGAGAAGGGCTATAATGACAAAGGTCAGATAGCTGGCACAGGCGGTCGTGGGTTGGTCGGCACCATGGAAGTCACCATTTTCGATGGGGATGGGTTCGGACAACCCGATGAGCATCTGCGGACCAAGTGTGCGGCAATTGTTGGCGAGATAGAGCGAGCAGCAGCACGCCCCCAGAAAGGTCTAGATATCAGAATATCGAGGCCCACCTCGAAGAAGTATGTGGGCAGACGGGCCGGCAAGGATTATTCTGCTTCGGTTTGAATGGCAGAGGACGGCAGAGTCTTGGGCAATTGGTTCCTTGCCGTCAATCGGTCCACCCGCCACAGCTCAAGAACCGGCAATCACCTCTTCAGTGATCAATCAATGTTGAGCTAGTCCGACATCGATGCAATATCTAGACGAGCAATGCAACCACGTCCATGATTTGGCTTAGAATGTAGACATCGCTTGTACTTTGCACCTAGACTGCCTGCGGCGGATAGCTGATGGTACTGTACGAGATAGTCCGAATCTTTGCCAAGCCTTAATCGCGACTTCGAAGTGCGGTGCGTCGAGCGTTGCCCTGCAGCGGAACGTGAAAGTCAAAGCTTCTCTATACCAGCCGTCATCCTCTTCTTCCGATACATCATCTAGCTACGACAATGCTGGTGTCTCTGACCGTCGGCAAGGTCGACGCCGGCGTGGCTGTCCTGCTCACTGAGGACAAGCGACTGGTCAGACGACCCTCCCGACGCCTTTGCCTGACTAGGCTTGCTAACGCGCTGAACAGATCGAATTCCCCTCTATCCTCCTCCCTCCATCAATCACATCCGGGTCCATAGTCGACATCACAGTCGCGCAGAACTTCGACGCCGAGCAGAAGTCTCAAGCAGCCTTCGAATCTCTACAATCCCAGATCCTCAACACATACGGGCTCCGCGCCCCAGCAACACCAGAACTACGATTACGGAATGCGACTCAAAGCACCATTGTTCTCGAATGGGACCCCGTACAGCTCGCCACCACAACCCTGCGCTCGCTGGCCCTGTACCGGAATGGACAGAAAGCAGGCAACATCCCACGGCCCATGGACATGTTGAGCACGAAGATCAGCGGTCTGCAGATGAACACAGAATACTCCTTCTACATGATCCTACGAACAAGCGGCGGCACTTACACCAGCAACACCTTAACGGTCAAGACACACGACATGAGCAACCTCACAGGCATCAGAGTGACGCCCGGCGTGCTGCCACCACAGCTACGGGAGAGTCTCGAGACTGCCGTTGAGAGGATCGGCGCCAAAATCGTGGACTCGCCTCGGATAGACACCACCCACTTCGTGTGCACAGAAGGAAGAGGGAAAGACTGGGAAAGGGCAAACGAGATGAACATCCCAGTCGTGCGACCAGAGTGGATCGAGGGCTGTGAACGCGAAGGCAAGATTATAGGTGTGAGGGGCTACTATCTGGACGCGAATCCGAAGCACAGGCAGATCGGCTCGAACCCATCGTTATCTGGCCCAGCGGCGATGGCCAGTCCTGCTAGCCAGCAGGCTATGGCGGCGAGTCAAGCGGAGCTACCTGTCAGGCAACAGCAACAGCAGCAGCAACAACCACCAGATCCGAAATCGCCTGATCGCGAGAGTACTGTCAGCGGCGAACCAGGACCGGAAGTCAATGAGCCGCCATCTCCCCCACCCAAAGATGAAGGCGAAGGCCATCATTCACAAGAACCTGAGGCGGGAAGTCATGATGACGGCGACGAGAGCGAGAATGAAGGTCCAGAAGTAGCCCCTCCGAGAGTGGCCAACGACGCACGACCAGAAGCTACCTCACAGGAAGTCGAGGAGAGCTCCGACGAGGAAGAGCCGGTGTCTACGGACGGCGCGAGGAAGAGCAGAGAATCACAGGAGGATCCAAGAGACAAAGGAGGTGAAATGGAGGATGTTGACCTGTGATACGGGAGTATGAGGGCCTTCACCATCCACCATCCACTAAGTGCTTCAATTCCCTCTCCGAACACCCGTTCGAATACCCGTTCATCCATTCTCGCTTATCCGAACTGGGCTCATATCTATACGGAGGTGGTATCGCTGGGCGTTGGGTTGTTGCAGGCTGCGATTTATTCAGAGGCCTTCTGACGAGAAGTGCGATCCGAAAGTATTTCCAGCCTTGCACAAAGCTATCCGAGCTAACGTCGTACGGCCATCCATCGAGTTTGCAAACGAGCTCCCTGTCAAAGCCAACTAAGTCAGCCAGTCCTCCAATACGCGTGCGGCAAGAAGGCGGGCATGCTTACCAGTCTCGGCACTTCCGATACCATCGCTTCTCGTTGTATTTTTCGAGATGAGCAAACATCGTGACCGGCGCGAGGCTGCCTTTAAGGCCGATCAAGCTGGTCTGGCTCGCTAGGGTGTGGTGTTTATTGAGCTCCAGGGCCAGGCCATCGTTCATGGCCCAGTCAGGTGTTTCGGCATTCCGAGGATATATACCCATAGTCTTGAAGAAGAGGATGCGGTATTGCCAGTCTGTCCCCGTTGTTGACGGGAGAGTGACTGCTGCTGGTGCTGTTTCTGAACCCATGGCTGCAACGGGGACTTGAAGGGCCTTGTCAACACAGGTCATGTCTAGGACAGAGCAGTGACTTATAAGAGCCTATAAGAGTAGGGCTTCGCGGAGTACCTTCAGCTGATACAAGCTCTATCAAAGTACTACGGGCCAGGTACTCTAGAACCAACTCCATCCACGAAACGGGCTCAGCTTGCTTCTCGTGACATGCTGCGGTTCCTTGAACCAAGCATCACCAAAGCTAAACGTCAGGCACTCGCCATCAGCATACGGCCGTGACTGTGAGCTCCTTCGGGCAGAACACCCATCTGTACACGAATGGTCTGCAAACCGTGTCCTAGTATTTTATCATCTCATTATATGTCAGATATGGAGGGAGCTGATCCGGCACTGCTGTTTCCTTAGTGTCCTTCAGCGGCCTCCTCAGAACCACGCCAATCCCGTAGCGAAGCCAATCTTGTTTCTCGAAACGGCATCTGCCACCCTTTTCATTACAACCGCCATGACCGCAAGGTCCTTGGTATGGACCGTAACAAAAGTAGTACTGCGATGGCTCGTCTAGCTTGCAAACCAGTTCCCTAATGCGAAGGTTGTCAGTTAGGGCTCACGAGCTGGCTTGCTTACTCTACTCACCAGTCCTTGTGTCTCCTGTAGAAACGCTTCATGTATTTCGCTGCGTGGAGAACGATACATGGAGGAGGTTCGATGCCCTTGTAGGCCGCGAAGCTCGTCTTGGGTGGGACATCGACGGCGTACGTGGTCTTGAGATCGAGAAAAGCATAGCGAGCCCAGTCCAGACCTTGAGTGCTGCTTCCAGGTGGCCAGCGATTCGATGTCTGAAAGTAGACAATGCGCCACTGATATTCCGTCCCGCTCGTGGCGGGGAGCGCGATGGGTGTTGCGGCCATGGTGACTCGACGTCGTTACGAAGGGGGCTCGTGCAATGAGGGTGCTTAACCGAGCGCAGCAGCTGTCTTCTTGTCGCGCTTGGACTTTGACTCGATTCGTCAAGCTGATGGCGCTGTGATATACAACAGAACTGGGATTTCCGTGGTGCCGATGCCAAAAAGTACAGCCAAAGGTACTCATCGACAAAGCATAGTACCTCGAAGCTCTCCGCTGAGGGTCTCCACCCTCCTTAAATGCGCATGCTTCAGCTGCCTAGCTTCCCGGCAGGCCAGATGTTGTTGGGAAAGGGCATGGCTGATGTGGACCGTAGGGATTGCCTTGAATTGGATGTGCTGTTCGTGGTGTACGGCTGCATGGTGAGGAGCCCATAGGCAAGTATGCGGTCTGTGATGCCATGTCACAGATGATATGTGGGTGGCGTGGTGGTGCACCTGTAGAACTATGCCTCTGTGGGCGACGTGGGTCATGCCTTCCTGGCCCAGCAATGGTCTGTAGACGTTTCTGCAGATGAAGGCTATCGTGGGTGGCACCTTCCTCGGTTCACCAGGTCTCTTGCAGATACCGTCCTTCCTTCTGCATCTGGTCGACGTACTTCTCTGCTCCTTCGATGCCCATGACAGCCGCGCCTTCCACATTGCCTCTGTCATCAATGTCCGCCAGAACATCGATCAAAGCTTGGCGCACAGCCTTTGGCATGCTTCCCGAGCTGCCGCAGACGACGAACGTCGCTCGGCCTTCCAATACCAGACGGGCGATGTGAGCCCTATACTCTCGGATGCGGTCCTGCACGTAGATCTTCTGCTCTTGGTCGCGGGAGAAGGCGGTAATAAGCTTGAAGGGGTTCAGAGACGTATCTTGATCATGTTGTAATGAATGCCACTCGTCCCTGAAGAAGAAGTCTTGCTGACTGTTGCGGGCTCCGAAGATTAGGAAAGTCTCCCCCATAGGCGATGTCCTAAAAGGAGGGAGCGATCCGTCCCGTTCGTTGCAAATCGCTTGTCGTGAAGGCCAGCCAGCTGTTTCTCCCAGACCAGACTCCGCAGGGGCGCCAGGCCCGTGCCAGCACCAACAAGGACATGCTTGTTTCCGCCAGGCCGTAGTAGAGCACTTCGATTCTTGATGAGTCTGCCTTCTGTCCTCAGCGCGACATGGACCTTCGTCCCGGCAGGCAGGCCCTCCAGCCACCTTGTACACACGCCCCTCCGTATTCTCCTGATTACTGTCCGGTACTTGACGATAGCAACCAGCAGCTCAAAAGTCGTCCCCTTTTTAAGACCACCGCTATCCCTGGCCTTTGCACTTGCAATACTAAAAAGCCTTGGCCTCAGCACGGGCAGTATCTCCAGAGCCTGCTGCCAAGCACTCTCACCCCAGCCTGGAACTCCTGCAGAATCTCTAGTATGCTCCGCCGCGGCCGCGTCGCATAGTCAAAGTACTCGTCTAGGAACTGCGGGTCGGTGAACTCGAGCAGGCGTTCCCGTTGGAAGGTGTCCTGGGTGCAGTAGCGAGCGAGGGTGCGGAAGAAGGAGCGTCGGGGTATAGCGGAGATGTCGAGGGTGGTGGTGAGTAGGTTGCGGAGGGTCGTTGTTGGTTGTGAGCTGGGGTCGTGGGAGGAGTTGGGCGTGGTGAGGTGGGGAAGGGAAGGGCGCTCAAGGCACGGGTAGGTTCTGGTTGTTGTGGCGGTGGCATTGGACATGTTTGAGGGCGCTGGCTTGAGGACGATCGGGACGTCGGCGACGGCGGTCCAATTCATCAAATCTAGGAGTGCGTTCACATCCTCCGGGTCGTTCTCTGGGAGGAGGGCGAGTGCGTCGCCAGGAAGATAGTCGAGGTCTAAGGGCGTTTGAAGGCGAAGGAGACGGACATCTTGCCAGTGATCTGGCGGAGTGAGTCTTTTGTTGAGTGTGAGTATTGCTGGTATTCCATCTTCGAGTTGTGGTCGCGACGATGCATGTAACTCCGTAGAGCCATTGAGGTGGCCGCCGTTAGCTGAGCCGTTTGCGTGTGGCTGATGCACATGCTCGTCAGCTGATTCCAATAGCCATTGAGGCCCTTCCTCAACCACCAGGTGACCTTGGTCGCCACCATTCGCTGTAGGCCACTCCTCCGTCAACCAGGCCTCAAATCCGACCAGCCATTCATTAACACCACCCTCAACACCTTCCTCACCACTCTCATCTGCCTCACAAGCTTTCACCACTTCTTCTGCTCCGAGCTGAATCAGTCTCTTCCGCGCCTTCCTTGCCGCCCAGTTGAATTTGAGGTATGCCCGGTCGCCCAAGCCTACACAAGCAAACCTCACGCCACTCAGCTCCGCCCCAGCCACCAGCCTTTTCCGCAGCAGCTTTCGCCAGACTCGCGCGCATTGTTCGGTATGTCACCCTGTCCAGCAGTGGCGATGACGAAGATGCATATTGAGTAGTGGTGAAGGTAAGAGGGAGAAGGCAGGTCGTCACAGGGTATGATTTCGACGGTCGTAAACTTTTGCTGGGCAAGCAATGGCCGGAATGATGAAGCGATGTCTTGTGCTGTGCCGGTCTCGGTGGCGTAGAGGATGAGTGCCGAGCGGTCCGGCCTTGACGTTGATTCAGCCGATATGGATGGTACGGTTGTGGTCATCATTGCTGGTCCATCAAGGTCTTGGCGCCAGCTCATTGTCGAGACGTGTACCGGAATGCTGACTACGTGCGCGGGTAGTGGGTCTCATCTCGAGCGGTCGCGCTTCGTACAAAGGTATGACCAGCGACAGCATGTATTAGAGGCTGATGAGGAGGGATCAATATCGAGATGGAGTTGTCTGTCACAATCTTTCACATCAGTTCCACCTCGATGCCGTAAGTCGGGCTTGGCATTGAGTGATGGCATTTCGTATTTCAGTCATTGCCGATCAATGCTACTGGAGTACAGCGGTCCGACAGAGGCCGCCTAGACGTAGGTCGACCGGGAGGAGTAATTGCAGGAGTCTCATATATCATTATAGCTCAACCACCCTTATGTGCAAAGCATTCCAGCCGAGATATTAACAGTAACCTAGTCCCAATGGAAATCGTCACTTCTTTTATAGTTCGCCACCTGATCATCAACCAAAATGTCGCTGACAGTACGCCAATATGTCCAGAGTAGTCGTAAAACACAACGCGAGAGCCAATCAGCCTGCCCAGGCCAAGAGAGAATCCAAAGGCTCCAGCCAATTGAGCGAATATCAGACACCACGACGGCCTAGAACGACCATCGAACTTGCCAATTCGAGCCACGTTGATCCAGAAACAGACCACCTCTTCCACAGCCAACTTTTCACACAGCGCCTAACATCCACACAAAGAAAATGCTGGTGCAGCAACAACCCCCGATCCAAACACGCGCTATGCCAATAATTGCGTGACTGAACATGCAAGACCCTAAAGATGCCGAATAGACCGAAGACTTTCGCCTTTGATGCGAGCCATGCCGATTTTGCTGATGCGACCAGCAGCGTTGTCATGACCGAGAAAGTGTCCCAAGCAATCAAGTCGTGTGCATCGTAATCATTCAACCCCAGACCGATGTCGTCCCAATCTTGTTGTTCCCCCAAACACCACTTCCAGTTCCCCACGTTCCCATCCCAGTGTTACCCGTTCCTTCCTTGGGCGGATTAGCATTCGAGTTTGAGGAGTTGGACCTTTCGTTGTTCTGGTCAGTTGCGCCAAATCCAAATGGCATTGGCGATGTAGTCCTTTTGTTCAACGGCTGGTTCGGCGGATTTGGCCGGCTTCCGATGGGTGCCATGCCGCCACCTACAGGCGCCGTTGTGGACTTGGATAGCTGCCTTGAATGTCCGCCGTCCTCGTTCGGTCCGGCTCCTGAGGAAATGGCCTGGTCAAAGCCACCAAAAGTGGGCTTGCTACCCAGGGGCTGGTCGGTGGGCTCCTGAGACTGTCCTTGGCCGGGCGGTCCGAAGCCGCCCATAGTTCGAGGTGAGGGACCTCGAGGTCCACCGATTGATGTAGCGCCGGCCTGCTGCTGACCTTCTTCGCTTGAATAGCCAGCTGGAGCGTTCAACATGTTACCCTCATTTCCGTACAAGGCGCGCTGCTGACGAGCAATCAGTTCCCTTCGGCCTTCCTCGCTGATGCCACTTGGGCTCATGGAGCGGTCGGATTTCGTAGAGGACATGTCTGCCAGGACGCCTGTTGATAAGTCATTAGGCAATTTGGAATAGGTCGTGGAGGGATGCTCACTGCGGTTGTATTGTTGCTCCTGGTGGTAATTGCGCAGCTCCCGCTCGCGCTGAGCAGCCATACGTCGTTTGGCTTGCATCATTTGATCGGGATTGTCGTGGCGAGGGCCCTGGAATCGTTGTTGGGCATAAAAGTTCTGCATGTTGGAAACTGAACCACGATGAGACGGGTCAAAATCGCTCACTGAATGACGACCACCATGCATGCGTTGTCCTACAAACGTCAACTCCGAGGAAGTAACTCGAGTGGAGCACATAGACTGACCATAGTCGGGATACTGTCTTCCGGTAGCAGCAACCAAGGGCATGGGCTCACGCCGTGGCCCTCCCGGAAAGAACTTTCCGCTTTTGACCAAGTTATCGAGTGCCCGATCCACCTCTGCACAGGACAGATCAGTATGAGCCAATGTCTTGTCCGGCGAATTCACATGCCTTCAATCTGGGTAGCGAACGCATTGTCATCGGGCGTCGTGGAGCTAGAGCGCGAAGGCTCTGGTATCTGCTCCCAGGACGCTGGCGCGCTGTCGCAGGCGCCTGCCATCCTTGTGGTTCGTACGAGAAAGACATCGGGATATTGGTCGGCGTCGAGGGGTTCGGACCGAAGAACGGAACAAAAAGCTAGAACGCTAATGGAAATAAACTGCCGTCCAAAAGAGCACTGCAACAAAGCAACACAGTTAGCATCTTCTTCGAAACGGGTAAACAGATCAGATATAATGTATGACAAAGTATTCGCTTGGAAGAATGAAGTGTGCGGGCAAGGCCGAGGCCAGGCAGTTGCCCTCGTGGGGGATGGTGCGCTTGAGTGAATCTCCAATGTTGATCAGAGCAAGCACTGGATGGGCTTACTGAGAAGAGGGCCTGGCTCGTTCTTCAGCACACTCTGTGCTATATTGCAGGGCAGGAGAGGAAGCTTTCTGAGAGAGGAGGACGAGGAGAAGAAGAGGGAGGAAGAGGACAACGAATGGGGAATTCGCACGAGGTAAGGTCGAGGTAGCAGTAGATGATGGTGGTAGTGATGAGAGTTGGGTGAGGAGAAAAAAAAGAAGCGCACCCAAGCGTAGCGCAGGCTCGGTTAGTGGTGAACCCACGTCCCAAGACGAAAACCTTTTTGAATCCTCCATTTCTACCACTATGGGCCACGCCGAATACCCCGTCATTATTCTAGTAGTCCTCGTGGCTTCCCTCCAAGGCCCGAGTCTAACAATGACTTAGCGTGGGTGCTGTGGGCGCAACTCGGCAGAATGGTAGGCTGGTAGTGGCCATAGGTGGACTCGAAGTCTGGCTTCATCTCATGGTTTCCGAAGCACAGGATTCTAGTGACGTGCTTTTTGACAGCGACGAGGCTTCCCTTGAAACTTGAAGAAGGAGCTATGACAACGTTCTTGGCTGATGGCACTTCGAACCTCGTCATTCTGCCAGACAGAAATGACGGCCTGACTTCCACGAGTCAATTGCGCCAGCTGGGAGAACTCACATTTCATTGGTGGAGCCAGCAATCTGGGGATGAGGACCAGCAATCTGCTGATAAAATGGAGTATTCTTCTCGAGTCGCCAGATTCAGAAAACCAAAGATATCGTCGTATACATAGGCATAAGTAATGCTCGTAGTGTGATCACGGTCCACATCGCGACGAGACAGAAAGTAAGGGCAGGCCAATTCTCTTCAGAGGCATCAACACGCACAACGACCGATAATCAACGTGAATGCCCCATTATTGGCACACCGGCAATATACAACACAGCTGCAGTGCCAGACCCCAGTCCTCGAAGCAAATATCCGTCTGCATGAACTTCGGCTGGCTACTTGGAGCAGAGACCTCCCATCAATCCGTCACTGGTGCAGGAAACGAGTGTTTGCGCACTTTGGATTTTCGAGACCACGGCAGCGGCTTCAGGACTGATAACGTGCAAACCAAGTGCCCGAATCATCTTGTGATGTGTCTCAATGATAATCTGACCACATGTGCATGTGTTGTGGTAGGAACGGACTCAACAGAGCGTCAGTACCCCAGACAGGGTTGTTGCGCTCGACCCTGGGTTGTGCTTCTCGCGTTACACATTCAATGCTGAGAAATCTTTAGCTTGAAACAGTAGCCAATATGCCAGTGATTGACGGTGAGCTAGCCGTGCATTCTCAAGAATGCGTCATCCAGCAACAGGGAAGTCATGACCTTGCTCGCTGAGAAGCAATCACAACAAGTCAGAGGTCTGAGGACATCGGATTTTATAAATGCTGTTCCTACGAAGGATAGCCGTGCAGCCGTACCCTGGAAGCTAAATTTAACTGTGGCTCGGGGCTGGTGTGGCTCCAGGCGATTGATGACTGCAGATTTCATCAGAGGCGGCTTGTGGGAGCGTTGTGGTGGAGCACTTGCTGCGCTCCGCGTTTTCGAGGTTGTGTGTTCTTCGCTGTCTCTGCAATCACCCAGAACAGGTGGTTTGTGTCATGCGTTGATGCGACGGCACGTCGGTCCTTTGCTTTCGGATCTTATTTCGGATCTTGTTTGATGCAGCTGTCCAAGCTGTCGTCGTCATTGTCAATAAAACTCGTGTCGAAAATCTAGATAAACGGCGATGCGCCAGTGGTAAGCGTGCTGACTTCAGGCCCCTAAAGCCTTTGTCTCCTGGAAATCGTAAAGGCAATAATGTACTGTGTAAGTGCCACGGTCAGGTACAGCCGCCTCACGGCATTGCAAGCAGTGCCTGGGTTTACAGCCACAAATAATCGCTGGACGAGCACTACACATCACTGCCACACAGGCGATTGTAGCCAAAGTGAGGGACTTTGGTCGATGAGAACCGAAGGGTACCCAGCTACGCGCAGCTATGCGTTTTGATGCGGGCAAGACTGTGGCCAGCGTTGATCGTGTCTCATCGGTGCAATTTCTGGGGCAGCATAGTAAATAATGACAGTAACAACGCGTCTCCAGATGCAGTACTAGCGGTGAAGGCGTTTAGTCGTACTGTAGTAGTGAGTCCTCGAAAGTCAAGGATTATTTCTGTACCTGAAAAAAGAGCCCCCGGCAGGAACCTGTGGGTTGGAGGTTGCAGGTGATGGAGCTAGGCGATGCCCACTCCCTCCTCACTCTCACCTCCGAGTCTCATTCCACCTGCGTTCTTCGCGTACGAGCACAACTCCGTCAACCTCACACCTCGACCTGTATTCACCTTTTCCCATCCTCCAGCATCCAAAGAACATTTTTTCGGTCTTCTTTTGCCTCGAAAAGCGCGTAGCAGCGTGTCAACTCACCGATTTGGCCCGGACACTGAAAGACTTCCTCATTCGCCTCCTTCAGCCCTCACTACGCACCTCCTATCCTCTTGTAACCATACCCTACATTCGGCTTCGACGCCAGTTCGGTGGAGGCAACGGTATATTGTCCTCGTCGCTGTCAACGATCAAGGTCTGCAAATTTAACGAGAAGCTGGTCGGACAGCGTGCGGACTCGGTGATCCCAGAAAGGGGACTCTTCACTTGCCAATTATAACCTCCGCTCGCTCAACATAGGACGCTTCTGTACTTGGACGCGACAAGCAGACTGTCAGTGAATATTTGGTCGCCTAGGCTTCTCTGTGCCGCCAACCTGTACTATAACCTCTACAAGCTTGAGGCTGTGGGCTGTCAAGACGTCTAACACTGGATTCCAGTACAACCTCACCAACGCCACGAGGCTTCGACGGCCGCTGTCACCAGTGACAGGCTTTTTGCCCGCGGCCTACATTGTTGTCATTCTGTAAATCAGCGAGCAAACAAGGCACTATCGTCAAACCAAGATTGGAACAAGAGTCATATGACTTTGCGCTTGTTAAGAGATGGAACGACTGCCCCATCATCGATGACCATGTCCGCCGATCCCAATTCAGTCCTTTCTCAGCAGACACCTGTACACGCACATGTGTCTGCTGGGACAATACGCATCACACCACCAACGCGACAGCACTCGAGATCTATGCCCTCGACTCCTTCGCAGAAACCACATCCCGATGGAAATGGACCGCGATCACCCTCACAGCATCGCAACCTCAACAACATTTCGCCAAGGTCTCTACAGTCTGACGCTGCGCAGATCCCGTATCGGAAACAATGCAAATACGAGACCGGTATGGCCAGAGCCAGGCGGCGCGTGCCGTATAAAGAAGGCCCAGACAGGTTGGAGCCGGACCCTAGTGTGAAGAACAGGCGCCTGAGTCTTGCACAAGAGGAGAAGCTGTCAAGGGACATGCGAGAACTCTACAACGAATTAATACCTACGCCCGAGAGCGAACAACGGCGATCAAAATTCCTCGCCAAATTAGAGCGCCTCCTCTCTGATCGCTGGCCGAACAGTTCGATCAAAGTCAACGTTTTTGGCTCCACCGGCAATTGTTTGGGCACATTGGCCTCTGACGTTGATGTCTGCATCACGACCGACAACAATGAGCTCTCCCAAGTCTGCTCAATTGCCGAGCTTCTCGCGAGCCAGGGTATGGAGCGCGTTGTGTGTGTCTCTAGGGCGAAAGTGCCCATCGTGAAAGTATGGGACCCTGAGCTTCAGGTTGCATGCGACTTGAACGTGAACAATCCGATTGCGCTTGAAAACACTTCGCTTGTCAGGAGCTACGTCGCAATTGACGACCGGGTACGGCCGTTAGCCATGATCATCAAGCATTGGGCAAAGCGACGCATTCTAAATGATGCTGGTCGGTAACATCCATTCTTTTGTAGAACGTCTGCTAACGAAATACCAGCCCTTGGATCCACACTAAGCTCGTATACTTGGATCTGCTTGACACTGAACTTCTTACAGACACTCAAGACCCCGGTCCTGCCGTCATTGCAAGCTCAACCGGGACTGCAGCCGCACATCTTGGATGGAGTCAACGTCGCTTTTGAGAAGGATTTGACCAAGTTTGCCGACTTCGGTCGCAAGAATACATCGTCGTTGGGCAAGTTGTTGTATGAGTTCTTCCGATTCTATGCTCACGAATTCGACTTCGAGACCACTGTGGCATCGGTACGTTTGGGCGGCCACGTTGCCAAGTCGGTTAAGGGTTGGCATATGCTCCTCGACAACCGGCTTTGCGTGGAGGAGCCATTCAACATCAATCGGAATCTAGCAAACACTGCGGATGATACTTCGATGCGAGGGATCCACAAAGAACTGCGCAGGGCCTTCGACTTGGTGAGCAATGGCAAGTTGGACGAGTGCTGTGAACAGTTTGCATACCCTACCGAGGAGGAAGTCAAGCCATCGAGCGACTTCGTACCACCACAGTCAAGACCCATCATAGCACAAGCCCCTCCCGCACAGGTGCCTCGAAGCAACAAAGGCTCTCGCAACCCGAAAAGTACAACGCATCAGAAAAACAATCTGGCTTCAAGACGCTCATCTACTTCAATCAACAAGCAGCAAATGCACTTGCGAAACCTGCCTTTCCAGATGAACCCGCAAGAACTGCAGAATCAAGCGACGTATCAGCAACATCTACTGCACGATCAGCTGTATCAACAGTTCCAAATGCTGCAGATACAGGAGCAAGAACTTCGAGCTCGCGCAAGTGCATTGAGTCAACAGAATCGGCACATCCTGGCTCAGCAAAGAGGGGTGTATGGAGTCACAGGCGACGATTGGGACGGTTCGATGCCAGCCAATCTATACACGAACAATCGTGGTCCGTTGTCCGCGCCTTTGTACCAAGCGCGGTTCAATGCGCCATCCCCATTTCTGCCACATCACGTACCGGTCAACGGAATTGTGACCAACCCGTCTTCTCCGCATTTGACTTCAGCTATGCCCGACACTCGCAGGTTTCCGAGAAGGACGTCGGCCGGCCAGTCCTTCGCGACCGGGTCGCTGCGTGCTCAATCGCAGCCTCCGCGTCCGCTTGTAAGCTCCATGTCCATGCAACATCTGCATCGTGTGGTAGACAGAAGCGACCACACAAGCAGCCGCCGTTCCTCAGCCTCGACTACGGCATACGAAAATGGCTCATTGCAGAACGGACATCGAGGCCAACATCAAGCGGAGGTGCCAAGAAGCCTTCCGAATATGTTGGTTACATCATTGGACAATCACCATCTCTGTACGGGTACCCGCAGAGCGCCTCGATCTCACCTCTGCCATCTCATGCAGGCTTGGCTATTCACAATGGCGGGCTGTCACCACGGCTCTACGGACGCTCGACGGGAACGTCGGCCAATGGCACCACCTCGACCAGTCCCGTGCGTGAAGTGGACCTTGCCACTCCGACGAGGAGTTCGGAACAGACGACCAAGCAAGACATTGTCCAGGAGACCACTGAAGCTGACACGGCTTATCGCAGGCAGGGTCCACTCGTTGTGGACGGCACAGTTGTCTCACCACGTCGCCGACAGCGCCGAAGCTCAACACAAGGGGAAGCCGACGATCCAATGACATTCAGCGGCTCAACGTCAGAAGACCTCCCTTTCGATACGCCATCGAGCTCGGGAGATAGTACCCATGATGTGGATGCATCGGCTGCGGGTACAACACCCACCAAGGTCGAGAATCATTTTGTCAACCAGGCACTGCTTGGGAGCGACAGGTCATCGAGCATGTTGCATGCATACGCGCTGTCCCGGCATCTGCCCGCAGTCCAAGAAGTCAGAACCCCGTCGCCATCTTTCGCGGCATCTCCGCCGCCGATCACGAACGGGAGTTTCGCTACAAGCGCTGCGACAGTCGTGGAGAAGACATCACCTCTGGCGCAGCGAGAATCGACAAACGCTGGACTGGCTATCAAGCCCAATGGTCTCAATGGGATTATCGCAAACGGAGCTCATGCGATGGTTAGCAATGCCAGCTCGTGGCAAACGCAGAAGAAGAAGAGTCGAAAGAAGAAGGGACCCGCTAGCAAGTCCGAGAACGATGCCGTCCATACGAATCCGATAGGAGGTGAGATCTTGCCAGCGAATCTAGCTCAGCAAAAAGGAGGCTGAGAGGACTAGCAACATTGTCAGGTCATGAGGACAAGCATTTGAAGGTCGAGAGCATTGCATTTGGTTCACGACGACTGTGAATGAACTCGCGAGGGCTACGCCGATTTGAGGCTCGGTTGGGTACAAGCATGGTTTGATATGTGCATTCTGGGAAAATCGACCGGGTAGCATGCTTTCATGGGGTGTGACTGCATTTCAGGGGGGCAAGCAACTGTGACAACAAGCAGCAACGGCACACAGGAATGATAGCTGTCGAAGGCGGACTCGCATTATACCCATGACAAGGCAGCAAGGGCGTTTCTACAAAAGTTCGAGATAAGCATGGTTGCCCGCGTGGTCAAAGGACAGCCATCCCACACTGGAACGAGGATTGGAGAGCAGGAGGTTGTGCAGCGAGTGCAATTTTGCATGTCAGAGAAGGCTTGATCGAGATCAGTAGCTACACGGGTGAGCTGGTTGCAGGTAGTTACAGCAGACAGTGTTTCGGACGACTACCGATCATGTACGAGATAGATCAAAGTCCAAGTGTCGAATACTGTACCACAGCGCGACGTACCGTCTACATGTCTAGACATTGCTGACTGATGCGTCAAAGCCCGGATTTACGCATGTTTAAATCCTCGTGGGAATGAAACCGAGATTTTGAGAGCCGCATTGTGCATGGTGAGATCATAATCCTGGCTCACACCACCTTCCCAACGCAAAATCAGGGGTCCTCCAATTAGACTCATCGACAAGCACTGCTATTCGCCCGATCAGTGCATCTTGCATGTGGGCGGCGAGATCAACCCCATCCGCGTCTCGAACTTCCGGTTCCTGTAGCAAAGAAATAGTTCGTTACCGCTGTTCTTCTCGACCTCACACTCCCAAGGCAAACATTCGAACCACCTACTGCCAATCACAAACTTCAGACGTTCGGGACCCCCAATACCTATTGTTCGGACTATTCGCGCGACTCAACATCTTCCGGGACCGTTCCCAAAGCGCCCGCGATGCCACTAATTCTCGACTCACCGTCTGGGTCTGAGTCCTCCTTCGAACCGCGCAAGTCAGGTCCACAGGAAGAGCGCCGAAGAATACACCACACCGGCGATGTCGTTATTGTCGGCGCCGGTGTGCTCGGCTCCGCCCTCGCTAAGGGCTTTGGCGATCAGGGCCGGAGCGTAATCTTGCTAGAAAAATCATTGAAGGAGCCAGATCGGATAGTCGGCGAGCTCTTGCAGCCAGGCGGCGTGCAGGCCCTTCAGGAGCTGGGTATGGAGGACTGCGTGGAGGACATCGACGCAATTCGGGTCAAGGGCATGTCAGTGCAATTCTACGACGAGATCATTCAAATACCATATCCTGCCGCGAAGCCGATAACACAGTCCCGCTCAAATTCGAGAAAAGAAGACTCGCCTAGCAAACCTCAAGGCCGCTCCTTTCACCACGGCCGCTTCGTCGCCAAGCTTCGCGCCGCCGCAATGCGACACCCGAACGTCACTGTCTTCGAGACCGAAGCCACCAGCGTCATAACATGCGATGATTCAAATCAGGTGCTGGGCGTGCAAGCAATAACCCGCAAGACGCAACAAGACTACTTCTTCGCGGACCTGACCATCATATGCGACGGATATGCGTCCAAGTTCCGCAAGTCATATACACACCACACACCAAAAGTGAAGTCCAAGTTCTGGGGCATGGAGCTGAAGGACTGCCGGCTGCCATTCCCAGAGCACGGCTTCGTCAGCCTCGCAGACCGACCACCAGTACTCCTCTACCAGATCGCCACCCACGACACCCGCGTTCTAGTGGACATCCCAGACAACGCGCCCACAGCCTCAGTTGCTGCTGGTGGCGTCAAGAATCATCTCCGCAGCGTCATCTGCCCAACCCTCCCCTCAGAGATCCGCCCCTCCTTCCTCGCCGCCCTCGAAGCCCCAGGCGCCCTCCGGTCAATGCCCAATTCCTTCCTCCCACCCACCACCAATCGCACGCCCGGCCTCGCCCTCCTCGGCGACGCCCTTAACATGCGCCACCCACTCACCGGCGGTGGCATGACCGTGGCCCTCAACGACGTCGTCCTGCTTACCACCCTCCTCCACCCCTCCCAAGTCCCCGATCTCGCCGACACAAAGCTCGTCCTCAAGCAATTTAAGACCTTCCACTGGCGCCGCAAAAACCTCACCTCCGTAATCAACATCCTCGCCCAAGCCCTCTACTCGCTGTTCGCCGCCAACAAGCCGGAGCTGAAATACCTCCAGCGCGGTTGTTTTCGGTATTTCCAGCTGGGCGGAGCGTGTATTGAGGAACCGGCGGGTCTGTTAGGTGGGATTATCAGGAGGCCGATTGTGCTGGTGTACCACTTCTTTGCGGTGGCGCTGTTGAGTATTTGGGTGTTGTATAAAGAGGGTGGGCTGTTGTGGTTCCCGTGGAGTTTTGTGATGGGGTTGAGGGTGTTTTGGGAGGCCGTGGTGGTCATTGGGCCGTATATTTTGGCGGAGATGAAGAGCTAGTGAGGCTAGACAGTAGCCGTGGAGGACGTTGGGGGCTTGTCGGGCTAGACGAGGTGGATCACCAGAGCTGGACATGCGAGGAGATACATGGTTTCAAGCGACCGACGCATTGCAGCTTGCTTATGCATAATAGAATTTCTAGTGGCCTCTACGAGTCGGTGTAAGCCTGTCAATCGGCTTGGCGAAAGACGAGAGGCGAAGTCGCGTCATCCGGCGTCAGCAGGGATAAGTTTCGTCAACCGGTCTGGTTTAGGAGATCTTGTCAACCGGCCTAGTATTCATGGAAAGCGCGCTTGAGGTCAATGACGCAAGAGGAGGAAAGCACGACTGCTGCACTGAATGCAGGTGCGACCGCTGTGCCCAGGAGGAAGGCACGACCTGTGCTAAGCAGGCAGGTGCGACCGCCACACTGGGAAGAAGGCAAGCGCGACCACGGTACTGAAAGGGGAAAGCGTGACTGCTGCACCGAGGAGGAAGCCACGACCATCGTGATGAGGAAGCAAGAACGACTGCTGTGATTAAGAAGGTGCGACTGTTGTGTCGAGGAAGGTATGACCGCTCCGGTGAAATGGAAGGCGCGAGCCTTAACAATGGGGAAGGTGCAACCACTGTCCTGAGGCAGGTGCGACGGCTACTGTAAGGAGGAAGGTACGACCACTGCGACGAGGAAGGTACGACCACTGCGACGAGGAAGGTGCGATCGCTACGACGAGGAAGGTGCGACGGCGGTGGTGCGAAGGAAGGTGCAAGCGTTGTCATGAGGCAGGAGCGACCACTTTGCTGAGGAGGAAGGCGTTACCCTTATTGTGCTGCTGAGGAAGCCGCGACCGCTGCACCGAGGAAGAAAGCACGACCACTGCACTGAGAAGGAAGGCGCGATCGATACCCTTCCAAGGAAACCGAGAGCGGCATCGAGGAGAGGAAGCTGCGACCGCTGCGCTGGGAGGGGTAGCGCTGTGGTGGGACGCGGCATGGGTCGCGAACAATTCTTTGGGAGGGCACGTAGGCATACTCTAATTTAGGAGGGCAAGGAGAACTTGTCGGTAGAATATGGATTCCAGGTAGGAATGGAGGACGCTGCCCAAGTTACAACTTGGTAGACGTCCAAGACTGCATCACGCCAGCCGAGCAATGCGCGAGACCTAGATATGGCCTCTACAACAAAGGTTCCGCCGCGCCTTCAGTCGTCGAGGATGTCACCGTATTCCCACATTCCCCTGTGACCATCTTTGGCCTCTTCCTGGAGCGCCTTCAGGTTCCCGAGCACATCGCTGGCCTGGCGCTCCCAAGCCTTGAGCTTGATAGGCACAATCGCAAGTCCCTCTCGGATCAACTCAGCGTTCAAGCTCTCCTCAACCCGCTGAGAGCCCTTCGGGAAGAGCGTCAGACTGAGGGCGCCATCCTGGCCAATGGCGTCAACATTAGCGACCAGTGCTCGGTCTTCCGTTTCCTCGGACAGGAATCTGATGGCATCTTGGAGGTATTCATCCTTGCCGGGTAATTGAGCAAACGAGAGCACAGCATCGCTTGCCTGCGCCTTGAGTTTGTCAAGACTAAATTGCGGTTGGTCCAATGGTCTCAGTTCGCTCCAGGGTAGGTTTTCTGAGTTACCGTAGTCAATGTATGTGACGTCCACCTTCTTGTTCTCTCGATCCACTCTCCGCACTTTTGCTCGGTACCATTCGCCGTCTGCAGTAAATTTGGCTGCTACGACTTGGCCCACTTTCGGAGGTCCATCCAGAGCTTTTTTGTTCGAGGGATTGATGTGGAAGTTCTTGAACGCACTCATCAGAGACGTTAACGAAGACGTGCCCGACCCAATCTGCTGGATCTTGATTTTGCCTTCTGCGTCGACATTGGTAACCATGACATCGCGGTAGTCCTTTCTTCGTGCCGTTGGCTCGCTAGTGCCATTGGTACCACCATTACTTAGTGGGGCAGCGTCTTCAGTTTCGACGTCCTGAGATGGATCCCAGTCTTTCCACAGACCTTTGCGGCCTTCTTTCGCCCTCTTTTCTGCCGCAAAGAGCTCAGGACCATGCTCACTCTGCTCGGCAGAGTACGAATGTACTTGAGCAAGACCCTGGTATCGTTGTTAGTCAGATTCATGGAGCGCGAGCATAGTTGATTTCAAAGGTCTCTAGAGTGTTCCGGACGGATAGACTCACCTCTTCAACCAATAGCTTGGCAAAATTCTCTCGACCAACGTACATCGTCCCAATGATACCGCCCTGCTTGTCGGTGTTCTCGACGTTGATCTCCACATCCCGCTGCATACAACGTCGATAAGCAAAGTCGAGTGCCTCCTGTCCGAAGGGTTCGGCAGCTTCCCCAGATTGTCGAGCTGGCTTTGGACCTTTGATGCAAGAAAGTACAAACGTGAACTTGCCGTTCTCTCGAGGAACCAGTACGACGAATCTGGATCCAGCTCGGACAAAGTCAACCACTCCAGGTACCTTCTTCTGTCTCTGCATAGTCGAAGCCAGCACTTTGGCCTTAGCTAGCGATTCGGAGTAATCCACGAGGCCTTTTGCGGCAGGTGGCTTCTGTGACCACATGCCCTTTTCCTCTTTCTGTGCAGCTTCTTCAGCCAGTAGCATAGCATCGTATTCAGGCGACCGATCAGTGTCATCTCTTCTGTGCCGGATGACTGACGCGTAGCCAGCTTCGACCAACTGTAAAGCAACATTCTTGCCGTTTGAGATCACTGTGGCCACTTCACGCTCTTGGAACCCTTCTGATGCAGGACGTTTGCCATCGACCGAGACCTTGACATGCTTACCGATCAGCTTCTTGCGAAGGAATTCCTTTGCCTCGGCTCCAAATGGCGCTTGTTTGGGATCCGATGGCTTCGGCTGACGGATACTTGATAGAGAGAACTGTTGCTCTTGACCAGCTCTTGTCCGTAAGAAGACAGTCTCTGCGTTGAGAATTCTGGCAACCGTGAAATCAGCATCCTGTACGCCGGACGCTCGGGCGGCATCTGTGCTTGTGAAAACGCCCTTGCGCGCGTTCTTGGCGGCAGTCTCGGTCTTGCGCAGTTGTGCCATATCGTTGCCCAGGAGGGTTACATGCTGATCGTTACACTTGGCCAAACCTTCCTGCAGGAGAAAGACGGCGATGTTCCCTCGTGGATGTAGGACTGTAGCAATCAGTTGATTCTGTGGTGTCACGCCCAACAACTCGACATCCACCTCTCGCAGATGCAACCTCTGCTCAACGAAACGATGTGCTTCAGTCCCGAAAGGCTCGGCTTCGACGTTCTTGCCTTCAGCGGTTGTTCGTTTTGTGGCAGGCGTGCGTATACCAGCCAGTACCAGCATGGTCTGCATATGCTTGTTTGGGGTGAGCTGTAGCCGTGCGATCATGCGGTCGCCTGTGAGGACTCTCTCGATGATGGTCTTCACCTTCCGGCCCTTGTACTGTTCGACCAACGCAGTCGGGTTGGAGACCTCGGAGAGCTCGATCTGCCCGCCCTTGCCCCAAACGCCTTTGCCATCTGCCTTGGCTTGTGACTCGAGCTGCCGCAGGTGATCCAGGTAGGCGAGTGCGGTCTCATCGTCCTCTTTCTTGCCTGCATCCTCGCGAACCTTGGCCCAACCTTCTTCCACGATTTTGTCTGGCAACGTGATATCCTTGAACTCCAGCTTTCCGAAGTCTCGTTTTGTTGTGGGAATCGTGTACAGGATATCGAATTTGACCTGCTGGCCAAGGAGGAGCTTGCGAATGAACTCACGCGACTGGAAAGCGAAGGCTTCATCGCCTTCACGCTTGAGTCGGGGAGCAGAGATGTAAGCCAAGCTCAGTGTTCTTTCCGCACCTTTGGCATTGGCAAGCACAACCGTGTCGCCAGAGATGACACTCTTTACTGTGCCAACCAATCCAGCCATGATGAAGGGAATCGTACGCGGTGAAGTGTGCCTTACGCTAGAAGAAAATGCCTTGGATGCTTGAGTGCTATGCAACAGATCAACTTTTGTGTACCGCTTACGAAAATGCAGGATCTTTTGTCAAAACAGTGTATTAAGAAACTCGAATGCTCGTGCTTCGTGCATCTTCAAAAGTTCACTTCACTATTGTGGGGGAAACTCCCCGCATTGCAGCGGTGAAGTTCTTCGGGGGCTAGGTTGTTCCCTTCCGGTCGTGGGCCTGGGCATGGGCATTCACATGGGCATGCCCTTGTCACCTTTACCTACGGTACCTCGCTAAGAATGCTTCTCGATGGCTTTCATCGGGCAGGTGACTGAGATTCCTAGGACACGTCTAGTATTCGCTCCAGGAGCATCTCGTTGTATACTCCGGTACAGGATTGGGCCCTTGCAAGAGAGCGAGGTTGAGAACATCTGCTCATGAAGTCAGAAAGAGCGAACCTTAACTTAACGATGAGCGCTTGTGCACGGCATGGCTTGCTCGGTCGGAAGCATGCTATACCGTCGCCGTCCTAAGCGCCGAGAGGTCCGAACTCTTCGCGAATTTGGACCATCAATGATGAACCGCCCTAACCGTCTCCGAAAGCATTGTCCATACGCGGCAGAACGACTGACAGAGGGCTCTGACAAAGATTGGCCCCTCTGAGCTGACTACACGTGTATGCCCTAGTCAATTCAACTATGTGGCATGCAGGGGGATCTGTATTTGCAGGAGTGCCGAGCAGCCGCGCAGCTTTCTAGGGCGGAAAGATGGTGAAACGAAAAGGCATACACAGTAAGGTCTACGAGAGGGCCAAGGTCGACGGATGACGAAAGTATCCGACTCGGCCGGACGAACAAGCTTGGTGCACAATACCAACCCAGGCAATAGACATCAGGACTCGTTATTTGACTGCAATCTTGAGCAGCATGGGCATCCTGGACGGGAAGATGGGCTGCATGATGATGCACTATTACCTCATGCAGAGCCCCTGGTGATATACATAGACCGTTGACCGTATAATTCGCAAATGCATGTGGCCGCCAACCGCATCCGCTTCCCTACCTAAGTGTAAGATCGCACGCCTAAGCGATTCACCGACCATGTTATCGTATATTCGAGACTCCTGCTTTTCTTTTTAATTTCTAGGAGTCTTTTTGACCGTCGACAGCAACCTGCACATCCACGATCTGCATCTGCAACTGCATCGCGTGCTGTACACGGGCCAGTACTGCTACCTGTAGCAATTGCCCCACCCGTGTCTGCAACATCGGCGCAGTGTGACCTCGACCCGTCAGCACCCTCCTGGCCATGGCGACAACACTGTACCGAACCCTCACCGGCCAGTCGCAAAAGTCGCATCACTCCGAGACGTCGCATGTGTCGTCAAAGCCGGCAGCGTCGCTCCAGAAGACCACCACCACAGATCCCTACTCTGGGGTACTGAACCATCTCACCGAACCGCAAATACAGAAGCTCGTCGACTTCAAGGAGAGACTTGAAAAGGACGGCTGGTGGTCTCCAGATGGCGTCAATGGCAAGCCAACCCACGACGATGGCACCTTGCTGTAAGGAGCACACACGCTGCCGGAGCAGGTGCAAGCCGCTGACCGCTGAACAGACGCTATCTTCGTGCCCGCAAGTTTGACGTCAACGGCGCCATTGGCCAATTCACCGATACCGAGAAGTGGATGAAGGAGCAAAGAGTCGAGGAACTGTACGAGAACTTCGATGTTGAGCACTATGAAAGGGCCAGGCTGATGGTATACCGTCCTTCCTCCATGGCCGCACAGCTACTGATCTCATCCCAAGTACCCACAATGGACTGGCCATCGAGACAAGCGCGGCATTCCCATCTACCTCTTCGTCATCAAACACCTCGACAGCAAAGCCGTCAGCAAATACCAGAAGGACGCGCAGAAGTACAAAGACAGTCTGGCACACCACAAGAAGCTGCAGACCCCGGCCAAATTGCTCCCTCTGTTCGCCTTATACCACAACCTCCTCAACTTCGTCCTCCCGTTTGTTTCAACCCTCGAGCGCCCGAATCCTGAGATACCCGTAACGAATTCCACAAACATTGTTGATATATCTGGCGTTGGTTTGACACAGTTCTGGAATCTGAAGAATCACATGCAAGATGCTAGCGTTTTGGCTACGGCGCATTATCCTGAGACTCTCGATCGCATTTTCGTAAGATCACCAGGACTCCATTTGAACTTGACCATACTGATCTACGGCAGATTATTGGCGCTCCTGCTTTCTTTCCTACTGTATGGGGCTGGATCAAGCGATGGTTTGACCCGGTCACTGTTTCCAAAATCTTCATCCTTGGCAAGAACGAGATTCTGCCTACTCTCACAAAGTTCATGAATCCGGAAGACATTCCAAAGCGGTACGGTGGAAAACTAGACTTCGACTGGGGAGACCTCCCTCACCTCGATGCCGAAGCCACAGCCGCCCTGTCCAATGACGGCAACGACGGCTGGGTCCGTGGCCCATGTCTGTGGCTGGATCAGACCCGCGTCGTTGTGGGAGCAGAGAACGGCAAACTCAGGCGTAATGTGCCCGATGTCGACAAGATGCGGCCCATCGTCTACGCTGCTGACGACACACCCGTGCCCGTCCATCGTGGTAGGCGGTCGTCTAGCATCACGGCTGAGACTCTCAAGGAGAAGGTCAAGGCTGTGAATGGCACCGCTAAGCTCGAGAAGATTCAGTCTGCGAACGTTGTACCCACCACGGCGCAAGCCGCAAGAACGGATGCTATCCCAGCCGAGACGAACGTCGTCGCGCCTCCTGTGAAGACCGAGGAACATCAGCCTGAGCCAGCCACTGTCCCGAGTGACGCAAAGGCAGCTGAGGCCGCTCCGGCCGTGGTGGTGGATCCTCCAAAAAATACCGAACCGACAGCCGTAGCAGATGGAGCGGCAACGGCAACGGCGGCAGAAACAGCAGCTGCTGCCAACATTCCACACGAGAACATCCACAAATCGCCCGCCGGATCGAACGTGAACCTTCCACCTCCGTCACAGCAGCCGGGCTTCCCTCAACAAACCGCTGAATATATTTCGTCAAGTCCCCCGCCCACGTCAGATGGCAAGGCCAAGCCCTCGTCGCCGCTCTCTCAGTCTACGCCTGCAGAGACACCTGTTGCAGCGGCCGCGGCAACGACCGCGACTGACGCAGCCACAAGCAAGGCGACGGATTTGACCAACGGAACCACGCCTTCCACGACCACTTCAGATCACCCGCCTGCTATGCCTCAGCCTGGACCAGCCGCGCAGCACACCGTCGCGGTCAAGGATGCAATTGCAGAGAAACTCGCCGCGGGCGGTGAATCGATTAGCGTCCTCCCAGCCGAAGCGAATGGTGCTGTCCCACATCCTGAGATGATCGTGAGCAGCGATCCGAGCAAGGGGCTTGCAGTGGAAAGCGAGAAGGTGGAATCGAGGCTAGGAAGGCCGGAGCCGCAGCGTTTTGTTACTGCTGCTGAATTCTGAGGCAGCAGGTTGTGACCAAAAATACTGGGCGCTCTCCCTACAGCGGCCTCCCTGGCTAGAAAGCCTACCAGGTATCAATGTCTCGCATTGACGCTCGAGTGAGGCTCATCTCAAGCAGATCAGATCGATCAGCGTAACTCTGTCAGGGCCTCAGTGCCCTCCCTGGCTGAGAAAACCCCATGATGAGCAGCTTTTGCGGCACGAGAATGGAAAGTGGTCCTTCGAGAAAACGCCCAGTACTTATAGTCACAGCTTGGGCAGGTACTTGCGGTTGGAAAGGAGCGCACAAGTTGGTTATGACCATGTGCATGGAGGCCTGATTCCGAGAGATGGCGGGTTCGATGACCCTCGCTGCCAATGTACGCTGCTAGTTTGGTTTTAGAGGGCTGTTCCAAGCTTGGGGACTGGTGAGGGCTCTAGTTGGGACATCTTGTGCAAGATTGCATAATATCGATTCTATATCTAGATACCACAGCGGTGTTGTAGAATAGTGGGCGAAACCGGATCCAAGTGCTGGAACACTACGCAGATAGCACTGACTTGCCCTCTTAACCAGGACTAACATGAATCGTACTGGAGTTGACGTCTAGACGATTTGCTTCTACGAACGGGTATCTATGTGTATTTACGTTCAGCACAGTGTGCTGCTGCTGTACAAACACAGCATTGCGAGGCAGCGTCGGGCTCTAGCTCTATTTCGTACACTATTGGCCCTGTATACTGGTCCTGGAGCTTGTCGCAGCACGGAAGACAAGGCGACGAAATGTGATAGTCCTAGGATGGACAGGCGCTGCTCATTGACAACGACAGAGGAGGTCCGCGGGTAGCGTAGCATTCTTTCATTGGGCTCGTGACTTCTGTTCTTTCTCATGGCAACGGGCAGGCGCCTATGACGTCAATCTGGACGCCGTCGCGCAATCGCGACCGATGATGGAGGGGTACTTGTTGCTATGCCACAATCTCTTTCTCTCCCTTCCTCTTGTCAAACTCTCACACTTCTTCGCACAAAGCAAGCAACCCTCGCAACTCGATCCGTTCTCATAACCGCAAGATACATACGCTGAATACCAGGCAAGATGGCTCAACAACCAGGTATGTGGTCCTTCCCGCAGTGTGTACTGGCTGCTCTCACATATGCCCATCTCCAAGCTTGGGCGGCCTCTGCTGGCCGTCCAGTACATGCATCGGCCATTCAGCGCCTTCTGCTAAGTCTAGAACATCATGTTGACCGTCATCCAGGTGACTCAAAGAACACTGTCGATAAGCTCACCGACACTGCTTCGTCAATCGGCACAAACATCAAACAGACGACCGAACACGAGGCCGGCAAGGCTCAGCCTCAGGCTGATAAGGCAGGCGCGAAGGCAGAGAGCGTTGGACAGAACATCCTAGACACCGGTGCTCAGTAAGTGCCCTTCCAGGCAATCCAATGTGCAGGAACCCGGGTGCGTGCAAAGGAAGCCATGTTCCAGACACCTACCGCAAATGGCGCTTTCCTCCGAGCGTACCATTTCTGAAATGTCGCTAACAACCCCTCAAGCTACTCTGACAAGACAGGTGCCACAGATGCAGGCAACAAGCTCGCCGGCATTGGCCAGAATGTGAAGGACACAGTTGAGCATGAGCCAGTAAGGCGAACAACTCCACGGGTATCGGCGAGAAGTCCTATTTGGAACAAGCCCAGGCAGGTGCCAACGATGCTGCCAACAAGCTTGCTGCTGTCGGTCAGAATGCGGCAGAGACCGTCCAGCATGAGGCTCAGAAAGCCAACAACTCTACGGGTGTCGGCGAGAAGACCTACCTTGAACAGGCTCAAGATCTTGCGGCTAGTGCCCTCAACACTGCGAGTCAGGCGGCTAGTGGTAAGTACTATTCTATGTTATGAAGGCCTCCTGAGCCAGAACGACTGATCATTGTTACCCAATAGACCTTGCCAACACCATCTCCAAGGCGGCCTCTGATGCTACTTCCGAGAAGAAGTGATCTGGATATGGAAGCACTGGCTCAGCCCTTCAGCGGCCTCCCTGGCCATGAAGCTGAGAGATGGAAGAACGTGAGAATTGGTCTGAAGCAGACATAACACAGCAGTCAACGCATCTCATCGCTGCAAAGCCGACTTCTCACTGGGCCTGACACGATTAGTGCATGAAGAGCCACAGGGAGGACTCTGGTGGCGTTGGCAACTGTATTCTTTAGCTTTTCATGCAGATTATGGGCAGTCCCTAGATGTCACAGTCATCGATAGAAGCTGCAACGTCAGGTGGTGATGCTGAGCATCATGCTCAGCTCGTCGCCAGAAGCCAGCGAGAGTTGGAATGATGAACGGATAGCATTCCATCCAAAATCTGACCAGCGGCCTCCATAGCCCAGTTTCCACAATGCATCGTTCCCACTGCCTGACTGCTCAGCCGTGCTTCACCTGATGCCTGTCAATTACATTGGCGACCATTCCAGAGCTCCAGCGTCCTCCTCAGTTTGGACACGCAGTAAGTCAGGAAAACGATGGCGCGAGAGCAGATGTCGATGGGGTTAATGACGGAAGGTTTTCGTAGTATTGTGAACTTCTCGCGATATGGACGATCTGTGCCAGGCTCTCCGCCTCATCGCTGCCACTCGGGCCACATCATTCCCTGCACTTCTCGAATATAAAACCTGGCAGAGGAAAGATGTTGCAATGCTGCGCGTGCTTCAGGAATGTCCCTGAGCACAGCCTCAGCTGCTGCGATCTCTTCTTCGGCAAGCGTGCTCATTACTTGCTCGCCTCTCATGCCAGGGGGTGTATCTGCTTCCGAGTCTTCTTGCGAGAAGTCTTCGGACTCCAATTCTGCCTGTTGCGCTGCCTCATCATCATGCTCGTCGTCGGAGTCCCCCAGATCTGACTCCTCCGCGTCAGAATCATCTTCCAGTGGGGCCTCGTAGCGGAGCCTCCAGGTATAGTCGCCTCTGTCTTGTGCTCGCGGATGAGGAGCGATTTCCTGGCCATCTGTACCGATCTGTACAGCGGCACATTCGATGGGACACTCAATATCATCGCCTCCCATCCAGTCGAATACCTTCTTGTACAAGCCGTCCTCTTCTTCTTGAGTACTTTCACATACATCCCACCATTGATGCGACAGATTAGTGAGCTTGTCGGTGAAGTAGACACAACACTCGGGTCTCCGCACGTGCTTCAAAAGCCGAACCCAACATGCTGGACTGGTAGTTCCAAAGTTCCGGGAAAGCGTGATGTGGTCAAGATACACTTCGATGAGCTTTGCGTGATTTGTCCCTATCAAGGCTTCTAGTTCCTCCTCCTGACATGCGAGAAGACTCAAAGAGATGACCTTCAGATCCGGGAACACGGGTCCGTCTTTAAGTCGTCCAGCAGAATCCCTCACGAGACTGGACAACCAGGAGTGCTCGGGTGCGCTATGTATAGCAGGGAATGTATGGTCCGGGAACCGTAGATCAAGGTATTTGACGTTGGCGGCTGAAGCGAGCAGCAAGCCAAGACTCTGGCGAATGCCGGATTGTGGTGGGCATTCGGCGTGTTTGAGATGCATCGTCAATTCTTCCAGTTGGCCAAAGATTTGCTGGTACGTCGATAGACCCTTAGTAGGCACACCCTGTTCTGGTGCACTAACTAAATCTCCGACATCAACACCTTCCAATGTAGCTCGTCGTAACGAACGGCCGCCCGCTAGAGCGTAAGCCATCAGTACAAGTTCTGAGCAGGTCCATGAGACTTCAACATGCCGTCCAGCGTTAAAAAGGCCTGCCCGAATCAGTCGAACGGCTTCGCCGCTCGCGGAAACGCTGCGCACATAGTTTGGCAAGCTGATGCACCGGCCATATTGTTTCATGCGGTACAATGGTTCACCAAAGCTAGTCCGCTCTGCTACGACGTCCAAAGTCTCGATACTCTCCAGGCACGGAAGATGCTGGAGACATTTCGCCAGCAGCGAAACTTCCAGTGGCGCGTCAACACGATGGCGCAGTGCATATTGACTCAACTCGTTGATCAGGGCGGCGTATTCATTGGCGTCTATATCCGTGTCGAGGGGCCGTAAGTCTTCGGAATATCGCAACTTGTGGTCGTATCGGATCTCTTTGACGAGACTTGCAATGGCCTGGTTGTGCTGCATGACCGATGCGAATGATTCTAGATCCTTCGTGTATGGCAGTAGAGTCCAGCTATCCCTTGAGAACAATGCCTTGACGGCCAATGCTGCGCAGAGCTTGTTGACAAGACGGACATTCTTCAAAGCGGCAACGCTGGGCAGGTTGTTGATGATCAATTGCAGTACCTCCACAGGCAGCTCTGGTGCAGACTGCATCTTCGCATGTGGTGTCGGTTGATTGTGAAGGTGATGGGAAAATATTGGACTTCGAAACATAGGCGAGAGAGGGCTACGCTTGCCGTTGCTCAACAGCGGAGTGGCAGACACTTTCCTGAGCCGCGACGAGCAGCCGCTCGCTGGCTTCGATCAATGAACGGAGCACCTTTGGGAAGGGACGAATCGTCGTTGTGCACAAAAGAGGAAGCGAACGCGATGTCGCGTGTCGCAACGCGATAATCTACCCCTGAATGCTTACATAACCAAGTACTATGCCATTGGTGTCATCCACTGGGTCGAGGGTGTCCCTGCTCTCAGAAGCCAAAGACCAGTGGCCTATGCATGAAGGGCAACGAACACTGCAAGCTTCTGTCCAATCCGTTTCATTATTGTCTCGACTGAACCTGAACAGGTCAGTCATGACCAGGTCGACTCTCCAGGACCTGGTTGAACAGCAGTATCTGCTTGAACGCCTGTCCAACGCCATGCTTTGCCAACATAAACGATCCCGCGATAACTCGACAGCCATGAGCCATGCTCACCCAGCCCAATGCTCCTAGTACATTTCCTGACGCCGTAATCTGCTTCAAATATCATTCACTGCACAGCAACTTCCAACTTAGTCGCAGCAAGTTGCCTCGCTGGACTCTACCATCAACCCCATCCACTCGTTTTCCTTCATCCCATCGTAGTACCATTGACCTAACACACTCGTTTTTCTTTATCCCTTCCTAGTCAAGTCACCGTAAGAGGCTCAATGCGCCTCCTACAATCGATTCCATGACTCTCACCCTTTCAGTTCTGGTAGCTACTTCTGTCTTGCTGTCACCAACTTCCTGCGTCCATCTACTGTTGGCGCTGGGACTTTCGGGCTGATGATGCGATTACCCTGCTTGTCGAATCAGAAGCGCTTCTGCCGCGGAGCCTTCTGTGCGCGCCGACCACCTCGAGGTCCTGTGGGCGCGCCAGGAACGGTCGACCATTTGCTGGCCGTCATGGCAGAGGCAGCGGACGCTGAGCTGGTGGTGCCTGTGGAGGCAGACTTGCTGCTGACCTGCGCGGCAGGAGGAGTGGCAGAGGCACCGTTGGTTGCGGAGTATTTGCTGGCCGCCATGGCAGAAGGGGCGGATGTTGAGCACTGGTGCCCGAGGATGCAAATTTGGAGCTAGCGAGCGGTGGCTTCGTTGCTGGGGCGGTTGCAGCGATTTTCACGCGAGTGTCCAAGTTGCTGGATTCGCCTGAAGTAGCCATGGGTGGCATCGGTGCCGCAACTTGGCTCGCCGTCGAAACAGGGGCTGTGGGAAGTGAATCAGTGGCCTTTGACTGTGCAGGCTTCCCACTGGTTAGCGATGCTCTCGGTTCCATGGTCTTCGGAGCATCAGTCACACGAGGGAAGTTTCCGGCCTTGGAGTTCTGCATCGCGTCTGTTGCAATCGTGGTAGAGTGCTTGGAAGTAGAGTCCTGTGCTCCAGATACAGACGCTGTGGCGTCCTTGCCATCTGTAGCCCATTTGCTTGCAGCAGCCGAAACGCGTGGACTGCTCGAAGATGGTTCAGCCTTGGTTCCGCAACTTCCCCCGGTCAATGCGCCATCCGTACCTGAGAGCAGCTGAGGACCTTGAGAAGCCTTAGAGCTGTTGTTGACCAGCTGAGTAGATGGCGTCACTACCTCGGTCCGCGGCGCTGGCGATGGTGATGGTTGTGCGTTATTGGCGTTCTGAGAGTTCTTGGACGATTGAAGATGATAATCATACAGCTCTGAACTCGGCACGTCATGCGAGTTTTTGCAGTTTTTCCCATACCGGCATTCATTTCTCCAGTAGTATCTACAGATGGGAACGCCAGAGCTCGGGTCTGTCTTCTGCTTGATTTTCCTCAGCTTGAAGCTCTGCACAGGCCGCTCGTTCACAAGGGTCTGAGCCAGTCCACTGCCAGCAGTAGCCTTGTCACTAGAAGAACTCAAGGCCACTTCCTCGTGGTTTCCCGGGCCAATCTTCGCAGGAATATCAGCCGTGGGGATTGGCCTAGACGGGACCAAGTCGGCAGGTGTATCAGTCGTGGAGCCAGTACGAGACGCGACTGAGTCGGCAGGTGTATCAGTCGTGGAGCCAGTACGAGACGCGACCGAGTCGGCAGGTATATCAGTCGTGGGGCCTGTTCCAGACGCAATCGTGTCGGTGATGGTTGTCGGTGTCATCAATTCATCTGCTGCCGAAACGACTTGGGACGGTCCTTCTGGAGAGGACTCAGCAATGCGCTCATCCTCAGCGACTTCGCTCTCCACAATTTGAGATGATGGCTGAGAGTCGTTGCCGGGCTTGCTGATTGCGGTGTCGCTGCTGCTAGGTTCACTTGGCAGTTGCTTCTGGAGCCTACTCACTTGAGCCTCCAGTTTCTGAATCTGCTGCATGAATGCATTCGATGCCTTCTTCTCTGCCTTTGCCTGCTCTTGCCCGGCCTTGAGCATGCTCTTATTCTCGGCCTCCAGACCCCAGACCTGGTTCTGGAGTCGTGAACTATCGGCCAGAGCAGTCTTTTTCAAAGGCTCCCATGCATCCTTCTCCCGAGTGAGCATCTCCACTTCTGATCGAAGGCGTGTGACCTCTTCCTCGTGAGCGGTGCTCGCTGTCTCAGCAGCAGTCTTGTCGTCGGTGAGCTTTTTGACTTCTGACTCGAGTCGTCCAATCTCTTCCTTATGAGCAGTGCTCGCGTTCTCAGCAGTAGCCTTGCCATCGGTGAGCTTCTTGATTTCCGACTCGAGGCGTTTGATTTCCGCTTTCTGAGCAGTGCTCGCCGTCTCCGCAGCAGTCTTGCCATCAGTAAGCTTCTTGACTTCTGACTCAAGGCGTTTGACGTCTTCCTCGCGAGCCGTACTCACCGACGCAACAGCAGCCTTGGCATCGGTGAGCTCTCGCACGGCATCAGTGAGCTCTCGCACGAGCAGCTCGAGCCGCGAGATCTCTGCCGCCTGAGCAGTTTTCTCCTTCTGCCACATGGACTCGCTGTCAACCAGTCTCTCGATTTCTTCTCGCAGCTTTCGCAGCTCCTGTCCAGACTGCGACGCACTCTTCTTGATCTTGTACTCGTCCATCTGCAACTTGTGCTTCGCTTCAGCGTTCTGCAGTTGCTGCTGCAAGTTGTCGCTACCTGCTCGTAGAGACTGGTTGGCCTTTTTGAGAGTCTCGTTAAGTTTCCTGGTGGTTGAAAGCTCCGCTTGCAGCTTATCAAGTTGTAACCGAAGTCGATCAGCCTCACCGTGAGCTTCACTGAGTTCGTTGCGCTTGACGCTGAGCTTGGATGCCAGACTGACGCATTCGTTCTCCTTTGCGGTGATTTCAGCTTCCTTCTCTTGGATGCTAGCTTCGGCCTTCAACTTCTTTGCTTGCAGCTTGGAATTAGCCTCTTCAAGCTTTCTTGCTGCTGCCACCGCCTCAGCGCGATCCGTTTTCGCAGAAACGAGTGACTCTTCTGCCAGCGCTTTCTCCGCCTGAAGAGTGCTCACTTGACCGATCAGAGAGGAACGTTCCTTTTCAGACACCTTCAGCTTATACTCAAGTTGAGCGTTGTGCTTGCCCTTTTGCTTGTTCTCTTCTTTCACTGTGTTCAGATCTTGCTTCAGCTTCTCGAGACGGGTATGACATTCGTGCAAGCTCTTCTTGGCGGTCTCTTCTGCCGCCTTGATAGCCTGGATATCTGAGTCCTTGGCTGTAATGCTTGCTTCAAGTTCATGGCATCGCTGTTGAAGTTTCGCGGTGTCTCCGGAAGACTTGGCCATCTGGAAAGTCAGTCTATCTTTTTCGTCCTGCAATGCATTGCGTTTGCCGGTCAAGTGCTGAAGTTCTGCCTCCTTCTCAGCCATTTGTGCCGTGAGCTTTTTGAACCCTTTTTCGAGATCGCTCTTAGCGTCCCTCAGGCTGCTGATCTCGGCCTGTAGCGTGCTGAGCTGTAGTCGTGTTTCATTGCTTGCACAGTACATCAAGACCTTCCAGTAACCTTCAGGAGAAACCGTTTTCAAGCGTGCCAGAACTTTTGCGTATCCCAGCCCAGCAAATACCGTATAGATGACTGCCAAGAACATCATGACCAACACCAACGCAATGGTCAGGCTGATCGTCCCAGTCCTGGCATCCACCTTCGATGAATTTGTCCAGTCGATGACATCGAAGTCCATATCGTTGTGCCAAGAAGCTGAGTTTTTGCTGAAGTCGCCATGACTTCCGACGATGTCGAAGCTCGCCTCAGCAGCTCGGATCGTTGACATGAGGCTTGGTAGTGACTTTCTTACCGCTGGCAAGACATAGTGAATAGCGTCGGTTGATGTGCCGATAAGAGGTGCTGGAGTCCAGCGAGCAGTATACACAGTTGCGCCAAGTGCCAGCGCCAGGAAATGGGGAGCACTGGCGGAAAAATCGATGACATTCAAGATGTCGGTGATGTGAGCGACCGGAGTAGGAGCGAAGGCAGTGAGAGTTGCGGTAGGAGCGTAGGTGTTGACGGTACTCGTGGCGATTATGGAGAGATCGGCGACAGCGGCAAAAGCGGTGTCAAAGACGTGGTCAAATTCGACACCGCTCAGCTGCGCTGCGACGAGCCAAACCAGGAGCAAAACGACGAGCCAATACATGGCGATCGTGCCGAGTGTGGTGTCGCAATCAGGTCGTGGATGCTATTGCGATGCGATCCAAGTTTGACAGGGGAAAGATGCTCTTGCAGAATTGTCTGCAAGAAGATGATGAAGAGAGCGAGGCTGCGGCGACTCATGAAGATATTTCGAAAAAAAGGCGGGGCTGGTAGCAGGCAGCAATGTGACAACAGCGATGAAGTCGTCAACTGAGGCAGGTGAGAGGAACCAGAGTGACAGAGTGAAGCGCGTCCCTTTGTCACGAGCCTTGGCCAGAGTTAGCAGAGGCGGATTGAGACAAAGGCAGCAGACAATAGCAATGTCGATCTCACAAAGGACGCATTATGGCACCAAGCTTTCGGTGACGAGAAGCATCAGCGGTCGAGGAGAAGTGATCAGATACGTCCTGGAGGTAAGATGACCGTTGGTTATCGCTCAAGCTGTATGCCAGATCCATCAGAAGAACTATCCTGTACACCAGCTCCAGAAGTTGAATCCACACGAAGTCCCCAAGATCCAGCAGGTCCTAGTACCCAGCAGTACATCTAGTAAGTTGATGCAACAGCGAGGTCCACAGCGAGGTGGACAGAGACCAGACACGCCGACGCGCCGCAAAACTTCCAGTCCTTTTAATACACCATCAAGCGCTTGTAATATCGCCATCGTTGGGTTCGATTCGTTGGATATTGTAATGTCACAATCGACTCCGATCTCACAAGTCTGCTTATTGAGCACCACTGATGGGCACATGCCATCACAATGTTCCACGCTCGCTGCCTTCGCCGCACCCACCCATCGAAACCATCAACCTAGACACGCTCGGCTTCAAGCTGCTGATAGCAGCCCGTCCACTCTCCCAGTCTGAATTCTGATCCTCCATTCCGTCATAGTCAAGCCCGCGTACAAGATGCTGATGTATTGTCGAGCATGCTTGTACGTTCTTTCGCTTGAACTCTACCATTCGCCTCTAGTTCGCGTAGTCCTCGTATGTGTCAAAGAGCGTCTCGAATCTAGCCAACGTGCCTACAATCTACTCCGTCGGATATGTGCTCAGGGTCGCATCATCATAAAGCGCGTCGTTGCTGATCGCGGGCTGTCCTTGCGCGGACTACTGAACGTACCTGCCGCCTCCGAGAATGACGCCGAAACAGTGCTCACGACCGGCGATACCGGAGCGTAGCCCAGGTTGAAGCTAGTGAATCTCGCGGATGCGTACGAACGCGTTGAACTGGCGGTTGATGATATGAAACTACCATCTTCGGTGTCGATCCGTGGGCCACGTGGCGTGCTTAGAAGCAAGCTCCTCGGCTGTGTTTCGACTGGACTCGGCGGAATGTCATGGCTAGAGAGCGCGGTGGGTGGGCTGATAGCCGATGCAGCTGTTATGGCCGTGTCGTCCTCGTCCTCGACCAATTGATTTTGATCTTTCGGACTTGCTGTATCGTCGACGCGCTCGATGTCCACTTCCATGTCTGTCAAGCCTGCTGCTGTATTGCCCAAGTCAGTATCCAGCTCGACGAGTGCATCAGCCAACGGACTGTCTTGCTCGGCGTCATCGCTTCGCGAGAGGGGTTGTTGTGGTTCGGTGTCCGGAGCAGTGAGGTCGTCCCTGAGCACGTCGTCCTCAGTAACGTCGGCTTCCTCCATTACAGCATCAGCTGCACGGGATACACGCTCAATCTCAGATTCAGCATCGTTCAGATCCTCTTCTTCGTGTACATTACTGCTGCTGTCGCTATCAGCAGTAGAAGCGGCATCTGCCCCAGTGGCCTGACCACCGCCTTCGTTAAGGTCCGTCTTAGAGTCTTGGGTCTTTCGATGAGGTAGTCGCCAAGGCTGCCCAGTGTCTTCGAGGCATCCTCCTCCCACTCGTCATCGTTGCTGTCGTCGTCATCATTGTCTAATACTCGATCATTGTGTCCTGATCGGCGCTGTACGGTCTGAGCATAGGCCCACAACATGGCGGCGATGTTGCTAAGATTCGTCCTCGGAGAAGCAGATACTCTCGGAAATGGCTTGCGGAAGCACTGCAAGACTGCCACAAGCATGTCAGAGGCGTCGTTATCGAGTGTGACATTAAATTTTGCGGTAGGGATCTTCTGCTTCTCCAGAATGGCGTACTTGTGATCCAGGATGGCGTACTTCTCGCCCAGCGCGATGTGGCTTGTGTTCAAGACTTCGTACTTCTGGCCAAGGCTGTCATACATACCAGCCAAAGCGGCGTGGTCACTCTCCAGAACTTCATACTTGCCGACCGCAGAGGTAACCTGCTTCCCGAGCGCCGCTGACGACGCGCCCAGAGCAACATGCGATCTCCTCAGCCGCTCAAAGGCATCTGACACTTTTTGCAATGCGCGCTGCTGCTCAGGAGAAGAATCTCGCTCATGGAGAAGGCTGTTCTTTTCCTTCTCCAGCTTGTCGCATCGCGCTTGGAGAATGTTGTACTGGATCCGTAGCAGTCGATGTAGGTCTTGAGCCCGAGTGCCTTGCTTCTGAAGTGCGATGTGCTCGGCTTGGAGGGTTTTGTGTTGCTGGTCAAGGCGACGATACTTGTCGTCAGCAGCGTCGGCATATCGAGCAAACACCAGCACTGTGACCGCGCTGGAGATCACGCAGCCAACCAGGTGTGCGTTGACCATTATTGTGTCCGTCGGGGTAATGAGGAACTGCCAGATCGAGTCTGGTATTTGCGCCAAGGCGCTCGTCAATTCAGATGTTCGGTAAGTCAACCATACCCACCAGCTATCAAGCCAGACTAGCATCTCAGGCAGTCTGACCTCGTATATGTCGAGGTAGCGATGCATCAACTCTTCACCACGAGACAGAGTAGCGACGCGTTCGCCTTCTTTGCTGGTAGTCGCCTGAACATTATGCGCTGACTCCTGGGCAACCGGAGGGCTGATCGAAGTCTCAGCGGTTGACACTGCAATCGATCGAGGTGGAGAGTCGGATGAGCCGCCCGGGAGACTGCTCTGATCGTCCGTGAAGACGTCGGTGCCGGTGGAAGTGATCGCTATGTGAGACAGGTCTGCGTCGTTGGAGTACGCGTTCTGGCCGTGGACGGCATCCCTATTGAAGTCATCAAACCCGTCGACAAAGGCCGTCAAGAAGGCTGGAGGTGGCTCGATTGTACGCTGATAGCGATGAACGGCACGTTCGTATGTCGCGACATCGGCGCAGCTGCCTGAACATGTACCCTTTGGTGAGCCAAGTGTTGCTGCCTCGAATATCGCGCAAGTCGCACAGATGATCACGCTGAGGACGTTGACCATGGTCGCAACCCTGTGTAAAAAGCAGATGGTCGTAGATTTATCCTTCGCGTTGTTCGTGTTGGAAGGTCGAAAGATCGGCGGTGTCGTAGAATTGTTGAGCAACAACGTGGTCAAGGGATGTGGTAAGAGACTTAAGTGCTCTGAGGCCAAAGACGTGCAGCCTGTGCAGCCTTATGTGCGATCTTTCAGGTGAAGCGGCACGGGCAGGCGGTTTCTTACGTTCAATCCGTCGCCTCTCCAGGCAGAATGACTTCAGGTGACGACAGCACATCCACGCAGTACAGGTGTAAGATTGACAACCGTGAGGCGCATTATCGAGCATGTTGAAACCACAGGGTCACATAGCGAAGAGGCGTCGTCAGCGCAACTAAGCCAGCTGGACAGCGTCAGAGATCGGCTTCAGGGACGCAAGGTCCAGAGCAGGTATGGTCATCGCAATCTTCCCGTTCGTCATCCGACTGCTGCCACAGCAGTGACCTGTCCTTTTGGCATCCGTGTCAAGTCCAATAGTCGAATGGGAGGATACAGCTCCAGTGGACAGCTGCAATGGCCACGCATTCCGACGAAGTCGTCAGCCGAGCAGAGGCCCTCACGAACTGGTCTGAATGCAGTCGACTCGTACACGGTACAGGATAGCTCACACATGTCGACTCCAGTCCTGAAGTGGCATGTGTTTCTGGCGATGGCCCAGTCTCTAATGAGGCAACTGATTTCCTGCTCATGGCCCGGGCAATTGCCGGTCTCAGGACCGTCGACCTGTGCTCGGAGACTGGATTGCAGTAACGATGCAAGCTCGACCTGACTCCTGATCGGCCATCGGCACACAGCTAAGTTACGATCTTCCTATATTAGTTCGGTAAGAGGATGGGAAAGGCCCAGGAGATCAATGAAAGCAATTGCTGCTGAGGTGCGGGTTTGGCAAGACTTACGTGCACTGACAATGAGGGCTGTAGGATGTCGCCCGTAGTGAGGCGAATCGTGAGGATAAGATCTCTCAAATGTTGCGGAATGCTGGAAGCAGGAATGGTGTGCCGGTTGTATGCAAAAGGGGGTTGAGCTGAAATTCTTGTTTGAAGAGCTTTATGTACTGCTCCCACGTTCCGATCCTGGCACCGTCCTACCTTGATCCAATGCGTTCAGAACGTATATTCCAGTAACAGTGCTGACCTGCTGCATTACATATACTGGATGATTTGTATTCAGCTGGACTGCCAGGCGTCTCTCAATTTGTAAATTGCTGTGTATTACATGTTTTGGGTATCAAGTCAAGTCGTGATCGTCATTATTGCGTCGCCTGATTGCTCAGATGCTCTGGTGGCACGAAGTTGCCCATGCCGAAATCTCCCCAGTCCCACTCAAAGGTCATGGGCATCTGCCACAGGTCTTGAGGAAGGAAAGGCTGCTGGAATGCCCCTCCCATGTTGAGCGGCGACATTGTCGAGCTAGGCATCTGCTGAGATCCGTCCATGTTCTGAGGCTGATGCCGTTCTGACCCAGGACCTCGTAGTCCGAGGCAAAGTCTGGTGTGCCGAAGAACGTCTGGCCCGGATCAAATGCGTTTTGCATGCTGGCAGCAGCATTTTGCACCATTGGAGATGCTGACCGTCCATTCGACTGGACCGCTGTGTTTGGGTTTCGCGGTGACACACTGGCACCGTTCAAGCTCTTTGGTGGTGTATGCGGTCGTTTGTTGCCGTTAATCTGAGCCTGTGCCTGGGCCATCGCAGTCTGAGTCGACCGCAGCGCATCATCGGCATTGACTTTCCTCTTCCTACGCGAGCCGTCCTTTTCAGCCCTGTCGATAACGATGCGTGCTATGCGGGCGAATTCGGAACAGATACTGAGCATGCGCTTCAGCGATCCACTGCCCTCATCGGCAACGACGTTGGAGAGAAAGTTGACCACTAGGTCCATCAGTTTGATGTCTGCTCGAGCTCGAGCATCTTGCGGATTTTGCAGTATGTTCGCAAATACGGTGACCAGTGCTGAGACCGGGAAGTAGATGATGAGCCAGACACACGCGAAATCTCCTTGCGGGATATACTTAATGAGATGAATTGATGCGCGTGCGGCGGCCACACACAGTGCTGCTGACGAGAACACTCTGGGATTGAGTGGCCTAGCGTTCAAGCCCTGTATCGCGTAGTCGGAGAGTCGACTTGTCCAATAGCCGTGATGGACTGACATGCGATGTATGGTAGTTAAACAATTATAGTACGAGAAATGAAGCACCACGATGTGTAGTATTAATGGTGCGTGAGAAGTCTTGATTTCGTGTTCTGGTCGGAAGTCCATGGGTATGCTGTCTTTCCAGACCTCAAGCTCTTTGTCGAGCTCGCCAATTGTGTTGAGGAGCTCACCATCTGTTTGGCGAGAGGCTTGCACAGAATAGAGTCGTCGGTAGACCTTACTGCTGATTACGGCAAACTCGCACATTAGTCTGAAGAGGTTCACCTTGCCGCCGTTCTCTAGTGGTATATTGCCGATGTTGTCCGGAGGATCTATGGATGGCAGGTCCACATTCATGTCGTCGTCATCTTGTGCCGGCGGTCGTCCAGATCGTAGGCAGGTGTCTTTGTCGAGCATGTAGGCAATCCAGAACACCCTCTTTCGTTGTTCGGCTTCGACTGGGTTGAGATTGAATCCAGATCCCCGCTTGTGCAACCCAATACTATGAGATTGTCGGATGGCTGCAGATATGAGGAAGAACGATGGTTGGGGATTGGGAGTACCGCATAGGAACATCGCCATTCCTAGCAAAGCCTGCACACTGAGCAGATCTGTGTTGCGCAAGGTGAGTTCCGTCAGTACACCCATTGCGTTCTTGAGATACAGCCACGCTTTCTGGTCATCTTCTTGAGGTACAACGTTACTCATGACCCGTATTCGGTAGGCAAGAGCGAGCACAACGTTTATGCTGGCCCACCAGCCGCTGCCCTCGTACGGATCTCGCGAGTACTGCTTGTCGACCAGGTGCATAAATGTTGGCTCATGATATAGCGGAAACATGCAGTTAAAGTTCTCAAAGAAGTCCTTAAAGAGAGACAGTGCTTCATCCTTCGGCGGAAGTGGCTTGAAGACACGCCGGACGAAGATGTCTCCAAAAATCTCAGGCTTCCAGTACATCCATTTGTTCTCCTCGTCGTTGACAGCATCCTGAATGGTTTCCTGGAAAGAATTGTCGCCGGTCTTCTGGTTGACCCATTCAATACCTTTACTAGAGAAAATCGAAAAAGCCGAAGATGAGCCTAGCAGGTACGTCAGTCACAGTACAGATAGTCCGACACATGGGCCCCTCACCAATATACCTCGTCTCTCCGACGTTATTCGTGACTAACGAGCACATCATGTCGGAAAGATTCTCGACTTCCTGGCGCTTCTTCTCCGCTTCTGTGTCCGGAGTATCCTCTGGCTCGGTGGGGCTCGAGTGATCATCGACATTGGGTGTGTTCCGCTGCGAATCAGCCACGTTGACAGTCGAGCTTCCTCCGCTCTTCGATGGCCGAGGCGATTCGCCTCTCGGCTGGGCACTGGAAGTCGTTTTGTCGGCCAGGCGTCTTTCCAGCGTGCCCAGATCGGTCCGTCCAGCTTCTTCCTCTGTCAGAAGCCCGGACATCTTGAGGAGAGATTCCATTCGACCCAGACGATTTTCGAGGCCTTCGATGTACTTTGCGCTGTAAGGTGTGAGTTCCAGCTTCCATCACCCTGGGCCATACTCACCCTTTCGGAGGATTCCTTTTCTTTTCGACCTGGGTGAAGACGCATTGGGTTTTGTAGTTCGTGCAATGGGTGCATTTGGGCAGCTTTCCGTCACATTTGATCTTCTTTTTCCGGCACATGTCACACGCCTACGAAGGGTTACCGTCAGTAGACCGCGCATAGAGCAAGGAATGAATCCCACTCACCCGTGCTATTCTGCGTCTCTTTGGGTCCGAATCGTCCAAGCCGTCCAGGCCGTCATCGAAATAGGCTCCCTGATATGGCATACCGGCCATGGATTCTCCATTGTGACCATATGCGCCGAATATTTGAGGTGGTTGTGTACCGTATGCATTGATGTCGTAACCCATGCCGTCCATGGCATGACGCGGATCCATTCTGCCTCTTGCACAAAGTTCGTAGCAGCGAGCTCAAGGTTGCGGGAAGGGGCGTAAGACGTGAAAGGCAGAGGCCGCTGGAGTGACCTCGAAGATCAGACAGGGAGTGACTGTGGCACGCTCTGGCGTGATTGATCACTGCCCAGATGCGCAGCCAACCGTGCGTCGTTTCAGATCTGAATCGTACGGCGGAATTCGAAACCCGGCCCACTAATCAAGTCCGTCCTGGTGCAGAGTCGCCGGAATGGTCGCCATGAAGCAGCAATGATACATTGAATGATTGGAAATCATCAGAAGGAGGAATACAATCAGTTATGACATCGTTCTACAGCTCTACCGGGAAAGAGGCACAGCCCGTCTGTGCACCATGCACGAGCGATTCTTGCGTAGCGCGCCACGGACCAAAGACTTGCACCCCCGAAAAAAGCCAGTGCCCCTGCACCAGGCGGCACCCATTAACTGAAAATGCTCCGTATTCGTGATCATGGACTCGGACGATTCGGTACCTTCGGGCTTGATTATCAGATGCCTTGTGGTGCAGCCATCTCCCGAAGTGATGCATGGAACGCTTAGAACTCGTGCAGCGAAAGCCTTTGGTTTTGGCTCGTAGTAGCAGCAGGTTAAAGTCAGGACAGCTAAGGCCGCGGCGACTCCCCTGCGTCCCACTATCAATGAATATTTGCTTTGAGATCAGGTCAACTTCGAGAAATACGAGTCGTCTCGAAGACGTTCGACTACAGAGCTTAGCCCCATGGCCGCTCGCTTGTCTCGGGCCCGTGCAGACATCACAACGTACAAGCAACCGGATGCAGTAAGTTTATGTGCGTCCAGAAGATGAATCGTCCAGAAGCGCTCTAGGAGACTTCATCTTGCAGGACTCGGCGCCCGTATTTGATATCGCGAAACACTTGTCTGGTAACAGCAAGGCATCCAAGTCGAATGACAAGGTCCACGCGCTCTACAGTGGCCATTTCACCCAGCTAAGGTGCTAAGTATGTATCTCGGTCTGATCTGGTGAAGGGTGGGCATTGCTTCGACCGAGCTCTCGGACGAAGTCAAGAAAGTTAAGGGCCTCTAGTAATGAAGGAATATCAATGTCATGCGGGGACTCGGATGAGGCACAGTTGGTCTGCTGGAATTATGAGCAGACTGGGTTTGCATACCCATATTGTTCTTCATTAACGGGTATCTTGTCTAGAGGTATACAGTCTTCCCTCATCAGAAGTTCTGGCTCGGATCCATTCCATTGTTCTTGAAAAGGAGACTTGAGTGGCCAGGTCTGTATGGCTTTCGTTCGGAGCTCATCCGCCGCGACATACCGTTGCCCTCCAGTTCTGAAGCCTGGTTGTTTGGCCCACCTTGTAACTCGGCGGCATATGGGTTGTCAGAGCCCATCGAGTTGTGATAGGCACTAGCATGGTGAGATGAGTCCGATAGTGTTCGTGAATGACCGCTCAAGTTGCGCGAAGGCAATGTGCCTTGATCTGGGTAAGGAGATTGACCCATCGATCCTCGGTTATTGTGCTGTGATCCGTTCGATAGCGTCCGCCCAGCAAGCGCACCAACATGGTCATTCTCGCCGAGCTCTGCGGGGTATGCAGAGGTCACTGCTCCAGCTTTTGTAGCATCCCCATAATCGGATACTGAATGTGCGTCCGACGGGTTCTGCTGCGAAGAGCCCCAGGACACTGGACCCGCAGCGGCAGGGAACAATCTGTCGTTAGGTCTGTTACCCATCAAGGGGTCTGGGCTACCCATTGGCGGTGAGGGCAATTCTGATCTCGTTTCTGAGCGGTCTGTATATCCCAGGCCTGCGCCAAGGGCAGACCCGGCGCCATAGTCTCTACCTCCAGAGCCATAGCTCATCGCTGGGAGGGTGCTGTGGGCATACTGCGATTCGTCCGACGATATCCGCCTCCGTTTCCTTCGCTGGAACCAACTGTACCAGAACCCAAACGCAGCAGCAATGACCACTGCGATGGCGATGCCGGCTCCAATGCCTGCCTTGGCCCCGGTCGATAGTCCGCTAGAGGCGTTCACTCCATCAGAGCCAGCAAGAGCCGTGGGCGTTGTTGTGTAGGACGAAGCGCTGGTAATCGTGGCGGCTGCGCTGGAGGCGATAACGACTTCGGTAATGGTTGTGTAGCCAATGGCGCCATTGCCCTGGGTGAAGGACGATACTGAAGTCGATTCAGAGCTGAAGGTAGCATATGAGATAGAGGTTCTTGTGGTGACAATGGTCTCGGGTGTGAATGTCGATGATGGTCTTTCACTCGAGGATTCTGACGAGGCTGTGGAACTGGTTATTGAGGATTCTGTGGATGCTGACGATATTCTTGACGAAGCTAGATTGCACGAATGAGAAGGGGTGAGGAGCTAGCTTTGAAGCGGAGCACTCACATTCGCTTGTTGAGAGCGGAGCAGTTGTTGATGGTGTTGTGGGTGCTACGGAAGAAGAGGACTCAGTTGATGCCGATGAAGATCTCGCAGAGGTCGAGGCTGATGATGATACACGAGAGGTACTAGGTGTTGCTGAAGACTCAGACTCAGTGGATGTCGCGATGGCAGAAGACGATGCACGCGCAGAAGTGGATGTTTCGGCCCTGCTGGTGGACGTAGTAGATGATCTGGTGGTATCCGATGTGTTGGTCGTGGTGGAGTCAGGCCGGCTCGTTGCTGATGAGAGAATGGTTACACGCTTGTCGCGAGACACCCCATTGCGGAACACCAGAGTTGCGTCATAATCACGGGTGGGCAGGCCAAAGCAATACATGCTAGGTGGGATGCAAACTTACAACTCGATGGTGGTATTGAGCTGGGACTTGAGCTCGACGGTGGCGGTGTGGTTGGCGGTGCTGTCGTACTTGATGGTATCAATGAAGATGTCGTAGGCGGGGGTGCGGTTGTCGTGCGCAGTGTGGTCGACGAAGGCGGAACTGTTGTTGGGGCCACTGTTGTTGTTGGCGGTGGTAACGTTGTCGTTATCGAGCTGAGCGTGGTTGTTGTGATAGTCGTCGAGTTTGACGTCGTCGTGTCGATGTCCGACATCTTGGATCGACGCCTCCGCTATATACAATTACATGGAGCGGCAGCAGAGCGAAGCAGCAGTAGCAGAACCACCGACGAGGTGAGCAACGCGCGAGCTCTAATAGAGCAGCACCGGCGCTTGATGTCTCAGAAGCTGGGTGGGCGGGGTATTTCAGCTCTTGTCAGGCAAAGACACATGTCGGAAGAAGTAGCCTTATGCCGATGACAATACCTATTAAGCTGGCAGATACGAGGACAGAGTGTATGGCAACCACAGCCTACCTGGATAGGGCTAGTCGCGTCATGGAGGGCACGGGAAGTCTGTCTGCAAGTAAGAAGGTGTCATTGTCAAAGGCCTGGGAGCGGACAAGCTGGCAGCAAGGTTTCTGCTTGGATAGAACCTGCTTGGCTTGGGTAGTAGGATCAACACTTAAACGAACAGTCAGAGCGCTGCATGAAAGCCCGCTTTCTGCATACACGGTATGGCGGTAAACGCGGAGGTGCAGGATCTAGCAAGGTTGTTCCTGTCCGATGGGAATCGATGACCCGGTCCGTGACGGGGCTTGCCTTGAAGCTACCAACTTCTGCTGCAACCGAAAATCCATCAATCGATAACTGGCGCTTTGCGTCATGCGAGACCTTGGGGCACAGACTGTCTTCCCAAATAGCATTTCTCAGTCAACAAGCCAAGGTAACACCGTGACTGAAAGAGCTGAAGAAGTTTTCCGCAGCCTGCAGCTCTGAAAAGCTTCTGGGTAAGGACACGACTTTTCTGCAAAGTTCGAAGTTTGTAGCCGCATCAGTGCTTAACCTGCATAGGTCTAGGCCATGATCTATTTCAATATTCAAAGGCCACCACTCCAGCCTCCTTGGGGGAGAAGCCGCGGTCGAAGGTGCCGATTACGCCGGCAAATGGCGAATCGAGGGCAGCGTGGGATTTGGTGAGCGTGCTGCAGCAATCAGTGGGGGCAAGTCAGCCATTTTGCAGAACGGCATAAGGCAAAAGGCCTAAAAGATCATGCTTGCAGCTCGGCAAGGCAGCAGATATCTTCTAGGACCAGCTTCAGCCAGATGTAGCAGGTGGCTCCTACCGAAGCCGTCGATAATGCTGAACGTCGACGCTGTTCTGCAGGCCGAGCGAGGTGAGCGAATAAATAATGCATAGACGCTCTTCGACGTCTCTGGTGGCCAGCTGAACTTAAGACCTGGGGGAGCAGGTCTGGAAGAGCCTCTTGACCTTCCATCTCTGGGCACGTGGACTGGAAAGCGGCCCAAGCACTCCAGCACAGTGTGTACCTGGGTACTCAACCGGACGATCACCTTTGCGCCAATGTCCGGCAGAAGCGGCATGGAAGCTGGACACATTGGCAACTTTAAGGTAATAAGGACCTATCCTTCGAGCTCGTTCTGGTCTAGAAACATTATGGAAGGCTGAGGAAGTGCTCCAGCTTAGGCTGTGCACATGTGGAGGGACACACTCATCACTGGCACGCTCAACGGCCGGAATTCGGGGCTCAAGTGCCCGCCATGCCTGCCAAGACCGATCGCTTCGGGCTTCACCGACGTCACGCATGATTCGTGGGACAGACCAAGTCCAGGAGTCATAACGACGACAAGTCCAACGCGCTTTGTAAGGCCAGAAAGCTCAGCAAAGAGGTCGCTGTGAAGTAACAACTCCAAGTGAACTCGACGGCAAGTCACATTGCCACTGCCTGGAGTACTTTGAATGGGCTTATGACTGGCAGTTTCACGCAAGCGCAGTGTCACAGAAAAGATAAGTACTGCTTGCTCCATCGAAGCTCGTACAACTTTTCCTCTCTCATCTTCTCAATCTTCTGTGGGCTACATTCCTTTCCCCTTTCACGCAACAGCCATAACCAGAGCCAAGACCAACCATCATGTCGAGCAAGGATCCGGTTGTATGCGTCTTCTGCGGATCATCCGCAGGAAACAGACCCGATCATATCGAGTCCGCTCGAGTCCTTGCTAACACGCTAGCTGATGCGAACTACAAGCTCGTCTATGGCGGAGGGACGATGGGTATCGTAAGTGCTAAGAAAACCTGAAACGGACCTAGTGAGACTAATTGAAACCATAGATGGGAGAGGTATCGAAGACGCTGGTGGCTCGCAAGGGACCACAGTCCGTCCATGGAATCATTCCACGAGCCTTGATCCGTACCGAGAAAGATGGCACCCTTCGCAATGGTGAAGCCCAGGAGGTGAAGCCCAAGGTCGAACGATCCATGACCAACGAAGAGCTACAACAGATCACATCCAACACATCAGATACAGACCCAGACAAGAAGATCGTACCGGAAAGTGAATTTGGGTCAACGACTATCGTACCGGATATGCATACTCGCAAACGCATGATGGCTACTTGTGTCGAGGCCGGAGGGCCTGGCTCTGGTTTCGTGGCTCTTGCTGGCGGGTACGGCACCTTGGAGGAAGTCATGGAGATGGTCACATGGAATCAGCTGGGCATCCACCAACTCCCAGTCATCCTCGTCAATGTGGACGGCTACTGGGACGGGTTGCTGGCATGGGTGAGGAACAGCATTCGCGAAGGCTTTGTCGGAGAAAGCAACGCGAATATCCTGGTGGAGGTCAAGCGTGCAGAGGATGTCGTGGAAGCGCTCAGAGACTACAAGGTTGCCGAAGGCAGATTCAAGCTCGATTGGTCGCGGACCTAATCATGCCGATACTGCGACACATTGTACACTGACCAGGGACTGGTTGTGCATGTATGAATCGAAGTGCTATGCTTGGCCTACGGAGTTCGGCGGGTGAACGCAATCCGGCATGAAGTCATACTAGAAACACGTTGGAGGGCATAGAACGCTTATAGAAGCATGACATTAGAATGATGACGATGGAGTCCTTCCTGAATGGCTCTTGGATGAACGCCTACACGCCTGCTTCTATGCGATGCTTTGCTGACTAGTGTTTAGAGATGGCACTCATGAGTCCGTCTCCATTGCATCTGTGCCGCCTTCACCTTGTGACTCGAGGTTCGCCTCGAGCAGCGGTTGTATCTCCTGCCCGTCGTAGAGCTTGAACTTCTGTAACCTCGGCTTTCCCTTCGGACCATCTTCGAACCCGATGATGGCAAGACTGGTGTTGTCGACTGTCAGCTCCTTGTCCTGTGCCAGACTCTCCTTCAAAGCCAGCAAAGCATGCTTGATGAGCTCTTCTCTTGTGCAATCCGCAAACTCATCAAGGTGTCGCTCAAGATACGTCCTCGCCATCTGACTTCGGGCACCTATTGCGCAGGCCAACATTTCTTGGGTCATGCCGGAGGGTGAAAACTCGAACAGATGTGGCCCCAATTCATCTGCACCAGCGACTAGTAGTCCCACGCCGTATGGCCGCTTTCCGTAGTGTTGTGTATTTGTCTGTGCCCGGTCACCGATCATGTTGACTATTCGCTCGACTGGAATCGCTCGGCCGTATGTCATCTTTGACGAAAGGGATTGCTGCTTCATGAAATTCGACAGGACACGTGCATCAGATGCAAGACCGGCCAGAGCGACTCCGAGGTGATCATCGACGCCTACGATCTTCTTCTGATATGATGACAGCTCTTCCGCATTTCTCTGAACGGCACGTTAGTGACAAAGCCTGGGCTATACACCATGCTGCACCGACCTTCAGCGCTGTGAGAACGACATGCTTCTTGCTGGTCAGACCGACTACGACCGAGCCCTGCTTGACGGCCTCTTGCGCATATTCGACCTGGAATATTCGTCCCTGAGGCGAACTACAAATGTCAGTCGTTTGATTCGCAAGACTCTGAAGTGCCTTACAATGTGACCGAGTCGTTGTCGTAGTTATTGCGAAACATGACGGCAATAACAACGCCGACTTTGTCGAAGGACGATCTTATGTCGCTCGAGGAAGATGTCTGAAGGATGGCAGAGCAGCGATTGAATAGCAGGCAAGCAGTGACTTGCGTCGCGACGTGTAGTAGGGCCCACCTTAGTCACTTACAGCAACTTAGCCGAGCACTCCAGCCACTGAACTTGAACTTGAAGTGCAGCAGCCCTCCGGGAAGCATTGAGTCTCGAGCATGCCTTCCTACCCAGCGGCAGTCACGATCTCGAGAACGGTAAACCTATACGCAATCGCCTCGTCGCTCGCAAGGTGACATATACTGGATCACGAACATCCGTCTTTGCTACCACCACGTCTCGTCAAACCCCGGGACCGGCTTCGCTGCTGAGCAGCCATATAGGCTTCCGCGATGGCGGCAGGTCTGAAGACTATCATTGCGCTCTCCTTTGTGAGTCAAGCACGACTTTGAAGCTATACTAGCTAAAACCAGCACCAGGTCCTGGCGATAGCTTCCTGCTCGTCATTCTATCCGCAGCCCTCTTTCACAACTACCTCACGCTTCTAGTGGTCGCAACCTATGTACTTGCGCCTGTGCCAAACTGGATCTGTGGAAGATGCGCCAACCCAGATGACTTCATGGAGAGCGCTGGCAACGCTGTAATAGACTTCGGAAGGTTCTGTACGGGCTTCTTGGTGGTAATGGGCATCGGTAAGTCTGCGAAAGATGGTCTATATTCTACATTGCTGACATGGTTAAGCATTGCCCGTGCTCCTCGCACATACGGAACTGATACAACTGCCAGCCATGGTCATGTCCATTGTGGGCGGCTTGCTGATCTACGGCACCATCATAAGCTTCTCCCGCTTCTTTCGCGAAGAGCAAGACTTTTGAGGCTCTCTTGCCAGTTTGGGGGCTGACAGATCCGCAGAGATGACTCAAACGCGATCTAGCCGACCTTCAGACGGTCTCAGCATTGCAAAGCCGTTGTGTGAAGACACCACTGCGGCAGGCGCACAAGGTGTATTATGATGCTAGCGATGTACTTATATCGAGAAGTCCTTCGAATTATTTGAGTGTCTTGCTCCAGCTGCGGATGGGTCAGTGACTGAAGCCGTTCTGGCCCTTCGCTGCCGTTACAGCACATATAACCGTGTCATCGCTGCTGCTATGGCTCAATTGTCCGCAGCACTTCATAGCCTAGAGCGCGTGCTACCTCACTGTCATCGTCGCGAACAAGCCGATTGGCTGGAAGCGCTACATGTGGGGCCCAGCCACTTCTCCTACTACGCAAGTGCCTGAACGACATATGTGCAACTGCTAGGCTATCGTCCCAGACTGCACCTCTCACGCCCAGAACGCTCATAACAGCCCTCAGTTCCAGATCAGTAGCAGTCTCGATCTTTCCTCCATTTTGTCGACCACCAGCGATCACCTTGTCGACCCCAGCGACCCAGTATGGAAAGCTCGAATCGCCTCTTCCGCTTCCCTAAGCCAGCCTGGCTGAACAGCCCAAACACACGCACAGCAGGCGTCTACTGCTCAGGCGCTCTGGCAAGACCGCGCTCCAGACAATTAGCGCACTGCATGTATACTGACCGGTCCATCGCAGTTCTCGCTCGGCTTCTTCTTCTTCCTCGACGCCGCCGTCTTCTCGAAATCCATCTTGAATGGGTCCGATGTGCACATCAACTTCGTGGATTGGATCCCACTGATCTGCTCAGCACTCGGCATGCTGGTGATCAATTCGATCGAGAAGTCACGACTGTCAGCGGATAGCTTCTCTTACTCAGGCGACGGCGTGGCATGGAAAGCGAAGACCGTGCTCTTTCTCGGGTTCGCGCTGCTTGCGGGAGGGCTTGCAGGCAGCGTCTGCGTACTAGTACTGAAGTATCTGGTGCAGGATCTGGAAACAGGAACCATGTGGATGGGCGTGGCGAATGTGCTGGGCAATGGGCTGGTCATGCTGAGCAGTGTGGTGCTGTGGGTCAGCCAGAATATGGAGGATGATTATACCTACAACCTGCAGCTGTGAGGGAACTGGAAAGGCATGCAAGGCGAGCACTGTGGCGAACACATCACATCTGGTCAAGAGCCGATTTAGGCCTGTATCTTGTTCAGTAGGGCAACAACCACAACCTCGTGGATTTACCTCTTGCCTCCCCTTTGAATGGCCGTCTCGGGAGCATTCCGGAGGAGGGCTGCAACGGAAATGTTTAAACAGGTGGGGACGGCATTGAATTTGCCTGTCAATATGCTACGACTCGCGCTCCCTCGTCTATCATTCAGACCTGATGACATGTCGCCTGTGACTGTCTCTTGGAACCGGCCACCAACGGCTTCGCAGAGATGTCGAAGCAATTCCCATTGACATGTTCGATGTCTTCGGCCGCCGCGAGCTTCATGCAGGCCCAAAAAAGCGGCTCTGGCCGACCAGCTGAAGGGCAGAAGATCAGATGGGATACACTCCATCTGGATCAAGCCCTTGTTGATCGGTACTGCAGTAACGCAATAACGCCCAAGCCAGCAAGATGATTAGCCGGAGCCATCGAGCGATCTTCTGGCTGAGCCGATATAGCCACACATGGAGGGCACTTTTTTGGCCAGTTGCTTACTCGGACTGGCCTTCCCGCGCGCTCAATTCATATCATGTTGGCATCAGTCACAAGCATTGCTGTCCGATGCCATCTGCGGTCGCTGGGCATGAATTAAAGACTCCTCGCTGCTTCATTTCTCTCTCAGCTTGGCCATGATCGCGTCGATTGTATCCATATCTGTCGCGGAAACCTGGTCTGCGCCAACGATCTCTTTCGGTAGGTTCTTGACAGCTTCGTTCATGGCTGGCTGGTAATTTCGCACACTTGAGCTAAGAGCGTAGATAGCCTTCCTCCTCGCTGCCTTGTCGCTATCGTTCACTGCAGCCTTGCAGAGCTTCGGCACACCGTTCATTGCCAGTAATCTCTCCTGCGACTTGAGGTTGTTCTGAACAGCCGTCCCGATACACCACCCAGCCATCATCCTCAGATCCGCAGACGTGCTGTCGAGTTGGCCCAGCAGAGGCGTCCACAACCCAAGCGGTTCCATGTTGTTTGCGTTGTCGAGATTCTCAACGAGCTGCTCGAAGTTGTCGAATGCGGTCATCTTGGCATCAAGTGAGATCTCTGGGTCATTTGATACGATGATAGTCATGGCTTCTTTCATCAAGTCGGCATCTGAGGGACCGCCCATCAGTGCTCGAAGCGCATCTGCTGAGAGGCTCTTTGGCTCAGTAGCCGGTGCGTTTGGGTCGCGGCCTGCTTCCGAGTTCTCTATGCTCCATTTGAGCAACTCTGCTTGCCCACGGTCAAGGCCTGCCATATGTCTGATCTGTCGTGCGAAAGAGTGGTGATCAGTAGTGTCAGTTGTACTTTTGAGATCTCTCGAATAATCTGTGCTCTTATGGTCTACGATTGCATTCGAAAGGCATATGACACTTCGAGGGTGAAAGTGCAAGATCTTTCAAGTACCTTCTCTCCGATTCTATTGGCTGCCACGCACGATCTGATGTTCGGTCAGCGCAGACCGTACCATGAAATGGCCATTGATGAACTGAGGCAGGTCAGAGCTGTCTCTACTCTGCCGCTTCACGTCTAGAATGGTATGGACGACGAATCTAGCAAGACCAGATCATGAATTGCGCGATGCTGTTCTCCCAAGGCTGAACGAAGTACGAGATGTACGTAGGTGGCGCATAGCCACCCAAGTGTCAAAGAAATGCCCCGCGATGTGGCTGTGCACTTTTCGACGCACAAAGGTGAATAATCATCTTAATTGATGACCCTGTACGAAAGCTTCAGTAGAACTACGCTGCCCACCAGGCACTGGTATACGGCGCAAGGCCACTGGCCCGAATGCACGCAAGACGGCACGATTAGGTCATCCTCCACCCAGTGTTCTGTCTACATTGGCCGCTAGAGCTCACGCAAGCCATATCGGGCGCCGAACGCGATTAATGTGTCCTCAAATAGAACTGATAACACTCAGCTGGATGCCGGAGCGGAAGCGCAGGAACGCAGAGGAGATCGTACGGCCGATCATGAGTTTTGTCGGTCTTGGTGCGCTCTCTGGTCGAGCACAGCCTCTGATCGTCGAAACATATCTGCCTGTGCATCGTAATATATTGCGAAAGCTGGTTGCGCGGCCAGGCCGCCACTCAGTGAATTTCATGTGATAGCACACCCAGCAAATTTCGTGAACCTGTAGCAAATATTTCGAAAACTCATCTGCCTAAGAATACCGACAAGGCTTCAGTTCTTTCCTGCGGTTAGATCTCACCGAAAGGGAGAGTGCGTCCGAGCTTCGAGCAAGTGCTAGGCTGGGAAGTGAAGACTGTCGTTTTCAAAGAACGCGGAAGCCTCTCCAGCCTTCTTGGCGTTTGCCCACCGCTTCAAATCTACTGCGATCTCACCAACCCTCCGTCACATCCACTCGTACTTTCTTGACCCCATCTACCTCAAATTCCTCCCGGCCACCGCCCACTCTGGTCGACTTCAACGAAGCAGCGACCTCCAGAATATTCGCAAAATCAGCCCGCTAATCTCGTCTACTCTTTGGACACCCCTCAGTCACCATGGAAGGTACGAGCTTCTTACCACCCGAAGCGCAGAAGCGATGCTGAATCGTCTGGCATGCGTGCTTTCTGAGCTCTCGCTAACGGCCTCATAGAAGAAGTTGCCGCCCTCGTCATTGACAATGGGTAAGACGATGTCCTCCCTTCGAAAGCGAATGCCCGAGCTTCCGCCTGCGCCCCTCGCTCAGACCGCAGATGGACCCGTACAACAGGACTGCTGTGTCTCAAGGGCTTTTGTATGATGCTCATATGACAGAACAATGCTGACCAGATTCTCGATAGCTCCGGTATGTGCAAAGCCGGTTTCGCCGGTGATGATGCTCCCAGAGCTGTCTTTCGTAAGTACCCCACCACGTCACCGTCAACTGCACGAGCTCATATTCGCAAGCCTCCATCGTCGGCCGCCCGCGTCATCACGGTATCATGATCGGTATGGGTCAGAAGGACTCCTACGTTGGCGACGAGGCTCAGTCAAAGCGTGGTATCCTTACCTTGAGATACCCCATTGAGCATGGTGTTGTCACGAATTGGGACGATATGGAGAAGATCTGGCATCACACATTCTACAACGAACTGCGTGTGGCTCCCGAGGAGCACCCAGTCCTGCTCACAGAAGCTCCCATCAACCCGAAGTCCAACCGCGAGAAGATGACGCAGATCGTTTTCGAGACGTTCAACGCACCAGCGTTCTACGTCTCCATCCAGGCTGTCCTTTCCCTGTACGCCTCCGGTCGTACTACCGGTATCGTTCTCGACTCTGGCGACGGTGTCACCCACGTTGTCCCCATCTACGAGGGTTTCGCACTTCCTCACGCCATCTCTCGTGTGGATATGGCTGGTCGCGACCTGACAGACTATCTCATGAAGATCTTGGCTGAGCGCGGCTACACCTTCTCGACTACCGCCGAGCGTGAAATCGTCCGCGATATCAAGGAGAAGCTTTGCTACGTTGCTCTCGACTTCGAGCAGGAGATCCAGACCGCCTCGCAAAGCTCTTCACTCGAGAAGTCCTACGAACTGCCTGACGGCCAGGTCATTACTATTGGTAACGAGCGATTCCGAGCTCCCGAAGCTCTCTTCCAGCCTTCTGTCCTCGGTCTCGAATCTGGCGGTATCCATGTCACCACATTCAACTCTATCATGAAGTGCGATGTCGATGTCCGTAAAGATCTGTATGGCAACATTGTCATGGTAAGTCGAATGTCCTCGAGGCTATCGCGCATTGCTAACTCTGCTAGTCTGGTGGCACCACCATGTACCCCGGTATCTCCGACCGCATGCAGAAGGAAATCACTGCCCTTGCCCCATCATCAATGAAGGTCAAGATCATCGCACCCCCCGAGCGCAAGTACTCTGTCTGGATCGGTGGCTCCATCTTGGCCTCGCTCTCGACCTTCCAACAGATGTGGATCTCCAAGCAGGAATACGACGAGTCCGGGCCTTCCATTGTCCACCGCAAGTGCTTCTAAGTGTTCACAGCGTCATTTCCCGACCTCATCCCTCAACCAACGATTACCAATCTATCAGCGAAGCTCTGAGACCAGAGACAATGTTATGAAGACTTGACGAGAAACAATGAAAAGTGGTGCATAGATTTCATGTCGGACTGCGGGAGTCGTGAGAGCGGCGAGGTCAACGTATTGCAGGACCATGAAGTTAGCGTCAAGATTCAAGCAGACCTCTTGAACGATCGAGGCTTCTTCAATTCGCGAGTATGCAGCCGTATGTATCAATGAGAAGACTGCATCTTCAGGAACATTTGCTAGAAAGCAACAGATCGAACACTCTTCGTAGGCCCCCAACGCCAATGCCAATGCGAACAGATGGTTCCGGTCCGCGTAGACCACAGGCTCAAAAGCCATGCTTCCAACCTTTGATCGACACAGGCTTTGTGAGGATCCGGCCCTCACTTTACTCTCATCCGCTATCACACCTTCGCTCCTGCCGGAATAGCTCAGCTCTCAGTCCGGCTAGCGCTATTCGTTCTAGGTCGATCGAGGCTCCCTAGAATCAGTAAGCAGCAGGAACGATCGATACGATCATGGCCGCACTTGAGCAGTACAGTATTTTCTTCATCATGTATTCAGTGTCGTCCATTGCCAGCCTCCAATCACACTCAATCCCTGGCCAAGCAGAGCCACGCAAAAAGCATTGCTTTAGGCATTGGCCACCGCCCATCTGCCAATGCTTCCCGGCCTACACCTCTACAACAGTAGCCCCATCCTCCGCCGGCTCCAACAACTTCCACTCACACTTGATCCCACCTTCTTTCTCAAACATTGCAATCGCCGCCTTTGCGATCTCCTCGAAGTTCTCCGTGGCCAATGCTAATATCGTCGGTCCAGCTCCGGATAGACAGATTCCGCAGAGACCCTTGTGAGTTGAGGGCGTGATCTTGCTGATGATGGCGGGGAGGGCAGGGATCAGGGAGGCGCGGTAGGGCTGGTGGATCTTGTCTTGCATGGCGGAGTAGATAAGATTGGGGTTGGGTGGGGAGTCGGAGAGGACTGTGGTGAGGAGGGCGAGGCGTTGGAGGTTGAAGATCTGTGATTTGAGTAAATAGGCGGTTCAGTCGGGTGCAGGGGGAGGGCGATAAGAGCATGGATTGCTGGTGGTGTATATGTTTGCTTCCGAGCGATGACTGGCATCGGCCGAGACGGCTGGAATGACTCACCATGTCTTGCCGTGTATAGGTCTTAGGCAGCACTTCTCTTGCCCTTGCCGTGCTGACCTCGAAGTCCGGGATAATAGCAATGGCCTTGAGCTCCTTGTTCCAGACAAATCGTCTGAAATGTCCGATGTTTTCAGGCGGGATCGGCGGTCGTAGACCTGTATCTACACCGCCAGCTGGCTGTGGCAGCACTTCACTTAGGGGCACCTCGATACGAGCCATATCATCTGGATTCAGCTCGTTGAGATACGTGCCCACGAAACCGCCATATAATGCTGCGGCAACATTGTCTGGATGTCGCTCGACCATGAGAATGAAGTCCAGCACTCGTTCTTTGGGCAGGTTCAGCTTGCCCAGGAGGTTTCCTAGAAGGGCACCAGCCACAACGGCAGCTCCTGATGAGCCAGACCTCGACCTAGCGGGATAGGATTTTTGATGTGTACTGTGGTTCCTTCAGGGAAGTGGTGTTGGTTGTGACATCGTAACACGTACAAGGCTGTGCGGGTGATGAGATTGTTCTCCGGGTCCAAGTCAATGCCTTCGGGAGACACTCCCTCGTAGGACAGTTTGCAATTGAGTGGTGTTGGTGGCTGGGAAGGGTCATTGCCGACGTCCAGCTCAAGGTACATGTTGAGTGCAAGGCCGATGACATCGAAGCCAGGGCCTGGTTAGGACTGTTAGTCCAAGATGGATCAGTCTTGACAGCTTGATGGGTTCCTACCAATGTTGGCCGAAGAGCATGGCACCTCTGTCACAGCTGTTAGCGCAATGAATATCCCGCACTAAAAGTGTCGTACTGATTTTATGCGTAAATTTCGACATCTTGACTGCAGTGATGGTAGCAAGGCAGCCCTGCTGACTTGGGCCAGGTATGGTTCTGGACTTGCCAAGAACTGGCCTCAAGAAGGGGAGCCGCGAGCCCTAGACGAGTTCCCCGAGGATGAGCTACCCACACGTCAGCTTGTGTGAGCTTCTGACCGCCAACGAGCCTCAAGCTGTCCCCTCAGATGCTTGAGTTGTAGTTCATGGTCCTCGCAGCTGGACGGGGACAGCAAAAGTGCGGAGAAGAGTCACAACAACGAGACCGGAATGAACCGCGAAGCTTGGCGAAATTTTGTCCAGAATTTTGAATTTTCTCAAACCACATGAGCGACTTCCAGCATAATCGCGAAGACAGATAGATCACTGACTCTTCCGTCGAGAAGGCAACAAGCTATCGCATCTTCCGCCAACTATCGAAGCAAAGTGCTCTGGTGCGCAGTGGAGGGCAATTCGAAAGGGACTGGAGCATATTTATGCACAAGGCTCGCGCCCCTTGCGGTCTGTACTCCCACCCACACCAAATAACAGCAAATCCATTCAGCACACATCAAACCCACATGGCTCATAACCAGCTGTAGACCGGACACCGTACTTCACGCTCCATCCGGACTTAGGCTGTTGTAACATCAAGTTGCTTGATATTGCGCTGTTGGGCCTCTTCACCAGGGTTACCTACTGGACGTCCACAGATCCGCAACATGGTGGAGCGATTGCGCATCCTCGTTGTCGGCTCCGGCGGCCGCGAGCATGCCTTTGCATGGAAGCTTGCTCAATCGCCCCTGGTGGATCAGGTTCACGTCGCTCCCGGTAATGGTGGCATCGCCAATGCTGAGTCTCCCATAGTAAACGTGCCAAACATATCGGTGGACGACTATCCTGGACTTGTCGCATACTCTCGTAAGATGGGTCTCAATCTGGCCGTCATTGGACCTGAAGCACCACTGGTTGGAGGCATCGAAGGGTTCTTTCGAGCGGCAGGCATTCGCTGCTTTGGACCAAGCAAGGCTGCAGCGATTATGGAGGGCAGCAAAGCATTCTCAAAGGACTTCATGCAGCGTCATGGAATTCCAACAGCAGCATTCCGAAACTTCGACGACTATGATGCAGCGACACAGTATCTCGACAGCGTAAAGCACAACGTGGTGATCAAGGCGGATGGCTTGGCTGCTGGGAAGGGTGTGATCATCCCTATGTCGAAACAGGAAGCACACGATGCACTGAAGAAGATCATGGTTGCGAAGGACTTTGGCTCGGCGGGCGCACAGGTCGTCATCGAGGAGTTCCTGGAGGGCGACGAGCTCAGCATACTAACATTTAGCGACGGCTATACTATCAGATCTTTGCCGCCAGCACAGGACCACAAGCGAGTCGGCGACGGCGACACAGGGCCCAACACTGGCGGTATGGGCTGCTATGCGCCAACAACGGTCGCCAGCAAGGAGCTGATCCAACAGATCGACCGCGAGATCGTGCAGCCAACTATTGACTCGATGCGAAGAGATGGCATGCCATTCGTTGGCATCTTGTTCACAGGGATCATGCTCACTAAGAACGGACCGAAAGTGCTCGAGTACAATGTTCGAGGCGGTGATCCAGAGACACAAACGCTCCTGCCTCTTCTCAGCGATGACACGGACTTGGCGAAAGTCATGCTCGCGTGCACAGAGCATTGGCTTGACGGAGTGGAGATGCACATCAAGCCGGAATTTGCGACGACCGTAGTGGCGTGCGCCGAGGGCTACCCAGGCAGCTACGCCAAAAACAGGCCGATCACACTGCAAAAGACGCCCGCCGATACCATCATCTTCCACGCCGGTACTTCTCTTGCGGACAAGGGGAAGCTGCTCTCGACAGGTGGCAGAGTCATTGCAGCGACAGCTACCGCCGCCACACTTGAGGATGCTGTGAAGAAAGCGTATGAAGGTATGGCCACCATCAAATTCGAGGGCATGCACTTCCGGAAAGATATCGCACATCGCGCATTCAGACAGAAGAATGAGTTGCAGAAGGAGGACGAACCTCTTACATATGCCGCTGCAGGTGTCAGCATTGAAGCAGGCAACTCACTGGTTGAGAAGATCAAGAAGGACGTGAAGTCCACAAAACGACCTGGTGCTGATGCCGACCTGGGCGGATTTGGCGGTCTGTTTGACCTTGCGGCAGCTGGCTTCCACGAGAAGTCACCTACGATTGTGGTGGCTACGGATGGTGTGGGTACGAAGCTAAAGATCGCTCATGCCATGGAGAAGCACGACACTGTTGGCATTGATCTCGTCGCTATGAATGTGAACGATCTGGTTGTTCAGGGAGCAGAGCCACTTGTGTTTGTGGACTGCTATACCTGCAGCATCTTGGACGTGGCAGTGGCGGCTGATGTCGTGGGCGGTGTGGCACAGGGATGTCGGATATCAAAATGCGTCCTGGCGGGAGGTGAGACTGCCGAGATGCCAGGACTGCTAAATGGCAATGAGTACGACGTCACGGGAACCGCGGTGGGCGCAATCGATCTCTCGAATACAAAGCTCCTCCCGGATAAGGACAGCATGGTCGAGGGAGATGTCCTGCTTGGTCTGGCATCAAATGGCGTGCACTCCAATGGCTTCTCGCTAATCAGAAGAATTCTGGACCGCAAACATCTGGCGCTCTCGGAAGTAGCACCCTGGAATGCGGAGGAGACTGTGGGCAACTCGTTACTGACCCCAACGAGAATATACGTGGTGCCACTGTTGAACGTATTGAAGAAGGATCTGATCAAAGGCATGGCGCACATCACGGGCGGCGGCCTGGTCGAGAATGTACCACGAATGCTCCCAGACTCACTTACAGCAGAAATCGACGTCTCAACGTGGGAACGGCCGAAGGTCTTCGATTGGCTTCAGGCAGCTGGCAAGGTCAGCAATGAGGAGATGGGTAAGACTTTCAACAATGGTGTCGGCATGGTGCTTGTGGTCTCGAATGTAGCGTCGGGCGAGGTGAAGAAGCTCCTTGAGGAGCAAGGCGAGGTGGTGTACAAGATTGGCACGCTGGTCAGTAGAACCGAAGCGGGATGTACTCTGAGAGGCACGGAGGCATGGGCATCTTCGTAGAAGGCTTGCTATAAGAGAAGTAGTTCTCAAAGATGAAACCATAGATGTTGGCACAGCTTGCACCTGTGGCACATGCCATGTTCTGATGACGAATGTGATGATTGCGGACGTACGAAGGATCGCCAACGCTCATGGTTCATGTCGAGCCGTTCGAGGGACGCCGGTGCAGTGCGTGATGTCTTATGGCTGGGCCCGTTCCCTACCAGTAGTAAATAGCCCCGAATGGAATAGAATCCAGAGTCAGTCATTCACTGTCGAGAAGCAGGAAGATCGCTACAAGCCCCTGGCCTAGCAGATAAGAGTCGTGCAGGATGCCGGGCAAGCAAGATGGTCCCGAAACAGCCCTTCGCACAGAGGCAAATTCTCACAGTCCCTTGTCAGAGTTCCATTTTGAAAAAGCTATCAATGGTTGATGGACCTCGAACGTGGCTCGGATTGAAAACTATTTTATTGTTCGTCACCAGCGGCGTAGCAAACAGAGCATTACGGGTTGTCCTTGTTAGGGTCGACCACACAATGGTGTCTGGAGCCAGCACAAGCCCTTGCGAGCGCTTCGACGTAAGTGCTAGGTTGTCGTCATTGCCAAATCGTTCTTGTCGTGAGACCCTCGCGCCAACCCATCACTCGCGAGCAGATAAGAGTGTATCGTGAACATAGTCGGTAGGCGCACGATAAGTCTTCCCTGCTTCGAACCACGCTTCACGAACCAAGCAAAAACTGAGCGGGAAAGATCGAAGGAGCCACCAGCTCGTAGAGGAGTGTCACGGGTCCATCTTCTGACATGCCGCTGTCTGGTGGACACACAGCATCGACGGCTCTGAACAACTCCATACGCCTTCAAAATCACTTCCGACCCAATGATACACTCGATTCCAGCGTGATCGAGCGCTTCGGAACTCTCAGCCTTGCCAAAGATGAATCGCAATAGTCCTCAAAGAACCACCTCTTTCTGCTGAGAGCCGCGCAGGGCGTCGAAATGGACGACGTCCGAGATTCGAAAACGAGCGAGAGTTCCGCTCGTAGGCGAAGATCGAAAGCTGCGACCATAAATTCGATGCGATGCGCGCTGGGGACGCGTTGGCGGAGATCCTTCGAACCAAACAATTTCCTTCTCTTATACCAGAGGTCTCGGATAGATACGTTGCCTTGGATCTCTGTTCGCTTCTGTCACTCATGTCGTACAGCGGAGGTCTGGTCAATTCTGGTATCTGGTAGTCCACAATTGCGGACGCAGCTACCCGGTTCGATCAGTCCTGGCTCGCCGCATGTCTGAGATGTAGCCGTGTGAAGTGTGGGTTTCGTCACTGGAAGCGCAATCCAATCTATGCAATACCGTCAATCATGAATGTCTCCTACCACTTGGAAGCTGCATCACTGACCTTCGACCTCTGTGATGGAGGAACGAAGGCCGTTGGCCACGTTGCGCATTATTTGGTGGTCGCCCATGACATGCAGGGCTGAGAGGCCCTGGCACGGGGCCAGAACCGGATTGGTGCCCTGCCGAGCCTGCCCTGTGGAGAGTTCAGGAACATCATGATCGTTTGCCGGGACTCGAGCTCAAAGTCTTTGCAACGTCTTCTGCCACATCAACATACAAGACCTCGTGGCGTCGCTTCATTGATTCCTCGTCGGCGTTGGTTTCGTCACTGACCTGCAGAGAGTCGCGGAAAGCTGCTAGTGAGGATACGCATCAGCAAGAGGGACTGATTTGGCCAATCGCGTTGAGAGTTTTGTCATCTGAAAACAATGCAGTCATGCTGGGGGGCGAGGCCTTCCCCACACACAGTCTTTTCCGAGGGACGAAGTGGTGGAAAATAGAGTCCTCTTCACCTTCGTGGAGCAGGCTCGAGATGCAGTCTCGCAGGCTCAGACAATCCTGGACGCATTCACATCAGCAGCCACATGTGTACTTTATAGACAGTTGCACCACAACAAGAAGAACAAAGGATAGATGGTGATGATCGGGCTGAAGCAATGACCAAGACTATGGAATTCGAATGTGCCGGAGCGGATGCGGGCACAGAGTTCAAGCGAGTCAAACTCACCTCAGATCGATTATTTCCGTATAAGCAGCAAGAGTTGTACTAGGTTCTCTGTCTTCCTGTAACATCCTCACCACCTCGTTGTACTCAATTTCCGCTACTGTGATCATGGAGGCTCTCCTCCGCCAGTCCAAGGGAATGTGCCCCTTCCTCAAGCACACTCCCACCGCCACCCTGCGAACCCTATCGACCTCGACCCGCCAGTCCCCAGGTGGCGGAACGATCACGAACTTGAACTTCATCGCTCGACGATGCCCGGTCATGAACAAGGCTCTTGCCGTGCAAAGTGCCAAAATCTCTGCTCGCAGCTATGCCAAAGTCGCCCCAGGCACTTCCGGTGTCGTGAAGAAACTTCTGAACAAGAAGCTACACACTACAGCGGAAAAGAAAGCCAGTGTTGACCCTCATGTTATTCGTGGCGCCCCGACTGGTGAGTAGCACGTTTCCCAGAGCCGACGTGCGGCCATCTGACGATATGCAGCTCCTCCACCGGTCGCTAGACACCATGCAGTCGCTGGACCAGATACTCATATCAGACCCAAGCCTGCTGCTCCTTCTGCTCCTCGCTTCAACTACGAGCGCTTCTACGAGACTGAGCTGGACAAGAAGCACAAGGACAAGTCCTACCGTTACTTCAACAACATCAATCGACTAGCTCAGGAGTTTCCTCGTGCTCATATGGCGACACCAGAGGAACGGGTGACTGTTTGGTGCTCAAACGACTACCTCGGCATGGGCCGCAACAAGCATGTTCTCAATTCCATGCACAGGACTTTGGACAAGTATGGCGCCGGCGCTGGCGGTACACGCAACATCAGCGGCCACAATCAGCACGCTATGGGATTGGAGAAGACGCTGGCCGATTTGCACGGCAAGGACGGAGCGTTGGTCTTCAGCTCCTGCTACGTTGCGAACGATGCGACACTCGCAACACTCGGCTCCAAGATGCCAGACTGTGTCATACTCAGCGACAGCATGAACCACGCTTCTATGATTCAGGGAATCCGCCACTCGGGCGCCAAGAAACTGGTATTCAAGCACAACGATCTGGTAGACCTGGAGAACAAGTTGAAGTCGCTGCCTCCTGACCAGCCTAAGATCATTGCCTTTGAGTCAGTGTACTCGATGTGCGGATCTGTGGCGCCAATCGAACAGATCTGTGACCTGGCAGATAAGTACGGCGCGATCACGTTCCTCGATGAAGTCCATGCCGTCGGCATGTATGGGCCGAATGGTGCTGGTGTCGCCGAGCACCTTGACTACGATGTGTGGGCCAACCCAACACGTACCCGAGAATCACAGAAGGGCAGCGTCATGGACCGAGTCGACATCATCACGGGTACGCTAGGCAAAGCGTACGGTTGTGTCGGTGGCTACATCGCTGGCAGTGCTGCTATGGTCGATACTGTCCGATCACTTGCACCAGGTTTCATTTTCACGACTTCGCTTCCGCCAGCGACCATGGCAGGCGCGAAGGCAGCTATCGAGTACCAGTCTGACTACCAGGGCGATCGCAGGCTCCAACAGGTCCACACTCGTGAATTGAAGGATGATTTGACAGCACGCGGTATACCGGTCATCCCAAATCCGAGTCATATTGTGCCACTCCTGGTTGGCGATGCCGAAACTGCAAAGATGGCTTCGGACATGCTGCTGAATGATTATGGTATTTATGTTCAAAGCATCAATTACCCCACTGTACCACACGGTGAGGAGAGGCTGCGAATCACTCCCACACCTGGTCACACCAGTGAGCTTCGTGCTGAGCTAGTTGAAGCCCTGGAGGGCGTATGGAATCGTCTGAGCATTAAGCGCGTTCAGGATTGGGAGGCACAAGGTGGCTTCGTGGGAGTGGGAGTCAAGGATGCTGATCCTGTCGCGCCGCTCTGGACGGATGGTCAGCTCGGCGATATCGAAGCTCGTTTGAGTGATGCTACCGCCGAGGAGCAGCCTATGATGGCCGCAGCTGCAGCAGCATGAGCGCGCTACCGTGTGAGCGTGGTGGACGGGATGCACGTTTCCTCGAACACGCTTCGAGATGTCGTCTTCCCTATGCGATGGAGCGGAAAAGAGAGTGAGCATTGCTTGTTTTTGTCTTCGCGTTGACCTTGTCACAGGACCGCGAAAGTCGACTTGACAGTCATCTACCATGAAAAGCTAGCGATACATATTCTGCATAGCATCAACTACCAGTTGAACAAGCGCTAGCGGGTCGAGCGATCTGTGTTCTCAGAAGAATAAGCCCTGAATGGCCATCTCAGGTGATTGATTGCAACTTCGTCCGTTTTGATCCATATCAGCCAGGTTTACTGATCTCTTGGTCTCTAACGTCGGTTTGGTCTCTTGCTCCATCCAGAGCATGGTACGCAAGTCTGATGGGTTTCATGGTCCAGCGTACCAATCTCTCGTCTACGTTCATCTACATTAACCGCAAGCCGCCCTATCGGAATGTTGGGTACCAATCGACGATGCAGACTGCTGCCGCCCTCAAGATGGATTTCAAAGCATTGTCGCGGGTTCGGCACGACGCAGGCGCCGGAAACCCGTGGCGGTTGCTGCCACCATGGATCTTGGGCCCGCTAACCTTTTGCCTACTGTAGAAATGCATGTCACACTGAGCAGACTATGGTACAGTGCCATCAGCAGTGCTTGGAAGGCCGCCAGACCTGTAGTACTCGACACACCTAATGCTTAGAATATTAGGCGTCTGTGCCAACGAACCAAGGCTTACCGTGTACACAGCGCCCTTCTGGTGCGCATTCGACCTTGAGAGTATGCCACGACTATTCAGGCCTCTTGTGAGGCGGGATGACAAACTAATAGTATGAAGCCGCGTACTCGACGGTAAGTCCTTCGTAGGGCGAATTGTGCAAGGTGCACAAAAGTCGGCGCGACCAAACTCGGCACGACATCCGCTGCCACAATGGCTACGGTGTAGTGAAGGGCAGATATGCGTCACAATCGCCACTGAGGCCGAGATCGGTTATTGATCGGCTTCATCTGGGCGAAGCGAGAAGCGCAGCAAATTTGGTTTAGGGGACCTTTGGCCTGAGGCGTAGTAGGCGGTTTTCTGCCACTTCGCGTTGCGGCACTGCTGCCTGCAGCCTGTTGGTGACTGTGACGGGTTTCCGGGTGGTACTGTAATAGCCCAGCCTCCGCTTCTGCCTCATGTGACAGCACTATGGGGCTGTCGGAAAGCAGCTTCTACTGATTTGAGGCAAGTAGAACGAGTTGATAGTATTCATGTAGCATTGCGACAAAGGACAGGCGTGAGGCACCAATTTCTGGTCGCCAGAATCTGCCTGCTGTCTAGACGCCGACAAAAGCATACAGTGCGAGCGCGACGAGCCGGATCGATTGCGACAGGTGCCATGTCACAGACTCTGTCGCGAACAGGCAACCTTGAACGTCCGTTGCTCTTTCGGACGACTCTGGAAATGACCAAACATGTTCGGAGGTGTGAGGCGAATCAGACTCGCGATGATTCACCACGTCCAGCGGGACTTTTACGAAACCCAGTGGATATGATTGGTGCCTCAAGATGCCTGCCACTGCCTGATGCTGAGAAGATGTGTGTTGGCGATAGTCTTACCTAAGGCAAGCATTACTTTTGATCCTGCACCACTCAAGGCAGCATTAAGTGCTGTTACTCGATCGCCGATACTGCGCGAGAGACGCGGACAAGTTACTGATCATCGAACTATGTCCTGCTCGCAATTATGAAGATGACTAGTAATGTATTGAATGAATAACAGGATCACGGTACGGATAGAGCAGAGCAGAATGCACCTGTCCGGGGCCACATCCGACTGTCAGTGAACTTGGGCGGCCGCGGCCGGGTAACATCATCTCCAAACATCCACCACATCTGCGACTGTCATCAGCATGAAAATGGTGACATTCAATGCCTGTTAAGGAGGCTGGAAGAGCCAGGCACACCAGAAGCGCCTTATGGCAAAAATTGAGTCGTAAGATTCGTGCGTGAATGCGTAGAGGACTTTTTGAGTCATCCGATAGCAAAAAAGAAATCATGGCGGGTACGCAGAAGGTTGGGCGGCAGGACAAGGAGGAAGATGCAGATGGTGCCGTGGGACTCAATTCTCGTGTTGTGGCGAAGATGAGAAAGCCGGCCGGAAGCAAGCGCTGAATGGGTGCTGTGTTTGCCTCTGGGCCCCCCTCTCTCCAAGGGTCCCGGCACCTGGCTGAGTCTTGGTCTTGGATGTGAGTCTTTGCCTGGGCCAGAGTGGCGCTGTCGCCTGTGGCCCTATTATGACCCGACCTCCATCGCTGTCGCCATCCGGCTCTCCTCCTCTTCCAAGTACCACAAAGATGAACAGCCTTACATATCGGAGCAGTCACTGCTCGTGTACGACTCCTGTCATCTGAATGGACTTCTCTGCATCCGCACCAAACTCCGGTCTTCTGTTGTTCCTCGGGTGAGTGCCAGTATCCTCGGAGTTGAGCCAATTGTCACAGTCAGAACAATGCCTGATGCGACAACGACAATAGGCTCATCACGTCTTGATCACAGTCACTAATAGTTGCGTGATCAGTACCTCTTAACTGTCTCCTCGAGAGTCATTGTACTCTATTGCCACACGAACCATCAACTCGAGCCTTCCAACTCGCAACCTAGCGCAGCTGGACCTTTCTGCCTTCACTGACAGGATCAATTCGACTTCGCTGGCTTGAGTGTCACCTATTCCATCATCCGACTAATTCACATACCTCAGAAGGCTTCCTTTGTTTGCCCAAGGCATCGTGACTCAGCGCAATCACTACCAGAGTCATACTACAATTGCAACAACTTCTGGACTTTCAGTACCATTCTACTACTCAACCTCTCTCTCCACTCCGATCTTCGAACACGCATACAGATATACTACCGCCATGAGTCTGTGGAAGGCCGGTCAAATATCAGAAAGTCTGCCCGTCGTTGCGCGCCCGCCACCCGAGTCCACTATCGAGTCAACTCTCTCGCAGGACAAGCCAACACATAAACGTGATACACCCCTATCGGCTACGACTGGGCTCTGAAGTCCTTCGCGGTTTGAGAAGTCTGCGCATTCTCACGTTTGTTGTGCTTTGGCGATCATCTTTGATCGTCAGTCTCGTTGGACTTCTGTGGCGGGCCGCAGCAACGAGCGGGCAGCGCAATTGCCTTTACATCGTTGTTAGACGGCGCGACCTCAACAGAGCTGGACCACGCAGCATCTGACCCTTCTACAATCCGAATAACACCGCATAATTCCTCCACACTCGCCGTCTACAAGGAAACTATTCTAGTCTGGACCTCATTTTAGAATGGGCTTCGATCATCTTGAAACAAGTGACCAGGCCTTGAATGGACCTACTTTCTCGCAGCCCACATCTATCCCGGCCTCCTTCTACGGAAGTAGCATCAGTCAGTTCTCCGGCCTCACAAGATATGCTTCCGTTCGAGACAGCGACTTGCAGAGCGTTGCATCTTCCGACGATACTGCGAGCGTGGCCGAGTCGGTCTTCTCCGACAACCAAGATGCCCAGTCGATAGTTTCTTCTCAGTCCAGTTACAGCTCGGCTGGGTCGGACTCGTCTGAGGAGGGTAGCGATGGTGAGAATACATCCATTACTGGTCGAGCAAACTTTGTCAAGCCAATTTCCAACAATCACACTGATCAGCGAGAGGAGCTGTTGTCTGGTCTATCATCAGAGACGCTTCCGTTTCGCACACTACCACCGCCCAAGAAGCACGAAGCTTCTCAGAGCTCAACCCTCCAGCAAGCAAATAATGTGCCTCCGGTCTCTCAAGCTACGAACGTTGCCCCAGGAGAAGGTCAGGCGCTGAAGCCAATGTTGCACAGCCTCCACGACTCAAGAGAGATACCGACTCGTCCGACTGCTTTGTCGGTCAATTAATCTGTAAGTCACGTCCTGAGTTCGACAGCAGCGGTGCTGTTCTAACACATTGGTCAGCATTCGCAACAAGACTCATAACGGCTATCTGGCCTAAGTCAGGCTGTCCGCCGCTGATGTCAAGTTCGTTCAATGGAGCTGGAGTACTTCCTTTGGAAGTGTTCATCCACGAAACTCTGCGTCGCTCAAAGACCAGCTTTTCAACATTACAGGTGGCGCTCTGGTATCTGGTGATGCTTCAATCCCAAATGCCTGCTGAAGGCCAGAATGGAACATCTGATTGTCGTGCCATGGACTGTGGCCGCCGCATGTTCCTTGCAGCCCTTATGCTTGCTTCCAAATATCTACAAGATCGCAACTACTCTACCAGAGCCTGGAGCAAAATATCTGGACTGCGTATGTGTGAGATTAACGAGAATGAGATGCATTATCTCAAAGCGATCAATTACAGTCTTCACATGAAGAAAGATGTCTTCGACAATTGGCATCGTCTGGTTCTTAGCCTCAGCAAGCTATCTCGGGCAAAGCCAGGCTGTCCTATATCTGGCTGGCGCACGTCCGGGTCCGGCCATTCAAATGCACTCGCAGCTATGGTTTCTGAGGATTCTCAGCCTGGACTAGAACTGTTCACTTGCCAATGGTGGCAAGATGTGCTGAAGCAGCTCAATCCGCAAATCTGTCAGGATGCCGCTAGTACCGAGGGCTTCCTCCACAAGGTTCTCCCGCAGAGCATCATCAACGATCCGCGCATGGACTTGTCGTCTACCGTTGGAACAACTGGATTTACAGCAGACTCGCCCTTCAGTGACGCTTCTCCGGTGAAAGGCTTCCAATCAGCAAGCTCGACTCCAATCGAGTATACTCAGAGCCCAGCCGAGGCGTCGACAGCATTGCCTCTGCAACCACATTTGCGCAACCTTCCTACCCCCGTTTCGACGCCCAGGCCAAACGATGGTTATCACCCCTGGCTGTTAAAATCTGACCCGAGCGCACCAAGCCTGCGATGCTCTGCATCTGTTGATGCTTTCCGTAATGTCCGCAAGCAATGCCTCGCCAACGCCAATCTCGACAAATGTCCGCCACCGCGACCACAATCATACCATTGCGCCGGCGCTCGACCAGCTGTGTCGAGCCATTTCAATCCTTTCCCACTGCCGTCACCTGCAACCTCATTATCCAGTGGAAGGTCGCGTTCATCATCCATCTCATCAACATCATCATGGTCACCGAGTTCGGCGATCATGCCTGGTGTTGATCAACTGCTACCGTACAGAACGCAGGAACCGTCGCCACTCACCCGAGTGGTATCGATGCCAGAATCGAGACATCCCGCCAAGTTCAATGGTGAGCATCCTTTACGTCGCAAACCGCAATGCTCGGACATTGCTAGCGCAAGATCACACGCGGCAGCCCATGCTCGGAGTCAAGTCCACAAAGCGTCGCACAGCTCGGCTGTAGCTGCCGACGTCAATCCTCAGAACAAGAATGTGGACGATCAGATCGCCGAAGCGCTCGTGCAGATGGCTCGTGAACGTCAGGCGGCAGCCTCGCGGGCTAGAGCATCTTGTCTCGAGACAAGAGGCCACAAGCGCACCATATCCACGTGCAATGAGCGTAATGCCGAGAACACGAAACCTGTACAACAGGAACTCGCCGCTGCAGGAAGTACATTGAGCGAATCTCGCATATCAACACCAACGTCTCTTGCGGACTTGCACAAAGGTTGGCAGTTTCCCGCGAAGTCGTGGGCCACGCCAAAGAAGCCTATGTGCGGACCATTCGATCACAAACGAACGGCACTCTACTGTGATTCCAAAGACACTGTCAACGAGTCTGCCGCATCAAAATACGCAGCACTGTATCTGCGAGACACAACTGTCTTCGCATAGCAGCATCTGCATCCGCCACCACACTATCGACCATCATATCAACCTCCACCATACTGTGAGCTAGACGAGGAGGAAGCCGTCCTTTACTTGATACCCCATCCTGCATCAGCAGCCTCGACCTTCGGTGCTGCCACCTCGTCTAGCTGTTGCACATTCTACCAAACCTCGATCCACAAACGGGATCTGTCGATCATCATAAAATTCTCTTTGATGCTCAGAAATAGGTACCACATGTCTAGCATGTGGCTAATAGCATCAGCCTTTCAAATTCACTGCTACATTGATCTTGTTACCTCTCGCCCGTGTCGCGTAGTTTCTGAGTGAATATCTCGTCGTCGCCTGCTCCGGAATTGACAAAGTGTTGGATGATCCTACGGGCCATGCCCAGGCTGCCGAAGAGAACGGTTCGGCTTTCAGTCGGGAGAAGTCGGCAGACGCCCGAGTTATCTTATCGATCTGATCGGCTTCCCCTCACACAGCTCTTGACGGGCGTCAGACATCGCTTCGTTGGATGAGCGTCTGGTTGCGTGCACCGCGAGTAGAAAGGCCTTCTAAGCGCTCGTCCTCGTGCAAAGAGCATCGCTACCTCACAGCGAGCCCCGTCTGTGCCATCCCATCAAATACAGTCCTCCAGCCTATCCTACATAGTGCCGCAGCCGCAGCTGTAGCATCCTCCGCAGCCAATGCTGCCACATACGCTCGTCTACTATATCCTGTCCCTCACCACCGTAGCCTACGCGCACCCACCGCCAGCCTCATACCACCCCGACACACGACACAGAGCAGATGTGCAAAATTCCATCCCAGGATCACATGCCGACCCACACTCATCATCACTGCAACCACCACGGCAGATCCGCACCCCAACCCGCTACGAATCAACTCTGCTAGCCCGCCGTCTGCTCGCGCTTTCCTCGACGGGCTATCTCTCCACCAGCTTTCCCTCCGCACAGAACCTCAGCGCCGACCCTGCGTATCGGTGGACTCCGAGCGAGGTCGCGGGTGCGGCGATTGGGTTGCCGGAATATTTCGCTGCCTGCAATGGGGGAAGCGAGAGTGAAGAAGATGGTGGAGATCCAGTGATGATCCGCCTGAGGATAAGCACGACGGGGAAGAATTCGCGGAATGGTGGGAATGTTAGTTTGGGCGTTGATTGGTGGAGTCAGGAGCATCTGCGAGAGCGGCGGGGGAGTCAAAGCTTCGATGCGATGGGCTGGATTGACAGAAGTCCGTCAAGTCTGCCTCGGATGGCTCTACTAGGGTACCTGGAAGTGCTGGATGATGAGGAGGTGGAGAAGCAGAAGGTCGTGCAGTGTTTCGAGAGGAGGCATGCGGATGCGAAGCACTGGCGGCCTGGCAGTGAGAGGGGGGCGCACACGGGGGAGTGGGTTAGACTGAGGGTCAAGGCGGTGTATTGGGTTGGAGGTTTTGGTGGGAGGGCGTGGATCGGGTGGTTGGACGTTGAGGGGGAGTGGGATCGGGTGAAGAGGGAGGGGTGGGAGAACGTGAGGCTGCCAGGGGAGGAAGGATGGGAGAAGATGCCTTGGTTCGAGGGCGGGCAGGAAGCATGGATGGAGACTGTTGGGGTGGAGGCCTCCATGGGGCAGGATGTAGATATGATGCGGTACGAGTCATGAGCTTTGAAGACATGAGTCTTGATCATGGCGTTTAGTGGCATTGCACACCGAGAATCCACTCAGGGAGGACTCTGTGTTGTGTAGCGCTCCAGGACTTTTGATAGCGGTCCAGATGCACGTCCAATTTCTTCTCATGGCATTGTACACATTGAAAATCCACTCAGGGAGGACTTTGTGTTGTGTATCGCTCCAGGACCTTCGAAAGCAGTCCAGATGCACGTCCAATTTCTCCTCCTTCTTTTCTACATGGTGCGACGCCTGTCTCGATCTGGTATCGAAAGTGCTCGTCGTAGACCCGCAGTCGATCTTCGCGATCCTCGAGCATCTCTGTCTTCTCATCCCGGATCGTTCCATATAAGTTCAGGTAGTCGTAAGCATTGGATTTAGTAGAAATCCTGTGATGGTCCAGGTCCCAGTAAGGGAAGTTTGCCGCAGCTCTATTTTCCTCGTCTTTTGTTCGTTTGTCGGCAAGACCGGCCTCAAGAAATTCCGACAGCGCAACGATAATTCTTGCTGTTGTCTTCGGTTCTCCCATGGCCGGCTTGGACATTGTCCACTTTTTGATCTCTGAGCTTCGCCACGCTAACATGATCATGAAGCACTCAAGCGTCGAGTACCAGCCGCCAGGACCACTTACTAGCTCTTCCGGCACAGTTGCGATGAGCAGGGATAAGATATCCAGCCCCGAAGCTCGAACGTCCTTTGACATGGAGGTCATGCCAGCCCGAACGTGAGGCAATAGACGTGGTACATGATCCTGTAAGTCCGAGGCAGACAGCGAGTGAAGCAGTTTCACGACCTGCAAGCGCACGGCGTTATTGGAATCCAAAATGCAAGGGCATAGTTTTTCGATCAGGGCGGCCCCTGTGACGGGCAAATTCGAATCCTTTCTCGACTTCGCACTGGAGATATAAGTGGTGAGAAACGCTAATGCCTCCCTCCGCTGGCTCTCGGATTTGGATGATACCAGAGAAAGGTGATGCTGGAATTGGTTGATTGTGGACGGCGCATCGACATTGAGCTGCTGATTGAGAACGATAGCTTTGGCTCGAAATTTCGTATCGGTATGGTTGGCGGCTTTTGGCCTGTCCTTGCCGACCTTCAGCTTGGGCTTCTGAAAGTCCTTCTTCTTCTCCCTTTTCTTCTTAGCGCTCGAGCCCATGATGACGACGGCAGAGAACCCTGCATTGCCCCAGAAATTGTTCCCTGGAGGACTGTGTATGTAGAAGTTGGAGTTGGACGAATATCAAAAATATTGGTTCAGCTTTTGACAGAGGCCGCCCGACATAGTTTAGTGCCTTGGCAATGGTGACGCGATTTGGATGCAGGGTTCCGCTTCCGCTTCCTCGGAGATGTTTCAAAAATGAGGCTCTGTTTACGTTTCGCGTTCTATGATTCTACGAACCCTCCCCGCGTTGCCTTAACGGCGCCTTTTGAACATTAGGTAACAGAATCCTCACCTATACAACCTTTTTCTGACTACATCTTCCAGCATTTGCGATAGCTGGCCCCAAGCAGGATGCCATCGGCTGGGACGGTGCGCAGCTCATGCCTTCTTCCCATCCTGCACCAAGCTAATGGGAGCGCATCAGGACTCGACCATCGACGGACTCCTCCGCAGTCTGAACGACCGGCCGAATGTGGACGCCACGCTGATTCTTTCGCGCAAAGATGGATCGATCATCAAGTCTGCAGGATTCGCGGTCGCACAACAGCGACAGAGAGCTCTGACATCCGGCCCCGAGCCTCCTAGCGATCAGACCAAAACGCAGGAAGATGGTGGTAGCGAAGAGCAGGTGAAAGCTACACCCGCGGAAGAGCTGGCCGTCTCTGTGTTTCAGTTCATGACAGCTGCTGGTTCTCTCGGTTCGACTCTGGCTGCAGTCTCCGCTGGACAAGGCCGTGGAAATGGGTCGTTTCAGCAAGAGCGCGGCTCAAACAAATCACAACCCGGAGACGATGAGCCGCCTGATGCGAATACGGAGTCTGCGGACGCACAAGTTCAACTGCTGCGACTTAGAATAAAACACAAAGAAATCATCATCTTCCCTGACCCTCAGTACATCTGCTGTGTTGTTCAGCGAGTTGGCAAACAGGCTGCGACAGAGAGCCGTTGACATGGCGAACAAAGACTGGTTCTGTGGCGGAAGGTAAACGCCATGTGCTCCGAAGAGGACCCCAAGGCAGTCATCGATCGCGCCATAGAAGTCAACAATTACAAGCGCACGCTCAAGATACGCACCTAGGAGAAAGGTATGGGTGTCAGACCATGTTAAGAACGTCTGGGAAATGGGGCTCCCGACCCCAATCACAACATAATCAGAAGGACCTATTCCACTTCCGTCTGGCAGAACCAAAATGTTGGCTCCCGGCACAGATAAAAGAATTTGTACCGAATCAACACGTCTCGACAGCAGCCGGAGATCAACGTTCGGTGATGGTGTGGACATCGAAGCAAAGATATCTGCACCATGCGAGATAAGCCTATCTAGCACGATCCGATCCTCTTATCGATCTCTGGGGAAGCTATAAAGCGACATTTCCTGCTTTGCCATGTCTTAGTCCTGGTCGCAAGTATGGCCACGCCAGATTCTACACCACGCAGATATTCCAGACTCTGATGCAAGGCAGACCGCATCATTCCGAAGGCTGATGCGTCGACAGTCCTCGACTTGCCTCTTACGCGTACTCGTCACCTGCCGCCACTGTGGCTAGTCGCCCGTCTAGATCGCGATGAAGACCTCACGATCGCGTACAGTTGAAGTTGTGGCCGTTGTCATTGATGATCAGCTCTGCGCCTGAAGAATCGACTATCCCCAAATCTTACAACATGGCCTACTTCGTACGGGCCGATGCAGAGGTCTTTGCTCACACCATTCTGGCTGAATCGGCAGTTGCAGGATTGAATTTGTCAAAAAGAACGAATCTGAGCGACATCTCGCCTCGCGGTCGAGGGCAGCGCACGGACCTTGCAGCACTAGCGTGGGGTTACATTTCAAGTGAACCACGATCAAGTCGCTCTTGCTCCGATTTTGCCATCGGTACTATTCCGACTTGTTGCCAGAGTGATTTGCATCTGCTTTGAGCATTCACGCTGTTGGGCAGCGCGCTGTATCATCGCATGCTGACATCGCGTGTAGAAGACCTCACGAACTGACAAGCAGCACAGACATAGGCCGAGCACAACTTGTCCAGACTCCCGACGGACGACGAGTGGGAAAGTACCTACTGTAGGTATACCGTAAAAGTCGCTTATTTCCAAATTCCAAACGACCAGGGTGCATGTGCATGGTGCCTCTTGCTTGGCTTCCCAAGTTCGAGGTGTTCTGTGAGCCACCAAATTTATTCGGAAAAGGATTTTCACGCAAACATGCGCCGTAGTTTCATCCTTCAAAGACTGCTACGACTAGATCATTCTTCATATGCACATGGTCTGTTGCGTTCCACATGGAAGAAATTGTCCTAAGACCTCGGGACGAAACCCGAGTCTGGCCGAACTGAGCATGATGCAGAGGTTGAACGTGAACCAATGCCCTCCCTAGCGAAGAAATTGATCCAGGAGATCCTTGAATGCCCCACGACAGGCTGTTCCATCATCGTAAGAGCCATAGTGGTGGAATATCAATCCGAGCTACGTTTGGCGACGACCGCAAGCGATCAAGACATGATGTACACAGTGCTACATAGTAGACAACACTGGCGCTGTTTCATACACCGCCGACTTACTTCCCATGTGGTTGAGAAACCATGGCAAAAGGTCTAGATCTATGTACCAACCATGTGGCGGTCATTATTTGCAAAGCATGTGCTCAATTCCCATGTACACGTCTCTACAGAGCGAAATTGTGGAACATCGCAAGTGATGGTGAGAATATGACAACGTCGGAAACTCCATCTGCCATTGCTATTTGGAGTCTGGGCTTGAGCTGGGTAATAGGTATGTCTAATAATTGCGCAAGGACGGAGCATTCGAGTTTCTCCAGAGACCTATCCAGCCATAGCCATGAAACTCGGCTGAATGGTCTGAGGAGTCCTTCGCCACGAGATCACCACGCTAGTGCAGTGTCGTGTGGGCCAGGACGATCTGGTGGGTCGATGAGCCAACTTCGCATGACTCGACAGGATCATGATGCGCCGACGTTGAGAGCGGCCTAGGTCACGCCGAATGCCGGGCAACCTCCGTGCATCACGATTCTAATATTAATGCTTTCACTGATGCACATCGCTCAACGAGGTCGTATGGACGACAGCATTCAACCTCTGCAAGTGCAAAGAGAGCTCGTAAGAGTGACAAGCAAGGTGTTCGGGAGTCGTTCCAATTGAACGCCTACAGTAACCTTACTACTCCGCTGTTTCCCCAGAGCGAGCAAAGGCCTTAAACAAGGCCCGTAGGGGCATTGCTCGGACCAAGTTGTCGGCATGAACCAACGGCATTATTGACCACGTCTCACCTCAGTACTTTGGTACCTGAATCAATGACCGATTCACTGGGGTATCAGCTGTATAACATTGACTTGTGTATGCGCATTCGAGTCACCTCGCTCCTAGTCAGCACCTAGAGATGGACAAGTCTGAGTCCGATGCTATGGCATCTCGAGCACAGGTAGTCGGAATTGCCGATCATTATTTGGCTACTCAGAGTTTCTGTGTTCACGGAGCCTTGCCGCGTGTGCATGCTGAGAAGAACCAATACGGCAAGCTGGGGTATGTCAACAGCATGGTAGGTGCAGACAGTCAATGCGCACACGGAACTCACCTACAAAGGACTTCACTCGGGATTCTTGAAGACAGTCGTGCGCAACGTCAGACCGTCGAGCAAAGACAATTGAAGACATCGTCACTGCTGAGAATGGCCCCTACAATACCCCCACGTCAAAAGGTAAGCGGGCTGTCCTGCAGCAAGCCTAGCAGGGGTGCCATAAGCCTCTCTGAAAGTGCCACCGAAAGTGGTCCCATAGGCCCAAACCGCCGAGCGTCTTCAGAAAGTGACAGGGATCTTGACGTCTACAATCCCGTCTCGAACTTCGAGAGCTCGAGTAATCTCACGCGACAAGCTGTGTTCACCAAGGGAGCGAAAGAGCTTGCGCCGTGCATACTGTACCTAGGTAGTTGCAGATCGGTGATCCCGGCGCATCCTCCAAGGTTTCTCCAGGTGGCAGAGTTCCGTTATTGATCAGATCTCAGGACGACAGGTAGATCAATGAATAAGTTGTCGTGCCCCTCCATTTCTCGAATTTTGTCTCTCGGGAATAGTCTGCCAGGCTGCCAAACAGGTAGCAACACTGGCATTGAAGACAGGTGGAACGGTTCCACGCCCGACGCCCGTAGGTCCGGCAGAAGCTCGTTGGAAGTAGCCCATTTCTACTAAAAGAAATGGGGTTCCACCTGAATGTGGCACCTTTCTCGGGTGGTCGAGTCTCGAAAGAAGCCATGCGTGAAATACCGACATGAACTGAAAGAAGCGCCTGCGAGCGAAGCCCACCCGTGGCAAACACGTAGGTTTAGCTACCAAAATATCGCATGTTATTCATGCTGTCGCCAACAGAGCAGCAGAAATCCTTAATTTGGATTGAAGGCGAAGATCAAGCGCACTGCAGTCTTGGTAGACGTACTCACTGCATATTGACGTTGTGAGGTATGGCGGCTTCATACCGTGCGTAGCTTGAAAGTCTCATCTGAGATGCTGCACGAACAGTATATACTCGAGCCCATAGGTTACGGGGCTTGGAGGCTATTCGTCTAGCGGGAACAAGCCCTGAAAGCAAGCATCGACGAGCGTCAGCAGCGCTGGCGTTATTCGGGGGAGTCAGGACTATGGCCGTACTAGCACCCATGTCCACCCTGTTCAGTCCAGCGAGGCACATGCAATCCCAACCCAACCCTTACACCCATACCCGACTGCAGCATCTTTTCCCACGCTTTCCATCTTTCCTGCAATCCTCCCACCTTTTGCTGCTCACCACCTTTTCATTCCTTCTCCCGACCTCTTAGACTGCGCTCGTGTGCGCTCTGCAACCTGACAGAAATTCCGGTGTGCATCAGCTATTCGCCGGTGGCCGCATCTGCGATTTGGGGACTCCGGAAGCGACGCCATTACTCCAGACTGGCCCTCCGCCCCATGTGCAATAGTTACACAACGCTACGGCGATGTCGAATGCCCGTCATGGACCTAAGCGTGGGGGAATTTCTGCTTTGCGCGCAGCATCTGCGCTGTCCTTAAGCAATACAGAATCGTCTTTCGATCCCAAGCTCCCGTCCTCCACACAAATATCGAACTCAGCTTTACTCGACTCACACTCACCACCGCAGAACCTCGACCTCGCTCTGGGAGCGTCGAATGTCCTCGATTTCGCTCATCACCAAACCAACAACAATAGTAATACAGACAATCTGGATTTCCCAAGTTTAGATGCCGATGCTCACGATGAGCTCTTGCAAGATGCGGCCTTTCCAGAGTGGAGAGATGACTCAGGCACAGGTGCCGACACGCTCGAGACACCAGAAGAGATGCAACAGAAGGATCCTCTAGGCACTCAAATATGGAAGCTCTATAGCCGAACGAAGACTCGGTTGCCAAATCAGGAGAGGATGGAAAACCTGACCTGGAGGATGATGGCCATGAATTTACGTCGCCGCGAGCAGCAAGCAGCGTGCGTTTGGGCTTCTCCGTCGTGCGAATCATTGCTAACAGAATTCGCAGACTTGCAGCTCAAAGGGCACAAGAAGAAGCTGCAGCGAAATCGCAACAGCAAGATCCCCAGCCTGTGCCTAACTCACATTCATCCAAAGGCAGCGGCATTACTCAGCTTAGAGAGTCGTCACAACAAGCTGCTGAGCCATTTCCCGATGCCATGAATTTGGACGACTTTATAGTTCCTACTTCGGTCGCTTCACCAGCCGGCTTGCCGACCCCGTCATCAACAGATGCCCCGCCGCACCATCCCATCGCCATCAACCAAAAGCAGAAAGACAAGCTTCAAGCACCCATCGTCCCCGCCTCGTCTTTGCCGAAAGATCGAACTGGATTTGAGGGTCTTCCACGCCGAATGCGGAAGACCAGTGTCGATGACAGGCGAACAGTATGTGTCCAAATCTGCTAATGTGATCCAAATTAATGGCAAGTAGGGACGCAAAAGACCAGCCGACTTCTCGCCTCAAGTCCCACCTTTGGTTATGCCTGCAGGAGAGCAAAGAGGAAGCACGCCTGGTTTGCCCGAGTACAGCTTGAATGACACCTCGATATACCCTCATCAGCATCACATCAACACTAACATTCCCGTGCAATTCTCGGGTTACAGTGGGATGAACGATGATCCGGTACTTTCGTCAGCTGGACCATTCCAGCAGAACTTCAGCTTCTCTCCAGCGGCCTCACCTATGGTCTCTCATGGTCCTTTCTCTGCGATGTATCAGCAGAGTTCTGTGCCATCATCTGTAAATTCCGCCGGCGGATTCTACTCGCCGCCTCAATCTGGCTACCCTTCGGTCGCGTCGACGCCTCAAGCCATCCCGGAACAAGACGGCCAGTATTATTTTGAGCAAAATGCCAACGATTATCGGCACCCTCGGCATATGAGGCCCTACCAAAATGTCCGCTCTGCGCATATGATGGCTCCAGTGCCGTCTCATTTCAACTATACGCCCAGTCAAGAGCAGCTATATCACTCATTGAACTCAATGGGCTCAGCGCCGCAGTTGAATGGCTATATGATGCCGCAGCAACATGTTGATCCGAGCAGAGTACTCGGAGTTTCACCCTCGCACCTCCCTGGACACGAAAATATGTTTCAGTTTGGCGCAGACTCTGACAACGAGGACGAGGAGGGCAATTTCGCCGATCGCAACATCATGATGCAGGAAGACTATTCTGGTCAGAATGGTGAGCATAGCATGGATCTGAACGGCGGAGTACACTGGGACTCGAATGCGTCAGAATATGGCTCCATGCAAAGGAAACAAGTCAGAATCGGCGGATCTGAAATGGTCAATTCTCCGGATTGGAGCGGCAGCGTGTTGAGTCGCACTTATGGATCTGCAGCGTCCATCAGTGATATACGGGATCGGAACATGGATCCTAGGCGACAGACGAAATTGCCACGAACGACATCAACTCCTGCACTTGCTGGACACCCATCACAGGTCCATGTGACTTCTCCTCCGGAATCAGGGTTTAGCAGCCGTGCTCCTTCGCGCCCCGGCAGTCCGGGACCGAAGAGTATGGAAGCAAACGGAGCGCCAACGACCTGCACAAATTGTTTCACGCAGACTACTCCACTATGGCGAAGGAACCCTGAAGGTCAGCCGTTGTGTAATGCTTGTGGTCTGTTCCTCAAGCTTCACGGCGTGGTGCGGCCACTCTCGCTGAAGACCGATGTCATTAAGAAGCGAAATCGAGGTAGCGGTAACAGTGCTCCAGTGAGTGCTACCTCGACCAGGTCCAAGAAGCCCTTGCCACGGAAGAATTCAGTCCAAATTTCGGCAATGACGCCCAACGTCAATGGAGCGCTCAGTGACCACAACTCGGCCTCGCCAGGCTCTGTTCAAGGTTCTGCACACTCTGGATCAGCTGTGACGACGCCCACAAGCTTCACTGGCACGACCGGCGGCAAGCCAGGAGTTGTGCCAATTGCAGCAGCACCACCGAAACCGCCTGTTCAGGGTCTGAACCAGAGCCGTCCGATGCAAGTAGCTCCAAAGCGTACAAGAAGACAATCTCGCATCTCTGCGAGCGCTATTGCTCTGGCACCTAGCAGCGCTCCAGCATCCGCGGATGGCGACTCGCCGGACTCGTCGAAGTCTGGTGGATCTTCGGCTACCCGCATGAGACCTGCCAATCTTTCCCAGTCGTTCGGCCCGTCAACAATGGCAGCTGTGATGTCGCAGAATGGCATGACTCCTGCAAATGTGACTGGTCCTCCGGGGCCTCGAGGTGCTGGCGGTCAGAACAGTCAAGAGTGGGAATGGCTCACAATGAGTCTATAGGCCACATTGCCATTACGCCTGGTACGCAGCTCGAGCGATAGCGGGAGTGATGCTCGATGGGAAATAAGGTATCCAGTCGGTGGCATAGACTGTTCAAGAGATCCTGCATAACGGTTGATCGACGCCACCGCTATACCGTCGTGCACAGTAGCTGCGCCTGATTGCCTCCGAATACCGACAGCATGAAGCATAGCCAGACCCAACCTCATCAACTTTGTTTCGAACCCACGGGCAACGACGCCTGAGCTGGCGGCCAACCCATTACTTGCCCAGTCTGGGCCTACTGCTGAAGTCATATAGATGCCTGGACCACGACAGAGCCGTCTAGAGGACTGGTTCGCACTACAATCAACCGACATTTTCCGCTACTCAAATACGACTTCCGATTTAGATCAGACGAATTTGGTGTCAACAAGACTTACAGAATTTAATTGCACGATGTCGATGGTAATAACGATGGTAGATGAGAAGGGAGGATGCTTGGAAATTCTGCAATTCGTTGTTTTTACGACCATGATATCACCGCGTCTGCAAATGATGTCGACTCTCTGCCTTGCAGGGACGAGTCAGCAGAAGTGCGCACTGTGCTGTTTTTGTTGGGAACTCCGTGAAGGATGAATATAGATGGCACGTACAGAATCGAGATACGAGAATACAGCAATATGTTTGCTATCGCTAGAGCTTTTCCCAGGCATGTGAATGTCATCAATTGTATCCGACACATCGAGTTTACGAGCTTGCTTCATACTCGGATTATGCCAGGTTGACCTGCTTGCCGACCTCCTTAAGCCCCTTCCCTTCACCGCCGTAGTCCGGCGGTAGTTGCTTGCCAAGATCCGATACCTTGCTGGAGCCAAACTCATGAACCATGTTCATACTATTGGCCATCGGATGGAACTTCTTTATTGTCTTGGCCGCCACGAAGAGCTTCATGAACGTATATACAAAGCCCATGATAGCCGGAACATTGACGAAGAACTTTTCCTTGAGCAGCTCCGGATAGTTGTCTGCCAGAACTTTGATGGTCTCGGTAGACGCTGTCTTGACCTCGGCCGACTGGCGGAAAAAAGAGATGCCTTTATAATCATGGGCCTGATATATCTTCCAAGGATCGTGTTCGGGTGTGATGGGCTCCTTCGCGGAGTTGAGATCGAGTTCTGCTAGGGCTTGCTCCATGACTGCAACTCGCCAGGAGATGAACTCCTTCAGATCGCCGAATGTGGCTCTGATGTCCTTAACACCGCCATAGATATTCCAGGTGAAGACTTCCCTGCCGTCTGACTCTCCGGGAAGGGCACTGCCGTAGCTTGTGACGTAGCCCAGGCCGTCGAATTTGGATGCCGAATGCGGCTTCTTGAGTAGGTCAAGAGGCTTGTTCTCTTGCCGCCAGTCCAGAGTGCGTTTCAACTTGTCTTTGGCTTGGGTTAGATCTCCATCATAGGCATTAATGAACTTCTGGAAGACGATCTGGGACGGGACATGTGTTTTCGGATCTGCAAGTTGCACACCCCAGATCTCATCGTGAGCATGTGCATGAGCTATTTGCCAAAGCTCGTCGATGCCGTTGGTGGTTTCTGTGCTTGTAGTAGGCTCCTGAATAGGCGTTGGGACCGACTCTTTCTTAGTGTCGTCCATGGCGACTATTTGGCAGCGTTCTCGGTACGTTTGGATGGTGGCTTGAGGAATGGATGCCACGACACACTCACCGGCGCCTCGCGCGACGAAGGTGTCCCAGAGGATTGGCAGCCGGATGGCCTGTGCTTTCCCAAGCGACTCGAAGCGATTGATAAGATAAGCGGAGTTCCTTGGCAAGAGCGGATCACTGGTATTCTCCAAGATATCGGTCTCTACAGATCTCTCGCGACGTGATGGGTGCAGTGAGTCGTTGGGGATGAGGGCTTTCCGACCAGGTCTACCACGTCGGGGTATTGTGCGTACCTGTGCAGTTCAGGTACGACGCCAGCATGTCTCTGCTGCTCAGTCGCAGGAGGGTCTCTTCAAGGACTTGAGATCTCAACCGACATCGCCGAGCTTCGCCTTCTGCTTCGAGTGCGTACATACCACAGCGTTGTAAGCCTCCAGCTGACAGTAACGACAGCATTGATGGCGTGCTGCTCCGCAGTTCGACGCCCATACCTGGCGCATCGGAGTCGCTCTCGTATCTGCGGACGAACAACATTCCATTCCTGCTTCTCACGAATGGAGGTGGGAAGCACGAACAATCGAGGCTGGACGATCTATCAGAAAAGCTTGGACTACAACTCGATGCTCCTCCGATCGGCACGTCCGTTCTGGTTCAATCACATACACCTTCAGTGACCTTGGTGAGCAAGAGAACCTGAAAGATAAGTGCGTCCTGGTCATGGGAGGTGATGGCTCGAAATGTCGAGAGGTCGCCGAGTCCTATGGCTACAAGAATGTTGTCACTTCCGCAGACATCTACGCGGCTCATCCAGAGTTGTGGCCGTTTAGTAAGAACTTCCTGACAAGTTACTACCAAGACATTGCTCAGCCACTGAAGCGATCGATCAGTACTGCGTCGCCATCTGATAGCCTCAAGATTGACGCCGTATTCGTCTACAATGACCCGCGAGACTGGGGACTTGACATTCAGCTGATCTTGGACGTTCTGCTATCTCGTGAGGGCATCCTGGGCACACTATCCGAGAAGAACGGCAATCCGGATCTGCCAAATCACGGATACCTTCAGGACGGCCAGCCAAAGTTGTACTTTTCAAACCCAGACATCCTTTGGGCGGCAAAGTATCCGCTCCCCCGCCTGGGCCAGGGCGGCTTCCATGCTGCCTTGAAGGGTGCGTGGGCAGCTGTGACTGGCCTGCAAAGTCCCAAGGAGATTCCAAGCATGAATGAAGTTGTCATCGGCAAGCCGTTCAAACTGACCTATGATTTTGCTGAACGGCAGTTGATGCGCAATAGACAGCACTTATCGAACAGTAAATTGAATCCGCTCAAGACGGTGTATATGGTTGGCGACAACCCGGAAAGTGATATCAGAGGTGCGAACGATTATCGTAGCGCGGAGGGGGTCGAGTGGGTGTCAATGCTGACAAGGACCGGCGTGTATGATGGGCGGGCTATTAGCATGAAGAATCGGGTACCAAAGTTCATCGTGAAAGACGTCGCTGAAGCTGTTGGGCTCGCGCTGAAACGAGAACAAGATCGATCATGACCAGTGCGAGAGCAATCCGAGACGACAACACGTATTTACCTGGCATATCGCACCACCACGTCCGGCGCTGAGCACTTCGACTCTCCTGTCCTACAGCAATGACCATGCATACTAGATCCATCCGCTTACGAGAACGACAGACAACGATAGACAGGGATAGACAGCAATAGACAACAATAGGCGATAGACGAGCAGCGATGGGTTACAGCGTTAGAAGAATTGCTGCTGGTCTTGAAATGACAGCTTGCCCGGCAACCAGCAACCGCAGACCTGTAACCATGCTCTGATTCCTTTCAGGTGAACAACATCAAACAAACAGGTGATTGGCAGTTCTGTGTCTTGACTCAACTTTCTTCTCTGGTCAGCAGATACTTTCGGAAAATATCATCATGACAACGATCTCCTGACTGGCATCATTTGAGCTCAGTTGGACTTCTAGCATCGTCAACCTGTCCGTGGCGGAGGCGGCGGCGCATCATGGCAGACCATCCTCGCTTGCGCTTTCGATCGCGATCTTTGTCGAGTGTGCCGAATACCCCAGCCACCCGCCACATCAGAAAGGAAGCTCTCTACAACCGACATGTCGATCTAGAGCGCATCAGCAATCTGTCGGACCCTCTTGAACGGGATGATCGAGCTTGCAAGATCTTTGTCTCCTCGCTCGCTCTTAGCCACGACACCGACCGTGACAACCAAAGCATCATCATCCGTCCTAGAACCATCGGCAGCAAAGTCACCGGCACTTCTGGCGACCATTGGTATTTTCGCGCGTTAGCCTCGGGTCTTCCACAAGATGTACGCCATACTTTCGCTGCGTCGTCCTCATCTTCGATGTGTCAGGGTTTGGCAGGATCTCAGAAGGTCGGCAGGATCAATCACTCACGCGGCATTGCGAGCCATGTCCTCAAGCTCTCCACTTCAGCCATCCACATCGCTCTAGCTATTCAGCCTTCCTTCATGCATGCCTTCCTAACTGGTTATCCTGGATCACTGCCGACAGACCCTGGCGCGAATATCGCTGGCAGTCTGATCAGAAGATATGGCGAGCTTTCGGCGGAGTACTGCCGCCTTGTCGCTCAGGACAGAGAGAGCCGCAAGAGCGTGAAGAGCAAGCAACGTCCGTCTAAGGGAGCCAAGAGCGCGAAGGTCAATATCCACACCAATGGGGAACAGCATCCTTCCAATGGACACAAGAGCACGAAATTCAAGAACCACTCAAACCGTGAACAAGATCGTCCTCGAGGCAAGCGAGGCGGGATGTACGGCCGCGGAATGAGTAGGGCTAAGGCACGCGGCAAAGTTCCAAGCAACGAACAAAGCCAAGACAAATCGCACATGAACGATCATTAGGGGATAGGTCGATGTGGACGACTTCATGGGACGTGCCGGGAGGTCTTGGTGGATTATGGGAAGGCGCGCTGGCTAGAGCACTGTTTGGATTAGACAGGCGGGCAGCTACTTCGGAGAAATAGGACGAGAGCAATTCGCCATGGGAAGGAGCGTTGAGATATCGCTAGGATCATCGACTTCCGTTTCAAAGAAATGCGATACAGATGAATTGCTTTCATGTCAGTTTGATTCGCCCGATGACTGTTGCTAGCCCAAAAGAGCAAGAAAGATGTCAAGTACTGATGCACGGTAACTCCTGCCTTGGTTTGACTGTGCGTTGGTCTTTGCTGCCAATCCACCTGCCTGCCCTCGATCTACGAAGGCGCCAAGCCCGTCTGACTCCATGTCTTCCATTCTTCCACGGGCCATAGAACTTGCGCCTTTGCGTCCCCCAAACTGCCCCTAGGTCAAAACACTTCCCTGCTCGTAAGCTTTCGAGTCGGCTCGATATCGTGGGACGAAGTCAAGGAATGGCAGACCGTGATTCAGGTGTGCCGGTGAGTTGATTTGGGCGACACGCCGTAGCAGTGGGGCCATCGCCGCCCCGCTGGTCAGCCCCTGCTAGACAGACGATCGTGCCTCTCCCGTGCTCGGCCCCGTAGGTTCGAATGTCGGGCGGGCGAAATTGAGGTCGTCGAAAATCCCAGGACAGTGAACACTTCGCTTACCAAAGCAGATCTGGGAGGATGCTTGCCAGACCGGTTGACAAGATCACTCGCCTTAGGACGCCGGGCGAAAAGAGGCTCCTGTTCTGTGCCAGCATACTTCACCAACGCACTACGAGCACGTCACGGCCACAAATTACTCTTTCGGATGCTCGTGGATCTGAGATCGTTCATTCATTGTCTGGCCGGCGGTCGAATATATGTGTGCTCCGTAGGGCACGTCCGTGGACGCTTTCTGAGGCAAAATTCCCTCCCGCTGCCTTGTTGCCCAGCAGTATTGAGCTGCTTACCTCAAGCGTGCCCTGCAGCGACAATCGATCGCCTGGTCGGGCGCAACGTCGAACTTCGGATCGACGACGTTTGCCCCCAACAGCGCAGAGCTTGGTTTCCCAGCCCAAAACTGCAACGTACAAACACCGCAGACCGGCTTCCGGTGTCCTGTCGTCCTCGTGCAGCCGGTTGATGGCGGAAACGTATCCTGCCGATGGTTTTGCCACTTGATGTGCGACAGCTTTACTGACTGCCTATGTCAGAAACCCATCGTAGGAGCCGAAACACACGAGCTTGCTCAAAGCAGTCCAAATACGTTCCATGAGTCCAAGCTTGGAAGATATGGGAGGCTCGACGCATTTGGCCATTGTCTCGATGGCTGTCGTGTCGAAAGCACCGGGGACCTTGACTTCGAATTCATCCACATAGGAAAGCGATTTGTGCTCCTCATTAAGGGCGGCTTCAATTACGTGGCTCTGGGCATCACAGAAGCGCGCCTTTGGCTTGCTCTGAGAAAAGCTCGTTTCGATGTCGCCAGCTCTGCTGTCGTCAGGAGCGCTCGCGGATGTCGAAGATGATGATTGGCTCCGCGCGATACCGTAGGTCTGAGAAGGTATGCTTTCATACGCAGGCCTAGGGTGCTGAGCCGCTGCGGTGTCCACGTTACTGGTGTGCTCTGCTTGCTCGTCGCCACTGGAGACATCGTGGGAAGCAAGCGCTTCGGTCACTTGCGCGCTGCCGAGTGTAGGGGCCTGCTTGGGGGCATTTGACGATCGTCCGAGGTCATTGGTAACGGAATGCTTCTCATGATCATACCGCAGTCTTGCTCCGCTACTCGACTGCGGTGCGACTCTGGCCCGGGATCCATGGTTGCCACCGTCTGCAAAATTTGCAAACCAGTAGACCGGATCTCTGATGCTGGTTACTCTGCTTTTAACTGGCGCAGTGACACAGGTTCGGTCTCGAGCGGCTCGGCTTCTTACCACGTTGTCATGGTTCTCACTTGTAACTGGTCGAGATTTATTTTGACGGTTGTTAAAAATTGACTCGTATCGCCCAGGTTGCTGACCAGCCCAGACTGGATCTACAAAGCTTCGATCATTCTCGACTGCAGTCTCCTTGGCCGTCTCACTGGGATACGAGTGCAGGTGGTCTATCGGAATCGATAACAAATGCTTATCGGACCCAGAGGATGAGATCTTCCTGCTGAGAAGTCGGGATGACGCCTGGGGTGAATGGTTCACAGTCACTAGCATTTCTGATGCGTCAGGATCAATCTTTTGACCCAACGAGTTGGAATCGGCGTCAAGCTTGCCCGAAGCACCCTTGACTTCGGAGTCTTCGGTCTTTGCCCTACATCGACGTGTGACCTTCTTTTGGAGATACTTGATGGACTCGATAGCGATTACCTGGACATCCTCCGCGAAACGAACCGACTTTCGTGCCTTGGGAACCGAGGAGGCCTGAGCGTCATCCTTTCGCTTCTCTTCTGCGGGCGATACATACTCTGTGGATCTGACGGCACAGGTAGTTGATGCGGTATCGTCGCTCCTCATTTGCATGAGCCATTTACGCGATGCTTTTCCAAGGTGGAATTTCTGGAGAAGCGAGATTATTTCTTCGATCCTTGACGCGTTGCTCGAATCTGAAGGTAAGTCACGGCGAGACACATGCGCCTGCTCCACGCAGAGTGCGAGGCTGATGAGTGGTGCGCTGTTCGCGGGATCTGCTGTCTCGATGCCGAAGCTATAGTCTGTGTCGTTCCTACCCTTCTTCGTTGCAGGGACAGGGAGATCTGATTCGAGCAGCAGATTCTCTGTAGAGCTGCGCTTCATACATCGTTTGGGTGGGTGCTTTGTCGCATGCTCCGCCAGCTTTGCCGAATAGAAGCCTTCGGTCCTCACGCGTCTACGAATCTTCTCTGCACGTGAGAGAGAGCTTGGGGACCTGGGTATGAGCTTCTTGCGCTCAGTGCTTGCATACTTGGACTTCATCATCTCCTCACGGCCGGCTTTCTTCGTCCAAGCATTGGCAGTCAACATACTATCGTCGGGAAACATGCGACCTTGGTAGAAAGGTCCGCTCGGTAAGACACTTTGTGCGCGGAGGCGATAGGGAAGATTGAGCAGCGCCATGTTGAGTGGTGCACAGCAATCAGGTAAGCGGGCGAGCCACGGTATCTGTCGAGGTTTTGACGCGTTGCTGAAGGTTCTGCGTGTTCGTCAACATCTTACTGATGGGTCGGAAGATTCCGTGGGCCATACCTGCTCCTGTCGTGCGACACGATATGGCTGTCCAGATGCGGAGCTCGCGTGTCGGACAAGTGTACGCGCGATTGCTGATAGAACAAGAGGCAGACTTGAAAGACAGCAGGCTGCTTCGTTGCACGAGGCCATTCACAGCGGTAGCTAGGATGTGGTGAATGACTGGGTCAGTATGTGTATAAGGCAAGGTGAGGAGGCGAAGTTGATGGAAGACGCGCTGGGCAGTAATCTCTGGACGTGATCGCAAGGCTGCAAAGAGTGTGTGCAGTAACACATCAAGTGACAAGCATTGCGTGAAGGATGCGTGGGTCTAGCTTCCGGCCATCACAATTCACAGATCTTGCTGTTCCTTAACTTGTGACATCTGTATGTCAAGTGAGGCGTGATGTTCAGACGAAGTCGAAGACATCGCCGGCGCCGTCCGAGATAAGCCGACCGACTCGATCCGTCCCGACTATACGCTCCAGCTTCAAGACGTCCCATTTCGAAAACATCGCCCTGGCAGAACCCTTCCCACCATTCACGCTGCCATCTATGAGATCTCGATTGATTCCAAGCATCGCCACGATCTCGTTCCAGAAGATGGGGTTTTCGGGTGGTCCATAGAAGATAACCTTGCGTACACCTTTGATCTTATAGCGGAAATGGTGGTGTGCTCGCTCGGTATATAGCAAAATGGTATTACGTCCACTTAACAGATGAGAACGTGCCCGTGCAGTATCCTTGACTGATGTATATTCGGAGACACATCCGAACGAAATGGAAGTGCTCTCCAAGGAGTTGGTGAGGTGATTCCTTACTCGAGTGAAGTCTGCATAGGTCGGTACATACACTAACACGCCCTTGCTTCCCTTGTCCTTCGCAATCTGAGGTATGATGGAGGCGCAGAAATATTTAAATCGTGCGTCGCTGTCCTTCGAGGCTGTTGGGGAGTCGAAGCGTAGGAATGTTTGGCTGACGGGTATTGGAACCGAGTTGGTGACATCAAGCATGGAACCTTCGTAGAGAGGTACGTACTTGATCATACCTGCGATGTTGTGCAATCGAGATGAAGCCAAAGCATTGATTTCGGGTGTCAAATAGGCTGAGAGGATGATCGTTTGCTGCATGTACTTGGAGAGCCCATCAAGATACCATTCCCTGACCCGTCTGTAGTCGCATCCATGTGACTCCTTTGGAATACCGTTGAGCTCAGAGAAAGCAGACTCGACGTGCTGCCAATTCTGCATTTGTAAAGCACTGGCGTGATCGATGATTGCGATCTCTATGGATGATAGAAAACCAGCGTCCGGCGCTTTCTTTTCATCCTTGCTGCCGCCAGAACTGATGGCTCGAAACAAGCCAAGTGGAGAGCACAGTATGATGTCGGAGTTGTAGAAGCCAGAGAAATACTTTATCGTCTTTCTGGTAAACTTAAGCCCGATGCGAAAGTCCTCTTCATGATTGCCACCAAAGAGCTCTTGGAAGTCCTCGGGCTTCTCAGACCACTCTTCAGTGTCATCACGAGAGAAGGTCTCCAAGAAGCGAGCCTTGTTCTCCTGTTGTTCTGGTTCGCTGTATCTCACAATCGCGTCGATGAAGCGGACACAGCTCTGCTTTGTTGGTAACATGATTAGGACCTTTGGTCTGGTAAATCCTTGGTCTCGATACTCCTGTTGATCATCATCACTTTGAGATAGCTTCGCTGTGTTCTTCAAAACTCGGTCCCTGGTTTTGAAGGCATGATTGAGCGCATGAAGGACACAAATGTCTCTAAATCTGGACGAATTTGTCACTGTGCGACAGCCAACCACCACATCGTGGTACCCGAAGATCGCACCGGCCACATCTGACTCAGACTCTGTAAGGTCAGCGATGAGCTCGGAGGCCTTGTGCTGGAGCCGCCGCTTCAGACTGATGTCCGCAAGTTTTCTGACCACTGACGATGGCTGCGTGTCTGGCGCAGCAAGCCAGGTTTTGCGTAATGAAGTTCCTACCATCTTCGAGTTTGGTTTTTGCTTATCACGACTGCGCTCTGCTATGGAAGCCTGAATCTCTTTCACAGTAGGGATCGAGAAGTGGCGGTCGAAAGGATCCTCCGTCTCATCTCCGTCTTCACTTTCAGCATCCTCTGCTTCATTGGCATCGCCACCTTCAATCGCATCCTTTGAAACATCCTGAGTCTTTGCCGCAACTGGCGCGTTTTCAGTCTTGTCGTGATCTGTGTACGTCGCTGATGATCGTGGACTTGTAGATTCGCCGGTCTCAAGTTCTGGATGGTGGTCCAACTTGCGACGCTTCCGATTTGGACCGGCACCATTTACGGGTCGAAGAGCATTCAATAGGCTCGAGTAGGACCCAGTAGTCTCGCTGTATGCCATGTTGTCTACTGTACTGGTGTTGCAACACCAAAGACAGTGCGTGAATTGGAAGGTTGACAACACAATGGATGGAAATTCTATGCCAAGACGCTAAGACAATGATCCTAACTAGCTCTGAGCTTAACTGCACCACGTTTGCCTAATTGTTGCCTCTCAGCCTTGCTGTCAGAGTTGTGGTTGTGACTCTTGTCAGTCTTGAGGGAAGTCAGCATATATCAATTCATACGAGGCTCACTGTGGCCACTTGAGTGAGGTCCATCAGGTAGGTACGCGGGCTGGAGACATCGTCACGGGACTGACCGACTACGCTAACAAGCTCGGGTGTTCATCAGAAAGTGTGAGTTTCGCGGCTGATGTGTCAATCAATTTTCATTGCTGCCGAGGCGGGCTTTGGCGTGTGGTACGAGTCGAAAGATTCCAACTCCGTGTTGTGCACTATCTACTAGCGCAGCTATGGGACTGGCTGCGGATGTGGTCGCATGGTACGTCGATCTCGGGCGTGGCTACCTGGAGGACTCTGTGACCAGAAGCTTGATGCTACAGGTGATGAGATCCCGTCCCGCTACTCGCTGGTAGCCTCTCCTTTGTTCTCCTTGACCGCTTCGGTGGTGCCCGCAACATCGTCGTCCTTTTCTTCAGACTTGACCTTCTTTGCAGATCCACCACCCTGCTTGCCCTTGCCGGAGTCCGGTGCCGTGCGCTTGCCTTTACCCTTGGTAGGGGTGGCAGACTTGTCGGCAGTATCGTTCTCCACATCAGGCAGAGCACCGAACTCCTTCTCGCAGCGGTCGAGGGCGCGGACTAGACGCATGCGGCTGGTGATTGTCAGTATGCTGTGTACATGCTTGCAGCAACGCGGGAGGGAGGAGTGACCTACGCAGCTTTGGCATTGAGACCACCACCTAGCATCTTGGCGAGCTTATCGGATGTTATGGGTTGGTCGCAGCCCGCTGCAGCATAGTACAGGAGCTTGACATCATCTGACTTGAGATTCGTGGACTCCATGGTTGACTATGGTTCGAGAGTAGTCTTGGTGATGGAAGGTGGGAGCTTGTGTGTTGGGTCTGAGCAGTGGTATGTCCGACAGAAGTTTGAGAATCAAGAAATGTTTGGATGTGCGGGGCTGCTACTTATACAAGGGCAGGCGACTAAGGCAAGTCATTTTCCGCCAGAAGAACGCTAAGGGTTGCTAGGAGATTCCCAAAGACATCAATTGGTATCTGCGTAACTTCGACAGCCCGAAGCTAAGCCTCAGGTGACTGTCGTCACTCAACTACCATCGAATATGGGTCATTTCTGGTCTGGAAGAGTCCTGACAGAAGGGAACCATTCTTGTATCTATCATGTTGGCCTTCGCGTTACAGCATGGCTCCCTGGTTCTGACATCCCTTGAGTACTTGTCTGGCTGGATGCAGTGGCCAGAGGTAGAATCTCTGCCTTCCGACGATGAGACCTGTTGATTCCACATGGAACGACCTGATAAGTCGTCCGCTCGACTGGCTGTCCCATAGACTAGGCAGAAGCACCATCGTCACTACCCTGCTCACCCTCAGCAGCCTTCGACTCCTCGTTCTCGGCCTTGGGAGTACCGTCAGGACCTTCCTCAGCCTCTTCCTCCTTGACCACTCCCTTAGCCTTCTTCTTGGAGTAGCGCGGCTTCTTGGTGGAGGATCCATCAGCACCGTCGGCGACTCCAGCAGCCTTGGGGCCACGCTTACGCGGAGTCTTTGGAGTGGCAGGGGTATCGTGACCAGCCTCTCCACGCTCAGCCTCGATGCGCTTCATGATGGCGTTGAACTTGTTGCTGCGATCTGTCAGTCCAGGTGATGACTGTCAAGGTCATTGGACTCACCGAGCACCACCAACACTCATACCAGTCTTGCCGGCCAAGTCTTCATAGTTGACCTTAAGTTTTGTCTCGGAGCACTTGATGCATTCGGCCAGGAATTGCTCGGTAGAGAATTCAGCTGGCATCTTGTCGGATGGGACTGAGTTTATGTGGTATCTGGGCGGTCGAGAAAGGGATTTACTTGGTAGTGATTGAGATGGTGGAAAGAGTGGAAATGTGGAAGACTTCGAACAAACAATTGAACTTGACTGCTGCAATAGCTTGGCAGAGACAGACAAACGACTTGTGGTGACAGGTGGCAAGTGAATCAAAAGTGCGGAGTTCCTTGCCGATTATATGTGCCCGGTACATATCGATGCATATATGTCTTCACTACATATTCCTCATCGCATTACCCGTTTGAACACCAGGTGACGATATCGTCGGCAGACTCTCCGGCTCTTCTGCGGATCCATCATTGTTCGAGCTTCTCGTGGAAGTCCACTGTGCCTCTGACAAGCGGCAAAGCCTCTTGAGCAGTCTCTCACTTAAGGGGACACAGAGGCGTTGATATCCCAGTAGAATCGGGTTGGCCACAATTTCAAGCCAAAGATCATGACGAGACCGTGGCCTTCGTGGCTGGGAACCCCTTCAACCATTCTGAATAACGCAGAACTCGTTCGGATGCTTGTCGGATGCTCATGGCTCCAACTTCAAGTACAAAGTTGATTCGGATAAGCCGGACGGCACAGAGCCCTCCCAGGTCCAGAGCTGTGACAAGCCTGCCAAAGCTGACAATGACAACGATGGACACAGCGCTCTGTACTTCGTGGTCTGCACAACCCGTAGGTATGAGTCAACCGAGCATCACGCCCAAATTGCCATGTAAGCGGATTGTCTTTGCATTTTCGAGCATCAACTTCATGCCTACCTAGGCGGGGATATGTACCGAAGACGTCGCGTGAAATTTGGAGGCACTGTACAGACACACGCATACTCAGTCCCGCTGCTTCTCCATGATTGTTGTGATCCTTTGCGTACCCAATGTCCTGACTCGCTGGCATTGCAAGGGAAGTACTTGCCAGTCAGAAAATGCAGCGTTTCCGAGACTACAATAAACGTGAATCATACGACGCAAATCTCACATACAAAATGGTTCGAAGCGACGGTACGCATCACCGAAAGGTACCTATAGGTCAAGCACTTACAATTGTCATGTATCGCTCCGATACTGTGCAATGCCGGATCCCACCACATGGGACCTGCCCACCAGCCACATACTCCTCCGGGGCGACCCCGGGACGATCCCAGATCTGCAGCCTAAGCCAAGCGAGATCGCAGATCACCTATCGTCATGGAACTGTCCCGGTGGCACCGCCTAATCTACCTGCCAATCGCGTGGTCCCCCTGCCGTCCGGCCTCAATCTGATTCCCGCATGGCTTAGGGAGGTGCGGCGACCCCCGAGTGTCGTGGCTTGGAGCAGATTCTCCCGCCTGCATTCAGAACACTCCCTTCCCGGGGCTCGATTCGAGGGCAGGACTCCAAATTTTATCGTGCTGGCAACGTTGTTCGCTCTGCTACATAGCAGAAAGCGAGCTCGCCATGACCTCGAGATCTTTCGCCGGTACGAAGCCGCGTGCTTAACCCACTCGTGGGATGCTGCGATTGCTATCCTATCTTGGCCGGCAGTGTCGTCTGCCACAGATCTCGGGCGAAGCTGCCCGAATATCGCCTCTTTGTCTGGTAGTGCGAGCAGTAGCGAGATCGTTACTACCTAAAAGGATTGGACTTAGGGGCGCGGGTAGGGGCGAAGGAGTTGTGATCGTCCCGTTCTATCCGATGCTATTAAAGTTCACACGGAAATTCAGTGCGCGGTTCCAGGGTGGCTAGTGAGTGCGGAATGTCCATTACGTACTTTCAGCGCCCCACGGTCGACCTGGGTATCGATGCCCCTACGCGACGGCTATGACAGAATTCCTTAGGGGTATGCGTACGGCGCCCACCTCACTTGCTTGCGGGCACCGTCAAGGCATATTGGTCTTGAGAGCTCCGCAGGCAACATAGCATCAGCTTTGCAGAGCGCTATTGTGAGCCGCAAGGAGGTGCAAGTCATGGCTTTATCATCATCCGAGGACGGCATCAATTCTAGAATCTACCAATACCTCTATTGAATGGACACATAATAAAACAGATCATCAAGAATGGCAGTATTTGCTTCCGCGACTGCTATCGGGATAGTTATCAACGCTCCCAAACGTCCACGGACCAAGAAAGTTCATCATCGCTAAGGTATGCAATCAGAAGCTTTTGTGCTGTCTCATACGCCAAATGGCGATTTACATCCATTGTGAAATGTCTTGGATATCCAGCCAAGGTCATGAAAGCGGACTCTGGCCACCACTGCCACCATGACAGCCCTTTTCATGTCGTTTCATGTTGCTGCGAACACTAAAGTGCTTGCCACATCCATCGTGTTTGCATTTGTATGGCTTCTCTCCGGTATGGGAGTAAGTGTGAATCTTGAGCGAACTAGGCCGAGAGAAAGGTTTGCTACAGGTCGGACAGATGTACCGTTCCTGGGTCTGGGGATACGATGGTGGGTTTGTAGCTGGGTAGTAGTGGTGATGTTGCCAGGTCGGAGCCAATCGAGGCTCCATCGACGGACCGCTTTGTGGTGTGAGTTGTGGAGAGCTGAATGGTGGTAGTGGCCGTTGGCTGGCGATGCCATTTGATGTAGCGCTCTCTGTCGCTGGCGTCCCAGACATCGGAGTAGCCGCGCTCGCTGTGTCAAGTAACGATAGGTCAGAGCTTGTCCGTGAACGTGATGAGGCAGACCACTGGTTCGAGTCTGGGACTGGCGGATATGAAGTTGAATCCGGCACCGACGAGTACGCCGTATCTTGCGAGTGGTGTGTCTCTAACTTTGGCGTGAAGTCAACCTTTGAAGCACCAGACGAAGCGTTCGAAGGTCTCTTGAGATCGATGATTGATGCGAGTGGACGCTCAGGCGACTGTCGCGAGCGGACGTAAGGGGATCGGCTGATTGAATGGCGTTCGGGACTTGTGCTTTCCTGGCCAGGTGAGCCGGCCGACCTTCTACGTCTACGATCCTCTGGTGAAGAGTGATCTACATTGGCTTCCACATGTCAGTCATGCGATTTAGTCAGGCTTGGGGCAACTCACATCGCTCAGAATGTTCCCGCACGGAATTCAGCAGACTCGATATTGGTGGCAGAGATGGCCGTGTATGAGGTTGTGGCTGGTGATCCATGGTGACGGAGAAGAAGTCTCGTCGGAGAGGTTGTGAGCGAAAAAATGTCGGGCTAGGATGTTGCGGAAGAATAGCCAGAGCCATAACGCACCAACTATAGGCGAGCTCGATACCGCGATATGGTCTGAGTGACACAGTGCTGATACGGCGCCTGATCGTTCCGATGACGAATCGTAGCTTGGTGGTTCAAACAGACTGATATAGTCCCTAGGTATCTGGACTGAGCCACAGGGTTCGCTAGAGTAATGATGGTACTCTCGATATGTTGGTACTGTGATTGGGGAAAGTGAGGTCAGACAAGATGGAGAGAGATCTGGGGAGGTACAGGAGTAGTATATCCAGTCTCGGATACGGCAAAGGTAATGTGCAAGCCTGTTGAAGATCAAAAGTGGGCAAATGCAGCAGACGATCTCGCGAAGTGCATGATGGAACAAATTAGACTTGGGGAGCCTCATACAACGGCGTGTTTGTACGAGTAGCGTCAATAATGTGGATTGTGGTCACACATTGGGTGCGGGCCCTTGTTTTCCCTGGCAAGTTGCCTTGGACCCAGCGCCTATGTATGCATCATGAGTCAGGACCGGACCCGAGTAGGTGGTGCTGACGCGAGGGGCAGCAAGCCAGAGGGGCACAATCTATTTGGGTTGTGAGCTACGACACTCTCTTTCCAGCAGCATGCAATTTCAGACGAGAGGATGGACGAGAAGTGGAAGAACACCTGATCAAGTTTTCTCTTGCGCGCAGCGACAGGCATACAGGACAGCATTCTTTGTGTGCCTTCTGCTACGGACCTCATGATGCTGTGAGTGCGAGGTCCATCTCGGCTCGAATACTACACTATTGTGAATTCTTAAGAGCCAAGGAAACCGACAAGACAAGAACATGACGAAACGGCATACAGAGACAAAGCCAGAGCAATTTTTGGCGTGATCGCACGGGATCGGCGACGATGGCAAGCCTGGCAACGTGGGGCATTACATCAAACCAAAAGGACTCGACCGGGATAGAGCTGCTAGGCGGGCTGGGCTACTCACAGGTTCACATCGCCCACTTCGTTGCCCTTGCCGTTTCCTGTTACAGATCTGTTCCACGCGAGATGAAAGGAAGGGCAAAGTCTACACTCCACATCCCACCCGGACTCGTACGTACGATGGGTATTTATTACAAAGTACCCATTCAATAATGATTGTCGAAAACCCCTTTGGACATGGTTTCAGGAATCGGCCGTTGGCTGCTTGATCCCGAGCCTTCGATAACCACATCTATCTGACTTCATATCACCGACGATCCTCGATGTGGATGAGGCAGATTCAGGCAATCTGGTCAGATCCGGGCGCCTTCTGAGTGAGAGTTGTCCCTACGACACAAAACGCGATCAGCTACACAGCGAGCTTGCAAGAATGCGGAGCGAGACCAGGACTGCAGCACTCATCAGAAGACCATGACGGCCGACTTGCGGCCATCGTTAACGTGATACAGGCCAGATATCCAGAATGCTACTGGTGCAAGTTGAGCTATCGCTAAGATTCGCTGTTAAGGGTAAGCTTCAGTTACATTTTTGGACTTCGCTTAACCAAGCCGTCCTAGCTGGGGCATAGACCAGGTTCTTACAGGCTCTACATCTGCAATCGCCGCGGCTCGGTTGGAGAATCTTTTGGAGGATCGACACCTTCAGTGACGCTTATTAGTGCTCGTATTATGCAGATCGTCTGCTTTTGCGCCGTCTTGTGAGGGTTTCAGACCCGGGACCCCGGATCGAGTACGGCCTTGCATGCTTTCTCTTGCCATCGTCTCCGCCTAAATGTGTGTTCATTTCAGAGCATCCTGGTTGCTCGTTTCACCAGATTGCTTTATAGGCTACACGGCCGTCCTGGAAGAGCTTCGGTGAAGCATAACCGATCAATCACCCTGGACACGAAGAGGCACAACTCGATGTGTTTGCTCTGACGCTCAGAGGTATTTGAGAGCACACGTACTGTGCTGACCAGTCTGACCGCCGTCGATTTGAGGTCAAGACCTGTTGCATGCAACAATCTGGTCTGTTACAAGCGCTAACGCCGAGGAGAGCGATGTGACAGGGCCTAGCTCTGCTCCTTTTGATAGTTGTGGCTTGTGCATCGAGGCATCCAAGCGCTTCGCACGTGGCTACTAACGTCTAGCTAGGCGTTGATGGGTCTTGGCTGACCAGGCCCTAGCTTTGCGAGATGATTGTTGACCAACTTTGCAGCGCAGTGCCTGCGCCAAGTCGGCTGACGCTGAGTAGAAGCAAGGCCTGAGGATTGTGAGGTTGCTCGCTGTTGCACGCACGATATACCTGATCCTGAGCCACTCCCATTGTGGAAATACGTGCTCAACCAGATTCGATGGAAAAGCCTGTAATACGATGGTCAAGAAATCGTTTCCGACTTGCCTCGCTTACGCAAATCATCGGCAGGGACCATCCCGACATCTCTCCACTGGAGACGAACGCATGCTGTCGAGCTTATTGTTATTCTCAGGCCCCTTCCGGCCAACCTGACTCACTTGGGGCAGCATTCTCTCGCGCGAGTTCGGGCGACCATGAATGGCTCGGCTGCTGCTGCGAGGTGCTTGCAATCATGCGAATGCCACACACTCGATCATCCTTTTGTACCTGCCATTACGTGCTCATTCTGGCCCGTTGGACTACAGGATGGCAATTTGAAGCTGCACCGTGGTTGATGCACTTTCTTTTCAGCCGACCGCAGAGTGTTCAACCACGATCAGTATTTCGTAGATCACCTGGTGAGCAGGTTGACTAAGATGACACTGACCATGGTCGTACGGAGACTTTCTGCTGCTTGAAATTATTCCTCTCATCTTGATAAGACGTCGCAGAGACTGAGCTTACCGCTTGTGGTTGCAGGTTGACAACTGGTGACCCAAAGCGAGGTCCACAAGATTTCTTTTCCCCATCAATTTAATGCACTAAACGTAAGGTTAGTACCCATGGTACTCGGTACTATGCAATACCTGATACAGGTACGAAGATCAGGTTCCCGTGGCTTGCTTTGCGCTACGGCAACCTGCGCCGTGGAAATCCCATCTGCCACGTGGAGTGGCTTGAGGTGGTCTGTTCACAAGCTCGCAGCCCACTGATCGACAGTGAGGATTTCAATTTCCCAACGACATCATTCCGAAGAATTACAATTGCCCACTTGCTGTGCGATGATGCCATAGCGACATGAGTCCATTCGCATCCTCCTATTCTCATCGAACAAGAGGATAGAATGCAGTAAATACCCGTATGAAATAAAGCAGCACAGCCGGGGAACGGCTTTATGCCCGTGCTCATGCGCGATGTTCCGGCAGCGATTCCCTGAAACCCCTTGAATGTGCAGATACCGATGACTTGGTAAGAATGAAAAGCCTCCGCGCATAGTTCAGGTTGTCAGAGAACAAACGACGAGAGTGGCCAATGGTGTGACCTGCAGGAATATGTGTGTACTCCGATTGTGGAACAGTCGCGGCGTGAGGTTCAAGCCTGTAAGCTGATGGCTAAGAAACGCCCAACCTTGGAAGGAAGCACATTCCAATCGGATGCCTTGGAGTACCTGCGGACTTGCATGTTCCGTGCAGAGATTCGACCTTCGATCCCATTTCCTCGGAGAGCCAAAACACCAGGACTGACAGCTGAAGTGGTCGGTCTGTGCACAAACAAGCCATGGACAAGTATCCCAAGCTGGCATGCTGCACGCTATCAGAGAGTTTTGGTCTAGAACTACGCCATGTTTCCGGTTGATCGGCGTCGCCGAACCAAAGTCAAATGAAACACGAGGCGGGGCTCCTGCAGCAAATGACTTCGCTTCGCGGCGTAATCACATACCCACAGCTATGAGGAATCGGGCCGGTATACTCCACGAAGGAAGCAAAGCAGATCCTACGCAATGCCACGCGAGTGTGCTGTTGTTTTCGGAAGAACATCGCTAAAGCTTTGTGCCGCTTCTGCTGCAGTGCTCCTCCACTACCCGAAAAAAGTCGCCGGCGTTCATTTACATGCAGCGGAAGCGGAAGCAGACAGCTGCCAGGATGCCGTAGACTACTCATGATTCTCGTGGTCAAGCTCACTCATGCAGCATTACCCGATCGATCAGGCGAGCTTGCCTAGTTGAAAATCGTGTGGCTGAATTATCTTGAGTCAGTGCAAGAAGAAAGCAGAATCGCCAAGAAGCCCATCGCCTGTCAACAGTGTCGTTTAGGCCGTGTGGTGCCCTGAACCCTGCATTCCCAATTGCTGGGTCGAGCCTAGGATTTGCGATCCGATGCACGTTCTTGCGCATACTTAATTGCGATGCGGTATCTGTTAACTGTACTCGTGTTGTGCTTCGTCTCTGCATCGGCGACCATCGGCGTCGCAACCCACCCATGCTTGACTATACCTGTACTTGGAAGAGTGAGCCTGTACATTGGCACAGTCGTGGCCGACTTGAAGATGTCAATTTGAGCGGTATACACGGCTCCGGCTTCCTGCACACATCGAACACCGTGCTATCTGTGTCTGATACATCTGCCGTCAGTCAACGCGTCGGCATCGCGACCTGTTGCATACGAATGGCTGTTGAATCGTGACACTTTTGCAAATTGATCGCGCACACGGTGGGCATGACCCGTCGGATCAGTCCCGCTGTCTTGGTCGTCCATACTTTTCGGCAGGCTTGTACGCGACCCTGTCGGGCGGGCGCTGTCGGCAAGTGCAAAGCACTCGAGCTGACGAGCGGACTGAACAAGTCCTGACTTATTAAGCGGTCGGCACAAATGACATGAAGTGAAGTCGGCAAGATGCCAGTGGTAGAGCCAAGAAGTGACGTAGCGCCTAAGGCAATGCCTGGGACCGAGGTTGCTGGGCAACTAATTTGTTTACTCCACGAAAGATCAGAACCTCAGATTGGTCCGTGTATGCTAATGGTCGCAGCCACTGGCATCGTACGGCACCATATCATTCAGTACTCAAACTCTAGTAGCAACGACATTCGTCAATGACAGCCTGAACATCAAATTGTGGTATCTTGGTCTTCAGCGAGCCAAAAAGGGCAGTCGCGTCGCTGGCCATGGCCCTCGTACCTGCCGATAACGACAAGTATGAGGTGCTGGAGATCATAGGTAAGAGCAGATCAGTGGTCTGGCAAGCAAGTAGCACTGACAACTCCCAGGTCGGGGGGCCTTCGGCATCATACGGAAGGTCCGCAGGAAATCAGATGGCTATGTGAGCTCGCTTCCCTTCGCTGCGACAAACACATGTTGACAATACGCAGATCCTATGCCGAAAGGAGATCAACTACATCAAGATGTCACAGAAGGAACGCGACCAGCTACATGCTGAGTTCTCTATCCTCGCCTCTCTCAAGCACTCCAACATTGTTGGCTACTACCACCGCGAACATCTGAAACAGACCCAAGAGCTGTACTTGTATATGGAGTATTGTGGTGGTGGCGATCTGGGCTCCATTATCAAAGACCTGAAAAAGAAACGGGAATACCCCAAGGAGGAATTTGTGTGGAGGATACTCAGTCAACTCGTCACAGCATTATACCGTTGTCACTATGGCGTCGATCCTCCAGAACCAGGCAACGACTTTGCCCGCCAGAAGGACACTCGACCCAAGGGGAAAGACATGATCCTTCACAGAGATCTGAAGCCAGAGAACATCTTCCTGGGCAAGGATCAGTCTGTCAAGCTAGGAGATTTCGGTCTGTCAAAATTGCTGCAGTCTCACGATTTTGCGTCTACCTACGTTGGCACTCCCTTCTACATGTCGCCCGAGATATGTGCTTCGGAGAAGTATACGCTACATTCCGATATCTGGTCTGTGGGTTGTATCATGTACGAGTTGTGCACCCACAATCCGCCGTTCAACGCCAACTCTCATCTGCAACTGATACAGCGGATACGGAAGGGCGAATTCACGCCAATACCTGCCATGTACTCCAGAGACCTGGCGAACGTCATATCGCAGTGTCTGAAGACGAATCCGCACAGTCGACCGGATACAGCATCCTTGCTCACAATTCCCTACATCTGGTTGGCTCGGAGACAGCAAGAAATGGTAGGGCTCGGCAAAGCACTCAAAACACGGGAAGAGGTTGCGGAGCAGAAGCTGCGGCAGGCAGAGGAACGTCTGGCCGCGATGGAAGCAGATAAGGCAACAATGCGTGCTGAGGTCGAGTCACAGGTGCGCAGAGAATGGGAAGTCAAGGCACGTCTGGAAATCGATCGGCAGGTCAACCTAGAGCTGGAGCGATTACGCCTTCAATTTGACGAGGAGGTCAAGACCAAGGTCACCGATTCTCTGGCCAAGCTCGATAAGACAGCAGATACAGCGCCCTCGAAAGACGGTGCTCCTCGAGCGGCAACAAGCAAAAGCTATTCCTCCTCGATCAATACGTTGGGAGAGGACGAGTTTCCCTCAACAACGGATGTGACTGACTTCTCTGAGCTTTCACTGAAGTCGCCTACCTCTTCGACCATACAAGCTGTTCCGCCAAAGAAGACTAAAACTCCATTCTCGAGAGCTAAGACTACGTTCGATTCGCCAATGGATATACAGATGTCCGAGCCATCACCAATCTCGATTTCCGGCCTTGCACTTTCGCCACGACGAACAGCAGCAGCACAAGCAACTGCTAACGGCACAACTACTGCTTTCGGTGTAAAGAACATCTTCGCCCAGGCTGCACGTCAGAAGGCGAAGTGGGAGCCAACATTTCCCTACAATTCTGACGATGAGGAGAATATCGACCCCGATGAGTTTACAGATGACGATGATGAAGTCCCAGACCTGCCGAGCCCAACTCGCGCCAAAGCTACCGTAGCGAGCACCGATCCGTTCAAGCAACCATTACCCGTGCCGCTGAAGGGTCGGCCGAACTTGATGCGGCAGCATACCACCGCAACGATGCAACGACTCACGACGAAACCGACGCTGTTTCCGACCAGTAACATCGGCAGCGCTAAAGCTGAGGCCGTGAAGGCCAGCATTGCAGCCGCAAATGCCAGATCATCCGAGCCAGAGATTCGGCAAACGAAGCCAACCAGTCCGAACAGACGGCTCAGCAAGATTCCAACGCAACCGTCCATGGACAATCTATATGTTGGCAGCACTTCGCCAATCCGCCGCACGAACACAACAGGCAAGCTTCAAAGCAAGCTGGCGTCCACTAAGCAGCCTCTGTCGGCAAATGGTGGAGGCAGTAACAGCAATCCTATCGGCGGACGTACACTGGTCGAGCTCTCCAACGCACGTGCTGGCGGCAGGCCGATCAGCAGTTGCGACAACTTCGCGTCTTTCGAGAAAGACTTGCCAGCTGTACCAGTCTGGGACCCCGATGCGGAGGGCGACAACATGCCGAGTCCGTTTCTGAAGCGTGACGCGAAGATCATCAGAGGCTTATTACGATGACAGGTCGATGGGCAACGACGGAAGCTATAGGCAATCTCTCTACATGTTGGACCTCGAAGGCCAACTCTGTTGATACTTGGCTGGCACAAAGACGCGTGTGGCCTTGGGGAGGACATGTGAACAATGACATATACTTTCGTATGTTGGAAGATGGGAGCAGGCTCGGCAAACATCATTATCATCTGGGCGCTGGATATGCTCATCATCATCAGCTCATGCGACTTAGCAGGCGAGCATTTCAAGGAGCTCTTTGGGCTATGCACCGCGTTGGACATGCAAGTGAAAGGCTGTATCACTAGCCTGGGTTCAGTCAGGACGGTACTCGGCGCTGCCGAGAGCTGGGTCAAAGCCTGGGCATGACTTTCAATAACCTTTCCAAATCTGTACGAAGGCATGCTTGCACACGCTTTCATTAGTACTGTAAACCCGTCCTTCTCAGACTCGCTCAGGCGTCCTCGTCTTCGACCTCCTCGATATACACCGTTTTCCTTACCAACGGTGTGTTCGTGGGAGGCTGATCATTCGAATCCACCGCCATCTCTGCTGCAAACCTGGCTTCTTCCTCGGCGAGCCGCTGGGCGGCCTGTCGTCGGGCTTCTAGATCTGCACTATTCGGTGCATTGCTAGGAGGCTGTTGCTGCTGATCTCGTCCCGGCCCATAGTAGCCCTGTGCTTCGAGCTTGTCCAATTCTTCTGGTTCCAGTAACCCGCCTTCGCCATTTACTGCGGCTTGCTTACGCTTGACGATGTCTGGTACGAAACGTGAGGTTGCTTCCTTCTTCAGGTCACGCAGTTGTGGAGCGGCGCTGTAGGTGGTTTTTTGCTCGACGGCAGGAGTCACGACCGGAGTCGGGTTCTCCTTGTTCTGCGACCTATCTTGGTTCTGGTGGTTGAAGTATCGCCTGTGCTCCCGTGGAATTGGCGGCGGTGTATCTTCAGGCATCGGTATCCTTCGGACGGAGTCATCTGTATCGCTGCCGTCAGATTGTCGCCTGTGGCGTGGTGGCACGCGGTCTCCATTGTGCTGTCGTTTCCCAAGCACCTGACGATCCTGGTCGCGATTTTGGGGCTGGCGGTTGCCGCTTTGTTGTGGTGCTTTCTCTCCAAGAGCTTCCCTAGCTTTACGCACTGCCTTTATATCTCGCTCCAACTCTTCGAGTTGTGCCTTTTCATAGGCCTTGAGGTCGCCGGCTGCTTCGAGGGCTTTGAGGTCGTCGATTTGACGCTGGATTCGGTCTGGGTTTCGCTTTGCGAGCTTCTCGTTTCGGCGGTTCTGCTGCTCTGTTTTGGCCTTCTTCAGTGCCTTTGCCTTCTCAGCTTTGCGCTGCTGTTGCGCTGGATTGACGCTTCTCTCTTTGTCCTTCGCCATTCGTGCTCTATTGTGGGGATTGAAACACTGTACAAATCGACTCTTGACGAATTGGATGCGCTAAGCGCAAACACTCGCCGGGCGGGCACCCTCGGTGGTGGCTTTTCAGGCCTATGAAGGCCTTTGGGCTCACCGGTCAGAGGTAAATCAGCGGCTTTACACGCAGGAGTTGTAGGGCAGTAGTGGCAATAAAGTGATTCCAGGTGCAGTAGTGATGCAGGACGCGCCCACTTGACTGCATGAATTTATGCAGGCGATCAGGGATTAGTCTCGACCAACCTGACGGGAGTTCTCTGATCTGGTCGCGGACTCCAGAGCTTTCAAAAGTTGTGCCACGTGAAACACGCTTCTGGGGGACATGCAGTCAAAGTTATGCTGTGCCAGATGATTTTGAAATGAAGGCCTGGAGATGACCGAATGGGCGGACTCCGGGTTGGATGATGCGCCTGTCTGGAATGTCCAACGTTCAGCTTTATGCAGGAGAAGCGTCGGAGCTATACAATATTTTCGTGGTGAATCAATCAGAGGCGGAGAAGGTGGAAACTTGAGGTTCTTGAGGCTCGAACTCTGATGGGCGCCCGAGGAAGTAGCAAAGCTACGGGCGCGCCTTCGCGCCTACAAGTTTGCGACGACGGGCTGCGGAAAGCGGTACGTGACAGGAACTGATCCGTTAGGAGCAAACAAGACGTTGGTATACTGGTCGCGCTGGGCTTCTCGATCATCGATCTGTTCACGAAACATGTGTAGATCTAGAAGCAGAGACGTGCGTGCGGATGATCATAGCTCGTGGTTGCTCCGTGGTGGGGGACGCAGAAGCAGATCCTCAAGCCACACTCTCCTCCACGAAACACCACCATCGCATTGACTGACATCGCTGATGGGCCTGCCTATCATCCACCCTGCTGCCGCCTCATCCCCACCCTGATCCGATCTTGTTCTATCTGCAAGCTTCTTCTTTTCTTTTCATCTCTCCCAGACTTGTCCTCTCGTCGCAGGCTCCATGTATATCCCGACCTCCTGACGAGCATATCTCCCACATCCTCCCCACTGCCCTCCTCAGCCACGGTTCTGCGCTATTGACGCCAGACCACCACCTCCCAAACAAAAGCGAGGGTAATCTGTTTTGACCTCCGCGAACCCGTTGTTACCGCTGGCTTCCCGCGGCAAAGCCTGACAACCTTCTCCGCGACGCCCGATACACCCTCTGCGAACTAGCCGCCGTGTGAGAAATTGCTGTGTAGGAGAAGAGTAACCCAGCGGCTCGTCAAACAAGTTTGCGCTTACCTGTTGCCCTGTCCCGATACTTGCCTGCATTTCCACCTCAGACGACCATGTACCCACAAAAGACGCTGGCCATATCTCGCAGCTGTATCGCTGTCTTGCCTATGCTGCCTTGGTTCTGACTACCATATCACCACCTATCGGAGACAAGACACACATGATATGTTGCACGAGCACCACGATCTTTGCCGCACACAAATTACGACAGCTCAGTAGCTTTGTCCATGTCCAATACTCACTCCGTCCGAGGCTCAATCCCAGACACCGAGCTAGGATTGACTCAGGGCGAGCTCCAGTTACTTCGAACCCAACAGCAGGCTATGTTGGTGGCCCAGGCGCGCAGCAATTCTGCAGGTCGCGGTAGAGGCAACAGCCGTCATTCTGTGCCCTCGTCACGCGATGCAAGCGCTGCAAGCAGCACTGGTCCAGGCAATCGCCTTATCATGGATCCTCGCCATCTCCAGGCTTTACAGACTCACCTCGACAATCTTATGCGCACGATTGAGTCTCGTATAGAGGATGTACGTACTTTCACCCAGGTTGCTAGGCTTCTTAATACTGACTCTTTTCCAGCTAGAAGATGCCACTGAGCAGTCTGTCCGATCGAGTTCGAATCGCCATGAGAGTACCAATGCGCGAGCAGACCGCGAGATCGAACGCATGAATCAGATCATGGCTCGCATTGACAAACTCGAAGAAGAATTCGCGAAAGTGAAGAGGCTCAAGGAAGTGGTGAAACGACTGAGGTTACGAGTGGAAACCACCGAAGCTAGATATGAACGCCACAGCTCTACCCAACATTCCTCAACTCATCAACACCAAACTTCGCACCAGAGTCAAGCCGCGAAAGACCGAGATCGATACGACCGCCATCGATGAGGTCCACTATCACCCACGACACACCATTTCACCACCATCATGTTTTCAAACTTATGATTTTGCTTCGACATTGGCGAAAGAGAGACGGAAGCCTCACGGCACTTTTGTTGCATCAAACCATGAATTTCGACCACGACTGTATGATCACCACAAGACGCTTTTAACGCGGCTTATTGAATTCTCTGGAAGTGGAAAGGACGCCTTGCAGACATAACTCAGATGGCAGCCACTTCAATACGACTCTCCGGCGTCACAAGTCCTCGTCGCCCGAATTGACCTTGAAGACTCCTTTCCGGTGATATTGACGCTGTGCTTGCGCTGACCACTAGTGACCGGGTATCGCTTCACGGTACCACATGCATTGCAGCGCATTTCCAAGATGTCTGCCCATGGCTTGGCTTGATCTTTGCTGGCATTACGAACCGTCTGAGTGCTCGACACATCCGCACGAGTAGCGCTTGGCATCTTTTGCAGATTGTCCGTTTCAAGTCCTTCGACATGCGAATGTTCGTCTTCCTCGAGATGCCTTTGGCATGGGATAGTAGTTGCTGTGACAGACGGTCGTTACCGTCGCGCCGCTGGGTTGTGCTTGCGACTGGACTTTGCTTGCTCGATGCCCCGCCGTGTACCTTTTCTGACTCACTGCTCGCTTTCGATATAGTAGACAGATAGGTTGCCGCCTGGTGTAGGTATGAGATCCTGGAGTGAATATGGCGATGTGGTACTCCTTCACCCTTCTTCTCGGACTTCGACTTTCCCATCTGCACACAGGTCCATTTCAAGGCTTTCAGCAGTGTGAATGACGCGGTGTGGTGGAAGATGGAAAGCAAGTAAGAACTCGAAGGCAGACCAGATTTCACGTGACTGCCAAAATCCCGCCAAGCATTGGGGCCTGCTAACTTGAAGCGGGTTAGTGGTGGAGCCTGAGTCCGCCGCAGTTGAAAGGAAAGGCCACTGCTGCTCTCTGAGATTCTGCCTCCTTCGTCCGCAAACATTCATTGTATTGTCGCCATCCTCCCACTATCGCCATCTCTCTACACACTCGGGTTCCTTCGTGCACTCACACCACACTCTCACGCTCAGTTGCGACTTGCAGCGCAACTCGCGACGAAAGCGCCTGATTTGACCCTGCTCACTTCGAGACATCCCTCTTTCCACTTACCGAATCTACAACCAACAATCTAACCACAATGTCTGCCGAGGAGGATCTCATCGACTACTCTGACGAGGAGCTTCAGACCACAGAAGCGCCTGCCACCAATGGAGCCGCGAAGAAGAATGGTGCAGCTACTACTGCGACCGACAAGGCCAAAGGCAGTTACGCAGGCGCCCACTCATCCAGCTTCCGCGACTTCCTACTCAAAGCAGAATTGATTCGAGCCATCACCGACTGCGGTTTCGAACATCCTTCGGAGGGTTAGTCTAATCACGTTCCTGCAAATTCATTCATTCTCTGCGTCCGTCCATCTCCGCAAGCAAGCAAGTCAAGCCGGTCGGACGAGCCGAAACCTCGAATGTTATCGAGATGAAGGAAGGGCCATTGGTACCGATAGCAGACTCAGCGGATGCTGTCATCAATACAGCCGCTCTCAGGATATGACGCCTGCCTTTGCTTGGCTGTTAGTCTGAGCATTGCCTACAGCACAAAAAGGCTGTCAGTATCGAGACTGTCGTGCAGGAGCCGCGACTCATTAAGTCGTGAGCCAAAAGAGCAGACGATCCCTCGTATGGGATCGGTGGAGTTGCACGCCTCTATCTGCTATGAAGACTTACTTGGAGATGGGCGGACTGGACTGCGATGCGCTTCTAATTTCGCTGCGATCAAAATCTAACGTCAATCCCTACAGTTCAACAGACATGCATTCCGCAGGCTCTTCTCGGCACCGACGTCCTCTGCCAGGCCAAATCAGGTCTTGGCAAGACAGCTGTCTTCGTCCTCACCACTCTCAACCAAATGACTGTTGAAGCAGGAGAGTGCACAGTTCTCGTCATGTGTCACACCCGCGAATTGGCGTACCAAATCAAGAATGAGTACGCTCGATTCAGCAAGTATCTCCCAGATGTCAAGATTGGCGTCTTCTACGGCGGTACACCCATCCAGAAGGACCACGACATCATCAAGAACAAGGAGACCTGCCCGAATGTGATTGTGGCTACGCCTGGTCGGCTCAACGCTCTAGTCCGCGACAAGATCCTCTCCCTCCGCAGTGTCAAGCACTTCGTCCTCGACGAGTGCGACAAGATGCTGGATCAGATCGGTAAGCTACATACATTCACAGCATGAACGCAAAAGCTAACGCCTGAAAGATATGCGACGTGACGTTCAAGAGATCTTCCGCGCCACTCCTACCGAGAAGCAGGTCATGATGTTCAGCGCCACACTCTCTCAGGAAGTCCGACCCATCTGCCGAAAGTTCATGCGATCGCCCCTCGAGATCTTCGTCGACGACGAGACCAAACTCACTCTTCACGGCCTTCAGCAGTACGCCATCAAGCTTGACGAAGGCGAAAAGAACCGCAAGCTCAACGACCTGCTCGATTCGCTGGAGTTCAACCAGGTTATCATCTTCGTCAAGAGCACACAGCGTGCTACCGAACTCGACAAGCTTCTGCGTGAATGCAACTTCCCCAGTGTTGCTGTGCACTCTGGCGTCAGCCAAGAAGAACGGTAAGTAATCTTCCGTGGAAGATCTATACGGCCGGTGGCTGACATTCTGAGCAGTATCAAGCGCTACAAGGAATTCAAGGAGTTCAACAAGCGCATCTGTGTCGCCACCGACGTCTTCGGCCGTGGTATCGACATTGAGCGAATCAATTTGGCCATCAACTACGACCTTCCCACTGATGCTGACTCATACCTCCACCGTGTCGGTCGTGCCGGTCGTTTCGGTACCAAGGGCCTGTCGATCTCGTTCGTGAGCAGCACCCAAGACGAAGACGTCCTCAAGGAGATCGAGAAGCGATTCGAGGCCAAGATTCCCCCTTACCCGACCGAAGGCGTCGAGAGCTCCAGCTATATGGCTACCTAGATCAGTGCGAGCAGAAGTCGGCAGATGTTACGACAGGGAAGGCAGATATCGGGAGGATGACCTTGGTTTGGAAGGACAGCAATCCTGTCACTTCGACACCAATTGGTCACTGGGATACTCCGCCGAAGAGCAACACGATCCAGCACGTTTGCTCGCGTTGGGCGCGAGCTTCGGACGAGACATGATCGTCTCACAGATATCGTTAGCAATATCAGACTAGAATGAAAAGATGTGCTTGAGCTATTAATATGATCTAAATTGTCTGGCGTTGGTGCGTGTACATATGTGTCGTAGCTCTAGCGTAGACGTGGTGTATCCGTTCCATCCACAGATGGCTCTAAGAAATCTCCGTCGTATGTCCAGCTTCTTCACATACTCAAACTCTCAGGCATCAAGTTTGAGCTGATCAAGCAGCCTGTCGATCTTTCCGAGCAAGATTTGATAGTTGATTGCATCCGCAGCCATTTCGTCGCCTGCCATCTCCCCATCCAGCGTGCGGACCGCACCCGTCTGCATGATTGCTGAGTCGAACTGCTCTGCTTCTGTGCGGTATTCGGTACCATTGTCGTACAGTGTCCGGGCATCAAGCTGCTCAAGCTTCTCCTCTCCAGTGAGCTGGACCGTATCATGCTTGCAATCCCTTGGGCTGTCCGCAGAGGTATGCTCCACCGCCACGTTAGTCTCCTCTGCGTCGGCAATCGCCTCATCAAAGTTGACATCCTCCATTCTCAGCCTGAACCTTTCGCTCAAGTAGTATCTGATATCATCCAACAGCTCAATACTGTCCGTCTCCTGTCTAGCGCTGATCCTCTCCGCACTCTCCTTCACCAGCTCCGCGAAGTCTGGATCGTCGATGTACGCTTCTAACCTGTATGCAATATACCGTGCCGCGAATTCCTCCAACCTCTGCACCCGCGTCAGCCACGCTGCGCGGAGTATCTCGTAGATGTCCATGAACTCGTCCTCTCGCTCCGTCTCCGTGGGCATAGCCGTTGCAGTGCCGTTGCCGAGCGTCGATATCACGACCGCGGCTTTCGCTTTGAGTTTCTCGAGGAAGAGCATGTCTGCGGCGAAGAGAACGTCAACGGCGAGATCAAGACTAAAGTCTGTCCGCTCGGTATACAGGAAGGTCAGAATGACCTCGAGCACGGCGGGCGAGCAGTCGATGGACACGATGTGGAGGTGTGGTGTCTCTTGTGCTTCTTTGAAGTCTGAGTCGAACATGGTCATGAAGAACTCGGAACGGATGAGCATGGCTTTGTGGCAGGGGTAGACTTTTGATTTTCGGGGGTGGCGTGTACGTGAGGGTGATCGTGATTTTTGAGTTGAGTCGAGGGGAATGCCGAGTACATTCGTGTTGCTTCTGGTTTTAGTTGCTGTGTTCTGGTCATCTAGGCCGTTGACATCGCCTTCGTCCTCTTCCTCGTCGGCGCGTAGCAGAACGTCGGCGAATATACCGTTGTTGCGGTCCCATTTAATGTCACTAGCTTTGCTGGAATCTATCTCGATTGCTCGTTCCAGAACGTTTGCGCGGAACCAATTCTCAAGCTGTGCTCGGCCCCTTTCGACTTCATCTTGCCGCCTCTGTCGCGCTAGTCGCCTATCGCTACTGTCTAGTATCATTTTCGAAAGATTGGTCGGTATCTCTAATTGTTTGACGATTCGATCGATGCCAGCAAGGACTTCCGAATCTGTAAATCCAGTTCCGGGACCGCCACCCAGATCCCGCGGCATCTCACCCAGATAAATATGCTTGAGGACGATGCCAAAAGACTGTGGTGGCAGGTTCAAAGGCATTTTCCATGATGTGGTCTCAGGATTCACGGCAAGCTTCTTCTGGAAGTATGGCGACCTACCGGCCAGAACAAACTTGTGCAAGTTGAAGGTCTCTTCATATCCAGCCACTTTGATGTCGGCAGTTTGCGGCTGCTCCCGACTCAATAGTGATGTCAAATGAGCCGCCAGCGGCTGCAGTGGATCGGTGGACTTGGAGTAGTCGTAGGAAAGTAGTAGGTTTCGTATTCTGTCGTTGAGGGCATTGTATAAGCATCGTTCGCCCTGAAATGTGTCTCGTTCACATAACGCTCCGGATTCGAGCAGGAGCTGGACAGTTTCATAGTTGCCACAAAGGCTTGCCAAGATCAATGGAGTATAATCGAACCGATCTTTGGCGTTGATGTTCACGCCTTCCGAGATCTTCTCCTGGCAGACTTTCAGATCTCCTCGCCTACAGGCTTCACAAAGTATTCTGAAAGACTCAGTCGTGTCCAAGGGATTGTCTTCCTTGAGGATTCCCTCGTCGATGAGTTTCTTCTCTTCGAAAAGGCTTCGTTCCAGTTGATCCTTTCGCAAAAGAGAGGCCCGCTCTGTTTCGGAAGTCATTATCCTGTATACGATGAAGGCAGCAAACAGAACAAAAAGAAGATGCACGCCCTGCCACAGGAACGAAGTCAAGACTTTCCAGCGAGAAGAAGCAGATGGCGAATTGATATGTTGAAGAATGACGTAGATGGATTGCTTCAAATGACACATCGACTAGGCCCAAGGAAGTAAGCGCGACTGGCCCGCACATCGTCGAAAATCGCGTGAACTTTTCTCAAACACTCAAACCGTGGCCAGAACGAAGCAGCGCAAAGTGCAAGCCCGAGTCTCTATCACGCGCCCCTTTGCTGATTAGAGGCGAGGAAGGTCTTGTACGTCCTACCACTCTCGCCGAAGACATCGCGCATCAGCCAAGATGCCATCACAAAATGGTTTCCTCCATCTGGCTCGTCCTCTTGGCCCCGCGGCCGCAGGCACGCAGCCTGCTACGACTCCCTTGAGCGTGGTCATCCAGCCACAGGCCCTCTTCAGTATCCTCGATCACTCCACCAGGAGACCGGTGGATCAACACCGAGTCATCGGAACACTACTAGGCACAAGAAGCGATACAGACGAGACCCTCATTACTGTACACTCGGCCTTCGCCGTTGGCCACACAGAAACAACAGATCAGGTCGAGGTGGACATGGAATGTCAGAAGTCGATGCTCAGTCTACACCTTCGAGCGAATCCCAAAGAAATCCTCGTAGGCTGGTACGCGACTTCATCAGAATTGAACACGTTTTCCGCGCTCATCCAGAACCACTACTCCTCACCGAACGAAGGCACCTTCCCATACCCAGCCGTGCACCTCACAGTCGCCTCCGAGCCCGGCAAAGATATCGAGATCAACACCTACATTTCCTCACCAGTCGGCACAACAGACGAGCGTGCTGCTGATTCCGCTGCATTCATCCCAGTTCCTCACACCATCAACTACAGCGAATCTGATCGGGCAGGTCTAGGTGCCATTTCCGGTGCCAAAGATCTCGAGTCACGGTCAGTCACTATGCTCACAGACATCGAAAATCTCGAAAAGTCAATCGAAGACACACTCAGCATGCTGGACCGGGTGGGCCGATATGTTGAGAACGTGATAGAAGAAGAAGTCGAGCCTTCAACTGCTTTAGGCCAATATCTCCTCAACACTCTCGCACTTGCACCCAAGGTCGATCCGATTGACATCGAAAAGGACTTCAACAACCATATCCAGGATGTCCTCACAGTCTCATACTTGGCCAACACAATCCGCACGCAGATGGACCTGTCTAACAGACTGGCCACTGCACCGTTGACACTTGGCGGCGGCGATGCAGGCAACAAAGATGGTGACAAGGGTGGCCGGAGACCGCAAGGCGAGCGTGGGGACCGAGGCGGCGGTCAGAACAGACCAAATCGTGGGGAGAGTGTGTCGTTATGAGGATCGTATACCACGACCGTCATCTAGTGGATACGAATCACCTTCCAGCCTTGGCCACAACATCGACGATACTTGCGCAGAGTATTGCCGTACTCTGTGGCTTGGTCGACCAAGCGTCTGAGTCAACCCTCAGCAAGCCCCGAGGTACAATGGTCTTGCTATCGTTCGAGCCCCTCGGTTGCGGCACATAGGCAGTTTGTGTGAGGAGCAGCTCCAGGACATCGCCACTGTACTTGGCAGGTCCGCTTGGCGAAGAACCACTTCTCCCTTGCGTTGTGGACGTGCTCGATGGAGATTGCCAGCTTTTACAGGCAAGTCTGCCGCTCAACCTCCGTGATGGTGCCAGTGGCAGAAAGACGGACGCTATTGAACATGGCAGCATTTCTCCCAGAGGCAGACGGGAGTGCAGTCGCAAAGTCCTCTCGAGGTTTTCGTCCGTAGTTGTTGCCTTTCCAAGGACATATGATGTGGTCCCTGCTGAAAGGATATGTAGAATGTCCGCTGTGGGCAATGAATTCGAAATTCCGTTTCTCAAGTGGCTTCACTCCTCGCCCTCTTCGCACTCGGCCTTCCGACACCTGCTTCTGGCCCCTCGGCGGCCGGACTACTCGCATCCATCGCGTCCCCATTCGCTCCGTTCGTCGCCACGCCGCCAGGCTCGTCACCATCGATATCCACAAACTTCCTCTTCTTCCTGCCCTTTCCCCGTCCCTTCCCCTTACCAGTTCCCTCCTCTCCAACAAGCCCACCCAACTGCTTCCATATCCTCGACCGACATCTTCAGCCCCGCCATTGCACCAGCACCTCCCCTCCCTCCACCGCCACCCAATCCAGGCACACCCAACCCCTCCAGCCCACCACCCAACAGCCCCATACCCCCATCATCCGCCCCCGCGCCCCCAGGCACCGTCTTCTTCGCCTCCTTGATCTGCTTATTCCTCCTCTCCCGCTCATTGATCCTCCCCAACATGTTCTTATCCTTGCGAAACACAAACTTGATATCCCCCGGATTGACCTTATGCCTCCCCTCATACGTCGCATGATCAACCGCTTCATGAGACACTTCGATAATGAAATCCGTCAAGATCTCATCCAGCACGCGCATCGTCTCCGGCAGCGGCGCCGACGGGATCTTCACCGTGGTGTTGTTTGCTGTTGGTTGTCCTACGAAAGTACTGGGTCGCGGGCCACCCTGCCACTTGGTTCGTGTCGATGCGTCGAGGTATGCTTGTGAGTCTGCAATGGGGCTCTGCACGTCTGGATGTGTGGGGGCGCCGAAGGCGTAGAGAGCCTCATTGATGTCTTTGGCAAAGTTGAGCGTGCCGTGGTAGCGGCCGGCGCGCGCGCGTGGCTCCATGTTCTTGTGTTTTCGGAGAGGGCGTAGATATGCAGTGGGGAGTTGGTGAGGTTTGAGGTAAGGAAACTTGTTCGTTTGCAGGTGGTGGTCGCCGCGGATGTCGGCTGCACCGTCTGTGTTGGAGGGAGGTGGTGCCATGGTTGCGGTACTTTGGGAAGGAGGCGGGGATTAAATATTATTAGAAGTGGTGTGAAAGAGGCAAGTACGATGCGATGCTAAGGAGTGACTGAGGTTCACGTGAATAAAACGCAGTCGCGACCTGCGCGAAGCATGAGAGCAGGTACAGTATGAGAATTGATCAAAACGATGTCGACGTAAGTCGGCGGAGCGCTTTTGCTCGGCTAACTTTCCTTGGGGTCAACATCACCTGAGCTGGGCAGGCAACAGGGGTCCGCCTGAAAAGGGCAACCTGTTCTTTTTGGACACAACACCGTTCCTTCTCTGCAACTCTCAATCTCAGCTCCTCTCGACGCGGACCTACGAACTACAAATCGTCTCCTACTTCGACTGCCTGGCAACCACTGACCTACTGCTCAGCAGACCACACCAACCGCATTTACCAGCTTGTCAGCTCGACAAAATGACAGCGATATTCAACTTCCAATCACTCCTCCTCGTTATACTCCTCTTCATCTGCACCTCGACATATATTCACTCAATATTCCCGTCAATCATGGATCGGAATAAGGACGGCGTAATGGGCATCTTCTGGAAGTCGGCGCGGATAGGCGAACGGCTGAGTCCGTATGTTTCGGTGGCGTGTTTCGCTATGGCGGTATGTGCTCTCCCATTTCACCGTCACCTTCCGACCAGAATCTCAAGCCGCACGAATGGGACGAGGGGACCGTTCGTAGCGCGACAATACGCGGTGCTGGTATGGCTTATTTAGTCTGTGCTAACCTAATCTGTGGAACAGGTCTCCCTGTTCCTTACGTGACAGCATAATCGCTAGTTGGGGGGGGGGGGGGGGGGTAGTATATTTGCATTATGCTGCTTCTGGAATCCCAATCCAGCATGAGAACATTCGCTCCAAACTCCCCTGAGTGCGAAACGAACTGCTGCATTGATGGCATCTGCTTGATCGATCCGCACAGCACGCAGCAAGACAAGCCTGTCAAACGCTGGTTCTATCTTCCAAGTCCTGTGGGCCCCTTTTTATCTGCATGCTGATGTCTCCTAACAAACGTTCTCAACACCGCTTTCAGTCGCCGCGTCATGCAGTCCTACTCGTGCAGGAAATGCCACCGCTTATCAAGGCCCCGAGCTCTTCGAGACCGAGCACCATTCCTCGTGAAATCTGACTCGCGGTCCATGTCTCTGAAAGCAAGCCCATCTCCGTGCTCTTCAATCACAGGCTTAATTGGCAGTCCCATGTACTCGTCCATGCTCATCGGCACCTTCACCGGAAGTGGCGGGTCGAATTTGTCACGGTCTGGCAGTGTCCTTAGTTGCGTTGTTATGGCTGTGCGCACGGACGCATTTCGTTCGACGATGCGATGCGGATGATGCTGACCGAACTTGAGCCTGTTCCTCCGCAGCTGGTAGAGCAAGACATGATCCTGGGGCTGTGCGTCCTCCCAAACTTGCTTCTTTGCTCTCCTTGGATTCGCCAGATTATCCGGACTTACACCAGGGGCTTGCGCCTTGACATTATTCGGACGAAGCATAGGAGCCACATCATAGAGATTGCTCGACTTTGCTATGCTCTGCCACGGCAAGCTGACAGCGTTCTGGTCTGTTAGTGGGAGATCCTGCATCTCATCATCCGAAGATTCATCTTCAAATATGACCCCCTTTTTTGCGAGCCTGCTGACGATCCGATCAAGGTCGTGGTCGAGGCTGACGTCCATCTTTATGGGTGCTATCGCACGAGATACATGCCGCTGCCTTGGAGACTTTGAGAACGGCGCAAGTTTCTCCTGTGTCACGAAAGCATACTTCGGTACATGTCTGGCGGTGTCACCAGGACTGCTGGCCGCCTTCTCTGGACCCAGATCAATCGAAGGACGCTTAAGTGGTTCGTTCAAATCATGCATGTCTGCCGCACTTTCGGGCGGCGAGGCAAGCCCGCTTATGAGATGCATGTCGCCGTTTTGCTCCGCTGGCCTGGCCTGGATGCTGTCACGCTCACGTCGTAGACCGTGGACATCCCGGTTCAGGCAATTGGCGTTCACGGGCGGTCCGAGATCATGGGTTGCGCCGACAGCGGCGCTGCTGGCTTTCTCCTTGTTTAGTATTCGGCTACTTCGTGCCAGTGGGATATCATCCTCTGAATCCGTTGAGCAGTCGTTTTCGTCGCTAGCAACCCGTTCGTGATGTCCAGCGGCACTTCGAATCTCTTCCATTTCCGCTAACGTTCGGCCAGTACCATATCGCCCTCCAGAATGTGCTGTCTTGATTTTCAACTCGCTAAGATATTGCTGGCACAGATCACGGTCGAGATTCCCCGACGAGTCGTGTAGGCATCGATTATGCTTCTCCCCACACTGGCAAGCTCTGAAAGCCGTACCTCCAGCTCTATCGTTCACGTCGGAACGTTGTGCAATGTCTGCGGTGGGCTTTCGGGTTACCAGTGATCGTTCTTGAGCACTGAGATTGTCGTGGGCAGATGAGCCCTCCAGGGGAGATGTGTCTGCAAGAGAACCTCGGCTGGTCACAGGTTCTGATACGCTTGATGGTCGTTTCATTCTCATCATAGGCGGCGGAGGCTTGCTTGATTTCTTTTGGCGGAGTAGGGCTATGACCTCAGCGTCAGACCTCTTTCCCATAGGCTTGTCGACTTCGGTCTGGTCACCCGGTTCTGGCAGCTTACTGCTTGGAGAGTTCAGATCCTTCTTTGAAGCAGCACTATCCGTGTTCGGGCACATGGCTCCGGTAGCGAGAATCTTCTTCTCTAGGGTCGCAACCTTCTTGCAAGCCTCGCACAGCGGCTCCTTGCTTCGAATGAGGGCTCTGCAAGTGGGACCCTCGCACAGCTTGAACATACTGCCCAAATCAGCTTTGGGTCTGATTTGGCGTGCTGGTCCAGTCGTCGTGGGCTTGGTACCTATGTCGCCGCGGCCAAGATTGTGTCGGGGATCTCAAACGAGAATGGATTAAGTGGTGTTGATTGGGACTGGAACGAAGGTCGCCTAGTCTTGTCTGGCACGACGGAGCATTGCTCAGAGTCACCCGGGTTGTTAGTGGATGGTGCAGTTGCAGGACCGGCTGGGTCAGATGGCGACGGAGTAGCGCCAACGCTGTATGTGGGACTTAGAACTCTCTCGCCCAGACTAATTGGCGAATAGGGGGGCGGAACTGGTGAAGAGTTCCTCGAGTCGCTGACATCGGCAAGCCTTCTCCGTTTCGCACCGTTGGCCTGGTAGTGAGTCTCTGCTTTTCCAGCAGGTGTCACCTTCTGACTGAGGCTCCCGACGTGGGCAGGTTCGAAGTGGGTATCAGGACCGGATACATTAGCAACTGAAGAAGTTTCTCCCGTTACTGAAGCCAATTCGTGTGTGTGATCTGCCAGGGGGTTGTTCAGATCCTTTGTCGACGAAGCTTCGTCTAAGCTGGCTGAGCCGAGGTCTGATTCACCGACTGCTGATTTTCCAGCTTTCAGGCACCTTGAGCAGACGAACTTCTTCGATTCCTTGATGGCCATTGACGGGGACTGACTCCCACAGTACTTATGAAAGTGTCGCCAGCAAGTTGTGCAGCCCATCAGAGGCCGCATATCGGATCCTCCGGCCCTGCATTCGCTACACATCAAGCGCGATCGCGAAGTCCGCGTTGATGTGCTGGTAACCGAGCACTGATCATCTGTATGCTGACTTTTGAGTGACATCCTGCCAGCACTTGCCAAGGACAACGGCTTTGCTGTTGTGGCACGGGCATCGCCTTCGACGACGCACGAGAGGGCAATAGCGTCTGTTCGCACTGCAAAATCTTGTATTGTTTGTATGTGAGGAGTCTGATCTGCGCTTTCGATGTGGGGCGTCGAGGCTCCAGATCTATCCAAGTGTCAGCTCCGGATGTCTATGAGAAGAGAGGGAGAGCGGGGTACCTGTCTCTGCTCAGTGGAGGTGGAGAGATCGCTCGCACTGGGCGTGTAAGTACGGAAAGGGCTTTCTCGGAGTGGGCATTCTGAATGGGGCCAGGTTTGATTATTTTGTAGAACGGCGAATTACTGGTCTGCAGTGAAGGACGTGCCGCTTCTGGTCCCCTCCCTGCGACTGCTGGCATCACTGGCGAGGCCAGCATGGAAGTCAGAGCCATCTGGCCACGACACGCTCACAACCTGAGCAGGTTTAAGGAACGCCAGAAAGTCGATGCTATTGCCAAGGTCCTCCTGGTGGCGAGAATCTTGATGCTGCTATTTGGAATAAGGCTGTCGAGGTGAACGTAGGGGAGAGCTGCCAGGAAGGCCGAACAGTCCTATGTCGAGGAAGGGAGGCCATACTAGTCTGTCAACACCAAGTCAGTCTAAGAACCAGCACAACGAGGAAGAATTGTAATAAGACTGGAGCAGCACGTCAGATCTTTTCAGTTGTCAGACTTCACTCCGGGGCTGCAAGGCTGTTGAAGTACACAAGGTTCTCTTCGACAAAGCTCCGTATTGGCACATAGAGTTGCTGCCACTACCAGCACGCCTCGAGCCTGGTCTGTAGTGTAGGAAGATGTATGCTGTAGCCATTGATTGAGCGCCATCGCAATGCTTTCGGCGAACAATTCCAGTATAGCAGCACTTATGACATGAGAGTCGACTGATGTCCACGTGAACTCCAAGGCATCGGCAACCATAGCTTTGGTGCGACGTTCAAAGCCTGCTCATGTGAGACCGTACCTCACGTCATGCGGTTGTGGCAGCACCCAGTGATGAATACGTCCTCACTCTGAGACCGAGACATCTCCTCAAATACCCAATAGCCATTAACAGCGCCACGGATCAGACCTTTTACCAATATCTCATCCTTCGAAGAGTGGAGCACTTAAGTGGAGAGATGTTGACTTACTCACTTGCGAGGTGACTAGCAGCTCAGATTGAAATCCACGACCGAAAATATCGATGATAGCATCCTCACAGTACGGCGCGTCGTCTTCTAGCAGCAAGACTGATTATGACGATATGGCGCAATGATTTGACTGCAGGTGGTATCCTCGGGGGCGCGTATACAAAACAACGTGATGAAAGCTAGAGCAAGTACGTGTGCTGAGGAAGTCGTAAATGGAACTCGCGCGCCTGCACCAAAGAGACGAGCCTAAATTATGTTGGGGAGTTTCAAGTTCAGAAGGATCGAAATGGCAGTCGCGATTCATTCATGAAGGCCATAACACCGCACTGTTGCTTGGGAGGAGGTGTTTGCTAATTCCGAGACACGGACTATGATTGGTGCATCGAGCCCCACCCATTCTCACTGCACGGTCCTACTACTAGTCTACAAGTCACTGATCACGATGAGTCGAATGGTGCGCTGGCGACGGCCGAGAGCACGAGTTGAATATGTAGATCAGATTACGAAGTCTGTCGTTAACTGTACACTTACTTTTGTACAAGACCCAGCCAATATTCCTCTGGATTGTTTCTTTCCTTCCGCAGATTATTCCGAAACTCACTCATGGCCACATCTAGTTTCAATCAATCCTCAAGCCAAAAGGCCTTCCGAGCGCACTGCGCCTGTAAGGAAGGCTCCGTAGTCGTTGAATCCAGGCCCGAAGTCAAATGCCTGCGCGTCGACTTGCACGTCTGAGCCAAAGACTTCGGTCATGGTGACTTCGATGTCTTTGTTGCTCGATGGGAGCATGCCTCGTACATCAACATCGTCCAACAGCTTTTTGACGATCTCGCGATCCCCCCATCTCTCTTGCATATGCTCTAGGCCAAGCGAGGTAAACGTACGGCCCGTGCTCAACATCAACTTTCGCAGCTTTTCTGCCATCTCTAGATGACCGGCACGAATGAAGCCGGCGAAGACGAGGGCCCATTCCATCTCGCCCAAAGAATTGGGATAGTTCGACAACATGTACTTCAGCATCAGCAGAAGCTTGTCTGGACTGCAGTGTTGCTGACGAGAGAAGAAGACCAGAAAGGACCGAAAAGCGCCGGGCTGTTCCTCTACAAACCGAGCGGCCAGGTTATCGGAAGCCTCCAGCAGTCGAGTGAAGCAGGTCCAGACGTGCATGACATGCATGGGGTCGCGTTGGACCAAGACGTATGACCAGATCACGGCTCCAAGAACGACTGGATGCAGGTCGTCCTTCTGATTCGCCGTGAGTGGCTGAGCATCGCCTAGCTGCAGACCAAACCTCGCCAGAGGCATGCGGAGTATGATCGATCATAGATCTGCATAACTCGGCTGACACATGCCACGACACCCAGTCGTTGTTCGAAGTAACAGATTGACCGGACGATGTTCATGATGGATGCTATAAGCCAAGGGTCTTGCCTCAAAGCTTCATCGTTGTGGAAGATCGTGAAGAGCTCGTCGATTCTCTCGGTATCTCGTACAAGAAAGCTGTGCTTGAGTAGCTTACCATACGTCCAACTGGAGACATTTATCTTCTCGTTTCGAAGATAGTGGAGCAAGTCAAATGCTACTTGAGTTTTGCCAGATTTGACTGCATTCTGCACCATCATGTTCTGAATGATCTCGATCGGCGGCACACCTAGCTCGAGGAGCTTTGGCAAGATTCGGAAGTTGCTTGTAGAGGATGCACTCTGCACTGTGTCAAGTGCGAGCAAATTGACAACTCGCCCTACCCAAGGGCCCCTGGGAGATCCCAAGGTGGTTGGAGAAACTCGTGATAGTGCACCGAGGGCGCTATCAACCTCGCCCAGGGCAGTATAGTGGCTTACCAGACGTAGCAGGCCCGCATCGCCCACATCATGGTACTTTGCCTCGAAATTGGACAGAAACTCGAGCGCCTCGGGCGATGTTGAAAACTCCACCATGAGATTCACATATCTGAATCTAAAAGGACCTTTTGGCCATGAATCTGTTGATCTCATGTGACCAACGTGTCGCACGAAGTCGCGAAACAACTCAGGTGATTGTGAGACCTCACTCCACAAAAGCGGCGTCCTACGAATATGGAAGCAACAGTCGCCAAGTACGTGATATTCCAGTCGCGTGCGAAATGTGTCGAGGACCGTCAAAGTTTGTCGAGCTGAAGTTGCCAGGCTACCCGCCAGGATGGCCATGACGTCCGCGTAAGATACGGCGCTCTGGGAACTACCCTGTGCTGCCATGTGTTGCGACGCACGCTCCTGATATGACTTCACGGCCTTGCCCACTGCTCCGTTACGAACATAGCGTCTGAGCCTCGAGGGTGTTCGAAGCCAGAAATCAAGGAACCGAGATACCGCGCCCCAATACTCATATCTAGCCCTATTGATCAAAAGCAATTCTGCGGTGCGTTGAGAGGAGCTGTTGCGGCGCTCGTCCGACCCATTCCCTTTACTTGGGACGTCGTAGAGGCGGAGCAGGTAGGCAGTAGTCCGCCTCTGGCGCAACATGAATGCCGTTGGATTTCTGCCTCCGAAATCCTCGTTTGACAAGGGGTGTGAAGCACGTGGTGGTCGTACTTTGCGATCAATCCTCCGTAATAGCCCACATCGCACGGCTAGTGTTGATTGAAGCCTGCGTCCATACCTCCGCAGTAGTCCACGGCGTGAGAGAAACAATGGCCCACTCTTCCGTCGAATCCTCCTCCGTAGCACATGGCGCTGAATGGCTACTGAACGAGCTCTACGTTCAGTCTTCCGCGCCAGCGTTGGACGCAGTACGATTTTCTTTGACGCAATTGGAAGTCGTGTACCTTCCCGAACGACTATCCGGTGAACAAGTCCTTTCTGCCAACGTCCCAGAGAAGTCCGCTTCGATCCCAATGAATGCAGATCGGGTCGAAACTCTTCGGATTCCATGTCTCTGACCTCTGGCTGTTCGTGACCCGGACGCCCGTGCGACTGGTGGAGAGGTCGCATGCCATGTTGCTGGAGTCGCGGTATCGACAGGACACCACAGTTCTTGTGGGGAGTGTCTTGCGAGGCATGAAGTAATGGCAATGGGTAGCGGGCGACGCCCGCGCAGCTAAGTCTCGAACATCGGCGTTGAGCTGCAATAAGGCGACAGAACATGAGCCTGCACCATCGAGTATGCAGTCGATGGCAACTGCGCCAAGGCAACGAGCTGAACAATGACTCCTGAGCTGCTTGTTCCTGAGGTAGACGCGACAAGTTCAGCGAAAAGGCAAAGTTCGCAGGCAAGATTTATTTCTCTTGCGGCGCCCGGACGTGATTTCCGCCGTCTTAGAAAGCGCAAAACAGCTCTATAAATTTTTGGCTTCAACACGACGTGGCTTGACCATTCGTCGCTGATCAACCCCGACCACCTGGAGCTCGTGACCATGTCTACAGGTCAGGGCAGCCTGGATGCTGCTGCTTCCGAGCGCAAGGCCAGACTCGCCAAACTTGCGTCTCTAAAGCGCAAGCAGCCCGGCGCGGACACGACCGTTGGCAATCAAACGGACTCTTCACAAAAGGCCCGCGGCGACACAGACGTCTACTTATCTGGTCGCAATTACGATACCGAAACGAGAGGTCCTAGACTCGGCTTTGAGAATGCTCCTGGCGCTGATGTCGACACGGTCGAAAAGGCATCTGAGCGGATCGCAGCCGAAGCGCGTGAACAAGCAGCCAAGGACGAGGCGGAGAACGAGAAGGGCATTGACTTATTCAAGTTGCAGCCAAAGAAGCCAAATTGGGACCTCAAGCGCGAATTGGCGGAGAAGATGAAGGTAGTGGACGTGCGCACACAAAATGCTATTGCCAGGATGGTCAGGGAACGCATCCAGCAATCGAAACAAGAGGCACAGAGCAGGGCTACCAAACCAGCCACTTCGGCGGTAGACGGAGACGGAGATGGTGAGGAGGTTGGAATCGCAGGCACAACGCTCGCCGAAGCTGTCCATCAGAGAGAAAGAGAGGAACAGGAGGAACAGGAAAGAGAATCAGAGGACGACGACGATTGAATGCCGGATCTTAGCTGAAAACCGTCCTGACAGATTTGCTGGTTCTCTCGCAGCGGAAATGACTGCCCGTGGATCTACGCAATGACACCCTGAAGGCCGCCCCACCGAAGAATCCAGTTGAATATCCAGCCCCAACTCCTGCGCTCAAAGCACCATACCGTACCCGAAATCAGCAACCAGAGACATGCCAGAATCCTGTGTCTAACTATTCATGGCCTGTGTGAGGGCTATGCGCTTGCTGTACGGGCTCGGACTCCGTTCGCGTCGCTTCTCGTCGTTGCGAAGTCGATCATGGCCGTTACTGGTGTGCTGAGGAACTCCTTGGTCGAATGAGCGTCGGTCTTTGGTAACCCTACTCTTGTCGACGCTGGGACTTCCGCTATCACGATGACTACCCTTTCTCTCAGAGTCAGGTCGGCCGCGATCTTCTGGAGTCAGCGTGCGATATCGACGATTTTTGCGATGCGATCCAGGCTGACGCGGACGAGATCTCGATTCTGACGAGGAAGAAACCGATCGGCGTTGTCGCTTTCGCCCTCGAGCTTTGGACATGGATCGGCTGGAGAAGCGGCGCGGTCGACGTTCAGCTGTTTCCTCTCTGCTCATCCGTCGCCGGAAAGGTGATTGTGATCGCGACCGGGACCGGTTGGTGGAGAATGTCGATACTGAGTCCACTGATGACACCGACCTCGAGCGTATTTGGCGGGCAGGCTCGTCGGCACGTTCTGCGCTTCTTTGTCGTTCTCCTGGCGGATTTCTGGTCGCCTCAGCCTTCGCAAGCATTTCATCTGCAATACCTTTGCTGTAGCTTTGTCAGCAACCCATAGCGTGAAGGGGTCACGGGGACATACCTCTGGAGCAGCTCGTTCGGGTTCTCGCTGTTGAGTCGTGGAGCCAGCTTGGGATTGCGAAATTGTTGTGTCCGCGAAGGCCTCGAGGCGTACGGCCGATCCTGCAAGTTGGTCTTGCATTCATAGCTGTAGTGCCGTAGGAGCAATGTTAGAGCCTCCTTGATACGAAAGTCCAAGTAACAACTTATCTTTTTGCAGACACTTCTGGCATGTTGTCGTTGCAGAGGCCTTTGGAGGGCCGGTGCCCGGTATTGTGCGATAGCGATTCATTGCAAATCTGGTTTGCCCAAGACCATGGCAGTGCTTCGGCCGGTTTGCGAGGCCTGCTCAGACTGGTCGGTCTTGAATTGAAGATCAGATCGTCAAGTTCGTGGCAGAGATGATCAAACCAGTAGAATGCCCAACAGAATCCGAAGAGCAATGAAGATAGCACTTGCAGTCCTCCAAGAATGGTTCAAGGGATAAATGTGTAACAGTGCGAGTTCAAGTGTGGTCAACTTTCAAGTTTGCCTAGAGACTCGGAGGACTTTTGGCAACGGGCGTGGAGAACTGGAGAAGCGCCAGCTCAGCCTTGGCATACGATTCTGCCTTTTGCACGTCCTGACATTCTACCTGCGTCGTCTTTACACCTCATCTTGTTTGCCATAACATCGATCGCATATTGACGTGAAGGCAATCAGGAGTCTCGAGGCGTATCGGACGCGTTGACGATATCCAGCTGCGCCCATGGAGCCGTCCATTACCCTGTCGCAAGGCTCGACGCAACCCAATTGTGCTGCATGAGGACAACGCATCGCTAATTTCATCGAAACAATCTACTTGGTCTGAGGCTCACGCTGGCTCATACTTAGAAGGACACGACGTTACGAATCTCCTTTCTGCTTCCATGGCGACCGCTGGGGTGGGAACTGCCCCCACGAAGTTGTCTTTCGCAAAGGTACGGATGTGTTCACGTGTGACATTCTAGGGCTTGACTAATGTTCTGTGTGCAGGTTGCTGCATTGAAAATGCCGTTCATTCCTCCTGTCAAGGACCACGCTGCGGAAGGCGTCTCAGACTCGTTCGAAGAGGTCCGATCTCATCTGTCAAGTTCGTCGACAAAACAGCACAGTTTCGACACCAAGAGTGTTGCATCGGCGACGACTTTCGCTATGGACGAGAAAGAGAGTATCAGACCCGATGACAGCGCCAGCGTCAGAGCTGTCGACGATGAAGATGTCCACAGCACAGTCAGCCGGCCGGGTCCGTTCGCTCAAGAAGCCGATGTGATACTTCCGCCTCTTCAGACAATCCTACCTCGTCCCGAGGGCGGGCCCGTCAATCTTGGGGCGAGACGCTTCCAGACGCTCATCAATCCGCCGCGCTTTGGGGACCTTGAGATCGAGCCAGTGGATGAGAGCCGCGCAACGAATGCGCCTCCACGAGTGAATCCAAGCGTGACACAGGAAGAGCCGGCCAGGCCGTCGATCGTTCCAATTTCGCCCGATGAACGACTCTTGGACGCACTGGCGTCACCCAAGGAGCGTTTGCAGATTCTGCAATTGGAAGAGCGGGTCTTGACCTTCGTCCAGAAAGGTGATCAGCATTTCCTCGAACTGCCACCACAAAACTCTTATGCAAGACTTCTTGCGTACAAGCTGGCTGACTACTATGGTCTGATGCATAATGTGACCGAGGATGGGTTGTCGGTCCGAATCTTCCGCAGCGCAGAGCTAGAGCTGCCCATGACGTTGGCAACGTTGGCGAAATCAATACCCGTTGGTCCCGCGCCCGCTCTGGGCCCAACGGCGGTGAAGATAATGCGACGAGCAGGGCTGAACGACAGCACAGCTCCCAGTTCCGCAGCGTCCAAGGCTACTTCGGAGGCAGACCACAGTGAGGAAGGTCTCACATCACCAACTGACAGCACTCCCAATCGCGACAAATCCAAGATGACTCGAGAGGAACGCGAGGCTCAGTACAAAGCGGTCCGTGAACGTATATTCGGTGACTTTCAGGAGCTGTCGATCAGCGAGAGTAACTCCACAGGCGACAATTCAGCGAGTATGTCTCGTTCGAGCTCTTCCAGCGGCAAGAAGAAGAATCGACGACAGAAAACTCCCAAAGACGACAGCTTTGAAGCTAGGTCCGCATATGTGCCTAGCTACGGTCAGAACCACGGACACATGATGAGCTCTCAGCAGTATCAGGCAGCACAGTACGTGGCTCCGGCTCCCGCCGACTCCTACAGCAGTCAAGGACCTTACTACGGGTCCTCAATGGTCTACGGCTCGACACCGACGCCAGCGCATCCCGGCTTCGACACGCAGATGTCTAACTTCCACACGATGGATGCTCGACAGCAGTATCCGAATGCGGACCTTGGGCTGGCGTTCATCCTAGCTCGTACTACGCTATCCAACCTCTCCGGCGCAGCCTACGTACCTGCAGTGCATCACGGTGCGCCAGGTGCCCCTCAGAACAGCACTCAGTACAACTATGGCATGACTGGTATGCATCAGCAGCAGAGTCCGTGGACACCGAACCAATTCGGCAACATGCTACCCCCTCCTGCAAGTCCTACCAATGGGACACCGTGGGGAGTTTCTTCTGCTGCGTTTGGGCATGGCCAGCATATGACGCATCAGAACACCGGAATCAGCAGTCCTTCGGGTGGTCTTGGCGGCTCGAACAATTCTGGTCAATCACTATTCAACCCACAGACGCGCTCATTTGTGCCGAGCAATTCTTCCTCCCGATCTGGTAGCCGCGGCAATCAACGAAAGAAGACATCCCCAGCATCCCCATTGCCTTTTCCCTCAAGAAGCAACTTCACACCACAAGCCGCCAATACTGAGGACACGCTGCAGAAGAAGTACGGAGCGCCAGCAAACCTGCCTAAGAAGCCGCCACCACCCAGAAGAGCTCCAGTTGCAGATTATTAGAGGTTCGACAATGCTGTCATGAGGCTGTGATGGGGCGGGCGGCAGTCGATGGTCGGTAGCTAAGTTTAATCTTCAGAGATTCGGCACAGGGATCGTGAGGGTCAACATGTATTGCATTTCACGGCGCAAGTGGCCAAACTGGTGGCATGGTCGGGAATGGATGGAGTCGGACAAAAGTACTACTAGGGAGCGGCATAATGAAGGCGTACTGTGTGTGCATGGAATTGGGCAAAGATGGAAGACATAAGGGGAGCTTTTGAGAGCAAGCGCTCTTGTATGGCATAGACGAAGGCACGACCGCGCCAGATTCCTCCTGTCTTACGCGCAAATAAAATCTGAAGTGTGGCTCAGTAATAGCTTCCTATTTTGAATTCCAGCGCAGAAGTTGTCGGTCAGTGCTCTGACCCTCGGCAAGAATTCCCCATTCACTTTAGCTGATCCGCACGCCTAAAAGTACATCTGCTGCCCCTAAACTTCAGGGCAGCCTCTTTTGACATACTGTACCTGAGTACTTGCACATCTTCCATACAGTACTTCCCGCACGAATAGACTTGACACCGAGTGATCATGCCCGACCGAGGCGCATACGCAGACCGAGCCACAGAAGGCAACGGTAACACCAACACCAACAACTCCAAGTCACTTTTGGCCTCCATAATCCGCTGGCTACAGATCAAGAAGTACCAATATGAAGTCACCTTCTCGTTGTACATGTTGACGTCGACCGAGAAAATTATATTCAGTATGTTCTAATTCCCCAGTCCTGCACCACATATCCTTCCGGTCCGTGTACGTGGTCCACAAGCGACTGACTGTGGTTTCCCTAGACGTGATCATACTTGCAATCCTCTCGCTCCTCATCGCCGCAGCGATCTTCTACCTGCCGAACCACATTGTCATCGTGTCGAACCGGCTGTGGTATTATGTGCATGGAGAGTTCTTGTATGCCAACAATGGAGGAAACGCGTCTGCCGCAGCGGTGGCGGGAGATGTGAAGGAGGAGATACGGAGACTGGTTACGGACGCGGTCACGAGTGGGAAGGGAGCACAGTCTACGGCAGAGAGTGTCGCAAGGAGCATAGGGGAGTTATAATTGGTCTGGATGGCAGGATGGCAGCGATACATTACAGATAATGTCTATTACTCTTGTTCGTGCATGAGTGGATGATGGACCCCTTCAGATCGATGGGCCATATATTACAAAGGCTGTACAGAAGCGCAGCGCTTGACCGACATGGGCCTCTTTGTCACAGACGTGGCGCGAGTCGCCCACGGGACCCGCGCGGCCTTGCGTCCTGCAATGGCACTGCCATGCGCTTGAGGACGTCTTCGATTGCCACAGCGCAGCGTTAGGCCCTCCCAGCCTTGAGCAGCTCTTGCCGACTTCAGCTTGTGGCGGCACATGCCAGACCCTCCTGGAGTGCCGATTGCCTCTGCAGCAACAGCGAGTGTGAATTGGGACGACCCTGCTGGGCAAGAAGGGGACTTTGCGCCAAACCAGGAGCGTGACCCATTCTCCATCCCAAATCGACGTTCTCTGCACGCCTTGTACTGTACATTTCACCGTATGGCTTTGACACTATGCTGTCCAGGGCATCGTCCTAGCTCCCCTCACCTCCCTGCTGTTCCAACAGGTTTCTCGACTGTGCCGCCTGCAGCGCCTCAGCCCTCTTCCGTTCCCGCATCTGACCCTGCAACCTCTCCACCTCCTTCTTCAAATCATGCCGGTCGTATGGCAGCTTGTGGCTCTGTTCCTGTGTGGGCCAGAAGTCTGGGATGGAGAAACGCTCGTCGAGGTTCGTGCCAAAATAGTACATCCAGCCTATGGGGAACGAGAGGTAGAGGCCGAATTTGAAGATCTCGAGGTTGGAACCGCGCAAAGGGCGGAGGAGCTTCGTGAGCATGGCGCGAAGACGGATGGGCGACCTGGCGGCGGATAAGTGGGTGGGCGATGTCAATGCGGGTAGCGCATGGGTGAGGTGGTGGTTAAGAGAATCGTTGTCTCAAAAAGTTGTTCGGCGACGACATCACTCCAACGACTCCATGCATAAAATACATGAATCGTGCTTCTCTCACTCCAGAGCAGAGGCTCAGCTAGTACGAGTCATGCTTGGACCGAGGTCAACAACCTCGGTGTTTCGTACTCTTACGCATTTAGTCAACGTCGCTACCGACGAGATCTCTTCACCACAACCGAGACTGTCAGTGCTTTTCTTCTGGCTATCTCCTCCTGAACAACTCCTCCAGATTATATCAGACCGTAAGAGGACGACCTAGAAGAATCTATCGTCGAACAAGACTGTGCTCCTACTGATCTCCAACCAATCTACAACTTCCGTATAGAATTACTACACCAAATACCACCCCAAAGACCTCACCCAAGATGGCCACCCCCGAAGAAGCCGTCACGCTCACCACCCGCCGGCCGCGTCGCCATCATCACCCTCAACAACCCCAAGAAACTCAACGCCATGAACCAGCCCAACTACTACCGCCTCTCCTGCCTGCTTCAGGACGTAGCCGTCATGCCCGACATCACTGTCACCGTCCTCACCGGCACAGGCCGCTTCTTCTCCGCCGGTGCCGATGTGACCACCACTCGCCCCGGCGTCGATGCCACCTCTCCCCACCAGCAACGCGACCAGCTCCTCCGTGGCTTCGTCATCAACAACCTCGACTGCACGCGGAGTTTCTACACTCACCCGAAGATCCTCGTCTGTGCCCTCAATGGACCCACCGTTGGCCTGAGCGCTGCGCTGCTTGGGTTCTGCGACTTCATCTATGCCACCCCACACGCATGGTTCCTGACGCCATTCTCCTCGCTGGGTCTGGTAGCCGAAGGCGGCGCCTCCGCCGGGCTGGTGCAGCGCATGGGCATCGCGAAAGCCAACGAGGCGTTGCTGACTTCCCGCAAGATCAGCTGCGAGGAGCTCGTGGCGTGTGGGTTCGTCAACAAGGTGTTCAGTGGGAAGGACGAGAAGGACTCGGCGGGCTTCTTGGAGAAGGTGCTGGAGGAGGTGGAGGATAGGTTTGGCAGTCACTTGAATCAGGAGAGTTTGTTGAAGATCAAGGAGTTGATTCGCAGGCCGTTCTTGGAGGGACTGGAGAGTCAGGGTGTGAGGGAGGTGATGGCGGGGATGGAAAGGTTCAAGAGCGGTGCGCCGCAGGAGGAGTTTAGGAAGATTGCGAGTGGGGAGAAGAAGCACAAGCTGTGAGATGGTTCGGTGGATTTGTGGCGGGAGAACGCCATGCAAGGCACGGACATCATGCTTTCTAGCCGATCTTCCGTCTCAAGCCCTGCCATTGTCTAGCGAATTCGGGCGCCCGTCGATTCGAAGTGTATCTGTTGTGTATGCATGGAACCGTCCTCAAATGACGAGATCCTCTTCCCGGTACAAGTCTTTGACAACCCTGTAAATGCTGGCGCCAGCAACTCCTTCGTCGTTCGTGATAAACAGGTCTATCTCGCCGTTTGCGCCGTCCACCACATCTGTCAATGGGTTTCGTACGTCACTCAAGCCTTGACTTAGTTCGCCATCGTGTGTGGTAATGATCTTGCCTGGATCAGCGTACTCGACCAACTCGTGGCTGTCATGCGGGTATTGCGGCGAGAGTTTGTATGTCGCGGCCAGCACAACGATTGGTACTCGATGGAAGCGGGCGGCTTTGACGACGGCTTTGGTTCCTGCTGAAGCGGTGAAGGTTCCATTTGCCAAGACAGCGGCTGCTGAGAGAATGCACTTGGTGCAGCGAGACATCAAGGCGAAGATAGCCGAGTCCGGGATCACAATTACTCGTACGCCGGCCTTGATAAGAGGTTGTTGGAAGGAGGCAACAGCCAGATCTGCCTCCTCGCTGTCTTTTGCGGCACTATTCCCTGTTGCTATCGCATGTACTCTCCGGTGATCATTCGGATAGGCCTCGGCGTGCACAACCGTGAAGCCCTTGCGCTTCGACGCAGCCTTGAGCAGGAAGCGTTGGACGGTCATGGATGATGAATATGTGAAGATTGTATCCGACGAGGAGATATGATCGAGAGCATGGTTGGCGATATCCTCATCCCCTCTGTCCAACTCGTCGATCAATTCCCCTATTCCCTCTAGTACCTCAGCTCGTAAATCGGTCAATGCAACGGCTCCAGGGAATCCGTGAGGTGGCGTTGCCGTCCCAGTAGGTGATGAGGTTCCGGAAGCTCTCATGGTTGGATGCGCCATTATACTGAACATGGACGTCACTGGCCGAGTCGGAACTGGGGCACCGGTATGTGATGTAATTAGTGGTGGTCGTTCTGGTGCTTTCGCGGTTCTTGGTGGTGAAGCAATGCCTCTGGACGATGCCGTTGGAATGGCTCCGGGCAGCTCGCCTCCAGGAGTTGGTAATTCGGATGCAGGCGCACTGTTGGCAGCGCTGTCGTCTCCTCGTTGCTTGTCCTCCTCATCTCGAATGAGGCCCAAGACCCGGCGGACTATGTTCCCAACTGTCAGAGCTTTCGGGTTCGCCTGTGCGAGTTGCCTGCCGACCTGACGCACTTTGTCCTGCAGATGCGCTGAATCGGCGGACCTGGTCCTGGACACGATGTGGCGTAGTAGTCGTGCGGTCGCATTCGCGCATTCCTTGGAGCCGTAGATCTGTCGACGTTTGACAAGTGAGATGAAGTACTCGACTGATGTGTCTGTGTCGTTCTCGGCAAGAGAACGATAGAACGATCTTATGCCTGGCGCGTCGTTTGACGCGACAGGCGCCATGGTGGGCTGGTTCCCTTGTGCACAATGTCTGTTGTGATGTGAATGGGCTTTGGAAAACTTCCCGTGCACTGGCACTGTCCTAGCAGTGGTTCGCAAAAACAGAGAATCCGGGTGGCTTCTGATCGATTGTCGTTGTTTCGTACTTGGCAGGGAATGCCTTCTAGTGGAATAAGTTGCTAGAGACAGGTGTCGTTCGAAGAATGAATCGCGTCGTTTATATTTACGATTGTGACTCGCAAATTCAGGTGAGGATGGATTCGTACGTGGATGAGTGTGGGGAAGGAACGAGTCAGAAGCCCATCGGAACGAGGTGGGTGCAACAACCCGCCATTTCCTCTGTTATTCGGCTTCTTTGACAGTTCTCCTTCCTGCTCTCAACTTGAGCTGTCGCCTTCCGCGCCATCGTTCTCAATAGAGTCGCGCTTGCTCCGTGGAAGCTTTCTGCTCTCTGGCGTTGGTCCGAGTACCCCGACTATGTAAGGGATTGGCTCATCCAACGACCTTCGCCGCGCACTCATCCACTTCAGGCCACTCGTTTCCGTCCCGCGCACTACTTCAAACATGCTCTCATAGCTACTCTTAATCACGCTAGGCATTGCGCACAGCGCCATCGAGCTTCGAGTCGTCTATCGGACATCCCGAACCACCATGAACTCGCTCAATCTGCTGTCGGCTCGAGTCATTGGCCAGCATACACCACCGCGCCCTCGATCACGATCGCAAGGGGAAATCCTGAAGAGGGAGGACCGCGATGAGTTCGCAAGAGGCCGATCCTACAGCGACGAGAAAGTTCCGCTGCTGAGCAAGGACGACTTATCTCTTCCCGCATTCGGTTCTTCCAGCTTTGGCCACGAGACCCCAATCAAAGACGACAACGACGAGAAGCAGCCATTAGCAGACATCGCGCATAAGCTTGACCCGGTCGCATCGGCATCGTCATGGCGTGGCTTTGTCAGGAGGCTTAATGATGCCCTCACTGCCCTACTTTCAGCACTGGGGGCTCCTGTGGTGTGGCTTGCGAACTGCTTCAAGGACGAGAACGGCAGGTACACGATACTGCCAAAAAGAAAGAGGCGACGTGAACAGCGCTATTTGGAGAACCCCACGAGCAAGGCAGTCAAGGACGCAAAGCTACGACATTCCTACTCGAACGAGTCTTTGACCTCAACAGCCACAGAATCGGATTCGGACGCCGGATCGAAGCGAACGCCCCAGGCCAAGGGTTCCGAGCCCCGAAGGTCCTCTATACGCATAAAGGAGCAGAACGACCCTGTCCTGAAGAAGCGAAAGCAGAAAAGGAGCAGTCCCTTGGGCGATACACCTTTGACAGTCGACAACATCAAATCGCCTACATCGCCAGTACCCTCCTTGAAAGTGACTCGGTATCCACACGCTCCACAGCCACCACGACCGCTGGTCCCAAGGAGGCAGCCATCGTACTCAAATTTAGTTCCGCGATCACCAAGTCGGGCACCCGCTTCGCAAGAGCAGAAGACGCTTGTGCTGGATCTGGATGAGACCTTGATTCATTCATTGGCTAAGGGAGGTCGCATGTCGTCTGGACACATGGTTGAAGTCAAACTGAATGCTCCTGTGGCTGTTTCAACACCACAAGCGACCCAGCCGACCCAATACATTGGACCCCAGCATCCGATCTTGTACTATGTTCACAAAAGGCCCCATTGCGACGAATTCCTCAAGAAGATTTGTAAATGGTACAAGCTCGTCATTTTTACAGCTTCGGTACAGGAGTATGCCGACCCTGTCATTGATTGGCTGGAGCAGGAGCGCAAATACTTCGTGGGCCGGTACTACCGACAGCATTGTACATTCCGCAACGGTGCCTACATCAAGGACTTGAGTAGCATCGAGCCTGATCTGTCCAAAGTCATGATCCTCGACAACAGTCCCGTCAGCTACATTTTCCACGAAGGTAAGTGGGTGTCTTGCATATTTGCAGGTTCTCTAACAAGCGACGCAGACAATGCCATCCCTATCGAAGGCTGGATCAATGATCCCACCGATAATGACCTGCTACACCTCATCCCAATGCTGGAAGCGCTGCAGTATGTGACGGATGTGCGAGCACTTCTTGCGCTCCGGAGAGGTGAAGCTGAGGCAGCGGCCGCCTGAAAGACTAGTGTACTGCAATCAATCTTTCGTTCTTGGTCAATATGTGCCGACTGTTGACTTCAGTATGCCATCCTGCATGTTAGCAGGCATGTATACTCCAGTATGCGGATCCGAGAATGGTTGCGAAGCTGACTGTGTTCATGCGCCTCAAGCATGGGACGCAGCCTTTGCCCAGTCGGCACTGGCGGCACAAGCGCCCGCCACTACGTGACCTGCATATTCTACTGAGCCTCACGCCTTTTGAGCTTCGCCTTCCTGACTGCTTCTGCCTGCGCATAGATTCCAGAGCCGCCCACTGTCGTTTACTGGACAAGGTCGCGACTGTTTGAAGAACACTCAGTCACCACACGTTGAGTTGCCTCGCAAAAGTGCTGATCAATCATACCGTCATTACCATTTGGGCCCCCGCAGAAGACCGAGTCAGGTTCATTCACTGCCTGTCTTGACTGAAAGAGCGTGACTTCGCATCGTCACTTTTGCGACTGCGCGTGCATCGACAGGTGTTGTACACTGCAATAGGTCGATCACAGTATCGATGGCACCAAGTACGAACTATGTCCTACCAGAATGAATCCACGTCAGATCAAGAGCACGAGACCCCGCCGAGACCCCAACCGTTATCGATATCTGGCTTGACTACCGCCGTACCTTCACTACATGGCTCGAATGAAAACCTCAATGGAAAGCAGAAAGATGTAGAAAGCGAAAAGGAGCGGAACCTGGACAGGCCCGGTTTCCTTGTTGTCCCACGAGATCGTCCACGCCGCCCATCAATTCAGAGCACATTCAGCGACCTGTCCGAGCTGTCGTACCACCCCAGCCGTCAAAATGCACCTCTCATGCGTACTGGGTCGTATACTTCAGATACTGGAAAACCACAATCAGCGTTCGCGAGGAGATTGCGGGCGTTATGGGTTCAGAACTATGGCGCTCTGCTCGTGCTCTGCGCACAATTTTTCGGCTGCCTCATGAATTTGTCTACTCGTCTACTGGAGATGGATGGAGAGCACGGTGCAGCCATGCACCCTTTTCAAATCCTGTTTGCGCGACAAGGCATCACGGCTGCTGTTTGCATCACGTACGGGATGTACTCCAAGTCTGTTGAGCATTTTCCGCTTGGACCGAAGGGCATCCGATGGTTGCTGGTACTGCGAGGCATCGGTGGATTCTTTGGTGTATTCGGTCTCTACTTCTCGCTCCTCTATCTCCCATTGAGCGAGGCAACAGTGCTGACGTTTCTGGCTCCGATCATCGTGTGTTATGTTTGCAGTCGACTAATGGCTGGCGAGTCTTTCACAAGGCAGCAGCAACTTGCTGCCCTGGTCAGCCTGGTTGGTGTGGTGCTGATCGCCAGACCGCACACAATTCTCAGGCTCTTCTTCGAGGGTTCCTCAGATGCTTCTCTGGACGTAGCCATGAACAGCACAAGCTCAGCCACCCCGACAAGTGCTACTTCGACCCTTCTGCCATCCGATCCGGTCACCACGGGCGGTGCGAGCAGCCACTCCCAAACAGGCCCACCTACCGTGACTGCCAAACAGCATCTCGCTGCGATCGGTATCAGTCTGATCGGCGTCTTCGGTGCCACGATTGCAATGACGACAATTCGTGCGATCGGGACGCGAGCACACCCGTTCGTTTCGATTAACTACTTCAGCGTGTGGTGCACTATCGTGAGTCTGGTCAGCTTGATAATCTTCCCAGACGTCAAGTTTCGGCTTCCCGGCAATCTCACGGAATGGGGTCTGCTGGCCAGTCTAGGTGCGTGCGGCTTCGTGATGCAATGGTTACTTACCGAGGGCCTGGCTTATGGGAGTGCTTCTAACGCCAAGCAACCGGCCATCAGCGGCAGAGAGGACATCGAAGCCGATGGTGATGGCAGGAAGGGGGTTGGTCGCCATCCCACGAGGCCCACGAAGAACAATATAGTCATCAAGGGCGCTGGGACACGTGCGACGTCTATGGTATACACGCAGATGCTTTTCGCCTTGGCCGGCGATAAGGTAGTATTCGGTGTCACGCCGACCGCGCTGAGCTGGGTGGGTAGCGCATTCATTCCAGCTGGTGCGATGTGGGTTGCCGCTGCGAGGGATCAGCCTCCTGCGACCACTGCAGCAGATAGTTTGGAGCTCAACACAGTTGCGGCGAATGCGGTTGGGTTTGGCAGCGTGGAAACATCCAGGCCAGCAAAGCCATCGCAGACAGAACAAGAAGATGCCGTGGGGCTGATGGACGATGTTGATGGCCTAGAAGGCGTCGTCAGTGACGATGATGACGACTACGGGGGTAGTCCCAGTAGCTCGACGGCAGTGTCGAGTCCGTCGCGGAGGTCGCCAACCAACTCATGGTAGATGTTAGAGACCACGGTACATACAGGTTAGACCCCACAGCGTAGACAAAGTTTCACCCAGCAGATCTACCGAGTGTATTGCAAGCTGAATGGCTCGGGCAGTATTCAAAGGCTACCTCATTTCTCGAAAGTAGCAGTATCTGCCAAACGTGTGGAAACTTGGGCCTTGGGGGCTGCTGTACCACGGATTAAGATCTAACAGATCAAGGATCTGCATCATCTGTACATCGAAGCTCTACTCTTATGGTCTATTTCGCCTTCCCATCACTGAACTGCACAACAGCCCATTTTCCGTTGAAGGCCCATTCCCGTGCGCCGGAGTCGCCTCCTCCACCGGGCATAGCCCGTAGCTCCTCGTCTTTACCGGGCGGCAAGCCAACGACGACGTCGCCTTTGCAGGTCCGAAGGGCTAGAATCCGTAGGTTCGACGCGAGAGGGCCAAGGGCTTCTTGGAATGGCGTTGTTGGATCCCAGTTTGCCTGAGAAAAGCGAGAGTCAGAGTCCATTTTGGAACGGCCGGAGGTAAAGGCAGGCCAGGGAAGAAACAGCAAGCTAGAAGGGGAGGAGCGGGCCACAGCGGAAAGAGCGCGAGGCGAAGAAGGAACAACTCACATCACCAATCAACTTCCGGTAGTTAAGGTCTCCCTTGAACACCACCAGCTGTGCCTCGCTCAGGTCTTCCTTCAACTCCGGCACAACTGTCGGCAAACGCCAAAAGCTGCCTGGATGCGTCCAGAAACGATTCGGCCTCAGAATCAACTGCCCGTCCGCATGCAAGCTCGCCCAATGCTCGAACAAGAACTTCACATCCTCTTCCTCCTGAGCTGCCAAAGGCACAATGTCTTTACCCTCGTCCTCTTCCGTCGGCGTCTCGTAGAATGCCTTTGGATCCGCCATGACGCTCAACAGTTCTTGGAAATCTTTCGGCACAACATCACTCACAAACCACGGTAAACTCTTCGGATGCATCACCACTTCCGTTGCCAGTCCTGTTTCCAGCAAGTAACCCGCCAGCACCAGATCCACAAACAGCTCGAACCCGGCATTGTCAAGCACGAAGTCGACCCTTCGCTGCATTTCTCCTGACTTCTTTGCAGTCCACAGCACGTCGAACGCCTTCTCCAAGTCGTTCACCAGGACCTTCTCTTCCCGTCCTTGCCGTGCCTTACTCCCTTGTAGCTTCTGGATATCCTCGTAGCTCAGACTCGTCAGCAGACTCAGATCCGTGGCATTGCCCCATAGACAGATCTCTGCCATCTCAATGAAGAGCACCTTCTCCGCCTCCTTGATTGCTGTGTCGTCCGTCTGCGCCTCCTGGTCCTCGACCGGAGCATTCTTACTGCTTCCGCGTATCTTGCCCACAATCTCCCTGTACCGGCTCGCCAACTCCAGCACAGCAGGCCGCGAGCTCCGGAACGTGCTCACCTTACTCCGTCGGAAGACGTCGTAGTCCTTCCAGTGCGTCGAGATGGCAAAATAGCTGTACATCCGCCGGTAAAGGTAGCATTCGCTGAAGAGCCACTCAACATCGTGCCAACGGAGTTCCTTGTTCGGCTGTTGCGACGCGCGTAGTTGCAGTTCGTCGTTGTAGAGCTTGACATCTGCGTAGCTAGGTGCTGTGGCGGGCTCGTCAGGGAGTGGAGTCAGGATGCGGTTGTGCTGGAGTTCGTACTTCAGACTTGCAAGGGACGAGAGGATTTCTTTGCCTTCGGCGATCTTGGCGGGCAAAGTATCATTGTTGCCGGCGGTACTGTCGTGGAGAGAAGAGATCGTGCGGTGAAGATCGTCGATGGCTGAGGTGATGATTGCTGGCCATCGTGTGCGCACTGATGGGTAGGCGAAAGACTTAGGGTCGCCGGTCATGCACTTTGGGACTGGCGGGTCGAGGTCCATTGTTGCAGAGGGTGCCCGGAGGTTACGACCCAAGCGATGGTCAATCCGCTGTAGAATCTCGATAATGTTTACCAGTCCACGACAACAGTGATGGATAGATGCGACGACCACAGCTAGCCCGAGAGGCGGTGGGGTCGGCGAAAATGGTGGGACAAAAGAAAGAAAACGCCTTCTTTTGATGCAAGAAAAGGCGTCTAGAAATCGCCAACAACCAATCAAGTACGATTAAGGCACACTCAATTGGAGACTGATCCATGTCCTGCTATTAGTCTATCAAAAGTCTAGTCTCAGCTCAATGGCAGGTGCTTTGCTCTCAGCAGTGTCCTCTAATCCCTGAGCAGAATGCCTCCGTCCCGAATCCGTGCTTCGGAGCAGATTCTCCAGCAATGCTCTCCGAGCGTCATCGAGCAGCGCCACGGTTGCTCGAAACCCAATTGGATCGGCGCTTACAAGCTCGAGTAATCTGGACGCCACCTCCTTCGTCACCGCACTCTTCTTCTCACCCACAGGTATGTTCTCAGCACGATGAAGAAGGACTGTGACCAGGATTGCCAGCGCAGGCTGACGCTGGCCTACAGGCAGAGTGGGCACTGATGTAACGAGTCCATGCAAGATAATCGGCCGGACAGTCTCAGGGTCCTCTCTGTCTTGATCGCATACAAAAGTGATTAGTTGCGGCCAGAGCATCCGACTCGCTGCTTCATCGCAGGCGGTTTTGCTGGCTTGTAATAGAGTACGGATGCAATTGACGGCGATCTTTGCCAATCCGACGTCCTGTAGGCAGTCCATGATCTCAGCAACCGCCTGGCCGATCAGTCTGTCGTTGCCTGTTATGGTACCTCCAGCTGTCGTAAGAATGACCGTTACCGAGAGCAAACAATTTTTCGCAGCTGTTAGGGAGAAGTCGTTCTCTCTGCGCTGTGCGATAGAGAGCGTGACCAGGATCTGGGACAGACAACCCCTAACGAGCGCCGATGCTTTCTGACCCGGCTTCGTCACGATCTGCAGGAAGTCTCGGAAACTTGATAGCAGTGCGGGCATAACTTCTTCTTGGCAGATGCCAGTCGCGAGCATGGTGCAATAGCAGTAGAAGATGCATGCGTGCAAATCCGCCCTGATGATTGCCGGGAACACCTCTGCGACTTCCACTAGCGCCGAGAATGACGACTGGACCAGCGAAATGTTTTCGGCTTGTAGCTTGCGGATAGCCTGACCGGGAGGATCTTCTAGTGTCGGGATGAGACCTGGCAGGACCAGTACCATTATCCTGGTTAGCTCGAAGAGCTGCTCGATGTCGTCCGAAAGCTTCTCGTCCCGATCGTGGGCTGCTTTGGCAGATGGGTGATCTAGAGATAGATTCCTTGCAATGTCAATCAGGGTTGATTGGGTCGATGTTGTACTGGTCAGAGCAAGCCTATCGAGGGTATCGGTCGTTTCATTGAACACTGCCTCCTGATAGATTGCACTGCCGGAGACAGAAGGTGTCAGAATTTTGCGCAACGCTTGCAGAATCAGAAGAGCTTGGGACGGGTCTTCTCGTCCGCGTGTGACGAGAGACTCGAAGGCTAGCCCGAACAAGATGAAGAAGAATGCGACCGGCTCTTCCCTGAAACTCATGTCTTTGCCTGCGCCCACATCTCCGTTGGCGCCATGCTGTGACGTTCTTTTGTTGTCAAGAGCGCCAAAGACAGCATCGCTATCCTTTTCCACTGAAACGGAGATAGCGTTCACAATGCTCAGCCAGCTACCTTGGTAGAAGCTCAGACGGACGACACGGTTGAAGGCGGCATATCTTTCGTCGAGATCGGGAGCTGAAGTGTCAATGCCAAGGGTATCTGATATCTCAGGCTCAAACCTCAGACGAGCGAACTCTTGCAGAGCATTGACCCAAAGCGGAGCCAATTTGGTAATGTATGGTCGTACGATCTCCTCCAGATAACTTTGCTCTATGCTCGCCAGCTGGAGTTGTGCCCAGCTCGTCAGAAGCGCCATTTTTAGCAACGATTGAGCGTTCGGAGTCAAGTTCTTGAGGTCCCCGATGGAGGGTTCGGGATCCGGAGATGCAAGGTTGTCTACGCCGTTTGCAAGCACTTTGAAGATGCGGCCCATTCTGTCCGCTGTTGTAACGATGCCTGTAGCCGCGAAAGTCGCGCAAACGGCGATAGCTTCGGCGGCCAGTTCGGGCGACGAATCTGCAGCGAAGGCGGGAGTCAAGGCCGATCCAATTTGTGCCTGATATTGCTCAAGGAGGGATGCTTCAAGAAAGTCTGGGTCGGGAGTTTTGCCAAACATCTTGAGCACCTGATCGATGATTCGCAGGCCCCAGACACGAAGTTCCACGACGTTGGCGGTGGAAGCGGAGAAAGCAATGCGGATAATGTCAGAAATCTTGCCATACAGCTCCTCCTCGGCCGGTATACTGTGATCGGGGGACATAGCAGCCTGTACAAGCTGGAGTGACTCACTGAGCAGTTCCATCGCAAAATTTCGGGTCTGCCAGTGGAGAAAATCTTGATTCTCTGCAGCTGCGTCGGGTGCATCCCCTTGAACAGCAGCAGCGAAGCCTGCAACCTCTTCATCCGCAAGATCGGGCATAGACGTAGCTGTCTTGACGGTATTGGCGCGCTTCAGATTCTTCTCCGTGACGCGCGTCCTAGAAAGAATGTTTTGGCACCTCTCTACCCAGTCGCCAGGGCCGGACATCATTGTTTGCTGCATCCAACTTCGGAGGGTGGACTGTGGAACCAGATTTGAGCAGTCCTGGTCAACAAGGGCCCACAGGTCGTCATTCAACTTGCTGCTTGCAACGCGAGTCACCTCATTGGCATTCCGTTTGATCAGATTACTGATGCCTGACAGCGCTGTGCTAGCAAGCCAAGGATCCTGAGCCACAAGGTCCCGTTCCAGATCATGGACGTATTGAGCAAATTGTACATGTGCGGGCGCGTACATGTACAAGTGACCAAAGCACACCAGACTTTGTTGGCGTAATTTTGGCGATGTCTCCTTTTCGAAATATCGTAACAGTGTCAGGATCATCTGGCGCGGTTTCGATACATCTTGCAGATCCGGGCCAAGCACGTTGACGATTGATTCGATGTTTTGGCCAATTGCCAGAGGGGTGGAAAACTCCAATTCGAGTGCAGACGTTGACTGCGAGCCAGACTCGAGGTTATGATTGTCATTCGAGTATAGTTGGGCAAGCATACCGAGGGTGCTGGCAGCATAGGCAGAGAAACTCAACCCAGCTGACTCGGCGACTTGTGTGAGGCCTCGCAGTGCCCAGAAATGGACGACTGGGTGGGAATCATTGCATAGCGAGAGAAGGACGCTGATGATGGACTTAATATGTAGGCTCGATGCCATCGCCCCGACCTCACTGTGTATGCTGCCAAGAGCAAGAGCACACCCAGCTCGAAGGTGTGGGTCGCGGTCGGCAACGATACGATCAATCAACGCCTTGACCTCGTTGTTCGTGAATTGTGTCCCACCAAGATTGCAGGCAATACCCAAGGCACGAGCCGCAGCTGCGCGGACTCTGTAGTCCGGATCGCCCAATCGAGATCGCAGTACATCTCCTAATGTTTTGCCAATACTGTGCAAGTGTATCTGGCCCGTGGAGAATGACGTGTCCCCGTTGCTGATGGACAGTGCCATGAGAATTGCTAACGTCGAATTGACAGTCAGGGCAGCTTTACGCCCCGGCTCACGAGAAGTCTGATTGACCACTGCTGCGAGCTGCTCCATGGAGCTCTCCTGCACTCGGGATGATTGAGAAGAGTAGACCATTGAGAACAGCTTGATCCCAGCATCCACGCAAGCAGTGGAAGGACCTACCGTTTCCACTGCATCAGACTGCTGCTCTAATCGAAACAAGATGGCCGAATCATGTTCTAATGCAGGCAGAGACGGCTGTGCGGGCAGTCTCTCAAGCAAAGTGTCCTGTTCTTCGGAGCTCATCATCGTGGTCGGACGAGGGCTGAACCCCTTCGCACTAGGGTACGATATCTCAAGACCGGCCATGAGACTGCTGACTCCGTGTGCCCAGTTATCACCAGATTCCCACAAGCCGTCAAAATTGCTAGCCGACGTGGTCAAAGACACTTCCAGGGAGGAGCCGGAACTTGATCTTTGGGGTGATGTGAATGCTTGTAAGCTCAGGCCGACGACATCAGACTGAGCCAAGACGTCGCTGATCTCGACGTTTTTGAGGCCGATCAGAGCCGCATAGCATTGTAAGACCCGACGACGAAGCATGATCGTCATATCCTGCAGTTGGAGAGCTGGTACGAGGCGATGAGAAAGCTCTGAAGAGGATCGACTAGCTGGTATGATGGCCAAGAAGTTCACGGTGTTCTGGAGCATGGCTGCTATACGCCTCGTGCCATCGGTGGTGATCAATACTCCACATGGTTCGATGAACGAAAGCAGGCCACTCAGAGCACATTCTCGTACATGGCATAAGAAGCTCAACTCGAGCTGGCTTCTTTGAGCTGCGTTGTCTGGGGTCAATGGAGGTGGTAAAGCATTCCGCCATAGCAGAAGCAGTTGACCTAAATGCACCTTGATGAAGCTGGGTCCGAGATTCATCAGACCGCCTAACAGGGTCCAAGCCACCTGTAGCTGCGTCGCCGAGAGCCGCAGCTCAGCTGTTGCACTCTTCTTCAGCAGCTCTTGGGCGAAAGTGAGGACATCTGAGTATAGCCGAACCGAACCGAAAACTGGCTTGCTGTTTGCAGAGTGCAACATCGCAGCTACACTAAGAGCGTAACCAGTACATGCTCTCAGGCTCTGTCTGTTCTCTGCGGGAGTCTCAAGAGCTTTCCGGAGCCTGTCAACCAAGATCTCGATCGTCGGGATGAGCTGCACGGGACAGCAAAGCACAAAAGCCTTGAAGCATTGAGCGCCGTAGCTTTGAACAGTGTGGCTCGGATGTTGCATCACCTGGCACAACGCATCGCGGCAGGAGTCTTGCAGTATGGCGACTGCTGAACCAAGTGACTTTAGAAGCGTATACAACAGCTCCAAAGTAGCGGTGAGCACTCGTTTGGATGGCTCTCGTCGTTCTGCGACCACCTTGGGATAGTCCTTGAGTGTGCTGTTGATGAGATACCGCACGGTATTGATTTGTGTGTTCTCCGTCAGTGATGCAATTCGACTTTGCAATACCTCGTGGATCAACTTCCGAGTGAGTAATGCACGATGTCGATTGAAGCCCATGCTGGGGTGATCAACGGTCTCAGCTATCAGGCTTTCTGCGATGCGACCGAAATTATCCTCCACCACAGTTACTGGCAAGCCTGCGAGAATCATCTTCATACAGAGGCAGATACCAGCTTTGCCGTGGTTGGACAGCCTAACGAAATGAGTCGAGAGCAGCTTTACCATGTCTCTGAGCGTAAATGACAGTGCCACGGCCCCTTTGCCGATTGGAGCTGGCGAGCCAGGTCTGACGGGGTCCTCGTTGTCGTCGGACAATGGTCCTTGCTTCTTGGAGGACTTCTTGGGCTTGCGTACCACTGGCACGTCCACGTTGTTGGTCTCGGAATGAGCAGCTGTGAGCACACTGCTCAACACGCGGGCCGCAGCATACCTTAAAGCTGGCACAGGCGAGTCGAAAGCCTTCCAGACCAGATTTTCGACCCGGTCAAAATCTGTAGAGTTGCCAAAGAAACTTGTGGACGTCAGGAGGGCCCATAGGCAATCAAAAGCATCTCGCTGCACCAGGATGGCTTTATCACCTCCAGCAGCACTACGTGCGGCCTTCCAAATATCGCGTGCCGTGGTTTCGTCAAGACCACGGTTCGTGCCCTTGACGACCTGACCTAGGGCACGAAAAACCGAGGCTCTCAAGCGACGTGGCTTGCTTTTGTTGCTTTGACGAGCGTCTGAACCACTAGCCCCGACAGATTCACTGCACTATCTCCAGCAGCCTCATAGACACTGCCCATGCAGACCACAGCGACATGCTTCGGACCCCAGTCTTTATCAATCTTGCTCGCACCAAGAACGGTCACCAGGTCGTTGATTGTTTCGAAGAGGAGACTGCGGCTGCCACGCGCAAACGTGTCCGCCAGTATCGTTGCGAGACCATTTCTGATTACCCTTGATGGGACCGGAGTTGCCAATCCTACGATCTTGATGACTTCCTTCTTGACGGCAGCCTGTCGCGCAGGCAGTGCCTCGGCTGACAGACTAGCGACGGCATCGCGAAGGTCTGCTACGAAACTGAGGAGATACAGATCCTGCTGCTCGGTCGGAAGCGCATGGAGTTTCGAAACATCCAGTTCAGGGAGGCTTGTCGTCGGGGGAGTCGCGTCTTCCGAGGGCGCTCCGTTCGTGGACATTTAGGGTCGTAGCTGATGACCGAAGCGCCTTGGTATCATTTTAGGCGGCGCTGACAATGATCAACTACTCAAAATGTGCATGATCGGGCGCTCACGCAAGTGGACAACTGCTCATCTCGTGCTTCCGCTCCGCAGACGGTTCTCCGCAAGGCTTGGCACCGGGGAACAAAAGTTCGAGGTGCGGCAGCAGTAGTTCTCTCCTCTCCGTTTGATGCGTTTCATGAGCGTGCCACGTGCCTTCGAAGGTGCGCGATCGCTACGTCAGCAGTCGCGACTGCTGTCATGTAGCACTCGGATGGCGTCCGGCCACAATCGATGGTCGAAGATCAAACACGACAAAGCGAAAGAAGACTCGAAGAAGACGAAGATACGGACGAAACTGGCCTATGAGCTATTCATTGCATCGAAACGTGCGTGGCTTATGTCGAACCTTGCGACAGACAGATGCTGATGCGGTATAGTCGGTGGACCAGATCCTGCGCTGAATTCGCGCCTCGCGCTTGCCATCACCAGTGCGAAACTCGGCCAGCTTGCGAAAGGCTCGATAGAGCAGGCCATCGCAAGGGGTCAGGGCAAGTCAATGACGGGTGCGCCGCTCGAGCAAGTGGTCATTGAGGCCATGTTACCCGCCAATGTCGCCGCAATCATTGAATGTCACACTGAGAATAAGCTGCGCACGCTCCAGGATGTTCGTTCCATCCTTACCAGATACGGAGGATCGACGACAACGACATCGTTCTTCTTCGAGAAGAAAGGCAAGATCGAGTTTCAGGAGCAAGCAGATCTCGATGCCGACAAGATCATGGAGGAAGTAATCGAAGCTGGCGCTGCAGATTTCTCCATTGAAGAAGGAAAGCTAGTCGTGGACACCGAACCGACCGATATGGTATCGGTGTCTGAAAGATACGGGACCGGCTGCAGCTGCAGATTGAGCGAGCAGAAATTGTGTTTGAAGCAAAGGAAGATACTGCTGTCAGTCTTTCTCCAGATCAAGAGGATGGGCTCCAGAACATCTTAGACTTGCTTCAGGATACCCAGTCCGTACAGAATGTGTACGTCAATGCCGCATGACGTTACTATCCACTTGTCGTCGACCTGGTCACACTCGTAGGCCCCATAAACCCGCCCCTCGTTACTGTCGTGGAAGATTCGCACTGTTGAGGTCGTAACGCCCCCATATGAAAGTGATGCCAGAATGAGGCACAGGAGAGCGGTTATTGAAAAATGTGGTGCAGTAAGGAAGAAGAGTAAGAAAAGAGCGTCCACGAGATCTTGCTGAGGCGATGTTGGAGCTGACTCCTCCGGAGTGTGTGATGCTGGCATGGTAGCGCTTCTGCTGGGTACCTAGGTAGAGAACGAATGCGGGTCATGAGTGCCAAGCCTTCCGCCCGTACCGCTGCCACCAGACTTTACCAGTGTGGTAACGGTAGGCACTTCATCATGTTCGGGTCAATTTGCTGGACGTTTTCACGCCACAATTCGGCCACACCTGCCCTTGAACTAGACAGTGCTGTTGCGCGTCAGGACCAGCGCTGTACTCGGCGAGCTCTACAACTGATCAACGATGGCGATGTGGGGAAATTAGTTGGCTGCCGCCCTCGCTATGGAAACGTCGATCAGCCTCCAAAGGTGGCAGCAAGCATTCGAGGATCATCCGATATCCACGACACGGGCGATAGAGAAGCAACTTCGCTCCAGCGTCGCGAACAATCGTGAGAGACTACGAGGTTTGGTTGGAGGCAAATACCGCGAATTGCTTTCAACAGTTGACCAGATCATCTATCTGGATGGCAAAACGAAAACTACAGAATCGCGAATCTCGGACATCGGTCGACGATGCGAGCCACCTGGACAAGGCTCACGGGCGTATGTCTCTCCCAAGACCCGGTTGATCTCAGAGTTGTGGCTTCTACAAGCGTGTCTTGCTGCGACACAGAGGTCACTGCTTACCCGAGAAATTCTACGAGCGTCAAGACTGCTCATCCTCTCACGCCTTCTTCTGAAATCCTTGCAATCCGGAGAGAATCAGCCAAGCTCGTTGACGGTATTGAAGGACAAGATCTCATCCCTTCGCCGGAAATGTATCGCTAGATAGATGCAATACTCACCAACCCGCGATCAAAATCCCGATCCCTGGTCAGCGCCGCATGTGCATACTGTCTGATCACATCGGCCTCCGCATCCGAAGTCTTTCAATATACACAACATCTGAGACTCGAGAAGTTGAAGGCTATTTCCTCAACGCAGACGTCTTCTCCACGACTGGCCGAGGAAGTTCTGCAGTACATACTCACTACTCTGCAAGTGCTCAGGCGAGCGTTTGGAAGACCACTGGGCGACGTGTTGAATGACTTGCAACGACGACCGATCATACAAGATCTTGATTTGATTGGCACTGAGGTAATCCCATCATATGAGGTCCTATCGTTGGTTTCCGAGGACGCAAATACGTTCACACCTTATTTCAAACGAGAGCCAGTATCCGTGTCAGAGAGCAGCACCAGTCTTGAACAATGGACGAGCGACGCTTGCCAGATATTCACACATGTGTTACAGGATCAGGCGTCCAGAGCTTCAGACGTCTCAGAAGTCCTTGCTGTTAGGCAAAATTTCCTGTCTCTCGTGCTGCCATGTTATTTCGACTCCAAGGCAGGAAAAGTTCTGCGTCAGACAGTCGCAGCACAGGTTAACTCTCGTATTGCCCAATTGGGGGAGCTACAAGTAAGAGAGCTCGGCAGGATAGCTGAGATGCTTGCCAGTCCGAGTGCTCCGCCGCCAGATGGTCTGTCTCTATGGAATGCTAAGCTGGCTGCTATGCCATTAGGAAGCGGAAGTGGGTATTTTCTCAAACAGGTTCACAAGCGCTACCATGGTCACAGAAAGTCCCTCCTCGTTGTTTCTGGCTCACTGGACACGTGGATCGCATCTGTGGCAGATGCGATATCTGCTAGCGACAAAACAAAGTCGATCAGATGGCGGGATATGCTTGAGGAGCCAAGCGACGAGCAGGAAGACGAAGCAGCTCGGTTGATAACATCGCTTTCTCGAGACGAGCCCGAAGAAGTGATAAGTCAGACAAGAAGATCTCTAAGGCAGTCTCTAGAACAATTGACAACGACGGTGGCAAGCGCTGTGAACGAGACAATCAGAGAAGAGCCGGATCTCGATTTGACAGTCTATTGGTTGCGTGCCATTAGACTGGTTATGCAACCGCTTCGGCGCGCATTTCCCGAGGAGGTGGCGCTCAAGGACCTAGGAGACCTCATACCGAGGCTTCACCTTAAACTTGCGACCAAGATTGCCACTCAAGTCGCTCAGCAGCACAAGCCTGGCGATGAAGGAGAGCATCAGGCCGTTGTGGATGAATTGCCGTCTCCAGCCGCATTCAACCTACTACAAGGATTGTGTGATACCATGCAGGAGATTGGAGGTAGCGACATCTGGTCGCGTCCGGCTATCAAAAGCGTGAAAAAGGCTTTGAGACACGAACTCTTCCCCACAGATAGCGAAGCTATTTGGAAGAAGTTTGACTCGGAATTTTTAGCTTGTGCATTGCGTGATGGACAAGCATTGCCACCGGAGTCGACCGAGGCCAAATCTGCTGAGAGCTACTGGCAGCGCACGCGACTGTTGTTTGGTATACTAGCAGAATGACGTTGTGTCCTCAGCCAAGGAAGTGCGACGACGTGCATTGCGCGGTTGCCATGATTCCACGATCAGAATGGCGGCACATGTCAGGTCAGATCAGTTCACCAGTGAGCAGGCATTAAATGCAACGCTGCTGGTGATAAGAGCAGCCACAGCGTAGCACTGCCAGCAAGGGTAGCGCCATGATCTACCCTACTTCAAAACTTTGTGTCTACCGCAATTCGTTCTGGAAAACCTGCAACGGGCGAGCTTCCCGTTTCAGCGAGGAGGGTTTCTAGTAACCTACAAGAAACGTCGAAAGGACATTGGCTAGAACCAGAAAGTCGGAGGAGCGAGATCCAGCAACGAACAGGAATGGAAAATTCAGAGCAGAAGAACTCTGATTAAGGGTTGCTATCGGGGATCTACAGAATGCAACAGCAGGGATAAGCTTCGGACAAGCATCCCCAAGCAATAGCTTATGGTTTTCAAGATTTGCCCCCGCACTATCCGAGAGCCGACCTCGACCATCGTCGCATCGACCACTCTTCACTTTACTGGAGGCTCTCGAGAGGGTTTAGCGATCTAAACTTTAGCAGACTTTCCCCTATGGAAGCAATCGCTAGCATCAAATGTAATCCGGCGAACAGGGTCGCAGTCCAGGGGCCTGCAGGCGGAGAGGCGAAGTGCTCTTTCTTATCATGCCAGCCACACAACACTGCAGGAGCGATTGCCACCTGCGTCAATCACAGCAGCTGAAGCCAATCCTTTCAATACACTAGCATGAATCGACCAATTGTCGTCAGTGATCTCCGTATGTTGCACTACCACCGCTGTGGCCGGCTACAAAGGAAAGACCTCCGCACGGACAGCATTCTTCCACTCTGCTTCATTTTCAATCGTGATCCACGTTAGACACTTTCAAACATGGCGAGCGAAGCATGGGCTGGGGCCAACCATGACCCTTCACTACTGATACCAGGAGATCCAAACCATCCCGAGCACAAGAGGAACAGTATCACTGAGCTTCCTGCCGTTGTCGATGGCAAGCCGACCCTTCGATCAGACATCGTTGGCTACGGTGATGACTTTCCGACCGACGAGGAACTGCATCAGCTTCCTCGTGTTGCCGACCACATCAATTGGCGCATCTATGCTATCGCCTTCGTTGGTAAGTTGATCACATCATCTCACCACGGCCTGAATTAACATGCTGCAGAATTGTGCGAGCGCTTCTCATACTACGGCACTCAGGTTCTCTTTCAGAATTTCATCCAGCGGAATCTCCTGACACCCACGGGCGCCGCTCCAAACCCCGGCGGTGAAACGGGCAACAATCCTGGTGCGCTTGGCCAAGGTCAGCGTACAGCAACTGGTCTCAGCACATTCTTTTCCTTCTGGTGCTACTTCACACCTCTGTTCGGAGCCTGGGTGGCCGATACCTATCTTGGCAGATACAACACCATCCTCATCTCAATCGGTACTGCACTTGTTGGCCATGTGATCCTGGTCGGAGGTGCAGCGCCATCAGTGCTGAAGAACCCCGACAGTGCTATGGCCGCATTCATCATCGCCATCATTATCTTCGGCCTCGGTACCGGTGGTTTCAAGCCAAACATTTCGCCCTTGATCGCGGAACAGATTGTCGGCGAGAAGCTCAGGGTCGAGACTCGCAAAAATGGGAAGAAGGTTATCGTAGATCCCGCCCAGACGTCTGCCCGCATCTACAACTGGTTCTACCTGTTCATCAATATCGGTGCGTTGATTGGTCAATTGACCATGGCATATACCGCGCTCTACGTCGGCTACTGGTTGGCTTTCTTGCTGCCGACTATCATGTTCATCTTCTGTCCATTGGTGATGGTGTTGGGAAAGAAGTACTACAAGCTCCGCCCACCACAGGGTAGCGTTCTCGGGCCGGCAATGAAGCTCTGGTTCTTCGCCGCGAAGGGCCGCTGGTCTATCAATCCGTTCAAGACAGTGAAGAACATGAGGGACATGTCATTCTGGGAGAACGTCAAGCCCAGTCGAATCCCCGTTGAACAGCGCCCGAAGTGGATGACCTTCGATGATCACTGGGTCGACGAGGTCCGCAGAGGCTTCAAGGCGTGCACGGTCTTCCTGTGGTATCCGTTGTATTGGTAAGCTCTCCTCAGCTCATGAAGGTTTCAGTGCCTAACAGATCTCTAGGGTCACGTACAATCAGATCAACAACAACCTCACGTCCCAGGCTGATACCATGCGCCACCAAGGCGTTCCTCCGAGATCGTGGCTCAGTTGGATCCACTCGCCTTGATCATATTCATCCCCATCTTCGATTTGGTCATCTACCTGGCTTGCGACGTATGAAGATCAACTTCACGCCCATCAAGCGAATCACTTTGGGTTTCTTCTTCGGCGCTGCCTCCATGGCTTGGGCTGCTGCAGTGCAGGCCTACATCTACAAGCACAACGAATGTGGCTACTATCCATCCGAAGGTCTTCCCAACGGAGATGATTGCCCGCCCGCGACAATCAGCATCTGGGTGCAGTCTGGCTCGTACGTCCTCCTTGCCATCTCAGAGATTCTTGCTTCCATCACATCACTGGAGTATGCCTTTACCAAGGCGCCAAAGAACATGCGTTCGTTGGTCCAGGCTTTTGCTCTGTTCCAGACCGCCATTGCGAACGCTATTGGAGAAGCTCTCGTCGCGTTGTCTCTGGATCCTCTACTCATCTGGAACTACGGTGCCTTCGGTGTTATTGCCTTCATTGGAGGTATCCTGTTCTGGCTCTCGCACCGCAAGCTTGATGCCGAAGAAGATGCTCTCAACCAGTTGCCAAGCGGGCACATGGGCACCCGAGCGCAGGCGCAGGAGGCGGAACGTCGTGGCAGTACGGTTGAGATCGCGACCGCCAACGAGAAGGCTGCCCATGTGTAGGTGGCAGATGGTTTTGGAGTAGGCCATGATCTTCAATGACCTGTATGGGTCCGCCTCGAGCCGAAAGGCGTGAACAACAGTCCCCCTAGCAGTCTCAGGCAATATAGAGCCTAGCTCCTGCAATGACATCCCCTCAAACCTATCATGGAAAAGTTTCCTTTGCTGATGAGTCGCTCGGGTAGAGTCTTCCGCCGCCGGCAAACCAGTGGGTTAGCCACGCCTGCTTAGTCAGTAATGGTCGCCGTCTGGGGAGAAGCTTGAGTCAGCCCTAAGTCGCGTGGGGCGTGGGGTTGACACTTCTAGCCCGATCGAAAGCTTCTCCATCATCTTCAGGCTTCCCAACTTGCTCGAAGGTTTCCATTACCGGATGTCCTGTCGATGGACAGACGTCGACCTTGATGGCTTCTATGCTACCGTCGCCTGGGACTGACGGGTCAAGCGGAAGGGTCTCGGCTACAGCGACGTTCAAGCCTGACAGACCGAAGCGGGGTACGGCGTGCGAGAGATGTAATAAACGCCGAGTCAAGTGCGATGGCTGGATCAACGGCTTGCCATGCTCGGAGTGTCGCAAGGCGAAGAATGAGGAGAACTGCAAGCTGGTGAAGTCGAAACGGACAAGGTGAGTTGAGGCTATGATGCTGGAGCAGTACTGACCCCATACAAGAGGCTCCGATGGACGGTATGTGGCGCCAGAAGAAGGTGCTGAGCGCCTGTCACCCAATGATCGATTCGAGAGTCCTCAGGATCATATAGATGGTCGTCCACCTATGCGTAGTATCTCGGAGCCTGAGATCAACCATGAACTGGCCAGGATATGTGGTCCAGATGATTCCCAATCCGGTGCGACAACGCCTCGGCCAATGAATCATGTCAGAGGTGGCAGCTTCAAGGAGAATGACGCACGAGCGAGCTTCGTGGGCGAGAGCTGGTATGCATCGTATGTACTGGCGCACAGCAACTCGACCACTGGATTCACCGAACTACATCGTGCTCGCGAGCACTCAATGCACGATATGCCGAAAGTTGCCCGACCTGTACCCGCTGATCTGCCTCCACAGAACCTCACAGAGCGGCTGTTGGAAGCGTACTTTACGCGCTTTCACGTCTTCTGTCCGATCGTCGACAAGGCCCCATTTCTGGCCTCGGTCAGGGATCGGACTGTGTCGATTACTTTGCTGCGAAGCATTCTCTTCGTTGCGTCGATTCATTGCAAGCCCGAGACCTTCCACTTGATGGGCTACAGCACCCGGATGGATGCGCAAGATGACTTATTCTCACGCGCTTGTGCGTCTTTCGACGCGGACGTAGACTCGGATCGGACGACGATGGTCTTGTCTTCGTACCTCCTACATTACTGGTTCGGCAAGCCTACTACTTACAAGGACTCCTTGTGGTGGCTCTCGACGGCGATACGGTCTGCACAGTGTATGGGATATCATCGAAGTACGAAAGATAGTAAGATGTCTGCTGAAGAGAAGTCAAGGTGGCGGAGGATCTGGTGGTGCTTCTATGTGAGTGAATTCTGTGGAAATGGGTCAATGCTGACTATCTAGATTCGTGATCGCCAGCTATGCTTCTCGATGGGCGTGCCGGTGGTCATCAACGATGCGGACTACGACGTAGAGGAGCTGACGATGGACGACTTCCCTGACGATGAGCCTGCGACCGCACGATACATCATTCTCTCAGTTGAGCTCAATCAAGCAGTTTCCAAGATGTACTTCCGCCACTGCTCACCACGAAAGCTTCCTCTGAGCAAAGATGCGAACATCCGGTCACATGCGCGCCGAGAAATACAGAGTACACTCGAGACCTGGCTGAAGAAAGCACAGGGGTGGCCATTGTGGAACGAAGGACACCAATTGAGCCTGCTGCTGAAAGTCATCTACTTCTACTACATCCTCAATCTGCAGAGACGGCTACAACGTCTGTCTCCTGTTACCAGTCCGGATCTGGAAGGTGCCGCCATTCTCTTCGACGCCTCGAATAACATCGCGCACTTCGTTGAGGATTCGCTGCTCTACTGGACGCCAGAATCATTTCCCCTGATCTACGTTTCCGCCATCTTCAGCGCCCTGATAGTACATGCCGAGCGACATAAGAGCACAACGATCCCAGAAGAGCAGCTATCGGCCAAGATGCGGCCATATCTCCTAGCTTTGAAGCAGTTTGAGCAAGTCTACGTCCTCGCAAGGTGGGTGCGTAATCTCTTTATGGATATGACAGGCCGTCGGGACAAACATGCCCGAAGACGGAGCTCTCTCAACAGCAGGCCGGCGATATCGCCTCACAGCTCTTCGAACACTCTTCTCCGTAGTGAACCGCCTCGTCAAGCACCTCCTCCAGCCGTCCAGGCGCCATCCTTCGACACGAGCGATTACTCAATGCCTAATCCGTCGAACTACTTCGCCATTCCGTTTCAGCCGGATATGGATCTTGGTCAGTTTGTGGGCGATTTTCTTCCGGCTTTCGATAATGATGAATTCTACAACGCCAGGTCGATGTCGACTGCGGATATGACGGGATACCCGCAGCCTGGCTCAGTCGAATACCAGACTATACATTTCTTGACCGATCTTGGGTTGCCTCAGAACGGTATGGATGGCTTGTGAGCTGGATGAAGACGGTTCTGGTCTTGATCTTGATCAGTGGTGTGCTTCTATACCGTTCCTATGCAGATTGACCGATACCTGTGTCCCACTCAGCGGCGACCGAACAACAAGACCGACAATCACGTGCGCGCTCTATCGCGCCGAGCAACCTATGTCTTCCGGAGCAGTGTTGTCATCTCAGGAGTATCAAGTCTATCTATCACTACTTCCCTCAAATGTGGCGTGCTTGGGGATTCTAGTGAAAGGTCATCAGTGCCCTCGAGTCGCAGAGGCGGGTCGCGAATGAACGGAAGAGAAGTGATCGACGAATGACAAAGCCTGTGCGCTGGCAAGGACTGTATGGCAAGCGCGTCGTCCGGAAGGTGCAACTTGCGCCCCAACGATGGGGATGTTGGCTAAGGCCTTCTTCCCGGACACGCGCGGTTGATACTCAGTCGACGGAGCCAGCAATGTTAAAGGACAGCATGGAAGGCCTCCAGAACTCACAGCGTGGCAATCAAGGAGATGGCAAGGAGGCAGTGGCCTTGCGCATCGAGGCCCTCGAGAGCACGGCATCGTCAGAGAATTCACCAATATGGGTCTCCTTCAGGGATGCATACGCCTGCACGGGGAATCGTTGGCACGCGCCGGGTGACTGGCTCCGGTGACGCCGGATGACTGGGTACGTAAGGGCTTCATGCGAGACCGGTTGACACTCTCGGGTGAGCCTCGTGGGCAGCAAACCGCGACTCACATGAGCTTTGGAGTGGACCCCGGACCCACCTCATGGGTGATCGCTTGTGGTCGAAAATGATATGGTCATGCCACGGGCATGAATATCCTCAGCTGGCACATGTCTGGAGGATACTTGGTGGAGTTGTACACACGTGTATTCACAACTCCCGGAATGTACCATTCGCTCTCGACACAGACATCGGTGGCTCCCGACCGTGGTCTGAAGACCTTCTCAACAAGTCTCGCGTCCCAGAGACTGCCTATTGTGACAAAGCTCGTACGATATATCGCTCGCCATTGCCAAGATGAATCTCCTTTCCAACATGCCAGCCTGCAGCGCCGGATATTGCCTCAGCAGCCAATATCGCGCTGACATCCCCAACAGCATATTTTCTGTGCCATTCGTTATTTTGCAGGTCTTCCCTGACTGCAGAGTACTGGTAGACTTCTGTGTTAGGTTGAGTATGGCGCTGCATCGCCAGGAAATAACCGCCGACGCGCCCATAAAACGTCTTTCGAGTCTCATCCGTACCTTCCAGAATCCATGCTTCATTCGACAGGTCGTCATCAAGCTCTCGCCAGATCTCCTCATAAGGCATCACTCGGCCACCCATGTGCGGTGCAGCCATCTCTCCGGTCTCCAGATCATCGCCGTTTGGCAGCTTCGTGAAGTCGCCGACGTCGACCTGTCCCTCACCTTCATCGCCGGGTCTGCTGCAGTGTGAATCTATCGGGTGCGTGAACTCAACCTTGACTAGTTGCTTCAGCGTCCGACATCCAGTGATTGGAAAGACTTACGAGGATCTTCCGAGAGTACAATCCTCTGCCCGGCCAGTGCCCAGTCAATGCCTTTTGTGGCTTTATCGATGCGTAGGTCAACATAGTAGCCGCCCAGACTGAGGACAAGGGTATCCGTGGGCTCAGAAGCAGGCTCTGGCGGCCAGCGGATGCTGATGCGGGTTGATATTCGGGCAGACATTGTTGGAATGCGGCAGTCGACGTTTCTCAAGAGACAGATGATCCCAGGTTAGCTGTAACAGGGGTTACTCCACAGTAGGCCTTGCGATGAAGTTCACGTTGGCGTCAAAGCCTGGAAAGAGTTACGAATTCTCGTAGCGAACCTTGGAACGGTAGAGCAATCGAGAGTTTGTAGTGGAGCCACGAACGCCAAGACCAAAAGGCAATAAGGCGTCACTATCACGACAGCTTCAGGCAACGACTCGGGACCTTTAACGTCCGTGCGACCAGGCCAAAGGCTCTTGATGGGCATCGTCCCGCAAGCAGCAGCTGACGGATAGTACAAGGTAGGAATCGCATCGAGGTCGGCAATTTCGCGAGTGATGGTCGAGCATTCGCTGTAGGCCAGCCTCTGTCCTGGTCAGTTCCTCATAAGTGATGAAGGAGAAGCCGGACATATCGTGGAGACCCAACTGGATCAGACGGCGTCGGCACATAGCTCAGGAAAGTCCCACCGAGCCCAGACGATCGAGCAAGGAGTGGTCATGACGCTGGAGACTTTCTGAACACCACCATGGCACATTCAGATGAAGATAGGGTCAATTGCAGGTCACTGTTAGGTGCAGTATGTCTCATAAGGCGCGGATAATTCAGATGTCGGACCTGGAGACCGTCTGCTCGATTTTGTGTGCGCGATTCACACTTGCCAAGACTCCTGCGATTTCTCTCGGCTGCAGCCTGCGTCGCGGCTTCCCCAGCTTCCGCCTGCTGCACATGGATTCAAGTGCCATCACTTCTCTCTCGTCGCTCGGGAGGCAGCATAGCTGTCTTCTCTCACTTCTATCGATATCGCGGCAGCATCTCTTCCTCCTTTGCCTTCCGGAGTCGGTTCGGAGCCTCAGAGGCAGCATAGCTGTGCTCTTTTGCCTTCCACGAACCATTCCGATCCTCAGAGACAGCATAGCTGTTCTCTTCCGCCCTTTCACAAAGTCGACTCATATTCCGAAGGCAGCATAGCTGTTCCTCTCCAAACCCTGCGATTATACTTCTGCCTATCACCAGCAACGTAGTGCCTCTCAGTCATACGCGTTCTTCACGCCATAGTTCTCTCGGGCCTCTGCAACCAGCGTCACAAGATCAGAAGCAGTATGTCAAGCAAGAAGAGAGCTGGAGCACCGCATGCTCACTTCCTTGGCGATGTCTTCAGACCGGAGAAGAGGCAGCGTATGGCGGACGACGACGAACAGCGTGTCTCGGACGATCACGAGCACCATATCTCAGACGACGAAGGACAGCGTGTCCCAGACAATGACGAGCAGCTGATCTTGGACGGTGATGGGCAGCGTATCTCGGGTGAGGAAGAGCCGCGTGTCTCGGACGATGAAGGCCAGCGCGTCTCGGAGGATGGCGGGCAGCATATCTCGGACGATGAAGGGCAGCAGGTCCCCGAAGATGATGTCTCGGACGATGACTATGTCATCGATGAGTTCCCACTCGGCTCACCAGACCTGTTGGCACGCCTGACTTGGTGCCCAGCTAGGTACTGTGGCCGGGACGACGAGCGTCAGCAAAAGCCCTGCAAGATACGATGTTTCTACCATATAGCAGCGATTTATGATATCGTATACGACCCAGCTCCAGTACAAGCCACCGAGAACGCCGCTGAAGAGCTGGAAGAAGGAGAGATCGGCGATGATGATGTTGCGACCCAGGTGGGAGACGATGAAGAGGCAGATCCTAGCAAGGACTACTCGGAGAAGTCAGACAAAGCCGTTGAAAAGGCCGGCAACGGATTTTCTGCCGAAGTCTTTCAATTCCTCGAAGCCTCTGGCCCTAGAGTACGCTTCAAATACCTGTCTGACGTCTCAGTCCCTGTTGCCATCGGCGACGAGCCGCAAGACATCATCGACTATTGTGTTGAGCAGCTCGGTGGCAAGAGGCATGAGAATAACAGGAAACTCGTGGGCGAAGTCGCACCGTGGGAACATGAAGGTGCTGGAGGGAAGCTACTGCGCCGTTACTGCAGGCATACTATGGGAAGAGAGCTAGGGTGGGGGCGCGTGAGTACGCCGATGTGAAGTCTTGTTGTGGCGTCGGTATCAGGCACAGGATGCCCTCACGTTGCGAAAGGCGAGGATACCGCGCAGGGACGATGGGGAGCACTGGGATGTGATGGAGGTGGAGGCCGAGGATGAGGGATACGCCGACGGACCGCCTGAGTGGTTCGCCCAGCTCCAACAGGCGGCGAGTAAGGCGCAGGAGCCCGAGAAGGAGAAGAAGGGTAGCTCCAAAGATGATCCAATCGAGATTTGAATGCCAAGTCGTTGTACCTGCTCAAATGTTGCTTCGTGTTCCCTCGCTCCTTCCTCAACTTCCTCGCTACTGCCTCAACCTCTTCGCACCTGCCTCAACCGCCTCGCTCCTTCCTCTACTCCTCTCCATTATCCATCTTCTTATCTTCATACTCCCTTCCTCCATCATTCCTTCTCGCTTCGTTCTTCTTGCTGATGCTCTTCCTCTTCGTCTTCTCGTTCCCCGAGGTTTGTCTTTACTCTCTATCGTCCCTCATTCCCATCATCATAACATATGTCGTCGACCCTTTGTGTCATCTGCTCATTCGCCGTCGACTCTCTTATCTCGCCAATGCTGCCACCCGTCGACCCTCTCACCCATCAACCCTCCAACTCGTCGACCCTCTTACTCGTCAACCCTCCAACTCATCGACCACCTATCTGTCGACCTTCCATCTCCATGGCTCTCCACTTCGTCGACTCTTCACCTCGTCGACTCTCCACCTCGTCGACTCTCCACCTCGTCGACTCTGCACCTCGTCGGCCCTGCATCTCGTCGACCCTGCAGCTCGTCGGCCCTGCAGCTCGTCGGCCCTGCAGCTCGTCGGCCCTGCAGCTCGTCAGCCCTGCATCTCGTCGGGCCTCTATCTCATCGACCCTCCATAACGTCAACTCTCTATATTGTCAACCTGTTATGTCGTCAACGCTCCACATCATCAACGCTCCACATCGTCAACTCTCCATATCATCAACCCGTCATGTCGTCGAATCTCTATATTATCGTCCCTTCCCTTCATTGTCCCTTCCATCCGCTGTCTTTTGCCGATCCATCGTCTTTTTCACCTATCGTTCTTTCCATTCATCGTCCTTCTCATCCGTTCATCGTTGCTCCTTCCCATTCCATCCCGTTCCGTCATCCCTCCTCTCTTGCTGTCATCCTTGGCTTCCTGTCTATCACGTCTCCCCTCAGCAGTCATCACCTCTTCTTGCCTCTTCCTAACTCACTCCTCCCCTATTCCTAAGGATCCTAACCTTACCTCTTCGCCTTACCTTCTCGCCGTTACCTCGTGACCTTGCATAATCAACTTCTCTCCCCACCGGCTCTCCTCACCTTCTCTCCTCACCTTCTCTCCTCACCTTCTCTCCTCACCTTCTCTCCTCGCTTTGCCCCTTCACCCTGCCTCCTCGTCGCCTCTCCTCTCCACACCCCTGCTTCCGGTTCTGTCTGCCGCCCCGCCTGCGCTCCTCTGTTCGAGTCATTACTTCTGTCTGGTGCCTCTGCTTCTTGTTGTTCTTCTTCCTCTTATCGTCGCTTTTCCTTCGGTGTCCTCTTTTCTTTACATTGCCTCCCGCGTCATTTCTTTCAGACCATTCCATGACTGTCATATTCTTACCCTTTCCTGTACGTCAGCTCACTGCTCTTTTCTTGGTCCAGATTTCCGGAGCACTTTGTGCACATACGCCGGTCCTCGTGTCCAGCTATCGCCTTCCGTTTGCTTGACCTCTGCCATTCTTGTGGCATGCCCCTCGCTCGTCTACCTGAGCCAATGCTGCTGGGCTGAAGCGCGGGCCACTCGTCGCGAGAATATATATGTGCCGTGCCATTGAAGACTTTGCTACTTGCGCAAACTTCCAAGAATCTCGTCAGGCTACTTGTCAAGGCTGCACAAGGGACGTCCAACATGGAGAGCCGAAGATGCGGATCACTCTCATCACCATCATCAACCACGCAATGAATGCAGCAATCGCTCTCGTAGTCGCAAGCTGAGATCAAAGGCAAGATGGCCGAGACTGACTGGATGTGCTACGAGGACGACACTCCCATCATTGATCCGATGTCTCTACGCGGGATGGGATACATGCGACAAATGGTCAGTCGGTGTATCTATGTCTACAGGTGGATTTTGACACGCCTTAACGACAAGCCCTGCCCAGCTTCCCTGGTTCAGTCAAGACCAAGGGCTGTCAATTCGGTTGACAGACTCTCTGGAGTCATCTTGCGTGATTGACAGAGCCGTTACTACCTCGCAGAAACGATGTGTCAGAGACAAGCAGAAGCAAGCATGGAAAACGTGCAACCGCCGTGTGGCGAGATACACCGGATGCAATGGTGACAGCAACGCTACGGTGAGGTACGCCGGGGAACGAGAAGGACGACCATTGGAGCGCACTCGAAGTCTCCTACGCCAACTCACTACGCAGTCAGTCGACACGTCTGCAGAATGGCCGTAGTTGTGCACGGACACGCGTGGCAAGGAAGGCAGAGAAAGCTCGGAAGAGATGATTCATCCCAATCCAGGATGTGCACGATCGATGGTACTGGGAGATGTCCCTTGAGAAGAACAATGTACGCGGAAACGCTTCCCTCGCGGGTGTCTTTCGCTCCTCCGGTCGGCCACGACGCTGTCGTCTCTCCGCAGCGTACGAGCAGTAAAAGGCTTTTCTCTACCCGCAGGTCTTTCGGCGTGCTCAAGGAGCTTCCGACTTCAGCGAGAAGAGGGGCAACACAGTCTGACAAGGAGCTGTCCGGAGTAATTCCACAATCACTTCATGATCGAGCGACAACAAGCACTCAGTGAATTCGACCTACCTATTGACAAGACCAGCTCCATGGTGGTGACCTGGACCGAGGGCGAGTACTCCGACTTCATGGTCTTGGCCTGAATCAACGCCTGTTCATTACGATTTCACCCAACTCGAACACGAGACTGCGCGAGCAAGTTCCCACGATGTCTTCTGGAAATGGGCTTGCGGGGCTTCCCGTTGCCTTGCTTTCCAAGGCCCAGCATAGATGGTCTGTCCGACAGTCAGGTCTCGCGCGTGGAATCCTATACCCACTGTTCAGGCCAGCCATGGACGAGATCTTTGCATATGATGTCGCCTGCGAAGGATGGTTAAGCTTAGCCGAGTAGCCACGTTTTTGCCTGGTTCGAGCATCGGCCTCGCTATGCGGTGCTGCCGGCACCAGCACTACACGCCGGAGGCTCGAGAGCGAATCGTACATCGCATACGAGCCCGTGGACGCATTCACTGAAAGCGTAGCAACAACCTTCACTCTCCGTGAGCAATTTCTGTGATTGTCGAAAGTCGAATCACTGTGATGGAATTTGAAGATGGGTTGTGGACTCAAAGAGATGCGGCACGCTTGAAGCTCAAGCTCTGATAACGAAGTGGTCTAGCCGATCGCGACCCATCGCAGACGGCTACGAAGCTGCGCCGACCGCCGGCATGAATGAGCATATTGGAAGAGTCTGTTGTCTGAGTCTCTGCGTCAAGCGTCTTGGGAGGCAGGCTCTATCTGCTGCCACAGCTGGACGAGACTCCATCTTTGGACGTCTGTGGCGTGCAAAAACTGCGAGCAGCCACGCGCTTCAATGCATGCCGCTGCTTCCGCAGTCCAGCTGGCGCACTAGTGAAGTTGACCTCCCGTTGAGCGGGATCGTTGAGGTGCGCGGAAAGTTCTTGCGGTTAGCAAGGTCTTGTGGCAATGAGCAGATCTTCCAAACTGTCGTTACTGTTGGCTTCCGTGACTCTGTGGTGGGCGACGATGGTTCTGGAGTCTCAGAACTCACGGCTATCGTCAAGCTGTTGGGTCCAGCAAGTCGGCGGATAACGTTTGAAGACTCGAATGAATACCCCCAGACCTTGCGTCTACGGACCGTTGTTCAATGGTAAGTTTGCGGCCGTACGCCTGTGGGTCGTCGTTGAGGAGTCGTTTCGTGGACAGCACGGCCGAGGCTTTTGTTGATCGTCATTTTTTCTTGATTTGTGATGGCGCGAACCCCGAACGCCAGGCCGCGCTGGCATTTTGAGGGTTGGCGCAAGTATCGTGATACGCACAGCTATGCGCAGATGCGGACGACGTGTCGCGATGAGTCTCAAATTACGGCAGCGACATGAACCATGCCCTGCCGCGCACGACAGTGCTATGGCAGAAGCGAAATAGAGTTGCAGTATTGGGCATCAGGCTCTGTAGAGAAAGGTGCGGCATGAACTGAGTTCACGGATGATCGCTGCTGAAACCTAGTGCTCGAGCTTGTACAGGTCGAGCCGCAACATGAAAGCTTAGCAGCTCCCCCCTCTGTTACAAGCTTTTCCGTGCGGGAACAGTAATTTTGGTCTCATCAGCGCATTAGCGTTGCGCCTCATTCGTGTCTGCGGGCATTTAGCGTTCCGGGACGACTCGTTGCAGGCTGTGTGTATGTCGACCTTTCAATTCAGAATGGGAGAATGAAGCTTGGATGCTGTAGCGATGGCTCAAGGTCTGGCTCAAAGCAGTGTTGGATGGCGACATATTACGGCACTTGTCGAAATGATTTTTTTGAGCTTCGCTGGCGACACCACTCTGCGTTCCAGGACTGAAGATTGGTGGCAACCATAGAATTATACATAAGATCGATATAGGACGAGAGATTTGGTGTCGAGAGATTTGGTGTGAGATAACGTGTGTGCTTTAGTTCAGCTCCTACGACGATTGATCCGCCACAACACCCTTCGCAATTGCCGTGTAAAGCTGGAAAGCCGCGCAACGATCGAGTGCTGGCAGCCACGATCGCAGCAGGAAATTCATACAATAGTCGATGAGAGTGCGACAACGCTGGGTCCCTAAGCAACTGCTTTTTCACGAAAGTTGCTTTGAGACTCCTTGCGTTGGGTCATTTTGGTTGGCGCACGAGAGATCTCTGTTTGTGTACACAGTATGGGCAACGAAACAATGTTGGTCGTAGCTATCCCACTGTTCACATTGCTGACTAATGTGAGCAGCCGTGCTGCGTAGCATGCTCTTGTGTCACATGCGCTTCGAGGCGACTCGGGCGCAAATATAAGACATTCTGTCACACGCGCGCGAATTGCACCAGCTGTCTCAAGTCCACACAAGGGTACTTGGGTGAAGGTCTGGCTGCGGTCACTTCATGCTCAAGAACGTCCATAGGCGTGCGATCTGTGCTGACAAGTGGCAGCCACTCTCGAAGGGTTCCGCCTGCCATAGCCGAGGGTTGCTCTACCGTTGAATGGTCCATAGTGCTTCGCCGTAGCTGATTTCATTGAGACTATTGACATGGTAGTCAGCTAGACGTCGCTCGATTGAAAGACTGAGATTATCTCCCTCGTCGGCGTCGCTCACTGGGTGGGCATTACTGAGCCTCGCAGTGAGCCAAAATGTATTTATCAGACAGCGTTCACTGATTCAGAGTAGCCAGACCAGACCAGACGAGGCAGTCTTGGATCAAGACGGGACGAATGAATACATGTCGACTTCCGAGGGTCTGTGGTTTCGAACAACGTTTGAGTGTTTTTCCTTCAAAGAATAAGCAACCCAGCCCAGGCATCGCAGAGAGGCCGTGACCCTTGATTTAAGATCATTATCTTCTCTCAGCAGATAGGTAGCAGACGGCAAACGGCGTTATCGATTTGTAGTGCTGTAGGGCCGATAATTCACGGCCTGCGCTTTGGATGAAGTCTTCGTCTTGATGTCCATGACGCAGCGGAGAGTGGCCGCTGATCAAACACGGTGCTGAGATTTTCCTTGCATCAACAAGCCGTCGCGAGAGCGTGCTGCAGCTCGGCGCAGGTGAAGCTGTTTCGTCGAAATGGCGCAACGTAGTCGAGTGCCTCAAAACGGGATGACGAACGTAGGAAGCACTTGGGCAGCGAGGCGGCCGAAGAAAGACTGTTTCTCTTGGCGCCAGTACGAACAGGCCAAATGAATATTGACGTGCTCCGGAACTGAAGCTCAAAGTCTCACGAGAGGAAGGTATGCTGGCTGACTAGTGTCGAAGCTTAGCGCTTTGAGCTTGAAGTCAAGTGCCTGCAGATTTTGAAGTTTGACAGCGACCACGGTGTAGCTCAGTATGTGCTGAGTCCAGATGCAATCGAGCTATTGATCAGAGAAAATGATGATGCCTCTGATGACTAGCTGCCTGCCTTCGTCTGCAAGCTCCCGCCACTGTTGCGAGATATGGAAGCAGGATCGTTTGCTTGCCTCTTTCGCGCCAATGGTGCTGAGGCAACTTGTGCAGATATCACAGTACGCTCGAATTGCTTCGCGCGGTAGTTGCTGTGACTTCTTCGATATATCGATTGTGCAGAAGACTATAGGCACGACAACGTCGCGATGACAAGAACAACGGGATCTGCGTATTGTGTCGCTCGCCGGTCTGCGATAAGCTTTCGATGTTGGAGAATGGAGTGAATGTACACAAGACACCGAACCATACAGAAAACGCCTCACGATCTGATTCTCTGCAACAACAAAAAGACTCCTTGCGCGCCATGGTGAGCGTCGGTAGGGCGGGAGAAAAGTTGTAGAGAGTGGCAGTGAGGCACGCTAAGGTGATATTTCTCATACCCAAGTCCTTCCAGGCCGCGCGATCTGTCGGAGATGTTATCGCCAAAAGAACAATCAACGCGCAGGCGCCAGTGTCCAGCTCATGCTTCGAGTGTGTCCTTCGGATTTGGCTGCGGAATGAGTACATCTCGACTTCCACAGGACTTTTTGAGCAGCTCTACCTGACCCTCGAAACTGGAGACCATTCCAAGGTAGCCGATCCATGCCTTCGGACGGTCATAAGTCTCATGACTGTTCGACTGCCGAGGGAACGGGTCGTTACGCGTCCGACTCGTGTATTTCAATGTGTAAGGATGCTGATTGAGTTGCGTTTCCGAACAGACAGGTACCACTGATCAGATAGACTCTTCGAGCACAAGAAGCCGCCAGCGCAAGCATGGTTTTTTCCCTTCTTTCAACTCGTGCATCTCAGACAGAGACTCAAAGACTTGCTCGATGCTCGGCCAAGTGGCCGCCCATAGCGCTTGCGGGGATCACTGACGGCGGCGGACCAGTCGAGCTGGTGTGCTGGGAGAACGATGGCTTTTGCTACTTACAACAGGGGCTCGGCTGGGGATTTTTTGCCTTTACCGATGAGCTAGGTACTGTGCTTATGTGTTGGCTGCGCGAGTGAAACCCTGCGAGGACATAAGGCTTGTTGCAGCCTGATCTCGTTCGCCGAGGGTGACAAAGACGCTGCAGCAAAAGAACCTGAAGACAAGTGCGACAATCGTCGTGTGATGAGTCGACGTGGTGGTGACACGACCAACTGCACCAGAAGATGTGCATTTGTAGCGGTCGAGCCGTACTCTGGCGTTGACGCGACCAAGATCGAAGTTCACGATGTCGCTCGTAGGCCACCGACGTATCTGACTAAGCGCTTGACCAAAGATGCAAAGTGAGAGACTGTCAGTGACGAGGGCTGAGTGCAGAACCATGTTTTGCCAGCGGTAGATCGAGTTTGTTGCCGCCATTGGCACTGCTGAGATCATTCACGGGCGTAAGGTCGGTTCATACAGATCGTACTGACGGACGGGCGTTTGTTCTCGCGCTGAGATCCTACGATTGCTGGAGACTGTCCAAAAAATCAGATGGGCCATGTAGTTGACCATTTGACCGACGCTTGTCACCAGGAAGGATCGCCTGAAGAGTCTTGAAACTCTAATGACGAGAGTCATGCATTTGCTGATGAATTCGCCTGGTGGACGACGCTCTCACGTGCTCTTGCTCTGCCAGAATGTGAAGCCATTCGAGTCACAGTTCGTTGTTCAGATGGTCCTCTGCTGCTATTCACCGAGTTTGCACGGACGCGATGTCGAGTCGACGTGTGCGATGGCGATATCAAAGGTGTTCGGCATCCGTGCTGGCGGAAGAAAAGTGCTGCTGGGCAATGCCGTCACGAATGGCAGTGTTGTTGAGCAAGTGGCCGAAATTGAAACTTGGACCGCTTCCTAGCGCTTGCTGGCGTCGCAGCGTGTCGGACTGTATCGACTACTATGAATCATGACTAACAATAACGAGCAGCCTTTCCGAAATTGTTGATTGGTGCTAGAGCCGTGTCGCGAGCACCGCAAGCACTCTCGTCACAGGCCAGACATCCTGTCCGGCTGTGAATGAATTGAATTGCAGACCTATGCACGAGCCAAGGCAGGCAGACATGCCGGTATCAATTACACCGCTAGCTTAGTTTTGGACGTAACTTTCGACGCACTCTAGCGCGTATGAAACATTGTTTCGTTGCTACCCCGCAGCCGTAGCAGTTTTTAGGTCCAGAGAAGTTGAACACCCCATAAATTAGTTTTCAGTCTAGCTTGTCGCGGCCTGAATCGCGCTCAAAGTTGCCAGTGATAGATGAAGGCTATCTTGTGCAGATGCATACGTGCTGCGAAGCCATGTGGTGATCGAATTTCCCTGCGATGCGTCGTACGAGACGGTGTTCGAAGGCGCATGCAGTTTCTTGTGCACACGTTTTGGCGCAATGTTACCAACAGGTTGGTAGGTCTGAATGCTGTACTTCAGATGGGAGCGCAATATACGTGTAGCAGTGTGCTGCCTTGCCTTGATCGAGTGCCCGGAACCATAGGTTATTGGCTTTGCAATAACGACGTTCATTCCCCGGATTGATAGAAGAGGTCGTCTGGCAGTATATGCAGCCTGAGTTGCTTACGTACGCTAGCCACCGGAGGCTTACCTGATGACTGCTCCGAACGTAGCTTCATGCCAGCTACGCCAAGGCCAGCCGGTCCCGATCGTTGTATTCTACCATCTTGCCACGACCACAGAGGAAGTACATGCAGTCGTCCTTCCCCATACGGACCTCAGGAGGGGTGACGAAGTGATGCGGATGCAATGTTGCATCTTTGTCGTCTTTGACAAGTCTCGTGTCTGGATCTGCTTTCGCAACGAGTCGAGCTGGCGAATGGCTCTTCAATTCCATCACGAAACGCATAAACACGATTTGAAGGGTTCTTTCAGCAGTGCCGAGATCAACCATCTGCTTCGTTGCTGGGAAAACTCTGCTATTTTCGACGTACCGAAGAGAAAAAAGCGATTGATGCACCGATGCGGTCGCTGTCTGGGATCCGAAACAAGCCGCACACAGCTGTGGACGCATTGTGCCGTTCTTGATAGCGCTTTCTAAGCGGTGTCGCAAGTCGTATGTGCGATTCTGTAGATCTGGGCAAGGAGGTTCGCAGGATCTCGGTGTTGCTGGTCTCGGCTGATGGACTCTTCTGACAGAACAACCGTGAGCCTTCGCTGAGTTTCTGGCTATGACATCAAATGCCATGTTCCCGGCTCCTTTCCATCAGGTGCGACGAATTTTCGCTCGAGGAATGTACGTCCATGAAAACTTGCATGTAGATCATCACGAGACAGACTGGGAGTGTAGAATTCTCATGTAGAAACCATGTACAAGAATGTGACGGAGCCCCTCAATTTGTTCTTGAGGCAATTGTTGTGTTCAAATCAACATCTTCGGCGTCATGTAGTTGGTCGGGACTTGGCCGTCTCCATGATTTTCGCGATTTCGTGGGCTCCCATACTGGCGTATCTTTCTCTATCGGCGGACCAGAAGAGTCGTCCGAGGTGTTATTGACCTTCTGGGACGACTTGTCGTTGGGTTCCTTGTTGCGCAACAGCAGCCGAAGGACTTTTTGAAGTGCCGTCGTGCTTCAACATGCCGACGACCGAGCTTTGAATAGACTTGTGCTCGTAGCTAGTAAGCTCACTTTTGAAACACTTGAAACTGTTCTCGCAGCGTTAATTCCACTTGGGGTCGTGCCGAAATCGTGATGGTATCATACGATCTGGCACGCCTGTTTGTGGACGACAGCGTCAGCTGCGGCAGGTTGGTAGCCGTACGGCTTGCTTGTTTCCAGGCTCTGTCGAGTCCTTGTCAGCAGTCGAGAGAGTAGAACGGCAGCGGTCTGACCCACTGACTACGTCTTGTGGTCGTTGCCGTTGCCGCTGCTGCTACTGCTTTGGCCCGTGTTCTGTTGACATCGGCCAGGACGTGCTTGACGTCGAGAAGCTCGCCTGATTGGTGATGAAGTTGTTTGGAGCAATCTCAGTGCAGCCTACGAGCAGCCAGACGGTGATCGTGGCAGTGGCAAGCGTAGGCGCGGCTGTGATCGGAGCGATGACGTCTGCGCATTGCTTGTCGGAACAAAAGTGTGGGCCTCCGCTGAGCTTCTGGCTGTGACCTATAATGCCACACAGCTCATGAAGAGAACATGAAGCTGAGGGTATACGAATACTTTCGAGCCTGAATAGAGCGACACGGGGCTTCCTTCGTCGCTCCGAGGACAGCGATGAAAGCTCGTAAGTGACGTGGCTTTGTAGAAGAAGCTGCGTCACGAGTTTGTTGGTTGGAGCTGAGACGTAACGAGCAGAAAGAGGTACTTGAGAGCGGGCAGCAAAGAGGGCAAGAGAAGATAGTCGACCGCGGGCACATGCACACATTTACTATCGTCGACCGATAGGTGTGACTGACAGGGCGCGGAAGTACCTATGTCGTCCGAATAGGCAAGCTACTCTTGTAGCCACTATACTCAAGACCGGGCACCAATGCTGGACGATCACTGTACCCTGCCTTCTGCGGCGCTTGACGACTCTGGTGATACGTCCTGGGCGGTAAGAGCTTGTCCGTCACTATTTTGGCCGGAGATCGTGCGGTGTCGACGTTGCTGTTTGTATTGATTGGAAGGATAGGTGACGTGCCGACGATCTGTCTCCCGATGGACTTTTTCGCATGATTGAGGGCGGACTTGCTGACTTGGTGCGAGATTTCGTGAGCGGTGGTAGTGGCAGGTCGTTGTCCGCAAGGAATTTGCTTCCGGGCTCTGTCGAAACCTGTCAGCATGTCAGAGAACCGAGCAGCAGCGATCCGACTCACTCCTTGCGTCTTGTTGCTGCCGCCGCTGCAACTTCGTGTTCTATCCATTAGCGTGATTGACCTCGAGGAGTTCGTTCGAAGGTTGCCGCGTTGATGCCGAGCTCGATGCCTTGGTCTCAAACTTCAACACACTCACAGGTCTTACTTTGCTTGATTCATCCGGTTTCTGGGAATTCAGTCAGAGCGAACCCAGATCAAAGCTAACGAATAGCCAATCATAGTTCATCCTAGACAGATGCAAGTGTTGGATTTATTAATGGCAAAAGCCACCATGTGCAGACATCTGACGAGGAGATATCCCTCGGGGTATGAATACTAGCGCAGTGCCACCTGGAGCGTGTGAAGTCGTCGACATCAGCATGAGCATCAGTGGTGTTTGCTTGCTTGGCGGGTGCCGGCGCTCCAGCTCAACGCACACCGATAGGACATCTTCCCAAGACCTTCGCATCATTGCTCTTCACCAGACTGGGTCGATCATCTTCGGATCAAATACTTGTGTTGGATTCTCATTTGAGGCTTAGCCACCATGTGCAAGGTATGAACGGAAGAGAGTCCCCTGGGTATTAAGAAGAAGCAACGCGGCTCGGGTCCGGGGTCAATGAAGTAAAGGCGGCGATAAGCGGCGGACGATACTGAGCTCGGCTCAGCTTGATGTGTCGTCGGTCGAAGATCGATGGATGAGCATGGACGAGGCTGATGCCTGTGAGCTTTTTGGATGACCGTGACCAAGCCTTATGGAGCAGGCCGAAGTCCAAGCAATGTCGAGGAGATCGAGGTCTGAACAGCGCATGCGAGTTGTGCGGTGATAGGAAGTATTTCAAGACAAAATATAAATGCGGCGACGCAGCTTGGATCTGTCGGAAAACCGGTTGACTCGAAATAGGACAACTCCCAAGACGGGATGACGCAGCGAGGGACGGGAACCGTTGGCATCAAGCCTCGCTTGCGGAACATTTGCAGAACATCTGAGACGAGCGGTTAGATTCTAGTCCAGAAGGATTGCTGCCGAAACACGTGCACCGCTGGCGTCCTCAAGGCGTCTGAGGCGTTGGGCGGCAGTTCCGACAGCCTCGGAGAAAAAAGGGTAGAAACGCGGTTGTGGACATCAAAGGGCTCAAAGAAAGGAGTGGATGGCCCAGATCTGCGCACTCAACAACGAGAAGACCGTGAAAGCCTCGTCAGAGGAAGGCGCCGGAGCTTGGAGTCACAACGGACAGAGCGGAAGAGGAGAGGAAAGCATCGGGACTGAGGCACCGACGACAAGGTATGTCGAGATAACCTCGTCCGGCAGTGGGATGCGACGACCACGACGCAGCCAGCCTCACCGCGTCGACTGGGTAAGGCACAGCTGCAAAGGCGAGGCTATGCGAGGACCGCACGGACACAATGGGGTGACGAAGCAAATGGTAGCAGCAAAGACGAAGGAAAACGGCTTACCTCAGTCGGATCCCGACATGATGCCACCACAGCAAGGTACGAAAGCCGTTGACAGGCGATGTGTTTATCAGTGGACGGCAGCATATGGCGATAACGATGATCGTCGTCGGCGAAGATACTAGGAAGTGTCGATGACAGTATATCATGATGACAGGCGTCGACGATGATGACGCGATGGGTCGACGGCAACGTGTGATGATAACAGGCGTCGACGACGATGATGCGATGGGTCGACGGCAGAATGTGATGAGTTGACAGCGATGGACATCATTGTGAGGATGAAAGAATGACACGGCAGCAGCGGTTGAAGATGAACAGGAAGGAACGAAGGTCAGGAATGTTGGAGCTTATTGCCAGTGCAGATTTGCAGCAGATTTCTGACCGTCACCGAGCTCATGAAACTATCGATGAGATGATGTAGGATGGATCGCCAGTACTTGAGGTGATGAATGACCTTCTGCGCGGGAGAGTGATCACCTGCAGATGGATGCCAAGGTTTCGCTGGAATCGCCGCCTGCCGGAGATTCGCCGAGGGCAAGGCCGCGGTCGCGTTACCTACCAGTATAGCTGAGACAAGGCTGTCAATGCCTGTGGAGTGCTCCGTGGTGGTAGATCCTAGAATCCAACGTAGCTCGCCCCAAAAGCCCGACCAGAACGCCAGTGGTCTATCTCAAGTACGGTCCTGAAGCTATCGACGACCGCGACTGCTCATGGCAAGGAAGTGCTCCCCTAGACAGGTCCTAGGCTTTGGATATGAGATTCGATCACCGCTGAGACTGCCTGATCTCTCGTCCCCGTCCAGTCAAGTTGGCTGGCCTGAGACAGTCCAATGTCCTGTTCCAGCATGAAGCCGTATCCAGTCGTAACTATGGTACTACTCCCGCGACCAATCTCTGCAACCCTAGCAAACCTAGATACACGGATCCCATCACCTCCAATGCCTCGCCGCGTCCAGAATTCCGACCTGAGTACGAGATACAAGTCTTCCTTCCGCTAGCAACCTCCAGAAGGTCCAGAAGAGGCCCAGAAATACGTCTACAGCTATGGCGTTGACTTCGCCATGAATCGCTGCATTTCGAGTAGCAGCGGCTTAGGCTCCGAGTGATCGAGTGCTTTTCAGAAGTACTTACTATCCTGAGCATCAATGAGAGACTGGGCGGTAACATTCGCGGGTCTGAGCTGTAGCTCGTTCATCTTTATACTGTGCCACTTATGACTGTCGCTCGTTGTTGCCAAGGGGAGCTTCTTCCACTCCTCCATTCGCTGTGCTTTGGACGCCAATAAGCTGGCTTTCGAGTAGCGGTAAACAGTCTGAGATGGTAGAGGTGAGCCGCTGAGAGAGGACAGGAGCGCGATCTCTGTTTCGATGAGTCGCTGCTCGAGGCCACTCATGTAGCCCTCTGGAAAACCACGTTTATTTTGCTCTGGGTAAGAGCAATCAGCTTTGAGGGTATTGCATTGCGAGCACGCTGGAAGCAGCCGATCGCACTTGCACTTTCGAGCGCGACAGGACTCGCAGGCAACTGCGTTCATCCCTGCTTCAAGCGCGCTTTCGTGGAACGAAGTACTAGATCGGCAAAGGAGAGGAATGACGATGGTCAAGATTTAGAACTCCAAGCTCACCTGGCAAGCCCACAAGGTGGTCACGAGACTAGGCTCCACAGCAGATGCCGAGGGAGTACCGACCTTCTCCTTTTGCTGTAACGACGACAGTCCATCTTGTGCTACAGAATGATGGGCTACGGAGGCCTGCGATTCCTAATTTCAATGCATGGCAGCAGCTCCGACTTGTCTCAGGCATGGAAGGCACGGTCAGCAATTCGAAATCATTCAGACGACATTGGTGGTAGGTTGTCATTCCGGTCGGCACACTGAGCGAACCCACTATGAACCATGGAGCCATCCACGAAACGGCAAAAGACGGCCCACGAGGTCGGGCTGATGAGGGATAGCGGCTTCATTGGGAGCGCGTCTGGGGTCCATTTCATTCAAACAGTTTATGGTACAGCAGATGGGGCAGCTCACCATCTAGTCCCTGGCGAAGACGATGCACTCCTGCCAACTCGGTCGATCTGGCTGCCCGACGAGGTTTCTGACGCGCCTTTCTCTTTCGTCGACCTTGCTCGGTGGACGGCACCATATTTCGAGCACTGGCACCCTTGTTTCCCGCATCTCCATGCACCATCGATCCTTGCTGCAATGGAGTCTTATCCTCAGATTGACACGTATGACGCCATCATATTGAGATCGATAATGTCCATCAGCCTAGCAGACCTCAGGCCAGGCGCTCGTCAGCCGGCTCCGCGACAACTTCTCTTCGACACATTCGATGAAGCTCTAGAAAGCATCCAACCGGCCATCTCGAGACCTCCGACGCTGAAAAGCATCCAGGCATTATTGACGGTACAGACGTTCCTGATATCAATGCTTCGACTGAATGCTGCTTCCAGAGTCGGCGGCTTGGTCATCAGAATGGCGTACCAGATGGGTATTCATCGCTGTCCAGCTCGGTACTCCTCGTTCACAGCAGAGGAGGCTTCTATGAGACGTCGAATTTTCCACTCAATGTACTGCTTGGATCGCATCATATCGCACTCCCTAGGTCTACCACTGACCATCAGAGATGACGATGTTGACGTCTGCGATTTCGAGCATGAAGAGCATGGAACGTCTCCTGCGATGGACCACAGACTCAAAATGCTGATGTTGCTGTCTAGGCAAGCGAGGATTCGAGGGAAAATCATGGAATTGCGCAATAAGAACGTACCGCACCGTGACAGAAGCGCCGACGCTCCCACACTGATCAAAATCGAACTGACGCGTTGGTGGAACGAAGTCGACGACTGTCTGGATCAAGATAACTTTTCGGCCCTGCAACGGACCATTCTGGGCGTGCTTCGCAACGAGTGTATCATTACTCTCAACAGACCACTGCTGGCATTATCAAAGTCAAGTGCGAGCTACATGGCAGGACTTCAGTCGTGTATTGCGGCTTCGAAGGCTATCATATCGGCTCTACACAGCTTTGGGGGCCCTCTCGTGTGGCCCTCCTTTACGTGGGCAGTTTGGATGAGCTGCTTCATCATCATATTTGCTGCTTCCGAAGGACAGATCGCCACTGAAGTTGCTGTGAGATTAACAGAGAGAGCAGGCAAAGTGCTTGGTACACTCGGCCTGAGAGGCACAGTATGGCCGGATGCGTGCGCAACTGCGGTTGAAAAGCTCCGGCAGTCTCTGATCAACCAATCTACACCTTCTCGGGCGTTCGCAACCACACTTGGCTTCGCGATTCCTCAGAGTCCACCTGGGCAGGAAGAAGCCGCACAGCCTGCCAATGGCTCCCAAGCGCTAGACACGGGACGCTTGGCGGACATCAATGCGAACCCGGGCCAAGAGCAAATTCCAGCGGATGCCCAACCTGATCTCACTGGCGGACAAACTCAGCCGGTCATCATGGACATGCCTCGGGATCAGATGTCGTTTAACACGAACGAATATGATCCTTTCCAAGGCTTTGACATTCCGTTCTGGGTTGGTCAGGATCACTACGCTGCTTGGTCGAGCACTATGTAACGAGCAACGATGGGCATGGCCGGAAATCCTCCTCTGTCTTCTTGGCTCCCTCGCACCATGATAGAACGCAACAAGGCTTGTATGAAAGCCTCGAGCGGCATCGCAGGCCAGCGGCATCGCGTCTCAGACATTGACGGTTGACTTCCCTTTCGGGTCAGCTCCGAGCCACAACAAGTCTGGTCGAGAGTCTGGACATGTCAGTTGTGGTCTTGAAGTTCCTCCATTCTACTCACAATGTCCGGAAGCATCGGCGAAAGTCTTGGCTTTGGTGACCAGGCTCATATCAAGATCAGCGAACACAAGCTGCTCGTTCTGTCCAGGCGAGGTGAGGATTCTGCCGTCTGGTGCGATCACGGCTGAGCTTCCGATGTTTGAGCTTCCCATCACTGGCGTCCCGCGGTTCTTGAACACCTCATCGATCGCCTTGTCACTGATCACCGCAGTACAATGCAGCACAAATGCCTAAGCTTCGACTGCGTACGTTTGTGAAAGTCCGCGACAGCCTGCAGCTGTTAGATAGCTCAGACCGGTGCGCCCCACTTACCTTCGAGTGACATGGACCAGAATCCGGGCGAGCCATCCACGAAGTTGTCCAGGGGAGGCCACGCTGCAACATGTATATCTTCCTGTTGGTTGAACGTGTAGTACTTCAAGAGAGGTTGAATGGATTCCCAGCAGCTGAGCTGACCGGTCCTCCCTACTCCTGGTAGATCAACGACTTCACTTAGGCATTCACCCGAGGCATCGCCAAAGATCGTTCGCTCCATATGCGTAGGCTTGAGTCTTGCTTCAGCCAAGTTGAAATAGTAGCACGATCACTGCTTACCTTCATCTTCCTCCGCCGGACCTTGATCTTGCCGTCATCGCCGATGAGAGCCTGCGCGATGTAAACAGATTTGCCTGCCCTCTCGGAGAAGCCAAGTGCGACGCTGATCCCATGCTCCGCAGCGGCATCGCATATCTTTCGCATCTGTGGGCTGTCGATTGCCGTAGAATTTTCCACATACTTCACACCGAGCTCAAAATCCACAACGCGGTTCCTGCTGGCATGAGCGACACTTGTAGTCATCCAAGGTCGGGTGGCCGTACCATATCCACGCGGGATATCCTGGTATCCATACCTCCGGAAACGCGACGAGCTTAGCACCGCCCTTCGCTGCCTCGCCGATGATATCGCAAGTCTTTTGAACCGTGGCATCAAGGTCTAGCCACACAGGCTCGTGCTGGGTGACAGCGACTCGCACAGTAGATGGAGCCATTGTCTACAGATAACGGGAACTCTCCAGTTTTCGATGCTGCTTTAAATGAATGTAAGCGCAATCATTCCGCATTTAGCGGCGGGGTGGGATCCAGACCCTGCGTTTTGAGTTCACATACGAAGTACTCGCAGGGAGATAAGATCATACCTGCTGAGAGCGAAGATTCGATGGACGCAATCGAATGAGTCGACACAGCTGACGTACATACAAGTCATGGCAATGCCGCCTCGGAGATGGACCGCATTGGGCGAAGGGAGTCGAGAGCGATCCTCGGGCCGCTTCACGCTTGTGCTGCTTTGTTGCTCAACCCGTCTAGCTACCAGCGTCCACATATCCACATGTGCGGAAAGTCTATCTTGAGTGTCTGACTACACGTTGACCGTCTCCTTCGCCAAGACCTTTTCACCATCATCCTCCGTCCCTACATTCGCTTGATCGCTGCCGTTGCGCTCAGACTCGAGCTTTGGCGAGGGCACGCCGTGAACGACGTCGTCCACGAAAGGCGCTTCTTCACCCAGGCCGAGCGGAGGGAAGAAATAGTTTAACACCCAGAAGATGCTGCCACTGATGAGAAGGCCAGCGATGAAGGTAAGGTGATAAAGCTTCGTCCATCCGTCAAGGGCTGTGTCTCCGCCACTGTCTGAGGTGACTGTCTTGACAAGGCCGGCTAGAGCAGGTGTCAGCGTTAGGATTTCCCGAACGTGACAAGAGTAAACAGGATGTCGGTAAGACTTACGCAGAAGTGGCCAAACGCCCATCAAGAATGACACCGGAGCACGCCAGTTTATTCCGTGAAAGTACCAGTAGATCCCCTGAGGATCGCTGGTGTAGAGATCGTTGAGCTTGAGCTTGTAACGGCGAACGATGTGGTAGTCTGCAAGCATGATACCAGTCGCAGGCGCCATGAACACTCCGAAGCCGGACAGTACCTCAAGGAACCTGGTCGCAGTGCTGAGGAGCTGCCATGGCTGAGTTGCAATGCCGATTGCTGCCATGATGTAACTACCACGGACGATGTTGATGTACTTGGGGCACAGACCAGCCATGTCCATCCCGGTTGAGACCGAGTTGAGCACAATCGAAATAGCGAGCTGTGAGGTGACGAGTCCGATGCTGGCGAAGAAAACACCAGCCCGTACTTTGGAGTCAGAATCGTACTTCTCCTGAATGCCTGCCAGGAGCATGATGGGGTTCCAGATGATTTCACCGCCCATGAGGTCTCGCGAAGCACTCGTGACGATGATACCAATCGTTGCAGTAACCGCAATGGTGAACGGTGCTGCAAGGAGCTGAGACAAGGTCGGAGCGAAACGGCGATTGGCATAGCGCGTCCAATCTGATTGTCCAAGTGTCCCAGCACCCCATGAGCCGAGGATCGCCATGATGCCGAACATGAATGCCCATCCTTGGTTGGGAGCAGTGCCAGGCTCATTGAACATAGCTCCAGCACCTCCGGCATTGCTCACTGACCTAATTGGCGATGTCAGCATAAAGTCCTCCCAGTGAGGTACTGCACTCACCATGCTAGCAGGCCAACACACGTCCCAACGAAGAAGACAAAGGAGACGCCCAACGGAATTTGCATATGCTCCGGCTTGATGAGCAGCATAGGAATGAACAAGGCCATCCAGATCACGAGTCCAATGAAGTCCTTTGTCAACAAGTGAGAGCCGGCGGAAAAGTAGTTCTTCATGTGGGCGAACCCTGTAGTTTGTCAGATGGCATTGGGATCTGACTTCGACAGCTGCTTACCCGGAATAATTGCTCCCCAGAGAACGCGCATCGCTTGACCTCCGAACAGTGCCTGAAGACCACTAGGCGAGTGTCAGCTCAGTTCAGGACGATCTACCAAGTAGCAGCAGCGAACCCCTTCCAAAGCAGCAGCGAGTCCCTTCCAACGTGGTCTTCGGACCATTTGAAATGACAGGTGACAGAGATTGAGACTTACAACCACATGCATGCGACCTGGACCAGGTGCGATAGTTAGCAACTCTGCGCTTTATAAGGGAACAGTAGTTGCGCGTGGACTTACAAAAACGCGGAGGACAACGGGGAAGTAGCTTCCTCGCATGCCCCAGCTGAAGCGTGACGAGACCGTGAAGCCGATATAATGGCGTTCACCCATCCAGCCACAGAACACAGCTAGTAGACCAGTCAAAATACCACCCACGATCTGCATGCGACTTGAGTATACGTCTTCAGCACCAAGGAGCAATACGTACGACGGAGCCGATAGCAGCGGGAGGACTGAGCCCGAAAGCGAGTAGAGTGCTTCCAACAGTCCATGCGCTGATGTTAGAGCCACTGCAGCTCCAATAGCCTGAATACGTGAGCAAAGGGGAGGAGGTCCAGGAGGACTAAGCATACCGATGTATCCCAACACGCCAAAGGTCCGACGCTCAGGCGGCATAGGGATCAGATCTCGGTTGCACCCTGTCTGCTGTCAGTGACAATTATGCAGTGGAGGGCACGCAGCCTCAAGAAAAGCGGCTGGCCCTGTTCAGGAATAGTAACACGTACAAACATCATTCTTGTAATATGCATCCTCGTCAATAGGCCTATGCAACGATCGTCAGTGACGACAGTCTGCAATGGTAGGCATTCCCACGAACACTTCAAGCTTGTGCTTTAGCTGCTTCCATTTGGACGACATGGTGATCGGCCGCCGCAGTCGCCGGAGATCCGAAGCTGGCGCGAAGGATGATTGAAAGGCAAAGGACTGGTCTGCACTGGTGGAGGCTTCGAGGGGTTGAAGCCGAACTCGTGGTTGTACTTATGGACAAAGTGTGTGACTATGGGACCCTGCAGAGTGGATCCGAGCAAATCATGGGGTATGATAACGGTGGAGCGTGGCCCGAAGCCAGAGTTGACCGATCGCGCTGGGCGGAGTTGACCGACGCAAGGTTGACCGACGCCTTTGAGCGATAGCATGGACAGGAGTATCTGGAGGCCACCCTGTGCTGCGAGCACTCATGTTGTGCGTAACTCAGACTCGCGTAAGCGACTTAGAGGATATGTGAGAGATCGGCAACTTCTGAGCTCTTTCTGTAGTGCTCGTAGACACAGCGGCCAAATCACCAGTATAGAAGACGGTCTAGCCAGCATTCGAATCGCATCGAACCTTTCCAACACAAGATGAGCATGTCTCGAACATCCCAGACTTTCCTTCTGAATACTGGCGCACGGATCCCTGGCATTGGCCTGGGTACATGGAAATCGCCCGGGACCGAAGTTCGAGCAGCAGTCTCCCATGCACTCAGATCTGGGTATAGACATATCGACACCGCCTGGAACTACCGCAATGAGGTTGAGGTCGGACAAGGCATAAAGGACTCCGGCGTACTTCGAGAGCAAATATGGATTACCACCAAGCTCGATAATCCCTGGCATCATAAGGCGCGTGAAGGATTCGAAGAGTCGTTGAGGGATCTGGGATGCGGTTATGTTGACTTGTATCTCATACACTTTCCCTGTTCGACAAATCCAGATGACCAGTCAAAGCATCTGGACGACTGGGATTTTGTTAAGACCTGGTATGTTGCGAGCCAGCCATCAAATTCTGCGCTGACTTAATATTGTACAAGGCAGGAGATGCAAGAGCTGCTGAAGACTGGCAAAGTCAAGAACATCGGCGTCTCGAACTTCCAAATTCGACACCTTGAGCGATTGTTGAACGACCCGTTATGTAAAACAGTCCCAGCCGTAAATCAGATAGAGCTGCATCCAGGGAACCCATCGTATGTGGCGTCATTGTCATAAGGCAAATACGCGAGGCTGACGTTTGACAGCAACAAACTATTAGAGTACTGCAAGTCGAAAGGCATTCATTGCACAGCATACTCATGTCTCGGAGGCGCCATCGACAACCCACTATACAAAGAGCCTGCGGTAATCGGCACGGCAGAAGAGTTAGGAAAGACGCCTGCTCAGGTCCTGTAAGTACCCAGACTGCTGCATCTCCAGGTCGTTTTGCTCATGATCTGTCCAGGTTGATGTGGAGCATACAGCGGGGAACGAGCGTGATCCCTAAAAGCGTTACGCCATCTAGAATCGACAGTAACTTCGACTTGGATGGCTGGGCACTTTCTGACAGTCACATGGAGGCGCTGAACGGTATAAAGACCAGGTTCAAGGTGGTTAATGATTCGTGGATGCCCATCAAGGTGTTCTTTGGCGACGATGAGTAGCTGGAGTACGCTTCAACTGACCAGGGTAGCAGTGAATCTCGAATGACGTCTAAAAGTCCGGCAGAGGCGAAATGTGATTCATTGCTGTTCAAATTCGAGCCGATCTCATGGTGTAGTGTCTAGAATGATTGAGCCCAGGTGTGATCCCGCTCGGGTGCTCTCTCTCATCATGTTTGCTGCCTGAGTGAAGAACGAATCGATGCGGATTGCGACAGGCCTGATGAGCGTCATGGTATCCTCATTGCCCATCTCGGTCAGCCTGTGTAGCGACGCATGAAATCGCTCCAGTATCGCGTATGAGCCCTTTACTTCATCAGGATCTGATGATAGCAGGAACAGAAGCTCCAAAAAGTTCCCAATCAACAGTAGTTGTGCTCTAGCATGTCGTCCCCAGAAGCCTCGAAGCATGCTGACTGTGATTTGGTCCATGAATCTTGGTAAAGCGTCGAAGTGATCGATGGCCTGCCCGAAGAAGCGCCGAAGCGACGACTGTGGGTTACGCTTGGAGGCCATAGACGCTGGAGTCATCAGAGCTCGAAAGAGCAGCACGCACGTGGCAAAATAAGCGAGGTGCAGCGCGGCATTGTGCTGGCCACCATCCAGTGCTTTATATTCCATAGTCACACAGCTCGGATGAGAGAACGCCAGTCTTCCAGTTCTCGAAGTAGGCGTCCAAGTCGCCCTTCGAGCTCCAGTGGATCGGTCCTGCCTATCTGGTAGCTTCGATCAGAAAAAGATGTGTCCAGAAGGTTGTGTAGGATCTGTGTGAGCTGAACATTTTCGACGAAGCGAGCCGCAGTAGAGACATTGAAATACGAGTCTTGCGGCTCGACCAGGTCCAGAAGGTCATCGGGAACGTCTTCATCCATGCGCAAGTCATCAATACTGGCGTTGGTCGTGGTGTAAGACTGTGGATAGATGTGTGGAGGGTTCCCATGAGAGACGGACGCCCATGCGTCGGTCATGTACGTTGCCCACCATAATTTCTTCCGGAGTGCTTTCTCCCAGGGCTCCAAGTTCCAGTCTGTCGGATCACGATGAAGACCAATCATCTGCGCACAGGCCACCGCTTGTGCACTCAGAGTCCACGTTCGAGGTGTTTGGAAAGTGTGGTTAGACGCGGGTTGCTCGTGTAGCATCAATAAGCAGGCCTGGAGCTTCCACATATTCGGTGCATCAAGCTCCCTTTCCAAGGATGCCTGAGCTGCATGAAACAGTTGATACTGCTCGAACGGCCGGGGCACAGATTTGAGAGTATCGTCCTGATCCCAGAACACCGCCGCCAGACCGTACACGACGCCACGCAATGACGCAGGTAGACTGAGCTTCTCGTATTTGAAAGCACGCAAGAAGCGAGTCTTCGAGAGAACGCTGTATACCGGGTGAACGTGTTTGAAGTACAGTCGAACTAGGTCGCCTGCATAAGGCGCGACGCATGATTCGATCTTGTCTGATGACTCTTCCCGTATGGCCGTGTCCCATGGCATGAATGCATCGTGAAGTACACAGAAGTGAACGGGAGGCTTCCCTGTAGCCGTACTTCCCCCATAGACAGAGACAATCTCCCCACTGATTTGGTCCAACTCATCCATGATGAAGGAACGAAATGAAGCCAGGAGATGAGTGTCCTGCTCGGAGCTTAATCCCATACTATGTGCTGTCTTAGCACACATGTCGGTCCGCAATGGGATGGTCGGGTCGAGACATGGCGTCGCGGTGTTCTTCCTGGCCCTGAAATGGATCTTTGAATTTGCTGGCTGACTCAGTGTGCTGTTCACGGGAGAGGAAAGGTCGACTTCTGCGGCATCGTGAACGAGATCGTCGGCAGGCACTGGGGGTGACTCGTCAAATCCCCGGACTTCGTCCTGCGGTTCGTTCAAGCCATGATCCGATGGTACAGATCCAGTCGAGTCTCTCTTACGACGCGGACGGAATGGACCAACCGTGGCCTGGCAGTCCAAGCCTCTGTCCTTGCAAAAGAGGCACGGTGGCTGATCTTCTATAATGCAGGCACTCTTGCGTTTTCGACACGCATCGCAAGGCCTAGACTTGCGAGAGCGCCAGTGACGAGATCCTCCGAATTTGCTCTGGATCTGGAAGCGCCGACTACGCGACGCATCAAGGCTCTTTGGCATACCTCATCCGTTGTCGTCATTCGTCAGCCGCATGAGATCCATAGGCATGTCTTAAGCGCATGTCTGCACTGTCGCTACTCGGCTCATTGTGCGATGCTAGACGACCCATCCTCGTGGCAACACACAATCGAGTGCTGAAGCGATAACAAGGAGATGTCACATAGGTCGACGGTTGAATACAAACTAACTGCTCTGGGCTAGACCTACCCGCCGAATCGTGATCTTGGCACCAGATAAGAGCTACAGCCTTTTCCTCAGAATCATGTTCATCGTCTCGTGCTATCGTCAACATCGTTTCAGCACTCCTACGACTCGTGATGCTATCAGCTTGACTATGCATCGACAGCCGGGAGAGTTACGAATATAATGATTGATCGAAATTTGCGACTAGTACGGCCAGAAAGATTCAGGTCCAACCAACACGCCCGGGAAGCTTAGTAGCGCCTTCCTCGTAAGCTCCTCACCTAGTATGTTGCGTTCAGCCGCATCTCGATGTAGTCCCGTGAGCAAACCGGCTCGTACTTCTTCGGCCTGTCTTCGCCCCAGCAGCCGGGAAGACAATCCACGGTCTTCTCTCTGTCCGCCGTCACAAAGTATGGAATAGAATACCTTTCCTTTGTGTACTCACCAATACCCTCACTGCCAAGCATCGGCGGAGGCGCTCTGACCCTGTGCAGCGTGCTCTTCAGCTGATCATTGCTCCACCTCATCAGGAAGTCTCCAATGTTCACTACTATTGTGCCCTTGATATATGGTGCTGGATTGAACTTGCCCCTGATCTTCACATCCTCCACCTCCAGTCCACCAACATCGTCCTGGAATAGCATCGTCATAGTGCCAAAGTCGGTATGGGCCGCGATACGTTCGACCTTCTCGTCTTTCAGCAACCGGGTTTCCACGCTAGGATAGTGCAGCAAGCGCAGCTGATTGTCCTGCTTGGAGTGGAAGTCCCTGAAGAAGCCTTGCGGTAGGTCCATACCTAACTCGATGGCACGCAGAAGTGACTGCTTGGCGATGTCACAAGTGGCGAAGAAATCGAGCATATAGGATTGAAAGCCGGGGAGGGCACTGTCCGGAGGCCATATATTTGGGGTGTGGGTATCTGTCGCTCGACCCAGCTCGAAGGACTCTTTGAAATCTGGTGCAGACGTGCGTAGCTGGGCGAGTTTATCAGGGTCAAATTCCATCTGTGAGACTTTCTCCTGGCCTGGACTGGAATACCCTCGATGGTGCCATCCGTTTGGAGGATGTGGCGCAAGCTTCTTGGTTTCCAGAGGTAGCTCAAAGAACTTAGCACTCTATAGGAGAGCCCTGATCAGCAGCTGCGACTGCCATGACTAGCTTGAGGCATGAAACGCGTTTAACGAAGACTTACCCACTTGAAGGCTTCATCTATCTTCTCCTGAGGCACGCCGTGGTTGCGTATATACGCGAAGCCAACATCTCGAAAGGCTTCGTATACTTGCTTGCCTGTTGCCAGAGCTTCGTCCGGTGTGCCAAAACGGATGGGCCCGAGGTCGATGATGGGGATGGCGATATCTGCCTCGACATCGACTGAACCAAGACTTCCCATGCTGCTGTGGTTGTTGAAGTTTTGGAGGTAACAGAGGTGACGAGAAATAGCCACGCTAGTCAGAGCTGGAGGCCGAATGATAAGGCAACGTCAACAGCATGCATCAGCAAAGAATCAGTGTACATTGTTGTGGCAGTTGTCCGACCAAAGACTGGTGCTGCATGGGATGTTGGCATCTGGGAAGAGCACATTCATCGATGTGCTCGCTGGGTGTGGATCGGTCCCAGTCGCATGACAGCCGCTGCCTATCGCTTGGAGTTGGCCGATCCGCGCGAAGCAGATAGGAAGGGCGGATAGGCATTAGATCTTCATGCTATCCTCGCCTTCGGCGGGAGATGTTCCACTCTGGCAGCCAGCATCCATTGACGCGGTTGACCGATGGCGTGAAGTTGACCGACAATCCCAAGCTAACCAGATTGAGCTAGACCATGCCCACCGCGATCTTCGGAGTTCACTCGCATTTCATGGCAATTCATGGGAGCCCTTTCGTAGGCTCGGCCAATGCCCAAATGTCGGTCGGTAAACCTCAATCGGCGACACGACGTGCGTGGGAAAGGCAGATGCTAAGATGTAGTCTTCGCTTCCTGGCGGCATGCTATAAGGCAGCCGCGGAGGCAACACAAGCAGACATCGGCGGATGATACCAACGCGACCTACTCGGCATGAACAGGGTTCGAGGCCTACAAGCCTGTACAGTCTAACGGCGACATGGGCAGCATGGGCGCGCCGCAGCGCGCAAGATACAGAATCGGCGTTGATGTTGGTAAGCAAACATTTATGCTACGATGTTGTCGCGTCCTTGTGTTGCTCTGTGTGTGAGTCAAATCTGATAGATACTTATACCAGGTGGCACAAATAGTGACAGTGCCTTGATAACACTCGATCCGGTCAAGATTCTGGCCTCGCACAAGGCACCTACAACTCCAGACGTGACCACTGGCATCAACGAGGCAATCAAGCAGTCGTAAACTCCAGTGGAGTCTCACTAGATGACATCGGCTGCGTTATAATCGGCACGACACACTTCGTCAATGCCGTGGTCCAACGATCTCCGGACCTCGAGCGTGTAGCAGTCGTGAGATTATGCGGCGGCAGCACAGAAGGATTCGGACTGGGCGTGCCTCCATTTGTCGACTATCCAGCGGAGCTGAAGGAGATGATCTACGGCGGCTCGTACTTCTGCAATGGTGGCCATCAAATCACCAGTGAAGAGTTGTCACCACTAGACGAGTCTGAATTGGCAACAGTCGCCAACGGAATTGTCCGGGATGAGAATCAGTGACGTCGTCATCGCTGGAATCTTCTCTCCATTGAAATCAGATCATGAGAAACGAGCTGGTGAAGTGCTCAAGACACAGATGGCACACTTCGCGCAAGAGCATGGAGTATCACTGGAGCCAAGAATCACGCTCTCGCACCAGATTTCGTCAACAGGCTTCCTAGCACGAGAGAATGCGGCGATACTGAACGCAGCGCTGAGGCCACTTGCGGAGAAGACGATCTCAGGTTTCCAGAAAGCAATGCTTGATACATTCGGCGACTCGCCTTGCGCACTGTACCTCACCCAGAATGACGGCAGCGTTCTCAGCGCTCGAGAAGCGGTTGAATTGCCTATTCGCACGTTCAATTCAGGACCGACCAACTCAATACGGGGCGGCAAGTTCCTCTGGGAGACCGCCAACACCGAGATGGATCAACCCGCTCAAGGCCCCACCGAGTCTCTGGCGGTAATTGACATTGGCGGCACGACAGCCGACTCTGGACTCCTTTTACCTAATGGACTACCTCGAATGAGCTCCTTGTTGAGTACGGTAGGCGGAGTCAGGACGAACTTCGCCCTGCCCGCAGTGGAATCAATCGGACTTGGCGGCGGCAGCGTCATCAGAGATGGAGGTGAGAGTGTTGGCCCTGACAGTGTTGCGCTGGAGCTGCGATCACGAGCCAAGCTATTCGGAGGTGACGTTTTGACGGCAACCGATATTGTGGCCGCTTCTGAAGCACACGGCCTGTCCCAACGAACTGATCTGCAAGGGGTCGGCGATCCTGCGCTTCTATCGGATATCAGTACCGAAATCGTGTCCAAGGCAAAGCGCAGGATGCGACAACAAGTGGAGGATCTAGTGGACCGCACGAAGATCTCGAAAGGCGACGTTGACGTCCTCATCGTTGGTGGAGGTGCTATCTTGATCGACACTGATGAGCCATTGAAGGGCGTACGAAGTGCACGACGCGTGAGAGGGGGAGAGGTCGCAAACGCGGTGGGTGCTGCGATCTCCCGCGTGTCAGGGATTGTCGACATCGTTGCAGATTTGTCGCAGCAGTCCATCAAGCAAGCTCAAGCACAGATCTCGAGGGCTGCAGTAGAGGCTGCAGTGAGCAATGGCGCGGAGCCAGACTCAGTGGAGATCGCCGAAGTCACGGTGCTGCCTGTACAATACGTCGATGCTAAAGCCCGGATCGTTGCCCGCGCCGTAGGGAAGCTCGACGTCATTGCTGCACCCACAGTGCAAGAGAACGCACTTCCAGCACCACCTGTGAGACGGCCTGTGAATAGACCGACTGTGAATAGACCGACGAAGATCGCGAAATCCGTGGAAAGCACCGAGGCCGACGATCTTACTGAGTACAAGCCGACCATCAAGAACGGAGAATGGACACTCTCTGTGACAGACCTCACGTGGATTTCCAGTGGATGCAAAATACTTGGTTGTGGTGGTGGAGGCGACCCCTACAGCAATTTTCTCAAGGTCAAATCCCTCATTGAGCAAAAGCCTGGCTCGGTCAAGATCGTCTCGGCTTTCTCTCTCGCGTCACACAATACTGTTGGATGGACGGGCTGCATTGGGAGCCCCGAAGTTAGCTCAGAGCGTTTGGCAGCGGACGAATGCGACAAAGCCCACCGGGAACTGGTGAAGGTGATGCAGCTACCGCCGGTTGACGCTTTCATGGCGCTCGAGATCGGCGGAGGAAACGGACTTGTCAACTTCGAACTCGCAGCTGCACATAACGTTCCGGTCGTCGATGCTGACTTTATGGGTCGAGCGTATCCAACTGGATGGCAAACGACACCGAATGTGTACGGCTCAGCCAGAGGCGAGGCGTTGTTGCCGGCTACTATTGCCAGCGGAGACGGCTCGTTCATGACACTCACCTCTACACGAACCGATCGGCTCGTGGACAAGATCCTACGCGCTGCGTGTGTGGAGATGGGTCTATTGGCAGGCCATGCAGCGCCTCCAAAGTCGGCACAAGCGGTCCAGGAACAAGGTGTTCTGAACACCGTTTCATTGGCATGGTCCATTGGTAGAGCCATTGAGCTGGAGAAGAATGTTGCTGACAGACCTCAACGAATCATTGACGCTGTGGGAGGCAGTGAAACAGCTCGCGTTCTCGCTCAAGGGAAGATCGTCAGTGTCGAGCGTGTGCTGCGAACAGGCCATTCATATGGTGTAGCTGAGATTGACGGAACACTTTCAGACGGCAGCAAGGCGACGGTGTCTGTGCCGTTCAAGAACGAAAACGCATATGTCGAGGCTGTCGAAGCAGGTCAATCATGCCCTCGCGTGCTTGCATCCGTGCCGGATCTTATTGCTGTACTTGACGCAGAGACAGCCCAAGGGTTGGGGACGCCAAATTACAAGTATGGGCTCAAGGTTGTTGTCATTGCGATCACAGCATCACCAAGATGGACAGACACTGCAAGAGGACTGGAACTCGGCGGACCGGCCTCAATGGGGTTCCCTGAGATCGAATACGTGCCTGTGGGAACGTTTCGCGTGCCGAAGAGTGTCATCGATCTGTATGGAGGTTGAAGCTAGACGGTTGTGGCCACAGTCTGGGACCGACTTCGTCAACACGTGACGACAATGGAGATCGCTGGCAGGGAGTTCTGGTAGCTCAGAGAGATTCAAGCCAGCCACCTGTCAGCGCACTGACAGACGCATCTCTCTGATCGCTATGTACACACATATTTTGCGATGACGCTAGTGACAGAAAGCCTCATCAATGACTTCCAGCTCATCACCGTACTCTTAGTAGGTGAATTTTTCCTTTACCAAGTCCTCACTCAATGCCCACAGCCTCTCTGCGTTCTTGCTCGAGACGGCCCTGGGATCTGCTCGGTCACTGACCTGACAATCAATGAAGTACACGCCATGGTTCTCCTTGCCATTAGCATCAGCCTCCTCGGCTGGCACACCGAGTCCCGGATCCGTAGCACAAACGATACTCGTGGAGCTTCCAGCACCCAGCGATTTCATATACACGCCCTTGACCCGCTCCTTGATCGCGACTCTCACTTCTGGTGATGCATAGCGCACCAAATCAGTGTTGATGATTCCTGGGTGACATGCGAAGCTGAGGATGCCTTTGTCGGCCAGGCGTTTGTTGAGCCCGACACTGAAGAGCACGTTGCCAACCTTACTTTGGTTGTATGCTTCGATTGGCAGGTACGACTTTCCCTCAGCCGGCCCTTGGCCCCACATGTTCATCATCTGATAGTTGGGCTGTTCGTCTTCTGGCAGGTCGGTGCTGATCTTGTCGAAGTTGATGTCACTCCATCGAATGCCAGCTACTGTCGGGGAGAGCGAAGTGACATTGACAATCCGAGTGGCGCCCTTTGGACTTGACTTGGCAGACTTGAGGAGTTTGGGCATGAGCAGATTAGTGAATAGGAAGTGGCCAATGTGATTCGTCGCAAAGGTCAGCTCGATGCCTTCAGGGGAGAATTTGCGCTTCGGCAGGTTCATGATTCCCGCGCTATTAACAACGAGATTTATTTCAGGAACGTCGTCCCAGCTCATTACTTCCTTAGCAGCGTCGCGGACAGCATCTTGGCTACCCAAGTCCAACTTCAACGGTCTGTAGTCGACTTGGGGGTAGTCTGCCTTGATTGCATCGATGCACTCCTGGATATTGGCGGGAGTGCGACTTGCGATGATGAGATGGGCTGGTGCCTGCGAGGCGAAGGCTTGTGCTGTGGTGAAGCCTATGCCTAGTTTGCTTACGCCCGTCACTATGATTGTCTTGCCCTTGATCTGGTCAGGAAAGGCTTTAGCGGCGTCTAGTGCTTCGGTCGCTTGGTCGAATTCTGCGTGTGATGCCATTTCGGATTCAGCGAAGATGTCGGGCCTGCACAGGACGACTGGTGTGGATGGCGTAGACCTATATATTAACCTGGGCACGATCGTCGCTGTTACTGTTGACGTCGAGCGTTGCTGTAGGTATAATTCCTGACGGACTTAGCCTGGTTTGTTCGACCACTTTAAGTCCGAAATCTTGCATTGGATGTATCGGAGAAGCCTAAGGAGGTCGGGGTCCTCTCTGAGGTAGGCACAATCGTGCCAACCGCGGGCCGACGGCCATCCTCGTTCAATGGTCTACGACAAGGCACACTACTATGCGCTCGATGTGATCGTCCTGGTGTAAGATCGATTTGTGTATCATCAGCCCGGCTCAAGGTAGGGGTAAGGTAAGACGACTGATGAACATAAAGATTAGCGGGATGCTTGGCTTGAAGATGACCAGCCGTTCAAGCTTTTGGGCGCCGGAGAGAACCGAGGCGCTGCCTCGCCAGAGTCGCGGAGTCGCCAATGCGCCACAGACAGGACTAAAACCTATGTACGAACATACTACGAAATCGGCATCTAGTGAAATGCTTTAATACCAGCAGGGCTACTCCCATGTCGCTCGCAACTTGCTCGACCGTGACGCTGTCAACAGGCGCACTGTTGGATCTATGTACTGACATGTAGAATGAGCCGTTGAAATGGGCTTGGGAAGGAGCAGGGGTCGGCGAGAGGCTGTTGTGACCCAGCCACATGAATTTGATTCGCCCCGTCATGATCAATGAACAACGCAGAGGCAGCTCATCTGCGCAAGTCTGCATACACCGTTTCTGCGTATCATTTATTCGTCTGTGCATATCTGTAGCGTTTGGACCATCTCACAGCATCGTATGCGCCGCCGATAGCCACAAAACAGACACCGCCTTGAAGCGAAACGATGAGTGCGCTGGCCTTAGGTTGTACAAGTTCCCAAGAGTCGGCAACGTAGGACAAGCAGCCCGCGACGATGCCCAAATCCAGCTCCAGTCGTTCAAAGCGCGACTCCGAGGGCAGGGCCGATCGTCGACGTGACACCGACGACGGCTCCTCAAAGCGCTCCCGCGCAGATTCCGACGCCGGTACGTCGTCTCGCCGCAAATCGAATCCACGCGACGATGACATTCACGACGGCGAATTCTTACCTTCTTCAACGAGTTACTCGTCTACTTCTCGCAGCCCGCATCCTGGTGTAGCAGCGCCCTCCTTAGCTTCAAGCTACGTCTCGGCGCAGACAACAAACAATAACAACGGGACGGTCCGTCCAGCCGAACTGATACGCAACGAAAGCATGGCGGACACTGCCGAAATGCGCAGAGAAAGAGAATTGAGAAGAGAAAGAAAAGCCGAGAAGAGAAGCAATAGAAATGGTGTTGTTGACGGCACCGATGACCTTCCCAGGAATGTGGAGAACGACCGTGATCAAGAACGCCGCAACTACAGCAAGGAAACGTCCCGAGGCTACAATAATGACGAGGCCACCCTCCCGGACGACCGAGCTCGAGGACAAGAGCCTGCGCGGTACACCGGGACAGATCGACCGCCACGAGGACAGGCCTCCTCATACTACGGTGACGATGGCCAGTCTGTTGCATACCAGCCAGGCGTGCGCCCAGATGCTCCGAGCGTCGTTTACTCCGCCGAACAGGCACATCTGATGGAGCCGACGACCAAGCCGAATCCACCCCCAGAGCCGAGCAGTATGGGACAGACTGGCGCTGCAGCAACCTATTTTGGAACCGGCGCATACGAGACTACCTCCACGCCATCAAGGTCAGACAACAAGACCAAGTCAAGATCAGACAAGCGCAATGGTCGGGATTCTGAGTCGCGTGGAGACGCGCGTGCCCGCACAGGTCACGCAGCAGAATACTTCTCTGGCGCTCCAATATCTGCTGGCCAGCCGTACCGCACTGAATCTCCTGAATCCTTTGTTGGGACATCACGGCCGCAGGGCCAGCAATATGGTACTGGACAGACTGATTACCAGTCGCAAGGGTTTGCCAATGCCGCTGGCTTCGCTGGCAGTGCGGCTGCTGTCTACGCGGCCGGTAAGGCACACGATCGTCCTCAGAACCATGATTCTCAGCCCGATCCCGGTTTTCGGCTTGGCCAGAACCAATCCGCATTCCCCCAGATGCAGGATCAGTATCGACAGAAACGAAAGGGCCCTCTCAGTAAGCTGGCGAATTTCTTTAAGGACCCTGAGGGTGTTGCGCGATTTGAGCAGTACAGCGAAGCTGTTGGAGTCTGCAAGTACTGCTTTGATCCGAACAGCTCGCCGATGGATGCGCCCAGAAAGCACCATTATCACGGACGTCGAAATTCGTCGAAGCGACGCTATGACGCTGCTGGCCGTGTTGAGAAGGGCTATCGCTACTCATCTTCATCTGACGACGAGCGAAAACGCAAGTCGGGTATGGGCCAGGTCATTGCTGGTGGTCTTGCGGGCGTGGGCGCTGCTAAAATAGGGCAGGCTCTATACGACCGCAAGCATGACTTCGATGACACGTATTCAGTCAAGACAGGCCAGCCTTATTCATCCCACCCAGCCAACCGCAGTCGTGTCAGCTTTCAAGAAGATGTTGCCACTAGTTCGCGCGGCTTGAGTCTCTCAAAAGAGGAGGATCGATCCAAAGGTCGCAGCTCAAGGAGAAAGGATGAGAAGCGTCGGTCTCGACGACGGAACTCCTCCTCTAGCTCATCCTCAAACGGCATTTCAAAGACAGCGGCGCTCGGCTTAGGTACTGCTGGCATTGCAGCTGGACTTGCAGCCTCTTCTCGACCTCGAAGCCGTTCTCCCTCGAAGAGGAAAGGCTACTACTCAAAGCGGATCTCTCCAAAGCACTCGTATGTTGATCTCAACGACACAAGTGCTGGCACCTTCGGCTTCAACCAGTTCAGGAGTCCATCACAGAATGACAAGAAAGGAAAGCGAGCTAAAGGATTCTTCAACTTCTCCAATTCGTCAGGCTCGTCCTCCGATGCTGATCTTGCATTCGGACAGGGCACAGTCCGGCGCAAAGACAGCAGAAGGTTTAAGCGCAAGAATAGCTCTGAGTTCAACATAGGCACGGCAGCCGCTCTGACAGCAGCGGGCATGGCTTTGGCATCCGAATCCGACAGTCGAGGCAAAGGTAAATCTTCTCGGTACGCTGATGTTTATAGGGAGAAGGCACAGGCCGATGGCAGGAACAAGATCAAACTCAAAGATCATGAAACAACGACTGATGCTGATAATGATGACGGCTGGTACGACACTGATGGCGAACACGGCGTTTCCAGTGGCGAAGAAGGTGGCCTGGCTTATGGCCGACGTGCTTCGCCGGCACAGAGTAAAGACTCTGTCATTGAAGAAGGTGGCTGGTGGCCATGGAGCACACCTACCAAGTCTTCAAGAGGAAGTCGTCCACGGCGAGCCGAGCAGGACACACCATCCCGGATCAATCCAATGACGGCAGCAGCTATCGGTGCTGGCGTTGCCGACATTGCAGCCAACACGATGGCCCACCGTGACCAATCTCGGAACCATAGGGACGCATCTCAACCCATGCAAGAGATCGAACCGATACCCGCCAGCGATTTCGTACCGCCAAGTAGTTCTCAGCCGTCACGCAGCGCCAGTGGCCAGTACATCTCAACTAGAGACCAAGTTCCTCTACAGCAACCGCAACCTGTCGTACCTCTACCTCTGGTAGCTGGCGCGTTGGCCGACGGAGCCCGCGATGAGAGACGAACGGCTGTCCAGGACTACGAGAGTCGACGACGACGAAGGCGGGACTCGAGTCCGGCCAAAATGCCTTCCCAAAGTAGCCGAGTGGGCTTTGATGTTCCAGACAAAGCATCGCGGAAGCCACGTGAGGACTCTCGAGAACGCACACGGCAAGAGAAGAAAGAGCGGCGACGCACTGTCGACTTCTCGGAGCTTGCTAATGACGACGAGAAGAGAGCCGCTCGTGAAGCCGAGATTGAAGCCGAACTGCAGAGACTTTATGACGAAGACCGTCGCCGAGCAGCAGAAAAGAAGCGCGAAAAAGCAATCACGACTGCCGCCGCGGTAGCCGTTGGAGCCTCAGTCGCCGCGGCTTCGGCCATTAGCAAGAAGCCTCGTGAAAGCTCAAGCGAGCGCGAACGCCCGACTGCTCGTAAATCAAGCATGAAAAAGACCACCCGAGATGCCGGTGAACCACAACCTGCCGAAAGTCAACAAGAGCGCATCGCTCGCATGGCTGCACAGCGGGTGAGATCCACCTCTCCAGCCCACTCTGTTGAGCACGAAAGCTACAGCGACTACTTTGTACCCAAAGAGCTTGCCGAGCAGATTCAGGAACACAATCTGGAGTCAGCAGCACGGAACGAACACCACGATCATGACGTTGTGGAAATTGCACCGGGTGGCGAGCATCTTGGACCTTTTGAGAAGTTCAACTACGCCATCTTTGGTACCGAACCGCACCACGATCCGCTCGATCATCCATGGGCTATTCCCACGCTAGCACTTGTTGAGCCAACACCTCCAGTGAGTCGCAATACCAGCAGGGCCGCAAGTCCTGCCGTCAGGTCTCCTGCTACGTCGCCTGTTAAGGACAAAGACGTCCCTGCCGCAGTAGATGCGGACGTGAACGCAGATATCGGAGAACCGCTTGAGCGCAGAGGCTCCAAGGTGAAGTGGGGCGACCACGATACCTACGTCTATGAGGTCATCACACCAGAGTATGAGAGGTCGAGCTACATGCCTGAGTCTCCTGAGGAAGCCCGCCCTTCTGATGCTGTACGCAATGCCGCCGCGGCCGCGGCGTCGGCGGCGGCAGCAGCCGCAATGTCGAAGTCTGTGAGCAAGGAGAGGAAGCCAAGTAAGCTCAGTCGTGTGCAGAACCTCGCAGACGGCGATGGGGAGACTGGCGAAAAGACTTCTCGTAACATCCCAGCCGTCGAAGAGATGAGTCCTCAACAGCGCGAACATCTCTCGAAGGGCGGAGACTTTGGTGATATGCCAGGAACATTTGATAGGTCATCAACTGCTGATGATGAGGAGAAAGAACGTCAACAAGCGGCGGCTCGCGAAGCCACACTTGCCAGGATTCGTGGCATCGCCAAGAATGCCATGGACTCGCGACGGAAGCCAATTGATGGCCAGCCTGCCGACGTCGCCGAGCTCACAGGAAGGGGAAGCAGGAGCGAGCGTCGTCGCAGTGAGCGTGCTGGGACAATTCAGGACACAGTCCAAGGGGATCCACCCCCAGCAACGTCCGACAGCCATGTGCCGTCCGCAGGTGTATTTGATTATCTCGTGGACGAGGACGGTCAACCTCTGCGTCCAGCCTCTGCTCTTCAGTACGAGGGCTCTGGAGTTTCAAATCGGACGCCCATCGAGCACGAGCGGGTCAGGCCTCGCGCGCATGCCGAGTCGGAACGTGACAAGACTCGCGAAGAGGATGGTGCATTCTCAAAGCCAAAACGAGCAAGTACGTTTGGTGAATACGCTTCGGATGAGAAGCAGAACTCGAAAGGGAGGTCTGCTTATTCGTCTGATCCAGAAGATCGAGAACGTTCTCGAGAGCGATCCCGGGACGGCGACAAGCGTGCTTCGAAGAGCGACGTTGGCTTCGGTACTACTGCTGCCGTGGCCGCCGGGACTGCAGCAGCCAGCCTGGCTGCCATTGCCGCCCAAGCCAGTAATGCGTCAGACAAGAAGACTAAGCGTCGATCAAAGCGTGAAGACGACATCATTGGTGATGATGATGCTGATTCCGTAATCAGCAGTCCGGCAAGCAGAGACGATGACAAGAAGTCTCGCAGACGTTCCAAGCGCGACTCAGAAATCTTCGACGACGATGATCGATCTGTGACAAGTTCAACGGCGGACTCCAGCTCTCGCAAGAAAAGTAAGGACAAGAAAGAAGAGAAACGCTCCAGCGGCATCTTCGGCAGCATCTTCGGAGGATCAAAGAGTGACACGAGTACAACGAGCAAGAAAAGTTCGAAGTCGGCCAAATCTGACAGCAAATCCGCAAAGGATGATGACGAAGGTAAACAGCGGAAGCGCCGCTCAAAAGGAGAAGATTCCTTTGATGTTGAGCCAGCTCCTTACAGCCGCAGCGTGCACGAAGAGGACGAGAAAGATGATTCTTCATACCGACCATCAAGAGATCAGAGTGTAGACGATGGCTTTGTCTCGGCCGACGAGCACAGAGCTGTAGCATCATCACAAGATCACGAGGAGCCGTCTTTTTTAGCGGAGCGCCCCGAAATGCCACCTCAACGACCAACGGATACTCCAATGGCCACAGATAAGGATGGTGTCTCGGGGCCCACAGTCACTACCGAACGCGACCTACAGCTCGAGACACCTCCAGGTGATGCAGAAACTGCCACGCAGACACCGGTGTCCAATCGAGCCCGCCCTGTGGCCGCGCTGAGAACCAGTGAGCTTGGCAATGTGCCAGGTGTGGCTTCTCCCACAGCTGTGCCAATCTCCTTCAGACGTCCGCCGCCTACAAGTCCAGCCACACCACGCGCCTTCTTCAGCTCCCCAATCCCGAGTCCTCAATCTCCTCTCAATACGCCACGTACACGACAAGGACGACCTAAGAGCACCGAATTCCGGTCTACCGAGTTCCGGCCGCTGTTCCTTGTAGAGAAATCGAGATCAGAGAAGACGCCCATCCCAGAGGTTGAGGAAGACCTACCTTCACTTCCATCGAGTCGCACAACCTCTGCACGTGCATCTTTCGAGGATCTGCGAGGCGCAGCCGAACAACAAGACCATGTCGGTCTCGAGTCCCGAAGGCCTAAGAACGAAGATCGACCCCGCCGTCACAGTGCTTCATGGTGGGACGATGAGACCACCAAGCGCAGGCAATCTCCTGATTATCTCGACTCTCGAGCTGCAACGCCCGTGCCAATCAATGTTCAGCGCAAGCGTGAAGAACAGCAGCAGCGTGAGCAACGAGAACGAAGAGGACGGGACCGCCTCGCGGATAGACCAGAGCTCAAGTATGAGTTTCATTCACCCAGTGAGCTCCTGCAGGATCCAGCCACACTCGCTGAGACGACTGGAGCCGAAGTGCCCGAAGAAGTGCCGAGAGTCGGTAGTCCACTGCCCAGCGTTGCAAGCACGGAAGACTTCATGAGTGCAACTGAAGGCCCTCATAGCGAGCGCAGCCGCTCCCGGTCTAGATCTGGGTCGAGGGGTCGTCGTGACACAATCACAGCAGCTGGCCTGGGTGTCGGTCTCGGCGCTTTGGGTGCTTATGGTGCCAGTGAGTGGCTGGCCCAGCGTGAGCCCGGCCGAAATGACGAGCACGTAATCACAGAGGACAATGACATGTATGGCGAAGACACGCATGAGGCGCGACCCGGAGAGATACAGCCACGTACAATTGCACCGGAGCATGAGCAGATGGCCCAGAAGAGGATGCCAGAAGGTCCTGGCTTTGATGGTGTCCCCAGCGAGTCTGTAACGGCAGATGCGCAAGAAGACCGGATTGCGCCAGTCCCTGGCAAGAAGTCGAAGAAAAGCAAGGAGAAGACGACAGATAACGCCAATTCTGCTGGAGCTGAAATGAAGCAGGACATTGCCGCTGAAATTCCGATCACAGTCACAGAAGCAACGCCAGCCGAAGACTTCGCAGAGGCTGATGAATGGAACTTTCCTACGACAAGCAAGAAGGGTAAGAAGTCCAAGAAATCCAAGAAGGCAACGCCTGCTCCACTCGACATAGCCACGGCAGAGGCCAAAGACGAAGAAGGCCACCGCGCCATTGACGACGATGATGTGCCATTGACAGCTGTACCTTCGTTGACGCCGGACAGCCAACTCGCGCCACACGAGCTTGACATTGATCGATCTGTTGGACCCACATCACCGATAGATCAACAGACTCCTGCGCCATCGGATGAACCTACAACACTAGACGAATTTCGTGACCGGGATGCCTTCCCCTTCGATACATTGCCTGCGAATGAGACCATTTCTGCCAATCCCGAGAACGCTGCCGATCGCACAGAAGAGTCCCATTTGGACCTCACTCCTTCTCTGGAAGAGACCAACAAGCCACACGACACGCATGGCGCTTTCGAGGAAGCATTCGAGCGCGCTGTCCGCGCTCGCGGTCTCAGCAATGCTTCCAGTCGTGAAGAAGCGCACAATGCGTTTCTGCCGAAACACGACAACGCAACCCAATCCTCGTTGACAGAGACATCGCCTGCTCTCGACGAACAGAGTGAGCGCGTCAGCGGCAGCCCTGGTGCCGGAAGCGCCGACCACATTGAACAAGCGCAGCCCGCCTGGGATGATGGTTTCTCCACTACGAAAAAGTCCAAGAAAGAGAAGCGTAAAAGCAAACTGCGCGAGAGCGTTCACTTCGATGATTTCGTTGAAGCGTCTCCAGCTCACGATTCTGGTGTATTGATCCCAGTCGACGCCACTGCTGAGTCGATAGAGCTCGACGATACCCAGTCCGGCCTCAAGTCAGCTGCAGAGCTTATAGAGGCGCCTGTCGAGGCAAACGAAGAGGAATGGGCACCTCTCTCGAAGAAAGACAAGAAGAAAAAGAAGAAGCAGAGCCGAGCTCTGGATTTCTCCGAATCAGCTCAGCCTTTCGAAGAACCGATTGCAAGTCCCTTTACAGCCACACCGGATGCTGTTGACCAAAAATCCGCTGATCTGGTCGACGATCATGCGGCGACCACCGAAGAAATGGCGCGTCGTGTCGACGACAACGATGCAGAACGCGCTCCTGCTGCTTCCGATGGAGACGAGTCAAAGCTGGATCAGGATGGCGCTGCTCAACTTGAATCGAATGGCGCCAGGCTCGACGCCAGCGCTGCAGATACGATCCACGACGTGCAGCAGACCACAAATGATCCTGCAGACCACATAGCAGAGATTGAACCTATGGAAACATCTACACAAGCATCTGTGGGCGACGAGGAGTCGGCATGGGCGCCTCAGCCGTCCAAGAAGGAGAAGAAAAGGATGAAAAAGCAGAGGAGGCAAGCATTCGACTTTGACGAGCCGAGCGACATCGTCGAGGAAGCTCCAGCACACACCGCGCTCATCGACTCCGGCGCTGACGTTGTCGCCGATCCAGACAACGAATATGGTGTGCCGTCGATGTCAAAAGGCAAGAAGAGCAAGAAGGACAAGAAGCGCAACGATACATCGTCGACGTGGTCAGATAGTATGTACGGAGCGGCCGTGGCAACCGCGGCTGTAGCAGGTGGGACTGCTGCGATGGCGAAAACAAAAGACGACGATGAGGTGACACAGCCCGAGATAACCGAAAACGATGCTCTCTCAGGTGATATCGCAGACGATGCCAAGCAGCATGTGGATCCTTCCAGAGACCAGCGACAAGATGAATTCCTGACAGCAGACATCGATGCACCGGAAAAGGCATCTTTGACATCAACGGTACCTTCAGCAGCCATTGACAGCGATGTCTTGAATGAAGAGTCAGAGACTGTCGACGAGAACGCCAGGCCTTCAAACGAACCTGCCATTGAACCTGCAGAGGACGAGTGGGCTTTCCCTGTCAAGAAATCCAAGAAAGACAAACGCCGCGACAAGAAGCGCGTTCCGACCTTTGATGAAATTGCTGAGCCTTCTGCTGTTTCCGACACTCTCACGACGATCGAACAACCTACTGAGGCGCCACTTGGTGATGACCCAGTCGTGGAGCGCTCTGCTTCGCCCCTCGACGAGACCATGAAGTCAGAATCTGCACATTTGTCGGCAGTCAACGAGGGATCCACGCTGCAGGCGGATCCTGAGAGCTCGACGATGGACAATGTGTCAAACCCCTCAATTGATCACGCCCTAGTGCCATCGGAGACGCCGATCGAGGAAGCAGCAGAAGACTTCGCGTGGGCGCCAACCAAGAAGTCAAAGAAGGACAAGAAGAAAGCTAAGCGTCAATCAAATGTTGACCTGAGCGAAGAAGTCGCACAGCCCGAAACTGAGAAGTCTTCTCCAGCCGATGGTGGCACCGCTCCTGTTGTTGAGGACACGCCGAACTCGACTCTCGGAGTCTTGGTAGTAGACAGTAATGTCACGCCAGCAGAAGCAGTTGAGGTCGAAGCAGCTGGCGACGATGCATGGGCCCCAACCAAAAAGTCGAAGAAAGACAAGAAGAAAATTAAGCGTCAATCAACGGTCGACTGGGACGCAGAGCCGCTCGAATCAGCAGAAACTGCTCCCACTAGCGAAGAACCCGGCACTGTCGCTGCAGATGATACCATCGTGCAGCCCAGCAACGCAGGGCCCGAGGCAGACCCAGTTGAAGCACCACCGGACGAGACATCCCAAATGGAAGAACCGGTAGTCGAAGCAGCGCCTATCGCCGAAGACTTTGCTTGGTCACAGACATCAGCGAAGAGAAGTAAGAAAGACAAGAAAAAGCGCAAGAGTGTTGCCTTCGAAGACTGGACCGAGGATGCGTCGACTCCGTCGGCGGCTGACCCTCCCGTCGATATTCCACAGGAGCCCCTGACCGAAGTCCTACACGAATCTGGTGCTGCCGAAGCAGCTTCACTGTTGCCGGAGATACAGGACGAAATCAATGCTCGTGCCCTCACCGAGGGTCAAGCGGAGATGAACAAGCGTGGTGACGAAGTTGTAACGCAATTGCAGCCGCCTTCAGTTGAAGAGGCTGAAAATACCGAGGCGAGGATGATGGAGACTGCGCAGCACGACCCGGTCCAGCAAGAACGTACAGAGCAGGACGAAATCAACACAAACGCACTCATGGAAGGTCAAGCGGAGATCGAGAAACAAGATAACATCGTCGACGTAGCGCCTCACGCACCTTCTCGCGAAGAACTCGAAAATGTAGAGGCAGACATGATCAGGACTGTACAGGAGGATCCTAATCAGCCTGACATCGGAGTTCTGCCATCTCCTCAGCAGCACCAGCTATGGACGAGGATCCTCAGCAACTGGACCAGTCTTCGGCACAACTTCCTAAGGTCGTCGGTGCAGCAGATCGCGACATCGAAAGTGCTGCGGCTCCAGCTGAAGACGAGGAATGGGCTCTTCCTGCAACAGGGAAGAAAGAGAAGAAAAAGAAGAAACGTGCCTCGACGTTCGATTTTACTGAAGAGCCTATAAAGACAGCACCTTCTGAGCCCACGATTGATCCTGCTGCTGCCACTGAACGCAACGAACCTGAGATGGTTGAGGATGTTGACTGGGATATCGCTCTTTCGAGCAAAGAACGCAAGAAGCAGAGAAAAGCTCTCGAGCTAGCCGGAAAGTGGCCGCCCATGAAGCGGCGAGAGACATTGCCTGATGCAGCCACGGAGAAGTCTGGCGAGGATCCAATTGAAGAGCCCGCCCCTGAGCCTGAAGTCACCACTGAAAACGATGTACCGAAACCCTTGCAAGACTCAGCGTTGGAATCAGTCGAGATGGTCGAAGATACTGACTGGGATCTTAATCTGTCCTCGAAGGAAAAGAAGCGGAAGAAGAAGGACCTTCAATCTGCAGGAAATTGGCCGCCAATGAAGCCAAAAGACGTCAGCTCAGCTAGTGCAGACTCGGCAGCTACACCTCCTGCCCAAGTTACTGAGGACAATGAGATGCCCATTCCCGCAGAAGCCACAGGGGAGATTGTGCCATTGCCAGAAGCCTCCACTGACCCTCTCATGGTCGAGACTCTCGATGAACAAAATCCTCCTGATGCAGATGACTGGGCTCTGCCTTTGAAGAAGAGCAAGAAAGACAAGAAGAAAGCTAAGCGTGGATCTGCCATCGATGACTTCAACGATTCGGCGCCAGCTGCTTCGACGACAGAGTCCACAAGTCATGCCACGGACCTTGCGCCCGAACAAGCCGCTGAAGTCCCTACAACTGTCGAGGATACGCTCGACCATGATCGGCCTGGAGAAGAGCTCACCCGTGACGCTGATCCCGAGCAGCAAGTCGCTGAAGACGAGTGGAATCTGCCAGGTTCATCGAAGAAATCGAAGAAAGACAAGAAGAAGAAACGTGCCACGACCTTTGATTGGGACGCTTCCGCTGCCACGCCACTGCCTGAGGCAGCATCTGATGAACATGCGCCAACAGCCGCGACCGAAATTGAATTGCCACTGGAGGGATCTGTTGTGCCTGAACTTCCGCGGGAGGATGGGGAATTGGCTGCCAATACGATCGCCCCCGAGACATCGAAAGGGGTCCTTGAGAGTACGGCGAACCTCACGACCGGCCCTGACGGGCCTCTCAGCTCTACGGGCATGGATCGGGAGGTCCCCGAGTCAGGAGCCGACAATTTCGCCGATGCTGCAACCACCGAAACTATTCTCAACGCCGCCGATTCAATTGATGCTCCCGAGCGGCCTCCAACTCATCTCGATGAACGTACGGCGGTAGCAAATCGGGAAGACAACGTACCAGACGTCTCGGCACACGACGCCGCCGACCGGAGCATTCCTGCCGCCATCGTATCCGAAGCGCTCGGCCGCGAGGGCTCCAAAGATGCTATGGCTGATGATGACCGGAGTCTCTTGCCGGACAAGAAATCGGGGCCAGACCAACTTGCCGAAGCAACTCCGTCCGCAATTGGTGAAGATGAAGCCATTGTATCATCAAAAGCCACGGAACTCGAGCCAGGCCCGCGACTCCAAGAGCTGGACGTGGATGATATCGGCCATGCAGAGCGCCCTGCGCTGAACGTTGATGCCGACACCGAAGAGCCAGAGCAAGAAGACGACACGTGGGGCTTCACCACCAGTAAGAAGTCAAAACGGGACAAGAAGAAGAAGAAGCGGACTCCTACTTTCGACTTTGACGAACCTGTCGAAGCGTCCGTTCCTCACGTCGAAGCTAGCGCAAAGAACGAGGCGCTGACTGAGTCGTCAGTGAACCGCGATGTCGGTCTTGATTCGCCCTTGGCGGGACCAATGCTCGAGGGCGACGATGGCCATTCACTCGAGGGACCGCATTCTCTACCGTCTGCGACCCCGGCAGTCCAGACTGCTGACGAATCAGCTGCTGATAAGACGGTGCCTAGCGTGGTCACGGAACCGGAAGTGGAAGATGATTGGGGCTTTCCTCTTTCTAAAAAGAAGAGCAAAAAGGACAAGAAGCAGAAAAGCGCCAGCACCAATTCGCTCGCGGACCCGGATGCCACGCCAGCTTCACTCGGTGATGCACAAGTTCAACCTGACGGGCGAGCAATTGACGACGCTGCGCTGACAGTCGAGCCTCAGTCTGTGATAGAGACAGATGACCTCGACCGCGTGTCGGGCCAGGGTGTGGAAGCCGTCGACGACGATTTCGAAAGCCTCAGCAAAAAGGACAAGAAGAATAAGAAAAAGAAGCGCGGCTCGACCTTCATGTTTGATGACCTTGACGAGCCCACTGCCGGAGCCCGTACTGATGAGCTTCCGAAGTCGATGCAGCTCCCTGCGGAGGACACCCAGCACAACGTCGAAGATGACGCATCCACAACGCAGTTGCAAGAACCCGACAGTACTCAGATTGATGAAGGAGGAGTCTCTGCTCGTCGCCGAGACTCCATCGCTGCTGAAGCCAAGCCTGTCGACGCTGGCGATAATGCCTCAGCACCTGGACCAGTGCCGCAATTTGTCGAAGACACTGACTGGGATCTTGGTCTCAGTTCAAAGGAGCGCAAAAAGAAAGAAAAGCAACTACGTAGTAGCGGTCAGTGGCCACCCATGCGGGCTCTGGCAATGCCTGACGAAGCCGAGAGCATTGGCCAGCAATCAGCGATTGACTCCGTCCCGATGGATGAGTCCCAGCAGCCAGAAGTCGAAATGGTCGAAGACACAGAATGGGACCTTGGTCTCAGTTCAAAGGAGCGCAAAAAGAAAGAAAAGCAGCTTCGTAGCAGCGGCCAATGGCCGCCCATGCGAGCTCTGGAAATGCCCATTGAACCGGCCCAAAAACCAGCGCCTGACTCCGTCATGGCAGATCATACCCAACAGCCAGAAGTCGACATGGTCGAAGACACGGAATGGGACTTTGGCCTCAACAATAAAGAGCGCAAGCGCAAGAGAGAGCAGCTGAAGGCGGACGGCAATTGGCCGCCAATGAGAGCTGTCGAGCGATCAGAGCAGGTTCAGTCCGCTGCTTTGCCAGCACAGCAGATCATCTCAGAAGAGGAGCAATCTTCAAGTCTTCCGATTGCCTCAGAGCTCGATAGTTTCGGCAAGCCCGGCAGCATGGATTGGACCATTTCCGAGAAGCAAGACAAGAAGTCGAAAAAGAAAAAGAAGCGTGGTTCTGCCTTTGATTGGAATGATGACACACCTACATCGGGAGTGGAGTCAGGCATGATAACGCCAGCAGTCGCCGAGTCTCACGAGAAGTCAATGATTGATGCTGTTGATGGAACTTTCGCAGCGGGAGCAGCAGCAATGGTAGCTGGGCTGCCAACATATGACATAGACAATGAGCACATCGCTCGTGAAATCGAGGCTGATGAACCACAACCTTCGATGGCGGACACCGACGATTGGGCCCTCCCGGCTCGAAAGGCCAGCAAGAAAGACAAGAAAAAGCGCAAACAAGTTCCCGGTGCTTTCGAAGACTCAGGCACGGCAACTCCCTCCACCCCGATGGAGCTCGAAGAGCAGGCCACAACTGCTGCCGTCGACGCAGATGCCGACAAAGGTCCACGACCACGCGAGCGATCCGTTGCGGAGGCATTTGATGATGTCCTGCTCATGGACAATCTGCAGCGAGATCGAAGTGCCCAAAGCCACGAACGATGGGCACTCGAGGATGAGTTCATGAGCGGCGAAACACCTCGTCATGATCTGGTCGATGATGGCGAGATGGTCGCCGACTCGTCAGAAACCGCTGACCATCAAAAAAGGACCATTGCGCTTGCACCACAAATCTCTGAGAACTTTGCAGGAGCGACCCAGGAAGTCGATGGGCAAGCAACAACAGACACACCATCTGCTCACGACCCAATGTCCGAGGTTGAGCGGGTCCTATCAACGACCACGACAGAATCGAAGAAGGACAGAAAGGAGAAGGGCCAGTCGACTTCGGTGGGCGAACTTTTCGACGAAGCAACACCGACGGCTCCGATAGAAATCATGGCTTCTCCTGTCGAACCTACCTCTACCTCCGCAAGCGCGCCCGAGACGGAGACGACTCGCGGCGAGCCGCTTGAATACGGCCTTGCTGAAGATGGCTCTTGGGACGATGCCTCAAGCCAATCGAAAGTGAAGAAGTCGAAGCGACGATCGAGCGAGGATCTCTTCGAGACGCAACAACGAGGGCCGTCCTCCCACACCCAGACAGAGGTAGCACATGAAAGTATTATGCCAATCTTTGGAACTTTAGCGGCTACTGCAGGTGCAGCAGCGCTCGCGTCAGACGACAGAGATCGATTGCGTGAAGGTAAAGAAGATGTCTCACGCGCATCATTAAGCAAGAAGTCGAAAAAGGAGAAGAAAAAGAATCGTCAAGCTGAATTCTATGAACCCGGAAATTTGTCCGGCCATGCAGCAGAAGCGAGTGACGACGATGAATCGCGTGCTGCAGACAATCATGCAGACTTGCCAGCCGATGAGCGTCAAGACCGCATGCCTGGCGACCTAGAGCAAGAAGAGGTCCAAGAGTACGGTCAGGCAGGATCTTCCGAAAATGACCAACGAAGAAATCGATCAACCGAGTTCTACGAGCAAGCTGACACGATGGATGTTGACAACTTCGATGCCAGAGCACGTTCGCAGGACTTATATGCCGATACGGCTCCAAATGAGCCGCTGGCAGATGCCGATCAGTATGACGCATATGGCTTCAGACCGCCCAAGAAATCCAAAAAGGGCAAGAGAAAGAAGCGCGACTCGAATTACGATGACGAAATCGGCGAGGATATCGCTGCGCCAAAGCCAGTGAGCTACGACATATCTCAAGATAAAGACCTGCCCTACGTTCCAACACCACCCCCAGCGATTGCAGAAGACTCTGGTCCCGAGCTTGTGAGCTCTCCACAAGGCATTGAGCACGAGATCTTCCAAGACTACGAAGCGTCACCAGAACCGGGCATCGCCCATACAGACACCAAACAGGAGGTCGATGATTGGTACACGTCCACATCAAAGTCGAGGAAAAGTAAGAACAAGACTGACAGCCTCAGCTTCCGTCGCGCTGACACTGTCGACAATATCACGTCCATGTACGGCGATCAAGCTAGCCCTCGCTCCAAGCCCAGCCAATCGGAGGATTCAGCCTGGGGCGGCGGGCGTCATAGGTCAAACAAGGACAAGAAGAAGAGTAAGGCGCCGATCGTGTGGGAGGAAGAGACACCATCACTGGATTCTCCATCAAAGCGAGCCGCTGCCGAGGAAGTGGCCGATGACTGGTACTCGGCAAGTCCAACAAGCAAGAAGAGTGGGAAAGGCAAGCGTTCATCTCGGTCTGATCATTCTCTTCCGGACGATTCCAGTCCTGTCGAAGCTTGGTCAAAAACAGTCAAGCGAGCCACATCTGGCGGATCATTGCGCGAAAGCGATGGTTCAGAAGTCAGTGCCAGCACACGTGAACGGCGGCGCAGACGTCGACAGTCCCCAATCCAACAGGACTGGGCTGGTGAGGAACCGCCAGACTTGCCGCGAGACCGTGCCTTGACTCCGCCACCGGAGAGGGATGATGTGTTCGACACTGCTCTCGGTGTGGCTACAGCAATCGGTTTCGGTGCAGGAAGTCAAGCCACCGAGCAACGTGACGCCAAGTCACGCCATCGCGATATGCCTCAAGACGAACCTAGCTGTTCCTTCGCAGACGTGAAGCCGGCGAGAAGAGATCTCATGGCAGACGTGAATCGTGATAGCGGAGTTCAATTTGAGTCACCTATTGTTGGCACAGCAGAGGAGTCAGTTCGAGACAGCGGCTACGGCCATGATTGGGAGCGTGACCCAAGTCATCGAGAACATCTGAGACCTGTCCGACCGCAGTCACCCACGAGCTCGAGTGAAGATGTTCGGCGACATGTCTCTGCCAGAGAACATGCTACACTGGGCAGAGACTATGACCAGCCATATTCGCCGGATCCCATTCAGTCAACGTCAAAGGATCGCTCGTCAGTGGTTTTCAAGTCTTCGCCTACCGCTCCAGGCTCTACACCACGAGTATCTCAGATCGACACATCGATAAGACGATTGCACTCACCCGACGGCCTGCACCGTTCTCCGAGTGTTCACGGCCCACATTCGTCTCGCGATGGTTCGGTCCACCGCTCACTCGACAGCCGCTTGCCAGGCTCGCCTCTGGCTTCCAACCTAATCGACCGAGCCTCGATGTCTGGAGTCGATCGCACGGTCTTCTCTCCTTCGCCAACATCGACAAGTTATCCTCGCTCCCCACCAAAGTCGCCGTTGCATTCGATCCCAGAAGACGGCTCTCAATCTCACACTGACAACCTGACGAAAGCAGCTGTTGTGACGGGCATTGGTGGTGTCCTTGGAGCAGCCGCGCTGGCCTCGGCACGTGACTCGAGTAGCTCCAAAACTCTTGGCAGATCGAAGTCGCGGACCTCGAGTCTGCGCAACCTGCGCGGAAGCTTGACTTCACCAATTTACGAGCCGAACACTGGCTCATCGACACCGCGCAATATTGCGCATGATCGCACTGACGACGGCGGCAGAGCTGCCGCCGTGAGCCGTAACATGGCTGATTTCGTAAGTATTGCGAGCACTGTTGCCATCCGACCTCGCGTCATTTGTTTACCATTTCTCCAAAACATATATCAGACCCGGGGTATTGATGCTGACCATCAATTGTCACAGGATGGCTATGGGCACCGTCCCGCGAGCCCTATGTCGCCGACGCGGCCTCCTTCGATCACGAAGCGTCGAAGCATGCAACAGATCCAAGATCTCCAGACACGCCTCGAACAATTGGCCGACGAGAACCGCAGCCTTGCCGAAGCTAAGATTACGGCAGAGCGACATCTTGAAGAGTTCCACTTGGACCAGCACAAGAGTGAATATGCGACGCAAGAAGCACTTCGCACTGCAGAGGCGCAGTTGCGCGAACGTGATGAGAACATTATCAAACTGCAGAGTGAGATTGCTGGAATGGCGCAATTGCATCAATCAAGTCGTGGCGGCTTCGAAGGAGAAGAGGACAGTCGTGAGCTTGAAGCGCTGAGAGCGCAGCACACCGAGCTCTCGCAGGGCATGGACAGCATTATTCGACACGAGATCGACGCAGCAATGATGCAGAAGAATGCTGAAGTGGAACGACTGCAGCGTGAACTGGCTGCCGCAAAGGAAGAGATCCGTGAGCTGCAGAGCCAAATTCTCGCGAGAGGTGTGGGCAGCAACGCGGATGATGGCATCGTGGACTTTAAAGACGAGGACTACTTCGATGCCGCTTGCCAACAACTCTGTCAACACGTACAACAGTGGGTGCTCCGCTTCAGTAAGCACAGCGACAATCGCGTCTGCCGGAGAACAGATGAAGTCCGCGATGAGAAGATCGTGGATCGTTTCGATAACGCCATACTCGACGGCTCAGATGTCGACATCTACCTTGCCGACCGCGTGCGGCGGCGCGATGTGTTCATGAGCGTTGTCATGACCATGATCTGGGAGTATGTCTTCACACGCTACCTTTTCGGCATGGATCGCGACCAGCGGCAGAAACTCAAGCAGCTGGAGAAGAACCTTTCAGAGGTGGGACCCGTCAGCAGCGTCAATCGTTGGAGATCCATCACCCTCAGCATGCTCAGCAAGCGCGGACAGTTCAAGAGCCAATGCGACAACGACACCGAGGCAGTTGCGATTGAGGTCTACAATACGCTCAGCAAGTTCTTGCCGCCGCCAAATGAGGTTCAAAATACAATTGTGGACAGCCTGCTGAGTGTGATGCGCAAAGCCGTCGACTTGTCGGTGGAAATGCGCTGCCAGAAGCAGGAGTACTTGATGCTTCCACCGCTACAACCGGAGTATGACACGAACGGCGATTTGGCGCAAAAGGTCTACTTCAAGGCGGCCCTTATGAATGAGCGCTCAGGTGAGACGAGAGACAACGGAGAATTGGAACGGGATGGAGCAGTGGTCAGGATGGTGCTATTCCCATTGGTCGTCAGCAAGGCGCTGATCAAGGACGAAGATGATGGGGAAGAGCGGGAGGAGGAAGTCGTGGTCTGTCCTGCACAGGTTTTGGTGGCAAGGGAGGATGCGAGGAGGAGCAAAAGTCGGCAGAGCGCCGGCACGGCGAGGAGCGCCTCGCAGAGAGTGATGAGCATGGATGCAAAGAGTACTGGGAGTTTGATGAGTGGCGTTGAGGCCGCACCTGCGACACATACGGCTGCGACTGGTGCAGGCGGTGTGTTTTGATTGGAGCCATGCATTTGAGGACCAGGAGGCGTTGGGACCTGCTCATTGGAAAGCACATTTGACGGCCGCACGCACGAAAGACACAAAAGTGAAGCTTTTACAGGTTGAGCGACATACCACGACGATGTTACGAATCTCATAAGGCATTCTTTCTGGAGCAGTCGAGCGTGGACAAATTTAGCATATTGTATAGTATCTAGCACTGATCTAGTCGCCGCAATAGTTGATTGTACTTTTCATATCCTCGCTTGCGTGAAGTGAACACATGCCATCACGCTATTGCCAAATCTCAGACTCGACACCGAAGTTATTAGCCAACGTCAGCCTAGCTAGAATTGGGGCCATCGGGCATTAGGGTGCAAGTGGCTGCGACGTACGCTTCAGCAGTTTAGTAGCTTTGCACATGCCAGCGGTCTTTGGAGCTCGATTTGGAGCTCCTGGACTCATAAGAAACCTCGTCTGCCGGCGGCGTGGGCTCCTAGGCTGGGTATTAGCGCTCACATGGTCGATACAATCTTGCTGAGTTACGCCATTGGGTCTAAGCAGTGTGTGCGCCTGGTCATGACACGGCTCGCATTGGATTCTCACAGACGGCAAGAGCCTCTGATGCAGGTGCGATGCGTCTCTCACAGACGGCAACAGCTCCTGGTGCAATTGCGATGTGTCTCGGCTGCAGCATGCGCATTCTGCCTTGCCCTGGCGTTGAGAACTTTGGTCTGCGTGCCCTACCTAAACGGTACGCCAATGCTATGTGATCCGTCATGATCTCTCGTAGTCCGTAGTCGCAATGGACAGCAGGATCCTCGTCTTGAGCTTTCGGGCAGAAGTTGCTGTGCAGGAGCGCTGCAGGTTTGGTTCGCAGTGACGAGTTATTTAGCTGTGGTTCGCAGTCTGGGCAGTCGAGCTTCAGCCAATCACAACTTTAGCGAGCTCCGAGATCAGGCGCAAGGCAGCCACCAAGACGGAGCTCGAGGCCAATTGAATCACGCACGTGGAGTTTCTGCCTCAAGCAGAAGCGCCTTGTCATTATGCTTTCCAGATGAGGGGCGGAAAGTCAGAAATGCTCAGGCTGTGCGTTGGGTGAGGCCAGACCACGTGCCATGGGCTCTGAGCTCCTTCCCGGGAGATCTGGCTCTAGGCGTCTCGGGCACTGTTGTGCAAGTCTTTCTGGGCCTTATCTCGTGCCCGGAGTCAGGTCACAGGCCGCTAGTGGGATTCTTTTGGTGGCACTGCGGTGCCTGAAAACGTGCTTGATGGGTATGCGTTCGAAGTTGAACAGTGTTGAAGACGCCGCCGAGTACCGGATACATAGCCTGGACACAAAGCTCAAGCATTCAAGACATCAAGCAGCTCCATTGACATAGATCGTAGGGTATCATTTTGGATAAATATAGTCGCTCATGTCTAAACTCCAGCCTCAAGGCAACAGCTGATGCAGGCGAATCAGCGCCTAACATCAATCTCGATGCATCCACTATCATGAAAGTCGTTAACAGCGTATGTGAAGCAATGCACTCGCTTCATCGATGCTTCTCCCTGTGATTGTCGAGAAGCTCTTGGGTCATGAACTTTCTACCGCACGTGGAACAGGTGTAGACCTTCTCAGGATGTCGGCGCACAGTGTGCTGAGTCAGGCCGTCCCGTCGTGCACAAGCAAACCCGCATTCCGGGCAGCGGAATTGCTGAGGATTCTGATTGTCCTTGACATGGCGCCTCCAATTCTTCGCCGCAGCAGCACCAGTGAAGGGTCGGGCGCCGCATGCACAGTGGATATTGCCGTCGGGGTCAGATTTGGCTTCTGCGATGTGGTTAATAATGAATTTGGGGGCATACGAAGCATGGAATGCATACTGTGAGCAGCAGGAATTTCAACGCTGCCTGGACCTTGCGCGGAGGTGCTCAGCTCGCCGTGCTCCGACACTGTCCGAGGAACCGTCGATGCCTGACTGAATGGCTCTGCTCGTGGAAAGGCAAGGGATTCATTTGACCAGGCGCCGACGAGGGCGATATCGGTGGGGTTGGTATAATAGTCTGCAGTAGCTAAGCCGAAGAACTCGGGACTTTCGATGAGCCCGGTAATGTGAAGGTCCTGGTGAAGGGATCATTGGTGATGTTTGCCTGGCTCGTGTGTAGAAATGCATCTGTAGGTCGCCTGGTGTAGGGAAAAGATGCCTCGCCGGTGTTCAGGAACGGATTGAATTCGGCGAAGGGACAAGGATCGATGCGAATTTCAGGCATCTGAGACGACTGCATGCTGGACGAGAAAATTTGGTGTTTTGAAAAGTGAAAAATATGACTTCTTGTTCAGATGAGCTTCGAACCGAATTTCGAGAGATTCACATTCGAATGCTGTCAAAAGCTGAGAGATCAAGAAGAGATGCGAAACGGCGGCGGGGACCTCACAGGACAATATTATCGACGCGCGGGGATCTGAAGATAGGGAAATCCACGGACAGCACTCTCAACCTCAACTTCCCTCAGAGCTTACCGTGCTGCAGACGCTGGGATGTTTCCTTGCATTGACCTCGAGATGTCGACTCTCAGTGACTGCAGGATCCGTAAAACCCACCTTCTAAAAATCCAGCCATGCGATTCGACAAATTCTTTTTCGAAAAGAGGCACTCGGCCAGAGCGGGGATAGGGCCTCAGCCCGTCCAGTGACTCAAACCACAGCTTGTCATCGTGCCTAGATGGCGTTCTTGCTGGAGAATAGTTTCATCGATCCGTACGGTGGCCTGCATCCCGTGACTTGGGCGTTCCCAACTTGGTTGGGAACGTGGGGTAGCCCCGGGAGCACATTCATCATCGGCAAAATCCACACCAGAATCAGCCATGCTTTTCGGCATCAACAAAAGTCGTTGTAACCATTGCTTCGGTAGTATGTGTTTGTTTGGAGTCGGTCTGAAACTTTGCCGCAATGTGATGTTGTCCGTGGAGAAAAAAGAGCATGATAAGCCCCAGTATCTGTCCTTTGTGGGTGCACAGAATAGCTGCGACTGATGTGTGAGATCGCCAAATTACGAAGACCATCAACAACATGGGCAAGCAGGAAGCGCAGAGAGAACTTATTAACCTTCGAGAGTCCGGCTATATATCACCGTGAGCCATTCATGGGACTGTATGGGACTTTGGCGTCATCCCTGGGATTTTTGGTTCAGCCCGCGGCGGCCCCTAAATAACGCCTCTGATTGGTCGAAAGCCAAATCGGCTCCAGACATGGAGTCCGCATCTGAGGACTTTTGGCGTTTTTCCCTGTGCAATGCGAAAGTCCCAGCTAAGATCTTTGGTTTTCCGTACCAAGGTCGTCGTCCACTCGTCTGTTGGGACTCTGGAGTTGCCTCGTTTGCCTTACTTCTTCTGTGCCCCGGCAGAGGCCAATGAAAGTTCATCATCTGTGCGGATGGAAGGCGAGACAGTGGGTGTTTTGTGTCAACGGAATGCATCTGTGAACGATCTTGCTGAACATCATGTCGTTGGCGCTCTTTCCCTGTATTGGAAGTCTTGCCTTTCAGACTATAACAATGGACTCTTTCCGCAGCCGTTGGGGACTCGTAACGCCTTCGAACGCACACAATGAACCGGCCTGATCCTCATCAAGTCCAAATATTCCTATTCGCTCGAACACTTGCGTCTCTCCAGTGAGACCCTCTTTCAAGAGAAGCCCAGCAACGGGCACAGTCATACCCCCCGATCGCCCAGCCCAGTTAAGACAGAGAGGTAACAGCCATGCATCCATTTCATAGACGCCCATGGCCGTGTCAAGGTATACGATAGCTTCCATCTCTGGCGGTGCTTTTCGCTGCTCATCTTCCCAGGGCGGCCTCTGTGTCGAAGATTGAGATACTACGACCGATGGCCGAGTGATTGTTGACTGATCGGTTGTGGAGACCGCAGGGTGTTTGAGTTGTATTGTATAGCCCATGTCTTCCCTCAGCGTCCCCCCTGGATCGGACGGCTTTACTCGCAGATTGACGGAAAGCAGAGGTGCTTGGACGTGCATCCTCGCCGAATGGATCGCTCCCGCACCGAAAGCGCCAGACGATCTGATATCTGTCTCGGTGATGATTGCTAGGTGTTCATTAGATCCCCGCGGCCAATTCCAGGTGATGCGTGCGTCAATTGATGCCCAGGACCAAGACGGTGCTCGATAACCAGCTTTGTTGAGGGACGCTGTTCGTCGCGAAGGCAGGCCATCGGCTTGGAACTTCGTGGGCACATACCACAGCAGCGCTTGCGGTAAGCTCGAATTGTCCCAGAGCCCTGCGAGGTAACGCTCGCCGGTCGCAGCACCGATCTTACTTGCCAGGCCTGATATTGCGATGAGTTTGTCTTCGGCAAAGCTCAGACCACAGTCCATGTAACGCTGCACCATTGTAGTCCAGCAGTCGTAGGCCTCGAAATGAATGTCATCAGTCATCCGTGGCCGGCGAGATATCCAATTCAACCAAGATGTCGGGTTCGATGACTTTAGGTTTCGAAATTTCGGACTGAATACTCGTTCGCCTTTCCTCCATGCTTTCGTCCGCCAATTGCTTAGCTGTTCCGGGATGCCATCTGGATAAGCTTCACAAGCCTTGAGCTCTCTACACTCGAAGAAGAACTGCTCTTGTCCAAAATGAATGGTTCTAGGCGCAAGCAATCGTTCTTGCAGGACCCAGCCTCGCTTGTGTAGATGCGTATCTAGTAGTGAGTTGCACCAGAAATCGTCGTAGCCCAGAATATAGCTCTTTTCGGAAGATGGGGACTGGGGATCCGGTACGAATGATGGCTCGACAATCTCTATAGGTCTAGAGCCCAACAGAGCCTCGTCCTCATCGCCGTGGGTAGCTGCGATGTTACAGTAGGATCCCGAATATATGTCGCCCATGACACTGGCTTGCATGAGCCAGTCGACCTTGGAGTCCTGCATGATGCACAACGCATCGATCCATAGATATTCGACTCTCATCCAGCGAGCAATATCGATCACATCGCGAAACTTGCGTGGCAAATGTGAAACATGGAGTCCCTTCTCAAGATGCTCGGAATTCGACGTCGTGAGTTGGTAACGGCTCCTACCCTGCGCGTAGCTCCAGCAATGACTGAGAGTGACGTATCGTGGCTGCGGACAGTCTGCTCGTACCTGCCAGTATTTGTCAGCCTGAAACGGGAATTTGAGAGATATTCAGGGGATACAGGAGGCAGAATTGAGCTCGATGCGAGACAGTCGTCATTTAGCCGCCAGGGGAACTTCAGAGATGGCCCAGAGAAACATAAAGTACCTCGCAGAGGACTATGAAGGCAATGCAAGACAAGAAAGACTTACTCCGAAAGTTTCCAAGCGTACGACTTGCTGGTCTGGAAGTCCAATGTTGAGGAGCCTGATGGGATAGTCACCAAGCATCTGCCAATTCTCTCGACATAAGCCGTGCTTGTGGTCACATACACCAAGCCACTGGCGTATCTGAGCCTCGCACTCGGGTGCAAACGTATTCTCTGTGATTTGAAAGCGTGTTCCAACGTCAGGCAAGTCGCTTCGCGGAAACAACTTGAACGATCCCATGCATTCGATGATTCTCGTTGTGGCTGCATCGACCAGATTAGATTCCTTCAATTCGATGGTGAATTCGATTGCGTAGCGATCGTTACCGGCGCCTTCCTGGTGAAGCTCGAAGAACGTACGGCAAGTGTCTAGCACTTGTCGGCTCGAACCTGCACAATAGCGCCAAATGCTGTAGCAGACATAGCATCCTGCAGCGCTGGCCGCAACAAGCGTGCCATCTTCAACATGGTGAGCCCCTCGCCACGCGTCATCAATCTCTGGATAATCGAATAATTCTGGTTTTGGTCCTATCCACGCACCCAACGGTTGATTCACCTGTGCAAGCACTTTCCGGCACTCATTGCAGAGCATTACATTCTTGTCAGGGTGGACTCCAGCACTGTATTGATGGTCTAACATGATTAGCACTTGAATCTCAGGCCATAGACTGCCTGCTGTCCGGGACCTACGAGCTGGATATATAGGCACTTACACAGCGTCCAGTCGCTCTGGTTACGTACTGCTCACCGGCCATATGAGGGCTAGGAGCGTGCTGGTGTCAGAACTCTGGAGCACAGAGGAGCGCAACAGCAAGACATTAAAGCGCATTGCACTCACACGAGGTCCAAAGCGTCAGAGAGAAGTGTTGTGATGCACATCGGACTCTCTGACTTGATAATGGATCCTAGATCCCAAGTCAGGCAGTGAAACTTGAAGCAGGGCGGACTTTGGACGAAGATTTACCAAAGGTCCCCACGAAAAGTCCCCTTCTTCCAACCACAACTTGAACATGCGAGTCTAGCAGACTACGCCCACGTCCATCACTTCAGAGCACAAACAAATTTTACACCGTATGAGGCCTAGGTACATGCCCTTGGTCAGCCTTGTCCTGCTGTACTTGTCGTGACGGCGCTACGAGTTTTCAAGGTGTGGCACTGGAACCTGCAATTTCCGCATATGCCCCATGAAAGCGGAAGAGCAGCCGTCCGCCAACAGCAGGCGAACCGTCGCATGGCGAGATCGATGACTCTGGGCAACTCACACCGCAGAAAGCCAGACGTCACTTCGGGAGTAATTCGACGCGCTCAAGACTGAGTCGCGACGTACCCGGCCACGATGACAGCACTTGCCCTGCACAGCGAAGGCTGGACATGGCATTCAGCTGATGAATATCGCAAGCACGTCCCAAAAAGCGAGCTACCGCTGTCCAAGTTCCATGAAGTGACCGACCTGTTACTCGATAATCCAAACTTGAACTCATCACATCTATTTCGTGCAGATATCCTGCTTGACTCTTCGAGAAGGCTCAAAAGCAGGGCACAGAAGGAGCAGGAGTATCAATCTCTTACTATCGAGCAACCCAACGGTAGTGCCTCAGAGCCGTCAGCCTGTGTTCGCAACCTCGTGCTCAATTCAGTGCCACCCTGCCGCACAGTCGTAAGGCAGCTAATTCCTCGAAACCAAAACCTTGATCGCTCGCTCCAACAGACCTGCTACTTCTACTCATTAGCCGATGGCTCAGAAGCCGTGGTATATGTTCCAGACGTCGAAAGCGAACATCAGATCCCTTGGTACCACCCGAAGGTGCGTGCACTTGCCTATGTTTACGAGTCTGCAGATCCGCAACAGTCAGTCCTGAGCATCCACATTGCCCCATACGGCGATCTGCAAACCTACATCATTCCTGACCGACTGCATCGAACACTGTTATCGCTCTCGAACACCTTCATCCGACTCTGCCGCATCAATGGCTCCAACCAGCAGGATCACGGTCTCATATCGGAGGCCCCCGTGGGTTCAGAGATCGATCTTCGACCATCGGCAATCAAAGACACCATAGTCCCGCAGCACATAGTACAGGACACCTACGCTCGTTTGAAGACCGCATATGCGGCCGAGCTCATTGCGGCCTGGGTGGAATTGACACCGCCAGAGAAGCACGTCTTTGAAGACTTGGCGATTGCTGCCTTCCTGGTTTGCCTCTGGGAGAAGTCGTACGGCTCGCCGTCGAAATTTCCCGGCTTTGTTGACCTTGCATGCGGCAATGGGTTACTGGTCCACATTCTGCTTCGGGAAGGCTGGCACGGTATGGGGCTTGATGCACGCCGCAGAAAGACGTGGGACAGCCTGAGTCTGGGAGAGAATGTGCAGGAGAAGATCATTGTACCGTCGCTGTTTCTCGACAAATTGCGCTCTACCAACGACGACGGTTCGAAAGCAGAGTCTTCGATGGAGGGGCCTAACACCAAGACGCACAACGCCATCTTCGGCGCAGGCACATTCCTCATCTCCAACCATGCAGATGAGCTCACGATCTGGACTCCGATCCTTGCTGCGCTATCCGACCCAGCAGATCCACTACCGTTTCTGAATATCCCATGCTGCAGCCACGCTCTGAGCGGCGAGAAGCATCGCTACAACCCCAAAGAAGTGCTGCTCGGTCATTTGAGCACACCCACCAGCCCGAACCTTCGGAGCCCCGAGACTGCCGCCTCAGACACCATCGACGACTCGCAAGTCAACCACGCAGCAGACCCACAGCCCCACTCCGGCTCCCTGAAAGCACTACGTGCCGAGAAACTTCCCTCTATCAGCGACACCGCCGTCGACAAAAGCATGTATGCTTGTCTCACACGGAAGACAGTGCAGATCTCGCGTCGATTGGGCATTGACGTGCAGTGCACGCTAATGCGGATCCCCAGCACCAGGAACATTGGCGTGGTCCATTTGGGAAAACAGCGCACCACGGCTGCTGCGGGACAAGTGCCGGAGCAGAGGAAGGAAGAAGTGGAGAATGTCACGAACGGGGAGAACAAGAACAATGACGAAGGATCGTCGGCTGAGTGGCGCAAAGCCCAGGTCATAGAGGTCGTGGAGCGCGAGTGCCAACGTAGCGGCGGTATGCAGCGGAGCGCAGAGGTGTGGATCGAGCGAGCGCGGCGATTACATGCAGGTGGAGGTGGGAAGGGACCGAGAGGGAAGGTCAATTTGGGAGGGCCTCAACAGGTAAAGGTCGACTGAGCAGTGGCTTTGAGCAATAGGGGATGATGTTCGTGATATTCATCAACACATCTAGATACTACAAATTGGGCCGCCCTCCCAAAGGTCGGATGCCAGCAAGGACTTTCAAGAACTTCCACTTCCCCGCATACTAACACTTTTCACGCTGCCCCTATCCTCCTCGTCATCGTCTGACCTGTGTGGCAGTGCGACATTGAACACGCCTTCGCACCACTCGGTGAACGTATCTGAGTCCCAGACCATTTCCTCCGGACTCTTGCCCTTGCGGGAAATGCCGCCATTGGCAACATTCTTCTTCCGCTCGGCGGTATACGCCTCGAAGAATGATTCGTAGATCTGCACGACCTGGTCTTCGACGGCTGCGACCAGTGTTTCTCGCGTGCGAGGGTCACTGAGGTACTGCTCTAGCTTCGCCCGGAGGATCGGCGTTTCCTGCTCGATCTTCTGCCGCGTTTGTGCCGCAGTCTTCTCCGGAGGATCGGCGTCTTTCGTCTTGGCTTTGCTGAGAGCGCCGTTGGCATCGAGTGAAGGCAGCGATTCTGTCATAATGGTTGCGAAACCGGCGGTGAAGTCGTTGATCACGTTGCGCAGCTGTCCGTCAAGTTCTTGCTTTGCGTCGAGCATGTTCTCTACAACTCGTGGGAGCAGGCCGCCTGAGGTGACCAGCCGGATCCAATTGGCTGGGTTGAACAGCCCGCCACGCTCGCGTTGGAGTTCGTAGAAGGTGGAGCTGATGTTGCTGAAGTCAAAGGTGATATCTGGTGTGACGAACTCGATGTCGAAAGCAACGATCTGGGACTTCAGGAGAAGTAAGTGCCTCAGTAGAAAGAGTTGGCCGTCTGCTGGAGATGTCTTGGTCGTGATGAGTGTCGAGGCGTGCATTAGTGAGAGGGTCGTAGAATGGACTATTTGATGGGCTAAGTCATCGAAGATGCTACTGTTGACAAGGCGGTAGATGCGTGACAGGAGGGACAGTGCACGTGACAGTGTCGGATAGGAGTGCTGCACCGCGGAGATGTCGGCAGTACTGAAGGAGAACGGAACAGCGCTATTCTCGTCGTCAGAATCGAACTCGACGCTGTCAGATCGAGGAGTCTTCCCACGCTTGCCGGAAAGCGGAGCACGAGTCGAGGCTGATGTTGGCGGCCGCGATGTCTGAGAAGGATAGTCCAGGTCCTGTGGTGTGGGTTTGTAATTCTCGATTTCATTACGGAGAATGGCTTGCGCACGGAAGAGGAGCCGGGTCTGCGTATCTTCCATGACCTGCTGGACCAAAATGCTGAAATCGAGCTTGTTCAGATCGAGTGGATTGTCGTCCTCCTCGTCCTGTATGTAACGAGTCTGCAAAAGCGAGACCAACGCACACAGCTTCGACAATCGTGACTCGTGTACGATTCGTGGTCGTAGATGGTCATACAGGGGCTCACACAAGGATTCCAGTAAATCGTAGAGGCCTCTCTGGCCATGGAACCATTCTTGCCACAGCTCGAACTCATCTAAACAAATTCCGCGGATGTAGCTGATGGCAGCCCGTGCAAACTGGACGAGGTCCTTGGAGGCTGGTGCCTGGGCAGTCTCAGCCAACTGCTTCTGTATGAGTGGGAGCAACAGTCGTGCTCGACAAGCAGCGAAGGATTGATGTAACTCGTTCATCAGCGACTGATACTCGCCCTCCTCTCCTGGCTGTGCATCGGCTGGTGGGTTCGCTCGCTTCTGGATCTCGAGTCCTAGCTCCTTCATATCGGCGGCACCGACCCTGAATTTGGCATACAACAAAGCCGAATGAGTCGTGTGATTCAGCTGCTTAGCTGCAATGCGAGAGGCGACTTCAGTCGTGATCTCACGCACATTTGACATGAATGCATTTCGGACCAATGTCAATGCTCGAGTGAGCAGTAGCCTGTACCGAGATCTGTATGACTCTGCCTCTTTATGTTCTGGATGGGTCTGCATGTAGTCTATACACTCATCCAGTGTCCTCAGCATGTCGGAGAAGTCCTGGGAGCGAGCCATGTTGCCGGCTCCCGGGGCGTTGAGCCTGCGGGTGATGCGCTCGAGGGGCTCATAGTACTGCAGGTTCTCGGCAATCGCTTCTGCATTCTTCTCGTTCTGTGCTTGCTCTTCGACTACGCTGGCGGTCTGCTTCTGGAAAGCCTTCGTCTGCGAATCGATCGATTGGAAAGTGGCAGAAATCTCGGACAACTCGTTCAAGGTCTCGGATGTGCTAGCCAGCAACTGATCTAGATGAGAGCATGCGGCATCGAGCTGCTCAAGATATGCCTGATATTTGCCCAAGCTGGCTTCGAGTAGCTCATCATCGATGTCGCCCGACAACCTCAGCAGATCCAACTCGGTTTCCGCCGCGTTGACGGCGGCAGCGACGTGGACATTGGTGGAGCATTGTCGCGGCCGGCTTCTGACATACTGAGCCTGCCCGTAAACAGCAATGCTGCAGCCCTCGTGTTGTGTCGAAGTTCGCCATGTAGTTCCCAGAATTAGAGGATATCATTCCTCTGCCACTTTGTGCCCTTGCGTGCGGGTGTTCAATTGACGTGCCAGTCCGAGTCCGAAAGCGCTGAGTTGGGTTTTCCAGGCCGCCGTACAACTGCCTGATCTCTACGGTGACGGCATTGAGTACATATAACGTACTTGAACTCAATTCCCAGATACGAAAACGAAGCATGGACGTCACCTCGTGGATATATTGATTGCACAGGGTCGCAGCAAATGTCTAGGAGGTAGCACTGGTGGATCAGCTTCGGTCAGCCGAACAACACCGACCATGCCTGCGACGAGTCTTGCACGAAGCACCACTCGAGTTGTCTCCAGCTCCCGAAGCATAGCAGTGAAGCAACGGCATCATGGGACACGCTTCCTCAGCACCAAACCACAAATACACCATGAGCACCGAGCCTGGCAGAGACCGTCTGCGGCTCTTCTAGCTGCTGCTGCCACTGTTGCCTTCATTTACTCAACATCATTCCCGGATGTCCAAGCGGAAGCTGCGGAGCAGCCACCCGAGTTAGTGTTCGAGAAGATCAAGAAGTCCAAGAAGGGAGCCTCGAAAGAAGACAATCGCAACCTCATCAGTTCGCAGCACACACAAGTCAAAAGGAGCTGGGAGAACCCTGGCGTCTATGTTTGGGGCACCAACTCTGGCCGCGTTGCGGCCCCAGACTCTGCCGAAGCATACATCCGCACACCCCGCCGCCTACCTTGGTTTGACGATGTACTCCTCCGAGACCTGAAGCTCGACCGACAATTTGGCGCCGCCATTCTTGAGAATGGTGACCTGGTTCAATGGGGCAAAGGTTACTCCCCAGAGTCGACCTCCCCTTCCGTGACACTCAAAGGCAAGGATCTCAAACAGATCCAGATCTCCCGTGACCGCATTATTGCTCTCTCCAAGTCAGGTCAAGTCTATTCCATCCCAGCCTCCAAGACCGACCAAGAAGAACAACCAAAAGTCTCAGAATCCTCCTGGATCCCCTTCTGGGGCGGCACATCACACATCTCCTACCGCAAAATATCTCCCCAACTGGGCTACTCCGAAAAGATCACCTCCATCTCCTCTGGTCTTGAGCATGTCCTGCTTCTTACCTCTTCCGGTCGCGTCTTCTCCGCCGCCTCAAGCATGGAAGGCTTCCCCTCTCGCGGCCAACTCGGCGTGCCAGGTGTGACTTGGCTCACACGACCCAGCGGTCCGTTCGATATGCCACATGAGATCACCACCCTCAAGGGCTTCGAAATCACCGGCATAGCCACGGGCGACACCCACTCGCTTGCTCTAGACCGCGAAGGCCGCGTCTTCGCATTCGGCGACAATTCCTCCGGCCAATTAGGCATGTACTCCGGTAGCGAATCACCCTTTATTGACGTCCCTTCCCTCGTGCCCACCACGAAGATGTATCCCCGCGACGCCAACCAGACCGCTCGCGTCACCTCCATCGCCGCCGGCGGCCTGAACTCCTTCTTCACCGTAGATGCAACCCGCATCGCCGGCCAAGATGAGGATCCCCGTGCTCTCGGCAACCTGCTGGGCCGTGTCACGGCAGACACCTTCGCGTGCGGTCAAGGTCTTCGCGGAACACTTGGCAACGGCCGCTGGACGCATATTCAGGACTCGCCCTCTCGCATCCCCACCCTGTCAGGCCTCTTCGAGTACGACGAGATCAACAAGAAGACCATCCCCATCCGCATCGCTTCCATATCCGTTGGGTCGTCGCACGCCAGTGCGACACTAGACAACGTCACATACCTCGATGCTTCGGAACATTCAGGCAAGAACGATACGAATTGGGGTGCGGACTGTCTGTGGTGGGGTGGAAACGAGCACTACCAGTTAGGGACTGGCAAGCGGAATAATGTGGCGAATCCGGTGTATATCCGGCCACTAGATATGGATGCGGAGGTGCAGGCGGGAAGGAAAGAGGAGCATCGCTTTCATGTCACGCCGAGGAGTAAGGTTGTGGTGAAGGGGAGGAAGGTGAATTTGGAGCAAAGGGTGGAGTGTGGGGGGGGCCTGAGCGCTGTTTATAGTCGTGTGTGAGGCCTTGGATTGCGACGTGGTGTTGTGGACTGGACAGGATTGCTGAGGACCGAATATGATGAGCGATTATCAAGGCTTCGTTTGGCTTCGCTGGCGTAGCAGCACTGCTGTGAGGAAAATACATGTATTTTCCCAATCGGGAATGCGCCTTTCCTACTACAGGTTCTATCCGTTCCGTTGGCGACTCTTGAAACGAAATTCCATGTCCTGCTTGCGCCATCGCCTCCCTGAGCATGTGACGTTTTGCGAATCGATTTGTGCTCCGATGCCCCGCTTTTGACACAGGGGAGGCTTGGGGGCAGGTCGGGGACGGTGGTGCATGGAGGTTGGAGATTTGTATGGCGATTGAATTGCTGAGTATGTCAAGGACGAGTACGTACCTGCCTCATCATGGATGGCAGTTGGAAAGGAAGGACGTGCCTTCTGGGGAGTGCGAAACCGCTCCTGTGAGATCTCAGTTCGCTGCCAGATGCATTGGATTCCGGGCATTCGAAATCTGGTCTTCATTGATGCTCGTTATCGTCTATAGAACGATGATATCTATTCGCTCGTAATCATCTCTTCGAAGCCTTCGAATGACCAGACTCCCACGTTGACTCAGCTGGGGACGCTGAGGGCGAGCTATTGGACGAATAGGCCGTAGCATTCGCTGCTGTTTGATTTCGTCGAGATATGTAGTTCGTGCTGATAGGTGGGCAATGGAGTCTCCAAACACCAAAACGCCATGCTTCTCATGTGCAAGGGAAATGATCTCTGGGATCAAGGATGCCCTTAGGCCGTCACCTCGGGCTTGCTGTGGCCGTTGGTGACCTTCTCTTCTCCGTCGCCCATTTCCACGTCTTCGGCCTCGTCTTCCTCCTCCTCGTCGCCCTCGTCGTCGTCCGAACTCTCTTGCTCTAGATCCTCGGAGCCAGCCTCAGAGACTTCGTCGTCTTCGACGTTTTTGGTAGCGGCTTCTTCGGTACCTGCCATTTCAGCATCGCCGTCCTCTTTAGCAGTCCCGTTCTCGATGGTTTCAAGCTCTTGCTCCAATGCGGCTTGCATCTCGGCTTCCTCGGCACCATACTTAGTCTCGTCGTCATCAAGCTGGTCGGCATCGGGTTGCTCTGGAGGGTATTGGGCGGGAGCGAATCTTCGGAATCCCTGCAATGTGTCAGCGCTGCTGCCTAAATGGTATACTGGGATTGCGTAGGCATTGCATGGGTTGGCGTGCAGCCTTGATCGCTGCCTGCCGAGCGGACCGTGCTGGGAACAAATGTTACAGCGGACAATTTGCGAAACAGCTCGGCACACTCTGCGCCGCACCGGGAGACAGGAGCAACGTACCACTTGATAGCGAACCTCGTTACTCTAGGCTTCTCAGCAAGAATGTTGCGACGCACACGCTCGATGATCGGCTTTGCGGGTGGCTCCTTGTTTAGCTCCTCCGTATCATATTCATTGTTGACGTAGTAGCCGACTCGCACGAATTCTCTGCCGTCGTAGGAGCAGGTGAGGAGGATGACTGTGACACCAAGGATCTCGGACGAGGGAAGACGTGCCAAGTTAGGGGGATCGGCCTCGAATATGAACTTGTTGACGCCAATCGGAATGGGGCCGACGAGTAGTGTATCCAGTTCCTGGTCGTGCTCAGCGGATGTGGCAGAACCAACGTATGTCAGCTTCCACTCCAGGTCTGAGTTCTGTCAGTACATCGCCCTCCATGACATGCGCTTCTGCTGACCGTCTTTGAGTTGTTCACCGCATTCAAACGTAATCTCGAATTCATATGGCGAGGTGAATGAGGCAGGATTGTTCATAATCCGCACTCCGAGGAGCGACACAACAGACATGATGGGGGTCTCGAGACGTTGACGAATATGCGAAAATGCTCAGGAGGTTTCCCAGTGGTAAGTTGGAGGTAGGAAGTCAGGTTGTAGATGCAATGCGACAATCCCATAAATTGAACTAACGCGGGTCGCGGTTCTCGCGTCCGTTGGTCACTTTCACACTATTCTGTATGCGGCCTAGCGTATATTGCGGCCAGCTTTTGCGGAACAAGAGTGCACACGACTGTGAAGTAGCACCATCTCTTTCATCTTCTTTCACACTCATCATCGCCAGCCCCTACGTACCTCCCTCGCTGCGACGATCGCCTTCTCTTCGTTGCGGCGACTCTTTCGCAACCTCATCGCCCTTCTCTTGGACACATCCTTCTACTCATCTGTCGGACCGAGGTCGTTCTTGGTTGGGTATCATCTGGTCATCTAATTCTGCAGACTGCGGTCGGTGCCATCTCGAGCAGACTAACAGCGTGTTGCATGGTCAAAGCGCAGGTCCAGACTACTTGTTTAGCATCAAAAGACTACCTCAGCAGCCATGTCTGCGCCTCTTGATTCTTCAGGTCCTCAGTCTCCTACTCTGGCTCGTGATGATCTTCTCTCGCCAACCACAGGCTCACATCCGCTCCCACCCAGACCGTCCAGCAACGTTTCATCATCAAATGCAGTTGCGACCGAAGAGTCAATAACAGAATCATCCACCAAACCGCCACAGCCACGTACGAGAGGCGGCTTCGAGGTTGATGATGACGATGATAGCGATGCAGAGGATGATCATCAGGAAGATGGCAAGGATGAAGTTGATGTCTATGATCCCGCCCCTGCGGTAGTGACCGATGTCTCGACACCGCCGCGGGAGCAGACTCCAGTCAATAGACAACCCCAGTCACCCATTGAAAGAAATGGCATCACTCCTGTTCGTGTTCAACCTGTGGACAGTCCTGCGGGTGTTTCTTCCTCTCATCTCCAGTCCGGGTCTGACTTCCCCTCTGCTGACGCAGAAGTCTCTGCTCAAGCTGCTGCTGCTGCTCAGATCAAGCCACCAGCCTCTCCAACTCCATTGTCTTCGAATGTGAACGGTACCCTTAGATCTTCCAGACTTCCTCATGACACCATCGGCATCTTGGAGGATCGCATCAAAGAAGACTCTCGTGGTGACCCTGATGCATATCTCGAGTTGATCCAGGAATACAAGAACCGGAATCGGCAAGAAGACGTACGGGCCACATACGATAGATATCTGGCTGTATTCCCCAATGACGTGAGTTGCCTTTCCATCTACTTCCAGATGAGACACTAATGTTCGCTAGGCCGCACAATGGTCCGCTCTCCTCAAGTGGGAAGATGCCAACGATCAACGACCTCGCATGGAAGCTATCTTCAGCAAAGCTCTCCCCAAAGTGCTTAACGTGCATCTGTGGATGATCTACATCAACTATGTCAGGAGACAGTTCAGCGCCATTCGTGACGAAGACAAGCGCTACAAGACCATCCAGAGTGTCTTCGACTTCGCCCTCGGCCACATCGGAATCGACAAAGACGCTGGCTTCATCTGGCAAGAATACATCGCCTTCCTTAAGACTGGAAAGGGGACGCTGGGAGGCAATGATTGGCAGGATGGCGCCAAAGCAGATTCGATCCGTGGTGCCTATCAGAAAGCTATCGCCATTCCCACGGAGTCTGTCACACAGCTGTGGCGTGATTACGACACCTTCGAGAATGGCTTGAGCAAGATCAACGGTCGCAAACATCTCCAAGAAATGTCTGCTTCGTACATGACGGCAAGGCAGACATACCATCAGCTCAGCAAACTCGTCACAGGCTTGGACCGCACATCACAGCCTCGACTGCCACCGAGACCGTCTTATCAAGGTGATGACCAATGGTCGTATCAGCTAGACCTGTGGTATGGCTGGCTCGAGTTCGAGAAGAACGACCCGCTAGTACTCAAGGACGACGATCGCAAAGCCTATCTCGGTCGTGTTGTCTACGTATACAAACAAGCTCTCATGGCTCTTCAATTCTGGCCTGGCATGTGGTACTCAGCTGTTGACTTCTGCTTTGAACATGGCATGGATACCGAAGCAATGGTGTTTCTGAATGACGGCATAGCCGCTAATCCCGAGTCTCCTCTTCTGGCATTCAAGCTGGCGGATCGACTTGAGAGCACAACTTCAACCGACGAGACCTCAGACCCTGGCGCGCGAGAGCGTATGAAGAAAGTTCGGCAACCCTACGATCGCCTTTTGGATGCTCTATATGAGCTCGTCAAGGCCAACTCTCAGCGCGAAACCAATGATATTCGACGTCTGGAAGAAGAGTCCGAACAGATGAACGGAGATGGTGTCGATGACGAGGTCAATGCGGCAAACGTTCTGTCTAGAAAGGCTGCTCTCGATGCACAAATCGCTATCGTCAAAGCAGCGGCACTGGAGGAGAGCGATCTACTCTTCAGGCTCATTTCCCACATCTGGATAGCAATTGCGAGGTCGACTCGTCGCATCCAAGGCAAGGGCGAAGGTGGGACTGGTTTCCGGGCTGTCTTCAATGAAGCTCGAAAACGTGGCAGATTGACCAGCCACTTCTACGTTGAATGCTCTGCGATTGAAGTGCAATGCTATGATGATGGCATTGGGTCGAAAATTCTCGAACGAGGAATGAAGCTCTTTCCCGAGGACGACTATCTTCCTCTCCATTATATCAAGTATCTGATTGAGCAGAAGAAAGACGTCACCAATGCAAGAGGAGTCTTCGAGACCACAGTCACGAGATTGACGGGCGCTGGCCACTCCGCAAAGACCAGGCCGCTCTTTGACTACATGCACAATTACGAGTCACGTTTCGGGGAGCTCTCACAAATCCAGAAGCTTGAACAACGAATGCGGGATCTATTCCCAGGCGAGACTCCGATTGGCCTCTTCTCTGATCGGTTCGCGACAGAGCCGTTCGATCCCATCGTGCGATTCCCGGTAATTTCGACCTCTCAGATCAAGCGCAAGACCGAGAGCGTGTTACCGACCATTGAAGCCGCCGACAATGTCCAATCGCCATACCAGAGGAATGCCGACATGATGGTCGCAAACTCTCCGAAGCGGTCTCTTCCAGACGACTTCGATGATCTTCAGACCCGGAAAATGGCACGAGGCGAGTCTCCACTCAAAGGTGCCGCTGGCCGGAAGATGAATCAACAACGGCAAGTCAACAACGGGCCAGTCTCGAATGCCATGCCTCCGCCGTTACCTCCGCCTTTGCCACCTCAGATTCATTACCTGATGAGTGTGCTGCCAAAACCACATCTCTACGACGAGGCTCGCTTCAACGCGGCCAAGATGGTCGAATTATTACGTGATGTCCATTTGCCTCCCCCGGGCCAGATTCAGTCGCATCACACTCCGCAGCAGGCTCCTGCTTGGCCACCGCAGCAAATTCACCAACAACCACAACACCACTTCCAGCCTGCACCCACTCCTGTTCCTGGTCAGCAATACATGCAAGCGCCGCCCCCTGGTCAAGCGCATTATGGAGGAGGTGAGTGCTTCCGGACCAATAATTTGAGACTGAACTAATATCTCGATAGCACCATTCAGATTCGCTTAGACCACGAAGTCGTTTTTGAGCGCTTTTCAGAGGGTTGGAAGATATTATTGCATAGCGCGGCGTTCTGACCGGTGGCATGACAGCGAATTGAGCATCGTTGCATATGGCGAAAATAGTGAGGAATCTGGGCAGACCAACTCAGCCTGCTACCGCTCGGCTGGTGAGCTTTGGGCTGAAAGGCATGCTGAAGCATACCTTACATTTGCAGGAAGATTGCGGACAGCCACATTCTGAACGCTGGCTGCAAGGTAGATGTTGACGCTGCATCGAAACATCCTCATGTATATGATACATCACATAATACTAAAGCAGTCGGCATCCAAATTGAACCCCTCTTTCCGCCGCTTCGACCCATTCTCATTGGTATATCGAATGCTGCATTTGCCGGAGCGATCAGGCAGGAGTGTCGCTAAGCTTCTTATGAGATCGTCCTCTTCAAGCCTCCTTCATCCATCGTGTAGAAGGCACTGCTTGGAGTTCGACTCATTGAGATCGTGACATCAGTGCCTTCAATCCTCACACAGGCAGCGCTGATGCCAGCATGCTACATCAGAATGAGATACTTTAGCAGAGTATTTCGTAAGCCCATTTGCGGAACCATATCTCGGATCCTGCCGTAGATGAGATTTCCCCGCAAACTCAAAAATGGCGGTGAGGCAACCACATTGAAACTCTCCCTCCTTCCTCCTACACACCTTCCTGCTCTCAACTCAACACGCCGTGGAGCTCATTTGAGTCGACCTCAAGTCCTCTGAAAGCTCACCGAGCTCTCAGAAGGTCTCTCATTGACTCCCGGCGTTGAGTCACAGACGTCAGGCGTCCAACGAGTTGGTAGTCACCGCAACCGCTTGACGACAGTGAATACTTTTGCTGGTGGTTGTCGACGGCAACCACTTCGATTTTTCGACTATTTATTTCTCCTTCGCTCTCGACATTCTTTGCACTCTCTTCCATCCTCAACCTTCTATCTTCGATCAAAGTCTTTCCCATTCATACCCTATCGATCCTCATAAGTGTTATCAGTCCTCGCAAAGTTCGACTTTGAAGTTCTCGCTGGACGCCAGTCTCGCCACTTCTCGAAGTCCCACCAAGTCTTCAAGGTACGTCGAACTTGCAAAGAGAATTCTCACTCGTGATCCTGTCACTATCATCACCCTTCCATTCTTCCACTGCACACCTCGATGCGGTGATCTCGGGCTAATCGTCACTTCGCAGTCACAGTCATCATGTCTGGCGCCGCTCGCAGACGTGGTCGTGGCCGCGCTCGCGGTCAAGGCGACACTGCAGATGGCTCTGAACCTCTGAGCATCCCTGCTGGTGGCTTCGATGGTCCTGCTTCTCGCGGCAGTGGTTCTGGCACATCTGGTAATCGAATTCCAAGTCAAAGCTCCGGCACCGCGAGAGCTCCTTCACCAACCGCCTCTGGTGGTGCTGCTGCCACTGCAACCCCTCCACAACGCCTGGTCGATCCGGCGCTCGATCCGTCACGGATTCCAAAAGCCTCTGATGCCTTGAAGAATGTCGACCTACCAGCTTCACTGTTCCAGGGTCTCGATCGTCCAGTGAGTGCGATTCTGTTCCTTCAGTTATTCATACCCTACACCACAACCTCACCTTCCCAGCGCATGCTTCCTGATTTCTTTGTTCCCACACGGCTCGCGATGAATGAGACATGGTCTGGCCAGCCATGGAAAGAGCTACTTATGTGGCCACCCTCCTTTGGCTGGTCAGGCTTGTACATCCATCGCTTCAACCATGCCGGCCTCGAAAGGATCAGCCTCTCCTGTTGGGAAAAGCTCATATGTCCCTCAAGCCAATACTTCAAGACCTCGCAAGAGCTCTCTTTCTCCTGTTGGCAAGGGTGCACAGCCTCTCGTGGGCAGCACTTTGGCTTCTTCGCCAATTGCTGCGTCTCGTCTTCTGCCTGAGAAACCAGTGTTTCGTAACATTCATGCACCAGGATCTGACAATGTTCGACAGGGATCTCGAGATATGCAATTCACCCGTCGACCTGGCCTGAATACCACCGGCAAGGCCATCAAGCTTGACGTCAATGCATATGCTGTCACCCAGTATCCAAGCATCAAGATCCAACAATACGATGTCACTATCGGCGACGGCGCGGAGAAGAAGGCTGTCATGAACTTGGTGTGGAATTCTTCGACCCGAGCCAACGCCACAGGACCAGAGATCATCTGGGACGGTAATAAACTGGCTTGGTCGCTCAAGAAGATGAACGAAATCCGCCTCCACGTCAACCTCGATCAAGAGCAAGGTCGCCGAGTCGATCCAAACAGTGAGCGCGCCTCAAAGAACACATTTCGTCTTCGCATTCAGCCGACCAAGGTGCTGAATCTGAATATGCTGGATGCCTACGTCAAAGGTCAGACTGGACCCTCAGTCGAGGTCGGCGAAGGAATCAATTTTCTTGACCACTTGCTGAGAATGGGACCCTCTCACAACCGAAACCTCGTCGCCATCAAGCGATCTTTCTTCGCTCGCTCTGGAGAACGCTCAGACTTGGGTGGCGGTGTTGAGGTCTTCCGCGGCGTCTACCAGTCCATGCGCCTTGCACAGGGCGGCAAGCTGGTCATCAATGTTGACGTTGCCAACACCACCTTCTGGAAGCCCATGTCACTGCTCGCTGCTCTCCAGACCAACTCAGGCGTGCGAGATGCTAATCAGCTTGCAAGCAAAATGGCTGCTGAAATGCGCAGTGGTCAACTGAAGACGAACGCCTTCACCCGCTCTCTTCAAAATCGATTCAAGGGCAACATGATGCTCGCCAAGTACAACGGCAACCCAGCACCAGCCAAAGAGTGGAAGTTTCATAAATTCTCTGCCGAGACCGCCGATCAACACATGCTCGAGGAGAGAGGTCCAGATGGCAAGAAGTCTGGCCGCAAGGTGAGCGTCGCTCAGTACTTTATGAAGAAGTACAACATTCGTCTTCAACACCCTCGCCTGCCTTTAGTTGAGACCACCAAGAAGGGAGTCCTCTTCCCTATCGAGCTCCTTCACATCCAGCCAAACCAACGCTATGGCGCCAAGCTCGATGAGACCCAAACCGCTAGCATGATCAAGTTTGCAGTGTCGCCGCCTCAAGCACGCCTCAAAGCTATCCAGAACGGCAAAGATCTTCTCAACTGGGGATCAGACAACTACCTCAAGAACTACGGCCTTCAGATCTCCCCCAACGCCATCAAGACCAATGCTCGTATCCTCCCGCCTCCAGAGATTCAGTTCGGCGGCACCGTCGAGAAGCCAGGCACCAAGGGACGCTGGGATCTACGCGGCAAGAAATTCCTTACTCCCAACCCCGGCGAACTCGTTGCGTGGGGCATTGGCTTCATGCCTGGTCGCACCAGACCGGATCAGGCCTCCATCGCCCGATTCGCTCAGGATTTTGCTAAAGCTTACCGTACCTATGGTGGCAAGATTTCAAACAAGCCACCGCATATGATGCCTCTGCACCTGATCCAGCCAACGCTATTGAAGCCCTGTTCCAGGGAACCGGCACCAAATTCAACACACGACCGCAGCTTTTAGTCATCCTCTTGCAAGACAAGAACTCACATGTTTACAACCGTGTCAAGAAGTCAGCAGATTGCCGCTATGGTATTGTCTCGCAATGCCTCCAGTTGCAGCAGGTGCTGAAAGGCTCGCCTCAATACATCGGCAACGTCCTCATGAAGGTCAATGCGAAACTTGGCGGCTCAACTTCTCAAGTCAAGCCAAATCCCAACTCTGGCTTCAAGAAATTCACCGGTCCCACAATGTTCATCGGTGCCGACGTGTCTCACGCTTCTCCTGGCAGTGAACAAGCTTCAATGGCTGCAATCACAGTCTCATACGACAAGATCGCGGCTCGCTATGCTGCCGGTTGCCAGACAAACGGTCACCGCGTTGAGATGATCAGCAAGGCTAATTGGCGTAGCGTTCTGGGTCCCCTCGTCAAACAGTGGGTTGCAACAGTTGGCGGTAACAATATGCCCGGCCAAGTCTACTACATGCGAGATGGCGTCAGCGAGGGGCAGTTCGCGCAGGTTCTCGACAAAGAGGTCCCGAACATCATTGAGGTCCTCAAAGAGGTCGCTGGCGGCAAGGGTTGGCAGGGCAAGCTTACCGTCGTTGTTGCCTCCAAGCGTCACCACGTTCGTGCCTTCCCTTCTCGAGAAGATGCGGATCAGAAGGGCAACCCTCTCCCTGGTTGCTTGATCGAGCAGGACGTCACGATGCCTCACGAGTTCGACTTCTTCTTATACTCGCACATTGCCCTCCAAGGCACCTCGCGACCAGTTCACTACACTATTCTCCGCGACGATGCCAATCACTCACCCAACGTCATCCAAAATATGATCTACGAGCACTGCTACCAATACATGCGGTCTACCACCTCGGTCTCCATGCATCCGGCTGTGTACTACGCTCATCTGGCTAGCAACCGTGCCGTCGCTCACGTCGATATTGCTGCGACCGAAGGTCCTCAAGGCGGCCCAGGCTTCAAGCAGAACATCCCTTCGTCCGACACCACTCCTCACACGGAAGCCGCCCCATTGATCGAGATGGTCAACACGACCGGCATTCGGTACGCTATGTGGTACATCTAGTACCGCAAGGCGCTCCATCAATCACATGCGCAGTTGAAGTCTCTGCGTCGCAACAAAAGACGAGGCCCTGCTCAACGGGCTTGCTATTGTTATCATGCTTGCGTTCCAGAAAAAACAAATCACAAAAAAGAGCACGTTCGGAACGTGACTTGATCCTCGTCCATGCCTTCGCACCGAGAAGGATGGCTCCTGAGGATTGTCTGCCGCTCGTCAACCACCAACGGGATTCATTCTGCACCAGCTGATCGACTTCATTGACGATTCGGAAGTGGAGAGTGGGTATGGCTGGGTGGTCAATCATTGCTAGAGCAATGCATCGCACACATCTGTTACAACAATTGTTCACGGGGAAGGCATCGTCGCGTCATCATTTCGGAGGAGACATTCTTCGCAAAGGAATATCGTGCTAGATGGAAGGACGTGGCAAGGCAAAGGCGGATTTGATGGAAAACATTCATTTTGCCACAGCTGGAGGACTTTCGCTTCATGGTGAGAGTGCAGAAGCTTTTTCTTTCGTTGATAGTTCCGAATGACGAGCGCCCCCCTTATTGTACCAATTTTGCCTGTCTCTGACTTCGTTCTGGTGCACTCGCTTACAGGTGTACGTAATTCAGATGCTCGTTGCATCTAAGAGTCTTGCGAGGCACCAATTTTGCACTCGAGGTAGGTGACAACAAGGCCCTATGCTCTCTGATCGCTCGATAGCCGTCTGGAGTTGACTGTATCGCCATGGTCATTGACCTCAGTCGAGGCTACGAGCTACGAGCGAGTTCGAATGAGGATTGCAGACTTGTTGCATTCACGAATTGCATCATTCATCTCAGCGCGGCGAGAGTTCCGTCTCAAGGAGGCAGGTCACTTTCCAACGTTCGCGACTCGACTCCGAAGCCCTAGCACTGTTGATGAAGGTCACCGGACAGACAATGCTAACATGGATGCAGGCTGCCAACACTTCACACAAAGGATAAGCAATCACACTGGACATTAGTCGTTCTTTTCAGGGAAAGCGAGGACATTGTCGACCTTTCATGAATGCAAACTTCCAACTGCATCCAGCCGCGGACATAATGAGATATTCCGTCCGGGGCACCCAAACAGCACATGAGATTGACACTGCTCAAAGAAGGCCAGACAATGGCCAGGAAAGCAGAGCTCTGCTAAGAAGAATCTAGAAGTCATGATCATGGGTATATCAGTTGCATGCTTCGCAGCATCTGAGCTGATATTCTTCATCCTCCTTCCCATCCCGATCTCTTACACGACTGCAAGCCATCAACCAAACCAAATCACAAAAGATGTCTGCGATCCAGAAGCCAAACACCCCCAAGAAAATGATATCCAGACCCGTCCTTCAAGCCGACGTCCGTTGCGCATCCGATGACCCATTCGAGAAGGACTACATCAACAATCCCATGGACCGTCCCGACATCAAAGGTCATTACAACAACAAGACCAAAATCGAGGCCGCTCATCAAGAAATTGCCAGATCGCCAGCGATCCTTGATGTCTTTGGTGAAGACAAGCGCAAGAAGTTGAAGCAGAACACCTCCGAGAAGCAGCTGCACAAGGATCTGAGACTCGCTACCACGGAGCCCGCCATACTCGCCATGAAGGCTCTCGAGGAAAGCAAGAAGGAAGAGGAGAAGGCCGCCGTGGAAGCTCTCAAGCCCAGCTATGATGGAGAGAACAAGATTATCTTTGAGCCTGGCCCGAAACCTAATCTCCCGGACGTTGATGCTGTCACCGAAGAGGAGCGCAAAGCTGTGATCAATGCTGCGAAAGCGGAGGTCAAAGGGGTGCAGGACAAGCTCACTGAGGTGCAGAAGAAGATTGTAAGTCAAATCGGTCGCTGACTTCAGCATAGCGTATAGCTGACCTTTCCAGTCGAAACGCGAAGAAGCAGACTTCAAGGCCCTCATAGCCGAATCCTTCCGTTGCGTTCCCGATCCTGAGAATCTTCAGAAGTATGGCCCGACCACTGCGCACTGTCCCAAGGTATCTCGTGTCAAGATCGAACTGCGAGAGGCTGTAGCCAAAGCAACGTACCAGGCCCATCGCGAGGTCTTCGAGCGGTACATTTCCGACCCCCACAGACTCACAGCCGCCCTGATCAAGTACCACAAGCTGTTCCGGCACAAGGATTTCACCATCTTCGCCCTCAAAGACCTCAAGGCTAGTACGAAAGCCATCGGGGAAACCAACCACATGATCAAGAAATTCGAATCTGCTGGGCCCCCTAGTCCTTCTACAGGGAAGGGCACCAACAAGGATATGGCAACGGACGACATCTTCCATGATGGCGCACCCAACGGCACCAATTGAGGCCGTCCTCTTCGCTTCCAACTATGCTAGTCTGCAGTTTTGCTCTGGCACTCACTCATCCAAATCCTCTGGAGGCCTCTGTCCGACAGCGCCTCTTCTCTCCCATCAATTACTCTTGCTCTGCCCCTCTGTGTTCTACACAGAGATGAGCGCATCGAGCACACCTGGTCGTCTGACGGAGGCCTCCTCAGCATTGGACCTTCTATCGTTTCAGCCGTGAGCTAGGTCTTCCGTTCCGTGAAGATTAATGGCCGGCAGGTGGCATTTTCTTGGGAATGTCTTTGGCGTTACGTTTGGATTTTCGGTTGCGATGATTTTGGTGCTTCAGGAGAGGAGGACGGCACGAGGACAAGGTCTTGGGACGTCTCATTGCGGCATTGATGCCGTCGGTGAGCGCCTCCTTTCGATGCGAACTCATTTGCGCTCCTGTATGATCTGCTGGTTTTTTGCGACTGCGAGTTTTGACTTATGATAGACGAAAATTGGTGATGGAAATTGGGCAGAGAGGTAGATTACTCAACCAAAAAAAAGAATGAAAATGGTTTCGAATCCCACTTCGACTTCCCCTTCTTCTATTGTGCGCTCTGCTTCTTCGCCCTTAGCTGACTGATTCGCCGCAAATCCACATCTTGGACTCTTCTTGCTTCTTGATAGTTGGCGGTCAAGAGTGTCCCTAATCTAGCCCGTCGTGCCTGCTCACTTGGCGCATAGACGCGGGTGCGAGCAGGTCCTTCCAAATCGTTTTGACTGATGCGGAAGGTGTGAGCGGCTCATGTCCCGGTACCCAAAAGACATGGTCTACGCAGCCAGACTGGATGTAGGATCATGACCGGAGGAGCAAGCATACGCTTCCACCGTTCATTGCTCACTCCTCCTCAGATGTGATCGCTATCGCTCGAAGTCTGGAGATATCCTGGCATTCTTTCCAATGACTTCCTCCGTGACCTTGCTGAGCTCGTATTGATACGAATTCGTTAATCAAGCAGGCTTCAATCGCCTGCATGGACGATCAAGATATCAGAAGCCGGCTGGCTTCGTCTGAAAATCGAGTACTCCCATTCCATCATTGCCATCGAGTCCCAGCCCGCTCCCATCACTCTGATGCTGTCCTTGGTGCTCGTTGAGAGCCCCACTACTCTCTGGCGGCGAGTCGCTACTGAAAGAGCTTGACCTGTGCTCCTTGTGCCTCACTGTCGCGCTTGCTTCATCACTGTTGGAGAAGTGCTCGCCTGTGAGACGATCGAGCTTCCCCTTCGCATTCCTGGAAGGCCGCCCTATTCCTCTGAGTTCGTTTTCGTCGCTGTACTCGGTATCTTCGTCATCCTCGTCGAACATCGGATACGACATGTGCCTCTCTTCCCGCCTCGGATCCTGCCGTGAGTCCGCTCTGACTACGTCATCCGCATCCTTCTCGATATCGACCACGTACTTGCCGCTTGCGATCTGCTTTTTCGTCTTTCTCGCCGCTAGCGCACTCCAGCCCTTCTTGATCCCCAAATCAGGCAGATGACTGATCCTCCTTCCGCCCTGACCAGTCTGGTCTCGACCATAGTTCTGCTGGTGCCGAGCGTAATTCCCATCGAGTACCGACTCCTGCCTGAACCGATCGTTCGGTGAATTGATGGGTCCAGCATTGCTCTTCCGGCCATGCCTTTCATTCGCAAACCGCTCAGGGGATACGTTGAGCGCATCAGCAAATTCAAGCTCGCCGTTGTCGCCCGTGTCCTTGTCCTCGAGCACCACTGCATAAGACTGGCGCCGGTCCTCGTCCTTCTTGATGCGTTTGATGCCAAGTCGTTTTAGTTCGGTCTTGAAGTCGTCAAGCATGATTGTGTCGGTCAGACATTTGAAGACCAGCGAGAGCTTCCACCACGGGTTGATACCATCCGTCCCGCCGAGGAAGTTGTGTATGCTCGAAACAATGTCCAGCGCAGTGAAAATGAGCGCGAGAAGGATGGCGCTCATCAAGATACCAAATCGTGGGGATTTCTTGATCAACTCTACGACACCTGTGCCGTAACATTTGCTGACCACGTGGAACAGCACCAAGCAGGTGAAGACCCACCAAGGATCCCGGAACAAAGGCTCATATGGTCGCACGTCAGTATAGAAGTCCGAAAACCCGTTGAAGAAGCGGAAGTTATCGTAGATCTGGAGCAGGATGGGCCCGATACTGGCGACCAGCGTCGTGAGATAGATGTTGCGCGTCCAGATACCAGTCTTTCGTGAGAACAGGCTGCCACGATCGAGGAAGAAAGGACGGATCTTCATCCACGCAACGAGGTTGTGTATAAACCAAGAGCAGTAAAGTAATGCAGCGGTCGAAGACAGGTACCAGCCATATCCGGTGAAGGACATGAAGCAGAAAGTGCCGTGGGACATGGCGAGAAGCTGCTCGAGCAGGATCAATTTATGCAGTAGCACCTTCCGTCGCATGTTGCGATGGTGATGCAGGCCATAATGATCAGCGCTCCTACCATGAATCCCTCGCTCCAGCCTTCCAGGACGAAGTCTTCGGGACTGGCATGAGCGCGCCAGTCGCCCTTGCCGGTCCCAACACCTCCAGTGTCGTCTCGCGCATGGTGGTTAATCGTAGTTGGCGGCATAACGTCGTCGGCTATAATTTAGGCGTGCTTGTCAGCCAGGTGCGGGATTCGGTGGGCTCATTTTCTGAGCCACCGCGCAATTGCTGGACTCGATTATTACTGAATGCTCTGTACAATCACAACATGCGCGAAGTAACAACTTATGATGTAGATGCGCTCAATTCGCGTGATGCAGCTCAGTAAGGCGTATGTAAGGCGAAGTCAGCCTGTCGAAAAGCGGACGTCGGGATGCGAGGCGATCCGGAGGATTTTGCAGTTTTTGATGCTCTGCAAGGCAGTCTCGGGCGTTATATCTGACGTCGTCTTGCCCCTAGATGTTGGATGCGCAAAAGTCAAGTCGGCGACATGAAGAGAAGCGACAGCGGACGGAAGACACGGTCTTTGCGCTTGCTAATAAATTTGCCGCCCTGCCGTCCTTGTCCTTGGCTGTGGAGGAAGGCGGCATGATCGCTTCGCTGAAAGAGTCACGGTGCCAATGATGCGGTACTGCGGGGCGGTTTGGGAGATGCCGCCCAAAGTCCATCGCTACTATGTATGGATTTGGCAACGTGACCCGTGAGTTTTCAGGCGTTGCAGCGGCGTGTCCTGGGCATCCCAAGCGTCCAGTGGGAAAGGCCACATCCCTGCCGAGGATCGTCATTCTTCTCGGGGTTGGCGATGGACCCCAAGCTGCAACGGAGGTTTTCACTTACTCGTATGTACCACCCTCGCTTACAGTCATGTATGAGGTCGGTAGCAGAGGAGGTCGTACTCGTATGATCCTCGAGGATGCTGCATGTCGCCAGATACTAAGTACTTCGAGGGACACTGCAGAGACACAAAGAATACAATACAATGCCATTCTTATGTCTCAGACATGCAGTCTCCCAGGCATCTCCGGCTGTGTGCGTTGAAGTTTGCTTTTATTGGCTTCTCGGCACAGCGCTATTGCCGCTCGAGCGGGTTCGTGTCCAGACTGTATGATGTTGCATTTTACGCACCTAATATATACACAAAGGACTGTTAGCCGCGCCTTGCTTATGATCTTGGCTGGCTCCCATCCTCAGCTTGCTGGCTCATGAAGTGCCACAGGGCTGCTCGTATGGCGATGATCGAGATGCTAACTTGACAGCATCAATACGGTTACAATTCCTCCAGGCAGTTCTCCAGGGCCTGTAAACCAAGAGTCGTTGCTAGAGACGATCGATACAGAAACGAGTATCATCTTCACCGTGCCCAAACTTCACATTTGATCCATAGACATTACAATGCTCATGTATACACGCGGAAGAAACATCGTTGCTGTGCCCACTTCTCGCTGGTCAATCACTTCTCGAACAGCGCAACCTTGCAACCGACACCCGAGCTCAGCGTAATCGTCAACCACTGCAGGATGAATCAGTACTCGTACCCATCGATCAGACTTGGAAGGGAGAAGACTTACCTCTCGCCATTCTCTCGAGTCCCTACTCTCCATTCGTGGAAACTGCTGCATCAAACGCACCGTAGTATAGCCTGCTTCCAACAGCGCATACTGCTGACCAACGCAGATTCTGGGTCCACCATTGAAAGGCAAGTATTCCCAGCCCGGCCGTAGTGTCTCCCATCGCTCAGGCTTGAATTCGAGCGCATCTTTACCGTAGAAGTCTTCACGACGGTGCATGCTCCAGGGGTGATAGACAACAACCTGACCCTTCTTGACGAGCATAGGTGACTTCTGGTCAGGGCCACCACCCAGGGGCAGAACTGTGTCGCGAATGGCCGTGCGCGAGTTGCCAGGGACAACGGGCATGAGTCGGAGCGATTCGTTCAGGACAAACTTAAGGTACTTCATGTCCTTGATGGTCTGATAATCAGGGCGCTCGCCGTTGAGGGCGTCCACCTCGGCCTTGAGCTTATTGTAGATATCTGGGCGCTTGCTCATGACTTGCCAGGTGTTGCTGAGAAGACCAGCAGTGGTGTCTCGGCCCGCTAACAGAACGTTCAGCAGCTCTGATCGAAGTGTATAGGGGTCGCGAGTCCGTGAACAGAGTTCGTACAAGAAGGTGTACTTGGCTTTGCCGCTCGCGAGGTCTTCGGTGAACTTAGTGTTCTCCATCTTGTGAAGTGCTTCTTGGACAACGCCGTTGGCATAATCGTGGATGATCTTGACGTTCCGCTTGTATTCGGGGTTGGGTAGCCAACTGGCGAGACCGAAGGTACGTAGCTCGTACGAGATTCGCTCTGTACAGTAGATGAAAGATTTCACGAAGTCGGCTGCAGCTGGTGTGACCAGTTTCGGTGAGAGGGTATTCGCAGACTTCCCAAAGAGGAACTCGGTGGCGGAATCCATTGTAAGGCCAAAGAAGAGGTCTTGGAGGTCGACTGCGCTGCCATCTCGGGGAACGTTGGCAATGAGTGCTTGTACGTGTGACTCAAACATGTCAAGATCGGCGACTTGGGCACGAACGAAGTTCGGTCGAATTAATGACCGGGATCGTTCCCATGCCGCACCATCTGTGTCGAAGATGCCATGTCCAAAGAGCGGCTGAAATACGTCGAGACGAGCCTTACCAAGGGAATAATCAGAGAACTTGGTTGCGAGGACCTAGACACGTTAGTTTGGTCGACTGCTGGGATGCAGATCACCTACTGTCTTGACGTTCTCTGGCTCGATGGTAATAATGCTATTCTCAAAGAGCCGCCGAGTCTGAAGGGTGAATATGCCGTTCTTGAAGTTCCTCTTGCGGTTGGTCTCATGCATATTGCCTTCCGCCCCGGATTTCATGATCTGCTTCAGTACATCCCAGCCCATTATCTTTCCCATAATTCCCTTGTGCGGATACTTGTACGGTGCTTTGCAGCCATTCTCGTCAATCATGCGCCGGCGGCGAGCACCAGTTGTGAGTTCAAAGTAAATGCGGTAGACCAGAAATAGTACGATGCTCAAATATCCAAGGTTCAGAGGAGAGAGCACTGAGTGAATTTGGGTCGCCATGTTTGATCTGCCAGACTCGGACTTCTGGGTTGGCCCCCGACTGCTATGATTAAATTGTTGATGATAGTCGTCCCAAGTGTTGTTGCTGTAGCACTGTGACCAGCGTCCAATGCTGAAAATCAGTTGCACAGTCACTGCTGACGGGGAAGGGCGATGCCAAAGAGAACGCGCGGCGAGGTGCGTGACTCTATAAGAGGGGGCTGACACCTGACCAAGCAGTATCGATCGATTGAGCTGATCGCCTTGTTACGGGACCTGGGTGACTTTCCACTGGCGACAAGAGGCTTGATGTAATCCCGTGAGACTGGAGAGCGATGGAAAGCCGCGAAGTTGGGCGACGTCCAGCTGCTTATGTTAAAGGCTTCGAGGTTCTTTTGTAAGTTTGAGTCCTGGATCCAACCTCGGCCCTCCAGGCACGTAGAGGGGCTTGGGTCAGCAGTAGTCCGGAAGGTTTCAAGCATAGTTGAGAAGGCTATACGAATGCAGCGACAATGCCCGCCTCAGCTGCAGATCTGCCTCGCACTTTCTAACTTCATTTGAGACAGCGCGATGGCAGCAGCCAGGCCGTCATTATTTATTGATCGTGGTCTCCTGCCGATGAGGTGTCTGACAGGTCAGCACAATAATCGAAAGTCATGACAGCCAGGAGTGCATGGTCGGTCTGAACTGCAACGGTCGTACCTGCCCGAGCTGTGGACCTACCTGCAGGCAGCCGAATTGTTCCCATTACGACGCACCCCGGATCTTTGCTACCAAAAAGAGTTTACAGTTCTCGGGTTTCTGAATCTCGACGAACTAAGCGTCAAGCTTGGAAGCCGAAGAGTACCTACACAATCATTGAGCAGTCCCAGCAATTGACGAATACGCAACATTGTGAAGGCGTTCGCTATGAGTTTTGCATGCCCTTGGTCTCTGTCTTCAGACGCGCTTATGTGATCATTGCTGATTGGAAATACTGAGGAATGGTTGGATCTGACCGTTGAGCTCCAGCTCCCATCGGTCTTGTGTACTGTTACGCGACGTTTCTTACCTCCTGTAAGCGTGCCCTGTCAGCGGATCTGCCTCGCATCCTGCAAGAGCAGAAACACATAAGAGGCAACAAGCTGCTGTGGACTCTCGGTTCTACCAGGACCAAGTATGGATTCGTGTATCGTCATATTCGGACCAACCATTGAGCCGTTGAGGCGCGCTCTGGTACCTCAAGAGTGAAGTGAAGACATTCGGACCAAGGTATAGCGATTGCTTCGGATCGTGGCGCAAATACGGGCGCGAATTGCGGCACCGAGGCTCACTGGACGAGCGAAGTACGCTGGAAATGGTGAAGCGCACCATCATTCGACAGCTAAGAACTTAGCAGAGTCCGGGGTTTCGTGATAATCGCTGGGCGGTTATTCTGGGTCCTCTTTCCTGACTGATCGAGGATGGAAACACTAAAGAGACGTCTGACAATGGGGGCAACACCAAAGGATCGGACAAAGCAAATCGCGAAATGTTTACCGTTTTGGGCCTTGCGCACGAGCCACGTTAGATGCCTTCTTGGGAAAGTGGTGGTAGTCTGCATGCATGCCAGCAGATCATTGATATTCTACTATTTACAATCATCCCATTGGCGCGCGTCAGGACATTCACTCAGGAAGCCCAGGTCCGTTCATATCACCTCGTCTGTCGCTCCTCCCGCCGCGCTCACGATTGCCACCCCTGCCTCCTCTACCACCTCCTCGTCCTCTCCATCCATTACCGGACCAGCCCCTCGAACTCCCTCCATAACGACCTCCGCCGCCCCCTCCACCGCCTTTGCCTCTTCCGAGCCTAAAATCAATCTTCTTCAACGGATGCTCCACGCCGACTCTACCATTCAGACCCAAACCCTCTCTTCGGTCTTCTTTCACCAGCCATGGCTGATAGACCTCCAGGATGCCCTCGCCCTCCCCATTTTCCTTGGGTTTGTTACCGTGACCATTACTTTTGCTATCAACCATGCCTCGCAGCTCTTCAACCCACGCAACGCAGTACTCTCCCTTTGGATCGTAATCCGAGCTCTGCTTGACGGGATTGAACACTCTCGCCTCCCCTCTCGGATCGTTGCCAACTCCAGCCACGTACTGCCAGTTGCCCCAATTGCTGGAAACATCATAGTCCACAAGGCAGTATTCGTACCACTCGGCACCGATGATCCAGTTGATGTTGAGATGTTTTGCTAAGAAGGAGGCCACGTTTTGTCGGGCACGATTGGAGGTGTAACCAGTCAAGTATAATTCACGTTGAGAAGCATCGATCAAGGATATGCCGGTCTCACCACGCTGAAAGCGGCCGATCGTAGCAGAGAGGTCTTCATGGTCGAGATTGCCGTTGCCGTTACCATTGTTCCAAGCTTTGGTCGGACCATGCCCATCAGGCGTTCGCCAATGGTGGCTGGTATCGTTCCGGAATCCCTCGAGCCTGAACAGCCGGTGGGAGAATTTCCTGGTGCAGAGCCGCATGTAGTCCCTCCACAACAGTTCGAAGCGCACGGCGGCGGTACCCTTGTTCTCACCTTTGCCATAGCCTTCCACTCCTTTGTATTGGTCAGAGCGGCCATCTTCGAAGTCAATCAGCCGCCAATGGATCTGTCGGGCAGTGATGCAGCCTAGAGCAAGCCACGCGGAAAGCTTTGTGCTGAAATCGAGACCGAGCAGACCGTTCCGAGTGTCCTTGTAGTGGGTCATTGAGGCTGTCGCTAGGAGATGTTGTATACGTTTGTGTGCTTCGCTAGACCCGCCAGAGAACGGATGGGCGGATTCGACATTAGTCGGATAGCTTGCTGGGTTGGTGATTGGTGGGTTGTCCTTGATTGGTTTCAGGACGGCGGCTTCGAGGGCATTGTAGTCGTTCTCGGGTATTGAGAATGGTGCAGGCTGTGAAGGTATAAATTCAGGCAGAGGAGGGAGGGATTTGGGCGGCTTGAGCTCCTTCCGAGGTGCGTCTCGCAATGGCTCGACCGACTTGCGGTAGCTTGTGAAAACGTCCGGCAGGTCCGAGGGCTTGTCAAAGGGCAAATCTCGACTAGTAGCGCACCAAATGTCAGCATGAGGCCACGGGCCTTGGACAAGCAACTCGAGCGACGAAAGAACTCACTCATCGACCAAGTACTTCTCGTCCACCCACGACCTGAAATCCACCCCAGCCTTCTCGCTGACATTCCTGACTTCACGCAACTCTCTCTTCTCTTCGACGCCTTCCTCATCTGTGATCCAAACCCCAGCAACCTCGCTGTCTTTCTGCTCCTCGAACTGCTTCAGCACATCCTTCAATGTCTTCGCCAGGTTTCCAGCCCGGATGGCAAGTCCGCTGCCTTTGCTTTCGAGGTCCCTTTTCAAGTCCCATATCGATTCGCATATGAACTTGGCGCGATGAGGACCGCACCTCCAGAATCCTGACACCTCTGACCTTGCTTCGGGATATGGCGACTTTGAGCTGGGATCTGATAGGAAGCCAGAGATTTCTATTTGATGTGCTGGGAAGATGTACATAGGCAAGACATGGGTGAACGGCCTTTCCGACTGCTCTGCCAGCTTAGAAATCTCATGAAAGATGGGATTGTCAGCGACCCGCAGATCTCGTCGTAGCAAGTACACCAGTACTCGCTGCGGCGACATCGCGCCTGTTCCCCAAATTCGTTTCACCGTGCAGACAGTATGGCTGAGGACTGTCCAGACTTGTTTTGTTGCTGACCCTGTGACGCCTAAATCAACGGTCGTGGGCGTGCCAAACCTCACGTGCTTCCAGTAAGTTCGACAGATGGCTGTTCAAATCAGTGTGCTGATGGTACATATGGGGAAGGCTTCGAATGCTAATAAGTCTGCTGGTGCCACCGGTGACACATATCGAGACACGAACGTTTGATGAGCACGAGACATGGTTAGAGAGAAGCCAACCACACCAAAATCAAGCCTCTCGTACGGGTTCATTACGACGAGCATTGATAGATCTCGCGGTCATCATCGGAAGGGACACAGAAAACCCGCTATGACCGCATGGATCTCAAAGCCGCCTGAAAGTGGATAGGCGCTAGGCGTGTGACTTTTCAGATCCTCGGTTGGTGGTGGCGCTGATCGGATTTGTTTTGCGGTGATGGCTTCGATGCACACCTGCATTTCAAGATCGTGGCAGCGAAAGAACCAATCTGATTGTGAAATTTCATCGAAGCTAGGATCTAATATCTGATCCGGTCCTCCATTGTCTTGAGTCTGGCAGTGTCACTGAACAGTGTCGGCTTCCGAGATTACCTGCATCGCTGGCTTGAGGTCTTCAAGGATCGATACTGAAAGATGTGTACCTGAGAATACATTCCAATAGCGCCACCGGTCGCCTCCAAAAACGTGGCGTCACCACCTGTCATCGCACTGTTGTGCTGCTGGTTCGTACGAGTTCGGGGCGCCGAGACATCAATTGCTGGTCCCGAGATCTGTGACAGCATGACTTAGTCCAATCATGGTAGCTGAGATCATGCAAGATCTAGTGTCGATCTCTCCAGAAGCACGGCGATCGCGGGGTTGGTTCCTCTGGCTTGGCCCTTGTTAACTCTGGTTCACGACCACGACTTTTGGTACCTTTATGGTAGGCTTTGCCAGAAGTGTCTTCCTGCAGCACCTCTGCATACGAGTCGCGTTGCTGCCCTGCCAGACAGTGTCCCTTTTGAGAAGCAACGCCGTCAGAGTTTGAAGAACCTCGTCTCGACTTGTGTCAATGTGCTTGTATTGGTACAAGGTACCTAGATCTGATCGAGTCGCCACGTGCGCTACGCCAGAATCTGATTATGGTCCGTGGACAGATATGAGAAAGCTGTTGACATCTGTTGTGCGCACTTTCCAAGGCCTGGATCTAGCATAGGTAAGCACGAGTTGCTTCGAGGCTTGACCTGTCAACCTCGTGGCTTCCCTGACTTGCAGTCGGTGATTTGCGAGCCTGAGTGGCGCTGGTGTAGGCCAAGTAGCCGTCACGCGTCAAGTACACACGTGCTTCACCCTTGAATCTGATGCAGAAAATAGTATGTGATTGTCTGGCTGGCATCAGAACGCCTCAGCGGTCCGCCATGCACAGCTAACGTGTGTGCATTCCCTGGAAGCTTAGAACTCAACTTTCTTCGTCAGGTCTGGACCCTCAGTGACTTCCAAGTCACTGGTCTTCGGATCCTCCATCAACTAAACGTGCAACACAGCCTGGTTCTGTGCCATACTGGTCATCTGTCTTCATCCCGACGACCGCCACCCATTGGATCGCTCCAGGTAAATCCACGAAACGGACCATCGACCTTTTCATGATAAAACGTGAGAAAAAACCCTTCCAGCGCCAGTGCTTTCCTTTCAATTCAAACCCCATATCTCTCAACAAAAATGTACAGCGTGTTTCCATCTCTCCAAGCGCCACGGGCGACTCTGCGCTCCGAGGCTTCCAACGTCGTGGATCTGGGAGGCGTGAGGACTGCGCGAGGCTTCATACATCACAAGCCTTCGTCCCTGTTCGCATGAATAGGCGAGGCGTTGAGGTATGCATATGCAAGAGACAAGCTTGAGTGAAGTCTGTCCTCTCGCTCCACGCAATGTTGAGCAAGGTATAGTGAATGCGCGAAGTCTGGGCGAAGCCCGTAAGTCGATGCATCCGGTGGACGTATGGGCCCCGGCGCGTATTGCATCGCTGAAGTTTTCGGCTTTTCTCGGATCCTATCAGTCGCGTCACCCAGAGACGAACTCAAGGGTTCATGCTCATGACTGGTCCTTCGTTGGCTTCGTCGCTTCCTGACTCTGACTTTACGCCGTCGTCTCTGTTAGCGTCAGACTTGCCGCAGCCTTTCACGAGTCTATGTCTCTGCGCAATTGTTAGCGCCTCAGCTCAATGCGCTTTTGCATCAGGGGATCACAAACCTTCAATGCATCTTTCCTCGAAAAGCTCTTGTCACAATTGTTGCAAGGAAAAGGCTTGACGGCCAGGTGTATTCTCTTGTGCCTCTTCAAGTCATGGTTCCGATGGAAGCTTTGCGGACAACTATCGCATCGGAATGGACGATCATTCGCAGCGGCTTGTGCTGGGCTCTGGGCTTTCGGTGGCCCATACATGCCATGAGGATTGGCCGAGTATCCGCTGTTGAATCCCATGGGCAGCATGCTGCCGGGATGGCCAACCATAGACATCTGCGCGCCTGGACTATGCAGATTACTCATCACTGGTCCGGTCATCGCCGGAAGTGTATAAGATGGATATGGAGGCCGTATGAAGTCGTTAGAAGGCATTTGATGATGTGCTTGGCCCATCGGCGGCGAACGCGTTGGAGCGTGGGCGGAATGTGGGCTCTGTGACACTGGCGTGCCGTTGGCATATGGGTATGATTGACTCGGCGGACCAACATTGGTGTACAAAGGCGGTGCAGACGCGGGCTTCGATGGGATAATATCGGCCATGGACGTGTGCCCGGACTGTTGACTTGGGGGACGAATGGGTACCATGGGATTCGACAGCACCTGCTGATGTGAAGCAAGGCTGGCACCTGGTGGTGACTGGTAACCGTTTGACATCCCATATGCTGAGACATGAGAGAGATCATAAGGCGGCGGAGGCAGAGTGGTTCCACCCGCTGATGGCGAGTTTGTGCTTGGCCTGTAAAGAGGCTGACCGGGACCGGGAGGTGAGAACATGGATCTTTGCACAAGCGGGTTTGGCTGCCATGCCTGAGGAGTCAGGCCAGTATGAAATCCTGGCGTCGAAGCGCCGTTGAAAAATGTTGGGGTATATGGCAGGACTGGGGGGCCACTACTCGGTGTTGAGCCAGTAGGCATAGCAGACGAGGTGGTGCTGCTATCTGAGGCTGAGTTCGAAGGTGGCGTGAGCAAGTTGCCGACGCTGACAGCTGACGAGCTGTTGTGAATGGCATGACTAAAAGGAGGATATTTGTGACCGCTCAATGTCGGAAATGCTGGTGGCGCCGGGAGTTCAAAGGCAGGCAATGTTGCAGCTGCCTGGCGCCGCTGAGTTAGACTCGACGGCGCATTGAGGGCATCGAGGGACGAGCCCATTGGGTTGACTACGGCAGCAGCCACAATGAACGATCTGCTGTTTTCACTTCTTTACAATCTTGTCCGTTGTTTCGATGAGGAGATCCGCGTGGGAACGCTCTCTGATCGCGTGCAGTAAGCCGGCGGAAAAGCGATATTCTCGTGTTGCGATCGTTTCGTTTCCAATCGGGTCTGCGAAGCCCTCCAAAATCGTTGAGCGACGACGTGGTCGACGGTGAGGTGCCTCAGTCGCTTATCTGAACGCGCAGCAATGATGAACAGTTAGGCGCGAACCTGTGTCGAACTCTCCACCACGAATTGATCTGGAGCGCCGATCGAACTGTTATGAGGTTTTCGATGTGGGTATTCAACAGCAAGCGACTCGGTGTGGTAACGATCAGCAGGCCCGGATCTATGGTTGATGCAAGGCGTGTAGCGATCAGCGGTCAAGGAAGCTGGTACCTGACAATCGGATGCGATACAGCAGAACTATGACGGCCACGCGAGAATGCCACAGACCGGGTGGTTGGAACAAAATGTGGATGGTGAGGGCGTCGCAAAGAACGTGCTTAAAAAACTGGTGGTGGTGGGTGGTGGAGGGAGGGTCCGAGTTGAAGAATGCGGACAGGCTGCCCTTTTTGCGAGTCTACAAGTCAAGCATATTGCTGCATGGCGTTTTCAAAGGCAGCTGGATGTCAAGATCTGGCTGGACGAGTCTCTCGTCTGGAGTCTCTTGAACGGGGTAGGACTGGAAAACAGACAGGTCGGATAGGGCGAGAGCAGCATAGTTTGGCATGGAGAGGAGGGGGCATGAGTGAGAGTGGATGCTTAGGGGAAAAGGAAAAAGGTTTGATTCAAGTCAACATGCACTCGGAAAAGATGACAGGGGTAGTCTCTCTTTGCATCAGACAGAAGAGTTGAAGCGTGGGAAGGTGAAGGGGGGTCGCTTTGGTAGCTCGGAAGTCTTCCCAGTAGCTTAAAGGCCTCTTGTGAGTCCAGACCCATGAACCAAGTCTCGATTGGGAACGCGTCAAATTGGATCTACACTGCAATGGGCCTAGCTGGAGTGGACACATTCAAGGAGCCATGAACTGCAAAGAAAGCACTCTTTCTTCGATACTTAACATCGTGTCACGCTGGAGGCGCGACCGGACACACCTGTGCGCTGCTTAGTTGCAGTCGCCCTGGGAAGTGTAGCGATCAGGACACAGCTGGTACTTCGCAGTGAGATAAGTCAAATGCATCAGTTATACCTCGTGTGGATCATACCGCGAATCAAACAGATTCCAGACCGGTATGCTCATACGTGCCGATGCGCTGCAGATTTCGCTAATTCTCGATCAAACTAAGTCAGCTGGCCTGGGTACTCTCCTCTCTGCTGTTGTGAACAGTACGAATACACTGCTAAATTGATAAAATTAAAATGCCCCGGGAAGGTTTGTATGAAAGTAGATTGCTGTCTAGTCCAGATAGCAGCACAACTGGCCCGCATTTTGCCGGTGTCTGCTTACCACACCGGACGACAGAACTTGAAGTGCGGCCTGCTGTCACTCTCACATGGTTCGGCAACTTTCAAGCTTAGGCCATGTTCGGATCTCAAGCTCCCCCATCCGATGTCAGTAACAACGTGAAGATAACATGTACGCCACCACGCTTTCTTTTCCACGTGAATGCAGACAAAGTACACAGTTACCTGTCCGTCGGTTCGCCCACGCGACAAAGGGAGATCTTGGAGCGCCTCGTGGGCAATCCTTCGTGTCTACTTGACAACCACCAGCCGTCAAATTCCTGCCAGCGGCGGCGTCTTAAAAGTACTATACGATGAGCACTGAGCAGCGCACGTTCCGAAAGTTGCTCGCGTCCAGCAGCTACTATTTCAGCACAAGATGCGGTCTCCTGCCCGCCCGCTGGCGACGTAAGTTCGGTGGTGCAGCGGCCCCGCCGATTCCTTCTCCAAGGAATTGCCATTGCCCAACTCACCGATCTCCAGGCTTCAGGCTGCAAGCCTAGCAGACATGGACCAGCCTGACTGCTGGTTGATATGAAGTAATTTCTTATGCATTTTCCGATGAAAGTAAAGTGACCATCACGGTTCATAACCCATGGTGGTATTATCATCGTGCCAAAAACGCCAACAGAGTTCGATTTGTCCGACACCAGGGTGGGCCTCTTATGCAGCATTACAAGCCATGATCTGGTGGAGGCGTCCTCGCTTATAACATCCCTGCTTTGCAATCGAGAACCCCATCAGAGAAATCAAGAAAAGCAAGCTGCAGCACGTCAACGAGAAGAGTAGAACGGCGCTGTGAGACGGTGTACTGTTGTCGACTCAGTGAGGTAGGGTGACAGGCTTCAGTTGCTTGTCGCACAGTCCAGAACAGCCGCTCAGAGCTGGAAGCGCTCTACTTGAATTAGGGCTATTGGACAGTACTGCATGCCGCGATTCGCTGAAGTTAGTCTCTTACAGAGCTCGGTACGGTGCACGCAAGTACGTCGGTTACTCCTAAACCGCGGAGCGAGTCACACTTTCCCCGCTGACTGTGTACAAAGCAACTGGTGAAATTGCAAGCAAGACCATCGGATTCCTGGCATGCCAGAACTTCAGTGTTCGAGACTTCGATAGGCACAAACGTTGCGCTTCCTCATCTGTCTTGACTCAATTTGGCAAATTTGGCTGTTGATCGATGCTTGCACTCGAAGGAGGCGCCTGGGGCTTGACGGAAGGCTTGTGCTTCCGTTGAGAACGCGAGAGGGATCAGCAGGGGTAAAGCAGCCCAGGCCATGCCCTAAATGTAACCGGCAAATCCACCACACGCGTGACGGCCTGGGTCAAGCGCACCTAGCAGCTCATAGCTTGACGAGATTGCCAGACTACGCTTCTGGGCGGGCTCTTGCTCGCTCCGACTCTTGCAAGAACACGAGCACGGCCTTGCTCGTCAACTGTGATTATAGGAAGGATCGTGTCGTGCACTTTTGGGATTTGTAGTACTGTTGTTAGGCAATGAGACTTGCGTCAATCTGGTGCCTCCGACCTGAGAGTGATGGCGGCCGCGTGCTGGCCATCCACTTCCGAAGAGACCACTGTAGCTGCCTAGCCTCAATAATCGGCGGCCTCGTTGATCAGCTGTAGCCGTTGACGCCACCCTCCTGCCCATTATTAGCTCTGTGACCCGGGTTTCCTGGGCGGCTCTGACAGCAGGTCAAGTCCCTTTGACGACAACTGCGAGCATCGGGACACCCCAAGTATCAATGTTGTGTGAACGTGGCACAGCCAAAAAGCTTCGACCCTTTCGTCGTTGGTGGCTTGGTGGCTTCGTCGCGTGGCTGCGGCTGGCGTTGATCTCGGGTGCCACGTGCGGCTCAAAAGAGTCGGCTATCTCGTCCGGGGTATTGCACCCACTGGAATTTGATGCTGTTGTTCACGGCATGTACGGTGTCACAGCTTCGTCTCTGAATTGCAGCTGTCTACTGAGAGCCCTCCCTGGCCAGCTTTCGAATACCAATTGTGCCTGTGTGCCACAGACTCACAGCGTAAGTGATAAATCAAGCTCCTCATCTAGTAGGACGCCATCGGCAACTCCGAAGCTTCGCCATTCGAGCAGTAAACTCATTACCAGTGCTATCATGATTTGGGCTCAGAACTAGAGACTTGCAGAGCTCTCGTCCCTCGATAAATGCGAGAATCAATAGTACTCGACTTGGATAAACTTGCTCGAACGTTGCCGTGACATGCTGCGATGTTTTTGTCCTGGCATTAGTGGACTTGTAGCTCGTACCACAGGCGTCGCTCACGCCCGCCGATGGCACGACTGCCTTGGCTTGGCAGATCAGCAACGGTCTTGGTGAACAGCGGCTGGTCTGCGCCACTCAGATAGTCATCGAGCGCCCGGACAGCCGCACTACTGAGATCTGCGGTAAGCAATATGTTGCGCGCTTGCAATGGTAGCTGTCTTATCTTGTGCCGAATGTTGACGCTGGCATCTCTGAGGTCTCCTGACGCAATCCCATTCTCAATCAGCGTACGTGTTCTCTGGTAATCGAGTGGATGAGGATCGTAGATGAGGTGCCGCTCCCAAACGCAGAAGTCAAGGATAATTCTAGGTCTCCGCTGCAAAATACTCAGTTCTCGACTGAGGCCTGCGAACCATCGAACGGCTGGAAGAAGGACTTCTGGGTGAAGTTGCAACTCCAGTCGATGCAGATTAGTGCATAGATTTAGTTTTGACCACATCTCTGTCTCCTTGGGGCCCTCCTCACGCCACATGGTAGGCAGTATACTCACGTTAGCCATGGCTTCAAGAGCTGCCCGGCCAAGGCCGCAGAATGCAGCGAAGTCGTCCCTGAGTTGAAAGTCGTTGAGACCATAGGCGTACAGCATAGCATCATCGTGTATCTCTTTGTTGACGCGGAATACCTGAGTCTGAAAGACGGGATCGACAGTGCTGGGAGGTGCACTCCTGCCAAACAAGACAAGAATGGGAACGTGGTGGCGAAGCAATATCTGTGCTGGTTGGTACAGCAATTCGCGGTAGATCCGATGCCTGACCTCTGTTGGCAGGGTCATCATAGACACGGGAGTCTTCCGCGGCTGTACCGCTTTCGCTTCACTTGTTGAAGAAGCCATTCGTAATCCGGTGCGTATGTGAGTGCCGCCTGATGACTTCCGATGAGACCGGCATTCCAATCTTAGGGAGGTCTGGGAACAGCATACATCCTCGAGGTTTCAGAATATATATGTGCACGCTGCGGACCTTCGGATGGTGGCGTCATGCCACGGGGAAGCGAATGCCGCCTGTACTACACCATCCCGATCAGCAGGAGATGATCAAGCTGAATCTCTTGGGCGACCGACGGAGATTCTACAAAGTACAGGTAGTGTCAAGATGAGCGTGGCACGAGCCTTCTAGTCGTACCTGCCTTGGTACTATTTGAGGGTATGGGGTAGCATCCTTGGCAATGACGTCGATTGGCCAGCGACTACCAGAGATGCTCGGGTCCTTATGCACTGCAAGCAACGTCCCGCATAGTAGGAGCTCATTCGACTTCAAGACTGTTGATTTCCAGAATCTGACACGGATCTGCTCAAGCGTGCACTGTGCGGACAAGCTAATTCTGAGTCTGTTCAGTTACACAGCCATATGGGCCTGGCAGATTTCTGGGTGAAGCCATTCCAATCCAACATGTTTCGAGTACGTTGGTTCTCCAGCCGATGAGCGAGCTATCCATTCTGCGACGGCTTGCTCGCATTCGTCTGGCTGCATGACTGACCATTGAGCAGTCGAAAACGAAGGATGTGATATCCATCTTCCATAAGTCATCGGTCCCTGCCTCAGGTCGAGTAGTCACTCTCCTCAAGCAGGCTTCGGCGCACTCCCAAGAAACAGCAACAGAAGACCAGGCCTCAGATCACTCCGCACAGAACAAATTTGCTGCGAGAGAACCCTTCGACCTCGACATCACCGAAGCCGACCCGACACCTGACCAGCTGAAGAACATCTGGGAATACCTCGGCAGTGGCGGAGCCGCACAGCTCGTCAAGGGCGCAAGCACAGAATCAGAAGCGCTGAAGAAGCTCAAGGAAAGCGGAGACAATTTCAACCGACCTGTTGTGGTCGACTGGAACCAGGGCAAAGCTGTCGTTGGTGACAATGAGTCGGAAATCTTGAAGTTGGTCAGGGAACTGAACAAGTAGCGAGATGCTACATGTATCGACAGCTGTGATCTTCGTCAAGATGTGTGGTTCCTTTGATCTTTGAGGCGTCCGGCATCAATCAATCGGCCACTCTGACCAGATTCAACAATTGCAGAAATCTCCATTTTCTTCTCAAAGGTCTCCTTGGTCTGCAAATTCAGTCTTATAACTGACGAATATGCATGCAACTGGCTGCGGTGACCCAGACACCTGTCAGTTTGGCATGTAGGAGTCAGAGCAGACAGGACGTCCGAAGGCACTGACCGCAGAATTTGCATCGCTTTGTCCTTCTTTCACTGTGTGATACGGCTTTGCGAGGAGGCTCTGCTCGGCGACGACTTCATGCGCAGCCAGCCCATCCCTCGAAACCGTGCCGGCGCCGCGTCAATGCAGGTAAGCCGAGCTCTTCTTCGGTTCTAACTGGTTTCGCTCAAAATGATCGAAATCTGCACGGACATCCATTTTGGGAACAATGCTGCACTGACCTGCTCTGATCGCACTGCTATGTTTTATAGACTCTTACTGCGACGATAGCATTACCCCTACACAAGTTCAAGATCACTGCTTCGTAGCCTCAAGGCCCAAGATCATAGCGACGTACGTTCGACAAAGGCTGATGGAACAAGGTACGGGTTCTTCCACTGCGTCCTTGCACTCTAGTGCTTCATTGTTGGCGGAAGAGACAAAGAATCCAAAAATGGTTTGCAGGTCAGCGCAGGCGACTTGTGCAAAGCCGAGCTGTCGTCAGCATGAATCGATCGCCATTACCTCGATTACTGCTGGGACTCTCGACCATCCAACATGCGGCCATTGCCATGGCGGCGGCGTCCGACGCCATGTCTGGCCTCCCTCGCTTCGGTGCTTCTATTTGCGGTCACCGTCGATACCGTCCAGGCCGCCATTACACTCAACGTTGACGATCCGAACTCGATAAAAGCGGCCGCGAAGATAGCCGCGAACGGGATGATGAAGTACTACACAGGCGACAAGCCAGGCGACACACCCGGCAACCTTCCTCAACCATATTACTGGTGGGAAGCAGGGGCCATGTTCGGAGCTCTTATCGACTACTACTATTTTACTGGCGATGATACATATAATGCAATGACACAACAAGCAATGCTCCATCAGACAGGTCCCGATCGCGACTTCATGCCACCGAATCAGACACGTACGGAGGGAAACGACGATCAAGGCTTCTGGGCAATGGCAGCCATGTCTGCTGCCGAGAACAACCACCCAAACCCACCAGAAGGCGAAGCGCAATGGCTCGCCTTAGCTCAAGCAGCATTCGAAACACAAGCCAAAAGGTGGGATAATGCTACTTGTGGCGGTGGATTAAGGTGGCAAATATTTACATTCAATGGAGGATACAACTACAAGAACACGATCAGTAATGGATGCTTCTTCAACCTTGCTTCTAGACTCGCAGTTTACACGAGCAACGCGACATATGCGCTTTGGGCTGAGACGGTGTTCGATTGGATGCATAACAAGATCGGACTGATCGACAAGGACTACAATTTTTTTGATGGAAGCGATGTATTGCTGCAGTGCAAAGAGTTCGATCATATCCAGTGGACATACAACGCTGGAGTCTATCTGGCAGGGGCGGCAAATATGTACAACTTCGTAAGTCCACCACTCCGTTCCTTCACCGTGAGAGCGCAGTGATACTAATTCGCTACTGCCAGACCGGCGGATCACCCACATGGGAAGCCCATCTTCGCGGCATAATTGCCAATCTCGCGCACTTTATGCCCGATCAGTCCTCTCAAATTCTGGTCGAGACCGCCTGCGAGCCCATCAACTCATGTAACGTGGACCAGCGCTCCTTCAAAGCCTATCTTGCGCGCTGGATGGCCATGGCTGCGGTCAAAGCTCCAGCCTTTGCGCCGCAGATCAAAGCAATACTGCGCGCAAACGCTCTCGCAGCCGCAAAAACCTGCACTGGAGGCGAAGATGGCAATCAGTGCGGGCTAAAATGGACGGAAGGAGTTTGGGATGGGCAGCTCGGGGTAGGAGAGCAGATGTCTGCGCTGGAGATCTTTCAAGCGAATTTGATTGATTATGTCCCAGGCCCAGTCAATGCGGAGAGCGGAACGAGCAAGGGCGATCCCAATGCTGGACAAGGAAGCAAGGTCGGTCCGGGGGACCTTCATCGGAGTAAAGTGACAACGGCAGACAAGGTCGGCGCAGGTGCATTGACATTGGGAGTCTGTGGGTTGTTTCTCGGAGGCGTCGTGTGGTTGGCGATTTAGGGTCGTAGACATAATCTGGGAGTATCCCGAATTTGCTCAGCAACCTCGGGCGTGCACCTGCTGAGCTTGCCAGACACGGTCGATTGGTCTAGTCTACCCCTCGGGCGTCTTTTGCGAGGCATCCTCAGATCTCCTCTTCAGTAGCATGGCCTCCTGCTCTTCTCGTTTGATCGCATCCGGTCTCCCCACCGGTCGTCCACGGAGTGCCCCATTGTAAGTATGGGCTGGCGAATGCGCAGTCCAACACCCCAAGGTGTCTCAACAACATGTTTGAATGGAATAAGATGAAACTTGTTGGAATGAAGACATGCATCGTCAAGCTCGTAATATGCAGACAAGAACAGCTGAACTGAAACGCCACGACCACGTCTCCCAAGTGTGCCGCCTCAGAAATTGCCTCCAAATGTGTCGCAGCATTGGCCTCGAATCCTGCTTCAGCACCGACTTCCGGCCTTGCTTCATCACCGCCCAGCAGCCATCTCCTTCTTCATAGCCTCCTGCTGCTCCGCCCTATCCCTCTGCTCCTGCCTCGTTCTTGCCACAATGTCTGCTCGTGCTTTCTCTCGTGCTTCCTCTGCAGCCACCCAGATCGGCTTGTCGCTCTTACTGTACTCGATCATCTTGGTCCTGAAATCCTCGTACTCCGCCATCCGTCGATCGCGGTTCTCAAGGTTCCGTTTCTGAAGTTCGGGACTGAAGCGCTGGAAAAGTGCGTCGGGATCAGGTGTGAGGTAGTACATGCCCAGAGGCCCGCCGACAGACACAACGGTGAAGACGGCAGCGAGCTTAAAGTACATGCCACCACGAGAGGCGCGCGACATGGTTAGGGTCGTGTGATTGACCCGTGAGATGCTGGTTTGAGAGTAGAAGCCGTCACTGGAGAAGAGGCCTGTCCGTCTCTGCGCAAGCAAGCCTATTTCGCTTGCGCTGGTGCGGAGGTCTTGATCGTTGTCACCTGGGCTTCTGGAAAGGCCGTCTACGTCCACCGACGTGCTGCTATCCGAGGTAATGAAGTGCAAATGGACGACGTCAATATCCGGCGGCCAACGAAAGCTCGATGGTCACTCTTGGCAGCATCCCCGAAGCCAAGTCGAAGCTCCACCGCCGGTGAGATGCTGCTCTGATGCCCCGGAGTTTTGACACGGCCCTCCCCGATCAGCCCAGGTTTGTTACTCACAATTTTTGCGCAAGGACGCACGTCGCTGTGCAACACTGACCTGTAGCATTGTGTACAACGGGATGCTATCGTGACACCGACCACGTTGAATTCGAACGCAGCAAGTCCTTGACAGCCCGCCAGCATGGCTGGACGGCGCACACTTTTCTCCCTGGCTGCTCGCGCCAGTCGCATTCAGCAGACCAGTCCTATACCATCCTTGCTGAACCAGCAAACTCGATGCAGGAGCACAAACTCGACCTCAGCACTAGCATACAAGGCACTCCATCGCCGATCACCGCTGCCACTACCTGTGAATGAGCCTGGGCCGTCGTCCTATGGCGCTGCAGCAGCCGTCAGCTCCATTCTCTACGAGACGCCTCAAGTGTCGACTGCGCCGCCCAAGAAGCACGTCCTGAACTGCCTGGTCCAAAACGAGCCCGGAGTATTATCTAGGGTATCAGGAATTCTCGCCGCGAGAGGCTTCAACATCGACTCCCTCGTCGTTTGCAATACCGAGGTCGAAGATCTGTCACGAATGACTATTGTCCTTCAAGGTCTGGACGGTGTCGTTGAGCAAGCACGTCGACAACTCGAAGATCTCGTACCGGTATGGGCTGTTCTGGACTATACCTCTGCTGCGCTCGTACAGCGAGAGCTCCTTTTAGCCAAGGTTTCGATCTTGGGACCTGAAGTCTACGAGGAGCTGATGGAACATCACCGAGAGATGACGGCTACCTCCGAACAAGCCGAGTATGATGCGGAACGAGCCGAGGAGAACGCAGAGAGGCGGTTACAGGAGCTGGAAGGAAGCAATCAAAAAGACCCTGGCATGATAGAACGTGCGAAGGAGCTTCTCGGACAGGCGGACACATATCATCCTAGCGGACTTGCGGCATCTCAGGCACTGCGGCACAAGCACGAGCATTTGGAAGCCATTACGCACCTGACACATCAATTTGGTGGCAAGGTCCTTGACATCAGCACAAACAACTGCATTGTCGAAGTGTGAGTTGCCCTTGCCCTCGTTAGGCCTTAGGTGATAGTTGCTAACCATCATACAGGTCAGCGAAACCGTCAAGGATCGACTCATTCATGAAGCTGATTGCTCCATTCGGTATCCTAGAGTCAACTCGAACTGGCTTGATGGCTCTGCCTCGATCGCCACTGTACTCCCCGGCTGAGGAGATGCAGCGCGAGGCAGACGAGCTTGTGGATGCCAGCACTCTCCCACCTGGCTAGTGAGAATCTTTGTGGTATGTACAGCGGCGGCAAAAGCTCTGGGGTGGACGCTCGGTCAGGCGGGCGTTTAGTTCCATGGGCTGGTCGTGTAGATGTGGCGCCTTAAAGATGAACAAGGGACTGGTATTTCCGAGGCGAGGGCTTCATGTTGTACAAGCTGAACAGAGCAGAGAAAATCTGACCTGATACTTCATTTATCATCATTTGCTGAGCTGGTGCTGCTTGACCGGAAAAAAGTGAGCCTGATGAACCCACCAACGCTTGCCAAGACCGTCGTCACCATTCAACCTCGTAGTATCGTCACGAGCAATTGTACATACCCACCTATGAAGGTATCTAGGTATACACTGCGCAAGGCCGCTTCCATCTTTGGAGTCCTCGATAGGCATTAGGAACTGGTGTACTCAAGGCCTCTATTACGACTTCTTTACGAGATGTCCTACCTCCGTGGGCTTCCAGCCCCTAGCGAGTTCTTTCCGCCCACGCCTCGTGCACACGCATTGATTGCAAAGGTCGTCTGGAGCTGGATCCCGGTAAGTCCTGCAACTCCAGTCAGATCAAAAGGACGGAAGACGTCATGCGGTCGAGTGGGCAGTATGTCTGCATCAACACGCCATAATGCTACCACGCCTCGTATGTCAATAATTGGGCATACGCCACGCCGTGGGCTAGGCTGTACCTGACAGTAGCGAGCACTCGCATGATGATAGCCTAATGCAGATGCTTCGTGTTGCATCCAGTACTGACGTACACCTCCAACAGATCTCACTGATACAATGGACGCCATTGATGAAGCTCCAGCAAATGGGCAAGACGTCGGGTTCAGCCTCCTACCATCTCCCAGGACGCTTAGCATGGATCACAGCCGAGATCATTGCTCCGATCAACTTCTTATACATTATTTACACACTACCCGCCAAACTGAAGCCCACACCAAGCGCAGCCTCAAGCATTTTCGGGACAGGCCTGCCGATCCAGCATGAGTTGCTGGCCTTTCTCTACGTGGCTCACTACATCAACCGAGCTGTAGTTGCACCGCTTTCAGCGCCCAGCGTCAGTCCGATCGCGATCTGGGTGTGGGCAATGATGGTCTACTTCCAGCTCCCACATTCGGCCAATTTGGCCTCCTGGATCGTGTACTCGACTACGGATGCCACCGTCCGGGATCGGTCTACTCCATTCTTCACTCCACTCGCATTGTTGGGCCTGGCTCTCTGGATCTACGGCTTTCGCGGCAACGTTGTCTCAGAGTATAAGCTGTACGACCTGCGTCGGGCAGCGGCGAAGCGGAAGGCAAAGTCTGAGGGCAAGGCAGTAGTTACCTACGAGAAGGTCTACGTGATTCCGCCGGCAGAGGGGACTTTCAAGCACATTCTCTACCCGCATTATGTATTGGAATGGGTCGAGTGGATCGGTTACTGGATGATGGGCGGTGCCTGGGGCCTGGGATGGGGTTTGAGCACAGCTTCGGTGTGGTTCATCATTTCCGAAGTAACGACGATGCTGCCCAGGGCCGTCGACGGCAAGAAGTGGTATGAGACAAAGTTCGGCAAGAGAGCTGTAGGCGGTAGGGCTGCTGCAATACCGGCGCTTGGTTTGTAGGCCGGTCACGGTGTCGTCGCACACTACCTAGGTACACAAGTGATTATACAAATCAACGAGCAGTAGAACTATATGTGAGAACAAGCGACAATCTGCACCACATCCAAACTGCCGCTAGCAAGGGCTCAACCGTGGGGCATCTGGGGCAGCCCCTCCTGCCAGCGCTCAGGCTTGCTGCTGCCGAAAGATATATATGGAGCGCAGTAGCCACGACATCTTAAGATGCACCTTCCCAAGCACCGACATTTTCTGTCGCCATTGACGTTGTTGTCGCCCAAGATTCAGTTGTGCGTTGAAGACTCTCCGGAAATCGGAGCTGTCTTCGCAAAAATGATGCCATCCGGGAGAACCCTGGAGGGGCAAGGATCCCTCACCGCTTGCTGACAGCTTGCTGCAGAATTTTCCAAGACTGACCATTGCCGGACTACTAATCAGTCCGAATAAGCCAGAGTCAACGGTATCTTTAACATCGTTGTCAAACAGGTGAGGTGAAAGGCGCACGACTGTTGAACAATCTGGTTACCGGAACTGGAGAAACTATCCCCCGCGCAGCCCCTCACCTTCTTGTGACAATTTTCCAATCGACTTGACGAACGGACCGTTTGCACAGGCCTTTCCTGAAGTCCTCCCTGGCACTCTTTCTATCCTCGACTTCCTCTCCCTTCCCTTTCGTTTCGCTCTCACATTACTCTCACACAATCCGCAAATATGGTTCAGTCGTAAGTTACTTCCATTTCTACGTCGAAAATGTCGAATATGTCGAAGTCCACTACAGGGCGGACTCTGCTCGAAAAAAGCATCACCATTCTGCTTTGAATAATTCGTCTAATCTCCCGACTTACTTACGATTCTCGCAGATCCATTCTCGGCTTCCCTCGTATGGGCGCGAACCGCGAGCTCAAGAAAGCGACCGAGGCCTACTGGGGCAACAAACTATCACAAGAAGAACTCCTCAAGGAGGGAAAGAGACTGAGGCTCGAGCACTGGAAGATCCAAAAAGATGCCGGCATCGATATCATCCCAAGCAATGACTTTGCGTTCTACGACCAAGTCCTCGACCACATCCAGCTGTTCGGCGTCATCCCAGAGCGCTACTCGAAGTACAACCTCGCCCCAATCGATGAATACTTCGCTATGGGCCGTGGCCTGCAGAAGCCAGCTCAGGATGGTGCAGATGCGGTAGACGTCCCGGCTCTGGAGATGGTCAAATGGTTCGACTCGAACTACCACTATGTCAAGCCAACGCTTCAAGACAACCAGACCTTCAAGCTGGCATCTGACCCAAAGCCTGTCCGGGAATTCCTCGAGGCGAAGGAAGCCGGCATCACCACACGACCTGTCCTTGTCGGACCAGTCTCTTTCCTCCATCTCGGAAAGGCGGACCGTGGTCAATCCATCACACCTCTTTCTGCTCTTGACAAGCTCCTGCCTCTCTACGTTGATGTCCTGAAGCAGCTCAAGGAAGCTGGCGCCGAGGTCGTGCAAATCGATGAGCCAATCCTTGTCTATGACCTCCCGGAGGAAGTCAAGGCTGCTTTCAAGCCCGCGTATGAGGCTCTGACTGCGTCTGGCTTGCCCAAGCTGGTCGTTGCTACATACTTTGGAGACATTGTCCACAACCTGGATGCCGTTGCTCATCTCAAGAGCGTCTACGGTGTACACATCGACCTTGTTCGAAATCCAGAACAACTCGAGACTGTCATCGGTGCTCTAGGAGACAAGCAGGTTCTCTCTGCTGGTGTCGTTGATGGTCGTAACATCTGGAAGACTAACTTCAAGCGTGCTATCGAGACCGTCGAGTCTGCTGTCCAGAAAGTTGGCAAGGACCGTGTGATCGTTGCTACATCCAGCTCCTTGCTCCACACTCCTCACACTCTCGCCAGCGAGAAGAAGTTGGACAAGGAAGTTGCTGACTGGTTCGCTTTCGCTGTTGAGAAAGCCACGGAGGTCGCCACAATCGCCAAGGCTGTCACAGAGGGTCCCGCTACTGTCCGAGATGCTCTCGAGGCCAACGCCAAGTCTATGCAAGCTCGTGCCTCATCAAGCCGCACCAATGACAAGGCCGTTCAGGAGCGTCAACGCCAGGTCACAGAAGAGATGCACAACCGCAAGAGCCCCTTCCCAACCCGCATTGCCCAGCAATCGAAGAGACTAAATCTCCCACTCTTCCCCACAACTACTATTGGATCCTTTCCTCAGACCAAGGAGATCCGCATCCAGCGCAACAAGTTCACCAAAGGCGAGATCACAGCTGAGCAGTATGAGAAGTTTATCGAAAAGGAGATCCAGGATGTCATTGCCATTCAAGACGAACTCGAGCTCGACTCTACGTTCACGGCGAGCCAGAGCGTAACGACATGGTGCAGTACTTTGGCGAGCGTTTGGACGGCTATGCATTTACCACCAACGGCTGGGTCCAGTCATACGGTTCTCGCTGTGTCCGCCCGCCCATCGTCGTCGGTGACATCTCTCGTCCTCAGCCCATGACCGTGAAGGAGTCAAAGTATGCTGCCTCCATCTCCAAGAAGCCGATGAAGGGCATGCTCACTGGACCCATTACCTGCCTGAGATGGTCCTTCCCTCGTGACGACGTTCACCAGTCCGTGCAAGCCCAGCAGCTTGCCCTGGCTCTGCGTGACGAGGTCGTCGATCTCGAGAAGGCTGGCGTCTTCGTCATCCAGGTCGATGAGCCTGCTCTTCGTGAAGGTCTTCCTCTTCGCGTTGGCAAGGAGCGCACTGACTACCTGAAGTGGGCTGTCGATTCCTTCCGCCTTTCCACCGCTGGTGTCGAAGATGGCACCCAGATCCATTCGCATTTTTGCTACTCGGAGTTTCAGGACTTCTTCTACGCTATTGCGGCTCTCGATGCCGACGTTCTCTCGATCGAGAACAGCAAGAGTGACGCTAAGCTCCTGAAGGTCTTCGTGGATGAGGCATATCCCCGTCACATTGGCCCTGGTGTCTACGATATCCACTCGCCGCGTGTGCCCAGCCAACAGGAGATCGAGGACCGCATCAAGGAGATGCTCCAGTACCTGAAGCCGGAACAGTTGTGGATCGACCCCGATTGTGGCCTCAAGACGCGTCAATGGAAGGAAACAAAGGCCGCCCTGACCAATATGGTTCAGGCCGCCAAGGCCTTCCGATCGCAGTACCAAAAGTAAAGCATGATGTTGTCAATTTGACCTGCAGAGGCCGCCCTGTGGGTCAAATGGTCGGTCGGGATGATTTCAGGGGATGCTGTCGATTTCACACATGGAGGGCGCCCTGAAGGTGCCAAGGAGTATTTTTGCAGTGCAATCAGCATTTATGATTTAACACGACAGGGCGGGCTCTGACGGGCTGTGGAAAAGTTTCAACATGATACCCAGGGCTTTCGTCCCATATTGCAGACCGAATTTAACATCGGTTTGCAAGTAGCTGCATTCAACAATGTGGCTAGAAGCACAGATAATGATAAAGAATGATTCCAAAGGTTTCTCACCTCGTGCAAGCTGGTCGGCGACGAAATCAGCGTTTACCCAATCCCTAACATACACGCCAGATCCTTACAGCGTCCTCCCTGGCAGGAAAGTTGATGATAGATGAATTCCGCGACTTAAGGCTCAAGTGAGGCTCACCCCAAATTTCCCAGCTCAATCTGCAAAACAGTTGCAGTCCGCAGAGCCCGCCCTGACTCGAAATCTGGGGATTAAACGGACAAGTATTGAAACTGCTTAAGTCTGGATAGCCTGATAGGGTCATGCTACACGACATCTCATCATGGCTGTGCATCGTGCGGAATACATCCACAAAGCACGCCTTCTTCCTAACCTACTCGTTCGATGGGACTGGAATGACTACAGAATCGTGCTCTTGACGACGACCACCAGCATTGCTAGAAGTGTCACGAGCGTATTGCGTTGCACGACTCAGGGCGGACTTCAGCAATGTGTACAGGCCCTGGTAGCACATTACCCGTTGCCTGGAGGAAGGCCTCTTGATGGGTCCCATCCCTCACGTACAAGGCTCATCAATGCTCAAGTGCCCTCGAGACTGAGCGGTCCCATGACTACGAGAACCAAACCAGGCAGTTCACCTCACAACAGCGCCCCAATGCGGTCGAGTCGTGGTGCCTTTTCCGATGAGCAATCAATATGCATGACGAAAGGGGCAGTGATTTGACATACAGGTACTGTGTCTGTAGGAGTCGGCAGGATGGTGTGTCAGTACATAGCGCAAGTAGAAAGGTATTAGAGGACCATAATCAGCCTAAAAGACTTGGAAGACGCGACACAACCGTGAATGCAAATCCATGTTTGAGTGGGGGTGAATGCCATATCTTGCGATGCCGTGGACTTGAAGACATACAGCCCCCCAGAAAAGGCTGGTGATCATGTAGTGGAAGCCTTCCTCGAGGGCAAAACCCAAGCCGACAAGTCCAGCGAGCATGAATGGCGTGCTCACGAAAATGGCTCGTAGCCGAGCCTCGGGCTCGAAGTGGTCGTTGTGGGAGCGGATGTACTGATTCGCAAGGTCTCCTGCGTCTTCTGGCCCGCCAGTCAACCGAGTTTGCGAAGAGACCGCGCACATGCCGGCGTAGTAGACGTCGCTGCTGAGAGGTTTAAGTTGGGAAGCGTTGCTGCGGTGGGTGAATTGGATTGGGCGCGTGACAGGTCCGAAGGATCGATACGGGATAGACATTCGGTCTCGTGAATGTCCTTTAGTGGGGTGTCAACCGGTTTTGTGAAGGAATGGCGTTGAGAGAGGCAGGTGCAACTGCTATCACCCCATAGCTCTTGCTGCTGGAAGCGACTGGTGAGGCGGGTGCGAGTGCTGTCCGGTCGTCACTCCTGACGCATAAAGAAACGAGCGAAGCAGGCGCGCATATTGTCGTGGGGTTGTTCTTGCCGCTAAAAGTGCCTTGTGTAGGACAGACAGGTGCGCTTCTCGTCAACTGGTCGCTCCTGTAGTAGGGAGGCCTTCAGCGAGGCAGGTGTGATGATTGTCAGCCGATTGCTCCTGCTGTAGAAGAAGCAGCAGCAGCGAAAGGAGTCACAAAAGGGAGGCACGGCGAGCAATCGCCTAACAGCATGGTACCTGAAGGATATATCTCCGACAGGACGGGCTCTACCGTGATGTCGGGTATGAACTTCCGCGGATACGGCCACAGGCGAACCTCGAAGGCGACCACGACGGGCAGAGGACCAGATGGACACGCTGAAAACGCTCAGTTTGTATACCTGAACAGCCTGCTCGTGCGGTAATCATTCATTCATCTTGAAGATGGACAAGCACTCGCTTATTTCCGCCCTTGCCCTCCTTATGATAGTTGTACGCCTTCACGACCTCGTCCCAGCCCTCTCCAGCTACGTCGTACTGCGACGTGGACAACAACCCATCCTCAAAGAGCTTCTCTATGACTTTGTTGTACTTCGCCATATCCTTATTCAGCTTTTCGCCACGAGGGGCTCCAATTGGGCCCAGCCGGATCTCGTAGGTCTTGCCGCCCTCGAAGTCCGTGATGTTTGACCAGTCGTTCGTGGTAGCGAATAGTTTCTCTCCGCTGAGGCCACTGAAGAGCTTCTTGGCGACGACGGGGTTGTCGTTGCCCGAGGCATCGATGATTTTGGAGAGCTTGCCGGATGTGATCTTCAGGATCTGCTCGACTTGTGCGTCTTCGGGCTGCTTGTAGTCAACTGTGGTGGTGCCGAGTGCTTCTAGGTCTTCCTTCGAGCGGGCTGAGCAAGTAGTGACCACATCATAGCCTGCAAGAAGCAGGAACTGGACTGTTGCGCGCCCAACGGCTCCCGCCCCGCCGAAGACCAGGACCCATTCGCCGACTTTGGACTCCTTCTTTTCAGGAAGAGGGATGTGCACGCCTTCCACGAGCGCGATGGCGGCGGTTTGGAAGCCGCCTCCGAGGGTTGCTGCTTCGGCGACGGAGACGTTAGAGGGCTTCTTGATGGACACGAGTGCGTCTCGCAGGTGGTACTCTTGTGCGGTGCCGTGGTTCGGGACGCCCAGGCGGGCACATCCACAGACGATATCGCCTTTCTTGAAGCCCAACTCGGCGGCCTTGTCGCCTAGCTCAGTGACCACACCAGCACCGTCGACACCGAGCGTTATGGGCCATTGCTCGACCAGCATTCCTGTGTAAATCATGAATGCATCACTGTAGCGATCGTGTCAGTCCTCAAGCTCTTGTCATGTTAGGCCTTTACCATCTCCTTCGCAAGACTCACACTGGGTTGAATGCCATATATAGCGACTTCACAAGCAATTCTGTAGGCCCTGGTGTTGGCATCTCGATTTCAGTGACGGTCGGCGTGCCGCCGATTCCCTTGGTGAGAACAGCTTTCATGTTGGCGGTGTTCAGTATGGACAGATATGGTCAACGAAGCAAGCAGTGCGCGTCTGCGACTATTCTGACGGACGAGAACGCCCATGCTGGGGGCGCGACGCAGCTTATTTGTACATCGAGGACCGCGTTCCACGCGCCTGCAGGGTAGCTGTGTATACGTGTGTCGAATACGTGCAACATGCAAGACCTACTCATATGACGAACAATATGCAAAGATTGCCGAATACGGAATCGGTAATTCCAGAAAAGACCTAGAGCGTATCTCGACACGGGCTTCACCCCTCATCGCAGAGCTGAGCTGCAGATGTTATTGGGCAGGACAGCCTTTGGTCTAGCAGTAGCTCGTGGGTCAGGCATATGCGGTCCTGTAGTCAATGACCCTGAGTGCTGTAGTGCTGGAGAGCAGCTCGCTTGTGCTTGCTCAAAGGTTGGGTTAGTCATCCAACTCGTTTGAGTGTAAGGGCGGAGACCGCAGTCTCAGGCCTGGAGCGACAGCATTGATATAGTCCTCAGTAGCAGTATCGGAGTCAGCAACGAGCAGTAGCGACTCCATGCGTGGTGTTCATGCGTGGATCACGTCTGGCGTTGCGAACATGACAGAAACTTGACATTGTACGCGGAAGTCGCGACCGCCGGGTCACGTGACCGGTGACACCACGGATCGGAGGAACTGAATCTCCGCTATCGCCTGCGCCAAGCCTCACAGTGCGTTCTGCTCGACCTCCATCCATCAGACCGCAGTTTGAGTCATCACTTCTCGCACCCACCACAATCGCGTTCTCGCAGCTTTCCCACGAGATACACACAACCCGCAATCATGGGTAAAGTTCACGGATCCCTCGCCCGTGCTGGCAAGGTCAAGTCGCAGACTCCCAAGGTACGGCTCCCGTAGACAGCATTCGCCACTGCTTGACGGCAAAGCGACTGCCTCTCCATTGTTTTGAAGAAAGGAGCCGGACTGACGAGGACGCTGTTTAGGTCGAGCCCCAAGAGAAGAAGAAGACCCCCAAGGGACGTGCGAAGAAGAGAATAACATACACTCGACGATTCGTCAACGTCACCATGACTGGTGGCAAGAGAAAGGTACAACGTTCATTCCAAGAATCTCTCGACGAGAGGCTGACAAGTTTAGATGAACCCCAACCCAACGACGTAAGAAATGCAATTGCGATGAAACCATTCAAGACAAGACCATCTCGCCTGAAATCCGCTGGTACCACTACAAGGACAATTTATCGAACTTCCTGCGAAACAAATTTTTATGGAAGTGTATGAGAAAAGATTCTATCCCTAGAGCATGGCATAGTAGCCACTGGCTTGAAGATGGGAAAGGACCAGGAACATCAAGCGGCGTTGTCGAGGGAGGATTTGACTGCTTTGACAAAACACGGATAAGAGCAAATGCCATTTCTTGCATCCATTTTGACTGTTCCATTACTCTTTCGCAGATGCCTCAACTAGCGCCGCGACTGACCGAGTATACCGTCCAGCGTCCCATTGCATGCATGCTGACCTAAGACGTTGATTGCATGATTGCTTTAGCACGAATTGACGCCAGGATTGAAGCCTTTAGAGCGTCCTTGCAACTGATATCTTCTACGTGGTGGACCTTTGATCAATGATGAGGAAAGCACGGTTACTTGGAAGGACTTCTGAGTTGCTCTTGACTTATCTGGAGCTTTAGAGACCACAAGGGTAACCGGGACCGCCCCTGTCTTGTCAAGTACACTGAGCCGACTGTTGAAGCACTTCGGCAATTCGGAGAATGTCGCACGCCTTCAGGCGGCACGTGCAGACAACGAAATGGCTGCGGCATCACGCAGCAAGGCGCTTGGTGGCGATGCTTGACGATCGAGATATCCCCTGAACAGGTACAGCCTCGAACACGGCGCTGTTTTATACATCTCTTGGATATACATGTGCATTGCTGCCGCATTATGTAGAGCTGATCGGAGCCAGACTCAGACCTCGTCATCGTCCTCGATACGTTCTACTGCCGCCAGGACCTGTATCATATTTTCTACAAACCCTTCGGGATCTTCCATACGGCCCTCCGCCACGACCTCCTGCAAGGTTGCAATGGGCTCTTGTGTGTCCCTCGAGGACCATACCCCAAAGGGCTGTGATGATGCTAGACGAGCCGGGGGGCGCCCAAAGAAGCCATCGCAACATGCGGCTCCTAGAGCGCCTAGGAATACCGGACGCCGTGGACATACCAAGCCGCGAAAGGGACGACCGCCATCACATCGCAGATGTCACTAATAGTCGCCTTGGAGAGTGATGGCGATGGCTTGATTTCGCGTATTTAAAAACACGCTAAGTGATTCTGCCAACAAGGACCTCGGCGCACTGTAGAGTCCACCCGAAGAAGGTTGGGACGCATATTCGACTTGGGATTGCTGCTGACCCGACGAACAGGGTCGCATAACTGGCCTTGCTTCAGGGCTTGTTTTCAGAGTCTCGTGCAGCATTGGTGAACGTCAACGGCTTCAATTTGCTCATATTTGGCCCAGGCTTCTTCACCACCGGGATCATCACATCGCCAGAAGCTAGCAGCGGCGACTCGCCACTGTGCGACTGGATCTCAATGACCTGAGAGAAGGTGTTTGGCGGCTCCCAATGGCTGGTCATGATCGGAATAGCTTCCAACCGCAGCAGAGAAACGTTGAAGTGCAGCTTCTCCTTGGAGAAGTCATTCGGATCTGGGACCGGAAGACCGTTGGACACCATGACTGTGTAGATCTCGCCAGGACGAACGGGTAGTTTGTAGTTGATTTCAATACCAGTTTTGTCATAGGCCAAGCTGTAGTCAGCACAGTATGATGCGATGTGCTTGTTGACGGCTTCGAGCATCATCGTCGCCGTGACTCCTCCATGCATGACATCTGGGAAACCGTCGACGCCGAATCCTACGAAGAAGACAGCGAACGTGAAGAAAAATGCGTCATTCTGGAACGTCTTGACACACAGAGTCTGCGTTGAACCTTGCAACTTGTCGTGCACCAAATGCTGGCCCTTACTACGATCTGGTAGCGGTCCGCGACTCGAGAAGTCCGACTCGGTCCAGCCTTCCTCGCGCAATTGCTGTATAAGCGGGCTCTCGCTCAATAGCTCCTCGATCTCTTCCATCAGGTCTTGCTCCTCGGGTGATCCTGGTTCGTATGGAGGCTGCAAATACTCCCACGTGATGAAGGCTGTACCGGCAGTCAAGCCGAGGAACAAGAACAATCCTCCCCAAAGTAGCCCCCTGACGGCACCCATGGCTCGTGACCGTCCCTCACTGACTGGTATTGTCTGTACAGGCACTCGTGGTCATACGGAGTGGTGTCGGGCATCGGTGCTTGTCCAGGCGTCTGAAAGTACTCCTTATGTGGTCCAAAGTCATTTCGACCATGCTGAAACCGTCTGAACGAAGGAGCAATTCGTGTGGGCGCAATGCGAGTGCTGGTCGCACTCAGGAGCCGCCGCCGCAGCACTGACCGGAGTGCTTGCATTGCGATCGACGTGGATCACTTCCGCTGATCTGCGAGCCAGTATACCAGCCTCTTCATCTTCATCCCCGCATCGCGTTGAAGTGATCGATGTTGTGCTTGCGAACTTGAAGCGCAAGAGCAAACCATCAGAGGTCGAGCAGATCGGAGCCTCGCGAGGCTGCGGACATCAGAGGAAGAAAGCAAGTCTGAAGTATCAACCTTGAATACCATTAGCAACCTGTCTGTGCTAGAGATCGACACTGACCTTAGCCATGGCCACAGACGTAGTGCTCGAGACCTCTATAGCAAGTACAGCGAACTACCAGGTATGCGCAATCGCTAACAGTTCACAGGGTCCGATCACAGTCGAACTCTACAACGACCACGCCCCGAAAACCTGCAAGAACTTCTCAACACTAGCAAGCCGCGGGTACTACGATGGCGTCATTTTCCACCGGATCATCAAATCATTCATGCTCCAGACCGGTGATCCCACAGGCACCGGTCGCGGCGGCTCGTCAATCTACGGCGAAAAGTTCGCAGACGAAATCCACCCATCGCTGAAGCACACTGGCGCAGGAGTCCTCAGCATGGCCAACTCCGGACCCAACACCAACGGCTCGCAATTCTTCATCACGCTCGCGCCAACACCATGGCTGGATGGGAAGCACACGATTTTCGGACGGGTCAAGTCAGGCATGAAGACCGTGCAGCGAATGGGTCTGATCAAGACCAACAACGAGGACAGACCGTTGGAAGAAGTGAAAATTGTCAAGGCTCGCGTACAGGACGCGCCTTGAAAAGATATCAACTTAAAACATCACCAGGTCCAACCATGGTGAGAGGAACACAAACCCAAACGAAACCAGAAACAACACAGAAACCCCTACCGGCAGACCTCAATCCAGCTTCCAACACCGAAAACTAAAGAACCCAGGCAACACCCCTCCACGGAACAAATTCGCCTGGTTCGCCGTCTTAAGCAGTTCCACGCCTTTGGTCACGATCATCCACGGGAAGTTCTCTCCGCAGCTATCGCTGTTGTACACTTTACAAAACGCGCCGTAGTCCGGACTGAAGGAGAAATCCTCAAATGGAAAGCTGTACTTGGACACCCAGGGCATCTTCTCGCACACATCGAGACCTTTGACTTCTTGCCGTGTGCATGGCCCTACGAAGCCGGGATTTTGGCAGATGGTGTATTTGGGCGTTGTCTTGGATTTGGAGGTGGCTGTCCCTCGGGGTTCCAGGGATACTGCGTCTGGGGTGATGTCCCCCGTGGTGCGGTCAAAGCCCACGTCGTCCAATGATTCGGCGAAGCCGGCGGCAGTCTCCTCGGAGGTGGGCAGCGAGAACGCTAGCCCTGCGATTATCAAGAAGATCGAGAATATTTTCATGTTTTTGAGTCAAAGTCGAGTCGAGGGTAAGTGATACGTATTCTATCGGAACGTTGATGGTGCAGACACGCCGTGCGATGCACTAGGACGTGGTTTCACTTATCGACTACGGCACTGTCGCAACTACAATACTAAGCTCTGGACAAAGGTGTGGGACTGGCCAACTAAGAGAATGGCTTTGTCTGGCGCAGAAATACAGAATCCTGCGAAGAACAATATGAAGCCTCGTCGATCACAGGACAAAGGAACAATAGCGTGTTGTCGCAAGGCTGGCATTTTCGCTTTGATGTCGGTTACGAATGTTGTCAGTGGCGAGGCAATAGTATGGCGCTGCCACGATATCGCCCTGCGAGCTCTTGGGGAGGCTGGTCAACCTAAAGGTTTCTGAAGTTTCGACTTCTTGGTGGTCTGTGCGTTTCCTCGCGCATGGGGCTATCCTTGAACAACGGTAGGATCTGGCACTCAATTCGACCTCTTCACTTTCCCCGGCGATCAGCTGATGTCTACACCTCTTCGGAGGTCAAGGACTCCTCCTCATGCGTCCTTCAGGGCAACAAGCACCAAATAGCAATCGGCGCAACAATCTCGATAGCAGTAATCGTCTTCACCAATCCTTCAGGCTTGTAACCATACTTCATGCCTGAGATCACCCTACCGATACCACCAAACACATATCCCCATCCGACCAGCTCCACGGGCACTCGACGAGCAGCCAAGTCGTTGGATGCCCACCAGAAGATCGCGCCTGTACTGGCCCAAACTCCCGCCCAATACCGCAGATGACTGTCCGCGAGTATCTGTGCCGGCGTCTGTGGACTGTAGACGTCCTTGCTGGTATTCGAAATCATCCGGGTGGGAATGATTGTGTTTAATGTGCCCATGACCATGGCGAAGACGCCGGCCCCTTTGAGGACGATGGGCAGGTAGCTCATCGTGTGCTGCGTTGTGTTGTGTTCCGCGAAGTCTGGTAGGTCCGAAGGAGCTTCGGAAGAATTAAACTTGGTTTGATTTCGATCTGTGCTTTATGATTTACCTGGGGAGGGTTTCGTATCGTATGCCTTTCTTATAAGGCAGCTGAATACGAATCGGGGTTAGTCAGCCGGATGGTTTGATGCTCCTTTTCACGGGTGGTCGTGCACAAGCTGCTTCGTTGCGAAATTGCGTAGCATAATTGCCAGTCGACCTTGTGCAGCGCACTCAAAGTGTTCCCGTCGTGCGGTTGCATTATTTTTAGGATGCCCATAATATTGCGGATTGTTGTGGTCTGATCGGTCTTAGGGTGGCCTCCGCACGTACATGAGTATTTTGAAGCCGGCTGCATCCCGCGGTCTCGGGGTCTCCAAATGCTGTGGGTCAATGAGGAGCCTGCTCATCATGGATTTTCCATGCCAGGGCGGGCTCTGCAGTGGACGCGACGATCGCCAAAAAGTGCATCATTCGCCGCCGTCACCATTCGACGCTCCATTACGGCCGTTATCAGCTTCCGCCGAGTTGCTCCTTCGAGCCTTCTTCTGCTCTGGAGATCGCGTGGAGGACACTGAGCTCGTGTTGCGTCTTCTTCGATTCGGTGGATCCCATCTTCTCTTTGAACGCCGACGCTTATTACCCCAGCGGCGATCACGACTGTGGCTTCGACTCCTGGATCGACTTCTACGCCCACTCGAAGCAGATGAGCTGCGACTCAGACGACGCGCATCCCGGCTTGATCGAACAATATCCCTACCATGGCGTGCCCGGGCGGCCTCTGGCGTTCGAGAACGTGACCTGTCGTGTCGTCGCCGGAAACCTCGCTGTCCTGTACGACGGCCGTAAGCTCGCGATCGGGATTCGGAACGAGATCGTGATCGTGACCGTGATAGGGATGTAGAGGGCGACCGACGTCTGCGTCTTCGTCTAGATGGACTGCGGCTTCGACTTCTGGATGCTGATGCCGAAGATGAGGGACTTCGTCTTCTTCTGGGTGACCTTGAGACTGTTCTGGCCTGGGCGGCCTCTGTGTCCTTTTTCATCGTCACGTCTCCGTCGCCATTCGCCCTTCGGTATCGTCCGGCCTCGTCGTTTTCTGGCGTTCTTGAGCCGTTCCGATTTGGCGACCGACTGGAGGATCTACACGCTTGTTGTCAGACCGAAAGTCTGGTCTCGTACTAGAGTCAGATCTGCGTCTCCGATGGCCATCTCGTCTGTGGTCTCTGTCTCCATCTCTGCCACGACCACGCCCTCGCGGAATGTACGTGTCCGTGTCTCGACGAAACGTCTGGTCATTGCGGTAAGGTGACCTTCTACGAGGTGATCGATCTGTGTTTCTGGAGTATGACGGCTCGTAGTCACCTCGACCACCTAGGCCGCCACGCCCTCGGCCTCGCCCGCGACCCGAGCCACGGTCACCACCTCTTGCAGCTCGCTCCTGTTGTCGTAGATCGTTCATGTGCGCCTCCCGGGATTGCTCGAGATCTCTTCGTGCCGCAGAGTCGTGTACCGCCTTCTCTGCTTGAACCTGGTGTCGTCAGTCGTGGCAACGTGTTGGGAAGAATTGTGACAGACCTTCTCCTGCAAAAGCTCGAGTTTCTTCGCTTCGAGAAGCTCCTTGGGCACGCCTTGAGGGTTGGACTGAGCGCTCAGGCAGAGGTTCCACAGCTCTTTGCAGAACTTGGCTGCATCCTTGTCAAGAAAGCCCGTAAGGGAAATTTGGAGGTCTTTGATGTCGGGCTGCTGTTGTTCAGTACTGGACTTTGAGGGCGGTGCACCAACTCACGAATCTCGTGCCTTCGAGGAGGTTGAAGCACAGCTCAATCACAATGTCGTCCTCATTGCCGAGTATTTCAGTGATCTTGCCGGCGATCCACCTGAGCATTGTGTCAGCGAGTAAGTCTACCGTGGTAGTGTATCGGCGTACTTCTTCATAACTTCGACATTGACCTTCTGCATGTCCACCTTTTGGTTGAACTCCGCCGGAAACTTGGTCTGCGCCCGCAGCTTCTGATCCACAGAGGCCGCCATTTTGACCAAACCGCCAAACACTCCCGTGAAGTGCCCCCAGACGACTGTAGTATAAACGATCGTGGACAAGAAAGGATCAAGTCGAGGCAGGCCTTCGCCCGTTGAAATTGCGGGCAAACTAACTTTCGGGCGGAAAAGTTTTCCGCAGAACTTGCCGCACAAGGTCGGGTTCGTGAAGGAGCAACCACATCCAGTGCAGCTTGCTAATGTCGCGAGTGGGCTCGGCGAGATACCTACAAGAACGCAAGAATCTGGTGTTCAAGCAAAGGGCTCCAGGAGTACGTCTACATGACGTATTGTTGCCACAGCCACGGCGTCGTCGTTGGATCTGAATACCTGGACCCGGCTATCCAGTACATAATTCTGAGTAGTAATGCAGATGGTTCTGGTGCCCGCCCGGACCTGCGCTTTTCTTGGTCTGCGCTGATAGATACACACATCCATGCACCGTCGTACTGAACAAATGATTCTGTCTTCTGGTCGGAAAGCGCTCTTGCGCTATGAGATGAGTTCGTGAAATCGCCAAATGCCCGCAGCTTTCCTGCCCATCACTCCTTCTTCGTCTGCTGCTCCTGCTTTTCAGCTTTCCGCGTCTCGTCCATGCCTTGTGACGAGATGTCCTCCTCTGCCTCCTTGGCCTCGGCTGATGCATCGGCCTTCTTCTCTCCTCCTTCTGCTTCTGCTGCCGCTTTCTTGGGCGTCTCATCAATATCCTTATCATCTTTCGGGCTCTCTTTACTTGCGCCGTCTTCGTTCTTGCTGCTCTCAGCCTGCTTGTTTTCTTCTTCGATCAGCTCCTGCTGCTCCTTGAGCACCTCTAAGCGCTGCTTGTTCGTCGCGGCGCCCTCAGCATTGTGCACTTCCAGCTCGATTTCGTGGAACAGCTCTTCAGGAATCGAGGAGAGGACGGCCTGCAGAGCCTCGATCTGTGAGTCGATTTCGGAGTCCTTGCCGGAAGTGTACATATAGGCGTTTGACAGTACCAGCAAGGTGGAGGGAATGTTGTATTTTAGACGAAGATCCAGCCACATCTGTAGGTCGTCGCGAAGTTTCGATGGCGACATGCCGTGTGTGCGGAGCCCTCGGCTGGCACAAGCCATCTGTAGTTCGGGCACTGACAGTGAGTCGACACCTTCGTAGCTGATGGCCTTGTCGTCGCGTTTGATCTGTCGCATCCGGTGACGGATCTGGTAACGGAGCATGGCGTCTGTCCCGAAAGTGTTCAGATTCATATATTTACACATGCCGACAAGCTGTGGCCGGGACAGGTTGTCGAGTGTGAGGTCGTCTTTGAAGATTTTGCAGACCTTAATGACGTCTTCCTTTGTGGGCGATTCGCCGGTAGCGCGCACTTTGCGGAAGAATTGCTGGAATTCTTCTTTCTGAGCCGATGCCGAGGATATAGGAAGGCCAGACTCTTTCAGACTGTTGCGCAGGAAGGAGGATACGTTCTTTCGGGTCGCTCGTAGGCGCGATGCTTTGTCTTCGCGCGACTGTTGCCCCTCGTAGGTGGAGGGCAGGAGGTTGGGAAAGATTTTCAGCGCAACTGGTAGAAGAAGTTCGGCAAAGGGGACGATGACGAAGGCGGAGAAGGGGACTAGACGGCCGAGGTCCTGGACTGTGCGTTGAAGCTGCGTGTGTCAGTGTGTCGTCAGCTATTAGGGGTGATGGCGGGTTACCTGTCTGTTCTCCCTTCTGCTTAGCTCGTATCCTGCCGCCATCCTCAATGCCAACTTAGAAGAGATCCTGACTTCGGTGGCAAGCAACTTGGTTCTGCTGAGATTAGCATCGACGCTGTCACTTGAAGCGAAAGACGAACCCATCGTAGTAATGCTGCGCCTCGTGCTTGATCTTCTGCCACAAGGTCTTCTTAGGTCCGCCCGCTTTGGCCAAAGCATTCTCCTTCTCCTCCTCTTTCGCCTTCTTGGCTGCCAATTCAGTCAAGGTACTGGCTTCAACAGCTTTCGTCGGCGGCACGTCTGAGGGCTTCGAGGCCCCTGGTGCCGCAAGAACTTCTTCGCTCTTCTTGAGTTCCTCAATTGTGGGAGTGGCGGACAACTCGGACGCTTCTTGTTTGCTCGATTCTTTCGGTAGAGGTTTCTTAGCCTCGTCTAAATTGAAGCCTGGAGGCGGACCGCTGGCCCCCGAGGTTTGTGAAGATGATGTCTCTGTAGCGTAATGCCGCATAGGGATGGCGATCGCAAAGGCAGTAACCTCACGATTCAAGCCGGACAGTCGCTGCCGAGGCGTCAACGAGTATAGTGTGGACGAGCCTACGCCGCGAGAGGAGAATTGCTGTAATATTCGTCTAGAGGCGGCACTGCTGCGGGTGATCTGAACTCTCGCCGCCATGTTGGGTGGCTTGTTTGCCGCCGGTTGGGCAAGGAGTGTTGTGGCGGAGGCGACGGGTTCGAATGAGCGTTGGAATTGAGGTCAGGATAATACGCGTTAACGAAGATAGGATTAAAAAGAAGTGAACTGAAGTTAAGATATCTGCTGGATGTCCGTAGCGGCGAGAGAGGTACACGTTGAAATTCAGGGTTTGGCGTTCGGGACCGCAGGGAGGTTTTACAGTCCGCGTGGTTTTCGGGCGGCCTTCAGCCCCGAAACCCACTCGGATTTACCGGTCTTGACGATAAAGAAGGCGTCCAGGCAACTACACAACCTTCATTGGAAACCTTGACGACGAACTTGAAGATCGTGCTACGGTGCTGAGGCTTTCGGTACGACTTTGCTGCCATATTTCCCACATAAGTCAACGTTCAGGAAATATGCAAGTCGCTGCCGTCCTCTCTGACCTGAAGTCGCTCGCTGCCTGTGTAAGTACAGCCGGTCCTTCTTGCGCGGATTAGACCTCCGGAATTGCTACTTATTCTACGTCAGTCTCCAGAAGCGGCCCGTGCACTTGTCACGGTACACCAGACCACAACCGCTTCGAGGGACCAGACCAACAGACCGACCTCGCAGCAGTCGTCTCCTGACAGCAGCGTTGAAGCTGTTGACGGAAGAGACCCTGACCTTGTTCGGGCGGCGACACTTATCGACCTGCACCAATCAGTCAAGCTCAACTACGAGGAACATGGACTCGATGAAGATCTCCTGCAAGGCAGAGAGGACGTGAGGCGAATACTGGCTAGTCTTGGGTCACGTTGAGGTTATGTTGAGGTCACAATGATTTCACTTTCACGATGATATCTCGAGTTCTGGCTCCATGCACTGATTCGTACAAACTGTGATCCTGGCTCCTCCTCGTCACATGATGCCTGTAAAGGCTTTGTCTAGATCTTAGAACACACAGGGGCCGCCCCATCATTATTGTACAGCAACTCAGCTCAGATCAAGGTCGTCATCCACACATACAGGTCGTTGCAGCTTTTTGTTTGGGGAAATTGATCTCATGGTTCAGTCGTATTTGCGCAACTAGACTCATGTCAGCATTTGTCCCTCCAGCTCCAACAGGTGCTCGAATAATAACAAATCTTGAGAGACAGGATCACTTACATCAAGCGTCAATGCTCTGCTGCTATTCCCACCCTGATCACGATAGACTCCAACCAGCGCCTCACTGCCCTGGAAAAAGCCTGTCTTCAGACTGATCACAATGAACTGCATCCCGGGTCCTTTATGCCCACGCACATAGTTCACCAGCTTCGCCACATTGGCGTTGTCCAAAGCCGCGTCTACCTCGTCAAGCACGAAGAATGGCGAAGGCTGATAGCTGTGAATCGCGAAGAGCAATGCTAGGGCGGCCATCGTCTTTTCTCCGCCGGACAGATGCTCCATGTCGCGGAATGTCTTTGCGGGCGGCATGGTCTGGTAGTTCACTCCCGCCAGGTAGGGCTCTTCGTCATCTGCAGTGAGATAGGCGCGGCCGCCGGCGGTGTATTCTTCGGATTTCGTCAAGTCGGCGTAGATTGGCACGATCTGTTCCGAGATGTGGCTGAAGGCCTTCTGGAAGAGATCATTGCGTTTGGTGCGGACTTCTTCGAACGCATTCTTCTTTTCCGTATACCTCGAGCGCGAGTTCTCAAACTCTTGGTCAGTGTCGCGGAGCCGCTGCTGCACGGCGGTCAGGCGCTGAGCGGCATGCGCGTTGGGCTGCATCTTCTCTAGAGCCGCGTTGAGTTTTGTGATGTTTTCCTGAAGCTCTGCGTCAACTTCGGGGCTGAATTGTTCTTGTAGGTCGGAGTCAAGGACTTCGAAATCGGGGAAGATGCCGTGATCGGAACCGGCGTTGCCTGCTTGGAGTGCGGATTCAGTCGGATCGTCGTCGTCATCTACGTCCATTGCATCGGGATCCTGGTGTTGCATTTCGTTGATAGGAAGGGAATCAAGTGTTGCTGAGCTTTCCAAGAGAGGAATCTCGATGTTTTCGATCTTACATCTGCGTAAGAGGGCGTAGCGTTGCTGTGAGACTCGTTGCATATCACCTTCGTGGTTGGCGATGGATTTCAGGGTCCCATCCATTTCTTTGGTCTTCTTCGCAACTTCTTGCTTGTTCTTGGCGAGGGTTTGACCCTTCGTCTCATAGTCTTCTTGTAATTCAGCGAGAGCACCATTCAAGTCCTGCAATTCGGCCTCCAATGTGTTCAGGTCGTCCTCGATGCCTTGCTTTTCGCTGTTCAGCTCGTCGATGCGATCCCGGTCGCGTTGCTGCTTGTCCAGTATCGCGCGTATGCGTTCGTCGATTGTTTCCAAGCGCATCTTCTCGTAGGAAAGCGTTGCTTCCAGCTTAGTCTTTTGCTGAACAAATTCCAGCTTCTTCGTGGAGGCTTCCTGTTGCAGAGAGCCTTGCCGGGCTTCGTAGTCGCGTATGTCGTCAAATCCGTGCTCGGCACAGAATCCACCGAAGACCTCGTTCTCGACCTGGATAACCGAGGCCTCGTAGTTTTGGATGTCATCGTCAATCTGTTCGAGCTTGCCTTCTAGATCACGCATCTGGGGCTTCTTGTTCTTGACCTTCTCTTTGATGGCCTTTGCCTCAGCTGCCTTTCCTTCGATGTTCCGCTCAAAAGCTGATTCCTCCTCCTCGGCTGCTGCAAGTCGACCCTCGAGTCCGGTCAGATCCGAGGTCAAAGTCTGTTCTTCTACTTGATGGCTTCTCTCCTGAGGGAGCGCCGACATATCATTCATCAGCTTGTCTTTCAGCATGTTCAACTTATCGAGCTCGGCGTCATCCCATTTGCGAGTATTTGATTCGCGGCCTCGGCCACCAGTCATAAGGCCTCCTTTGTGGATGACATTGCCATCTAAGGTGACTGCTTTGGCATCGACTTTGCGACGGAACACTAGCTCTTTAGCAATATCCATGGTGTCACAGACTATGGCATTGCCACAAGCCGAGGAAATGGCTCGAGCCACGTCGTTACCATAGTCGATAGTGTCAAGAGCGGGACGCATTCCCTTGTGCATGCCCTTGAGGTTAGGATTGGCGCTCCTCGCCTGAATGGTGTCCAGGGGAAGGAACGTTGCCTGGCCAGAGCGATGGTCTCGCAAGTACTCGATGCACGCCTTCGCGGTGGCCTCAGTGTCGACAACAACGGAATCGAAATGTCTCCCGAGGACTACCCCGACGGCTCCTCATACTTCTTCTGCTTAGGCTTGCAGAGCTCATGCACGCGGCCTCTCACGCCCGGGTAGGTTCTCTTCAGCATCGAGATAGTCTCGCGCATGGCAAGTTCTTTCTGGGTAGCTCTTCGTCCGTCGTCGGCCTCAACCAGCTTTCTGAGGACGTCCTGCAACTTCTCCTCTAGCTCTGTCTTCTGCCGAGAGATCTGCATACGCTTGCCCCTAACGGCATTGAGCTCCTTTTTCTTCTCGGTGATCTCAAGTTGCGTCTGCTTGACGAAGTCGGCAACGTTTGCCTTACTCGTTCGCAACGCTGACAGGTCGTTCTCGATGGCCTTCAGCTTGAAATCTTCGGTCTCCAGGTCGTTCTTCAGATGCTTATAGTTCGCTTCGACGGGAGCTCGGTCGGCTTTCAGGCGGTTGATTCTGCCTGATCTGCAGAAGCACGCTTGTTGACATCCTCACGCAGTCTTGAATATTGCTGCAACGCGGCAGCGGACAATTGACCACTATGTTTGCCAGTATCTTGATCCCACTTCTCCTGCCATCGAGCTTGTGCGCTGTCGACCTTTTTGATCTGCTTCTCTAGGTCGTCTACACTGGCGGCCTGTGTCGATCGTTCCTTGTTGACAGTGTTTATGCGTGACTGGTACTTGGACAGAGCCTTATTTGATACAGAAATCTGCTCATCGATCGGAACGAGGGAGGAGTGCTTGTCCTCGATCTCTGCTTCTTTCGCCTTGATTTCTTTTTCCGCCTTGGTGACAGCGCGGGCGGACTTCGCATGCTCGGTTTTCGCCGTGTCGAGGTCCTTCGTGTACTTCTCAATGCCTCGCTGAAAGTCCTTGAGCTCGGCTTGGAATTTTTGAATCTCTGCGCTCGATTCTTCAATTTGACGCTGCAGATGGAACAATTTCCACAAACTGTGAGTGACAATCGCCTCATCGCGCTCAGCAGCCTTTTGAACAAACTTATCTGCTTCTCTCTTCTGCTCTTCATACTGCTTTTTCTCGGAGTTGATGCCCCGGCGGCGATTCAGCTGATAGGTCTGCTGCTCGGCGGCTTCGTCCGACTCGTCCTTGAGCTTGTCGTATTCAGCCTTGAACTCGAGACTGCCGGATACCTGCTCAATGAGCTTTGTCAAGTCCTGTGGCTTCTGAATCGCAATCGCTTCGACGTCGCCTTGGAAAACCAAGAAGTTGCGGGCCTTGATGAGAATATTCTCTGTCTCGAGAGATTCGTTGTACGCCTGAGCGGTAACGACACGCTCATTCAGACGATATTCTGACACGCCCTGGTTCGTGATAGTACGCTTCCAGCGTTGCTCTTCTCCAGCGTCGTCCTCGTACACGGCCATGACCCAGGCTGACTTCGGATCGTTGCGCTCCTGTGTGCCGTTGACCTGGCTACCTTCTTCTTCCTCATGGTGGCCGTTCACGCCGTTCGTCGCAACGTCGCCATTTGCGACTGACTTGCGCAACACTCTGCCTCGATATACCAGCTCTGACAAGTGTGTGGATCTCAGATGGGCGGACTTGATGCCTAGCACGAAGGATATCGCATCCATAGCGTTCGACTTGCCAGAGCCATTGGGCCCGATAATCGATGTGAAGTAGCATCGCCGAAGAGAAGACTGTGATGTCCTTTGTATGACTTGAAGTCTGCACTGCATGAGTTGACTTGAATGAGCAGACCGCAGTGGTGACTTACTGTACAACTCGAGCCTGATGAGTTTGCCCATCTCGGTGAATCCCAGGTGACCAGCAACGCTATGCTGAGTCGACTCGTCGTCGCCGCAAATAAGTGTTGCTCTTTCCCTCTGTTGCGACGCAGGCTAATCCGAGGCTCGGGCTTTTGGTAGGCGCGTCAACGCGAAGACGCGATCCAGGCTTGGCGGAAGATCTACTTAGGCTCTTTCAGGCTAGAGTGTTGGTGTGTGGGCCAATGATGTCAGCGATTCAGCGCATGTCATTGCTGCAAGATGCTCGTGTGGTGGGAGACACCTTTCAAGAATAATGCACTGTCATAAACAAACACTCTTGCCCTCAATTACGTTACCTTCAGTCGTTCAACCCCTCCGAGCATCTATCGACTATTGATAGGACCTACGACTGCGATAACAGGACAGCCTTAGTCACTCAGTCACGCGCACTCCCGTCCTTGTCTGCTGATACAGGGACCTGTTGCCTTTGGGTAAAGGTAAAGGCCTACCTAGGCAGAGTCGGATACCCATATAAACCCCGCGGAGCCTGCAATTCCATTGCCAGTCACAACCATGTCTGCTCCGGTAGATATACCGAGATCAAAGACAGAGTCCTCCCTGGACGAGCACAACACTTCTTACTTGGGCACATCCGTCGATAGCGAGACCATGAACCCGCCAACACCCGCGCTGACGCCGGGCTGGACCTCGTCCACGCCCGGCAGCCCGGCTCTCCTGTCGAGATCGAACTCTTACTTTGGCAGTCAGTCATATCACGAGGACTGGGAGACGCCGTTGGACAAGTTGACGTTCTTTGACATCTTCGATAATCTGGCACTACCCTCGAGACTAGAGAAGCTACAGGCCACGCTGACGGATCAGCGGGAGAAGTTGAAACAGAGACGAGAAAAGATGGCAGCAGGCGCTGCTACAGAGTGGCGCAAACGAGTTCCAACTTCCGAAGAGCAGCTGGCAAAATACCGCTCCCGCCTGAATAAATCGATGCATGGACTGAATAAGAGGTGGAGCGAAACTGTCACGATCTCTGTCAAGGAGAAGACTTCCTTCATTTCGGCAGTTCTGAACGTCTTCATAAGTGGCTACTTGATTGGTGCTGTCCCGGATTACTTTTACTACTGGTTTACAGCGCAATTATGCTACTTCATGCCGGTCCGTCTCATTACCTATCACCGAAAGGGCTATCACTACTTCCTTGCCGATCTATGCTACTTCGTCAATCTGCTAATGCTTCTGACGATCTGGGTATTTCCACGGTCTAAGCGCCTGTTCATCGCAACCTATTGCCTGGCGTACGGAAACAACGCTGTGGCTATAGTCATGTGGCGGAACTCGCTCGTTTTTCACTCCATGGACAAGGTGGTGTCTCTCTTCATTCATATCATGCCACCCGTTACATTGCACTGCATCGTCCATTTGACGTCGAAGGAGGCCTTGGCAGAGCGGTTCCCTGGAGCATACAGCATCAAGTACTCCTCTCCGGACTCACCAGTCCATTACTCTCTGCTATCAATGGTCTTCTTTGCCTCAGTCTTCTACGCCGCTTGGCAATGCTTCTATCACTTCTTCATCAGCGTTCGACGAGCTGAGAAGATTGCTGCGGGCCGACCAACATCCTTCACTTGGCTGAGGAAGTCATACGCTAAGACATGGCTTGGCAAATTCGTGCTGAACCGAAGCGAATCACTTCAGGAGCCTACCTTCATGCTGATCCAGTACCTTTATGCGGTCCTCACAATTCTACCCTGTCCCGTTTGGTTCTGGTATCGATGGCCGTCAGCGATCTTCCTTCTCACTGTCTTCACATGGAGCATCTGGAATGGCGCAACCTTTTATATGGATGTCTTCGGCAAACGCTTCCAGAAAGAACTCGAGCAGATGAAGCGGGACGTTGCTAAGTGGCAGGATGCTAATGGGATGCTCAGTCCACCATCGCATGCCATGGATCATTCTGACGAAGCTGGGCATAAGAAGCGCGCGAGTCTGGACGGCCTGTCGATGTTGGATCAGCAAGGAGAGGCGAAATCGGGTGATGTGAAAGCTGCTGCTCAAGGAAGCAGCATGCTTGCTTCAGGTACTGATGCTGCTGTCAACACAGGGGCAACAGAGCGAAGAACGCCAGGCTCGCTGTTGGGTATACCTTCGGCTAGCAAGTAGATAGTCAGTACTACTGAATTCAGTGATGAAGCATGGAGTAGGCAATTGGTTCCATATATTGACTACGTCGGGTATCGTGTAGTACTACTTTTGAAGACTTTCAATTGCCAAGCCAGATCGCCAGTCCTCCACACCGAGTACTCCTTGTCTGCAGCATCACAACCACCCTGTAACACGGATAGTCTATTCGTACATGCTTACCCATCTACAGTTGAAGTCTTTGGCTGCGCAGCGATCATTGCTCAGAGCGTCCATCGTTTCAGCACCGCAGCGCGCGTTAGACCCGTGTAGGTCACTTCACTCCCCGAGCAGACAGCTTCGACACACACCATCTCGTCACGCGCGCCGTTCGCTGGCTGCAGCATGGCGCGGTAGCAATCAAGCGCCGACCTCTCGAAGGCATTTCGCGGCTCAAAGTTACACTATGGCTTCACAGAAGCCACCTTTACGATACATTGATGTGAGCTGGTACTTCTGACAGCCGTGGCTTGGCATCTAATACTGAAGCATTTCGTAGATCGGCATCAACCTGGGAGACCCCGTTTTTCGAGGCATCTACCACGGCAAACAGGCTCATGAGGATGATCTCAAAGATGTTGTACAGCGGGCCTTGGACATAGGATGCAGGAAAATGATGATCACGGGCTCAAGCCTGAAAGAATCACATCACGCTGTCGATTTGGCACGGCAGTATCGTAAGCATTCTTTGCCACAAGAGCCCTCAGCGAAGTCAGTCATTCTGATTTCTTCTAGCTGGAATATGCTACGCTACAGTAGGAGTACACCCTTGCTCGACACAAGACTTCGACAACCACCCCAGAGGCCCCGATGGCCTCATCGATGATCTAAGAAAGCTAGCCACAGATGCCAAAGACGTGGTCGTCGCATTCGGCGAGATCGGCCTCGACTACGACCGCCTGTTCCTTTCGCCCAAGGACACCCAGCTCAAGTACTTCGAGAAGCAAATGGCGCTGGCACTCGAGCTCCAGCTACCACTCTTCCTGCATTCAAGAGCCTGTCACGAAGACTTCGAGCGCATCATGCGCCAGAACCTGAATAGCCTCCCGAAACGAGGCCTCGTGCATAGCTTCACCGGCACGCCGGAAGAAATGCGGAGTCTCGTCAGCATGGGCTTCGACATCGGCATCAACGGCTGCAGTATGAAGACTGAGGAAAATCTTGCAGTCGTGAAGGAAGTCCCACTGGAGAGACTGCAGATTGAGACTGATGGGCCGTGGTGTGAAATCAGGGCTTCGCATGCTAGTTCGGCTTTCCTAAAGGATGGCGGGCCGACGATGCCGAAGGGAGTGAAGAAGGAGAAATGGGCGAAAGGCATGATGGTGAAAGGGAGGAATGAACCTGTCACAATCGCACAGGTGGCACATGTTGTGGCCAAGGTCAAAGGGGTCGATGTAGAGGAGGTTTGTGAGGCGGGCTGGCGTAATTCGGTGCGAATGTTCGAGCTCGGCGAAGTCGCGAGTCGGTTGGCGACATCCTGACATGCATTCAGAGCCTTCCATTCCCTGGCTGCGAAGTACCTATGTTGTGTGTCAAGAACCTGTACAGCGGCGTCCCTGGCCCAGAGTTTGGAACAATTCGTTACTGCCGACTGACACTCAAGTGAGGCCCATATCAAGCATGCCCAGTTCTAGTATCTTGGCTGATGCTGCGAAAAAGGCACCCATCGCGCGCGGATTGCTGTGGGCGGCGAATAATAATGGGGTTTATGGATAGTTGGCTTCGGTGCCAGTGCGCAACACCACCCAGACCTAGTAAGGGGAGTCGGAAGGAAAGTCTTCATGATCATGCAGGTAGAGTGTATAACCTCCAGGCGGGTGATGACAGACTGGGACTATCTTCGTTGTTGCCGCCAAGTCTCCAAGCCGGCGTTCTGGCATTGACGAGGACCTCCGTATGAGCACCAGCCGTGAATATCATTGTCGCCACTCCTGCTGCCTCTTTAGTTCACGGCATCACTGTATACATAGTCGTCTTAGCCACCCTAGTATGAGCCACAGCTTCTGCGTGGGTTGGCCATGATCCATAGAGTGTAGTCTCCCTATCCCACGAGGATGGAACCTCAATATGTCGCCACCCTGTAGTATGCTTCCACTTTTTCGCATCTTCCAGAGTACAGCTGAACCTTGGATCATTCCAGTACCAGTCTGGACCTCTCGTCAAATCTGAGGGGTCAAGTGTAACGAGACCTTTTGTTTTGGGATAGCAGACTGTTTTCATTTCGGGCCATTTTTCCCTGACTTCGAGCATGGATGTGATTGTTGATTGTGCATTTCTGAAGGACACTTGGGTTGGCATCGACTGAATTGTCGTGGGTGCCAGATTGGGTGGCAGTGAAGCGGCTACCTTGTTGGGTGCGCCGGTTTCAACAGCAGGGGTCGGAGACAGGATTTCAGCCTCGGATGTGGCTGGCGATTGGACTGGTATGCCATAAGCTGTTTTCGACACCAGCGCCAGGAGGGCCAACAACATCACGCGAGATGAATATAACAAGTCGCCCATGTTGACTGATTGATGCTGCAGATGTAGCGTGGGTTGAATGTAGACTAGGAACGTTCCAAACCGGAAAGGCCTGCAGTGTGTTGACGAGTTTTACCTGTAGAGGAACAATCCGCAAGGCACGATACCACACTTGACAGAATCCTCTTCAGATGGCTCGAGAACGCGTACAACTGGCGTTCAAATGTATGCTAGGTGTGAGCGAAGCCAGATCACAGTAGTCCAGTTCTTCATGACGCGAAACTCGTCGCCGCAAAGAGCCAAACCTACCCTTTCGGCTGAAGTCCCTCTCATCGGCGAAGCCTCGACTGACATCAGTCCGACTTCTAACACTGCTAGGACGGGTGTCTTATGCGCAGAAAGCGTGTATCTCGAGAGTTCACTGCGCACCAGCTGGCTTGATTGCCTTTGGCTGAACCGAGCTCCGAGTCTGTAGCATTGCCATTTGTTGCGCGCCTCATTGCTGGCCACGGTCGGCGAGAAGACTTGAGCGCTGTACGCGATCTTTACCTGTGAAAGCCGCAGTTGCGCATCGGGGGTGACAGCAGCCTAGGTCATCGTCCCGATCATTGTGCGTACCTACCTGGCCAGTTCGTACCAGTGGTCCTCACACAAACGACACCTGTACTTGAATGGCCTCGAAACTCATCTCATGCATGAGTTAACAGTCTTAAATCCGGGAGGTGCGGGCCCTCACTTCGGTGACATGTGCCAGATGACCAAGCTCGTGCTCACAAAGCCCAAAGTCCAGACTTGCCAGTGCGAGGTACTATGATCAACTTGCTCAGGATCAAGCAACTTTGCGGAACATAGTTCTGCGATAGCAACGAAGTACGCGGAGGTGGTTCAGCCTGCACATCATTCGAGTAGTTACCTTGGCCGAAGGCAATTTAGGTAGTCTCTCACTGAGTTGCGGGTCTGCGGAGGGCTCCAAGGCATTTTTTTGATGCCTGAATGACGATAATAATGCGCTCACGATTTCACGAAAGCCGCTGTGGCGCTCATCGCTAAGCCCGAGTTTCGTGAATAGTCATCTCCCCAATTTCTAGCTTGGGACACGTTTGACACGCGCCCCAAATTTGTTCGAACACAAAACCTCAAGCCTTTCATCTGCTCTCTTTTCACAAAGGGAACATCACTTCAACCTCTTGCACCATTCCTCGACACCTACGCGATTTTTACTTCTCCAGAAACCACAAGTCGTCCGGGCCCTCAAAAGACGCTCTCAGCGCCCTTGAGCCAAATCCGAACCTCGAAAATGCCTGCTTTACCAGACATCAGACAATGCCGTCTCATCAACGGTAGATGAGTGTGTCTCATCTTCTGGGATAATCCTCGCCGTCATCCTGTACACGTCTGCCGACCGACGACGGCCGGCATCACCATCTGCATTTTTGATCCTCGCTGTCCCGCAGCAGAGGACCGCTTACACATAGTCTATTTCCTAGACTCACCTAATCAGACTGCTTCTACGGTCGATTATCAAGATGGCTCTTTAGCAGCTTCATTGGAAGCCGACTAGATCGACTACTGCTGCGCAACGCCTCCTCTTCATCTGCATTTTTTTCGAGCCTGATTTCGTGTATCGAAGGTCACGTGGTCAAGGTACTCTCAACTTGAATTGTACGATATCTATCATCATTAATCATTCCCGCTCGGCTATTCGGAGCTATCAACCAATATCACGTCCATCCAACCGGCGCTTGCTGCCCTGGGGTGGCCTTTGCCTTCTATCTTCAAGGCACCTGTCTGTTTACAGCCTGTGCCAAGCCTACATAGCCTGTACAGCCCTTCACGCAGTCACCCATACATCCATCTGTCACGGGAACAAGAAGGCACCAGCAATGGCTTCGAACCTGTACAAAACACAATCTCCTGCTTGGAGCGCTGCTCTAGCTTCCAGGCTGGCCGGGATCGATTGTGATAACCACTCGAGGACCATGGAGGACGACAAGTCGCAACCACCTACGCCGGACAATTCTGGATATCCCGTCAACTTCAGAGTCATTGCTCCACGCTTATACAGGTCGTCTTACCCTCAGCATGAACACTTCGCGGTCCTAGGGGATCTCGAGCTCAAGACAATCGTAACGCTGGTGCCCGAGGATCTTCCCTTAGAATATGCCAACTTCATCTCGTCCAATGGCATAACTCATCACCACATCCCGATCCTCGCCAACAAGGACGAGAAAATCTTTACTCCGAACGAGACCGTCGAACAAGTCCTAGCTCTCATGCTCGAGCCAGCCAACTTTCCAATGCTTATACATTGTAACAAGGGCAAACATCGGACAGGCTGCATGACGGCCTGCTTCCGTCGAACCACGGGCTGGCCCCTAGAGGAAACGATTGCTGAGTACGTCAAATACTCGGAACCGAAATCGCGCGATCTCGACAAAGCCTTCATATCGAGATTCGACTCAGCAGGGCTGAAACCTCTTGCGTATGATCGCGGATATATCGGAGGAGTGTATGGGCCTCATGTGTTTACTAGCACGCATTCCAGCATTTACAGCAACGCAAGCATCGAGACAGATACAACCATTGCGTCAGAAATTGCAAAATCAGGCCCAAAGAACGAATATCATGAAAAGGCCTTTCGACAACGAGATGCTGATCTTGAGAGCTCACGGCTTTGGTCGCACAAATGATGGATCTCCGGACTCGGATGCAATTGTTGAGCATGAAATGGAGTTTCGGAGCAGGGTAAGCTCCAGTGCTTGAGCATGTGTTGGAATATTGAGCCACATTGACCAGCGGAAGCGAGAGTAATGCCACAAAGACTGATCGTGGAAGGTCATAGTCTGTCGTTGGCCCAAATCAGAGATGAAAAGCAAGGAGAGACCATGGCGTCGATACACTCTGGGAAGCTACAGTACCAAACATCTGGGTAGGACCATAACCTCTGGTGGTTGCATGGGGTCACTGGAATAGATAATACAAACATGCATGAAGCAGCCTCCTATCTGCTTTTGTACATAAAACCTCACGCCTTTACAGCGGGATTGTCTGACTACCGTATGTGGGCGTCACTCTTCCACTTCTACACTGAGAAGCCCCCGAGAGTGCAGAATGCTGCCAACGCCCGGTGTGTTGCGATGCCCATCATCCTCCGATGGAATACAGCGCTCCTCAGAGAACTCTTCCAACGAATTCGTCCTCTAAACGTCTTACTTCCCGCTTGAAGATCTCAACTTCCTTCCAGCAGTCCAAAGGTCGCCGATCGTTTACCCGCAAGCACCCAATCACGTCCTCTCTGGCCGTCTCTAAGGACTTCGGCAGCTCCTTCATGACCTTCCTCTGACCCAACTCCTTCTTCAACCGCTGTATCTCCTCCTGTACCTTCTTGCTTGTTTGACCATCTTTCTTCGCATCGCCGTCACCCTTGTCGCCGCCGATTGACTCTGGCAGCTTCGCTTTTACGCTGTCTTTTAACGTAGACTTCTGCTCAGGCTTTGGTTCGTCCTCTTCGACACTCAATATCTTCTTCCGTGCAGCTTCCACGGCCGAGTCTTGCGAGCTTTGTAATCTGGCGAGCTCTTCATGAACACGTTGCGCGATGTGTAGGTCCAGGCTCTTTGCGCGCGTTGAGTTGGTCTCGGAGCTGTTTGCTAAGCTGTCGATGAGTTCGGCGGAGAAGTTTATGGGTGTCGCGGCTGTGAAGACGTGTTTTGTGCTGTCGGCTGGGCTGCCAGAAGCAGCAGAGGATTGTGACTGGCCCATACTGGGTCAATGGTCCCGTAGGACGTGCGCGCTTTGGTGGATTTAGCTGGGGAGCGCGGATCGAAAATCGTAGAGGGTGCAATTGAACTCCTTAAAGCCTGAGCTGGCGGAGCGGTCGGTGGCGAGCGAGACTCGGTGCTTCAGTCCTGACAAGTACGCTGCAGGTTCAGTGTGAAAAGCACAATACACGGTACAGCAGGGCTAAGCTTGCCCGGGTGCGCATTGCTAGAACTTGAAGCGGCAGATGTTGAGTCGAAGCTCCTGATTGGGCAGCGACCAGAGATGTCTTGGCAGGAACCCGACGACGAAGGACGACAGACTCGTGACAATGCTCCTTCGTTGGTCGCTCTGCACCAGCAACTCATCATCGTGCTGAGCGTATAGATTCACGTCGCACACTGCGGAGGAAAGGCGGTCGCTCGACGCGAAGGAGCGACGTGTCGAACATGAGGTGTCGGAAGAGCCAGTTTGGCTGGCGACAGCCCCTACAACAGTACTACCACTGCTGATAGTAGCATTACATCTACCTCGACCATGTCCATCTCCGGGCCATCGTCTGCGTTTGATAGCGAGACATTCGGTCAGGATGCCTCCTTCCATCTGGACCAGCCCATCGGATCGATGACTATCTCGCCTTCCGGTCGAGATGTCGCGCTTGCCTCAAAGGAAGGTCTTCACATTATTGATCTGGACTCGCCATACTCGCCTCCACGGCACCTCCCACATCGGACGCCGTGGGAGGTTGCAGACGTCCAGTGGTCGCCCTTTGCTTCGCGTGACTACTGGGTGGTCAGTACTTCCAATCAGAAAGCACTTGTCTGGAATTTGGACGCCAAGTACTGGCAGGATAGCGTTCAACACATTCTTCATGGACACCGGAGAGCCATTACTGACATCAACTTCTCCGCCCACAATCCAGACGTACTTGCAACATGTGCTGTCGATAGTTTCGTTCACTCCTGGGACCTACGGGCACCAGGCCGTCCAGCTATATCTTTTTCGGACTGGTTCGCTGCAGCAACACAGGTCAAGTGGAGCCGGCAGGACGAGTACGTACTCGCCAGTTCTCACGACAAGTTTCTGCGTATATGGGACACTAGAAAGGGTGCCATACCCGTACGCACAGTCGAAGCACACAGTACTCGAATCTATGGCTTGGATTGGAATCGCTTCGAGCGGAATAAGATTGTCACATGCTCACTCGACCGAACTATCAAGTTCTGGAACTGTGACAACGCTGAGGACGTGCCCGACAGAGTCATAGAAACACCATATCCTGTTTGGAGAGCTAGACACACTCCTTTTGGGTGGGGGCTGATGGCGATGGCTCAGCGAGGTAGCAGTAGTCTGCACCTCTACGATCGGAGACCGATCGACGTACCCCTCGAGGATGGTCGAGCACGGTCTGTTGCCACGTTTTCGGGTCACAACGGTCAGATTAAGGAGTTCTTGTGGCGCGCTCGAGGCGGATTTCAGGATGACATCGATCAGCGAGAGTTTCAATTGGTTTCGTGGGGAACAGATAAGGAGCTTCGCCTGCATCGTGTCACACCAGAGGATCTCGAACGTGTCGGCTATGAGAAAGGTGTATCCAAATCTCAAAACTTGAACTTCACACGTAGAGGGGCACGATATGTTACTTTCAGAGATCTACCTGACGAGGCCATATCGCCGGCTGTCACGCCGCGGGGAGAGAGCTCAACTTCTCACAATGCGGTGTCTGCCTTCCGCAAACGCAACAGTACCACAGTCGGAATGAACAAGGTGGCCGTTTCTCAAATCAAGGGCTGGATGTCATCACAACAAAGGTCATCCCGCATTGCTATGCATGGTAAAACGAAAGCGACAGGCGAGATCGATCCCATTGCCTGGCTGAAGAATGTCAAAATCGCCTCCTGGGATCCAGACGCACTGGCAGAGGAGATACGACATGTGGGCGAGAAGTTTCGAAGGGTGCGCTTTGAAGCAGTTGACATAAAGCATCGGAAATTGGTCATGTCTTTGCAAGCACCTTGGAGTGATCACCAAGGCGCAGTATATCTTCGAGTCGACATACGCTTTCCTCAATCGTATCCACGCCATGCTCAAGCTATAATTACATTGCAGAAGACGAGCGCATTAGCCGATGAGATGCATGACAACCTGTCTGCAGAACTACGGGAAATCGCAGCCGTGCACATGGCTCAACAGAGAGGTTGTCTCGAGGCTACGCTGCGGTATCTGCTCCGTGAACAGTCTCTGGAGCAAGTCATTGCCTATGCAAGGGGTGATTCTCTCAACGAGTCTAAAGTCTTGGGCCCAGCCGTCGGAGACGAGGACTCGAGCGACAGCGAGGATGATCAGATTGCAGGACTCGGGGCGGCTGTCGCTTCTGCTGCAGACATTCGGGTGCCATTGGCAAAAGGGTGCGGTGCAGTCTGGTCTGAAACCGGAAAACTCGTCTGCTTCTTCCCACCGAAGCCAAAAGAGCCCGCCTCTGTCCTTACTGGGCTTTCTTCTCATGGCTTGGCGCGTGCAGATACCCGCCGTCTCTTCGAAGGCTTTGGCAAGCTGCACGTTGATTCGCCCATGCGAAGGTCTGCAGACAGAGCGAAAACGGCAGACGAGGATTTCTCGGGCTCGGAGTCTTCTGCAAGTCTGTCAAGCTCGTCTGAGAGCTCGTCGTCGTCATCCGCGTCCGAGGCTGATCTACCAATGTCTTACGCTCCGTATCACAAACGCCTCAACAAGTTTCCTCAGCGAACCCGATCCATCGACTTTTCGAACAGATCCACGACTTTAGCAGGAGCACGTCCAATGACTACAGACGAACCAAAACAGACAATTGTATCGATAATGACCTTAGATGACCTGAACCAAGCCAGCAGATCTCTTGCCGAGAAATATATGGTTATGGGTCACGCTCCAGTGTTGTGTAAGCACAACGCGACCATTGCCAAAAATGCTGGTAGAACGGATTTGTCGGTAGTCTGGGACCTTGCGTCCATGATCTTAGAGGATGAAGTGCCAGTGGAAGCTCTCGAATTGGCCGTAGCTGGGAACAGCAGCATTGTCCTGGTTGCCTGCCAAGCTGTATCCAAGCCGCACAGGAAAGACAGTGATTTGGCATTGAGATCGAAACGCAACAAGAAGTACGATCGGAAGCCAGTGCGGTGGGGCGGCAGCCCACTTGCTTCAACGTATCTGATACCCGCCATGTTCGATTACTTTGAGCGAGTTGCAGACGTCCAGATGTTGGCAATGCTTTCGTGCGCCTTTGCACAGCCTAAATCTACTCCAGAGTCCGTCAGTTTACCGCCCAAAGCGCAACCAGAGTACTTTCCAAGCAAATCGGTAGCAGAAGCCTTCTTCATAGCAGCACGGCCATTGGCTCAATGGCCGACAGCATCGGCTGAGCCACATCCATCCATCGAAAGACTGGCGTCTTCTTTCGAGAACCAAGGTGACCTACGATCCAGACGAGGCACAGCCATGTCCTTAGATCCCAACGCAGCGAGCTTCAGACCAGGGTCAGAGTTGCGGAGGACCTACAGCTCTACAGCTGGCGAGCTGGAACGACATTCCATTGATGCTTCGCTATCGACTTCGCCTGAAGGTGCGCGATCAATGCATCGCGGCATCATGAGCTCAGCAGCTCAAGCCAGTTTATCAGCGCTGACACAATCATTCTCCCACTCACCTCCTACACAGCCCAGCTCTGGCAGCAACGCCGCCTCCAGTCTAAAGAAGTATAGCCCGTCTGGGTCACTGACTCCTGGCTGGATTTCATGGACATCTGGTCATGGTACGCGTGCGTCACGCGCATCAATGCACTATTCCGAGTCTTCGAGTCAAGACAAAGAGGTCAGCTTGCGTTCGTCTGCCTCCATGGCCAACATTCGCAGTCTACGACGAGTGGACATACCACTCCTGAAGTTGGTCGCCGCGATGTCCGGTCGATAGCCGCTTCTGAAGCCTCTGACAGTGCGCCCACGATGAAGCGTAAAAGTGTCAAAAGTATACTTCGCAACCAAGATGAATTCGATATCGACTCTCATGCATCGATGTCTGCCTTGAACCCGGATCTAGCGTGGAAGTACCATGCTTTTCGTTTGGCCTACGCCTCCATACTCGAGGCCTGGAATCTCCCCGTACGTCGAGCAGAGGTCCTCTGGATCGATAGTACTACTTCTGCGACTGCTTTCTCGCCGGCCACGTCAAGTCCGACCAAAATGACGAGAACGAGGTCAACTGTTGAACACGCTGATATGAACGACCAGGGTCTTCATGTTCGACGATGCTGCACGGCGTGCGGCAACAGTCTCACACCGATTCAGAAGAACTTCATCGCCATAGGGTGGGAGTGTACAAGTCCACAATGTATGGGGCTCGTCCCGAAGCCATCCAAACGTACGCTCTGCAATCTCTGCAAAAAGCCTTCACGACTAGCAATTCCATGTCTTGAGTGTGGACATGTCATCTGCACACATTGTGGAAGGTATTGGTTTGGTAGGCGTCCCCGTAGACAGGGGCGAGGTTCGAGACCATCTGTTTCCTCTGAAGCTGATACCTTGATCAGCGTGAACGATGTTGCGCAGGATGGTCGGTTGCCGTCAACAGGGCATTCGGAAAGCCGGTCTTGCCCGACAGGTTGCGGGTGTGCCTGTCCGACACTTAATCCTTCCGACATTCATGTACAATTGCCAACTCCAGCTATCCCTTCCATGGTCGTATCCGAGGATACCGAGCCAGAACGATTCCGGCATGCTCCAACACACATGAGTAGGACAGACTCTCAAGCTAGCACAATATCAGTGGATTCTCAAAGGACTAAACAACCGGCGATCAGTGCGCCCTTTGCCGCGCAAGCCGCTGGGGGCGCTCTCGAGACTCTGAAGGACCTGACTGGGATGAGACCAAGGACTGGCAGCAGGGTTGACAGCAACAACAATCGCACGCAGGCCCATCGTCAGAATCGAGTCAAGAACAAAGACGTCACAAGGAGCACTCCTAGAAGTAGCGGCGACTTCTCACGTGATGCTGTAAAGCTGGAAGGTGATGCGGTGGCGATCGACAGACAGAGTAAGAACAGCATCGTGCAACAAGAGACTGTCTCAGACACCGGCGAGCCTGCTCAGCAACAAAGCGGGCACAGAGTGGTTAATCATACTGGTCTGAACAGAGGAATGCGTGGCGGTCTGGGTATCGGGCTAAGGGAGAAGGGCAGTGACTCTACCATACGAGGTGGCAAGTAGAGTCGGTAATTATTGTACTAACAGACACGCCATCATCTGTGGTAATCCTAAGGAGGCCCTGTAGAAATCTCAGCTGCACCTGCCGATACTTGATTTTCGTCTTTTGTGCAGGCGCGATGCTAACACAAGACTCTGATGCACATGGTGGTAGCCTCTGATGTCGATTAAAGCAGTCTCAAAAGCAGTATATCTACAATACCAAGAACAGACTCCACGTCTGTGCAGTGGTAGTAACTGGGTCCCAGGTTCCGGACTACAGCTTCGAACTGAGTGCTGAGCCGCTAGCATCTGTGTCGGTCTTGCCAGCAAACGACCCCGGCCCCTCGATAAACTCAGCAATCTTGGTCTGCTTTGGGTCGATGTACGCGACAATCTGCTTGCTGTTCCAGTGTCGCGTCAGCCTCGCGGACGGAATTCTTCGAGATCGCACTCATTGCACAAGGGGAAGACATGACTTACAACATGGCCTTGAATTCCTTCCCACGAGCATGAACGGCGATAGCCTCTGGACCGCTATACCGCTCGAACATCATAACATGGTTGCTGTCTGCCTTTCCACTGGGACGCGCGATAACCGCGTAGGTAAGAGTGTCCGGCTCGTTTTGCTCGACCCACGCTGCAAATTTTCTGTGGTCGCAGGAACGTTAGCCGCGATCTGCAGATGTTGGGGCAGCTCTCTGATTGACAGAAATAAGTTCCACTTACGACAATGCCTCAATGACCTTTCCCTTGCCTGCTCCCGAGTCTTTGCACTCGAACCTAGCCAACATAACCGTCTTGCCACCAGCAACATCCCTTTCTCGCTGCTCGCGATTCACGAAGCCACCGACTACCGACCAAAGCTTCATCTCCCCGGGATGCGCATACAAACTCTCATCGGCGACGCTCTTCTGGAATGCTTTCAGAGAGCCTTGGGCGAGGTACTCGTCGAGGGCGCGACGAGAGCTGTAGACATTCACTTCGGCTATGAGAAGAGGTGGTGTTCCGGCGGGCTTTGTGCTGGTAAGCTGTTGAGCTGGTGCCTTTGGCCGTGTTGATGGCGTGGCGTATATACGCGTGGTGGCTAGGCCAGCTGGTGATCCGTCTTCTGGGAGAGTTTCCTTGATCAAGGACTTGATCCTGTCGCTCTTGCTCTCGCTCCACGGGTGGAGGAAGGCTACTAATGCAACAGCCATACTGACTATTTCAAGTGTCTCGTTGCACGCTGCCCGAGATCGATCTGTAGTTTGTCTCCTTGGAAGAAGTGTCTGCCGCTTATGAGACTATTCAGATCATCGGGACTGTTCGGGCCGTAAATGCTCTAGAGCATATAAACACGGTCTCTGGTGTCTTCGAGTAGGAAAGATGTGGATAATCATTCTGACGCTCTCAAACCGAGTTGCCTCGGCTTGCACTAGTGAGGTGATGTCCATTTTGACCAATCAGCAGAAGGTGGTTGCGAGGACTCAATTAATGCTGCAATTCATGCAATCGATCCTATTTGCAACATCAGTTGCACACCCGAGGCGGGCTTCATTGATAATGCTCAATATTGGATTGGGACATTTCTATCTCATGGTACGAATAGCCTGCTTCTCGGCAGCGCTCGGAAGCTCGGAGGCGCCTGAACTTATGTTGTCGTCAATCCACATTCGGCCATGCCTTCATTTCACTTCCTCTTTCTGCTGTTGGATGGACCACGTCCTGCACGTCTAGTTGTATGGTTGCGATTGTATAATCCCCCTCGGATCCCATATACACAGATTTGATCATATCATTAGCTGTACCTGCAAATGCACCAGAGCCTGCCCGTGCTGTAAGGAATAACAGCAGCCTTCACGAATGTATCGATTTCACCCCTCCCCATAACTCCAGATCCTTCAGATTGAATGGATCAAAAATGCCGCCAATTCCGATTGTTGCTTAAAAGAAGAATGACAAAACGAATATGCCGGTCGTGTACAACGTCATGAATGTGTTCTCAAACTCAAACCACGCCGTCTGGGGTGCCACAGCCATCTTTTTGTTGTACGTAGTTGGGTGGGCGATTCCCGTCTTAGGATCCCTCGTGAGAAGGTCCTCACGATCGGGCATGTCTGGAGGATCACATGCGTAGGTGATCGGAATCCAGAATGAACTGCAGACCAGGATCCACGCAAGAGGTGGCCAGAAAGCGTGTGTGAGAAGACACATGATCTTGTTCTTGGCCGACTCATTCTCGAGAAAACACCTGTACGATGAGAGAGCCACCGCGGTAAGGATTAGATATACCATCACGACGTGATACCAAGCCATGTAGTTGAACAGGGTCGTCCAAAGGCGTCGGTAGAGTGGAGCTCTGGTTTTCTTGTCTCGTTCGTTAAGAGCAGACTGTAGAGACCCGGTCGGCTTGAATGCTTGCGCAGCACCTCCAAGCCACTTTGGGAGTACGAACGTACGCAGTGTCGTCAGTGCCAAGTAAGGAGCCATCCAGATTGCCATACGTGCACCTCTTTGACCGGTGGAATAGCCTGATGGCAGATAAAGGACCATTTCCGTTATGCGTGCGGTAATTATGGATGCAAAGCAAGCTCTGATCAACCAACGTAATTGCTCCTCGTTCGAAAATGCGACCAGTGGCTTGTTCATAATAAGAACAATTGGCATAGCCAAGTAGGAAATGCACTGAAAGATGTTGAACAAGCTCAAGAATGCGAAGATGAAAGACGACAGCTTCTGGAAGAAGGTCATCTGACGGACAGCATCACCCCACAAGCAAAACTTGAGCTTGATAGCAGTGTCGATTGTACCGATACACCACCGAGTCCGCTGCTTCAGGTGAGAAGCATAGTCCTCCGGAACAGTGCCGAATTGCAGCGACTCGTGAATGAAAGCTGTTCGCCAGCCCTTGCCGAGCATAAGCGTCGATGTAGCCACATCTTCGGCCAGAGATCCGAGAGGGATGTTCCCGATATCGTCCAGAGCTTCGCGGCGGACAACATAGCCGGACCCAGTGCACCAGGCGACCCCGAGGGCGTCCTTGATGGGCTCGAGACCGTGGACGAAGAAGTCGAGCGTCTGGCAAAGAGGGTCGTCTTTGGGGACATTGTAGAACAACTGAGGTGGACAGGCGAGTGCCAGCTTGGAATCGAGTACCATGTGAGGCACGATCGCACGCAGCCAGTGCTGTTCGGGAATCATGTCAGCATCGAGGGCAGCCATGAACTCGAAAGCGCCACCTGGCATATTGTGCACCTCATCCAGACCGTAGTTCAGGTTGCCGGCTTTGAAATGATGCGGAACGCCTGGAAATTTGGGTCGAGATCGGTAGAAAACATTGTAGTAGGTGTCCTTGAGGTCCTCGACAGCACGCTCGAGCGAGGCACTTTTGCCGTCGTCGAGGACAATCACCCGAAACCTGTCGCGTGGCCAATCGAGGTCAGCAGAGGCACGAACGGTGTCCATGACGAGATCGTCGTCTTCTCCGCAGCAAGTTATGAAGACATCGACGTATGGTGTGTCGTTCCCGATGAGACGGAGCTTGGGCCTGTTGCGCTTCTTGACCGTGAAGAGTGCCCAGAAGGTCTGAGTAAACGTTGGGATGGAGCAAATGACCTCGATCGTGACAAAGGTCCAAGCGAGCGGGAACGCTTGACCGAAGGTCTTCTGTGCATCGATGATGAAGGCGACTCGAAGACCGAAGTAGGTCCAGAACAACAGTAGTGATATAACAGCGAAAAATGGTATCATGTAGTACAGTTTTCTCCTCCATCCAGACAAGAACTCTCGGTCGTCTCGATGGTGCAATTTTGCTATTGAGCCTTCCTTGACCCAGTCCTTCGCCAGGAAGGTCGATGCATTGTGATCGGGGACGAGAGGGCGGCTGAGAGTATCTGTACTTCGCTGCTGAGGTTGTCAGTCAATATCTTTGAGCGTCAGGAACAGAGGACTCACATATGGGGATGCTCCTGGGTATGGTGACGAGCTTCTGGTGCCTGCGGGCGAGTCTGTGTAAGATGCAGCTCGCGAGCTGGCTCGGGGGGCAAACTTGGGCGCGTAGCCCGAAGGCATATTGCCGTTGTGATTATATGGGCTATCGAGAGCGAGTGTCGATGAAGAATATCGATCTTCGTAGTAAATGTCTTGCTTTCCGTCCGCAAGATCGGATCTGGATAAATTGTTGTGTTCCCTGGCTCTGACGGGTGGTCTGTAGTCCGAGTAGGCCGATTCCATTGTCTGCGGACGGTAGGAATCGTCCGGCGAGCCTACAGGTGCGTATGCATGCTGTGGTGGCTGTATAGGTGCAGGCGAGAGGTCTCGAACTTCAATCATTTCACCACCACTGGCGCTCTTGCTTGCGGCCTCCCGTTTGCGGAGAGGCGGCATGGTGACTGATGTACGTGGACTTGACCCAGCCACTGGCACGTTGTCGGGAGGAACCACGGGACGCAAGGGATGGCTCAGAATGCGGTTGTGTAACGGGGAGGCGCCGTACTGATTCGATTATTGGATGGACGGATGCAAATAGTGATGCATATATCGTAGAGTTCTAGTCGGACAACGAATGTGACGGTACGGCTGATTGTTTCGATGTCGCTGGGAGGTTGGATGCGTGCTGTCGATAAAGTACGAGCAAAGTGAAACAGGATGACGACGAAAACAATGCTGACCCGAGTAAAGCACGGTCTTTGACTTGCTTAAGATAACGATTGACTGCCCTCACAACAACTCTCCCGTTACGTTGAGTTGAGGCTGATGGCGAAGGTGTAAAGGTGTGGATGGATGATCCGGCAAAGAAAGACAAGAACGTGCCAGGTATCTCGTGAGGCGACAGCAGGATTCACAAGTTCTTGCAATAGCAGAATTCAGGAATAGGGAGCATACGGAGTACTTGGGTGGATGAGCGACTTTCCGGGCTTTGCAGGGGTCGGCTCAAGACTTGACCAGACTAAGCAAGCGGCAACGGTCTGATTTTTGCGATTCGATCGCCTATCAGTCAAGACTTTTCTCGCCCGGTGCCTATGATTGATCAAATCTGGACACGCGAACAGCTCATCATACTACTGCCAGGCACTGAAGTCAACTAAGCCATCATCGGCAGGCTAGGGTTTGTCCCGACGAGACACGCAGTAGCTTTGCTTGTTATTATTTTGGTCGTATTGTGACGGTGTGGATGCGGCATTCCTTGTGTCCATGAGATTGCCAATGAGGCCACTGAGGCGGCGTCACGGAACACCGACAATGCTGTATCCAAGATTCCAAGGACAATGGCCATCTCGCATTTCCATCTTCCGTAATGCTCGTAGTGAAACATTGCGGACAATCGTCGCTTCTCTCAGCGAGATTTTCATCGGCAGTGCAGTGGTCGATTCGGCCGGTGGTTCCCAGGACGCTAAGCGCCATCAGCCGGGACTAGGGGGCGAATAAAGCTTGCAAGTTGGAAAGACCTGATTCAAAATTTCTCCAGGCATCGTAGATTCTGTCTCTTCTTCCCGCTACCCAGCAAAAAGCATCCCTCCTTATCCAAAGAAAGTGGCAAAACATTGACTCTCGGTTGCCAAAGCAGTGTTTCTACAGTATAATAATATCGGTGTTCAACAGATCAGTGTCGGTGCACACGGTCATTAGCGTTGTTTTGTTGTAGAGCTGTCACTCGGCTCAATCAGTGGCCTTCATCCTCAACTCATCCTCCAGTTCCCACCTTCTATCTTGTTCATCACTACAAACCTTTGATCCGGATCATCACCTCGAAAATTCCGATCAGCAAACCGGCGAATCGCTCCGAAGGTCATCTATTGTCTAACAGACACGCTGTTGGGTGATTCATTCATTTCACGCGCAGTTCATTCACGACGATTGATTCCAATTCCACCTTGACCTGGGTTTTCATCGTCCCACGCCTGGCAAGCGCCACGACGTCGCAGCATTGACGACTTCGACTGATCTGTCCACTTTTTGCATCCGCCCAGCGTGCGAATCTATACGAAATGGTCTTTGGGACGATATTATCAGGATGCCTGTTCATCCTTCCCGCTGCGGTAACGACTGGTGTCTTGGTCGGTTGGGATGCTGTTAGATCGAGCAGCAACCAGAAGCCAATATTCACAGTCCCTCCCGGTGGAGGCTATGGCGGCGGTCCTGGGATGGACGGCGGAGGCAGAGGCAACGGCATCGAAACCGACACATATTGCGACAAAACCGTCGGCATAAGTCCATACGTTGCAAAAGGCTACGAACAGTACACACGTGAGTTGATCAGCATCATTTCCCTAACCTTGCCCCACGCCCCTTGCAATTGGCAGCGGGATCTCGGACAGGGCTTGCAGCTTGCAGGTTTGGTGCTTCGCCACACTTGAAGCGTGTTCCGCGTTCCTGACTAGACCTGTTCGGGTATGGCCGTGTCACTTTTTCTTGGCTTATGTACTGCGCCGTGATTGCTTGCTGATGTTCTGATACAGTCAATCCCAATCAGTGGGGCTACGTGGATGGCACACCTGGCGCGTTGTGTATGAACGTCACCAGCTATCTGAACGGCAGTTACCCATCCAAGACGTCGGCACCACAATGGTCCGTAACATGGCAGTACCCACAGGGACCCGAGACACAGCCTGTGCACGCCTTTCCCAACATCAAGCTCAATGCGGACAGCAATACCGATATTCCACTCCAGATCAGTGCTGTCCAAAACGTTGAAGTCGACATCGAGTGGTACTATGGCGCCGGCGACACAGATCCTACAACAATCGACATTGCAGCTCTCACCACTGCCGAAGCAAACACCAACGTCGCCATCGATATGTTCTTGGACACCAACGAGGGCAACTCAAAGGACCCCGAAAAGGCCCAGTACGAAATGATGGTCTGGCTAGCTGCCTTCGGAACAGCCACTCAGCCTATCGGCTACCCGACCGTTGTCGCGACAGAAGTTATCAATACCGTCACTTTCAATCTCTACTACGGCAAGAACGGACTCGGTCAGACTGTCATGACATGGATGGTACCCGCTGGTACCATTGCAAATCAATTCTATGGCGATCTGAGTCCTCTTGTCAAGTATGACTACAGCCAGATTGCCAGCTTACCTGCGAGCAATCCTCCACCAAGCTCCAGTGCTTATCTTGGGTATATTGGCTTGGGCTCCGAAGCATACTGGTCTGGTCAGAACGTGACGCTTGCTGTGCACAAACTGAGCATGGATGTCAGGGGCTGAGCGGAAAACCGGATAGTGAATGACAGTCCCGAAACTGCTCGCACACGCGCCGCTGACGGCACTCTACGGCAGATGCTGCGTTCGCACCACAATCGTTTTGGTTTGCCAGACATCCGGAAGGAGACGAAAGTCTGTTCTGCCTGTCAGCTGCGAGCACGATCTCGCCACCAACATGAAATTTCGGTGCCCGTCGGCAGCATTGCGCTATCCGCATGCGACCTGCGAACTCGCAACGCATTCTAGGAACGCGATGGTCTTTGAGGGCAAATGCAGTCCCCACACACACGTACGCACGCACAAGATACCCGTGAGGAGATGCCCTACCCGTGTGGACAATACTCCGTGCGCATGATCACGTTGTGGTCCTGCGGATAGCACAACGATCGCAGGAACATCCGGGCTTGCTCTTGGCAGCGTCTCAACGAGACCGCAGGAAGCCCGAAGATCCGGGCGCAGGCGGCGAGGTCCGCACCTGCACACCGGAAGCCGCAGAAGCAGGTCGCGAGATGCCGTGGCCGTAAGGTTCTTTTGAGCGGACGGAAAACGTGATACAATGAGCTACCGCCCAACGGCGGCAGCAGCAGCAGCACAATGAGCTACGAGCATAGATTGCATACGCACGCCACAACGCGTGCAGGCGTTTTTGGTGCTCTAGAAGAGTTATGATAATACCGTACACGGCAAATGATACCCTTGAACACGTCACTTCTAGCTGTTATCTCGTGAACGAGCGTCGTAAGTTTTTCCGATCTCACTGTTCCCGTGACAGGAATCAATGAGAAAACAGTTATATATGCTGGTCGTGGTATTCGCCTAGTCCACCTGCACCTCAATTCGGCAAAAGGCCAAAATCAGTGAATGAACATTTGGACATCGTAATATCGAAGACGAAATGATACCAGCGAGCGCTGCTTGCCTGATTAGAAGCACCAAAACAGCGGTCGTCGTCATTTCAGCCGCAGCGTCGTCCTTGGTCAAGCGTGTCCTTTGCAAACGCGGAGTCTGCTGCTGCGTGACCCGGCCGTTTGTACGGACGTGAACACCTCCCGCAGTCAAACGTCACGGCCTCCGTCGTCAAGGTAGTTCAACATCCATCGTGGACCTTCTCGTGCGAGTGTGCTCAAAATGCGAAAACCGTTCACTGATTTTGTGGCCTTCTACCCAGGCAGGCCGCGAAGGGGCTGAAAAGTTGCGCTGTTGGAATCGGCGGGCTTGAGATTGGCCTCCTTTGAGACTCGGTCAGTAGCGGTGATGCACCGTGGACATAGGGCCAGGAAGGCCACTGCATGGACACTGGATCCGATGTGGGTACGAATGATTTCAATCTGAGTCTCGACTACCGCATATTTCGTTGTACTGAACTACATCCGGATCGGATGACAGCATCGAGTGCTACGATCCCGCGAATATAGATCTTCATCTCCCAAAAAGCTTACACCTTCTTCTTCAAGAACAGACTCTGCACGTTGCAGAATGCCGTCAAGCCGCCCTTGGACCATTCGTAGCCAATGCCGGACTCCTTGTGGCCACCGAAAGGCGCGTGAGGGTCGACTTCGAGATGGGTGTTCACCCTAGCATCATGTTAGCATATAATCGATATGAAGCCTGGACCAGGAGGACGGAGCTTACCAAACAGAGCCAGCATCCAACTGCTTCGCGATTCTCGCTGCCTCATCCAGATCTTTCGACCAGACGGAAGCGCCAAGACCCATCTTGGTGTTGTTGGCGCGCTTCACAACATCATCCTCATCCTTCCAGGTGAGCAATGGCACGATGGGGCCAAATGGCTCTTCCGTAACGATACGCGAGTCCTCAGCTGGGCGATCGATGATGGTGGGGGCAATGAAGTAGCCAGGCTTGGAGTCGTCATTCTTCCCGCCCACAGCGACGTTCCACTTCTCCTTCTCAATATCACTGAAGAAAGTCTTGACCTTCTCGAACTGCATGCTGTTCTGCACAGGTCCCAGGAAGACGCCTTCCTCGTTGCCCTCGCCGGACTTGATTGTCTGAGCGAACTTGACAGCAGCATCGCGGAATTGCTCATAGACGTCTTCGTGGACGTAGATGCGCTTGATTGCGAGACAGATCTGGCCCGAGTTGAGGAAAGCCAGCGATGTGACCTTCTGGGCGGTGGCCTCGACGTCGATGTCCTTGCAGACGATGGCAGGATCGTTGCCACCGAGCTCAAGGGTAATGCGCTTGAGGGTCTTGGAGGCAGATTCCATAACTTTCTTGCCGGTAGCTGAAGAGCCGGTAAAGGAAATCTTTGCCGGGCCGGGATGGGCGGTCAGCATGGGACCAAGGTCGTCACCACCAGAAAGTACTTGAACCACACCTGGTGGGAAGAACTGTTGAGCCAATTCACCTAGTTTGAGGTCGCAGTAAGGTGTGAAAGGGCTAGGCTTGATGATGATGGGATTGCCCGTGAGGACCGAAGGACCGATCTTGCCACAAGCCAGGTGAACTGGGAAGTTCCAGGGAACGATGCCAACGACAAGACCGAGCGGTGTGTAGCGCTGAATGGTCTTCTTCTCGTCGTCCTCTTTGATGACCTCCTCCTTGAGCTCCAGATCAAGGAATGCGCGCAACCATGTGAAGCCGGCAGCGATTTCGCCTTGGGCAAATTGTATCTGTTGATGTCAGGGACAACAATCGGGCAAGGATGGAGAAGAGGCAGGAGGGACGGAGAACAAAGGCGGCGTGGATGGAACGAGGAGGCGGCAAGGTCGGAGAGGAGAGGAAAGAGAGGCAGTTGCAACATACCGGCTTGCCCTGTTCCTGTGTCAATAGTTTGGCAAAGTCGTCCTTGTGCTTCTCGAGAGCATCTGCGAATGCAGACACAGCCTTCGCACGTTCCGCCCATGTGGTCTTCTTCCAGCTCTCGAAGGCTTTCAGACCAGCAGCGACAGCATTGTCAACGTCTTCCTGGGTCGAAACTGGCACCTCAGGGTTGGGCTTTCCGGTTGCAGGGTTGACACCATGGCGTGTACTCTTGGTGCTCGACAATCTGCCGTCAATAGTGTTCTGGTAGTCCGAGAAGATGTCGAACTGAGGTCCTGCGGAACCCATGGTTACAAATTTGGATGATGTTTTGCGAAAGTAAGGTTGTGGTTCGTATGCTCAGTGGTGAATGGATTACTCCTCGTGGGAAACGGTGATACAGTTTTACAGTGACTAAACGTAGGCCGAGGAAAAGGATGTCGCAATCGTCCGTTCTTATACCACTGTGGCACAACAGCCGTGAAGAGATGCCTACCTATGATGGAAGTGACAGGATTGCGGGGTCACTCTTGCCGCTCCCGAGGTTCGACGAGGGACAGGATTTCACTGACTCTGACACGTCTTTGTTGCGAAGCTTCTGCTGCAGGATCTTGTGGCGCGTCTGGACCTCCTAATCGTCTCCGATTGCTCTTTCTCCATCGAGGACAGATCGTTCGGCGTTTAGTTGCCCAGGCGGTTTTAGATCTGCGACTACCGCAGACAGTGGGTCCATCGTACAACCCGGGAAGGTGTTATCACAAACTGAATTCCATGGGCGGCATTCATTTCAGGAAGCGGCTATCTTTGCCGGCACCCGAAGCAGTGATGGGCTTGAGCTAGCTCGAAGAAATGTCGTTACACAGCAGGTGAAGGATCAAGTCTACGAAAAAAATAGTAAAAGAAGTAGTAAGCAAAGAGTTGCACTGCACGTGTACTGTAGCCCCGCCTCAAGATTCGTCCGTCAATCGGCTGGACTGCATCTTTCGAGTCAGGGCAGGCGCTCAAGTCGAGGTTGTTTCACTGTGCCAGCTCGCGGGTTCCAGACGAGCCTCACTCGAGCGTCAGATCATAGGAACGGTTCACCATAGATTGTCCAAGGGATTTTCAGTTGAAGGTTGACCTGCGTTTCGTCCGAAGACTCGAAATTCAAGGTGGAGGTCTTTAGAAAGTCTTGGCGCCAGGAGTTAAGGCTGTAAATGCCTTGCAGCACACCTGGCTCCCTTCGAGTATTCATACTCCGAAAAATAAAATAACCACGAAGTAGTCCCTGAGTAGCATTCGACGATATCGCCTTCAAGATGTCCGAGGATCCGCCAAGGAAGCGCTCACGCTTCGATCAAACGGAGCCGCGTAAAGAGTCGCGATTCGATCGTCGTTCGCGGTCGCCGTCTGGTCGGCGCAGCGAGACTCGACGAAGTCGAAGCCCTGTCGCATCGCGCAGTCCACCTGACCAGGACAGCAAGGGCGGCGCTCTAGATGCTGCTGCTCGAGCCGCTGCTGCGGCTGCGAGAATCAATGCGGATCTTCAAGCGCGCAAGGGCATCCAACATGTCGATGTACCACCTATTCGCGCGACCTCGAGTCCATTGTCCGCCGCAACACCAAAGGTGTCCTCTGGACAGAGCATAGCCAAAGTCGATGGAGAGATCTACATCGCAGACGGTGACTACATCAAAGATATTGAAGTCAATGATCTCCGCAATCGCTACACACTGACCAAAGGCTCAACGCAAAAGGAGGTAAATACACACTTGTTCTATCTACTGATACTCCCAGGCTGGTCGTGCTGTCTACCATGGTCGACTGCGCTCATCTGTGCTGGCTCTCTGATTGTGTTCAAGCTTACCTAGCGCCAATCATGGCTGTTTACTCCCTCCCATGTGGCATCTGCTGACCTTAGCTCCTTTCATTTAGATCAAAGATGAGACTGGCGCTGGTACGCCTCCCACCCTCGATTATGTCCAAAACTGCTTACTTACCATATCAAGATGTCACTACCAGGGGAGAATATTATCCGGACAAGAGCTTGGCTACTGCTGCTGTAAGTCACCTATGCAGGCCGCCACCGAGTTGCCCATGCTAAGAGCTCCAGAAACCACCACTCTATCTTCATATCACAAGCACATCGAAGGCTGGATTAGAAAAAGCCATTGCCAAGATCGAAGAACTCATGAAGCAAGAGCTTCCCAATCTGGTCGACGAACGACGCTTCCGACGTCGTGATCAGGACACCGTGGAGCGAGATGAGTTTGGTCGGGTAAGCTTCAAGTCTGTGGGTCCTGCACAGTGCTAACACCATCAGCGTAAATGGCCCGAAGAGCGCATCATACTCGACATGGAGAACATCCCAGGCTTCAACCTGCGTGCACAAGTTGTAGGCCAGAGTGGTGCATATGTCAAGCATATCCAGACAGAGACGGGCTGCCGTGTCCAGATCAAAGGCAGAGGCTCAGGATTCATGGAACACTCAACAGGCCAGGAGTCCGATGAGCCCATGTATCTGCACGTTGCCGGTCCTCAGCCTGAAATGGTCAAGAAGGCCAAAGAACTGTGCGAAGATCTTCTCAAGAGCGTTCGCGCGAACTATCAGCGCTTCAAGGATAATCCACCACCGCAACGCCCGGAGACTTACACCGATGGGTACGGCGCTGATGCGCAGCGAGGCTCTTATGGTGGCTATGGTCGATCCAGCTCTCACCACTCTGGCTCCTACAACTCCGGCTCCTACAATTCTCCTTATAACCCAAACAATCCAGGACTGGCCCCCGGGACGAGCACCACACCCGTGGCGCCAGCACCGTCAGCATCCCCAACCAATGCCTTACCTCAGATGCCTGACCAGGCCACTATCGACTACTACACTCAGTACTATGCCAGCCAACCCGGAGGCGATCCATATGCGGCGTACGGCGGCTACGGCAGCTATCTGCAGCAGTACTATTCCTACTACCAGCAATCGCAACCGCAGGTTCCTGGCCCGCCTGCCTCAGGCTACGATCAACCGCCACCGCCTCCACCACCTGGCGCATGAACAGAGTGCTGTGATCAGTGGGGCCCTCCTCGTGGGGTCAAAGTATTGGGTTGGGCCTTTCTGATGATCCGTGTCAATTTGACATATGAAAACACACGGGCAAGCAAGTGCTTGCTATCGACAGACGTCAAGACGCAGAATAGGCTCGTACCAATCTCACAACATAATCGATTCACCCTCACTCTCAACTCGCACTTCACTTGCTTCCCTTCTGCCCCGCTTCTCTATATACTGTAGCGCAGCCTCATGCTTCTTCCTCCCAGCCACCGCCCTCTTATGACCCCTCCCGTTCATGTGCACCTCCCACTCATGCTCCGTCATGAGCGTCCTCTTGCACACCTCACAAAAATGCTTCACCCGCATCGACCGCTGCGGACTCCCGCCGCGCACTTTCGCGAACGTCTCCGCTGCTAGACTCGACAGCGAGGACGGGTCCGGAAGGGCGTCGTCGGACAACCATGCTTGCGTGAGCTGCGCTGCTTCGGGTACGAGATCCGAATGGAATTTGGAGAGGTCGGTTCCGTCCAGCAGGAAGAGCCTTTCCGAAGAGCAGGCTCTTTGGAGGGATTTGGCGAAGCTAACGCGTATGTACCGCTCCTGGCGTTTCGCGTACTGGCGGGTGCCGGCTTGGACGGCTTCGATGCAGGACTGGGCGAGGGGGGATTGTTTGGCGGTTTCGATGGGCTCATCAGACCTGGCTAATTGAGCGGTCGTCCAATTTTGGGTTTCTTTGTAGCCGATGGAGACCCAGATGCCGCGAGTCTTGTCGACGGCTCGGCCTCTGGCGGTCTGTGAAGCTTCAAACTGGGCCAGGGTAAGGGCCTCTTCGAAGAGGCCATTCTTGACCATGTCGTGAACGCGCGCGTCAAGTCGGGCTTTCAGTACACCGTCTTCTGCCTGTAGCCAGAGAAGGAGAGGGTCGTAGTTCAGAGTCGTGTCGTCCGCCTCTTTCTGCTCCTGATAGATCTCGCTGACCTTCCTCCCCGTCCGCAGACAAATCTCCAGACTCCTCTGTACGCGCCGGTAATCCTTAGGATGCCATGTATCAGCCATGTCCGGGTCCAGTCTCTTCAGCGCTGCGTGCATCTCCTCGCTTGACGCGGCTAGGATCGGCCAACGCTTTTTCGCTTCCTCGATCCCGCCGCCCGCGTGGCCATCCACCTCTGCCTCTGAACTTTCCTCTTCTTCACCTCCGTCGATCTTCTCCTCCTGCGCAAGCAACGCTCCGCCGCACAAGATTGCATGGCTGTAGTACCCCGTCCCGCCACACACCACCGGTAATCTCCCCCTCTCATGCACCTCCCCGATGACCCTCCGTGCTTCCCTCACATATCGATGCACGGTCCAGGCTTCCTCCTCGAGACCGATTACGCCAAGCAGATGATGCGGGATGCCCTGTTGCTCTTCGACCGAGATCTTGTTCGTGATTATAGGCAGGCCTTGGTATAATTGTATGGCGTCGGCGTTGATGATCTCGCCGTTGAAGCGCTTTGCGAGGGAAACTGCGAGTGAAGATTTGCCTGTGCCTGTTGGGCCGAGGATGAAGAGCACCCGCGGGTTTTCATGATTTGTGCCAGTAGTGGTCGTCGCGCCTTTCGCGCTTATGAAGGGTCGAGGGTCTCTCATGTTATGGGTGGAGCGAATGGCATGCGCTGTTCGATGGTGGGCGCGGAGGAGATGCGAGAAAGGGTGGCGCATTGAGCGGAAGACATCAGGACGGATGCAGCAGAACAGGGTAGAAGAGGCTGCTGGCTTGTCAAAGAGAGCAAGACTGAAGTAGCTGTGGACAACTTTGCTCGTGTCCGCTGCTGAGATGTTCGTACGAAGTGGGTGATCATCCGGCTTGAGGAAAGACACCAGTTTTGGGGGTTTGGGGGTATTTGACGTATAAAAAGTATTCGACCGCCTCGTCGTCATTACTTTGGACCTCTGCTACCAGTACTATTTCTTTGGTTTTGCTACGTTCTAGTCCCTTTTACTCTTCCATCCCCTCCATCCCATCTTCCCCCTCCACCCACTCGACTGGCACAGTCAACATGGGCTCCCAACCTAACCCGCCCACCATAGAGGTCAACGGTCTCTCCTACAAATTTCCCGATGGCAGTACAGGACTCAGCAATATCAACCTCTCCCTCCCCGCTGGCTCCCGCACTCTGTTGATCGGCAGCAACGGCGCCGGCAAAACCACTCTCCTGCGCCTGCTCTCCGGAAAACGCATGTCCCCAGCCTCTACAGTCTCCATCGCCGGCGTTGACCCCTTCGCCGCAGGCCTCGAAGGCGTCACTTACTTGGGATTGGAATGGGTCCTCAACCGATCGTGCGCACTGACATTGCCGTGCCCATCCTTCTGGACTCCGTGGGTGGAAAGGCCTTTCCGGAGCGTAGGGATGAGCTGGTGAGGGTGCTGGACATCGACTTGCGCTGGCGGATGCATACGGTCAGCGACGGGGAGAGGCGGCGGGTGCAACTCGCGATGGGCCTGGTACGCCCGTGGGATGTGCTTTTGTTGGACGAGATCACGGTCGATCTGGATCTTTTGTCGAGGTCGAGGTTTCTGGAGTGGCTGAGGGAGGAGACAGAGCGAAGGGGGGCGACGATCGTGTACGCAACGCATATCCTAGATAACCTGGTTGGATGGCCAAGTCATCTGGTGCATATGGCGCAAGGAAGGGTGAAGGAGTGGGGTAAAATGGAGAAGTATGAGGCGGTGAGTGATGAGTATAGCAAGAGTGGGAACAGTAGGTTGGGCGAATTGGTGCTGAAGTGGCTGAAGGAGGATTTGGAGGAGAGGGGTCCGAGAGGTGGAAAAGGTGAAGGTGCAGCGTATCAAGACTTGGACGGACTAGGTGGGTACGGGATGGAGAAGAGGCCGGAATAGCAGATTGAGGTCGGGAGGGTGGCCGAAACGGTGATCGGATTGCATCTGGGAGTGCGAGTTTGATTTTAACATTGTGATACCCCATCGGCCTTCAACAAGGTCTGAGCATTATGCATCAACGGCATGGCCATTTGGACAACGGACACGATAGCGACTGCAGATTTATCATCTGCGAAGAAGGCCTTCAACGCCTCCAGTTGCAAAATATGCATTGCGGTGGGAGGCGCGACTGGTCGACCCGGAAAGCGGTCGATCATGGCAATGGTTAGGTAGTGGTATACATAGTCATGAACAGCGTACTAACAAAAAGTCTAGCAGACAGGATGTTTTACACTGCAAGAGCCGAGGAACGCGCATGTATGTGCATTACAATTCCCAGGCGCTTTCACATTACAGCGACTGCCATTCTCATGCCTGATACTTCGACGCTACCCAGGTAGGTAGCCGCAACCCAGCATGTGTCCAGGTAGTCTGTCAGCCCGGCAGTAGCGCATCGACGTCGACCCTTGATATCCTCACTGAGCAGTCCGCTGAGGCAATCGCCAACTGCATGCCTGGGCCTTCCTCCATACACTTGGGCAGCTGAGGTCGCCATATCAGTTGCGTGATAGTCTTCGAAGGGCACTGCTCTGGCTGCATTTCTCTGCTTGTGATGATCTGCAACCCGGCAGGAGCATCAATGACATGCACCGATACCGATCCATCTTCCTCTCCGACCGCCATGACCACCTTTCCCTCTTGACTTGATTGCGCCAGCGCCACCGCAGTGACCGGCTTTTTCCGTGTCAGCGTTTGAGCAAGAGTGTACTCGGAGGTTTCGCCGCTCGCTGACCACAATTTGACTGTTTTGTCCCTTCCAGCAGTCGCGAAGAACAAATGCTCCTCACTCGGTGACCAAGCTGCGTCCAGAATCATCCTCGAATGTGCCTTCTCTTTACACTGCAACAGCTGCCAAGTATTCTCGATCTTCTTGAACACTGCCCACTGGCGGTCTCTGCCCACGCTGAGCAGTTGGGTGTGGGTAGGGTGTGACCATGCCAGCCTCGTCACTGTCAAAGTATGTGCCGAGAGCGCTGGACGGATCTCAGTCCATGATTTTGTGTCGTACATGCGGATGACAGCGTGGTCGAGTGAGCTGGCTTTGCAGGCTGTGGCCAGGATGTCGCCGTCAGATGCTGATGTGGAGATCTCGTAGCCGTGACCATAGAGCTTCTCTCTTTCGGGCCATAATGTGTACCTGGCGAGGAGATCTTCTGTCGGCGGCTCGTTGAGATGGTCTACAGATGCGTCAGACGCGAAAGCTGGTGTCTGAGCAGCGTGGTCACCATTTGTGACACCATTCTCGCCGATTGTCTCGTCCATGGCCTTGTTTGAGAGTCCAAGAACAGGAATGGCTGCAGTCTCAGGTAAGTCGTCGGCGTTCGAACTTTCGATGCCACTCAACCTGGAAAGGAGCACAGATGCAGACTTTGGCTCATCAAACACACGAAGCAGCTTCTCGTCGGCACCTGACGCAAATTGCGTCGAGTTGATCGCCGATATGCAATTCAGGTCATAGCCGTGGATCTGTGGTCGTGCGAATTCATGCCACGTTCTCTTCGTCCCCTGCCGCCATTCCGCGTGTAGTCTTGTGGTTTGATCAGAACTTGTCGATAGCAGATAGCTTCCATCTGGCGACCATATCAAACTGTTGACGGAGCCAACGTGACCCGTCACTGCCGTCCGTTGCGTCCAGTATTGTTGTCCATGGTCAAACTTCCACAGCCGCCAGCTGCCTGTACGGCCCAGGCAGGTCACCGCGTCTCCCTCCGGCGACCAAAGAGCACTCCAAAATCCGCCAGATGAGCCAGTCGCTGTTGTAGCTCCCTTTTGGCCGCTGATCTCGCCGAGACGAGTGACACTGACCCAGATTCCAGACGTTTCATCGGGCTCCCAGATTGTCAAGGTGCCATCGGCGGATGCCGACAGTAGCTGTTGTGAGTCATCACGTGGGTTCCACGCCGCTGAATACACCCAGTCTTCATGTCCGAGCAGAAGTGCTTCAAACGTGACGCTGTAGCTAGCTGAGTCGACAGATACTGTCTGAACCTTAGCGTTCAGTGAGCTCTGCTGTATAGGCCCATTCGATGTAGACTGGACGGCACCGTCTAGTTGTCCTTGTGGTTTGAACTTCCATATCCGAACGTACTTGTCCGCGCTTGTCGAAGCAAGGAGATACTCTCCACTGTGTAGACGCTTCAATTTGAGAGACCGAATCCAGCCTTCGTGGCCGACTAAGCTCGCGCAGTGTGTTACTTCAGGTTCTGTCAATGGCTTCTTAATACCATACAATTGAACATCGTTGCGCGTCCCTCCAGCGACCATGAAAGCCGCTTCGTTACCCTCGGCTTGCTCGAAGTGTGCGAACGCCAGAGACAAGGGAATAAATCGAGGCTTGGTCTGAACTGTACAGGTGCAAACCAGCGATCCTTCGTCAATATTCCATAACTTGATCTTCGCATCGGCACCTCCAGTAACAAAAACGCGGGTGCATGAAGTACTGCAATACAATTCACAGCACCTTCATGGCCCTTGACTGAGCCTCGAATTTGCCAGGACCCTGACGGATCACACTGCCACGTTTTAATCTCACCGTCCGCGCTGCCCGAGACCAGGCCCTCGCTTGACTCACTGTCGTCGACCTGCCCGAACGTCAAAGCAGTGACCTTTGCTGTGTGGCCCCGAAGCGTCCCATACACTCCTTGGACATTATCTCCAAGTGGCTTCCAGAGAGCGATATTCTGGTCAGCCCCGTAGGCTAGGACACCGGAGTGCTTCGACCAATCTGAGGCTGACGTCTGGCGGTTACCACCTACCGAGATATGTTCTGTGTTAGCGGCGGCCGACATCGACGCAATGGGCTGCTCTCAACGTGGTGGGGGGAATGCTGAGCACAACCATAGTGTAGCGTCGAATATATTTGCTATGAAAATTGTCAGGCAGTGAATGGAGGTCGAAATCTTGGCGCGACGACGATCTGTTTACGCGCCGGAATCAGGTCACCAGGGACAGTACAACATGCGTGGACTTTCAACGACATCTGCAGGCTAGCTAATGATGCGCAATGCCTCAGGACCCCCCTCGACACGTCTACAGTAGCTACCCATAAGACACAGCCAAGATGGCGCGCCCAACCCGCATCCCATCCCAACCAGACCTCTCTCCAACATACAGCCCGGCCTCACCCTCTCGGTCAACCGCTGAGCCTGTCCGACGCAATCTTTTCTCTGCACACCTCTCCCGCCGGCTAATATCCTCGCAGCCGGAACAACAGCAACCTCCTCCGCCACCGCAGTACCGCAACATCTCACCCTTCGCCTCTCCGCCCCGCCTGACCCCAACGACAGAGCTGCCACCATCTCTCAGTGGCACCTACGACCCGAGCCAGTCGCCACACCGGCCGCTGTCGCCGCGGACATCAGCCACCATCTTCCCTTCCAATTCGATTGTCGCCATAAATCCAGCCACCGGGCGGCCTCTGATACCGCAACTGCCCACGCTGCCTGCACATCTCACACTCGAGGACGATGAAGAAGAGGACGACGAGCCAGAGGAGGGAGACGACATCTCGCCTGCCGAGGAGCAAGGTGTCGATGAATCACGACAGATGCAATACACGACGCTCGAACCACCACCACCTCGATCTGTAGACCCATTCACGACAGACTATTCAGCACGCGACCCTCATCTGGACTACGATGCCGCCTACTCCCAGCATCGCCGGCACCACCACGACCCTCACACTCTCCATCACCAGACACACCCGTACCCGGAAGAAGACTCCGTCAGACCATACGCCGCAGAAGCAGCCCACATCAATGACCTCATGTCTCGGTATCGCGCTCGGCAGCAGCCTCAGCCTCAGTCTCAGACTCGCATTCTCCACCAACGTGCACAGTCACAGCACCAGCCGCAAACAACATCGCAGCAACATGCGCCACATGGGCAGCACCAGCGAACAAAATCTCACACCACTGCCCACCGAGAATTGAGCCCCAGCCAGCACCGGCTAGCGGGAGAAGACGAAGAGGACGACCCAGTGGCCGCAGAAGAGAAAGCCGAGCTAATGGCGCATCTAATGGCAAAGCTCCGCAGAGTAGTCGAGAGTGCGGAGGCGGACGCGTGGATGTTTGGCGAGGCGGACTCCTTTGCTGCACAGCGGGATCTCGGAGGCTTGGGCATCGATGGAGCGGGCGCTGGGAATGCTGGCGTCACTGCTGGCGGCGGTGGCGGGCAATTCGGAGGCGCGAACTGAGCTCATGGGAAACAAGAAGCATGCCTAGTGCACAGCGAGACATACGAGGCAGACTGGACTGGCTCAGGATGTATCTGATGACGTGAAACGACTGCTACGTATGAGCTTCTTTTCAGCGAAGGCGTTCGAGAGATATCCATCTTTTCCGATTTAGCATCAACCGCAGGTCACCGACCCACTCCGCGAGCAGTGCTCTCCTGCAAGTATGTAAAACATCGAACACCTAATTCACCACAGATCATGTCCAGCGCCCTTCCAAACGCGAAACCACAACTCTGGCTACAAAGTACCATCTAATGCTCAACGGAGGCAGACCCGAAATCCCAGGAGTCACCGTCCAATCAATGATCTCCGTGCAGCGCCCCCCAAACAGTAGCCATCCGTTGCTAGGCATCATGTTGCAGAGATCAGTCCAGCATCATATTTCTCCTCCCGGCCCGTCCACAACGTCTCGCCGCTTCAACAGAAGTGCATACCGTCCATGTTGTGCGTGAAACGCGGTTACTCTTCCTGCACGATAGGATACACTGCCCAAAGACTCTGTGCTATCTTCGTATTCAGGGCTTTGTGCAGTGCAGACGGCTCCAGATGGGTTGCCCACTGTAAGCGCCAGCGAAGAACTCTAGAATTCATCCCAATGCTCATCAAACTTGTCCCAAGTATCCCGCCCGACCCAATCACCAATCTCATTCCCAACATCACTCGCATACTGGAAATGGATCTGCGCAGAATTGTCAATCGTCACTTCTCTTCAACTAGACCGATGCATACTCACCCCACCAAACACTCTGCTGTCGCCATTCTCCTTGACGGCGTGCGCGATACTCGTGATCCGCCTCGTAATCACCGTTTCGATGCGGGTGACGTTGCTACTCAGCTGGACGTCGATCTCATCGCCGCCGTTCCATGCACGAATGATAGCGCCTGCAGCTGCACCAAAAGTGGCGTGCGTAGAGAGGTAGTCTTGGTGATTGGGCGTGGGATCCAGGAGCGGGGTCCAGGTGAGATCTGTGCAATTTGTACCGGAGGCGGCGTAGATGTCTGGATATCGGATTGCGGTGATAGGACGCCAGGCGTTGTAGTAGTATCTATTGCTCTGTCAGCGCGCTCAACATTGTGGGAACGGTGGGTTGCTTGTACTTTGTGTCCCAACTCGCAATGGCACCATTGGCGAGCGCCTAATTAAGCTGGGCGTAGAACTTGGCGGACGCAAGCACATCGGTGGCAAGGCTATTGCCCACGACTAGGTTGGCAAGCCGATTCCAGCCGCTGTGGTAACATTAGCTGATGGCCCTCCGCTGTACAGGGGATCCGACAGGAGTAACCGTGCTTACATTGGGCTGGACTCCAGCCAGTACCACGCAGTCTCGGTGTCGTACTCAGTGCGCTGGCTAGATTCGTTGCCACCCTGCTCATAGACTTGCACTAAGAACTCCTCAAATTCGGGAGAAACTGCAGCAGGCGGAGGTGGGGCACGATACTTGGAGATGTCCCCTAGACCGCCAAAGGGACGTAGAAACTGAGCTTGCGGAGTGTCTGGGACGGCGAGACCTCCTGGACGTCCCTGGTACAAGCCAGGCTCCTTAGGCTGCTGCTCGTAGGCCACATAATGATGGATGCCATCGTTGGCCCGAGCCACAGTGGCGGTCACGGCCGCGGACTCGCCGATATCTCGTGCGCGGAGGGCCTCATCGGACTTGAGGTCGATGCCAATCTGCTTCGCGATGGTGCTGAACCGCAAGTCGATAGTCGGGTAGAGCCGCGTGCCGTGGAAAGTCCAGTGCAGCGAATCATGGGCGGCATGAGAGACGGCGAGTTGCTGGAAGGCGAGAGATTCGTTCACGCTCTTCGTGGCAGCGAGGTAGACAGCGCCCTGGACAATAGCCTCGAACCAGCCAGAAGGTGGCGATGGTAGCCCTCCTATCACGGTTCCATTGACGAGGATGGCAGATTGATCGATCCAGTATTGCACAATGTCACCAGAGTACTGAGCAGAGGCGCTTGAAGAAATGGCCGTCAGCGCCGTAAGGCCAATGGTGAGTTTCATCTTGGCAAGTGTATATGAAAGGCGTGGTCGCACAGATCAGCCGGTACCTGGGCCCTTATGTTCATCTTCGGCAACCTCTGCAACGTGTGCAGCAAACTTGGATGACTATTGCGCCATGGCTCGTCATCCTGATGTTGACGAAGCCGAGCTGTGCTAAGCGATACAGCATGCATGATATCCTGCCAGATCTGTCGATGCAGACACTAAGTTGTGTTGCCTTGCAGCATTTCGTGCGATCGGCTTATCCATATCAAGGGCTCAACAGCTGCGTGCCAAGACGCTGTCTGATGGCACCATAAGCCAAGGTATTGCGATTTGTTGGCGGTCAAGTCACAACTGCTGTCGTACACGTGGAACACACCTAGGTCAGATCAAAGCAACGCGCTGAAAGTATTCGAAATTGATCCGATAGAGGAGTTGAAGGACCTCGGGAGGCTCAATAATCGCTATTATAAGCGGACTGTACCTGGACTTCACACATTGGCCTAGTTTAAGCTGTCACGAGCTTCGAGCGAAAGTTACGGCGTCACTGGACCTAGGCGCATGTTCATTAATGGAGCCTCATGGTCAAATACCTTGCTGGTCCGGAACAGGAAAGGAGTGAATGGCCTAGGTGCTGGAAAGGCTTATTCTACAGCGCTCCGCGAAGAACATTCTGAGAGACATTTGGAGCGAGTCAGATGTAGGAACACACTCGGAATGGCGAGCACAAGTTGAGGGCCACAACAACTGCGGTGTAGATACTATGTGGTTGACACAGAATGACACGTGTGCAGGAATCGAAAAGACGAAAAGGTTGCGCCTGCGGCCACTGGAAGCACCGTACAAGGCTACGTTTGAACATGACGCTAACTAGCATCACTGTAATCGTTAACTGTTGCATTTTGGAGGTCAAAAAAAGTTGACGGCGATCCGAGCATTCATATCCCACCACGTGAATTGTCAACACTTGACATTCCTCCTCTGTCGCCATGGCGTCCGACGAGATAGTCTGGCAAGTCATCAATCAGCAGTTCTGCTCATTCAAGCTCAAGTAAATCTGCTCCCGGCTGCCCCGTTTGTCCATCAACTCACCACGAACAGACTCTCCGCCAAAGACCAAAACTTCTGCCGCAACGAACATAACGTAACAGGCTTCTGCAACCGCCAGTCATGTCCACTTGCCAACTCCCGCTACGCCACCGTACGACCAGATCCAGCGACCGGTGCTCTGTACCTCTACATCAAGACTCCCGAGCGCAACCACCTGCCTTCACAATGGTGGGAGAAGATCAGACTACCGCAGAACTATGAGAAGGCACTGGCTATGGTGGATAAGAAGTTGCTCTACTGGCCGAAATTCTACACGCATAAGTGCAAGCAGCGACTTACGAGGCTCACACAAGTCGCTATTAGATCAAGACGGATCGCGAAGGAGGAAGAAAGACTGGGCGAGAAATTGGTGCCGAAAATTGCGAGCAAGATCAAGAGACGGGAGGAGACGAGGGAGAGGAAGGCCGAGAGTGCAGCCAAAGTGGAGAGAGCCGTTGAGCGTGAGCTTATTGAGCGTTTGAGGAGTGGTGCGTACGGTGATCGGCCTATTAATGTCGAGGAAACAGTTTGGCGGAAGGTTCTGAGAGGTCTCGAGCGCGCGGAGAAGGGTGAGGAGCTCGAAGACGAGGAAGACGAGGCTGTCGAAGAGATCGAGGGCGAGGTCGAATACGTGAGTGATCTTGAGGAGAGCGAAGATGAGCAGGAGATGGAAGACTTCGACGACTGGCTTGGTGGAGAATCTCCCGACGATGACAGTGACGACGACAGCGAGGAAGATGATAGCGAAGACAGCAGCGAGGACGACTCGACACCTAAGGCAGGAGCCAAGCGGAAACGGACCGGTACACAGCCCAAGTCGAAGAGACGGCCTAATCTGGAGATCGAGTATGAGACCGAGCCGCCATTGAAAGAGGCCCTGCTTGCGTGATGAAGATGATCTCGTCGAGCTGGGGCAGACGTAGCTATTGGCATCGCTTCGGCAATGACACACGCAGAGGACGCCTCGGACGTGGTGTCATGCCAAGGGCTTCCAAGACTGATAGCGAGGCTCTGTGCTGCACATTCGAAGCACCTACCAATGAGGATACGGTTATGTTTCTCCCAAAGTTGACAACGAGCAGGAATGGGACCGACCCGACCGAGAGTCTGGTGTACCCTGGTCGCAGGATATGCCAGGTTGTTCTGCATTTGGATACCTGACTACATGGCCAAGCTAGCGGTGCCCGCGTCCAAATCTCAATCAAGCGCACATCACTCTTCAGCTCGAAATTCCTTCAGATGTAGACTTACCATCCAATCTTCACAATGCGGCGAGCAACTACAACACAGGGACGTGCTACGAACCGTAAGAGCGGCACTCACGCCGCTCGAACCAGCACCCTGCAAAAACAGCATCCCGCGTACACATCTCTCTCAACGTCTAAATACGTCAGGTACACACAACCAGACTTGCTCTCTCGCGAAATATGCAGATACTCGCCCGTTATTAAGGCACTTCCAGCCAATAAAATCGCGCACCTGCACGTTGACATAAGCCGAATGACCCCGAATATTGCTGCTTTGCACCAGCCGGCAAAGCGGCGAGCACGGCTTGCCGTGTAGAGTGGACTTCACACCCAAATCTAACGGCTACTGAGAGGTTTCGACAGTCAACAGTTGATGAGTAACCTTGTGGATTTGATGGATTTGTGGTGCTTGGGAGTGTCTATGAGCGCGACATGGACGGCAGGTATGGAGCAACGGGATGTAGACGTTAGGTAATACGGGGGGATTCGTGTTGCAAGGGTAGACATATAAGGAGGTCGATGCACTCGACTGGTGTTGGGAGAAGGCCATCAACTCATCACACGCCCTCTCGAGATACCAGCTCCTAGACAGCCGCGACAAAAAGCAACAGCAGCATCTCGAACATCCGCAACAATCTCCTCATCCACCAGACTTACCTTCAGCACCTACCCAACAAACCACCACCACCATGACACACACACCCAAGACTACCACCTCCTTCACCAAACTCCCCAACGGCATCGAAGTCTTCTCCCGCACCGCCGGCCCCTCCGACGGCCCCGTCATCCTCCTCCTGCACGGCTTCCCCGCCTCATCCTTCCAATTTCGTAACCTAATCCCCCTCCTCGCCGCCCACAACTACCGCATCATCGCCCCCGACCTCCCCGGCTTCGGATTTACCACCATCCCCGCCTCCCTCAACTACACCCACACCTTCGCCAACCTCGCCACCACCATTGGCTCCTTCCTCGACGTCCTCTCGATCAAGAAATACGTAGTCTACATCTTCGACTACGGCGCCCCGACGGGCCTGAGACTAATGCTGGAGCGTCCGGGCGCTACCAAGGCAATCATCTCCCAGAATGGCAACGCCTACGACGACGGTATTGGACCTTTCTGGGACCCGGTAAAGACATTGTGGGCCGCTCAGCCTGGCACCCAAGCCGAGAAGGATGCCAGAAATGTGTTGCAGGGTGCCCTGTTAACCCACGCCGCCACGAAATGGCAGTACACCGAGCACGAACCCCACCCGGAACTCGTCGACCCGGCCTCCTGGACGCTGGACTGGGCGTTGATGAACACTCCGGAGAATATCGAGGTGCAGTTGGACCTGTTCAGGGATTATGGCAGTAATGTGGAGCTGTACCCGGAGTTCCAGAGGTATTTCAGGGAGAAGAAGTTGCCGGTGTTGGCGGTGTGGGGGAAGGATGATGAGATTTTCATTAATCCGGGTGCGACGGCGTTTAAGAGGGATTTGCCGGATGCAGAGGTGCATTTGTTGGATGGTGGGCATTTCTTGGTGGAAGCGCAGACGGAAAGGGTCGGGGTTTTGATTCTGGAGTTTCTGAAGAAGAATGGGATTTGAGGTCAAATGGATAGCGCAGTGCTGTGGACGAGGGTAGAAGTGCTGCTTGGTAAGGGAATGGAGTGTCCGCTCTGGACATTTCGAGAACTGAGAATAACACGAAGCCCTATGGCAAGGGTAGGGCGTATACTGAAATTATAGTAGACGTTCGAGTGTGCAAGCTTTTCGACGATAACCTTGCCGTCATGCAGTAAGCACCTCAATCTGGCCTCAATCTGAGGCGATGATCAATTCCCGGAAACTTGGGCGTTTCGACAATAGCCTGCTGTATTGCAGTGAGCACCTCAAATTGATCTTATTCCAAGATGATGGGCGGCGTCCGAGGCCCTGAGCGTCACGGTCATACCCCGTAGGCCATGCCGTTGCCGCAGACTTGCCCTCGGAGGGGGCAAGCAATTGTACTCATCTGTCTGGTTGGACGGGTTCCGGTGTTCTGAAGTCGTGTCAACTTCCAAGAACTCAGACATTAGCCTAGCCACTCAAAAAGCGGTGCGCCACAAATGAATGGCTGAATGACTGCCACGACGTGGCTTGTTGACTGAACAGCCACAGCGAAGTGCATGACCTTGGCCGCGGCATCTGTGGGCTTGCGCTCACATGGCTTATGTAACCAAGAACATCTAGACCTCTGACTTACCAATGGTCTCAGCTTCACTGATCGACTCAGTGTCAATACAAATCCAAGCAGAGGTCTCATCGTAAGTGAGTCCGGACGGAATCAATATCCTCCTTAACTGCAACGATAATGCCAGCGTCACTTCGTCTTGAGATCTTTCCTTCCAACCTGGAACGCTGCTTGGCATTCTACATTGACACCTTGCAGTTCACCATGAGGAAACGTAAGGACAACTATGCCTTCTTTGCCCGAGGCAATATCTTTCTCGCTGCAATTGGTGTGCCTGCCGAGGAGACGTTGGAGGAAAAGGCAGCATATAGAAGACCTACCAAGGGCCTTGAGATCGTGTTTGAGGTGGATGATCTTGAAGCCGAACGGGATCGAATCGTGGCACATGGATACAAATTGGATGCGGACATTGCCAAACAGGAATGGGGCTTGACTGACTTCAGAGTGGTCGATCCTGATGGCTACTGTAAGTGCCTGTTTCCACGGCAGCACCCTTGGCCTGGGCTTCCGTCGACCTCGTGATCTGCAGGAACTGACGCAGGACCAGACCTAAGGTTTACAACTCACAGTCCGGGAAGAGATTCGACTGGGTAATCTTGCAGATGGGTCGAGGACGCAGCCGAGAGCCGGAACGTGTCATGATGGTGTGCTGCCTCACTGCCAACTATCGTTGTCCCTTGGATTTTGTGCACAGCACAAATACGATCCGGTGAAAGTCGGGATTTGCGGACTCACCAGTAATGCTGAGGCCATGATTGCAGGCTGTGACGCATGCTGCTCCTGTTCCATCGACTCCTGATGCAGTGCTGATGCACGTTCCGGTTCCTTGAGGTAGCACGACGAGCATGCCGAGACTGGCGGGTTCACGCGGTTCATTGAACCAATTCTGAGGCACATGTCAAACATGGTTTTGCTTAACGCGTGCAAATGACGTCGACTGTGGCGTAAGAAGAACTCCCGGGCTGAGGTGAGAGTGGCTGCAAACAGGATTTGCGTCCTTTGCAAGCATCATCTGGAACAATTGACAGTCGACAAAGAAGCGAAGAAGCAGAGAACACCTGGCGCCACTGGGGCTGAACCAGCTGTGGCAGCAGTCATCCTAATTGGTCTGATTGGCCGGAAGTAGAATGCGGAGAGCGCGAGCGCTCTTGTAGTTTAGCGTAATGACGTACTTCGCTGAACCGGAAGTCGACCCGTCGTCATGAACGCCTTTTCTGGTTGCTGAGGCACGGTCGAAAAGTGGCAGTGACCACCTGACCACCTGGGGCACCTGACGACAAATGACGACACAGCAGTCCACCAGGCAACCGCGGGGCAGCTTCCATTGAACGCGTGAAGTTTCGCAGAGGGGCAGGAGCGGCTGTAGAATAATTATAAGTACTCTCTTCCTCGTTGAACTTTTTCGTCTCTCATACCACTATCCACGAACCAATCCAAAGAACTTGAACACTTTCCAAACCAAACCAAACCAAATCACAAACTTCAATCACAATGGAGACCGTCAAGAACGCCGCCAACTACGTCGGTGACAAGGTCAACGAGGTATGTCTCATCGTCGTTGATCACATCATCCTCAGACACTAATGTTACTTCAGGCCACTGCCACTGCCTCCAAGGAGACCAACAAGGAGGTCGCCAAGGACTCCAACGCTGATATCTCTACCCGTGCCACAGCGGCCAAGGATGCTGTTGGTGACAAGTTCACCGAGAGCAAGAACTCCGTATGTTAACCCAATGTATCAAAGAGTCTAGCGGCAACTAACCCAATCGACAGGCATCTGCTGAGGGCAACAAGCAGGCTGCGAAGCACTAGATAGCTTTTCGACACAATTCCGACTACACGACATCCAGCAACCTACGTTCCTAAGAATGTTCACCCATACCAAGTCGTCAATGGTCCAGTGTCAGGCGTTCACACAGACGGGAATTACGATATTCATGATACCACAACATAACTTATCCTAGAGGACCGGCTTCGACACTTTTGCTTCGCAATTGTCGTTCGGTACATCAGATATCAATAAGAAACTCTTGAAATCCCACTTGCTTTCGCGTAATAAATTCCTGCTCATAGATGGTTTTTTTGCTTCAGACCTCGGGAACGATGATTCTTGTCACGATCATCATGATTGCATGCGTAAACAGCATGATACTGTAAGAGTTCTCTAAGCTTCCAGCGCCTACTACACAACTGTTGCAGACAGCTTGGTGCATGCCCATTGCCCAACATGTGATGGCTGGTGTCTGATGACTCCTGGCTTACGGGTTATTAGGTACCCTAGGCTGCCGCTCACGTTTTCGTCGCGAACCTTTACCTCAGCAGACCGAGCCACAGTTTGCTCACATCATGGACAGTCGAGCTACAGAGGTGTCGGCAACTGCACATCGACACCCGAGGCTACACGGACGCAGTCACCAGCAGTCAATTGAACTTCATCAGGCCGAACGGGCCTAGGTTCATGCCAACGATCCAACGATGGCCAGCCAAAATCCTGTTCTTTATCTCGAAGACCGCCAGGACACACGCCTCCCCACGCGATCGAATGCCTGCTCTGGCAGCTCATAAAGTGAAAGGCGCACACAAGATCACATAACGATGAGTTCAGCTGGGTCTTGAGCACATTGCCAGCTGTATTGATGATCGTCATAGCTGTCCAAGACGTTGGTCTGCGAAGAGCCCAATCGCGAGATGCTCCGGGCGAGAGTCCTCAGGAGCACAATTTTCCGAGGCAAGCAACCATTTAGGAAATGCTTCCATCATCTCCTCCTTAGCTTCTCTGCTCGTAGGTGGGCATATGGGCACTTCAGTCCGACATCAATAATATTGCAGAGACTCGTGTTTTATGCAGCGAGTAGGAGGCATTGACACCTCCCCGAAGAAAGACTCACGGACATCGTCGATGTTGATCGGACCACGCCTGCGTCCTGCATCTGCTGCATCTACTGCAGTGCGTTATTGCCGGAACTTTACAAACTCTCCTCGCTCGTTTGTCGCAGGCGAACACGCTCTACCCTGTAGGGGTTTAGCCGCCTGCAAGTCAGCAAAGGCACAGGCCTCGGACCCCTGGTCTAGAATTCTAATGCCCGAGACCACCTCTGTTCTTCACCACACACAAGACCGAATCTTCGCCGCCAATGACTACCTGTAGGCTCTGATTGAGCGTTGGTAAACGTGGTTGACTTTCGGTAAGGCTGGCTCCAGGACTACCATGAAGGCGCCACATCGGTATCGTATGAGATGGTCGTCGCTAGTGCATTCAACTGACGTGCAGATCCTACGCGCCTTGGTAGTGCGGAGAGGATGGTTTCCCCAGAACTGGGCATTTCGACAGGACGAGATGGACGTCAGAATATGCGCTGGACCACTTTCTACACGATGCGTCTTCCACTTCGTACGCTGGACTGACTTCCACGCCCAACGAAGCAGCATGAGAACTCGGAAGTGTCAAAATTGCAAATGCAAGCCCCTCTGACAGCCCGTGTCCACATGTCATCAACGCCCAAAAAGTCTACCAATCCTCTGGAAAAAGGTTTGAGACCCGCCTCGACAATTCGACGAGCGTCGTGAAAACATCCCAGCCCAGATCTTGCATCTGGGAGGATCCCTTGCGCAGATCTTATATGCATCGCAGGCGCCGTGAGCGATGCGTCCTCGCTGCTCTCGCTTCCCAAGAAGCGTCGCCTGGCGATCGCCATGAGGTTGCACTGGATTCTGGGGTTGGTATACTCAGCCTTAGCGAATGCGCAAATTGAACAGTTCATCGGCCAGTTGCCGTCTTGTGCTGTGAGTTGATACATACACCGCTCAACTGAGGGACATGACTTGGCTGACCACATCTGCTAGTTGACATGCATTACCACAGCCTTGCCGATATCCAATTGCTCCATCACAGACCTCACTTGTATATGCGCGTCGCGACCGCTCTGGGACGCCTCAGAGAAGTGTGTCGAAACATCATGTCCCGTCCGCGAAGGCCTCAGTATGCTACATTTTCGATGTCTCCAGCGTGTCTATCAAATGAGTTCAGGATGCTGACATTCTTCAGCCGCCCAAAAGGTAGCTGCATCAGCATGCGACCGGCCTGTCCGTGACCGTGGCCTTACGATCGCCATCGTCGGTCCGACTCTAATGACCATCTCGCTGATCTTCGTGATCGCCCGCCTTTCCGTTCGGCGACCATGGCCCTGGTCCAACAAGCTGTTCGGCTACGACGATGCCTTCATTGTCGCCGCCTGGATCGCCGGTATGCCAGTCACTGTTTTCGATGGGTTCTACTACGAATACGGCATTGGACAGGACATCTGGATGGTGCCCTTCAACCACATCACCTTACTCCTCAAGTACTTCTGGGCGGGCGAAATCAGCTACCTCGCTTCAACAGTGCTGGTCAAGATCTCCTTGCTGCTATTCTTCCTCAGGATCTTTCCAAATTACCACTTCAAGATACTTTGCAAAGTCATGATCGGCGTCGTCTCCGCCTTCGGCATCGCGTTCTTCTTCGCACTCACCTTCCAATGCAGCCCCGTCAACTACGCCTGGCTGCGCTGGGATGATCCGCAGGGCAAGAACGGCTCGTGCGTCGACGTCTACATCGGCGGGTACATGCACGCAGCCCTCAACATGGCGTTGGACGTCATAATCCTAATCATGCCGATGCCACTTCTCTACAAACTACAGTTCGGCTACTCAACCCGCCAGAAATCGCACGCCTTCATCATGTTCTCCTTCGGCCTCATCGCTACCGTCGTCAGCATCCTGCGCTTGCAGTCCCTGCTACAGTTCGGCAAATCCCACAATCCAACATGGGACTACTGGGCCGCCGCGATCTGGTCACCCGCGGAGATGAACGCTTCCATCATCTGTGCGTGTCTGCCGGCTGCGAAGGTTGCGTTGGCGAAGATCGTGCCCGGATGGATGGTGTCGATCATCTCGTCGACGAAGGATCGCAGTGGGGCGGATGGTCAGAATCGCAGGCCGAGTGGGAATATCGGCGGTGTTGCGAGTCCGAGGGGAGGGAGTGGGAGTGTAAATGGGAAGGCGACCGTGTGGTCGTCGACGACGGCGGATGGTGGCAGCACGCCGGCGGAGCGGCTTTCGCGGATCAAGTCTTCGAGCTCGTCGTCGGCGCCGTTTGGGACGGTGAGTATTACGAGTATGATGAGGGGTGATGAGAGTTCGGGGTTTACGGATTTGGTGGATCTGGAGGATACGAGGCGGTGTGAGGTTGGTGCCGCTGTTTGAGAGAGGTCGTGACGACGTTATAAGAGTTGGAGAGGAACCTTTTCGGGATGCCTTCTGATGGCATTGGCTTACCTACTTGGGTGGGACATTAGATGTTTGCTGCTGCACAGCACGGGCGCGAGCCTTGACGAATTAATGATTTTTCCAAACTGTGTCTGCAGAATGCATGTCCCTCAGGCCCTGGTAGTTGTGGTCGACCTGAAGCCCACGTCCTGCGAGTCGATGAATGTTGGCAGTCCGCCGTTCAGTTCTCCCGTCTTCGACCTGTTGATACCACATCAATGCTCATGCAACCGCAAAGCTGCCCGTCACAGGCGACCGAAGAGGGCGCAAAGATGGTCGGTCTCAAAGGGTACTCAGACTTCAGTCATGCATGTGATCGTATGCTGCGATGGAAACGTATGAGCGAGTGAGTGGAGTAGGTGAAGGCGATGTAAAGTGAAGCAGAGCGAATCCTGAGCCAATTGGTCTGTCCGGTCGAGGGTCGCTTTCGACAGAAAGCAAAAAGTCGTTGCAACACCAATCCCCGGATTCAAACTAGTACCGCACTCATCGCCACATCGCAAACCCATCTCCTAACACTATTAGCAACTTGCCAGTGCAAAAAGCAATAATGTTGGGGGGTCCACGACTTACCGCGTGAACCCCCCGGGACCTCACTGAGTACTCTCAGAAATTTTTCGTTTTAAATTTTAGGGGAGCGACCCCGATGTACTTGCAAGCACTTTAGTTCTTAAAGCACCATACCCTTCTTTTCGGGGCAGGTTACGACGCAAATTTGGGAGCTTTCAGATATAAAGAGTGTTATCGTGCCGGGGGATTGCGGAAGGCAAGTGACGAGTGAGGGTAGGCTTAGGCGGTGGTCAGGTCGTTGTCAGGGGGAGGTGAGGGGAGGTGAGGTTGGGGGTGACAGGAATTTGGTGTGAACATGCGGTTTCATTGTGCATATCCACTGAGTCCTAAGAGTTCTTCCGGTTCCACGCAACGCAATCCTCGAACTTGGCTCCAGATCCGCCAAAGACGTCCAGAGCACTACCGATCGTCAAGTCGACGCGGCCTTTGCTGAGATCCTTCACCAGGTCGAGATCCTCTACGGTCCGAGCGCCGCCAGCGTAAGTCACAGGAATCGAGCACCATTCCGAAAGTCGTTGGACCAGGTCGACGTCGATCCCTTGTTGCAGCCCCTCATTGTCGGCTGCGTGGATCAAGAATTCGGAGCAGAATGGCTCGAGGAGTTTGATTGTTTCTGGGCACGGCTAGTCAGGATACATGGCGGATTGATGACGGCTTTGCAGTGGACAGACCTTGAGTGATCTCCATCTCCGTGATGGTCTGCCATTTGTTCATAGCTACGAACCAAGTACTGCCGCTCCTTCGACAGCTGAGGTCGATGACCAGCTTGGCCTTATCGCCACCGAGGGCAGTGAGCACGGCTTCTAGTCGCTCCATAGAGAATTTGCCTTCGGGAAAGAGATATGATGTTATGATGACCTACTGCGGCGCTGATCAGCTTCCGTTCTTCCAGACTCTCACGCCCGCCAGAGACTGCATCAGCAGCAGCACTAGCTATCCAAAGACTCACCCGTTCCGCTCCCGCCTCGATCCATTCCTTTGCATTCTTCTCATTGATCCCACCACCCACCTGCAGCTTCCCCGGCCACGCGGCCAACGCTTCCCGGGCAGCTTTCTCATTGCGCGGTCCAAGCAGAATCACATGTGCGCCTTCAAGATTGGCCTTGCGGTACAGGTTGGCGTAGTGAGCGGCGGCATGCTCGGAGACGAAATTTGTCTTCAGATCTGCCTCTACCGTGGACAGCGTGCCGCCAACGATCTGCTTGACTTGACCGGAGTGCAGGTCGATGCATGGGCGGAAGCGCGTCATTATTGAGGTCTGGCCATGCGATGCTGTCTGATGGCAGGGACAATGATCCTAGTTCGAGAAGAGATGAGGTGAGTGAAAGGTTCTGTCGGATGCACGCTAAACTATTCCTGGGTATGGCTTGGCGCCGATGAGGTTTCTTGTCGATCACCCTCCAATGAATTCTGGAGATCATCATTTATTGCGATATTCTTCGCGAAACAGCAAACATGATTGGCAAGCGAAAACGCGAAGCAGTAGTCATTAGGCGGACAAGTCGGTCAGATGAGCTTGAGCAGACGAATGGCGGCCAAGATGTTCTTCGGAAGCATTTCGAGTCGATGTTCGAGCCAATATCGCAAATTGAGTTTGGCCCAATTCCTGCCCCAGACGAAGAGGACAGTGCCGAGGACTCGTCAGATGCGCTCTCGGATTGGAGTGGATTGTCAGACGACGATGATGAGGATCAGCACAAGCCGGTCGTGCAAGTCGTCGAACACACGACCCAGTCCGATTACAGCCCAGCAGAAAAACCTGATGCAGGTGGCGAATTCAAGTCCTTCATGGTATGTGAGCAACGTTTCTTCGGCGTGCCCGCGAGCACGGTCACATGAGCTGATCCAATCCCTGACAGAGTTCAAAGCCGCCCAGAGAAGCTGCACGGGCTACAAAGGCAAATCATGGTGATGACTCCTCCGAAGACGAGAAATCTGAAACGCTTAACCTGAAACACGACCTCGATCTACAGCGCCTCCTGAGCGAGTCTCATCTGCTCGAAAACGGCAAAGCCAGGCAGTCTTCGGCATCGACAAAGGAACTACTAAGCGGCACGCAGCGTCACAAGGCGACTGATCTGCGGATCCAGAGCCTTTTGGGCGGCTCGAGCGGGAGCAAGGGCTCTTCGTTGTTCGAGCAGGGGCAGATGCCGATGTCGCATAGGAAGGGCATTAGGGAGAAGGCGGGTATGAGGGAGGGCGTGAGGCGCAGGGAAGCAAAGGAAAACGGAATCATTTTGGAGAAGAAGCAGAGCGGACGTTTGGGAGGGGCAGGGCAGATGTCGTCGTCATCGGGGAAGAAACGGGCACGTGGCGTTGATGCCCCATCGTTAGGCAAATTTCGAGGTGGAACGCTGCAGCTGAGCAAGAAGGACATCGCCGGTCTGCAGGGTCCGACTACGAGGGGGCGGCAGCGGCCTGTGCGTCGGCGCTGAGGCTAGCCGCCGTTGTGAGGGGAGTATGATGACAGATGTCGCAACATACTGGACAGTTCTGGACATCATAAGCCTTGTCGGCAGGCATGGTAATCCTGCTCGAGATGTCATCTGTGTCCGGAAGGCGTACGAAATGCACTCATCAGCTTCGAGAGTGGAGCTAGAAGTCTTCGAGAAGAAATTGTCATCTCGACACCGTTCGTGTTTCGGACGTATCTTCGGCAGGTCCAACAGCCGTGTGTCCCTGCATGACAACATGGATTCAACATATCGAGAATGAACGGTAACGCAGCGTGCATGTTGGACGTCAGCATGATACGGACCCATCATCCCACCATGTTGGATGGACTGAGTACAGAGCTGGGCAATGGTGCGCAGGTGATCCACCCATCGGGGAATTCCAACGGGTGAACGACAACGTCGACAGCAAGTGTATCAGATCTGCCCTGAGCCTCTCTAGCCCACTGTTCATGTGTCTGCACCGCACAGAGACTTTGACTGGTGAGGCTTCACGCAACACTCGACGTTGCCGTACCATCCACAGTCAGGATGAGGTGGCCAGGTTTAGTCTGAATGCTCGCCGAACAATCTGGACATGCAAATCGCTTCGGAGGGGACCTCGTTGCACCGTCTTATCGGACAGCGCGGTACGGACGGCGGAGCTGTGGTCGTGATAAGCTAGCCAAGGTTGAATTCCCCTTCTGGTTGTGGTAGACGAAGCTCGGACCCACGGCTATGACAACGATGCGTCGTACGAAGCACAAGAAGTGCATCGTTTCATCCGCTCTAATCGAGAAGAGCGATGACTATGACATCGTGTCCGATATAAGCGAGTCCAAAGATGTATACTCGCTTCTCGTGGGAAGCAAGCGGCTCTGCTAGGTTAGCTAGTATGGTTGTTAGCACTCCCGCATTCGCCTGGATATCTGAGACAGGACCATGTCGGTTCCTCTGAACAGAGCTCGGCATAGCTCCAAAATGGTGCATAGGGAAATTGGAGGAGGAAAACCTGCGAGCGGCTGGCGTACTGTGCTACGGGCGAGAATATGGGTGGAATTGTGATAGCAACGATGGGGTCTGGCAGAAAGGTCCAGGCGCAGCGGTAGCAGCACCGATAGCAAGGAACGATTGCGTTCGACCTTGTCGAGCGTTTGAGAAATGCTGTTGAGGTATCCTGACGCCAAGCGATCATCGACTGCAAATCCGGGGATGACCTAGGCGCGGCAGCTGATGCGAAATTTAGCAGTGGAAAGCCTTCGCTGTTGCATGCTCATCTGGGTGCAATGACATGCCATCGCTCAGAGGCCGGCATTGCGGGCGAAGCGGCCTCAGCGATATGGTCATGTGGCTTTCGTGTCGTGCTTGCGAAGCTCGTGCATGAATTGGTGATGGCCGAAATGGTCCGTGGTCATATTCCAGACCAACTACTGCAGGTACCGCCCGCGTACCTGCATAAGGTACAATTTGGCAGTATTCGGAATAATGTGCATAGTCAACTGCGAGCAAAGCGAGAACTTGCAAGCGAGCCTGCGGAAAAGAAGTGAACGAGGTTGGCTAATGATGCTACAGCGGGGCTCGTGGCTGCGCTGCTGGACGAGGCGACTCGGACGAGCCATTCTGAAACGCAGCAAAGTAGTCAGCGTGGAGCTAAGTCAGAGGCGCAAAGACATTTATGCGGCCTTTGCCAAGTGGTGAGTGAGGTCGAGCGTCGGCAACTTGGTATCAGTAGATGGTCGCCGTAACGTGCGATGCGCATCGGCGCAGATGACGCAGATTCTGCTGTTGCTTACCCTCACATCGTTCTTGCCTGTAAACATGGCATTGCAAGACAGTAGGAAGTGTCTCCTGAAGTCCTGATAAGCGTTGTACACGAGGCAAGTGCGATCCTGAGCTCGAGGAGCAGTCAAGGTTCAGAAACATTCAGTCCGTGACAACCACTGTCATCACTTTTGCTATCACAATTGAGTCCACAGGGCAACCCCAGCCGCATACATGCCTCGAAAAGGCATCATCTCCGTTGGTCTAGAAGGCGACCAGGATGTTGTTCAGTCAATTCAAGCTTATTTCTCCTGAGCCCCCATTACCGAAGAACTAAGATATCGACGCCTTACCGTTCTGCATACCATCAAATATGGTTCTTGACAGACGCGAAATTTGTGGACGCGGCTGCACTACGGCAATTGTCTGCAAAGGTGATGACTTGCTTGTGAGCCGAGCAGCGTTGTTCTGCAGAGCGACTGGTTCTCAGGGCAGCGAAGTCTCTGCATGAGATATGCAAGCAACGATGACCACTGCAGCCACGCCGCCTCTGAAGAGGCAGTAATCGTGCAGCTCTCGAAAAGCCAACGCGCTTCGGTAAACCTAAGGTATTTCTCGCGTAAGGTGGCCGAGGAAATAGTATCGCACCTGATTGGGCTGTACTCGAAAAGTGTGCACTCTTCTCACAGAAGATCCCTGCGAGATATAGGGGTTTTAGTGACGGGTATTTCTCTTGCGCAAAATGAAGATCCATCGGTCACTACTCAGGATCAGCAGCTCCAACGATAAACTTCTCCGAGCCTGGTTCCAGCAGTCTGTCGAGAGACGGCCCCCGCGTCTCGCTGTGATGAACACAACAGAGCCGCCGGAAAGCAGTGGGCAGTCTAGAGAATGTCAAGATCATATTCGGTTGGCTGTGAATGCTTCCTCGGCCGTCTCTGTGCGCGCGGTATGTATACAGTACCCGAACGGCAGGCGGTTAATTTCCACCTGTGAGAATGACCACCATCTGACACACCAAGAAATTTTCTCTGGGCGAGCTTTGGCGGTTGTTTTGAAAGAGTTTGAGATCTTGGATGGCCGTCATTGGCTGTGATGGAGAAGCGGGCCATCAGCACTCCCGAGGGTTCTGTTTCAGATTTCTTCGATGTCGGTTCTAGCTTGTTGTTTGAGAGGTGCGATTGACAGGGAAGGTGATGAGCGAGTCGCTTTTCATGGATTTGTGTGGATGTGAAAATAGAACACGTCAGGGTTGCGAAGTATGCGCATTCCCATTACCTCGATCCATGGAAAGGTACTCTACAGGCCAAACATTGGCAGTCTTCCTTCGATCTGTTCGCCTATTGAACGGGCGATCGAGCGTTCTATAGGGGCCACAGCCCATGCATTGGCCCTCAAGCGCTGATAGAATGTAGCAATAGCACCTGAACGGCGGATGTATGGTCAAGAGACATCAGGAGCGAGAGTATGTCGACATCCGCCAGATGTATGTCTTTCGGTCCGAGTCAACCAGGCAGCTTCCATGGTTTCGCTGTGATTGATTTGATTGAGCTCGTCACCTTTATCATCGTACAGATGAGCTAGCCAACCTCTCCAGTAAAGCAATGGATCCGAACCCGAGCAATAGTAAGCGTCGGTTCGAGACGCAACCCTACCACTACACGCAGTACGGGGATGACAATGAGGTACCAAGCGGTCGAACAAGGTCCGCTGGCTTGTGCGGTGAGCGACGGTGATCGGATTTCCGTGACAGTGCTCCGTGATCTCGAGGTTGCCGTCGACGTAGGCAGGAAAGGGACAGAATAAGCACATGGGCGGCAGTTTCAGCGAGAAGCCCTGGACCAACGCTTGACCATGTTTGTGGATCTGTAACACTGCGACTAAGACCTGTAGGGGGCATAGTGAGCTGGATCCCAGGCGCTAGAGTTGGTCCAAAGAGAGCCGCCGGCAGCGCTGTGGATGCGTGGGTGCATTATGCACCAAACAGAAGAGTCAGCGGTCCCCTGGCCGGGCTTGTTCGCTTGGAAAGAGCATGCTAACAGTGCCAGTGCCAGCAAGTACGCAGTAGCCACCGCAGTAGTCGGATAGGCGATTTTGTTAGGTATGCTCGTCCGCAGTAGCATCCCGTACTGCTGCCCACCACTACTACATACTCGCTCCCTTCCCCAGCAGCCATGTTTCAGCTTCTCTCTCTTCACATCGATCTTCTCTCCCCAACATCAGCCCTCTAGTCCCCTCCTCCTCGCCGTCTCCATATTACCTTCTGCCGCCAACTTTTGCATTTGTGCAGCTTTGTCCTCTGCCCTTGCGTAGAGCTTGAAGCCTGTCCACCTTCCCTTCGTCCCTTGCTTCTCTCGCTGTGCCGAGAAAGAGAACAATAGAGGACATAGAAGAGCCCAGCTGCTCTTCCTCTCCACCCTCGTTTCACCTGCACTCGCTTCAGGTATTTGAGACAGGAGCTTCACCGCGTCTGGCAACGTTGTGAGAGCCGGCTTCTCGCACCAAAATACTCGGTTTACATCATTGATAACATTCGCTCGAACCAGACCAAGGCCGTGCCAAAGTCACCTATACCCGCTACAATACACTACGAGCTGCTGGTCTGCACGAACCTCAATCTCCCACCCATCGATCTGCGATTGATAGAGCGTCAAGAACCCAGTCTCATGAGATTTGGCAAGTGAAGAGAGCAGTCACAGCACCCCCGACGAAGAGAGTATCTCGAACGTCGCATCGAGGACCCCGGGCCCTCGCCTACTCCTACACAACATGTTCCCCTCCAGCGGAGCTCCCATGGCGCAACCACAGAAGCCAGAGACATTCATGCTCTCGAACGAAGCTCAACAGAGCCTGCCTCAAGATGCTCAAGTCGCCCTGCAGCAGGTTGACAACCTCAAGTATTTCCTCATATCCGCCCCAGTCGACTGGTCGCCCGAGTCGCTCATCAGACGGTTTCTCCTACCAACAGGAGAATACGTCTCGTGCGTGCTATGGAGCAATCTCTTTCACATATCCGGCACCGACATCGTGAGATGTCTGTCCTTCCGATTCCAGGCTTTCGGCCGCCCCGTCAAGAACCCAAAGAAGTTCGAAGAAGGCATTTTCTCGGACCTCAGGAACCTCAAGTCGGGGACCGATGCCTCCCTCGAAGAACCCAAAAGTCCTTTTCTCGATTTCCTGTACAAGAACAACTGCATTCGCACACAGAAGAAGCAGAAAGTATTCTATTGGTATTCCGTACCTCATGACCGGCTGTTCCTGGATGCATTGGAGCGTGATCTCAAGCGCGAGAAGATGAATCAGGAAGCCACCACGAAAGCTGTCGCCGAGCCAGCTCTCTCGTTCGAATTTGATTCGTCGCAGTCTCTGTTCGAGCAGCTCACAAAGGCTCAGCAAGCTAGCTCTTCCTCTTTTGCTACTGCGAACGCAGGCGCAGGCGCTGCAGCCTACTCTCAGTCAACATCACCAGTCATGCGTGCTGCGGACTCCATGCCACCCCCGAATATGCTGCCTCAGCAGATGCCTCGATCCATGGATCAGCCACCTCAGCCAATGTACACGCATGCTCCAATGCCGGCTCCGATCCAGACTAATGTACCACCGATGATGGCCCGTCAACCAGATTATTCTGATATGGGCTCATACGACCGTACACACATGCGACATGCCTCAATGCCGGCATACATGGAATATTCGCCTGCGCCGTCATTTGTATCTTCCCATTTCGAGGACTACAGCCACAGGGGCATGTCCTACGAACCCATTACCCCTCCTCAGCATGCCGGTCCTATGGGCGAGCCAGCCTACATTGCCAATGAGGACACTGGCTTGTATTCTGCCATTCCTGAGATGCAGCCGATGGCAAACTACAACCCGATGGCTTCCCTGCCTCCCACATCCATGGCGGGGCCTGCACCGGCATATGCGAACAGCCCTCGTCCATTCGCACCATCGAACGTCTACTCGGTCATTGAAGGCTCGCCCACCTACAAGGCGCGAAGAAGGCGGTCTTCAATTCCTTCGTCAATCATGAACGCAGTTGCTGCAAATGCAGTCGCTCAGGTAACACAAATGAAGCAGCACATGCCTGCTAGACCAAGTGATCTTCGTCGGTCAATGTCGAGCTCTGTTCTGCCAATCGCTGAAGGTGACGAGTCGCAAGCTCAATCGCCACCGGGATTGACACACAGCTACCCATCTTCGATCATTCATCGCGAACACAATCACCACGATTTCTCGCGCCACACCACCCCACTTGCCAGCCTCGAGGAAGATCCCCAGCAGAGCAGCATGAGTGCGGGCACCGAGAGCTTTCCCAGCTTCAATGAGGAAACGTTGTCGTACACTCCTGGTAGCGCCGCAGTGCGCATGGAGCGACCTGGTCCGGTGCGAAGAGCCCGCAGTGCAACGATGATGGAGCTTGGCATGCCTTACAAATCGCACTCTTGCCCGATTCCAAGCTGTGGGCGCCTGTTCAAGCGTTTGGAGCATCTCAAGAGGTACGTCGTTCTTTTCCCGCCCTTGACACAATCCCTTTGTTCATGCAGTATACGTGGGCACCGAAGCAAGGGCAACTGTGGATCAAATTGTGTGGCGTTCAGTTTTGCTGACCATTAAACTTTTAGACACGTTCGTACCCACACTCAGGAACGCCCTTATGTTTGTCGGTACTGCAACAAGGCCTTTTCGCGGTCCGACAACCTCGCACAGTAGGTCTATCATCTTACTTCTTCGGTTGCAATGACTAATAAGTGCAGGCATCGCAGGACACATGAGACAAATCAAGATGGTCAGCCCATCAATCCTACATCCGAAGAGGATGACATGGACAATGAAGAGAATGAGTTTGGCTCGCTCGAAGATGACCTGTCATCACCCGAGGAGATGCGCGCACCAGAGGGATTGATCCCACCAATGACTTCCTCCATGCCACCGCCATCAAGCCTGATCATGCAGCCGATGAGCCATTCGATGGTCGCTCCCAGTCAGCTGGTGCAACCACAGATGTTGCAGCATACCATCTAGGCCAATTTATCGGCCATTTATTTTTGAGCACAGCATGTTGCGAGCATACCGGCGTTATCGAATGAGGATGCCATTTGGCACCATCGACTTAGCAAGCAAGCAAACCATTAGCGTTGACGACCTTACATTCCTTTGGACACATTTACTGAGACGGCACGTCCTTTCACCAGCATCAATGTGATGCCACGAGACATCATGCAGCACTTTCCCGCATTTCCGATTTTCCGGCATCGTTGTCGACTTTTGGCAAGACAAAAGCGTTGGAAAGAATCCGGAGACTAGCAGAAATAGGCAATCGAGTCATCGAACTCAGCGAGCAATGTTGGACGCCAACAGAAAAGAACGGAATGACGATACAGATGAAGATGAGCGAAGTCATTAATGAGCTGCGGCGACCTTCAGAGGCGATCGTGCTCTGCTGTACTTGTATATATATTCTCTTTGTGTTGAAAGGCTGGCTTCGTATGTTTACAGGGGCGATAATGTACGGAGCAGCATCGGACAAGGCCATCTGCAACCAGATCAGAAGAGGTCAGAAATCAGATCTTGAAACCATCTGAATCGTGCTCTGGTCTTCCATATGGTGACGTTCGACATCTACGTGACATACTGTGTCGACTGACATTGACAAAACCTCTGCCTTGACGAGCTTCGGTCTACCACGGACAGAGTAAAATGCAAACGTCTACCACAAGGCGCGAGTGTGTCACAGCTGCCTCATAAGACTGCATATATATAGCCGGCAGGAACGCCAAGCTCGCATGCTCCCCGACTTCGCTCACTTACTTACATAGGTACTTGCAAACCTCTTCCATGTCTCAACGCCACACGTCGCATATACATATCAACTAGATCCGATCTTATGCACAAGACCCACGTCTCATACTTGCCTCCGATCCATGGTCAACTCTCAATCGTCCGCGTCAGTCTGACAAGCCCGTTGCATGCCTGTTCAATTGATCGCCTACGGAGGCCTAGCGGACCAGGGCTTGAGAAGTTGGAATTTATTCCCACCGCATCATGTCGCCTTATCCGCCGCAGCGCCTCATCATCCTGCATCTGAGGACTTTCGTTCCGTCTCAGCACTGATCATCTGCCGGTAAGTTATGGGCCCCGACCACCATTTTCGTTGCCTTGTTCTCGTACCTTGGCATTATGGACGCCTGAAGCGAATGGGCGAACATAGAAGGACAAGTATTCGGACATCATACGTCGCTGTGTCAGCACATCTAGATGCGGAGGTTCGAAGTCTGCCGCTTGCCCTCCCAGGCCTCAAACTGCCGACATGGGAATTCCTGGGCTAACGGCCGCTGATGTGGTGCGGAATTCAGGACACCCAAAAGGAACATTGTAAGCTTACGGACCGGACCTCAAAAGATCCCTTATCCCCACATGTTTCTATCTGGGTATTGTGGAGGTATGCTGAATTGTTTACTGATGCACGCCACAGCCACTACTGTTCCCTGCTCGCTCTTCGCTTCCATGCAGTGACCATCCGACTTGAGTATAGCTACCTAGCTGACATGAACCGTGGAGTGGTCTCGGAATAATGGCGCAATTCGTGTTGCGTTCTCCCAGAGACAACCGCTGCCAAAAGGAGGACACAGGGGTCGAGAACAGTACTGTGGCTGCTCAGCTGTGTCGCTTCGCTACTGTACTAACATATTATTTGCCCTTTCAGTAATCACGAACACTGTGTCAGATCCATCCTGGACCATGATCTTCGCGGTCTCTGCCCTCGAAAGGTGTGAGGCACTGTTCTGATCTCAGAGTGAGCCTACCCGAGAACCATGAACGCCTACAGACCAGACGGGCAGGGAGGGTTGGGGTCTGTCAGCTATTTTCATCGTTCAGTAACAGTGCTCCGGCGTGGTCCCCAACCCAGATGGATTTGGAGCCAGTGCTCTGTGTCAGCGGTGGTCAGAGAGGGCGCCTAGGAGCACAGCTCAGCTAGGCTCATGTCAGAGAGCGATGCGGCTGTGCGAGTTTGGAACAGCTACTTAAGCACTCAGAGCAGGTCCCTGACTGATACATTGACTATTCAGCCCGCATTCTAACACCTGCGCTGTTGACACGACAGAGACATTCCAACGGTCCCAGATATGGCTACACGATCAAAAAGTCCTTTGCCGCCAACCAGTGGTGGCCAGAATGGCATCTCGAAGCCTAAGACAATGAAAGCTACCTTCTGGAATGGCAGGCCTGGTCGCATGGAACTTCGGACTGTCTCAGTTCCTAAGTTGCAACAAGAGACCGATTGCATCGTTCGCTTGACTACAGCGGCAATCTGTGGCACCGATCTACACATCCTCCATGGCGTCTTTGGAAGCGCTAAGCTACCGCAGGCCGTTGGGCATGAGGGCGTGGGCATCGTCACCGAGATCGGTGACGGTGTAGAGACGGTCAAAGTCGGCGATCGTGTCATCATACAGGACTTCGCGGACGACGGACACGCCAGCCCGAATGCGCTGGACTTCCAGCAGGCCTACTTCGGGCTCGGAGAACAATTGGGCGATTTGCCAGGACTTCAAGGTACGCCCAGATACTCGTGTCGAGACGTCTTTCGTCTAAGAACTAACATCTATCGTTAAGCTGAATTTGCGCGGGTTCCGTTCGCAGACGACACTCTGATCATACTGCCCCCGGGCTCCAATGCTCTCACCGATCTCGACTTTGTGCTTCTGTCCGATATCTTTTCCACCGCATGGGGAAGCCTATCACTCTCCGGCTTCAAACCCGGCGACATTGTTGCAATCTTTGGCGCCGGGCCTGTCGGGCTCCTCGTCGCCTACTCGGCCTTCCTTCGCGGCGCCGCCAAGATTTACATCGTTGACCACGTCCAAGCCCGTCTCGACAAGGCCCAGACTATCGGCAGCAACGTGTTCCCCATCGACCTCACCTTCACAAATCCGAAGAAGGGCATCCGCGGCCCCGCCGACCAAATCAAACAGCACGAACCCTTGGGCGTCAACCGCGTAATTGACGCCATTGGCTTTGAGTGCGTCGACACGAACCTCAGACCGGACTCGAATTTCGTCCTGCGCGAAGCGCTCTCCGTTGCGGGATTCTTTGGCGGGATCTACCTGACTGGCGTCTATTTGTCGACACCCGCAGATAAGGCACAGCCGAGCGCGAACAAGATTGGGGATACACTGAAGCTTGACATGTTTACGTTTTGGGGCAAAAACTTGACGTTGAGTGGTGGAGGGATCGTTCCTAGCGAATGGATTCCGGAGATTCTGCCATTGATCTTGAGTGGAAGGGCGAAGCCGAGTTTCGTATTTTCGGCCGAGATTGGTATGTTCACTCTCCTGGCTGCGTCGCGGCGTCTCATTTGCAGAGCCTGCTTGATCTTGCTAACATGTGACCTTCATAGGCATTGAGGACGTCCAAGAAGGCTACGAGCGCTTCGATCAGCATCTGGAGACAAAGATCGCGATCAGATTCCCTTGGGAACTCGAGGAGAAGGAAAAGGGAGCGAAGGGCAAATTGACGAAGCAATCAAATGGGAGCAGCAGAAAGAGGAAGGCTGCAGCATCTGAGGAGAGCTCGGAGGAAGAAGTGCATGTTGTGCCTAGAAAAGGCCACGCTCTTGGGTACGTTCACATTCCACGTCCCAACCCCTTTGGGCGATCGATTCTGGAATCGAGGAAATATAGATTGCTAACTTGGGTCCATGTGCAGACAGCGAGGAGGTGGAAAGCGCAGACGGATGCATGGGAGGTTGCCGCACAGCCACTTGATGTTGACCGGCGCCTTTGGGGCGTTTGCGTAGCGTAGCGTGGCTTCGTCGGGGTTCCAGATAAAATGCATGGGCATGGCGGCAGAGAAGAAGATACTCTGTTCGCCGTAGTGAAAGGCGTCTGGCGGGGCTGATAGCGTGGATAACAGTCCCTAAGCAATACTAATGATCCAGAGAATTGAATGCGTCGGTTTCTGCTTGTTCTTCAAATGGGCTCTACCTATGCACTTGCATACCGCAGAACTCAGCGCATTAATGGACCAGACCAATTCTGACGGAACCAAGGTGTCATTCGTGCCGATTCGTTGCGATCGGAAGGATCAATGTGTGCATCTGGGATTATGTGAACGCCGGTTGACAAGCAGCGCCATGCGAGACCGGATGACCAGTCGTCTGGACGGCCATATCTATCGCCGGATGACAGTGTTGTAGTCAGACCGGTTGACATGTAAGTCGATCAGGGAAGGTGCCGTGGACTGCACCTGCCACTTATACTGCTGCTGGGCAGAAGGAGCGACCATTGAGTGGTTCCTGCCGTCGATGTTTATCTGCAGGACGAGAGAGGGAAGTCGCGGGCTGGAGCAAAAAGTCTAGTCATCCGGTCTTGCGTAGAGCACTGATCAGACCAGCTGACGAGACGTATTGGGAGATGTTGGCTGAAGACGTCTTCGCTCTTTGTGGAATTGGAAAGTGATACTTCGGTTGACGTGGAGGTCGGTCTCTGTGCGGACTAGGTGTCACTACCTGCTGGGGAAAGAGAGAGTAAGTTGCGTCGCTATGATGGAGGCACGGAGATCTTGTCAGCCGGTCTTGCCAGATATCTTCCCTGATAGAGGGGCGTCTGAATCACCGCGGATGTGGGCACGCCAACGAGAATGTGCCACGACTCTTCCATTTCCATGACTAGGATCAAGATGATCCTGCTCCAGCCCCATCCTCTGCATAGGTAGTGGTAATCCAATTTCGATTCTCTTCTCACACGGCAGCCATAGTCTGCATGCCTGATACTGTATACCTTACACAGGACGGCCAGCATTACATCTGCCATGCCTGAACCTGCCAATGCTGAGCCTTGCCCAAGTGTCCAGCTCGCTCCGCTTGTCCACACCGTACGCCCAAGAATTAGTATCGTTGGCCAAACAGAACGGCTTCCGACTACAATATGCTCTCAATCCGGTTATCGATTAGTCGCCAATCTCGAGCGGTTTCCCCTTCGTCCCCTCCTTTTCATTGCCCGAATCCGCCTTCCCATCATGATCATCCGAGCCAATCTCCGGACTGATCACGATCGTCGGCGTCGGCACATGACCAACAGCTTCGCTTGCCACACCCTCATCAACGTTCTCCAACGCACTTCCCGATGCTGTGGCAGGTGGGCTCTTTACACTCTCCGGGAACTCGCCCTGCAGCGGTGTCAAAATCCCACTCGCAGATGAGATACTCTGATTGTTCTGCTGTGTCCGCCTCCTCATACGTCTCGCTTTCCGCTCCTCTTCTGCGCCCTCTCGCCTCCGCCTCACGTCCAGTTGGAGATCAGCGTCATTGTCCGGCGTGGCGGATGCGCTCCGCATGGCTTTCAGAGCTTTGAGCGCGCGGTCGGCGACGTCTTCGCTTTCGCTGACATTGCCGTCTGCTGTGCCTGCGATTAGCTTTCGGGGGTTGGTGTCGTTGCCGTCAGCGGCCTCGTCGCCTTCGGCAATGGCAGAGGTGCTGTCTCCATCGTCGCCCTCCGATCGCGCAGTCGAGAGCCCCCGACTGGCCTCAAGATCATCCTTAATTTCCAGATCGGGCAGCTGTTGGCCGCTAGCTAGTCGTACCTGGTGGCGCTCCTTCAACCGTGCTCGTCGTCTGCGATCGCGCTGATCTTTGGCTTGTGGTCCGGCGGCGCGCAGCTTCTCAAGCAGAGAGTCCATTGCACCTGAGCCGGTTGGACTGGTGGGTGAGTCGGTGCCGCTGCCGTTAATTGAGGGGACATTTGCCGTTGCGGCCTTCTTCCGTGCAAGCGAGGCTTCGATGCGGCGCTTGTTGTCTTCCATTGTCACGTTCTTCTCTCTTGACTTCTTCCATTCCGTGACGAAGCCGGCCAGCTTAGCGAAGAAGTCGCGGCGTGCGTTCTCGTCAGAAGCGTCTTCGCCGAAGTAGGTCATGATGTCGTCGTAGACCCGGCTGGTCTCGTCGAGGTAGAGCGAAAGCTGTTCTGCTTTCCGCCTGGCCTCCTTCATCGAGCGCTGGACGACTTGTGCGACACGATCTTGTGGATGAAATTTCTTGGGGTCACTGAGGTTGCCGGCATCGAGCGAGGACTGGATGTTATTGATGTTGTCGATGTACTTCTTCGCATCTTGCCGCAGTTGGTCGACGTTGAGTTTGGCAATGCCGACGACACCGGAGATATCTTCGACGAAGCCCTCCCATTCGGAATATTGATTCCGGACGATACGTTCGATCAGGTCTGCAAAGGTGGATTCGTTCTTCTCGTCCTTGACCATGCCTAGGCGTGCGAGAGAGCTGAGCTTGAATCCAGATGCTTGCTTGTTGGAGTCGTTCATGTAATTTCCGATATCTAGAATCAACGCCAGGACGCTCATGAGCGATGTCGAGTCTCTGAGCGATTCTGACACGTTTACGACGTCTTTGAGCTTCTTCGATATTTCGTCATATTCAGGCTCGAAGCTTCTCGTCAAAGCTAAAGCGCGCATTCTGGCTTTCCAGTAATGATGTAGCTCGTAAGCAGTCTGAAGATAGATCTGATCTTCTCGCGTCAACTCTTCGGGATCCTGCTCTCGAGTGGAAGAAACGGCGTCAGGTCCCGTCCAGTCCTTGCTGTATGGCGCCATGAGCTTGGCGATATTCTCTGGAATAGTGCACTGGTCATCTCTCTGTAGAAAATCCATGACGACTGGGTTGTCGAGAATATCTCGGTCACAATGAATGATCTTCCGTATAATATCTTGTGCAGAATCGCTTTTGAATTTGGCAAGAGCCACATGGTAGTTCTTGCGCATATCGCTTGAGATGAGCTGCTTTTTGTCGTTCTTGCCTTTGCCAGCTGCAGCACCAATAATTTTGACGTCCTTCGCAGAGAAGAGCTTCTCCACTTCGTCGAGCACACCTTTGCGTTGCAGCTCCCGATACTTCTCTTCTTTGGCTTCCAGAGATGCAGCGTCTGCCCAGACCGTGACTTCTGGGCTGTCGACCTTGTCCCAGTGGAAAGCCTTGAGCTTCTTCTTGGAGCGCATCATTGGCAGCTTCATCATGGGCACAGCCGGCATCTGAACTTGCGGCAGGAAATGGCCATGTTGCTGCCCGGGCATAGGCGGTGCTCCAGGAACCGGTGGCGGTGGCGGTGGAGGCGGTGCCATTGAGCCAGGTGGCGGAGGTGGAGGAGGAGGTGGTGGAGGTGCAGCATTGCTGAAGCCCGCTATCAATGGTGTCCCTGGCATGCTTCCTGGAGGTAGTGGAGGAGGCGGCGGAGGTGGGCCATTAGCAAAGCCAGGCATGAGTGGTGCTTTGCCATCCTCTGATACATCATCGAGAGGTGTCTTCGGTGACTGAGACTCAAGGCTTGGATGTGTCGGACCGGTGGTGACCCCATCTCCATCTGCCTCATCGTCGCTAGCGTCTGTCCGCTTCACCTTGGACGCCAATTCGCCAAACAAGTTCGCTTGTTGCTTCTTGTCCATCTTCGGGCGGCTCATCTCCACTATCCGGGGCTTTTCGAAGACCATCTCAGCCTCCACGTCCTCGTCCTCTTCCTCCTGGACAGGAGGTCTTCCAGGTAGAGGCTTCCGTGATCTATGAGCATTGCTGCGATTGACGCTTCCCATCACGCTCTGTGTGAGCTGACCGCGAGTCCTCTCTTGGAAGTCTGCCTCATTTGGATTGTCGTCCATTTGCTCCCGTAGCTCGCGGAGACGCTCCGAAGGACCATTCTGACCCCACACCTTGCCTTCAAGCTTGAACTGAGTCTTAGTCCGTTCAAGATTGCGCTCGAGGCGCTCCATGAGCCTTTCACGGTCGAGAATACCTTGCATCTGAGCTGGATCCTGACCAGGCACGTTTGCGTTTTTGGCAGAAGAAGCAGCGACATCTTGGGCATCCTTCAGCATCAGATACAATTCCCTAGTCTCGAGCTCGTTCCGCTGGAGTTCAGCAGCCCGCAGTCTCTGCAGCTCGGAAATCTCAGACTTCATGGCCTCGGCTTGGCGTTTCTGCATCTCAATAATCTCCGTCTGCTCATCGATATGCTTCTGCAATCGGTCCACAAGGCCATCAGCGCCCATGGCAACTTTCGAAGCCATTTCATCGCGCTCCGCAAGAGCCGCTTCGGCAATCTGTCTCGACTCGGTAGCTTCATCGAAAGCAATGCGAGCTTCTGAGTCGGTATATAGTTTATCAAGCAGACTCTGAACTGTGAAATTGAGACTCTGCTTGAGGTCCATGTCGGGCAGCCGTCTGTCCATAGCCACATAGCTCAGCATCGAGTCTACTAGCTGGAACATTCGAAGTCGATCATCCGCATTGTTCTCCCTAAGAATGAGCAGATGCTGCATGGCCGATATGAAGTAGTCCTGCGTTCTGGTGCCCTGAATCCTATTCATGATGGCGTCGGTGATTTGCATGGGGTCGGTCATGTCCTTAACATCACCTTCGATGCTATCGACCATGCTGCTGCCCTCACGCTGTAGAAGATCTTCATAGTCGATGGCCTCGTTCTCCCGGAACTTTTCGATCTGCTTATCGATGACATCGTATTGGAAGCCCTCCATCTTGGTCAAGATACGCTTGATACCACACGCAATGAATTGAGCACGGATGTGGCATCTTAGCTGAAGATCCTTCTCGGGCGCATCGACCATGCTGTTGATGAGCACCAGGGTGGCCACAGCATATTCCATCAACAGGTTTTCCATACCGACGCCACCACTCCTGACTTCCTCACTGGCACCGACCAGACTGCCCATCTTGCCTCGACCATCGATGGTGACCTCGACAATGCGCATCCAGGCATCGAATCTGCCATTCTCGTTGATCATACTCTTGACGTGGTCCAAGGCCTGCAGTATTTTCAGATGCCCTTGGCCTTCGCCGCAATGGCATAAGAATGTCATGACTTCCGAGACCAGCCTTCTCGTTGTCAATCGAGGCGAGATGAGGCACATTGCCAGCGCAATAAGGATCTGAGGATGGTTGAGAGCGTCATCGGCGCCATATTTGTTGTTCATCAGGGCCTTGAGACATTTGACAATATCATACTCTCGGTCCAGATCCTTCTCGCTCGAAGCCGTCGAATTTTGTTGTACTGGACCACCATCCTGCCGCCGGTTGATCTTAATCAGCACATTCGTCAAGGCAATCTGGCCTTGCAACTCGATGAACGTCTTCACCCAATGGATTGGCTGTGTTCTCAGACTGACGCTCAAGCTCTGTAGTTGTTTTGTGGTTATGCTGTTGTCCATGATCCTCTTGACATACCATTCCGGACTGCCTTCCAAGTCGGGTCTTGCCATGGCACCGTCGACTACACCGGTTTGTCGTGCTTGCTGCCTGCGTTTCTGCTCACCTTGCCACTCTGTCAGCTTGTCCTGGTGCACAAGCGTCCACTTCTTAGCTGGAGCGTATGCAAGCATCTGCCTGCGAGCCTGCTCTGGTAGATTCTGCCATCCTCGCTTGTGCATAAGATCGATGAACAGCTTCTCGATATCCGCATCGTTATCGGGCTTTGGCAGGTAGAATCCCGCGGGTGAGAAGGATGCCGTAGAACTGAAATTCGACTGCGCTGTGCCCGGCCAGTTTGAGTGGGTAGACATCTTGGACAGCCTATTTCGGTCTGGCGACAGAATCGAGAAGTTGTCGGTATCATTTCTTGCTAACGGGACTGCCGTCCGTGAGGAGTTCTCGGAAGAGAATATGGTTGAGACTCTTGTGGCGGACGAGGCAGTCGACTTTATGCTGGCCGCGTCAAATGACCTCCTGTGACCATTGGAGGATTCAGTGGTGGATACGGAGTCGTAGAAAGAGTGGCCATCCCTGCTCCCGCTCTTGCCCCATTGCTGGTACCTGGTTCCCCTGTCTCCGCCCGTACTTGACGCCATTGTGATATTTTGATTGTGAGGAGCGGTCGAGGGCCTCCAGGGTGCGACGAGCCATTTGACTGAGAGGGATTGATCATGGGATATTGGTGGAAGTCGGAACCTCTTGCGAAGCTTGCTTGGCCCGGCGGAGGAATTGCACTGACCTGATCTTCTCGTGGAAGATAGTCAACCGATACTGGGGTATTGGAATCCGAGGTGGCAGAGTAGGGCACTGAGCTGATGGTGCTAATTGTGCTGCCAGATGGTCGTAGGCCGACGTTCGCTATGTCCTGATAGCCCGCCGACGAGCCACGCTTCGAGCCATTGAGGCTCGGTGTTGGTGGGATGTCATCTCGATCCTTGGTGCGACTGAAGAAGCCTTTGCCAGCTGATTTTCTGGCTGATCGGTCAGGCTGTGAGTATGTGGGCATTATTGAGCACACAGCGGCAGTCGGATTGCCCAGTGCAGAGTCATTGAAAAGGGCGCCGTGGAGGGTTGTGGACGGCGATTAACGCAGCAGTGCAGGTGGCCTGCGCCGAAATGAGGCCCTTGCGCTTGCCTCTTGAATGCAGATCGTCTTGGTCAACCTTGCATGGTCGCCTTCTGTCAAGTGTGTGCAATGTGTTTCAGATTACTTGCTGAAGGCCTTGTGGAGGTGAGTGAACAGCACGTGCGGGATGTGGTGCAGGGGAAAACAAGGCTGCGGAATCGGAATCGGGTTGTCGCAAACAGGTGAGCGCAATGGCGTGAGCTATAAGCCGGGGGCAGGGGTCCTGGTTCTGGTGGAAAGACTCCAGACGGCCGCTGAGGTGTGTAGTATGCTGGATGATACGAAGTGTTGGCTGCTACGGGCAAGATGGAAGATGACTTTGTGAACAGGGGCAGGGCAAGCGGCTGGTACTGCGGGCTGATGCGATGGTGATATCGTTGTTTGTCCCTTTGGGTTTGTCGATGCTCAAAGCGGGTTGCTCCAAGAGTCTCGCTCGACCTCCTGAGCGGCAGTGGCGCCGGACTTAGGTGCTAACACAGATGGGTGGGCGGTCATTCGTCCAGAACGGCAGACCTAGCGCCTAGAGCAGCCCTTAGCCGGCCCTGCTAACAGAAGTGCAACTGGAGTATTTCTGCCAATCAACACCTAAAGCTTCGGGACTCACATCAAATCTACTTCATTGCTGCGGTGCACCTTTGGTCTTCATCGCTGCAGTGGTGGAAGCAGTCCTTTACAACGAATCTCACAGCACACTGTTGCCTTGGGAGTGTATATCAGCATTGTCAATCCTTGCGTCGAACAGCTGCCAAGACCATCATGAAGCCCTTACCGTCTCTTTTGCGCAATCCAATGGTCTCGCCCACCCCGCAAGTAATCTCCTGGCTATTCGCGTGGTAACCCAATAAGACACATTCGCACTTTGCCCGCAAGCCACCGCTATTGAACATTTTGAATATAATCCACTGTAGTCGCACGCGCATCTTTCAGCAGCACAGCATATCCTTCGATTCGACCTCAATTGGCGACAAGAACAGCCCAGTACGACCCAAACACGATGACCACGCGCGTGTTCGTTCCCTGAAGCAGTCCACGCTACACCTCTTTCTCCACCGCGGTCCAGGATGTTCCTCCACTTCCACCACCGATCAATCCCCAGTGGGATTACGTCCTCTGGAACACCACCTGTCGACACCTCAGCAGAGGCCAATTCATCGATGGCGAAGCAAAGTCATCACAATCGACGATACTACCCATCCTGATACCTGTAGCCATCGCACTAGGCCTATACCTCGTGCTCTTTCACGTGCTTGTACCCACATGGCGGGCGCATCGTGAGCGGTATCGTCAGGTACGAATACCTCAGCTGCTCAGGCACAGATTTATAGATCAGAAGGCTAATCGAAGTGCAGTACCTGCCACTACACGGCGCATCATCCTTGACATCCCGCCTACCTCACGTCTTACAGCCATCCACCATCGGCCGGGGCATATCTTCCGTGCTCCTCCGTATCTTCTTCCCCACATCCTACGCCCTCAGACAGGCATCTGCCGCCCAGCAGAACGCCGCAAGCAACGGGACCACTGTCTACAGAGCCTCCTCGGTGGACGGCGACTCTGACGACGACGAAGCAGCCCTCTTCACGGCCGAGTCCGGCGAGGCCATGACGAACGTCCCGCATGCTGGCTCTGATCCGCGTGATTTGAACAGAAGGCGGCGGGAGAATATGGAACGATACGCGAACAGAAACATGGCATATGCGCGGGCCATGGAGGAAGGCGAGGATAATCGAAACGCGACGCCCACTGGTGGTCTTGTTGGAGGCGCGATGAGGCCAAATCCGGATAGAGAAGTTCACCCAGAAACGAGGTTAAATCGGGAGTTGGAGGCTGGCTTCCGAGATGACAGTGATGAAGACGAAGAGGACGACGACGGACGGGGTGTGACAGTCGGGAGGAGGAGCTTCAGCGCGAATCGATAGCATCCTTACTGACAATCAAAAATGACATTGACGCCAATACTAAGCAATCCTCGGACGTTCAGGACTTCCAGCGGGCCTTGTGCGGCAAATGCAAAATGCTGTCGCTGAGTCTCAGTACCCGACAGGTCCGAAACTTCTGGCGGCGGCAGGTGCCTGGGCTACAGGCGATCATGAAATTGTCACGAAGCAAGCACCAAAGTCGGAGGTAGTCCAGCACTGCACTGGCAGAACCTGAGGTTATACATGCCTTGAACCACGACACTAGCATGAGTTATTTCTACTGGGGACTGCATATACAGTAAGTTGCAAGATAAGGCCTACTCCGGCTGGTCAGGTCCTTCTGCTTTGACGAGCGACGTGGCCTTCGTCCTCATCACTTCCTCACCCAGCCCTCAGTCTCCCCTGACAACCGCGCTTGGCTCTCCTCTTGTGCGTCAGTGGCCGGTAACTAACATTGGTTATATATTCTAGTAAACCAATTCTGCTCCAACAATCGCACCGAATTACTCTAGGTATGCGATATGTGTTGCCTGAGCCCAAATAAACTCTTACGATACAGCACGTGGAAAATTCGTCCTCACTTTCGCTCGAAGTGTGTGTGCTGTTAGGAGTTTCTAATCTTGGCATGTACCCTCTTGAATGTACCCTCTCGAGAAAATCGACTCGAGACCTGGTGTTTGAGACCTGGTGTGTTGACTAGTTTTTGCTTTTTTGAGGTCTGCTCATCTGGACTCGGACCTGACTAGGCTACCAGGGAGCGACGACTTTGTTTGCAGGCTTGGCAGGCGAAGTCACTACGGAGCGACTACAAGTTGTGTACTTTTTATTGCTCTAGTTGCTACAATCGGATTTCCTCTCACCAGTCCAACTGTTTGTGCAGGTTGACTCCCACTGCCGCCGAGCATCGGAAGCGCAAGATCAGTCGAAAAAAACCTATGGGCTGCTTAAGAGACCTGCCCTCGCCTTCGTCAAATACGTTGCTACTCACAGCTTTGAAGCATCAGGGAGTCCGGGGATCTCTTCGCATGGCAGCATCAACGATCACCGCCCTCCGAACGTCGAGTTGGCCGTCTGAACACCAGGAAGTCAAGTTCACCCATCAACCACTACATCGAAGTCCTAACTATACGAAGTCATACCATGCAGCACTAACTCCGGATACCGGCTTTCAGGCCACTCTCCGCCCTCATGTCATCTCGCCAAACAATCTGCCAAGCCTCGTGGTTATCTTTACCAAGACTTCCTGTCCCCGTTTCTTCGCTGATAAGCTCTTAACGGTCTTGCATGCACGTATATGTCGGCAGTCATCCTCGATCCAGACGCAAAATCCACCTATGACCTCCGCATACGGTTGATAAGACCACGCAGGACCTACACAATGATTCGACGTGCTGACCTCGCCAGCTCGAAGCGAGCATTGGCAGACGTGCATCGCCGCTGCTTGACGCCCTCGACAGCGCAATGTCGGTGACCCGAGTAGGTGGTAGATAAAGCAGAAAAGGTAAGCGTTTGGCGTCATTTTCGTGGCTTCTCTTCTGCCTGAGCATAGAAGAGCCCAAGAATCCGGGGTTCGTATTCTTGCGGACCACAGCAACCATGAGCCTCTCATTCGATGCCTATTCACCGGCCGAGGTCACTCGCATGGTGGGCGAGCAAGGCGCGAAGCGTGGCCACATGCACCCCTTGAAGATCTTTCTCTCGGGCGTTTCCGCTGGGTGCCTCCTCATGTTCGCTCCAGCCTCAGCAGCGACCATGACCACTTCTACTTGGGTCAGTAGTCTCCTCGCCTCTTGGATTGACACCGACGAGCCCGAACCACTTACTGACAACAACTTTGCCACGCGAACAGCTCTCCCAAAACGCCCCAGGCCCACAACGAATTCTCGGCGCCCTAGTCTTCCCCTACGGCATCACGATGGTCACCCTCACCGGAGTCGACCTCTGCACCGCGTCGTTCATGTACACCACCGTCGCCGTCCTCCGCGGCCGCCTGTCCTGGCAGAAAGCCTCCTGCACTGGTTCTTGACATTCTGGGGCAACCTCGCCGGCTCGCTATTCTGCACTCTCGTGATCATGGGCTGTAAGCACTCTCCCCAAATTCACTGCATTCCCATCCTCTCAAGCACCCCAAGCTCAGATCCACCACCCCTCTCTCACATCGCCATGCCCATGACTGACCAAAATCAGACGGCGGCCTCTGGCTCCGCGACCCCTGGCGCGCCGCCTCATCACCTCCACCACCGCGCGCCAAGTCACCCCAACTTGGATCCAGATCTTCCTGCGCGGCATCGGCTGCAACTGGCTCGTCTGCCTGGCTGCTTCTTCGCCATCCAGGGTAGAGACCTCACTGCGAAAGTCGTGGGATTGTATTGGCCGATCTTTGCGTTTGTGAGTTTGGGGTTTGACCATGTCGTACGTATTTGCCCTTGTTTCCGTATACTTGCTCCCGGGCTAGGGTGATGCTACCCTACCGCATCCCCGTTCTACAGCTGGCCGAGCAGAGCACAACAACAACTCATCTAATCTAACATATGTGTAGGTAGCAAACATGTTCTTCATCCCAATGGCAATCTTCATCGGCCACCCACAAATCACCGTCGGCATGTACATCTACAAAGGCATCATCCCCGCCGGCCTCGGCAACATCGTCGGCGGCGGCATCTTCTGTGGCATGTTCTACTATGGCATGTATGTATGGCGAGAGCCGGATGGATTGTTCGGTGTTCCGCTGAAGAAGGAGCTGGGCCCAGAAGTTGGGCCAAACTTTGAGGCTGGGACTGGTACGGTGGGTGAGAAGGGGATGGCGGAGAAGGAGAAGGAGAAGGCTGAGGGGTCGAGCACGGGTGTGGGGACGGATTCGGAGTCGGAGAAGGGGCGGAAAGGGTTGTGATCAATCGATGGATTCATGGTGTGAGACGTGGGATGTGGAGATCAACGTCGGCGGAGCGTGGAAAGGGGTTAGAATTTTTGCTCCGCGCGAAGGGAAGCAGTATCGGATAGTTTGGTCATGATCTTTTGCGGCTGAGTAGATGGCGAAAAGCGCGCAGGGCATTTAGGTGGGCAGGGAGACACGTGCCACCGAGAGCGCCGCTCACCGCGTATTATAGACCATGATCTAGACCAGTAATTCCATATACGAGCGATTTCGTTATCGAGTCGATGAAGCCAGGCGCTTCCCAAAGCTGCGTCGTAGCTCGAGTCGTCCACAAGGCTCTGTCGTTTGACTCATCGGTGGTCATCTGCACCGCAATCGATGTGGCTGCCCAGCGAGGAATCGATTCACAGGTGGAGACGAAGACAGCATGGCTTGCCAGATGATGCCGCGAGCGAGCCTAGCTCTTCAGGCCAGACTCGTTGTATGATAGATGGCAGCTTCCAGTGGACCAGAGTTAGGTTTTGTGTGACGCTGCATAGGCGAATTGCCGACGTCGGCGTGCTTTCTCGTTCGAGAAACGGTTGAAGACTAGTGGTATAGGATCATCCCCGGACTTGGACTCGGTGCGCAGTGCTGTGCAGAAGAGCGGTCCGTGAGAAGGACCGAACAACTACGCTAGACCGTGAAGTATCGGTCTCCGAAGTCTCCCAGACCAGGCACAATATAGCTGCGCACACACATGTTAGCACGAGTCCCATCGTCCGTACACTCAAAGAAACCAGACCCTCAAGAAACGGAAGACACAAAGGACAAACTTACAACCGCTCATCCAGCCCCTGATCCACAAACGCCGTCACCACCCTGACCTTCGGCACTTTTTCCGAGAACTTCTGTATCCCCTCCGGACTCGCAATCAGATTCAAAAACAAGATCCTCTCCTCCGGCACCCCCCTGTTCTTCAACACCTCCACCGCCATCACCGCACTCCCCCCGGTCGCCAACATCGGATCCAGCAACAGCACCCAGCGGTCCTTGATATCCGGCGGCAACTTATCATAAAACAATTTCGGCTGCCCCGTCTCCTCGTTGCGCTGAATGAGGATCTTACCGATGCGGACGGAGCGACAGCATTCCCGCAGGCCGGACTCCATGGATTCGCCGGCGCGCATGATGCTGACGCCGCAGATCTTGCCCTCAAAGCTGACTCCTGCATAATCCTTGCCGACGGGGCTGGTGACGGTGTGATTCACGACGGGGAGATGATTCAAACCTTCCTCCACCAGGAGTCGTATAATGCGATTGCTGTAGAAGATAAAGTCCGCTCGAGGGGTGTTCTTGTCGCGAATCATAGTCAACAGAGCAATAAGCTGCGGCGTTTGTGGGAGGACGTGTACATTGGGGCTGTTGACGGGGCGGGAGACTGTAGCCGTGGGCTTCTCGGATGAAGGACGGTAGCTCGGGCCCAAGGTGAGAGCTGGTGATGCCACGCGGTCGGTGGTCTGGGCGAGGGTACTCGGGGATGCGGGCGCGGCGAAGGGTTGGCCGGAGGCGTTGGAGAGGGAGGCGCGGAGGGCGGGAGAAGACGTCATGTTGTGAGGCGGAGAAGAAGGCCTAGGAGGATTGTGCGGGCTGTGTTTGCTGCAGCGGGAGCTGTGAGAGGTTGGTGCTGGGTAGCTCGTGTGACCGGCGCGACTGCCCCGTGAGTTGGCCCGCTTGGCCTGTGAAGAGCTCTCGAGCTGTCCCTTGTCTTTCGTTGCTACTTCTTGTTGAACCTGAGGTGACAAGATAGGTTACGGGCTGCTGAGTAGTGTGAAAAGTCCTCAGATAACGGTCAAGAGGGGTTATCAACAGCTCAAGGTCGAGACTCGGGTATTCTTCAAGTTGATGCGAGGGGCAGCGGAAAGATGGAGTCGAGGATCCTGGGCTTGGCATAGATCGATCTATCCGGTTTTATTTGGACATAGTCTCCTAGCACATGAGACATGAGACGAGCAAAGTGAGATAAGAGGGCGAGGTGAGTGTTGAAACTTGGAAGATGATGGAGGATAGTTATTAATTCCTTCAAGAGATCACTGCAGAGAGTAATGCCACTTTTCGTCGACTCAGCAGCAGCTAAACCAAAATCTCACGCAGATACCGACCCAGGTCCAGTCCAGCCGTCCTTTTTCTTTCAGTCCTTCGTCACTTCGTCCTCATTAGTTCACCACGCCCTGTGACGCGACACCCTTCGTCGCCGCAAACTCGAGCAGGCCTCCAGTAATCGGACTACCTGTCCATCTCGTACTCAGATACCGCGCTAACCCCTGAACCTCAAGGGAACGCGAAGATGGCTCTGGAATACTTCGTCCTGTTCTCCGCCTTTCCAAAAGATCGAGTCCGATGAAGCACCATGTGTGCCGAATGGCTCGGAAGCGATGTATGCCCACACTAGCAGGCTGACAGATCCCGACCCTTGCCATGGGAGACCTGAGATGTCTCCCGGCTGACCCAATTGTCACAAGATACGAGAGAGCCAGGTAATCCGCCCAGAGCTGCCTCCGATGCCTGAGATGCAGCTTATCGGATGCGTATCGTCACTTCAGAGGGCGTCTCCAGTGGATGGCACAAACGCTTGTGTAGCTGTAGCAGCAGATGCATGCTTTCCGCACTCACGAATGAAACAAATCCCATGCCCTCGAGCAAAGTTGCAGAAACTCGTCTTTCTTGGCTTGTGTTGTTGCGGGACTGTCTCTGCCCTCACCGAACGGAGCATATCGTGGTCCGCGACCGTTGCCAAGAGGCGGGCTGCTACCTGCTTCATACTCGTTTCGGCTCCTTCGCCGGCCCGCTTCTGGATTTGTAGGTTGATGGAATTTGTGTGGTGTCATGTTGTGACTTTGATGGTGTGGAGAAGGGGGTGTAGGAGGCTGATGCCCACCGTAGTGGACGAGTTTTGGCTGCAGATCTTCCCTACCGCCAGTCATTTCATGCACGGCTTCCTCGGCCGATCTGTACTCTCTTGGTCGCTCGTACGCCTGGGCATGCTGAGACATGGGATGTGCTGTTTGGGGCGGGTAGCTTGGTGATGGCATCGGAGGGCCGTGGATGTGCGCTGGCGTTGAGTTTGCATGTAGGAAGGGGGGTCGGGCGGATGAAGGGTTGAACTCATTCGCTCCAAATACGTCCGAAATTGGAGGAAGTCGATTTGCAGTTTGTATCGCTGGAGCATGATTGATAGCTGTAGCGGGCGCTAGGGCCTGGTTTGAATTCTGGCGCACAGGTGGATGAGGCCCGTCGCGGCCAGTGAAAGTATGTCCTAGAGGTGCGGATTGGATTACTCGCTCATTGGCAAATCGGTCCGCTGCTGGGGGCACAATGGACAAACCCGGAGGTGGACGTTTCTTCGAGGCAGTTACTGGCTGCTTACTGCCGTTCGCAGTCGTTGGCGTCTCGCCGATCCTGGGTGTCTCTGAAGGATCGCCTTTGGCTGAGCGCAGAAGACGAGACTCGATGATTGAGCGTTGCTGTTCCCTGACGGACATGCTTCGTTGAAGCTGTTCTCGCATGGTCGGATCCTGAGTCGCAAAGCCCGGTGATAGGCAGGCAAGCCCGACATCTTGCATCAGGCCCAGTGCTTCTCGGCCAGTATTCGGGCCAGCAGATGGCCGGCCACCTGCAGGTGCACTGGTGTTGGTATTCAAATCTAGCTTTCGTGGCCGGTGCCGTGTAGCTGCCTGTAGTGGAGATGAGGGTGGTTCCTTCTTGACCACAATGTGCGGATTGCCGGCGCTTCTTAGCCTGGGATATGTTTAGTCACTTTGCATAGGTTCTGCGGGAGCATGCTATCTTACGACCTGGGAGAGCCACGTCCACCATCGGGAGGAGTTCGATCTGCTGATCTCGGCGTAGAATCCTGCAAGTATGCGACATCTGGTCGTCTCTCGATCGGAGTGGCACTTGATGGGGCAGACGGAGCCAGCGGTGCCAGAGTTGGATAACTACGAGGACTCGGGTTCCGTTCGAGGGAGGGCAGTGGTGCGGCCGTGGGAGGAGCGACCACTGTCGACATAGTTCAGGTAGACGACCAGCTTGATGACTATCTGAGTGACTACGTCGTACTTCCAGGCCGGCGTGATGGTCAGTCGTGCCCTTTCAAAACGAACGGGGAGGTGCAGCTCCGGCCCAGGTCAAGGTTCTGCAGAATCTCCCTTAGTCACCTTCGGATGTCGCAGGGAGAAATTTCCAGCAAAGACGACGGCAGGCCCAAACGCAACAGAACAACGAGCGACTAGGTCAGAACGACCTTGGGAAGAGATGCACCACGATGCGAGGGAGGGCGGTTATCGAACACGTATGTGTGGTATCCTGGGTGTGGTTGCAGGAAGGGAGACAGAACAGGAACGATGGGGGAAAGCTGATGAATGAGAGACGGAAAGTGAGTGGATTGCGCCTGACGATTGGCGGCGGCGGCTGCGGCAGAATTCGAGAAGGAGAGACTGTCGTAGACGAGGGAGACCCCTCCCCATTTCAAGCAGGCCCTGGAGCCCCTAAAATTCCTTTTCTTGGGCTGGACAACGCTGAAACTTGTTCTCCCTCGCCCGTCCAATCAAACCTTGCCATTCCCTGCTTGCTGCCTCCTAGACAATATATCTGAGACACTCGTTGCGGTCGACTGCTGAACTACTCAAGAGGCAACTGGCCAGGCTAGCTGGGTACAACGGTAGCATACACACGCAGTAACGCAGCACAAGGCGGTGAGACCAGTGGAAGTTCGAACCACTTCGGTGCGGATATGCCATATGGACACAAACAATTGCATTATCGACGAGTTCTTCCCGCCCGTCTGGAAGCGCGGGCAGGTCCAAGCGTTACTAGTTGACGATATCGATTCTACGATTGTCCCACCTGAAGAATTCCCTTCGCTCAGCTGTTTGGCCGTCGCACCAGCGGTCGTCTTCAACAGCAACACAGTTGAACCCGAACGATAGAGGCCTCCTCGCCGTCAGCAATAGGGACATCACCTGACTCTGTTTGCTGCTGTTGTTGTCAGAAAGCAAGGATGCTGGTCTGCTTGACGAGACACCAATCTTCCACCTCAAGTTCTCAACGAATACCACGAGCAAAGTCGCTCCGTATCCGCGTACAGACTGCTCGAGAAATATAAGCTCGAAGCGATCCTCTGCCGTTTGACTTGCATGAAACTGGAGTAACGGCTGAGAGTTTCGTTCCTGCCCCCTGTACCATCGAGTCATCGGCCGAGGCTTCTGTCTCTTTCTGGGAGTTTTGACAGGGTCTAGTTGATGCTAGGTCCCGCAACAAATGCAGAAACTGTCTAAGGGGCTGGCAATAAATCCGCAGTTCGCCGTACCATCGTTTGCTGTGCGACGGCCTCTTGTCCACAGGTGCAAGCTGTCCCAGCAAAGGCCATCAAGTGCACTGATTCTTCAGACCATGTTGTTCCGATATTGAAGCGCAAAGGAACCGCTCTAAACCTCAGGCGAAACATTAGTCGCGATTCTGCATAATCGGTTGCATGCAGTTTGCGATGTGGCTCCTGTTGGGCGCCAATGAGCGAACGAATCAGGCCTGCTGATGAAACGCCCCGGTGCAAGAGGGGCTCTTTGCTTTGCGACTATCGATACTACGAACAGGGATTGCGCACTAATCGCTATCATTTCATACGCGACCAGGCGACCAGGCTTCTGGAAGCATGTTTGGTCGGGCAAATGTTGAGCTCTGACCATCATGATCATCATCGCCATCTTCATCGGATCCGCCAATCACGCTGTTGCCGTTGCGTGCACTGGACTCACGAACACCTCTTGCGTGCCAACCTGAGCTCCAGTCTTTTGTGCATCGGCGTCCCAACTTGTGTGAGGATCTGCCAGGAAAGCCTGTCCTTTGGCCAACACAGCACTGTTCGACTCACCGAGCCACTGAGGCTCTAGACGCTGGATGTTGTCCTCGATCTCGTAAGCCTCGCCGCCAGCTATATGAAGTATCTTGCCAGTGAAAGGCGATACTGCTCCGCCGTGGCTTTGGCCCGCCGGCCCTCTGTTTGCGCTAGCACAGATGACCATAGCTCGAGCCACATCGATGGCTTCATTCTCAGGCAAACCAAGTTTGCGCCATCCGACTTCGATACCAAGGACCATTCGTGTTTCTGTGGAGAGTCAGTCAGTACTGTGCGATTCTTCGTCAGACATAACTTACTCGTCATCCACGGGCACAACACGTTGACGGTAATCTTCTCCTCCCATGCCTGCTGATACAGCCCTCTCATAAACCCGATCACACCATGCTTCGACGCCGTGTAGGTCACAAGATGTGAGCACTCCTTCCATCCAGCGATGCTGCTGGTCAGTATGAGATCTCCACCGCCGTTCTTGCGCAGGTAACCCATTCCTATCCTCGCCGAGAACAGGACGCCTTTCAAGTTAACATCGATCTCTATCATCGACGGCTCAGTCTGCCAGTCTGCATCGGGTGCGAAAATATCCGCGTGAACGCCGACGCCAGCGTTGGCGCACACCACATCTACCTTTCCAAAAGCCTTCTCGGCTTCAGCGAAGAGTGCTAGTTGGTCGGCGTAGCTGGTGGCGTTGCAGTGTCGGTACTCGACTGATGAGCCTAGTTGGGTGGCAAGGCCCTTTCCAAGCTCGTCATTGACATCGCCGAACATTACCTTTGCTCCATAGCCTGGTATCGCATGTCAGTTGGCTGTTTTCTCGCCTTGCTTCAGATCGAAAGACCTACTATGGAATAGCTCGACCGCAGCTCGCCCAATTCCCGTTGATCCGCCAGTCAAGACAATCACTCTGTCCTTCAGCGTCTTCGCCAGATCTTGATTAAGGACAATATGCGTCATCTTGGCTCTATGCTTTGCGCTTTGCTGCTACAAGACTGATGTATCCTGAGCCAGAGTAGTTGCAGAATGACCAATTTCTCCAGTGCTCGCAATGGCGAGAAACTACATCATGATACGCCGAGGCATCTAGAATTATTATACTTCCTGCACTTCAGCCCCACGTATGGACGACCGGACTCGTTCGCGGTGGCTTGTGGGGGAGTTGTGAATGCGGTGGGCATTTTCCGAATTACGGGGTCGCTTAGTGCCTGCCCAAAATTCGACGGGGTTCATTCCGCGCAGAAGGCAACCTCGTGCAAGTCGGAACTTCCGACAGTTCTGGTCGCCTGCACTCTTCGAAGCCTCGACCGCGTCCAATGACTACCGCTGTCTACATTTCGTGATTCGCCATCATCTGCGTATCCGCTTCGGGAGCGCCCTAGCGTTAGGCACCCAAAGCGTGGACTGCTGCATGAGAAGGCTTATGCAGCGAGATCCGTGAAGCACGAAGATGAGAAGGCGTCCATCTATCGATCCGCGCTAGGCCTAAACCCATCTTAGGATCTGAAATGCAAGGTATCTTGAAGCCGAATACGACGAACGCGAAGTCAACGCGCAAGAAGACCTCGCGCCAAAAGCTCCTGTCGCACACTCGGCCAAACACCACTGCCACAATATCGTCCTCTAATGGACCCAATAGCGGCACTCAACCCACCCAGAGCAGCAAGCACACCCGCACCACAATCAGATCATACCACACGCTTCAGAAACGACTGCACCAAGCACGGAAAGCAGCGCACGGCGGAGATGCTGCGCTCATCGCGTCTCTTGAGACCCAACTCAGCAACCTGGGCGGCCTCGAAGCTACCAAGCTGCGTCCACCACAGGCCAAACACCGCAACGCGGCGGAGACACGTCTCGGACGTTAGTGAAATGGCTCGGTCCGTTTCTGAGACAGCAAGGTATGGGAACAGCTGCCGGTCAGGGGAATCGAGATAGTAATCGCAATGGGATTCTGGTTAAAAAGCTCGGCCCGCCGCTAAGGATACTGGAGGTGGGTGCGTTGAGTACGGCTAATGCGCTGAACGTACCGGGTCAGACGGTGGTGCGGAGGGTTGATTTGCGGAGTACGAATCCCGGGATTGAAGAGCGCGATTTCATGACCATGAATCCTAGCGAAAAATGGCAAGGCACGGCGGGCTACGATGTCCTCAGCTTGAGTCTGGTAGTCAATTTCGTCGGGGATCCATCCGCGAGGGGAGATATGTTGAGGCATACGACACGCTTCCTTCGGTCACCAGTTTCCTATGCAGTCGGAGAAAGAGCTAATGACGACGACAACGACGAAGACGGCGACGACGTGGACAACCACAACGATGCAGACGCGCCAAAAAACAATCTCCAAACATTTCGACACCACAAAACCCACCGCTTCTTAGCGACCCTCTTTCTCGTTCTTCCCCTACCCTGCGTCGACAACTCCCGCTATCTTACCGAAGACCGCCTGATCGAAATGATGGAGAGCTTAGACTATGTGCAGACCAAAGTCAAGCGGAGCTCGAAGCTTTACTTCTCCTTGTGGCGATATCGGCCGCATGCACTTGATCTGGGAAGAGCGCGGCAGCAGTTCAAGAAGGAGGAGGTGCGAGGGGGAAAGGAGAGGAATAACTTCTGTATTGTTTTGGAGTCGGCTACTGGCGAGCCACGTTCTACGCCAACGACTGTGCGACACTGGCTGGATGATTCTTCAGACGCTTCAGACAGTTCTGCTTCAACCTGACGGACAATCGAGTTCCATTTGTCAGTACTGTGGGCAGACATCAAGTAGCTCTGTATCTACCGCTCAGCGGAAAGGGCCTTCATCCCAAGAACATATTAGACCTCCTTAAGTGCTGTAGCTCAGGTGGACTGGGCTTGATGAGATGCCTGTTGACCCCCAGCCTCACACGAGACCGGACGACTTTACCTCAGTTGGACTTATCTATCGCCGGATGACGTCGGGTGCGATGTCAGACCGGATGACTCTAATCATCGGCACGAAATACATCGCAACTGCTGCCCGTCCATTGACGCTCGGATTTCTCGACTACGGGCTCTCATCTAACGGTCGACCTCGTATTGCTCAGCAGTAGGGAAGTCCTTTGCTTGGCCTTCGACGTTCATACGTGTTGTGCGTTATTCATAGCAGTGACCGCGTGCAAGTAGATCTGGTGTAGGTGCATGCTATTTGCATTCTCCCATAATCTCAGAATATATACTGAATTATATCCTTCTAATTCAAATTGCTTTTCATCACATCGTGGGCGGCTATGGGGAGTCACCCCTATGTCTGCGCCAATATTCGCAGCATTAGTCCCTTCTATGTCCACAAAAGTTCCCATAGGAATCCATAACGCCATACCTCGAACCACTTTCAACACGACCCTCCTCTTCCATTCCACAATCAAGCTTCTGCAACTGCTCTTTCCGATAAAACCTAAAGAACCCCCACGGGATCAAAATCGCGTTCAACACCAACCCAATCCAAAACCAAGCCTGCCAGATCGCACCCACACCGCCCGTAATATCCGGACTGATCGGGCCAGGACCGATCTTATTCGGCGCACACGCCCTCGCCACAATCGTCGCCACCGAACCCAACACTTGAGCCGCGATGAGCGTGAACGCAACGTGCACGCGCGTCAGCTTCCCAGCAGGATCATGCCTAGCCCGACACCCTGGATCGCATCCAGCGTGCCCAGCCAGAGCCAGACAGACCGCGAGAGCAGTGCGGAGGCAGTGAACCCGCCTGCCCAGGGCAAGTACGCACCCAGACCAGACGTGCCCCACCAGATCTGCGCCCATCTCGGCGCGCCAAGCCCAATCGCAAACAGAGGCAACAGCCAGGAGTGCGTCTTCGACAGCCACGCAAAACCCCACAGGAAGCCCGCCCAGACGCCAATGAAGAACACCGCGACGAGCACAATCACCTGCCAAGTCTCCGCATGCTGCGAGCTGAACAGGAACGCCCAGTTGCGGCCATACGGCGCCGAGAGGAAGAAGTTCTGGATCAGCACTGTGACGAAGAACCACAGCACGATCTTGCGGCGGATGATGGCGGTGTAGAACGAGGGCATCTTCCCGGGGGTTTGGCGGTAGTAGACGGGGAGGCCGAAGAACATCAGCCCGGAGATCGCGAACAGCAAGACCGCGATAGGTAAAGTGATAGCAGTGATCCGCCACGTGCTGCTGACGGGATCGTCGGCGACGATGATCCCATCTTGTGCGCGTCGGGAGATGATGCTGCCCCAGTACCACAGCGCGACGACGTAGATCTGCTGGGTTCCTTGGATCGTGCAGGCGCGGAAGACCCATGCTTTGACGTGCGCGCCGCCCTCGTCGCCGAAGTTGGAGGAGAAGAAGAGTGCGCCGGAGGAGGAGGCGGCCGAGTAGAAGCCCGCGCCGACGTTTTGGATCCAGCCGCGTTGGGAGGCTGAGGTGGCGTAATGTGCGGTGCCGATGAGGATGAAGGCGATGCCGTAGAGGATCCAGGGGAGGGAAAGACTGTATACGAGCGGGAGACGGCGGAAGAGGTACCACCACATGATTGATGTGGCGAGGTAGATGGACGCAATGACGTAGAGCTTGCTTGCCGACTGGCCGATCTCGCCTGTGAGGAGAGTGATTTGGTAGCTGTTGGCTGCGATGATCTGCCGAGCGCCATGAAGAACGTGTACACGGGCCAGTCGAATTTGATTGAGCCGATTTGAGCTTCATCGTCATCCATTTCCGTAGGCCATTGGGAGGCTGGTAGTCGGCTCCGAGGAGGAACTCGTCATTCAAGGAGTTGTAGCCTTTGTACTCTGTATCCTCGTGCTGGTTCTCCTCGTCACTGCTATGCCCGCCGTGGTGATGGTCTTCGGTGCCAGCGATCGAGACTGGACGGCTGCTGAATGCCATACTGTTTCGGTTGGAGTAGACGTGTAATCGACCGAGTTTGGCGTTACGGTACTTGTCGAACCACTCCTTCTCGCTCTTGATCAGGAACTCTTCGATGGCAAAGCCATGTGTGGTGCTGTTTGCGGCGGTGAGGCCTGCGAGCTTGGTCTCAAATTCACGGTAGAATTCGCCGTTGCTGTCAGTGAAGAAAGGATCGACCTTTTGGAGCTTGTAGTCTGTCTTGTCGCCGACGACGGTATCGATGGACAGGAGCGAGGGTGATGCGGAGAGACGGTTCGGGTTGCCTTCGTATGCCATGGGTGGCGGCACCAGGAGACCAGCGTGTGGGTCAGGTATACCAGGGGATCCGGAGGGTGTAGCATCCGAAGTGCGACGCATGAGCGGCGGAGGTTCGAGACCAAAGTGAGGACCGTTCAGGCGAGCCATCGAAGGCATTGTCATGGGCTCGTCCTGCTCCATGTAGTCATCTTCCTCATCGTCGTCATCGAAATAGCTGCTCTGAGGCTGGGCGCGGCCGGTGTCATCACCGAGGGTGTCCTGAATGGGTGCAAGGACCGGACGAGAAACAGTCTCTGCATGATCGTCGACTGTGACGTGCCCAGGACCGCGACGCGATCCGAGGGAAGTAGATCGTTTGAGTCCTGAACCACGACGCTCAGGCTCAACTTCAGGCTCCTTGATATGATTTGATGTTGCCAGACCCCGGAGTCTTGCTCCAAGCGACGCCATGCTGAGGGTGCTGCTCACGCGTGAATGACGGAATGGCGTTCGCGCCCCACTGGGTGTGTTGGCTCCGCTGGGAGCGAAGGCTGGAGTTGTGGCACCGCTGTGAGAGCCGCTATTGAGACCAGATCGAGGGAAACGCATTTCTGCATCAGCATGTCGCTCTTTGCGTTCCACTTGGTCGTGTATGCGGATGGCAGTGCTCTGCAGGATTTCGAGGAGGTTCTGCCACTCTTTGACAGGGAAGCGTTGCAGCGCACTCCTTGCTCTCATCATGGCACGAACCTCTGTCTTTGAGTTCAGGCTTCTTCGATTGCCTGCTGGAATTGCTTGGTCAAATGCTGACTCGTGGTGGACTCGATTGTGTACCACCAGCCGGGCATTTGTCCAAGACCTCCAACCCTTGCACCAACACCAAGAGCACCTTTGCGACCGAATTCGACAGCGACGAGACCGAATGGCTCATCTCGAGACGGAATAAGCGCAAACTCGGCTCCAGAGAAGATGTATGGTGGTAAAGCGGTGAACTCAGCTTGCTGAACACACGCCCGGGATAGAGCTTCATCAGTCGTTCCAGCTTCAGGCAGCAAACTTGCCATACAGATCGATGACAGGACCCACACAGACCAGTTGAGCGTCCTTGTTGTTCTCCAGAACGCTCGGGAACACGTCTGCAATCAGATCGACACCCTTCTGCATACTCCATCGCCCAACGAAGACGAACAGATCAGCTTTGGGGTTCTGCTCCAGTCCCGCCCATTCTTGTGCTTGACGCTTCAGCTCTGGTCGAGCAGCCTCGAACGCGGGATCGACCTTGATGTCGTCCTGATTTGGTAGCTTGCCGTCCCATTCACCAGTGTCGGATGGATCAGGATTTGGAAGTGCGCCTACACTCTTCAACCCCCAGAAGATTGGGTAGCGGGCGAAGGATCGTTTGCCGTACTTCTTGGAGACGCCGACCGCTCCAAAACCCTCCTGGTGTTCACGTAGGTACGAAGCACCAGCGTGCAGCAAGTTGAACACTTCGCCGAACTGGACGTAGCGAGCCACCACTTCTTGGGGCAGGTTGAACACCGAGCAGACCTCTTCACGCTCCTTTCTGGTACGCATTGGCCAAAGACCCTGAAACTCAGCGTTGTGAAGCGAGAGCGCAGCAGGAATTGTCCTGGGCAGCATATAGAGTGGCGCAATTGATCCATGGTAGTCGTTGATGTGGTAGAGGTCGATCGGGAAGCGATTGATAGCGTGTGCGATGCATTGATTCCAGGCGCTGTAGTAGATCGCGCTGGTCATGTCGTCCATTCGAGCAGGATATGGCTCGGACTTGGTTTGTGCTCGGAAGACTGGAGCGTCTAGGAGCACGTATGTGATGTTTCGGAGCTTGTGATACTGGACCTGTACCTCGTACGGATTGCCCATGATAGTGACGGTCATTGGCTCCGCAGTCGTGTCGGTCGGATAGTCAATACCGCCGCAGCACGGTACCACCCAAATGAGATCTTGATGCGCAAGATTCTTGCCCATGAGTTGGGCCATGACGCCCAGACCGCCAATCTTCACCTTGATCTCCCAGTCTTCGATGTCGTATTCCATGGTGGCGATGAGAACGGTTCTTCGACGTCCGCCCTCCTGGATGATGTTGTCTTTCTCTTGGATGAAAGTCTGGGATCGTTTCTTCAACTTGGCCAACAGACGTGGCTTTTCATCAGGTTCTTGACTGGCAAGGCGTTGGAACGGTCGCTTGATGAAGCCAGGAATGAGTCCGGCCTTCTCTGAAACGCCGATCTCGTTGAACTTCACGCCATAGAAGCTCAAGGCAAATACCCATGCAGCTGCAGCAGCTGTAGCGAGTGGGATGGTCCAGAGAAGAATGAAGATGATAAGCTGTACCCACATGTTTCCGGAAGGCAGCACATCGAAGTGTAAACTACCGTCGTTGACCACAAACTTCCAGCCGAGTGCAGGGCGTGGAGGAGGCCTAGTGACGTTGAGAACAACGGCAGACAATGACGAAGGCGGCAGCCTGTCCAGAACGCTGTCACTGTCGATGTCACCAAGAACCCAAGACGCATCAGGTTTGCCATCTGGGTTGATGCCCCAAATGTTGATCTGTGCCAATGCTCCAGATAGAGACCACTCAGTCATCCAGTGATGTGTCCAAGTATTGTCAGCAGACAACGACATCTTGTTGTTGAGACCTGCGTCGTATCCGTACTGATTGTATGGCCCGTTCAGGAACATGTGAGGAAATCGACGAGCTTTGACTCCTTTGCCGACATCGCCCTGAATGACGTGGTCACTGGAACCACCCAGACGAGAAAAGTACTCAACGCGAACATGCTCGCCTAACCATTTCTGCAGACTTGTCCCTGACCACGGCTGTTTCTGTATTTCTTGGACACCGCCAGTATAGTTCTGCCAGTCCGAGAACGTGGTGCCAAAATTGGTCGAGTACCTCCACATATCCGCACCTGGTGCAGAATGGTTGACCATCAACTTGTCGCCCTCCTGAGTGAGGAGTGTTGACGAGTAATTGGCGAGCCGGGGGAAGACCATCACGTTGTCAGTCTGGCCAACACGAAACAAGAAGTGGTCATTAGAATTCGTGGAGGCGCCATCTGAGGTGGTGGCGTTCAGCACACTGACACGGTGGATGCCGTTGTTGACACCATTCAAGGTGGCTGACCACGACCATGCCGACAGGATCTGACCAACATATTTCGCATCTGTGGTGTTGTCAACAGCACCACACTTGACACTGTTCTCGTCGACTGTCGGGGTGCGACCTTGCGCCGTAGTCGAGTTGAATGAAATACTCCTGGTGACAGCATCGCAGTCCATCTCGACCGAGAATTCGAACGAGATGTCCACAGATTCGCTGCCATCCACCTCGACTGTAGAGGCAATTCGGGCATCATGGCCAGGAGAGAACTTGGTGACCATGGGCTTGACACCGACCCATTCATCAATGGGAACATACAGCTTGAAGTCGTAGGCAGGCATTTTCAGTGAACTAAGACAGCCATTCGGCGTCGTACTGCCGTTCAGGCCAAGCGTGCGCGCGCTCTCTTCGAGAGTGTGCTCATCAAATGGGTAGAACAAGTTCTTGACCGTCGTACCGCTTGGGTAGGGTGCGATTAGTGCTGTGATGTTGAGGTTTGTATCGTTGTTCTTGCAATCAAACTGGTAATCTTTTGTATCATTCAAGTTTGAGTACAGCATCCACAAGGGTGTGGTCGCTCGGCCAGTGCCATCGAGGTCTTGAACGCCCTCAAACTGCGTCCGCAGCACAGACCACATGCCTGTCTCTGTCTCGACTCCGGAGGAACCAAGATAGACGATTTGCTCAGTCTGGTTACTCAGCTGCTGAAGATAATAGCCATCGTTTAGAACAGGGAATTGCTCCCGAAGCTGATACATGTGACGGATGATGTTGTGAACGGGGTGAGACGGGTCTCTATGGTCATAGCTGACTGTGTCATCGCCGCAACCCTGTCGCGCAGCTTCAAGAGGAAACTCGAAGTATTGTGTCGAATCCAGCTTGTAGCAGCCGTGAGTTTGCCATGCAGAAGCAGAGCTCATTGCCTGTCGACCAAAGATGTAGTTGCTGGCAGTGTTGTCGAGGACGTAGAAAGCTTGCTCCTCACCCCACAGAAGCAGCGGAATGCCTGGCATGTGAATTGTCGTGATGAAATGGCCAAGTAGCTGCCTCTGTGTACCATTGGCGATGGCAGGCCACCTGAAAACGTCCTGATTCGTGACACCGTACATGTGTCGAGGATCGAACTTGTTCGTCATAGGATTGACAAGGTCATTCGTCAGCAGGAATGTGTTGTGCATGTCGACCCAATTGCGCGAGACGTCATAACCAGCTTCCAGGTTACCAGACATGCCCAAGAATCTAGTCAGAGTGCGATATAGTGAGTAGTGGAATGCACCGGCGTCCAGTCCAGCGAACTCGGGATCGCGAAGAAAGTACTTCGAGTCCGAATTATTGGTCATGGTCACGGCTTGGGTCAGATTGTCGGGTCGCTGGTCAGGTTGTCTTCCTCGTCCGAGATAGAGCGAGCCAAAGTCATTGCCACCAGTGATCTCGCCGGCGATGAAGAAGTTCTGCTTGCCAAACCTACGGGCGCAGGTTCGCATCGCTTCATTCATGAACCCAACAGCCTCGACAGTGCTCTGTTGAGCCTTGTCGTAGCGGTAGCCGTCGAAGTCAAGCTGGGCGATGGCCATGCAGTAGAAGTTCTCAATCTTCTGGCGGGTGGGTTCGTGCCACTCTCTAAGGCGGTCTTGTACCGAGGCGAACTTCGACAGTTGACGACGCCAATCTGGGAAGACACCAAAGGCTTCTGTGTCGCCATACTGGTCGAACTCGCTGTCGTAGCATCCAGTAAGTGAGTCGGTGACGTCTTGATCGACTAGAAAGCCTGTCTCGTTCCAAAACTTGGGATATGAGCATGATGAGTTGTATGAGTTGCCAATGGAGAAGTCTGTGTATGTGCGCCGACTCTTGTACATCACCTGGTGTTCCTTGACAGTGAACGGAGCGGTCTCGTTGAGGAAGCCGTCGAACCCGATCAGGTCACCAAGTGTGGCGAAGGTGTTGTCGAGCACTACATACATACCGCGAGCATGCATTTCGTCGATCATCTTGCGCCACATCGCAAGGTCGCCGAAGTGCATGTCGAGGATGGAGAGGTCGAGGGGACTGTACTGATCGTAGCTGTCAGACGATTAGCATTTGCGTGTTTGACAGACTGACGGGTCACTCACCCCCATGGTTGGTTGATGAATGGAGAGCCGGCGATGTATAGACCTTTGATTCCCAGACCGTGGAAGTAGTCAAGGGAGTCGATAACACCTTGCAGATCGCCACCATGGCGCATCTGGTTGGAGTTGAGGTCATGTTCGAATGATGTACCATTGACATTGTCGTTTGTAGGGTCGCCATTGACGAAGCGGTCCAAGAATAGAGTATAGAACGGGAAGCGCCAGTTGTCTGGACTGGGGAAATACTTGTGATCTGGCTCGTCGATTGTCCGTTGTCCCCAGTAGTCTATAGGCTGGGTTGCTTCTTGATTCTGATTAAGATTGTATTGTACCAGCGAAGGGTCATATCTCGCTGCGTAGGTAAATGATAAGAGACAGCACAAAACGAATGTAAGCGGGGCCATGACGGTGACCCGCGCTGCAGCGAACGACAAAGGGGAACGAAAGTTTTCAGACACCACAGGTGCTTGTGATACACAGTCTCTCAAGGCATGAATGTGCAATCAAGGACAGCAAGGGTTGTCTTGACGTGGAATGGAGATAAGAGAGGGTGAGAGGAAGAAGGCGGATGTGACTGATACTCGCTGAGGCACAGCAGTGGAGGTGTGTGACTATTGATAGCACTCGAGATACCCATGTTGGGGATGTTGTGGCCCAGATAAGTCGCTCACCTGAGTTGTCAGCATGCCGGCATCTTGCTGGGATCCTAGGCGTGCAGTAGCACGGGTTGGAACGGCGATACCAAAAGGGCGAAGTACCAAGCTGTTTCCAGGATGACAAGGAAGATTGTGCTGTCCCAATGGAGTTCTCAACATCGTGTTCGGCCTGATAGTGCAGAAGACTCCAAATGCGTCGTCGACTAGAAGCTGCCAGCAAGTCTCCATGTGGAACAGTAGTCCTAGAGGTCGATCACAGTACATCGCGCCTCAGGCAGGGGGGGTCGTAGCCACTAACAAAATTTGAGGGACTTTACGCAGAGGCTCATGGTCGAGTTTCAGTTGCAGCCTTACCATCCAGCAGTCTCCTGGCACCGTAGCAGAAAAATTCGGAAGAAGTGCTCCGTACTGATCCATGATGAGTGGTGCGTGGCTTCGTAGGATCTTCACCAAAGGACAAGGATGATGTCGCCGGTCCCGAAAGTCAAACAACATACTGGGTTTGTGGATCCACGACAATGTCTTTCACGTTCATCTGAACTGCTTCGATGAGACTGGTGACTGCGCCTCATGCTGAGACTCCCGAGACTAAGACTTCCTCGCGGAAGGACCGACCGATTGGTAGAGGACGGGAGCTAGAGGACGGGAGCAAATCTGTCCGGAGGAGGCGGCAAACTCTACGCTGCAAACGGCCAGAGTCCTACGTTGTAGAACGTTGTACGCACACAGCACCGAAAACAGCGTTGCACGAGAACAATGACTCTTCAGCCACGTGTAGTACAATGGTTCCACGCTCTGGGCGCGATTTTCGTCCGACGGTGTGGCCAAGGCGTTGACAATACCATCGTGGTTAGTAAACGTTTCGAAGCGCTGTTCCTGCAGAAGGTGGTGGTAGGCGGGCCGAATCTTGAGAGGCCGCAGCTTCCAAAGGCCAGTAAGCATCCCAGTCCTCGGTGTCCTACGGCGTCTGCTCATGCAGTCCAAGTTCACGGGACAGCGTGACGACGTCAAAACAGTCGCGTGCTAGGCCAAATCGAGTCTAGTTACAGGAGACCAAAAGGAAACTGCTGGAAAGCTTAAACCATATGCACATCAAGATTTTCTTCCCAACGGCCATAAAAGGATGCCTGGCGGTCCCCCGCCAGCAATCATGATAAGACAATGCCTGCCCTCGTTTACATGAACGCTCTTGTCTCGGTCTACTACTGCCCCTGAATCTGCCACGAAACTGCTGGGAATATACTTCGAGATCACATACGGCGCTGGTTCCGAGCTCGTTCGTGTTCACAAGGCATCGAGTTATCGGAATAAGCAGCAGTAAGCGAGCGTAGCCGAGCGGCCACCGCTGCGTTTTGCCTTGTTGATTGTCAGATTATGCGTGTATCTGTCGCCGATTTGGCATTGCCAATCTGGATCGTGAGACATGTCACCATCTAACAGAATAATCATTCAGTCTCGAGGTACACACTATCATCGACTTTTGCCAGCAACAAATTTGCAATTCATAGTGGCGCGACTACATCTGCCTATGCCTCCATTTGGTGTTTGCTGTGTCAGCAGAGTTCCACAGCCGATTGCCCAAATTTTCAATAGGTTCTGAAACACATCGAGGAAAGGCCGGCACTCATATCCTGGCCTGTGAGCCACAGAATATGCTCAACTCGAACTTTTGCCCGCCGGAATAGTCGTTCCCGTCGTGCAATCGAGATTTTTCCGCATTTAGCGAGTGGCTTGCTCGGCAGGCTGACGCCTGAACCGAAGCCACCAGTGCAGTTCGCTCCATCCGAGTCCATCGTTAACGGCATTGCTTCGCACAAGCTTCCGCTATGTGGGAACCGCACATCCGCTTGGCGTCATTGTCAGCGATCCCTGCCCTTAGGAACCACTACCCGGGAAGGCGTACGCACCAGCACAGGACCTATGCCAACGTAGCCTTCCACGCCTGCTCAAAGGGGCAATTAGACCAATTTCGGTTTAGGGATGGAAGGATCACTATTCAGCGATTAATCATGCTTGCCTTCCTCGTACTCGCTCGTGCAATGGGTACGCTTGGCACCTGATCGGCCTAGCCCTATCGCAAACATCCTGGACATCATCCTTACACCATCACACGATGCCTGCAAGATGAACGAGGCTCTTATCTATGGAGTATTCGTAGCAATGTCGGGTCGCCTCCTGGACAGATTCGTGCTGCCCCCGTCGAAACGAAGAAGCAATGATAATACGAGTCTCAACATTGAACAGCGCCTGTCAGGCTGAGACATTGTATGCACCGATATCCATTTTTAGGCATCGTCATGCCAAGGTGACATGTGCAAAGTTTGCCACATGCCACTGTTGTGTAGCCTGTGGAACGAAGCCGCAGCGAAAGGATCAGGGATATTCGAGCGATGAAAAAGTGACGATCGCTGCTCAAGCTACGTGCGTCATCCGCGCCGCCAGCCCATGGAGACGGCCCTCCTGAGTCAGACAGACCGCATGGACTGAGGCACATACACAGTTCACGGCTTGCCGGACAATGGCAAGGTACACTGTATGCAACCATTCGATTTTCTCGGCGACCGACTGTACCTTGGAACAATCATGCGCAGCACGGCACGAGGAAGCCGCTAATCAGCACCAACTTCTGCTCGTGTTCAGGAGATCAGTCGTGCTGCCCAGCTGCTGCTACTTCAGCTGCTGCAGACCGCTGGCCTTCAACACCGTCGCACGTTTCCGACAGGAATCTCTTATCTTTGCGGAATCCGCAATCAGGCTCAATACGAACGACTCAAACGACACGATGGGGCCCAGGCCTTGCCCCAATCCTGTGTGATGGAACCAGACATACACCTCTTCCTCCAGTCTGGAGCCGGTACTGACTGCTCACACACTGCACCCATGGAGGGGCCTCGACATCGCGGTAGTCATCCATTAGGCTGAATGAGTCTTGCAATAGCGGTCGATCCGAACCTTATCTACAGGACTGCAATCGATGCGCGATTGTATACCTGGCAAAGCCCGCGCTATACGCTTCTTGGAAACATGTTCTCCCGAGAATCCGTCTTACTCGTTGCCTTCCGTCGGGGACTGACATCTGCGCGCCCTCTAAGTCTCAGATAGCCCGAGTGCAACGGAGCCAATATTCCAGGGGACTGAGACATAGCTGCAAGATCGCCGACATGAATATTGCCTTGTTCTACGCTACACCGCGACGCTCAGGAGACACCGAGCCCTCATAAGACGATCATATTACCCCCACGCCCCCTGGCTTCGCCTTGTCGACGTCGAACCACACACGAACGCAATTTGCGCCAGCGGATCTCACTCAGTGACGATCTCAGAGGCCTACATGCCAGCTCCAAGTACCTTTGTGACTTTCCGCCGCTGCCTGGTGTATGAGACAGATCTCGCTTCGTTAAAACAGGAAATCAGACACATCATCCACTCTGTAAGCAAACGATGCAAAACCAACCTTCAGGTGCCGTCGAGATACGATGGCCAGTGAATGTGATTGCTCTCACGAACGAGCATGGTCACCTTCTTGACAAGCACTTACTTGGCTCGTCCCGAAGGGCACGCTGCTGGCTCCCAGCGTCTTCACCGCGAGATAATAGAAATCGTAAGTCTTATTGACCACGGCCCAATCAGTCGAGCACAGCGCATCTCGGCTGCGGCATGCTATGTGTGATACAAGTCCTTAGCATTGCGCAATTGAAAGAACATCAATTATGCGCAGAAACCCTGACAGCTGCCTGAGGAGACATATGTCCAATGTTCCTGGCACTTGATCGATCCCGGCTCTCCGACGAGATGACGAAACTCAACCTTTACCCGTCCACAACCATCAACGACCACGGACCACGACTTCGTCAACGTAGCTTAGCATGCATATTGACCGGACCCAAGCCGCGACACGATTCTCACTTCATGGGCAGACCACACGTGGCCCGACAGCAAGTATGCGAGCCAACCGTCAGCTACCATCCATATGCAAGAACGGCATAAGTCACACATTCACCCGTTCACATAGCTGAGCATATTTCTATCTCCGACTCCTTCTCACAACACGACTCTCCGCATCTCCAGGAGATAACGTGCGCTGCGTCAGCAAGTTATACAACTCGCATTCACCCGCCGTCAACATTCAGACGACCCCAGACCACGTCTTCGTCCGTTTACACGAGCATGATCTTCTCACTACGACGTTCTCCCACAACACGGACCCTTCCATATCCAGCAGGATCGTGAAACAACACGAGGGGACCATGCTGAAAACGGCCCCCATCATAATTACCAGATCGGGAAATACTTCCATGCCAGGTACATCATAGCCACCGATACGAGCGAGCGGACTTATTATCTGCCTAGCGACACCCTGAAAATAACAACACGGAATGCCATGAAAGCCCACGATAGGACATAGGTAGTACGTTGCCCCCATGACGCCGCTTAACTCCAGCAGTCTTCTTCTTCCAAAAAGACCAAGATTGCAATGCTACTGGTAAAAATGATGCAGAATCGGAATTGCGTACACAATACCTGCCAGAGCCTGCGCCGGTCCATCTGGTAGCGAAGCACGCGGCATGATGCAGAGTCATATCGAGATCCGGTGAGCATCTCTTCTGAGCATGACAATACGTGCCACCCCCTGCGCCATACACTTCATCGCGTTCGTGAGTGAGATCAGAGTAACAGCGTCTAACCATGACGATCTACTGAACGGTGATGGTGCGTCCGATACTCTTGAGCCCGCTCTATTGCAGCAAGTGTTGGTGGCATGCGCCAGCAATAATGTCGTCTGCGAGAATCAAGGCAGGTGCCTAGATCGCTTTTCGCAGCTTTCCAGGCGCTCTCTCGAGCGACATCGCACAGTCTCTTGTATGACACGCTCCATGGACGACGGGGTCACGTACAACCCTCCCGCAGCTCCATCCATTGCAGCGATTGCTGGGGAGTACCTGGTATGATCACCCCCCATGAAGTAAGTGAAAATCCGCAAAGGTCTACAGAACAATCGCCTTCACAATATCCAAAGCGACACCGAAACCACTCCAGTGCTTATGTTGTCCGGATGATCCGCTTTGCATCAGTCCTTCCACTTTCCCGGTAGTCTCAACAAATATCGGGCACGATCTTCTGACGGCCTCCTTTCCGAGAACGAAGATGAATAGACCGACTCCCATAAAGTGCTCTCCTGGGACCATAGCAAGGAGAATCTGAGCATTTGCCAGCGATAATGACGACCTCCTTGATGACGACGACAGTGCTCACAATCCACTCCTTCGAAGGCCCCTTCCAATCTCGCCAGACGCCGAGCACCATCTACTTGCTCCCACCCTTCCCGAAAACATAAGATCAGTAGGCCGACTCTCCCGCGCAAACCATTCACCCGATCCCTTTCCCGAAGGACCCGCGCACATCCCGACGGGTAGCATCCTAAGTTACGATCACGTTGCTGCGTATACCCTACCATCGCACTCCACCAGCAGCCGTTATGAAGAGATCTAGCTACAAGACAGCAATCTCGCTTGGAATATGAGAATACGTAGGAATTTGCTGACGCCCTCGCTCTCGACCAGGTCCGGGGAGGGGCACCAACGGCCTGCTGTTCATGAGCGTTTTCTGAACAATTGACGATAGAGGCATGCAAGAGCAACACTCGCAACCCACTCAGATCAGCACATATCATTGGAACGAAATACAATGGTGACGGTTCTCCTGCACGAGGTGAACACTACGTGGACTTGGAATGAATTCGTCTCCTCCGGAGGCCGGTTGACGAGGAGCTTTACACTAGACCGGGTGACCAGATTTTGGCAAGGACACATCTGCCGCCGGATGACACGCATATTAAATGACGCCGGATGACTCTCGTTCACATGGTACGCCAAAACTGAATCATACTCTTTGGCACAATAGTGGTTCTCGACAGCTTGGCTACTATTTCTTTGCCTATGAAAATCCTGGCCAGTCAGAATGTGATCTATATACATTGCTCAGAAGTCCATTCGTTCGTAGACTCTGACGCTGCCACATATCGCGTAATCTGGGTTTGCGTCTGATTTCCTAGAGCTTGGCCCCCATCGGTCCGTCCCAATACCTCAAGTTACCTTATGTCAATCTGTCCGTGCATCGTTGCCATCATCCTGTTTCGTGCTGTGGTTGCATCTCGTGCCATACGAGAATTGGGGGGGGTTTCCGCTAGTCTCTCAAGACCCTTCCCATCGATGCGTCATCCACACCCTCCTCCGTCTAAGTCTTCTTCAGTCCCTTATCTGCCTGCTAAATCTCTCCCAATGGATTGATAGGTGGGAAGTGAGCTCGTCGTGTCAGTGCCAGAAGGGCTGCTTCCAACGGGCGATGTCTGTGGCTGTCCAGAGGGCGACTGAGTGGAAGAGCTCGTCGGTCTGAGGCCGGGTGAATAGCTCCCGAATGCTGTTGGTCTAGGCTGCCCAGATACCCTGGACGGGGGAATGTTGAATGACCCAAAAGGCGCTGCGCTGCTTCCAGAGGCCGATGTCTGCGGCTGCTCATTTGCCTTCGGCGGAGGAGAGTTGAATGGCCCAAAGGGTGGAGCACTGCTTCCAGAAGGTGTTGCCGCAGGCTGCCCGGAAGCGCTCGGCCGCCAGAAGCCGGATCCGGAATATCCTGCGCACGATGCCTGACCTTTCTTGGGAAGGATATATGCATCACTTCGTGGAGCAGCCGGCTTTGCAGCGCTCTTGATGTCTTCCCATTTGAAGGATGACGTGGAAGCGCTCGATCGATAATTCCTCGGGCTCTCCGGCAACTCTGTGATGCGACCCGGCTGCTGTGAATGTAGAACAGTGTTGTGTGGCAAGTCTGTGCTTGCTACACTGATCCTAGATGGTACGTTTCCAGTGCTGTTAGAAGCTTCACCATCTCGGGTATCCGCCACTGACGCAGCGAAGTTGACCTCAGGGCGAGCATCGGATCTGCTGTTGCCTTGATTCACTGAGTTCGCAGAAACAGCAGCTTGCGCCTTGCGAATTCCTGCCGGGGGCGACAGCTGCGTTGGCAGACCGAACTTCGGAGTGACTGGTGGTGCAGGATCACTGGCTAACACACTGCCGCTGAAACCATCTGAGCTTGCCGATGTTTTGTCTGTGTTGGCAGCCTTGGGCGAAGACCAAAATGATGGTGCAGCACTCATATTATGAGACCTGCTCGTGGCTGATATTGGAGCTTTGCTGTCGATAAATGTGTCGCCTGTACCGAACGACGCTCTCTCTTTGCCTTTGGAACCCTTGCCAAATTCTTGATCAGTCCGAGAGCCTTGTTCTTTGTATATGGTAGCGAATGGGCTTGAGGACGAGGAGGAACCCGACGAGTTGGCGTACTGCACAAAGCCATCACCCTTCTGACCCGAGGAGCATATAGGAGAGGTTTCCTTCGCGCAAGGGTCGGATGTGGTAGGACAAATGGACCCTGGCATCGGTGGTATTGTTGGGTCAAGCTCTTCATCGATGCATTCAAAGCACCGGTGGTCGTTAGGTATCTCTTGCGGAGGGTAGTAGCATTCGATGTGTTGCCAAGTGTTGCACTTGTCGCAGCAGATGATACTGTCATGAGACTGGTCAGTAGATCCGCAGTCGCATTTGATGGTGTGAGCCTTCCCCCTGCGAGATGTGCGTTCGAGACGTCGCGTTCGTTCAGTGGCGATTGTTTCTCTCGAGGGATCGCGACCGGCAATGATAATGCTTCCGAGGCCGTAGAGGGTCCTCCTTGCTCGTCATCCCGTGACGAGGTCGGAGTGTACTGAGGGGAGTGTTCACTACTGCCGCTTTCGTGGCTCAAGTCGAGGGTCGCGATATGTTTCTCCTTTCCCTTGGTTACCAGACTTTCGCCTTCAAAGCGCGGCTTCGATCCACTAACACCGGTAGACTGCTGCTTTTGCTGCGCAGAGGAAGCCGAGTCAGACGCTCCAGATGCCGAAGCCGGAGGCCCGAAGGTGAGGTTCGGGTGCAGAGTCTGTCCTGCCACACTTGGAGTTCTACTGTCGACCGCAGCAGGGCCTGTGATGGCTGTCGATGGCGCATCGCCAGGTTGGGCGCCTTTCATGCTTGTCGATGGAACATTGCCGAATAGTGAGCCTGCGGTGGCTGTCGATGAGGCATGCCCGAATAGTGGACCTGTGGTGGTCGTCAATGGCGGATTGCCAAACAGTGGTCTCGGCGGCGCACCACCGAACAGTGAGGAGATTGGGGCCACACTCTGAGCGGCACTTCCATCCGGACCATTGCCTAGTGCAGAGGCCATTGTTGGAGGATAGTAGGGGCTGCTTCTTGCGGCCATTGTTGGAGGATAGTAGGGGCTGCTTCTTGGTATTCCTGACCGAGGGTTGAAACTGGATTGGAACGAACCAGGCTGCGTGGAAGTTGTGTCAGGCTGATTGCCAGGTGTGGACTGTGTAGTGGACGCTTGAGGTTGACCGCTACCAGTGCCGAAGTGCCATCCGATATTTGGTGTGTAGGGAAGTGTGGTGCCGCCGATTGGGGGGAGTGGGTGCATGAATGGTATGGCTGATGTAGGAGGTGGACTGGCTTGCGACGGCTCCGGTCGTGTAGTTGGTCGACTGGAGCTGGAGTTCTTCTGCAGCGCGACCTGGCGAACAACCCCTTCCATCAACTCTGTCATGTAGTCGCTTAGAAGCTCTTTCTCTGACTGCTCTGAGAAGGTGTATCGACCACTCAAAATGCCACGGCTGACTTGCTCGACACACAGCTCTCGCAGGGGATCTTTCTCCACTGTCTCGTCCATGATGAATCGTATGTCAACGGCGGAATATGAAGTCCAGGCAGCTTTGATCGCGGTGTAGCATGCATATTCGAACTTTGGGTCCTGTAGACGAGTCCCCAAGCAGTACATCTCGATTTGTTCCTCAAGAATACTCGTGGTTATGCGTCCAGAATAGAGGAAGTTAACATAGTGATCGAAGATATCCGGTTCCTCTTCCGGCATGCGAATGATGCGCTCCGACTTCTCTTGGAAGCCGTGGGTCATCATGGCTTTGACAAGTCCCGAGTTTGCTGTCAGGAGATGTTCGTGGATGATGTATTTCGCGGATTTGGCGGCGAGACCTGCCCCGACCAGGACCTCCAGGATGGCGGTTTGGTCGCGAAGAGTAGTGAACGTCGATGTGGAGAACGACATGTTGTTGGACGAAGCGACCGGCTTGGATGTGTCTTCGTTCATGAGTTGTTCGTAGCGGTACTCTTCGTAGCTCTTCTTCGAGCGAGGTCGGATTTCGAGGTTGGCATCGTTGTTCCAGTCAGGCTCGCCGTATCGAAGAGGCGGCCGTGGGAGCCCGAAAGGATTACTCTGTGCCATGATTGCGCAAAGTGCTCAGTACTGTGATGGAGTGAGTGTCTCTAAGATTGTGTGCATTTTAAAAAGGATTTAACAAAAACAATTTGAGGATGGTTTCAAGTCGAAAGAACACCTTGAGGCTCTTGTTGCCTGGGGAAAAGGCGGGGCATGATCGTCAGGCAACAGTCTCGGCAAGGCAGCCACTAGTGAAGGACTGCAACATTCAAGTTAGACCTTGACGTTCAACTAGCCCGTACTGTTGTTCGAGAAGCACTACACTCAGGTCGTAGTAACGTGAAATTCATTCTATGCTCGGAATGAATATCGTTATTGATACCTCCACCGCTAGTGTTGGCTGCAAGTCTGTCCACGCTATACTAGAATTACATAATTTACATCACCAGTGTCAGTGTCAGCACCTCACTTCGCGCCCGCAGCGACCTGTCATGGCTCTCCATTTTGGATGGTACCGTGGGCTTCTGACGGCGGCGACGTGAAGCTCGCGTTCCAAAAGCAAACTAATCAGCAGTTCATTTAGCTCTGGTGCTACTAAACACTGTGCCCTCGTGTAATTGCTGCTGGAGACTGCAACATCGGCAGATAAACCGCGTGCTTAGGAGCGTAGACTCGACTGGTCGGCCCTTAGTGAACCATCGGCGGTTGTGTGACGAGATGTACTTCGTATATAGTCGGACCTGGGACTGAATTGCTCTTCAGGCCGCGCAAGCCACCGCCACAATCCAGATGATGGTCATGACGGAGATTAGATGAAGGACTCACGTGTGAGGCCAGCCCAGTCCTTCTCCGACAGCTTTATGCCCCTAGGGTCGAGCATCCCTCTCGCCTTGCCGTTGCTTTCAACGTCTGTCATCCTGATAGGGCTAACGACGCCCTGCATAAATATGAAGTCCTGGAGAAAGCTCAACGACCTGCTCGGGACTTTCGATTGCCGGCCTTTGCCCAATGTAATTCTCGTTCGCCAGCCTCCGGGCATCGACAGCTGGCCCGGCATGACCATATAATGAGTTTCGCTGAATGGGTGGCGCCGGCGTATATCGATACTCATAGCCACTTCTCCCGTGGTCAGTGGTTTTAGCCGTATCGATTTTATGAAGCCAGCGTATCTGATAATCGCCCAGCCTCCAAAGCATGTCATCGCGAATATGCCAACGCGGTTGCCGGCCGCGATGAATCGTTTCTTCCATATTCCTATCTCGTAGTCCTTAGTGACCATGTTGTCGGTGTCCCAGTTCTTAGTGAGCCACATATTGACTGAACCACCTATACAAGCTAGTCCAATAATCCGCGACAGCCATATCCACGCCGCTTTTGAAGGTGATATGTATATATCACGCACTCCTTGGTCATAGAGTCTGTTTGCGACAGCGACAGCCGAGGCGACTTGTGTGTAATTGATCGGTCTTGACACGGTACCTGATCCTGCTGGGAGCCTCGCTTTCCGGGCGACCGGCGTGCCAGGGTTTGACTTCTGTATTTTCGCCCTCGGCTTCGATGCGGTGGCGACCTTTGACGCAAACCGCGTCAAGTGTGAGAAGTGCAGCCGGCAAGCTGGGCATTGTCTCCCGAGTCGTAGACTTCGGCTGAACATGGTCCTCCCGCTCCACCCTCACAACCGAGCGCAACCCCCTCAAGCTGCACAGACTACACTGCGATCAGCCTGATCCAGCACAAAAGATTGTCGGCGCCGCAAGTTGCAGTTCGCTTCTCATGGTCAGAGCGTCACAAGAGAGCAGCATCACTCTTTGCTATGTCGATGGCAGTCGCAGCTCAAGTCGAACAAACCCTAACCCTGATGTTTCCTCCGCAGATGTTGCTCGGAGCTTTGGTGAGCTCGACCAGTGTCCCAACATTCACATACTGACAAACAACGACCTCCACGCTACTCCGACCTAACGCAAGGCCCACTGCCGGTGCTGAATGGTTCTACACTACACCCTCGAAGCCGCAAACATGGCCGGCCGCCAGTCAGCCCGGGTGCTGGCTCAGCAGCTCCGCTCCGCTACCTCCCAACCATATGCTGGCCGCTCATTTTCCTCAATACCCACAAGGCTGGCAGCGCACAGCTTCACAATGCCCGCGATGTCACCAACCATGACAGAGGGCAACATTGCCAGCTGGAAAGTCAAAGAGGGTGACTCGTTCTCCACCGGCGACGTTCTATTAGAGATTGAGACCGACAAAGCGACTATAGACGTCGAGGCGCAAGACGACGGCGTCATGGCCAAGATCTTTGCACAGGACGGAGAGAAGGGTGTCAAGGTTGGCACGCGGATAGCGGTACTCGCTGAGGAAGGCGACGACATCTCTTCCCTAGAAATGCCCGCCGAGGAGAGCAAGCCTGCCCCCAAAGCAGAAGAAAGCAAAGAATCCGCTCCCTCAGAGCCCTCACCACCCAAACAAGAATCACAACTCAAGAAACAACCGCAGAAATCCTCATCACCACCGCCTTCAGGCCCAGGTCAAAATCCCAAATACCCACTATACCCCTCCGTCCAAGCCCTTCTCCACGCCAACCACATCCCCGAGGCCGACATCCCCAAGATCCGCGCAACTGGGCCCCAGAACCGCCTCCTCAAAGGCGACGTCCTCGCCTACCTGGGCACCATCTCCTCGGACTACCCGTCTGAACAATCCAAACGCCTCACCAACCTCGCCCACCTCGACCTCAGCAACATCAAACCTCTCCCGCAGAAGCCCAAGTCCGCCAAACCCACAGACTCCTCATTAGCAGCATCCGCCCAAGAATTACCGCCCACAACACAAATCTCCCTCCCGATCTCCCTCTCCACCCTCCTCGCAACCCAACGCCGCCTCTCCGAAACCCTGGGAACCAACATCCCACTAACAACCTTCCTCGCCCGCGCCGTTGACCTCGCGAACGACGACCTGCCGCTCCCAAAACCCACAAACCGTCTTCCGACGACCTCTTCAACGCAGTCTTGGGCGTCGACGCGCTGCCTACTACCTCAAAGGGGACCTACTTGCCGCAAATCAACGCGTTGCCGGAGAGTGCTACGAGTTTCGTGAGGTCTGCGCCTTCTCCATCGAGAACAGCGTTCAGGAAGCCGGATATCATCGACATCCTCACCTCGAAATCCACGAGTTCAAGATCTTCGCGGGCGAGACCGCAGCGTAGGCAGGCTAGCACAGCAGCAGCACCGACACCAACGTTGACGAGCCCGATAGGCGGCAGTATCAGCACGACAGGCGGCGCGATGAACATCTTCAGCGTGACCGTCCCAGCGGGCGAAGAGAAGCGGGCACGGACATTTTTGGAGCGGGTCAAGACTGTGCTGCAGGTCGAGCCGGGGCGGCTAGTTTTGTAATGTCGAGGGCTCCCGCGGAGCGCTCTGTCATTCTTCGGTTCGCGTTATAGCGTCAAAAGCGAGTTGGACTGGTCAAGAGCTTGTGACCGCGCAGGCGAAGGATCAGGCTCATGTGCAACGCTGGCAGTATTTGTATAGATCAACATTTCATCATCCGTCCACTCAAACCAGTGACAATCTGGACCGTGCTTTCCCGTCGAGCCCGTCTAGAGCAGAGCTGCAGTCGTACTGGTAGCAGGTATGGATACAGATGGGTAGCGTTTTTCTCGTCCTCGACCACGACAGAGAGCGCACTGGTATATATGTAGCAAGTCATGGACGGAAATTGAATGAGAGTTGAGTGTTGTGTTATTGCGACAAAAGAGATCCTCCTCAAATGAATGTCCATTCCGACTTCCTTGTCCTTACGTTCCCAATTTCTGCAGTTCTACATAGCTCACCCACACCAGCTTCCTGCTCGCCCACACACTTTGATGTAGGTAACCACTCCAAAGATCTGCCCATCGCGGTTACCGCTCTGTGTCGTCGGTTCAACCACGACTGGCGATGTTCAGGTTCCCTAGGTTGAGCACTGACCTTAGCTCATTCTCCATTTGCGCCGCTGTCGGTTTGGTCTTGGCAGGTGGACCGCCAGGATTGCCAGTGGGGTACGCAGCAACCGAGTGGCGGTGCTGCTGGGGAGGACCTTGACCATGCATGCTGTTGGGTGGTGGCGGGCTGAAATAGCCAGGAGGCTGATAGGGCTGCTGCTGGTTGGGTCCGTGACTATTTGCTGGATGCATAGCCGGTGGTCGGCCGGAGTTGGGCTGACCCATTGGGAAGGCTCCAGGGCTGGGAAAGGGTTGGTTTGGGATTTGGTATTGTGGAAACTGGGTTTGTGGTGGTGGTGAGAAGACCGGTCCGCCGGGCGGTACCTGGGTTGGAACTGTGGCATTTGCCTGCCGTCGAGCGGTAGATGTGCGTGGAGGCGTGATACCAGAATCGGATGACAGCTCAGCTGCTTCTGTTTCGCTCGCTGCTTGGTAGCGGAGGTGAGATGGTCTGTTTGGATTTGATAGTGGTTGAGCCGTGTACGGGCGCGGCTGTGGGGCTCTAGCATTGAATGGGTTGTTGGGATCGAGAGGCTGTGGCGACTTCTGGGGGCTCGCGAACAGCATCTGCTTCAGAGCGTCTGTCTTGGCTTTTCGTTCGGTATCGTCCATTGTGCAAGCGCTATTGGAGGTAGAACGTTTGACAGAATTGATTCGATCGTTGAACGAAGAGGTCGAAGTAACGGCTTGTTCGCCAGGGCCCGTAGCTCCGTCTAGTTCAAGAGGGAAAATGGAGTCTGGTGCAGGCGATCGTGCAGCTGGGCTTCGAGATGGAACAGATTGTGCTCCTTGAGCAGCGAGGCTATCGCTTCTCACACCATCTCTCCGCTTCCGCTCAGCATCAAACATCCAGTCTAGCGGTGTAGACTCTCGCTTCGTTGGAGTCGCAGCATCAGGGGCGGTGATGAGTTCCTGATCAATGGAATTTTCGATGATGGGTGGAGGCTGCTTTGCAGGGACGGATTTGGAGTAGAATTCGGGAATTGGAAGCGAAGATGCGGCGGGAGAATTATGCCAGGCAGGACCAGCATAAAGATTCTTGTATGGCGTCCCTTGTGATTTGGCTGGAACAGGTGTGTCGGAAGCATTGCCACTGACTGGAGGCTTGTTATGTGCATGAGACTTGCTGCGTGGTTTTGAGGCATCTGTACTTGCAGTGGGTTGTACATGCTTTACTGCAGACTCGTTCTCGGAGACAGCGTTTCGTGGAGCATTTGCCGGGCCATTTTGAGCAGGCTGAGGCTTGTTGTGCTTCTTGCCAGACCGGCGCGGGCCTTTCGGAACGTGTTGTTGCGGAGTTGACATGGTGTAACTCGCTCGGGCTTGATAAAATCGGCAGCCTCAGGACCTTGATATAATCGATAAAGACGAACGCGAGACAGAACGACGCGGATTGGAGATGAATCGAACGCGAAACTAAGATCGTAGGCCGAGAGTTACAGCGCCCGCCCTGGCCAGGAAACTCACAACTTACCAATCTTTCGCGCTGACGCTGGAGTGAGGCTCAGTTCTATCCGGCGCGCCTTCGTTGCGGAGAGTGGCTCTGATCGTGATATCGTCTTCTGCTTGATGTGGAGGGTTCTGATCGTGAGAAGACGTATGTGTTCATTGTCGAGTGAGGGATTTAGAGTTGATCAATAGATCAGTTATCTAATGCTTGCGCGAGGTGGCCTCTGCAATAGATAAAGAAGAGATCGAGAGAGCGTTGGCAATGTGGTAGTCGTTGGCGTCGAACGAAAGCCAGATGCTACACGATTCTATGAATGGATGACAAGAAGAATTTAAAGGTCAAATGGTAGGTGTCGTGGTAGATGTGGTATGTGGTTTGGTGTGTGGTGTGTAGTGGTGAGGTTGAAGTGCTCGAGGTTGACACGTCAAAGAGGATGATGGCCGGCGTTTGCGGTCTCGGCACACGTCGATCAATCGCTAGGCGGCAGTCTTACCTAATCGGCTTTGTTCCGGGCGCGCAAGTAGGCGTCCTCCGCATCTTGCCTCATGCCTGCGCTACGTTTGCCTTACAGCACATGAATAAGTCACTGCTTCTAGTGAAGTCGGACGTCTGCCGCAGGCATATCGCTATCTCACAAACAAGAGTATTCTGACACATTGTCTCTTCTCATCAACAACACTTCCTCTCAGTCTCCTCTCCCCACCACAGACACCCCAACTGAGGACACCGCCGACGCACCCCGCATCAATCACCGAACACACTCAATCAACTGTAGTCTATTTCACAACTCTCCAAGATGGCGGATGTAGAGATGGCCGACGCCGCACCGGCAGGAGACGACAAGAAGAAGGTGGTGCCCAAGACCGCGAAGGCTGCGGCTGCAGATGGCGCGGTAGACAACAAGAAGAAGTTTGAGGTGAAGAAGGTACGTCCATCCGTCGTTGTCCTCACAAGTGGAAGCATACGCTGACGGATTCTAGTGGAACGCAGTGGCTCTATGGGCTTGGGACATTGTCGTTGACAACTGCGCCATCTGCCGGAACCACATCATGGACCTCTGTAAGTCGATGGCTTTGCTAAGAAGATGCTCGCAGCGTTCTGACTTGGCTTCTTCAGGTATCGAATGTCAAGCCAACCAGGGCGCCGCAACTACGGAAGAATGCACAGTCGCTTGGGGTATTTGCAACCATGCATTTCACTTTCACTGCATTTCCAGATGGCTCAAGACCCGACAAGTCTGTCCGCTCGACAATCGCGACTGGGAGTTCCAGAAATACGGTCGTTAGAATAGCCGCGTGGACTCAAAGGACCAGCCCTCGTGGGCGGACTGGTACGCAAACTGGGGGTCACACTTCATGGCGGGTCACGGGAACGGCACAGCGCTTCATGTCCACACGAGTCTTCCATACCACTGGCACCAGGGGCTAGAATGGTACAACGCCCTGAACAGTGGAGAATAATGATCCTACAAACTCGGCATGCTTCGATAGTCGCCAAAGTCGAACGAAGGAGGCGCTCTCTCTCCAGCCCAAGCGCCGGAGATGATCAACGCTGAAACAGATATATTGATACAAAGCACGGCTCAGTTGGCTTCTCGTAACGAGACAGTCAGTCATCCTCAGTCACTTTTTCGGAACAGCCTCAGCCAGAGTCAAACAAGGTCATGCATCTCACTACTGGACTTTCTTCCCTCCAACCACGATTCCTCCGCTTGGCAGTCTCGTTCTCGAGCCAAGCCATCGCACCGGATGCTTATTGTAGAATGGCCACGGTGGCACGATCAGGAGCATGACCGCCAAAGTCAGTCCTAGGCCAGTCCATAGCGTAATGTAAATGTCATCCATGACGAAGCCACACACTAGTGCAACCATCTGGCAACAGTGAGCAGCGAAACGTCCGGGCGAATGATGAACGTACAGTGCATGTGTAGAGGGAGAATGTTGACATATCTTCGGCCAAGGCTTGTCCTTTGAAGTCCTTTGAGGACAAGTCAGCACCATTGTATTCCCAGAAAGTGATCGACCTTCACGACTTACAATGAGACCTTCCACCGCATCTCGAATCGGGTTGAGCAGGTCGTCCATGGCGCACTGTCTTCAGCAACTGTGACTCAATATGGCTGCCTCAGGGATCCCGTTGCTCGGGAGCGGGTATTCAAGGGAGATCTGATGGCTCAGGCTTTGGGCGTTAGCCTGGCAAATTGGGCAGTGGATCGGGTACTTTCTGACGAAGCCTAGCAGCTGGACACGCTTGGCCGCGGTGACAGGATCAATATCGCGGTCTTCAAGTGGCGAACAATACACGTGAATCTGCCTTGTCGTTGGAAGGACTTTGGTCGCGGTCGATCGTTACGGGCTTGGCCGAGACAATGATTGGAAGATGGCGCCGCAGGCGCATCGGGCTAGTGAAGTTCGCTTTGACGTCCAGGCTTGTTGCTAGTCGGCATCGAAAAAGTGGCTCAACATCATAAAAGGGCTCATTTCCATCAAAGTTTTCCTTCCCCGACTTACGAATCCTCTAAAGGTTCATCGTTGCCCGCATTTTCGACCTCGGACCTCATCACTTCACCGCTTGACAAGCTCGTGTACACGACTTGTTATTTTCCACCCACGCCAACTACGTCCTTCGATTTCGTATCGACACCAACACACAACTTCGCATAGAAAGGCTGCGCTCAGTCTTTCTACTCGCACCAGCACATCCATTCTGGCGAATCCAGACGAATCGTCATTACCCTCGCCCTTCACCGTGGCGGCCTTTCAACTCAAGAACGCTGCCATCATCCGCCCTCTGCTAGGAACTGCAATGGTCTTCTACTCTGGAGCTGCTACTCGACCACCATAACTTGACTCCCGTGTCCCAGGAGTTCTCACACGAGACCTGCAACTGCAATAAAGAAATATCCAGTCGCCAAGTACGACCAGCATCATTCAAGATTAGTCAAGACAAGTCCTAGTAAGGCATCGCCACGATGTCCTCTGGCTCGAACCACTCCAACGAGAGGCTCGACACACGCTTCAGCACTCCAGCCCCGGAGCTCGATGACCACCGACCACGTCGAGCACAGTTGGAAACAGCAGCACCAGCTGCTCAGCAGTCCAACGACGTGCCGACCCTCGAAGTCCAGCAACCCACTCCACGCCCAAGCATCTCTCATGCCGCAGAAGTTACCGCCCGCCTGAACGAAGCTATCCAGAATGCGCCTGGCGCTCACACTCCAGTCAATGCGAGAGACTTCGAAAATGCAATCGAAGACGACGGGGAAGCTGAGAATGACGTGGTGTCTCCGATCCAGCAGCGCAGCTCTAAGCCGCGCCAGTATACCAACAGGGTGGGAAGGCCAATCAACCTCGATCTTCGCCGACATGAGAGGTCCCGCGACAGCTCCTCTTCCTCGTCGTCTTCACCCGCCAACTCCATCGAGGCTTTTGCCGAGCCACGTCGCCGTGCACGCGCCAACACGATCGACAGCAGAGCGTCGACTCCCAGTCTCCGTCCTCGAGGCTATTCCGACCGCCACTCGCGTCGCCCAACATTGAGCCAGATTAGTATTCCTGGCGTGGCGACTCAACGCACTGATCGAGATGCCGATGAGCGCCTGTCGTTCGTTGACGACGAGCCCGGCAAGACACTCAAAATCGATTATGAGGAGCTCGAGGAGTTCGTGGCCCTTTGCAAGCAAGGCAAAGTCCATCAGTATCTCTCTCACGATGGCGATAGCGAGAGCGGTACTCCCCAAAAGGTCTTCGGCGACATGCGCAACAACGGCGCCAGCGCCAGTGCTCCCAACGTCGCACTGAACGGCGAACACTTCCACGAGAAACCACTCACCACCCTCTCCAGCGCTGCAACCCAAGTCGAGATGAACAAACATGCCCGTTGACCGCTTCACCTTCTTCTCCTCCGATGTCCGCAAGCCCCTCCGCGCCCCCAGTATCGGCGACCTGCTCCAAGGAGACGCCACATTCCGCGACCTCTTCGAAGTTGCCGACGAAGGCGGTGTCTGGTGGCTGGACATGCTCAATCCCACAGCCGCTGAACTCGAATGCATCTGCAAAGCGTTCAAGATCCATCGCTTGACCAAAGAAGACATTGAGACACAAGAGCCTCGCGAGAAGGTCGAGCTCTTCCCGCAGTACTACTTCGTCTGCTTCCGCTCTTTCAATATGGACGCCGCTCACGAAGACTTCCTCGACCCGATCCACGTCTACATCGTTGTCTGCGCCGACGGAGTCCTCTCTTTCAGCTACACCCCCAACCCGCACGCGCGCAACGTCCGCAAGCGCATCAACAAACTCGGTGACTTCGTCTCCTTGGGGCCCGACTACATCTGCTACGCCATGATCGACGACATTGTTGATTGCTTCGCGCCCGTGATTCGCGACCAAGAGCACGAGTCCGAGGCCATCGAAGACCAAGTCTTCATCGCGCGCGAAGACGACCTGTCCGCCCTTCTCAAGAAAATCGGCATGTGTCGCAAGCGCGTCCTGAACATGATGCGCCTGTTGGGAGGGAAAGCAGACGTCATCCGCGGCTTCGCCAAACGCTGTAATGAGAGCTACGACATGACGCCCCGCGGCGATATCGGTCTCTACCTCGGCGATATCCAAGACCACGTCGTCACCATGATGAGCAATTTGGGTCACGTTGAGAAAATGCTGAGCCGCAGTCATGGCAACTACCTCGCGCAGCTCAATGTCGACACGATCATTCGCGGCAACGTCTCCAACAAGAACCTCACCAAGATCACAGTCGTGGCTACGATACTCGTCCCCTTGAACTTAATAACAGGCTTGTTCGGCATGAACGTCCACGTTCCCGGGGCCGGCGGCGATAGTCTGGCTTGGTTCTTCGGGATCTTGGGCGCCATTTTGCTGTTTGTGACTACTGCGTTGGTTGTTGCGAGGCGGTTGAGGATGGTCTGAAAGGCACCGCGGCTTAAGAAAGACAGGCCCAGGGAGTATCTCGGTCTGTCTTGGTCTGCTTGCCTGGCAGGGGTCTTTATCAGTGACGACAGCGAAAATCGGAGCATCATCGCCCTTCGTCCATGCACGAGCGCATATCCTTTCGTCAAAGTTGGAGCAGTGACGGGTGGTCTCAATTGAAATAGTATGCGCGAGCATTTAAAACAAACAGATCTCCTAGTGTAGTCAAGGTATGTTGGGTAATGATCACAAGTACACAGACTTAGGTAGAATGCCGACTCTTGTCGACCAAATCACTCATCTTCTCCCCTTTTCGTTCATCGTATCAAGATTTAGCTCTTGACCCGGAGGAGAAATTCGAGCAGTTAGAGCAGAGGATCCCCATATGACGATTGGCCTACACGGGTATAAAGAACAGTATCTCGAACATACCTACTCTCTGACCACTCTGACATACTCGTGATCCGTGGCTTGGGCTTGGACGCTCCCGTGGCGCGATGCCCTGGCCTCTCTCTGTCTCTCGTGCTTCTACCTCTCTTCCGTCTTGACTCTTGAGCTCGCGGTTTTTTATGTCGGCCCCTAGCCTCAATGTATGCGTGTACCACGTAGCTGTGGGTTAGTGGCTGCCTGTGTGGATGTCTCATCGAGTTTCTGGTTTTGGTACTGGTCGCCCTTTTTGGATCGCATCATGTCGGATCACAGTCCAAGCCGTTGGCGTCCAGTGCGGTCCTGAATGCTGCTCCGATGAGTGTCTGTGAGCGCGGCGCAGGACTGGTATCGTGGATTCAACATCGCCGTGCCGCTTCGGGCAGTGCATTGGCTAGATTGGTCGTCGCAGTCGCTGGGGTAGGTGAATGTGTTATCTGGATTTCGCGCTCTGACCTGCCAGCACGCATACCGCCCATCCATGGGCGAACGTGATGACACGGACTGTGTTGGGGCCAGTAATGCAGATCGTCTTGTGGCTCCAAGAGAAGCGTGCCTCTAATCGGCAGCCAGTTCGAATTCCTTCCATATAGTTTCTTTTCCTCGCTCAGTCACTACTCGCACACCCCCTACACCCACAGTTAACACACTGCATGCTCGCCGCCCCACCACCACCACCCTCCTTCCCCTCCTCATCCCCTTCTTCTTGTCTCTTCAACTGCGCCCTCGGCACTCGACAAACACAAGTCCCCCCAAAATTCGTCTCCTTGCTCTGCACACACCGTAAACAGCACAACTTCTCGTACCCCTGCTTCTTCCACTTCGCGATCAAGTTCTTGTCCGCGTAACCTTCCTTTAACAGCCAGTCATACAACTCCTTTGAAATCGCTTCGCGCTCGTAGTACAAATCGTAGATGTATTTTGAGCGGGCGTGTGTAATTTGAAAGATCGGCCAGAGCGTTTCGTGCTTTTTCTTGCCGGCGGTGGAGGCGTTTTGGGCGTCGCGCATCTTGTTGGTGTAGTCGAGGAGGGTGTCTTCGATGTCGTGAAGCCGGTTGGGGGTGGTTTTTTGTTGCGCGAGGAGCGGACTGGTGGCATTGTGGGCGGGTGAAGGGAGTGCTAGGCAGAGATTGAGCGTAGTAAATGGTCCAGCGGCGGCTGCCCGCAGGCAGGTGGGCGTGGCGAGCTTCGCGCTTCCAGCGACGATTGGAGGGTAGATGTCCGTGAGCGTTGCGCTGCAGGCGAAAGTTATCAGTGTTGTGGTGTTCTGGGTCAGACGCGACTGTCGCCAGTCACTTGTGGGGTATCTGGAAATCTCGAGTTGTCCTGAGATTGAGAAGGTCTACGGATGTCGCGTACTCTGCGGCGTCGGTCTGAACTCTGCGTGAATGCTGCTGACTCCAAGTGTGCTCACGGCTGGCCGAGGATGTAGATATGTCAAGGGTGCGATCGTGGCAAGTAGAAAAGATGAAGGCAGCGACGGCGCCGCTTTGAAATTTGGAGAAGGGCAGTGACAATTTGGCCATCGTCACTTTAAGGTTTGTCACCGGCTGCCCTAACCCTATACATGTCTGAACATCACTTCATCCAGCTTACTATTAGAGCTGGTCATCCGGTCTGACTGTAGATCGGTTCTCAACTTTTGTCACGCCTCTGAGAGTCCTCACACTTCACGACCTCGACGGCGGGCTTCGACGGCGAGACGCCCGCTCTCTACCTGACAACTTGCTCTGGTAGGCACTTGCTTATGGCATTCCGATGTCACTTTGTCGTTGCTTGCCGTTCGAGTGCCGCAAATTCGAATCCCGGAGTGGTGCCGTATTGATTGCTTTCCCCGTGTTTCATCCAGCTCGCACTGCCGTTCTTCGCTTCCACGCGCAGCCGCAGGTGAGTACAGCGCAGCGGCTTGCGCGGATGAAAGGCCTGGTGCTCGGCAACGGCATCTATCTGATGTTGCCCACGACATAGCGCAACGCGTCCCATCCTGCGTTCGTCCGATGATCTACCATTTGGAAGCAATGCAGCCGGGGCGTCATATATGTCATCACAAGCTCGCACAGTCAAATTGCTCAAAGAATGCGAACGCAATGCTACCGCAATCCCCCGGACTGGGACGATGATGAAGGGACGTGAAGTCGGATTCCTCGGTTGCTCAGCCCCAGATTCCATAATCTGCAATTAGTTGCTCCTTCTTGGCGGTCGTTGGTCTGCCACCGGTTGCATTGACGGCGACGGCGACGAGCTAGTGCAGCAACGTGTGCCACATTGACAACAACGTATAAGTTTAGTGTCGAGACCATGGAAATTCAGGAGACTCTACTTCACCTTCCTCGCCAAAAACCACAGAAGCTTCCGTCATGCACATCTCAAGAACTCTGATAGCATCGCTTGCCGTGGCCTCAGCCTCGGCTGAACCCATCAAAGGAAAGAGCTATGAATGCCACGAGTTTCTGGTAGACATCTCAATCAATTCGACCTCCATAGTTCTCCCAGTGCCGCCCATCGCCAACGAGTATCAAGCAGTCAATTATGGACAGAGCCTTCTAACCCCACTGAAGGCGCTTCCGCCGCCACCCCAGACTGCGCCGCTGGTCAAGACTTTCCAGATCTCAGGCGATTTGTGTGTGCCTAAGAAGCCAGGCCCGAAGGCAGGAACTCTTCAGGTACGTCTGGACACACTCTTCTATGTGAACCGTCGCCGCGAGAACGTTGTGCAATGATATGTAATTGGGCCGTACCTTGCTTCTCAAGTTCGCTTATCGATCTACGTGAGATGTCTATCTGCAATCTCACATACCGCTATCATGGTCTCGCTAATAGTCTTACTCAGATCTTGACACATGGACTCGGTTACAACAGAACGTACTGGGACTTCTACTTGCCTGGCTCATCTGATACATCTTTCAGTCATGTCCACGCCGCCACCGCTGCTGGCTACAGTACACTCTCATGGAATCGGCTGGGAATAACTCCATCCACAATCGCCGACCCCCACAGCGAAGTTCAGGCCTGCCTCAAGCCCAGATCCTCATTTCCCTGACCCAAATGGCTCGTGAGGGCAAAATCCCCGGAATGAAGTCGCCGCCCAAACAAATCATCAACGTCGGGCACTCTTTCGGCTCCCAACTCACAGTGGGTATGGCCGCTCTAGCACCCGATGTCAGCGATGCCATTGTCCTCACGGGCATAAATGGCGACACCAGCGCCATCGCTTCAGTTCTCGGCACCAGCTGGTTTCGCCTCGCCAACAAGTTCGAGCCTGAACGCTTCCCCAAGCAGACCTACTCCAACGGTTGGCTCACCTGGGCCACAGAAGCAGAAAATCAGTTTAGCTTTTTCTGGTTCCCCAACTTCAAGCCTGAGGTCCTCGCCACCGCCGAAGCTGTGAAGCATCCTTTTACGCTGGGCGAGATCTTTGGCGGTGGACTGCTGCCGCAGCAGGCTCCGGCATTCAAGAAGCCTGTGCTTTACCTTGCATCAGAGCATGATGCTGTCTGTCGATTTGATTGTAGTAGTGATTTTGATGCAGATGGACCAGCATACGCGAGGTTCAACGGTACTGATGATATTGAGGTCTTTATGGTGCCCGGTGCGGGGCATGCCCTGCCGTTGCATACGAACATTACCGTCGGGTATGAGGCGTTGGATGCTTGGATCCAGAAGCGCTTCCCTTCAAAATGATCGACTACGCCCGAAGGACTTTCAGGGTTTAGCTAAGGCTTCCCATCGATCGGTGGTCCAGTCATTTCTTAATCGAACCTCCATCTCTACCACATATGTACCTATGAACGGACGCTTTACTTTCTTGGAATCTCCGCCTACCTGCACTACCACTACATCTTGCAACATAACACACTGATGCCTCCTTGTCGATGGCCCGACTCAGGCCAACAACCCGCCATGTGTTCAGTAGGTGTTGTCTCGCCAAGAACCAATCAGGCAACCAATCAGCCCACATTTCACGCGGCATCTGTTTGCCTTCCTTCCAATCTTCATGCTCCCAATCCAATATGTAGACGTAGAGGCTTCATCTGCTTGGGGTCTGCGCGAAGCTACTATGACTGAGCGAGTCGCGACTCCCGGAGTGGAATTCTACGCCCCCTTCCCGCATGATTGATACCAGGTTCAGGTACTTAGTAGGTTTGCGGGGCAACGACCCCGCCGTTCGTCCACAACCTGGTGGTATTGCTGCAAGTCCTGGTACCCGAGGTATCTGTGGTCGCCCTACCGATGACTGTCTCACATCTCACTTATCACCACATCACTGTCATGACGGAGAGTCCGCTCTGCAAACAGTAAGTCGCACAGCAGTCTCCTTGCCGGACGGAACAAATTTGAGTCTTCCCTTGCTGCGACACTGGCTCCGCTTGGCATTCATCTCTCGTCCGGATCAATCAGCAGATACTAAGGTCGTTGGCTTTGCTATCTACTTGAAAACGAACACGCCCTAACATAAATCTGGACCCGAAGTCGTTCCCAAGGTCGACGACAGGCACTAGGCCCCCTGGCGTCTGGCCCTTGTGCGCGGTGACTTGCTTAGCACAAGATGCCGTCCGCTTTCAAGATCCTCTTCATTCGCCACGGCGAGACAGACGACAATGTGAGTGACCTCAATCAAGCAAATTCATTCCACTAGGCCATCTTCCCCAACTCCGTACCTTCTTCACCCTTCCAACCTCATCCCCCTAAACCACCAACGATGAACGGTCTACAGATCACCCGAACCCTCCAGGCTGGCGCGACACCTCCCTCACGCCCAGGGGCCACGATCAAGCCGCTACACTGACCGCTCTCCTCCTCAACAAATACCCTCTCTCCCGCATCTCCACGATCTACCACTCCCCCCTCCTACGCATCCGCCAGACCATCGCCCCTCTACTCAACCACATCTCTGGCTCCACCGCCGATCAGCAAGCAATCAGCATCATCTCGGACGCCGACCTCCGCGGCCAAGGGCTGGGCGTGTTGGAAGGCGGGAGCTATGACAGCATCGACATGTCCAACCCGCGCTCCGCGGACGGCCAGGAGGGAGTGGAGGACTTCGACGTCTTCGTGGAACGGCTGCGGACGTGTTTTGGTCGGATTATGGGACGGGAGATCTCACGGCGGAAGTCGTCAGATCGAGACGCCAACGATCCAGGCAGAAGGGATGTAGTGGTGATAGCGACCCACGGCGTCGGCATCACAAGTCTCTTCGCTATGCTGGAAGGCTCCCTCACGCCGAATACTCGTGGATTAGAGTGGAGGAGAGTCGCCAGCCGTGGGCCAGAGGCGTATAAAGTGCGCTGGACCGATAGCGATGACATTGCGTGCTTGAGTGTCCAGGGGTTGGATGACTTGCCTATAGTGGAAGATGACAAGGAGGCGGTGTTGGCGTGGGACAAGGTGAAAGGCGAGCCATTTGTGATTGAGGTGTGGGGAAAGAAGGAGAAGGCTATTGAGTGACTGGGTGTTTGCACCGAAGACTGGTCGCCACGATCAGCGGATAACCTGGAGGAGCACGAACATAAATGCACACATGAGGCATGAGATTTATGGCACAACCCTCGAAGATCTCCTTCATCAAGCTTCACACGTGTGACTCTACACCACCTGCTGCACGCCCTCCTTCTCCTCTACAGTCCCCTTCGCTCTCATATCCGCTTTCCCATGGGCCGCCAAATTGTCCGCCACTACCGCTGCGGCACTCTCATCCCCGTCCAGCACCCGCGAGATCTCTTCGAGTGGCAAACCCCTCGTCTCCACAAAATAGAAGTAGATCATCACAACCTGCACCACCAACACCGCCACATAAACCAGATAAAACTTCCACCCCAACTTCTGCAGTCCAATTGGATTGACATACTGATTGAACACACCACTCAGTGCCGTGAAACAAAAGCACAGGGTCAAGCCTTTCGCGCGGATCTTATACGGCAGGATCTCGACCGTATAACTGACCGTCAGACCAGGCCATGCGCAGCCCGCCACGGTATAGAACAAGAAGATCATGGCAAGCACGGCGTTGCCGTAGCCCTGCTTGCCGGTCTTTTCGTACATGGCGGCGCAGGCGGTCCAGATTGTGAATGAGATCAACATGCCGATACCGGCGGTCAGGAAGAGGGTTCGGCGGCCGAATTTGTCGACTGTGAAGGCGAAGGCGAGCGCTACTAAGAAACACCAAATCGTGAGTCCGCCGTTGAAGAGCGCTTGGGAGGTCGGGTCTGTGATGCCAATGCTCCGTAGAATTTGCACCAGGTAGTATGAAACCAAAGAATTTCCCGAGCACTGCGAGAAGATAGCAGTAGCGATGATGAGAACACAACGCTTGCGGTTGCCGGCCGTACGGATAAGCTCCTTCCACCCAGAGGTGGCTGAGGATTCTTGTTCGAGGCGAATGGTGTTGCTAATCTCTTCGTATTCCCACTGGACAAAGTTGGTGTCTGTGCCATTACCATGGTACTTGATCAGCATCTGTCGAGCTTTCTCGCCCTGGCCGCGGGCGATATGGAATCGTGGGCTCTCTGGCACGAGATACAAGGCAAGCGTCTGAATGCCGGGCATCAAGCACTGCAAGCCAGTTGGTAGCCGCCACTGAAGGTTCGTGTCGAAGCCTTTGAGAGTCCCAAACGTTGTCCATGCGGCCAAAATGGCTCCTCCGTACCATAGCGTATTATAGATCGTTGTGATGCGGCCGCGGTGTCGAGGGTGAGCGACCTCTGTGATGAGTAGCGGACATGTGCCGTTGCTGATGTTGGATCCGAACCCGATAAAGAAGCGGCCAGCTAGATACATCGGTCTCGGGCTGGAAGCCGGAGGGAATGCTTGCAGTAAAGCACCGAGAAGGACGAAGAAGTTGCCGAGGGCTGTGCCGTTGCGCCTGCCAAGATAGTCTGCCACATATGGGGCGAAGAGCAAGACGACAAGACCACCGAAGCCTGGGAGAGCCTATGACATGTCGTTAGTCACGCCGTGCCCGCAACCTGTAAGCACACCTGAGAACTTACCCCAAATAGTCCTAGAGTGGCACCTTGCGGGTCATTGAAGAAGTCAACCCATGTGGGCATAGCTTGCAGACCGTTCAACCTGTGACTTAATCAGCATCCTCCCTGAACCATGTGATATCGAGCGTGGTCCAAGAAGGGCATTACTCACAGTGACCCATCAAACCCAAGCGTAGTTGAGCCTAAGAACAGGAACGGCATCAGCAGGTATAGTCTCCGAAGACCAGGCTGCTTCCACCAGTGAACATCATCTTCGAAGCCGTTCGGTCGGAATTGTTCAGGCTCAACTGCCTCCACCATGTCGGTTGCTGTCGTCTTATCGTAATCGATGCTCATCTTAGACACTTCAGACTTGCTGTCCACTGTCGAGGCTTGATGAAGGGGCCCGCGCGAGCATTATATCCTCTTTGATTTCCTGGTACGCGGTAAAGACGCCGTGGTATCGAGTGCTCGAAGAGCGCCACATCAGTAGTTGTGCCGGAGAATTTGCGACAGATGTTGTCAATGACCACCGGATGCTATGTGGAGGCTCCAGGTTTCGTCCACAATATCCCGCCTTGACCGACTCCAGACCTCGCCGATGTCTACGAAGCTCGTGCGGACACACCGGTATGGCATTGTGGGGAGCTGAGGAGTATGCCCACGATTGCCGAAGGACTGCGAAGAGAGCTCGAATGTGTTCCGGAAGTTCGGTCTGGCCATTCTCTAGCGCAAACCTGGAGAACAAAGGCAATTTGCTGCTCCGAAGTTTTTGCGATGTTTTTCCTCAAGTGTGCTCGGCTTCTCAGACGCCCCGCCTTCAACCCAGGTCCATCAATTCAACGAGGAGAACATGAAGTGATTCTCCGAAACTCACTGCGAGGTCATTTATCCGACCCAGCTCTGGTGTGGAGGATCTGCCGGTGCAGGGCGACAACGTTGCGAGAGTCTTAGTCTCTGCGTCAAGAAGCACGGCGAGTATCTGATGTCTAGTGGTATATAAACAGTAGTGAAGATGATGCTGACAGCACAGCATTGCTGTAGTCCTCTCTTAGCCTAAATTAGTGTTACACGTGTCCTGCTGTACAGTGTTAGAGATCGCCAATACTGGCGAGTCAGCGAATATCTGCAATGCATACGAGAACTTCGTCCTCGGACTCGTTTAGCATCGTTCCAACACCAGACTCATTGGAGCCCTCAGAGACCAAGATGCCTCATCTACGGCAAACCAAGAACTCCTACCAAATGATCGTCAATGGCAAGCCTTTCATGATGTTAGCAGGCGAGTTGCATAACTCGTCACTATCATCAGCAGCGTACATGTCGACCGTGTGGCCGACCATGAAGCACATGAACATCAACACGTTGCTCGGCTCAGTGACTTGGGAGATGATCGAGCCCGTTGAAGGTCAATTCGACTTCTCCGAATTAGACAAAGTGATTCTCGGCGCCCGAGAGCATGGTCTGCACCTGGTTTTGCTCTGGTTCGGTAGCTTCAAGAACGCACTGTCGACATACGCACCTGCTTGGGTGAAGAGAGACGTCAACCGCTTCCCACGTGTGCACGTGCTGGACGACGACAGGAAACTCAAGACCATCGAGCTAGTCTCGCCATTCAACAGTAGAGCATGGGAAGCGGATGCCAGAGCATTCGGAACCTTGATGAAGCACCTCAAGCAATTCGATGGGGAGCATTCGACTGTTCTGATGGTGCAAGTGGAGAACGAGACCGGCTTGTTGGGAGACAGCCGTGATCGCTCACGTGCAGCAGATGTGGCTTTCAATGCACCCGTGCCCTCGGATCTGTTGGCACACTTGAAGAGCCAGGAACGCCTGCATCCTATGTTCGAGAAACGCTGGCCAAGGTTCCAGGCTACAAAGGCCGAGAACACTAGCTGGGAGGCTGTCTTTGGCAAAGGCGTTGCCGCGGAGGAAATGTTCATGGCCGACGCATTCGCCAGATACGTTGGACATGTCGCGGCAGCCGGCAGGAAAGCATACAACATTCCCATGTACGCGAACGTGTGGTTGAACTTCGATGACCCTTCTGTTCTCGATCTCGAAGGCATACCTCTAGGCGAAGGCACACCCACAGTTGCTGGCGGGGGAGCCAAGGCTGGCGTATATCCGTCTGGTGGCCCAGTACCGCATGCACTAGACATCTGGAACTACCACGCCGTTGACGACACCAAGCTGAACTTCATTGCCCCAGACTTGTACTTGCATGACTATGATTGGGTGTGCAAGCAGTACACGTACAGAAACAACCCACTCTTCATTCCAGAACAGAAGGCCGATGCCTTTGGCGTTCGAAGAACATGGCTGGCGTATGGAACCTACGGCTGTATGGGTTGCAGCCCCTTTGGCATCGATACCGTCGAGTTGGACCCAACAGAATTGGCTTTCTGGCGTCGAAGCAACGGGCTGCTTCACTGCATGAGGAGAGAGATTCTCACTGTACAAGCAGATCGGCCTGAAGATATGTTTGGATTCTTCTTTGATGAGTTGAAAGACGGCAAGCCTCCTGGTCAATGGCGGAAAACATTCGGTGATATGGAAGTCATTGTTGATCGGTCATTCGTGTTTGGCCGGCCTGGCCCTGGATATGGCATCGTCATACATCAAGGGGAAGGAAAATTCCTCCTCATTGGTAGCGGCTTCCAGACCACGTTCCGAAGCACCAAGCCTGAATCAACCTTCACAGGCATTCTGTCATCGGAGGAAAAGATGGTCGACGAGGACGGCAAACTGACGACTTTGCGGACGATGAACGGCGATGAGACTCGGAGCGGAGCGTTCTTCATGATGCCAACGGAAGAGCCAGATTACGGTGGCTTCCCAATCCGAGTAACGATACCGGCGAGAACGTACATTGCAGAGGTGACTGCCTACAGTTTGGAGGAAAACGCCGAGCACTATTAGGAGTTTTAGGTTGCTGAAGACTTTATGACATGGCGTTAGTTGCATAATCCTTGGAGTTCGAGATCATAATTGGTCCTTCAGCTCAGTGGCGTCTTAAGTGTCCTTTGCGTCGCCGTCTTCGCGTGACCGAATTGAGTTCAGAGGCCTATGGGATGCTCCTTGGACTGGTCAAGAACGACAGTGGACTCGTCGAATCAATTGGGCCCACTCTTCGAACGTCGAGTCTGTCAAGCTTTGCAAGGAGACGGTCGAGGTTGGCAAAAGCCTGAACAGGGTTGGTCTCATCTTCGAGCAGCGACATACCAATATCCCTGAGCTTGCCAATGAGACTGTGGCCGTTGGCCTCCAGAATGGCCTCCGGCGATTGATAGCAAATTGCCAACATATCATCGATCAGAGCCTGGCGTGAGACGACGATTTGGTCCACTATTGCTGTTTGATTCTGTCGTTTAGCAACAGCATGCATCTGATCCATTAAGAATGATCGAATATGAATTTGCGTGATGTAAAGATTGACCATTTGGACGTCCGTACCGAAATTGCTGCGTTGTGGTCGGGAAAGCCCGCCACGCCATCTTAGCTGCGGTGGCAGATCGTCCAAAGAGGTCAATGCCAGATCAACGTACTTTTGCAGGTGCTGCAAATCGGAGCAGTCACCCTGCTGGCTTCGATACCATAGAGCGAAAATATGTGTCAAAGCACGAAGTCCTGGAATGTAAGAAGTAACGTTTCCGTGCCAGGTTTCTTGCCCGGGCGTCACCATATCAAGCTCAGCATCATTCAGGACTTGAGGCATGACGACTTCCAAGTTGGTGACCCCCGATGGTATCATGTACGGTCTTGCCAGTAAGCCGGAAGAGCTGCTGGCAGTCAGTGTATGCTGCGGAATCACGCTTCAAATGATGGGCAACCTTGTGGACTTTCTTCATGAGTCCGCTACGTACCATTGACCTGCGAAGCATAGCAGATAAAGCCGTTTTAGTAGTTCTCGGTCGCGAAAGGGCATGTGCTCGGCGTCATAGTGCAACATGCGCCCTGCCGCAGCCGTCGCTGCCGAGAGCAGGAGTTGTGCTTCTGGACAGTCCATGCCGCGCATCTGGCCAATTGATACAGCACAGTTGTACTGGATCTGCGCTCTCCTGAAGGACACAGAGAAGGAGTTCTGCAGGTACCCATGCTTTTGCACTAAGGCGAAGCACTTCTCAACAGTGACAAGTTCTTCGTAGGCAGCAGCCCGTTGACGCAAAGTCGCAACAGTAGCTGAGCAAATCGAAATGACCAGCGCAGAGAGCTCCGAGGAAGGAGCGTTGTTGGGATCGTGGAACTCACGCAGGAATGTGTCCCGGTGCAAAATTGGCGCTACAGGATGTACGAATTCGAACCAGTCGTTCAGTATTTGTTCGACAACAGGGGCGGGAGCAAGATCCAGGTAGCTCAGAGACGTCTCTAGTGTGTCAGATGTCTGATACTGATTCGAGCCGTGATCAGGAACGGACTGGGTCGGAGCAGAAGTATGAGGAGCTGCCGTTTCCTGTCCAGCTTCCATGACTCCTTCCAAAAATCGCGGCTCGTCCTGGGCAAGAGCAAGGTTTAGAAGCGCCTGCTTCTGTGCTTCCACATACTTATTCACTGGACCCCTTTTCTTACGAGGCCGGACTGCTGTACAAGGAAGTCCAGCGGCTGCGCAGTTGGTACATGTTGATTGGCCGTCATAGTGGCATTTGACTTTACGAGCACGACAGCCATCGCACGCGTTGGTGACGCGTTTCTGCTTCAAGGTGCTTTGCTGTGCTGCCGAAGGGCCCTCCCGAGACCCAGATTCGGACATGATGGCGCAGCCACTGCCATCGTTGCTGTCCACCACAGCTCCTGCAGCGCTAGCTCATTGATTCGGCGGGCGAATAGCTCCAGGGTCCCATAGCTGTCCAAAGAGAAGACGAGAGCACGAGCAAGTGGAATACAATCGCTGCGACGAGGCTCGGAGCTCAAATTCGGCGCCACATTTCTCCGACCCCGATCAGAAACATCTGCGGACGAAGTCGTCGGCGACGTGCATGCGACTCAGAGAATTGCTCACCACATTGTCATCGAACTGACAGCATCCCAGAAAACTTCGATCTCGCACTACAAGTCACCCAGCCTCGCTCCGCGCAAAACACCAGACCTAGACCTCCTCCTCCCCAAAGCCCAAACATGGACGATATGGAAAGCCAACCCCAAATCACCCCCCAAGACCTCGAACAACTCACGCCCGGCGATCAACGCTACCTCGCCGAGTTCATGAACAACCAGGCCACCACCGCGCAACTCCAGAACAGTACGACACCCGGCCCCCCAGTACCCAACCAGACCTCGCCCCCAGTCCACTTCGTATATGTCAAGCCATATGCTAACAGGCGCAATAGGCGTCCACTCCCTAACAGAAGTCTGCTTCAAGAAGTGCATCTTCGGCGTCTCAGGCGGCAAGCTCGCGAGTAAGGAAGAGAGCTGCGTAAGGAATTGTGTTGAGCGGTATATGGACAGCCAGACGAGTGTGTTGAAGCATTTGGAGACGTTGAGAGCGAGTCAGTGATGGCTGCTGTTGCGTGGGAGAGGAATTGGAACGGTGCCGGTCGGGTTTGACGGTAGACTGCGGCATGGGAGTGTGAGGGCGGGAGTGAAGTTTTGTACAATATTCACGAATCTCTGCATGAGGTATGGACGGGCTGCGCACATAGTGAAGAGGTAGGCAAGGTCCGATAGACTGCAGGACCACGAACTGTATGACGGAGGTCTGGTGACGATACTACAGCTGCACGACCAAGTGGAATCATCACTGAGATGGACTTTGCACGGGCGGCTGATTCTTGCAGACGCAAATCCCATTTATTCTGGTCTGCCATGCCACTGGCCGCAGCCAACCGACGCCCGTGTGGCTTTTGTGGTATCATATGAACGCCTCGCCTCTTACTGGAGGCCGCTGTGCTTTTGGCAGAGCGAATGCAACCACTCTAGCAATGCTAGCCATCAACTGCTGGCCTTCGACTTGATCGCTTAGACAATAGACAGCTTCGTAGCAGCAATATCAAGCGCATCAACATCGCTAGTCAACCGCGCGAACGCCTTCTTGGTCCCATCCGGTCGAATCAACGTGTTGATCTTGACACACTCGACATCGTACAGCGTCTTCAACGCCGCCTTGATCTGTCGCTTGTTCGCCTTGACATCAACCACAAACACCAACGTGTTGTGCTCTTCGATCTTCTTCATCGCGGACTCGGTGTTCAACGGGTGAACGATGATCTTGTGGTGGTCGAGACGGGTCTCATGGGGTACCGACTTGCGCGGGTATTTGGGCGAGCGACTCAATTGGAGGGTCTTGGGGCGGTGGAAGGTGGCCGACTTGCGGATCTTGGTGGCTTTGGAGGCATTGACCTACGGGATGTGAGCATGAATTCCGGCGGGTTCACGTCTACGGCATGATCTTGTCCAAGACATGATCATGTACCGGCTCGACGGTCACAAAGGAGCACTTACACCCTTGAGGGTGGCCTTTGCGGCTTGATTCGCCTTCGCTGAGGGCTTCTTGGAGCCGCCTGCTGGATGTTAGCATTTGTGACTGTATGCAGGACAGCGCGGGCTCGATCGAGCGGCGCAAGTGACTTGTACGTACCCTTGGGCGTCTTCTTCTGAGGAGGAGCCATTGCGAGAGATTGCTCAAGGTGCGAAGGCTTACAGAAATTGTCAAAGTAGAGGTGTAGTCGAAAGAGAAATGTTCCGTGAAAATTGTCGCCGCAAAGTTCTCCACGGGTGGTGTGAATCGCATTGCCAAGGCTTGGCGCTAGTCTCGAACAAAATTGTCAGTCTGACCAATTAGAGCACATGAACAGCCTGCACGGTGACTTGCCATAGTAATTGTTTGCACACCATAAGCAAGCCTTCCAGTCTATTGATGCTGTGGTGAGTATTGCAGACGCATCGGATCTGATGTAGCAATCGCCCGCTCTGCAAACCGACGAAGTCATGGACAAAGAGCAAGAGCAAGACCCAGACGACATCTTGGCTGAACTTGAAGCCGACGACAACGACGACTACCGTGCTCAGAGGCTTGCAGAGCTGAAGTCAGAAGCACAGAGCGGGCCGGAGTCAACATCCAATGCAGTCCAATCCGTCTTCAAGACGCTCTCTGGCGACGACGAATGTCTACAATTTACGACAGAGTATGAGCGAGCCGTGGTCCATTTCTTTCACCCGGACTTTGCACGATGCAGCGTCATGGACCGACATTGTGAGCACATTGGACGGAAACACAACCAGGATGGAGGCGCTGACATGGCCTTCGCACGCGTCGACGTCCGCAATGCACCTTTTGTGGTCGAGAAGCTGGGTATCAGGGTTCTTCCAGCGGTGCTTGGATTTGTGAAGGGAGTGGTCAAAGGACGAGTCACTGGATTTGAAGGCATAGCTTGGGGTGGTCGGGAGGACGTGCCGTCGGTGGCCGCTGCGCTGGAGGAGAAGCTTGTGGAGTGGACGGTGCTGAGAAAGCGACTGCTCGAAGATGAAGCCGAGGACGAGGAAGAGGAGAAACCCGAGCGAACGGAATTTGCCAGACGTGGGATCAGAGATCGCAAGCAAAACCCAAACGACGACGATGATGACTGGGATTGAGTGCTTTTCAAGGGTTCAATACAGTCGCATCGAGAATGGCCATCTCACTGGCAGAGCTCACCATGACGCTTTCTAGCCATTCTTTGACCCAATCTAGCCACCTCGTATGATGCCAGGCGTCTGCCGATTGTGAGAGACTCTGTCACTCTGAAACATCAGCTGTGCTAAAAACAAGGCCGCGCGGCTTCCGCCGCTGGATGGACGACAACTTCCTTCATGAGATTGAAGTACGCTTGAGTTGGCCTCAATAACCAGCAACAAGTCGGACCAGCGATGGGCACGTGACAGATGGAAGGCCCTGCTATGCGCGACGTCGATGCAAGCCGGCCGCCATTGTCGAAAATCGACTACTGAGCCAAAGCACACGTCCGGTTACTGTGTGGCCCTTGCAACCAATGCAGCTGGGCACTATGAGACTACTGGCCAGCAACGTAGGATAACGACGTTGGAATCGACAGAGATACTAGCTCAGCATACCTACTTGACAGAGAGTCAAGAATGGTGGATGGGCAAGAACCATGATTGGAAAGAGTGACGTGATGGTAGACCGGGGCTTGTATATGACCAATAGAGCAATGCTTGGCTATAATAGACCGAGAACACGACTCGCTTCGAGGAGATTCGTATAGACACGTTCACTGATATCACATTACTCCGAAGTCTAGTCAGCCGCTGTGAAGTACGGTAAGCAACTGGATCAGTCTCGCTCAGTTTTCAGTGCAATATGATGAATATATTCGCGACTAGCCACTTCCACGCGTAGTCGTCCGGTCTCGTTTGCGCCCCGCGCATGGCACGAGCACCACTTCCATTACTCCCCAGCACTCATAGACATCTACAAGGTAGCAAATCGAGAGGGATTCTTTGCAGATGGTGGACTCGATGCAAGAGCACTCGACCAAAACCCCTATCAATGATTGGCACTCCTGTCTATCTGTACATGCATTGCAAGACTCTCACTGGCGACTGTCTAGGAACTGTAGGTGATTTCGATGCCATCTTTCGACGACTGGTTTACTCAACGCGCAGGCGCTCGAGTTCGAGACCCTCCGCGCGAGTAACACGGTATCCACCTTCCTCGATGATAGAAGAGTAGTTGGTCTTGCCACCACCGTTCCAAGCGAGGATGTTGGGGGTATCGGAGGGAATGTCCGAGAGAGCATTTCGGGTGCTAATAGCAATGATGTCGGCCTTGAGCCGTTTGGGAGTGATCTCGGCAACCGCGTAAGCTGAGTCAGAGGCTGGCTGCAGAGAGAGCAGGTATGCCAACAGGCCACAGATGTGAGGGGAAGCCATCGAGGTACCGCTGATGATGTTCGTGGCGTACTTTGAACCAACCTGCGAAGGGGTGTCAGTGGACCTGTGCTTGAGACATGATTTGAGTGAGCTTACCCATGTGGACAGAATGTTGAGACCGGGCGCGAAGATGTCGGTGCACTCGCCGAAGTTGGAGAAGTAGGCACGCTCATCAGCCAGAGTTGAGGCACCGACGGTGACGGCGTTCTCAGCAGCAGCTGGGGAGTACTTGCAAGCATCGGCATTGTCGTTGCCGGCGGCGACAGCGAAGTGAAGACCGACATCAACCGCAGCGTTGACAGCGAGATCGAGAGTGCGGGACTTTCCACCACCGAGAGACATGTTTGCGACGGAGCCCTTGAAGCCCTTCTTCTTGCCCTTCTTGGCGGCGCTGACAGTATCAGTGTGAGCAGTTGCAGCCCACTCGACACCCTTGACAACGTCGGCCATGGTGCCACTACCGTTCGATTTCAGGACCTTGACAGCGTAGACATTGGCCTTCTTTGCGACACCAAATTTCTTGCCAGCGACAGTGCCAGAGCAATGAGTGCCGTGTCCATTGCCGTCGGCATCCTCATCTCCGGGAGGAATGGTTTTTCCCCACTTGGCACGGCCTTCGAAATCGACATGGTCGACGTTGGTGCCGGTGTCAATGACGTAGGCATCGACGCCCTCGCCGCCATCCTCGGAGTACAGGTATTTGTTAAAAGTGCCTGTAGACATCAGTCAGTACCATCTGACCCGAATTGAGGGGCTGTGTAGAATTGATTGCCACATACCGAATCCAAGAGCTTCACGATGACTTATCCGAGCAAGACCCCAAGGCGCGTTCTTTTCGAGCTCAGGGGTGTCTTTCTGGACAGTCACGACCGAGTCCAGCTCTATGTACCTGTTACTTTGTGTCAGCATGCGTCGTGGCCCAGCTCTTCGGAGGCGCTTACTCGACGTCTGGCGAGGCCCGAACTTGCTCGATGGTCGCCGGGTCGAAGTGGCCTGAATAGCCCAGGAGCTTGCCTGGCATATGATAGACATGCCCGAGGCCAGAGTATGCCACTATGTCGTCGAGTAAACCTCGCTTTCGGAGCTCTAGCCGCTCATTATGGCCTGTTTCATGGATGTCTTGCACCCAGGCGTGATGAGCCTCTGCTGCAGCCTTCGAAACGTGGTCCTTGAAGACGACGATGTATGAGTCAGGAACGTGCTCCGAGTTGACACTGGAGACGATGGGAGCAGCCTCGCTGTGAATCGTATCAATGAATAATGGCGAACCGGCGGCCAGAGGCGCAGCTACCAGAGCTGCAATGATTCCCTTCATGGTGGCGTGATGCTCACCCTAACGATGCCTTGGAATCAAGGACGACGATACGAGTGAAACTATGATGGATGTGATGGATGCAATGGATGGTGGGAGTGTGTAGCAAGAGCAGAGAGATAGAGATACTGGATGATAACAAGTGGAAGCAGGCAGCCAGTGTTCGTATGACACCATTGGCAGTCGCTGTCACGCGGGACCTTCCCCCAACTCGACAGACTCCGCCCCAGCCCAGCCTAGCGCCTGCCTAAAGCCGAGGCGGCGCCGCGTCGCCGTGACCATGGAAACCACGAGTCTATCTTATCAGAGCGGAATTCACGCCCGGATGCTCGGACGCAGTACCACTCAACGTCCTCTACATACAAGCTGTGTCTGTCAAGCGAGCGTGTCTCGACAGCCTCGAGTCGCTGCAATCGGCTGGCCTGAGCCGCATGGACGACGCTGTCATCTGAGACACGGACATCGACTCGGTGTGGTGGCTGGTGCTGGCGGAAGCTCGTGCTGGCCTCCGTACTCCCCCACGACTGTGGCGCCCGGAGATGTGCCGCAGTCCTGGAGGACTTTGGCCTCGCCAGATGGATGAACACAGCATTGCTGTCATGAAGACACATAGCAACTACCTTCTCCGAGAAACACATTCATCTGACAGCACGGGACTGTAGACAGTCTGTAGATTAGTTGCCATCGCAACACCACCAATAAGCCAATCGAGACCACTATATGGGGTCTGATCTTTCCTCTGCAGCCACTTTCAACCTCACTCAGCAGCCTGAGTTGTGCTGAATACGATGACACTGCCTCTGCACAGGATACCGTAGAGTCTCTGTGAACGTTCTGGGCCTGTGCTCTCTACATGATTGTGCCTGCAGGTGCACAAGGGACTGGCTGCACCTGCAGTCTACTGCATGTCCCATGAGCCTTCCCGTTGGCGGGCATGGCCGGTCGCGTGCTGTGTCTACCGCTATTGTCCCTCAACCACGCGATGACGATATCAGCTCACTGGTGGACAGCCTGCGACTCCTAGCCTGCAGCACATATGCCAGCCTCTCCGATGCGCTCGACGACTCGACGACTCTCCAGCAACTGCGCCATAAACTCAAAGATGACAACGATCTACACTCGTCCAAAGGCGGCTTCAGAAGGGTCGGAGGACACCAGGTGGTTCTGAACCTGGCTGAGAACATTTGCAGCTTGTATGAACAGCACGGTCCAGTCGCTGAGACGAAGCGTACGCTACAGCATCTCGGACAAGTGCTGGGCGTACTGAGTGCTTCGCTCGAAGGCCATGCTGGGAACCAGAAGTTCTTTCGATCGGGTCCAGTTGGCGACGGCTGGGCACGCCTCAAGGTCTGTTTGGACAGGCTCCTGTCAAACGTAGTCGAGGGTCAGTCGGATGACGAGGGTTTGGAGCAACTCCTGGGTCTCTTGTTAGCAGCAGCAACATGTGAAGAGTCGACCGCAGACTTATACACCTCGTTGGCACGAGCGAACTCTGGTGCTGATGCTGAGGAAGGCGGACTCTCCGGATTTGATACCATCTCAATACAGAACAAGATCGAGGCGGTACTGGCAGATGGTACAGAATTGGCACTCCCAGAGTTCGTGGTCCTACAGGTTCATGTCTGGAGCAAGGCTCGTGACAACCTCAGCGCTGTCACACACCATGCACTCCCACTAGGCCTGACAGCTCTGGTGTCAGGCTCTCGTCACAACCTGGTTGCTGCACACCTTGCAGGGCTATCGAGGGAGATACTGCCTTTGGTCTTTGTAGACGACCTTCCCCTGCAGCAACGTCGCCTATGGCAGAATGTCTCAAAGCTACTCTACAGCGAAGGTGCGTCGGACCTGGGCGAGGCAAGGCAAATATTCTCAAACGCTCGATCGAATCCAGAGGCTGGACAATTTTTGCTCGATGCACTCAAAGATTCGAGACGGCCTTCCAGCGTGCAATTTGACTTGGCTCATGCGGGATACTCATCTGTCGAGCTAAGCTCACTCGGCCGGCCGTTCCCACCGACGGACTCTGCAGGCTACACACTCAGTATCTGGGCTCGCTTTGATGACTTCGATCAAGATGCCCACACAACACTGTTTGGTGCGTTTGATAGCTCACAAAGTTGCTTTGTGCTCATATATCTGGAGAAGGACACCCATCATCTCATACTTCAGACTGCAATCAGGGGTCAAAGACCAAGTGTGAGGTTCAAGAGTGTGGCCTTTTTGCCGAATAAGTGGTATCATATAGCGCTCGTTCATAAGCGGCCTAGAACAGCCACTTCCTCCAAGGCGTATCTGTTTGTCGATGGCGAGTTCGCTGAACAGCAGAAGGCAAACTATCCATCGATCCCGCCGTCTGAAAAAGGCCAACGACTAAAGGTACAAGGCTTTCTCGGCACTCCGCAAGATCTGTCTCCAGCTCAATCAGGCGAGCGGTGTATGTCAAAGTGGTCACTGGCTTCGGCCGCGCTGATTGCGGAGGCTTTGAGCGACGATATTGTCGCTGTCTTCTTCAATCTTGGGCCGCATTATCATGGCAACTTCCAAGACTGCTTGGGCTCCTTCCAAACCTACAAGGCATCGGCAGCTCTCAACTTGAGGAACGAAATGCTTCACCCTGGGAAAGAAGACAATTCGGAGTTGATATTGGCTATTCGGCAAAAAGCTAGTGATCTGATCGCAGAAGATCGAATTCTCCTTAGTATTTCTCCTGCTACCATTTTAGATTCAGACGATCGCAACCACGTGGACGAATCTCAGCTAGTCAAGTCGCTATCGAAATTGGCGGCGAAGAATCTCATGGCCTACACACGAGCGGGATCAAACGCAGTTGCCGTCAACGGAGCGATACCAGCTATCAATGATGCCTTGACTCAAGAAAGTGGTGTGGCGATGCTCATGGGGGAGCCAACCGTTGCGGTACCACAACCTCTCGAGGATGCAGCGTGGCGACTGGGCGGCTGTGCGCCTATCGTGCTCGGCCTGGTCGCGCATGCTACGACGACGGAAGATCTGGCTCTGGCTGTGGACATTCTCTTTGAGACGATCCGCAGCAGCTGGCGGAACAGCGAAGTGATGGAGCGTGAGCGAGGATACGACATACTTGCGATGCTGCTTCGAAGCAAGTTAACGCAAAGCAACGACCCAAGCAAACCAATCTCCCTGTTGCCAACGGCTGCATTAGACCGACCTAGCCTGTTCCTCAAGCTTCTGGACTCGATTCTGGATTTCGTCGGGTACGACAGTCACCAGAAGGACCAATCTGTGATCAATAATCCTCTGGCCTACAAGGTGCTACTAGTTGACTGCAATCTCTGGCGCTGTGGGCCGAGTGCTGTGCGAGAGCTCTACTTCGAGCAGTTCCAGACATTTGCGGTGACGAGCGTCCACAGCAGATTCAATCTCAGGCGCTTAGCTCGCATGAGGGTGCTCCGTCGACTGCTTGAAGCCCTGAAATCCGAGCCGGTCACCAAAACGGCAATGCAATCGTATGCAGATACATTCCGCATTCTGCTGCCTCAAGCTATCACAGCTGAACTCCTTCGCTCCATGGCCCTATTCATCACGTATGCTGTCAACAAGCGGCACGTTGGCTACTAACTCGAAAATCTACCCGACGAACCACACGGCCTCGAGGGTCCTCGAATCCCAGCTCGCCAAAACCTGCAGATGAGGCCAACGCACTCCTGACGCATTTCGAGATCGGTATGGAGGTGCTCAGGCTGTACTCCGAAATGCTATGCAGTAAAGATACTGACTCCCTGATCAAGCGCTTCGCCAAGACCGTCACGAACAAGTGGCTGCTGTATCTACTTTCAGAGACTTCGCCTGAGGTGGTTGTTCTGTCAGTGCGAATACTCGCCCGACTACTGGTCGTTCATGGCGACTCCTACGTCAAGAAGTTCAAAGAACGAACCGGGGGATTCGCAATCATGGCACATCGTCTGAAACGCTGGTGGCACCTGCCAGCTCTGTGGCCTTGCTCTTTTGCAATCCTATTCGACATTGATGTGGCAACACTCGACCTCGATCGCCCATTCGATCTCTTCAGCTTCGTAGAGCTGTTCAGCGGTAAAAAGGAATTGGTGGTCGCTCATCCTGAGATGGTTGAAGTCATCATGTCAATGCTGCAAAGCGGTATGAAAGCGATTGTGTCATCGCATCAGCACAGTCAGCCAGGTCTTGCCGTTCCCCTGGACTCGAGCTCTGGTGCTTCGACGCCGCAGCGCCTCTCTATGTCAACAATGGCGCCTCCGAATCCATTATTGACCATCGTCACTCTTCAGCATGTGGAAACGTTCAACACTGTTCTACGGTTCCTATCAGATTTGCACACAAGATCTTCCAAGTTCCGAGAATTCGCAGCAACATCGCTATATGTTCAAGGACTTCTTAGCGTTCTGTTTCCCGTTGTGGTGGGCAGTGACATTGTTGACGCAAGCACAGAGCTTGACGCGAGAGACTCGACTCTGACGTTTGATGGATCTGATGTCGTGGTGCAGCCACTGTCCTCGAGCCCGCCGATCATACGCGCATCAAACGTCGACGAATCGCAGCTCACCTCGTCAAGAGGAAAGACTCTTCGGAGAGGCTCTTCATTTGTCCTCGTCACGAAGGACAAGAGTCATGCCAACGGTTCGCAGTCCAACCTGCGACAATTCATCACCCCGGCATCTCCGGCCCAGCCTCTGCCACAGCTCAACGAGGGCAATGCAATTGTGCAGAGCCTGCTCGAGATTGTTGTGTCAGTATTCATCGACCAAATTGTGATGAAGAAGGACTTCCCGGGCCTCGGGTTGTTCTTGAGGACGCCGCCGGGATTCGTGGAACATCAGTCCTATTTCGAATCTTGGATACTTCGCAACACTGTGTCTCAGCTTTCAACGCATTTTGCTCTGAATCAGAAGTTGCTTCCTGAGCCGAAGGTGCTCACGAACTTGGCGAGATTATTCTCTCATCTTGGAGAAGCACTTTTCGAGGGCTGGTTTGTTGGCGGCGCCGAATCAGTGCTTGATCTATCGGGATCCATCCTGGAGTATCTACAGCGTCCAGACATCGCCGGCATGAAAAGCGTCCGTTTGTGTGCGCAAGCGATCGGCGTGATCCGGGCTGTTGTGTTTCGGACCGTGCTGCTGACTTTGTCGCAGCTCCAAAACGCAGAGTCGCTTGCCTTCTTGGAAAAGCTCAGCTACTGGCAGAACGTGCTTCTCTCCACAGAAGAGACTCAATCTCTCCACTTGCAGTTGATCTGCTATCTGTTGTACGCCAGCCTTGTGTCGGAACAACAAGGCGTTCGCAATGCTGCAGCGAATTTGTGGCGCATTATACTCGTGCAGAAGCCTACTGAAGCGGCGGCTATCCTCGGACAGGCTGACACAGCCCAGCAAAAGCGTTTGGCGTCAAGTTTCGAGAAGCTTGTAGAGTTGGACAACGAAACCTTTCTCTACTGGATAGATGAGCACCGTGAAGAGTTGGATTCTCTGTTCTTTGAGACACTCTCTCGAACTTGGGAACGTTTCGTGGCCGAAGAAAACAAGCGTACGGAAGAGAACGCCCGAGGCAGAATTGCCAGACGGCGAGAGAAGCTGAAGACCTGGGCTCGCGACGAATCAGATCGTGCAGCACTTATTCGTCGTCATGAAGTGACATTCGACCACTGGACGAGCAATATCTTCTCGTCTGAACACCTGAAGCATCAACGTCTACTTCAGGATCAGCAAGACGATCTACTCTTCGCTGAGACTGCTTACGCAAAGATGGAAAGAGACACTACGGGGCATGCAGGAGTCTTTGCGAAGCCCAAGCAAAGAAAGTGGCGTCTCGACCAGACTGAAGGACGAAACAGAATGCGCATGCGCCTCCATGAAGATTATGAAAAGACGGAAAACGAATGGCAGCCCAAGAGGAAGGGCACAGATACTCCAGCGCTGCAGCTAGATACCAGGAATGTCAAGATTGGAGGTGCAGAAGTAGCCGCCACTCCTATTGGCCCGTCGGCCACAGACTCACCAAAGGACCCATCTAATGGAAGCGAGCCCTTCCCAGAGGTTCCGCAGAACGAAGACGATGGTAACGCTGGCGACGTCGATGAGAGCTTCGAGCTCATTGAGGATCCAAATGCGGAAATCGAAGACAACGAAGACAAGAACCGGAAAGTCATGCGCAGTTTGCACCGTGGTGATCAGGTCAAGCATGTTGCCAATATCTCTCGAATCCTGGGTCTGGAAGCTGTCGAAGGACTTCTCATCCTCGGCAAGGACCACGTCTACCTGATGGACAATTTCTTCCAACGCGCCGATGGCGAGATCGTGAATGTGTCGCAAGCGCCACAGGAAGAGCGCGATTTCTACATTCGAGAGATCTCTGGCAGGGATGTGAAAGTTAACAAAGCCACAGCAAGAGACAACGAGCATGAAGTCAGAAGCTGGAAGTGGTCTGAGGTCATCAGTGTATCAAAAAGACGCTTCCTCTTCCGAGACGTGGCCATAGAGATGTTCTTTGGGGACGGACGCAGTTACCTGCTTACTGTCATCTCACCGACTGCCCGCAATGACCTTCATGGTTTGATCAGTGCCAGAGCACCTCAATTTGGCGCTCCAGACAGTCCACAATCAGAGTTCGCCTGGCGCTACGAAACACTGAAATCCGTTGAGGATGAGCCACAAGGCTTCGGAAGCCGCTTTGCCAATGTTTTCAGCAACTCATCTGCCATGGCTGCGACGAAGAAATGGCAGAAAGGCGAGCTCTCGAACTTCCACTATCTGATGCTGGTCAACACACTGGCTGGTCGAACATACAATGACTTGACACAGTATCCTGTCTTTCCTTGGGTCATTTCGGACTACACTAGCGAAGAGCTCGATCTCAACGATCCGAAGAGCTTCCGAGATTTGTCAAAGCCGATGGGTTGCCAAACACCAGAGCGAGAGGCAGAATTTCGTGATCGGTATAAGTCTTTCGCAGAGATGAACGATTCAGATCCACCGTTCCACTACGGCACTCACTACTCAACTGCCATGATTGTCACATCCTACCTGATCCGCCTCCAGCCATTCGTCAAGTCGTATCTGTTACTGCAGGGAGGGTCTTTTGATCACCCAGATCGATTGTTCTTTTCCATCGAAGGGGCATGGCGCTCGGCAGCTCGTATGAACATGACTGACGTCCGAGAGCTTACACCGGAATTCTTCTATTTGCCAGAGTTTCTGGTAAATCTGAACGGGTTCGACTTCGGAAAGCGGCAGAACTCCTCAAAATCCATTGGTGAAGTCGAACTCCCGCCGTGGGCGAAAGGTGACCCCAAAATCTTCATTGCAAAGAACCGAGAGGCTCTTGAAAGTCCCTACGTGAGCAAGAATCTACATCACTGGATCGATCTGGTATTCGGATCCAAGCAAAAAGGCGATGCGGCCATCGAAGCTGTTAATGTCTTCCATCACCTTTCGTACCAGGGGGCGAAGGATCTGGACGCCATTGCTGATCAGCGGGAGCGGCTTGCGACAATTGGTATCATCCACAATTTTGGACAGACACCATACCAGGTATTTCATCGACCACACCCAGCACGCGAACAGAATCGACATAAATACAAGCGCCTAGACACTGCAGCCGAATCATTGACGCGACTGCCTGAGCCGCTGCTTGACACAGGAGAAAGAGTGGCTTCGCTGACGCACTCCTGGAAAAATAATCATGGACAGCTGCTCTGTTCCGGACCCTTCAGAATCAATATGCCTCCGCACTTCGAGTACTACATGGAATGGGGCTTTACAGACAACAGCGTTCGCTTCTACAACAAGGATCGAAAGCAAGTCGGTCTCTTTGAACATCTGCACATCGGTCAGCTTTCATGTGCAATCTTCGCCGACTCCAAGACACTCATTACAGCAGGCGTAGACTGCACTATCGCCGTGTGGACTCTCCACTTCAGCGGCAAGCACGTTGAGCTCCAGCCCAAAGCACCACTATTCGGCCACAAGAAGCCACCCAACGTCATGGCCATGTCCAGATCCTTCAATGCTCTCTTCACTACGTCGGCCGCTGGCGAGCTCATGCTCTGGGATCTCAATCGCTGCGAGTTCGTTCGCAAGATCGACCGCGTTTTGGGTGCAGAGGTGCAGTGCGCATGCGTGAACGATGTCACCGGCAATGTGATCCTGTGTGCTGGCTCGCAGATCAGCGTGTACACTATCAACGGCGACCTGTTACTGCAACAAGAATCTGGAGACCGCAGCGGGGAGGCAATTGTCTCTTGTGCCTGCTACGAAGCGCCGGTAGTGAATGGCTCGAGCGGGATATTATCTTCACGGGGCATAAATGGGGTGTGGTGAGGGTGTGGAGCCTGGTTATATCGCAGGAGGGGAAGTTCGAGTTGGAGTTGATACGGCAGTTGAATCATGTTGATACTGGGAGAGGTGACGGCGGGAATGTTGCAGGAAGTGTGACTTGTATACTGCCGAAGCCGCAGGTTGTGTACACTGGCTGGAGGATGGAAGAGTGGTGAGTTCGTCTGGTTGCTTTTGATTCTGAGTGCATGCTAACAGACTGACAGTATGAATGGGACTGTGTCCAACGAAACTAGACTTGCGAAGATGGGCTTCTCCGACATATGCATAGCGATAGGTACTACCAGCGGAAAAAGACAAAAGTTTGGTCCTTATAAGCGAATTGATTCATATTGACGGACGAGCATTACGTGGTGAGCAGTGGACGCTTGGACGAGCAGCTGAGTTGCATTGGATTGCGCGCCTGGTGGTGCAGGAAAACGCAGTATGCGGATTGGATCTGGCATTTTATAGATTGATACTTGGCCGTCTCGGAGCAGCTACAACTTGCAAGGGATGAGCCAATTGAGATCCAATACGTATACTGGCTCGTAGCATGGTAGCTGGTCTCAGTAACGAGTGTAGACAAGAGGAACGACGTCCAGTACGTTGGAGTCGTCGTTACTGTGCATGACCGCCTGATAGTGGCACCAGCACCGTCATGACAGCTATATCAGCCAACGAAGCAGTGCCACGACGTCGGGCGTTTGGGCATCTGGAGGCCTGTCAAGCATCGTCCTTTCAGCGCCAAGACCTGCTCTCTTCATGCCCTTTACGGCATCAGGGTACCAGAAAAAGTCGTCATGACCTGTCGACGAAGGCACGGCACACTTCCCGCACGACATGCGGCTCCAGTAAAGGAGAGCACTGGTGGGCGTGCACTAATGCATCTGAATCGAAGCTGATCTCAGACGTGGCTGCCTTACCCAATAAGGATTAGCGGTCGGGTGGTTGCCTGGTCAGCATCCGTTAGAGTTTCTGGGATCAATATTGACAATCTTCTTGGCAACACCTCCTCATGCTAAAAGACAAAGGGTCCCAAGCGTCTGAGCTCGCTTCTCTTCTCCTCCCACATTCCTCACTGAACAATAGCATTGACACCTTGTCCATACTGCAGTCCGCGCCATACTACTCAATCAAGCAGGTCGCCGATACTTACACGGTGCTGCTTTGCAACGGCAAGGAACCACTCTTCCTACTCAAGCTCAGTCTTGACTCTCGACTGCCGCAAGGGAGGTGAGAGTTGAGGCGAGTCGGAAGCCGGCAAACTGGACTTTGACGCCCGTGTCCCCATTCCGATTAGTGTCTTCCCGTCAACGTACCGGAGTGACGCTACATCTGAGGAAGTTACCAAAACCAAAGTAGAAGGGGAAATCTCCAAGCAAGATCTCGAGGGGCGAGGCGGACGGGTCACCAAGGAGCAGGTCGACATCAACATCAAGGACGATCGTTACAGGGATCGTGACGATTTTCGGGTGTACGAGAAGACTGATCGAGTTGTGAGGGACGATCGGTAAGCATTTCTCCGCTGCCTCTTCAAGTGTGCCAAATTACTGACATCGCCCCCACAGCCACCCAGCAGGCTACTACAAAGACACCAAAGTCGACATCGAAGTCGACGCCGTCAAGAAGTCTACGACCAAGAAACGCGCAACCAAGTCGACGAATTCGAGCACGAATACCGCCGCCGCACCAGCCCGACCTACGACGTCGAGTACGAGCGCCGCCGTCCCGCCGGCCAAACTACCACCGAAGTCCATCACCACCGTGACATGGGCTACTACGACGACGAAGGCCATTACCACAGCTTCCGCCGCGGAGTAGAACGCGCCGCCGACAAGATCCTGCACCCCTTTTCCCACCGCGACCACCACCACCATCACCACCACGACAACGTCGTAGTCGACGAACGCCGCGAAGAAGTCGACGTCGAAGTCTCTAGCCCATCTCGTGTCCGCGACGGTAATCGCGAGCAAATCCGCTATTCTTCCCGCCCGTCCCGTGGTCCCAGCACCAGCGGCATGTCTCGCTTCGACACAGTCACCATCCCCTGCCACTTCATCCGCATCGGCGACCTGATCATCTTGCAGGGCCGGCCATGCGAGGTCATCAAGATCAGCTTGTCCAACAACACCGGCCAGTACCGCTTCTTGGGAGTCGACCTCTTCACCAAGAAACTCCAGGAGGAGTCGTCGTTCAACACCAACCCTGAACCCTCTGTTTATGTGCAGAGCATGCTGGGACCTGTGTTCCGCCAGTATAGGATATTGGACATTAGGGAGGATGGGCTGTTGGTGTGCATGACGGAGAGTGGCGATGTGAAGCAAGGAATCCCTGTGATCGACAACAACGGGTTGTGGAGCAAGATTCAGCGAGAATTCGAGGGAGGCCGGGGAAGCATCAGGGCGCTGGTGATTAATGATGGGGGGAGGGAGTTGGTTGTGGATTATAAGGTCATTCACGGGAGTCGTTTGTAGAAAGCGAAAGAGGAGGTTGAGGGGAGGACGGATATGAAGGGTGACAGTGGTGACGATGGTGGTGGTTGTGGTCCTCTTGCCGCCGCCGCCGCTGCTCCGACTCTTCGTCGTTGATGGTCAGCTTGGCTTGGGACATGAGGGGAGTTGGTTTGCCTTGGTCGCTTGAATGCCTCTGTCTGGCGTCCATCCGCCTGCGAGACATTACTACGACTGATGCAGGTCAACCCTCGTGTGCTCATCGCCAGAGCGAACATATGTAGGTACCTAGTTTAGTCATATCTGAAATGCGCATACAACTATACTCAATATCACCTACTTTTGCCCACCACAGGTTCGCGGTCGTTGACTGGTGCCGCGAGCTGGCCATGTGTATTTGTGTGCTGACGAGTGAGCCGAGCACGTGAGCTAGTTGCGAGGGTGATGGTGGCTTCCCGGTTCCTTAGCTTTTAAAAATTGGTGTTGATACATCAGAAATTCTGGTCACAAATCTCCTCAAAAAAGCTCATGCCAGGAGGCCTCTAGCGAAACGCGGTCCTCATATTTAGCAACTCCATCGATCCGCGACACCGAACATGTTTGTCGTCTGATTTTGCGGAGCCTTCTGGAAAAGCGCAAACTTCTTCGTTGCATCAGGTATGCTTCGCGCAATTCTCGTACGCAAATGAAAGCCCACGCGCACTTTGGCGCCAATTCCAGAACATTGTTCCTTCTTTCTATTATTTGCGGCTGACTTGACTTCCATTTTAGCATTTGCCGAGCCCCCGTCCATTGACTGACAGATCGGTGAGAAAAAGCGTCATGACCTCAATTGCCCCATCACTATCTCATCAGCCCTTCAAACTGTCCCGCGAGCTCTGCATGCTGGCGCTTACTACAGCCCGATTCGAGGTCGGCAGAACGCCAGCCTTTGGTTTCGAGGAATCCCTCATCTTCGACACGGTGTACACCAGCCCGGAGACAAAGCCGAGGAAGATAGCCGAAACGCTAGGAACAGTGACCGGCGCATCGAAGAAGACCAGCCCAGACACAGCAATTGGTAGCTTGTTCAGTGCTCCAACCATGGAATACGTGGTTGACGATGTGGCGCGAACACACCAGGCGGATGTGTAGCTAATGAAGATTGACGCGGCACCGGTGAAGATCATGGCGGAGATGATGGCGTTGCGAGAAGGCTCAGGGAAGTTCTTGAGGAGATTGGCGCCGGACCAGTCTTCGACTACGAGGGATGCGACGAGGAGGATGGGGATTGTGAGGAGGTTGTTGTAGAACATGGCTGGAGAGTTGTCAGTAGAGGACACGGCGAACTGGGTATATTGACTTACTGTCAAAGTCCTTGAAGTTGGTGATCTTGATCCGTTTCCGCATGCCCAACACATAGGCTGCGCTCGACAAGCAGTTGGCAAACATCCAGATATAGCCTGCGTTCAAAGTCGCCAACTCAGCGGAGGCCTTAGTGCTTGTGGCGCCATGAGACTCCATGGCGTGCTTGATATCTGCCCACGCTGCCACAACCGAGGAGAGAACCATCAGTCCGAAGGAGAGGAGAGCCATCTGCGAAACGGAGCCGCCAAACCAGAGGACTTCACCGTATGCGATCATGATGATTGTCAAGTTCTTGAAGATGGTGTATACCGGGATGGAGAGGAATTTTAGCGCTTTAGTCGAAGTGTAGATCATGATGATGAGGAGCAGCGAAATTGGAAACCCTGTCTCTGGTCAGCGTCATCGCGCGGAAGGGCTTGTTTCGCGCGACATACATTTCTTAGCCTCGTCTGTCTTGAAATCGCGATATTGTATGATGCCCGCAGCCTTGCAGCTCGAAATCGCAGCGACGCAGACCATAGCCTGGTCAGATCAATCAGCTGAGCCCACAGACCGGGTGATATGCAGCCTGCCCGCGCGCCTGGGCCACTGCATCGGGCACGTACCTGCACAGCCAGTAGAAAGAAGTTCAGATTATAGTCTGGGAATGACAGGATGTATTTGTTGGCCACAGTCATCATTATCGAGGAGCCGCAATACGAGAGAACTGGTAGTATAGGGTTGTTCTGCCAATTGCTCGAGGGAGCTGCTGGACGTGGTATGGTCGGCGTTGCTTGTCTAGGCGGACTGAAGCGTCCTTGTCGCTCTCCCAGCTCCAGGTCGTTGCCATCGAGCATCCGCTTCCTCTCTTCTTCGGCCATGTTGAACTCTGGGATGTGGAATACGCGCACAGGGGGATTTCAGCTGAGTGCTCGTCCAGAGATGTGCACAGCCTGTACCCAGCAAGCCTGCTCAAGAAACAGCAGACTGCTCTTTAAGAATATGGAGGACGGCGTGCTGAAGATTAGGCGAAGATGAGAAATGAAGTGAATGAAGAAAGGAGTGCTTCTTGAACCGTTGAAGGCAGCCAGGGTTCAGGTTGAGAGATCTCAGCCCGCCTCAGTTGCGCGTTGCGATTTAAGCTACGCGCCAAGCACTTTCCCAAGCACTTAAGCGGAATTAGTCTCCTTGCTGCAAAATCATCCTATTCCGTCCTTGCTGTTGCTCTTCCTTACTGTGCCCAGCCGTAGCATCATTTGTTGTCAATATCTGAGCGGCCCAGGTCGCTGAGCATCGGTATCGAAAATGATGTTTCTCACCGTATGCCTTGTCCGAGACATAGGAGCACGGCTATCACAAAGTTGGTGCCAAGTGGCAGCCATTGGTAACGTACCGACCGACCGGGTCTGGGTTAGAGGTACTCCTCGAAGGTACTCGTCGACTTATGGGTACATAAGGCAAGTTTGTTGGTAAGCTCTTCCTGTCCATTTCGTTCCTCTCCGATATCATCTCTGCCATTGCAGTCCAAGAAACGTGACATCCATTCGCCATGTCTTCCACCCCCGACATGCCGTCTACCAAAGGTGGCCAAGTACCTACGACATGTCCAGACCCGGCTACCAGACAGCAGCCCACCAACTTATCTAGCTCTCTCGGCAACAGCCTATCGGTGTCAGAGAACCCGAAGAATAAGAAGCGCAAGTCTATGGTTGATGACGAAGAAGAAACAGAAGTCATAAGCGAAGACGAAAGCCCAATGAAGCGCAACAAGAACTGTCTTCAGACTGGCCTTGTCTCTGAATCTACGCCAGCTAGCAACGATCTGAGCGAGATCGCAAGGAACGGCGTGCGCCGGGCGTTTATAGAGGGATGCCTACCAACGATCCTCATGAATGGACCACGGATAGTAATTGACAACACCAACAGCGCCGCACCCGACGATGGCCCGCATGTGAGGCCTTTCTGGACAGCAACTTACTGCCTAACAGGCCAAACCTCCATGCTTACGCCTGGCTCTCGCTGCGGATTCGGCATCGTCTATCAGAGCCTTAACGGAAACGACAACGACAACGACAACACGTGGTGGCAAGATTCCTTTGTCGACCGCTCTCCAGGACCCGCCTCATCCGTTCAAGCCTCAATTCTAGCGATCCTGAACGCCCTCAGGATCGCACTGGACCAGTGCGAACGCGCCTCCGATCCGGACGAACCACGATCGACCCGTTTGACCATGCCAGAGACTATAACAATCTTCGCGGAAAGCGCGACAGCGCTCGCGCGCATAGACGCGGCCTGGCACGACCCTTCCATGCACTTTTTGGGGAGAGCTTCGTATCTCAGGGGCCTAGTACAGACAATCAGATCGCTCGGTGCACTTGGTGTCAAGGTCCAGCTGTGTACGTCGCTCGGCACTCGAGAAGATCCCCGGCATCGATGGGCTCGCAGGGCCGCGCGAAAGGCTCTTCAACCAGACTCGTGGACGGAAAGCGCTACGAATGCGTCCGTGCAACGTGTATGCCGCAGGAGTCGCAGAGCCGAGCGGTAGCTGCACCAGAGGGAGGCACGGAAGAGAAAGTGAGGCTTATGACCAGTGATTGTTAATTGACGCCGATTTGTTGGGTGGGAATGGTGATTCACATTTTTCATAACGATTCATCAGCCGAAATGTTTAGAGCATCTACTGCCGGACGTCGACGTCTCTCAGATATCTTAATCTATTAAAACTTGCGACTCTCTTATAATTTGTCCAGTACTCCGTCTTTACCTCCGAATACTTGAATCCTTACTCTCTAGGTCTTCCGTGTATGTCAGTCAGCCGTCGTTACCCACCCCATCGCGCACACGAAAGATGCGTTGCCTCACACCTTCGGCTTCGCCGCAGGCTCGCTGCCCCAGTCCACGCTGCGCTTGATGCCATCCGGCAAATTTTCCCAACTCGCCCTCGCCAACCCCTCCTTCCCCCTCTGCTCATCCAGCTTCCCCTGAAACCCCAACATCTCCGCCGAGACGCCGTGCATGACATGCAGCCATGTCTGATCCCGCCATCGATAGACGCTTCCCCAGGCTGCCTTGAAACACGCCAGTGCGTGCTTATCCGTCGCGCCCTTCATGAATGCTTCTTGGATGCCTGCGAGTAACAGAGAGGTGAGCTGTTGGTTCTGGATTTCTTTAACGGAGGCTAGGGCCGCGACCATGCGCTCTTTGTCAACCCAGATGGCGGATTTGGTCAGGAGGGAGTGGGCCAGGAGGCAGGCGGTGGAGACGTTGCGATCTTGGATTGGGGCGGTTGCTGATTGCGTGAACGCATTGAGTAGGTTGACCATTGAGGCCTTGTTGTGGTGTTGGGGGTGGTTGGGCTGATCGATGATGAAGAGGCGGTTGATGAGGGAGAGGAGCTGAAGTTGCGGAGGACTGAGGTTTCGAGATCGGGGCTGCGGGTGATCTGTGAGGAACTGGTGTATGAAGAATCGGGGTCTCGTATGAAGCGACGTGGGTCGAGGAGTGAATGCTCGAAAGATTTGAGGGCTTTGTCTAGCTGACCTAATCCCTGGGCGATGGAACCACTGAGGTACACGGTCGCGGCGGCCATGGAGTCGGGGTAGGCATGCCGGCGGTTCATGATCAAGCGCTTGGCGAGGTTGTTTTGCTGGACTGCGAGATCCCACTTTGAACGCATGCAGAGCAGGAAAGCGAGCTCAATGAGGATACGACATTCCTGGACTTCTCCGTCGACAGCAGAGACCTTTGGGTGTTGTCCCTCGCGCAGCTCCTGCAGGGCTGTCTTACAGTACTGCTCCGCCTTCAAGGTCTTTTCGCTGCTGTTTGCTGGGGCGTGGCAGGCGGCGCAGAGCAGGTAGCAGATCTGGTTGGTATTGTCTTTTGTGAGCCATGAGAAGGGTAAGACGTATTCGCCGTTGTGTTTGGCGATCAAACCGCCGTTCTGGAGAGGCGCGTCCCGCAACGACGAAGAGTGAATGGGTATGTAGAGGCTGCCGGGTGTCTTCCATGCAGGATGATCCTCACCTCCATCTTCCTCCCAAACCTTGATAAGTTGGTCCCGCTTCATGTTGACTTCTGCCTGGCTGCAAGTACGCTTGCTGCAGCACACATCCACGAATTCCATAGCGATCCGCAACTGTGGCAACAACTTCATGGACCGGTCAAGCTGTTCTGATCGACTTCTAGCGATGGCTTGCTGAGCGGCAGAAACAGCGTCGGTGTGTGCTGTCTGCAGATGGACGAGGGCGGACATGAGAGCAGCGAAGGAGACCACAGCCCGGTCGTGATGACGAGCGGCGAGCTGCTCCATCTTCTCCAGCTGGTGGATAGCATGATGAAAGTCTCGAGTTGCTTCGAGGAGGTTCAGGTTTGCTGTTTCAAAGTAGAAGAGGTACAGCCAGGCTACATGCTTGTACGTTTCCATCTCTTCGATCTGGGCCAGCAAGAACTTCAGAGCTGCCTTGGGTTTCGTTTCATAAAGTAGACGGACCGACAGCAGGGTCAGGGCGTATTTGAGATCGAGGTAATTGTTCTGCTCGCAAATTTCGATGGCTTTGGAAGTTGCCTTTTCGGCTTCATCGTAGTTCTCAGTATGTTCGTACAGCAATCGAGCGTAAGTAAAAGATACTTGAGCCGTCTTCAGGGGCGGGAGCTGATAGTTCTTGAGGACGGATTCGATACATCCTAGGGCGAACGAGATGAGTTTGAAGTAGTCTTCCGAGTCCTTCTCAACTTTCTCAGCAGCTGCCGCGTATTCATCTGCAAGTACAAGTAGTATCTGTCCATAGTTGTGGTCGGCCGGCTCTTCGACTTTCGGTGGCTCACGTGCTCTGGCTGCGGTTTGACTGTGCACGCCATTTTGCATAGGCTGGAGAGGCATTTGAGCTGCTGAAGGCTGAGGTCGCTGAGTCATCGCGGCACCATTGGCGGAGCCATCAAACTGCGGCGGAGCTTGATACTGTTGCTCATACTGAAATTGATGAGGAGGATAAGACTGGTTATGTTGGGTTTGTTGATACATTGGTTGTGAAGGCTGTTGTACATGGTTCTGATACTGAGGCGGCCGTGATGGTACTACGACTTCAATTTGTTGTCGTAGATACTGCTGCTGGTGTTGCTGCTGATATTGCTGCTGATATGGTGGTGCTTGATATGAATGACCGTTGGAAAGCGGTTGTTGAGGGTGTGAAGCATGTTGCTGTAATTGATCGAAGAAGTTCTGGGGCTGACTGCTTTGGTAGCCATTGTACTGCTGCCACTGCTGATTGCCTTGCCCATTCATCGTGCCGAGCCGCGTTTGCTAGATGATGTGGCCTCAGTACGATAGTAAAGTCCAAGTCCTCCACCGCCCACGCCGGCTTGCCATTCCAGGCTCACCAGTTGAGTGTCTGATCCTGCCCTTCCACCCAAATTCAATCGAAGTAGCCTGATGTTGGGTGAACACTGCCCGTTCGCGACGTCCGCCAGACTAATCCTTGTCTGGTTCGAAGTGTTGTGTTGATGACGCTGAACTTGGTTTGGTGGACTATGGTGTGATACTGGTCGGGTCGATGTCAAGGTGTCCAAGGTTCGGCGTTCACGCGTTGGTCTCCACTCAAAGACCCGGCTCCGGATTTGATATCCGCTGCCTGGACCCGCTTCTCCAGATTTCATCATAAATTATCAACTTCTCTGAATATTTGAAGACGGACTACTCTCTCGACAACCACACAGCGCTGCCACCAAAAATGGCGCCGACCAAACCCAACAAAGGTCCGAAAAAGCCCCTGCCATCACTGAAAGTGTCCGCGAAAGCCAAACCTCTCGCCCGCAAATCCGCATCATCATCCTCGTCCTCAAAATCCAAAATCAGCCGCCCACCACCAAAACAACAGAAGACCAAACCCGGCCTACACAACCCCACACCCGGCAAGCGAAAGGCTCCCAAATACACAGACAAGCAGCTCGCGTTACCATCCCTCAACTCCATCATCCCCGCCTCTCACGCCTCCAAAGCCGTCGGAGGCAAGGGCACGGGCAAGAAGAAGAACAAGGTCTTCGTCGATGATGTGGAAGCCATGCAGACGATAATGAGTATTGTGAATGCGGAGAAGGATGGTGTGATTCAAAGTAAGATGATCAAGATGCGAAGGCTCGAGGAAATTAGAGAGGCGAGGCAGAAAGAGGCGGAGAAGAGGGAGGAGCGGAAGCGGGAGGTGCTGGAGGGGAAAATGGAGGAGGTCAAGGGGAAGCGGAAGGCGAGAGGAAAGGAGTGGCCGAGGGAAGAGCAGGCGCAGTGGGAGACGAAACCGACTACAAACGGGAAGAAGAAGAAGAGCGTGGCTTTTGCTTGAAACGCTGGCTCAGACTAGGCTGGCGTATCTCGTACCGAAGATAACGACCAAGCACAAGGCATACAAACTTCTGCTATGGACCGATCTTTGGTTTTCAGCCGCCACCATGGTGACTTTTTCTCGTGGTTGGAACACGGAACCATACGAGGCGGCTTGAGTTGGACAAAATCTCGCTGGGCAAACAGCCTGTGCAGCTGCGTATATCGCTATGGCCAAAAAGTCTATATGGACGTCTATCTATTTGGTCGTCTTGTGACTGTGTCTAACAATCGACGTCCATGGGAATCTCTCCTCATAGGATGACACAGCGACAGCCGCCATCGTCCGATCTGCGCCGGCTCTGCGGCATCGGTCGTTCGAGGTGGCCGTTCATCTTGAATTGCGACGGACGGCGGACGAGAACTTTGCCGCGGGATCGTAGGTCGAAGACTTCGATACGATTTTTGGAAGATATTTTGGAGGGCTCTTAGGATCAGGGAGGGCACTGCAAGAATTCTTCTGGCTTTTGGGATGGCTTCGCGGCTTTTGACGTTGTAAGAAGAATGTCCGACCACGGCGGGAATCTGCGAGGGCCGTATATATGCTTGGAACGGAGGCCTGAGTCGTTTGCGGTTAGCTGGTCAGCCACCGTTGCGCCTCAATCATCGCGGCTGCGACATGGCCTGCTATGCATAGCCCGCTCTTGAGCGACTGCGTTTGCCACTGCTGGGAGCTTTCGATGGGTAGCCGGACTAGCTGCACCATCAAAGGTCGAGGATCACTGGCCTGTCACTCGTGGACAGCGTGGCGTTATTCTCTACTTGGGCGCCACCGAGCCGAGCGATGATCATCACTGCGCGACATCACGACCCGGAAAGTGCAGCTTTCGCCTTGTCGAATCAAACACTGGCTTCAGTGGGTCCCGCTGACCAGGCAACGCCTTACCCTTCAGCCATCCCAGCTCCGTCCGCGAAAGCTGATCTAGCTTCACCTCCTTCGCCATCTTCTGGAGGAATGCAGATGACTGTCCGGTCCAACAAGTCAGCAAAATCGTCGTCGAGTCTGAGAAAAACAACGACTGGACTCACCGGCTTCACAAACCACCGTCCACCACCAGTCTCAAACCACCCCAAGTGCCCGCCCAAGCTCGTCGTGCAGAGCACGACATACGGCGTAGCTTGATCTCCTCGTACGGCAACACCTCATCACACACCACGGGATCGTCGAGAGCATGGATCGCCAGCAGTGGAATACGCACACCGAGCATAGCGTCCACGCTGCTGGCGTCGCGGTAGTAAGCCGCTTCGGAGGGGTAGCCCCAGGTCGCGCACTGAACATAGCGGTCAAACTCATTCAAGTATCGCAAAGTCCGGACCTTCTCCACGTCTATCCCTGGCACCTGCTTAATCATATGCTCATGCCGCGCAAACAACCTCTTCATGCTTGATCCCAAAGCACGCAGATAGATATTCGTGCCCCACCAGCTCCGCGCCAATGCCAGCGCGCTGACTTCCAGGTTCCACACGCTGCTGACAACTACCGCGGCAGCTAGCTCACACTTCTCGCCCTCCTCGCCCAGGTAGTTCACCAGGATGTTGCCACCTAACGAAAATCCCACTCCAAACAGCGGGCGGTTCGGGTAGATGCCCCGCAACCACTTGACAACTTGCCGGATATCCCAGGTGGCGCGGGCGTGTAGAGGATGGGCGTGGAGAGGGTGGTGTGTGCGCAGCCGCGGGAGGTCAGGACGCAGGCTTCCCAGGCGGGGTCAGGGGCATTGAGGGGCTTGGCGGAAGAGGTGAGGGGAGAGACAAGCGGCTCCAGAAAAGCACGCAGGTACAGCTCGTGCGAGCCCCCACTGAGGCCATGTAGGACGACGAGCATGGGTGTGGTATCGGTGCTGCCGGTGCTGAAGGTGGACCATTCGGGGGCGGTGAAGAAGGTCGTGCGCGGTGGGAGATCCTCCGGAGGAGGCTCATTGGGTTTGGCGGATGACGGTGGAGGGCGGACCACGAAGTCAACAGCAAATTGTCCTGCGTAGGCTGGGTCTTCTTGCTCGAAGATGTGTCGTTTGTAGTGGACGAGGATGTTGTGGGACAGGAACTGAGTGGCGGCGGTTTGGGCGTCGCCGTTGAAGAGGAGGGGGTTGAGCTTACAGGGCGAGAGGACGGATTGGACTAGGGATGAGAGGGTGGTGGAGGAGCCCGATTGTAGTGGAATGCTGAGCGTTTCTGTTGCGTGGTATAGACCGGTCTTGGCGTGGCTGAGGATGCGAGACATCTTGGTGGTGAGAATGTAGATCGTGATAATGAGAACGACGGTGGTACACAGCTGTGTCGAGCTCTCAGCTTCTCGAAATCGTTGTGCTATTTTGTGCAAAGTGTCTTGCACGAGGTCTTTGATCGAGGCCATGTCGTTCGAAAACCCCCAGTACAGTTTCTAGTATATCCCCCTCCGTCTACGCTTCGTTCACGCTTCTATTTAAGAGCTATCACAGCTCGCAGTGTGACTCGTGCAGATTTGATATCAATCTGGTCGAATCTCACGGCCCAAAACAGTGCATCGATAACGGCCGCATCGTATCTCGCAAAGTATACGCATCAGAGCATCTAGCTCGACCGTTCGTAAGTACCTACAAGTGTCTAGGCTACAGCGATATTAGCACGCGAACTTCTTGGAAAGCCATAGTAGCGTTGATGTCGTTGATATTGGTCTCATTGTGCGGCTCCACTTTCTCGGATCTCAAAAATTGCACATGTCCGACTAACGAGGTGGACTGCCTGATTCATGCTTTCTTGCGAGCACATGCTCTTCGAGCCTCAGACTCTCTTTTTGTTTGGCACGCTTGGCATAGACGATATCCGAGGTTGCACTATCAAAAGTCTGGGTACAAGATAGCGGAACGACAAGCGAGAAACCAGGACTGCATTGCTTCATCCTATATGCCTGCTACCAACGGCTCTCTTATGATGCAGGGGAAAGCTCGATCGCCATATCATAGCTGGCGTGTTCCAACACGTTCTGCTCGACCATGGTCATGACTTCCTCGGACCTGGGAACACCTCGTAAGCCCAGCCGATAGCGGGACATAGCCAGCCTGTCCCTGTCCTTCACTACCTCGTCCCAGAACCACCCCTGTAGTGGCGAATCATGTTGCACTGAGGCAGATCCACCTGGAAGGCCATCGAAGGGCTCTTGTAGCCACACATCTTTGCACCTCGACCAGTCCCAGAGTAGGTAACCCTCTCTCCTCAGGTGCGTGTGCTGCGATTCACAAGGGCGGCTGTGCGGTCGCGCATCAGCATCAGGGTGGGCCCATGTCCATGTGGCTGTCGGCCCACGGTCGATGTCCTGGAACAGCGGCTTTTGTACTACTTGCTGTGCGTCATCGTCCCACTCGAATGCCACGATACCATCGTATTGACCATGATATGTGATATCAAGGGTCCCATTATAGGGTCCAAGAGATATAGTGTCTCTGATGAGGCTGCTCAATCTCATATCGGTGCGTGAAAGACGTGGGTCTGGCCCGAGCAGTGTAGTGAGGTCCCGTCTGGTGGAAGCAGAAATCAAAGCCTGTATGAAGGGAAGGCCTTTCATCGTGAAGAACTCGAGTCGACTGTCTGCGATCTGCTCGATGTCAACCACCTGTACATAGCGGGCCCATACTGGGTCAAGGGCGCAAAGCCTGTGAATAGCTGGGGACAGCCACATGTCAGCGTCGATTGTCTCCAGTAGCCACTTGTCTACGTACCATCGTGGACTACTCTTCTCAGCATCTCCCAAACGCAGGCGAGTTGTTCATTCTCCATGAAATTATAGCGCGAGTAAAAATTGCGGAACGTATGCCTTTGCCAGTGGTATCGAATGGGGTAAAGTTCATGCATCACGCAGATGATCTGGGCACGATAGAGAACATGTTGAAAACGGCAGATTTCCGAGTCGGTCATCGGAGCATCTTGGAAATTTAGCGTCAAATACTTCTCGCAAACCATTTCTTTGACGACAGCCTCGACAGCGTTGTGCGTTTCTTCCATAGCGAGGAGCACTTTGATGCTCCATTGTGACGGCGTTGGCTTAGTGTCGCATCCTCGGTCCAGATCTTCGACTGTGAGGTTCCGCTTGGGAGGCAACCATGAGCGCAGCCATCCATCGGGAAATCTCGCATCTGCTGCCGTGAAAGCAATGTCTATGACTCGAGCATCAATGCGACGAGTGATGTTGTGAAGTAGGCGCGTCTTGACTTCTGCGACGATGCTGTACAAAGTTCGACAAGTAAGTGCCACATTGTATAGTGCCTCCGCATCTGGGGCGCGCGCTAGAACGTGAAAGAGTAGTTCACGAGGCAAAGTGTCCAAGATACTTGAAGAGCTCGAAGGGAAGGACATGCTGAATCAGACGTCAATGTTCGGGAAGGAGACGATGACTACCAGTCAGACACTAAGACGCCAAAGGCTCCCGTTGCCCCCACGCAAGGCCCACTTTTCAGGAACCAGGCGACTGTTTGCCTTGTTCGGACATTTAGTCCTGCTTTAAATTGCAAGCTTTGACCGCTGATGCTTCACGGGTGATTTCAGGCTGCGTAAAGAGCTTCCTCAGACATGCCCTGCGAATGTCTGGATCTTCAGTATCTACATTGGTTGCCATGATGCCTCTCAACGTCAAAATTGAGCCAATCACGGCTGCCATGTACTAAGGCGTTGGCAGGGAGTTCAACAAAAAAGAGCCTCCTCCTCGTAGACGATCCTCTCCCGCCATTCAACTGTCCTAGCCCACCGCCGCTATGTGGGCCGTCTCACGACTCGGGCGGCGAACTGTGGCGTCTTGTCATGGCATCATACAGACGAGCTTGCTCTCCAGAGCAGTCTCTGCAATACGCAATAATGCCCAGCTGCAATCTCACGATGCACGTCAAGCAGTCGTGCCCACAAAACGTAAGTCATACAGGTCCGAGCGTCATTGTCGGACTTTCAGCACACGTTCCGGGCTGTGTCAGGAACCCATCGAAGTCCAACATGCTCAGCCGGACGACGTACCACCAGGCGATTCAGAGCATGCCATAATCTCAGCATTCGATCTCTTCTCCATAGGTATAGGCCCTTCGTCCTCTCATACTGTTGGTCCAATGCGAGCTGGAAACATCTTCGTCACAGAATTGGCAGATCTTGGCCTGCTCACTAAAGTGCGAAAGATTCGGATCGCTATTTATGGCAGTCTGGCATTGACGGGCGAGGGCCACATGACGCCTAGCGCTCTGCTGTTGGGCTTGGAGGGCGCAAACGTCGAGTCAGTGGACACGGCCTATGTTCCTGTCCGCTTCAACGAGATCAAGACCAGCAAGAAACTCCGACTTGGAGCAGGAGAGGCAGTGCAGGAGGTCGATTTCATTTATGACAAGGATTTTGTGTGGGAATGGACGAAGAAGCTGCCTCAGCATTCGAACGGTCTCAGACTGACGGTCTTTGATGAGAATGGCGATCCGCTCGCAAGTAACGACCTCTTCAGCATCGGCGGTGGGTTTGTCGTGAACTCAGGCATGACCACCCAAGCAAACCATGCTGCGAAGAACGAGTCACAGACCTCGACAAGTCATCATCCTGCTGATTTGCGCGAGAATCTATACTATAAAGCAATCAAGAAATCCGAAGCCTCAGAAGAACGAAGGAGTGGAGCAGGATACGATTTCCCGGATGCCACTTCGACCGGTCAGTCCAGTCTTGTGACAAGAAAACCGGACGACCTCAACGTTGGTTCTTTCGACGGTAGCTCAAGTGGTCCATATCCCGCACCCCTCCTATTCCGCAATGCCAATCATCTGCTTGCGCTATGTAACCAGCACAACCTTACCATCGCCCAATTGATGTTCGAAAACGAAAAAGCTCTCGGGATGACAGAGACTGAGATATTCGACAAGCTGTTCCGGATCTGGGAAGTCATGGATGACAGCATTCGCGAAGGCGTGTCTGCATCTGCGCCGATCCTGCCCGGCTCACTCAAGCTGCGCAGACGTGCTCCCGGACTGTATAGGAAGCTGACTCGAGGACTATATCCAGAGCATACACAGCCGCCGCAACTGCTACAGAACACAGAAGTCCACGCTCTGCCCGTCGGCAATTCTTCAACTGCCATCGAGCCCACGACCGCATCGGCAAAGACACCAGCAGTAAGACGTCGAGGCATGGGTCTCGGCCGCCGAACTCCACCAGTCGTCCACGGCTCACCAATACACCCCATATCAGTATCTCCCGTCCGTAGCGCCACCCTTCCCGCCATGGACTACCTCACAGTCTACGCCATCGCGGTGAACGAGACCAATGCGGCAGGCGGCCGCGTCGTAACAGCACCGACCAATGGCGCAGCCGGCATCATCCCCGCCGTGCTCAAATACATCGTCGAGTTCGTCTCCGACGACCCTGAGCGCGACGTCCCGATCTTCCTCCTCACAGCCGCTGCGATAGCATCACTATTCAAGCGCGGCGCCACCATCTCCGCCGCTGAGGGCGGCTGCATGGCCGAAGTGGGCGTCGCGTGCTCCATGGCTGCGGGCGCCTACGCTGCTGTATGGGCGCTGGTCCTGAAGCGATCGAACAAGCAGCTGAGATCGGTATCGAGCATAATTTGGGACTTACCTGTGATCCGATCGGCGGGCTAGTGCAGGCTCCTTGTATCGAGAGGAATGCGCTTGGAGCGGTCAAGGCTCTTACTGCCGCTAATCTTGCGCTTAATGGGGATATTGGGCAGCACAAGGTGAGCTTGGATGATGCGATCAGGGCGATGCGGGTGACTGCCAAGGGAATGAAGGATGAATTCAAGGAGACTAGTCTGAGTGGGTTGGCGACGAGTGTGCCGCTGAATATTCCGGTCAGTGTGCCGGATTGCTGATCGTTCGGTATGGGACGTGATGCTGATGACTGTTTGGTGATGAACGGGGCGTTTGGGTGATATTATGACCAAAAAAAAGATCGACTAGAATACAGGAAGCCGTCGGGCCAGGAACAGAATATCTTCGATAGAATTAAGATAGCTCTCAAGAGTGCAGATGACACATTTTGCGAGAACAGCAAGGTGATTGAGCTCTAAGCCAGATCCCTTGAAGGAAGAATCTATAATCATCTTCGTCATGCGAAGTACAGTCGTCTCTATCGGCTCTCCGCGCTCGACAAGCTTCATGGCGCCACCGACCTACAACTTACTGCCCCTCTCCCTCCACCCAACCGCATATGAATGGCCCGGGCCCGTAGCCACTAGCCTGTCGATATCCCCAGTGTTGACATACTCCGGCCCAACATCCCCCACCCTCGTGATCCCCGAATTGCGCATCGCCACCTCGAACTCATCCTTCAATATATCGATCATATGCTCGACACCCTCCTGACCATACCCCGTCGCGAACAACGCCGGCCTGCCCACCCCAACGGCCGTCGCACCCAAACATACCGCCTTCAAGATGTCCGTACCGCGCCTGACTCCACCGTCAATCAGAACACTGAACGCCTTATTCTGCCCCGACCGCACAGCGGGGCTGTGGGGGTGGTGCTGCGTGATGACATGCGGAAACCGTTTCCAGACTTCCAGCAACACCAGTATCGCTGGCGGCGAAGTATCCAGATTCCTCCCTCCGTGATTACTCAGCACGACGCCCTCGCAGCCGTGTTGGAGGGCTAGGAGGACGTCGTCTGCGCTCATTACTCCCTTGAGGAACAGTGGTAGGTCTTTGAGGTTTGCACGCAGCCATGAGATGTCCTCCCAGTTGAGGTTGGGATCGATGAAGTCGCCCATTAGGCGACCGTAGCCGCCACCTTTGCTGTCGTTCTTTGCGGCGCCTCCGGCACCCATCATGGGGTTCTTCACGCTCTCGTCTGCTTTGACTCGCTCATCTGCCTCGCGCTTTCCTGCTGCCGCCGCGTCGGTTGTGACCATTACGCCCTTAATGTTTGGGAGGGCGCAGATCTTGGCGATGAGCTTCTCTGACTCAGTCCGATTGCGATTCACGTATAGCTGGAAGATAAATGGCTGGTCTCTGACTTCAGGCTGGCTGACGATGTCGGCGGCAGTGTAGGACGCATTGTTGCTGATACACTGCACGATTCCTTTGGTCTTACATGCCCGTGCAATGGCTAGCTCCCCGTCCGGGTGGATCAGGCGGGCCATCGCGGCAGGCGAGATGAACAGTGGGAAAGAACTCTCGAAATCAATTCCAGGGAATGGGGCGCGCGTGGTTGTCGTAATTTGGCTGACACGGCGCATCACACGCGGCCGGAGGAGGATGCGTGTGAGTAAAGAGTTGTTGAGGTCTCGCGTAATGACGTCGTCGGAGGCGGATGAGTAAAAGGCCCATGTTTTGGGCGTGGCGGTGGCTTTAGCGGCAAGTTCGAAGTCGCGGAGGTTGATTATTGAAGATAAGGGCGGCTTAGATGGATTGATGGTAGTGGCTTTTGATGTACTGGGGGAGATGTGACGATCTTGTCGCTGTCGCTGCTCCTGCTGATTTTTCCATTCCTCGGTTATGGTCGCCTCATCGAGCACGCCCTTTCGAGCGTTGGCAGGCAGGCCGTTAGATATGATAGATGGGGCGTGGATCTCGTCATACGCGACGCTAGCGTCCCGACCGGCATAGTGGTATATTATGTCGGGACCGCCTGGGTGAGACGGCGCAAAGGCGGTGATGTTCCATACCACGTTGTCGACGACGATCCAGCAGTCGTCTTCTTTGTTGTGGCGAGAGATCTCTGATATGGAGATCTTGATCTCGGGCATGTTGTTGGTTGTGGCGGCGCTCTAGGCCAGTCTACTAGAATTTTGCGAGGCAAGGTGGTGAGCTGTGTTGTCGGAACATCGTCACGTTGGGCTGTTGAGAGACTCAATCAGTTCTATATCATTACATAGATCAACATATTCAAGAAAGTCGGAGCAAAGCGCTCAAGTGGCCGAAGGCCGTCGTCTACGTTGTCCAATCATATCTCTTCATTTGTATTCAAAGCGACAAACCATGATATGGGGCTCCGCCTCTCCGGACCTTTGCCCGATGATGCTGTGCGGAGTGTCCCCGGGATGGAGTTGCCGTCGGCATCAAGGACATTTTGGCGGTCGTTGGCCACTCCCTGCCACCGCTGCAATGTTCTGCATGCCTCTCACAGCTACCTCTATGAGGGTCTCGTTGGCTTTCGGCTCCGTCCCTCCTGAAAATTGCTCCCATGCTGCTATCGTACTTAAGTAGATCTTGTAATCCCTAACGGCGTACTTGCGACCTTTGTCGTCTCTGAAATACTTGAATCGTTGCAATTCCGCTTCCTGTGTGATCTTGTGCTTGCGCTTCCGCAGGTCTCCTGGTTGTGTAAACTCGGACGTCAAGGTCGCATCCATGGCATCCGACGTACTGAGGATCGACGATGATGCAGATGTGATCGTTGGTATAGAAACGGGAGTCGTTATGACATGCTGCGTGATTGTGTCAAGTGCGGCATCGAGGTATTGGAAGAGAAAACAATGGTGCTTGAGCATCTCATGGGTGGTGTTGACCCAAACGCCGTCGATTCTGGAAAGATTTCTCCGCAGGTCGTCGACCTTACCACCACGCACAGCATGCTTGCCCTTCAGAGCCAAATATACCATGACGCCGAGCTCCTCGAACTTTTCCACATCTATTCGCAATTCTCCAGCCGCACCGGTGGACGCGAACTCAAAGTTCTCAACTTCCGAGGCGCCTGAGGATGGTTAGCTGTTGATAATGATCACTGGCTAAACTCACCTTCGTAGACCTGGCACATCGCCTCCACAATACCCTCATTGTGGTATGATTTGGTATGCATGGATAGAAGCGCCAGAAGGACCGGCAGACGAAAGTCCAGCTTCAGACCACCAACCAGCTTTTGATGGTCCCGTACTTTCTCGACGGCAATCCGCTTTCTGATGACCGTCTCGGAACCATATAGTTTGTCAAGGAGTTGCGAGGCTTGCCTAGATTTAGTTGTCGCTGGATCTGGCTTCGCAAGCTTCTTCGACCCCTTCGCCCTCGGCTGCACTGTGAGTTGTGGAATCAGCTCGAGAAGTCCCGGACTTCGTACATTGTCCTTGGTCAGCCAAGGACAAAGGAATCCGCTGAGAGAAACAGTGCTAGCATCGACGTTCAACACGTTCCAGAAAAGGTACTCGCCAGGAAGTGACCCACGGACCATCGTATCTTTAGACGAGTTATGACCGAGTGCTCGATAGCCGAACGCTATTGCGCGGCCATTGACTCCTAGAGCCAGCCTTCTGATGTTCATGGTGTCGATGACATGGATTCGAATGTCCTCTGGCTTTGTCTTCTTCCGTTGCTGGAAACGAAGAGCTCTTGCAAGAGTGGCCACGATCGAATCCGAGAAAGAGATCCAGGGGCTCGGGGTATGCTGCTTCCGTAAATGCATCGTGAGCGTGGATTTGATGTGCTCACAGTCTTTGTTGACATCAAAGAAGTTGGTCAATCCGAGGCCTGCCTTCACACTACCAGACCGGTAGAGACCCTCCTCATTCACACCCTGAGACCTTGGATGTGTGACCCGGTAGAGGTATCGTGGCATGAGTCTCGCAGTCACGTCCGCAATCTTCCTGAGATCAGGCCCTGCATACTCAACTTTCGAATCATTGCTTGGCCATCCCGGACTGCAGAACTTATAAGCCCAAAAATGCTCGTCGGACCTCTCAATCTCGAGGTCGAGATCAGCATCGTCGCCAAACTTGCATTGTGCATCCCAATGTTGCTGCCTTGTAATGGCGTCTTCCAGAACCGACTCTTTCAGATCCGCCTCTTCGTCGCTCTGCTCGTCGAGTCAGTACACTCCACGAGTCGCGGTCACATTCGGCAGCGGAGTGAACTCACATTCATTTCCATGACGACAGGCCGTTCTTGTATCGCTGGCCGGAGTAGAAAAACTCCGATGAGGGAATCAACGAGGGAAGGTGATGGTGTTGGAAGGTAAGATCGAGATCTGCCGGAAGTTGCGAGGATATGTAAAAGTCGTAGAATTCCCAGCGCGACAGTGGATGCCTTCCTTTGCGCTAAGAGAGCCATTCACTGTGCGTGACGCGCGATCTGTAAGTAAGGTACGACTGAGGGAGCTCAGGCTGACCAGTGTCTCAATCCTGGCGCTCTCCTGCTCTCACACATCATGTATTTTGGTTGTCAGTTCTTCCTTCAGGCGGACTTCGGGGCTGCTGGAGGTCAGATGCGAAAACGTCTTCGCTGCAGGTGTGAGAACGAGAGGGGTCGACGACAGAATGAACAATGCTGATGTGGTGCTCCGTTTTCATCACATGGAGGCCGCCTGGTACGACTTCATGATGCCATTGCCTTGAAACAGTGGCACAGGATTTCCGGATCGCTCCTACCCTGGATTCGATCCCGTTGTATGCGCCTGCCCAATGCTAATCATACCGCCAAATCTTCGTCAATCGAAACTTTAGTGACAGAGCCCGCCCTGACTGGCAAGATTCGTGATTTACAGTCCATCTACTTGTCCGCTTTCTTGCCCAGCTTCCCAGCCTTCTTGTCCTTATTCAGCCCCGTGAGTTTCAGCTTTATAGGTGGTTCGTTGCTTCCATCGCGCATCTTGGACGTGACCTGTATCGAATCTCCGTTCGGCTCACTCTTAATCGGACTTTCATCGATCTTGTCATCCACATTGATTGAAGACTCTCGAAGCTTGCTCGGTGCACCGACAGCTCCCTTAGGACCCTTCTTAAGGTCGTTGGTTTTCTTCTTCTTCAGCGGCGGCGCATTCTCCTCATCGACCGCTTTCCGTTTCACGCCATTCGTCGCCGGAGCTTTGGGTGAGTTGGCTCTACTATCTCTCGGAGTGCCTGCAATCTTGGCGTTGGCTTCTCTGCCGGCCGCACGATTCTTCTGCAGGTAGCAAGCTCCATTCAGGTGAGTCGCGAATATGTTGACAGCTTTCCAGTGGTCGCCGAGGTGGGAAGTCCGGTTGGGACACTTGGCTGCTGGATACTCGATTTCTCTGAACTCGAATGAGTCTGGCATGGATGAGATCGGTGTAACAGGTTCTGAGGCCTCGGATGCTGGTGAAGGAGGATCGTTCTTCTTCTTGTTCTTGCCCTTAGCTTGTCCCTTGACCTTGACACCCTTCTTCCGCTGACCATGGACATCATGCTTGTCTACGATTATCATTGGCTCTTCTTTGCAGTATTGCTCTGTCACGTCGGGCACCGGTCGTGAATTGAAGCCGACCCTGGGGTATAGTAGGCGGCGTAGTCTGCAGTTGGGGCATCGGATGTGCTTGACCGTCTTCATCGGGTTTCCGGTCAATTGTGCCTTGCCTGTGTCGAGTATGGCAGCTTTTGTCTCGATCGGCTCTCGTGGTTCGGCGGGCTGGTCCTCAAACTGTTCTTGAGCCACGTTTCGTCCAAGTTTGGTAGCTTTGTCCTCGAGTTCGACGTAGGCTGTGTGCATGCGAGCGACCTTCTCATCCTGATGCACGTCCAAGAGGATGTCGTGTATGATTGTATCGAGTGCGGTCGCGCATAGGTATAGTGCCTGTCATGTTAGCTTGCATTTCTCGACCACCACGTCCTGGGCGGGCCTCACGGCTTCGGTCTGGTCTTCTGGGGAGACTTTAAAGTCCTCCAGACCGCTTGACGACTCTTCCGCCATCGCCGCTCGCGCTATCTTTGTATTCTACTATAAAATGATCTGGGGCGGCCTCTGTGCGTGACCTCATGTGCTCATGTATCTAATTTGGACAATTGTACTAACCCACCAAAAGTCCGCGGCACTGCAGGGGCGCTAATGTAGGCCCCTGCGGAACCGCCCGCGATCCATATCCGGAGGACTCCACATGGATTGACGATCATTTTCCAAGACACGTCCTGAAGTTCTTCAACACGCGATTGAGGACACCAAGAACGTCAAGTAGTCATAGGTCGACCTGAAACACGCGTCAAGGGACCATCACGACAGCCACAACGCATGAGAACGAATCCTCACTCAGCAACTCCTTAGAGACAACAACAGACATGGCCCAGCCTACGCTCTTCAGCTACTTCAGCAAGCAGCCTCCCACCATTACGATACCACACCAGTCATTAGCAACAATACCGATGAATTCAAGTAGCATAGTAATACCAGCCAGCACCCACGACGCACATTGGCCACCTACAAAAACAGCCTCAAAACCAACTTCTTCTCTTCTCGCCAAGCCCAGCCCTCACCAGTCATCATCCTCTCATCCACCACACAATGCAGAAGCAGAACCACAGCCGACACCTCAACCAACCCACCATCCCAGCATATTCTCGCCACCACAATCGCGAGCCACGCCGCAACCCTTCACCATAACCCGCATCGACCCATCCCACATCCCCGCCCTCAAACAACTCACCGCTTCAATCCTACCTATCGCCTACTCCCCCAAATTCTACACCGAGGCCATCTCCGACCCAGACGTCGTCGACTTCACCCACGTCGTGCTCGCCCACGACCGGAAGCCAGTGGGGTGGATCACCTGTCGGGTCATCCGGTCCCAGCCAGAGTCAGAACCACCCTTAAATGCTAGCGCCACAGCAGAGGCAGCCAGCCCAGCGGCCCATCTCGGTACGCATCAACTCCCAGCGTGTCTCGAAGGCAAATCCGGCAGCCACCTGTACATCCGCGCCCTGTGCATCCTGGCACCCTATCGAGAGCAGGGCTTCGCCAGCCGACTTCTCGCAGCCGTCCTGTCCGACCCGGCACACCTCCTCAAATACAGTATCACGGCGATCTACGCGCACGTCTGGGAATCCAACACTTCCGCACTGGAATGGTACGAGAAACGCGATTTCAGGAAGGTGAAGTTGGAGAGGGCATACTATCGGAGGTTGAAACCATCAGGCGCTTGGATCGTAAGCCGAGACTTGCGGGTGGGCGACCTTTTGCCTGCGGCGAGTGCAGGAGGAGGTCTTGATTAGCTAACGAAGCACATGTCCAAGCCGTCTTATCTTCACTCGCAGACCTCCCACCATCCCAATCGCCCAACGCCGCTGCCAGCATTACGGACGATGCAGAGGGTCCGCTCTTTGATCTGGCGCTCTCTTTGTATAGCCGCGGCACTGACAGAGCCGTCGTTGCTGCTCTTCGGCTTCCCATTCTGCTTTTCGGCTCCTTTGCTCTGACTCGAGTGCCCTTTCTTACCACTACTCCCGGTCGGCGCGGAACCACTCAATCCACTTGGTCCACCTGAACCGCTTGTTGCGCTTGTGCTCGGGTCGCTTTGAGCATTATCCGCAGCAGACGTCTCCTTGTCCTCTTCAGCCCAACCCTGCCTCACCCGCTGCACCCAAACCCCCGCAACTCCCGTCCCCCTCCCCTCCACAAGATTATAACCCCCACTCGTCACGAACCCAACCAGGTCCTCCTTATCCGGACACTCCACCAGCCCTTTCGCGGCATCCCACTTTACGGTTTTTCCGTCTTTGCTCATTTCTACCGCATCGTTCTTCAACAACTCCTCCAACCGCATCCGTGCTTCGTGCTCCGCGACCTGGGCGTCCGAGGGGTAGGTATTCATCTTATCGATAATTTCCTGTGGTGCGCGCAGCGGGAAGACGTTGATGAGGGAAAGATTGTGCTCTTCCTTCCTCAACGAGTGGACGTGGTGTGGGTTGGTGTCGTTGGGCTGAGGCTTTTTCGATGAGGGTTGGAGCGTTGAGTTTCTGCTGGGGGTTTTGGCGGAAGAGGTGTAGAGGGATGGTGGGACGAGGGAGAGCCATTTCTCGCGGAGGGTAGATGGGGATGATGACTTGGGTTGTTGGGGGAGGCTGGAGAAGGCGGAGGATGGGGATGGGGGCGGCGGCTGTGCGCCTGGTGGTAGATCCGCAGAAGAAGATATGGCGGCGGGGAGGGTCGAGGTGTGGACTTCGGCTGAGGCAGGTAGTGAGCCAGAAGGATTGCTGCTGCTGTCGTCCCTGCCGCTGCCCTCTGTCGCTGGTCGAATAGGCGATTTCGTCGTTGGCGGTGCCATTCCTGCGTCGGGCTTTGGCGGAAGAGGAAGCTTGGGGAGACGGTATACTCGTGCGCCTGCTTCCGGAGTGCCTTTTGTGAGCAAGCGGATGCGCACTGTCGCTATGGCTGGAGTATCATCAGATTCGGCCTTTGACTTGCTCTTGAATTTTCGCGGTTTCAGCAACGTTGCAGCCTTGTCCGGTGTGAGTTGAATATAGTCAACGTCAGGTTCCGGCGTTGTCTTCACCTTGTCTTCCGGTTCAGGCGAAGTCTCCGGAGAAGAAGTGTTTCTCCGACGAGACCGCTCGGCTGGCTGCTCCGTCATCTCAACGTCGCTGTCCTTAGCAGCCACAGCCTCAGGCGGCGCGGTCGGATCGGCAGTCGACGACTCCGCCTCCGCCTTCGCCTTCGTATCCTTGAACAAATACTCCCAATCACAAGCCCAACCCCTCCCCAACTCACCCAGCCTTCCCAAACCAATATCCACCAAGTCCCACCTCAGACGCCGGCTGGGCGGCCGCCGAACCCATTTGTCGAACCTCTTCTCACTCTCTGTCCGCTCCCAAGCTTTGCCCGCCTCGGTCCCCGGCATATCCGCTGGGAACCAGGGCGTCGACTGCTCGAATGCGATTTGTCGTGTCTGCTCGAGACCGCCAAAACGCGGAGTTCGGCCAGTGGATATGGGGCAGTACTGTAGGCTGCGCCAGACGGCGTCGACGGCGCACCAGGGTAGGAGGACGGTCCATGAGCCTTGAGTGTTTGGGACGGTGCTGGCGGGTCGATGGGCGATCAGGATTATGGGGATCGCTGGGTCTTTCTCGATGACAGCGATCGGTTGTCCTGGTCCCGCGGCGGCTTGGCGTCGGTTGATGGCTTTCTGAGAGGGCAGTTTCGTGGAGGTGAGCCATCGTGCCTTGTACGACATTAGATTCATGGTCGAACGGGCTTCGTCCATGGGCCATTCTGCAAGCATTTCGTTGAGACGATCGATGCTGACCTGATCAGTGGGCATCTTGATCTGCTTCGGGGGATGATCGAGTCGCGGATCAATTATGTCAAATGACAAGACAGCTCGTTGTGGGAGTGAGGCCGGATTACTCAGTCCAGCAAGCGATTTCCAGGTCTTGAGCGCGATGTCCTCCTCTGTTGGCTCATGCCGTTGCCGCAATACAGCCAACAATGCCTCTTTCGATGCGGGACCCATAACCTGTATGCTTCCGATCTCGAATCTGAGATCCTCGACCAGTACCTGCGGCTTCTGCATCTTGGCTGCTCGGAGGAGCTCGATCCAGAACTCTTTGAAGATCGAGGGATGCACCTGTACCAGAAGCTTCCGGTCCAGTTTGACCTTCTGCCGTTTCGATTTCGTCTCATCCTTCGCTTGCGCATCTGGCTCTTCCAAACCTTGAGAAGGCTTCTCCGAGCCGGGCGCCCATAGCACAGTCGCAGGCCCAAGCAGCCTCCCTTTCTCAACAGTGTGCACAAAGCCCTCTGCAAATCGTGTTCCAGCCTTCCACCGTCTCAGTCTTCCGGAATTCTTATCAGCCCCGAATTTCAGCGCCACGAGCATATTCATCAACGTATGCTCAGTACCAACACAAGCCACAGTCGACATATAGCTCATATCCCACGCCACACAGCCCCTTGAATTCGATGCATAATGGGTCGGTCTATACGATTTCTCAGTCGGCCGCAAGGGTATCGCTAGCCGCCACAACGGCTCCGTTGGCCGTGTCATATGCGCTCGCTTAGCATGCCAAAGATGTGTCGGCAGCCATGTCTTGTTGACCTGTCTCCGCTTGTATTTCGATGTTGCCGTCGGCGGCTTTGCGAGGGTGTTCTTCTTAATCTTGGGTATTCGTGCGATCGAGACTTGCTTCTCTGGGTCTTGGTCTTTGTCCTTGTTCTTCGGCTTCGGCTTCGGTTTTGCAGACTGCTCGCTCTCCTCCTTCTCTTTCTTCTTCCGCCTTGCCACCTTCGCCCGCTGATTCGCCCTCTGTAATCCTCTCGCCGTCTCTAGCCTTAGTCGCATCTTTCTGGTTGGAGTCTTCGCTCGCTTGCTCACGGTCGGCGTGTTGTCGTCCCTCATCTACATTACCCACACTGCGTCAGCGTTCACTCATCAGCACACAGTCCCACTGTAAGACCTCGATGCAGAGAACTCACCTCTCGCACCGCTCGCCGCCTCGACCGCTTCGGCACCTTCTTCACATTATGACTAGCCGTCCGCCGCCGCATATGCCTTGGCAGCTGCTGAAAAGCCCGTGAAGACAGGGTCTTGCGCATAGCCTTCATGTTGCGTTCGATTGCATTGATCTCGAATTCTCGCGCTTTGACGAAATTAGCGACGTTAATCTCGTTCGCGTTGTTACTGCTGGTGTTTGTCGGTGGTGGTCTTTGGACGGCGATCTCGGGCTTGAAGCGCTTGGGTCCGCCGCCGCGAGAGGTTAGGGAGGCAGCATCGGCGCGGCGCTTCCTGCCTGCCGTCGCGTCAGGGGTGCCAGGAGCCATCTGGCTGGGCTCTCAAAGTGATTTGCGATACGTGGCAGTGGGCACAGGGTATGTAGGTCTCTAAATATATTTCTCGCGATTTGGAGAAAATGGGACGCGTTCTGAACTTTTGATGCGGGGAAAGAAGGCGTTCAGGCAAAAAAGGCAAGCACGGTCGATAACCTTCTATTGCGCGGCACACAAAGTGTCCCTCGACGACATAAGCTCCAAGAAGTCGTAGGCTGGAAGAAGTTCGGTGGTCATGGACGAAGAAGGATCAGTCCCGTTTGCGGCGCCCACCAGACAGGCAGCCGCCAACATTGACGGCATCAAAACCGACGTCATGTCAATCTCCTTCGCCGACAAGATCATGATCACAATTACACAAAACGGCAGACTGGCTCAATGGGTTCGTTCTACTTCTGCTTACTCCATGTATCTGATGCATTCAGCGAGTGTTTCGTGACTAAGCTGACACCACAACCAAGGTCACCGTCCCCCTCCTGAGCGACAACCCAACCGACTCCGACCCGTACTTTCAAACAATCAGGTCCGAGGACGACGCACTCCTCCCATCAGCACGCTTCGCACCACGCACGCTGCTTGGCGCCGGCGGCTCCGAGCGCGAGATGATGGGCCAGCTGTTCGCCTCACAAATTGCACACGCCATCACGACCAAAACACCGACGGAAAGCAGGGCGCTGATGTTGGGTTTGGGGTTGGCGAAGGTCGATACGGATCGAGACTACTTCCTGCAGGTCGTGGATCTGGTGTTGAATGTTATATGAAACTCAACATGCAACTTGTTGGGTCGAGTCCGATTATGCTATCGCTTTTACCGCATCGATCAGACACGGCATTCGCGCATGCCAGATCCGCCGATCTGCGGCGAGCTCAAGCCTGATCCTGGTCGGAGTCGATGCCTTCGAGCGCGGCTTGACCTCTTCCACCGTCGCACTGACCTCATATAGTCCTGCAGCGAGTACGAGCAAACCGAGTTTAGCTTCTCGCTCTTCTCCAGGGTCGAGAGGCGGATGCAGGACCTGCTGGAGGACGCCAGACCATGCAAGACGCCGCGACAGGTCCAACGCAATATTGTGAGGCTGGTCTCGGAGACATGGCTGGAGGCGCAGAAGCAGGGAAAGGCGTTCATTCGAGCGATTCCGCACCTTGACATGTAGCGTGGCGAAGCTCTCGATCTGTAGCTGATAATGTGCAACGCTGAGTTTCCGGAGCGCATTTTCTGTGGAGTCCTCGGAATCAGCGATTAGCGAATAGGAGATCTCGACATGTTCGACTCGCAACACATCGATCATGCGAGCATTGAGGTTCAGCCTGATGCCTTTCCTGAGGTCGATCTCACCCTGGCGACCACTCTTTTCCTCTTTCCACGTCCCCGTGATGTGCTTCAAGAGCTCTTCACGATACCAAAAGTTCTCGCGCATTGCTGCTTCTGCCTCTGGCCTCATGGTCGAGGTATCGACAACGAACTGCTTTTTGGCGTCGAGGTTGAGTATAGGTGCGAAGGCATTTTCCACGAACAGGCGTGGGATGACCAGGATGACACGAGAAACGTGGCCTGGCTGAATTGTCTCAATGGCTGTGTAGGTGTTTTGCTCTGAAATAGGGGTGGCCTCGAGATCAAACAGTGACTGCAATTCGACCGTCAATGGCTGCGGCCACACGTTGCGTAGGTCTAGCGAGAGCATGCACACTCCATCGGGTGCTGATGACCAACTTGTACCATTTACATGCTCGCTATGGCCAGGTTTGCTGTGCTTCTGGATGTCAGATGGCAGCTCGCCCTGCACAGACAAGACGTTGCATCGAACGACCTCAATGCTGCCGTTGACCGTCAAAGCCAGTGGGCAGCGAATTTGTCTGGTGTAGAATGTCTGCTTGATGTCTGCCAGGTGTGCACCCAGGTGAGCGAAGTCGACGTGCACAGACGCTTCTGACAAGCCCGCTCTTCCAAAGAGGTCTACCTCGTATTCCTTGGTCTCCTTCGCGTCAATCTGGTTCTGCTGCTGTGCTGTATTACTAATTTGTAATGCTTGTCTGTGTTTCAGCTGATGCTGAACCTCGTACGTGTCTACAGCCATGAGGTCTTTCCTGCTGAGGGACTCCCGCAGGCCACGGGAGATGTTGTCGTTGGATGTCAGTAGCACGAGATTGGCTGGAATCATCTCACTAGTATTTCTGACACTAAGTGAGAATGTGCGCTTCTCGCCTTCCAGCAGCATGAGCGATGTTTGTGTCAAAGACATTGAGGCGACTTCAAGCTCAGGCTGCCGCTGAATGACTGTCAGTTCCAGTACGAAAGGATCCGCCACTTTCATCTCTTCTTGCGAGAACTTCTTACGATTCTCCATCTGGTTTGAACGGCTCATCTGCTGCTTGACCTTCAGTGGTGGCAGCCACTTGGCCTTCATCGTTGGAAATGTTTGCATTTGGCAGCCTTCAACAGTCGCCTTACATCCTGTGATCTTGAGCGTTCCTGCTTCTGAAGCTACTCCCGTGAGGGTGAAGATCTGAGAAGACAACGGCCCAAGCACAACACTATGTCGTGTTGGCGTGAACTGACACCCCTCGGCCGCCAGCCTGATGTCGGACACGTCCACCGGAACCTCGAGAGGGTTCTGCAGCTGTACTGAAAACACGACCGTCTCGTCTGCTGCAACGACTGGCGCGGCCTGCACCGTTGTGCTCCGTGCGAACGGGTTGAAAATGAAAGGATCCCGGACTTGAGGACCAGACGCTTCATCAACGAGCGATAGTTCATTTGGTGCGTGCGACAGTAGAGGTGGCCTGCTGCCCTGCTGGACAACTTGGATATCACGCACAAGGAAATCGTCCCACGATAGTGTCGAAATTGGCACTCCTGTACTCTCGGCATTTTCTGACCAGCGCTTCAAGCGATCTAAAAGACGACCTTGTTCATTCGCAGAGATTACGAGCTTTGCCGGTTCGGAGTTCAATGAGACCAAAGGATTGATCACTGAAAGCCGCAACAGTGCAGAAACCAGCTGTGATGATCCCGCAATGTCACCAACACTTTCACAAAGGGCGATGCAAAGGAGCAGGATATCTGTCTTGAGTGGCAGATCCCCTCCAGTGTGCTCTCCGCACCATGCTACCAGATTTTGTTCGATCATGGATTTCGTAAGTATTGGAGACTGACCAGAGTCATCGGATGAGGATACGAGTGACCCATACGATCTTGCCGTGGTCAATGCAAGAGAACGAAGCCCCATGCTTACGCGAACATTCGACTGCCGCGGGGAATCAGCAGCAGGCGTCGATGCATGGTGGACGCTAGCCTCGGCTGCACCAGCTGTCCTAGCTTTGCTGATCGCTGGTACCAAGCCTTGCAAAAGTCCACGGAGCATGAATGCTTGTCTTCGGCCGACACCTGTCGCAGATAGGCAGCTGACAGCAGCGAGAGTCGCTGCTACTCCGTCACTTGTAAGCAGAGCTTCCTCTGATGTTGGAAGAGCCGCAGACAGTTGATTTGCTATGTCGATTCCTGCGCTAGACGGCATCACTCCAAGCGAAGAAGGAAGCTGCTTTTCCAAAAGGAACTTGTCCAGATCTTCGATGAGCGTGTCATGGTGTGATCGAGAGGCAAACGCAAGCAGATTCAGCGTCCGTATTCGCGACTGTGTCAAGGCAATATATGGGATATCTTCTTCAGCAAAGCTAGCAACGTGCTCGTAGACCCCGAGCACTGCCTCGAGCAGCACTGGGGCATACTTGAGCCATTGTTGAGCAGATGACAGAGCTGCGTTTGTCTTCGGCTGTGTTGAACCATTCAGACTTGCTGCCCTTGCGAAGATAGATTTAGACATGAGCTGAGATGTGCTATAAGCTTGCTCACACACGCTTGGGAGATCAAAGCTGCTTCCCTGCCACACAAGAAAAGCCATACATAGTACGAGCGATTCTATGGCACGAGCTTGCCACATTGGATCTCCTGCCTCTCGCGCCAATGTTATGCCTTCTGATAGGCGTCTCAGAGCATCTGGCCAAGCCCCAGTGTAGAGGTTCAACAAGCCGAGAACAATAGTGTATCGGCGTTTTCCGGTGTTGATGTCTGCGTCCCGAGGCACGTCTTCGTTGGGCGGAACAGCATTCGACGTCTCGGAATTGGCGGGAGTGAAGAGTGTCGCCGGAGATAGTCCATCTGCAATTCTGCAGACCTGCTTGCTCCAGAGACTGTAGGCATGTTGTAGGCCAGCCTCAATACTCTCGGAGGCCGAGTCCTGGAACACGGCGATTCCACTACGGGACTCGGCTACATTCGTTCCAAACGCCAGCAAGATGCAAACTACATCTCTCTGACGAGCTGCTGCAAATGTTCTCAATGCCTCCAATGCGGTGTCAAGGTTGGTCTCATCCTCTTGTCCCAAGCTTGACGAGTCGTGGATGCCGATCAGCAGCTGTGTTCGCGAGTTAGGCTCGAACGCCAGAGCCTGAGTCCCATTATCAGAGAACGATCGGCCGAAGTCGAAGAACACAGATCCCTGTCGATAGTCGGAAGAGTTGACCAGATCATTTCTGCTAAATTTACTTTTGCTCATCTGTGACAGCGGCATACATCGTTGCTGCGTCAGAGCTTGATAAATCTCATCGAATCTCTCGGGAAGTATGGCCGTTGCGGGAACAATTGTTGTGTTGATTGTGGCCAGGCATGTTGGCCAGTAGGGGTCGAAGCCCATAACACAATCGCCTCTTCCACACCAGCTACCACAGTCATGAGCCGATCATCTTTATTCTGCTTGTCGTGTCTCTTGGACCCTGCTAGAGCTTCCTGAACAGTATCAGGCGTGGCTCGCATTCAACGGCGTTGGTTGCACTTTTGCGGAGTTGGATGGTGCCGGCACCGATAACGGGTGTAGGGCTTTGCAAACAAGGCAACGCGATTGACCGCGTTCCAAGGTTGCCTAAAAGGACGCCGGTGGGGCCAGATGGCACGCCCGGAATTAGGGCCTCGGATTAAAGCCGGGAAGGCACGCATCGCGTCACCCAAGTCTGCCTCTCCAATTCGAGACAGTACTTTGTAACAATTACGCCACCTTGACCTTCACATCTGTCCTTTACGGTACTTTACGAACTTTGCATTTGATAGACTTCATCTCGGTTTGGTGCAGCGTTAGGCGTTCCCGAGCATTGCATTTAGGTCTGCACCCAACGACATAGGCCAAACCGCCGCTGTCCATCCCGAAGTACTTCAAGCGGCGACTTGATGCCCTCGACTCCCAAACTGGTTCGATGTACTTCTTTGCCACCTGGTAACAGCCTGGAGGCGCCATATATTACAGCAACCCTGCCCCGGCATCTTCTTCACCGTCCATACCTCTGCCAACATGGACTACAACGCCCTCCGCGCCCAGACCATGGGTGCGGGCACCGATGAAGAGGCGGTTACCGTCAATACACGAGCACTCATCGACAAGGTGCTGGCTCGTTACAGTTCAGACTTCACCATGTTGAGGGAGCTGATACAGAACGCGGCCGATGCCACAGCGACCCGAGTTACCATCAAATTCGAGACCATCCCATCACCATCCCAGGCATTACCTCAGGACCAGAGTCCCTCGAGTCTTCTCAAGCACACGGTCCAACATCACACTTTGAAGAGACTGGTCGTCTCAAACAATGGCCAGGCCTTCAACGAGAACGACTGGTCGAGATTGAAGAGAATAGCAGAGGGCAATCCAGATGAGACCAAGATTGGAGCATTTGGTGTAGGGTTCTACTCAGTCTTCGCTGATTGCGAGGAACCCTTTATTTCTTCCGGACGCGAAGCCATGGCCTTTTTCTGGAAGACCAACAGCCTGTTCACACGACGCCTGAAATTGCCAGAAAAAGATTCCTCTCCAGACACAACCTTTGTCCTTGATTATCGAGATACGACTTCACCCATACCATCCCTACTCCCTCTTGCGCAATTCCTTGCCAGCAGTCTAACATTCGTCGGCCTGGAGAATATCGATCTATGGCTCGACGACCACAACATTCTTGCTCTACAAAAGAAATCCTCTCTTAGCACAGACATCACTCTACCATCCGAGGTCGAACCGAAGACAACTGAGGGTTTTATGAAGGTGGCAGCGGTCACCAAGCAGGTCGCCCAGATCGACGGCACGTGGATGAATATAATAGGCTGGAAGCCACGCAAACCTGGCAAGTCTGCGACAACGGACGGCGGACCATCTCTCCGGAAGTTCTTCTCGCGTCTTGCCGGCAATGCATCGGACGACAGCAGTACCTCGCAGGCCGATGCCGCAGAAGATGCGAGGGGGCAGCTAGCCACCAAAGTGTCCGCGAGTGTGTTTCTAAACGTCAATACTGCCACGATCAAGACATTCACTGGCGTGAAGTTCAATCAAGAACTTGAACGCGCCACCAAAAAACCTCCACCAAAATACACAAAGCTCGCTGTCTTGACCGCGCCATACATCGAGAACGATACTGTCGCGAAAACAGCATCAGCTGGCGATGTGTTTGGCACCGTTCTTCCGTCAAGAGCTGGAAAGGTCTTCATCGGCTTTCCTACTCACCAGACCACGGGTCTTAACGCCCATATCTCCGCTCCTTCAGTGATCCCAACAGTCGAGCGTGAGTCAATAGACCTCAATGCACGCTGGGTCCGCACCTGGAATATGGAAATGCTTCGGGCTGCTGGCATCGTCTGCCGGATGGCATGGATAGTGGAGATGGCAGAGCTGCGGAGCAAGATTCTGCGTCATGCGCAGGGCAAGAAGGTGACCATGAAGGACGTACAACAATACTTGCCTGAAGCCATCACGATATTCAAGAACTTCGCATTTCGAGAATCGACGCCAAACTCACAGATTGGGTCGCTGCTAGAGGATGCTTTCTGGACCTGTGGGAAGCAAGCAAGCATCGAAGTCCTGTCAACCTCTGGAGTCCTTCCGAGTCATGAAGTACGCTGTGCAAGATCGACCGACCTGAGTTTCCTCACTGGAATACCATTTCTGCCAGAAGAGTTAATCAACGAGGCGAGAATGCTCGTTGATAAATTGCTAGATTTCGGCCTTGTCACGGAAGTCACCGTTTCCGACATTCAGAAGTGTCTTGAAGCCAATCCCCTGAGCGAGAGCCAAGTCTCCGAGTTCCTGTCGTGGTTGACCAAGGAGGCAGTGAGCAGCAAGATTGACCAAGCAACGATCAATACTCTGCTTGGCGTGACCATAGCCAACGATCAGACGAACGGAGATACCACCCGAGTACTGCTTCTGGGACAGGTTCAGCATTACCTGAATCCTAGCAAAACGCCCATTGACTTGCCTGTGCCACCAGATGTCATGCCATTCAAGTACACCAAAAGCTTGGCCAAGCACCAGCTCGATAAACTCGGTTGGTCAGAGCTACAGATTGTGCCGTGGGTGCGATGGCTCCTACAGTCCGCAAGAGATCGTAAAGTTCTGAACTCAGATCAGGACATCACCTCGAGTCAGACATTCAGTGCGCAAGTGCTGCCCTTGTTGTCCAAACAATGGGATTCACTCAGTCAGTCATCGAAGGCGACCCTCGTTGAACTGTTTGCAGCTCAAACTGTGATTCCCACGAGACTGGGCATGCGGAAACCAGGAGATGCTTACTTCCCGAATGTAAAGCTGTTCGATGACTTGCCGACTATCCAAGGGCTGGGCGCTACAAAGGACAAGTTTCTCGTCGCTCTTGGCGTCCGGAAGACTGTTGAGCTAGGAGTCGTCTTCGATCGTCTGCTTGCGCTAGATGGGAAAGGCAGTAAAGATCAGAAGCCGAAATGGAGCCATGTCGATCTGATACAGTATCTTGCCTCAGTGCGTGACGACATTCCAGGTCAAGACATCCAGAGGTTGCGTAACACGCCATTATGTATTCGAACAGTCAAAGGTCAGGAGCTGCAGGACAACAAACGGTATAAAGTCTCCGAACTTTTCGAGCCACGCCCCGAGCTCCGTGAGCTTGGCCTGCCTGTCCTTCAATGGAATGGCCCATATCGCGGTGGCAGCCCTGAGGGCCGCCTCCTGGCACTACTTGGATTGCAGAATACTCCTACCGCCGAAGACCTCATCAATATCATGGCGAAAGCGGGCGCCAGAGGCGACCATGATGTCCGAGACAAGGCGCTGGCTTATTTTCTGTCTCATCACCACTCTCACGGGTACGCGAAGTACAACTACGCAAAAGTTCAAGTTCCATTCCTGCCGATTGAGCGGTCTCCAGATGATCTAGCGATCCCGTCAAAAGTCTACGCTGATGCGGGTGCGGCCCTTCTTGGCTTTGGAGTTCTTCGGCGCGATTGGGTGCCTCATGCTTCGAAGCTGGGCGTCTCACTGAACCCGCCACTCTCAGAATGCATCACTGTGCTTGCTAAGCAGCCACCTCAGGGTCGGCAAGATGCGCAAGCATTATTTGAGTATTTTGCTGGTCGCCTGGGCGAGATCGACGGGTCGGTCATTCCGCGCTTGAAGGTCTTGCCGTTCGTTCCAATATTGTCCAAGAACAAGGAGAAGTATACTGCTCTTCGCCATGCGACGCCGCAGTCCGTTTTTCTGGGCGAGAGCGAGACCTTCGGTGAGATCTTTGATTTCGTGGACTTCGGTAATACCGCCAACAGCTTTCTGATAAGGTGCGGATCTAAGCTGGAACCTACAAAGACAGAGGTCGCTCAGATACTTGTTCGGGAACCAGCACGCATCTCTTCTACGTTTAAAAGCCCAGAGCGTTATTTGACCCTTCTTCGCAACATGGCCGACAGTGTAGCCGAGCTCAAGAAGAATAAGGAGTTATGGAAAGAGATGAAGAAAGCACCATTCCTTCTTGCAAGCAGGGAGCTTCCGGCGCAGCCAACGAAAGTCCAACAATCAGTCAGCAAAGGCGACGAATTTGATGAATACGAGGACGAAGAAGCGCAAGCGATACGCGAATTTCAGCTGTGTAAGGCAGAAGACGCCATAATCATCGACGATTACATGAATTATTCGCTATTCAGAGCAAGCATCCTCGCTGCTCCTCAAGAAGAGACGTTAGAGGAGTTCTATTACTCACTAGGCTCTCCACCACTGAGCACGTTGGTCGAGGAAGCAGCACGACATGGACCTCGAGCATCTGATCAGCGACCTGCTCAGAGATTGACCAAGCAGATCTTGGAGCGATCTCAAATCTTTCTCCACGGTCTACCTGCGGATGCTGTCAGGCATGATAGCAAGTGGCTGGAGAAGAACCTGCAGATAGTGCTTGTCTCGTCCATTTCCGTGCGCCGATCTCTGAAGGGCCGCAATGTGACGCACACCGAGAAGCGTACGGCGGTGGTCACACAGGTCGATCGCGTGTACACTCTGTGGGTTTCGGGTGACCGCCCGGATCTCTTCCATGTGTCTCAGGCCTTGGTCCATCTTCTCTTGACCCGACCGAAGCCGCACTCTGCGCTGACGCTGGAGATGCTACTGAAGACGGATCTGCTAGACCTGCGCGCACGTGGCTTCAATGTCTCTCGTATTCTGCGTCAGAAACAGGCGGAGGCCCGATTGGCCGAGAGCAAACGCCAAAAAGAGCTGGAAGAAGAGCGGAAACGGATCGAGAAACAGCAGCAGGACTGGGATGCTGCGCACCAATACGCTGACAATGCTAAGAGCCCTAAGCAGAAGCAAAAGAACAATCCACCGGGCGCCTTCCCAACGTCACCAGAGACGAATCTACCAGACCGCTCCCTAGTGCCCAGTGACGATCCTGGCGGCAGACAAAATTTGATTTCCAACATCTCGAAGCAATTTGGGCTGGGGAACAACAAGTCTCTTCAGTCCATGTTCGGACGACAAAACAAGCCTCATGGTGGTGCTGAACCTCCGCCCTACGCCTATAGTGACGAGAATGGGCCTCCCGAACCATCCCAATCTGGCAACAACGGCAACAATGGCACTGTAACAGCACCTCACCGTCTGCAAGAAAATCTCCTGAGCGCCATCAGCAAGACTCGACCTAACAGTTCGAACCAGCTCTTCTCTCGTGGCCAGGCCAACCAGGTCACCGAGACGAAGTCCTACTGCGACGAGCGTCCAGCACATGACCTTCGCGCAGTAGCCGACCTCAGGCACGGCATTCAAATGTTCGCATCGCCCACCACGCATCCGGACGCTTTCATGTCACAATTCCTCGCCGAACGCTCCGGAGCGCTTCAGACCTTTGCCGCCCTCATCAAAGCTGTTGGAGATATCTTCACTTTGGACCCGAAGTGTCTGAACGTCTTCTACGAGACGAATGGCAAGACTATCGCGTTCAATCGCAATGGCAGTATCTTCTGCAATTACTTCTACTTTGAGCAATTGCATGAGCAGCAGCTGATGTCCGGTGATAATACTACGGGGACATACGGCGACGCGTTCGTATACTGGTGGGTGATTTTGTGTCATGAGCTGGCGCATAATCTCGTGGCGGATCACAGCAGCGACCATAGTTACTATACTGAGGGTTTCGTCGCCAACTACTTCGGAAAGGTGATGGCATATCTTGGGCAGTACTACGCCGCGCCGGCTGCAGCTTACGTGTCAAATAAGCAGCGCAGCATCGAAGGTCCACAAGGCGGTAATCAGAGCAGTCTGCTCGATTAGGATTCGAATACTGCTTTAAAGGATCAGCATGAGCATGAGGCTGGGAGCGACGCTGAGCACGACCACGAGCATGAACACGAGCATGAGCGCGGGCATCAGAGCGAGGCTATGGCGGTGTTGGCTATGGATGATTTAGGCTATCTTGTGCCTGCACCCGAGCCTCGTTGCGACAGAGGACATACAAGTTGTGGAACAGCGAGCAGTCCGCCGAACGAGTCTAGGCGTGCCCGCTTCAAGGAAAGAGTCCGCTCGAACAGGAACTCGCTGGTGGATAAGGCTAGGTCGTTGTCGTCGAGCAGGGGTCGTGAGGGTAAGAAACCATGAGGCTTCATGACAAAGATGAATGAAGGCATGTATCACTAGTAGAACAACGCTTGGATAGTCTGAAGTACACGACTCGCTTCGAGAATGGATCTGTACAGACACATTTGCAGGCGCGTGAAATGTTTCTGAGATCCAGTCAAAGAGTCTGGTGGAAAGACAGGATCAACCCTTCCACAGGTCATTGTCACTTGTGAAATATATTAGCTACTACGCAAGGAATTCGTCGTGTCATCCGGTTGACCTTAAACCCACCACGGCAAAAACAGTCTCGGATCGGCGGACTCATCGAGAGTTGTTATCGACGATACCACAGTGCGATGATAAGTCGTTGTTCTTTTGAATCGAGCGTGTGGTAGAGATGTCGTTCTCGATACTCGGACCATCGGCTTGGCAACCGCGGGATCGGGAAGACGTCATCCGGTCTTGTGTAAGCCCCTAGCTCGCTCCTTCGCTGCTACTAGGTCCAGGCCTACCTCACAGGTGCACGCTTTCTTCCAATCGCGACACATTCCAAAATCCCATAATTGCTCGGACCGAGATCCCGTTACAATGCAGGCGGCCGCTATGGTCTTCGGTCTAGATGTTCGGGGCCATGTTACTGAGAGGTCTTGATTGCTTGAACGAAAGTTGGCCGGGCTCCGGAAACGCTTATCAGTGAGAGTGTACATGTCTTCCCGGCTCAACTATCCTAGGTTGGATCGATCTGATGACCTCTGCTTTCTGTTCATCTCCCAACTCTCGACAGTCTGACGCACTGGCCACCACGTCGTTACACTATGAGCTCCTCCCTGCAATACGTGCCGTTCGAATCAGTATGGAAGATGCGAATCGACCATCCGTACTCCCTCTTCGTCCGGGACGGCTCCCACTTCTGGTCTTGCGGGCAGTGTCCACTCAACGAAGCCGGCGATGTCTTGCACCCAAACGACCTCTTCGCTCAGGCGCGAGCTCTGACTGGTATCATCGACCAACTCCTCGGCAAGATTGGTGCAAATCGCTCTGCAGTCGCGCAGCTGGTGGTCTACTACATCAAGACCGCCGATGGAGATGGTCACCGGCTAACACATCTACTGTCCGGATTCTTCGATACGCATGTGCTCGTTGTGCCGGTCTCGATTCCCCATTTCTACTACGATGGCATGATGATTGAGGTCGATGTAAAGGGCGCCGTGGGCGAGAAGGCGTCCAGATTAACCACCGATGAATCTACGAGATCATCTCTCCAGATCGTGGATATAGGCGATTTGAGTTACGGAGTGCTGCTCGTGCCCTCTGAAGCCGAGCTTGACAGTGCTGTACAGCGACTGCTGGCCCGGAGCGATATGGCGGACCGGATCATCTCGGAGCAGTGGTTCGTGGCGTCTGATGCAGCTGCAAAGGAATTACGATCTATCAGAGGCGACCGACTGCCGACATCGTGTGAAGTTGTTGGCATCCAGCGCGATGGCTTCGCAGTCATCGGACAATTCACCTTCGCACGAGATCCTGTCTCGGTCACGAGCTCTTCACACCGTGAGCATGGCGTCGAGGACGTGGCAGTCTCACTCTCGCGCTCCGGTGATTTCTTCGAAGTGATGGCAGCATGTACGAGCGGCCAACACGGGCTTGTAGAAGAAACACGGCGGATCATGCGTGCAATCGACTGGACACTTCGAGACCACAACTTGTCCTTCAAGGACGTTCGCAAGTCAACGACGCATTACATTGCAGGCAGCTCAGCTGAGGACCTCCACGATAACATGAGTGTTCGGAATGCTTACTATACAAAGCCAGGGCCAGGATCGACGGGCTTGCCTGTCCTGTCGTTTCCGCTTGCGGCGTCGCGTGTGTCCGTGAGGATATTTGGGAAGCTGTCTGCTCGGTGAGTCAGTCGGACGTAGCGCCTGTCATCTGGTCTCGTCTAAGCTCGGCGGAAAGAATCACTTTCTGGGAATATGCCAGTCTACTTAGTACCGCGTCAGAACTTCTTTTGCCATTCAAGTATGTTGTTGAATATACTTGATGTTCTCGCCGTCGTAGTGAGACAATGCGTTCTAGTCTAGATCTTCATGCCGTGTTGAACACTATGCTTAGGAACCCTCTAATGCCCAACAGCGATTGCTCTTGTTGAATGTCTGCGCCAGTACACCTTGCTTGCCAATGTTGAAACCAAATCTAATGCTGTCGTCAAGCCCATGGATGCGCCGACTCTCGTCCACTGTACCAGAACCTAACTGGTTCTGTTTGACCCATCAGCCCTCAACTACACCAAATCCTCTCAACACGCTCCCCATCTTCACCTGCATCTCCTCCCACTCGCCCTCGATCTCGCTCAGCACCGTGATCGCGCCGCCTGCGCCGACATGCCACTCCCTCGTGCCATCATCTCTTCTAGCGCTGTTGCTCGAAAAAGCGCATCTGATAGCCACGCTCCAGCACCCGCCCCCACCAACATCCAAGTACCCAATCACGCCGGCGTACACGCCACGATTCCTGCGCTCGAGGCCTCGCAGAATCTCGCAGCTCCGCTTCTTGGGCGCACCTGTCATGGAGCCGGGCGGCAGGGTCGACCTTAGGGCGGCCATTGCGTGTTTGAGAGTCGCTGTGCGCTGATGCTTCAGCACAGTCGCTGGTGGCTCTGGCCAGAACGTCGGTGGACCTGATGGTGGCGTGGCCGGAACAGGAGTTGGCAGCGGAGCAGGCACCCTCGCCCGTATATGCGAGATCAACTGGTATACCGTCTCTGCCTCCACCAGCGCGAATAGTTGTGGCACTGTGATTTCCACTCTCGCAGTATCCTTCAATGCTCGCGCCAAATCGTGCCGAATCAAATCCACAATCATCAGATTCTCCGCCTCCTCCTTGGGCGTCCGCAACAACTTCTCCGCCATCGCGGAAGTCATCCCTTCCCGCTTGGCGAGCGTGCCTTTCATAGGCATCATGCTCAGCACCGTGTCTGGGAATATGAGGCCGGGCCGCGACCAGCTGAGGAAGTGTTCGGGCGAGGAGGAGAGGATTGTGACTGAAGGAAGGACGAGGAGGGCGGAGTAAGTTGATGGGTTATGCGTGAGGAGTTGTTGGTGCAGGTAGAAGGGCGAGGTGTCTGCTGGCAGTGTGAGTGGAGTAGAGGTGGTGAGGCAGAGTTCGTACGAATTGCCGGCGTGTAGCTGCGTTAGGCAGGAGGCGATTTGGGAGGTGTAGGTACTGTGGGAAGGGAGAGTGGCTTTTGCTGGTGATATAGTAGGTGTTCGAAGAGGCGGGGCAGTGTAGGTGGCCAGAGCTAAGATGACCTTTGAGGTTGATTCTAGCCACTCCTCATCGTTAGGTCGCAGTGACTGCACATGAACTGTCCCGTCGATCTTGTCGATGACGATACTTCGATCGACCCACATGAGACTATAATCAGGTACTTCTCTTGGTATGGAGTTCATCAGGGGATCATCGATGCTCAGGAGATCCAGGCCCATTTCGTAGGAGAAGTAGCCGACTAGACCACCCCAAAATGGTGACTCTGCTGGTCCATTGGGCAGCAATCGCGCGTTCATGAGATATTCGATCACACTCATCGCCTCACCTAGAGGACATGAGTGTGATTCGACGTGATCGTTGGTGGTCACCTTGCACAATCCTTGTAAATGTTCGAGAGTCCATGTCTTGTCGTCAGTGAAGGCGTAGATGCTGTAGCGTCCCTTTTTGGAAGACTCAAGCATTGCGACTCGTTCCCAGTTTGATAGGTCGTAGCAAGCTTCGGCCATATGGCGGCGATCGAGACTGAGCTGCATGCGCTTTGAGATGACCTCGTTGCGGTCGGAAGTCAGGGATAGTAGACGACGCAGTAGGGCATTATTCTCAGGATCCGGTGGAGCGCCGCTTCGTGCTGGTGGCGTGACATCCCTTGCTGTCGTCTCAGAGGCAACCAGTCTATCCTTGTTGCTCACGCGGCCCAGACCGAACCAGTTCCTGATGATAGTGTGACATACTTTATTTGACTTGCACGATTCCGGATGAAACTGCAAGCCCCAAAATGGCAGAGTCGCGTGCCTCACGCCTTGAAGCCAGCCGTCATCGTCCCAGGCAAGGAATCTCAGACCAGAACCATCCTCGTCAATGCCATAGTTTTGGGCCATCTCCAAGGAGCTTCTCCTAGATACAGCCTCCGAGCTGCAATCAGACCCTCGACTTAGCGGCCGTGACACTGGCGTTATCCAACCAGGTTCCGGTCTTCTTATACCTAGACTGTTGTAACATGTAGCGACCACATGCCCAGTGGCTGTGAAGATGTCGTTGTGGTAGCTATAGATGGGTTTGGCGTGACCGTGACATGGAGTCTCCAAGCGTGTGATCCTCATACCATACGTGGCGCAAAGGCTCTGGAATCCGAGACATATACCCAGCACGGGAATCTTCTGCTGTGCAGCAACTGCCCACACTGATTTGAACAGTCCGATGTCCGCATCGTTCAACGGATCTCCAGGTCCAGGTCCTAGAACGATAGCATGAAATCGAGCAAAGTAATCACTGTCGCTGACGCCGTGTCGGCCCTTGATGTCAGTATCAATCTGAATGACGGTGACCGAGACATCAAGTACTTCGTGCAGCAGTGAGATGATGTTTTCTGAGAATGAATCGTATGCGTCGACAAAAAGCAGTTTGGCTCTTGTGTCGTTCATCGAGATCCAGTGGCTCTGTGTGGCGCATGCGTTTTATTAGGTCGCGATTGCAGGACCATGGACCTTCCTCTGAGATTCCGTAACACAGCGTATCTAAGTCAGTAGACCAAGAAACGAGTACACCATACGCCTGCCAAATACTCATTTGTCCACCGCAGTTAGTCTCAATGACTTTGTATAGCGATGAATAGAGCATAAGAGGATGTTTGTCAGATCAAAATCAGTCATTGTGGATAGGACTGCCACAAGCAGAAAAGTTTGCAAGGGATAAGGCTGTTTGCCCCCATCATTGTCGGAACCTCACGAGCTGTACCGTCCTGCGCCGCTTCCTTACCTTTACCATACTCACGACTCACAGGAAATCGTGCATTGTCTGTGCGTTGAAACAGTGATACCTTAGGACGCTGGCAATGGCGACTGCAAGATGAACGCTAAGTTGCCGTCCAGGCTGTCGATTTGCTGGACACGGAATAATTCCAGACCTCCATGTCTGCGAAGCTAGACTCTGCCTGGAAGTCCAGCCGCGCCTTGGCGAAGGTGCGAGCGGGCCATCAAGCATACTTAACGCCTGACCTATCTGCCTATCCTCAGATCCAGATGGACAGGTAAATCGTTTAGATATGAGCGGCATCACTGCGAGTTCCCTCAGACGGGCAGCGTCTACGCTCACAAAAGACGCCGGCGATATCTCGTCAGTCTTCCCGAGCCTCAGCGGGAAGCCTCAAGAGCCACTTCCCGCCCGCTTTAGCGACCTGAAGAAACGTCTCATAGCAGACAAGGAAGACGCAGTCAAAGCATCATGGCATCGTCTACTCAAAGCATTACGCACTGAGGTTGATGAGATCAAACAAAAGGGCAACAGCGTATGCTACTCTCCGTCAATGCCAAGCGTTTCTACTAGTACTTACCACATAACCCCAGATCATCCCCAGTATCGACTTCTCCGACATCCAATCCAACAACGTCTCCCACACCGCCACCTCCTCCATAGCTCATCGCGGCCTCGCCGTGATCCGCAATGTCGTCCCCCGCCAGGAAGCCCTGGACCTCAAGGCTCAAGCCCAATCCTACATCGCTGCCAACCAACCCAACGTCCGGGCCTTTCCCGCGGACGACCCAGCCGTCTACGAACTCTACTGGACGCCAACCCAAGTCCGCGCGCGTGCCCATCCGCATATGCTCTCGACACAGCGCTTCCTCTCTTCCCTCTGGCACTCCTCGGATCCCACCTCTCAGATCTCAACGACCTACCCGCTGACCTACGCCGACCGCTTCCGCATCCGGCGACCAGGCGACGCCAAATTCGCTTTAGGCCCACACACCGACGGCGGCAGCGTCGAGCGATGGGAGGACCCGGAGTATAGCCGCGTATACACCTCCATCCTCTCAGGCAGGTGGGAGGAATACGACCCCTTCGACGCACGCCATCGCATCAACGCGACGATGGACATGTACAACGGTCCCGGCGCGTGCTCTATGTTTCGCTTGTTCCAGGGCTGGCTGAGCATGTCCAGCACTGGTCCCGGTGAGGGCACGCTGAAAGTATGCCCATTGCTGCGCCACGCAACAGCGTACCTCATCCTCCGCCCCTTCTTCGACCTGGAGACCAATGAGCTGAATCTCGACAATTCCTTCCCAAACTCAGCGCTGGGCGCGGGGCAGGAGTATGATCCGATCACGCATCCTCATTTGGAGCTCGAATCCACGATGATCAATGTGCCCAAGGTTGAGCCGGGAGAATTCGTGGCCTGGCATTGCGATACAATCCATGCTGTCGACAAGGAACACCGCGGTGTAGGGGACAGTAGTGTGCTGTATATTCCGGCGTGCGCAATAACGAAGTCGAACCTAGAGTTTCTGAAGCGGCAGAGGGAGGCGGCGTTGAGGTATAGCCCGCCGCCGGATTTTCCTGGGGCGGGTGGTGATGGTGAGAAGGGATTCAGGGGCGCATTGGAGTGGGACAAGGAAGGCGATGCTGAGGGGAAAAGAGCGATGGGAATGGGCGCGAAAAGGTGGGAAGTGACCGAGGCGATGAGCGAGGGCGAAAGAAGGGTCGTGGAGGAGGGAAACAGGCTGCTTTTCGCGTGAGATGGTGCTTTTGGTGTTTTCGAAATTATTCGTCTTCTGCAAGCGAGCAATGAACAAATTTTAGGGCCAGACGTGATCGAGAACCTGTAGCAATAGTGGTAATCTCTGCTGCAATAAGCTATACTCACTCGTTCTATCAAAGGCCCTTGGGCTGGGTATCTGGCAAATGTAACGAACCGCATAGTTTCCTCACCCATATGTTGTCACCGTATTCACATGCGACCTTTTGTACAATCCCCTCTCGGTCGTGGCTCTTCTCCCTTCAACAATCGCCTCATTTCAAACCCATCCCTTCAACAATCGCCTCATTTCAAACCTAGAGCATCTAGAGAAAGACCGTTGAGCAGGTCAAGAGCATTGTCATTGGCACCTTCAAGCTCTTCGATTCTCCCCTTCAGCGCTTGAGACTCGGCCTTCATCATCGCAATTACCTCCCATGCCTCGTTGCTGTTCACATCATGGCATTTCTGACATTCGGGAACAGGAATCACTGACACAGCTGCGTGCTCATGCTGAGTAGTGGGCGTGGATATTCTAATCGGGCGCAGTGCAGCATGCTTCATAACTGGACTCGGGGCCACGGACGTGCAAGGGGAGTCCATGTAGCCACTCAATGACCGCTGATCTGCTGAGAAGACGCTGAATTCGCTTTGCTCCGAAGCAGCTGAGATATCGGACGTGCGGTTGCGTCTTGATCGTGCTGTTTCGTATGCGGCGGCCATGTCGAGGTTGTGGGGCACTTTACGTACACTTGTCTCTGGCTCGAAGCCGGGCTGAGATATCGTTGCCAGCTCGTTTCGTAAAGCAGTGATCAGCCGCTCTTGTTCTGCAGACCTCTCTGCCATTTCTTCGAGCTGCAACTTGAGGTGCTCGCCTCTGATCTGCGATGCTTCGAGGTCGTCACGCTGAGCTGTTTTGGTCACGGTCAAGGCCTTTATTTGCTTTTGCTGCTCAACATGAGCCCCTTGATATCGTCGAAGCAAGCCCTCTGCGTTGAGCTGCAGATTCTTGAACGCAGCTGGCGAGTACTCGTCTACTGGCCCGTTTGGGAACAAGGATTCTCGAATGTCTAATGTCGATAGCTCGTCTCCGTCAGCAGGCGAGGAGAGATTTGTTGTAGACTGTTTTCGAAAGAAGCTGAATCGAGTGGAGGTAGACGGCCGAGACTGCGACTGAGGCCGGAAGGGGCGCTGAGTGAGGGAATCCATGCTTTCCGAGCTATTGCTGAACACGATATCGGCAGGACGTTCTGTGCTTTTGACAAATTCCTCTCGTTCCTTATTGGGTGTGGGGACCAGACCTATATTGACCGGATCTGAAGTCCCTTCGAACCATGCAGCAAGCCCTTTGGCCACTGCACTGCTGTTCGTGCCCTTGCGGTTGATCTCAGTGTCTTCTACCTCAAACTCTGCTGCCTCTGCGGGCGAGACTCTGTCGGGTGATGTATTGCGGGAACGAAGTGACGGGAGGAAGGTTGAGAGCCGAGTCGGCGACACGGTTCGAGGAGAGGCCAAGGGCGGCAGATCTGTTGAGCTTCTCGAGTAGGAATGATGTCTCTGAACTGGTGGTGGTAAGGTCACAGTTGGACCCTGCTCATCAAAGAGGTTGTGTTGAGATGGAGGTTGTTTCTTCTGTAAAGGCATCTCGCCTTTGTACCAGCACAGTGCAGGCACAATGCAGAGTCACTGGTCGTGAGTGCCAATGTGCCCTTCGTCGCTGTTGCCAAGTATCCTCCAGGGACAATGAGAGTGCTACGAGCTGAGGGTTTCCGACACAGATAACCACAGAAGTCCTTGGGTTTCTGGTCAATTGCTAGTCGTCTTCGTCGTGGAAATGTAGGGGTCGCAAGAAAGGCAAGAGGACCATAGCGGTCCTGGCAGACCAGCTGCCTGCCTTGGTATTTACAGAATCGAGGGACTCGGATACCCTGTCGCTGACATGGTGGGGAGGAGGTTGGCTCGAGGTCTGTACCTGCAGGGTTCTAGAGTTTCCGGTTGGCGGCACGTCATTCGTCAGTTCGTCCGAGGCTGCACCAACAAATGGCGAGGCTGGCAGATCGAATCTGTGATTCCAAGTCCTTGTCACCAAGATTTACGATGTTCTTTGATCATTGACTTTCCCAACCTCGAGACGCGTCTGGGACAACGACATGAAACACCGGATAGTTCCCACATATTGGATTGACGCATGTTTGAGGACAGCTACGCGTGACTTGCTCGAGTGAAGAAAACGCGCCAAGCTTGCACGTCTGGCCGGATCAGTGTGCCCTAGTAGCAGAATGCTGTTCGCGTTTGTAGGCTGCCGCCGCTGCTGCTGCTTCTTCTCTTATGGCTGTTTGTAAAGTCAAGCAGGTCATCGATGCCCAATGAAGACTCGATTGTCTCACACAGATGAGCGGTCGACTGTATCCAAAAGCCAAAGTCGAGTCAACCGCTACTACACAGTATGCTGGTCGACAATGTGAACTTTAAGAGAGCTGATCTGAGGGCATCGCGCAAGACGAGTACATGTATCTATTTCACCTGTTGCCGGTTGCTGGCCATGTGCCTTTGTGACAGCGCACAGTGGGGTAATGCTGTAGTGGTAGAGTAGATCATTTCATGGCATCAGCAAGTCCTTCAGTGTGGCTCGTGTGATCGCGCTAAACGCGCCGGGCAACATGATCCGCTTGATCCACAAAATCCCGAGGTCTGAGACGCTCCTGTCGTGACCTTCTCTCTTCCATCATTGCTCCTTCTACCCTTACGTATACCAGCGAGTGCACATAGCATGGAGCGACTTCGCGAAGGCGGGTATGTCGTCGCGCCCGAGAAAGCAGAATGGGCGCTCGCGTCGTGGCTGCACCACGTGCAAGGTCAGGAGAATCCGGTGCGATGAAAAGTTTACCGAAACGAAGCGAAGCGCATCAGCGTCGTTGAGCTGTGAAAACTGCCACCGCACCGGACGCAGATGCGAGAGTCCGCCTTTCGTCAGCTTTGTTGCGAGCAACTACGAGTCTGAGGTGCCCGCCGTGGGTATCGGGGTGGTGTCCAGGGCGCTCTCTCCCGGTTCTGTGAGAGAGATGTCCGGTGTAGGCGAATTGCGAGCTTTCGAATACTATGTTGAACGCGTTGGCGGATCGATCGCTGAGGGCATGGACCATGATTTCTGGAGGCGTATTCTGCCACAAGTCAGCGAGCACGACGACACGGTCAGGAACGCCATGCTGGCCATCAGTGCTTTGTACGAGGATCCTCTGACGCAAGGTACTGCAGGACACTCTTCCAGTCAGACCCTTGCGCTGAGCTGGTACAGACGAAGCGTGAAGCGTGCTATCACACCCACAAAAACCGAATCTGATGACGAAGCTTGCAGGCTTGAGCATTCAATACTCACCTGTATGCTTTATTCCATTGTTGAGACACAGTACTGCAACGCATCGAACGCGTTGCGGCTGATGCTTCAAGGCCTGAACCTCATCTCTCGTTATCGCAAGCTCTCGCAGTCCACAGCTCCGCACTCTCCGTGGATGCAAGACATCTTAGGAATGTTCGCCAGGCAGGTCATGAATATTGGTATTCTTAGAAGTAAGATTTCTCCAGAGTACAGCGAACTTCTTCTTTCACTTCTGCCGAATCCCAAGGTCACGCTGACCACTCTGGCTGAAGCGCGGGACGGGCTCTATACCATATTCCACCAGGCAGTCCCAGTCGCCATTGCCATCTCTGCTTCCGAGGCCGCCAAGGGCGTCTGTGAACCACATATTGTTCACGAACTCAGGAAGCAGCAGTTGGGGATCCTGGCGATGCTTGAAGCTTGGGAGTCCGCCATGGTATCATGGTCTTCCAGCGCTGGGACTGCCGACACGCTCAAGTCACTGTATCATTCGCTGTTGTGCTTACAAAAGATGGTGTATATGTGGATTTACTGGATTCTTACTCCGCCGCAGGATCTCGCAAATCAGGATCCCGATAATGTCAGCCACCTCTTGCGTCACGCCGACATGGCCTTGCGATCTCGCCTTGGCCAACCTAGTGGAGACAGACCCACCCCGGTTGCTATGGAACTCGGCGTCATTTCTCCTGTCTGCTTCGTGCTGTGGTCTTGTCGACAAGAGCCAGCCATCACGGAAGAAGCAACCGCTCTGTTGCAACGTGCGGCGTCATCAGAGAATATGTACGTGGCAAGGCTGCAGGCCGATGTCGTCGCAACGCTGCTGGGGTTTGAAGCCGGACTCAGCCAAGGATCTGGATCAGGAACTTTCGTGGCAGAAGTTCTTATGCATTCCTACTCGTGGGAACGGGTTGTCAGCGATGCACTCAATGGCGTCCGAAGGACCAGACAATGGCCTTGGGAACTTGCTCAGAGTCCTACCGCTGCTGCTACGGCATGAACATCCTTTGCACTTCGCGAAGCTCCTGCCGTGTTGCGTGGAGTCATGTGCTACTGGCTCATCAAAGTCTCATGCTGGAACTCGACGCGTCGGTGCTATTCTCTCGTCCCTCGTTGGGATATGTGGTCAACCTCCACGATTCTAGCATCCACTATGTCGATGCAAGGCACGTTTGCACTTGGACATCCGTTCAGACGAGGCGCGCCACCAGAGGAAAATGACAAAGGACATGGCGGTACTCGCAAGCGACTCAGAAGGGTCCTCGTTAGCATTTGAATAGGAAGTAGTCGTACAGTATAGGAACGATTTCGAACGGACAATTCGATTGCCACATACGCATACGCAGCCGACCGACCAGGGTGAATCCGAAGTCGCGAGCACGGGTTTCATCTACTGACGCTTGCCCTGCCAACAATCATATGCCAAGACAATTTGTCTCGCGCTTTCCTTGGACGCCATTCGCATTATCATTCGCCACGTTCTTCGATCGGTCAGGTCTGTCACGACTTTTTGGTCTGTGTCAGTACCTGGCATAGAAACTCTTCGAATTCCTCAGCCATCGAATGCAGATTGTCGTCGCATCTCGTCCACTCATCATCCACTCGCCGCAAACCACCGCGATGTCGGAGCCCTCATCAGAGCCACCTTTCCGGCTACTCGATCTTCCGGTCGAGATTCGACGAATCATCTGGACAGAGGTTTTCACTGGCTGTGAGGTCCTGATAGCTGACCCTTGGATGGACCGGGAGATCAAAAATGACGGAGCCCCCTGGCGTCCGAGGGTGAAGCCTGGACAGCTTTCGCTGAGTCATGTTTGTCGTCAGATCCGCAACGAATCCTTAGACCTGCTGTCCACAACGCTCGTGTCCGACTGGAATCCGACGGTACCACTTACATCCCACAAGCTTGCAAGCAGCAAGCTACGGAACTGATCGTTGAGGTGGGCTATGGAGACTACTTCAGGTCGGATCTCGAGCACGCAAAGATTGACGGCTACGGAAACCTTCGGCGCATCGTGCTGGCGAACGAGTATTTCCTCCCAATGAAGAACCTTCCCGAGCCTTATAAACAAGGCAGTATAATGAAGGCTGTTAAAGAAGAGCTGCGGGAAGGCTTGCAGTGCTTCAACATCGAAGAGGTCGAAGAAGTGATCAGGAAGGTCTGCGGGCCTCACCAAGTCCTGCTTGATTTTGGCGTCCAAGATCGAGCCGGAATCATGGATCGGGTACAGTCTCGCCATAGGATAGCTATCATTGCCTCTGCTGACTGTAAGAACAGTTTTTCTTGGTGGATCTTGCTGGGTGGAGAGTGCTCTACACGATGGAGATAGAGGAATCACGAATGCAGCACTTTTGCCACTGGTCTGCTACATGTCTAGCGCAACAATAGATGCAGGAAGAAGTCATCACAGTATGATCCAACACAGTCTACTGAGCAGTGACATATTTGCTGACATGCTGCACAGATAAGGCGGACACTGGAACATTCAGGACACCGCCTCGGTCCCGAGAGTTGACCGCACGACCAGGTGGCTGGAGTTACAGCGAAGCATGACAAGATCCTGCTATTGGTGCGAAGGCCGAGTCTTCGGACAGGCAAGCTGGAAGGGAGGCCAGCCTTGTCAAGCTACAGTCCCGGACGCTCACCCAGCCATCTGCATAAGTTAGAATGGACAGTCACTCTAGAGGTTACACACTGCAGCAATCGATAAGACGTCGACTATCTCAATCTCTGCATTATCATTGTCTTCAACCCCGCACTACAAAGGAGGATTTGACGTGCCATTCACGTGGGTGTGAGGCATTATAGAAACGGCAAATACGCAGAGGTGATCAGGAGTTCATTCAGCAATCTCAGACATAATGTCTTCTTCCAAACCATGCAGACAAAATGACTTCACTCCTGACCTCGCCAGAGGCCGCCCGAGTCATCTTCTCAAGGACAACGCCTTTTGCCACCGAAATCGGCGTCGCGCATACTCACTGCCACAATGGAGGGCGAATCTTCGGCCCAGGATCATAGGGAGGCCTCCGTCGTCGTCGACCGTCCATTCAGGTTCCTCGATCTTCCCGCAGAAATCCGCAGTCGTAAGTCAGCGTCAAGGAGGACTTCATGTTGAAAATTGCCTCGTTGCACAGTCCGAAATGCCTCGATAGCTGACAGCTCCAGGCATCTATACCGAAGTGCTCGCCGATCGCACAATTTTCGCGATTCGCAGACCGAGTAGTGCAACAAACTTGCGGAAGCGTCTAGCGATCTGCCTGGTCTCTCATCAAGTCCACGACGAATCATACCCCTTTCGCTTCCTGGCCAGCACCCTCCTGCTCAACACGGTGAGCGATCTCGAGCGCATCCCGGCCCTCTGCAGAAAAGAGGCTTTGCGCGTCGTCTACTCAGCCTACACTTCAAACGACTATCGGGTCTTCGGCGCGGACTTCCCACGATTCACCGGATTGATCGACGTGACGTTGAAGCTGCCACGATGCGTCGTGGTCTCGGCGGATTTTGTCGAAGCGGTGGTAGATGATCTCCGTATCCGCGCAATGGTCGTTACGAAAGTGAGGAACTCCATCGTAGACCAGGCACGCCAACATCTCACGAAAATAAATGATGCTCCGGGCAGCTGGAAGGACATTCTACCAGGCGGAGACTTTGAGCTTGTGCTTCGCGAACGCTTCAGAGACGCGAGTGTCCTGTTGGAGGTAACGATAAAGAGCCACTGGAACGATCGCAGAGTTCGTCGTGTAAGTGACTACGCAAACACCTAGTTCCGTATGCCAGGCTAATCATGGAGTGTTGGACAGGACCTAGTGATCGATATGCACAATTGGGCGATCGTCAGCGTTGGAAGTATGTATGTGCTCTGACTCATGTGGCACAGTTGGGGCGGGCTTTGAGGGACATTCCAGATGATCGATTAGTTGGCATAATTGGCGCAGAGGCCTCCCTAGCGGACTAACGTCTATTCGTTGCGCCGGTTGACGCCATATTTTGAGTTCACGCAAGGCTGGCCTATCAGATTCTAGCAGATTCTCGTTAGCAAAACGATTCCAATCCTGAAAGTCGTTCCAGGTATTGTCAGTGCTATGCCGCCTGATCGCACTTGCCGATGTCGTTCCCAGTATCATGCACATACATCGAGACTGCAAAGCCTCATCGCTTGACTATAGACCGCTTTCGCACCGCCCACACCGCCCACACCGCCATCGCGCCTCGAGACATGGCTCTCACATACAGAGAGAGAGAATGTCACCTTGCTTCTGGGAATCAGATCTTTAGGATCAATCCTACCAGTCGGACCTGGGGCAGCAGTCATGCCTCTCATCTTCTGACTTGAGGAATCTCTACAGAGCAGCTGGCCACAGACGTGCATTTGCTGTGACGACATGTGTGAGCAAGTTATCCAGCTGAGCTGGCCTGTCTGCAGACCGAGGCGATTCTTGTTGATGCATCTCGTACAGATAGCACGAGTCACGTCTGTCAAAGCCATCGGGATCTGATTTACACAAACCACAGATGTACTGGTCACACGTTGAAGTATGCTCGGAACAATGTCCCCAACTTCCTATCTTGTCACTTGCCGCAGGTAGGTCTGAACCATCAACACCAGCCATTTTGTGCCGCAGCAAATGGCTGCAAACGCAGCTTCACGCGTCTGGTTGGCCAACACGCCCTTTTAACCCCGTCACAGAATACTGCGCCCATGCACTCTTGTTTGCATGATGGATGCCTCAGGGTGTGGTATGCTGGCTCTGCTAGAATCCTGTGGGCTGATCCTTCCCATCCATTCTCTTAAGCCACGGCAAGCACAACCCAGGCTTGCAGTCTATAAGCCTCTAAAGGGCTTACGCATCCCACGCACACACCACTAAGTGTATAATATTAGACCTGTATTGATAGTCTACGGGCGCTCAACGGCCTTTTCAGACAAGCATCTATTATTATGTCGTCCCTGAATGAGGCCATCATATCGGATCCCAGTGACGTCGACAGCAACGCGCTCTCCCTCGACACATCTGCGGGTCTGCGTCGGATGCCTGGCATTCAGGACACCGACAGACCATTCCGGTTCCTGGACCTCCCAAGCGAGCTTCGCGAGGCTGTATACAAAGTGGTCTTCAGATGTCGCAGAGTTTACCAGCTTGGGTACCAGCCCAGCTTGGTAGATAGAGACCAGAACAAGCTTGCAATCATTCTGGTCTCCAAGAAGCTGCGCGAGGAGGCCATCATACACCGACAATCGGACTTACATCTGGAATTCTGCACCTTCGATGCCGGTACTTTGATTCCAGAACTCTGCCACCGTCATGCTAAAGTACTCCGGTACAGAGTATGTAGCAACCACCACCTCAACGGCTTCGATGTCAAAGAGTTTGCCTCCCTGGAGACCGTCGTACTCGACCTCACTGATGTCTCGGCTGCTGGGCAGGGTAAAGCTGTCGGTAGACCCGGCACCGAGAACTACCAAGAACATCTGGTGGTAGGAGAGATGTGGAAGGTCCTAGGGTCGCATCTCTTCGCTGCGGACTTTTCGTGGCCTGGACATCGCCATGTTGTCGAAAGTGCTGAATCGAAGCCACTAGTCGATACTGTCAATGCGAAAGTCCGAGAGGTCTTTGGTCAAGTCGAACTCTTTGTCAGATTCTCGAATTATGCTTTTGACAAGGACGAGGACTGTGTGCAACAAATCGTAAGTACCCATTTTGAACGTGGCCGTTGGTTTTTGCTGACAGCTGACGACAGGACTACTTGGTCGACGTTCACCGAGGTACCGTCGTCTTTGCTGCCAAGTTCGAAATTTCCAGCCACCAACAGAAGTTCCTGGTCGACTTCAGTAACGATGCTGTAGTTCTTGTGAACAAATTGCACGAAGTCGAATAGTGTCAGGCATGAGGAGAAGCTCGTCGATGACTTGTCCATGCAGCTGAAGCGCGCGGCAGCGGCTCCTTACACTGAGTGACAGATTGTGGCAGTACACGATAAATGTGTTGGATGTGCATACAATTTGCAGCCAGATTCCAGGCAGAGCGAGGTGCATTCTCGAGGACGGTATGTTGCTGAAGTACCCTCCGAAGTCGGACAGCCATGAAGGAAACAGCGAGAGGACATGTGTGGCGATTGCCCTCGAGGTGCAACAACGAAGTCTCAATTCGAAACTGATGAACTTGGAAAGCATCATATCTTGCTAACGCCGTGCATCGCGCTTACCTTTTGTATCGGTGCGCAGCATGGCTGCGGCTATCTCCATCGCTGCCGATCATCGTCTACCTGTCCTATCTGCCTGCCCAAAAAACGATTCAAGAGTGCTCTATATGTTAAGTGAAGACTCGAAGTGCCTCTTTCTAAAGCACACTCCAGAATCTCTTGGCGTCTGCTTTCAAGACGACAAACATTGAGCAACCTGGTCTTCTCCTTGTCTCCGTTACTTCTCTCAATCAACTCGGCCGATACCACTCCGTACACGATGTCTGCACAGCCAGATAGCGACGAGGACAGACCCTTCCGCCTACTGGACTTGCCGAAGGAAATCAGGCTTCTCATATTCGAGTTCACGTTGGTTGGCCGTACCGTCGCACTTGCCGATCGCGGCGATCAAGACTTTCATGCCAGAGAAGCACAGTATATGGCCATAAGTCTCGCATGTCGGCTGATTCACGAAGAAGCCTCGCCCTTGCGGTACGCTGACTGCAGCATTGATGACAGGAACGTCACCTACACGATTATTCCTATTCCCGACTTCTGCCAGAAGGAGGTTATTGCTATCGATCTAGATCTGGATACGGAATGCCGCTATTTCGCGATTACTGAGAGATCGAACCGCTATCCTAAATTGAAGAAGCTCAACTGCAGGGCTGGTAACATGCGCTCATTGACCGGCTACGAATCAGGGACCGATGAGCATAAATCGCTCAGGCAACTCCTTACTGATGACGCAGAGATTATCGCCAGCTCAAGGATAGCTATTGCTTGGGGATTCAATTGGGGCGTTGAGAATAACCATGAGATGCTGAAATACCACTTCGGTGCACCTGAGATTACTGTTCACTGGGAGCACCATCATGAGGATCCTCTTTTTCGTGTAAGTTGCAATCTTGTCCCCTTTCTACGTGGTACCGGCTGACCATCATTGCAGTTCGTCGATGTAGATCTCGGTCGCGAGACGGTCACTTGGGTAAAAGGGGCACCACGCTGGCCGTGGCTAGTAGGACACCAGCCAACAATCACGGATGAGCGATAGCTACGCTGGCTCTCGGCGAATTGAACCCAGAGCACTCGCTAGCGACGCGAGAGGAACGAGTCCATACCTATTCAGCGCTTCCAGAGTTAATAAACCGCGCCATGAATGGTCCAGAGAATCATGGGTAGCGGAAGAGATACTGTTCAATGCCCTTGAGAGCGCCCAATCGGAACCTCGCCCATCCTTTGGCCGTGATAGTCTCTGTCTCGAGCATCTATCGCCAGAACAGGTCATAAGGAGCTCAGATGGTTTGGTCCACAGTCTAAGTCGCAAACAGAGACGAGAGAGTCCTCAAGAGTGTACTATAACGGAGAACATGTGGCCAAAGGATGATTTCAATTATCTGCGCTACTCGTCGATACCTAGGTCGCGAGCCTGAGCCTACTCCCCGAAGCAACGATCGAATGAGACTACGTCCACATAGAATCATGCTTCGTGCATCCAGTCACTTCGTCCAAGCATTGAGATTCCGCTCTTTCGCCTCTTGCTTTGGTCGAGGTCTTCTCAACGTCTCATCCATCACACATCATCGAAAGGCATAGACGGCTGCCGGACTCCGTTTGCTTCGCCAACCTGTGTTGGCCGCATTTGGTTCCAATCGTTGACCAAGCGCCGGCGTAATCGGTAGCCACAACGCACTGCAGAGCAGAGCTATGGTCCCTAGTATCCGCAGTCGCACTCTGCTCCTTCACTGTAAGCGTCGTCCGCCGTGTCATGATCGCTCTTCGAGAGCTGGCATCGTGACAGGTTCGTAATCCGAAAAGTGGCCACAATCGCTGCTCAGTCCTAGTCCTCCGTGACTGATGATCTTCTTAGTATGATAGTCCACAACAACGTCCTGCGCAATGCTGTCAGTCCCAATGCCCTTTGGTACTTTGCGGGCGATCCTGTAACATACCTTCCAAATATACTCCTCATCACAAAAAGGGGTCTTAGGACAGTAGAATCCAGCCCCTGGGTAGCGGACTTTAACCTTATCAGGCAGCGTGAAATGGTCAGGTTTATCGATCCTATCCAGTAGTGAAGAGGCGCCGCCAATGACTCTGTGAGACTCAACAGTAGCAATCGCATCCCTGACAACGATATCCGCCACTTCAGAGAAAATCTCGATGTCTGCGTCAGGCACGCCTGGCCCACCTTTGAGGTCAACCATACTTGGTACGCAGAAAATCAGCTCCGTGAGCCGCGGCATCGTTCTGAGATCGTAATGCGGATCCAGGCTGCGGATGGCGACAGTGCGAGTGAACTCCAGGTAATGGTCGGGGATTGCCACTTGTTCGTCGGGCCTCTCGGAGAAACAGTCGAAGAGATGTAGCGTCAGTTGCAATGAGAATACTGGCAAAGCCTCCGTCCGAAGCGCCTTGCTCGCAAGCAACAAGCCAGGAATGCTTGCTCCGCGGCTCCGGAATTGTCTCGCAGGCCCAGAGTTCCAGCAGAAGCAGCTGCTATTGCTCGATGCGTCCCAATCATGGCAAGTATTGTTGTTAGTATCGTTGCCAGTTTTTGAGCATTTGCAAGCTTTTGATCCTACAAGACGTCGCGGTACGTCGACGATCAATTCTGCTCCCGCGAAGAGGTGTTCGTAGACCTTGAGCCGAAGCTCTGAGGGCAGGTCGAGGAAGCGGAAGACGTCAGACATTGTGATCGAGAGTCGGAGACCGCAGGAAGATAGCAGGTGGACGAGGCAGTCCGGACGAAAGTGACGAAGCGATCGCGGAAGTTGTCAATGACTAGGAGTCTCGGGGAGCGGATTCGAATCTGAGGAGGAAACCACAGCCGGTGGTGGTTTGGACGATAAAGGGATCCCCAGGTAGAGAAGGCTCGATCATGTATGCACCACCGCCTGTCCGTTGCGCTCGCCTGCCTCTGATCGACGGAAGTCAAATCAGTCCGCTCACAGTGACGCTCACGAAGTCCGGAAAAGTGAAGATGCCAGATCCATAGGTCATGTGAAATCAAGACAGAAATTTGGGGCGAAGCCCAATGTAGTGTAAGTGAGCTGTGACTTATTCATTTCGTCGTCTTGGCAACTCACAAGGAAGCTGCCACCAGAGTGATAACTCTTTGCCCAAGTCTACCAACTTAGGCATTCAATAGGTGTCGCCCTAAGCAGAGCTGCCCCGTGTTCTCTACATGTTGCGGTCGTGTTATCTGACGCTCGTCGTGCTGAAAGTTTTGGCGCTTAGACACGCTTGGTTCCATTCTGTTGACCTGAATCAAGTAGCACCTGCTGTTCATCCTGCGACTTGCAGCTCGTCGTCCGCCTGAGAGTGCTTTCCTTGAACATGTCCATTCCTCGCTGTGCTATCGCCATAAGCTACCACTAACATATCATCTCAGATGTTGGGACAAATGGAGACAGCCACCTGTCAAAAGATCCATCAGTGACTCTTCGGCAGCACGCCAGCCTCAACGCGCGCCAGCCTCAATCTCGGCCTCCTTGAGTCGTTGGCACCTGACAGCGTATTGCTCGGCGAGCTCGTCCTCAACGAGCCCGTCAAATGCATTCGCAGTCATGCTTGCAGACTTCCTCGCCGGTTTCTGCTGCGCGAAGATGACAACGAGCTCGTGGAAGACGCGATTATTGGTGTCAGGAAGACGAAAGTAGGCCAATGCCACCACGAGATGATTCATACAAATACCTCCCTAACAGAGTCCAGTGCAACCTGTAATGGGAGTCAGCTGATTGTAGCATTCGATCTGCCGGTGGGGCTTACCACGGAAATTTCATGTATGAGGGTTCACCATATGGTTGGTCGGTGTGCTCCTGGCGACCGATAAGATGTCGGATATGATCCTCGCGAGTGAGGCAAAAGTCGCTCCAGGATGGAGACCGACTAAACCCACGCCACAGCGTCAGTCGGTCCGGACACACAGCCACACGCATCGGCCTCCTCGCGGAAGTAGAAGACGGTTGTGGCCGAATGAGAAACGGTTCGTTGGAGTTGTCGGGATGTGCTCCGGTTTAGGCGAATAGCAAGAGCAAAGCGCTGAGGGTTGCAAGGGCAAATAACCCCCAAGGAACGTGAATAGTCGGCGAGGCACTTAGGAAGAAGGCTGCTCCGAGATAGCTGCAGCTAAGATTGCCGGAGTTGTCGCTTCTCTCACCGTAGCTATCTTCCAAGCCCTTGCCTGGTGTTGGGCAACTAAATTGCAGTGCAGCAGGACAAGACTGCACAAGATCGTAGCAAAGATCCTTGCACGGCAGCACTTCCTTGTAAGGTCCAGGCGAGATCTGCTCATCTATGACCAGACTCCGAGAAGAGTTGGTAGCAACAGCCTGGGCCAAGATCTGCTGTGATTCAGCGAAGCCGGGGACAATAGAGGTAGTGGACCCATTTGGAAACGGCTGTCCAACATTACGCGGCTTCAGCCAGGCGGCAGGATTCGTGTAGTCCTCACAGCGTGGAATGGTGACTGCACAAAGCCATGTTTTGTATGCTCGTGCGCAAGAGTCGCAGTCGCGTACAAGACTGTAAGCGGAGGTCTCGCTGGTATTGCAAGGGATTTGTTGAAGAGAGTAGTTGAAGTACTGATACATGCTCTGCGCGTAATTGTCGTATATTTGTGCCAGCTCTGGCAGCCCGTCCCTGGTTGAGAATCGTTCTGGATTTGTTGGCACAGCATACGCAACTTCGGAGCAGAAAGTCAGGTTGTACATCAAGGCACAGTTGTCCATTGACTTGGTGCTGAACTGGACAGACCGCCAGACTGTGCCACCACTTCCGATGTCGCTCGAGAGCGATGCATTTGCTAATCGCGGCTGCTGTGCAAGGATGCCGACATACTCGCTCGAGGCATTCAGCCCAGTCACATAGAATTGTTCCTTTGGCTTGCCACCGAGGCCACGGTCTGTCGTGACTGCGATATTCTGATTGACAGAGTTCTCCAAATTGGTGAACAAGCCACCTTGTAACATTCGCAACCCACAATATGAGTTTTGTACCCCTCCAATGGACCGCAAACTTGCTGGGTAGACGAACATTCCATACGGCGGAGGGTCCAAGGCCATCCAGTCCGCAAAAGATGACTCGTTCGACTGAGCAGTCGTCAGATCATCAGTGATTAGCAATGCTGCTCGAGTGTCGGCATCTACGAAATGTAGATTTGGAGTTTGCGAAAGCGACCTGTGGAATGGTGCATCGATCGAAACTGCAATTTGATAATTCCATTCACCGGTGAAAAGCGTAGTGTTGGGTGCGGAAACGCCTATCATGACCGTCTCATCGTCGTCTAGTTCAATCAAGCCATAGCCTCCATCCAGCACCACGCTTTCTTGCTCGTCGTCAGAGTCTGGACCAGGTCTTGTATTGTCGGGAGATTGAGACGCATAGACGGACAGCTGAGGAGGGACCGCTTCGTCCGACTCGGATTCCGAGCCATTATAGACTGGTTGCCCGCAAGTGGTGACCGTGATATAAATGGTCTTTCCTGCCTGCCGCTTTCTGAGCCCTTCTCTTTCCTCGTCGTCTGCTGCTGGCGCACTGCTGTTGTCCCCTGTCGAACTGGGTAATTGCAGTCCTTGTCGACCAGCAGGACCGTCAATTGTGTTCTTATCAACTCTCCAGAATTGAATCTGTCCCGCAACTATAGGCTGGCTCATGGGTGCATTGTTGCCCAATACTAAAGGCGTCTGGCCCTCCTCTTGACGGCCAAGGATGTTGGGGCCCGCCTCGGGTCTCGTGGCGCCTGTGGCTTCGGCATATGCGACGGCCGGATGGTTGAGACTGTACAGCAAGAACAGCAAGAAGATTGTGGCACCGACTGAGGCTGCGAATCGGCTCTGCACCGGTGTGAACTTTGGGAGATACATAATGGAGCGAGCGGACGGGGGATGCGAGCCCGTGTAGCGTTAAGGAATGGCTGTTGATGAATTCGATTCAGAATCTTCCATACTTATGATCCAGGCATACATCGCGTCGAACGCTCTCCGTCAATGGTCAGAGGTAGCTCGATCTGGTGTGCGACCATGCCTGTGCTTACTTTCGAGGCAAGGCACGAGGTACGTGAGTTTCATACACAAGGCTTCGATGCAGCCTCGTCTGATATGTCTGAGGCCCCGAGCACGCCCAGCGGCCCGGGTTACGACTACAATTACTGCCTACCGCATATGGCTCTAAATCCTATTCTTCGTCAGGGAGGGCACTGAAGGGATGATATACGTTCGCTGGCTGAGTACGAGAATTGAAGTGAGCCTCACTGTAGCTTCATTTGAGCGTCGGCTGGTAGCAGAGATCCGTTGCAGACTTTCGAGGGCGCTGTAGAGTTGCGTAAAACACCCGGCTCTTGCCCGCTCTGCTTGGGCCCCGCGACTGCTCTTAAAGAAGTACACTGATAGTGAAGTGCACCTTCCATCCACACACTCAAACACTATCATCTACCCTCGCACTCTTGAATATCTTTCCGAACGATTCACGACACACCCTCTGACATAAGTTATCATCATCTGCACTATCTGTCAAATCTGCATCTATCACAACGACATCGTTGAGACGCTCTCTTTACTACGTGCCAAGACCCCCAAGAACAACATCACAGCGGCCTCCTAACCACGATCATGCCGCCGAGCCATGGATGCGAGCATAAGATCGTGACGCGCTGCGTTTTAGCCTCACCAAACTGCTGTGCGTGTCTGGATAAGAGACCAGTAGCGACAGCATACCCAGCATATATCGACGGTGAGGGAATGAGGCTTCGAGGTCGCCGCTTTGACCAGTATGTCAGGGAGGACTCTACCCAAGGGATTTGCTGACTCCTATAGCTACTGCTGGAGATGTCGAGACTTCTGGAGAGCAGATTCGCGAGCCCAGACGGCCCAAGACGCACCTGCCAGTAATCCAACGTGGTCTTTCACTTCGACAACCGGCATAGCAAACCCTCTGATGGATCCCAATACAGCCAACACTATGCCCAACAACTCTGATCATGAACCAATCGCCGACCTTGTTTCGCGGAGAGTCTCGGAAATTCGCAACGTACAGGCACAGCACCCTCACGGTCAGTCAGATCCAGATATTGCAGAACGACGACGTCGAAGAAGAGAACGGCCGAATCCCTTCGGCACACGAGAGGAGTGGGAGTCAGATCAGTACGAGTCGCCTATCGCTGGTGTCTTTACGAGAGCCTGGACTAGATATCGGGACATGGAGCCGCCCGAAGACGCCAAGAACAGGAGCAGGAAGACCAATTAATTGATCAATTAGTGCGCTCAGAACTCGGCACAGCGCCCGCCTCAAGGGCCGAAATACCAGCCGTCATAATGCCACCAGGACCTCCAACTTCGAATCATAGTCTGTCATTATTGGAGCGCCACAGCGTCAACCCTTCCCTCCCAGAGGCCGCCCCAAGGCCCAATCCAATCGACATACAGATTGGCCGTCCACCGCCACTAAAGCCGGAAGAAATGACCGTTAACATCGCCTGCAGAATCTGCTACGAACAAAAATCAGATATGCTAGTCATGCCATGCTATCATCTGGCCTTATGTCGATGGTGTACAGACATAGTGCGAGCGCAGGGACGGCTGAATCTGCATGAACAGCCGCATAGAGGCGAAGGCTGGCGATGTCCGACGTGTCGCAAGGCCGTTGAAGGCACTAAGAGGGTATATCTTGGTTGAGGCGGGCTCCAGGGCTGATTCTTGAGATTGCACGGTTCATGTCGAAATCTTGGATTTATGCCTTAGAATCATAGACCCTCTTCCCCCTGAACCACGTCTCAAGTACCCTCCCCCGAATCATCTCCTCACCACCCCACCCACCCAACTCAACCAGCACGAAATCCGCGCTCGCACCGACCTTTAGCCTGCCCGTCCACCCATCTGCACGCCGCGAGTACGCCGCGCCACTCGTCACGCCCCTGACCGCGTCCGCCAGTCCTAGTCTGAACTCCTCGTTCACGGTGTCCTTACACTCCAAGTCAAGCGCCGACTTCCGCGTCGTCGCGTTATACAGGTTCCGCAACGGCCAGTGCGGCGCGGTGGGCGCATCAGTTCCCAGCGCGAGTGTAGCCCCGCCATCGAGGAACTCTTTGTACGCAAAAGCACGCTTGCAGCGGTGTGGTCCGATGAGGGTCGGCCAGGCGCGGAACAGGACTGGGTCTGAGTGCACGGGTTGCACGGATGCGATGATGCCCAGCTCGCCTAGGCGACGGGCGTCTGAGGGCGAGGTAAGTTCGAGGTGCTCGATGCGGTGGCGGCGTACGTAAGGAGGGTTCGGAGGTAAGGAAGCGAGAGCGTTAATGGCATCGTTGATGGTCTTATCGCCGATGGCGTGGATGGCGATCTGGAGGTCTGCGGCATCTGCGGCGTGGACCAGGCGCTTAAGCTGTGCATATGGCCAGATTGGGTCTACGGGCGTGGGAGGCTGGGCGGTGGACGTGTTGTAGGGTTCACTCAGACCTGCTGTGCAGCCGTCGACGGTGCCGTCTCCTATGATCTTGATGCCGACAATGCAGAAGTCTGGTGATGTGGAGGGGTGGTACCGGCCATTCATCTCGATTGCTTTCTGGAGGTGCTTGTCGATCGTGGCTGTATCGTCGCTGTACGGTACGAGCCAATGGGCTGCGATGTGGAACGGCGTCTCGTTCTGTGAACGATAGAGCTCCATCGCCGACCAGATGCTGCTATCCATGGCCATATCGATCACGCCAGTGTACCCTGCTGCTGTGTATGCCTCGAAGGCCTTCTGCAACAGAACATGTTTCTCGTCTTTGGAGAGCGCATCCGCAAGGAAAGGCCAGATCATTGTCACGAGCGGCCCTTCTTCAACTAGACCAGATGGCCTGCCCTCCGCGTCGCGATGAATCTTCCCGCCGTCAGGATCGACCTCCGTTGCCATGATCCCAGACTCGACCAGCGCCGCTGTATTGAGCCACATCGAGTGCAGATCCATAGCTTCGACATAGATGGGCCGGGGGTCGATGTCGTCCAACATGCTCGCCATCGCTGTACCTGGTACAGAGATCTGGAGCCATCCCTTGCACATAAGTCGTGGAGCGTTTGGGCTATCCTTGGCAAATTGCCGAATCTGGGCTCGAATGTCATCGAGCGTCTTATATGCTATCAAGTCGAGCTTCTCAAGGGAGCCGCCGAACTGCATCATATGGACGTGGCTGTCGATGAAGCTGGGGGTAAGTATCTGGTTGTTGGCGTTGATCTCGACGGTAGAAGCGGAAGCCTCGCGACCTCGACCTCTTCTGCTGCCTCATCGCCCACATAGTCGATCTTGCCATCTCGTATGATCAGACAGCCATTGATCAGCTCGTCTGCATTAGGTTCGCTGGTGAAGATGCGAGCATTGCTGACTATGGTCCGTGGGCTAGTGATTGATCCCATATTCTCTGTGTGTTCGGCTTCCGGCTGCCAACGACACGTCCCCAAGTGCAGACTAGGTTTCGTGAGGCCATGTTGAAGCGACGACACGGCAATATGTGCATTTCGAGCGGCGCCTTCCTCCGTTAAGGGAGAGTATGTCGTCTGTAATTGCTGCTTCTGGTTTTGGTAAAGGGTAAAATGTACCGGCCGGCCCAGAATGTGATTGGCTATGAGGAGGTACGATTGTGTACAATATCAATTTACCGGCGGGTGGTGATATCCGGTGTGTTCGATGAAGCGGCTTAAGTTGCTATAAAGAGCAAGCTATAGCATTATATTGCAAGTCTCGATCGGTTGAAACGAGGAACATGCGCTTCGCATTCAATGAGATGATACCAGTTACAAGCGCTCGATATTTTCGATGTAGGGAGATGCCTCACGGTATACATGACGCCAGGCCAGACAAACACATCCTAGCACACGCTGACAGACGACTTTCCCAGTCACGCCAATGTCCCCAACTTCCAGATGTAGGTACCGATCACAGCTTCGCGCCAGCCTTCTTCCTCGCCTCCCTCTCCTTATCCCTCAACATCCTCCTCAGAATCTTACCCGAAGGACTCTTGGGAATGACATCAATAAACTCGACTCCTCCAACCAACCACTTGTGCCGTGCCTTCTCTTTCTCTACGAACTTCTTGATGTTCCTGATCACCATCGCATCTGACTCCTCTAGTCCAACCTCGGTGGACTTGACCACAAATGCTTTCGGCACCTCGCCAGCCCGCTCGTCGTTGACGGGAATGACCGCACAGTCGGCCACTGCTGGATGGTTGAGTAGGCAAGATTCCAGCTCTGCTGGCGCGACTTGTAGACCCTAGACGATCGTCAGTAAGGAAACTGTTTGCTGGAAAGCACTGGAAAACGTACCTTGACCTTGATCAACTCCTTAATCCTGTCCACGACCCAGATATGCTCGTTCCCATTCTCGCTCTTCCTAATCTCGACCTCGTCACCAGTCCGACAGAAGCGTCCTTCGGCCATATCCACGAATGTCTCCTGCGTAGCCTTCTCATTTTTCAAGTAGCCCAACACCACACTTGGCGACTTTACCAGCAGCTCTCCTGGCTGATTGTACCCAGTGATCTCATTGCCCTCCGGAGTTACAACCTTTGCTTCGTATCCTGGCAAAAGGCAGCCTGAGCTTCCGAACCAGATGTCCGATGGATTTGTCGAGCAGACCACCGTGCAGGTCTCGGTCATGCCATAGCCCTGCCTCACCTTCCACTCAGGATACTGCGTGCTGAGGTCTTCAGCAGTCTCCTTACCCAAAGGCGCGGCCCCAGTAAATATCTGCTTGACGGACGTGAGATCGAACTTTGAGAGCGTTGGTCGGTTTTTAACCATGTTAATGATAATCGGCGGCACAATGTACAGAGTGTTGATCTTGTACTTCTGAATCGCAGTGAGATATGATTGCATTTCGAACTTTGGCAGAATGATGACTTTGTCGCCGCGGTACGTGCTCGCATGACAGATGACGATCAAGCCGTAGATGTGGGACTGTGGTAAAAGGCCGAGCGCAACGTCTTGGTAGCCAGGTCCACCGAGCATGTCTCGCCCCGGCGCATCGAATGCTGTGATCTGTAGTGTGTTGGCGATGACATTGCGGTGGGAGATCATGACTCCCTTGGGAAGACCAGATGTGCCAGACGAGTAGCACAAAAAAGCCGTTTGGCGTGCGCCTTGACCTTTAGTCCACTTCAGAGGCTCGACCTCGGGAAGGGATGCGCCTTCTTTCGTGAGTTGCGACAGGCGCTTGAACTCAGGCGGGTAGTCCTTGTCGCCAGGCATCTCGCAGATATAGACCTTCGAGCGAGGGATCTTGGCCTTCTCTGCTGCCTTCAGCGCTGTGTCTAGCAGTGGCAGGACTGTAAACAGGCACTGACAGCCCGAGTTCGTCAACTGATAGTTGAGCTCTTCGGCGGAGTACGCTGCGTTAGCGGGCGATGAGACTCCGTTCAGGCGGTGGATGGCCCAGCTCAGAGTCATGATGTCGACCGTATTCAAGGCGAAGACGCCTGCAACCTTGGAGTATTCATCGCCTTCGTTGACCTTCCAGCCGAGCTCCTTGGATAGCGAACGTGCCAGATATTTGACCCGGTCGGCCTGTTCCTGCATGCTAAATGAGGTTCCTGTGATGCCGCAAACGTAGGGATCCCATGACTTGGCCAGCGGCTTGCGCCCGTGCTCCTCCTTAAGCATGAAATCGCATATTGGTATATCGTCTGGCACCTCAATGTCTTTTGGCACGTTTTCTGGGGGATAGAACACCATGTTGTACGGTGTTTCGAGGGAATTCGGCCGAACGGCAAAGAAGGGAGCAGTCCTCAGTGTGTTTCTTGAGCACTAGGTCTACGAGTTGAGGTAGAAGCGCGAGATATCGAGCGCAGCCTGGTCGCTCTGAGAATCGCAATGGGATGTCAGCGAAATAATATTGATCTCGGATCCTCCAACCTGTGCCTCTGTTAGGTGTTCGTATGGTCGATCGCGGCAGGGCAGCTACGATGTACATTCACGAGCTCTGGTTCTCGAACTGCGACCCCAGTCCCCACCACTGGGAGCGAGACCTCGGCTTTGCGGACGGCGCTATTCCGCTTCCATCCGACATGTCGTCTTCCACCGGAAGGTCGCCAAGTGATTGTGGCCGCGTGTGCGACTGGTAAAGAGAGTCGAGGCTCTTCCTTACCTTGGACCTGTCCGTCGCATGCTTGTATTGGCACGTCGACTCGTCAGACTGGATGCTCAAGTGCACCTGTTGAGGGAGTGGGAGCCGCGAAGCAGTGAGTCTGGCAGCGCATTGATTCAGGACGCCCCGATCAAAGCTAGGCCGTCCGAGCATACGTTCTGCTGCTGCCATGTTGAAGCGACGATGGATGACGATCTTTTTCCCACCTGTGAGCTTGTTGGCATAGGCATCACTTTGTGAAGCCAGAACTCGAATGGTCAATGGCAAATGCCATTGCATTCAGGGTCTCAATCGGATTGTAAACGACCCCTCGTCTTTTGATAAATAGCCGAAGCAATCGAGATTGCCTGGAGCAGATCGCTTGGCTAAGTACTATCTATACATAGGCGGTTTCTCCGTGCAACGGGGGGGCCTCTGTCAGATATCCAGAGAGCTACGCGTAGGAGGTCACTGCTATATGTGGTGTCAATAGTGCTGGCTAGATGCTATTGATATATTGCGCTGTGTCTTTCGTAGAACGACCTCACCAAATATCGCCACGTTGCCAGTGGCAGAGGAGAATGGATCTTCAGAACGAGATTGTATGACGCCATATCGATAAGTCATCTGGGCATCACCGTTGACGGAAAATTAAGGGCCGTTGTTGACACGCCTGGTAATACTTCGTACGGTATGACTGTGACTGTACCTAGTGAATGTAGTTCGCATTCGCGACGACCCTAATCCCAACCATCGAGGAGGACTCTGACACGTGAGACCGGCACAGCGGTATGGATGATGTCTGCGAGCTGGATGTACCGCAAGTCAGATTGCAGCTTACCGGCTTACAACTCATGTCTCAAACTTGATGACAAGTCCACGTAAACAGTGGCCGAGTCGTGGGGAGTCCTCTGGACGCGCGGGGTGAGAGCCCAGGCTCGAGAAAGTTTCTGGGACGGAGGTATTCTGCCGCCTCAGCGTTGTTGGCAGAAGCGCGAAGAGAACTGAGCCTCGGGCCTACCAAGGTATGCTGTCAAAGTGTGGGACTCGTGACCTGAGACGACAACGATGCAACAGGTCGTGGCCTAGTTGCAAAGCATTTGTAGATTCAGCTGTCGATGGCATGTGGCATGTGGTACAAACTACCATGATTTTTTCGTCGACAATTTTTTGGCCTCGAGGAACCCTCTGTGAGGCTAGATGTCTTGTATATGCAGGTTACTGTGCGTCCTGACCAGGGTAGAGCTGTGCAGGACGAGTGAGGGTGAGACCTGGTCTGATCGGTCAATTATCGCCGCCTTACGGCGTGAACGGAAAGAATGCTTGGATACGAATCCTTCGACTCGATAGAAAGTTTCGGGATGCCTCTGCAGGTCTGCTTTCCCTGCTTGATTGTGGCGAGGCTTGCCTGTACTATTCGCTGTACGTACTTAGCAGGAAGATAAGTGCAGCTGCTCTTGACTGTGTCGGTCAACGATGCTGCATGATTGTAGCACACATGCCCGGACAAGTCCAGCGTGTGGGAGAACAAAGGAGCAAGCGAGCAGTGATGATGCCGTCGACTCGTCTTCAGTGGCCAAACGGGATGAGGGGAACTCTGCTGATCGCTCTTGGTGCATTGCTCAACAGGCAAAATCGATCTCTTTGATACACACTTCGTACAGTGCAATTTGGTGGATGGTTGATACTTTAGGACTTCTCGGCCAATTTGAGTGGGTGCCACGGTGGTGATGACGAGGTTTACATCGTTCGAGGATCTTTCTGTTCACCTTCTCTTCCGGCTTGCCGCAGCTAGTGAAGTTTACCCATGATACACATCTGCATGACTGCTCCGACTGCAACAGTCCCGTCAACTTTCAGGCCGAGCTTTTCCTCTGAAGGCCGCCTTGTCTTTTCCTCTCTGTTCAAGTTCATTCTGAAATCTGGAGCTTGACTGTGACTGGTATACAGCATCAGATTACATTTACAGGCAGCTGGCTTTGTCACTTGCAGGCACACTTCAGTCAGGCACAGCCCGGCCTGTTCTCAAACTCCTCTCAGCGTCTCTACAGCGATCTTATAGTGTAAACGTCCTGTGCCATTATTACATGACAAGACGCGACAAGACGCAACGGGGAACCAAGACTTGATCCTTGCAAGTGGACTTTGTGGATCATTCACCATCTCCACCCCATCAGCTTGTTCATATTTCATCTACGATCACCTGTCTACGTTGCAGCCGCCTCTGCATTTCATTTCAGACACCTCCTCGCCGCCGACATCCTCCACTACCGCCCTTCCTCTGCCCTCTCTCAAACCACAACACCGAGGGTCAAACGACTCTCAACGACCTGCTTCGCCAGCCTGCGGTCGTCCAATTTCGTTTGCGAGACTCTGCATTTACTTGCTAGGGTATAGGAACGCAAGCGCCAACATTCCTCGAAACCCCCCCAGAACGATACGCAGATACTCGCCACAGTCGCAACAACCTGCCTCGTCACTGTACGTTGCACTTCATGTCGCCAGTGCTCGTTTGTGAATAGCTCAGAAATTTCGAATATCGCGCCTCGAGCAACTCACGAAATTTGGCGTGAGTTGGAGGAACATACGCGGAAATTATTCGGAGGCCTCGCATAGGCGGAAAAAGACATACACATTCGCAGCAATGCTTCAACAGAGACTATGCACGTTTGTGCTGTTGGTGTTCTCCCTCATGGGGCTCGCCGTCGCACAGAAGCCAGCCATATCATACTGCTCTTCCGTCAATAATGGGTTTTCATATCAAGCTAGTAGGTGTCCCCACAGCGCATGACGCGACGAAGAATTTCCGCTGACAGAGATAGAATCGGATGAGTTCATGACTACTGGCCTATGCGCCGATACTTGCCGTGGATCCTACGCTATGGCCATTGTCCAAGGACACGACTGCTGGTGCTCAAACTATGCTCCTACCAATCAAGTCGATACTCTCGAGTGCAACTCAGGATGTCCAGGCTCCAGTGACGAATGGTGCGGTAATACCGACGAAGGTCTTTTCGGCTACTTCCAGATTGCATTGGGAACCGTCCTCGGCACATCTGGAGGACCTAGCTCAGCAGCGCCTTCAACATCATCCATCTCGGTTAGTACACACCAGGAAATCTCCTCTAGCTCTCCTTCCTCCTCTGCTTCTTCCAGGGCCCCGCGACCCACTACAATGGTAACACTGGTCCCTACGCAGAGTATTCGGGAGACAAGCACTTTTAGCTCTAATTCACCTACTGTTGTCTCTTCGGACTCATCTGAACAAAGTGTATGGACGATCATCTCTTTACAATGTACATTAGCATATATTACTTCCATACTTTACTGCGGGGAGAGCATGGCGACTGCTTTGAGCTAGTGCATACTTCTTGAACTCCTGCTAACTCGTCCTGCAGTCATCGACGAATACTCCTTCACCATCAAGAACATCAGCCCCAGCCTCGGCCTCGGATACTCCATCCATTGTGACCAGCTACATCACCACTGGCGCAGGACCTCCCAGCACCGTGCTCGTCACGCAGACTCCGGTTCCTTCAGAAGATTCTTTAGGCCAATCTGCGACTGCCGGCAGTAAAGGTGGTGTGAGCGGCGGTGCCATCGCCGGCATCGTCATAGGCGTCATCGGTGGTCTAGCAGCAATTGTAGCTGCCGTAGCGTTCTTCTGCTGGCGTCGACGCAAGCAGGAGCGGAGTAGGGAAAGTAGCTTCAGCGCTTCTAGGATTGGTGGTGCAGGGCCCAGCAGCACTGTACCTACCACCAATAGCGTGCCGTCACGACAGGTTAGTCAAATGTCGCAAGCAGGCCTGCTTGGATCGAAGGCACCACGCATCAACACTACTGGGCTAGGTGGGATGTATGGTTCGGATGCCCGAAGCCCAGATGGGGTGAATTCTGCAGTGGACCGTCGGAGTGTGGGCACTGATCAGCGACTGAATCCTTGGGCCATCTATAAGGCGGATGACCAGGCTAGCAGCGTGTCATTGCACGACGAGAGAGACTACTCGCGGCAATTAAGAGTGAGTCATTGTTCCGGACAATCCACGAGGAGAACACTGACATCCGCAGGTCGCAAATCCCGATGAGTGAAACCAGCAAGGAGGTATGATCAATTGGATCATCCATCAATTAATCTGCTCTTTGAGCCTAAGGAAAGGGGCTCAGGTCGACCGTATGCTTGATGCAAGCACATGAAGAGGATCACATCACCGACCTCGCAGTCGGCGAGATCTGGATGCAGAGCACGCCTAGCCGGATCATGTTCGAACACGATATTACGACGAGATGGACTCCCAACACACGAAGGCAGCCTTTCGTAACAGCATTTGCATAGCAATGGAGCAATTACGAGATTTGTACAGCAGCTCGCATCGACACGAGTTGAAGGCGTTCTTGAAATTGGGAGTAGCCCTGGTTGGAAGGTACTTATTGGTGCCGCCAGGAGCGGTCATTGCATCATGTCAATGACGGTGTACTGTACAGAGAGAATGACTTTGTCACGAGAGTCAGAGGTCTCCCAGAGCCAGAGCCAAGTCGGGAGTCAGTTGAATGATGAACATTGAAACTTGAAATCTTAGGCCCTGAAAGAAAGGGCGGCACGCCCCGAAGGTCAAGCCTCTGTGCAGTGTAGATCTTCGTATGTGGCAGGCACGAGAACGGGAGCTTTGTGAGCATGTGCCTGCCCAGGTGGGCTTCAATCATGCAGGCTCCCGGTGCGTGCTTCTTGCCTTACCATTGTCCCATTTAGATGGGCTTGTGTCTTGGTCGTGTATCAGACCCGAGCAAGAATTCTGCGGTTGCACCGTGACCAGCTATGACAACGATAACGTCACATATGCTAGTATTGCTCACCTGTTGGGCCGCAATTGTGTAGGACAAGAAAATGCAGGAAGAAGCAGCTAGGCGAGGAGCGATGACCAGGGTCCCCCACCAGGAAATCCCGCCTGGACTCATGTCTGCCAGGTAATTCGAGATTCCGACTTCGATGCTCGCATCAGCCTCACTGCACGAAGACTCATCCGTGTTTGCCCATCAGTCGCGCCTCTTCTGACAACGCATCCCAGCTGAGGCGTAGTCATCCGCAACGAGCACCTGCATACCACCAACGATTGTCAATCTCATCCACCCCACCTTCTTGTCGGGCTGCAAAGAGCTCGTTCTCGATGCTTCCACACCCTTGACAGCGCATGGTCTGATCCCCCGCATCTCGAGTCAGGATCTGCGTATGACTGCTGTTTGCTCGATGTACGCTTGAAGGGTCTGGAACATGTCTCGACGAGGCGGTAGCGACTACGACGATCGACGGGGCGAGTACATATCCCGCACTCGCTCGCGCTACGACGAGCGAGACTACCGGGACTATGACGATCGGGACTATCGTCGGCCACCTCCAGCACGCGAACGGGAGCGAGAGGTGTTGGTCCGTGAGGAGGTGCGTGAGCGCGATCGAGTAAGGGACGGGCCGGCATACCTGCGAGACGACTATGGCCGGACAGAAGCAGGGCCAATGGTCCTTCGCAAGCGAGAGACTGAGGAATTCGACGTTGTTCATAGACGTCCACGCACACCGTCTCCGGAGCCGGAGAAGGAAGTGAAGAAAGAGGAAATCATCATCAAGACTACAGATGATCATGACCATGGTAGGCGAAGGGATAGATCCATTGAGCGAGAGGAGATCATTATTCGAAAGACCGACGATCGTGACGACGACATTAGAAGTGTGGCAGCTTCTCGTCGAGGTGGGGACCGCGAGAAGGAAGAGATCATCATTCGGCGCACCGAGGAGGATGACACACGTTCAAGACATGGGATTGATCGAGAGAAAGAAGAAATTATAATACGTCGCACCGAGACGGATGACGACCGTTACTCTCGAAGAGGTGGCCGAAGCGATATCGGCAGACTTGACAATCGACCCATCTCCCACGAACGAGAGCGGTCTCGAGTGCGAGGGCGAGAAAGCGATTCGGAGGAGATCATTATTCGCAACGAAGATCGAGGCCGCGGTGACAAGCAACAAGAGATCATCATTCGGCGTCACTCGCGCTCCAACTCGCCATCCTCAATCTCAACTCGAGGCCCTCCTCCGATCCACGCTCCTCCTATCCACCAGGAAATCATCACTCACCACCGCCACATCGACCACGGCTTTGAACGAGCCCGACCTATCTCACGGCCACCCACACCGCCCTCACCGCCTCGACCACGAGAAAGGTCAGAGGAGCGGATCGAGATTCGTCGGTCTGGCGAGCGCGCCAATGGCGAGCATTACAGCGAGGACATTATCATTGACCAGAAGCATGACGATGCCCCACGTGATCGGCGCCCTCGCGATCCGATATATGACGACTATGTCCCTCCCCGACCACTGCCCGGTGCTCTTGCACCATACCGCCCTGAACGCGAACGCTATGATGGGAGTGTCGCAGATGAAGCCGAATACTACAATGATATGGCTATGCGACGTGGCTATCCTGGTGAAGCCTACAATGGCGCAACGAGGGACTGGGGTCTTGTTGATGTACCTCCAGGCACAAGACGAGTGCGTATGGATGGTCAAGGCGGCGGCGGGCAGGAGATCACGTGGCAGCGATACAGCGGGAATAGACGAAGCCGATTCTATCCCGATGATCGAGATCGGGATGGCAGGCCAGATTACTATCCAGCGAAATCGCCCGCCCTGAACCGCCAGGCACGATCGGTCCGCAGTATAGAGGACGACGTGATCCCACGGATGGCCTGTGGACAGAGATCACCAAGGATCTTGTGGTGAAGGAGGCCATCAAAGAGATGGGTTACGAATACGAAGAGACAGAAGAGTTCTACTACATCTTCAAGTACCTCGGATACGTAAGTTTGCCCAGTGCTTGCGAGGTACCATCCCTCTGAGAGAGAAACACAACTGATATGTTCTTCACTAGGACGATATGGCCCGTCTGGTCGGCTTGTCAGACGACATCCGCAAGCAACGCGACCAGCGTGTACGTGAGATTGGTTGGGAGAATCGGGTCATGCCTCCGCCGGGATTGCTGCCTGAGCCACGACCACGGCCCGCAATTGAGCCTCCTCCACGGACCTGGGACCACGAGGAAGACAGGTATATCGAGAGGGAGGTCGTCTACCGAGGAGGCAGGCCGCCTCCGCCGCCAGGTTGGCGGAGATGAGGCTGTCCCCCGCATCCAGATTTTGAGATGCTTGTATGGCGAGAACTGCGATCAGGAAACAGATGGTGGTTGAGCGCTCTGTCAGACTTACGAATTGCAGCATTTGAGCAAGCGATCATGCATTGTTGGCTTCGTCTTTACCGACCTCAGATACGCAGAAAATGGAGTGACGATATGGATGATGATTTGATTGACATCTGGCTTGGAAAGCACGAATCGCGCAACCCAATGAACGACTTCACGAATGACAGACAGCAATGATAGCGAGAGACTTGGTAGCTAGATTGACGACAGAATAGATTACCTACATTACGCTTTCGAGATCTGATGCTTTCCCAGCAAATCATCATGGGCCGTAAACACGGACGGTCCAGGCGATGTTCGCATAGATGTGCGCCCAGGAGCACTCTTTCGCGCGAGATATGATGAAGCTTGCAAAGTTCTAGCTGACTATGGACATGCATCCCGTGGTGTAGCAAAGGTCGTTTGTCACCAGTCGCCCCCATCAACTCGGTACCGATGTTCGCTTGAGCACCCGCTTACGAAACCACCCCTCGGCAATTCCACAACAGCGGTCGTCTAACACTCCTCCGTCACTGCATAACCCCTCCTTTCTCCGCAACAAAGTCTTAACAAGGGCACCCGACCGTAGCTTTTCCGGAACAATTGGGCAGTGTTCATGACGATGGTCACAGTTCTATCGTTAGCCTCGGGCAAGTGGTGGGAGTCCCTCCGCCCAGAGAGTTCCATCGAGAGGTTTGTCAGAAAGTCAGAAATGGAGGAGCTGCATCCGGTCGAGAGAGTGTGGCTCTTGATCATTTGTAACAACGTGTTGTGTGTTTGAACTGGGTATTATAGACAAGAAGCAGCACCACAGCTTGTGGCGTGTAGGCTATAAGTACAAGTGGCTCCAGGTAGGTCTGTGACTCTGGAAGAACTCGACCACTGGTTCGGTCTGGACGACAAGCATTCGCCAGCATCTCACACCAAAAGACCGACACGACCACAACCAAAATCCACGAAATCTTCCCCTGGGACCATTACCAGCACTATCCTCCCTGTCCTGCAGCCAATATGGGAAGTGAAAGCCAGCCCCTCCGCAACTCCGGCATCTACCACAACCTCCCCACCTTCTCGCCATCCATCAAGAACCTGACCGCCATCGTCACCGGCGCTAATGGCATCTCAGGATTCCACACGGTCAGGGCCTTGCTAGACAGTCCGCAGCGATGGAGCAAGATCTATGCCATGAGTCGCAGTCCGCCGCCCAAGGTCATGATGGATCTGTTGACGGAGGAGCAGAGGGCGAAGGTGCAGCATGTCAAGAGTGATTTCTTGGAGGATAGCGAAGTTTTGGCGAAGGCTATGAAGGACGCTGGGGTTGAGAAGGTTGATTGTAAGTTTTGCTTGCTCCGGACTGCGATGGACATGGACAGGGTCTGTTGGGAATGGATGAGATCTCTGCTCAGCATAACCAAAAGCCACGAGCCCCTGACTGACTGATGCACAACAGACGCCTTCTTCTACTCCTACCTCCAGCCCAAACCTCCACCAAACTCGCCTCCCTGGTCCAACGCAGAAGAGCTCTGCAAGGTCAACACTGCCCTTCTCAAGAACTTCCTCGGCGCTCTACCTTTGGTTAATCTCAAGCCCAAGCGGATCCTCTTACAGACCGGCGCAAAGAACTATGGTGTTCATTTGGGACGAGCCCGTGTGCCGTGTTTGGAGTCTGATCCGCAGCCGAAATCGCTGGCGCCGAACTTCTACTACCCACAGGAGGAGGTGCTCTTCGACTATTGCAAGAATAATCCAGAGACGAAATGGAACATGTAAGCTCCTACTCAATAGCCCACGACCATTGCATCTCTTACCCTGTCCTTGCCCCAACGTCACACATACTAATCCCTGCAAGCATAATGCCAGCCTGGATCATCGGCGCTACCACCAATGCTCAGATGAATGCCCTGCACCCCTTCGCCATCTACGCCGCCGTCTCCGCCCACAATTCTGAACCTCTGGTCTTCCCCGGCGACTGGGACTCTTGGCAAGGCGATGCGCACCACTCCTCCGCCCGCCTCACAGGCTATCTGTCCGAATGGGCGATTCTCGAGGAGAAGTGCGCCAATCAGCGCTTCAACTCCCAGGACACCAGCCCGGTCTCGTGGGATCGGTACTTCGAGCGTCTGGCGACCTGGTTCGGCGTCAAAGAGGGAGTCACTCCCCCGGCAGACTCGAATGAGGGATATGGCGCGTTCGAAGGAAAAGGTGGGAAGGAGACGCCTATGGGCTATGGCCCACCTGTCGTCTCTCGCGCGAAGTTCACGTTGAGTGCCTGGGCGCGCAAGGACGAAAATAAGAAGGCGTGGAGGGAGATCATGGAGGCTTCGGGCGGAAAGGTCACGCATGATCCGTTTGAGGATGTTGAGGCGAATTTCACGTTTGGAGACGGGGCGTTCATTAGGGTTGGGTGCTTGGGGATGAATCGGGCAAGGAGGTTGGGGTGGAGTGGGTTTGTTGATACAGTTGAGGCTGTGTGGGAGATGTATATGGTGAGTCTCGCTATTCGTCTCTATGTCGTGAAGCTTTGATGTTGGTGTGAAGAGGCAGATGGCTAACGTTGTACTCTGTAGGAAATGGGAGGCAACGGTAAGGGAGGACTTGGGATGGTGCCGGAGATGAAGGTCAAGGACTCGTTGCCGCTGATTTAATGCGTGCGATGGTGACGGCGACGACGACGTTATTGAGTCGGCAAAGGCCAGAACATAGCGGACGGCTGAACTTTTATTCGTGCTCACGCAGTTGGCTTCCCGAGGTCGGCAGATGTCTATATTAATTCAAATGACACAGCCGCAGCGAGGAGACTGGCTGTGAAATTCGGTCATCCATGTTATTTGATATCTCTTTTGGATCACGCCCAGGCTCGCGAGGTTTGCCTTCCCGAGCTGCAGTGGACACCTTCCATTCCGATGCAGTCAGACGTGGAGCAAGCAATATCCGGAGCGCTTTGCTATTGACGCCGATGCTTTTGTGCATACATCAGTGTCTCATCATCTAGAATTCGCGACACAGGTCACAGCGCTTCTTGAGGGAGACATGGCGGAATTTAAAGTCAGAGTTTCTCCCACAAAATCGCTCGAGGTCCTCCACGCCCATGCCCTTGGCGCGTGCTGTTGCTGCTCACCAATCACACCCTCGGAGCAGCCGCTCGGGATTCACTTCGATTTACCGCCATGACTCTTCTGGACGCCTAAGTCACCACCTCGTTGGACATCTGCAAGCTTATCCATCCACTCTGCTTTACCGTCTTCGACCAACCAGGTGCACAAGCCCAGCAAAGATGACCGTGAATGCCACCTCGCCTAGCTCTATCACCACATGGACCCTGGGCTTTCTGCTGTAGGGTTCTGCTCTTTTGCGCTGTCCTACATTTGAGCGCAGTCTGGCTCGCTCTGTCCAACTGAATCTCGTCTAGATGTTTCTCCTCTTTGCATAGACCCCGTTTGCACTGACAACTCCAGGTCGTCGAGTCTCCAGACCGCAGAGAGGACACTGCGATGCGATGAACTATACATGAACCGACCTTGTCGTTGACCACCTCCAGAACTTTTGCAACATACAGACTGTACCTGAATAGCGGCCCCCAGAAACGGCCTGCTCGCTCGGTCAGCAGGCCCCGCGATCCCGCGACCATACGATAGGAAACGAGACCTAACCGTCGGGCGAAGTGCACATACTACAAAATGCACAAGTCAATATCGATATACACCACACTCCTCTTCCTCCTCCACGTTGCCTACGGGCACACCGTTATTGTCTATCCGGGATGGCGCGGCGACAACCTGCACGCCAACGGCACAGTCGACCAAACGCAAGGTCTCATGCCTGGCGGTCCCGATAATAACCTCTGGCCATATGGCATGCAATGGAACTACCCATGCGGCGGCATGCCAACGTCGACAAATCGCACCAAGTGGCCCACGCTGGGTGGCGCTGTCGCTTTCCAGCCAGGCTGGTTCCAAGGTCACTCATCTGCACAGATATTCATCAACATGGGCTTCGGCACCAACCCGCCCAACATGTCGAATCCAATGATGAATGGTGTCGAGATCGTCGGCCCTACGAACGAGCCATATCCAGGCACGTGGTGTTTTCCCCATGTGCCGCTACCAGCAAACAGGACGGTGAATGTTGGTGACAATGCGACTATACAAGTTATCGAGCTGGCGAAGCATGGAGCCGCACTGTACAATTGTGCGGACATCACTTTTGCAGAGCCGGGCGATCCGGAGATCCCGCTGGTCACGCAGGACAATTGCTTCAACAGTACCTATTTGAGCTATAACCTGGTATTTACGACCGAGAGTCTGTCAATGGCAGCGCCTGCTGTGGAAAGCATGGGCACGGTCTTCGCAGTATCAGTAGCGCCTTGACGGCTTATATGCTGAGCTGAGTTGAGCTTTTGCCTCCAGGGCACATGCCACGAGCAGGAACGAGATCGATGCACTTGGCATGAGGCCCTTGCCTTAGTCTCGAGTTGAGGGACCACATGTGTCGACACGGCTCAGGCGTTCAAAAGGTCCGCAGCATCTTGGGAAGCGATGGTGTCTGCGAGGAATGGAAGCATTGGGTATTTTGTAATTTCGAAATGAATATACTTATTAGCACTCACTGTGGAGTCTCATGACATCCTTTCCCGTGTGATCACGGCCACAACGCGCTTAATAAGATATCAGATATGCACCTAAGTACTCAGTAAAACCACGCCTTCATCGATCCACCTTACTACATGAGCCTGCATCGGCTTTTCCTCGGACCCGCCTTCCAGCCAAGCCGGATGACAGCTAATTCTGCTTTCGACGGCTCTCAGGCAATCGCTCCTGCATCTTACGATTGCTCTGCTCGAAGTCACAGAGCAAGCGCGATGCAAGCGTTCAGTCAGTCAGACAGGAAGGCGCAGATGATGAAAATGTTGTCACACAGGCTCCTCCTTTGCTCGACTCGGACTTGAGCAATGCCCACATCAAGGTAGCGTACGGTAAACTCATCTACACATCAATCCGTTATCCTCACTTCTTGCATCTGTCCTATCTCGTAGCAGCGCAGCGTCCGCCTCTCTCCTCTCGACATGCCGCACACATCGCGTAAGGAGCGGCCAGCTCACGCCAAGCGACAAGAGGTCATCGGCGAAGATGGCTGGACCCAGGTCGTTACACCCTCTAAGAAACGTGACATCGACGCACTAATGCTGCGATTCGGCCGCGGTCATGCCTTTCGGACGGTTGTGGAAGCTACTGAGGACGTCACGATCCTATCAGTGACAAAACGCTTCAATCACCTGAAGCAGCGCTGGCTGCTGTCCGCTCCGCATGCCACGCTTTGTGCAGCACTCAACAGGTTACTCTCACCTCTGCAAGAGAACCACTCTGGGGAATCCGAGGGCTCAGAACTCCAAACCAGAGGCCGCCCCTTAACTCGAGCCCTTCTCCTTGGTTCAGGCAGCTTCTCCTCTTCAGATCCCGGCCGCGCGGGACGAACCGATGTCTCGCTCCTGCAGCTTGCGGTGTTTGTCTCACTGACAGAGGCTATCGTGGCCGCTCAAGGAGAAGCGAAGTTGGAGCTGTATGCACAGGAGCCGGTCTACAATACCCTCGACAAGGAGCTCTTGAACGCCCTGGCAATCAAGGTTATGGATGTTCCTGAGGGTTGGGCAGTACTTGAACAAAGCGACAGAGACGGCCATGTCTTCGTGTACGCCCCAGGCGCGGAGCTGCCGATGGTGTTGAGGATCTGCGCTGCCAGCCCTGCCTGCTATCTGGGCAGTGACCCGGCGCAGTATATCGACAGTTGGACTGGGGATAATGCTGGAAGAGCAGACAATCTGGGAGAGGGATTCGTTTCTGCGATCTCAGGTGTACAGAAATTTCTGGCTTCCTACGACCGCCTCAGACTGCCGGATTTCAGCTTGGCGAATTATCCATTCTATCGTCAGCACTTGTTCTATCGACACTGTCTGAGTCTAGGGACGAGGTATATGCAGCACAAGAAGCACGTGCTAGAGCAGAAGAAGTACGTGCTTTTCTGCGACAGGTGCCCCCGTATGGATCTCCATGACCTCAGCGCCCTTCCATCAAGGTCTCATTTGTCAGTTGACCTCTGTCCCTTTCACGACAGTCCCAAAGGCATCAGCCAGTTCCTTGAGCGCGACTGTCTTCAGCTCCTCGCCCCCAACACCAGGAACATCACGATCGCCAATTGCATCTTCCACAAGAATCACATCGAGACCGCGTTCCGCGGCCGCTCGTGCGGTGGTGCTCACGCATAAGTGCGCCTGATAGCCTGTGAGAACGACCTTCTTGCCGACACTTTCGGGGAGTTTGCTAAGGTATTCGTCTAAGTCGGTGGAGGCGAAGGAGGATGGGTGGTTTTTGTACTGTTTCGGAACGAGTATCAGTTGTCAGTCGTTGAACTATGCACTACGGGAAAGCTTGTGGCTAGGCCGGGCTGGACCCGAGGAATGGGCGGAGCCCCAGTGATGCTTCTGGCAGATGTGTCTTCAGCCCCAGATGAAGCCTGACGAGCTCGAGATCACGATGAATGAAAATGATAGGGGGAACACTCACAATGACATGCTCCCCATCCTTGGGCTTCAACTCTGCAAACTCCTCCGCCAGCGGCGTGTTGGGAGTAAAGACTGGTGCACCCTCTGGCGTCTGCTGGAGGACATGAACGATATTTGCGCCCTTGTGCGGCGAAGAGCGGTACTTCTCGAGCAGATTTGCGATGCCAGCGCGCGTGTTCTTGACGTTCACGGTTTTGCAGAGGCCGTCTGCGTACCTTTTCGTGGGAGTCGTTAGCTGATGTAGGTCACAAGATGATCGTCACAACGACGATGTGAATCTCGATCGCTTGACGGGAAAGCACTCACTCGTTCTGCGCATCAATGATAATCAACGTGCTGTCCTTCACAGTCGCTGTTGACGGCGGGACGCCGATCATGGCACGGAAGGACTGGACCTGTGTAGAGGACGCCATTCCGTTGGTGGCTTGACTGTACTACCGTTTGGTGACTTAGTGTTCGAATGTGAAAGACTGCTGTGGTTTTGCGGAAGAGCGATATCCCAAGTGAGGCGATCGCCTTCAGGTATACAATATGCTAGTAGCCGCTCGTCCGTAAACAGCAGTGGTGATCGGCTCCCGGTGCTAGAGCGGCAGTATGCAATGTAGAAGCAGCAAGAACTCGCTTGTCAGATCTCGTGCGTTACCGGAAGGAATTGCAAGGGACAACTACAGCTATGATCTCAAATAGTGACAGGTAAGCAATTGGGCAATGACGATTTACCGTAGTATGACCATGTAGACCCCGGCGTCATGTTTCTGAACACGAGGGGTACATACGCTTTTTGCGGAAGCGGTACCGCTTGGTGGTCTGGAGCATTCAATTGTGGGGTGATGCACGTCACTACCCAGGTACTGTAGATATGTATGCTCCGTTGTCGCTGATACATCTCGACGACCTGTTTAGTGAGTCTTACAGATTGCAGCGAGAGGACCTTAAGGTCACCATAGTATGGCGAGGATACCTGATTGGGAACTGGCGGTTCGAAGTTTATGATTTCGTATTTCACAGCAGGTACAGATGCTCGCCGACTCATGCAGGTGGTGAGCAAGTACTCGTATTGTCTCGCCATCAATACTGAACATCGCGAACGTGTCGACGCATGCATGAGCTCAAGTTCGCGCTCCAACTCCAGCTACTGCCATTCTCACACTTACAGCCCATTTTCGCCGACTCGAATTGAGCATTGGGCTCGTCTAAAATGCTCAGACTCAACTGCACAGCTCAGTCGAACTCAATGAGTGGCTCGTCCACATCCCCAATCCCACCACTTCTGGCGGCACCTCCATCCACAACGCCACCCATTGTCACTCTACCCGGCACAAAGTCCTCGGTGTACTTCTGACGGTTGTTCCCCAATTCAACGCTGGTCTGATTTCGAGGCCCTGGCTGGACATGCTTTCGTGTCGCCTTCAGAGATTTGGCCTTTTGCATGAATTCGGCGTCTCTCATTTCATCTGACTGTTTGGCACCTCCTTGTGCAAAACCTTGCCACTCTCGCTTGCGCTCGACTTGCTTAGCAGGAGACGGCTGCTTGCGACGAATGTCAAACTCGTGTTCACTGCCGCCCCTATCAGAAGTTGTTTGACTGCGACTCAACTGAGTTCCAGGACCAACCCTCATGTCCCGGTTCATGGCTCCATTCATCTGTCGGCCTACCTGCGCCGGATGGTGCTTCATCTGTTCTGGCAAGTGGAAGAGACTGCCTTCGGGATGATCTTCGCCAGACACATATTGTCCATCCATCCACTTGGTCACACCCGCAGCATTTACTCCCTGTTGTACCTGGCGCGCATTTGAGAGAGCAATGCCACGCCGCGCGCCGAGACGACAAGCTTCTGCGAAAGCATCACAAGCGCAATCGCATTCTTCTGCGCACTTCTGGTCGCACTTGTGCCCACAAACGAGCGTCTTTGCGCAGGTCGTTAGGCAGTGCACCTTGTCATGACCGAAAGGATGGCAGTGCAGCTGACACGGATGGCCACAAGGCAACACTTGCGTACACTCTTCCTGGCAGCCACCAACCGGTGGCCAGTCCTCTGGTTGAGACACGTTGACACGATTGCCATGCATTCTGCAGACTAGCGGCATCACTGATGACAGTCGCTTATCTGCTCTCATCTTTGCCGCGACGCTCATCCACAGGTCTTCCTTTGCCAGAACCTTGGTGGAGCCGAAGATGTAGAAGCCTTCGCGGGCTCGAGATAGTGCGACACAGGCTCGGTTGCGATTCTGGAGAAAGCCAATCTGATTATCATCGTTGTGGCGAGCCAATGATAGTAGGACGATTGTGTTTTCTTCTCCTTGGTATGAATCAACAGTTTTCACTCTATTGTAGACTTGTGCCAGCTCAGGATAGCTCCGAACTTCCTTGAGTATCCGCTTTCGCTGGCCGTTGTATAAGGTCAAGATAGTGACCTCTGTAACCGGAATGCCGTTTAGCACAAGCCATCGGTAGAATCCTGCGATAAATGCTGCCTCTTGTTCGTTGAAGATTGACATACGGACATCTTTGCTCTCATACCATCGATGGTCGAAGAAATAGCTCGGCTTGTTTGGCATGACCCATTCTCGCTTTTGACGCTGAAGGACGGTCTCGTGGTCCCGCAGTGATGGATAGATGGGACTCAACAACTTCCGAAAGTCTGGATGCATTCGACGCTGAGTAAGAAGTGTCGTGTACGGCATGTCATTGAGCACGAGTCGCTCGAACAGGGACACGCCAAGATTGTACGGCTCGCCTTGCAGTTCATGCACTGCGCAATGACCCTGAAGCTGTTCGTGATCGCCGACCAGAATGAGCTGCTGCACGCTTTCCATGCACGCAACAGTTATGGGGGCCTCAAGGACTTCGGCAGCCTCTTCAATGAGAACGATCTTGGGCTTTAGAGACGAGATCAGCGGCCGATACTTCGAAAGACCCGTCGTAGTCAACCCAATGACCTTGGTCTGCGACAGATAGACTGCATCGCGTTCCCATTTGCCAATCTTGAGCTTTTGGACATTTTTGTTGTAGAACTCTGCATGCTCGCGGAATCTGTTCAGAACAGAGTCCTTGAGGCGCTGCATCATCACCCAGTAGACTGCCCCGCGTATGCCTTCGGGGAGGCGCCATAGATCGTCGACAGTGTCGAGGAAGGCCGTGGCTCCTCTGATGTCGGTATCCGTAGGAGTGGCCACGGTCCAATGATTCTCGACAGAGCACCACTGGCCATGTAGAATGTCCTGCTCATCCTCTGCATCGTTGACTCCCGTCTCGGCCTCCTGCTCGCGCAGTTGTTCGATCTCGAGATCCTCATCCTCTTCATCGAAGCCGAATTGCTCCTCGGAATAGCCATAGTCGAACTCTGTCAGTGCACCTTGAGCCCAGAGGGACAAAGGCTCAATAGGTTCGTCATCTGCAGAGATCCAACGAGAAGACCCAGCCATAAGACTGTGGGCTTGCTTGTCTGTGATCGCACCCACATGCTGAAATACCTCAACACTGGGCGGGGTGGTTGGATTCTGGTGAAATGGCGCAAGGATTCTGATGAGAGCTTTGGATTGCTGGGTACAATTGGTCGTCGCGCTGCCAAGGAGACTCCCAGGTAGCAGATTGATTCGCTGCTCCTTGCGAATCTCATATAAAGCACGCTTTTTGATATCAATATCAGTGCTTCGGCCGCCAAGTCGTATGTAATTAGATTCGAACCCAGACACAAACCGCAGAAGTTGATCTAGTGCGTGGTTTGTCTGAGCCGCAATTATGATCGGAGGATCGTCTTCTTTCATGTTTCGGAGAAGGACTTCTAGCGCGACTTTAGAAACATAAGTCTTGCCAGTTCCCGGCGGGCCTTGCACGACTGCAAGGCTTTTCGTCAGTATCTCCTGCAGGCTCTCCCACTGAGTGCTATCCATTGTACTGTCCTGAGGACCAGGCCAGTGATTGATGATGTCAACCTTGCCGTAACCGGGTTTCGATTCCATTCGAGAGACTGGACTGAGATCGACCACTGGATCTTCTTGCAGATATGCTGGAGGTTGAACTGCCCGATCCATAAGGCAGAGATGTTTTGACTGAGAGAATTGCTCCTGATCCATCTTCTGGAGAGCTCGTAATGTATGCCGATGTGCCTCGAAGTAACCTGACTTGGACTCGATCATAATCCATTCTTGCTGGGAGTCAATCTCCATGCTCGCGGCATTGAAGAAAAACAAGTCGATCTCTGGCTCAGGAAGATTAACACCGGCGAGCGGGCGGGCTGCCACCACAGCCACGATACACTTCTCTTTGAAGCCTTGGCTTGCCGGACAGAGCGCGACCATGGTCCCAGAGACGAGTCGCTTACTGCCGGACCATAGGATGCGTGCCTGTGCGCGGCGTGTCGAGAATCGCACTCGAGCGGCAATGCCCATGTGCGTGAAACAAAAGCCAATGATGTGGACCTTCTCATAGATAGCAATCTTGTAGTTGTCCATCATAGCTGGACTCTTTTGAAAGTCTTCGACAGCTTCGCGTAGTGGTCCAACGGCGTCTTCACGCAGAAGCTGGTAATGGGCCTTCAAGTACTTGTCTTTAGTTTTCCAAGCGCCTGATCGTTTGTTAGGCAGAATTTGTGGGATGTTGCCGTTGAGGATGATTTCATCGACGGTGGGAACCTCAGGTTTGCTAGTCCAGTGTCCCTCCGGGGCATTGATGACGATAGAATCCTGCTTTTGAACATAGCTTCGGATGTCAGCATTGACAACGAGGTTCAGGTCTCCTGACATGTTGGGCTTGCGATCATTGGAATATGTAGCATGGCGGCCTCCAATCTTCTCTGAAAGGTGTGCATTCATCTCGCCAACTGCGACGTCAGTCAGTACACGTCAAATGAGACTGGCCAGGATGAGACTTACACTGCCATGTTGAATCTTCATGATTGCCTAAGACACTGTCAGGATGCAAGCTAAGACACTAGTTGTTGACTTACCATTGCTGTGACCACCACGACCTCGACCTCGACCACGCGATCCCCCTCTCGCGCCTGGGCGTGCACCGCCACGCGCCATGCTCAGCAACAACTCAAAGACTTGCTCTCATCCAGGACTAACTAGGTCTCCGAGTCTGGCCAAGCGGCTGGAGTCGATGAGTGTTTCGATAGCAAATGGTGCGATGAATGTCGTCTTGGAGATGCTACGAATGACTGGCGAATCGGGCAACTTTGCCGGGAGTCTGCCAAATGTGCGCACTTCAGCCGAACTTGAACAGGTTGCAGCGCCTGCAGTCGCCTCTATTGCCAGAGGAAATATCAATGGTGTGGTGTTCCGGCCTTGTACAGTGTTTCGAGACAGACTGAAACAGTACGCGGTTGGAGCTGCCTGCCACCCAGAACTCCAGAAATCGAAGGGTCAAGTAGCTAGGTGCTAGCCATGTGAAGGACTTCGATGATCACAATCTGCTGAATCTGAATTCATTGCCTGCTCACTTGTTTGCCTTTATGTCAGTTTGTCGAGTGAATACATGTTTGGTGTTTCATTCGAAGTGTGCAGGCTTTTTGCTGTACAGCAAGCAAGTAAGGTTAAGACAAGTGTAGGCCCCAGCTTGATGAGCTGCATTGTCAGTGTGTTAATATCACCAGCAAGTATCACCAGGGATCTTTCAATGCACGACATACATTATTGCACTCATTCATGCTAGTAAAGTGGCCGCATTAGTGAGTAAGGCTTACTGTCGTCACTGCCCATCAGAGCAATAGATACTGACCAGAAGGGCAGGAGCAAAGGCTGATAAGAAGCTGCACATCGGGAAAGGGAAGAAGCCAAGTCAACAGGTCTATGAAGCATTTTAAGGGCCTACGTCTAAGCATTAGAGCCTGGAAGGCAACCACGCTAGACTATGTAGGGTATGGCGCCCTTTGTACCTGAACCGTTCCCTTAAGAACACCACATAATGCTCGTTCGTTCAATCAGAAACCTATATGACCCAATGACATCGCCTACATGGCTTTCGATGATGACGATGACCGTGACTTCGGAGGCTCGCAGGACGGGAACTCCGACGACGATGGAGACGAGACCATGCGCGATGTCGATGATCCGGACGGCGACGGAGACATCGACGACCCGGATGGCGATGCCGATATAGACCCAGACGACGATGCTGATGGGGATGGCGACGACGACGGGGATGAGGGAGCCGACGACGATGATGAAGACGGTGGCAGTCAGCCGTCCGACAACGATGACCAACAAGACTCAACTCTCCCTGACGCGACTCAAATGTCGACAGCGGAACAACTTGACGCTTCGCGAGACGCAGAAGCCCGCCGTATTGTACTGCCAGAGATGCTGAATGCTTCATATTATGACATCGTGCCGACCATGGCTGCTCCAATGAGCACCTCGGTGAATGCCATTTGCTCCACCTTCGACACACGATGGGTGTTCACCGGTGGGACAGATGGGTACATTCGGAAGTTCAACTGGGCGGACACTGTCAACAACAAACTTGCACTCACAGTGGCTCAGCGCCACCCTTTCGTTGACAGCGTTGTCAAGGCGGCTGTCCTGATGACTTACTGGGAGAACTGGGATGACAAGGTTCGATTGGGCACGTCGATCGCCAGCACTGCTTCTCAGGTCATATCACCCGTCTACTCCCTTGCATGCCATAGCCAGGCATTGTGGCTGCTCTCCGGGACAGCTTCAGGCGGGATTCGATTACAGTCAGTGCGGCATGAGGAAGGACGCGAAATTACCATTTTGAGGAAACATACCTCCGCTGTTTCGGTGCTATCATTGTCCTCTGACGAGAAGAGCCTGCTTTCGGGAAGCTGGGACAAGACTGTGGTTGACTGGGATCTTGAGACTGGGAAGCCAAGAACCACTTTTGCCGCCAGTGCTCAACAGATCTCTTGTATTGAGGCGCGGCCGATCTCAAGCCTGCCCGTCCCTGCCGAATCAGGCGAGACAATTGCTATCAACGGATCGGCGTCTTCGAAAAAAAGCGAAGGTCTCGTCAATGGTGTCCATAGTCGGGCTGGAAGCCAAGCGCCCGCTGAGGTAGCTAGGGAAAGCCCAGATTCGCTCTTTGGCGGCGACGAAGGAGACGACGACCTGTTCGGTGACAGTGCGGGTGCTGTCATGGGAAATGGGGCTGGTCTGGATGGATTCGGTGAAGACCAAGATCCAGCTAGTGCACTTGCGGCTGAAGCACAAGCAGGAGAAACCGATGACACGCAAGCAGCAGAGAGCAGTAACCAGCTCCAGCCCGTGCAGCCTCCGCACTCTATCTCCGAGCAACCAGTATTGAACGGAGAATCGCACGTGGGCGATACTGTTCCGAATGGCAGCCAAGAGCCGACTGCTAACGGTCTACCTCACTCAGACGACGCTGATGTGCCCGATAATGCCACTGATGCAGTCGCTGCCGTGACTTCTGACTCGACATTCCTCGCGACGTCGATCGATGGAGCGATCAGAGTATGGGACAGGCGACAGCCAAACCCAGTGGCTAGAATTGTCCCACGGAATACTCCTCCTTGGTGTGTCAGCGCATGCTGGTCTCCGGATGGCAACAATATCTATGCAGGCCGGCGGAATAACACCGTTGAAGAATATGATCTGCGCAAAGGTCTCAAAAGTCCAGAAAGGGTATTCCGGTTCCCTCAAGGGAGTGGTGCGGTAACGTCTGTCAAGGCAATGCCGAACGGTAGGCACTTGATCTGCGCATCATTCGACATTCTGCGGCTCTATGACTTGAAGGAATCAAACACAGCAAGATCTACAGTACCGTTCTCCATCGTTCCTGGTCATCGGACGGGTGTGATCTCGCAGTTGTACATCGATCCAGCTTGTCGGTTCTTGATGTCCACCGGTGGCAATCGAGGATGGGAAGGCACGTCCACTGAGGTGCTACTTGGTTACGAAATTGGAGCATCGGCATGAGGATAGAGACTCGGCTGTGCATCCAACGCTCCGTATCATCATTCCGCTTGCCGGAGCCTTGCAGTGCACCTCGTTGGCTCAATCACCCAATGTCTATGGTCGCTCAATCCGACACAGCGAAGTGAAGTTCCTCTTTAGCTTGTAGCTGCTACTGGTACGCTAGGTTGTCTGTTGCTCTTTGCCTTCACGCTACATCCCTGACAATTTTAGCAGTTCTCCAGGCGCAGACACTGTTGCAACCTTAGCACGATATGCCGACCAACTCTGGCGCCGAATTGGCAATTGTCATCGGTGGCAACGAGATCGATATCAGCAAGGACGACGCACGTGTTCCATATTGCGAGGATGGGACTACACGTCGGTCAATCGATCCAAGCCAGCGCCACATAAGCTTCAAGGCTGGGGCACGAACCGACCAAACGTTCATGAACCGGTCGCAGTCTGTTGGCTTCTTTCACGTCGGCCCGCTCGATGAACTCACAGGTCTCCTCGATGGATATTAGGCAGTGTATGCTACCATCGAAGAACCACAAGTAGGCTCCGCAGCTTCTATACCATACATCGACGGCGAGGATCCTACGCGATTTTCACGGTTCAGTACATGGCGCGGGCGGAGTTGATGTCGCTCGACCCTTGCGACAAGAACGGCAATCACATCTGAAGGCGGAACAGGGGCACCTTGTTTCGATCTTGCATTTCTCTGACTTCAAACATCCAGGGCGGCCTCTGAACCACTTTCTAGGATAGCTGGATTAAGGACAATCAGCTACGCGCCACAGCTTTGTGCAGTTTCTCTTCCGTTGTCTTCTACATTTCTTCTCTCAGCATCTGCCATTATCAGACTTTGCTTTCAAGATGCCTAACTTCAATGCTGCCTGCTTACAACTATTTCTCAGATTGTACTCAAGCTTCTGCTCAACTCCTTACCCTCCTGTTGCGTTGCTCACTTATCGTCTTTCCTGCTCTGTATCTACTCAGATAAGCAGATGCCATCGCGAGTCCGGGCAGATCTCATCTCGAGATTGAACGGATACCATCGCGAGACTGGACAGATACTCACTCAAGATCGGACAGCAACTCATTCGAGGCCGAGAAGACACCAGCTCCAGACCGACCGCATATCAACCCAAGACTGAGATCTATTCCTCGCTTGCAGAGTCTGCACATTGTTGAGTCACTGTACCTCCATGCCAACAGCACACGGCTTTCGCGTCACAGTCGAGACGTTCGACAACGAGACCTTCACAGAGTACGGCACCAAGACTCACCGGGCATCGGAGCGAACCATCAGCACCAAGATCGAGTCTCGAGCAAGTACCAAGTTCCGCATCCGCATACAAGCCGTGGGGCCATTCTCGCTGCCTGAATCGAACATTATCCTTGAGCAAGCAACGTCCTTTTACGCCGCCCGGATTGTCGAAAACTATCAGCCTGATGTTGCTGAACGCCTTAGATCGCCCCCATGGGACATCGAAGCCGCGGTCTTCGTAGATGGCGAACAGCACGATTCGAAGATTCACAAGCTCGATTTCGATTGTGATGCGTTCAGAGATGGCGCCATCATGTCTCACAAATGTTCGAAGGACGCGAAAGGCATTTGGCGGCGATGGAATTGGATCTTCAGTGAGGAGGGTGTCGATGCCATGCTCAGCCGACTCGACATCACATCTTCTTCCTCCCCTCCTACACGGGCCGTGAGTTCCAGCAGGACTAGTCCGCCCGGAAAGCATGGCACTATCGAGGTTCATCTGGCACGATTCGTTCAGACTAGTAAGGCGTCAACAACCTTCCAGATGGTGGCGCCAGATGCTATGCAAGAAGCGGCAGAAGCACCGGACGATGGTCGATGGCCCCTGGCTAATGGTCCTCACTCTGTGACCCTTGCGAATGCCGAAGGCAAGAATGAAGAATGCTACTACGTCCGTGGTGATATGCTGGATTATTCCAAACCGTACGCAAAATTTGTCTTCCAGTAAGTCTACTCCGGCTGCACAACACAGCTACGTGATCTTTTGGTTCGCTTGCTAATAGATGCTTTCACAGGTACATGCCTCGCACAAAGCTCATCAACCTCGGCCTGCTCAACGTTCACAAGCCCTACTTTCCAGCAGCCCTCAGCGCTCTGGAACCGCCCACCTCAGGCAAACGCAAGCGCTCGGTCTCGCTCACCTCATTGCCCACCCTCGACGCACGAACAGAGTATTGGGGTCAACTCGTCGTCTACCGCTCAAAGCGCACCAAGGATGCTGGCTACGACGCCAACCCTGAGCCGATCATTCAGGGAGCGAGGTTGAAGTTCTTGGGAGGCGGCCTCAGCAAGCCAAGCAACTCATTGGCGTTGCGGACCAGAAGTGCATCATTATCATCAGGTGCGGCAGGGGACGGGGGAAGTCGAGAACTGAGCCGCATCGAGCTAATGGCTGAGACAGCAGGCACACAAAGCATGACTTTGGCAGTAGAGAAGCTGCATATCGAGGAAAGTGCGAAGGATACTCGCCGTGATGACATTGCAGGAAAGGGACATGTAGGCGGAGAAGGTGCGACTGACGTGGACACCAAAACCGATGATGAGTTCGTGGCAGGCGCTGCTGACAGCGACGACGAGGACGGCGAGGAGGACATGGGGAGCTCTAGCGAGTAACTTGGGGCGATGTGCCTTCCAGGCAGCGGCAGCTACGTACAGTGAGCGGGCGTGGCTGGTTCATGGGACTTATGAGGCAGTCTTGGACGAACGCCCGGGTCCCGCGCGGTCTGCTGCCCTGCTTGATGTTTAGTTGACTTTGGGACTCGGCGAACGCGCTAGCTCATCCAAGTAGTGTTCTCAGGGGGCGGCAAGGCCTGCCATAGGACCGACAAGGCAGATGGAATGATGTGTGGGATCTTCCACAGGCGATCGTTCACACTATGAAAATAGCTTTTGAGGGAGTCGACACAGGTAATATATTCAGGCCGGTGGATTGATTGTCTTCGTGCATAGATCACCTCCTTTCGCTGCAAGCACGGTGTGGTCGCACCAACGTATGCAGCGCCTCATCATCACTGTATATGGCCATCCGAGACCTGCTATGTGCAGATCAACGAAGCAAGAATCATGTAGCATTGACGCGAAGTCTTGGTGTATGGTGCCCGCGGCCGGTTGACAAAGGATTTCGGGCAAGGCCGGTTGACAAGGGACCAGAGATTTGAGACCGGTTGACATTGATCGTGGAAGTTGGTCACGACGCTAGCTTAATCCCGGCAAGCGAGATTTCGTGCGGCGTGGCTCCGGAGGCGTCGGTCGAAGTCGAGATGACGACGGACTATCAGCCTCTTAGTGACACGACAAACAGATATCTGTTGTCGTGCATTATACAATTGCATTCGACGTCGGTGCGCACGTGCTGCACTGCCTCGAAAATGCCCATGTTGTCGTAAATCTATCGCTTCGTCGCTCACTATGGCGATGGGTCCTGGTACCGCGGCGAATCGCGCTGCCAACATCTGGACTGCAAGGATTATACCGATCCTTCTGCTCGCTATCATCGGATACGCCTCATATGCTGTCACCAAGGAGGAATGTATCGACTACCTTCTCAGACCGAGTGCTTCGTCCGGCCTGCAACCTCGAACGGGGACAGCCATTGCGATTCTTACGATCTTCTACATTCTGCTCTGTCTCCTGCTCGTAAGCTACGCGCGGTTGGTCTCAACTATCCTCCTGAATCCTGGAGTTGTCCCACGGGGCCCGCAGTGGTACGTCGAGCGAAATCAAAGGCGAAAGGCGGAAAAGCGGGAATCAGAAAAGACAGTTGAAGAGGATACAGACTCTGGGCAGGGCGTTTCGGCCAAAGGCACGCTGCCTGACGCGGAGAGCTACCGCGTACAAGACTTCTGGCTGAAGGATGTCTTCGTCTGCCAATGGGATGGCGACCGAGGTTCTGCAGCCACTGCTACAATTACAAGGTCGACCGTGTCCATCACTGCAGCGAGCTGAACCGCTGCGTGTACAAGATGGACCATTTCTGTCCGTGGGTCGGCGGCGTGGTTTCCGAGACGTCATTCAAGTTCTTCATTCAGTTCACCTTTTGGACTGGAGTCTTCTGTTTCTTCAATGTTGTGCACATATCTTACTTCTTGCGGCAACGACAGCGACATTTCTCGGACGTGAATGTGCATTGGATATTGGCCCTTGCGCTTTCGGCATTATTCTTACTCTTTGGCATGGGCATGTGCGGCTCAAGTTTGGAGTTCGCGTTCCGGAACACTACGACTATTGATAATTATGATCGACGAAGTCACGTCTACTACATTGCAGTTCATGTACCTTATACGACCTTTGAGCGCCTGACACAGGCGCAGCGGGACTCAATACGCTGGATCACTTATCCTCGTCCGCCTTCGGAACAGCTCCATTTGCTCGAAGACAATGGGGCGAACTACCCACAACCTGGCTCTGAAATGCCGACTCAGCAGCCACAGGATCTCAATGGTGCACAGCAAACTTCTGCAGCGCCCACTCACACCCAACCTCAACGCACATTTGCCATCCTTGAGGCCGAGCCAGGGGCCAATCCTTACGACCTGGGCCTTTTCAACAACTTCAAAACAGTAATGGGGAATTCTGTCCTAGAATGGCTCTCGCCCATCCACCACTCGCCATGTACGCAGCAGCGTCCACGTTCGCCCCAAAGCTCGTACAAAATGGGGCCTTTGGTCTACAAGTTGAAGAAGCGTGCCGGTATTGCCGAGGGGGGCGACAGACAACGCTATGGAGGTAGCAAGGGCAGGCGGAAGCGGAGAAGGAAGCCGGCGTCACCTACGGAAACGGCTCGTCATGAAGAATGGCATGGTCGAAGGGAGAGCCGATCGACCGGGGAAAGCACGAGCCAGGCCAGTGGGTGATTTGGGGACGGTCAAGGAATTCACAACGATGGAATAATATGAGCTTCAGGAGTGTGGACATGGGAGCGGACCACACATTGATCTACAACTTTGGATACAGCAGCATGCCTAGCATTGGCAACAAATCAGACTATATCCAGACCAGCGCCGTCGATGCAAGACATTTCTCTTCGATGTCACGAATCTTCGGGGTATCTTGTCACCATGCGGCGTCAGATCCCTTTGCTCCCTCCTCGCTGTCATCGCGCTTCCTTGTTGCAACTGGGTCGCTGATAATTCAAGCCCGTCGGGAGACCGGATGACATGCGTCCTTGCAGACCGGCTGACGCGCACCGTCCAACGCCGGTTGACAAGCATCATATAGCGCCGGATGACGAACCTTGTCCGACGGGTTGACAAGATCTACTTCTGCTACCAAGTGCGGAAGGAACGACTCTGTGCATGCAAATCGTTACTTTCGAGAAACTACGATCGAGACTCTTGTACATGCGGAAGCGGCGACTCAGGAAAATACGTGGCTTGGGGGAGGGTGCAAAGCAATAACAGCGCCCCAGCAAGTGCGACTGAAGAAAGTTGATTAGGGGCAGGGGCGACCAGAAGAAGTCGCTTTGAAAAAAGCACTACTGATCAGCGTTGCATGGAGGAAGTCACGACCGAACAGTGGTGCTCAGAGGAAGGCACGAGTGACCGATGTCGCTTTGAGGAAGTCGCGACCGAAACAACATCGCTCAGAGGAAGGCACGACCGAGCAAGATGATTTAGAAGAAGGCACGACTGAGCAATGATAGAGGAAGTTGCGCGCGAACAGCTTTGCCTCGAGGAAGGCGCGATCCCACAGCATTGCTCAGCGGAAGGGGCGATCGCTCATGACAAGCAACATGGAAAGGGAGTTGCGACTGGCTCCGCGTATCTGGGCAGGCGAGGCAGCACACATCCCAGCGGCCTCCCTGTAGTCTGAAAGCACAGGCCCGTCTGAGGCAAGGAACACGCGTAATCCATCTCGCGCGACGGAGCGTGAGGAGGAGCAGCAGACCACGTTCTGCAAAAGGCGCGGCTTCGAGAACACGCCGAGGAAGTACTTCAAGCTCTTTATGCAGGGATAAAACGGGCGAGGAGACTACTGTCACAAGCAGGGGCCAATATGTTCCTGACTTGAGCAAGCTGTCATGCAGCACGACGTCCACGCAGCGAGGCAGGATCATTGTAGTCATGAGTGAGTGTTTATGCGGGATCGCGCAAGTTCTCGTCTCTGACTGGTTTACAGTGATATGCAGAGCATGGGGAACCCTTGATGCTCACGTTCTTGTGCGTTCTTGGAGCGGCCACGAGTCGAGAGAAATCAGCAGAAGGGCAAGTGACAAGCTAAGCTCGGTAGGAAGAGATCTCAACACAGTATAAATTGTTCTGTCTGTTTGATGTCGCGCCGTCAGTGACCGCGAAACGGCCGTTCCAGCTCTGGCCATCTGGAGGGTTTCGCTTTGCTTGTGGGACGGTACAAAGATCGCCATGACTGCGCAAGAGTTTTGCAGCCTGATTGTCCAGCCAGGTTCATCATCAAGTACAAGACTCTGTGTCATCCTCTGCATGAAAGTTGAAACCCCCTTCCTCCCTCCTAAGATTCGAGTCTCTGAATATACAGCTGATCTTAGTCCTCCTCGTAAATACATCGGTAAGATAGGGTGTTGTCGAAATGAAAAGGCGTGGGTATGAAATGAATAGTCGTCAAAAGCGGCCCTTTGCTTCTCCGGAACAGCCATGCCACTGGCATATCCTCCTTCCAGACAGACATCCTCCATGTTCTGTCGCTCAACACAAAATGCCCTCCATCGTTTCGTTCGCCCTATTTCTGTACACATGAGAAAGCCAGAATGCTTTCCATTTGCTACGAACACCGTGAATCTGTTATGTTCACAATACCACATGGTTTTATGTGCAAAGGACTCCTGCTCCGGTCGATTCCAGCAGGCGTGTCTCCTCGTATGCTCAGCCGCAGCGCTAGCAGATCGCCGTAAATGATACCAATCGTTAAAAAAATGTGACGAGATCATGGGGATTTTGTTGAATGAAGAATAGAATAAAAGTCGTTGTAGTCGTTCATCGAGGGTCGCAAATGCGACCGATTCGGTCAATGTCTCGTCTTCTTTACTCAACCCGGGAGCCTTCTATCAGTATCAATCGACTGATAATGCACCGTTGTCAGGGGTGCAGGAGCACTTTGACGGATCAAGGTAGAGAAGGCCGCAAATATGGGTCTCCGCAACAAACATAGAGGTCTGCAAGAGTTTCGTCGACCAGGTGAGTGTTGCAGGGTCTGAAGCCGCGGCAGCGTTGGCGCGGGCTCTTCTGAATGCGGCTGTTGCGACGCCAGTACATGTAGTTTGCCTTTGACATGGATACTGGAAAGCGGTTCGCTTATTGGTGCGGTCGCTGGAGACGTCTACTCGGAAGACGCGTCTGCTTGCCCATGGTCAGGCGACGAAGCTGCATTCTGACGTTCGAGCCATCGTCTCTTCCCAGGTCGAGTCTCGAGGTGGTCAGGAATGACGGCGGCGTCTTGCCCAGCAGATATGAGCGTGCTTCTCTGCTTGCTGCGATAGGCATCCACTGTTTCATGCTGTTAGTCGACTGGTCTTGAAAATCCACAAGAGAAACTTACATGCTCGAGCAAGGAACACAGGCCGGCCAGAGAAGACACGTCCTTGACCCCAAGCCATGCGGTAGCCTAGCTCATTGACCTTTTCCTCGCGCGAGCGCTTCGCTTTTGAGATCTTGGGTACAGCAATCTCTCCTTCTCCACCAGATAGATCGACTGGTACGTTCGTCCGACCGGCAACAGGAGCGCCCGCATCTACCTCGTCGCCCTCCTCGGCATATCTGCCGTCTCGAGTCGAGTCTCTGTCCCCTTGCATCTGCACAGGGTAGTATGCCCTTGGAAAGACTGAGTTCTGCTTGCGATAGGAGTCGGGTATCTCGCTCATTTCAATCTGATCAAGCGTCACTTTGACGCGAACACGGGCGTTCTTCTGTGTGTCCTCAACCAGAATGAACTTGCGTCTCTTGTCTTCCGGAACGTCGCCAAAGAGAGCGATGTCGTCGGAATTTTTCATATCGGCGTCGCTAGATGCCATTGCAGCAGGTCCACCTGGCCGGCCTAAATGGTGCATTCCTGGTTGCATGGCGGGTGGCATAGAAGACATGCTTGTGGGAACTTGAGGATAATTTTGGTAGCCAGGGAAAACCTGTGCTTGTCGAAGGTCCTGTGGACTGGGCATGTGTTGACTGACGGGGCTCTGACGATAACTTTGATGTGGTTGATTGTATGCGGATGCTGGTCTATGTCAGCTTGTAGCCGTGAATGAAAAAGAGAAGGAATACTAACGTGGCATGTTATCGTGACCTGTGGGCGACATATCCTGGCCGTGGTGATGAAGTGACTGAGGGGCAGACGACATGGGGCCGGGTGGTCGCGAGCTGGGAGCTGGCATCGATTGTTGACCAGGAAGCCCTGCCGAGCCAGGTGCACTCGGTCCCGGTGTTTGATTGCCCGCGGCACCCCCCATTTTTGATGTCCGTGTCGTAACCTTGGCTTGTCGACGGACTCTGCGGCTTCGTAGGCGAGGATCTTGATTGCTGTTCCTCCAGCTATCCACTGCTCGCTGGATCAAGCCTCTTTTGCCCCTCAAGCAAGGATTCAATTCTGCCAAAGCCCAGCCAACCTGATTGCAATCTGTCTCGTAGCCATGTCTGTTCCCTTTGTACTGTTCCTTTGCCACTGTCGCACGCGGGTACACGCAGTTTTCTGCCTTGAAGTCCTGTGAGAGCTCGTGCGTGTTGATCGACTCGACATCGCACCGAATCGTGTACTCCATCTTGACGCGATCTCTTGAGTACTCAAAAGCGATCCATTGAACGCCAGTGCTATCCTGTTTGACCACCAGAGGCGTGGTTGCTGGAATAGGCCCAGGCGCCGCACTAGACCCGCTCGGAGGAGCAGACTGAGCTTGAGGTGCTTGCAAAGATGTATGAGAAGAGGCCGGCGTGTGCGGATGGTTGTGCTGCAGACTCATCGATTGCCGTTGCTGCTGCTGCTGCTGCTGCTGTTGAGGCGGTGGCGGATAATGCGATGGAGGTTCCGGTTTCATCGGCATATACTGTTGATGCTGGCTCTCCGATTTCATTCGAGGGCTTTGATTTGCAAGTGCCGGATGGTGACTTGGAACTCCTGGTTGAGGTAATTGCTGACTTGTCTGAGGATATTGCATCATTGGCTGATTACCCATCGGGTGTTGCTGCTGCTGGTTCTGATTGTGCCCATAACTCGTCGGCTGGTTCATCGGCGGATATGGTTGAGGATACCCATAGATACCTTGTCCAAGTTGCGGGCCTGGGTGCCCGTACATTGGTCGAGCAGGGTCATGAGATTGAGGAGAAGTTACCGACGCAGGCGAGTTCGATTGTGGCGTGTTGTAGATGGACGGAGGGTAAGGTCGCTGCATCGTCGCGGCTGCTGCCATAGAATCGGGCTTCTCTGAGCCTCGTATTAGTACCTTGCTGCCACAAATGATGCGCGGAGACTTACCAGCTGGATAATACGGTCCAGCTGTACTGTGTTGACTTCGTGGACTAGGGTTTGATGGATAGTAAGAACTGTCGGGCGTCGGATGTGCTTGAAAATGTGGTTGATTGCCCAGAAAAGGCGACTGTAGGCCGATTTGCGGATTGTACGGACCAGCCACGGGATACGGCTGCTGCTCGGGTTGACTATTGCTGCTCACACTGCGCGGCTGATGTTGTGCGGGATGTAAAGGCGCCGGTCCTTGATAGTTTCGTTGTTGGCGATGCTGCATGAAGAGAGTGCGTCAGCAATGGTGTCAACCACGCGAAACATGCGAAGATCGAAGCAAGGCGCATGTGTCACTCGGGGAATGAGGCGATGAACATGCGCCAGGGTAAGTACTCGTCAGGGACGAACAAGTGAAGGCAGTCAGGTGAAGGCATATCCATGATGGTGTACCGTAGTGGAGAGATTGGCGACAGGAACAGCATTCTCGCTTAGACAATACCCGGCCGATGACAATTGCGTCGTGTGTCGCCGACCTTCGGTCAAGCAGTAGATGGAAGGACTGCATACATTGTGGGTGAGATTGATATCGAGAGTGCCGTTTGTTGCAGAAACGGTAGGAGGATCTACCCTATTGGCTGGCCGTTGGCCTTCTGGAGAGAAGGTGCCTGTCAGAGCTTGCGACAAGGCAGGAACCAGGATGATTGAGACGAGTCCTGTATAAGACCGAAACTGTTTTGGTCGAGAGCCAAAGATCGCGAACGCTCGAGTTGTCCGGGATGTTGTTGAAGTTGAAACAGTGGGCAAATTCGGCAGACCAGGGCAGCATGTGAACAATTATTTCCGAACGCCCCAAGTGGGCTTGGTGGATGGAGTGATGATTCGAGTGCAGAATGCCAGGGTGGAAGACTCAGAAAGAAACAGGGCATACCATGTACTGAGGTGCATAGACGTGCTGTCTGTAGATGTGTTGTTCAGGTAGAGGCTCTTTGTCGTTGGTCGTTGGTCGTCTGTGACCAGGATAGCCAGTGGCGGGTAAAAGTGAGGGAAGGAGCGGACGTCAGAAGTGGCGGTGCAGATGTCGGAATGCTCTTAAGAGAATCAGGTGTGGCCGCGCGTGTTGCTGTCTACCTCCTGGACCTTGCAGGACAAGTTTTGGCGAGTGACCATGAAGAGGTTCACAGCACAAGGGAACCGATCAATAGAAAGGCGAGGGTGGAAGTGCGAGCCGGGGAGCCAGTGGATTTCATGCAGCGTTGATGTGAGTCCAACAAGGAGAGAGAAGCGAGTCGAAGAGAGTGCAGGCTGGACTGAATTTTAGGATTTACAGGGGTGGCGAGTGGATAGCGAAAGGCATACGAGAAAGAGAATGTCTTTCAACGGCTTTGAATGGAGCAGGGAGGACGCTGTAAGTAGTCAAAGATGATCTGGCGCTAAGCAGACGGGGCGCCGAAGATGCGTGTCCGTTGTTTATTCCTCATTAAGTCGGCTGATTTGCTGATCTGATCGCAGAGATAGGCGTGTGGTGTGTGTGGCATTTCTGCAACACGCAACGCCGCCATCTTCTGGACAGGTTGACGGAGGGAGGGAGCAAAGCTCGCTTGCAGGCTTCAGGAATGGCGCGTGAACGGCAGGTGGTCAGAGAGGGTCCTTGGACTGCATAAGTCGGCTTGCTATAGACGATGCCAATGGACACCGAGACCTGTGGAGCCCTTACAACCAAGTTAGGCACGTTCCAGGAAGGTTGCAGGCGGAGGTGATGCGTTAGCCAGCCTGTGTAAGCCGGGTTTTGGGTGCTGGCCAGTCGAATCAGATGGGATTGCAGGAGGGACGGACCCCGGCAAAAGAGACAGAAGGACCGCGGTTGACCTTAACTTGCGAGGATTGAGTTTAGGCGGAAGAAACTCGACTGTGGACTGGACACGCTCATCAACGATCATACTTTTCCTCAATCAGCGCGAGCCACTGTTGGTTGGGCCCGAGAGGGCCCCGGTCCATCCACAAGGCACCCAACCCACACTCGAAACACGCCTAACGGCCACGGCGATCTTCGTACCATGCGGTGGCAAGTCATGCCGCCTGCATGCCAATGACAAGCGGCTGTCGGCTGTTCATGACTAGCAGGCGCTGTAAAATCGTGAATCGCGATGCTACGGATAGTTCGCTCGCTTGAAGTGGCTGATATTCGCCACGAATAGAAACCATGGTTTGCATCGCAACCGTGTACATTCACTGATACATTATTGTCATCTGCAGCGTGGCCGGCTGCAGATGCCCAGCGTTCTCTGATCGCTCGGGTGTGGCTCAGGCACACATACGAGAAGGACACCACTGCGATTATTGGGGGCGGGCTAGATTGGAATGGAGAATGGAGGCAAGATGACTGGCCCAGAAAAATTTGGGCGCAGTACGTTCTTCCTCATAATAGTGTGGCTCGAGTCATTAACTTTTCGTAAATGTGGTATACGAGTGAGCACTATCTGTGTTACTGCGATGCTCACCAACTGCATCAGCCACAAATGATACAGACACCACAACTTGCGTTCAAGAGCGCAAGTAATTTGGATCATGCCGCCGTGCCAGTGTTAAATGAGATTTGAGCGTGATTCAGGACGATGGGCTTAACTGCTTGCAGCTTCTCCGCCGTGCCAAGTGGAATACCTTTGACCTTTGACCTCGTAAGGAAGCTGATGAGGCGGACACCTCAGTCACACGGAACGTAGAAGAGCCGTTCCTCATTCTGCATATGATGAATTGATAAATGATTTGCAGTCTATGATAATTGCTGCAGTAGACAAGAGATCTGGTTCCACCCCAGGCCGCGAAGATGGAGTGCGCGGCTTCGGGTCCTGCAGCTGCCAAATTTAATTCTGTTTGTACAACGGTAAGCGCTCTGAAACGCAGAAAGCATGTCTTGGTCGTGCAAACATATGGCGACTGCGATGTGGCTCATGAACGGATCCACCTGCCATGGCTACCTCGAGGATAGAAACTGCTCCATGGATTCTTCTGCAAACTGGATGGCATCATAATCGCATTTACCGGCATTGCGAGCAACCTTGCATCGGCTCTGTAGCTCCTGCTGCGAATCGACATACACAAATGTAAGCAACAATGGTCAATTATTGTTGCACGATAGGAATAACATGACATTCGACAAGACCACAATGACATTGACGGCTGCCACGAGTCTAGCGCGAAGCAGTGCAAAAGACTCCCCTCGACAGAAGGTTTGACGGGTGGGTTCGACAATCGTTCCTCCGCTCATTGACCTCGTTGCTGATTTCCCGACGGAAACGGGAATGCTTATTGGTAGGCTCGCAGGGCATCAGTCAATATAACAAGAGACACGCTCAGCATCTGGTGCGCCTGTGTTGACAGAACCACTGATCTGATCATTAATCAAGCTCTCTTCAATTCGACTACGCGACTGTGGCTCGCGCGAAGATTAACGGCACTCACGGCGTTGGCATACTTTTGACTTGCAGAGCGACGTTAGATGATGCCTGGCCTCAGGATGTTATTTCCGTGGACTAGAGGCAGGGGCCCCCAGCAAGTGCGAGAGGCTCTTGCCGTCCACAACGTCAAAGGCTCAAAGCAGAGGCTTTTTTGCCAGGTGGTAAACGGCCGGCACCTGATTTCCGCCACACTGCCTGAATCTAAATCTTCGCAACGCAGACATTGTGACCGGCGAGAAGATGTGTGGCCGTTGCTTCTATCGCATCTGAATGAGAAAGTATGTCATACTGTGATTGCTGCAGGACATAGCAAGGCAAAATGCTACGTTCATGCCCGAGATACCTGGGCATCATGTGGCTTGACGGGTCTTGAGTCTTGACTCCATGTCGCAAGTCTCGCAGATCAACAAGCGAAATGAACAAGGATTGCTCTGTAGCTTGCTTGAGCGCCCCCAGGAGCTTAGGTGGACACCTGGTGGAATACGCCATTCCTGCTTTTGTTGCGGTAAGAAACAGCCATCAAATCTTGGATCTTTGGATCTCATGTTTCATATCGCGAAGTTGTCCATTCCTCTGACGGTGAGCATCTTGCAGAACGCTCGCGAGGATGGATGATATCAGCAAACGAAATCAGCACATAAAAGAGCAGAGATTGCTTGGCCGGGAAACAGATGGCATCAGCATATTTGCCTCAACGAGCAAAGGCTTCGACTGGAACTCGGAAGTTGGACCTCTCCGTAACCAAAATCTCGTCCTGAGTGGACCTCCCCAAGTCCTCAAACCTCGCTAATAGTGTTTTGCGCGCCGTCCACGGCGTGGTGTGTCGAAATGATAATAAGCAGCAGTGCCAAAGCAAAAGTCACGGCTGATGTACGGTAATTCAAGAATGCGAGTGTGTGGCAGTCATCTGATACCTATCTTCAGTGGCTGAGATATAGATCGGGATTCGGGAACGCTTCAAGACGATCGGGTCTATGGTCAGGAGTGCCATCGGATCGATATCTATGATGTTATAGACTGATTGTCAACACCTGCATATTGATTCGTAAAAGTGCAGGGCCTCCAGCCTGAACCACTGCAGCGCTCGAATCGAGACGCTTGAGTCTCGGCTGGGATGCTGGAAGGCCTGCAGACTCCCCTGCTTGCCGGCGCGCACGAACGAGGGGCGCAAATCGGCGACAATCGCACAACCTTGCAGCGATCTTTGCAGTCCCTGTCCTCGGATCTGGTACATCCTGGCCAAATGAGGCATCTCGCTATCAGACGGAGGCGCACACGAGGGCATTGATGACAGCTGCAAGATGAGGCGGTGAGATCGGTCACTCACCGCCAGGAGTGAGTTTCTCAGAGATGCAATGCAAGTAACTCCGCGCGCAGAACGAAGTTGGCATATCAGTAAAAGCATCAGAGATGATAATGATACTTAGTAAATGCCACCATTCTCCGAGGCACTTCTTGGATGTCGATCCGTTCCTTGCGAGTTATACACCCCGGTCGGTAAACGCTATAGGCGCGAACTGCTGCTCCAGCCTCCATACCAGGGCATTCTGACAAGGGTGTGGTGGCTGGTAAAGCCTATCACAACATCCTATGAGGACTGTCACTACCTACGACAGCCATACTGACACTTTAGAGGTGACCGTGTTGGCCAGGCCGCATCCGCGGATCAGCGAAGACTCAGACAGCAAGGTAACTACTCATGATCATGGCTACTTGAAAACATCCCACAGCGCAAGCAACCTTTGGGCACTGTCGTAACGGGAACTCATCGCCGAGAGGCTTTGAAACCCCTCTGAATCCTAACCTATAGACAATGACTTCAGGTGCAGATCTTTTGCACATCTTTTCTTGCAACCACTACGACCTTCCATGGCAAAGAGAAACTTTCCGACCGACTTCTTGCTAGCCCACCCAGATCCCTGGATCCATGAGACCACGCACCACGTTTTCCACGCGCGCACATCACAAAGCCACGAGGTTTTCTCTTGCCCACAAGGGTACCACGCGGTGCATGGCATGCCCACCTGCCAGGCAGCCTGCGGGGTAGAAATGTCAAATTCGTCGTCGCAACCCTGATTTGACGATCTGCTCCCTAGGAGTGCACGCTATCATCACTGGCATTTCGACCGTCGCTCAAAGCACCGCCTTGAGTGTGCGTTGGAGAGTGCTGCGCCACACTGCGCGCAAAGTTGGTCGTCGTGCAACCACGACGCCGTTCTCGCAATGAACGGTCGACCCAATCACCTGGAAGCGGCTAGAGTTGTCAATTTTCCTTCAAGAGCACTCTTACGACTGCCTGTATACACTTTGTTGGAGCAGGAGCTTATGTGCACGATCCAGCGACGCTCTTGGCGCTAAATTTCTGTGTGCAGCAGGCAAATGCACTGCCAAAAACTGACCGAAACGTATGGCAGCCGCCGCAGCATGACAGAGTGTTGATGGCCATGGCTGCTCGCTCGCCCTTTCCACGATTTGATATCTTTCGACTGTTTCATTGCTACTGACCAATTGCCACAGCAGCTGATAGCGTCGACAACAGACCTCCGGAAACCTAGCAAGCCGCCAGCCCCAGCGCCTTTCATCTGCCGTCCCAAGGTCGTGCAAGGCCTGCAGCACACAGCTTCAGCTTTGTGTATTCCCATGATGCTCTAAGCGAGCCGGCCAACGAGCAGTGCACAGGTAAGTGACAAAGAGAGTAAAGCGACCACCTCGCTTAGAGGAAACAGAGCAAGAAAAGTAGATGCAATGCGCTTCGCAATGCCTATTATCGTCCGGTAAGTCTCTTGCCTGTGTCGTACATAACTGATTTCCAATCTACCACACTACTATGATTGTCAAATCGTTCAAGTCATCGTGCTCGGTAGAGACCAATGCATGCATCAGGCCTGATTCTACCGCAAGCAGGCATGTCCCCGTGCTGTCAACCACTCAATTACAATTCCTTGAATATTGGTTGGGACGGGCGTTATTGAGCGTTGGAATCTCATCTGGCTGTTGTGTGACCACCGACGCCCCAGGCACTCCGAGCGCTGCCTTATGTCGGCAGATGGTGTGAGTTGACAAGGCCACTGAGGCAACACGTCACTACACGTTGGTCGAATAGTTGGCGGCCTCGACATCGTCCAGCTTGATTTCGGGAAGCGGAGCATTGGCGAAGCTAGCCCCAGGTATCGCGGCTGGCTGATGCTCCGGATTGATCAGGTCCTGAGGATCAAGACCTGGCTCTGCTGGCTTCGAGTCCAGGGCCGCGCGTGGAAGGTCTGCTTCTTCATCGTCGTCCTCATCATCTTCGTCATCAGGATGGTGACGGCGTTCGGCTTCAGCACTTCGTCGCTCCTCTACTTGCTCTTGCCACTGACGTTCACGCTCCGCTGTGGGATATAGGTCAGCGCCATGTTCTGGCAATGAAGTCGGACTCATGAGACTTACCTCTGATCTGTTGGGTCTTCTCAGCAAACTTTGTGATTTCCTCCCTCGTAAGCACTCGCAGCACGATCACGTATTCTTCGCGCTCTTCAAACCGCTCGTTGTATTTCTCGAGCGCTTCAGGGTTCACCAACATGCGACTGATCTTCGTCCAGCGTGCGCCATCCGGAATGCCTGGCTGGTTCTGCTTGCCAGATTCCTTAAGAGGCGCTACTCCTTCTCTTGTGGGATTCGGATCTTCCGGGAATGGAGTCATTCGTTGGGGCTTCAGGATGCCTTTAGGCTTGAACTCTTCTTTCCTCTCTGGCTCCACGAGGGTGACCCGACGTTTGCGACCATCGTCTTCGTCGCCTGGCGAGATGGTGCGCTGGGGGTCGAGTACTTCACGACTGCGTGATTTCTCACGACGTCGATGGTGTCCTGCACCATCATCACCTGGCTGACGTCTCGTTCGGCGTGTTGATGGGGTGGTTGCAAGCCGTCCTCTGCCGGAACATCCTCTGAATCACGGTCATGATGGCGCCGACGGTGGCGACGCTTGACGTGCTCATCGTCTGGGGAATCGCCAGGGTCTTCACGGCGGGAGGTCCCATATCCACTGTCACGTTGCTGGTTGTGGTTGTCCTCAGTCTCGGGCAAGGCCCTGTGTTTTGCATCAGCAGGAAGACCAGGGTCTCCTTGATCCAGCTCATCCTCGTCCTTGTGGTGGTGGTGGCGTCTCCGCCGTCTCTCCTTCCGTTCGTCACTATCTGATGGTTCATCAGACTTCTTCGATTTCATTAAAGCGTTGGCGATACCAGCAGTGGCTACGCCTGTCAGCCCAGCAGCAGCGACCTTGCTGGTACCAGAATGCTCTGCGCTTCCGTCGCTCGTCCTCTGATCACGATCGTCATCAGAGTATCGATCCTTCTTCTCCGAGCGTCTGTGACGTTCTTTGTCTCGATCACCTCGATCTCGGTCACGTTCTCGTTCTCGCTCTCGCTCTCGATCATACTCCGGCTCAGCCGCGCGGTCCTTCTCTCGTTCGCGCTCCCTCTCGCGATCTCGTTCACGATATTCTCGCTCGCGAGTATCTCGATCTCGGTCACGTTCTTTGACGTATTCGCGCTCTCTTTCGCGTGGCCTGTCACGATCACGTTCACGGCGTAAGTCTTGCTCACGGTCATGAGGCGGTTCCATTTCCCGTTGACGGAGTTTAGGAGGGGGATCGTCGTCGTCATAGCGCTCACGCCGGACTCGAGGCGCCGTGCGATCGACAATCTCACGGATGGGGCCACGACCATCGTCTCGAAGATCCTGCGTCAAAGGCGGTTGATGTACAACAGGTTGGCGCATGGAGTGGCGACGCTGTGGCAAGTCGCTTGACCGGTCCGGAACATCGTCGTATACGCTTCTGCGGACAGGTTCTAGTCTGTCGGGCTGACGAGAAGGAGGCAGAGGGTCACGGCGGAGCGAAGCTGATTTCAGGTCCAAGGGGTCCATAACACTGACAGGCCTCTCGCGCCGCGGCGGCGGAATATCGCGGGGTGGCGGCATGTCTCTTTCTCGCACAGGTGGGAAATCTCGTGGTGGAGGGACATCCCTGGGCAGAGTATCACGAGATGATGGCCCACGATCTGGATAGTCCCGCGCGAATTGTTCTCGTGGCCCAGTGTAGCTGAAGTCGTCATCCTTAATGCCCCTAGAGCCGCGTAGCCTTTGGAGCCCGCGTTGTAGCCACCAGCCTGATGGTACTCAGGCCGCTTGCTGGACCGCCCGGCCGGAGCTAGCCTGTCAACATCTGCGCCTCTGGCGCTATAATGTCGTTGATGATGGTCTGATCCGTTGGAACGAGCAGGTACGAGGTATTTGGAGTCGTCTCTCGCCGAGTTGTAGGAGGGCGGGCTCCGGGGACGGTCGCGTGGGGCATTGCTAACGACAGGTTTGTATCGGGTCGGTGAGCTGCTTTGACCTCCATACATGCTCACAGGTCGCCTCGTATCAGCAACCACAGCGGAGTTGTTTCTAGGCCTGCTGAAAGACGTAGCAGGATACTGCGTCCGACTGACAGATCCGCTGTAGGGATCGTTGTATGCATGTCTCTTGACATAAGGGGCAGGATCATAGATGCTGCTATGACGAGCGTGCGAGTACGGCGGCTCAACCGCGCTCCGTGGGTACGAAGAGTAGGCTGGCTCATATGAGGTGGAAATGAAGCCTGTTGAAACTCGTGGGTCCTGCGCAGGGAGTCGGCGGTGGCCAGGGGGCGAGCGAGGTCGATAGCGATTGTCCATGTTGTGTGCCTGTCAGGGTCCAGCCCTGGGAGACAGTATAGCGATGAGCCGGTGTGCGATGCTGATGCTCGCTTGCTGTGTGTGCAGAAAAATTTCTCAAAACACGGAGATCGTGCCTCAACCGTCAGAGCGGTCAAAACATGGTGCAGAAGTTTGACGCAGTAAGGGGAAATGAAGATGAGACGAGTCAGACGAGCCTGAGGGCCGTATTCCTGATTCTCGGCGGAATCCTTCAGCGGTATGATAGTGGGGGTTATGCAAGCTAGAGCCCGGTGTCCGACGGCTCTTGTTGACTTTACTCAGTCGCTATACTGAGAAGATGGAATAGTTAGTATGAGGGAGTATATAAAGTTGCTGTTGTCGAAAAGGTCATGTATATGACTGCACCACTCCAGGAGATTTGAGAGTGCTGATCAGAAGGATTCTTGTGCTGCTCCTTTGCCGTGGGGACAGGCCGACGTCACCGCCTCCGCTTGGTGCCAACGCGGCAAGTGCAACGCTCGGACTCCAGCAAAAGTAGAGCTTCCAAGTCGCTACTGTCTGCTGTTGAGTTTAATGTCGAGGAGAAGACAACATGGACACCGACGAGAGACTTGGATGTATCAGCAAGCTTGACCTTCCCAGCATCAACTCGAAGGGCGTTCACCGTGCTGACTGCTGGGATTGCTGAGAATTGTTGAAGCTTCTGGTGCCCAAGGAGACGGTTGGTACCCAAGACAATCCACACAACACCAAGGATGATCCCTCGGCGACGACGACGATCAGCAGTGATGATTCAAGAATCAATATCAAACAGGTGGAACTGCAGAAGAGGGAGCTGCAATTCCAACAACGTTATCATCAGAACTTAGAGGTGCAGTATCGCTACTCTTTCCTTTCTATCGGTTCAACAGCATTTCTTCACTCAAACCGGGCGCAACGACCCCACCTGGTTCGGACCTTGCTCGTTCATCATCTCGACACCATCCCACCTGCTACACCAGAGCCTTTGTCACCGGTTCTCGCCTCGAAGAACTCTGTCCTACGATGACACCCTTCTGCCGCCATTCGGGGCGCGGATATACCTTTTCATCGGATTGCCGGAATGCAAGCCGCTTCAGAGAGCTATAGATCGAAAGCATCAGAACAGTCATGACAGCCTTACTGAGTTTTGAACTAGAGGACAAGCAAGACTCAGACGCTCACCGGTCAGTGTTGCTTATCTTAACTCGTTGCCAGCCTCTCGACTTCGAGGACGGTGTGTCTTCGATGTCGATGACATTCCCTCTCTTTGCACAGTCATGCCCGTTCTCGGCCCGGACCACTCCAGCCGAGCACAGGGTCGAGTCCTCCCCTCCATTTCTCAAGTCAGATGACCACGTGAAGCATGGACGAAGACCGATGTGGGAAGTCAGGTGCTTCGTATTTCATGCCTGCAATCCTTGCTCGTCGCAACAGCAGGTTGTTCAGGCTCAATGGACATGCTCGCCAAGAGGTGAGTTGTGCTGCCTGCGCCCTCAATGTGCATATAATCTGCATTCAGAACATCCGGACTGCCGGAAGATGAGCCGTGAGGTAATGTCAGCTCTCATTGCCGAAGCAAGCACTCGGCGTCTCGCTGTTGGAGCTTTGCAAGGGCACTACTACGAGTCGCAAGCTACCACAGTATAGCGTCCAATCGCACCCACCATCTGCGGCCCATGCTTTCTTGATATCTAACATCAAAGTTATGCTTCTGCTCACCGGTACCCCAGCACGGAGAACGGAGTCAAGACTCGATCTCTATCGCCAGGTTGACGCTGTATAGTACTTTGCGCAAAGATGAAGCATTCTGCAGGGCTCTTGCATCAGCTATTCTGCAGGCCTATCTTTGACATATGCAGTGGGTCAGGCCACTGATAATGTCGTGTATCAGACTCACGCGTCACGAGTTCGCATGCGAAGTCAGTGGACATTTGCCCAGACTTGGCCTGTGTCGACGCTCAGCATACCTAGGTACCTGGCAGCATAGGTTTAACCAAGATCCTCGACATAACTACAGAAACACCCAATCTATCCACGAGGGCCGAGTATCAACCTTGTGCAGGGTCGATTATGCGACGTGTCGCCGTGCGGTCACGTAGTCCCGCATCAGCACATATATATATTTCTTATCATGATCCAGAAAACCAGCTACGTGATCCCAGTGAATCAACTATTGCCACGCGCTGGCGCCACCGCAGTGCACTTCTGTCATGGCTGGCTTCATTTCCGACAGGTTCTACGATTGTGTCCCTAGAGACCGCTTCCGCAGTCGCAGCTGCACGTGTACACTGGCTTGCTCACATCTTGTCATCCGGTCTGAGATAAGCCAGACACGTAAGTCATCCGGCGTCAGGTAAGTATCTTCCAGTAGACACAATCGGAGTGAAAACAGCTTTCAAGTTCTCAATCGCTTGCTCTCGCTCATCATTATCGCTACGTAGAATGTACATACTGTTTTCGTTGCTTCCATGCCTGATCGTGGGGATGTGACGATCTGCACAGTGGCCAAGGGCTTCAGACCCTTTAAAGCTCGTCCAGCTCTTCCCTTTCGCAGTTATAGGTACCATACAGACAGTCATCAACCGTCACAATGCGTGTTGACCCAAAGTTGCCATCGCTATCTATGCCATGCAAACGATCAAAACAGAAGCCGGAGTATGCTGCAACTTTTGTACGCTTACCGGCCTAAGTCATACCTGTCATGCTGCCTGATTTACCTGTCCAAATGGAGTGTCCTGGGATGTATTGATGTACACTTATGATGAGTAGGTCGTTCGTCATGGGCTAGTGTTGACGTGATCCTCGGCGGCGATGGGTAGATTGCACGGTCCTCGCCTTGTGTACCCGTGGCCGTCCGTAGGATGAATGTGCCCGGTATCCTAATGCAGAGGATCGAAGTTATATCAGTCTTTTCTGACAGCGAGCCAAAATGCAGTCCAGGAGTGCCGACACGACCCTGCCGCAATGTCTTGGTGGTTCTTGCTGAGAGCGTTGCTGAGAGCGCTGTGCGATATCATGCTTGTGAGCGTGACCGCTCAGTCAAACTTGAGGGAAGTATTGACATCTCATCTCTTGGTCTGGCCAGACTTTGACCAATCGACGCCAACGACAGTCTTGCCACCACAATCAGGAATGACGAGGCCATCCTTGAGGTTTCTTGCGGGGTCCATGAGACCCCATTTGTCTTCCCATTCTTTGCCCGGCTCGTTGAAGGACACTTTCCATGGCTCGTCGAATGCCGAGAACCTGAGTCAACATGTCAGTTGAGATTTCAGGTGAACTGGAGGCGATCTTACCAGAAGTAGTCAGTACCATTGTCAATCGCTTGGCAAACCCAGTCGTTCATGAATGTATTCATGTTGTCCACACTCGCCACGGAGCCAGATTGGCCTGGTGCACAGTCGCCGGTCTCGCCGCCGCAGTCGGTACCTCCTCCACTTGGCCAGCCAGTTTCACTGATGATCTGTCCTTTGCTGGTGCCAGCGGTGAGCGGAACGTTGTGATTTTGCCAGAAGCTCCATGTCCATCCTGCTGCTTCTTCGACTTGAACGCCAGCGAAGAATGGATGAATGTTGGCCATGACATAATCAACGTGCGAAACAAGAGCTGCGTTCCAGTTGTCGCCTAAGTCAGACGTCGCAATTGGCAGATCCCATCCGTTCGATTCGAACTCCTTACGAGCATCGTCGAGAAAATCGCCGAGCTCGGTCTGTGACTGGCTTTTATCTTCCCCAGCACGAAACAGTGCTTCGTTGCCGATTATGACGCCTTTGAAAATCGAGTGGTCTTTTCTATCAGTGAGAAGCTGATACATATGCTTCATCTGCCGATCATTGGTGGTGGAATTAGTGTCGATCCATACACCAAGCCAGATTTTCATATCTGTCAGACCAAGTTGCTCGACTGAATGGAGTACCATCTCGGTCTGATTGCAATCGATACCATAGAGGCGGATGGTGTTGGTCAGTTGAGACATCACAGCCATGTCGCGAGTGACATTGTTGGGAGAAGGCGGGTACTTCTCGCAGAGGGGATACTGCGTGCCCCATGGGGTGTAGTCCATGGCGGGAAAGACGCGGTGCAGGTTTTTGTTGTTGAGCAAGGCCTTGATCTCAGGCGAGTCCTTGTCGAGATCACCGTTGGCTGCCAAGTCCCCAGAGGCAGTGTTCCATGTTGAACTGGCCGCTGAGCCAGATCCGCCTCCGGACCCGGAACCACCCCCGCCACTTTTGCTCCTCGATCCGAGAATCCCACCAACAACACCGCCAATGATTGCTAGTAGGATCACAGCACCAATAATGCCGCCGACTACACACCTCATCCTGCTACCCCCCTTCCTCTGTTTTGACAGCCATTCGCTTTTCTCAGCGCCATCACGTGCTGACACTGGTGTGTATGTGCTTGAGCCTCCGTTCTTACCAAAGACGCCAGCCAGACCAGCTGCACCACCAGCACCTGCGGCAGCACCTCCCATGCGTTCGGCAGATTTGGATTTCCCGGGCATGAAACTCCGGCGCTGAGGTTCAGGCATAAAACCGTCGTCACCGTCGTCGATGATATCGTGTGGGTTCACGCTGGCCTGACTGGTGGTAGCGTGGTATGGGGAGCTCTGGAGGTGGTAAGGAGAGTCCTGGTAATAGGACATCCTGTTCTCGTTCGGATGTGGAGGATAATGGTCAAGAGGAATATTACGACCGGAGTAGCTCGACGATGGGTCTGGAGTAATGGTGCCCGGTGTAGAGGCGTCGGCACCCATGGGAAGGCCGGTGGCATAAAATGGGCGGTCGTTGTTTGGCAAGTGCCAGGTGGCGGCATGGTACCGCCTCTTGGGAAGTCGCGATTGTAGCTGCCGTAGCCATCTTGCTGTGACGAGTCATGCATCGACCGCAAAGCGTCGAGTCCACTTTCCCTTTCATTACGGTCAGCCACGCCTTGTGCAAGACCGTGCATTCCTCCGCCTTGGGCGTGGTCGGAGAAGTTGTCCATGCCGGGCGTCACCACTGATGTTGGCCGGTAGCCCTGCGAATTATGCGTGTCTATCCTCGAGAGCCCAGGCTCTTCTCTGTGCGCCGGGGGAAGAGGAGGCGAAGAGTCGGAGTAAGGCCCAGGTGCAGGCCTTCGTTGTACTTCACGTTCCTGCGTCCAACCTCTTGAATGGGTCTGAGGTGGCGGCGAGGTGTACTGCGGCGGAGGTGAGATGATGTCTCTGGCAGGCGAGTCATGGTACGCTGTGTGCTGACCAGGCTGCGCCTGATAGTAGCTGCTATCATTTTCGTAATACTGTCGGTTGTTGGACATGGCTGCGCCTCGATGTCGAGTATACGTGGGCTGTAACGAATGTGCAAGCTAGCAGACAACCAAACCCGGAAAACGACTGTCCTTGTTGCTACTGAATCGATGCTCGTGGTGCTTTTGCAATCATGAGAGAAGAGCGGGAGCCCTAGCAATACCGGGCACAGTCGATGTCAGCGCAGGATTGCAGTGAGGGAGAATGGTATTGCGGGCGATGTGAAACAAGACTAATCGTAGGTGCAGAGGGTGGGGGCCCAGGATGGCGTTGACTCGTTGTGTCTTTGACAGTCTCAGCACGAGGTACAAAGAACAATGAATACTCCAGTTTCACTCGAGGTCAAACCATTCGCGCGAATGCAATCGTCGAGTGTACAATAGATTGCATGTTGCTGAAGCTGCTCGTCTCCGTACGCGTCTACGAAAGGAGGCGGCCAGGCATAAAATCTTGAAAGTGTAGTAGTGGTAAGCGAAGGCTGGTCGCAGTGGTTGGCCCGGCCACGCGAGGGACCATGGTACCCCTTCATTGGTGATTTCACACTTTGGGCGCGGGACTAAGCATGCTTTTTGCCCCCCCTGCTGGAGCCCGCGGTCCTCGTCACCGTTCCTCCGATGACCTGGAAATAGCGCCTCAGTGACCAGATCTGGGTACCAGGGGTACTCTGCAGCCTCTAACGAACGCCTGTCTGCCCTTGCTTGACCAATAATTTGCGCCTGTTAATTTTATATGGGCCGTGCGTCAGATGTCGAGCTAGTAGTTGAAACCTCAGGTAATCGCATATACGGCGTACCTCTCTCTGCCTCTCGCAGTCCCTTCTGACCGTTTGGCCGACAGCGCTCAATGAGCTCCCTATGCTGATACGAGCATACTTCATCCCGGATTCTGCATTACGTTGTCCCGTCAGATAATTCAGGGAAGCGCACGCTTTGGCAAACAACGCAGGACCAACCCCGCGACTCGCTCTGAAGGATTCACTCGGAAATTGATAATCCTGCCTGTCCTCGATATCGTCGTTGGCGAATCTCATTCTGTGGTTGGGCCGCACTTGTAAGTCCGGACAACCTCCGCGCAAGGCATCTCGCCAAGCAGTTCGCATTGCATGGCCTGCCTGCATGACCTTAGCATATTTCTGTGCGAGAACAATTCGGTGGAAGCAGGTGTAGAAACCACGAATGGTCCTCGAAACACTCCCGGCATGCGAGTGACGCAAGCACGAAGTGACAGCTGATCTGCTCGGTTCCCTGAATGGGTGCTGCCGTGGCCAGCTTCGGTCACTTTATTGCTTGACAGTCTGAGATCAGCTCTTTTCAAACGGCTCTGGCCAGCAGATAGCGAAGGCTTCATTGTACTGTGAGAAGTACAGGTCAATGTCAGACCTCGATGCTGAGATGTCTCTCGGGACCTCATCTGGGTTGCTCCAGGATGGGATTCTCAAGCACAGATCAACCTTTTGACTTTACCACATGCTTTATGTGAGCAGGACCGCCCTATGGGGAAAACATGATACCCAGCACGTCCTGGCCCACGACAAGTGGAATCTGGGCGCCCAAGTCGAGCAAGTCCTACACAAAGAATGCGCCGCCCTTTCAGCGGCGTCTCATTAGCCTGGTCGAACAGCAAAAGGAGTTTGTACGGAGTGAGTGCTTCGGCAGGAGCCCGCATCCTAGTCTAGGCTACTCGCGCGATTGTGCCGATGCTTTGGAGCTTTGGTCCGCGTCTTCGTGCCAGGCTGGTACGTATGCTCTGCACCGACTTTCGGGAAAGAGTGTCTGGGCCAATCATGCTGAGCAGTCCGCCACTCGAAACGTTACTCGTTGATGACTACTGATCATGTGCACAGCGACCATGCATGAGAAGCTCTCAGGGAACCTTGCTAAACTTTAGGGATGTCAAAGTTCCAAATTCCAGATGTTTCCATCCTCTCAACGCTCGCCGCATTACGAGATGCAAGGAAAGTGCCCGACGCAAGATCATCTGTCAGACGCTACTTGCCCTCAGTCGCGGCGGCACCTGCCAGACCAATATGCTTGACCTCGTGTTTCACAAATGGCAAGTCCGAGCGTCGTTTAGCTATCCATGCTGCATGAGCGTTGCAGCACGTGAGATGCCAATGCTCTATCACAGCCACATTGCGGCCAGCAAGGCGATGGTCACTCATGATTGCCTTCCACATTGGTCCTCGTTGCAACTCGAATTATAGATCCCACAAGCTGCTCCGCAAAGATCATGCTCAAGTCAGAACGTGGCAGTGCACGTCAGCATTAATACTATCGGACCTCTGATCAATGATGACTCTAAGTCTCTGGTAGAGAGCCTCAGTAGGGGTTAGTAAGTGCTTCGAAACAAGGCAACCGTCGGTCTCCACTTTCTCAGCTCGGGCAACTAGCGCCACAGAGAGATCCGACGTCACGTCTTCAAGTTCCATCTCATCGAATTCTTGAAACAACACAATATTCACTGGTACTAAGATTAGACCTTAGTCCACCTTTGGTGCCGTTCACAATGCCTAAGCTAACTGTCTGTGCGAGTCGTGCCGACAAGATAAGTGAATGGGTTCGCAGACGCCAATACGGCGACCGAGCTGTGGCCGGCTAAATCACCAGTTAAAACGCGCAAACTGAAAGTGCAGCGCCGTTGACATGTACAGTCAACAGAGTATGATCTTGAGTAAGTCAATTTGAGTCACTGGAGAAGCTTTGCGATCACCACGAACACTGTGCCGTAAGTCAGAACTTCCGGTACACTTACGCACTGCCACCGCCCAGCAGGCTCTTCGAGACGGTGGATTGTTTGCTGCGATATTGCGGAGCGATGTCAATCACAACTTTAACGATGTCCCGTGATGAACCAAAAGTGTATGCCGTTTCGTTACAGACTTGACTTCGGTTGCTGGTTCCGTGATCGCTATCATACTTCCGCTGCTCAGCGTTCTCGAAGGCGCGCCGAAAGGTCTGAAGCAGGCAGGCTGCATATCTGAATGCATCGGTTGGCTCTCACTGGCGCAGGGGCATGTACTAGGCGTTCTCATCGGAGGCGGTGCATGAAAGAGCTTTTGACGATTTTGCCAACGAAAGATCTACCCGCAAGTCAACATCTTGCTCGCAGACCCACGCGCTCTCGATCCACTTGAGTCCTCGGCAGCTAGGATGAGTAGTTCTCCTATTTGCCTGCCTCTGTTGGAGTGTTCTTTGGAAGTAGTTCAGCCAATCGCCGCCCAAATCAGACACAGTGCCAGAATTGCACATCTGCTGAGCAAGTGACATCGATCACTATCGGTGCACACGGTCACACGTCCTCAAACCGAATGACTGCCACACATGATCAGGTCCGGCTCCTCGCTTCGTCGAAACGGCACGGTGCCAGTGCCGTCCCTGCTTCCTCTCTTCTGGCCCAGGACCGAGACGACATGGGTGCCAGAACGATCCGCCGGCGAAACATAAGTTCCTTGCAATTCTTCAGGAGTTCGAGGCATGAGGCACGTTCGCACTTTCGAGAGCAGAACTTCTACCTCAAATCAATGGCCGGAGAAAGTATAAATGGCGTCTGAATATCTCTGAAGTGAGAGAATGATGTCCTCAGAGCACCATCTCCTACCTCATTACGGTCAGTAACTCACAGCTCCGGGATACTGATTGATTTGAATATACTTACAAGATGGAGAAGGAACAACAACCCGAAGACTCTTCTTCTACACCAGCTGCGAAGGGGGAAGACCGCCAGCGATCTCCGTCTCCATCGCCTCCTACCACGCCACCGAACAAAATGCCGGACAGGCAGCCAGCTAATCAGTGGTACTGTCCCAACAATCATGGACCACTCGTCTGGGTAAGTGTTGCCAGGTACTATCGACTAATTCATCTGTCTTACTGACATCGCTCCAGTGAGTGCCTATCAGGCTACTTAAGGTCGACTAGAGCTGATATCCTATAGGGACCACAACACACACTGCCCTCAGTGTAGATTACCTCGAAACCATCCGCAGAGCAGGGCCGTAAAGCACAAGCCCAACAAGGATGATCACATCCCGAAGGGCCATAAGCCGGCACGCCGCACATAAGGGAGCGACATAGCCACAGAGCCTGTTGCTGCAAGCATCAGCCGGCGTGAGGTTCTGAGAGCAGCTGCTGCTGTTGGCATAAGGCCAGTAGCAGCAGAGTTCGCGTGAGGTTTGACAGCTTTAGGGAGACGTCTTCTAGATAGTGTCTTATCATCTTCAATCAACAATGAACAGCGCAATGGTGCTGGACGCCATGCAATTCTATGAGATAATGTTATCCCAACTGTGGCTCGTCACTACGACCCATGGTAAGTGACCCACGCAAGATCAATTGTAACGAGCACGAGTCGACCTTGTTTGACTGCCACTCCGGTCGATGCCTAGGCCGAGCCTTACAGAGCACCCAGCTACGCTATGCAACGCTCACTTTCTCTTCTTTCCACCCTTCTTCTCGACCCCACTCGCACTCACTGCTTGCGCCTTCGCCTCGTCAATAGTCGCACTCTCACTTGCTGCACTTGGCTTCAACTCCTTGACGTCCTGTCCATCCAGTAACTTCTCGCCCTTGCCTTCACCCTCACCCTCATCGTCACTATCCCCACCTTGCCCAAACTCGTTGATCCTAGAGTAATCTACTCTATACTTCCACTTCTGGTACAGCCATACGAAGAAGATAACGTCATCACGCAACGTAGCTAGACGATGCAGCGTGGGCATCCTGATTGTGAACGCAAACAGGTCGTCGATGAAAGTATTCAGGAACTTGTACGTCATGGCCTTGCTCGGCATATGTGCCACCTATTCGTCGCCGGTATTGGTTAGCCTGAACCAGAACTTTGGAAGAATGTATGGGATTAGGTTTGAGGGACCCAAAGCCAAGTGGCCGTCAATGAGGGGAACATACCGATTTTAGCCTGTAGTTAATGTATAGACTGGGCACCATCATGAGGAAACCGTACGCATAGACGCTGCCAACAAGGGTTGTGATGATGAAGGAGTACCATGACTTGTGGGAGTCGTAGATCAGAGAGTAGATTGCGTACGCGCCCAAGAGTGGAACAGCAACAATATACAGGTAGCGGAAAGCGATCTCGTCGTACTCTTGAGTCTTCTTCTCGGTATCGGAGAGTTGATGTTTGTCTTCGAATATGATGATGTATGGAAGGAACGAGAAGGAAGAGTTTGGCGGGGGAGGTCGAACGACGACATTGACGGTCTTGGTGATTTTCCAGGCCTCCAACAGGATTCCGAAGCCTTGCCCGGCCAGAATCATCCAGGAGGTGTTTTCGTTGTTGTCCATGAGATACAAGAAAATGACGGTCTGCATAAAGACATTTGCGAGAATTGTGCGCACGGAAGTCCCGACGTTGTCTTTCTTCTTGCGCCAGTGCTGGATGTCGTTCTTGAAGGCGAGCATTTCGAAGATCATGTGTAGGACAGACACGATGGCTGTGGTAGACAGCAGGTAGATGTTGGTATCGAGGAGGACTTCCTTGAACATCTCCAGCTCGCTGCCATCACCACCTCCCGGAAGAGCCTGGCCCTGGGCAGCTTGCATCTGGGACTGCCGCATACCTTCGTCCATCGAAGTCATGATGCTATATTTCCAGTTCGCAAAGTTCTTGAGCTGAAGGTTCAGTGGCACGGTCTTGACTGTGGAATTGAGCTCCGTCATGTGGGGTTTGAGTTGCCAAAAGGTGTTGAGGAAGACGACTGGGTAGTACCATCCATTTTGACCAGTTTGATCGCGGGCTCCGGTGCTCTCAAGGACGATATTGCGCCGTATACCAGGATGCATTGAGCGCCAATTTTGGACTCCCGTCCCAGGGATGATGGCGACCGTGAAGTTGGGATGGTAGAAGGACGAGATCTGTAGCTTTTGTGGTGGTTCTGGCTCTGCTTCCTTCTCTTCGGATTTCTCGAGCAAGTTCTTCAACTTTTTCGCACGCTTCTTTGGGATGTAGTGGTTCAAGGCCCGGGGAAAATGAATTGCAGTGGCGGGACTGAAATCAGGTTCGCTGGGATCGAGTTGGCTGCCGGAAAGGCCGAGGAAGAAGTGAGCCCAAAGGGTGCCATTATTCTGAACCTGGGTGGGGATGGTGATCTCGGTCGAGATATCCCTCACATCGTTGTAGTCACCCATCTTAATATTCTTCTCATCCAGCACCAAATCGCTCTGAGGCAGCGTGCTGAAAGCCCCCAAGACTGGACTTGCAGAGACATAGATCTTGAGATCCAGGACACTGTCGTCGGGCCATATTGGGCCAACGTTGTATGGAGTTGCACTATAATTCGTTATTGCTTGCGGTGCAGGTCGTTCAGCGAAGTTGAAATTTGGCTTTCCCGGCGCGGTCGCTCCTCTAGATGAGGACGTCGAGGATGTTGACGTCTTGTTGCCGAGGAAATAGGGTCCGACCTGATTGATAGCAAACTGTGTGAGGAGGAAAATGCCCACGCCCTGAGCTAACGACTGCCATATGGACTAGGATCATCGTCAGCACCGTGCGCTGTGCCAGTAAATGGGGAACAATTTACCTTCTCCTGTGCCGGTTGCGTCCCTCCAGCGGCGCCGCTGGTTCTCGCTTCTGGCATATTGACGGCGTCCAACTCGATGCCACTGTCATGAAGGTCGCAGAAAATTATCTACAGGATCCTCGAAGATCTCGGAGGCGGGATGCGTCCCACGGGACCCCACGTGGCTGGGATGACGGCCGGAGACGGTCCTTGGCGTTCGGCTGCTAGGACGCCTCGGGAGTGGTCCAGGCCAACCAGAGCTGGGATTGATTGGCGGTTCATGCGACGATTCAATGCGAAGCTGCCTGTTCACCCTGAATGAAAGAGGTCTGCGAAACGTCTGCACGAGTTCCATGTCCGAAGAATCACAATAGCCGCGTCGACATCACTCACTCAACGCAACCGATTTTGTCAGAGCAATGAGGCGGCAGTGAGAGCATGGCCAATGGTGGTAATACTACCATCCCACCACCAAATTTCCCAACTCGAAACGAGCCACGTGTATGGTTTGTAACGAGCGGGGACTCAGCCGTAGGGATTGTAAGTTGCTAGCATATTCAAAGTCGTCCACGAAGCCTGCTGCTGCTCGAGAAGGTGCTCCGGTCACGCCCAATGCAAAATTGACTGACAATATCTTGGCTAGGCATTGGCAAGACAAGCTCTCGATCATGGGGACTACGTAGTTGCGGGCATCAATCAGTCTGAATTCGAGACAGATGGCGGCAGAAGTCATGGCTTCAAGCTATTTCTTGCAGAAGTCGGTCGTTCACCTGGCTGGAAGGAGCGCCTGAAGATCGTTGCCCTCGACATTCGGTATGCTAGCCTTGGGCTTCTTCTCTCCGTCTAACAGCAAGCAGGTCGGTCGGTCAATGTCAAGCCGCGGTTGCTGTTGCTGTTGCGGCTTTTCAGAAGGTCGACATTCTCTTCTGCTGCACCAGCGAAGCAGTCATTGGCACTGTCGAAGAGATGGCCGCCACTTCGCACACGTTGACGCTTGTGCGCGACCAATTCGAGCGCAATTACTTCGGACCTATGAACATGATCAGAGAGGTCATACCTGAGATGCGCAGTAAGCACAATGGCCATATCATTGTACTGGCAGGCATCACAGGGCATCTTGGGACGCCCGGCCTGGGCATGTACTGTGCAGCAGGATGGGCCTTAGAAGGATTCTGCGACAGCATCGCCTATGAGATTGCACCATTCAACATAAAGTTGACCATTGTCCAAGCGTCCATCGAGATTGGTATTCTAACCAACAAGATCACCTCTGCTCCTCCAATGAGGGCGTATTCACCACAAGACGGCAATAATGCTCCACTGTTCCGAGGCCTGCTCGATGGCTTACTCAACCAACTGCCGGGCGTCAAGGCAGAATATCCTCAGTCGCCGGGCCTGGATACGCGATCGCCATCCTCAGAAGTAGCTAGGCAAAGTGGGCCGTCGCTGCTGAGTCAAGACGAGGTCGTGAGCCTCTACCCGCCTCTCAGCCCGGCTCATACATCGAAGCTGGTTGCAGAGACTGTTCATGCAATAACCTCGATCGGTGGTCACTCAAATCCACCTGCGCGCCATATTGTCGGCATAGAAGGGGTGGCCAGCGTGAAAGAGAAGCTAAAGACTGTGAGTGAGGAGCTGGAAGAGTTCGTGGAGACCAGCATCTCCGCAGACATCTCCAATGAACGCCCAGCCGGCAAAGCACGCAGCAGCGACAGTGATACGGTCGAGCAAGCGTCTTTTCTACATCGGATGGGCGGTATACCCTAGACAGCCAGTCCGTGAGCCCCGCGGGAGTAATGCAGCATTGAGCTAGTGGATGCGCTAGCCTCCCCCCGCATAATTACCCGCGTGCGCTCACCGGGCAATTTTCATCGATCCCTGCGTTGATCGTGTCGTCGTTGTCGCGTGGGTGAGTGGCTTCTACGGTGGCGATGCGTTCTTTCTCGGTCTGACGAATAATCTCGTCGTCGTTGTCTCTCTCTCGACCTGGAGCGGCGTCTGCGCTCTCGGTCTTTGCTGCGGTGGCGATGCTTTCGGTCTCGGTCTCGATCTCGTTCTCGACTGCGGCTTCGATTGCGGGTTTCGTTTCGAGAAGTAGGTCGGTCGTCGCGATGTCGACGGTTGTATTCCTTCAGAGCATAAGCAAGTTCTTTATCCTGTGACTCGGCATTTCCCTCAATGCGCTCGATATTCTGATTCGAGCTCCCTTCAGCCGCATTAAGTTTGCCGTATCCAATGCCACCAGCGACTGGCTGCTCAGCAGTATTAGTGTCACGAAGCGCTTTGTCCAGGTCATTCTTGCTGCCCAGCGGCTCGTTGTTGGGATTAGCCCTGTCAGGCACCGGTAGACCTAAAGCTCGAAGCATAGCGTCATTTTCAGCTTCTTTGACCCGTCTGATCTCCTCCTTACGAGCACTGGCCTCTGCATCAGCAGCGTCTTTGTCGCCTTTCGCATACCATGTCAGATCCCTGCCCCTTGCCCAGCGGCCAGTTGGCGCCATCACACTGTGCCCAAGATAGTTCTCCCTATGCGACGACGTTTGAACATCGCTCCACTTAAAATCCCCTCTCCCACCACGACTGCCCTCCTTTCGTATAGTTTGAACCAAGTCCATGATTTCAGATCAGAAGTCGAAAAAACAATCGCCGTGAGTTCCTAAGGATTCGGGAGCTATCCAAGCGAACAATGCCCTGTGCAACCATGTAGTTTCGGATCTGCTTCAAGGCTCCCAACCATGAATTCTGGAATGACTGTCGGCAGTCCAGTGTCCTTCCCAGACCAACGAATCAGCTTGACTCAACCCCAAGCCAACCCGTGGATGATTGCAGATGTCAGAACGCTCAAGCGGATTATCACTAGAGGGGTTGGCAGTGATGGGTTGTAACCTGGCAGTGATGCATAGATGCCGGCGTAGTGAGCAAGGAAGTGATCTGTCAGAATTGAAATGGAGAAAAACGGGTTGTTGCTCCGGCCGGGGTCAGCTGAACTCCACCTACCCTTCACCACCCGGGCACTGCGACCTCAACTGAACCAACCCGAGACGCGGTTTACGTCGCCCATCTGGACATTCTTCCACTAGGGCATGCGCTCGGGACTTGCGAGGTGACTGTATCGGCAATCAGTCCTAACGCTTCGGTCCTGCCGCATGATCTTGCGTCGCAGGCTGCAGACCGTTCACCGAGATCTCAAGGCAGTGTACGGCATCACCCCTCCCGCCACGATTCAATAGGCTCTTTCCATACCTAGAGTGACTACGATCGCGGCAGATTGAATCTCGCGAGGCCGAAATACACATCCTCAGGCAAGTGAAGTCATCTTGCTATGGCTTCCTCTCGTTTGCCTGCACCTTCGAGCACCTCTCCTCTCTTGAGCAATACGTGAGGTATCGTATTGGACTCCAGCCGCCGCCACCCGCCACCGCAATGGACGCGAAGGACCCTCGGCCTTACCAGGCTATTGGTATTGATATGGCCAGCAGTGAGTCTGGCAGGGAAAGATTCGTGAAAGATGGCATCTACACTCCTCCGCCTACATCGTCCTGGCGCTGCAACCTGACGGCGTTGTCCCAGCGGTACAATCTTTACTTCGTGGCCTCGAGAAGTGGTGTCGCGGTATACACACCATCATTTCCCTTCCAGACACTTGGGAGGAAGCCCAAGCTGTACATACCGCCGGCGTTGGCCGAGCCACATGCACGAGGCTATATTGATCCAGGAGACCCTCATGCAATCAATCATCTGGTTGTAGGAGATTTGGGCACAGAGGAAATTCTGCTTGTCGCGACTGACTCAGGGAACGTGACTGGGTATCACACAAAGGCGATATACGAAGCCGTTAGGAATGATCCATATCGCTTCAGCAACGAGGCAAGATCTGATGTCGCTGGCTTGCGCCCTTTCTTCACCCAGTGCGTTCATGAATCTGCTTGGGGGCTTGCCATCCACAGCTCAGCTCGCCTAATTGCGGTCTCAGCCAATGTGCCTCGTCAACAGCGTCAGACAATGTCCGAAGGCTTCGCTACGATTACCATTTTCGCCTTCGCTCTATCTGGTGATGGATACGCAGATCGGTCTGCAGAAGCTGTTCCAACCGACCAATGTGAGTCAGACGAGGCCGACTGGAGGGACTGGGATCCCAAAAGCTCTTCGCCAATGCCACGTCGGCGGAATCACAACTACAAAATTGTGCTTGCCGGCCCAAACGGGCACCGTTCCAACATACCTAGTATCAGCTTTGTCAACAGCTCCCAAGATCTACAAGGCCAGTGGCTTCTCAGTACTGACATATCGGGATACCTGAAGATGTGGCAATTGTGGCCTGCCACCTGCGCGAGAACATGGCATTTCGGTGTGGAAGAAATATTCGGCTATCAACCTCTGGACGATGAAGCTGGATGGCTCGTCGCAGCTCTCGATCCGGCCTCTTTCCATCCTGCTCGGAGTATGGCACAATTCTGTGGGCACAAGTCGGCGCCTCCAATTGACGATGCACGCGAGAGCTACGACATCACGAGCATCGTTCGCTTGACAGTCCCCGGTCGTAGCCACAGACATCCATTTCTCGAAACCGGGTCGGCTGATTCATCCGATAGTTCTTCTATGGATTCCTCGGATGACGAGGGCGATGTGGTTGCTGATCACTGGTCGGACGACGATAGTTCGCAGGGCGAGCGGCCCAACGATACAACCACGGTCCCGGATGGTGAACGTGCGAACGGAGACTTGCATAGCCGATCGATTGCACCCGAGCCTGTGATGACTAGCGAGCAGCCATCGGCCGACGTGTCTCGGGATATCGAGGACATATTTCTCGATCGTTATGACGACGATGTCGAAGATACAGAAGACGATATTGAGGACGACTCCGAAACTGGTGATCTGGACTCGCCAGAAGCGGAGGAGGACGGCTCGGAAGCGAACGACGAACGCAGCACATCACCCGTCAGCTTTGCCAGTGAAACGTCACTGTCACATGTCACACAGCGCAGCAGCGTCGAAGTCGAAATAGCACCACTGACTATCGCTTCGCCGCGCTCGCGAGCATCCCCAGCAGGCTCGAATGAAGCAGTGAAAGCGAAGAAACGGACACGCGACAGCAGACAATCGCGGGACCGTGAATTCAGAGGGCCTGGTGTCCCAACAATTCATTGCACGACCAATAACATGAGGCTGCTGAATGCTCCTCAACAAAGTGGAGCTCATATATTCTGCGCCGGTATGCTAGAGCAACGACTGCCTCAGTCCCGCATATGGCGCGGCCAAGGTAGCTCTATGCGCAGGTTGAACATGGTGCAACAAATCCCGGATCTCGGCATTGTCATCATTGCAAGCCAATTTGGTAGGTGTGCAATTTGTGCGCTGACTCGGCACCCGAACACACGCACTTATGGGTTGCGTGTTGATTGGATTGTCCCGACAAAACGACAGGAAAAGTCCGGGGAAAGGCCTGGTGTATGGCTCCTTGGAATCGCGACAGCGCCCATACAGGGCCAGGAACTCGAAGACGAGCATCGGCAAACTTCTGGAGACGGTTGGGATGACGCAACCAGTAGCGACGATGCAAAGATCACGTTCGATCCGCGTATCGTTGCCTTGCCGGATCGCGATCAAGGTCTAGACGATCACTCCGATGATGATAATGGAGAAGACATCGCGCAGAAACGTCGCCGTCGAAGTTCCCCTGAAGCCGAGGATTCTGGCTCGGGAAGTGAGCCGGTGCATCGTTCGTGGAAGCGATCCTCGCGGCCTTTGACGCGAATGCCTTCAAGGGCTGACGGGCGATACCGGTTGATGTTGACTTACGCAGATCACACAGTACTGACTTACGAGATCTCTCGAGATCTTGAGAAGGAGGACAGTGATGTCGCGACCGTAGTGGAAGGCTGAGCTGCTGATTGTGCTGGAGTGCTCAAGCCTGCTTCATGTACATATTCCTCTATTCAAGAACATTATTGAGCTCTGATGCTACTCCCGAGTGCTCCAAGGCAAACACACAGTACAGCTGCGACTTGCAAGTCATACGCACCTAGAATAGTACTGCATCTCGTCGAAGTTCTTCCCCTTCGGACACACGTAAATGCTGTGCAAGTCCTGTGGTTCAGGTTCTCAGGGTCACGGCTCGCGGATCGAAGGGGGCCGAACAACTCGAGATGGGGGTCCATTCGTAGTGGACCTGGCTCGAGGGCATATTTCGCCTTGAACCAATAGGAGCTTTTCAAGGAGTCGCCTCAATAAAGTCAGTCGATATCTAATTTCAACCACACGGCAATCACGACCATGAAATCCTTTCCGAGCTGTGTCTCACAGATGATGGAAGGCCATGCAGCTGCACCTGCGGCAGGAGCAAGGGACGCGCCGCGTAGTGGTCCTGTGCACGAGCGCGAAGTTGCACCGAGTCTCGTCGCTGAACCAGCGACAGCTTTATTGTCGCCGTTCCTTCAGCCCTGCCACTTACACCAGTTGTTCGGATCAGCAAGGACCGTACTCGGCAAGCCTGACGCCAGCCTAGGCGAGATCAAATCTCCCGAGCCCCCAAACATCTGACCAGATTGAACGGAACTGAATCTCCAGCACTCTATACAAGGCTAGACTATGTATCCAGCACCTTGTCTCCTTACTCTTCTGTCCACTCAGACTTCTAATTGAGAGCATGCGGGTACTGAACTGAGCCCTTTACAGCGTCAGACTTCAATGCGAGATCAGTTTCCTGAAGTCAAACCTGCAAAAGCGCAGACTTCGTACGCGAAGCCTTCTAAAACTACGTAGGAAGCAGCCCATAAGCTCTTTGGTCATCCGGGCAAGAGGTCCGATGCCTGCTCTATACAGATATTTACCTCAGCATAGCGTTTCCGGACCTTAGCTGCTGCAGAGCTTGCTGACTCCCCCGCATCAAGAACCTGGCTCGCCTGGCTGCTAACGCTCATGTAGCTGTGGCTGACTTTCTTTGCAACCTCTTCACACTCTCTTGAGAGCACATTCCTTTAAAGCTACCTTCTATTTTCACTCAATACACTCATTTAATATATTCAATCAGGACGACTTGACTCGCAGATTTACGACGATCTTTGCGACATCAAGACCAGGCATTTACTCCGGTACCGGGAAATGGCGACAATCTAGACGTTTGAAAGGAAGCTGCAGTTTCCTGCGACATGCGATCCGGCCGGGGTTTGATATGGACGGCCGTAGCGTTATCATGCCAAAGCTCAGCATCAGCTGCAGGCGACGCGCTGCGAATCAGACAGGACAATGTACAATCGACAGATGTGGCGAGTATTGCGCCAAGCGTGTCAGCGTCTCTCACGGTCAGTGATGCTGGTAGACCAACGACAGGGCCTACGCTCGGGCAGGAGGACAATTCGTCTGCAGGAGTCTCTAGCACCAGCTCTGTAACAAGTTCCGCCGAAGCAGGACGAAGCAGCACCGTGATAAGCACCACGTTCATCACGTCTCCAAGTCCCACATCCAATGCAACAGATTCGTCAAGCGCAACGGGTGCTCCCGCAGCAACGACACAGATCAATCTTCAACCGTCAACGACAGATCAATCGGAACCTATAGCTTTGCCACTGCAGCCTGCAATCACGCCTGCCTTTGGAATCGCCGGAGCTATACTCATCTTGACCGGAGTCGCATACACTCTGATAGGTATCAAACACCGCTTCCTCCAAGTGTTTCTCTCGAACGGTTTTCTTGCGGCATTATCGGTCACGGTGCTTATCGACTATGTAATGAAGCCTCCGATCAGCCTTGCGGTCCAAGGCGCCTACTTCGTGGCTATTTTCATGACCGGATGTCTCTACGGCGGCGGGTCTCTGATCTTCAAGGAAGTCACTGAAGGTTTCGGATGCTTGCTCGGTGGATTTTGCCTGAGCATGTGGTTTTTGTGTCTGAAGCCAGGAGGCTTGATCACAGAGCAGACCGGCAAGGCGATCCTCATAGGCGTCTTCAGTGTTGCTGTGTGGTCGCTGTCCTTTAGCCGCTATACTCGCGAATACGGCTTGATTGGATCAACCTCTTTCGCAGGTGCCACTGCCTTCGTTCTGGGCATTGACTGCTTTTCCCGAGCTGGACTGAAAGAGTTTTGGTTCTACATTTGGGAGTTGAACGACAACTTGTTTCCTTTAAACACTAATACTTATCCTATCACGCGAGGCATGATTGTGGAATTGATAGTAATTGTTTTGGTCACGATAATCGGAGTACTGTCGCAGATAAAGCTGTGGCGGATTGTTCGAGCGCGACGGGACAGGCGGAACGCGATCAAGCTCGATGATGAGCGCCGAAGAGATGTCGTTGAGGAGGCCATCGGCAGACACTTGGAAAGACAGAACGAGAAAGATCGACCGAAGTGGGAGATGCAGTTCGGAAACAATCTAGCTGCCAAGCGATCAACTATTCTCTGGACAGACGCACACCCTGACAAGGGCATTACTCACATTACGCCAGTAGAGGACAAGAGAATGTCTTCTGTAGAAAGCGTGGAGCTAACTGCTGCGCCGGGACCGTACCGTGTGCGATCAAAGGTTAGTGCTAGAAACCTCAAACGTCAGAGTACAGCCACTGTGGACGTGATTCCGGAAGAGACTGAGGAAGAGTTTCCGGAGAAAACGACTTCGAAGGAGCGGCTGAAAGCACTCAGTGCGCTCGATGCTAATGCGCCTATCGGGGGCACTGCATCGACGGAGAGCTTTACGCCGCAAGAGACCACGTCGACTGAAGCAGCGGGCTCGCCGGAACCGCCCGTCGAGGACAGTTCAGCCAAGACGGATGTCCCTGAGATTGTACCCCTGCCATTCAAGATTCCGACAATTGAGAAGCCGGAATCCAGAACAGCCAAGTCCTCAAAGTCCGCTCAGCCGCAAAGCGCTCAACGCCTCAGCGTTCCAAAAGAGGCTCAGAGCTCGTCATCGAAACGCAAATCAATTGCTTCAATGTTCAGCGTGTCGTCTCGACTGAGCTATGCGTCAGACCAAGCAACGCCCTCAGCTTCAGTTGAGCAGCTGGTTCTCCCATCACCGAGAAGCAGCAGAGCGTCATCGCTGGCGGCCACGCTCGATGAGGAAGACCGAATGTCTATCTTCGCAAAATATGGCAAACGAAACAGCTACATGGATGCCGAACCAGTGCCGCCAATACTAGCCGAGTTTGCAGCAAGAAATGTCAGTTCGGTTGATGTGCCCTCGACGATTGAGACGAAGGTACCGGAAGTTCCTCCTTCGCCTTCCGCAGACTCTGTTGAAGTCGAAGACGACCCTGAAGCTTTGTTCCGCCCTGTGTCGCGCTCGCAAGGGGGTTCCAAACCAGAGGGCACACCAACGGTCTCGGACAGCACCCCACGTCAAGGCTCGAACAGTTCGGAAGCAAGGTATACAACAGAGCATAGCTCGGTGGCAGATGGTCTAACCCCCGGCGCTCTCGAGAGCATCCCAAAGCAGACTTCTCATGTCGTGATGGCTTACCGGACCAATGAGTGGGCTAAGCACATCGCGGAGGCAGATGAGCCCATCTACATCGAGCCGGAACAGCTGCCAGTAGAAGTTGAAGAGCCTGCTGTTCAGCTTGCTCCTGTACCTACCGTTGACCGGACGAGAACTCTGCAAGCATCGACCACACCACCTCCACCTCATGTGGCTGCTGTAAGTCAGAATGGCATCGTTGCTGTGGTATCGGAGGCCACTCGAGCCCACAATCAGGCAAAGGAGGCCCCGGTCAGCAATGCGCCAGCTGCAATTACCCGTCCGCAGCTGCAGGGCAAGAGATCGAGTACGTTTCTGTCCAACAAGAAGACCTTAATCACCGAACCCATCGACGAAAACGCTGTGACCGAGTTTGCTAGTTCTTTGAATGCCCATTCCAGCATGCAGCGCCCGATGAGTCCACCTGCAGGACCACAGCGCATTGTCAGGACCGCGTCTCTGCCCTTCGTGCCTCCAGCCGCGCTACAACCCAGCAGGTCAGCCACTTCTCTCGGCCTCGCACACCCATACCAGCTAAATCGAAGCAACACTTCTTCCACCAACATCGCTGCAGCCTATCAGAATACCCCAGTCACGCGCTCGTCGAGCAGTCTTGGGCATTATGCCGCGCCTGCCCACTCATCCTCAAACCCTCACGTGTCCCGCTCCTCTAGTTTTATGTCTGGTCTCACCATCCCCGCTATGCGCTCCGAGACACGCCTCGACAGCTACGACTCGCACCAGCCCAAGGGCTCACGAGATGATGCCGCCGAGCGCATGCGCCGGGAGAACTTGCTGGCCGAGTGGCGGAGTAGTCAAGGCGTTGCAAATGGTGGGCTGGTAGCGCAGATTCAGACGAAGGAGAGTGTGGAGCACCGACGGGCGCAGATGCTACTGGACAGAGAACACAGAAGATTGCTAGAGGAGAGGATGGAGTTTAATAAGAACCAGGCGCAGCTGGTGATGGATCAGGGGATGCGGACGCCGGTGATGATGGATGCTCATCGGAGTATGATGAGGAGGATGCAAGCTGGGGTGAAGACTGGATAGGCACAGGTCCGGCCCAGGCGAAAAGGGCATTTATGGCGGCAGCGGATGAGAATTGTTGTCAGCATATGTACACGGACTCTTGATGACCTGAAAGGGCGGATGCAGGAATACGATATACATGTGGTTGAATATTGATCCATAGGTATGTTCAGCGCACGTGGTTTCCGGATTCCCGGGTACAAAGAGCATGGGCCTCTCACACATGGCACATACTCTTTGACCCAGCGGAGCGGGGCCACGTGGCATCAGAGGAATTGATCAATGATTCTCATAAGCATCAAAATATCACACTCGTCTGCTAGTAGAGCTCATGTACGGCGACACTGACAGCACCATGGTTTGCTGGCGATGACGGAAGGTTTCCTGGTCTGGGCGGACTCCGAGTCGATCCTCGAGGTCGCAAGCCTCGATTCCGGGCCCCACCTGCGAGCCCGACTATCAGTCGCGCTCGTATTCTACTGATTGCATGCAACCTAGTAAGTTCTTGATCGTAGAAATGGACAAGTCTTCGCTATCGCTGCCCACCTTATTATCAGCCGCGCCACCGAGCCAACCACTGCGCGCATGTGAACGACTTCCGACGACGTCTGCGGGCACTCGATGAACTTCTCGCAGAGGTAGAAAAGAGCTGGCGCACTCTCTCTCAGCTACTGCCTCACGGTCATGGCTGGCCCGCCTGTTCGCGACACGATATTTCATTCCGTCCCGATTGCCTGTGCGACCATGTCACGATAGCGTTACCCGATCCCAACCCCGATCCGCGTCGCGCTGCGACCCGTGACCTCGAGACATGTCGAAATTCACAGTCGAGTCATGGATATGGTATTCTGTTGCGATATGCGTGGTGCTCGCACGATATGCCTCTCGAATCTGGCACTTTCGCTCGGTGCGCAAGCTTAAAGTGGAAGACTGGTTCATGGGCTTCATTGTCGGACTCTATACCGTGCTGATCGCATTTCTCAATGTTGACCACGACGTATCGACGAATCTTATCAATCCCGCATTTCCAATCGACCTCACCCCACAAGAGATTCGGACCAGGACCTGGGGGAGCAAGACAGTCCTTTTGGTTGAGCAATGCATGTGCGCTGTGCAGTGGGGTGGCAAGGGGTGTCTGTTGATTCTTTACTGGCGGCTGACGCAGAATCTCCGCCAGCATCTCTGGGTCAAGCTTGCCGCTACATACTGCATAGTGACCTACTGCGTCATGTTCATCCTTTACTTCGGCGTCTGGTGCCGCCCATTCCACGACTATTGGGAAGTGCCGACCGATAACACACAGTGTACAACGGCACTGCACCATCTGATCACGAACTTGTGCTTCAATCTCACCTCAGATCTCTTGATCATCGCCATTCCACTGCCTATGCTCCTGCGGCAGAAGCTGGAATTCAAGAAGAAGATTCTGATGGTATTTCCGTTCTCCCTGGGCTTCTTCAGCATGGCTTGCGCGATTGCCTCGAAGGTTTCAAGCTTCAAGGATCCATACAGCGTGGTGAGTTTCCCAGAGTCTCCCTTCTTGTTCTTGACTTTGGCCTTGGCTGCAGTCCACGATGTGTGATCGTTGCGAGCTTGCAGGACTTTCTAATACTTCGCCAGGAATGGGTCTATTGGTACTGCAGAGAAGCAAGCACGATTATCATCGTAACGAACATGCCGTATGCATGGGGCTTGATTCGAAAGGTCTTCAAGCTCAGGTCCTTCTTCCACGATTCGGACATGGACAGAACGACGCAGTCCGGCAATATGCAGCATCTCGACGGACAAAGTGTTCCGCGCAGCGAAGCAGTACGCACTACCTACAATTCCCATAGATCCAGCTGGCCGTTCTCGCGAGGAGGCTTCGTGTCAAGCAAGAAGCGACACAGCGCGCAGCGCGAGTCTAACGTTCCAGTCGGGGCGGACTTTGGGCCGGCTAGCACCACAGACCGGGAAATGAAAAAGGAAACACTGGATCCATCAAGCAGCGACAACAGTTTCGCAGGATCTCTTCGCAAGCCCGGCAGACCCGCTAACGCCGTAGATGCAGTCGATCGACTTTACGACTTGGACGCTATCGAAGACGAGGAGTTTTTGCACCGCGATGAACACACTCCTCAGAGAGGATATGATGGCTGAAGCATTCCTGATGAATGCGAGTATCGAACGATTGTTCCAGACCCGGCCGCCAATAGGATGACGTCACCCAGAATGGCAGTCGCAAAATTACTTGGCAAGGCCGACGAGCTGCGTTACTCCAAAAAGTGAGCCTTTTTTGTTGGCTTTGTCAACGATGCTGCTTTCGAAACACAAAGACCATTATCCGGCCACGTCGCTTCTGGCGCGCGGCTCCAGCATCTAAAGAGGTACCTGCGACTCCAACTATCGTCATTCGTTTCTTGCAGTACGTTGTGCTCCCGTTCCAGGCACGACATTTCCACCATGTCTAACGAAAGCACAGGCAGTGCCTCGCCCTTGCGTGGGCGACAGCGCAGGCGCTCAACAAGTCCGCTGCACCAAGTGCATACCGCTAGCTCTGACGACTCATACATCGAATCTGATGCCGATGACCACAGCTCCCGATCCTCGCCTGCACCTGTACCAAACACTTTGCGCCACCGCCGCAATTCCTCGAGAATCGACGATGTCAGAGAATTAAGTCTTGACTTCAAGTCGCTGAGCTTCGACGAGCCACAGGACGGCGAACAGGCCCTCCCGCCCACGCCGAATCCCCCGACTCCGCCACCAAAGTACAGACAATCTCCAGGTCGCGCCGTTAAAGATCAAGAAGAAGCCGTTGAAAGGCAAGCCATATCTGTCCGTCAACACGATGCAGCTGTCGAGCCCCCGCTCCGTGCGGCTGCTGATCGCTTCGATCGGCAATGTCAAACCTTATCACTCGACTAGGCATTCCGCTGGCCACTTTCTGCTGGACGCACTGCGCGTAAGACTGGGCATCGGACCACTGGTCAAAAGCAACTTTGGCTTGATGCGCAGCGGCGTAGATGCCGGCCACCCACAGTATACGCTCTGGCAGAGTGTGAGCGCCATGAATGTCTCTGGCGAGAAACTTCTGAAAGCCTGGAAAGCCTTCGCCGCGGAACACGATCAGGCCGACACTGTCACAGGTCTGGTTGTGCTGCACGACGAGCTCGAGCTAGTGCCTGGTAAGTTGAAGCTGCGGCGAGGTCCAACGAGCCCAGCGGGCCACAATGGCATCAGGTCAATTCAGGATAAGTTTCATGGCAATGGGATCATGAAGCAGCTTGTTGATAAGCGATACTTCAAGATCGGAATTGGGATCGGTCGGCCCGTGAGCCGAGATAAAGATCAGGTCAGTGGCTATGTGTTGGGCCAGCTGACGGGAAAAGAGAAGCAGGAGATCGCCAGTAAGGGTGATGAGCTGGTGCAGATGCTGGACAGGGAGGTGGAGACTCTGTCGACTTCAGCGTAAGCCCTACAGGCGACGCACATTGTTGTGAAAGACGGCTGTATTTAGCTGGACGCATATGAAGGAACCGAACTGTTGCGAAGATACCCAGTATTGGACACTGCATAGCGAAGGGTCGGAATACATCACCCATATACGTACAATCACGGTTTGCGAATCAAGTTTTCGTAATTTTCTCGCATTCTGATACCCTAGCTAGTGATTCCGGTGTGCCAGAGGCAGCATTCTCGGATCTTCGTTCGGAAGGCCTCCAGGCCGTAATCATATCGCAGTCCCATCATGACGTTGAGCCGCGACCTCGACTTCACTTTTCGCCGCTGTCCGCTCTTCGTGAACCTGGACCATCGCTCGACCAGAAGACAGTCTCGATTCAGCATTAGAGACACATGTTCTGAATGTTGTCTTGCATCACCTTCATAGTTCTCGGCGAGGTGCTTCGAATTTCTCTGAGCCGTCTCTGAAGTTCGCCTGGCGGCTAATTCACGATGGTCTAGCATCGAATTCAACTCCACTTCCAGTATGACTTCAGAATTCCTCAGATTTCTGATTTAGGCTGACCAATATCGGCAGCTCAGCTTCATCGCCGGTGACCATCTTGCCTCATCTCTAGGCAGCTGGGTAGACCTGAGCCTTCTTACCCGCGCCGTCCGGGAAAAGCAGGTAAGACACCGCAAAGTTGCTACTCTCGTTTGCCTCAGCGTGACCACCAATCTTCGCCAAAGCCGCCAGCAAGTCTACCCCACTCGCTGGTTTCGTCTGTCTCCACTCGCCGTAAGTGTTGCATAGCCAGGCTGTGGATACGTTGTTCAGACCGAGGAACCCAGCAGCAGCCATTATGGCTCGTACAGCTCTTGTGAGGGAGTCGAAATCCGGGATCGCTGCGGTCGCAACGGGGATGACCATGACCTTGCCATAGCTGCCAGAGCCCACGTTCCAGATGTAGATGCCGACATTGATGTGATCCGAGCCCCTGTATGTGCCGTCCTGCTTTGCGCTGCGCTTTTTGCGGCCAGAGTGTTGCACCTTTGCGCCTCCAGTGGTTTCTGCACCACGATCGAGCACCTGAACCATGGCGTCCGGCGAGAAGACTGGGCTCGCAGCACTATTCTCATGCTCTGCATTTGCGATCTGGAGCCGGGCGAACTCGGTCTCGAGCTCGTCCTTTGCAGTCTTGAGGTCGACGTTTTCGACTTCGAGCTCGTGCTTTGCAGTCTTGAGGTCGGCGTTTTCGACTGCGAGCGCGTCCTTCTCAGCCTTGAGGTCAGCGACGTACTTCGTGCTCTGTTCGAGGCCACTCAAGTAGTAGTCGGTCTCTCTGTATATCACATCCTGGGTGATTCCTGGGATTTGCTCGAACAGTTGGTCGATGGCTTCTTCTTCTCGCAATGTGGCGCTCTCGAGTTCTTCGATCATTTCGTGGTACCGGACCCGAGCGAGACCTTGAATCATCTCATCGGAGTGCAATTCCTCTCCATCCAGCTGCTTCTTGATCAAGCTGTAGTTGTAAGCCTCCTCCCTCTTCAGCTGCGCCTGTAGAGACAAAATTCTCTCCTTCTGCTGCTGGATCTTATGCATTGAGAGCCCAAGTAAGCGGTCTTCCTGCTCAAGCTCCTCTTCTTGCTCCTTAATCGTTTCCTCTTGCTCCTCATTGCTCTCCTCTAGTTGTTTGATCTTCTCTTCTAGCTGTTCGATCTTCTCCAAAAACTCGCCAAGGTGCTCCTCCATTGCACAATATTGTTCTCCCAGAGCCTGGTGCTCGGCCTCGAGCGCTTCCAATCGATCGGTGCTTGCTTGCGCCATTTCGTGTCTGCGATATGAAAAGGCGTAATCGAAGTGTGGTTGACAACGGTGAGAGACGCGCAGATGCCCCTCCTTAAACCATTGAAACGTCAAGTGGAGTCTCGTGGGTAGCCTTTCGCTCACAAGTGAAGTCGAAATATGAAGGCAGCGTGAAATGCGAAGAAATGCCTCGTCTGTTTGCCTGCGCTGCCTCAGCTTCATTTGAGGCCAGTTGCCTCCAACCTCCTTCTCTTTGCCCTCAGACAACATTTCAGCATCTATCCGCAATCATTCAGTCTGTGCTGACAGTAAGTTTGAATGCATTGCGCCGGTTCTGCACACTGATGTCCTGTAGTGGCTGAAAGTACGCACCAAAGCGCTCCGATTCTGCGGCGGCTACAGTGTTGAGGTAGGTCCCACCGCACACCGCAAGGCCAGATCACTGACCTCAACAGTCCGACATCCGATCAATGTTCGCACACGACTCGTCTAATGGTGAATGTATCCCTTCCACATCTGCGATTGACAGCATAATAGGAGCAGAAGAGTCTTCCAACAAAGACTTTCGACAGACAATAACGTCCACGCGCGTGTTTGACGAGCAGTTGTGCTGAATCCCTGATGCGCTCGACCTGGTGCTGCGCTACGAATCGGTACGGAGCCACATCAGGGTCCCACCTCTCCGGAGGCAGCTTCCACAACAAAGGAACGTGCGTTGGGTTGGCGTTCCTGTGGTCAAGCGTGATGAAGATTGGGCGTCTGTACCTCTTGGCCAGAGCCACGAGGTCTGCTGGACAGCTTGCTGTGCTTCCGGTCCAACAGGCTTCGGTGGTTCGAGAGATTGTTTGGGTGAGGTATTTTCCCCAGATGGATGAGGCACAGCCGAAGATTTAGTCTTCACGTCGGCGTGAGACCCGGCGCGCTCGTACGACACACCTGGCAACACCCCTGCTGACCTGGTCTGATCCGACCTGCGGTGTTTCACGATAGTCCCCTCACTACAGCGGTGTCAGGCACTAGCAGAGAGGCAGATGTGTAGTGCCCGCAGGGTCCCCCTCTGAGAAGAAGTTCTTCTCAGGTCTCCTGCATCGCGATTCAACATCGTCGCAGTCGAAGCATGAAGAAGTGGATCACGATGGTCTGGCAGACGACGCTGACTTCGGTCACCATCGTGCGTTGCCACATCTCTGTATGTTGGCGCTAACGCGAAGGGTATGCGCTCTTCTTTGAAGACCGACTTGTCAGAGGAAAAAATGCGTCTGGTTCCACTTACTTGTCTGTCGAAACTTCTGCTTCCCTTGAGGAATGCACGAGGGTCCGATTCCCTCCTACCTTTTTTTTCATTGTCGTGCTCGAATTGTCGAGTCGTCAGAGAAGAATATGTTGAAGCTCACTCGCACGTCCTGATCGTAATCAGTCGCCGCTGAATCCAGGCTATCGATTCTTTCCGTTCCCCGTCACATTACTCTAGGACGAGTCTGGTTGGATCAGACAACCAAATGCGATCCCTCGATCAATTCAAACTTGGCTCGACGGCGTATCCATGGTCTGCACGCTGCTTAGATGCGTGAAGGAGCAATAGCAAAGGAGAAACAAATCGTACATGAGGTCTTCCCAAGCTTTTCGCGCCAAGCGCCCTTTCAGGCGGGCCCTACAAACCGTCCTGCCGTCCACCTACTTCCAGAAATAAATGTCGCTTTTCTCCAATCTTGTCATCTCCCCACCAAATTTACTACTGTAGCATGACATCCGTAGAGAATCATCATACTACACGGCGACGTCACTGTCAACGCTGCATTTTGAAGCCGTACGATGATGACACGTGGCCTTTTCAGGTGTTTATATAAAAGTAGTAGTACAATTGCCCTCACCATCATCAAGAACCTCACTGCCACCTATCCCATCCCCATACAGTATCTAATGCCCTATCATATTATTATTCAGCACCTTAAGATCTCTCTATCTATAAAACATGCTTGTCTTGTTCCACATATAGTTCTTCACACTATACTTACTAATAATAAGCTTGTTAATATAGTGCTACATAATCTTATTCTTCTAGATATCTTAACAGACTATAATCTTCACTACTTTAGTACATAGCTAACCACCCTTATAGTAATGTAGTTTCTATTATAATATATACTATATATTCTTAATAATGTCACGGTTCGAACCCGTGACTGGATCTGCAATTGATCCGAGCCCTGATCTATG